ACCCTAACCCTAACCCTAACCCTAACCCTAACCCTAACCCTAACCCTAACCCTAACCCTAAGCCTAACCCTAACCCTAACCCTAAGCCTAAGCAAAGAAGTGAGTAGCCCATATATATTCAGCGGATCGTGAAAAGTCGGATGACAGACACCGTTGCGGGAGACATAAGACGGTAGACTCCTCACTCCTGACGAACTCGATACTGCATAGCGCCAACGCGTGTGCTGCGTTGAGATGAAGCACTCAATTGTGCTTGTGCAGCATTGACTGCGGGAGAAGAAGCTAGGGGTCCTCGGACTTCAATGCCAAGAGGGCCCAGTGCCAAGGTGTCAAAGCTTTTGCTGTTCGCCCGAGATTCGGACATGGGCAATTTCTCCAACCCATCGAGATGCTGGACCCGCTTTTCCAACTTTTCATTCCTGCCTCAGCTCACCGTCGAGGAGGTTCAGCAAGCTATTGCTGGACCACAGCCAGTGCATTATGAGCTGCTGAGCCTTCCGACGCCCGTCCTGGTGCCCTCTTGATGTCCTTGTCGGTGCGCCTTTGGGGGTCCCTGTCGGTGCCTCGAAACCCCGAGCAGTCATTCACGTGGCGTTCCCCGCGGACCATGTGGCTTCTCAGCTCGGTGCTCCTCGAGCGCAAGGCTGCGGATTGAGGTAAGCTGCTGCAACCCGAGGTTGAAGTCTTGCTCGACTTTGAAGCTCTTAAGTTGAGCGTCCCGCCGCAAAGGCCCGTAGGCCAATACTGCATGACTCCGACCCTATCAGCTCCTGAATTCCTGACTTCAAATCCTCCAACATGGCACCTTCAAAGCCTGGCATTGCTGCCGCCCTTTTACTGACCGCTGCAACCGCCTCCCCCATTGCACAACCCTCCTACAACATCGACTGGCAAGAATGTAACGCGAGGAAGTACCCTGGTCTCCAATGCGGCGTTCTCAAGGTCCCCATGGACTGGGACAACAGCGCTGCCAGCGATACGGTACTCCTCGACATCACGCGCTTCCCCACGAACAGCAGCACTCGCATCGGTAGCCTCTTCGTGAACCCTGGCGGTCCCGGCGGCCCTGCTTCAGGCATGTGTATCGCTGCCGCTGATCCTAATGGAGCCTGGACCGATGCCATCTTGTCGCACTTTGACATCATCTGTCCTGAGCCTCGCGGTGTGGGTCAGACGTCAGCCGTGAAATGTGATCCTGAGATTTGGATGGAGACTCCGTCGTATTTCACCGATGATCAGGCCTCCTTTGATACTGTGACGGCATTCAACAAGCGCCTCGGTTCCTCTTGCTTGAACATGACTGGACCACTCCTCGGATACGTGGACACAATGAGCGCGGCGAAGGATCTGGATGCTATTCGTCAAGCCCTCGGAGAAGAGAAGATGAACTACCTGGGCTATTCCTACGGCACACAGCTCGGCTCCCAATACGCTGAGCTCTTCCCGGACAAGATACGCGCAATGGTATTGGACGGCAACCTCGACCACGGCCAATCTGCGATTGAGATGTTCGTCGACGACAACTATGCAATGGAAGACGAAGTCCGTCGCCTCCTGGACTGGTGCGATAACAACTCAACCTGCGCATTCCACAACGCCACTGGCGGCGCCGTGAAAGCCTGGACAGACATGATCGAGAACGCGAACAAGCACCCGATTCCAGCTCCCGGCTGCGGTCCCTCGCACGCTGGGGAGTATACTTGCAAGCCCAACGTAACCGGCTACGACATCATCTTCAACCTTGAAAATTACTTCCCAGCCCTCGATTGGGAGGGTGTCTCTCAGAATATCAAAGAGGCAATGGATGGTAACGCGACCCAGCTTGCAAACCCCGCCCCGAAGAATCGCGAAAACACTACCGCAGCTCTCGAATTCTCCAATCTCGCGATCGGGTGCCTGGACTGGCACATGGATGTCAACACTATTGAAGAACACCAAGCGCGCACCCTGCTCGGGAAATCTATGTTCCCGTTGACTCTGGGATCTGGCATGGCGCTGCAGTGGGCAACCACATGCATCAACTGGCCTTTCAAGCCTACGAATCCTCAGCATGAGCTCGACCCAGCGGCGATGAGCCGCGCGCCGCCGATCTTGTTGCTGCAAAGCACGCATGATCCGGCGACGCCACTTTCGGGCGCACAGACATTGATCAAGCAGATCCCGTCGGCGGTTATGGTTGTGCGCAGTGGGGACGGGCATACTAGCTATGGGCCTGGGAGCCCGGAGATCACGAAGCTAACAGATGCGTATTTAGTTAACTTGACGGTGCCAGATAAGGGGACGATAGTGCAGGATGTTGCGCAGAACCCTGGTGGTGGGCTTTAAAACTGTAGGCTTCTTCTTCCGAGGTTTAAGACGAACTTTGCATCCTGTTCTGACTCTTCCAGCGGTGCTTTCCCGTGTTGAGTACTGGATAATGTTCCTTGCATGTTTTCTCTGATGGTTTCTTACACCCCTTGCGGAAGAGAATGCCCAACCCAGTCCCCGGTAACTTGCCCTGATGATCCGTCCGTCCTTCATTCAATTAGTCCAGGTATTTCCCCGATGTTAGGAAATCATTTAAAGTCCAAGTCGAACAATCTTAGAACTGCCTCGCATTCTATTCAAATAGTGCTCGCATCTTTGCACATTGGCTACACCAATGTCACCTTTCATCCCAGGCGTCTGCGATTCTCTGCTTTGAATCTTCGCCTGCGTTCTACTTGTCTTTGGTGGTGTTCTGATGCACATAGTCTGGTAAATTTGGCGTCATGGCTGCCGTACGAAGAACATACGCTGGGAAGTGAGAACAAATAGCCTCAGAAATCTGAGAGATATTGATGTCTTCGTGACGGTGATGGCGAACACAGAGAACTGGAGATGAAATTGATGTTTTCATTACCTACTCTCAGCTCCTGCGAAGGCTTCCGAGGCGATATCTCCCATCACCTGCTCTTTGCAATGCCACCCTCTGCTCAGCAAGACGACTCTCCACACCAGTCCCTACTGATTCCCAGCCCTCCTCATCTGCGATCTTCATTGATTGCAATCTGATATCATCGTCTACCTCAACAAGCAGCATCGCCAACGGACTGCCCTTCCATGACCCGATATCACTGCGTGCCGTTTTGGTCATGATAATCACAATCAGGAGGATCGAGAGCAACACCAAACTTGCTGGCAGAGCGAGCCACCCCCATCGCACAACAACGCTGAGCTGATATGCCGAACCATTGAAGGCCGGGTCGTCCGCCGTTGAATCCAGACGCATCGCATTGCTCAAACTCCGTGTAACCTTGTCCATCCATGGCTGCATGTCGGTTGTGCCGTTCCAGATTGCTTCCACGGCATCACTTGATATCGAATAACCCTCCAGATTCAACAAGACGGTACCTGTGAACATCGTCCCAAGTTGTTCACTAAGGGCAGCCCACCCGAGCGCAGACACGTTATACTTCTCGTGACTCCACTGATCTGGCAGCACAAATGTCCAGTTGTCGGCACCCGAAAACCCTCTATTCACCGTATTCGGTACGTCGCTAAACGTTGCAGTTGTATTCTGTGTTTGTAGGCCATTCTCGACGACTGTCTCGTACACGTTCACACACATCCATATTTGACAGCGCTGAGACGAGAAGGTGGGGTTGGAGCCGTATAGGCCCGATGAAAGACTCTGATATGGCACTCCAATAGTCTCGAAGTCGGCGACAGTAAGATTCTGAGCAGAACCGAGGCTGCTGTTGAAGATTGATTGCGAGCTAAACCCGATACCGGGACCGGAGGAGTTGAAGTGCCCCATCTCGAACACAGTTCCGGTGGATGTTTTGTAACTGCAGCTCGTCTCATTACATGCGCCCATGCTGTTGGTTGTCGGGACACAGCTGCCGCAAACGGCCACACTCGGTGTCGCAGGAAACGTACAATTGCCAGTCTGGCAGGCCACCTGATAGTCTTCCACGCTGTCCGCCAAGAATCCTGCGTATGCGGCAGCTTTGATGTTGAGTGTTGGTCCGAACGCAGCCTCAGCAGGATTCCCTTGAAATGAAGCATAGTGTTGATTCCAGGGCACATTCCCAGGATTCCAGTCCGATGCAGAATTCGTCACGAGCGTGCTTGCTGACGCGACCAGCTGCTGCGTGAATGTGTCGATTGCGAGACAAAGAACCATGACCAGTGCTCCAAGAAAAGCCACCGCCCGTCGCCAGGACCTGAACAACAACAGAAAGCTTCCCCATTCTCCTCGCGAGGCGGAGTCGGACGCCACCAAGTCTCGGAGTCTGCTGCGAGGGATCTGCCGCTTATTATTCGAAGCCAGCCATAGCCATGCCTCCTGGGCAAGGACTGAGCCCAATGGTACCGCTAGGACGGCGCGCAAGATCGTGCCGAGTAAAGCAAGCAAGCCGTTCAACGTCAGAGCGCTCGGCAGATCAAGGTCGTCGATTGGCTTTCCTTGATACACGCGCAATACGCTCACAATGCTCAATAACGCGCAGATCGCCAGGAACAACGCTATGACTTCGGTGATCCACGATCGAAGCAATTTCCATGCAGGCGTTCTGGACTTGCTACTCGCGGACCCCGATTTTGATAATGCATGTCGCAATATTCCATGGCGATCCGAGTATGTGATATCAGGACTTGGCTCCGGTGTCTGGGTTCTCGAGATTGGCTCGCTTACGGTGAGTGTGTTCGCAAATCGTCCATTAAAATCGTCGAAGGGAACGCTAGTTAGTGGCGCGTCAAGGTTATTGCGACTGGAAGACGCAGATTTGCTGTAAGCGCTCACGCCTAGGCGGCCCATGTTGCTTGGGAACGGAGCACTTTGCGCATGCCAGAAGTGTTTGCATGGACTCAATGGCCAAGAAGGATGTTCTTGTAATGCAGATCTCTGAATACGTGATGCAAAGAGTCAACATTGAGGATTAGATAACTTTTTCTTCAAAGACGTTCTTCATTTTCAGTTGTGGACCCTGGGCTGCGGTCCACGGGCGTCGGGCCACAGTCGTTACGACCCACTCATGCCTGTAGCTTATAGGCTTGCCACCCATCCCCACACCACCCAGCCCCATTGCCTTACCACCCATTAAAGCCTATACCTTTCCGGGCGGAATTTGGCGGCAAGAACAAGACAGCTAAAGTTCTTCAGCTATGTCTACGTGCCATAATTAGCGCCTGGGGCGCAACATTCCTATGTTACCTGGAGAGCCCTTTCGGCAAGTCCTTGCTGCAGGTTGCACACCAACATGTAGAGACTTACGTGTTCATGGCCACAAATGGCAACCAATATCACCTGTAGCTTCTTATATGGCGTCTGCCTCTTCTCAATGACGCAAAGCAACTTATGTTGTCGAGCTCTTGAAAATTAAAGCCCTGCAGAATTATGGTGACCTCCAGCGTGCACATCGCATGATTCATGCCCGAGTCGTCGTGATCGATATACCCAAGAGTTGGCACAGTATTGACCTGCATCACCGTTCGTCGCACGTTCTGTTGATGATCGTAGACAATGAAACAGTGAATGAACATCAGTCTTGACGCAACATGATCGTGGTAGGATTCGCGCAGCAAGACACTAGCGAATCTTAAGCTCGACTGCAATTACTAGCCTTGACATTGTGATTAAAGTCGTAGCTGCCCACTTTTTGGTGAGCTCAGAGTATACTACATATCGTGCACGATTCTTGTCTATTCGAGAACGTTTGTCCAGAGATGTCATAGGCCGAGCCATCGACTACTAGGTACAGCATGCGTGAGGGGCAAGCTTTCGTCTGGACACAGCTAGTAACCCAGGTATCTGCTAAAATGTCGACTACCCGGGCATTCGTGGGCGAACGAGCCTTATTGTTCTTCTTCCACAGTTCCTCAGCTTCCTCAAAAGAGCAGTGCTGGTGAGCCAAGGACGTTTAAAGCCGTTGATATCTCCCAGTCACTTCTATCAACATCTATAGAGTTCCAGATCGCTTCCATGATGCACAGTGCGGTGGAGAGAGTCCCGAATCGATCTAATGCGCCTCGGCCGGTAGCAATACGTCGGAAAGATTGTTCCTGCTCTGTTGATGCCATGGAACCTACTATGCAAAGCGGCCACGACAAGGACCGTAGCTGTGCAGGTGAGTCAATGTTCTCCACCAGAGATAATACCCGAGAGATGCTGCTCTGAACATCGACGTTGTTGACCTGCCATCCAAAGACGCTGACGGAGAGATAGATGAGTGCAGCGTTGGCCCATATCTTCGTCGCTATGACGCGCTCGCGATCAACGTGACCAAGGGCGTAATAAGCACTCAGTCTGGGTTTAGTCAGGGATGGCAGGGAATCCAGCTCTGCAAGACCTTTCTCTAGAGATGTCGATATCGGGTTTGCGAGCCTGATCAACTGGAAAAAAGAAAGTTTGTCTCGTTCTTTGGCGTCCTGCTTCCAGGCACAGAGAGCCGATGTGCTGGCGATGGCTTCGAGTACCCAAGTTTGACAGCCTACCACATTCTCCAACCTTAAGTCGCTAAGAAGGCTGTGATGTTTGCGTAGAGATGGTGTAGATCCCAAGGCAGTGCTCGCGATGATGTCCACAAAGAGTAAGAGAGATGCAAAGAAGATAAGAGCTGACTGGTCTGCCGTGTTAGGCAGGCTTTTGTGATGCACAATATGTGGTGGAATTCCCGACGGCAGGGCCTGTAACAGTGCAGTAATACTCGACGGCGATCCTTTTGGCTCGTGTCTCGCGAAGATTTCGTCAAAGAGGCACATCGCTGGAGTAAGGTGGATCATCCAGTCCGCTTCAGTACGAACTATGACTTCCACTACAAGAAACTGACCAATATCTTGCATGACCCTAATCTTATCAAGCAGCGTCCCTCGTGTTTCAGAGATGCTGTTTTGAATCGAGCTGAGAGCGAGGTCCATCTGCTCAATCAGTTTGTTCCATACGATGTCTCTGCAGTCGTCGTGCGTATGTCCATCATTCTGGACGAGTGAGAAAAAGTATGCGCTTAGGCTAGAGGCTAAATGGAACGAGACGTCGTTCTGACAGAGGAGACCTAAGAGCCACTGCCGTCCAGTCTCGATCAGAGGCGGCTGATAGAATGGGAACAGGAAGGGAAAGACGTGATCCAAGTAGAGCATGGCAGAGCTCAGGTGCAGCTGGATAGGAACGGCCGGGCGGCTCGCGGCTGATGAGAAGCTGGGCGGTGCAAGTGGGCTGAGTGCCCATGATCCATTCAGGGCCGCAGTAGAATTAGGTCTGATCGTACAGCTTGAAGCTGGTCTTTCTTCCGCGGCCACTTCCGTGAAAATACTGGTCTCGTTGGGTAAATTGGCCAAGTCCATGATGCTCACGCCTATGTCATCGTCAAGCTTGTGGAGGCGTCTGTCCCTTCGAATTGAGGCATTGTGCTTGATGCTAGCCTTGAAGAATTCGGACATCGCTTGCTGTCTGGGCCCGTTGTCCATCCACTGAGGTCGAAGTGAGCCGGCGTGACAGGCAATATTGAGATCTTGGCAGCTGCCACAGACGGGCTGAGCAAAATCGCAGCGCTTGCGACGCAGACGGCATGTCCAGCAGCAGGCGCCCGTCCTCCTACCTGGAGCCATTACGGGCTGATCTGCCGGCGAAGCTTGATGTGCTCTAGCAAGGAGAACCGCGCGCTGAATACAATCGGGTTTGAGATGAACGAAAAGCTTTCGAGCTGACTAATACCACACGCTGGGGGATACTCTCCTCAACCTTGGGCGCCATTCTTGATTTGGTCGAGCGCGCGGGAATTCCATTCCGGGAATAACAGCCACCTTATCCACGCGACTTCGCGGTACATCACAACTACAAATACGGGCACGTGGAAGACGAGAAACTGGCTTGCACACTTCTCGATCTCAGTTTGAGCAACACAAGCTTGGATGCACTGGACCATATCGCTTGGTACTCACAAATCAGAGAGTTCGGGCATTCCAAATCGTTTAGGCCGTCACAATGGCAAAGAAGACTGTACTTATCACTGGCTGCTCCGACGGAGGTATGGGCGCCGCTCTAGCTATTTCCTTTGCAGAAGCGGGCCTTTACGTCTACGCCACCGCCAGAGACGTCTCAAAAATGTCACGTCTTTCTCATACCAGCATCGAGAAGATCGCACTGGATATCACGTCCCCTGAATCCATCGCGGCCTGCGTGAGCACCGTCCCTAAGCTCGACATCCTCGTTAACAACGCTGGCTCAAGCTACAGTATGCCTATTACCGACCTATCCATCGACTCCGCCAAGCAGCTGTTTGACGTAAACGTCTGGGCTCAGCTCGCCGTCACGCGCGCCTTCCTGCCGCTCCTACTCCACTCGGGAGGCATGGTCGTCAATCAGACCTCAGTCGTTGCGGTGGCGGCCGTGCCATTCCAGTCCGCATACAACGCGTCCAAGGCTGCCATGTCCATGTTCTCGGACTGCCTGCGCCTCGAGTTGGAACCCTTCGGCATCAAGGTCATCGATCTCAAGACGGGTGCCGTCGCGACGAACCTCATCAGGAATCAAAAGACGCTGACTTCCCTTACCTTGCCCAGCGATTCGATGTATGACCCAGCCAGGGACGCGGTCGAGTCCGCCATGCGCAACGACAAGATGGCGGGTATGGGCACTGCGGCGGACGAGTGGGCTAAAGAGGTTGCCGGAGATCTGCTCAAGAAGAACCCGCCGCTCGTCATCTGGAGGGGCTATAACGCCAAGATCGCACGCTTGGGCACTTTCTTCCCATATGGTATGCTGGACTCCACTATAAAGAAGATGACGGGGCTCGATGTCGTGCAGGAGAGATTGCGGGTGACTTGAATCGTGTGTGTAGATCAATCAGCTATATTGGTGCCTGCATAAAGCACGGGGATGACGGCATCAAACTTCGAGACTCTTCCACCATCTACTGCAGGCTAGTGAGGCAGAAGCAACATGGATGGCCGCCTGACCTCATCGATAAGATACGCCGCCATCGATATTGTAGTCGGCGACTCGCCAAAATAAGATCTCATACTGATACAAGAATCGAATGTCACAGAACTCCCGAGGAGAGCGCTTTCCAACAACCACATAATGCGCTCACAGCTCGGCATAGCACACGAATTTGGTTGGCGGTCCGAGCGCTCCAGAGTACATCGCGGTAAAGCTGATGCCGCTGGGCGAGGTATCAGGCGATGTGGTGCTAGTTGGTGACGTTTTGACCGCTGTAGTCGCCGACACAGTCGCTGCTGTTTCCGTTGAGGTGAAAGTCGGTGAGCTTGGAGTAGCAATGAGGCCCGTGCCAGCACTACTGACGCTGATAGGCTTGACGACACGAGTCGAGGACACGGATATGGTCGCTGTTGTCGTTCGCAAGGTCGACGTCGTGGCGACACTGCTGATAGCTGCACTAGAGGACGTGCCAGCGGATGAACCTCCGTCAGACTTCAATTTGGCAATGATGGCATCATATGCTGCCTTTGGACGGTAGCTACTGTCGAAGAGCGTTGGATTCTCGCCGGATCGCCAGGTATGAGCATCCGATGTGCCCCAGAGCTGACATGCGTTAGCATTCAACCTTCGTAGGCCTGGAAGATACGTACGGTGATGCCGATGCACTTCGGTTGACTGACACATCCCTGTACAACGGAGACATAGTCATCAGCCGACGCGCCAGCGATGTCGAGTTCCGTGATAGCAATCTCCTTGACATTCGCTGCGGCCAGCGCATTGAGTGCACCCGGCACGCTGCCTCCTCGGCCAGTGTTGAGGTGCGTCTGCGTGCCGATGCCGTCGATGGGGACACCTTCAGACACCCATTGATTGACTTTGCTGACCATGCCCTTCAACTTTGGATAGCTTGCCGAATCAAGATTGTAGTCGTTGATGTACAGCTTCGCATTTGGGTCTGCCGCCCTCGCAGCCTTGAACGCAATACTGACAAAGTCGTCACCAAGAACCTGACTCCAGACGGAGGAACGAACGCTGCCGTCTTCGTTGAGTATTTCGTTGACCACATCCCAAGCATAGATCTTCCCCTTGAAGTGAGAAACAACTGTGGTGACATGGTTCTGTAGAACCGACGTCAAGGTATCGCGGTCACGAATGCTGCTGACCCAGCTAGGCAATTGGTTATGCCAAAGCAGTGTATGACCACGCATCTTCTTGCCATTGGACAAGGCGAAGTTGACGACGGAGTCAGCGCTGCCGAATTGAAAGTTGTTACGCGACGGCTCGATTGAATCCCACTTCATGCTGTTCTCGGGAGTGAGAGCGCCAAAATCGGCCTTGATCACGTTGGTATCTTGAGCGTTCCCCAGCAGATAGGGGTCAGTGATGGTGCCAAAGTAGGTCTTGCCGAGAGACTGAAAGAGTGTGTTGATGCTGCCGGAGGATGCCTGGCGAGTAGCAAGATCTGGGGAAGGAGCAGCCAGAGCCATGGCGGCAAGGACGGGAACGATGCTGAGAGTATGCATGCTGCTGCTAGCTGTGTATCGATGCCAGAAGCGTGCGGGCTCCAGAGAATCGAAAGTCAAAAGAATGGACAAGCTCTGCTTGAATGGTCTCGGACCTGCTGAAACGAGTGTATGAGTGAATGAATGTTGTCGTCGCAAGACTGTTGACTGCGATGGCGCATTTATAGTGCCTTCTGGCCAGGGTTGTTGCATGTCTCCAAATCATCGCCGTGTTCTTTGTAGACTTGGTGCAGTGTCGAGATGAGATCGTTGCAAGAGAAATGGGGCGAGAAGTTGGCTGTCTACATGTATAGCACTGGGGTGTGTTCCAGACGGGGATTTGCCCATGCTAGTCATCCCACGGCGATGTTCGGATCAGATTTCAGGACTCTTAACGATCGAATCGCTTCGCAAAGCCTGAGCAAAGCCTGAGCCATGTGCAAGGTACCGCAGTGCTTGTACCATAATTAAAGCCCACACAAGAAGGGTCCATCGGTCCAGGCACGAAGATGAGCCTTGCTGGGTGTTCTACGTTACAGACGAAACATATAATTGCCGCGCAGCGCTGATGACATCGTGGGGACTTGCTTCATGCAAGCACATCCACGAGCCTGTGGTCGTTCTGTTCAATTGAGCAACGCCCGAGTCTATACGGAAGACAAGGCACAGGTGGTGTTGTGCCCGGCTTCCAAACTCGAGATTTGCGAGTTCGCCGAGGGCGAAGCCGCGCCAAGCAAGATTGGAGGGGCTCGTGGGGGCATCGGACCTGAAACACAGCCTAAATACGAAGACCTGGGGGTTGCTGAAAATGGGGAATTCGGCGATCAAATGCCACCAAGCTTCTCTGGTGTTCTTCTTGTCAACCTTGTTCATTGGGTCTGGAACGAGGTACTTACCAATCTTGCTGCCTTCAACACCTGAAAGACCAGTACTTCTACAGGACATTTTGAGGGCGACGTTTCACGCGTGTGAACTCTCGGAGCGGAAGTCTAGCAAGGACTGCACCCCGTGTAATGCGAACTCTGAACTTCCGCGTCGAACCCAAAGCAGGAGCATTTGTGACGCCTACTTCGACCCAATCGCGCCCCGTTGTCTTGATGCCCTGGTCATCACGCTGGCAAGCCCAATGCTTGGGGGCAAAGGATGCATGACAGTGGACAGCCTTCCGACGTCTACAAGACACAACCACAGTCCCGATCGTTGGCCCCAGGATCGACCTCCGGCCCAGCCTTTCCACTTTCATGATCGCGTATCCTCGCTCCCCAGACTCTCTCGAATTCCCGTCCCAACACGTGCTCTCTTCCCAGTCTCGCGTTCAACTCGAAATCAAACCACTTTGGCCACGCATTGAACCCCACAGTATAGTCATACTCCGGCGGCCACAACGTGATCTCCTCTCCTCCCGCTGCCTTAGTCTTTTTCGCCCGAATCTCGCACCCCCACACGATCATCATGCCCGCAATCATCAAATTCCGCTCCGCAATATTTCGTCCAGGACAGATGCGACGTCCGAAGCCGAAACAGCTGTAATCGCGCAGGTTGGGATATTCCGTCAGAGGTTCTCGATACGTGGGGAAGGCAGGCTCAACCCAACGCTCCGGAAGAAATGACTCGGGCTCATCTGGGTACACCTCTGGATCACGATGGATGGCCCATTGGTTAGGATGAATTACTGAGTATTTCGGAATCTGGTACGTTGTGCCGTTGAAAGAGTAGACGTCGTTCCTGGCGGAAAGGAAATGAGGCAGACCGCCTGCCACGACGGGCCGCCAACGTAGCGTCTCTTTGACGCATGCTCGCAGGTAGGGAAGCTTTGGCAGATCAGCAAAGCTAGGCAGACGATCAGGCACGATGGAGTCGACCTCAGCAGCAACCTTGTCGAACTTCCCCGGATACAGCACCATGGCGAGCATGAAAGACATCAAAGCCGCAGCTGTGGTATCCGCACCAGCTTCAAAGATCGTGCCGAGTGTGTAGTGTGCATGCGGATCTGTCATTGCTGGATACTTCCCCTTAGTATCCAGCCAAAGCTTGGTCACAGTCCCTTGAGTGCTGGGGTCACCTCGTGCGGCTCTATTGGCAACATCGATGACGAGGCTCGAAAAGAGCGAGTGCTCTTCGCGATGAAGGCGATTGCCTTCGCTTTTGAACGGCGCAAGCCAAGTGGGTAATTTCATGAGGCTGGGAAATGCATCGACAAGATATGCACCCGGACTGGCGACACGCTCGAGCTGGTGATTCACCTCCTTGATGCGTTTGAGGGTAGGGTGCGAGGTCGAGTAGATGGTGGTACCGTAGGTGATGCTCATTATGATGCTCGCCGCATAGCGCTCCAGGAGAGCATCATAGCGCGACGGTTCTTCGATCAGGTCGTGGACCAGCCTGAGTGCTTCCTCTTCTTGGACTGGCTCATACGTGGCAGCTGCGGAGTTGTTGGCGACCCCGTGCGTGAACTTCCGAAAAGCGCGCCACGTATCGCCATACGGGAGCAATAACGGACGAAAGTCGTTAGAGAGCAGTTTCGTGGCCATAGGGAACTGTAGTCGATCGGAGTAGATGTTGCCACGTTCACGGCAAAGGTCGTTGGCGATCTTCTCGGAACAGACGACCACATGAGTTGTGCCGGCCAGATTGAGACGATACAAGAGGCCGTATTGCTTTCCCCATTGTAGGAACTTCAGCCAGGAGTGCTTCGCTGGTATTTGCGGTAAGTTGCCAACTATAGGATAGCCTTGTCCTTTGTCTTAGCTTTCGTTCGCATGACTGGTTGGCGAGTCTCGTCAACTTACCTCCTGGCCCTGGTAGGGGTCTGGCACCCTTCAGACTGACCTCAGTGCTCTCAGCCTGAGCGAGAAAGGCCAGCCCATATCCGATGATGCTGAGCAGGGCCACAGCTCCCAAAACAGCCGTGAAGGTATGCATGCCCCACAACAAGTGAGCCGTACTGTACGTCGAGGTTGACCGCCCAAACCGGGAGCGGTGCGATCTGGCCTTGGGAACGTTCCAGGCGTAGTACTCATATATGTATGAACCAAACCGGTAAGGCGAGCCTAGCTGCCACTGTTGCGTAGCATGACGATGAGCTCGTACGGAAAGGGACGCCTGATATCTGTATACGAGGCAAATAGCCGCACCGACATCGCTGAGGGGTGCAAGAAGTCCGATTGGCAGCCTGACAAGGCCTTATCAGGCCTAAAACGTAAATTGGAGCCATAGCTGGATCAATCTCACTCACCTGGGAACAACAAGAAGCTCTCTAGCCCACGGATATACCTCTCAGCACGCGCTTGATCGCTTCGCTGATCTCTCCACCGTACCTTTCGTCGGCCATGCTCTGCAAGATTCCCTTTCGCCTAGCCTCATCCAAGCTTTCGGGCAGTAGGCCACGCTGGAAAAGCCGGATGTAGAAGTGGCGGAGCTCAAGCATCGTTCTCGTGCTGAGCTTCGGATGAAATCCGTATTCCGTCGCTGCACTCGCAATCTCGGGCGCAACAGTCAGAACGTTTGCGTTGTCGATGGCTAGGAACTGCTTCAATCGCCATGTGGAAGGCCTAGCACTTCCACCCGGAGCCGTCAGGAACGCTCGCAAAGCTGGATAACGGCGATCGAGACTGGCTCCGTAGCTTTCTCCGCCCAGGGAGGTGCTATGATGGTCGAAGAGCTCCATCAACGATCCGGCTTCCCAGGCTGCCCAGAAGTTGGCGAAAGCATGTCGGCAACTCTGGGATGCCACGATCTTCCGATCCAAGACTCCGGTCGGAATCGATTGTGAACTTGTTCCCCAGCAAGAGCCAGACATAGTAGTTCCAGAGTGCTTGTTCGTCATGCTCGTCAGAGCAGACGACAAAGCCAAAGTCGTACCAGAGATCTGTCTGGACGTCGTCCGGACGTGGGCGCATATGACCAAGAATCAGGGTCAGAAAAAAGCAGCAGTGTTGCTTCGCGAATGGTGTGAGGGCCCATATTTCCTTGGTCTGGTCCGCTGCGTCAAGGAAAGCTCTTGCTTCGTTGTATAGCTGATCAAGATGCTTCACAGGATCGTCCAGATCCCGTGCCACTTTCCCATGCCCGTCCAGAATATGGCTATTGCGAAGCAACCACGGGAAATAAGCACCACGGTGGCCCTCGGGTTGTGTGGAAAACAGCTGCACAATGTTTCCAAGAAGACTTCCCTCTTGTCTCCAGTCATGTAACTTCTCGGCGCTGATCTCGAAGCTTATGAGTACTCCGATATAAAGCCCCAGAAGGTTGCTCTCTTCAGCTTTGTTCCTGCAGCGCTCGAATCCAAAGTCCTCGCGGGCGCCGGGATCTGTTGGTAAAATATCGTTGTGGCAGTCACTTTTGAGATAGTCTGCGCTGGTGATAGCTCGACGATTGCAATGAAATAGGTGCGAGTAGTCTCCGAGGTGCTCGCACCTAAGGCTGCAGAACCGCGCTCCGCCACAATGCGAACAACGCCGAGTCGTGATCCTATCGCAGTCAGTTTCTGTGCATGGTCCGGCACGCGGCGCCTCGACATCGTTGAGACCATCAGCTGCAGGCATGGCGGGCGCGTGCTCGACTTCGGTCGCTCTGCGATCGTCAGTCGCCGTGTGCATAAACGAGAGAAACGGAGATCTGTTTCAAACATACTTTCCTGTGTCTTGCGCGCGAGAAGAATTAGCCCTCTGGTTAACAAGGTGTTCCTGTATTATCAGTCTCGTAAGCGGTGTTGATCCGGAACCTGGCAGGGCTGTCCCGATAGATGACGGACCGAGAGTTGATTCCTTTGCCTGCTGCCGACCTTGAGCGTCTGTTGCCAGAATCTGTTTCTCGACTAAACTTTCGACATGGCGGACTGCTGCTAGAAGTCCATGGGTCTGCGACGCTGTTATGGCATGGAAGTCTGGGAGACCCCAGAGGTTGTACAACTTGCCATGACATCCTCTCGTCCTGATTGCACCGACCTGCTCCAGAAAGTGCCAACAGAGGAAGCAACTGTGCTTGCTGCAGCCTATGTACTGAGCAGCCAAGTTGTTAGTCTCCTGGGCCTGCAGGTATGATGGAAGTAGTTGCAGTTCTGCATGTACTTCTCCAGTCCATGAACCCAGCTTGTTGAACTCCTGTAGCAGTTTATTTCTAGTCCACTGAGACTTCTTGCCAGGGCCAGTCAATAGACTGGAGACGTTCTTGTCGGTAAATTCGTATCCAATATGTTCGAAAAGGCGAGGCACGGTCCATTTTGCGACAACTACCTTACCTCCCCCGGATTTGCTATTTCCCTGAGCAGGCGGCTGCACGACGAGAACCTTGACGTTTTCAAACCCCGGTAGCCGCTCGGCGGCTTTGATAAAAGTTTTGAAGGACGCCTGCAGTCTCCCCAGGAAGCCTAGACAGCTTCGTAAGCGTTGCCAACTGGTGGAAGGTAGAGCTGCAAAGTCCTCTTCCACGAAGCTTCTGTAGATTGAGTAAGCTCCCTCCACTAAAGCCTGGTTTCTGGCAAGTGTTGAGGGATAGTGCGTGTAGATAGCCACGCGCAGAACACGCAGATGTATGAGAATCTGGGTATCTGATGCTTGATATTGATCGCTTGGGCTTTCTCCAGGGAAGAGCAGTTTGAGCAGTTGTCTGAGTTCGACAACATACCCTTGGACTCGCATCTCGTAGTGTTCGAGGAGTCTATTCCATAACAAAGAAGTATGCTGATCAATCTCGGCCTCAAACGCTTTGTCCAATATTCGGATCAGCGTCAGCAGTTCCCGTCGTGCTATGGGTATCACTAACCGCGACTGCCAGCAACAAGACGCAGCAGTGCTGCAAGCTGGTCCAGGAAGGATATGTCAGCCTGTCGGAATTTGTTATTTTTCGCAACGAAGACATTAACGCTGTCTTGAGCCTGCACCATCATGGTAGCGGCAACATGTCGTCCACCCTTCTCGTTAGCGATTACTTCTGCCAATCTGTCGAGGAAGGTTCTGCGCAGACGGCCAGGATTGAAGTTTACGAGCGTTGACGTTCTGTTGGTCGCCGCATCGCTATTGGCATCATCGTCATCAAATATGGCATCTCGCTGCAACTCGTCATAACGTGATGGATGCTCGACCTGGCCGTGGTATCGCAAGCGCAGCAGCTTTGCCAGACCTTCAAACCGAGCTTGATCAAGACCATGGCCGCTCCAGTCAAAGAACGATGTCATGCTCGAGACTCATGCTCGAGACAAGGACTCCGATAGAGAAAGAAGATAGGAAGACCCCAGGCGCGGGAAGTGCGGGGCGTGGGGCCTAAATGTATGGCATTCAGGGTCCGCATGCTGCAACGTGGCTGCCCGCCGTTCGGTTAAATGCCGGTCCCCTTATAGGTGCAGCGGCGCCAAGGAGAGGTTGACAGAATGTCTTCTTCAAAGGTCGTACCAGACATCGACCATAACCATGTACCCTGATCCTTCCTAGCAAGCCTTACCCGAGCACCAACCCTGAGCACCCGGACATAGCACCTAGCAGTTGTGTTCAGGACGTTGCCTGCGATTTCTCGGCCAGAATATCGAAAAAGAAAAAGAAAGATACTGTATTATGCTTACAAAGATACACACAAAAAGCACGCGCTGTAGTCAAGTCAAGCCAAGTCAAGTCCATATCGTCGCAGCCAATTGCGGCCCAATGCTATTAAACAAGATATGCACCACGAAGAGAAACCCGTCAACACATCACGGCGGTTCGTACCGCTCAGCCCATGCTCGCCTCGGTCCAATGTACAACATATAATTTCCAAACTGCTGTTCGCATTTCGACTTAGCTGCATATAACTGCGCCCCGAACGCAGTTCACCAGGGACTGTCCAGTCGTGAGAGTGCCAATGCTGTTAGTGTTCAGGCAAGTGCCGGCCGCCGTGAGTGCCGAGCCGGGAGCGACAGACAAAGCCAAAGCAGCTGTGCACAACGGCGCCAGTGGCACAAGTGCCAGGCCACTAACGCCACTTAGAGTCGAGCACGCCGAGGGAAGCACTGACAAGCAGTTCGGCAGCGCGATAGGCGTAGTTGTCGTTGCACTTGTGGTCCTTGTGGTAGAGGTTGAGATCGTGGTAGGACCGCCTGTCGACTGAGCGCCACAGACCGCAGCATTGTTCAAGCATGCCACAATGTTCGTGCCGATAGTGGTCCCAGTGAGAGCACTCACGGCCAGACAGTTCTCTGCGCCGAGGGACGCAGATACGCTAAGGAGCGGCGATAGGGCAACGGCACAGGCTTGTACCTGAGGCAGAAGAACAACGGACCCGATACCGCTGATGGAGGAACAGAGCGCCGGGAGAGCGACAAGGCAGCTGGGCAGCGGGCTAACGCTGACTGTTGGTAGAGCTAATGATGTGGTCGGTACAAGGCCAGCCGAAGTCGTCGATCCGCTGACGCAGAGCGCAGCACTGGATAGACAGCTAACGATGTCGGTACCCTGAGTCAGTATGTTGATAGTGGCGGAGCTTAGGCAAGTCTGGACTGTGTTCAAAGCCGAGCCGGAGATAACTTCAGTGATGTCGTCCAGGCACTCTATTGTTGGGAATAACAGCGACAGGCCGTTGAAGCCCGACAGAGCCTGGCAAGATGCTGGAAGTGACGCAATGCACGTCGGTAACGGGATGAGCGACGCCGTTGTACCGGCACTCGTGTACTAGATCCCGGACACAACAAACTCGCCGCCAGACACGTGACGATTGGTGCACCGTTGGCGAGCTGACTGATGTCTGTAGTCAAGCAGGAGCCTGCACCTGTTGGAATCGCTGTCAAGGTACTTGCGAGATCTACCTGGCAAGTGGCGAGGCCAGTCAGAAGTAGTGCACCAGATCGTGATGCGAGTGCTGTACAGGAATCAGGCAAGGCACCGATACAGACAGGAAGTCCCGTGCTCGAGGCCGAGGTGGATGCGGTCGAAGTAGTTGAGATCGGACACAGAAGGGCAGTCTGGATGCAGCTGAGGATGTTGGCTCCAACTGTTGTCGAGGAGATTGGCGTTGTGAGACAAGTGTCAGTTTGAACATTTGTCGAAGCAAGTGCTCCAAGTGCAAGGGCACAAAGCCCGACCTGCTGCTCAGCCAAGACGCCATTGAATGACGACAAAGCATTACATGCAACCGGAAGCGAGACCAGGCAGGACGGGAGTAGTGAAGCCGACGTGACTGAGGCGGACGATGTTGATGTGCTCGTGGGAGTGATATTGAGAGCGATCTGTAGACAGCTGACAATGCTGTTGCCCTGCGTTGTGGTCAACACTGTGGTTGCTAAACACGTTGCGACGGAAGAGAGACCCGCAAGCTGTCCAAGATCATTCGTGCAGGCGGGCAACTGGCCGAGTATGGATGCGCCCGATAGACTGCCGATTGCTTCGCACGATGCCGGCAGAATGGATGGAATCGAGATAATTGAAGTTGTCGCGGTAGCAGAACTCGTAGTAAAGGAGACTGGCAGGTCCAGCGCGTTGACCAGGCATGCCACGTAGTCAACGCCATCCACATACGGCGTGACCAAGCAACTTGCCACCTCAGGAAGGCTGGTGAGTTGACCGAGGCTCGCCGTGCACAAGCTCAGCTGGGTGCTTAGCGCCAAACCAGTGAGTCCATCAAGTGCTTGACAGGCAGCACTGAGACTGCTTGGCAGAGCAATTGATGTTGGAACAGTGATGCTCGGTAGGCTAAGTGACGGTAGAGTGGCCGACGGTATCGTGATAGATGGTAGGGAGAGGGATGGTACCGACAACGAAAGCGATGGCAGCGAGAGCGACGGTACTGATAGCGAAAGCGACGGCACTGACAACGAAAGTGTTGGCGCTGAGAGCGAGAGCGACGGCACCGAAAGCGAAAGTGTCGGCACTGACAGCGAAAGCGACGGTACCGATAGAGAAAGTGTCGGCACTGACAGCGAAAGCGACGGCAAAGAAAGTGTTGGCTCCGACAAGCTTGGCAGTGACAGGGATAGTGACGGTAACGAGATGCTGGGTAGCGATAGAGACGGCTGCGACAGCGATAGCGACGGTAGAGAGACCGTGGGCACTGACAAAGTCGGCAATGACAGCGATGGGATCGACACAGAGAGCGACGGGACCGATGCCGAAAGCGATGGCAGCGATACTGATGGCACCGGCAATGATAGTGACGGTATCGAGACTGTTGGGACCGACAAGGTAGGCACCGATAAGCTGAGGCTAGGAATCGACAGACTCAAGCTAGGAGCTGACAGACTTAGGCTGGGGGCCGATAGACTCAGGCTGGGGATCGATAGACTGAGGCCGGTGGTCGATGGGGAAACCAAGGGTGTAGTCGATAGAGGGACTGACGGGCAATTTAGACAGAACACCGCATCAGTGATCTGCCTGGAGAAGGCAGCCTCGAAGCTTGTGGTCTTCAGGAAGCAGGTATCTGAACCGCCGGGATAGTATACCGCAGATTTGCAACTCGGGTTTGCAGAGCAAAGGTCTGCACAGATCTGTGGTGTGACTGCCTGGCCAGGAGTGGGTGTAACAAGAATTTGGTTCGGATCCGTCACGTCAGTGTTGGGGCAGAGGAGATAGACACTGGTACCCGAGGTGAGCACAGTCCCGATGTTTCCGGTGGGGCAGGTCGGAATGGGGCTCGCGGAGGCTGTCGTTGCTGTGACCGATAGGCTCAGGCTGGGGACTGATAGGCTGGGAAGCGACACACTGGGGACCGACACACTAGGGATCGACAAGCTAGGTACCGACACGCTAGGAACCGACAAGCTCAGACTGGGGACTGACAGGCTCAAGCTGGGGACTGACAGGCTCAAGCTGGGGACTGACAGGCTCAAGCTAGGTGCCAACACAGAAAGCGAAACAGATGGGACCGAAACCGAAACCGAAATCGAAGGAAGTGAAAGGGATGGAATCGAGATCGACGGAGTCGCCAGACCAGATGTCCTGAGGGAGCTCGTTGGGAACAACAAGAGAGCGTCGACCAAGCATTGAATGAGCTGGTCGCCAGTCGTGCTAGCGGTGATCTCGCCGAAGCAGTTGGACAGTTCCTGGTTGGTCAACAGGAGGTCTCCAAGGCTGACCTGACACGAAGGTACTCGGATGCTGAAATCCACGCCGACCGTGCCTGCCAGATTTTGACATTGGTAGGTAAGCTGAGGCAAAGGCGTGGAAGTGGGCGAGATAGTCGGCAAGCTCGAGAGACCCAGAGATGGCAGAGTCGGAGTCGAGAGCGTCAGGCTGGGGAGACCTATGGACGTGTCGATTGAGGGTAGACTCAGGCTTAAGCTCAAGGAGGGCAGTGTCGGGACTGCGAGGCTTGAGCTGGACAGGCCCAGTGACGTGTCGATCGCAGGCAGGCTCAGACTGAGGGAGACCGAGGGTAGTGTCGGAAGCGCGATGCTCGAAAGGCTGGGAAGGCTGATTGATGTGTCAAGCGTCGGCAAGCCCACGCTCAAGCTCAAGCTCAGGGATGGCTCAGAGATGCTCAAGCTTGGCAGCGAGAGCGACGGGAGACTCAGACTAGTGGAGACTTCAGGCAGGCTGATCGAAGTGTCGATGCTGGGCAGGTTGACGGAGAGACTCGGAAGGCTGATGGAAACGCTTGACAAGCTGCTGGGAAGCAATTGTGTTGGCAGGTCGGTCAAGCTTGGTGTGATGGACGGCAGTGAGACGGATGGTGTATTGAGACCAATGCTGATGGTACTCGTGCTGATAGTCGGCAGAGAGATGCTAGGCAGAGAGATGCTAGGCAGAGAGACGCTAGGCAGAGAGATGCTAGGCAGAGAGACGCTAGGCAGGCTCGCACTTGGCAGCGATAGACTGGGGAGGCTCGTGGCGGGCAATGAAAGGCTGATACTGCTCAAAGTCGGAGACGGCAGTGCGAGCCCAGTCGTCGAGAGCGTAGGCAACACTGTCAGCTGGTCAGTAACGCTCTACCAATACGTAATTAAGACTTACATATGCCGGGGTTCGTGAAGGTAGGATCAAAGGCTCTTGATAGAAGTACTCGCGCCTGGCAGACGGCACCAGCAATGGCACCGATCGTGATCGGAATACATCCTTCCAGGTCCACGTCAGGGAACCCAGCGTACACCTGCCCAGCACAATTGAAGAAGCTGGCGGCGCCATTGTCGGGGGAGTTCCATTGCAGGATGCCGTCGTTGATACTGAAGGTAATGTTGGTTGTCGCCTCGGCGGTGTCTCCAACGCTGCCCAATAGCGCCACGTTGGCACCCAGAATCTTGTCGAGCACAAAGTCAACGCCGGCGAGCACACCATCAATCAAATTCAGTGGCGTGGAGGCGTCACAGTTATCGGGGCCCGGCCCTCCCAAAGGCGTAGCCGATGGTACAAGGCTGTTCAAGTCGACGACGGCAGCCGCTGAAGCGCTTCCACCGGCACTGATCTGCTGGCGCTTGACGATCGCGCGCTTCGCCTGCGGTGCCGATGTCGTCATGGCAAGGAAGACGAAAGTGTTGCTTGCTAGATCTGTCACTGGTCCAGCAGGCAGACCTTGGCCAATACTGAGAGCGTCAACGATGACTGATGTGCCTGCGGAAACGGTGACGGTGCTGGCTGAAGCGGTAGCAGTGCTTGCCGACGCGGTAATGGTGCTGGCGCTCGTGGTCGATGGTGAGCTTATGCTGCTCAGGAACGATTCGCTAGACGAGGCAGAGCTGCCCACAGATGAGGCGGCTCCGCTGGAAGACAGCTCAGAGCTGCCGGCAGACGATGGAGTCGAAGCCGGGGAGCTGGCGGCAGAGGAGCTGGAAGTGACAATAAGCGTCGGCTGGTTGATATCGCCAGAAACGGTTGTTGTAGTGGTGCTCGACAATATCGGAGCCGCTCCACATCCTGACTCACCCGGGAAAGAGGCTAGCGCGCAGTCGAAGGTGGTGCTGGTGCTGGTGCTAGTGAGAATCGGTGCTACACCGCAGCCAGACTCGCCAGGAAACGAAGCTTGGGCGCAGTCAAAGGTTGTACTCGAATTCGCGAAGGGTGCGGTCACGAAGGAGGTCGTAGTCGAGCTGGGTGGTGTGGTCGTAGACTCTGTCGTGGTCGTGGTAGTTGAGGCGGCGCCAGGTCCAACATTGTTCGAAGCGGATTGTCCAGCGGTGGCGCTGGGATAGATCGTGTAGCTCAGGAAGGTGCTGGTAATGAGAGTCGTTGGTGCATTAGAAATCGTGACAGGATGGCCGTTGCGGAAGGGATCCACGATAGTATTGTATGGTAAATATTCACTGTAAAATACAGGCTGGACCTCGACCGTAGTGATCGGAACCGCAGGACATGTGTCGCGAGGATGCAATTGATGAGGGCCGCGTTGGTGAAAACGAGCGCTGACGCCGGCCAGGAGGACCGGTAGAACCGTACCGGACCTCATGCTTACCTATGGAAAACAAAAAGGACCAAAGGAGTGTTAGGCAAAAGGGTGCCCGAAAGAGTGACTGGCGGCTCTGCTTCACTCGCAACCCAACTCTCAGATGATATAGCAGAGTGAACGCGTGTTTGCCATTCTTGTTGTCTCCTGTAGACCTACCTACCTTGAAAGATGTGCATTCTCGCGTACTCTGACAGGCAGACGAAAGATGGAGTCGGCTAGAAGTATACGAGGCTGCGTTGGTCGACGGCATTTTGCAATGGAGTACAAGGTTCAGGAAGCACGCGCTGCTCGCTGTCATGTCGGAGGCAATTCGATGGCCAGCACCTGCACGCTCAGGGACCTGTGTGTGGTCGTTATACCACGGCCGAGTGCCCATCACGCACGCGCTTTCCCGCACGAGCGACGAAGCCATTCTGTCGAATGCTCCCGATACTGGGCAGCGTGAAAAGTCAGGCGCAGTCGAGCCAGAACATCGTATGGCAAGAGTACGGGCAGCTCGTCTCGACGGCAGTCTCGGGGTCGCTATTCTGCTCGGCAGGGTAAAGGGTTGCTTATGTTAGGATGCGCGGTATGCTGTCACTGCTTTGGCAGCTGTCACCCTTGTTGGCTCGGTGATACGCCGTTGGAAGAAAGTTTGTCGCCCAAATAGCGTTCAGCCCAGAACGTGGTTATGCGAGGGATGACAGCGCGAATATCCGGTGCCTTTGGCGCGCTGGCTGATGTCGAAGCCGGTGCTCTGTCGACGTAGCATCCTGTGCGTGTTAGCAGCGGCATTTCTGTTCTCGTAGTCCGGCGTGACATCGGCTCCATTGTGGACGTTGCAGCTCCGTGATGCTGCCTTCAAAATTAGACAGAAGGATCTTCAAGTCCTCGAGATCGTGGCAGAGGGCCCTGTTGAACAGAGGAGACCGCGGAAGCCTGGCCTGTCTTCACTGCAACTCTGTAGTAACGTACCGAGGCCCAAAGCGTCGCGTCGCTAAGACAGACAGGAGCTTCTTGTCACTGTTGAAAGTCGTACGTCGAAACGTGCAAGAGTTTCGAAATCTGGGAATCAACGCGTCGACCTCGCAGCCAAGACTTACCCCAACTCGAAAATCATGTGACCTAGATTGTCTCGACGTGCATTGATATCGGCAAATGAGCTGAATTACGACTTCACTCTGACACGATGATTGCTGAGGGCGTTCTGAGCTTCATGTGTGGATCTTAAGACATCGCAAGTTAGGTCACATAAGTTATACAGGTCTGGACAGGTGTGTATTCGAGACGCACAGATCGGAAGAGGGAGGTGAATGGATTGAGAGCTGTCTCAAGCATTTATATTCCGTCGAGGACTCCGCGGAAGCGACCTCGACAATCGAGCCGGCACAATGCTCACACCGTATGTCAGCTCAAGCCCACCTCTTCTCTCTTCAAGACCCTGACTTTGCCATCGCCGATGATGATATCTCCACCCAACGCCTCCTTCTCCTCGTCTTCTCGGCCAGCGCGTAGTGCACCGCTGCTTACATCGATACCCAGCACGCCGCCAACATACCCGCCTCTCTCGCCAGGCACACTGAACTCGCGGAAGCTCCAGCCGCCCTCGTTTAGCCACCCGCGTACGCCCTTGCCGACCTTGTCTTTGCCATTCTTGCTGTGATGGCCTGTCCCGGTGATAGCGTATATGACTTTCCGTGACGAGTTGGCGTGTTGTTGCAGAATCGCATCAAGGTACGAAACTGCTTCTTCTGGATGAAGGCCTGCACTTGTCAGCGCGACTAATGCGAGTGTAGAGCCAGTCTTACCATGTAGATCAACATATAGCTCTTCATCGTTCAAGCCGCCGTTCTGTAAGTGCTTGTTCCGCTCCTCGTAGAGTGCTTGGCAGCTTCTCGATGTGCCTTTCGCATCGCTTCGTTCTCAGCTTGACCGCGCAGGGAGAGCGCTTTGGCAGCCCGGGCATCGTTGCGGTTCCATGCTTGAGCAGCACTGTGCTTGTCAGTACTTGAAAATTGGGCAGCGAATGGAGGTACCTTTGGAGAAACTTATTCCGCACACTGCCATGCTTGATGGCTTCAGCACGATATTTCAGATACTGCGCATTTGCTTTGGCGCCCGTCTCGAGCCAGGGGATGTGTTGTGGCTCCGGAATGCGGCGAGCTGCCACGCTGTCGTTGCCGCCATAGGTTCGAATCTTTCGTGCGCCTGCAATCTCCATCTTCTTCGGCTGAGTCGGTGGCGTTGGAGAAGGAGACATTCTCACGACATCTGCGAGCGACGACGGCTCTTTCTCCGCAGCGCCATGTCGAGATCGCGTGCCGTGATGTTTCGTTGTGCGCCTGGCCGAACCTAATGTCGGAAAAGAGTCATCGTCCATCGATAGCGTCGATGGCGTCTCGGGCCTGTTCTGATGTCGTGAGCTCGGTCTGGATTGAGGTCGAGATGTCGACAAATAGCCTCCGCCACGACTCCGCTGTGATGCGGGCACGAATCCATTTGCGGCCGGCGATAGCGAAGAACGCGGCGGCGTTACGGCAAGGGAAGGGAAGGACTGATCGAAATCCGCGGGCTGAAACTGTTGCGGCGCAGGCGAACTCGATAGCGACAGCTGATTGATGAGCAGCGAAGGATCATGCGAGAATTGACAAGCGTCTCCTGCTAAACACTGGCCCTGCATGAAGTATTTGCAAAGGTATCCGCTTGTGTCGTGGGCAAACCTGCAGTCTGCTCTCAGACACGACCCGGAGGCGAGCCAGTATTTGCAGACAATAGGGCTCTTAGACGTGTTGGGCGTGACCGGCCTTTGCGGCATGACCATGTTCTTCCCCACCATGACATTTTGCGGAATAGCAGTGACTTGTGCTTCTTCTGTGCCCAGCAGCGCTGCGATTGTTGCTCCCAGATCGAATGAATTCTCATTCAGCGCAGCTTCGATCTCGTCATCCGTTTTCTTGTCTCCGAGGACTGATCTGAGTATATCGTATGGGCTCATGTCGGGATGCGGCATCCACTCGGCTGCGACAGCACTGAGAGCAGTGGATGAAGCATTGCTCGCCGTCTCATCTTGTAGCAGCCAGTCGACATTCTCGCTGCCGTAGTCTCCGTAGATATCGGGCGCTGGACTTGCATCGGAGAACTCGTACGCATTCAGGCTTGGGCTGTGAGGAATCGGATGGGCAAGGGCAAGTCGTGGAGAAGGCTTCGGAGAGTGAAACGGTGAAGAGATGGCTGACTTCTGCCGGGAAAAGCTGGGTCGACTTTGCATGAAGCCGTGGCTGGGAGCCGGACTGGATGCTGCTGGCGGAGGAGAGCCGACTGGAGTCGGAGCACGGTTCATCTGCCATGGCGCCGGCGAGGCCTTGCGGATGACGGTGTGCCGGAGTGGCTGATCAGTTGCTTCTCCCCCATTTCGTCGCCGCCATAGGACTGATAGTATGGTATTCTCCAGAGGAGCGCCTCGCAGGCCGGTTTCCTTGCTCAGCAATTCCTCCAAACGTTCGGTCTTCTCGTCATCGTCGATCGTGTCGTCTTCAAGGATGGGTAGGCATAGCTGGTAGTACTCGTCGGACGCCATCTCTCTGCTATGCTACCGTATACCACCGGTCATAGTACTCTATCGATCTTGCAGTCTTCTAAGGATGTTTTGAGGATAAGATGATGCGATGTGCATACGAGCACATGGAAAGTCGTTAAGTCCGATCGAGACGGACGAGGCACGAGTCAGGGGATGTGGTAGACGAGGTCAAGAAGAACGCTTGAACGCGAGCACAGAGAGGAGTAAAGCGAGCGTGTCTATTTCGTGGAGACTATAGAGGTCGTCGAAGGTCACAACGTCGTGAAGTTGTTTGGGTGTGAAGGTGTGAAGGGCGGAAGATGATGAACGATCAACATTCGAGTCGACTGGAGTGGATGACAACTGCGGGGGTGGCGGCGATGGTCCTTCCAGGTGTGGCTGCTGCCGCCCGGAAAGAGTCGCCTGGTTGCCTAGCACATAGCCCAGAGTGGAATCCGACAGATACAATACAACGCCCGCCTCCTCTTACACAGTATACAACCTCAGTCGTACCTACGAGCATATCATGGCACGCGTCTCGACGAGTCCGGCACTAGACTACGATGACGCCTCGATGCCACGAAGATGGAATGAAGGCATTCAGCGAAGCTCGGAAAGGCGTTTCGCTGTTCAGCCTCTGCGGAGCGCAGGGCCTCCACCCAAGCCCCAAGCCCGGCGGACTCGGCTTCGTCATCTTCCATGCTCGATTTGAATCATCCTCAGGCCTCAGCTATTTCTCATTCCTGCAACGCATCTTTCCAATACACGCTATACTTGCTGACTAGAAGTGCACCCTCCTCGACCATTGTTTCTGCTTCACTGCACAGTATGCGGTGATTGCAGCCCTCAACGACTACCCTTCTTCCAACCGAATCCCCCCTCCCACACCCGTTCACACGATGGCGCCGCTGATCCAGCTTCCGGACTCACCCTCGCTCGATCCGCAGCAGACGCAAGGGCTACTGAGCCCATGGCAAGCACCGCGCAATAGCTGGCCGTCAGATCGCTCTCCGCCCTTCTCACAAAGCTCCTTCGCGCAACGCCGAGATAGCGTCATCAATACCGCCGAGAAATCGTATCGCCGCTTCATGCAAGTATGGAATAGACTGTCCTTCCTGCAAAAGTGCCTTGCGGTCGTCGGCATCATCATTCTCGACACGTTCTTTATACTGTTCCTCGTCTTCAACGAAAAGATATTCAGCTTTCTCGAGCCGCTGGCCGAAAAGTGGAAGAACACAACAGGCGGCTGGATTGTGCTGTGGATCATCACCTTCATCACCGCCTTTCCGCCCATGATCGGCTACTCGACATGCGGAACCACCGCCGGCTTTGTCTACGGCGCATGGGAAGGCTGGCTCATTCTCGCGACCGCCACCGTCGCAGGTTCAACCTGTTCCTTTATCGTCTCGAGAACGGTCCTCCGCAGCTATGTCGAACGAATGATCGCCAATGACACGCGCTTCAACGCTTTCGCCCTCACACTCAAGCAAGATGGACTGAAGCTGCTGTGCATGATCAGGCTTTGTCCGCTGCCATACTCACTATCCAACGGCGCCATGTCCACCGTCCCAACCGTTCACCCAGCCATGTACGCCCTGGCTACCACCATAATTACTCCCAAACTCCTCATCCACACCTTCATCGGCAGCCGGCTTGCAGTCATCGCACGATCAGGCGGAGAAATGAGCACAGGAGCAAAGATCGTCAACTATACCAGCATCGCATTCGGCGCATGCTTAGGGATGGGCGTAGGGTACTACATCTACCAGAAGACCATGGCAAGAGCACGAGAACTCGAGCAAGAGGAGGCTGCGAATGCACAAGATCCAGTCCGCCGACCTGGACCACCACCAAAACAATTCAGCGACGATCCAGAAGCTCAGCACGCGGTGGATGTGGTGCTCGAGCAAGATACAATGGATTACTTCGACGAGACGTCCACATCCAACGAAAGAGGGGCATACACAGATGATTATACAGACGATGACGATCCATTTGGGCGTGGTGATGGCCCTGATGAGGACACTGCCGGCTCGCACCGAACCAGATAGACTTTCTAAAATAGACTGCTAAGCCGAAGGATTCAAAGCTTGCATAGACGTGCATATAGCGATAAAGAATACCGCGAGATGCGGCTCAACCTACACACCGCTTTTCTGATATCTTGCCGTTTGCAACTCCCTCGCACGAGACATCCACTTGAGGCCGTCAAGACCCACCAAGCGTCCTTTGCCGGATACATGTAGCAACTGCAATTCAGGCGTCCGCCATATCATCATCTCACTGCATGCCGGACTTCGGCCTCATCAAATACGACACCACAACCGTCATGCATCTCGCATCCCACTTGACCATTCATCGGCTACGTGGCGCCGCAGACGAGGAGTCCCCTGCCGCTCTGGCCCCAAATTCGAAAATGTCTTGCCTGTTCCGCCCTAGATACGCTTGGCTGCAGCACACCTGGCGCACGGTAGCGACCTTCCCTGCCACGACCATTACCTAACATTTAGCGACATCATCAACACATCTCAGCTCTTCTCTTCCGCCTCTCGAAGTCGAATGTGTTGGAGAATGGCTCATCAATGGCACTCGACAACGACACCGTCAAGCAATTGTTAGGAAAGCTTGAAGCGGACCGGGCGGCGTATCAGGCAACTCAGAACAAACTTTACGAGGCCTTGATCCAGGTTCTTCACCAGCAAAACGGGGCGTTGCCTCTTCAGCCTGATAGTTTCCTCCCACCTCACTTCCAGAGATCTCTCTCAGCAGAGTCAGAGGGCGATACTGGGTCATTCCGGAAGCCTCAGAGCTTGACAAGTCGGCGCACAGGCAGCATCACTCTCGATGGCGCTGGCAAGAAGATAACATCGCTCTACTCTGCCGAGGACAGCTCCGACAGCGAGGATGGCGAGTCATACTACGCCAACGAGCCATTGTCGGAGGCCCTCTTCACGGAGGAAGACCTGCGCGAGCACATCCGCCGCCATGACTGGAATCACTACGAGCAGCTGATCTTCGGACCTCTGAAGCGGAGTAGCAGATTGTACTCCCCAGTCAGCCTCTTCGCGGATGGTGAACACACATCAGATGCCGACCACACCACTGCCGACATCTACGAAGTCGGAGAGGACGGCGCGCCCCTCCAGCGCAGCCGCAGTGATGTCGTGCACGGCGACCTTGCGGCCTGGGACGTGATTCGCGCCACCAACGCCGACAAGACACGCAAGCAAGCCGTGGGCCGAATCATCGTGCTTCGCGAGCCATCTCCTCTACTCTACGGCGCCCTCCACCTCGCCATGTCCAAGCACTTCGACATGGACTCGATTTACCAGATGCTCATCTCCGACCAACAGCGCACGAAGGCCTACGTCAGCGGTGCCAACCACAGCGACCACCGACATCAACGATCACTCGTCTTCTGCTTCAAATACCACACCCTAGTCGGCGATAACCGCGAGCCGCTGGAATGGCAGAACCACGACGACGAATTGCACGAAAAGGAAGACCACATCCCAATCAGCACTTGCTCCGCCGTCGTCGCCCTTTCCCTATCCGGCCCACCCTCACGCACCTTCCGCCGCCACAGCCGCCGCACCCGCAAGCCGAGCACTCTCACGTCTACGACCCTTTCGCCCCCTGGCACGTCATCACAGTCCAGAACTTCCCCGACTGGAACTCCAGCATGGACCTGCACGAGACCAACCACCACTACGTCAACGGCCCCGACGCCTTCCTCGTGACCCTCCTGCACGAATACCGCGACGCGGCAAAACGCTTCCGCGAACTCGCCGCCAAAGTCACCCACTTCACCATGCCAGCCCGCAAAGCCATGTTCGACGACCGACTCCGCGACGAGCTCCTCTTCGAATCCGGCGACTTCGTCTTCACGCGGCGGTACTTCTGGGCTTCCCAAACACTCGGCATCCTCTCCGAAGAAGTCGACGCCATGGTCAACACCTACCGGGACACCTTCACCGACGAAGTCTGGGCCGGCGAGCACCGGACCCTGTTCCCCGGCGCAGCCTCCACATCCGCGCGCTTCGCCAACTGGCGCAAGAAAATGGTGCACACCCGCAAACAGTTCGATGCCGTCATCACAACCCTCCTGTCGATCCAGCGCACAATCAACAAAGAGCAAAAGGAGATCAAGAACCTCCGCGAATGGCTCTTCAGCGGCACCTCGGTCCAAGAATCCCGACAAGCCGTAAAACAAGCCCTCATCACAGTCGAGCAAGGCTACAACATCAAACTCCTCACTTTGGTCACAATCTTCTTCCTCCCGCTAATGTTCGTCACGGGAGTCTTCGGCATGACCAACATGCCGCCCGAAGACGACTTTGTGCCGGCCATCGCCATGGCCTGCGGCGTCTGCCTACCCACATACCTCCTAATCGCAGTAATCAACAAGCCCGAGGCGTTCCAAAAGGGCGTCGCCTGGCTGCTGTGGCCGTGGGTGCTGTGTTATGACTGGACGAAGAAGAGCGAGGAGCTTGCTGTGGGCTATGCGGCGCGTTACAGGGAGAAGTACTTGACGAGGGTGAAGATGAAGAAGGGGGAGAAGGCGGCGCAGAAGGGTGGGTGGATGGGGTTTCAGAGCGGCGGGCATGGGAGGGGTTGGGGACGGAATCGGAGCGCGACGTTTGCGAGTCTGGACGCACGACTTGAGCAGGAGCGGCAGATGAGTGGAAGCGGAAGCGTGGGCGGTGGCAGAGCCATTGGTGGTGGAAGGAGAGCGAGCAGGCCGTTCGCCTTTGCTCAGCCCAGCGACACGGCAGTCGACGTCTCCTATACTGCTACTGCTGGCAAATCTGACAGCGGACGGCCAATGACGCTCGGTGGAAGCGCCAGACCACCGCCCTTCCCGACAGGTGCCGACCCAAACTCGAGAGATATCACCAACAGCCTAATGTCAGCCACGCCACCAAAGGTGGCGCACAGCAGGCGCAACACACGCGAAAGCACGATCCGCTTCGATACGTCGACCTTCCACTCCCGAGAAAGATCGACTCCTCAGCATTCTAGCGGACCTTCCGTCAACCCCAGTCCACACGCCAGTGTAGGCCAGCTCACCGTTACCGAAACCAGCGACACCGGACCTGGACACGTTAGCGAGACCGTGAACGAAGGCCTTGCTCCGTATGACAATCGAATGGTGAGAAACGACACCGCAGTCTCCGTTCCCGAAATCACAGTCGACTCGCCCACAACACCGCCTCGAGCTCAGCGGCCGGGTTTCCTGCGGCGGTTATCCAGCAGGATCGGGACCGGTGGTGCACATGGTGATGGGAAGAGCCAGGTCTGAGGAGTGGCTACGACGTAACGAAACCTCATATGTTGCGGGAAAGCATTCAGCGAGACAGCGATGGAGTTCGGATTTTGGAAAGCCCTTGGCTAGATATGTTCCGGTAGACGATGAAGCTCATTTCCTGCAAACGTGCAGGGTCCTTTTGTGTGTCCTTGTGAAGTGTCTCATTCGAGCAATCGCGTATGTTTAGTTATCAAGATTGTCTCGATTCGGCAGGGGAATATCGACCGTGGTACTCTGATTCATGCCCGGAATCCTCATCCATTCTGCAACAGCTTCAATTGCTCCAAAACCTCCTCAGCCTCATTCAGCGCCGCCTCCGCCTCTTTCATCTGCGCTGCCACAGCGCCCTCTGTAGTCTGCCTTGCAGCGTCGATCGCGAATGCCCAGATGTGTATCTGATCAGTGACTTCGTCGTCTGCTTCACGAATTGCTCGCGTGCCCAGTTGGGTTGCCAGTCGTCCGAATCTGTTGGACTTGGAAAGAATCGGGTATTGAGGGAGCAGCTGACTTTCGTCGGCGAGGCGTCGGAGCACTTCAAGTGTCGCCGATTGTTCGCTTTGAAGGGACTGCTGGGCGTGAATGTTGGCTTGTCCGATGGAAGTGAGCGACTGGTGGTGAAAGTAGGCGTGCTCGTCGTCGTAGGCCGTGTCTTCTGGAGTGGTAGTTCGTAGATCGTTGGCTAGTGCTTCAGACCCGGAGACTGAATGCGCGTTGACTGTAGGCTGTGACTGTTGATGCGACAAAGATGCCATGGAGTTTATAAGATCTTGGCGAGCAACAATGTATGAGCTGTACTCGGATTGAACGTCTTCGGTCGTGATCTCGTCGACTTGCGGACCAGTATCGAAAATCTCGTTGGGGAGGGAAACGCACGCAGCGAGACTCTCTTCCAACCAGGTCGTCAATTCGTCCCGCACTGCGGTGAGACCACGAAGCTGCGAGACGGAATCGGTACGAGCTGGCCCTGTGTCTGGCGCTTGAGCCGCGTCGAGATGGACTTTGGAGGACTTGGCCTGGTTGTCAGCTTCAATGACAGCAATCTCCAGCTTACGTGTGCAGTCTTTCAGCTGTTTCTGAAGGACTGATGACTCTGTTTGCGCAAGGCTAAGGCTCGTATCGATATCATTCTCTGCAGTCACAGCGAGCGGGTCAAATGCTGTCGCATCTATGGACAGTGTCTCTACTTCGCCCATGTACCTTTGGAGGACAGCGAGGCTCTTAGTCAAACGCTGCTGTCTCAGCAGATTCAAGTGGTCGAACAAACTTGGCTTCGGGGTTGAGTCTGCCTCGAGCTTGACATGGCGGCCGCAAGCTTTCGCATCCGCAGCAGCTTGATCATACTTGAGTCTTGCTTGCTTGTTCGTTCGTACAGCTTCGAGATATTGCTGTTGAATGGGCAGGAGCTTTGCAGGTATCTCGGGCAGCGAGTTCACCGTTGTGCGGGAAATGATTTCCGCTGCGAGTGCGTCCAGATCAACATCGTTGACCACGTCCTGCACTCGCGAAGATTTATCAACGACCCTCTTCAAAACGCGATGTGCGGCTCCTCCAGTATCGGCGGGTGTCATTGCCACGCATCTCGATGGAGGCGTGCAATATGATGGTGAGCACTGAGGAATGTCAACATGATCTCGCGAATGTGTTGAAGTCTGGTCATTCAAAGTCAAATGACGCCAATAGCTGAGTCTTGGCGAATGTTGCTGTGACGCGGGTCTCGTCTCCGGCAAACACCAACAGCTCCAACACATCGCATGTGCCTGGTGCCGCAGTGATCTGTGCTTCCTATTTCCTCCGTACCTTTGATCCGCCGCAAATTATCTCGCCATTGCGGCTGATGACCACCTCGTCGCCGCTGAGCCTTGACGCCATTTCTGAACCTTCAAGGGCATTCACGCGACCACGAATTCTGCACGATCTCCACCATCCCTCGCCTGTGCCGGCTTTTGCGACGACGAACACCAACATTGGCCCAAGATGGCCTCTCTCGGCGATGACTTGCTCAACACGGTCAACAAGCTGCAAGATCTCGTCTTCAACACCATCGGCAACGACTCATTAGACCTACCCCAGATTGTGGTGGTGGGATCGCAGTCCTCAGGCAAATCTTCCGTCCTGGAAAACATTGTCGGTCGAGATTTCCTCCCACGAGGCAGCGGCATCGTCACTCGAAGACCGCTCATCCTACAACTGATCAACGTACCCGCCGACGAAGAAGATGCCTCGGCAGAACCGCACACTTCTGAGAGCGTGGCCGAGCACGGCGAGTGGGCAGAATTCCACCACCTGCCTGGCCGCAAATTCACAAACTTCAACCAAGTCCGCGCAGAAATCGAGAACGAGACGGCGCGAATAGCAGGCAACAACAAGGGCATCAATCGACAGCCCATTAACCTCAAGATCTACTCGTCACACGTCCTCAACCTCACCCTCGTCGATCTGCCTGGCCTGACCAAGGTGCCCATCGGCGACCAGCCCACCGACATTGAAAAGCAGACGAGGACTCTCATCTCTGAATACATTGCCAAACCTAATTCCATCATCCTCGCTGTCTCTCCTGCCAACGTCGATATCGTCAACTCGGAAGCTCTCAAGCTTGCGCGCCATGTCGATCCGATGGGAAGAAGGACAATTGGCGTCCTAACAAAACTCGATCTGATGGATCATGGCACAAACGCCCTCGACATCCTCTCCGGGCGCGTGTATCCGCTCAAGCTCGGTTTCATTGGCGTCGTCAACAGATCGCAACAAGACATCCAGACGGCCAAACCAATGTCGGAAGCTCTCAAGGCAGAGGCCGACTTCTTCAAGCACCACCCAGCCTACAGAAATATCGCCATTCGATGCGGCACGCAATACCTCGCAAAGACACTCAACACGACCCTCATGTCTCACATTCGCGATCGCCTGCCTGATATCAAAGCAAGACTGAACACACTGATGGGCCAGACCCAGCAAGAGTTGGCAAGCTACGGCAGCAAACAATTCAGCGGCAAAGAACACCGCGGATCACTCATCTTACAGCTCATGACTCGTTTCGCGACATCTTTCACCTCGTCCATCGACGGCACATCCTCCGAGATCTCAACAAAAGAACTCTGCGGCGGTGCAAGAATTTACTACATCTTCAACTCCGTCTTCGGCAACTCCCTCGAAACCATCGATCCTACCCAGAACCTCTCCACTCTCGATATTCGGACGGCCATCCGCAACTCGACCGGTCCTCGTCCATCCCTCTTCGTGCCCGAGATGGCATTTGACCTCCTCGTCAAGCCGCAGATCAAGCTACTCGAGATACCTAGTCAGCGATGTGTCGAGCTGGTCTACGAAGAACTGATCAAGATATGCCATACCTGCGGCTCACAAGAACTCTCCAGATTCCCACGCCTGCAAGGCAAGCTCATCGAAGTTGTGTCCGAGCTGCTTCGAGAACGGCTAGGTCCTTGCTCGTCATACGTCGAATCCCTCATCGCCATCCAGCGAGCCTACATCAACACAAATCATCCCAACTTCCTCGGCGCAGCAGCGGCAATGTCGTCAGTCATCACCGATCGCAACGAGAAAGAGAAGTCTACACAACGAGCAGAGGAGAAGCGGAGGCGTGAGAAGGCACGCATGAAGCAGCTGGGCGTCAACGGCGCATCGACACCAGACATAATCGAAGAGGAGGCGGAAGAGAAGACAAGTCTGACCGTGCGCGGCCACTCAAAAGCCAGCCGGAGCATGTCACCCGCGGTCGGACGAGATCACGGTCGTGAGAATGGCATCGCCGCGCCACGGGATTCATTCCTGAACTACTTCTTCGGCAAAGACGGCGCGCCCTCTTCGACGCCCTTGCCTCAGTCCTCCAATCTGCCTCGACATGTCAGCCAGAATCTCGAGCCTAGCATCACACAGAGCATGCGCCGGACAGAACGGGCTAGTTTCTCCGACATGCGCAGTCCCACACATCACCGCGAGTATAGCAATGAGGACTTTGCTAGGGACATGGATCCTGTGGGTGCTGATGCGCCATTATACGTGAGTCCCACGACCAAACCTGCCACCATACATCTTCCTAACCGTGAACAGTCTGCAGATCCAACCGAGCCCGCCCTCACCGACCGCGAACAACTCGAGACCGAGCTCATCCGTCGACTCATCTCAAGCTACTTCAACATCGTCCGCGAATCCATCGCCGACCAAGTACCCAAAGCTGTCATGCACCTGCTGGTCAATCACAGCCGGGACGAAGTACAGAACCGGCTGGTGTCAGAGCTGTACAAGGAGGATCTTTTCAATGACTTGCTCTACGAAGATGACGGAATCAAGAAGGAGAGGGAGAAGTGCGAGAAGCTGTTGTCGACGTACAAGGAGGCGGCGAAGATTGTTGGCGAAGTGCTGTAGATCGAGGGACGTTGAATGGAGCGGAGGCTGGCTTCGCTCACCGATACCACTCTGCACATATTGTAGAATCACCTCTTTTGTCGTCCAGGAAGGGTTACATATCTCTCAAGAGCCTGGCGTTGGCCTGCAAGGGGGCTCGTTGGCCAACACTGTACGAATCCATCACTGTTTCTACCACTCCTGCTTCTGAACACCTTATGATGTGGCAGGAAGGTGTCACCCTGATTCGGACTTGTTTTGCACGCATGAATGGCATCAAATCGATCGCCGACCCGTAGTCATGTGACCATTCCGTGCAGTGCAAGTTTTTCGGAATCAACCTCAAGTTCTTGACCTTACACGCACACCTACACTGCCCAGGTCATTCCTGCGTCATGGCTTACGTTGGTCGCAGCTCGAGTCTAAGTGATCACGATGTAGCAGCACCCCTTGTAATTTCAAGGCCGCTGCGGCGCATGCCTGCGGTTGTCCACCAGTCACGCCAATCCAGAAGATTCACGCATGCCAAAGTTCCCTGCCACTTCGACACCCGGCCAGAATGACTGCCCCACAGCTAGCTATGGCAGAGCGAAACAAATCCGCCTCGAACTCGAAGCAGGCCCGATGGTGTGTAGGTACTGCGTCGCTCCTTTGCCTTGCATTGATTGTCCATGGTAGCGTACCGGCCCTGGAAGCGGTCGTGCGAGGCTCAGAGTGGCCGCGACCTGGTCGACTTCATGAATATGTGTCGGCGTGACTCACTCTGTTGGACTCATTGCAAGACTGCCGTCCTATATATATCGGCGTTCCGATACAATGTCACTCGCAGCAACAAAATTCCTCTGACACAATGAACGCTCCCACAGGGTCGCAGTACCAGCACTATGTGCCACAGTTCATACTGCGCAAGTTCTCTGACTTTGTGAGACCAGGACGTGATACATACCAGAACAGGAAAGACTTCGACCGTGCCGAGAAGAAAGCGAAGAAGAAAGCGCGCGTGAATGTCTTCAGCTGCTCTCCGGACTTTTCGACCTGGCAACTCGAGCAGCATTCATGTGCGAAAGTATTCGGCATCTACGATATGTACGAAGCGGCAGGTTCAGGCTCAGCTTCCACACCCGAGCCTGACGGAAGCCAAGCAGTCGGCGAGATTGAGAAACTGCTCTCTGGTCTGGAACTGGCTGCGTCGAAGATCATCGAGAAGATTGAGCACGCATTCTCCCAAGGTACCGGCTCCTTCACCATCACCCGCCCTGACAAAGACCTCTTGCGACGGTTCATATTCATCATGACTTATCGAAGCCGGAAGTTTCATCAACGATTTTCGCATCAGCAGCCTGAATACACCTCGAACGATCGAGAACAGTTGCTGGAATACATGCGATCGAAAGGGTTCAGCTCGCCGCGAGAGGTCTGGCTGGAAGCCATCCGAGCGTTCATCGAGGTAGACCTCACTCAAGGCGTCCTGGAAGGGGTCGACTGGCTCATGGGACGAGCGTACCCACCTGACGTCCAGTGGTTAAGGAAGAATATGATAACAACGTATCTTTGCTTTTGCACGCCGGAGGACGCCGACGACGAGTTTCTGCTGCCACAGAACGCGTATGGGGTCTATGAAGGGCCAACTTACCACGAGAACTGGCTCGATTGGCACACCTTCTTCCCGATTCATCATCGTGTGATGATTGTTCTGAGAAACCGATTCCTTGGACCGTTTCCGCCGTCGTCGGTCGGAGGCAGCGAGGCTCGCGACGTTGCCGGGCGGGAGATCGCAATGACGGTACTGACGGCCCGTTTCCCAAATAAAACCAAGGCGCGTTCCTGGCTTGAACATATGCCTGTGACTCGACCCAGCCCGCACTATCGAAGTGTGCCAACGCAAGATGGAGAAGTGCCAACGATATTGGTGTCTGGAGGCGTTTCAGACGCCATCGTCACATCGCACTTGGTGTTCGCTGAACAAGAGAGCACCTACTCGTTCCAGCTTCACCGTCTACCACATCTTTTCACGCAACGGATCAACGCCATATATTTGGAAGAGGCTATCGCCACCGACACCGTCATCTATAAGAGTGCAAACGGGCTTCGTCGTGCTCTCGAATGGTATCTCGAGGAGACCCCTCACCTGAAGGATACCGTTACCACGACGCCGGAGCAGTACGAGCATTTGCTCCACGGCCTTGATGCCGAAATGGTTGAAAGGCTCCGGGAAGGGATCCGGGAAGAGCTCGAGAAACTGCCTGAATACCGCCGGAAGCCATATCTGCAGATGCTGGAAGCGATCGCCAGGGACTTGGGCAGCTCTTGTACTGCCAGGTATAACATCCTGCCTGCCACAAGCGGACCTTTCATGGAGCTGTTCGCACGGCCAACAGCATCCGCCTGATCACTTTTGCCCCTGCGTGGGAGCAGTCCACCGTCCCCATGCTCAGTACTCAGCACGTCCCCACGGCGGCAGAATTGCCTCAATCTCTTCATCAGCCCTAGTATACACAGCTTCAAACCGGTATCTGCCAGACCCGAACCACTTCTCCCGCCCGCCTTGCTCATCAAGCTGCTCTTCAACGCCGTTCGGCAGCGACACCAGCGCATGAGTATTGGGCGGCACAAGCACCATCATCACAAACGAATCACCGTCCAGCTCCCACCGACTCTCAATCCTACCATACGGCGATTCGAATCCAACTTCCACCCATGTCAATGCTCGATTGATCTCCGGCTTCACTGCGAAAGTCTTCCACCCGGGAGACAGGGCCTTGATCCCGCCCGCATATTCATGCAGCCACGAGACACAGCTCCCCAATGCATGATGGTTGAAGCTAGTCATACTCCCCTGATTGACCGTCCCGTCGGGCTTGATCGCGTCCCAGCGTTCCCAGATCGTCGTGGCGCCCATGCGGACAGGGTAGAGGAGCGATGGCACAGACTTTGAGAGAAGCATTTGGTAGGCTAGGTTGGTCATATTGGATTTGGAGAGGCTGTGAAGGAGATGCGCTGTGCCTACGAAGCCGGTTGTGATGCGGAAATCGTTGGTGCGGAGGGAGCGGGAGAGGCGGCTTACTGCTGCTTGAGGTGAGGGTGTCAGGTCGAAGGCGATGGCAAGGGCTAGGGCGGTCGGGCTGTCTGGAACGATTAGTCCACAGGGTGTGATGTACTTGTTCTGGAACGCTGATAAGAGGTCTTGCGACATTGACTGGAAGTTGCGAGCCTCCGCCGTATTGCCTAGCCGCTCCGCGACCATTGCCACTATCTTGGTGGACTGGACCAGATAGCAGTCTGCGACAAACGTGCCGTCGGTCCGGCCTCTGCCGGAGTCGTTGACTGGCGCGTTGGGATCCAACCAGTCGCCAAATTGCCATTGCTCAGGATGCCATAAACCGTCTGATCCTCGTCGGACGCCGTGTTCAAGATACTGCTTCATGCTGTCATACTGTCGACCAAGTAAAGCGACGTCGCCGGACTGCATGAACAACTGCCAGGGTACCATGACAGCCGCGTCTCCCCATACACCATTCGGCATCAGGCTCGGAGTATGCCGAGGTAGACACGGCACGAACAACGGCACAACACCTTTTTGCCAGTGCTCGTGCTCGTCCATCATCTGATCCGCACACAGATCTTCCAGCCAGTTTCTAAGCATACCGACGGTGTCGTACAGGAACGTCGCTACAGGTGCGAAGATGTTGATATCGCCCGTCCAGCCAAGCCTTTCGTCGCGAGAAGAACATTCGGATGGGATGCTGAGGAAGTTGCTTCTCATGCCCCCCACCGCGTTCTCGTGCAGTCTGTTAATTTCGTCGTTGGAACAGTAGAATGTTCCGGTCCTCTCCATGTCGCAGTGCATGACCTCTGCAACAATGCTTTCAGTTGTCAGTGGGGTCTCGGGGTCCTCCGGTGTCCAGCCATCAACCTCGACGTAGCGGAAGCCATGGAACGTGAATAGAGGGTGCCAGTTATGAAGGAGTGTGCCGTCGCAGATGATCGTGTCGGTCGCGTGTGCTTCTCGTAGAGGTCGCGTCTCGAGCTCTCCATCGGTCAGGACCTCGGCGTGGCGGAAAGTGACTTGGTGTCCGGCGGGTCTCAGCAGATGTTTGACGAGGACTCGACCGGCAATGTTCTGACCGAAATCGATGATGTGCTTGCTACGTCTGGCTTTGGTGATTGACACCGCAGGGATGTGTGCAGTGACTCTTACAGGTGGAGCTTCTGGAGAAGTCAGTGGTGCAACAAGCTCATCTGATCTTTTGGTGTCACGCCACAGAACCTCCTCGGAACCCTTGCGAATCTGCGAAACTCGTGCTTGGTCGAAAGTCTCACCGCCGTAGATCTCGCTGCTGAGGACGGATGAGGTTGTGGCTCTCCAAGATGGGTCTGAACAGACCACGATGGTCTCATCCAAGCCTTCAACGTCAATCTCCAGCCGCGCGAGAAGTCCCAGTGACTTGCCGTAGCAAAACCTTGTAAGTTCCCACGTCAAAGCCGAAGCGTACCAACCGGGACCAACGTCGAAAGTCAGAGTGTTGGGCCCTCCCAATAAAAGCAGACTTGTGACATCGTAGACTTGGTAGTGAAGTCGTTTCTTGAAGCTTTGCCAACCTGGCGACATACCCTGATCTCCAACCGTGCTGCCATTCAGCGTAGCTCGATAGACTCCGTGACTGGTGGCGTAAAGTCTCGCTCTCGTCACCGAGCCTGTGCCCTCGAGCGACTCAAAGCACTTTCTGAACGTGAGCGGCCGTGCAGATCCGTCGGAGTTGAGCTGGAAAGGTTCACTTAGGGTTATCATCACAGCCTCGCCCCAGTCAGAAGCATCCAACAAGCCTGCTTCCACGACTGCCCAGTCGGACCATTCTGATCGATCTTCTTGACATGCAGCATCAGGCGCTCTGCTCGTCTTGTATCGTCCGTAGCCCCGTATACGCACCCTCCGGCATTCTCTCGATCTCAAAGCGCTGCATTGAGCCGGCCATGGAACCAGAATAGACTCTTCGCCGTCTACACGATGTAGATAGCTTGATGCCTGCGTTTCATCTGTGCTGACGATCTCTAGCTCGTAGGCAGTCTGACTCCAGTCATAGACAGATTCATGCTGTTTGACCGGCTCATATTGCCAAGATATCCGAGGTCGTGCGCATTGTATGCCGATGCCGCTGTGGTGATGTTCGAAAGATGGGCCAGCTGGCTTTACTACCGTCATGGCGAGTAGCGACGGCGTACATGCAACATTGTCTTGACGTATACTGGCGCTGTCAGATGATCAAGCATCCCATACAAGCGACTGCAAGATCGAGGCACGAAGAAGGAACCGGCGTCGAGACATAGTCTTGGCCCACCTTTGTGTTGGGCCAAGTTTGAGCCTCTGTTGGGACCTCCGCTACGGAACACACCCTGTGCGCTGCTCGATATGCTGGGAGAGTTCGTCGAATATCATCATGGAGTGTTTGCGAGGCATTCTCAATATGGAGACTGCCACTATCGTTCGCAATCCGGAGAGAATGCGCTTGTTCGCGACAATCGACAAGTACCCTAGGTAAGTATGCAGGTGCCAGACTCGTTGGCCCACCAAGCCCCGCACGCTGGAATGGCAAGCACCACCAAGCCGCTCGTGCCGCCCCTGCCGCACCGCTAGCCTTACTAGTAGCTCTTACCGCAGCAAAAGTGCACACTTGTTGTTGATCACTGCCATTTTGTAGAGTCGCTTCGAGGCAGGGCCGTACGACAGTCTGATAATGCAGAAATGTAGGTCCCCGCCAATGGCGATAAGGGCGTTGAAGATGCATGAGCACGTGCAGAGCGACTCTGTGCCACGCTCTTGTTCTTTCATTCCTCGCCGCTACCTCCCTCCCATCGGGTTGTCGACTGCCAGGAACATCTGACTCTTGCGATGCTCGTCGAGCCCAACGGCGACTCTGCTGAGTCGCCCAAGCTTGAAAAGCATACCCAGTCCTCAACCGAGTACCATGCCCATTCCGCTGCGCTGGTGGGAAGCGATGGCGAGAACTTGGCAAGCATCACTCGGATCAGGAGGCTGTTCAACTTTTCGCAATTGTTCGCTTTCAGCTTGACCTTCATGAGTACATGGGAGAGCATGAACACGTACGGCTTTTGTATTGTGTTCTCGACCATGTTTTGACTGCCTGGCAGGAACATGTTCTTCGCGCTCTACGAGGGCGGACCTCAAGTCTTCGCATGGAGCATCGTGATCGTGTACTTCGGAGCCATCGCCCAAGCAGCCTCCATATCGGAAATGTCCTCGACGATTCCAATCGCAGGTGCGCAGTATCATTGGACGTATCATTTGGCGCCGGTGCGATTCAGGACGTTCATCACATGGGTAAGCCGCACGTTCGTTGTCGTTCGGCAACAGGTAGACCAGGAAAGCGAAAGCAGAATCGTGGGCGGTGTCTCTGTCATCTGCTCTGCGTCGATGTCCTGCTCAGCCTGCAAACTCTTCTAACGCGTCCATAGATGCAAGCATGGATGACATGGTTCGGCTGGATCTCGCTGCTCGCCGGAATCGCCAATAGTAGGTCTCCAACGCTTTGAGGGTAGCCGGGCGATTCAGCAAGCAAGGCAAGCTCGAGCGTATTGAGCTCGAATACTGACGTGCTGTCAGTCACTGCAATCATCCTGCAACAGCTTGCTATACTCAACAACCCCGACTATCTGCCAGAAAGGTGGCATGTGACGTTGATGATGATTGCTATTGTAGGAACACCGAGCATTCGTTGATGGACGCCGCTAATGTCCTGGTGCTCGATAGATTGTTGTGCAAGGCTTGATCAACTCATTCGGACGGACCTTCGCTTCCATTCCCTGGCTAGAGCTGATTGCCGGAATCATGCACGTATGCTTGTTCTTCGTGTTTCTGGTCGTCTTTGCCGTGCTGGGAGCGCGAAACAGTGGTCGTCAGATTTTCCTCGACTTCCAAGTATCTTCCGGCTGGACAAACAATTATGTTGCATGCAATCTCGGAATGTTGACGTGTTGCTGGAGGCTTTACTGGCTTCGATGGAGCTATCCACATGAGTGAGGAGACAAAGTCAGTATGCACCGAACGCCTTGCACCAAAATCAACCCAGCCTACAGCTTCGAGTCCCTCCGCTGCATATGTCCAGTGCTGACGCCAGAACAGGAAGGCCAAGCATGCTGTACCACGGGCAACGTTCTGGTCGATCGTCCTGAATGGCGTTCTCGCTTATGCAATGGTCATTGCGATTCTTTCTGCGATACCGTCTGTCAACGATGTCTTGAGCTCCGGATTTCCTGTTGCCACCATCATCCTTGACATCACCGGTTCTGTCCGGGCTACTACAGCTATGGTGGTGGGACTGTTCATCATCTCGTTCTGCGTCAACATCGCATCGATCGCATCTGTCTCGCGTTTGACTTGGGCCTGGTCCAGAGACAATGGCCTACCACCCTGGTTCGCATTGGTTGGTCCGAAACAAATGGTTCCGATCCGGGCGATTTGGCTCGCTCTGTTCGTCGTCATGTTGCTGTCGCTTCTGAACATCGCTTCGACGGCAGCTTTTGGCGCCATCACGGCACTGTCGTCCATGGGATTGTACTTCTCATACGCTACTGCCATATCGTCAATGCTTTTCGCGCGCTGGGAAGATCGTTACGGATCCGAGAGACTCTTGCTTGGCGACTGGAATCTTGGTAGCTGGGGCGTCTATATCAACATCTTCGCGCTAATTTACACCCTCTACATGATGGTGTTCCTACCATTTCCGAGCACATTGCCGGCCACTGCGCTGAACATGAATTATTGCGGGCCGATATTCGGATTTGTGTTTCTCTTCGCGCTCGCATCCTGGTTCCTGCATGCTAGACAACATTGGAAAGGGCCCGTCATCGCGATCGTGGATTACATCAAAAGCCAGGAATGAAGTATCGTCAGTCACGACGCCAGAAGCAAGACATGTATGTCGTGATTGCGCATCAGCAACACATAGCTGCCTCTGTCTTGCGGGCATTCTTGGAATGCAGGAATGAAGCCGTGGCGTCTCAGATGAAGCATGTACCAGATAATTCTAGAAAGGACGATTCGCAGTACATGAAAGTCCCTGTCGCGTGTGAGCTCACGTCAACGACGCGTGTTCTTGGCACCTTCGAATGCTGGAGAACCTTTGAGTTTGGTGCGGAGTCGGCTTGGAATAATAGTAATCCTGGAGTCATGTCACGCAATCTACATGCCTCTCGAGTTGACTGAGGTCCACGTGTATTTATAATGCATATCTGTGGTCGGCTTCGATGTTGATGTCCTCTCTCACCTTCTCAGCGCTTTCTTGACACACCGCAAGGTACAGTATGGTTTCCACCAAGTTCTACGCTGTCGTCGCCGGCATTGGTCCAGGAACAGGAAGATCCGTCGCCCTCAAATTCGCTGAATTCTACCCCGTTGTTCTGCTGTCCCGGAGCCCAAAGAGCTACGAGGATGTCGTTGCCCAGATCAAGAAGGACGGTGGGAAAGCACTAGGCCTATCGACTGACGCAACAGACGAGTCAGCTCTTGCTGCGGCTTTCGAATCCGTGCAAAAGGACTCGGACTTCAAGGACCTGCAGCTTGCTGCTGCAGTCTACAACGTTCGACCAGGCTCACGAGGGAGCCGTAAGCCTTTTCTTGAACTCAATCTGCAGGACTTGGACACTAGTCTCCATGGTAACGTGTATGCTCAGCTTGCCCAGCACCTTCGTCAACGAATGTTTGTGTGTGGTATCTGACGAGGTGTGCTGGTACAGACGCGGCCTCTTCACGTTCGCTCAGAACACAATACCGCGACTGCTAAGATCTGTCGGGAGCTCCCCTCACTCGCCAACTTTCATCCTCACCGGGGCAACTGCAGCCATGAGAGGCTCAATGAATTGGTCGGTCATTGCGGCCGGCAAATCTGGAGGTCGCATTCTGGTACAGTCGTTAGCCAGAGAGTTCGGTCCGCAAGGAGTTCACTGCGCTCACGCGATCATCGACGGCGGGATCGATGAACCAGAGGCTGCTCATGCTGCTGACAATGACGCCACTCCGGATGGCAAGCTTGGTCCCTATGCTGTAAGTTGTTCCTGCCCAATCCACCCCCGAAGTGTCTGACATTCGCTTTTCCAGATTGCGGAAGCGTATTGGCACCTGCATATCCAGCACAAATCCGCCTGGGGTCAGGAGATTGACTTGAGGCCATTCAATGAGAAGTTCTAAGGCAATGTCGAAGCAGAGAGGCAACAGCAGCTCATACGAATCGCACGTGGCGCCCAAACTCTTGGGTCAGACTTCTGACTGAGATACATTGCTGCGTAAAACACGATAGCGGAGGCCTTGGTGGCCTCTTAAGGGTCAGCATTTGGCCTACCTTGGCTTTCGACAGCTAAATCCTCCAAAGTCTTCCACTTGAAGACGCGCTCATCACCATTGACCATAACATTGTCATTGCCGAGGCCACCTTCCTTCACATCGCGGTAGTCGTCCCTGCCGTCTCCCATGATGAACCGCAAGCACTCAACTGCATCTCTGTCTTCGTACTTTCTGGCCAGCGCCCTCTCTCGGAACTCTTGCAGGTCGACACTTCTCAACTCAACATTCTCAGCCCCCGCCTTGCCCATGATGCTCGCGATGTCTCGGAAACTAGCATGTGTTCCAGCAATCCTGAGATCCTGAGGAATCTTCATGCCACGTACAACCCTAGTACTTAGATCCACAACGACTTTGGCGACATCGCTGGTGTCAGTGTAATTCATGATCTGATCAAGACTACCAACAGCTTCGTAGACGCTTTTCGCCGTGTCGAAGCCATATGCCGCCGAGATGCCACTGTGTAAGAACAGTCCGACAAAAAGCCGACAGACGATGATGCCGAAGTTGTTGTTCTCGCGTAACGTCTTCTGGACGAGATCATAGTGAGCTCTCTTGCCATCCCACTCTGGGATGTTAAAGTCATGCAGTCGGTGGTCGACACCGAACTCGCTTGGGAAGTACACCTTTAGAGCGGTTTTGGGCAGGGCTCTGGCGATGTTATCGCGAAGGGCTGCACCTGAGGTTGGCAAACTGAGCGAATATCACATGTCAATTCATTGATTGGCCTTCATTCCAGCTCTTCGCAGACACAGTGGTGCTTCATGAAGACGACTTACGCATTGACGAGCACGTCGACCCCATCCAGGGCTCCGACAAGATCTTGCTGGCTACTCGACCCATCGATGGTGCGCACCTCGACTCCTTGCTTCTCCCACTCCTGAGTCTTATCGGACTCCTTACGGACCAATGCGATTAATCCAGCAGAGCCACCGCGCAGGTCGACATCGAGGAATCCATGAATCAAACGAGTTCCAAGGTCGCCAGTCGCGCCGGCTACTGCGATGGTAGCTTTGGCATCAAGAGACTGTTGATACTGCGCCATAGCTGCGGTCATTCGGAATGATCGTCAGTCAAGGACAGGCCGCGTTACAAAGCGTTCTCGTGCTTGTTGATCTATCGATCTTCCTCCAGGCTGCCGCATTCTCATGTCACAAGGCGGCAGCTGCATGCACGATTGTGAATCCGGCGCCAGCTGTCCAGGCATTGATTTGGGCGTAAGCAATAGCAGCGCCGCCTATGGTTCGGTCTAAGCCTCTTTCGGAGATCCGATCAAACATGCCTGCAGATGCGGCGACTTGATTCTTTTCGTCCTTCACAATAATCCGCATAGGATGAATACAGGTCGATAAGTGTCGCGGAAGTTGTCCATCCGATCACTTCAACGATAGCGAAATGATCTAAGCAATAAGAAATTTTGAGAGAGCAATTATGATGCAGGATTCGGTTATCCGGTCTCCGCTGTCAGCCGGTTTGATCAGAGCCCTGGATATATTCGCATCTCCCATCACAAACATACACGCATTGGTCTCGATGATACTGACAGTTTCCTGCTTATCATCCGGTCTCACGGAAGGATGCGCGCGCTGCTTGCGGTGGTCTCTGACGCGGCATTACAGTACAGCTTCAAGGTCCGGCTCCAGGGCTGCTTCTCGGAGTTGTTCCTTCCCCGCTTTTACCCCATTTCCCCCAAGTTGGATGTCGTGATGCTTCCGCTTTCGGCTCCTGGAGCTCGACATTGTGTACATTACAGCCTTGGAAGTCGACAACACCCGTCCATCTGAGCAGGCGATATATACCTAAGCTCAAGAGATTTGTGGTTCTCGAGCTACCTAAGTAGTCAACAGAGGCCGAAGTCGACCAGAGAGCATCCCTGACACCGTGATTCGCCCGTGTCAAATACGAAGCTTCCCCAAACATGTCCCGAGGTTCGCAACCAGCAGAGCCAAAATGGCTGGCACGACCATCTGGAGCCTGCTGCTTGAAAGGTCATCTTCATAGCGGTGAGCCCAAGGGCACCATCGAGAAGCTCACCGACATCGATACATATGTCACCAAGCCGGATCCATCCAAGGACAATGGACATATTATCTTCTACTTTCCCGACGTTTACGGCTTCTTCACGAACGGCCTTCTTGTTTGCGATTCATTCGCTGAGTCGGGTTATACTGTGATTGGGATGGACTTCTTTAATGGTGATCCGGTATACATGCATCGAGATGGACCGAAGGAGCCGCACAAGGACTTCGACTTTGACGCATGGTTGAACAAGTCCCATGAGTTCACGAGAAGCCATATTGATGGATGGCTTGCTGCCGCAAAAGGAAAGTATGGCTCGCCGGACACGAAATATGCTTGTGTAGGGTGTGTACTTCCCACGCCGCACTTATCTGGCCGCGAAACTGACTGTCTCCAGGTACTGCTTCGGAGCACCATACGTGATGAAAGCCATAACCGGCTCCTCACCCACATGTGAAGTCGGAGCCTTCGCCCACCCAGCATTCCTGAAAGAGGAGCACTTCGAGAAGATCACTCGACCACTCTATCTGTCCTGTGCGGAGGACGACTTCACATTCAGCACTGAATCCAGGAACAAGGCTCTCGACATTCTCATAGCAGCAAAGAAGCCATATGGTCTGCAAGTATTCTCCGGCGTGGCGCATGGCTTCGCATTGAGGTGTGATCTTTCGAAGCCTTATGAGCGATGGTGTAAGGAGCAGAGCGTCAGGAGTATTGTTGATTATTTTGACGTACAGCTTGGGCTTTTCGAGAAGGAGAAGTAGTTCAGGAGAGTTGGCGTGATGGAGATGAGTATGCCAAGTAGCGATTTTGGCGCGGAGAAGATGTTCTGTGAAGGCCAGATAGCAGAGTCGATAGAGCGCAATGTGTGGTCCTCTCCATGCATAAAGCAGCGAGTGCAGCAGTCCGATCTTGGGACGAAGAGTCTCGCCGTTTCGCACGTGTACGACACCCTGCGAGCCAACCGCGGCTCCCTATCATTGATGGCCACCACCACCAGCACGATGCACCGGAATCGGGGATTTTCCCTTACCTGCCTTGATCGCATCAATGTCCGGTGTTCCTCCGTCCTTCAGCACCCAATCCACGCCCTTGCCATAGAATCGCTGCACCTGTGCCAAATACTCACTCCCCTCGCCACAAAAGCTCCACGCTGCCGGATACACCACGTTTTCCTCAAGCTCCTTGCGCTCGAACTCATGATAGTTGAAGCACGCACTGTGCTCCTTTGCCCACTTCTCCAGGGCGTCCCAACTTCGGCATTGTCGGAGCTGGTCGACGCCGGTCTTGACCGTACTTTCGTGTGCGGTGCGTGGCACGAACCGAGGGGTGTCGTCGGCGTTGCAGGTTAGGTCCAGGCGGATATTCTCAAGGCAGTGGAGGAGGTGCTCGGTGGTGTATGTTTGGGTGTGGTTGGTGCGGTATTCTAGGTTGGAACGATGGAGGACTTGCTGTATTCGAGGTCAGCATGATCAAGGTCGTACCCTGGCGATCCCTTACCAAGCAGTGCACGCTATGCACCGAGGAGAGCAGATACATGTCTTTGTTATGGTCCCACGGGAAACGAAGCGATGCCGGAAGGTCCATCTCGCGTGCCTGATCAGTTGGCAGCGCGACGAATGCGTAGTCGATGTTCAGCGCGAGCCATGCTTCATCGGCAGCGGTAAGGTTCTCTTGCGTGTATACTCTTTCAGCCTCCCATGTCCCAGTAGATGTGTAGTCGAGGCCGGCTGTTAGAGATACATCGTCAGGCATGGTGGCGGCCAGGTGCTGCTTGGGACTTACCGTATCGCGTTTTCTCTCGCTGGACCGCAGCTGTTGATGTTGTAGGCGTTGACGCCTCTGCCGGACTTGACGTGGACCTTCCAAGGAGCAGCAAATTGAGGAACACGGAGATGGTCAGTAGTATCGGCAGGACGAAGCGTCGTAGCGTTGTCTTCCTATCATCATCGCGTCTCCGATGGTCATCGAAGACCTCGAAGGCAGTCGCCTCAGAGTCGTGCTTTCCCAAAAGAGCTCCATCCTGCCCGTCGTGTATCATGGCGCGTGATTGCTTGCCTCTAGGAAGAAGTGTACACACAACGGGGATCACGAAATAACGCTTCACGCATCTGGGCACAGGTAAAGGGGCTCGACTGAAGGTTTGGGACTATTTGCGCCACCAACGTGGCACCCTGGGCTCGACCGCGTCGTCAAGGCGCAAAATCGCGAAAGGTCCGATGCGGCCGATGTACCTACCTTGGAAGGCCAAAGCAACGCGACTGCATCATCGTTGGGCGCAGCGTTCTCATGAGCGACCGTGGGGAAGTTGTGCGCAATTGCCTTCGAGGTCAATGAAGAGTGCAAGATAGGAAACCACGGAAGTTCATGGTCAAAATTGCTGTCTCCAAAGCCCCCACGACCTCGAAAATCTCCATGGCTTTCATGAGACCGGATGACATTTTCGACAAAACACAACCTGGACCTCACATTGCACTTCACGGCATGGAATCGGCTGTCAAGTCTTCATGTCGATGTCGTGCCACGACAGGCTTCTAAACTCGCATTCAAACACATTAATCGGTAGGCCTCATCGACAGGAGCTGTGTTTGTGAGATGTCACCAAGCTGAGCATATATTTGCTCCAGACGCGAGACAAGATATGCGTCTGTATTGTCTTGGTCCACGCCATGGGAGGCCAAACACATGCTCTCGCGACAGACCTGATGAATGTCCATAGGAGATGCAGACTCGCAGAGGAGCAATGCGACGTTTGGGAAGACCGCCATGAGTTGTAAAATATTACGTTCATAGTATGCTTGTCTACCCTCTACCCAATGCAGATCTACAGTATGCTATGCAATGTTCCCTGTTCGTACACGCGCGACCACTCTATGCCGCGCCACCGGCAGCAGCCTTGAGGGCGCCGGCATCGATCCTCTTCCAGTTTCCGAAAGCTCCGACGATGGCAGCGATGCCGAATGCGGCAATGCAGATCGCCCACACCGACTTCAGACCATCCGTGTATGCGTCCAGAATGAGCGGAAGCTGATCACCTGTGAACACTTCGCGGATCTGAGTTGCACCAGTGCCTAGCGCCAGGAGCGGGTCAACGTCGGGCAAGGTGACGGCGACTTTGCGGAGGAGTTCGTTGTTGAAGGCGCACTGTGCTGCAGAGAGGAAGAGCGCGCCACCGATTGTCATGAAGACTGAGCGTATTGTCAGCGACTGAGTTGACAACGATGAGGGAGGTATGCTTACAGTTGACAGTGGCCGAGACGATACTCATCTCTTCCATCTTCGCGTGCACCTGTGCGTTCTGGATCGCACATTGGAACGTCCAACCGGCGATGAAGCCAAAGAGAATCTGATAGCCGATCCACTTGCCTGTGCCGGTACTTCCATCCATGGTGTAGAACAGTCCAGAGGCAACAGCTGCCACGCAGCCGCCGAAGATCCAGAAGAGAGGTACAATGCCAATGGCCATGAGGGCGAAGCCTTGGACGATGACAGCGATGGTGAGCGGGATGATCATGGCAAGCATGCGAACACCCGAGCCGATCGCCGAGGCATTGTGGATGGATTGGAAGTAGATCGGGAGGTAGTAGAGGACGACGAAATAGGCACCGGCGAAGAAAAGCATGTAGACCGAGCCGGTCCAGACGTAGTGATGTCTCAGCTGCACAAACGGTCAGCGCGATGACTCATGGGTGATATAATGTCCGGAACTTACTATTCGGCCAACAATCATAGCTCGCTCTCCCTGATACCACTCCCAAGCAGTGAACACAGCCAGGATTGCAGGAACGCCGACCAGGAGGCCAATGACAACACTGCTGTCCCAGGCATGAGTCTGCCCGCCGTACTGTAATGCGAGAAGATACGACACGATCGCGCCCATCATGAGCGCGGTACCCAGGAGGTCAAGCTGCAGGATCTTCTCCTTCATGGGTGCTTCCACAGGCTTCGAGTGTTCTGGCGTCTTGAAGAAAATGAAGACGAAAGCAGCCGCGAGACCACCAATAGGCAGGTTGATGTAGAAGCACTGTCATCGTGGTCAGTCATATTGAAAAGAAAGCCGATTCCGACGACAACTCACCCAACGCCATGACACCTTATCAGTGAATGCTCCGCCCATCAACGGTCCCAACACAGCAGCGATGCCATAGGCAGACCCGATCAATCCAGTCAACTGAGGTCGAACCTTTGGCTCGGCGGCGAAAGCGATGATCGTGAAGACGCCGACTGCGAGTCCAGCGCCGCCAACACCAGCAACTGCTCGTCCGATGATCAAGGTAGTGGGATTCTTTGCGACACCGCACACCAGCGACCCAACCTCAAAGATCAAGATGGCGACAAGAAACCAGAACTTCAAGTGGAAGTACTTGAAGAATTTGCCCCATGACGACTGGAAGCCGCCGAAGGTCATGAAATAAGCAGCGCCGTACCATGAAACCTTGTTGATGTCCTGGAACTCGTCGGTGATCTTAGGAATGGCAGTGCCGAGGATTGTGTTGTCGATTGCCACCAGGAACATTACCAGAAGAAGAGAGACGACGATTGCGGCCAGGCGAGCGCCGTGCGGGTACATGTCATGAATCGCTTGCTCTTCCTGTGTTCTCGTCTTGACGACGGTTATCTCGTCCTCCTTGCCGCTTTCCATGGTGCTGGAGTGTTCCGAGGGGACGTCCCGTACCTGGGGCCTGCTGTCGGTCTTTTCAATGGGTGTTGATGACGCCATCTTTTCGAAGTGACCGAGAAGAACGTCAATGGAAGTCACGACTGAACGACGTCACACGAAACGTTCGATGAGGCAACCACAATCGAGCACAGATACGAGAAGGAAGGCACATGCTTTTACATATACCCTACCCAACAATTGACCCTCTCGGCGGGCGGTTTAGTTGTTTCCGGACACATCCCTGGAGATACGGACGTGTCAACGGGGAGATCTGGGTAGCCTTACGATTGATAAGCACCATATCGGTATAGTGGCTTCTCTGAGACGTCAAATCTAGGGGTGTGGATTCAGAACGCATAACGTTACCTTGAACAATCAACAGAAACTCTAGAAGCCTTCGGCGCTTTCGTTTGAATGCCCTTATTTCCATCCGAAGGAATGCCAAGGGTGGTCTGATAGGCGAGCTCGTGCTCGGATCGTGCCAGCTTCAGGGGTTGAAAGCACGCCTTGCAGGTTATTCAGCCAAAGAATTCGGCCGAAGACTGCTCTTTGTTTCAGAGAATCTCGGTGCAGCTGTGGCATGCAGCGGGCGAACGAATGGCGCCCATTGGGTGTAGAAATAAGCGGACTCGCAAAAGGATCTGTGTTCGGCGGAGCGCAACGCCCAATCTCGTTGCCTATCGGCGCCGTGGGCATCTCGGGTCTGAATCACTCCGCGATCCCGCAACCTCAATATGGCAGGTTTGCCAGTTTCAGACATTGTGCTGCTGTGAGGCTCAAATGATGTCAAGTCAAAGAAATGAACAATGCAAGCTCTACGCATACTTCTACGATACGACTGGCGCGAACTACTCTATTCAGTAACTCGTGTCATCAGTTCGGAGACATGCCCTATCGTAAAATCTGCCCAGGGCGGTAGGCACATGTGTACGGGGCGCGGCTAGGCATGCGAGGCGTCCCTTGCTGGGTGGGGACTCGCCTAGACCTTTCGTTGGTGCCGCCCTGCTGGGTTTGTCAGCCGCATTGTTAGAGCTATGGCTCTCTTTAGGGCATTCGGCCGACCTTCAATGCTGATCTCGCAATGATATCAAAATCAATGGTCACAATGCCAAGATGACCCGCTCGACCATGAATCTTATGCTCATGTCTTCAGCCTTTGGCTGTGTGAACCCATCGCCATCCGGAGACCGCGATTCAGCATGATGGCCACGACCGAAGGCGGTTCGGTCAAACGACGAAAGGTCCGTAAGGGCACTCACAGCTGCTGGGAATGCAAACGGAGGAAGGTGAGATGTATCTTCGCCCAGCCGGATGACGAGCGATGCATCACATGTAACCGACGGGACAAGAAATGCATCGGCCAAGACAGCTTCGACGAGTCGGACACATCACCGGCGCAGATATCGCCACAGTCTTCGGCGGCGTCACAAGTGGTGGCGGGAACTCCATTGCTCTATGGACTCAGCCTCTGCCAAAGCAAGGGCGCTGGATGGCCGCAAGAGACAACTGCGCCTATGGTGACCACGACTTCGCTCCTGACACCGGCTGCATCGCCGCTCTATCGACAAGACGGGTCTATGCCAGCAGAGCTGCAAGCTCATACACGGGCTACTCGAGCGCTTATCGCTGCGCTTCCATCACGAAATGACCTTAAGATCTTGCTTCAGATGATTTCAGGCATCAACCTACCATTCTATCAAAAGCACGAGAATGCAACTTATAGCAATCGCAAGATATCTCAGTCGGTTACCGCAGCGAATTTGTATGCTCCTCAGAACGATCCCGTACTGCTAGCACGTCAAATGCTCCTGCTAGTCGTTGCCATACAGCATTGTGCAGTCAACGACGACCCTAACCTAAGCGAACGTCCCGTATCGATTGCTCGCAGAATGGCCGAGGCCGTCATCGACAGTGTCACATCCGATGATCGATTTATCGAGTCACTGGAAGGACTCGATAATCTGGTGCTTGTGGCCTGCTTTCACACAAATGACGGAGACATCCGCCGATCTTGGATGACAATGCGACGAGCTTTGACAGCATCCCAACTGATGAACCTGGGCGATGCCTCGAAAGCATGTTGCAAATCCCTCAGCGAGCAGAACGGCCTGGATCCCGAAATAATCTGGCCCTGTATAGTCACGATGGAGAGGGTCATGTCCCTGATCATCGGGCTACCGACATGTACGTCAAACATCAATGTCACCTCTCGCGTTGGGTTCGATCAAGGCAGCCAGTTGCCCTCCCTGGCCCTGGATATGGCGAGAGAGATCTTGCAGCGGAACGAAACTCGCAACTCACCCAAGGCTGGTCCTACGACGCAGGAGATTGACCGTGATCTGATCAAGACCAGTCAGCAACTGCCACCAGATTTTTGGCGCCCTCCAGATTTCCTTGGCATGAAGCCTGATTCCGACAAAGCGCCGCCCGAGATTCAGCGCGCGTGGGACCATCTTTGCTATCAACTCATGGTAAATCAGCTGCACTTGCCGGACATGCTGCACTCGACAAATCTATCGGGCAGTCTATATGCCCGCAACGCGTGTATCCATGCGAGCCGCGAGACTCTCCATCGCCAAGTCGCCTTCCGAATATTCAACCCGATTCATCCTTGCTGCCACATGGGCGATTTCATGGCAATGATCGCAGGAATTACTCTAATGATCGCACATATCATCAGCCACTCCGTCCAAGATGGCGGAGGTGCACTATTGCATCAACGCTACGCTGACAGAGCCATCATCGAACGCGCTCTCGAGTGTAATCACTCATTGCCTAGACTGAAGCCGGACGTGGTCGTGGCTAAGACTGCTGTTGCTTTGAGACGACTCCTTGTGCTCGAGATGGCTGCAGCCCAGGAAGGCGCTAACGTCAGACACTTCACTGGAGCAGCGATGGCGCAAGACGATCATGATCTGCTGCTTATCAGCATCCCGAAAACTGGTCTGATCACGATCGCTCGAGATCAGGTGACAGTCCGGAATCACTGCTCTGCGATGCTCAATAGCCAGGATGGAACTACTCTTGGGGGCATCGGATATCTACATGTCAATGAGAGCACCGATCAGGTTCCGGAAGCACAATGCCAGCTCCCGACCACCACTGCAGAGGGCCTCAACGGACTAGTCCCTGGCACGGTACAGCACGAGCAGCCTCTCTTGGCCAACGGCTTGGGAGGCGGGAACATCGACGACCTGGTGTTCTTCGGCTTCGACACTTCGTACGTCGATGGCTTGATGCGTGGAACTACTGACACGAACATGCTTGGTATCATGGACCAGTCATGGCCTGTACAGTAATCCAGAACATTGTTGCAGATACTCCTTCTAAGCAAGAACACGGGTCCCGAGTCTACTGAGGGGATTCCAAGCGAACGGACGGCATTGAGATGTCAATTCAGAACTCCGTACCAGCTGAAAGTGAATTCTCAAGCGACACCTCGCTTCACGAGAACTCCTGCTGAGGTTGCAAGAGGAGCATTGGCACCGCAAGAAATGATCGGAGATGCAACTTCCTCGAAGTGCTGTCGTGTTGCGGCTGCCGCATCCGCTCGGCGTACCTGTGACATCACATCATTCAACCGGAAACAATTTCCGCACACTTCATAGGCTCAACATATTACTACGACGAGAAATGTTTGCGAGGCTCACCCTTAGGACAATTTCTCTTACACCAATAATAGACGAATCGACCATGACTCTCAAAGGAGACGAGATACCAACGTCGACGCCCGCGGTGTCGTCACCGCCGGTCAAGCATGTCCTGATTTCTGGTGGTGAGCATCACATCTACAATCGTGCCAAGACCGTATTCTGACAAGCCATCCATTCAGCCGCCCAAGGCATAGGCCGCTGCCTGACCCGGCACTTCCTCCAAAAGGGCCACAAAGTCTTCATCCTCGACTTCAACGAAGAAGAAATCAAGCACACCGTCGAAGTCCACCTCAAAACATACTTCGACGACAAGAAACTCAGCTATACGCTGTGCAACCTCCGTAGCATCCCCGACATCCGACGCGCCGCCACCGAAGCCGCGAAATTCTTCGGCGAGCGCATCGACGTCCTCATCAACAACGGCGGCATCAGCAGCCCCTACTGGAAAGACGGCAAAGCGATGGACGACTTCTCCACCTCCGACGAATGGACGGCATATGTCGAAACCAACCTAACCGCCCCATTCCACCTCAGCCAAGCCTGCCTCCCCTACATGAAAGCCTCCAAGAACCGCGAGCTCCGCAAACAGCAACGCGAGGGCTCGAGCCCGTGCATCATCCACGTCTCCTCGTTCCGCATGCTGCAATCCGACCCGAATCAGGAGGGCTACGCGTCCACGAAATCCGGCCTGATTGGCCTCACGCACAGTATGGCGGTCAGCCTCTCGGAGTTCGCGATCCGCGTCAACTTGATCGCTCCGGGAAGGATCAGGGTGGCGCACGAGAGTAAAGCGGGCGATGAGCAGGGGTTGAAGTGGTCGAATGAGGAGGACGATGCGCAGAAGTTTGCGGCAAATCGCGGTGGGATGCCGGAGGATATTGCGGATTGCGCGGAGTGGTTGATTGGGGCTGGGTTTGTGACGGGGCAGAGCATTACTGTTGATGGAGGCGCGACTATGCAGAAGCGGTGATTGCTTGAGTATACATAGATCGAATGACCCTATTCTCCATTCTCGTCCGGAGTCCGACATAGCCCGTTCGTGGGATGAGTGATCGTGCATAATGTGATGCGATGTAATCTGCTTTGAAGGTGAGTTGGTCTCGAGTCGAGCGAGTGACTTTTCCGAGGTAAGCCACTCAGAGATTGTCGGAAGGAGGCTCTATATACGCTGTATGATTGCCATGCAATATCAGGCAGCGTTGGCGTAGCCAAGTAGGCTCACTGAGTCAAGCGACTCACAGATTTCTGGGAGAGTCGACCAGAGACTGCTCGTAGGCAAGCTTGCCGGAAAAGATCCTTGGTTCCTGGTTTCGTATGCACGTCGAAATGATCCTGCCACAAGCCGCGAGAAGCTCCCCGGACCATGTTATGATCAGACCATGCCGCATCCCCGCCGCCTAAGCCGCCTCTTCCCGCGTCAACTTCTCCCTCGCCTCCTCCAGCATCTTGACCAAAAACTTACAATCTTCCTGCTGCGTCCCTTCGACCTCGATAGCGCGCTCGAGCCATTGTACTGCCTCCTCCGTCCGCCCCATCTCCAACAGACTTTTCCCCGCAATCAAGAAAGCCTTGGGATTCCCCATCACCCTCTGCCCCTGCGGCGTCACCGTCGGTCCCGCCTTGCACTCCACACTACACTGCGCATCCCTCCGTGCATCAACCCACTCCCCTATCTCCGCATGTGCGCCTGCGCGCGCGAGGTAGCACACCGCCAGCTCTTCCCGCTTGAGGCCCACGGGCTCCCAATCTGGTCGTCCCGCAGCCATGTCGAGCGCGAAGGTCAGCAGGCGGGCTGCTTCGGTGTTGTTGCCTTTTCGGGCGGATGCAGCGGCGGACTCGCGGAGTTTGTTGATGTTGGCGGTGCGTTTTGGGTTGAGGGGGAGGGGTGGTGGGGGGACGCTGTTGGGGGTGTCGAGGGATTTGAAGGAGGTGTGGAGGTCGTTTATGCGGGTTATGGTTGTGAGGAGGGGATCGGAGGAGGAGGTGGGGGATTGGGGGTGGATGGTTTTTGTGGAGGGGTCGAGGTAGATGGGGAGGTGCGTGTAGGTGTTGAGAGGGTCTTCTGCGGCTGCCATTATGGGCGAGGAGTGAGTGGATGTGGTGGCGGTAGCGCAGTGATCCGGTACGTAGTGGTTCGGTAGTATTACTGTCTATTGATAGAGCTCGCGTGAGATGAGAAGTAGTAAACGTCGTACTCCAAACGCCTCGAAGATGTGGAAGAAAGTGCACGATTCATGGAAGGAGGACAAATGTCGATTTCAAGATGTCAGCCTTGTTGTGGCTAGAGCAGCCTTGTACTGCGGCGGAGATAGAGCTGTATAAGTCCGTCAGATTTTGCTGTCTCCAAAAAGTTCGACTTGAGAACAATATTTCGCATGAGAGCGAGCACACCTCTACGACCAGTAGCCATCTTCAACTTGCGAATAGTACAGCGCTGCCGGCGCCTTTGCGACTCGACCAAGCGCTGTTCATTCAACGGACACCAGCCATCCGCAATCTCGCCTACCACAACCGAATCAGCAGACTACGACATTCTGTAGCACACCAACGATGGCCAAAGACAAGTCAGAACTCTCGAAAGATGAGCGGCGAGCGCTGAAAGCCGCCAAGAAGGCCGAAAAGGTGACCCTCGGCGACGCCAGCGTCAACGGCGCATCGAAGCACAAGTCGGAAAAGAAGGACAAGAAAGACAAGAAGAAGCGGGAAGCTCTGGCTGAGCTCGCGTTGAACAGCGCCAATGGCGAAGCGGAGAACAGGAACGTTGTGAGCAAGGCAAAGAAGGAGGACGCCGACAGCGACGAGGAAGGCGAGGTCGCCGTGGAAGACACGAAGCCCAAGATGATTGCGAAGCCGATTGGAGCGTTGGTGCCATTTGCGGTGCCGTTGGCAGACGAGAAAGTTGCGAAGAAGGTGTTTAAGAGTGTCAAGAAAGGTCAGACCCCATCGCCTGCTTCAAGCATGTGCATCTACTGATAGAACCCACAGCCGCCGCACAACGAACACTCAAGCGCGGCGTCAAAGAAGTCGTCAAGTCCTTGCGAAAATCACCAAATTCACTACCCTCAAACACCACATCCTCCGATCCAATCGGCATCGTCATTCTCGCTGCAGACATCTCTCCCATGGACGTCATCTCACATCTTCCGGTGCTCTGCGAAGACCACAATATTCCCTACATCTTTGTGCAAAGTCGGGCAGAGTTGGGTCTGGCGGGCGGCACAAAGCGACCGACGAGCGTAGTTATGGTCAGCCGCGACATCCAAAAGAAGAAAGACGCAAAGGGCAAAGTGGACGGCGAGGACGAGTGGCCGGAGACATATGCTGGGCTGGCAAAGACGGTGCTGAAGGAGGGCGCCGGTGTGAAGAGGTAATGGGTGAGCAGCGGGTGTACACAACAGACTAGGGCGATCGAAGCATCTGGCGTTGCTGCAATCGGGCTGACTTACCGACTGCTCCGGTAGAGGCATAGCGCAGGCAGGAACATAAGGACAGGGACTGTCTTTTCAAAATGGCACTCCCGACGACGATACGCAACGGTCAGATCAACTCTCACTACCCAGGTACGTTGCCTGGTCATGACGATTCAACTAATAGGTGCCTTCCCGGTTTTCACTTTCACGAGCCATCGTTCCTTATCACCATCTTCTGCTTTCATGATCAGTCTCGATCCTACGATTGTCGCAGGGCCATCTCTCTGATCGTTGACGTACTTGTCGTCAGCGAGTTCGGAAATTTTTAAAGCCTTTGCGAGTGAGTTGCTGGACTGCCTGGCGATAAACTCTCCACGCGTCCAACGACAATTTGCACTCCGCATGCGTCCAGGGAGTATTTTACGCCGCATTCTCCGGTACGGCATGCACATCGACGGTGCACCAGATATCCCTTGAGAGATAACATTAGGCCCAAGGTCCAGATGCGATGCCGTCGTGATTCAGCTGACGCCGCCAAAAGAACTTTGCGGCCTCGACATGTCCGGAACATACTTTGTGCCGTCATTCCTTGTCCAAAGGGTTTCACACTATTGACTTTCCCTACAACACTATGGCTGTGCAGGGTTCAAAGTCGGCATGGTCCTTCATGTCAGGGCTTCTTGCCCTGATCTGACAGCAGAAGTACCTCAACACGACTTCCGTTTCTGCCTGGTCTTCACTTTTGCCCTTTTCCCGTCTTGGAGCTTCCGCTATGGCAATTTCGTTTCACTGGTCACACGGCAAGAGCCGTACCTTGTATGTCGCAGCTCTGTTGTCGGTAATCTACCTCTTCGTCTTCGGACCCCAGGGCATTTCTTCGACATCTACCGACCGCGCGCTCCCGGTCACCCAGCCCACCCGACCTAGCCCTGGGGTTGTAATTGCTCATGCGGCCGGCAATGCGGCGGCTGGGCTTAGCAGCTCAGTGGCACAGATCAAGGATAAGTACTGGCCCGGAAGCCTCGTATCGAGCGCGCCAAAAGCACTGCCATCGTACTCGATCAAACCACTTGTCTACGTCTTCCCACAATTTCATCCCATACCTCAAAATGACGAGTTCTGGGGAGAGAACTTCACCGAGTGGACCAACGTTCGAAAGGTAACTACCAATACCTACGGAATCGATATCAAGAAGCCGGCGGAAGCGTCGGTTACTACAACCTTCTCGACTTGTCGACTCGGCAGCGATGGACCGAGACAATGAAAAAGAGCAGGTAAGTTGCGCCTGGGATCCGGACAGGAGACACGCTGACAGGCCCAGCATTCATGGCATAGTCTATCATCATTACTGGTTTGGCTATCCCGTGATGGACGGTGTGCTGAAAGCCATGTTGGACGATGGCCATCCAGAAATCCCGTTTATGCTTAGCTGGGCGAACGAGCCGTGGACGAAAAGATGGGACGGCGTGGACAAGGCTAATGGGGACGGGACGTTGATCGCTCAGCACTATAAAGATGTCGCTGGCTGGAAGGAACATTTTGACTGGATGGCTCCTTACTTCAGACATAAGAACTACATTCGTGTCAATGGTAAGGTCCAAATGGTCATCTATAACCCTTCCCACATAGGGGACCTCGGGAAGAAGATGTTCTCTGCGTGGCGCTTGTGGGCCGCTCAGGACCCGACTATCGGCGGCATGGACGTTATCGAGACTGCGCTCGGCGGCGACAACCCCGACTCCCGTGGCCCTACCGATGCAAAGAACGAATTTGGCTTGAGAAGCGGAGGTGAATATGATGCGACCGTATGGCCTCATCTTCCACGCACACACAAAATCTATCACAGAGGTGCACTGGTCGCATGGGACAACTACCCACGACACCCCGCTGGTGGTATCCGCTGGGCGGCGCTGGCTCTTGGCCATCCGAAGCTTTGGAAATGTGAGTTAGCCGACGCTGCTCGCATGATCGTCCTAATATTCTTGCAGGGAGCATGATCGAGATGTTCGCCCGTATCAAGTCAGATCCAAACCCGCTCGGAGAGGAGAATTTCCTTTTCATCAACGCCTGGAACGAATGGGGAGAGGGAAACGCTATGGAGCCGTCGATACAAGACGGCAACGGCTATATCGCAGCCCTTGACGATGCCATGGAGTACGCAAACAAGCACATCCCATGGACGCCACATGAGTTACTGGAGAGTCTGGAAATAGCGAAGGAAGTGAACAGTACGCAGAGCTCTGTCGACGTCTGCGTCATAATCCGCGAGTACAAACCGAGCTGGCCATGGCAAGAGCTCCTGAGCTTGAGGTCAACGCTCAGATCATTGCGAGCAATGAACAACAAGAGCTGGCGAGCAGTTGTTGCCCCTATGCTTGCCGAGCCGGGCGACTGGTGGCGCATGATCGACATGGCACTTACTGACGCTCATGAACCGAGAGCTGTAAGAGCCGAGATACCTGAAGGGATGCGAAAGAAGGCAGACGAGCATGCAGACGGAGCCGATGTTGTTGACTGGGTCATGAAAAATCTCAAGAGCATTAGCCCATCTTGCAGCACTGCCAAGTACCTGCTGATAAGCAATTCGACCCACCAGTACGAAAGGGACTCCTTCGATCACCTCAACAAGACTAAAGCAGATATCGTGGGCATCAACTTCGAATCCAGAGGCTCTATGTCCCGGAATGATAAGGAGAGCCCTACGTGGGATGAACGCTGCAAACGCTTTGAGGGTTATTTTCCCTGCACGGGCATGACAGCTGACTCTAAATTGGTCGATCTCGGTGCACTCTTCTTCAATATGGCTAGGTGGCAGAGTGAAGGCATATCACTGGCAAGGTACACCGAGAGCGATGGACATACTAATATCCTGAAGGAACTCGCATACAAGCCAAGCCCGTGGACCTACACAATGTCGGAGCTCAAATCTGACGGTTCTTGCCATCTCTTGCATGCCGATGCTCTGACCGCATGCGCTAGATCTGGCAGAATCTGGTCTGATTTTCCTGATGCGCCAGGATATGAGTCCGGCTGCTATAGTGGAGTTAAACTGCAACGGAAGCTGCCCTCCGGTGCTATACCAAAGACTCTGGACTGGCAGAGATTTAGGGAGGACCCCTTTTGTGTTCGCCTGTCGGAGGAGCGATACAAGGAAGCCACTGCATCAGGGTAGCAGCTTCGAAGTTTCGCATACGGCGCTAGCTTCTGCAGTATGATGCAGATCCCCAAAATTTGTTTCCCCTCACGAGCTCGAGTTGGACCGAGGCGCTCTGTCATCGCGTCGCCGATTGACGTTCCTGCCCGAATTATATCGAGCACATTGATAAAGCTCTATGTCCAGGAAAGGGTCTTTCGGACGCCCTCCCCAAAAAATCGGACTGCTACCAGATACACTGGTCATGGCCCGAAGCTCGCCTGTGAACCCTCTCTTTCTCCCACTACTGGCATTGCTGCCAATCCTCTATACACAGTTCTTTCCTCTCCTGAACCAATATGGAGGCCGCATGGGCAGCGTAAAGCCACACACTCTCCACTCGGCACATGGGCCGGTCAATAATGACAAGTGCTGGACTTTTCCTGGTAGGGTCCGAAAGCATTGACGTGGAAAAGATATGACCGAGGCTGACTTCGAGTAGAGGGCCAAGCATGCGAGGATGTGAGACTGGACCAGGAGAGTGGAACGGCTTTTTTAGGTACGCGAGTCCATGCTCCTACTCATAGTGTGTCCCAGCCTTGCATACTCATACCTTGCAGCGTGTGGCTACCCCACAACCCGCAAAGCCTTCTACCCAGCCATTCTCAACGTCGACAAAACCTCCGCCCCAACCTACCGCGAATACTTCCTCAAGCACCACCTCGACAGCAACACAACCACCCAACTCAACGTCATCGGCTGGGAAGGCGACCTAGTGCTTCACGGAATCGACCTCGTCACCAATCCCATCAACCCGCAGTCCTTGACCCTGTGGGCCGTTAACCACGACCGCCGCCACGAATCGATCCTCAAATTTGCCCATATCTTGGGGTCCAACGATCTCGTCTTCGAGAAGGAGTACGTTCATGCTCTCATCAAGACCCCCAACGCTGTCGCCGCCTCAGGGCCGGAGTCCTTTTTCATATCCAACGACCATTATACCTACCCAGCCGCACACCTCTTCAGCTGGTACTTCCGCGTCGCGGAAGCCCTGCTCGGGCCTTTCAAATGGGCATCAGGGATTGTGCACTGTGATGCGGCCTCGGGCACGCTCGAATGCAAAGACGTGAGTCCGGCGGGCCAGCATCCAGCCGCGAACGGGGTGTTGCTGGTCGATGGTGGTAGAACATTGGCCGTGAATGAGATTGTCAAGGGTACAACCACGATCTATGACGTCGACCCGACCAGCAAGATGCTGAAAGTCCGAGATGAAATCTATCTCGCGCGCCGGCCGACAACGTGTCTGAGGTCCCTGGCTCGGGCGATCTGGTTGTGTGTGTTTTCCCATCTCCACATCAACTTCGTCATGCACTGTCGCCGGGACAAATCCTCAACACCACGCTCCACACCGAAGCCGCCGTCCTGCGCATTCGAAAAGATCCAGCCACGAAACAATTCAGTAGGACTCCGGAAGTTTTGTATTGGGATGATGGGAGCTTGATCAGCGTGCTTACGGGCGCGGCGGTGGATATGCAGAGGAGGAAGATGATTGCCGGTGGGGTTGTCAGCCCGAGATTTATCGTTTGTGAGCTGGGGGCCCTTTGAGGGCAGTGTGCGCCAAGCTGGAAGCAGCAGCCGCCAAACGTCAGTATTGCTGGTGACCAACCAAGCGAGCATCGTAGCCAAAGGGCTGGTCGGGAACGCAGGCAGCAGGCCGCTGGGGGCAAGTTCGGGGAGCCGGATCTGCGCCGCGAGCAATTGTGAGACTGGCGTGTTCGGGAGTGCAACGTTCGCTGCAAGTGAGTACAGCAAGTCGAACAGGACCGGCCTGCGCGCTGTATACAGATGCATTCGGTAGCAGGGCCAATGTAGCCCTGTATGCCTTACCAAATCAATGAGGAAGAGTGGACGTGCCGTTCGAGCGTTGTCTGACGGGCCAGCCAAGCGATATGATGTGTGGGAGTGTATGTATCGAAAGCATTGTAGCTAAGCAGCTTAAACCACAAAAGCTCCCAATTTAGGCAGACTCCGCGTCCAATCGACCTCAACCCCATCCTCGGCCCATCGTCCCTCCAGATACTCCAACGCCACCAGAATGTTCTTAAACCCATTCCTCACATGATGGCGCTGCAGTGCGCGGCGGAAATAGTCCCTATGGCTGGGTGTGTCACTCTCCAGTGCAGCAATGAACGTTGGCCAGATCAGCGCGTGCTCGCACAGGGAGTTGCTGGGGAGGGAGTCCAGATGCTGCCGGACGAGCTCGACTTGCTCATGGAAGCCGCGGCCGCCGCAGCCACGCTGGGCCCGATGGACGTACATGTCGCAAGCGAGAGCATTGAGGTAATACATGATGGAGAGGGACCGGTCTGTGAGCGAGTAGATCTGATAGTAGGACTTGAAGTCTTCCCAGCCTTTGCTGCGACTGGGAGCCTGAGGGGTGGTCTGGCTGAGTACGGAGATGCCTTGTGCTTGGCTGAGCATTGGGGATGCGTAACCACGGTATCTGTGCTGTCGGTCAGCGTCGAGGGGTACGTAGGTTGTGAGATCTCGGAATACCTACTTTCGGACCTGGCGGATAATGAAGGTGCCGAGATCGTCCGTGGAGATAGCCTCTTCGCTGCCGATTACAGTGATGGCAGTCTCGATGAGGTGCAGCATTGCTCGGAAGTCCGCAGAGCCTTGAATCATGGAAATGGCCAAGAGCACAAGCAATGCGAGCAGCACGGCTTTTTGTCCGTCGGTAGTCTGTGCTTGCAGATTACGTCGTTTGCGGAGCTCGGTCAAGGCCTGTGTGTAAGTTGGATGAGTACTGGAGGCGGACGAGCAGGCGTGCGGCTGCAGATGGAGAGTCGCTGCTGCGACAACTGCGAACCGCACCACGCTGTCTTCGTGAGCCTTGGGGAGGACCGCGAAGCGCCAGCCATTGCTCGCGTCGTCTATGACTGTCATCTCCGCAGCGATCTTGTTCGAAACTGCAGCTGCGTGTCAGCGCCAGCACGCCATTGTGCAGGTGTGAAAGCATACAGTGCTGCAATAAGTGTAGCGTCGTTCCGTCCAGGGCTTCCAAAGCGTATGCCGGCGCACACACATGTGCAAAGACCCGGGTCTCATCGTTCAGCGAATCGCTACGGCCGACGTCTGTGGCACGGTGCACCTCGTCGGTGGCGTCAGATCGTTCGTGCAAGCCTGAGTCAGTCCTCAGAACATGCTCGACGAAGCGGAATCGCTTGGCGGAAGTCCCGCCGCATTCCAATCCTCGGCTCAGACACTTTGCGCACGCTGGCTGGCCTCGATCACAGTCAATGCGGCGTTGCGAGCACTGATAGCAACCTCGGAACTGGTCAGTCTTGCTGGGCGACACGAAAATACCTGGATGCAAACCTTTGACCTTGGGAATGTATGGGCGTTTCTGCTTCGCCATCAAGCGACATGGTGCAATAGCAGTCAGCGGCAAGTATAAATGCAACAGCAAGACGCAAACCAGAACAACGCGCGCGAAGGGAATGGCAAAAGGGACATCTGTCCTTGGGCAAGTACGACTGACGTCTGGCAATATTTCACCGGCGGCCTCGCTGCAGGCTGCGGACGCCTTCTTTGCCACCTTTTCCGACGTCGCATTGATGCCTCGTCACGTAGGTGGAAATGTGATGTTTTCCGACATAGTGGCTACATTTCAAAAGGTCTGCAGAGGTTGCGAAGCGTGTGCTGCCCTCACCTTGACAAGGCGACCATCTCGTCATTTGAAGTCAGGTTGTAAGAGTCCATTAATTTGATTGGTCTGCCTCGGGGCAAAACTTTGCCTGATCGGGGCCAACTTTCCATGGACTCATGGGTGGTATATAACATCTTGCGCGCTCTGAACTGCTCCTTGGGAGCCAGAGCATGATCTAGGTGCCTTCGCGCTTGTCAGTCACGATGCCACCTAGGATCCTCACACAATGTCTCGCACCACCTTGCAAACCTTACACTAGGTACGTCTAGAGCACGCCACGTCAAGTCCGCCATATATACAACGATCGGCCAGCTGATCATTGCGGCCATTAGCCATTGTGCCGTGAACCCAAGCTGTGTCTGCCGCCCGCCGATCGGGGCTGTGATGTCCTCCAGTATTGGCAGCATGCCGTAGCAGGCGATTTGCAGAACCGGACCTTGAATGATGTACAGCGCAAAAGAAATACGCCCCACGTACTGGGAAAATCTGTTCGTGTACAGAGGCAGGATATCGATGGAGTGTGTAGCAGAGGATAATAGCAGTACGGATCCCAATGTCCAGAGCGCATAAGCTTCGGAGTCGGCGTGAAACCAGAAAGGCGTCAGGTACGTGGTGAGTGTACTGTAACCCGGGCCATGGGCGTCGAAAAAGGGAACGCACATGATGTAGACGGCGAATATGAAGCATAGAAGATGGAAAAGCCGAAATGTTGGATTCTTCGGATGGGTGATCTTGAGTACTAGTGCATGAAGAGACGTTCGGGAAGCCCAATGCCATGCTGGTTCCACATCGAGAGTAAGAGCGTTCTCATCAGCTCGTAAGGTGGTGGTTCGTGAGTGAAAGTCCTGGTAGATCAGGTCCAGCTCAGCAAGCAGCGTACCGCAAAAGAAGAGCAAAGTGTGGGTGCATCGCAGGTAGCCAAGCATGACCACCATACCGAAGCTGATCATGGCCCGAACCCAGCCCTGTAGGCGAGTTGTTCCTATCTGGAAGAGGAACAGCAACATCGAGCCTCGAAACTCGGCATTGATTGTCCACAAATTCCGCTGCAGAATAGGCACATACCCGTTGACGTTGAAGAAGTTCGTCATACCCAAGATATCTTGCTGAAGGGCGTTTGTCGTCTGGTCAGCTGTTAATGCTGAGAGATCAAAGGTCTCCGGGACTGCAATAAGACCGCGACGCGAAGCTTCAGCGGTAAGCTTATAGAGACCCAGCAGTGTCACAAGTGCGACAATGATGAGTACCGCGATTGACGGCAGAAAAAGTCGCATGCCGCGCCTGAACACAGACGAGCTCAGCGTTTTGAGTACGGACAGGTCTTGGTTTCGCATTTGCTTGAGCGGCTTGACCGATAATACGTAGCCCGACAGCACGAAAAACGTGAAAACCTGTGCTGATCCTGTCCACTTCGGTGATGTTAGAACAAGCTGACCGACGCAAATGCAGAGAACAGTGGCACAGGCATAACACTCACCAAAATCCTGACGAATGGCCACTGAGGAAAGTAGACATCCGTCGGAGCTGTTTTGTAACCATACTTATACAGCCGCTCCGTGAAAACTTGCGTAGTGTGCTGGTTGAGCACGCACAGGCATGCTAACCCACGTAGACCGTCCAAAGCTGCGAGACTGCCATCGACTCTCTTTTCCGCATGACTTTCGGCCAACAGGAAACTCGGCTTAAGGAACCCCACGAAGCCTGTCGCGGCCCGCATCCATCGCTCTGCTATCGGACGAGACGTTGTGAAAGCCGGCGGCTTTTCGTCACTTATCGCGCTCAACTCAAACTCAACGAGACCTGGTTCATCATGAGCAGATTCATGTTCGTCCGAGTACTGGCTAAGAAGATGGTAGTCGTTGGGTGCCATGATCAAATGGCGATGGTCCAGTGCAGGCAATGAACTTGCAAGACGCCTGATTTGCAACAGCTGTGAGAGTCTTGTAGGACGGCAACGCTCTTTCTTGCAATCACGGGAGGTAGCATTCCTGTTCTCCTTCCCCCAATCTGAAAGTTCGGAAGACCTAGGCTCACTCATCAAGTTCCATAATGGCACCATGGTGGCAGATCTGCGCAAGGGGAGTCCCGAAAAGGGGCAAGCATTGCCCACGGCATGATAAGCTCTGCGAAGCTCATATGTGGGCCATAGGTACTTTGTCGGTCGCCTGGCTTCGTCCATAGTTTCATGGAGATGTGTTTTCGTCTGGGGTCGGATGCGGCCTGCCTGTGAAGGAGTCAGGTATGAAGAACTTAAAAGTCAGGCAGACAATTATTCTCATACGCTGTGAGAAACTTCCTTCCTCGCATACCAGAGTCCTTGAACATATGATCACCACGACACAAGGAAACAAATATCGAGCTTGCGAGCATCGACTTTAGCTATTGACAGGGCTCAAATCGTCGAATTGGCCTCTCGGACCCATGCAACGTACTAGGTACCTGTCATGCAGGCAAGGGTGTCTTCCCTACATATGTCATCTCCAGCAATCCCGCCGTTCACCTCAACCACACCCTGGGGCATGGGCACCACGTCTTTGCCACTGAGCCGTGATGTTCACCAGGTCTACTCGGCTTCAATGTTTTCCAGTCGGTCGGCTGTAGGATGTACAGTCCGGCAGGTACAGTCCGGCAGGATATAGAAGCGGAAGCGACGGAAGCCACACGCCTACCTTGATCTCAGAGTTCCAGTGGAATGCGGTTCTCAGAGACGAGTTTAAAGTTAAGTTCCGTCAATTCCAAGACTACCTGAATACGCCTCAGGGAACATTCGCCAGCATGATTGGACAGCCTCTAGCTTGCTCAGCCTTCAGATTGCCAACGTCCCCTTCTTCTGTATGGATAGGACGACAGGATATCGGATCGGGTCTGCATTCCTGTCCTGGACATAACGCAATGATCCTGGTCCACCAGACTCGAACGCAGCAGATGGACCGCAGCAGAATTATTCCAGCAGAGTCATCAGCTGCAGGACCAGCTATTTCAGGACCCCCTTGTCATATTACTGATGTCCACACTGTGCAAGACTGAGATTGCTCTCCACGATCTCAATACACGAGGTCTGGATGAAGCGCCCTACATCTAGTCATCAGGGGTTCGCTTCTTTCCAGCCATACCAATCTCAGGGCACCAGTCCATGACTACGTCAGCCTGATCTGGCAGCCATCGCAAAACTTGATGGTATCCCAATGGTCTCTCCGATGGCATCGTTTCCGATGCAAACCGCTGCGCTTCTTCGATCGTAGCAAGTCTTACACCTTTGTCGAGCCGTCGCTCCGCCATGGCGTAAAACCACTGATCTTCCCAACCGTTTCCGTTCCCGTCCAGGACTTCTTCTCTGGCGATCTCTAGGAAGAGGCGAGGATTTCGTAAAGATAAGCCTCCATTGTATCCGCGACCGAGTCCAGGTCGTATCGGAGCGCCAACGAAATCGAAATGCAAAAAGTCTTCGACTTTCTGCTCAGAGTTGGCACAGATGATGCTGTCAAGCTGGAACATGAGAGTATGTCTAGCGTGCTGCAGCTGTTCCCAAAGCCATGGCGTTGTCAAGAACTCGGAGACCTTGTGGCCATCTGAAAGATCCGTGTCAGGTGGAAGGTAATTGATCTTGATGTGGCCGAGATTCAGAGCTCGTTGGAAGGGTACTGAGACTGGAATCACCCAGTTGTGTTCTAGCGTGTATATATGGATTTTCCATCTAGGTCCAAGTACGGAGAGGAAGTGCAATGCAATGGGAGGCAGATTTGTCGGGGGATGTGTCTCGAGCAGGACCGCGATGAGTTCGTTCGAAGATTTTCCGGCTGTGGCATACCAGAATATCGCTGCGGCCACCGCTGCGGTCGTACACAGCCAAACAGCTGGATGTAACCGCATAACTGGCCTGATCCTCACTCATGATGATGTTAGTGATTCTGGATCTATATGTGCGAGATCGCGAGCACTGTGAACGCAACTCCTTGCGTCTGCGGCTTCGTGCATCTAGGTACCCAAAGTCTGTGCGAACTTTGTACCAGGTTGACATTCTTGACATATGCAAAGGGGCTCTCAAGGGTCCTTTGTCATTGCGGATTCCGGCTCGGGAATGGCATGTGGAATTGACCAATTATTTCTCCGGAATTATCTCCATGATTCGGCAGAACTTTATTTTGGTGTTCCAGCGTCCCGACCTTGAAGCCTCTTCCTGTCATCGACTTCACTCTTGAGTACATTACAATACGTTACTGGGTGCGCCAACGCCCGTGACCCAAGCCCATCACACGACTGATATGCCTTCACGAGTCGAGGTCCTTCTACAGATCTGAATCTGCGTCTACATGACAAGACGAATCATCACGCCTGCGCGTGTTGTGTACGAGCCCCCAAGTCGCATCCTCCCGGCAGATGAGCGCAGAAAAATTTCTTCTTACACCTCAACCACTCCAATCTTGCAGGCAATAATCACGAGCACAGCCTACAAAGCGCACCTCGCCATGGCACCCAGTCTCATATCCCGGTGTGTCTGGGAAGTTCGCCGAGATCCTCGTGGCTAGCATCTGCGTGCAGAAGATCGCAGGAGCCGTCAGATCTAAGCGCCGACCGTCTATACCTCCATGGACTGACCTTGAGCGCGAGCTCTCGGAGAATGTTGGTGTGGCCACCGCTCTCGCTGTAGTCAGTGAGTCTTATTGCATCTTTCTGCCATCTCGCCCTGTTAAAGAAGAGCGCACCCAGATCGACTAGCTTCGAATCGACGGCGACGCTGGTGCATGTCTGGCCAGGTCAGTCTTTCTAGATCGTGTGCATCGCTTGTTCCACGCGATATCCCCTCTAGCATTCAGCTTTCTAGATCGTGTGCATCGCTCGTCCCACGCAGTGTGCGCTCTATCATTCGGCGACGCAGGCCCCTCGAGAGTGATACCCACAATATCCGCACCGGAGAACTTCAGGCGATCAAATGCGTTGTGCTGGTATGAGCGCGTGGAGTTGGTGATCAACAGATATTTGGCCTCGCTGCAGGACGGGCTGAGATCTCCAAGGTTCCGGATGACCAAATCGACAATATCTGCCGCCTGGGTTCTCTTATGCGTGTCTTGAGAGAGGTCTTCCGTTATCTCGGCTCTGACTACTCTTTCCTCACGCGCAGTGTCGACTACCGCGCTGACATTTTGCTGCTGGTTGCTTCCATCGCTCTTGATAGGAACAACGATCGCTCGCCAATGGCTGTTCTTCATTGAAGTAAACGACTTGAGGGCCAAGCTCACGGTCCGATCTCCGTGCATGACGTCTCCAGTATCAAACTCGCGAACGATCACACAGACGTCGACAGGGCCTTGTAAAGCACCTTGCGGCCAGAGATTCGTTTTCAGGTCCGCCACTGCAGCGCCAAAGGCGATTGCTGCATAGCTTGTCGCCCGCATGAGTGAAGTCACCGCACCAGTCTGACCAGAGGAAGAAGCTCCTGTGTTTTGCTGTGTATCAACTCCCACGTTGTATCCATGGTGATTGCTGTCCCCTGGTGGTATACCAGGAGCGGAATCGTTCGACCTGGTGGGAAAGAATGCCGCAAGAAGCAGATAGACTAAGGACAAAACAGCTGCGAGATACAGCGAGCGCTCTTTCACTTGCGATCTACCACGATAGACTGGACTTGGAGTACCCATATCGAACGGTGGGCGACCTCGCGTATGTTGATGGTAGGTTGGCTCCGAAGGTCTTTTACTATTGTCGAGCCCGTTGACAGTGTCAAGGGGGATGCAGTATGCACAGTCCTCCGTTTAGCTCCCGCAGCTGTCCCGTGCGCCATAAGTGACTGCCGGGCCAGTGCATCAGAAAGGGCGCCATCTGAGTTTGGCGGGGAATGCAGCAAAAGGCCCAAAGGACGATTACTGTGTCGAAAGTTCTGCCAGAAAGAATGTGCTTCGATATTCTTAAGTTTCGCGTCATCACTTAGAAAGAAAAGACCCGTACCACGGAGGCAAAATGTGGCTGTTCGTACAGGGGGAGAGCTCGGCAACGCGTTATCTGCCTAACGAGTATACGCGAGTGGTCCTTAACGCAGGAGAGGATTGGATCTGTGCTGCATGGTGGTCTGTGTACGTCCCAGTGTCTTCGGTGTCCAGTCTCATCAGTCTCCGGTGTGATCGTACTGGACTGCGTTGACCACCGGGCCGATGATGCGGTCGAGCACGCCGTCAGTTGAGCCTACTATAGGCCTGTGACGATGTACATGTCCTGATTCCGCGATAATCTCATCAACTTCGTCGCCGAAAAGTGACCAGTGTGTCAGACCCACGCATATAGAGTTTAGCGGCGTGGTCTTTGCGCTCTGACCGTGTTTCTGCAAGGGCTTCTTAGCTCGAGAATGCAAGACCAATAGAATCTAGGTCGGTCAGACAATTGGCTTTGACATGCAATGTTCTCTGCGGTGAACTCTGATACTAGCTCAAACGACATAGAGTCTTGGGCGAGCACGACCCAGGATATGCTCATGAACCTCATCAAATCACATCCTACAGTCGCCACACCTCACCATATAGCGTATCCTGGTCGACATGACAGCAAGCATGTCGCCGCAGTACGGTGCTGCTGAATCGCTATCGGTACGATCGTATAGGCAGATTTATCGTGCAATATGTGCTGCGCTTGGATTGCTGATGGTTCGTGGCCAATGGACAAAACTGATCGAGTTAACAATTTCAGGTTGTTTGGTTTGCATTGGGGCCCATGTTCCAGAGCAGTCTTCGCACAAGAGCAGGTGACGCAGATGAGCTCGTCGATTCTCCGGAGGCGCGACCACGCATCACGTTTTCGTTACCTTCAAGCTTGTTGGACCGGCTTCCGAATTCGAATGCACACGTCGCGGCGCCCGATACACTCGTGCTTTATGCCTACCACGAGACTGACCATGCGTTCGAGAATGCGCGCTTCTTCGTCAATCATGCCCTTCACAGCTCCGCAGATTTCATACTGATCCTCAATGGAGAGTCGCCACGACTTGATGAAATCCTGCCGGCTGTACTCATACCAAATGTCGAAATCTTCCGGCGAAGCAATACATGCTTTGACCTTGGTTCTTTTGGCAATGTCATCGACGAGAAGCAGCTCCTCAGCGCTTCCTATAAGAAGTTTATACTTCTTAATTCGTCGATCCGGGGTCCATTCCTGCCTACTTGGTCTCGGGCATGCTGGACCGAGGCGTGGACTTCGAAGATCACAGACACAATGAAGGCAAGAAACTGACCCTTCAGTGTTTGCGTTGCTGACAGTCTCGAGCAGTTACAGGGTATGACTGCCAACTGTGTGCGAGGATTGCACATACAGTCAATGATTCTGGGTACCGACAAAGATGGGCTGATCGCGATGCACAATGACGGCTCTCTCGGCTGTCCCAATTCAATGCCAGATGCATGGGGCCAAGAAGTCGGCCTAACCCACAAACTCCAGGGACATAATTGGGATGTCAATGCGTGGATGGTCAGAATTATCCCAAGAGCCGTCTGAGTTGTTACTAATGAGCTGTAGACTGCGATGAACGGCGACCCTTCATATGTACCGGAAGAGAGGCACCATTGCGCAGATCTAGGTAATGCCGACCACCTGTTTGATGGCAACTACTTTGGTTTCAACGTTCACCCCTACGAGACGATGTTCGTCAAAACCAACCGTGGCATAGATCCGAAGATGGTCGACAAGTTGACTGAGTGGCACGATCGTCTCAACTACTCTTCCTTCGACTATTGTTGATGTGGGCGGTGGCTAAGGCCATGAGAACGGCACGCAATGCACTGAATTGATTGAACGGGTCCGGAAGCCAAAGAGCAGCGCCTGATGTATGCGGCAGGCTCGCCATGTCCGACGTTCGCACAAGGCAGAGCGCGGGAGTGTACTGAAGGCCCGGACGTGCGAGGTGGCCTACGCCTTGATCCTTCGTGTGATAGGGAACAGCACACCACGCCAATTTTGTGATATCCCCGATGAGAGGGACTTAACCGTAGTAGCACACCAACAGCTAGCAATTTCCGGTCCAACAAAGATTGCGACTTCGCGAAAGCGGGAACTGTCGGAGCTTATGTCGCTGGCGATTCAGTAGTAACTCGATCGGCCATAATCCTCATTCGTGCCAGGAAATGCTCCGGCAGGCTGTCGTGCTTTGCCTTCGCCATCTTCGTCGCTGCTGTCGGCTGGACTCGGTTCCTCGTTGTTGGGCACTGCGCGCATACGAGCGAGCTCGTCCTCCGCAAGTGTTTCGACCTTCCACTTCTCATCGATTGGAAAGTTCATTGCGCTTGGCATCAGAGCAAGAAGCGGCCTCCATTCTGGCACAATCTGGACGTTGATTGTGTCATTCTCTCGCGTATACTTCGCGTGCAGAAAGTCCAGTACGCGGCGCTCCTCAGACTGGCCACCGTCGGCTCCCCAAGACGCATGACCCTTGGCTATTTTGCTATCTTCTCTCTTCTCGGCATATGTGTTCTTCAGTTTCGAGAATCTGCTTTGCTTTCCAGTGGAATCGATCTCGACACCGAGTTCGTTGGCGCCCGCGTGTAGCCAAGCGATAGCCTTGCCTGTCTGCCCAGACACATCGGCCTCAATGGCCGCAAAGCGGCATCCTTTTGCGCGAGCGGTTGATCGTATGTTCGTACAATACTCGACTAACTCAACGGATCCTCGCTTGCTGTTTGACTTCATCGCAACCAAAGCTGCAGCTGCCTTTTCAGCCGCTCCGATACAAAGTCGTTGTAGAATAGCAGCTCGCGCTTTCGGCGTCTTGGGAGCCTTGATCATCCATTCCCTGTCATCCTTGTTTCTGGCCTGTAGCACCTGTGCTGGATACGGGTCGTCCTTCAATACAGAAAGCAGGTTGATCTCGGCCTGCAGCAAGTTTTGCAAAGCGCTCTGCATAGACTGCGACACGTCGACAGCACCAGCAGGAAAGGATGGTGGGCCATCGCTTGACAAATTTGACCTGTTCCTCAGGTAGGCATGCAATGAGTGAGCTCTGGTGAGGTTCTGGCTCGCATTTCTGATAATACTCAATCGCTGATCTGGAGATGGCGTCGCTGCTGCATACAGGCCGAGCAGGCTCTGGCGTGCTTGCAGACTGTAGGCGAGGGCCAATGTATGATAAACGAAGTACAATTCAAAGTCCAGACCGCGACCCTTAACACGCTCGCTTTCTCGCCCTGGAAGCGCTGAAGCCGTCAGTGTAGGACGCCATTCGACATCTATCTCCTGAACCAGAGCAAGATCAATATCTTCGCTGGCTACAGGCTTCCCGCCGAGGCCTATGTCGAGGCTGTCCAAATATCGGATATAGTCTGACAGTGCTGTCACCAGGCTCTGCAAGTTACTGGCTTTTTCCGATGGCGAGAGCCGTCTGTGTGACTTCAACGCAGACCTTACCAGAGCTCGCTGAGCCGTCGAAGCTGATGGTAGCGAGGGGTGTGTTGACGAGGTCAAATGTGACTGGTATGAGAGTTGCGAAGTCGTGGGCAGCACGAAGGGAAATGGCATGGCAAATTGACATACGACTATACCCTGTGTTGCGCCTGCCTGCAGTCATGAAGCAACAGCACGAAGGTACTACCCGTATCGGCGATGAGGTCAGATACAAGAAGAGATGAAGGTTCCAAGGTTGATTGCAGCCCTGTATACGGTGGCCAGCAACGCGCGGCGAAAGGGCTACGGTGGCCCGCCGTACCCTGGCGCCAACCACGAAAAGCTTTCAGCTCCTCTGAATATGCCAGGTGTACAAAAGTCTGCACGCAGTGGCGAGACGCTTCTCCCCGGACAAGGACAAGGTCGAGGCTCGGGGTTCGCGGCATGCTGGGCGTTCAGCACTGCTGCGAGCCTGCATTTCCAGCCACGGCATCCTGGAAAGAATTTGCCCCAGATTCGGGCCTCCAACTCTCCAGATGGCCAAAGCCAATGGCGCCAATTCGTCCCCGGCTAGCACTTGGAGACCCCAAGGCACCAGAGCGGAGAGCTAAGCAGCCTCACTCCAGCGTTATTCGTTGGGCAAGCTGGTCCGGCCAACCTCCGCCGAGATTAAATCATTAATTCAGCTTTTCAGTCTTGGCATCGCAGCAGGATCATGGCCATCGTGGGGCACCGGTCTCCTCGGCGACGACCCCGATACACAGAATTGCAGCATTTCAATCCGGCGGAAATGCTGCGCATCCGGTGGCATCATTGCTATTGGATGAAGCCACCACGTGAAATCCGCTTTTGAAGGCTTCTTCGCACGGCAGGTCGGCTTCGTGTTTCTGGCAGCCGTCAAATGCTCTCCGCACGCGAATTGATAATCACAATATAACCGCGGGAGCCCCAGGATTTCTGCGATCTCACAAGTTCTCCTCCACAGAATTCGGCTTCCCCACAGTCACCTAGACATCGACACATCCAAGATATGTCGGGACCCAACGAGAAAGCTGCCAACGGCAACGTCAAGGCCGAATATGACCAAGCCGAACGGCGTAACTCTGCCAAACGTGCCTCAATCGATTTTGAGGCGCAAAAGCAGCTTCGAACTGTCGAAGCCGGTCTGTCCCCCGAGCAAGTTGACGCCATCATCAATGTCGACCCCAAAGAGGAAGCACGGATTCTCCGCAAGATCGATTTCCGTCTCGTGCCGATGCTGGCTCTGTTGTACCTTCTCGCCTTCATAGATCGTTCCAACATTGGAAACGCTCGCATTGCTGGCATGTACGATGATTTGTCGCTTCAGGGTCTGAAGTACAACGCCGCCGTCACCATCTTCTTCGTGCCATACACGCTGCTGGAAGTACCGTCGAACATCGTCCTCAAGATGCTCCGTCCTTCAATATGGCTGTCCATTCTCTGCTTCGCTTGGGGCCTGGTCATGACGCTGATGGGACTCGTTGATTCCTACGGCGGTCTCCTTGCTGCGAGATTCATGCTCGGTGTCGCTGAAGCGGGATTCTTCCCCGCGGCCACGTATCTCCTCACGATCTGGTACCGTAGATATGAGGTGCAGCGGCGCATGGCTGTGTTCTACGCCGCCGCATCTTTATCTGGTGCATTCTCTGGCCTCCTGGCTTTCGGCATCGAAAAGATGGACGGAATTGGAGGACGCAGAGGGTGGCAGTGGATTTTCTTGCTCGAAGGACTGGCACCTGTTGCCGTGAGCTTTGGTCTATACTGGCTGCTACCCGACAACCCAGAGACAGCGAGCTTCCTGACCAAGGAAGAGAAGGAGTTCATCATCAACCGCTTGGCACTAGACACTGGTTCAAAAGCGCCAAAGGGTGGCCGGGTCACGAACAACGATAAAATCGGTATGCACCACATTAAGGCTGCCTTTGCCGATTGGCGCATCTGGGTCGCCATCATCATGTTCTGGGCCAACACAATCGGCGTCTACGGTTTCACCGCAACCGTTCCTGCAGTCATCAACGGCCTGGGCTATACTTCTGCGCAAGCTCAACTGCTCACTATTCCGGTCTACGTCTTCGCCATGATCCTCACCCTATCTTCGCATGGGCTTCCGACAGAATGCAACAGCGCTCTCCGTTCATCATGCTCGGATACTCCATTGCTTGTGTGGCTTTATTGCCGAGCTTGCTATCCCGCACCCAAAATTGCCAGGTCTGACATACGCATTCCTGTTCGTCGTGGCAGCAGGACTGTACGCACCATTCATCTGCATTGTCTGCATCATTGGCAACAACCTCGCACCGAGCAGCAAGCGGGCTGTTGGCATGGCGCTCCTCATCTCTGTCGGCAACATGGGCGGTATCGCCGGAAGCAACATCTACATCGCCCGCGAGGCCCCGAACTACACCACTGGCTTCTCCACTTCTCTCGCAATCTGCGTGTGCGGCATCATTGCCGCGTTCGTGCTGCGCACGGTTTACGGCCGCGAGAACAAGCGTAGAGATGCATTCATGGAAGGCAAGACCGAGGAAGAGATCACATCGATGTATACCGAGCAGGAGCTCTTGGACTTGGGTGATCGGAATCCATTCTACAGATATACCTATAGACGAAATCAGTCCAAGGGATGTCGTGCGACCCCAGAGGTGGCCGTGCGGGTTTCTATCCGCAGGATGTCGTGCAACTATAGCGCTGGCCGTGCAGCTTGGCAAGACGGCACGCTCTTGGAAGAGTGACGGGGTGTCTGAGTCGATCACGATGCAAAGAGGGCAGAGACGAAAGGCGATCAAAAGCTAGCTCTCGCGCCAGCAGACTGTAGCATCTCTCTCAGTTGATCATCACTGATTTCGTCCTAACTTTGTCTCAATTAAGTAAGCCTCTTCTCGAAGACGCACACATGCCTGCTGCAGTCAATGTGAACCAGGCTTTTGATATCGTCGAACACAATCTGACGCGGGACCGCAACATCGTAGCTACCGTAGGCAGGATAATTCAAGTCTTCTATCATCCTGCTGATCATCCCAACCATCGTCTCGCCCATCGTCGCCGGCTCACCGTGGGTACCGCCTGCATAGGCAGGCATGAAACTCGTTTCCAGGTCCTCACAGAAATACAGCCCGCCAGGCTTGACCGCCTTCCACAGGTGCTGCAAGCTGGTCTTCTGCTGGTCCATGGTGTGACCGCCGTCGTCGATAATGATGTCAAAATCACCTCCATGCTTCGCAATGAAAGCTTCCAGGACCGCCGGGTCGCCTTGATCGCCTGTTGTTACGGTAGCGCCGGTCGTCTTGTGCGCCCATTCTTTGGCACATGCTGCGTCGAACTCCATGTAGTACAGGTCGACGTTCGGAAAATACTCCAGCCAGGTGTAGTATGATGCCCCTGGCCCGTAGCCCTGTGAAGGTGGATACAGTCAGTCAAGTCAAGCAAGATACGGTCGAACGCTAGAAGTTGTTTGCTAACCATGTCGCAGCCAAGTCCGATTTCTAACATCTTTAGCCTTTTACCGCGGATGGCGGGAAAGTACTTTTGGTACATCTCCTGATAGCTGTGCATCGAGACTTTATCGGTCCCATGGGCTTTCGCAATCTCGTAGAACGTTTTCGACGACTTGAAGGGCGACAACACCGTATCCTTCGTGTATGAAATCGCTGAGCTTAGGTGCTCGAGGTGCTGGCCTTGGTCCGTACCCGTCTGCTTTATTGCTGCCAAGACGAATACGAAGGCTGCAACGGCGGCGATGCCGAGAATGACTTTGTTCTTGGGGGTGGTAAAAGCCGCCATCATTGTTGGAAGATGAGCTTCGCCGAGTGCATGAACTGTAGCATGGCTTCCGACGAGGTATATTTGCTTCTTGGAAAAGTTGTGTACGGGCGCCCCTTGCTCCGTCGCGGTGGTCATAGCTTCGGAACATCGACGGGAGGGGAATGAGGATCTTTGAGACTCGTCGATCATAGCATGAGCGCCGTAGTGGCATAAGAGACGCCACTGCTCGTACCTTGCGCCTCATTCGACCAAAAGGATGAATCGATGAAGGCTCATCCACCTGTACATCTCAGTTCTGCCAGGCAGGACAAAGCACGAGTCCTTTCTCTACCCGATTGCGAGTAGTGCAACATGGCATTCTATGAATTGAATGTATTCGTGCTGATCGTGGTCAATGTCGTCCTCTTCCTTCGCCAGCATGAGAGGAGCAAGCCCCAGGCTCCGAAACCATCCATCGATGAAGAGATCTCGAAGGTTCTGAACATGGAGGACTCCGAGACCGAACCGCAGCTGCCGTCAGGTGCAGCGAAGATCTTCGTGAAACAATACTTGATCGGTCACCTGCTTGCGTTCGCTGGCGACTGGCTACAGGTATGCTGAGCTATCTGTCGTATGATGATGTGCTAATGGTGTGGCGTTTCAGGGGCCTCATCTGTATGCAGTCTACAAATACGACAAGCGGCTTCCAGAGACGAGAGTTGCATTGCTGTATGCCACAGGGTTCATAGCCGCTGCTGTGAGCGCCACTGCCGCTGGTCAACTCGCAGACAGATTCGGCCGGAGAAGAGCATGTCTGGTGTACTGTGCAGCATACTCGGCGTGCTGCTTGTCGCTATTATCAGACAACATCTATATCCTCTTGGCTGGCAAATGGTGTGGAGGCGTCAGCACCACGCTGTTATACAGCGTGTTCGATGTCTGGATGATCACAGAATACAACAAGCGAGGCTTGCAGAGCAGCGGCGTCTCACTAGGCACGGTGTACGGATGGCTGACATCATTGAACTCAGTCGTAGCAATAACGACTGGTGTCGTTGGTGAAATGCTGGTGGGGTGGACCGGCGCCAAAGTCTCTCCTTTCATGCTGGCCACGGTCGTTTTCATGTTGGCGGCGATATGGATTTCTTCAACATGGGTAGGTTATTTCACCAGACGCCCGGCCCAACGCTATGAGAAGCAAGAGCAGCTGACAGTGACAGCCGGAGAATTTCGGCAGTGGAGCGTCCGATGGACAAGATGACAGCTTTTTGACAGTCACTGTGATTGCAGCCCGGAAAATGTGGACAGGTATGCCGTTGCGCTGCACATATGACAGCTTGAGACTGATAGCGCGCAGATGAACGGGTATTCGCCCTTGTTACCGCATCGTCAATTTTCGAGTCGATGATGTATCTCTTCGTCTTCTTCTGGTCAGCAGCGATAGTTAGTGCCCGCCAAAGTGCTGGCGTCAAAGATGCACCTCCTTTCGGTCTAATATTCGCTAGCTTCATGTGCGCTATGATGGCCGGCTCGATGATTTTCAACAGCAGCACTTCCCGTGGCGTTGCGGACACTTCCAGCCTGCTCGAGGTTACCCTTGCCATTGCCAGCACAGCCTTGCTGTCGGCGATTATTCTTACGGGCCACGAGTATCTGGTGTTTTGGATGTTCTGTCTTGTCGAGGTGTGTGTGGGCATGTACTACCCAAGCATGAACTTTTTAAAGAGCAACATCATCGAAGATGCGTCGCGAGCCAAGATATACAACTTCATGAGGATCCCGCTGAGCGTCTTCGTCATCACGGCTCATTCATTCGCAGAAGAAGGTGAGTACCCTTGTACCGGTTCCGCTTCAGGCGCAAAAACACTGACGGACCATGTGCAGGCGATCACCATCGGAACAACGTATTCCTTATATTCGGCGGAGCATTGCTGGCAGCTCTTTTCGTCGCGCAGCGATTCCTGGCGCAGGAGAGGCGTTCTGCGACTTCGTGAGGGATGAGACCCATTTGAGCATGCATGTGGGCATCTCAACCAGCAAGGAGTCTGAGAGACGAACAGCTAGGCAAGAAGTAGGAAAGAAGTGTAGTCAGAAGATGTCGTATGCATGTACTGACATTTATTGCGGATGAGGAAGCGGATAATTCCACGTTCTTGGGCGACAGCACACTCTCGTAATAGCTTAAGGAGACCTGTTCCGGGACGCAAGCATCTTCTGATGCAGGATGTCGCCCCTCCAATATGGTTGCATCTGCATGCAGGATCTAGGTTCTGATCTTCTCCTTCTGGGACGCACCCCTGTAGCAGTAGAAGCCCCAGGCAACACCAACGACACCTAGCGCACCAACGCCCAGCGCCGAACGGACTGTCAGACTGCCGTCTAGGACACAGATGGCGCAGCTTCCGATGTCGACTGTATCGGCCACCATCGCTGCCACGAGAACGCTCTTCAGCATCGACAGCGACCTCGGCTTGTGCTCGTCGACCTTACCAGCAAGCGGAGTCGTCTCGTCCGCATGTACAGTACTGATCGGATCATGACCGCTGTTCTCAGAAAGGACGTGCCAGAGAAGTCCACCAACAGCAAGCTCCCTTGCGCCCATGAAGCGGGCTGCGACTATGCCGGAAGCAGCAGATGGCTGCGCGATCTGAGCGAGCCTGAAGTTGGCGTGTGGGAATGCGATAAGGCCAAGACCGGTGGCAATCCGTAATGCGGACAGGGTGTATGCTGCTATGAAAGGCATTTTGCTAGCTGAAGGCTTCGATTGTTGCTGTCTCTGGTAATTCAGCTGTTGATCGAGTAGACTCTTCTGTTGTGGTGGAACGACCACAAGCGACCGCTGAAGCAGGCAGCTGTACTAGTACCAGAGGGTTGCCAAGCCGAATACGAAGCATAACGTTAGGTTCGGAGCAAAGCTAGCCTCTGATTGAGGGAATCACATCAACGCCTTTCCCCTGACATAGCCGTGGATCTGGGCGCGAGCCATGCTGCCACATGAGCGTCGAATCGACAGCCGACCTCAGACAGGTCCGTATGTTGCAGCGCTCGTGGGGAGCTTTTCCACACCCAAGGTAATTATGCTCGTTCAGTGGAGGCCTCGAAATACTTCGGTCCTTCATATTCCTCACCTCCACTGAACGCCCATGATTTTGTTTGCCCTGGCTTTGATGCCCTCGTTGTCCTTGTTTTCTAGGTAGATTGTAGGATGACCGGGCACGCTCAGGCTCAGCAGTCTGTACTCCAGCCTGTCTTCTCCTGCAGGCTTGGTCATGTGCACTACAACCACACCTCCCGCCTTCTCGCCCTCGACGTTGAAGTGCATCCTGAAGTGCATCGTGCCTGTCCGGTCGACGTTGGTGGTGTATGCCAACGGCCGTGCACGTGCCCATTTGCTGCTCGTCGGCTCGCCGAAGGCTACAATCTTCCGACTCGGACCCAGCAGATCTCTGCACTCTTGACTTGCCTTCACTCTATCAACGGCGTGGTTGAACTGCACAGTCTTGGAGTCTGCCGCGAAGAGCTCTTGATAGAGAAAGTACGAGACGAGACAGGTTCCACCGACTCCGGCGGCAACGAGGGCAGCATTGAAGGTCTGTTGCGTGCCTCGAGCAGCTTTCTCGCCAGTGGAGAGTTCTGACCAGTGGTAGCGCCCATCGTCGGAGGTGACCGTAATGGCACGACGGCGGGCGCTGGCGGATGACGGGAAGGTGGGGTTCGACGAGGACGAAGATGAAGTCGACGTCTGGCTTGCGTACCGGGTATTAGGACGTGTGCAGACTGCTGTGGGCGGAGTGAGCCTTGCACGGCACGCTTGCTGAAAGGCCTGTGCTTTTATAGACATGTCGATAGCGCTCGAATGTGCAGCTCAGGTGTGTCTATACCTAGGTGAAGTCATCGAGGTCGCGTGAATCAGAGGTCTGGCAGCAGATTCACCATTGGACGAGTCACAGATTCTCTGAAAAGCCGTCGAGGGAGGTGGACTCGCTACCAAGGATTGTACAAGACCTCAATCGTGCTTGCCAATATCCTGCTTCTCAGATCATAGCATGGTCCGCGGTGCAGTCACGAATTCGAGAATCGCGAACCCCTCAGGGCTTAGCGTGCTAAGTCCGGTCGACAATCACTGAACTTCGAGTTGCGGTTCAGCAGTTAAGAGTCCAAGATCTCCAGCAATCGCGTCTCTTGAATCGCAACCACGCAGACCGCCGTTGGCGATTAATGCTATCAAGCAGTCCGTACTATATATCCACCATCCGAGCTCCTTGGGTGCTCCCGAAATCATGGTATCTTCCTCTCGATGATGCAGACATTCTCTCATGATCAAATTCTGGAATGTCTAGAAACTTGAAAGCAGGTACCCGGATTTAGCAAGAACATCCAGCCGGAATACCACTTCCGGGCTGCTCGAATGTGCTCTCAAAAGTCCTTGCCACCGTCCACTGCAAAGTCAGTAACCATCACATGCACGACACATTCTGATCATCTGCTCGACATATACTTTACATCTACGCCAAGATCAAAGTGCCCCGCTGACGTCGTGGTTGACGTTGACGCCTTGTTTGTGTAACCGAACTTGCGCTCTTGTTGCTTTTCCGCATGGATGGCCTGACCGGTGCGCTGCATTCGTCGCTCTTTTGCACTGGCTGCAGACGCCAGATGACTAACTGCACCAAAGATCGAGCCGCCTTGCATTGGAGGAAAGTCGTCCGCCAATGGTCTTGACCAAAATCCCCTGAGCGCCCTGATCTGCTGCCCCCAAGACCACTGCGCCACCTGAATGCTTCCAATCGTTTCTCTGCTTCCCAAACACGTCAATCTGTCGCCTAGTCTTCGGTCCTATGACTCGTCGCCACTAAATACGAAGTGACAGCCCGCCGAGTGAGCCTAACAAGACTGATTAGCCTTTACATATTCGCCTCATCCCTCAGTGGTTCTGCCTATATACACCCCTCGACCATTCCAGCCTTAGCTGTCGAATGTTAGCAACCACACGCATAACATGGCAGCAGCAGAATTCTATACAGGCACAGTACCTCCCCAACGGCCGCCCGCATCTGCGACGCGTCATACTTGAGTCCCCCACAACCTCCTGGCCCGCAACGAGCCTCGTCCCACCCGAACATCCAGTTCAGTCCGCCACCTCAACAGCAGAACTACACTCCACCGCAGAACGTATATCCGCCGCAACAATCGGGCGCACCTCCCCCATACCAAACTTACAACTCGAGTCCTCAAAAGCCACAAGTACACTTTGCGCCAACACCAGGGCCGCATGGTCACAACAGGCCAGGCTCGAGCGGCGGCCAACCCCCAAATCCACAATACACACCCGCCTACGCGCAGCAACCACAATACCAGCAGCCAGGGCCCTATGCCAGCCCACAACCGCAACAATACGCGCACAACTACTCGCAGCCAAACTACCCCAACAGCGGCCAGCTGCAGCCATACGCCCCGCAACGCCACCACTCGTACGACAGCGCCATAGCCTCAGGCTACTCTTCCGATCCAGAAAGACACCACCGTCGCCACCACAAGAAACACGACTCGCGTTCCCGTTCCCGCTCGAGATCTCGCGACACAAATCGGCCCCGCAGGACCAGCGAGACCTCGCGATCGACGAACGCTGATGGATTCATAGGCGCAGCGGGCGGCGGCTTGATCGGTGATCTCATCTTTCCTGGTTTGGGAACGGTAGGAGGAGCACTTGCGGGTTGGCTGGGTGGGAAGAAGTACGGGAAGGAGAGAAAGGGAAGGGAAGACAGGAGGGACAAGACACAGTATGATTGGGAGGATCGGTTCAATAAGCCACATCGGCGGGACCTCGATGTGCCGTATGGTGATGAGAAGCCGACTGTGGACTATGGGCGGAGGAGGAGCTATGATGATCGGGACCGGGATCGGAGGCGGGAGAAGAAGTACTACACGTAGGTCAGAGGACCAGACAGGTGGAATGGAAGCGAAGAGATGGCTTACGATGTTATGACATTTCCATTATGTGAAGCAGTATCGCAGTGCGGCCATGCTATAGCGATTGGAAGGCAGAGGATCGAGAGACCAGAGGACCTTTCGCAGGACCAGACTATGATTCGTGGTGGACAGAACCCTGAACACAGCTGCTGGACGGCTTGCTCAGCATGTACGATAGTTGTTGAATACGATGGTTTGCCACCAGTTGCGCCTTTCCCGTGCCTCCTCTTCGGTGCCCAGAGTCAGCCTTGCTGAAGTTCTGCGAAACAAGGAAAGGTCCATTTGGAAGCGACTGTACTCATTGACCTTGCCCACGCTATGGCCCGACGGTTGAGCCTCGTGAGTTCTGGACCGGCTGCGAGGAGTTCGCTGGAGCTATCACTTGGTGAGTGCGTGTAGTTCGCGTCAAGCGTGACGTGTGGTCACTAGTCCTTGTGCCCCAAAGTTCTTCACGAGTATATTTGCTAAGCAGGTGCTATTCCTCGATCGGCCGCTTCCCTGGTTCATGTTTTCAGAAGACAATGTCTGCCCAGTCTGCACATATGAGAACAAGCGACGACTTCTCGAGCCTGCGAGTAACAGCTTCGTCGCATGTGACCAAGAGCACGGTGTTTTGCAGCCTTTGGAAGGTACCCAAGGTTACTCAACATCAACCGGTCTTGTGTAAGCCTCATGAGAACCGCTGTCATCCGGTCCCGCCAGAGCTCGAGAGTTTCACCTTGGCAGGCCGTGTCGGAGATTGAGCTTCATGAAACATCGCACCTTCCATCAATTGCACAAGCTTGCCATCCATCTGCTGCCCTTACAATGCGCGGAATACCAGATCTTGCAGTCTTGCTCTCGGTGTCCTCATGAGAATCCAGCAGGCCTAGCTCACACTCGATGCAAGGTGCGAGGAGTGTTCTGAGTGTCATGATGCGACAGTGCGTCGTTCGCCTCCATCGCGCCAACTCTCGCCGACAAGGATGCAACCTCAGAACATTAATTTTCCCATTCCGTTGAAACATGGAACATCCCTTCTGCCTGATGCGTACCTCGTTGCTTTGAGATTGAGTGCCGTATCTACTCGTACGGCGTTTCGCTGACATGGCAGAGAAATCTGGTTGCCTGCTCGCTAATCATGAACAGGGTATTGCTTGCAACGTTCTTTATCAGGACGATCATGATTTCCTCATGATAAATGAGCGAGAGCATCCAGCACCCTCTTGCGACCGCTCTGTCTTTCGCTGAGCTCATCTCTACGTGCCATCATGGCAGATGATACGGCAAGCACGAACAGCGGCAGTAGCGACAGAAATAGCAACCACAGCAGCCGACGCGCTATGCTGGGTCTGCGCCAGCTTTCCGATGACACGAAGCACTTCTTCCGCGACAACTACAAGAAGGCGCGTGATCTTCGACGGAATCGACACAGCAACGAGTCGCCCAACAGTCCATCCGTGGACACGGAGTCACCGACCTCGTTGGCGGACTCGGTACCGACCAGTCCGAGTCCATTGCCGTACACGCCTACCAAGTCATCGTCATCAACGTTCTCGTTCTCTCGAGACTCCAGGTCCGCGCATCATGCGTCGCCGGCAGTAACAGCATCCCGCAGCAACAAATCACTCCCACGAACGCCCGTGGTACCTCGGCAACAAACGCCGTCTCTGAGCTCCGCGAAGCCAAGGCTGCATCACATCTCGACTCTACGAATTGGCTTGACTTCTCTGGTCGTTTACCACCACACCGCCCTCCCGTATGGCGGTCTCGGCAGGTGGGGCTGGCAGTCCACTTTCACGCCGGGCATAAGTCCCACCCTGACCTGTTTGACTGGGTTCAATCAGACGTTCTTTATGGGTGGCTTCTTCTGGATTGCCGGATATCTCACGTATGGACAGCTGCGGAGGATCGCAACGACTGAGAGCAGCCGGGATCGCAGACCGAAGCAGAAGCAATCATTGCCAGACTTTGCCCTGTCACGAATGAAGCGCCTCGTCTTGCCAACGATTGGGTACACACTAATACTACGTCCACTTGCATCGCTCATGATAGCCGTCGATCAGAACAACTGGCAACTACTGTCGCAACAGCAGATCATACAGATTTTGAAATCATACTTCATGAATCTCCGCGGCGTCACCGGCCCAGTCTGGTTCCCCGCGCTGCTCTTCATCTTCGACACCCTAGCGGCCGGACTAGCCTCTGTGCATCCTGAGACCTTCACGAGCAACCAATCGAGCCTGAAGCCAGGCTCCTGGCAAGCCAATGCCTTCAAGTGGGGAGCTTGTCTCTCGCCACTTTGGCATCGTACGCAATCCGCATTTTCTATCCCGCAGGCGCAGTTTGGAAGCCGCTCAATCTCCTACCTGCATACCTCCCGCAGTACGTGTTCGCCTATACTGCTGGGCAGATTGCTGCCGCGACCGGTGATTTATGCGCATCCGAGATCAATGTCTTACCCGGTCCAGCTCAGCAGAAGCCGCTGCGCAAACTAGCGCTTGCGTTCAGCGTAATGACGCTCGGACTCGGCGCCGTCGCGGCCTCCGTCGCTCTTCAGCGACAAGGTAGTCTATCAAAGCTCTCGATCCCACAGGCAGTCAAGCTCCTCGAAGGACACGGCACGCTCCAATCAGCAATGTACGCCCTGTGGAACGAGCTGGGATTCGTGACCGTCTTCCCGGCGTTGCTTGCTGTGTGCCAACGGTACTGCAACACCAAAGCCTGGACAACGATCAGGCTGCCGCGGTGGGTGTGGCCGTTCAGTCAAACATCGGAGCAGAGACCTGGTAATGGAAAAGGCAGGGAGGAGCAGCAGAAGAGCGGGGAGTGGATTGAGATCGACCTCTCACGGTACGCGTACGCAACATTCCTCGTTCACGCTATCGTGAGTCTCGGTGTAGAGTTGGCGATGGAGCGCTTCATTTTGCCAAAGCTGTTCGCTTTGCCAGCGCCCGTCAAGATCGCTAAAGCAAGTAAGGCAGCACCAAGCGGCGAAACTGTTGGCGCTGGCGGATGGCTGTCTCAGGCCCTGCCGTCGACCAAGGCTTCGACAAAGACTGCGAACACAGGGAGCAAGAGCGCTGCAAAGCCGAGCGGGTGGTCCACTGGCAACGGTGCAAGCGTGTCTTGGTGGCTACCACCTCTGTTGACGGTGACGGTGGGCACAGTCAATGTGGTGGCAAGCTGGGCCGTAGGTATTGGGTTGCTGGAGGGTATACCTGTGATGCAGCGCTGGATTTGAAAATCAGCAGTTATGGTTAGTTTAGCTGAATGCAGCTGTGGCTAACAAGGTTCGGCGACACCGGAACGCTGTGAGTGCAGATAGAGCATGATTGTGGATTGTTCATTCCCATTTACTATACTACTACCGTCCCACAGTAATGTTCCCATCCAATCCTTATCCGTCTACGATACCCGAACTACATCGCCCTATATGAAGACCCAAGAAATGAAATCTCACTCCCACCGCACCCCCCTCAAGGCTTTGGGTTCCCACCACTCTTAAACCCAGTATCAACAGTCTTGACACTCGCCAAACCCAACCCCCCAACAATCTGATCGAATGGCGTGATACACCCCAACTGCACGATCTGGGGCCACATCATGTCGCTCCAGGATTGCGGCATCACGGCGGGGCGGCCGGCGTCGACCCAGGCGCTGTTGTCGAGCCATGAGGAGGCGCTGGCCACTGGTTGGGCGGGTGCTGCTGCTGGTGGAGAGGCAGGTGGCGGGGGAGGAGGTTGTGAGACGGCTGGGGCTGGGGGTGGGCTGACGTCTTCCCAGGGTTTTTGCTCGATGGGCGCTGCTGGTGGTGGAGGAGGCGGAGTTGGTGGAGTGGTTTCAGCGGGCGGGGGTGGCGGCGTGTATGTCTGATCTTCCCACGGATTCATTGCCGGAGGAGATGCTGGGGCCGGAGGAGGCGGCTGTTGTTGCTCTTGGGGCTTTGGTTGATCGGAATTGTTGTCCTCCCAGTTGCCTTTGTCCTTGGAGCCTTTGTCGTTGCCGCCCTTGTCACCACCACCACCACCGCCGCCGCCGAAGCCGCCGCGTCCTCCGCCCTGTCCGTCGCCGCCGCCACCGCGGCCGCCTCCTCCACCATAGCCCATATCGCCTCCCGGTCCGCCTCCGCCTCCACCTCCACCTCGGTCACCACCGCCGCCCATGCCGACGCCCCCATAGCCACCTCCGCCACCTCCATCACCGCCACCGCCATTGCGCTTTTTGAGACCGGACGTGCCAAATGTGATATCTCCGATGACCGGAAGAGGACCGAGAATAGTGAAGTCCGGCTCAGTGATGGAAGCAGCCTGGCGCGCAGCGATCAGGGGCTTCGCCAGAACAGAGCTAGAAGGACTGAGGAGACGGCGACTTGCGTGACACGCATCTTGATGCTGTCTTTCGAGAAGTACGGCCGCGGTGAAGAGAGCGACAGGATCTAGCCTGTCTGTATTACGTGATGCAGGACCCAGCCCTTTGCTAGAAGTGAATTGAGGGTACTAGAAAACGAGAGTACGGGTACAGCAGGGAGCGTGGATGAGAACTGGGAGAGGAGAAGACGAAACACAGCTCGCGACCGCGAGACGGCGCTTCAGCATGATATAGAGCTGTATTCGCTTGCGACAGAAACCCTACCTTACCCTTACCGCTCTGACACCATTCGAGAGATTGCCGTCCGGGGCTGATGATTGACCCCTTCACAGGAGCTAATGAGCAGAAGAAGACATGGCGCAGAGATAGCACTTCGCAGTAGTGGTAGCCATGCAGGAAGGGTTATGCGCCCTCGCCTGTTGAAGCCAAGGAAGTAGGCGCATCCGAACGAACGGGACCCCGTTTTTCGCTATGCACGAACGGTGAGTGGAGGAAGAGAAGGACAAGCATAGCCATGCACCGAAGACCACTGCTATCGGGCATGCTAGACTACGATAGAGATACTGATAGAAACGGCGGCGTTGGGAAAGGTGCGGCGTCAAGTGAAGCAGAACGATGTTTTGAAACGTGACTTGAGACGTGGATTGTATGGACCAGCATTGAGTTGGGACTAGCGCCGGCGGATGCCAAGGCTTGTTGGCTTTGGGTGTTGCTGCCGGACTTTCACAAACGGTTGTTCCTTTGATGCTTGATTCACTCACTGCTGGTACTTTCGACTACCGCGGACACCAGTGGTAGGTTCCCGAGGTGGTCGTTGTTTGGTGATGGAATTCTTGGGTTGGAAAATCGCTTTGGTGAGAAGACGGGCACACAGGTGGGCAACAGTCAGTACTATCTCTGTGGTATTTACTACCAAGTATGTACCACGCCCCAAACCACCTCTGCAGAAGATGATCGCTATGCCGCATTACCACAACTCGGCAAGACGTCCTCAAGATCGCTGCCAATTCCCTCAAATCCATTTATGCATGCTTCCCAGATCCCCGCGGGATCCCCATTCTATCTGACATATCTGTCGTGGGTATTCATGGATCGTGAGATCATTACTAACTTTTGGTTGTTCGAATCAGTCTGGCTTGTCGAGGAGTCTATTTCGGACTCTGAAGCAGCTGTTCCCTCATATCACTAATACCTGGGACTGGCTTGCGACTGTTAGTCGGAGAGCCGGTGTTGCTTCGCTCGCGGGTGTGACTGGGCAATTCGTATGGTCGCTGACTGCGCGACGGTGTACCTGGGAATGCGGTGCCATGAATTCCGCCGCTCGGTGCTTCGTGCTTCGGATTCAAGCAAGGCGAGTTGGGCAACGTGGCGCTGTCGTGTCGGCCTACTTGTGATGTCGATGGGTAAGCTTGCGCCATGGCCGGAGGTTGCTGCACGTAAGGCGAATTCTTGGCTGGCGGGGGCGGAGCATATGAGGTGTCCTCAAAGTAGCTAACTCGAGGAGCCTGTGCTGGGTTCGCCGGTTCCATGGGTGAGGCGTCAGGAATCGTCGGTATGGTCTGGTGACCACCATAGCGCATAGCACTAGTGGGAGAGAGCATTGAATTGGACCGGCGGCGACGACCTGTGGTCGATTCGCGCCGAAGCATGGTCTTGACCTCTTCGATGTCAGCCTCACGCTGATCCTGATCTCTTGCCGAATCGGATGCTGCGTTACGTTTGTTCAGACCTTGCAGTACAGCGTTCTCCTTTTGGCTCGCACCGTCACTCGCAACCTTCGTTAAGTCATGTGATGACGAGAAACCGGTGTTGCCGTCGTCAGAAGGCTTGTTCTTGGATTTGAGCGGGAACAAACGCGACTTATCCTTCTTGTCATCGAAGTCTTCGGCGTTCTCTCGAGCTTCGGAGTCGGAAATGTTGACAGAGTATGACGGGTTGGCCTTGTCGCCCAATGCGGCCCCGCCGCCACCAGGTGCATAGATTGGCACCTTACGCAGAGCAAGCACAAGAGCGCACATGAATTTGCTTCGCCGAGCAGCGCGGACGGTCTCGTTGGACCAGTTCGACTTGTGCAGGATCTCGATCTTCAACTCCAGCTTGTTCATTTCCGCAATGCCTGTGACCTCGACCTCAACCTCTTGTTGGAAGTCTCGACTATTGTCTTTGTCACGTACAAAAGCTTCCATTTCTTGTTTCAGAAGTGCGATGTCCTCCAGACTAGTGTCGAAGCTGACGTACATGTTGAGCTGCTCGCGCATGGCCTTGCTTCGTGAAACATTGTCGATCCATAAAGAGTTGAGAACGATGTGAGGCACTTGCGTGCGTTTGTGGTCTTTGAGTCTTTTGAAGATTGTGTAGAGTAGTGAGATTCGCTCGACGACGTAACGTTCTTCTGCGACGTCAACACGATCGCCAACATCGTAAGGGTGCTTGACAAAGAGAAAGATGCACGATCCGAGGACTTCCTGGGCTGATGCGGCGAAGACGAATGAAAGAGACAGAAGCGCCGTTCCGGTAGTTGCAAGGCTGGCAGTAAAGTTGTCGACATTCCAAGCCACGAAGATGAGTACAACTGCCACAAAGACAACAGTCATGAGGAGGTTGTCCAATACGTGTATGGCTTGATCGACATCGTGCATGCTGTTGGTGATGGCATGACGAGCCCGGCCCATCTCACCCAGACGCAAGATCATCTCATCCAGTGAGATGTCGCCATTGCCATCCGCATCTAATGCAATAAAGGCTTCCTCGGCTTCCGCAGCTCGATCAGGGCCGAGTACTTCAGCAATGTCATCGGGGTAAAGCGCTTCTCTGCCTTCAAGGACGAAAGACAGCCACAGTCGTCGAGCTAGCGCTTCAGTCGAATGCTTCTTTTCCAGAGCCTGAATGACAACCGAATGGGCAGCATTAGGGTTGAAGACAGTCTTCTTGCCGGTGATCTCCTGAGCGACCTGTCCGAAGGCTGAGGTGATATTATCCTTGACTCTTCCAACATTCTGCAGAAGCTTCGCCGGAGTGTTTGAACCAGATCTCTTGTGAGCACCCCTGCTACTCCTGCCACTAACAAGTTCGTAGGTGTCGCTGATTGCATAATCTTCTTCGGCGAATTCTGAGCAGTATGGTGGGAAGAGTGACCGGGAGGCATCGTAGAGAAGAGTGACTAGGTATATCTCGTGCTTCGACGTTCGGATCTTCTCATCGAATGACTTTCGGTGATAGCTGATTTGGATGAGCTGAATCACGAGCTTTTCTGCCAACAAAACAATGGTCGAAGCCAGACATGCCCACAAAATTCTTGCCATGCGGTCTCCCCAGTTGCCAGCGCCTCTTCCAAGAATCAGGAAGCTGACCAAGGAAGCCACAGCCCATCCGACCAGGGATAGCGGGATCTCAAGATTTGCGAGAATGGCCGAGTACTTGCGTGTGCCAGGACTGACAACGCCGCAGAGAAATTGAAAGAGGAAGGGAAGGAACTGGGCGATGAGTTTGCTGATCCATAGCGAACACCAGGCAATCATCAGCCACAATGAGAAGTGTAGCAACGTCATGTTCCCGACTCGAGCATCTGGAAACACGGCCGCTCCCAGAACTAAAGGTACTGCAATGAGGGCCGCTACCGGGACGACGTAGAAGAGGTATCGAGTGACGATCGAGAAGTTGTAGATCCTCGAGTAGATCTTCCCCATCCAGGTGAGGGAGCCATCCTCGGTGGCCTTTGAGCTCATGCCTTGTGCCTCTCGTTTTCGTCTGCGTCCGCCATGGCCACTACTAGGAGCCTGGAAAGCGGATGTGTTTTGTTTCTCGTCGAAGGCATCTTCGTACTCTGGAGGTTTCTGAGGGTTGCTGTATACTGGGGAGAGGGTGCTCGTAGGTTTCCGTGCGCCTGTAGCGGACTGGACCTTTGTTAGGGGAATATCGATGGTGACGTCTCGAGGAGGAGTGGGCATCTCGTCGGACGTTTGGTGAGTGAGAGGCTGGAAGCCTTCTCGACTGAAGCGCTTACGATGAGAGGAGCTGCGTTGTGACATCTGGAAAGAACGAGAGACTTTGGTGGTCGTAGCTGCCCTTCCAGGCCGAATCGGGAACTGACCAGCAGGAATGCGGAGGTCGTCGAACTTGAAACGATGACGCCCCGCCCAATCGAAGGATGTTAAACGAAGGTGATGATAGTCGTGAGACGCTACAAACGAACGGTCGAAGTACGATGATGAAACGGGATGAGTTAAAGACGACGAATGATTGAAGATACTATTATCGAATGCAGACGATGAGAAAGGAGCAGGGCGTACGTGATCGATCTTGGTGAACGTGAATTATTTTTGATACACAAGATGGAGACGTTGTCACCGCCCCTGCTCGTAGCCGAGCCAATGGGTGACACTGGTACCTGAAACATGGACCTCGCCCCTGGAACAAGTCCACCAGGAACCAGAATTTTCGCTTCCTGTTTGCCAGGCGAAAATCGCGATGGCCGATCACATGCAAGCCGCAGCAAGCCGCAGTTACGTAGCATCAACAACGGTCGCGTGCGATCAATTTTTCCATTCCATGACAAACAACGCGTCAACTTCTTTCCGACATCACCGACCAGGCAAAGGAACACATCCTAGGGACCTTCAAGCCAGTACCAGTTTCTGATACTTGGATTCATCCCTGAAGCAAGCCACAGTCCCGCAACAGAGACCCTTACACCGAAGTCCCCCGTTTCAAGTTCAGCGTTCAGCCCAACCCGGACGCGGAGAGGCTGCTCAGCACGTGACTCTTCACTCGCTCGACATGGACCGCATTTGAGCAGTGGAAGTATATCACAACCTCCTTTCCATGGTTTGCCGCCCACTCCTTGTCGTCTGACGCCAGAGCTGGGGTTTCACGCGATGAGCCATGGCCTCGGGGTTTTATACAAGAGTTCGTCGAACGCCAGCTACTCATCGTGATGTCGATTCTCTCGATTTGCGTGGCACCCAAGTCCCGCACCGCTGTCGATGGCCTCATTGCGAAGTGTGAGACATCCGCGTCGGTGCTTCATTTCCACAATTCACCTGTACTCAAAGTCCGCCTGGTGCCCGGCATCGCACCGATACAGTCATGTGCAGCCTCCGCTGGCCGCCTTGCCGAAATCATGGTGCAATCAACCATTGTTGCTGCTGTTCGTTAGGCCACAACACATTGTGGCCGTCATAGGCAATACTCATAAAGCTGCATAATGATGTAAGTCACGGCTCGAAACGAGCAATTTGAACGAGCCTGCCCCACGAATCGCGCCTCATCTGCTCCTGCCCAAAGCAAGCACCGAATCATGGTCTCTCATTTTACACTGCGAGCTGCTCCTTCCCTTCCTGTGAGCTCCCAGCGTGCATGCACGTACACAGAAGGCGCGCACTAATATCCGATGCTCCATTTCGCACTATTTGCAACACTGTCCCTCCACTGGCCAATTTTCGGTACCGGAGCAAGATCCGACCACTGAGCAAACTACGAGTAGTCGTGTCACACAGGCAAAGCTACTGCCGTATTTATGTCACCGGATTCTTGCCCGACTACTATCAACGAACTTGACGATTTCCATCAACATGACCGCTGCCGTTCAGCCGCACAACCTTTCCACGCCGTCATTCAGACGCCTCGAGCCCGGTTCAGTCAACCTGTACGTGGCAATGCATTAAGTTCCCAGCAGAATCCCTAATGCCTGACGCTCCAGTCTGCCGCATAAGTTCACCTCGAGCGGGTCCGATGATGCGGACCCAGCAGCATTAGCTACGGAAACAATTGATGCCTTCAACAAGGCTCTTTCTGGCAACGATGTCATCGCCGTCGCAGGTCTGTTCGCTGAAGACTCATACTGGAGAGATCACCTTGGCCTCACATGGGACGTCCGCACTTTCTTCGGCAAGGCCATGATTCAGGAACAGCTCTCCCAGAATGGATGCGCCGTGACCAGCGTCAAGATCGACGACTCCTCTGCTTACCGTGCGCCTCATATCGCAGCATTCGATGGGGCCAGCAAGGTCAAAGGCATCGAATTCTTCATCACGTTCGAGTCGAAAGTAGGCTCCGGACGAGGAACTTGCAGGCTGTTCGAAGAGAACGGCAAATGGAAGATCTTCTCATTTTTCACCAGCCTGCGTAATATCAAGGGTCATGAGGAAGCTACTGGTCCCAGGAGACCTACGGGCGTAGTGCACGGTGGCCAACCCGGTCGCAAGAATTGGGTCGAGCGTCGTCAGTCAGAGCAGCATTATGAGGACGGGCGCGAGCCTACTGTCATTATTCTCGGTCAGTGCACTCATGTGTCCAATCAGTCTAAAGTTCTGACCGATACCAGGTGCCGGACAAGGAGGCCTTACCGTTGCAGCTCGTCTCAAGATGCTCGGCGTTGATGCACTCATCGTTGACCAGAACCAGAGAGTGGGCGACAATTGGCGGAACCGCTATCATCAATTGGTTCTGCACGATCCGGTTTGGTATGACCATATGCCATATATTCCGTTTCCAGATTGTAAGTACCCTGTGTGAAAGGCCTACCGGTGGGCAAAGGGCTTCAAACTCACATCTTACGTCACAGCTTGGCCGATCTTTACGCCCAAAGACAAGCTGGGCGACTGGTTTGAGCAATACGCACACAGCCTGGAGCTCAATGTATGGATGAAGTCTACCATCACGAAGATTTCGTGGTCCGAAGCATACAAGACATGGACCGTACACGTTGACCGAACGTTGTCCGACGGAACCACTGAGAGCCGCACACTTCATCCGCACCACATCATTCAAGCCACCGGACATAGTGGAAAAGCTAATATGCCGTCCATCAGAGGCATTGATCAGTTCAAAGGAGACGTGCTCTGCCATTCGTCAAAGTTCCCTGGCGCAAAGCCTGACTCAAAAGGCAAGAAGCAATCGTCGTTGGATGCTGCAATTCCGGACATGACAGTAGGTTACCTAGCATGGGAGACTGCGATATCCAAGCAATGGACCTGGTGGGGTTAAACGTAGTAATAGCACTAACGCCGACGAACAGTCTCCCAATCCTATTACGAAAATGGCTACGATATCACCATGGTCCAGCGCTCCTCCACCTGCGTCGTCTCCTCCCGCTCCATCACCGAAATCTCCCTCGCCGGAGTCTTCTACGAAGGCGGTCCGCCCGTTGACGATGCCGACCTCTGGCTGCACGGCACGCCGATGCCGCTCCTCAAGCTCATCCAAGTCGGCATCACATCCGCTTCCAACGAAATGGACAAGGAGACACTCGCCGGTCTAGAGAAGGCGGGCTTCGCTCTCGATAAGGGACCCGATGACGCAGGACTATTGATGAAGTACTACCAGCGTGGCGGAGGGTACTACATTGATGTCGGCGCCAGCCAGTTGATCATAGACGGGAGGATCAAGATCAAGCAGGGCTCGGAGATCAGTGAAGTTACGGAACACGGGTTGAAGTTCGCGGATGGGACAGAGCTGGAGGCGGACGAGATTGTGTTCGCGACGGGGTATATGAACATGCGGACCGAAGCGAGGAGCATATTCGGGGCTGAACTGGCGGACAGGATTAATGATATTTGGGGGTTTGATCAGGAGGGCGAGATGAGGTCTATCTGGAGAGATTCGGGGCATCCAGGGTTTTGGTTCATGGGTGGTGAGTGTTCCTTCTCTAGCTCAAGGATTCGGCCGTGTTTTGAAGTCATGCTGATGAGTTCGCGGGCAATCTTGCGCTGTGTAGGTACTTCTCGAAGGTGCTGGCTTTGCAGATCAAGGCGAGGGAGATTGGGTTGAATCCGGCTTGACGTGCCATTTGCTGTGCAAACTCGAGCTCAACAGAACGAGATAAATGGGTGCGTGTCTGGACAATTTGATGGATGCAATAGAACGGCTTTCGAATTTCTGGAAGATTTATCAACAAAGCTACCATTTGTCTGTATGTTGGATGAGCGAGATCAGCGGGAGCCCTTCGCCATGCATGCTTCAGTACATGTGGTGACCGAGTACTTGACTGCCTCATAGCTTTGGAACCTGCACAATTTCAGAAGCTGGGATCCCTCCAGCAAGGCTCGTCTTAAATGCACAAAGGCTTTCCTTGAATGCCGCATGGCTGTGCCAGTACCTTTGCTTTCCCATCAGATGGCTTGCTCTTATCCGGCGGTGGCTTTGTTTCACGTTGCCCAACCATCAGAACAAACCCTCCAACGGCTCTCTCCTCGATCATAACTGCCTCCTTTAATTATCGTCTTCCACCCAATTGAAGCCTGCTGCTTGCCTCACCGTCACCCTCACGGGTAGCTGAAGGACTGGTCACTAACACGTCCCCACTCAGCCGGATGACCCCCATCCCGTCTTGCACGCAGCGGAGCCATCTGCCAGGCCGGCGATCGCTCGAGCCAGCCGCAGATCGCAGGCAAAAGAATTCCAGGGAAAGAGACATCGACTCGCCAGACTCTCGGTCCGCTCACGCTCCCGACCTCGGTCAACTCAGTCCCATCCACGATGGTGGCGGTCTGCAGGTTCTGGCAGATGTCATGAATGAGATGGAACATGTCCACCCAGTACCCATTCGTCAAGGTCACATGTGACAGTGTAAGAGCGGTCAAGCCATGGCCGATAGCCCCGAACAAGCCCGTCAAAGCCGAGAAGGAATCCTTAACCCGGTAAAGTTGGACCTTCCGGATCGAAGAGGCCAGACCCACCGGGGGGTTGAGCGTTGGGCCGAGAACAGGCGGACTGACGGACACGCGAGTGATCTCGTTCGTATGTACGCCACCGTACCAATCGAGCGCCGTCATGCTGGGACCGATGCGACTGGCAAATCTGTTGAGATTGGTGCGGACTAGATTGGCCTCCTGCACAGCCATGGTTCTGGGGGCCATGAGGCAAACATAAAGGTATTTAAGACCTGGAAGACCAGAACTTGATGATGTCAGGTTCAGATGGCGGAATAACTGTGTTGGAAGGGAGTCTAGGACAAGGTACTCGACGTGTGAGACGGCTGACGCATGCAGAGCATCCAGGATTGAGCACACCCACATGCCTGGAACCCGTTCAGGCTCGGTTTCGCGCGCGAAGTAGGCGTTGTCCTGGTCCTCGTATCCAACATCTTTGATCAGAGGAGGCAGTGTCAGAGTTCTGTAGTGTATAGAAAACAGACTCAGGTTGCTGGCTATGCCGACGTTGTTGAGCCTCGATGCGGGCCCGGCTACAAAATGGACACTTTGGAGGTTTGTGAATGCCTGGAATATCTCCTTCCACTTGCAGGCCCCGTTGTTCTGCCAATCATGGGTGAAAGCCTCGTGCGCTGCGAGCGCCTTCTTGTAGACCTCCCAGCATGCATCCTTCTGCTTCAGTTGATCATGTTGATTGAGTGCTCTGAGCGCATCGATCCGCGGTCTGAGGGCCCATCGGTATGCAACACGACTTCTGGTACTCTCTTCTAGTAGTGGCGAATATAGACTGAAGGTTCTCAACCATGTCTCCCATTCGTTGCGGGTGTATGTCTGTAGCGGCAGCTCTAGCTCGACGACCAATTGAGTGACATCGTATCGCCGATCAGAGGTAGACAACTCCAGGAAGAACTTGTAGTTCTCGTAGTTGAGTGTTATACGCATGGTGGAGAGAAGAATGTGTGTCGGTACCATACTGAGGATATCTTTGCATGTCTGGCGAAGCGACTTGATATCCTGGCTTCTTCCGCTTGCGATAACGGTGTTGACTACCGCGCGCAGAGAGTCGGTATCCATGCCCATGAGTTCCATTGTAGTGGTCGCTCGCGGCTGGAAAGCGAAGGAGAAGGTGGACGGTTTGCTTTTAGAGGAGCAACGAGCGAGGGATTCAGCAGCTGTGCTGGATCTTGCACCCTGGATTGTTCGAAGGCCGTGGTCGAAACAGTCACAAGGGTGTGAGATTTGTATGCAGGCATGAAAGCGATCAATGTGAGAAAGCTCAAGTTCAGTGATTGTGGGGAACAGAAATGCCTGGCGTCCTAGCCACAAATGGGCAAGAAGAAACGTAGGATTGGGAGCGGAAAAAGCACAACCTACCTGGAGGTGAACACCTTGCTCACATGACTGTGTTCAGGCCAGTAGACCACGACATCAACTCAGCTCATGGCATCGAGCCTAATCGGCCATTGCTCCGAGGACGACACAAATGCACTAAACGTCCAAATCGCCCTTGAGCTGGGCAGAAGACTCCCGGAGACGTGCCTTGAAGGTCGTGACCGAGACTGGAGTTCGACTGAATCTGCTGCGTGGTCAGCACGGCACCAATGCCTGTCAGAGTGGCACGACGAGCAGAGCTTCGGACGGATGGTCCAAGCAGCAAAAGTCAACATTGCTGTATGGAATTCCTGGAGCAAGCGGCTCGCCTTCGAGGTTCGAAGCAACCCCAACCTGATGCTCGGAGTAGACTATGTCGAGATTCGGCGAAGCCATAAGAGATGCCGAGGACGAAGCTCTTGTGAACAAAAGTTGTCCAGAGCTCAAGCGATGTCTGAGTCCTGTCGAATCGCTGGCGGAAGGGTATGGGTTCGCTTTCCATGTGGCTTCCTGAATACGCTGAGCAAGCGGTACGATGGGTGTGTGCTCAAGAATGCTTCGCGCATCGCTTCATAGCACTCAGAAGCTTCAAGTCTCCGAGCAGCATGCGAAGATCTGGGGCAGCGTCTTGACGCAGACGCGCTCGTTATCAAGACAGCCCGCAAACCGTAACCTCCCGAGCCTGGGGACTTGAGACTCATTCACCATGTGTACCAAGTGGCCGCATGCGCAGCCAGTCGTTCTCCCAGCAACGGCCAGGATCCGATGTCTGAGCATGCATCGATTTCTGGGCCGAGTACCTGTACAGTCAGGCATCTCGAATGTCGAGGTTCAAACTCGCAGTCCGTAGAAGCAAGTCGACATGTCCGCAGTCCGTGCGGACATTCATGCAAGCTCTAAGCAGTGGGTGCGGTGCAGCAATGTAGGAGAAGGTGTGCTCAAGGTTGCACAGCTTACGTTCTGGACTTAATTATGCGCTAATACAGAAGGCGTTAGCGTGTTAGTTTGGGCTCCCCGCCGCCTTCTTTTCTACAACAAGCAACCTGCACCCGCTATACATGAACCTTGAAGATGGCCCAGTGTCTACCTTTGAGGCATTGTCAACTATAGCTGCCGCCGGCCGCGACTAAGGAAAGAATTAGTGGAAAACCGAGAGGAATATCACCTTCTGACGCCTGGAAAGTATGGAACACGAACATCATCGCAACGCGAGGTCATCGCGGAGAGTCGTCCATTCAGAAATCATGCCAATGGATACATTTCATGCTCAGACTCAAGTGGTCGGTATCTAAAGCTAAAGTGCTAGCTAAAGCAAGACTCAAGTGGTGTATTCTTTGAGACTCCAGAGCAGCTATCCTGAGCTACCAGTGCGACTATGTAGACTATCCGCGCGATCCTTTCTCATGCTTTCTGGTGCCCCTTCCTCTCAGCTCGTTGTATCTCGCGTCGTGCCTAGAGTCCTCCCTACCTACCTAGAACACCTGGCCCAATAGCTGAAAAGCCCTATCTTCCCTCTCCAATACTCCCTCAATCCTCCCACAGGTCGATAGCGTAACGGAATGAGGCATCACTCCTTCCCACTCAGTCCGTTAGCCCACCTCCCTGCCCGGTCGATGACAGCGGCATTACTGCTGGCGCCCCTGGGATTCTCAGAAGCCACCGCTTGACCGTGTCACGCAGGCCAGTTCCGCTACTCGTGTACCAAAGTCCCGTTGATTGATATTGGCGGATCCAACCAGTATTGACCACAGAAATCTCCTCGAGAGGACCTTGTCCCGCAAGCTCAACGTCCGCAAGCACAGGGCAGTGCTGGCGGATGACATGCAGGATGTCGACCCAGTAGCCATCGTACAGCTTCATGTTCGACAGATGCAGCTTGGTGAGAGTCGCGCCCGCAGCAGTGATGCTCTCTTCGAGCTGCGTATAGCCGACCTGCGCTCGGTGAAGCACAAGAGACTGGAGAGCGGAAGCCAGCGGGGCCCTGATATAGGGACAGAATACGTACGGATTGCGTTCATCGCCCCAGTACGCGTCCAAGACCTCGTCGCCTCGCCATTCGAGGTTAGTGACCGTACCCAAACGCCAGGCGAGCTCGCCCAGATTGTCATTAATGGCACCAAGTACGCCATTTTCGGCATCTTCGGGACTGAAGGGAACCACAAGGCGTACCTTGAGACTGTTAAGGCTGGGGAGACCGCCGCAGTCAGGCGGCAGCTGCAAGAAGTGGAACAGCGTTGTTGGAAGGCCTTTGATCTGGACTGAATTGATGTTGCGGGCGCGAGAGCGGTAAAGACCTTCCAGAATTGAGCTCAGCCATCTGGCAGGGCTCTTTGCATCCTCTGATTGATCGTCGAAGTAATCTGGGTCGTGTTCTTGGTTTGTAGCGTTCTCGAATTCGGGAGGCATAGTTAGTGTTCTGTAGTTGACGGAGCTCGAGGTCAGATCGTTTGACGTCTGTATGATGTACCAAGACGAAGCTCCAGCTGCGAACTCCACCTCTGTCAGGTTGGGAAGCCGGCGGAAGATCCATGCCCACGGCAACCACGGTCCATAGTGCTCCCATTCGTGGATGGCCTTCAACTGTGACTCCCAGGCTTCGCTGTACGCGTTCCAGCAGTCTCGAATCTTGATCTGGCTCTGCGAGTCGGCCTCAAGTGCGTTGATCCGCCTCTTGAGCGCAGCTCCGTGCGCTAAGTAGCTCTGCGTGCCGCTCTCGTTGGCCCAGCCTCTTGCGCCGATGTCAGCAATCTGTGCTTTCCATTGTTCGTAGCTGAACTCCTGCAAGGGCACTTCAGCGTCGATTAAGAGCTTTCTGACGTGAACTCTTCGGCTTGTCTGGCAGATACCTTCGAGAGCTTCGTAGCTGTCATAGTTGATGCCCAAACGCATGGTGGAAAGGAGGTTGTGGAGCGGAACAAGATCTGAAACGTTCTCGACTAAGGCTTGGCGCAGGGCTTTGACATCGTCGCTGGTGGCTGTGGCCATAAATGCTTGGACAATATGCAGTCGGATCTCGATTGGGGTATTGCTCAAAGTTGGCGGTTTCTCTTTATCGTATGGGACCATCATGGTCTCTCTCTGCAGCGTCGATTGAAATGAGACGCTGGAGACTTCGCTTCGTTACGAGGATCAAGTAGCGGGAGCCGAAAGCAGTGGGAGCAGCACCGGCTTCGTATTCAATGTGGAAGCTGTGGTTGAGATAGTATGAGGATGATTAATCAGACATGAAACAAGATGAGTTCTAGAAAGCTCAAGTTCATCCATTGTGGGAAGAAAGGTCTTTGCCTGGCGCTCTAGCCACAAGTGGTTGGATAAACGTAGGACCAGCAAGAGCAAAATCACTTACCTACTGGCGGCATGTTTTTCACGTGCCCATAGCACAGGCAGAGCTACCTTAGCATCTCAGAACAGCTCAACGCGGTCGTGCTGCTCGGAAGCCGATTGCCGGAAGCTTCAGACTTAAGACCAGGTCCCTGCCCGTGTCACTAAGCCCACAACCCGCCTAAGGCGCGGAGTGACACGCGGTGGTCGAAGTCGAGGGCGTCGTGAGCAAGCAATCGACCATTGCCGGCAGTAGCATGTCTCATCCCTGAGTTCTGAATGTCCTGAGTGCTGAACGTGCAGGGCCGCAGCAGCGTCCAACACCTCTGCCAACCTGGAACAGCGCGCTCCTCGTCCCATCGTTGGCATCCTGGTGTGGGCCAGCACCAGCCAGTCGCAGGCGGCTTCTATCGATCAGCAAGGACGATGAGTGTCAGAGAAGCAAGGAATGAGCCTAATAGCCAGCGATTGCCCATCATCTGGGCCGTTGGAAAATAGTAACTTGGACTTGAGCATTCGTAGAGGGTACGAGCTGAGCTTCGGTGGCCTACAACAGCGATAATGTCAGCCATCGAAGTCAAAACTGATGCAAGATTGTCATTGCAGGGAGTGAGCAGAAAGGCGCCAGTCAAGGAAGCTCAAGCTCACTATGAGCTTGTGCAATGGCAGATGGAAGAACTTCCCAGGTGCAATTGCATTCTGAGCTCAGTTAGACGCTAGTACCAATGGCGTTAGCATGCCTGATGGCTGCCTTTCCTTCCCCTCACAACTTCTCAAGGCTGAACACAGTGCCAGTGTGAATGACTCCTTGACAACATCAGTCACAAAGAAGAGAGTGGTTGCGGCTCGACACGCATCTCAGCCAGTAAAGATGCCATCCATGCAGTGAATATGTATGTAGATCGTCCACCGAGTAGCCGCCGAGGAGCCCAATTTCCGCTCCACCCAAGACTCGAGCTTCGTGAGCCGTGTTCCTAACGGGGCTCGTATCTCTACACGGTAGGCAGACTAAATTCTATTGCGACATGATATACATGAAACCAAGTCTGGCTCTACAACACTCGGATTCGCTCACACAAAGTAGTTCTGGTTTGCCCGTGCCGGAAGGTGCCAATGCTAATCAGAAACCGATAACACGTGTTGGGATCCCGATGGTGTTCAATCGACCTACCTAATGTGGACAAGTGCTCTCACCAGGGTGGGCTTGGATGGTCGTTCCCGACATCTCACTCGTCCAGCATACAAGATCAAGATAAAGGATCAGTACTAACAAAACATCCAAGAGTTGCCGCCGGGTGGTCATCTCCGCCTAAGATAACAAGCTTGGAAACGTAAACGACTACGCGTGTATGCGCACGGACCTTCCCCAGAAAGGGAGCACGCCCCAGATATGACGATCTGTATAAAAGCCATCAGTTTGGCGGCTGCAGTCCATCGAATTTCGGGACCTTAGGACAGCACAGCTTCCCGTTCTGCGCATCCGTGACAACATGAAGCGCCCAACCATGAAGCGACCTCACCTGCACGTCGAACAGCCACACACGACTTTCTCGGAGGGTAACTCGAGATGGTGGGCACTTCCGCATGAATCAGAGATGAGACTGTTTGCTGATGTGAACAAGGACAAACAAAGATCTCGACCCTGTAGCACCCCAAGACCGAAAATGGGGCGTCACATCGTTCATCGCATATTGGATCTCTGATGCCTTCAACGCCGCGACATGGCAGTTTGCTGCGGGCATCGTCGCTGTCGGACTCACCTGGCGCGAATCACTCGGCATTGTCGCACTCAGCTTCTTCATCGTCTCGATCGTTATTGCTTTCAACGGCGCCATCGGCGTGCTTCACCACATCCCGTTTCCTGTCATTGCAAGAGCATCCTGGGGCTTCTGGGGCTCGTACGTTGCCATTATCTCTCGTGCGATTCTCGCCATTTTCTGGTATGCCATCCAAACAATGAATGGAGCCAACACCGTGCGAGTGATGATTGGCGCCATCTGGCCGTCGTTCTTGACGCTCAAAAACACGATACCGGAGTCGCAGGGTATCGATACGGCCACCATGATCTCGTTCTTCTTGTTCTGGCTCGCACAGGTACCGTTCCTGTTGATGCACCCGAATCAGCTGAGACTGTTGTTCATGGCAAAGACGGCAATCGTTCCTGCAGCGTGGATCGCGATCATGGGATGGGCACTGGCAACGACTGATGGAGGCGAGCTGTTCGATCAGAAGCCAACACTGTCAGGCAGCGCGTATTCATGGGCGTTTCTCTCCTCGATGACGTCTGTGATTGGCAACTATGCAACTGTGAGTTGAATCCGGCTACTTAGGGCGTTCTTGACCGAATGTATAGCTCTCTGTCAATCAGTCAGACTTCTCGCGTTACTCTCGAGTCTCTGTGAAGTGGCAGTGCATCTATGTCCCGATGCTGCCCATGTTCTTCGTCTTCATTGCCTTCATCGGCATTGCTTCGTCCTCGGCTGGGCAGGTGCACTACGGAGTGCTCGAATGGGATCCTATGGCTTTGGTGGCGTAAGTGTTCGCTGTTCGCCTCGACCTCGTGCGCTAATGATTGCAGAAACTGGGACAATCGTGCTGCGCGTTTCTTCGCGGCGTTCTCCTTCGCCCTTGCGGCACTCGGCGTGAACATCTCGGCGAACAGTCTAAGCGCGGCAAACGACCTGATGGCATTGATGCCACGTTACGTCAATATCAGACGAGGGCAGCTTCTTACCGCATTCATCTGCTGGGCTCTGGTACCCTGGAAGATCCTGGCTTCGGCAGGAAGCTTCCTGAATTTCATGAGCGCATATGCTATCTTTCTTGGCCCAATCGCAGCGATCATGCTATTCGACTTCTGGGTCATTCACGGAAGAAAGTACGACACTGTCGCCCTGTACAACCCGCACGGCATCTATCGATACACAGGTGGTGTGAATTGGCGAGCCATCACTGCCTTCTTGGTCGGAGTAGCTCCGAGCCTGCCAGGCTTCGTCAATGGCATCAACAACAACGTCGACGTGGGTGCAGGAATCCATCCGTACCAGTTTGGCTGGCTCTTGGGTTTTGTTGGCTCCGCTGCAGTGTACACGACTCTTTCTTTGCTCCTACCTGCCAGAGAGACCTTCATCGATCGTGCGGTTCGCCCAGACGAAATCTTCGCTCAGCAGGGCCAGCTCACGGGCGAAAGCGCCAGCGGCAGTGATCTAGAAGAGACTGGCCATAGGGTGCCGCAGGAGAAGGAGAAGTCTGGGTTTCGGTCTCGCATTGAGCACAAAGTCGAACGGTTTCTTTAGATCTGCTCGTACAGCACGTAAGACGGCCGGTACCTACCTGTACGCATAGACGGTCGCCTGATAAGAGGGCGGCTTGTATACACTACTCGAGAATAATTTGCGCTTCGGGTTTTGGCTGTTGGTCTGTTCATAAGTTGCCAGACGGTCATCGGAGACGACGGACTTGAGACACATTCCAAGACATGGCGGGGCAGCTCCGGATAAGTAGCCCGCCACGTCCGCAACGTCAAACTTCGGAACCACTAAATTAGCGCAGATCTTTATCCTTGCGATCCGATCTCGAGGCTCTCCCGATTGGAATAATGCCATGTGGTGTCTAACTGTCAAGTTATCTCGAGTTTCAGCGAGGGCGAGCAATCGTCATTGGCACTCTTGACGTGTAACATCATGCCACGATGGGACAGGAGTCATACCGAGAAGTCGCTGTAGTAAACAGTATGCCTAGAAGTGATCAGCAGCAGTCATGTGGTCTGTTGCAGAAAGATAACGTAAAAAGCTTGCGCTTCAAAATTCGATGTAGTATTGCAGGATTCGCTGTCCAATTTGAGACATGAGGGGAAGATGACTGTGGCTTAGCTGTAATTCAGCATGATACCTAACGGCTGTTGTGCGGCCCTGCTGCCGGCTAATCAGCAACTCAACTGCAGGGCAGCTTAGGTCTCGATGAGCCTTCTGCAGGTGGCCTTCGTGCCTGCATTACTGCAGTTGGAACTGCCTTCTAACGAAAGACTTAGCAAGCACAGACCAATCACCGTCATTACCTCCGAACTTCTCACGAATCAGAGAATGGCGGCAAGATCGAACAAAGTTTATGCTTCGCCAAGATCCGTTGGAGATGCAAGAGCAAGATTTCGACCTGGTCGTGCCACTCCTTCTCAATTCAATTGAACAAGCTGAACAGGCAGACGAAGGAGCTGCTGTGTCTCAAGTGAACAATGTCTTGCATCATAACGTACACTGTTTCCCATCTTCAAACGCTTCCCTCAAAGGAAACCCTCATTGCCTCCAAGCTACTCATCTGTTATTATCCATAACGAGCGGACTTCAACGTCGGCACAGCTTATCCAGGCCAATCTACTAGTCCGGACGGCTGTCAATCTCTCTCGTTCCGCCACAAGTTTATCCCCACCTCCAACATCCACCGCTCTTTTTATCGGATCTGCTCTCTGTTCACTCTTTTGTACTCTTCCCATCGAATCTCAGATATCTGCTGAGCTTATCGCCGCTCCCATAGCCTCTCAACACACTCATAACGACGAAACTCGTGACAAGCACAATCGTCTTCATTGACTGATCGTGCTTGTCCGCTTAACTGATTTAGCAAGAGCACCGGCGGAGGATTGGTCGTAAGATCGTGGTCTATCCCAGGATATGAGACTTACACGCACAAGAACCACCGATTCGGTGCCATTGCCGACCAGCGATGCCTTTCCAACAGTACAATTGCTGTTCCTAGGTATGGCTTTTCATTCATTGCGCTGGAACGCCACTAACAAACCATAGCACTATGTCGCCTCGCCGAACCAATAGCGATCACAAGCATTTTCCCGTATGCGTGGTTGATGGTTTCCGACTTCCACGTCGGCACTAAGAATGATGCCTCTTTCTACACGGGCGTTCTCATCGCCTCCTTCTCCCTGGCTGAGTCTCTGACCAGTGTCTGGTGGGGTGTTCTCTCGGACAAGATCGGCAGGAAGCCCGTCCTCCTTATGGGCTGCTTTGGAACGATGCTCTCACTACTCATCGTGGGCTTTGCGAAGAGCTTTACTGTGGCTTTATTCGGCAGAGTAATGGGTGGCCTGCTGAACGGAAACATCGGTAAGTGCACACCGGTCGTGACCTCGGGACAGCAACTGATCTGTTCGACAGGCGTCATCCAGACTATGGTGGGAGAGTTGATCACAAACCCTGCTCACGAGCCAAAAGCATACTGTATCCTCCCATTTGTATGGTCTGTCGGTACTATCCTCGGGCCTTGCATTGGGGGCTTGCTCGCAGATCCGTCTCGAGCCTACCCAGATACCTTTTCCAAAATCGGCTTCTTCGGTCGACATCCTTGGGCGCTCCCTAACGTTGTTTGTAGCGGCCTCATGCTTGTTAGCATTGTTGCTGGCTATCTTGTCATCAACGAAACCCACCCTGATCGTCGGAAGGGTGCTGATCCTTTCATGCATCACGACCTGCCCGAAGCGACGCCCATGATCTCTGCCGCTGGTGCCAACGCCGACCCCGCTGTTGACCTTCGGCAGGACTCGTATGGCACTTTCAATGAGGTCGATGTTACCCAGACGCACCATTGGGAGGTCAATGCCGATGGTTCTTCTGCAACCGAAGAGAAGGATCACGTCCAAGAGAAGTGGTTCACTTACCGAGTAGCTATGCTTACACTCGCGCTCGGTATCTTCACTTACCACTCCATGTGCTACGACCATCTCCTGCCAATCTTCTTCCAGGACGAGCGCGTCGACGAGGTCTCGATTCTTGCCGATGGTCTGTTCCATGTCCCTGGCGGACTCGGTCTCAGCACTAAGGACGTTGGCATCATCATGTCCGTCAATGGTTTGATTGCTCTCTTCATTCAAGCAGTCATCTTCCCTTGGTGCGCAGAGAAAATTGGCGTATTCCGCGTTTTCATTCTCGTTACGATCTGCCATCCTATCGCATATTTCATCGTTCCTTACCTCGTCCTACTCCCCGAAAGCGCTCTATATGCCGGCATCTACGCTTGTCTGAGCATACGCAATCTTCTCTCCATCTTGGCGTATCCAGTGCTGCTCATCTTGCTCAAGCAGGCTAGCATATCGACATCGGTGCTGGGACGGATCAATGGATTGGCTGCAGCGGCTGGTGCGGCGTGTCGGACGATTGCACCTCCTGTCGCAGGTCTGCTGTACGGTTGGGGTGCCGAAATGGGCTTCACAGGTCTGGCTTGGTGGGGCGCAGGAGCTGTAGCTTTGGTTGGCGTATTGCAGGTCTACTTTGTGCCGCGAGAGCGCCATGAGGAGTCCGCCATCAAGCCCGCTTTGGCATGCTTCGCCACTGATGACGCTCAACCGAAGCCTCCACGCGACATCGTGGACGTGACGGTCTACGAGGAAGTTCAGGAAACGACCATGAATTCACGTGTCTAAGATGAAGCATCTCTGTACTCGGTTCTTCTCAGCGATTTTAGGACATCGGGAGGTCGCTCAAGGGATGACGGGCTAGCCGGCTTGGGAAGGGCATCATGGTTGATGGATGAGATTTGAAGGACAATCGATCTGCAGCGTTTCGCATGGCGTTGGGGCATATCTAGACCACTGGAACCAGTTGCATTCGAGAGGCGTACTAGCGATTGGAGGTCCATCTAATAAGCAGAGCATGTCATGATGATATTGATCGTTATCGCACTCCTGCTTCGAGGTGGCCGAGCGTGCGCCGACATGTTGCCCCCAACTGATTTCAACAGATCCTGCGAGATTGACGTGATTCTGCGTGCACGACCGTCGTGCGCTACATACGCATCCTACTGGGCTTCAGTCTATGAGCATGAACTGTTTGCAATAGTCCGCCGCACGCTGTGATCGATGTCATCCAGTGTCATCTTGGTCTGTTCAAGTCATCCGGTCTCGCACAAGCAGTGTCAACCGGCGCCTCAGCGCCAAGTCCGCCGTAACCTCGACATCTCCAAGTTCGTCCTACAGACTCTACATCCACCTCCCTCCTGCGAAGTCATACTGAGTCGCCGTATTGTTGTGAGGAGTAATGTCTTCCCAGGCGTCGATTGTACAGTCGATGGCATCCATCGCAATTCACCAGAATCGGAAACACCCACGACGTCCTTATCTTTCGCCGATCAATAACCTCTTAGCATGATGCCCACTTCCTAACCGAGCCTCTTATCTCTACATCGCGCTTGTCCGCTGGGAATGCCTCGCGCTGTTTCCACATTAAGGCCCCTAGTTCAACGTCGACCATGCATAGCAGTCTTCCACGATCCCTGTCCGATGGATGCACCATCTCTGGTCCCAAGCAATCGGAATGCAGTGACCGACATGCACCTGCCACGCGGTGCGGAGCATGTCAGATAGTGAAGGACGGCGTTTGTCCTAGCGGTCGCGATCGGGTTGTTTCCCGTGCTTCGTTCTTCATGATATGTATAGGGACGATCTAGCAGTGTAAGACTGTCTTCTTGGGACAATTCCTCTGGCAGCGATCTCTCCACGATGGCCAACGGAGCAGTCGTTCGCCTCCGTAAGGCGATTGAGGTCAAGCGCAGTGCAAATGAGGACACTGATGCGAAGACGTATGGCAAGTGGTCCAACATCGATCTCGAGCCCACGCCGCCTGTGCAACGAAACTGGACTCCGTTATATTTCTTCGCATTCCAGTTCAGTGTTGCTTTCTCTCCGACTACGTACAATATCGGCTCCTGCTATACGCGGTTGGGCTCAATTGGTGGCTCATCGTCATTGCGTCTTTCGTTGGCACCTCGATCTGCTGTGCAACCATATTTCTGAACAGCCGTGGCCCGACATGGTACGTAACTCACCCATGCAATCCGTTGGAGCGACTTTGAAGCGCCATCCAGAAGGCGCTGAGCACAAGCTGATCGGTGTTCAGGTATCATGTGGGGTTCCCAGTCTACATGCGTATCTCCGCCGGAATCTATGGCTCACTCTGGTTTCTGTTCCTTCGAGCGGTGGTCGCCATGTTCTATGAGGGTACACAGACGTACTATGCATCTCGACAACTCAATGTATCCCTTCGCTGCATTTTCGGACACCAATGGACGGACATTCCCAACCATCTTCCCAAATCAGCCGGCATCACGACCCAGCAAATGATCGCCTTCTTCCTCACCTGGCTCTTCCAACTGCCGCTCGCATGGCTACACCCTTCCAAGGCTGGTCCTCTCTTCGCCGTCAAATCCGTTCTCTCACCACTTGCATATTTTGTGACCCTGATCTGGGCACTCGTGAAGTTTCGCGGCGTCGATCTCGCACTGTCCAATGCGACAGCGAAGAACCTGGGCTGGTCGTTTATGCGTGCGATCAACACAGTCATCTCGGGCGTCGTTCCGCCCATGGTCAACATCGCTGATCTTGCGCGTTATGGCAACCGGCCCAAAGATGTCTTGCCGCTCGTTACGGGCTTGTTTATCAGCAAACCATTGGTCATTCTGATCGGCTTGTTCACGACGGCGGCCGGGAAGAAGCGCTTTGGCGTGGCGAATTGGAATCAGTGGGATTTCTATACGCTCGTGCTGGATAACTACTGGGGTCCTGGCACTCGCACATTGGTTTTCTTGGGGAGTTTTATCCAAGCATTCGCAACTGTTGTCACCAACGTCTCCAGCAACGCCATCCCCATCGGCTGCGACCTGACAGGCCTCTTCCCGAAATACTTCACCATCGTCCGCGGTCAGATCCTCTGTAACATCCTCATCTGGGCCGTTGTGCCCTGGCTACTCGTCAATTCCGCCCAAAACTTCCTCACATTCTTGGGCTCGTACCTATGCTTCATCGCGCCCGTCCTAGCTGTGGAGATCGTTGACTACTGGCTCGCTCGCAACGGCAACATTCACGTGCCGAGCTTGTACCGCCCTGACCCGTCCTCGCCGTACTACTACACCAAGGGCTTCAACTTCCGGATTTTTGTGGCGTGGGTAGTGGGGATTGTGCTGGTGATCAGTGGGATATCAGGCGCTATCAATCCAGGCTCGATCAGTGACACAGCCGTCGGTATCTACAACACAGGCTTCCTGTTGAGCTTCACGGCTGCTTCGGTCACGTACTACATACTGTGTACGATATGGCCGGTGAAGGTGTGGCCTGATGGCAGGGAGAAGGAGTCAATTGGTGAGGAGAAGGGCTCGAGAACAAAGGTCAACAAGGGCAGATGGGAGGAGATGGTGCCTACGGAAGGCTTCTTCCATGATGATGATCCGCTGCCGGAGTATCTACGTGAAAGGATGGGTGTGATTGTAGGCGAGGAGCCGGCTTTGACGGGCAGGACGGACGTTGTTATTGGTGGTGGAGATGGACGGGAGAAGAGCTAGAGTGGTTCTGGGCGGTCTCTGTGTCTGCTTTTGCGTAGCTTGCTAGCCGTTGACGTTCCAGCAAGAACAGCTGGGAGATGTGAAGGTAGATCTGGTGCCCAGATCAGTATACGGTATACCTGTATACGTCTACGTATATGAACTGCTTCTTTTGCCAGTCTCGGGCGTCCCGCTTCTAGCGCGCACAGTCGAAAGGAGAGACCGACCTCAAGCAATATGCGAACCCAGATGACCGTGAGAGACCACGCGGGCGGTTGAAATGTTGTGCATGCTCGATTTTGCAAGGCACCAAGGCTGTTGTACATATATTTCGAGATATATTTTCAATTTGCGCTTGGTTGAAGCCGTGGATACATGGCGGTTTATCTTCTGCCCGACGTCCGTTTCGTTGATGTGCCATTTCTCGTGATAGTCCTTAAGGGTCGAGATATGGCAACGAAGTTCTAGAATTGCAAATAGTAGAGAAAGGGTTGTCGCGTGATCAAGTGACCTGGTAGGTGTGTCCAGTCAACCGGTCTCGTTGAATGCGGGCAGGGTTCGTCATCCGGTCTTGTGATAGGATAGCTCGTCCGGACTTAAGCAGTATCTGCGCAAAATCTTGGTGTGGGCTTGGCACCAATTTCCGGAAAGATCGTGCCATTGAACCTCGACCGCAGTCTTGAGAAGCGCTTCTTTCCACAACCTCATCACATTTAATACTACACATCTTGCCCTGAAAAATCCTCCTTGCATTCTAAGCAAAGATGGGGGGCAAGTCCGGAACCAAAGGTGAGACTGCGCTGGTAAAGCGAGTTGTGCGACAGCGAGACTGACCTGCGACAGCCGTCTACTTCGACAAGCTCAAGGGCTTGCTCGACGAGTACAAGTCTGTCTTCATTGTTGGCGTTGACAAGTGAGTCTTAAAAAGAAATCGTTATCTGAACGACCGCTGATCGAGAACAGTGTCTCCTCCCAACAAATGCACGAGATTCGAGCCACTCTCCGTGGAGAGGCCGTCGTGCTGATGGGCAAGAACACCATGGTTCGTCGTGCCGTCAAGGGCTTCATCACCGACTTCCCCGAGTACGAGAAGCTGCTGCCTCATATCAAGGGTACGTGCAATTCGGCGCAAAATAATCAATCCATATTCTAATACGCTCCGCAGGCAATGTCGGCTTCATCTTCACCAACGGCGAGCTCAAGGAGATCCGTGACAAGATCTTGGCCAACAAAGTCGCCGCGCCCGCCCGTGCCGGTGCCGTTGCTCCCATCGATGTCTGGGTTCCCGCTGGCAACACCGGTATGGAACCCGGCAAGACCTCTTTCTTCCAGGCCCTCGGTGTCCCCACCAAGATCGCCCGTGGTACCATCGAAATCACGTCCGACCTCAAGCTCGTCGAGAAGGATGCCAAGGTTGGTGCCTCCGAGGCCACCTTGCTCAACATGTTGAACATCTCTCCCTTCTCCTACGGTATGAAGGTCGAGCAGGTCTATGAGGAGGGTCAGACTTTCCCGCCCAGTGTTCTGGATATCGAGGAGTCGCAACTGCTCAAGGCTCTGACCAGCGCTATTGCGACCATCACTACCATCTCCCTGGCCACCAACTACCCGACTCTGCCATCCGTGCTGCACAGTCTCATCAACGGCTACAAGAAGGCGTTGGCTGTTGCGGTTGAGACTGACTACAGCTGGGAGGGCATCGAAGAGCTCAAAGATCGTATCGCCAACCCGGATGCGTACGCTGCAGCGGCTCCGGCTGCCAGTGCTGACGCGCCTGCTGCGGCTGCTGATGCTGCACCTGCGGAGGAAGAGAAGAAAGAAGAGGAAGAGGACGAGGATGAGGATATGGGCTTCGGTCTGTTCGACTAAGCGGCCAGCCTTCGTGGCACGATGTTATGATGGTACGTCAAATGGTCACTTTCTTGCCGTCTCGTCGCTGATCAGCCTCAGCTCATGAGTGGATGTTCGAGCAAGATTTCTATCATTGCAGCCGACGCAGCTTCTACGCAACCTCAGCCACATGGCATTACATCATCGGCCTGATCTCGAGTGCTTGTTCTGCAATACTCGACAAATGCTTCTGTCCATACACCCAACAAAAGACACTTCAAGACTCACTTTCCATGTTCTCAGCATCTCATGTCACCCCTTCCCACAACTGCGGTGCCGCTAACAATACAGCAACTCCTGACTTGTGTACGACATAATTTCTCAGATAGAGTCGAGGACAGCAAACCCAACATAATGCCTCGCTGCTCAAGTGGTAAGCACACCTTTTCATTAGACCATCCATGAGGAGTACAGAAGAAACAGATGATGATCAATTTTTAACCCCGAGATCTCCAATGAAGATCAAAAACATGCAACAACAATACTCTAATTTTTTGCTGATGTTTCTACCTACCTTGTCTTCCTTTCCGAAGGTCCGAACCGAGCATTGAGAGAGCGCTTAGCTAATTTCATGTTTCAAGAACATAGGGCTTCACCAGTGCGAGTATTCGGTCCGACTGATGGCAGCAAGCGAGGCAGGCTTGTAAGCAATACAGCGGAGGGCATGGAACGGGATGCAAGTACTGCTGGGCAGGCAAGGCGAGCTTTGGCTGAGGAGAGGACGGGTTTTGCATTGATTGAGGAGGGAGATTGCTTCTGCCCTGACTAAGGTGCCAACCGCCACACGTCGGCTGTAGACTCCCGTGGGCCTGTAGCATTTATAGAGACGCCTGCGCCATGCATAACGCTGCCTAAAATCGACCACAACGTTCCCGTCTTGCTGCACCTCTGATTCAGTTGCCGCTGCCTGCGCCATCAGCTTCCCTCTTCTCTTCAAGACTCAACTCCACGATCTCGGGCACAGAGCCGGCCCTGCTCGGCCTTCCCGGTGAGGATGTTGTGTCTGCCAGCTCTTCAGTCGTGGTCGTTGTTGTTGTGGTCTTTGTCGTTGTCTCTGTCGTCTCTGTGGTAGTCGTCTTCGTCGTTGTCGCAGCCGCTGTCGCGCTAGGAGTGCCTTGTGCTTCAGCGTCACATGTCTTCGTCGCCTCGCCCTCCTTGTTCTCATCACCCTCATCACCCTTCTCCTTCCAACTATCAACATACTCCGCCCACAACTCCTCAACCCCAACCCCAAACAACCCCTCCCAAAACTCCTTGCCATCGCCATACACCCTCCCCTTCTCGCCCATTCGTGCATTGAGCCGACTCACCGCGCCCTTGCCCCTCCCCTTCCCCTTACTCACACTCTTCTCATCCCCATCCTCCTCAAGCCATTCCAAGAACCACGCCGTCTTAGCATACCCTTCATCCCACTTCTCGCCCCTCGTCTTGTGGCTGTGACCCTTGGTCCAGTGTGGTGGAGCGAGACCGGCTTTGAGACGAACGTAGTCCGCAATGCCCTCGATGAGGCCGCCGGGCGCGGTGCCGGAGAGGTTGTGTTGGTAGCAGTGGACTGCTTCGTGGGTTAGGACACCGAGGGCTTCGCGGTGGAAGTTGGTGAGGGAGGTGGTTGTCGTGGTGGGAGCAGGAAGATCATCGCGGTAGTCTTCAGGACGGTCTTTGGGGAGGTAGCGGGAGAGGTAGGGGAGGGCGACGTGGATTTCTTTGTGGGCGTCGTCGAGGTCGATGCCGGTGGTGTACTGGTTCGATGGGTGTCAGTGAGGTTTGATGCGGAAACGGTAGGCGTTTGAAGTGCACTGAGTCAGGCATGCGGGGGCAAGGAGGAAAATGGCACATTCAGCCTCGTCGGAAACACTGGGTCTGGACAGCAGCATGCAGGAGAATGTGACAACGAAGTAGGCAGAGCATTGAAGTGTGGATTTGGGATTTGCTTGTGAGGGATCTAGCGGTGCTTCTACAAGACGATTGGGACCTTGTGGCTACACGATAATCGAGGGACTGGAAACAGGATACTTACGGCGACACCGCCCATCTCACGCAACACAATCGTCACAGACCGCACATGAGGGATATTGTCGGCACCATGTGGATAGTAGAGGTGACGTAGGATATGGTTGATGGCATCGGGCAGAAAATGTGCTGTGTCGATGACTTTGACGAACGCAGTCGTGGCGGGATGGGCAAGTGCATCGAGGTGCAGTCGGAGTTTTGGGTTGTGCTTGAGTGTAGGCGGGTTGATGGGTGTTGGCCTGGCGGCGATGTCTTCTTCGTTGTAAGGCGTCACAGGCGCCATGGTGCGGGCTGCAAACTGCTAGTGTTGGCCGGCTAAGAGACAGCGTCCACGGCAGTCCGGCTGTCGTGAGTACGGTGCACTTTTGAGGACGTAAGATTCGTTGTGCTGTCGCCTATGGGAGTTGAGAATAGTGAAGTGCAATACAGATCATACGGTGCCTGGTATGATCGAAGAAGTCGCCGTATGGTGGACCCGCTGTGTTGGAGAGGACTCTGAATGGCTTAAATCTGAGGGCAAGTTCGCTCCTCCCAAATGGATTCGTCCTGATCTGTCGTTGAAGGCCGCCCAGCCAGCTGATGAGGCTGCGACTATGGCGATGTGGCTGAAGTTGCAGTGAGACGTAATTGAGGCAGATGTGTCGAGATTGCAGTCAACGGAGATGCGCTGTAAGATCCAGAGGTTTGGTCCAGAGACCGCCCGATGCTATGATTCTGTAGCAGGTGTAGTTGCTAGATCAATGATCCCTTGGAGGCCTCCTCGAGGCTGGCGGAAATGGTTTCCGGGGTTGATTAGACTAAGTTTAGCCTAGCGTGAATCGGCATATCAACAAGAGCGAACTTCAATGCGCGTCTTCACTCTTACAAATTCACGACTCGAATTCACTGCTCGCAAACGTTTTGAAAATTCGATAGATCACTTCAGACTCACTTGAGTCTTACTTTAAGCTCACTCAATTTTGACATCGGCTCCGTTTCCGCTTTCTTCGCGTCGCGTCTCCCTCCCCACCATGGCGCCCTCCCCAATGGCAGTTTAGGCGACTGCCATCAACCAGACCAACTTTTTGGTCTACCTCCTCGGTTCCCTGCTCTGCGCTTTGGGCGCGTTCTTCGGTTTTGTCTCTGTTGGTTTTGGTTTCGGTTCCGGTGTCGCTGCCGTTCTGCTTTTCTGGGGTTCGCTCCTGCGAGAACTCGGCCGCCAAGACTTGCCGGGCGGGCTTCGAGCTCCCAACTTCTTTACATCAGCATCTCCTCCCTCACAATCCTCTCCGCCACCGACATCATGGCGCTACAGTACTCAGAGCTCATCAAATCGATGAGAAACGAATGGGAAAACGGCGTCGAAGACGAGAACAATTGGCAACGACGAAATGGACTGCTTCGCAAGCTTGCCGAAATCTGCGACAAATACGACCCGCCCAGAGATCTCTACGAACAACTCAAGCCCTTCTTCAACCACCTCATCACCACCTGCGCCACAGAGCGAACGACATTGGGCATCTCGGCGCTGGCTTGTCTCAGTTCCATTTTCAAAGTTCTGGGCACGCAAATGGCACCACAACTCGACCACATGCTGCCACCACTCATCACATTCTGCGGCGTCACCAAGAAGCTCACTTCCAAATCTGCTGGCGAGGCAATGACCACGGTCTGCACAACAGTCGGCTACAATCTTCGACTTGTCGCCCATGTCTGTGACGCGTTCAAGGAGAAAGCCACCAATTCTCGGCTCTTCGCTGCTTCTTGGCTTAACCACATTCTCAAGGCTTACAAGAGCCACCTAGACCCCAGCAGAGATTTTCCCAGAATCGACGCAGCACTCATCACTGGCCTTCAAGACTCTCAGAACACCGTTCGCGAAGCACTGCGGCCCACGTATTGGCGATACGCAAAGCTTGCCGCTTCCAATGCTGCCGCTATCATGGACAAGATGCCGAAAGACAAGGCCAATGCTCTCAGGAACCATCCCGACAACCCAGACAGACCTGCAGCTGCATCACAACCTGCAAGACCCGCATCGGCGTTGTCCCAGATCAAAGCACGCAGCAAAGCCCTTAAACAAAGCACCAGTAAACCTCCTGCTGATGTCGTCGACACCGACAGCAGACCAGCACTCAATACATCTACCTCAAGCATCACTGCGAAGCCTGTTGCCACAATGGCTGCGGCTCCTGCACGTATGACACGATCTACCACTGAACCACATCCGATCAGCAAGGCAAGAGACTTCACACAGTCCACCATGCAATCTATCTCATCAACATCAACTTTTGCTCCTGGCCGTATCGACAATATCGATGCTCCCGACGGAAGCATGGTTCCACTACCAGCCTCGCCCAAACAATCCGTCACATCCGACAGGAGTCGTTCCAACACAGCTCTTGCGAAGAAGAAGGCTCGACACGGCCCAGAATACGGCGATGAAGGTGAACCCCTTACATCAGAGCAACCTCGTCACGACGACGCTGGCATGAAGCACTTTACATCCAATCATCCTGACCGTGTCGCTACCATCGACCGTCATCTGGAGAGGGAGACCACCACAAAGAAACACGTTGACCAGTCCAGCCTGCGCAATCTGATGGCCGCACCGGTCAGACGTCCACGTGTTGTCGCCACGCCCATAAGTCAAACTGCTGCTCCACCAGCTCCTGTCCGACCATCATCGAAAGGTGACAGCAAGAAAGCTCAAGCACCCTCTGGTCGACAGACACCTACGATTCATTCGGGAAGAGCTACGCCTACCGAAGAACTCCCTATCCGCGGTCACAAGAAGCAAGCTTCCAGCCGCTCAGGTCGCCAAACACCAACCATACGCGAGGACATCTCTCACAGCTCTCACCAGAAGAAGCCATCTGTCTCTCGTGCAAAGACTACACCAGCCGCGCCCGTCAGCTCACGACCCACGACATCATCATCCACCAAGACATCTGCTCATATGGTCACAGAGTCCTTCTCAGACCAGCCCGACCTTCAAACAACCATCACACCTCCTTCTGACGCTCCTGTCAGCGATTGGGAACCTGTCGTTGCCGCTCCAGGTCTCCCTGTTGCCACTCAGACTCCTCCCGCTCCCATACAACACATCATAGATGGCAAAGAAAATACGCTCATCTACAACGACGCTGCAGCCACAAGAAGGCTTACGAGGCCTGCACTGGCAAAGCAAAAGATGCTCGCTCCGAGGTGACCCGACTCAAGGAGGCTCTCAAGGCGAACAAACTTGATGCTCTAGGTCACAAGAAGCTATCAGGGTTACTCAAGGACAAGCCTGGCCAGCTCGTCACCACCCAAAAAGACTTTGACGATCTATACACCATCCTCGTCAATGCTCTGGCCGCCAACGCGTCTGTTGCTGCTCCTCCCGGCAATTCTGCACGTAATCCAGGCCATCCTTTCTACAATAGACACGCGTTGATCGACTCCATCGTTCGTCTGCTGGAGCAATTCCCTGGTGCAGGAGAACCCCAGCCCGGTATGGCGATTGCTACTGTCATCCAATGCAACGCGACACACCCCGATGGCGAGCGATTTAGAACCTCTACCACCATCGACACGGCCGCAATGACTCTTGTGCGGCTCGTAAAGGCCGACAACGTCCTCCCGGCGCTCGACAACGTTGCTGACAGCTTCATCGAGTATCGCATGACTGGAGGTGGAGACGTGGCGGTCTGCGGTTTGGCTCTGCGCTCCCTTTCCGCGCTTTTGGCTCGTGCTGCCGCTCTTGGTCTGGCGTTATTCGAGGTGCAAGAGCGTCTCATGGTTGACGTTGCTGTTTCTGCTTTGAAGCTGCAATCGAATCGCGACACGATGGGCTTCGCTGTCGCCTTGAAAGGCCACATTCGGCCGGAGGAGAGGTTGGAAGCACTCCTGGAGGGAGTGGCAGAGGGAAATCTGCTGATGTATTATTTGGCGCGGGAGTAGGAGCGCGAGCATTCGTTTGTGGAAGCATTATTACACATTTTTACGCGTAGGGAGGACTCTGGAGGGTGTATGATTACGAGTATGAACAACGATTATTGATAGAACAATGAGGAACATCACTATCAGACCAACCTTGCCTGAAGCTTGCTCGGTGCTTGAAGCACAGTCTACTTGGCCTTATTTGTAGTTGGGACGTAGCTCACTTGCTTCGACACGACAGATGTGGAACCCATGACTTCCATCTCGAAAGCACCTCGCCCAAAAGCAAGGTCTTTCTGACGCTTGAGAACAGCCAACTTCTGCTCCCCACCCGACACCGGCCGAGTCGCCAAGATCTTCCCCGCGGGCTGGACTCGATTAGCGAGTTTTGGGGGGCAGCCTCCAAGCTCGAGTCCAATCATTGCTTTGCGTGGCAACCTCGGCGGCGCCACCGTTATGCGTTTCCTGGGCCTGGAGGGCATCGGCAGAAGCTCGTGTTCGTGCCGTGTGGGCGGGACGCAGGATGAGCTAATCGCGCCTTCTTAGCTGGTTCCCTTTTCTCAAATCTTCTTTCCTGCCACCATCGTGGTCTTCCTGTCCGACACATCCGGCCGAACAAACGTCTACAACGACGTCTGCGTTCTCAGGAGCGATAATCGACTGCTCCGCTGATCGCTCCAGCAGCGGCAGACTAATTCCTCGGCGACCATGCGGAAGCACAGGTGATAGCAACCTCGGATGAACAGAACGAACATGAGCTGCAACCTACCGAAACAACCCACGAAATAATGTTACGCTCAAATGATGCGACTAGAGCGCTCTACATCTGCTCTGGCCTGTCTCTCTTTATTTTGTTCGCGAGACTCATCGCAGCGCGCATCAGATATCGAAAATTCGACGTATCTTCTGTCCTCGTCGCCCTCTCCATAGTTGTCTCGATAGCTAGATTGGTCACAACGTACTACTATCTCAGATACGGCACGACTACAGGCTACATCTTCGCCACAGAACCACCGCATCTGTCCCCAGAGAAGCTCAACGAAGTTCAGGATGGGAGTGTCCTAACGCTGGTGTCCCGAGCTCTCATCACGACATTCTACTGGTTGCAAATATGCCTTCTTCTACTCTTCTACTCCGGCATGCTCAGAGACCTACACTGGGTCTGGACTATTCGAGCCACTTGGGTCACAATCGGCGTCACTTATGTCGTGTGCATCATTCTCACGTTCACCGGATGTCGACCCTTTCGACTCTACTATCAAGTCGACCCAAACCCAGGCCGCTGCGTCCTCGCATACTCTCAACTCCTCAGTCAGGGAGTTTGCAATATCATCCTCGACCTCCTCCTGCTCGCAATCGCCAGCCCATTTGTGTTCACACGGCATCGTGCTCCTGAATACCTGGTTCGAGTATGGGCACTATACATAATCGGGTGCTTCACCATCATAACGACCATTCTACGGATCGTCTACCTCTACGCCGACAAATCCCAGAATTATCAAGCCATGCGAAGTTTCTGGGCATCGATACAAATGTTGACCGCGACTGTAGTCGCGAATCTGCCCACGCTATACGGGTGCCTGACGATGCTGAAGAGGCGAAAGTCCGAGCAGACAGTGCGGAGGAAATCCAGGCCAGAGCTGTGGCCGGCGGGCGGGTCGGCTGATCCTGTGGACGTTGCGCGGCGACCTTTCGATTGTGATGGCAGGTCAGTCGAGCTTGGCCCGCATCGACTGGACGACATTTGCGGTGATGACGATAAAGCGATTTCGCGACATATTTCGCATGCCAGTAGGGAAATGGAGGGTGGTGGCGATGAAGAGAAAGCGGTCTCGCAGCATATCTGGCGGAGTCGTTCGAGGAGTAGTTCTGAGGTTTCGCCGACAGAGATTACGCATATAGAACGTGTATAAACTGTATTGAATGCTGATTAGAATTCTGTACAAAGTATCCTTCGGTATCGTGGACTTGATAGCTGTTCAACTTACTCTCACTGTGCCACTACCAATGTGCCCATTGCAGTGAATATGCCAGGCAGCAGCCCAATATGAATCACGCGATCAATAGTGACTGGCTGCTGGCCGAGCTGTTGCAGTGAAGCTTTCGGTTCGCCACGGCTTTGACTTGGTTGAACAACTATATTTGCCCACGACATCTTCCTCCGTTCTTCTCTCTCGATAACGAGGTTCATTTTGATCACCAAGACACGCTTGCCATGTTAAGGGTAGCACCAGCTGCTACCTGACGGGGCGAACTTCCATTGTGCAGACGATTGACGTGTATAGATGCAGGTTACAGTCATCTGAATGTGCAGTCATCCGGTCTCATCAGAGTCCAGAATATTTGTGTGATCTGTGCGCCTTGCACCTGGAAGGCTCAGCCCTGGTCTCACCGAGTCCCAACATTATCAGTCTGTCCTGCAGGCTCACGCAGATACACACTCATGTCTGCAGTACTGTATGCCACGACCATGCTACGTGGTCCGATATGTAGCAAGGGAGGAGTGGGACGGAACTCACAGTACTTGCTGAGTGACTTCTACAGCTGCGACGACTTGAATGATCTTGGTCCGAAATTTGGCATTCGCTACTTGGCTGATGCTTTGACTACTGAAAGTCGTTTCGCCCTATAACGCCACGTTTCATGCTCTCATGATGCAGCAACAAAAACTCCTTCACTCCCCTCCACCGCCCCGTCATCTACCTGCCCTTCACCAACCGCTTCAGCTCAGCAATCTCCGCATCCCGCTCCGCCAGCAGCTTCTCCAGTTCAGCAATGCGCTTGACTTTGTTGTCGCGATGTTTGCGCGAGACCATCGTGTTGCGGATCTTCATGATTGTCTTGCGGTCTGATGCGTCGACGAATTGGAATGTTGGTGTTGACGAGGCTTTTGCGGGAGGAGAAGGCGGGTCTGACGAGGATTTGGGCGGTGATGGTTGTGGTGGGGTAGGAGTGCGAGTTGTGGAAGGCGGTGGGAAGGTCGGTGGTGGTAGCAGCGGTGAAGTCGTGGTCGGCGTGACCGAAGTATTCGTCACTGGTTCTTCGGTCGCTTCGTCGGCTTGCTGGTCGTAGCTGTGACTCGGAAAAAAATGATCCAACGACATTATCGGCTGAGGCTTTTGGGGCCAAACTGAATCCACCAGATCCGCGTCGGTGTTGGTGATCGTAATGCCCGGAGGCGAAGAGAAAACCGTCGACGACGAAGACGAGTTCGACCAGTCCGCCATAGGGAGATTTCTCGACATGATGGCTGGTCCGAACTCGTCCAAAGGAATGTCGCCCGGAAAGGAAACGCTGGCAAATGGATTCATGAAGAACGAGTTGAGCGGTGTGAACTCGACGTCGACGCCGAGTTGGGGTAGTCCAGGTGTCTGCGACGCGAGGATACCCGTCGGCTGCTGCTCGAGAGTGTCCGGCTCGAAGCTGGCCACAGCTGGTAGCTCATGTTTGTGACCGAGGTCTTGTTCGTACCCAGAGCTGTAGCCAGAAGACGGCGTGAGACAGCTGGGATCGATAAATTCGTTGCATTGCTCTTGTGAAGAAGCAACACAGTCCGTGAAGAGGTGCCGGTAGTGACTATTGTTGTACTGATGAAGGTCTCCGAGACCGCTAGACCGCCAATTATGGCGGTGCGTAGACCTCGGAGAGCTGAGACGGTGCGGCGGCTGCAGACATCCTTGTTGATCACTATGCAAGTTGGTGGCTAAAGCCTTGAGGGAAAGTAGGGTGGCTCAACGCCTTAGTCGTCCGATTGCTTGGTGTAAAGAGGAGAACAAGAATGGAAGTTGGGAGATAGCGGCCTCGATTTAAAGCACGTTGGAACTTGGCTCGTACGGCGGGCGAGGGTCTGGCTCGGAAACAAAGCACGCACACTGGCATTTCCGAACTATACCATAAAGAGAAGTTGGAGCGTCACAGTGTGACTCGAGCGATCCGGCCGAAATCGATTCGGGCCAATCAAAGAGGGGACTTTGGTCGAGAAATCTGGGCGTCCCATCGCTAATCTGTGAGTTGTGAGTAGTAAGCAGATGCTCGCTACTTTGACTGCAAAAGGCTATACTCGTCGCTGGACGTCACAAGCGCTGGAGGACACGTCGTCAGCGAGCGTCCCTGGCGTGGGGCAGTGACGGGGATCACCTCCTTCCCAAAGAGGTACCTCGAGAACGTCGACGTCTGCGAGAAGGTCACGTCGAAGGACTGTCCTTCGGTCGACGTCTCTGCGGTTGCACACGGTCCCTTACAATTCACGACTCTATAAAAATAGACAACGTCGAGGTGCTGGCCGTCTTGAAGCCCAAGAACAATCTTGGGCATTGATGAAAGGTGATTTTGCATCAGGGAAGCTGACATCGACTGATTCTCAGTGATAACAAACCATTTTGCCGATCTGAGCTCCAGCTATTGTTCTTTTCGTCATGTATAGACATGTAGATTGCGGGGACTGATCTGAGCAAATCTCTTGATCAATGAGCAGTGTAATGGGCCTCTGGGCAGCAAGCGCGACAGGAGGGCAGCTCGGACAAGCTCCTTATCGACGAGGAATCCGCCTGTGTGCACGAGATAGAGTCTGCACACAGATGCTGGACAAAACGTCTGGCATTCACGACAAATGAGGGAAGATGTTGACAACGATAGCCTTGAATCAAAGCCACGGGCAGAGACGGTCTGAGGCTTTATCAATATCGCGAACAGCCTACGTCAAAGCACTGGTCAATATATGACAGGCACGAACGGGTGTGCACAAGCAATCCTCTGGTGCTAACAGAGCCACAGCAGTGTATCTACATGAGGACCTTCCCAAACTTCACGATACTCTTCCATCATCGACATTTCTCCCGTCACTTCATCTCTGAGCACTGCCCCCTCGCAGCAGTCATCTGGGATGAGCTCACAGTCTCGAGCGAAGAGATGATCCTAACATGCGTCCGTAATTAACATAGTGGCGTAAGATGTATCGGGAAGGTCTTCTTCCATTAACAGTAATCTGTCAAGTTCTATCCGCCCGCAATCGACCTGTCAAGTCATCTTGCCTGCATGAACTCGATGCTCTGGATTTCTTTCCCGCTGGAGATCCACTCCGGCGAATTGCCTGCGCTTTCATGGCGAGTAGTAAATCTGTCACACCTGCGCGCGACCTGAGCGTTCGTCGCCAGCATCACACAGCGAGCGCCGACACATGCTGCGCGCTGTGTGTATCAGCAGGCATGTGATCAACAGAAGGCCGCTTCGGCCAGTACTCCAACAATGTCGCCAGCTTCTCACGCTCGCGATCGAGACATCCTGCGACGACACGTGTGTAGCCATTCTGGAAAAGCATGACCTTGCCGGAGCACAGCAAGGCATTCACGATGCACCAAAGACTCAGGCTCAGCTTCACTTCAATGAGAAGCTGACAGCGGCCAATACTGGCCTGGGTGGCATACATCCCCTTGAGTCGCTCGACAGCCACCATGCGCATCTCGCTAAACTGGTCAAGAGGTCACTGCACTTCCTGCCAGAAGCGACGGGCGCCGATGTGCCGCCAACGAAGCTCGTCCACGACCCGGACGGCGTTCCTCGCGTGAAGCCAGACTTCATCTCCGTGACCCGTGGCCCAGGCATGCGCAGCAATCTAGCTTGCGGCCTGTCTACCGCGAAGGGTCTAGCGGCAGCATGGTCCGTCCCCCTCCTCGGCGTCCACCACATGCAAGCGCACGCTCTCACACCGCGCCTCGTCTCTGCTCTAGCATCCACTCCCTCTACTCCCGCCACTCCCGCCTTCCCCTTCCTCAACCTCCTCATCTCCGGCGGCCACACCCTCCTCCTGCACTCCCACTCCCTCACATCCCACACCACCCTCGCGACTACCCTCGACATCGCCATCGGCGACTGCCTCGACAAATGCGGCCGCACCCTCCTCCCGCCCTCCCTCCTCGCCTCCACCACCGACACCGCCTACGGCAAACACCTCTCCAACTATGCCTTCCCCGACCCGGCCTTGTTCGAAACATACTACCCCATCTCCCGCTCGCGACATGCCGAACTTCTCAAGCCCAACCACCCAAACTACGACTGGTCCTTCCAGCTGCCCCTCGGCAACACGCGCCAGCTCGCGTTCAGCTTCACGGGCATTTGCTCGCGCGTGGGCGGTTTGGTCAATAAGCGTCCTGGAGGCAGCGCGGCAGTGCCGGAAGGCGAACGCCTCGCTCTCGCGCGCACCGCCTTGGGAACGGCATTCGAGCACCTGACCTCCCGAATCATTATCGCCCTCTCCACCCTCTCCGCCAATTCTTCCACCAGCAACCAGGCCATGCCCAAGACCCTGGTAGTCTCAGGCGGCGTCGCAGCTAACGCCTTCCTCCGCTACTTCCTCCGCGCGACCCTTGACGCGCGCGGGTTCGAGGATGTAGAGCTCGTCTTTCCGCCACCGGAGCTGTGCACGGACAATGCGGCGATGATTGGTTGGTGTGGGATGGAGATGTACGAGGCAGGGTGGCGGACTGGGTTGGAGGTTGGTGTTGTCAGGAAGTGGGGGATGGGCGGTGGAGGAGTAGGTGCGGAAGAGAATGGAAAGATTGATGATGAGGCCCGTGGTGGCGGGATCTTGGGACTGCCAGGTTGGTATCGCGTAGAGTCTTGAGCATCGGGACGCATCAAATCCAGGACTATGGGCGGCTTATTGCTGATTGGAAGCACTCTATCATATCACAAAGAGAGCCATGCAACAGTATCGGATTCTCCCTAGCCGAGAACCATGTATTTCCATGTACCACCAGCTTTCTGATAGACATACAAGTGCGTACAGTGCAGAGGCCATTCATGCTTTCTGCTCCCTAGCTGTACTCTACATTCCCCTGCCACCAATCCTCTTGCTTCGGCCGTCGCACGTCGCCCCATTGATCAGGCCGTGGTTCTGTCAATCTCGACAATAGGGGTCTCTGAGCCAGCAGAGTGCCCTCGGAAAGATGGCTAGCCGCCCAAAACCAGCACTATACTCTATAAACAGGTGGTCCGTTGCTATGTGTGTCGCGGCATTGTGTATACAGAAAAAGTCAACAGCTCTCCCGAGTCGTTGTCGTAAAGTCGTTATAAACAGTAATAGAAGCAGAATAATCAAAATCGCAGACCGCCCTTTCGTAAGCTGTATTCTTGAAGAACACCAAGTACGCCGTTGTATTAGTGTTCGAGCGCTGTCATCCGTCGGGCATCGTTAGAACCGTGCCCGCTGGTTGTTAAGACGATCGTATGCGGAGTGCAGGTGGATCTAACGCAGAGTACTCCTCAAGGAGCATGTTGCTTGTCTTTCGAAAGCAAGCTTGCGGCCTCTGATGCCGCAGGCGGTGGTTTGTCGAGCCTGAAGCTCGTAAAAGAAGCCGAAGGTGGATTGGCCGTTACAGCAGGCGTCGGAGCAGCATCGCTGGCGCCGCTTCGTTCACCTGGTCGTGCCATGAATCGATCTGAAGGACTAGGAAGGGGATTATCGTAATTCGTTTGCTGGGGTGTAGCCACCCCTACAGGCAGAGCAGGCTTTGAAGCCAATTGGCTTTCCTGCCTCCTTGATCGTCTTTTGCCGCTCGAAGAGTCTTCTCTGAAATCGATGCGCTGCAGCGGTGTCTGTGTCACATCCGACGAAGCCGATGCCGTAGTAGCTTCCTCCGCAGGTACCGGAGCACCTGTCGAAGTCCTGGTCTTCTTTGAAGGCCTCTTCTTCGGCTCGTAGACCTTGCCCTCTGCTGCGAGAAGCCGATCACGCTCTTCTGCCTCTTCCTTCGTCGGACGACCGCGCTTCTTAGGCCTGTCGAGCGATAATTCGGACGGTGCTGTCTGTACAATCGTCAGGGGCGTCTCTCCATTCGTCGATCCTGGTGCAGGTGAGTCGTCTGAACGCGCCGGGCGTGGCTTGAGGACTCGCGGTATCGGTGCTTGTATGTGTGGTACCGGTTCCGTGAAATTACGCGATTGCTGGTATGAAGTATGCGAGAAAGGCGATGCGCTCGAAGGAGCGAACGAGAAGGACTGTGGTGCGCGATGTTGCTGGTCGACCAGGCTCTGGAACATCACCTGTGACGCGTGCAGCGAACGGCCTGCGTGTGTCAGTCTAGCCCATGGCTGCCTGAGAGGGTCTCACCTGCTGGCAATGCAATGTCTTGCCATTGCGGCAATCCGCGCTCTTGGATGTGATGGACCAGGTAGCCGACCACGTCGGGATGCTGGCCTTGTAGTATGTTCAAAAGCAACTGGATTTTCTCGTTATGAGTCCATGGCTCGTTGAACTTGTTTGACATGAGGCCTGGCTCAAAGCCGAGGAATGCACGGGCGAACGAGTAGTAGCGGCATTCGGTGTCTGCTGACTGGGTGAAACAAGCGCGGTAGACGCGAAACAGCCGCAGTCAAAAAGGTACCTTCCGTCAGTTCTATGTCGCTGCTGAAGTCTGAGATGGAAAGAACGATGGCCGTGAAGACATTGCCTTACTGTCTTCACAGATGAGGAAGGGACGAACAGCTGATCGCCCCGTACCAAAGCACATGGCAAATGGGTCGACCAGCTCAAAAATGTGGTCTCATGAACGGCCGCAGGTACTATTGGGCGGCGATCAGGGAGCCGTAGCGGACGGCGAACTGCACGAAAAGCCTGGAGCTGCGGCGTGAGTGGTGGATCCAGTCGTCTGATTGCGCAAAGCAAGCTGGCTATGGTGCCCAGAAGGGAAAAGATCAAGAAGCTGTGCAAGATGAATGAGCACCAATGAACATGGATCACCAGTAAAGCCGGTGACCAGGCTCGCTAGTTAAGAATCTCGACCATTCTTTGTGAGTTAGTGGTACGCATGCAGGTTGTACCAGGTATCGAAGCTGTTGTGATGGCAGGAAGCTCGTGAGCTGCCTCTGTCATATGCATGGACTGCAGCATTTTGCGGATGAAGGGTGGCTCAAGTGACCTCCCGCAGCTCGTCCGGAGCATCGAACAGGCATAGCTCAGGTCTTGGTCCTGTGGGTTGCTGGCTTTGGCTGCAGGGCCTGTACAATCTAAGGTGCATGAAACCACCCAGAACTTGAGTTCCACTTTGTCACCGCCAAACCAGCCGGAAAATTCGGGGTCGCGGGGCTTCATGCACTGGAGATTGTTGCGATTTTGTTGAAGTCGCAGAGTCGCAGAGTACTCGACTGGATCGTATCGTCCTCGAGACAATTCATTTCTCAGTATGATATGAGTGGATCCTAATGTCCTTGAGCCTAAGAAACAAAAGTCAGGGAAGTCATTGGAGGTTTCGGTATCCTCGCTGGTTGGCCGTGCAGCAGCCAATGATGCTTAGGACCAGGCCCAAGCAATCACCTCGAGCGGAGGTCGTCCTGCAAGAGTCGACTTCCGATCACAGTGATTCACACCAAGCACGTTCTTCGTTTCAACTTCATCCTTCTATAATAACGTCTGTTCCAACGTCACTCGAGGTGAGTGCTGCTGTCGGAAACGTGTCAATCGCGAGGTTTGGTGTTCGCGCCGGGGTTGGTAAGCCCCGCATCGCGACTGCTGCTCGACGCGTGAACTGAGTCCATGAGCGAGCGAAGGTAGGTAAGCGCGCAAAGATGGAAGGTACAATGGTCGGGAGAGTTGTAAGGTATGTATGGCAGTTTGCGACAACAGCAGCGTTACTTATACACATTGACTCGATGTTCTTCACCGCTACTCACTTGTCGGATGAATGACAGCATCGAGACCCAGTTCGCTTGTGTTGGGTAGTCATGCATGAGCGCGACGTGGCAGTCCGTCGCTGGACTTTTGCTACATTCCAAGGAAGTCAAAACATGCCATCGCCTCTTTTGACCCGCATGCACCTCAGCTTACTGTTTGTTGCCTCGCTTTGGTTTTCACTTTCTCGGTCTTTGTTTTCGCAAGCCAATGATGGATTTGCAATTAGCAAGACGATATGATTCGGAGCGGATGATTGCTCTTGGACGACGATGGCCTTCGACAGATGGGCTCTCCAACCTTGGGAGGATTACTGTACACCATCATTGTCAGTGCTGCCCTGAATGCGATACTCAATCGATGTCGAGAAACCTATCGAAGAATGAAAACCTTGTGAGTGCGTCAAGGGGTGACGGTACAGTAGCACCATCCCAAACGTCTCAGCTTGCGGGAACAGGTTACGTCGCCGCGAGCTACAGTCGTCAACGTCGCGAGATGCAATCTGAAGATGGGCAAATACCCCAATGAGAGAGTTGGGCGGATCGAATAGTGCGATTGCTTGATATGAAGCCGTGGCATTGAGCGCGCTGTACATGCCGGCTCGAGTTGCGAAAGCGCTGAGGTCTTACGATGTCTATTGTGGGAGCCATACGTATCGCCATAGCCCTGGATCGGTCAACAATAAGCAATGCTTCACCTGCTGACGCATCTGGCGTGTCTTTCTTTAACGAAGTCCCATCACTTGAAATCGTCGCTCTGGACAACGCTGGTCCGCCAAAACGAGCTCGCTTCCGGCACACACAGATTCCGTCTTCCCGAAAACCCAAAAAAGAAATCATCATCTAATGGGAATTGAACCTCAGAGGACTTACGGACATAGTTGCGCTCGTGATCTCACCTCATATTCTGTATGGGTTTCTACATGGGAGTGTCACCGTCACCCCAGTCAGACGCATTGACCCTTAGAACTCCCCCCATAAGGTATATGTGGTGAGTTTCAACCCATCTCAAATCCGCTGCCTGGTAAGCATCCGAGCTTTCTTGGCCAGAGAATGCATCAAAATACTTCCATGGCACTGCAGATTTTGGTGGTATAACCTTTTTCAGGTTTGAAGGTTTCGCTCCAGATGTTGGCGCAAAAAAGTAAAGGTCGAATATCAGTAGCTTGAACTGGTTGCCCAGGTGACAAGCGCGACGATTCCCTGAAGTCGTCGTTGGCCTCGAGGCTGCAAGGCTGAAACTTCGCGGTGGCAGCCGGATCAATTGCGACGGCGATGATCATGACATCCCGACTTGATTGCTGCTGAGAAGCTCGTGCTTTTCGAATGGTGATTGCCGAGTGCACTTTCGCTTACCGTGTAGTCATTGGACTTGATGGCGTGGTCGCATGGGCTCGAGCGGCAGCTGCCTGTGGCCGGGCTTCAGCGAAGTCGCGATTCTTCGATGCGAGTGGTTGATCCTGCGAAAGCCTTCTTCGTGACTATATTGACATCCTTCTCTCCGCAAAGACCTTATTCGTACCTATATCGAGATCCTGCTTTTCGCGAACGCAGCCTTCCGGAGCCATAGCCCCACCCCACAGGCGGTCACGAATGCCTTCAAATGTTCCTCTCCGGCACCGCTCTTAAAGGGGTTGATACTGCCAACAAGCCCTTGATTCACAGAGATGCTTACCTATTCATGGTGGATCGCCGACTGTGGCTCCCTCTTACCTGCACAAGGACGTCTAAATTCCTCTGCAACCCTGTCCTTGGCGTGTAATTCAGATATCTGGGATTTGTCTTGAACTCGATGCAGGACTTCGTGACTGAGACACTCTGGACGACGATAAAATTGGCACGCTCTCAGCAGAGCGTCTACTGTGGGAGGCGGATGAGCAGAACTCGTAGTTGTTCACATTGAGATGGGTTTTACAAGGAACAGGGACAATCTCCCTGTCAGATGACTTGCTACTGAAAAGAAAAGACCTAGAGTACCATCGTGAAGCACCAGCAATAGACTCTGAAGTGAGCTCAAATCGAAGCTCCGATGAACCGCTGTCCTGGTAGATCACTCCAGGTAGATCAGTTCAAGGAGGTGTACCGTAGCTCACTCACTGCCGATGCTAGCGCCGGAATTACGACTCGGTATCTCCCGGCCGCGAGCACCACCGGCAGTGGCACGCGCTCTGCTGCCCTCGATCTAAAAAGCAATTTGGCCATCTGGAAAGCTGTGATCAAGGCTCGACACGTTGGTGACCAGTTCTTACTCTCGCTGCGACTCCATTCTCTCCGCGGTTGCAACCCAAGATGCAGGCCAATCCTCCACCACCCATGATCAACATGAACACCAGCAGCGGTCGCCAAAACGTGCCGTTGCGCGACTACCTCAACGCTCGCATTGCGCCATTCCTCAAGAAAGCGATGACGGAGAGCATAGGGTCAGAGTAGGCGCGGAATCTTCCTTTGACACAATCGGAGGACTGACAACATGACCAGAGCAGAGTTCCCTCTACAGTGGCTAGGCGAACATCTCATACACCAGTCACTTCTCTACGAGAACAATCCCGACGCCACAAACATCCGTGAAAGATTCAGATACAACTTCGATGCGCCTGCAGCTCAACAGCCGGTCGCTGAAGACACAAAAGTCAACGGCTCAGAGCCAATAGCTACACAGGATGCGGCAACATTTGCTGCAGCTACAGTGTCAGTACCTCCACCACCGGATGCAACGATGACGAACAGCGAAGGAGGCGGGCAGCAAGCTGCTACTGGAGGAGATTCATCGACAGGCCAAGCAGATGCTCCTGCAGCAATTACAGACTCAGAAGATGTCAATATGGCCGATCCATCGTGAAAAGTTCAGGAATGGCGACAACTACGACCATTGTGACGATCACATGGAGGGGTTCAGCGGTCCGGCATGATAACGTGACAGCGTGGAAGAGCCATTCCACACTAGACGCTGCACGAGGCCGGCGACCAAGAAGGGTTTTCGAATGGCTGCATCTACGGTACGATCCTATTGCGAGACAGTCAGCAAAAGTCTGCGACAATGAGACGCATATTCGCAAGGCGCTGAAAACAATCAGAAGTCCGTTTCGAACATCGAAGGAACTGCTCCGAAGAGCAGCCTTCTCAATCAAGAGGTACCAGAAATAGTAAAAAGAGGTATCATCATAGAAGGATGGCGGCGAGAGGAAGGAGCATAGCATACCTTGAAAGCTCAGCTGGAGTCTTGGGAGACAGCAACTATCGACACTGGCAAGGAGCATCAGTCTCGCTGCTCGTTCAACGACGTCTCGCTTTGCACGTCAACGCCAGGTCGTGGCCAGTATCCAAGCTAGAGGGTTGGTGGGCGGCAAAAGGTTGGCTAACAGGAGACCGAGAGTCTATCAGATACGAGTTCGAAGCATCCATGAACTTCGCGGCAATGAATTCAGCTCCGGCGGAAGGGAAGGTAGAACTTGAAGATGTGGTGGAAGACAAACTTCGAACTTCTCCAATTTCAATCTCAGTTGCGCTAGTAGCCACAAAGATTCGACGTAGTGCCAAGATTTCGCACTTGCCAAGCCTCACATCTTTTCGTAGACCGCAGTTCGGCATCACGACTCACCTCCTGACGAAGCGACAATTTCCTTCCTCGACAATCACACCCAACCGCCATCATGGGTCGCCTTCACAGCAAAGGCAAGGGTATCGCCTCTTCGGCCATCCCATACTCGCGCACTGTCCCTACCTGGTTCAAGAGCAGCCCCGACCAGGTTGTCGACAACATCTACAAGTTGGCTCGCAAGGGCGCAACACCTTCTCAGATTGGTGTCATTCTCCGTGACAGCCACGGTGTCGCTCAGGTCAAAGTAGTCACTGGTAAGTGTACATGGTCGAGATCGTCCAGAGCACGGGATGATTCCAAGGCAAAGTTGGAAGGCAACTTGGCTGACACATGAATGCTGCAGGCAACAAGATCCTCCGAATCCTCAAATCTGGTGGTATGCACAACCCTTGACCGTCCCAAGTCGTGCTTTGAGACCTATGCTCTCTGCAATCGACCAAGTCATGCGATGAAGAACTCAGACTGGCGCGCTCCTGCCACGAATGCGGATTGAGCAGGAAAGCGCCACGTCAAGATACACATTCAAGCCTCTGCTTCGGTTCATTTTCGCACATTGGTTCTCACAGACCGCTTGCGGAAGAAAAAATGACACAAGACTGACAGAGTGATTTTCAGGCCTCGCTCCCGAGATCCCAGAAGACCTGTACTTCCTCATCAAGAAGGTACGTGAAGGGACACTGGCTACGATGTATCGGGTCAGCTAACGTTTCCAGGCTGTTGCCGTCCGCAAGCACCTCGAGCGCAACCGAAAAGACAAGGACAGCAAGTTCCGTCTTATTCTGATCGAGTCAAGAATCCACCGTTTGTCACGTTACTACAAGACTGTTGGCGTCCTGCCTCCGACATGGCGGTATGAGAGCGCCACTGCCTCGACTATGGTTGCATAAGCATGCAGCGAAGTTACTGGACAATGGGACGTCTCTGTGGTGGATACTTCAAATGACATGGCATTCGGTGATGAGGCGCGTAGGGAGGCTGTATTGTTGAGCCCACTGAGATCGTCTTACCGGACGTTTTCTCGAAAAATCGAGCCTCGAGACAGATGGAGACCGGATTGCCAAAGGTATATGAGCGATCCAATGGTCTTCATGTGGCCCATGGCTGCATACGTTGTCGGCTTGTAAAAGTCTAGATAGTCGCGGACGAGTCGAAGCTGCGATGAGAATGCAAATCAATTCAAACACTTCGGAAACCCTGCTTAAGTTCACTTCGTTGCGAGTCGTCGAATCTCAGGTTGTCGTCTTCACCCCACCACGAAGTAGATCGTCCCACCAGGCAGCTGTAGGTCCCACCGCAGCATGACAATGTGTTGTGTCGACGATCGACAGTAGTGACTGTTGTGAGAGCAGAGATGGGAGTCGAGAAAAGACGCGTACTAATACCTTTCCGAGACCTTGATGATCCGCAGCAAGCCGAAACGAGCACTTCACTACCTCTATCAGACTTGAAATAGCCTAATTGAATTGCGCAAGGCATTTGAGGAGGCAAAAAGGCGACCACGGCAATAAGCACGACCCAGAGTTTTCACGGTCGTGCCTGCCTCTTCCTCGTCCACGGGTAACAAAGGAAGTCCCAGCCATTGCATACACTGTCGACTCGGAACTTTTGTGCTGATGGATCTCCTTGAAGTGTGTCATCCCGCCCAAAAAGACGCCCCAAGATATTGATCGTCAGGCAGCAGGTGGGTCCATTGGGGCCAAGTCAGCCTGTCACTGGCGTGATGTTGCCTAGTTCTTCACTGGACCCTAATACCATGATCGAACTTGCCGAACGTGTACTCAGCTCAATAACGTCTCCCGGCGTCACAACCTTCAGTACTGAACTTCACGCATTCAGATGAGTCTGACACAGGATTCACGCATCTTGTCTCGCGATGAATTCGAGGACGCGCTCGAGAAGGCGTCCAGAAAGCTGGCAGGCATCAAAGTCAATGTTAGGAAGGAAGTTCACCAGGCAGAATTCTGCTTTGGATGCTTCTGAACCAATCATTGCATCCGACCCCTGTCTCAGAGGCTGACGCTACCCACAGATATGACCGCTTTGGTCGGCTTCTGCCTCGGGACTGTCTGGCGCCGAGTGCTCGAAGATGTGATCGCATCCATCCGTGCCCGCGAGAACCCCATGGCTAGCTATGCTAGCCTTAATCAGAGGTAAACCCCTATCATGATGGCCTTGTTCTTGCTCTCAACTCCCACCCTGATCTAAGACAACGTGCTATACCTGGATCAAGAAGGGTCTCGACCTGGATCTGACCCATCTGCCATCACCATGGGCCACCAACATCATCGTCGGTCCACCTCGCTGGTGACGCCATTCCACGACTTTTCCCTGCGTGTGAGCGACTTGCACGACAGCGATCTGGCTGTCAACATCCGGAGACACCATGCAAGCAACGAGATTGAACGTGCTCTGGCTCGTCTTTACGATGTCGTCAAGGACAACGAGGCAATCAATGGCATCAACGGTCCTCTGAAGCCATGGAATATGCCATCATCCGCTGGCACTTCGGGCTTGTATCAGCAACGGCATTCATCTCGGCCGACGAGTCCATACACACCGCCCCGTACGCCCAACATCAGTGCGGGCGCAACTGCTGTGCGAGCAGAACTACAAGCACGCATCAGTGATCTTCGCCAGAAGCTCGATCAGGCCAACGAACTCATTAGCACTCTTCGGCATGATCTCGATGTTGTCAGAGTAGGTCTTGCCAATGCTAAGAAGGACGCGAACCGATTGGGAGACAATTTGTCAGATCGAAACAGCACGATCGCCGACCTCAGAGAGAAAGTGGCTAGGCAGCATCAGAAAATGGAACGAGAGCGGCACTCGCGTTCGCCGCCATCAGTTGATGCTCGCCGGCAAAGTATGTATGTCAACCGGCATGCTGACGACAACCATAATGCTGCCGGAACCTCATCCACGCGTCGCCAAAGCACTTATCACAACCGGCATGACGACATCAATAACGCTCAGATGGATGGAAATGCTCCCAAAGCGAGCAGTGGCATACGAGACCCACGCTCCAAGACCCAATTGAAGTTGGACTTGGCGACGGTTCGTTCTCTGCTCAAAAGGGCCAAGGTCACGGAGCTGAAGAGCTCGCCCGTGATGTGCTGAAGGCCACCAAGGACACATACAATGACCCAAGTCTGCGTCTCAAGGAGACCAGAGAAGCACAGCTTATTCTCTGCGCTGTGTTACGAGAAACAAAACACGGTAAGAAAATAGAGGAGGCACGCGCCAGGCATACCACGTATAGCGTGGCCATCGACGATCTTGCTGCGATGAAAGTCATGCAAGACAACGACAGAGACTGGGTCTTCCTCAACGCGTTAGGCTTATCGTCAACTCTTGCTGAGCTTGGCCAGTACAAGGCTGCCGTCCAGAAACTCACGGAGTGTGAGCGAGCGAGCCGCCTTATGACACCTGATCTGCAAGACCGGCTCGCTCAAACAACTCTCGTCATTGTCGATATCTGCATCGACGCTGATCTACCAGAACTCGCTACTTCAGCATTTGAACTCGTCTACCCGTCTCGCCGAAACACTACGGTCCCCAACACAGTGCCAGCGGAACTCCTTGCCAACCTAGGTACAGCTTTGTTCCCCTCATCCTCTGGCACACAACCCACAGCAAAGCGCTTCCTACAGCAGGCATACGCACGACGACGCGAGCTGGACAAGCCCGCCCAACGTACCGTCGGCTACCTGCTTGCCCTTGCGGCAGAGCGCCAACACCAGTGGCGTGAAGCTGAAAGCCTCCTAACCAATCTGCCTCCATCCAGCCGCTATGTAAATTTGCAACATGATCAACGCACGCAGCAGCCGACCGAGAACGCCGTCTTGGCTCTACTCGCCCACGTGCAACTTCACCTAGAAGAGTACACTTCGGCCGAACGACATGCCAGGGATCTGTACACCAAGCACGGTATCCGCTGGCGTGGCTCGTTCCATCCTGCGAACACGCTCATTCAAGTACTAGCCATGAGCTCCGGTGACAGGAGCCAGCGATTCCAAGAAGCCCACGCGATCTGGCAGAAGATCTATGCCGACATCGTTCTTGGCGATTCGAATGTCACTGACCGTGAGAAGTGGAAGGCGAAATTGCTCGGACATTCGGACGCGGGCGAAGTGCTGGCAAGGGAATGGACGGTAAGTTGTGAGAGAAGAGGCAAGGTGGCGAGAACGGCAGAGCAGGTCGCGGGCGAGGTGAGGCTGTTGAGAGATATGGTTCGCTGATCCGGGTGGCCTGCCATACTTATGTACTTGTGTCGTGGCTTCTCGGGTCGCTCAATAGCCAAGGTTCCTACAACTTCGCCTTCCCACCGCCACTCCCATTCAGGACTAGCTCCTTCAAAACATGCTTCTGCAACTTCCCACTTCCCGTCTTCGGGAATTCCTTGACCTCCGACAACACGCCTTGGCCTAGCCAGAAAATATGCTTTGGCGCCTTCTGCCGCGCCAACTTCTCCCGTACCCAGCTGCAAATTTCATCGTTGCTCGGTGTCGAGTCCGGTTGTGTTGATAGGATTGGGTCCGTTGGACGCAGGAAAGCCGCAACAACCTCGCCATACCTCGCATCCGGCAAGCCAAGAACGCACGCTTCAGCAATACGAGGATGCTGAGCGAGTCGATGTTCTATCTCGGCTGGGTAGACTGCAAGGAAGTCAAATCGTCAGTTCTAGAGCAACAGTGTGCTGAACGGAGGTCAAGAAGAAAGAGACTCACTGTTCTCCCCACCCCTGATAATAATATCCTTGATCCTTCCCGTAATGATCAGAAATCCCTCTTCATCGATCTTCGCCTCATCTCCCGTTCGGAACCACCTCATACCATTATCCCTGTCAGTATAGATCGCCTCCGCGGTCTTCTCGGGCTGCTTGTAGTACCCCGCAAAAAGCCCGTAGCTCGAGATGAGCAACTCGCCGGGCTGATTCCTGGGCAGGATCCTGGACGGGTCTCTCTTATCCACCACCCGTAATGAGATATGCGGATGTGCCTTCCCACAAGTCGCAACACGCTTTTCAACAGAGTCATCCGGATGCGTGCCAGAAGTGCCCATTGAGACCTCGGTGATGCCGTACCCGATGCAGGGTTCTCTCATACCTAAGACGGTAGACATCGTATCGAGATGCTCGCGACTACAGGGCGAGCCGGCCACGAAGCCGGTGCGCAGGCTGGTGATCTTCCCTGCGAGGCCGCGTTTCTTGGCTACTTCAGCCACGGCGAGGAACATGGTTGGAACACCGGTCATGATGGTGGCTTTGTACTCGATCATAGCGGAGAGGGTTGCCGCGGGATCGAACCCTGGGGAGGGAATCACGAGTGAGCCGCCGCGGATGAAGGCCATGAGGAATGTGCCTATTGTGCCGAGGCAGTGGAAGAGGGGTGCGCATTGGAGGGAGATGTCGTTGGGACCGATGTTGACGAAATTTGAGGAGAAATGGGCGTTGTTGAGCATGCCGTGGTGGGTGAGGAGGGCGGCTTTGGGGCGGCCGGTTGTGCCGGAGGTGAATTGGATGTTGAGTGTTGTTGTGGGTGAGACCTGGGCTTCTGCTATTCGTAAATCGATGGACGGCTTTGGAGTCTGGGTGCTGAATCGTGCGTAGGGCGTGCATCGTGAGCTTTCTCGTACATCGTTTCCCACTTGGATAATGTGCTGGAGTTGTGGTAGAGACTGCAGCAAGCTGATATGCTCTTTGAACGAACGCGGTCCAAGCTCTGAGCAGATGAAGATGGCTTTGCAGTCCGTGAAGGCGGCCGCGTCGGCGAGCTCCCTGGCTGTGAATGTGAGGTTGAATGACACTATTGGCAGACCGACGCGTGCGGCAGCCAGGAAGATCTCGATGTGCTCGACGCAAGAGGGCAAGAAGATGCCAATGTGGTCACCGAACTGAAGATCCGAAGACAACAAAGCCTTAGCTAGCACTCGCGAGCGGTGTGCGAGCTCTGCGTACGAGACATTTCGCTTCTGGTATGTCGATATGAGGAAGGTCTTGGCTCTGTATTGTTCGTCCTGCTCATCGGTCAGTTGTCCTAAGGTCTTGTGGATCAACGAAGGTTCATCGCCCCCGTAGACAGCACTGAGATCAGTTGTCATGTTCACGACAAGAGAAGTGTCGGCTGGAAACGAGTTGCATGAGAGAGAAGCCCCTACCTTGAGGTATAAGGGAAGAAAGTGGTGCTTACCCCGGAAAAGCTTACGTGACGCATACGACAAAGCTGAGAACCTTGGAACTTTGTTGCAACAGACACCGCATATTCAACCACAGCTCAAGCTTGACATTTTCCGAAGCATTGATAGTGTCTCACATTGTTGCGTCCGTAAGTCATAGAGCTGTCGTGTAAGTGGACTTGCCAGAGCACCATAAGCAGTAACAAGCGGCTTATGCACCCCGCAATCATGGGATTAGTGATCCAAATTCCGAGGCTTCAAAGCAGGCCATGTACTCCGTGTGTCTGTCGCCGGGAAATGCCAGGTATCCGTCCCTGATACTCAAACAGCCGCAATGGAGGCATGTCCGTGAACGACCAAGTAACAAGCGGGAGGTGCAGTATCCCAGGCGGACTCTGTCGAGTGACATTCACGACTCGCGTCCGAGCATGTACAAAGTGCGCTGCCTTCGGAAAGCTGCAGACATAGTACAGCTTCGTCGCGACGCCAGTCGACAACGATCGTCTCCATGTTGATCTCTGGATCTCTGCAGGTGAAGCAGAATTGGTACTATGCCAGGTAGACTCCAAGGAACGGACTGCCATCGAGACTGGTGCTCCGCGATCTCACCCGTGAAGAGTTGACGGCTGCTAGAGGTGAAGCAATGCTTGGGTCAGCGAGGCGTGTAGTAGCTCTGGCTGTGTTCAGGCGATACAATGATCCGCAAAGCATCGCCAAGACATCTTCTGTGTGACCTTGTTGAAATATCTGCTGGGTGCGTGAAACCGGCATTCAAACAAAGACTCCTTTCGCGTGACAAATGCATCGTAATGGCCTCCGAGCACGAGCGACAGCCAAGAGCACCCAGGGCTCGTGGTTTTCCACGCGGCTGCGTCGTGTTGCTCAACGGCTATCCAGGTGTCGGTAAGCTGTCAATGGCGCATGATGTGATCGAAAGAATGCAGCATCACCACCGTCCTTCGACTCGAATATTCGGTAGGTGACCCGGGGACGGCGCAAGAGCACTCACCAGTATGCTGACTTATGACATAGACAATCACCTCACGATCGACCCAGCTATGGCTGCTCATCCTGACAGAGGCCCAGAGTATCAGCGCTTCCGTGCCCAGCTCCGCCAGCTAGCCTTCCGCGAGCTCAAGAGTCTCGAAGACCCAGACATAGTGCTGTTCATGACTGCCTGTCTTGGTGACAACGATGAGGATGCAGCCGCGCTCGCCGAACACATCGATATCGCGCGTGTGCGGAATGTGCCATTCCTCTCATTCACTCTCGAATGCGATACTGATGAAATGCGCGGCAGAATCAGCGCAGCAGACCGGCTGAAGAGTAATAGATTCAAGCTGGCAGACCCTGGTGCGTAGCTACCTCCATGATTGACACATGACTGAGACTCAGCGTTCAGACCAACTCAATGATCTGATCTATCAGCACGGTCTACTTGACCCCAGCAGCGGAAAATGGAACAATACGGCGAGCATACGATATGCGAAATCGAGACACGAGCTCATCAGCACCACTGGAATGGATAAAGATCAAACGTCAATTCGTATTATGGACAGTATCATTCACACTCTAGATCGTGAGACTTGGAGCTACCAGCGCCCGCTGATTTTCAAATGACGACCATGACACCATTCTCCTAGTGTTATGCCTCGGCTTTTGAATGGATATCGCACTCGTGGGCACGTTGGAAACGATGCCTGCTGTCTTTAATAGCACAGGATGTTTCTGGCCGGTCGGTTGCCTCATATGAGTTGTTCAAGGCATCGACCATCTTGTACATAATGTCTTCGTTGCGGCGTACTCGGATGCTACGAAAGTTCTATCTCCGATGAGGCGATGACATTCATCACTCTGCCTGCTTCGCCAACACCTCCACCCATGAATACCAATAAGTGGTACAAATGCGAGACCGAATTCCTCCGCCTTGAGCGCATGTCTTTTCTCCCCACGATCAGGTGGTATAGTCATCAATACCACGACGCTGCGCTCAGAACAGACAAGCAGGGCGATGGCCTGACAATTCGTTCACTTTCACTGATAGCACGTGGAATCATATACCCATACTCTTCATGCTAAAAGCTCCTCCCAAACTCCCCAATGACACTCCTACCCATGCCAAAACCTCCATTACCTCCACCATACACCACAGGCATGTCCAGATCAAAGAATTCTGGCCCACCAATCTTCAGCGCCTTTTCCGTTCGCCATAGTGGATGTGCTGGCATGGCAATGACGTCCACATTCAACCCGTACCTGAGATCCTGCGACCCAATCGCTTCCCCATCTTGGCCGAGAATTGAAATCAAATCCGGTACCGTGCAAACTACCTTCCGAGACGACTCAGAGCCCTCAGCATCAGATGTCGCTGCGTACAGATACTCGTTCTGGAACGGAATGTACATGTGAGGCTCTGTGTCTATCCCAGAAACTTTCCCGGCTTCACTGTTTCCACGGACAAGTACGAACCCCAGCGTGTAGCCGCCGCCAACAAAGCGACGGACGTCGACAATCTTGCCTTTGAACAGCACCTTACCGGGACAAACGTCGAACTGAGGTATTGATTAGCTTGGACATGAAGTGTGACAGGTTTCACGTACGATTGCGTCAGTATAACTGGTCTTCTGCTGCCTGGCTAGGTGGATGGACCGTCCGATATACCAAGCCAGTGACATGGTGCGTGGTACCGCATGGCTTTTGACCTCAGCACCAGTACGGGGTGCTGATGAGACACCGCAGGCCAGACCTAGCTCAACGGCTGTCTTCCGCATCATACCTTCCAGTCTCTGAGGGTGCTCAATGTTCTGAAAGCTCAATTAGATCCTATTATACCAGTACCATGGAAAGCACCTTACCATCATGGCTGCCATGTTGCCTCGTGCGTCGGTAAGAACACAAGGGGCCGGAGGATATCCGTATACGTTGAAGGTTGCTAGATGACAGTATCAGCACTCTCGTCGGACCATATCAGGAAATGCTCATGCCAGCCAGACTTACTGTGGCCAATCGTTGGATAAGCTCTGCCCATGGAATCAGCGTCGACGACAGGTATACCCATCGAGGCAGCGATGTGGAAGGAGCTTATGCCGTTTCCGCCCCCACTGGAGCCAGCATATTAGTTTCTGACGCAGTAGGCGAGGGACCATACTCACATCTCAGGCGCTATGAAAGCTTGGAAAGACGTTCCGCCACCAAGGATCTGCTTCATGCCGTCCATCGCCAAAGCTTGCTCAGTCCCAGCCCCGATTCGCTCGTTGAGAACACTTGGGCTTCCGTACCAGGCAGCGGAGCAGACAATGTCTTCGTCCTTCAGAGATTCAGGGGAGACAACCTGCATACTTCCTTTGCCACTGGCTCTCAAATTTGTCAAGCTCTTGAGAAATTCGTAATGTGTTGAACCACCTCCACCTGTCCCGAGCACACCGCAACCTGTGGCAATGAGTTCCAGATCGACCTTGGATACATGCCAGACTTGATCACGGACATCAGGTCGGTATTCGGACAGCGACACATTCAACGTCGGCTTGATAGAGGAGACAACCGAGATAGGGTCAGTGTTGAGCAACTTTGGCTCCTCGTTCTTCTCAGCGACTTCTTCGTCCAGTTTACCATCGCTTGGTGGCGATGCTGGTGGCGTGGATTCGTCGAATCTTGCCAATCGACCGACCGCCTTAACTTGTATTCGCATAGCCGGCTTGTGGGTATACTGCAAAGGCATCTTGTTCACTTCGACCACCTCAACGTCGTTGAACAGCGCACCCTTCTCGACAGCCATATTTATGGCCTTCGTCTTTGCTTCAGTGACAACGGCCTCCTCGGACTTACCATCAATCATCACCACCACGTCGATTTCCCCGCACACTTTAGCTATGGCAGCTCCCACCGCATTGGCTGCCCCAGCATGAGGCGGCAGTGTACATTTCTCCACGCCTTGTAAGGCTTCAGGCGCAAGTACAGCTCCACCACCAACCAGGAGCACATGGACCGGAGCTCTTGACACTTTCATTTTGTCCACGATAGTCTCGAGCGTGCTCTTGATCTCTGCTTGTGCTGCCATGACGATATTGCTGGGAATATAGGATGTCAAGCTGGCATCACCGAGCGCAAGTTTACCAGCCGCTACGATAACGTCGGTCGCAGTGAAAGTTTGGCCTCCAAAGACCAGGGCGTCTTTGTGGAGCGCGTGTCCAACGGAAGAAGGACCGACCTTGACTTCACTTCGCTGATTCGCTTGTGGCGATTTCCAATTGACCACACTACCGCCGCCGAGGCCAATTGAGGCGACTTCTGGGATCGAAAACGCTGTGCGGACGCCGCCAATCTCAACAAAGCCAGGCGCCGGACGAGGGAATCCTGAGGGTAGAAGGGCGCAAACATCTGTCGTTGTTCCACCTATGTCGACTACTAAGATCTGAGGATTCGTTGTCGCAGAGGTCTCCGAATTCTCCGACGCTGGCGGCTTCAGCTTGTCAAGACCAGATAGAAAAGCTGCCCCAATCATGGAATTCGTCGGCCCGCTTGCAAACGTTTTGATCGGGTACTGTGCGGCACTATCGACGTCGATCAGAGTACCATCATTCTGGGATAGGTAGAGTGGGCAGCTCAGGCGGAGACGACGCATCGCTGCTTTGAAGCCTCTCGTCACTCGTCCCGCTGTGTTGAGGATAGCGGCATTGAGAATCGTCGCGTTCTCTCTTTCCAGAAGTCCTATCGGCCCAATAGAGTGGGAGCAGACAACCTTTAGCCCTGGAACGCTCTCGGTGATCAGCCTCTTGCACTCTTCTTCCTGATTTTGCTCAGATGAAATTGGGGAGAACACGCCAACCACAGCTACAGCAGGTACACCTGCAGCTGCAATGGCTTTAGCTGTCTCGACTATTTGCTGTCCATCGAGGTTGGCTATCAGCCGCCCATCGATCTCAAGGCCACCATCAAGGAAGTATGCTCCCCCATCAAGAACGTTGCGGAGGCCTTCGGGGACGTCGGAGAAAGGTGGAAGCTGCCTCGTGAAAGGACCACACAGTCGTACCACAGCGACGCGATCCAATCGTCGACTGTCGGCCTCGATCAAGGCATTGATGAAATGCGTGGTTCCAATGTTGACACTGAGTACACGCTGCTTGTCAACTCCAGACGATTGTAAGACTTCGGCTATGGCGGCTTCGATACCACTGGTGATATCTATTGTAGTCGGCGTCTTGTACGACGCCAGGACTCCACGCCCCAGTCGATCAGAAGCTTTTATATCAATGATGACAGCGTCTGTGTTGGTCCCGCCAACATCAACGCCGATTCTGTAGAACGAGGCCATGGCGAGGGCTCAGCAGTACAGAACCGCAGTTACGAGATTGGCACTCTGCACAGAAAGACTATAAATCGTTCGCGGGTAACTGTGGGAAATGACTTGCCTTTGCAGCGGTAAACGCTTGAAGTCCAGAAACCTACCTTGCTTCAGCGGTGTCTCTTAGCCGTTATCAGCCGTCCAGAAGCGACGCGACGCAGCTGCATGGCATCTGAGGACCCTGTTCGTAGCTGCATGTCCGGGGCACCGACGAATGTTGCGACAGATTTCGAGAAGCACACGCACGAGCCTACAGGACGCAATGAATGACATGACTCGGTAGGAGAACGAATTGAGTTCGCCGAAACGGCTCATTCGGCAGAGGATGAGGATGCATGCAGGATGCAGGATGAAATAGGATAGGATTGTCGCAGCTGGAGCTGGAGCCGGAGTGGGGAAAGAACTTCCTAGGTTATCACTTGCTCGCCGAACTTGTTCGCCTTTCTTCTTCCTATCCATTTCAACATCATCGTCTCACTCCAATTCCGCGTGGACTGTCACATGGGTCTGGGTGCTCTCTGGGTCAATTGAATGCAAAGCCCAAGCCAGGGTCGTGGACGACACTAGCTTTGGATGGCTGACGACAGCGATGTGCACCCCAAACCACACTTCAAGATAAGGAGTGAGTTCGGTATCCCACGACGGAAGGGCAGCAGGAAGGCCAGGCCGTGCGATGCATGCCGGAGACGTAAGACAGCGTGTGTGATTCCCGACGCCCCACCCTGTACGTCTCACACCACTATCTGTGCCAGTCACGCCTGATTCTTGCATACTTACAACGCTAGGTGCGTATTGCAAGTCCAAGGGCATAGATTGCAAATCTTCTAGCTCTGCTCCTCTGCAATCGCAAAGGGTTCCCTCACATGCAAGTCGTACACTTGACAGCCCTGGCGAATATGTTATCGGTCAGTCCGATACCTCAGCAGCCACAACAACTCCTCATCCCAGTACCTCCGGCCGCTCAGTGCCTGGAGGTCTCGGCCAAGGCGCTGTTCAGACGGCTTCATGGGACGCAGATGCCGAAATCTATACACTCGAGGATGGGCTCAATGTGACAGCCCATTCGATGGGTCTTTCTGCAGAGCAAGATGGGAATCTCCTCCAGTCCTTCCGAACAGTGTTGGTAGATGAGACGAATCGTGTTCACAATGATTTTCTTGAGATCTCAGCTGCCAGCTCTGACCCAAGTCTGCCACCGGCCTACTTTAGTACGTTCCCTGGTGTGTTTGATTTGCACATCCCGCCTGATCCATTCCTTGCCCTCTCGCATGGACTAACGAAAGTGCCAACGCGCAGCTATTATCTCCGATCAATTCCAACCGCATGATAACGAGATCAAGCGCGATGCAGGTGTCAAGATAGAAGCTCTCATTGAGTCGTGCGCATCTCAATTGCTCCGGCTATATTTTCGTTATGTCCATCCGGAGTACCCTATACTTTCCAAGGGGAGGTTTTTACGAGCTTTCGGCAACGACAAATCGAGTATACCTGCCTCACTACGTGGTGTTGTCTACGGCCTCGGTCTGCCGTTCTGGACTTACGAGCCTGAGTCGCAACATCGGTCGCCACCTTGTCAGCAGCACGAGCTGTTTATCGAAGCTCGCAAGTCGCTTGAATGCGAACTCGATTCGCCCAATCTGTGGACAATGCAAGCCTGCTTGTTGATCATGCAGGATAACGCGCCGTGGGAATGGACCTTCGAATCCGCCCGAACGTGGACACTTTCCGCGCAAGCTCTTGCGTGCGCACAGCAGATTGGCCTGCATCGCAATCCCAGAGATTGGAAGATTGCCGCGTGGGAAAAGAGTCTTCGCATCAAGCTCTGGTGGGCAATTTTTGCCAGTCATACCTGGTCTGCCATCACCAACGGCAACCCGCTCCATATCCACGATGCGTCTTACACCACACCGGACCTGTCGATGACTGATCTAAGTTCCGATGAAGATATATCCGACGACTTCCAGCACATCGTCGGCGCTTCTGCATTGACGGCTAATACGATATCGTTAGCGAAGTTCTTAGAGCAAGTCAAGCTGGCTCAGATCGCATATCGATTGCTCAGTTTAGCTTTCTCTGAACGAGGTTTCCATGAGCGGCTAGCCGATAGCAAAGCATATGAGTCCAACCTGCTGTATATCCGAGCAGATCTGGACAATTGGTTTTCTTTTCTGCCTCAGTGTCTGACGATGGCATATCACAGGCAACAGAGAATATCAAATAACTGCCGACTTCATCTCGCATACTTCGCAACGCGAGTACTTCTTCTGCGGGCTCTGATGACGCCCGTTTCGAAGGACGCCAAGGGCGACCCTGCTTCGCCGATGTCACGGTACTTTGCTGGGTCAGTTGCCGAAGGGCAACCGATCACACAGTGGTTCGGCTCGCTCTCTGTAGAGGATCTGAAGACATTCTGGGACCGTAATGCTCGCCCGCAGCTTGTCCTGATCGGAAATTTTATGGTCTACCTCTTCGTTCTTTCATCCGATCTAGACAAGGCTCGAACAACTTTCCAGTTCCTGGAGACTCTGCACCAAGCCCTGATCCGACTAGACAGCGAGGGGACAAGGGCTCTGCTAAGACCAACTTATCTGAGAATAGATTCCTTCTTCAACCATGCGGCGCTGATCATGAGGCAGGAGTCAGTGGTGGCATCGCTGTCCCGGGAAAGACTGATAGATACGTCCCCACGAGAGGTGCACTTCACAGCTTGATACTGTGCATCGAACCTGCCGGACCGCGGAGCGCCCGCAGAGATGGACCCTGCTCATAGAGGCCTGAGTCGGTGGTAATTAGGCGACCAAGATACATACGCGGACGCAGCTTCGGCCAACCTTAAATCAGGTACGCCAGCACTGGTTGATCCGAAGACGGTTAGGACCCGTCCCTCGTTTACTACGGATTACCTTCCCGCCTTCAGGAAATGATAAGCTGTTGCACCTTCCAGAGTAACACGAACCCTCAGAGAATGGCTGTGAGGCCGAAAAGCAGTCTGCAAGGCACGCTTGACCCAATATCCCCGCGCATAGCCGGGTGTCTAGACCACATCCATGGCTCTGGCTTATCAACAGTGCTCAGAAGCCAATGGCGGTATCTGAATACATATATATTCCATGCACCTGATTCGAAACACAGCTACAGTCCATGATCATCGCTGCACGCCAAAGGCTCAGAAGAGGTGATTGCGATTCACAATGACTTTCCGGCTCGGATCCTGGAGAGAGACACTGCAGGTGTAAGTGTCTGAATCAGCACGGACAGCTGCATGCCAGAACAGAGCCGACCAGCTGACCCACGCATTGACAGACCGAAGGATGAAGATGCTTACTATGAGAATACTCGATGGATCAATCGGGACCTCATCCCCATGCCACAAGAGCGGCGCACGTTTGGTGTGCTCTCGTACGCCGGTATGTGTTGCTCAGATGCCTTTGCAGAACAGCTCCCAAACTGACGTGAAGCCATTCCAGGATATTGGACAGTAACAGGTTCGTGCATACATTAGCACGTTGACACAGACCCCTCCGAATGACACAAACAACAGGTGTTAACATATCTGCCTGGAGTGTTGGCAGTGGGCTCCTGGCTCTTGGTTTGAGCCCTCGTGAAGCGATAGGTGTGGTGGTAGGTCCCGTTCCTTTTCGCCGCATACAAATCCGCTTGATTCACGCTATGCACAGGTCGTTGGCTCGGTCATCACCGGTATTCTCGCCGTCGCAGGCGGATGGGTCGGTGAGAAGCAGCACATCGGCTTCACTGTTGCAAGTCGCTTTTCCTGGGGCATGAACGGGAGCTATTTTCCCGTACTGCTGAGAGTCTTCATCGGCTCCATGTGGCTTGGCTTGCAGGCATACTGGGGTGGCCAGTCTCTGAGGGTGCTGATCGGTGCCGTCATACCAGGTGAATGTCCTCGCTCCCGTTATGCAGTCGCGTTGTTGACCAAGCAAGGATTTGCACACATGAAGAACACTTTCGACCCCGGTTCTCACCTAGCGACGAACGACTTCATTGCCTTAGTCATCTGGATGTTTGCCTTCGCTGGCCTTGTCTTCATGCGGCCTGAACGACTTCAGATTCCGTTTGCAATCTCATTCGTCCTTGTTACCGGCTCTTGGATCGGACTGTTAATTTGGTATGTGAGTCGCCGAAGGTCCGAGTTCGTGTGCTGACGCAAGCGTAGGGCCGTACACAACGCGGGTGGAGCTGGCAGTATGTTTGACCAGCCAGGGACAACTTCTAACACCGGATCAGCCTTCATGTATGGTATCACGGCCATCTTGGGTGCCTGGGGCGGTGGAACACTCGGTCAATCCGACTGGACTCGCTACTCACAGCGGCGAGGTGCTCCTCTGCTGTCGCAGATGATCGTGGCACCCATCACAGTCACTGTGACCGCGACCTTCGGGATCATTGTCACCAGTGCTGCCAACGACATCATCGGTGGCGAACAACTCCTTTGGAACCCGATAACGCTTCTCGCCACCATCCAGGAGCAGTACCAGTCAAGCCCTAGGGCAAGAGCCGGTGTGTTCTTCGCATCGCTTGGACTGAACAGCTCGCAGCTGCTCCTCGCAGTCGTGCTCAACTCTATGTCTGCCGGAATGGATATGGCCGGGCTATGGCCAAGTTACATCAATATCCGCAGAGGAAGTGCCATTGCCGCTGTCATTGGTATAGCAAGCCAGCCCTGGCAGATTCTGGCTTCGGCGTCGAAGTTCTTGACCGTGTTGAGCAGCTTCGGCATATTCATAGCTCCAGTGCTGTAAGTGTATTCCATTGGACTCTTTGCTGGAGGCTGACGCTCAAAAAGTGGTATTCTGCTCGCAGACTACTTCCTGATTCGCGTTCGAACGTTGAAGGTCCCCGATCTATACACTGGTGACGCTTCATCGATATACTGGTTCCGGATGGGCGTGAACTGGCGCGCTGTAGTTGCCTTCGTCATGGGAGTATGGCCGTTTCTCCGTAAGTGCCTGGACAATACACGATCGGAACACCCACTAACATACAGGGCAGCTGGACTGGTCGTCAGCGTCAATGGTTCAAGTTCCTCATCAATGATAGGGTGGGTGCGCCTCTACGATCTGACATTCATTATAGCGACGGTGATTAGTGCCGTTGTGTTCTGGTCAGTCAACATGGTTTCTCCGCCTCCCGGTCTAGGTGAGGCATCTACCTTTGACGAGGGCATCATAGACCAGGCAGACGTCCGGCAGGACTCGGACATAGAAGCGAAGCTCCCTCATGACGGCAAGCCTGATCCGGATGGATCGGTCACGGTCGAGGCTGCCAATTGAAGCCAAGGGTATATGCTCAACAAAGACTGCCTTTGCACTTTTGTACGTGCATCTCTCTAAAAGCTAAATAGTCAAAACCAGTCCTGGCGCTGTAACTTGCCTGTCTTCGATATAACTTGCAACGCTGTAGGATGGAGTCAGTATTCATTCGATGGTGAAGGAGAAGAATAGCCCCAACATAGTCACGGTGTGAATGATGCAACGTCATGCCATCCGGTTTCAAATGACACTGTAGATCATGTCTTTTATGATATGCCTCGGCAATTTTATCTGAACCGACTATCAACTGCCGCTGGTGGGAGACCATTTTCTTGAACAAGTTGCAGTGGTGCTAAAAGCACGTCGTCGTTGGAAATGACTAGGTCTGTCCGGCTGTTATAACCGCAACACGTACAGCAGGAGTTCGTATCTGCAACACCTTCCAGCTTACTCCCTCGCATTACATACACCGTCTGTGGGGAAAGGCGCCCAGAGTCGGCGGCCGCCATGCCTGGTCCGGTCCCTGTCATCATCGGTGTGGCTGATGTGAAGAATGGGTCGACCAAGGTCGAAGATGCCCGGGAGCCCCTGGATCTGATGCTCGAGGCCATAAAGAACGCTATCGCGGATACTGGCAGCTCGCAGACAGAGGCGTTGAGAGAAGCTATTGACAGTATAGACGTGGTAAACAGCTGGACGTGGCCCTACCCTGATCTGCCTGGCCTCTTATCGAAGAAGCTTGGCATCAGCGCGAAGCACCAGCATCTCAGTCCTCATGGCGGTAATCAGCCAGGCTTACTATTCGATGATGCCGCCAAACGGATCTCGACTGGTCAAACAAAGGTTGCACTGTTGACAGGTGGCGAAGCGCTGGCGTCATGTAAGAGTTCCCGTAGTTAATGTGGCTGATGGCTGAGACGTTCAGTAACGGCTTGCGCTGCTGCAAAGCAAATTCCACCACCTGGCTGGACCAAGCCAAGCGAAACGGTTGACAGCGTCTTCTCACCAACGACAAGACAACTCAAGAACAGTACGTCCATGTCCGAAGGTGTAATCAAGGGTATGCGCAGCGGAGTAACTGGACAGCCTGCAGATCTCGGCGCTTTGCATGACATCGGAGCACCCATTCATGTATATCCGCTGTTCGAGAATGGGTTTCGAGCTCACCGCAAGCAGTCGATCAAGGACAACAATCGTGAATCAGCGAAGCTATATGGAAGGTTTGCCAATGTAGCTCAAAAGAATCCCGTGGCGTGGAATCATGGCAAACATATATCGGAAGACTTCATCGGCACAGTCAGCAAGAAGAATCGGATGATCTGCTTTCCTTGTGGGTAGCCTGTTCTGACTTGCGAGGTTGCGAGCATTACTGATTGCACAGACCCACTTCTTATGAACGCGTTCAACACTATTAACCTCGCTGGGGCCGTCATCTTGACATCGACCGATGTCGCTCAACAGCTTGGGGTGCCGGAGAACAAGTGGATCTACCCGCTTGGTGGCGCAGGAACATCTGACAGTGGTGACTGTGAGTCTACACCTACAGCTCGCAAGGCTCTGCTTACCAGACTAGTCTGGCTACGTCCGAACTTCCATTCGAGCCCATCAATCTCGCGTTCTCTTGACGCCGCGCTCGAAGTCAGCCAGCTCAAGAAGGAGGACATTGATTTGTACGACTTCTACAGCTGCTTCCCGATCGTCCCGAAATTTGCGGCCAGCCATCTTGGTATCGATCTGGAGAAGAGTGAGAAGTCTTTGACCTTGCTTGGCGGCTTGACTTCCTTCGGTGGTGCCGGCAACAATTACTCGATGCATGTAAGTTGTAGTTCTCGACACCTTGACGCCAAGTGCTGACTTGTCTAGGCATTCACCGAGATGACGAGACAACTACGTGCTGGAAAAGGCAAGACAGGCTTGATTCTTGCCAACGGCGGCAACGCCACGTATCAGCATGTAGTCTGCCTCTCGAGCAGACCTCGAGCAGATGGCTCCGCGTTCCCATGCATTCAACCACTGCCTGATTTTCTCACGGATCTGCCTGTACCAACAATTGAGGAGATAGCGGAAGGCGAAGCCATCATAGAGGTCAGTGTACTCACCAAGAGTAGGACTTCAACGCTGACAACCTCAAGACTTACACAGTTGAATTCGCTCGTGACGGCAAGCCCGAGCGAGGATACATTGTGGGTCGCTTGAAGAAGAACGACCGTCGCTTTGTTGCAAATCACGCGGATGAGATTACATTACAACAATTATGCAGCACGACCGAGGAACCGATCGGCAGGTCTGGACACGTCAAGCCAGATACCCAAAGGAAAGGCAGGAATCTGTTCAGCTTTGCGAAGGAGAGTAGGTTGTGAATAACATACAGACGCACTAAGATTTCTGTGGCTTGCGAAAGTGGGTGATGATACAGCCAGTACGAATCCCAAGCATTTGCCGCGTCTTGGTGGACGCTGGCCCTCGATTACCGGCGCCAAATTTCCAGCAGCTACGTGTCTAAACAAGCACATCCATCATGCACGAAGCATTGCATAACACCGCCAACGCCTTGCTGTCAAAGGCCTCCCTCCCTGGCCGGGATGCTCGATCAAACAGACTCGAGTTCTCTTCATGCCCACCATCGACGTTGCTGTTGCACCTTGATCACTGACAGCTTGGGTCAGTTGTTTGTCTAGTGCCAAATGTAAGCAGGAAGACTCACATTCTATCTTTGCCTGAATGACGATGGAGTTCTGCCAGATCGTGACCAAGCCGATGATCGTGCCGATAAGGCCGAAGGTAATGGTCCATAGGACTTCTTCGTCCATCTTGGTCGATAGCTTTTCAATGGGATGGACCTGCTCAAGCTAGTATAGAGTTGCGACTGACTTAGCCAGCTTCCTTATGTGCTTGTTGTAAAGGCAGAATAACAATTCGAGTGGTCTCGATGACAGGTTCTGGCACGGCCTTATATTTATAACCTTATTGCCTAAGGCTGGCCAGGGCACGCAGGCCATGGTGTCAAGGGCCCCCCCGGCCAGAGAATCTAGACGAGATCTCACAGTCTCGATGTTTCGTCAGTTGCTAAGTCATAGCGCCGCAAAAATGGAAGGCGACCAACACCCGCAATGTCGAATAACCGCTAGTCTAAAAGGTGCTCGACGATGTGCGCGTGTTCGCGAGGACCGTTTCGACCAAATCGCCTATCTGAGGCCACTAGCCCACTACCACAAAGAGCACAGCCGATCTCCTCGAGCAGTGTCAACGACGTTTTCTGTCCGAAAGAGCTCCAGAGCCCCGCGAACCACTTAGAGGGAAGCGACCTAGTACCATGCAAAGGAAGGTGTCGGGCTCGGTGGCAGGCGTTTCGACGCGCACCCATGTCATGCGCCTTCTGTAGACGGGCAGAGCGTGAGGTCACCGCATGCATCGCGTAAGATGGTGGCATCATGTCGCCTTAGCTAATGGGAACGGACCGCAGGGAGCTGCATTGGCGGTGATGTAAGCTAACTGGTGAGGTGCAGGACATCAATCGCCATTGCATATGCCCAGCACACATCAAACCAATTGCATGGAAAGCTCGAATGCTAGGTAGGCTAGGTAGGGAGGGATCCTTCGGGTTTCTAGTGTTGTACACGTTCTGGATGTTACACTAAGCCGCCAGAGCCAGCCCCTCTTCGTAAGACCCTGGACGCTGGGACCTGCACCGAATCACGGGGACCTTTCAAGCATCATGTTCAATTTGTTATTGCGTGGAGACTTTCAGTGACCTTTCACTCTTCTAGTATCCGCCTTAAGTACAGCGTAAGTTGACGCACCATCGGTGACATTCGCGGACTGCTGGACGCCTTCATTTTGCCTTCGGCACGGACTCGGCCTCCCGCCAGTCGCCAAACTCCCACCTATTACTGTTCTGGGACTAAACACCTAAGTCTTCCCTCCGGCTCAGTTCTCCTTCAATCTCTCCCCGTGACACCCCTCATGGTGCAGCCGCCGAGACAATCGTCCCTCCGACTGGTTGTCGCACAGTGCTCGTGTCTCGTAAGACTACGATTGCCTGGACCCTACCCACATGCGTCCCTCGGGCGCGTATAGATGGGTTCAGCGCAATACGACAGCTATTCCTGCCTGAATCCGCGTGTCCATCTCGATGCTGGAAATGCAAAACGTCAATTGGCCAGTTTAATCTAGGGACGGGCAATGAGCCGGCATGCTGACCAGAGACTCCATCAATAGAATCCCATTGTTGTACGGATGCCCTATGAAATGGCTCCCACCTTCTGACACTCGAAGCGGTGGTTAAGAGAGCCTTGCAGCTCTCGAGCACTCGAACATACCACCTGTCTCCATCCGCCTGAGAGTACGTCGAGATCTACCGCCGCGCGGGCGGATAGAACGCACGCCAAGGGCCGTCCCTGCCAATACGATCGAGCTCCATCAAAGCCATCGGCTGTTGTGCATACTGCTGTAAAGGAGGATCCTGTCCCTGGCCCGGCTGTTCGGAGTCCGCGCGCCGATCTAGATGACGTCGGTATGGAGGGAGATGCGACTCGCCATCGGCTGTTTGAGGTGGTCTTGCAGGTGCCATCTGAGGTGGATGAGGTGGTGCCAACAGAGAGCCCATCGGGCCACGTGGTGCTGGCAGGACCGATGTTGTTTGAGATGCTACTGCGAAAGGACTTGCGGGTGTACCCGGCGCTTCAGACTCACTGTCGGCTGTTAGGGACGATCCTTGAGGTACCGCCTGAGGTGATCGAGGCAGTGCTGACATAGGCCCTGTCGAGCGATGTGGTACCGGCCGAACCGACGTTGTTTGAGGTGCTGCGGAAAGAGCAGGAGCGGGTGCACTAAGCGCTCTGGGCTCCGCGTTGACTACTGAGGCTGGTCTTTCAAACGCCGGCTGAGGTGGTCGAGGTGGTGCTAACACATACCCTGTCGGTTGATTTGGTGCTGGCAGAACCAAGGTCGATGGGCCTGCCGCTGAGAGAGGCGGAGCAGGTATAGTAGGCACTCTGAAAGACACTGGTGTGATAGTCGGCGCCCAGGAGGTTGCTGGATTGGTGGTGGTTGATCCACGATCTGGCGCTGGAGGTCGTGGTGCTCCGGAAGACATCGGTCCGGCAGAAAGCGCTGCAGGAAGTGAATGGTGGACGGGTGGAGCTGGCGCATCTGAATCGGGTGCTCGTATGGAAGGCGCTGGGACTGTCGAGTCTGGTGGGGACGGCGCTCGGAGTGATGGTGCTGGAATTGAGGGTGCTGGGACTGAGCGCGCTCTGAGTGAGAAACCTGCGTCAGAGGACTGTGGAACCGTTGACTCAGTGAGTACTCGTGTAGCGGCAGCAGGCACGCTCTGACGTGGTGGTGTGGCCGTGTTCACAGTCGTCGCAGTTCCGCTCTGCATCGTCTCGGCCTTTTTCTTCTTTGCAACTGGGTTTTCACTCGACTTCTCTTCGCCTGCAGCTTTCCTCTTTTTCGACTCATTCTGGCCCGCAGCTGATGGCACCGTGGACTTACTCTCTGGACGTTTGCGTTGAGCGCCAGACGATTCTGTGCCCTCGACCTCACCAAAAGTCTTCGGACGAGGCTGGTCCTTGGGTATCTTCGATGGACTTCTTCCCTGCTCCTTGCTGATCTGGTCTCTAGAGTCCTTCGTCTGCCGATCTTCACGACTAGGATGCGAGCCGGAAGAGCTAATGATTTGTCGGATCTCGTCCTCGGCCCTCGAGGGGAGATCCCGACGTCGCACTCTGTTCGGATCTGGTATCGTGGATCCTGAGAACACCGTCTCTGGGGTATCAGACTTGTTTGGTGATGGCGTTCTTGCGTTGCCATTCAGGCGAGAGATCAGAAAGTTGGTGTATGGTGTTGCTGTAAGTTTCGGCTTCTTGGGATTCGGTCCTCCGCTTTTGTCGACATGCTCTCTCTGAGTCGCAATAGTCGAAGCTGCAGCTGGCTCGTCGAGGTCCATTGCGTTGCCATCAACACCATTGTCATCGCCGCGACGACTTCCGCCGTTGTCAGATCGATCGCGCTTCCTCTTTTGCGACCGGCGAGGCTCTTGCTGCTGATTGTCAGATGCCACTGGTGTGGGCGATGGCGCAAGCAATGGTAGAGGGTCCTTCAACCAGCCATCGTCGGTCGGCGCGTTCTTCTCGAAGCACACACCACCCAAAACGATCTTGTCGCTTGGCCGGTAGCATTTGAGCAAAGTCTTCAGATCCTTGGACCTAACCTCCAGACCTCGTCTCTTGTCGATCTTGAAGTCATCGTACCTCCAAATCTCATCGTCCTCGTTATAGGGGCGCACGCCGATGTTGCGCCAATTCACATATCGCACATGAAGCTTGTTATTCTGTCTGAATATCACCATGTCAACTGGATTTCGGGCGACCTTAGCCATTTGTCGCAGCATAGGCGTGAGCGTGTCGAGGGACCGTACGTTCCGAAAGAACCACGACTGCCTTCCCGCGAGCTCGTCCTCCAGCGTGGCCTTCAGCAGATGGCGGCAGTCCTTCGGCACCTCCGCTATCTCAGCGCCTCTTCGTACTCTTCCAATCGTCTCGACCAGCCATTCAGACCATCGCACCTGCAATTCAACACCCGGCCAGTGCTCGACTTCGTACGACGCATACAGGTTACCCACGTAGAACGCCCCTGACTTCTCCGGCCGCTCTGAACCCGCGACATAGATCTCGTCGTTGACGCGCTCGGCGAGGACATGGGTGTATGCAAAGAAGCGGTCGTCAGAGTAGTGGTGGGGCGAGACCAGGCCGTCAGGAACTGGAAATGGGAGGACAAGGTCGTTGTACATGAAGGTGCCACGAGAGATGTCGCAGTGGTGGTGGTGTCGAGGTGGGGTGGCGAGGTCCTTGAGCAGGGGAAGACGGAGACATTGGGACGCCATGGGAGGCTTTCTGAAGCGGTCGGTCAGTATGAAGACGGGCATGGTCAAGATCGGGCAGGTCGCACTTACTTTGATGATATTTATATCTCGACCAGAGCCGTCGGCGAGACCGCAAGACCGGTACGACAAGCTTTTGGTGCGCCAGGAAGCAAGAAGTTGCAGGCTGCGTCAAATGTTATTCAAGTAGAACAGGGGCACGTTTGCGATTTACTTGAGCCGTCTTTGAGAGTAAAGAAGGTTTGTCCTGAGGGCAAGAGAAAAGATTGTGCAAGCAAGCCTGCAACAAGGTACAAAGCGATCTGAGCAGGTGCGCGAGGCAGAAGTTGTTTGACTTAGGGTGAGTCATACCTGCACGTCACATGAAGGCAAGTCCAGGTGATTGTTGGCGAGGAAGGTGTACTGGTGAGGATGAAGATGCCATTCAGGTGAAGTTGTGAAGCTGCACAGCGTATGTACTGCCCAGGTAATCAGAGCCCAGACATCCAGCTTTTGTAAGAACTATCTTTTGACTGTCGACTGTGATGCGCTCCACGGCATTCTGTTGTCTGTACTCGATGTGGATGGAGGGACATCCCAATTTGCCTTGTCGCCTTGTGGATGCCTGATCTCCCGAAGCGTCGACGTCCCTGGAAACGCTCTCGACAAGGCTCCTGAATCTGATTCCAACCAGCTCAATCTGCCCATCCTACTCATACCTCACCCGCCACACCTCCTCCTTCCACTCCAGCTCCGCCCTCCACTCCGCCGTCCACTGCTTCATCTCCCTAAACAATACTTCTTCCCGCGCTCTCACCTTCTCCATCTCCTCGACAGCGCCCACACAACACCGATCCACATACTCCACCAACTTCTCAAACGCGTCCCCAAACCTCGTCTGCCCCTCCGGAACCGGCCGTATATCAAAACAGCCAATGAATTCAGCCAATCTCGGATTGATGGACCTATCAATCTTGAACCGCTTACACCGCTCCGCCCAGCGGAGGTACGCCTGGTCCATGATCCATAGATAGTCGTGTTCTTCGATTCGCGGGTATGGGTCCTCGACGGCGATGATGGAGGGTAGGAGGACGGTGAGGTGTTCGGAGATTTCGTTTTTGGTGCCTCTGCGGTAGTACACCTGAGGGTGGTTGAGCCAGGCTGGGTCGATTATCTCGAGAGGGTAGTCGTGGTATTTTTCTTGGGGATCGCCGTGCTCAAGGACCACCACCCGGCCCTCTCTCGTGGCTGTTCTGATCAGAGCCCGAATGGGGTTGATGAACGTCTCTGGAGAACTGGGAGAGACTGTGGAGCGCGAGTCCCTCCGTGGCTGTGGGCTTTCTGCTGGTAGTGGATCGTCGACCTCGATGCTCTCGACGATGTCTTCGTTGATTGCGTTGTCCTCCATTGTCCAGGATGAGTCCATGGCCGGACAGGAAGCGGAAGCGCGCGGTGAGATGCGAGAAAGTTACTGTTCTGCTTCCTGTTCGAGAGTGTCGTCGTCGTCGTAGTCGGCACAAGGATGCAGACACAGAGAGCGTGACCATCGCCATATCTTTATATAGGCAGTCATGCTTGGTAGACTTCAGCAAAGAGAGGCACTAATGGTGTTCCAGCATAGTGAAGAGCATTCCAAATGTTGTTAGGAACGTTACTGCTGCCTCTCAAGCAGTGACGTGCATTCTGGCGTTATTGACTTGCCTTGATCTGTCAGGCAGAATCGTAGAGACCCCATTTCCCATACGGCTAGGACTTAGCATCTATTGATGCCACTTGTGAGGGCCGGCATTGATAGACATGAAGTGTATTATGGGTCGTCAAGAAGCACATTGATGTATAATGCTGAATGTTGAATAGTCATAATCAATAATAATTCAAGGTGTTTGCTGTCGAAGCGGCAAGATTGTTGCAATGTTGTCCTTCCAGAGGTGGCTCGTTTGCTGGTCATAGCCTGCTTGTCCTTCAATGCTACTACAATGGACTTCCAAGAAGATGGTGACCCTGTCGACGTGATTCTCTCATTCCAAAGTCGCCCCAGTATCCAAGATAATCACCAAGCAAACCCATCCATGCCGTTCTCGAGACCGTCACGCAGCATCCATGTTCGCGAAGAAGGCAACAGCAAGTGCTCTCAAGAGGCAAGATCGCACATAGACCAATTCATCATCAACGCCCTGATCAATCACTCTCCCTCAAAGGTCCAGTCCAGTTGCCCTGATGGAATGCCGGTGGCTTCCCAGCTTTCTCCCGATACACTCTCTCCAATTCCATTCTCTCCTCGCACAACTCCGCGGTGAACAGCACGACCTCCTGGAAGACGCGCTCTGTCACATATCGACACTTCGCCCATCCCTTCTTCATGTTCCGGAAAACTTCATCATGCTTCTCCAACCACTGCACGACAGTCCGATACAGAGTTCGTCGATTGTTCGAACTGGCCGTCTCATCCTTGATCTCGTCCATGTACACTGCGCGTGAGCCCTCCACATCGTTGGTCGCCTTAAAGAGCTTCTCCCATCGGTATCGAGTGAGACGATACTTATATCTATCGACACGAGCTTGCAAGATCGCTGCGTACGACTTGTTCTTCTGTCTGCCGTCCACTGCGAGGATGTATGCGAGAAGCGTGTACTGATACGCCATCTCAGCATTGACTTTGGCCTCCAAGATACGAGTTGCGGTGGAGTCGTCTTCGTGGGTAGCGTCAGTGGCAGCATACAATTTTGTTCGGTCGGAGAGCGTTGGACCCTCGAGGTGTCGGTATTTGGGCTCGAGGCTCGTTGTTGCTTGAATGCGCTCCCAAGGATTCGTCCAGCCTGCGGTGGTGAACATAGATGCCTTCTCTGCTACTGAAGGCCACAGAGGTCCTAGCGGTCCGTGGCTGCTGGATGCGGTCGTTGCGACTTCATCCTCTGAAGGTCGACCAGAGTGCCAAACCACACGATCCTCGTCGTCCATGCTGGTCTGCTTCCTGTTCCGACTTGACGACTTGCAAGTCGTGATGGATGGTGCAGGAATCGTAGTGTTAAGGCTTTCCGGCTTGCTCTCGAGATCTGAATCTCTCGCGACCGAAGACAACGCATATAGCATCGCAGCATTCCTTGCAAACGATCTCGTTTGCTACTCCCAGCCTGGAGACAACGCTTGCCCTTCACTCTCGAAAGCGTGCAGACGCAAACGAAACAAGGCGGCGCAGTGCCCATGGCTCGCAACAGTCGGAGGCTGGCAATCCATTCACCTTCAGACTTGGTGCTCATCGGGGTAAGCAAACGCAATAGGCGGTGAGGTCCAGCCAGCTAATCATCCAAAAACGAACTTCTCCCAGTTTTGCTTCAGCTGCCTAGCACCCTCCTCGAGCCCCCATCCACGAATCTCGCAGATCTTCACCACGATCTCTTTCAGCAGCTGATCCATTCGGTCGCCAGCGCAGTGCAGGTCACTCTCCACCAGTATTCTCTCAGCAGGAACAGCTCTGATCACCGTCTCTGCCTTCGCTGCTGCTGGTGTTGAGAAGTTGATGCAAATCGAAAATGAGAAGTACACGTCGGCCGGTACGGTGTTTCCGAGGTACTGCTTCAGAGCCTCCGGAGGACCGGAGTAAGAGTGCATACAGATGCGCGGTGGATATGGAAGCGGCTTTTCGGCATCGTCGACCTCCATCACATCACTCTTCGCCTCGGTGTTGCTATTGCTTTGGCGTCTCTTCCGCTGTCGTTTCGACAGTCGTTCATGACCCTCCCATAGCTCAGACAGCAAGTCGAAGACAACCCCGTGCGTCTGCACACTGTGAACGGAGACCGGCCTCCGATACTTGCCAGCGAGCTGAAGTTGTGCCTTCAGTATCGCTTTCTGATGCTCAAGGTTCACCCGATATGGTGTGAGCGGCCTGCCCTCGCGCGAGCCCGGTGTATGCTCTTGGACAGTACTCTTAGTCTTCTCGAGCACTTCGTCAGGATTGAGAAATTCTCCTTTGGGCAGTCGAAACGCGCGATCGAGCCCAATCTCACCTACAAGCGCAAAAGGGAATTGCTCTAATCTCTGAGCGGTCGCCTGCAGATAGTGGCTGAGCGAAAGTGGCTTGGGGATGCTTCGAAGAAATTCATCATCGCCGTCCGGCTGTGGAATCAGGACAGATTTGTAGTGACTGATAATGTCGATTTGGTCGTGGGGCTGAGCGCCCCTGTCATCGACCATCTGGTGCGAAAACCACGGGTGCCAACCGAAAGCCGGCACTACACCTCGATAGTTTTCGCTGTCGTACTGGACCTTGTCTTCTAGCAAGTACTTCTTCGCCGAGTCCACGACCAATGGCTGATCTTCTCGTCGCGTGGCCATGACTGTCAGAACACGTGCGTGCATCTTAGCAATATCCTGGACAGAGGCCATGATGTCGGTCGGGTGGCAATGTGCATCGAAGACCCCAACATCCCACATTGCTTTCTCATCTTCGTTCAACTCCATGCTGTGTGGGAACTGGCCGCTTCCGCGCCAGAGAGGGTGAGAAATGGCCAGCTTGAGGTAGAGCCTATCGAGCTGTGTTGTAAAGCGACAGAGGCCGGGTCATGCACATGACTTCGACTGGCATCCTTGATTACGGCACACAACTCGCACCTAGCAAGACGCCGGGAGCTGCATGTTCATGAGCAGGGGAACATTCAGAGGCAGGGTCGAGGTAAACCTACCTTACATCTGTCATGACGAAAAGAAAGCGCTTTCGCGGTCCACTGAGTGCCTGAGTGCTTGGCAAGCGGTGCACGAGGCCTTTGCACACACAACGGCGGAAAAACGCAAGACACTGTGAGACCTATGGAGTGGACGAAGAGATTGCTCAAAGGTTTAGGAAATTATTGGAAAGTACCTTAGCACGTGTGCGCATATCATATCTATGTATGTATGATGGATGAGCGCTGCTCGATCCGAGTCCTAGGCGCCACAGCCTCCACCTGGAAATGCCTCAAAAGAGTGCTCAAAAAGGCACATCAATCGCAGAGCAAGTGCTCTTATGCCAATATTGTAATTTACAAATGACTCCGTTTGAACATCACACAAGGCCGATTCGCCCTATGCTTCACTCATAGTCTCATATCCAGTGTCGTTGCTCATCATCGACTGTCTTCTCTCTGCTGAGCCAGCATCACCGGGCTCATTGAACAGCTATGTGTGGTAGATTCTGCTTGCAATGATATTGAGCTCGCCTCAATGTCCACAGGTAGCCTGGCCAGAACATGCTTGACAGCAGCATCAGTCAGCAGTGTCGTGTGCGTGCTGTTCTGGATGAACTGTTGGGCAAAAGTGGCGCGCGCCTTCTCTGGATCTTGCTCTCCATCGAGAATGATGAGGGCTTTGGCGCAGTGAAGGACATTGTCGACATCAGGTCGAGCTGACGCCGGTGTCGACGAGTCGATGAAGAAAGGTCCGCGATGTCCCGGACTTGTTGGTGAATGGGTCCCGGAGCTGTGAGTCGATACAATCTCAGCCGCCCTGAGGTGGAAGGCACCTCTGTTTGCAGCGCCGAAGAGTGCCTGCCCGGCAAGCGCGCGCACTTGAGCTGCCGAGCCAGGAGGTGCGATTCTCAATGCAAGGGACAGGTCTTCTTGTAGGATGTCCAACTCTCCGGGACATTGCATAGAAGTCTCGAAAGCTCTTCTCAAAGCAATGGTGGATCGCCAGGCACTAACCGCGTCCAGTGGAGACCTGATGCCATGATCTTCGACGACAACATCCATGAGACGATCTTCAGATTGCTCGTACGTGGGTCGATCGTACATGAGGTTATAAGCTCTCTGAACGACGATGTCTGTCATGACCTCATCGCACTCCATCGCAAGCAAGGCCGCCAAGTTGCTTGGAAGCCGATCAGCATCGCGAGGGCTGGCTTGCTCTTGCAGACGGCGAGCTATCTGCCATTCCCGGTTGGCAACATATCGCCCGAGAGCATTCCACATTCGGAAGGTGAAGCTTGACTTCGCGCCAACGTTCCAGAGAAGCAGCCGACAGTGAAGAGCTTTCTGCATCATGCGGACTGGTGTCTGTGGTAACGTGCCTGAGCCAAAGCTTGTCAGAACAACTCTTGATCTGCTCACTTCTGTGTCACCGCCGGCCAACTGCGCGTCGATAGCGATGTCCCACGCTTTTATGCGAGCAGCATCGTCCTCCATGGGCCCAGCGAACACCTTGAGGCCGAAAACATACTTGATGGTGTAATTGAGCCATGCAGTCGTAACAGCAACCCATTCAGAGAAGAAGCTGTGATGAGGCAGCCGGAGGACTTGCATGCTCGTACTCCATGCTGTACGTCGGACCTCGATAGGTGACGCCGGACCAGGAGCTTGATCCGCGCAGACTGCCTCATGCTCGACATCATCTTTGGGTGGTGGCTTGGAGTTGAACAAGTATGCAAACATGAGGAAAGCCACAATTGTCAAAGCCACGAATCCTTTCACAAGTGGCAATACACCACCTGCACGACAGAATTCGGCGAAGGCAGACAGGTAGATCCGCGGCGAGGAAAGGAATTCCCAGCCGTCGAGAAGTTCAAGCGGAATGCCAAAGAGCCCCTTTTGGCCAGACTCGGAGGCCTGCTCACTTTCCGAGAAGCCCTCCATGACCATCAGGCCAGCCAGAGAGCCTAGCATCACACGAGTCGGCCATTTGCCCTTGAGCATGGACCTCCGCGCGCCTGTGTGATAGACGTGCCCGTAGTGCTCCTGTGACGAGTTTTCGCGCATTCGGCGCCAGGAGTCAGGAATAGGGATTAAACCCTGCACAGGTGCAGATGGCTTGGTTTCCTCTTCTTCCGGGGTGGCATCATCGCCGGATGTCTCCGCCACGACTCCACCTTCGATGACTGAGTCGCTAGTGAACGCTGTCGTTCGCTGAGAATCATGGCCGCCTTGCGCTATGACTTTGTCGAGCGTTTCCAATCGCTCTTTCAGCGATCGGTTCTCATCCTCGAGACGCTTAGTGCGGAATTCAAGGTGTCGGATGTACTCCACTGCCTTGGTGAGGATAGAGGCTTTGTTGAGCTTGTTGCTTGGAGTAAGTCCGTCGAGGTCTTCATCATCGCTCTCGCCTGCTGAGGCATCTTTGCTGCCTCTGGCCTTCTTCGTGCTCCGTAAGCTGGGTACGCTGTCTCGCAATTCTGCAATTTTCTCATTTAGATTGGCTCGATAACGCTTCTCGATTATGTTGTGTGGCCTCTTCTTGGCAACCGGAGGTGGTGCCTCCCGCTGTCGTACGATGCCAGTGTTGTCATTTGGGGATAGTTTGCGTTTCAGCGGCCGCGCGGCGATAAGTACTGGGTCATCGCGTAAGGTTTCGCCGCTTAGCCTCAGATCTGTGCTCGACCGCGTTTCGGGCGAACTTGAGCTCTGACTGGGTGTGGGCAGGTCGTGTATGAGAGGGGCGGTGAGTGACTGCGCTGTATATGGGTTGTTGTAGGTGAAGTTGAATTCGTTCTGGGTCGCCGATAGGGGTGAGATAGGTAGTATAGGTGCTTGAGTGTACTTCACGTCCAGCAGAGACGTGTCATTAGGGTCTGCCGCATTCTTGAGGTCGAAGAAGGCATCGAAGTCTTCTCCAGGGCGACTCATGGCGTCAGGGGGCGGCATAGCGATTTCGAGAGGAGCGTGGTGGCGTGAGTGGGAGAGCGGTGGCCATATATAGGATGTTCCGGATCTGACTGCGATCTGCTGTTGAAGCTACGCATGTACAGAGGAAGGGGAAGGAATAAGCCGCTGCTGTGAACGTGCAAAATGAGGGTCGGTTCGTCAAGCTGGTAGGAGCGGTGTACTGTGGTAGGCTAGAGCGGTTGTGATGGTGAGCGTGGGGTGGACTTTGCAGGTTCATCATCGGTGTTGAATTACCCGTGGGCTCAGCCACACTTTACGCCAATCTCAATCCGATATCAGCACTGTCAATCCTGAAAATCTTTGAGCCTATTCTCCAATCGACTTTTCCTGCCAAAATGTCCGCCTGTTTGAACTCGCGTCGCTTGTGCATGGCCAGAGCTCTGTTCCTGCAGGGCAGAGTAAGCGAGGAAGCTCAGCCTTCGGGAGCAACACGGCTTCCATGCATTCGGATTTGAGCAGAAGCGTCACAGGACGCGGGACTGCATCATCTCATCCTCGTACTTGGACGCCTTGCAGCAGAATACACTTCAGAATACGCAGAGTTGTCAGAAAAGGCATAGGAAACGAATCATGTGCTCCGTTGTGGCAAAGATGCTGTAGTGTTGACTCCAGTTAAGCTATTCTTGCATCGCGATGCGGCACTTCTGGAAGGACAGTATGATCAGGAATCTGGAGTATTTTATTGATGAGTTCTCCGCGTGCTTCCGTACACCACGTTCTCGGGAGAACAGTACGCAAGAATACCTGGAAAGGAATGGTGAACGATGTGCTAAGTACCATTTGACATGGAGGCCGCTTGGTGGTGACGCTCTTACAAGCCAGACGGGGCCATTGATGTGATAACAACCAGCACGATCGGGAATCCGAACCTTAATGTCGCGACCTTCCCGAGCCCTATCTCTCATATTTGAATGAGGGATAAATAGCTGCTGTCACGCCCGCAAGCGAAAGGCGGAAGTCGAAGCGTGATGATACTCTGCTATGCGCACTGACGAGGCAGCAAGTCCTCCACTGCGTGCGACGGCGGATTGCCCTTACTGTTGCTAATCGCCCGACATCTCGATGAGCTCAGCAAATGTCACTCAGTCATGGATCTCCTCGCCGATAACGAGGGGAGCATGTCCTAGGAGAATAGACCTCCTGACCCGCTGTTGCGTTCACGGAGGCAGTCCAAGTTCATTGATGACCCGACCTCTTCGAGGAGAGCTGACGTGGTCACAGACTGACATCATGCACAATCTGCCCGGCTACTGCATTCTCCCTAAATACCAGACATAGCTAAAGTACATTCCAATCAAGAAGCAGCCCGCCATCGGAAAGCGACCTACATACGAGCCATCGCGTGTAGTCCTAACTGTTCCGATCACTTCAACAACCGCATCCACTTCTTCCTCCGGTCACTCATCTCCACCTTGAAGTCCTTCGGGAACCAGATCACATACACAATCTGCAGAAGCAGCATCAGGCTGCCATCCAAAGAGTAGGTCGGCCACTCTCTGCTCAGCAGATACCCTTCCGGCCCCTGCACATACTCAACCAGCCTGAACACACTCCTCACCCCAATCAAGGCACTACAGATATACAACATCCACAACCCGGTCCTCCATGGCGGCAGCTCCGACGGCATCGACTGCCCTTCCATGCTTCCATCACCCATCGCCTGGCCGTCATTGACCAACTCCACCTCCATCCTCTCCTCAGCCCTCACCCACCTCCCCATCCGCCTATGCCACACCACCGCAACCAACACAAAAAACCCCACCGTCGCAACCTGTATTCCCAACCCGGCAATCACAATCCACTGTCCCGCCCTCGCCACCGCCTTTGTATCACTCCCCGTCAACCCAGCCCCATTCCCCTGCACATTCAACGTCGCGAAATCCGCCAGCACAAACACCCGTGTGATCCACCTCGGCCGCACCAAACTCAACCTCTCCCCTCCCGAACTCCTTATAATCCTGCTCAAGCACATATACACGCTCGCAGCATACAACACGGGCGCGAGGATGATCAAGCAGGACTGCATGATGTACGGCGGGATGGTATCGGTGGAGAAGTGCGCCCAGATGCGGGCGGCGTAGCCGAGGACCTGCATGAGGCCGCCGATAGCGAGGATGTGGTTGAAGTGGGTCTTGGTGCGGATCGTGAGGGTCAGGTGGATGGTGGTGACGATGAGGAAGGCGGCGAGGAAGGCCGCGGCCAGAGGGATGGAGGGGAGGTATTTCCAGAGGAAGTATTCTGTGCCGGTGATGGGCTTGAGTTTGGCCATGGTGGATCTTGGGTAGGAGGTTGGTGGTGTGCTGTTCAAATTGTGGGTAGGACTGCTCTGTCCGCTAGCCAGAAGGGAACGCTGTGCTTCTGTGCTTCGGTCTCTGTCTGTGATGCAGCACTGCTACAAGACGCTCATAGATCGGCGTCGATGCCTGGGCAGGAGAAGTTGGCCGCATGCCACCGAGCACTTAGATTTATATATCATTCTTTCCAGGATCGTGCCTTGCGAACTCGCAATTCCACATCTATTCTGACTCCATCGGAGTCCGTCCTTCTCGCGCAGCATTGAACTGCGCCAACAGCAGCGAAATTACTTGCCAGTCGCTTCGAATCTTTACCTGGACAGCGACTGTGCCAAGGACCCAGCATCCAACCTGAATCAAATCGGGCCTCGCTTTGCGAAGGGCTTTGATGGAAGCGGTTTAGCTTACGCGTATAGAATTGTTCTCCGCTAGTCATGGTCTGAGTTCTGCTGTACAACTTCTTGTTTCTTGTGAACTACTGTCTCTGGTGGAGGGCGTGCAAATCTCGCAGGTCTGTACCATAGCAGGCAGCAGCGTTTGTGATGCTGAGGCGGGCACCGGCGGAGCGACCACAGCAGACTGGGCAATGGCGTTTCTGACATGCAGATAGTGGCAGCGACTACTCTGAAGCCCAGGTCATCATATTTCGAGATTCATGTCACAGCTATTGTGGCGATTGGATGAATCAGCTTAGAAGCTCGGGTCATGGCTGTCTAGAGGGTGTAGTTTCTGCTCTGTTTCCTGCGTAATTCGTATTTTGGTTTCGACCGTGATTCGTGCTCTGTTTCTATTGCTCTGCAGGAAATCGGAGTAGAAGGTATTCAGAGAAGCAGGAAATCGAGAGGAATCATTCCATTTTCATTTCCAGTAGCCTAAAAGCTACCATAACTATCATACTGATCCCAGCGCCCTCCCGGACGCGACTTTTGCAGCAAACTTGCTGCCTATTGATCCCAAGAAAACGCCCACACCGAGCAGATTGGCTCAAGGTATGCTATGCATATGCATGCTGTGGTGGTATTTTGTGACAAAAGAAAAAAGTGAAAGCAAAATCGCGAAAAAGCGAAACGAATGTCCTGGCTCAATCTTCCTCCGTTTCCTCCACATCAATTCCCGCCTCTCTTCCCGCTACTCTCCCCGCCAGAAGACTTGTCGCTGCGCGTGCTGACAGCACCGGGAGAGCCAGCGGGAGAGGGCTTGCCGCCGCGCTTGACAGCGAAGTAGTCGGTTGGCTCTTCCAGCTCCAAAGCCAGAGGCCTGACGGGCCCACGAGGACTGTGGAGGGGCTCGAGGCGCGGCGAGCCTGGTTCACCGGTCGCCATGGGAGCGTTGTGGGCGGTGGTGGTGGCGGGCGGAGCTGTCGAGGTGCTTCCGGAACGGAGGCACAGGAGAAGCGGGTTGGCGTCCTGGCGCGTTGACGACGATTGCTGGGCTTGGAGTGCCGGCAGCGGACGGCGTGGCGGCGGCAGCGTGGCGGTTGTACTGTGTAGGGTAGTACTTGCCCATTGGCAGGCTCATCTGCATGTTTCGGGAGGTCTGGCGGACATGTGTCTTTCGCTTTGTTTGTGGCGGAGCGAAAGCACGAGGATGTTGGGCAGACAGCGGCGAGGTGGGGATGTATGTTTCCGACATATTGAACATGAGAGTGCTGTCTGCCTTGGTGAAAGGGGAGCTTCCGAAGGACAAATCGCGGTTGATCGGACGAGGAGTAGGAGGAGGAGGACTCTCGGTGAAGATGTTGCGGATCTTCAGATGGTTGTCTGGACGGCCGGTAGTTGGGGTGCAGATTGGTGCAGTTCTAGGGAATCGCTCTGGGTCGAACACAGGATTGTTGCGTGGACAGGCCTGACGACCAGTAGGAATCGGAATTGGCTGCGCAGTAGCTGTTGTCTCGACGGTAGGTGATGGTGGTAGTGGTGTATGCTGAGCGCGTCGAAGAGAGTCTCGAGCGTGGAATAGTTCAGAGACGTGCTGATCGCGACGGCTGGGAAAGAGAGCGTCTTCAAGTTCTAATTCCTCTCGAGTGCGCTTGGACGCGAATAGAGGGGGGCGACCTTCTTGTTGGTCAGCCGGACCGAAACTGGAGTCTCTCAAGTCGCTACTGCGGCGAGCGATGCGATCTACGCCAACGTCAGAATTGAATTGGTTTGAGCTGGCTGATGGAGGCAAAGATCAACGATTCGCCCAGTGAAAATGGGCGGTTCAAGCGGATAAGCTCAGGCAAAAGCCGTGCCCCGTGCGCCAACCACGAGTTATGAATAGCCCGGACTCAGATGAACGCCTGTATAATTTCGCTCTTGAAACTGCGGGACATAAAACCACATGGAAAGGTGGAAGAAGTCCCTGCGTTTCAGACGATTCATCTCAGGGTTTATCCCGAGTCCCAAGCCACTACACTGCAGGGAACATGGGAGAGGCACAACGTCTGGTAGAGATGCCTCTCTGTTCTATGGATCTTCCAAGCACAACTTATATTGTGCGCAGCATCGAACGGTCTCGAAAAAGACGCGTGCGAGAACGCAAGGAGGAAGGCAGGCTCGGGCTTACCTCGTTCCATGTCTTCTTCCGCCATCTTCTTCGCTACATCATTTCTCCACTGCTCGATGTCCATGGCGATGATGTCTTTGGCTGATTTAGGCTCGACAGGCTAAGCGGAAGTGGCTTGACTCGTCACCTGAAGATATCCACTGAGGTGCCTATTGGTGCTGCACAAAAGTCATGGAGCCTCAACTGCCAGAAGCACAATGACTGTGGTGGCTAATGGCAACGTGAATGTAAATGAATGGCAAGACAAGTTTTATGCAAACGATCACTGGCAGCAGAAGGACTGGTCAATGTCGATGAACTGCATCTATCTCAAACCTCAGCACTTTGTTTTGGTCATTTGTTTGTGTGCAGTCCTCTGCCGAGCCTGTAGGTCCAGCCTGTCACCGCGGTGAACAGAGGCAGGCTCATACTATCCCAGGTGGGGCAGCAGTAAACGTTGATGGTTAACGCCGAGGCCTCCAGAGACTGCAATTTGCAGTACAGCAGTAGTGCGGTTGGCATCATGGGTGCCTGCAATGAGGTTAGACTGACGACGCGATCCCAGCCGTTGCCAGATCGTTTTCGATGTACGGATCGCTCGGTGAGAGAATGCATTTACGCCACAACTCGAATGCCTGCGTGGCAGTGTAGAAGTCGGTACGTACTGACGACATTGGATAAGGTACAAACTCTCGTACACGAGGCCTGCGGCTCTCCGATCTGACCCGTCCAGTCGGAACTGGAGCTGCCTGCTATATGCTTTCACAGAAAGCAAGTCATCAAGACGTGATTGCGATTCAAACCACGGCGATAGCCGTGATAATCGAAATTTCTCAGATGGTCACGAGGCAAGCAGAACTTGCCAGCAGCATTTTGGGGCAGATATCTCCAGCCGAATATCTCAGTACACCACAATCACCAACCGCAGTAGTATGCGCATTCGTGTACCTGAACGGCGAATTTGGTTGGCTGGCTGTAACAGTCTACTACGCAGTCCCTACATGCAGTAGGCCTTTCACCAGCGAGTCGACCGTAGCAGGATATTCCCTAAGCCTGCAATAGCGCTGCATTAGTAGGTCATGCCCGCCGAGCCTGCAAGTTCACCCCGCAAAACTCTCATCTTTTCGTATCTCGACCTTCATTCTCCTCGGCCGAAGAGCCGTCGGATCCGCGGAGCAGTCCTCACCATGCCCTCACCATGCCCTCACAATGCCCTCACAATGCCCTCACAATGCCCTCACAATGCCCTACATACCATGTACCTTGCCACTTGAGAAGCGCGGGAGCCCATACTGTGTTCGAGACAGCAGCTTTGACGTGTTTTGACCAACAATTGTGGCTGCGCTCAACTGTGCTCTCTGACGAGCTCCCGGTGATTTTCAATGCAGTGCCTGCATTGACCTCTGCCAGCTTGTTCACTCATGTTCTCGACTTCAACTCACGGAGCATCTTGAGGTCGTCCTCAACATCCTCTCCCATCACTTTATCAATTTTGGTCAATGGATGAAGCGTAAGTTCCTTGAGGCCCGCCGTGAGCATGTCTCTGATCCAAGGGATACTGAAGTGGCACCACACCGCCCTTTCAGGCCTCATGTACTCGTGCTTGAGATCCTTGCGATCCACGGTACCGAGAACGATGTCCAGCATTTTGGGCCACTTCCATTCCTTCGGAATCAAGGATGCATCAACCGAGTATGCAAGCGGAGTTCCACATCGTGAGCAGAACCACCGGAAGCGACCTGGTGAGGAGTTATACACCGAAAGGTAGGTCTGTTCAAGGCTTTGGTTGTTTGGATCGAACAACTTAAATGAGTCCACCCATTCCCGCTGCTCTGCGCCAGATCGAGGTAGCGATGATGCTTGGACGGTCGATGATTCGGCGACCAAGAAGCCCGGGAGTATGCTTCCAGTTGCGGCACGGCAATCATTGCACTGGCAGGCGAGTACGGTCGGGAGTCGGAGATCGTCGCGCTCCTTGCCGGGCGTGCAGTAGCAGTTTAGAGCTCTGTCTTCGAATGCAGGTACGGAAATCTCGTAGCGGACGGCTTGGCAGTTGCAGCCTCCGCTGATGCTGAACGGAAGCTTTGGCAATGGCATGACGTTGATGAGGTACCCGTGGACAGGAAGGGATGATGCGTTACGTAGATGAGTCTCGGGTAGTCGTTGAGGTAGTATGGGCTTGCAACCTTATCGACACGTTTCTTCGTAGTCAGTGGAGGGCCTGAAGGCGCTCAGCGTACACTACCTCCAGACTCACCATGTTCGACGCAGACCAGACGAGGTCTCACATGTCTCAATGCCGAAGTCGTTCCAATGTCCTTCCTGGGAAGTTGAGTCTGCAGGGAAGTCTTTGGCTATTCCAGTTGTCATGATGAACTCTGCGTCAGACTAGCGTACTAGATTTGCGAATGGCGACGAGACGCGTACTGGCTTGCAGGTGTCTTGTCATCGAGGCTCATCTTGCGTCTACATCTTGTGGTTCATTTGCAGTACAGAAGCCAAACTCCGAGTCGATGCAGAACATTCGAATTTCGCCTGGCTTGAGGATTCTAGCTGTTTCAGGCATGCCACCTTCCTGCTTCTGATTTCGGAGCTGTTGCAAAAACGAGGGCACTGATGCCATACACGGCCTTGAATGCGGACAACTTAAATCTTCGTATCGACGTTTATGGTAGATGACGATGACAAAGCTACAACCACGGACGAGGCCAGGCATTGTTGTCGCTCAAGGAGTGGGTACTTCGCACACGACGTCGGAATGAAGGCTGCCTGGCGCCTTGAGTGACCCACTTCATATCTGAAGAGACCTGAGATCAGAGGTAATAGCACCTGATGCAAGGAAGTTGTATTGTGATCAGCCAATGTATCACTGTCGAAACTACCAGATTTGCCATTCAGGACATGTCACGACGGCCGCACAAGAAATCCCGTGCTGGATGTCGGGATTGCAAGCGGAGTAAGTATAGCACTTTCACGTCTGGAAGCGTCCCTGACTGGCGACAGGGCACATCCGAGTAGGTCTCGCAGCCCAGAAAAAGTACAATGGCTCACCCTTACCATAGTGCGATCAACAGCGACCGGCGTGTAGCCACTGCTTTTCGGCGGAGGTCCAGTGTTCCTTCCTCGAAGAAAGTTCGCTTCTCCCGCCCGATCTTCATATCCACGAAATCTCGTCAGGCTCATCTCAACACGTATCGAGGGCTCCATCACCTCGCCATGGCTCCCCACTCGCATCCCCAGATGATGGCGACGATGCGTATAGTGTCAATCTCAACCACCTTGAGCTGTTCCAGAACCTCAGCAACCCGGCCTTTACTGGGCCGATCAACGGCTTGCCGGACAACTTGCCACTAGAGATCTACATGAGCTCTGCAATGAAGACGCCCTACCTCATGCATATGGCTCTAGCCACTTCCGCCCTCCATCTGAGCACCACTTGTGATTCGAACTCACGACCCTTCTACCAAGACCAAGCTGCGGGACTGCAGACAAGAGCTCTTTCGATCTTTAACAAGGCGCATACTGTTCTCACTCCGGCTCCCGACAATGCAGTCGAAATGTTCCTCTTCACTTCCTTGCTAAGTGTGTATCTGCTCTGCGATCCACTCCTCAATCATGGCTCAGATTTTGGCGGCTTCCTTCGGCGCTTCACGGTCGCCCTGGAGATCTGCTCCGGTCTGACTGCCGTTGTAGATCAAACAAAACACCTGCTGGAAAATACTCCGCTCGGGCGGCCGCTGGAAGTGACTCGTCTGATCGTGCAGGAGACCAGTCCAGTAGGATCGGAGTGCGACGCGCTGAACAAGCTGATCGACGACCTAGCTTCAGACACGGCATCATATCGAGCTTGTGCCGAAGCTGCGCTCTACCTACGACGGGTCTTCAACGCTCAATCCGCCATCTCCACGGGACCCAAACCACAGATGATCCAGGCCGTCATTGCATGGCCCCTTGTGTGTTCGCCAGTGTTCAGGCAGATGCTGGTTGAGCAGAAACCTCATGCGCTGGTCATCCTAGCAAACTACGCGGTGCTTCTACATCGCGGCCGCCATGTCTGGTACTACGGACCTGGCGGGAAATGGTTGATCGAGCAGATTGTTGACACGTTAGACGATCGTTGGCAGAGTTGGCTTGAGCTCCCGCGCAGAGCTATTCAGGAGTAGTCATCGCATCGGATCAACAGATCACTTCAGTTCTAGATCACCTCAAGAGGATTGTCACAATATACCGCTGTAACATCGCTAGCAGTTTCCCGTGTAATGAAATTGTCTGATCGAGGGCAGGCAAGGAGGAATCGCATAGATTAGAGTACTTCAGCAGTGCACCGCAAATGGCAAGTGTGGAGCCATAACGGTTCAAAGAAACTTGTGGTCTTCAGACTCACGAAGGAGCAAAGTAACTTCCAACTTCGCGCAGTCCCCTGCTACTACACTCATATCTTCTCTTTACACGCTCATTAGACCGATTCTTTGATCATTGCTCCTTCATCGAGGTAGCTACACCATATCGTCTGCCACAACCGGACTCCGACTGCTGGCCATGTTCAGATCCGTGTGCAGATAGGTTCCTTGTGTAGCCTCAACCTCTTCCACCACACGTCCACCCATGCCCTATTTCGATATGCGGCAGCGGCCGACCAACAATCGGACGTACATTCTCGCTCTCGTCCTCGGCGTCGGCATCCTATACTTTCTCTTCACACTCACCTCCAATTCATACGACCCCTACCAACTTGTCCGCAAACGAAAAGCGGACGCAGCCGCGCAAAATCCTCTTTCACCACCCACATCCGCATTCCGCAAGCTACGAAACAATGACCCCTCTGGCAAGCGACGGCCCCCTCCAGTGGTGCACTATCAGCTTAACAATTTGAGCGCATCCGCCAACCCGCTCGCCCACTCCGAGAAGATCCTCATCCTGACACCCCTCGCCCGCTTCTACCCCGAATACTGGGCCAACCTCGTCCGTCTATCCTACCCACACGAGCACATTTCCCTCGGCTTTATCACGCCCAAGACCAAAGACGGAGATGCCGCCACGGCCGCCCTCAACGATGCCATCAAGGCCACGCAGTCCGGGCCTGAACCACAACGCTTCCAGTCCGTGACCATCCTTCGTCAAGACTTCGAAATGCCCTTGACCTCCCAAGACGAAGCCGAACGACACAAAATGCAGAATCAAAAGCCCCGTCGAGCAGCCATGTCGCAAGCACGCAACTCGCTGCTGTTTACCACGATGGGCCCGTCCACCAGCTGGATCCTCTGGCTCGACAGCGACATCGTTGAAACACCAACCGATTTGATCCAAGACCTCACCTCACACGACAAGGCCATTATCGTCCCGAACTGCTTCCAGCGCTTCACCGAAGAAGACGGCACACCTGGTGTTCGACCCTACGACTATAACTCATGGCAAGACTCCACCACAGCGAAACGCCTCGCTTCAACTATGGGCAAGGACGATATTCTCCTTGAGGGATACCAAGATATGCCTACCTACCGCACCCTGATGGCGATGCTCACCAAGGGCGCAATTCGAGAGCCGGACAACGATCCCCGCTCGATTATGAGTCTGGACGGGGTGGGCGGGACGGCATTGATGGTGAAGGCGGAGGTCCATCGGGATGGAGCGATGTTCCCGCCATTTCCGTTCTATAACCTGATCGAGACGGAAGGGTTTGCGAAGATGGCGAGTCGGTTGGGGTATAAGAGTTGGGGATTGCCGAATTATTTCGTGTACCATTATAACGAGTAAGGGATTGTTGCTCGAGGTGCGAAGGACAGAGCCACGCCGAGCAGCGCATCACGAGCATCATATGTGGGTTGATAGATATTTCGATGGAAAATTAATAATCCACCTCGACGACATTTGGTTCGGGTGGGCTGGCATACAGAAACGGCGTTCCGGCACGGGTGCTGACTTGATTTTCTCTGCGACGAGTACACATGGGATAGCGGGATTTGATCTAGAGATTATCTGCCGTGGCGTTGTTTGGCCAAAAAACGACGAAAGGCGTTCGAAAGGTTCACTTCTTGCTTCTCAGTGCAATTTGCGGTCTATATGGGGCAACTGTGACAGGGACGTATTATGTGCGACTAGAAAGAACCCTGGCGCGAGGCTCAACATTGGCATTGCTCAACGCTGGCACGCAGTCCATGACGGCCCATGTAGGCCCGCGGCACATTCAGGCTCCGTGCTCGAAGAAAACGGGCTTTGCTTGGCCCAAGCCCACCAGAGTTCTTGCCAGAGATTTTGATGACTCTCTCTCAGTAAGCGACCGATCCCACCGCATCATCAACCCCCTCTGTGTTCCTCTTTGACATCCATCCACCCCATCGGTGATCTCATGCTTCTGTTCTGTCCGCCTACTCATGGGGAACACACAAGCTCCGATTGTGCCCGCAATCCGCACAGCCCTTTTTGAAAATCGGCTGTGCGTTCTCGCAGTAGATGAGCACGCTGTCGCCGGCACAGACCCACATGCCGACGCTGGGAGCGGTCGTGCAGAGAGGATCCGGTGGGCAGGTGGTCGTGTCGGGGTTCCAGCGGCATTCCCGTTTGAGCGCGATGTCGTCGATGGTTTGGCGGGGTTAGGCGCATCCGGTCGCACTTGAGGCTTGACCGTTCTAGAAATGTGTACAGCCACAGGAATGTACTCCTCGCGTGGGTGTGCTACTAAAAGCTAATCTGCAAATAGAAACTATGTACAGCTGAGCAACCACAACCTGACGGTTTTCTCCCAAGTCTGCGGTGCTGAATGCCGCTGTGATAGGTGGGCTGAGATCTACGACTTTCCTAATTCGTTGTCAGTGTCGATATTCTGAAGCTTCTATGTCGCTGCCAGAGATGGGTGTGTTCCTGAACCGCTCGAACTGTCAGCCCTGGTGGTGTGCTCCTTACCAGCGCTGCTGTCTGTAACGGACTTTGTGCGCTGCTACAACGGTACCGTCCTTGTGGGACACGCAAGCTCAATGTGATGGCTGTGCCATGACTTGAAGCTGTACTTATACTGCATTGACCCTCTACGTCCCTGTCAGTAAGTCCAATCCATTAACATCAAAGATCCATTACACTCGCTTCACCATGTCGTTCAAAACACTCGCTACTTTGCTTGTCCTTCGAGGTCTCTCTTTCACGTTAGCTCAAGATTCTGCTTGCGCAGAGTCGTGCAACGACACCTTGACAAGCTGCCAGGCTACCACCGACGCAGACCTGACCCAGTGCCAGTCGGACTACACCACATGTCTTGACGCGTGTCCTGTAACCACGACCACCATATCTACGACAAGCTCTGAGGAGCCAACTACTACGAGGTCTACAGAGACTACTACAAGTTCTACGGACACAACTACTACGAGTTCTACAGAGACTACCACAAGTTCTACAGAGACTACTACAAGTTCTTTGTACACTACTACAAGCTCTACAGACACGACTACCACAAGCTCTTCGTACACAACTACCACGACTCCTGCAATCACGACAACAACCACCACTAGCTGGACCACCACTTCGACTCCATCTCCAACCACCACCATCTCGGTCTCTCCCTGCGCTCAGGCCTGTAACGATGCACTTGATGACTGCCAAGCCGCGCCGAACGCAAATCAAGCATCCTGCGCCGCCAACTATGCAAGCTGCCTCAACTACGACCCATTTACCAATACCCCTTTCGTCACGGCCACTGCTTGCTCTGCTAGCTCGACAACGACGACGACTCCACCTGCAACCACCACCTCAGTCTCTCCTTGCGCTCAGGCCTGTAACGCTGCACTGGTCAGCTGCCAAAACGCGCCAAACGCAAATCAAGCATCCTGCGCCGCCAACTATGCAAGCTGCCTCAACTACAACCCATACACCAATACCCCTTTTGTCACAGCTACCGCTTGTTCTGCTAGATCGACGACGACAACTCCACCTGCAACCACCACCTCAGTCTCTCCTTGCGCTCAGAAGTGTAATGCTGCACTTGTCAGTTGCCAAAACGCGCCGAACGCAAACCAAGCATCCTGTGCCGCCCAGTACGCAAGCTGCCTCAGCTACAACCCATACACCAATACCCCTTTCGTCACAGCCACCGCTTGCTCGCCGCGCTCGACAACCACAACGCCGCCTTGGACGACCACGACGGCGCCTCCCGCCCCAGGCTGCGCACAGAAATGCGTCTCCTCTTACACCTCCTGCAACACTGCATCGGTCAGCGGCTTACCACCTAACCACGCCTACTGCGCAGCTCAACTGGCCGGATGCGTAAACTACAACCCCTTCACCGGCAGCCCATTCGTGACACCAACAGCATGCTCACCCACTCTACCACCTCCAGCTCACACCACCACTCCCGCGGCGGGTTGCGCACAGAAATGCGTCTCCTCTTACAACTCCTGCAACACCGCATCGGTCAGCGGCATGCCAGCTAATCACGCCTACTGCGCAGCCCAACTCGCCGGATGCGTAAACTACAACCCCTTCACCGGCGGCTCTACATTCGTCACACCCACAGCATGCTCACCCACTTCGCCACCTCCATCTCCGCCACCACCGACGTCAAGGTCAACTGGTCCGCCCATCGTCGTCGTCACTACCGCACCACCACCACCACCACCCGTCGTTGTCATTACTGTGACTCCACCACCCGTCATCGTGACGACCTCCCCCAACGGTGGTGCTCCCGTGACTATCACTTCCACACCGACGCCTGTGGTCTCGACTATCACTCCTACTACGTCAGCGACTCCCGTCTCGACTTTCAAGGGCGATGCTGCTGCCGCTCCGGCGGCTCTTGGATGGGCCGCGCTAGGTTTGCTGGCGTTCCTCTAATCGCGTACGAGCACAGGGACTTTATACATGATAGTGCGTTGTAGGAGATACTCTCAAGATTTGTATTTGGCATATTACTAGTTAATAGAATAAAAGCATACACCACTCAAGACCTGGAAAATATGTAGATTCTGTCCAAGACAACCTAGGTAGTGTACACGCTATCCTGCCCACTGCAGCGATTTTTAAGCCATAGTTGAGTGTACTTATTGATGATTGTCCGGATTAGGATATCCGGACCCCGGCCTACTGGAATGCATGATGATGATCCAATGCGGAGATCTTCAAAGATCACAGATCACATCCGGGACGAAGCGACAGGTTTCATCTGCCGACACCGACATCCCTCAATACACGGGGACGGTGGGTGGGGGAGGTGGTGGGGAGGAGGTGGCCGCGAAGCGGCCACCGACTCACCACCACCTCAGGCGAGCGAAGCGAGCGATTTCCTGGTCGCGCCGCAGGCGCTCCCTATAGAGAAGGGAGTGTAGAAGGATTGGATTGTGGGAGTGCAGAAGTGTGAGAGGTTAGGTACAGTAGTCACAGGCGAGTAAAGGACACACTGGGGTAGGGGACAAAGTTGTAGAGGGTTAGGATGGGCAGCTAGGTAGATATAAAAATACACGGCACACTCGCGCTCTTGCTGCCCCGACCTTTAAAATCATCTGTAAACAGAACGTAGATGTGCTCCTCTGTTTCTGATAAAGGGAAGTTCTGGGGCGTCAGCTTTACGTTGGGGCAGGCATGTTGAAGAAGAGGATTGAGGCAGGCTTTTATGCTTTTGCCGTCCGCTATTGGTAATTGTTTAGATCTGGTTCGAGTGAGTGAGTGGGTGAGTGGGTGCCATGATTCAGCCGACTATTGCCATGTTGGTGACGGCGCTGCCGGGCGAACATGCTCTGTATTCCTCTTGAGGCGCGCTGGGTGAGCTACACCCACCATGTAGGGGGCGGCAGAATTATGGAGGCCGAGCTCGTGCTTCGCGCAAAGGACAATTCGTAGGCTTGGCCGTGGGGGGTCTTCTGCGGTGGAGACCAGCTGGGCCAGGAACAAGCCGTAATGGGCGCAATATGGCATGATCTCGTGGCAGGCAGGCAGCAGTTGTGAGTTGGAAGTTCGGCTGCTTAGGAAGAGGGGCCTTCTGCCTCCGCAAGGTCCATGATAATTCTGATCGAGCCGCTTGCGTACTAGTCTCCGCCCGTACACATACCCGATTGAGGCTTCATTCAATATCACTTACTTGTCAGATGTAGATTGAGTAAGAGACTGATGGACAACGAGGCCTTTGATTCCATATCGGTCGCATTGCCGTTGTCGGCTTTTTGTCAAGTCTTGCCCCTACTAGGGCCAATACCTTACTGCTTTGCACCGAAAGTCCGCGCCTTGCTATCAGATAGCTCATCGCATCTGCATCAATAACCCCTCTGTTCTCTCCTGCCATCACCCCCGGTCTCATTCTCGTCCTCTGTCGGCTTCTCCCGCGCCTCCCTAATCCCCTCACTGTCACCCCTCAATCCCTCAAAATACGCCTTGACATCCTCCGCACTCACTACCTTCCCACTCTCCGCGAACGGCTGCAAGAACGTCTTGACTTTATCCTTCAGATGGTTGTACGCCATCACGCCCTCAATGGCTCGGACGCGATCGATGTTGTTGAGAGCAGATTCGCCCCTTTCCAGGATGGAGCGCGTGCCGGTTGAGCCGGCGGAGTGGTTAGTCGCGCCATTCGGATGGGAGGGTGAGTCTGAGGAGAGGGAGGGGGCGTAGACGGACTCTTCTTCGCGGAGGACGCGGTGGGGAATGAGGTTTGGGTAGCAGGCGGGGCAGTGGCAGAGGTGGTCGCGGAAGTCCTCGCGGAGGAAAAGTGTGAGTTGGGAGGTGGGTGGAATGGCGGGCAGGCGAGTGTGCTTGTGGGACGGTACTGGAGTGGGATCGGTGGCAGGAGTCAGAGTGGCTGCGGCGCTGGTGGTGACAGCCACGGATGACTTGTCCGTAGAGGTCGTTATGTTCTCTTCTTTGACGCGTTTGACCGGGCTACCCGCACGAGCTATTGCAGAGGCGTCTTCATCGGCGTCATCAGACGCTTTCCGCTTAAGATTCGGCCTTTCTGATGATATGGGAGCTGGGTCGGAAGCCGCTTTGTGAAATACTGGTGGGAGGAAGCCTTCGGTGCCGGCATATGCCTTCAACCAGGGATAGGCATCGACACATTTGTAGCAGATCATGCCCTCGAAATCGTCGTCGTCTGGGAAGCCCTCGGGCTTAGGGTGGTCGTGGTCCTTCTCCTCGCCGTCCGGTGCGGCTGCGGCATCCTTTCTCTCGTCCTTTCCACTCCAATCTTTAGGCAACCCCATCAGGCACTCAGGATGATACCAGTCCTCTCCGCACCCGCCATTCTCGACAGTACCGAGGCCAGCGCACTGATACATGGTACCCTTCTCCTTGTCGGCATCATACTCCTCGCCACAAGCACAGAATTGGTTCCGAAAGTTGTGATTGTACTGATTCTCTTTCGCCGCCTCTTCGCCACTAACGCCTCGTGCTCCAGTGACAGGATCTGATCGAAGAGTACAGGGCATGCCGTTCGTAAAACGTGCTGAGCCGCAGTCACAGACAAAGTTGCGCCTACTGAACAGCTCAACAAGATTATGATCGCCATGGCAGGCGATGGAGCATGAGTAGCATATGCCGGCGGGAGTGTACTGTTGTGCGGCAGATGCAGGTGGCGGGCTGCAGGTCAGACAGGCGTAGACATCTTGCCGGAGGGGTCCTAGATCCTTTGTGCATCTGTCAAACTTGTATGGTAGCGTATCTCGGGCGTCGGCTTCGAGTGATAATTGCTGTTCGATGAATTCAGAGGCGGTTTGCGAATCTCGATGCACTTGTTTCGTCGGCTCATCATCGTTGACAATAGGCTGGGACTCTGCCATCGTCGGTATCGGAAAAGAGCAGGCGCGACAATAACACAGAATGAATACGATCGAAAGATCTTGCGAGTTGGTTTCGAGGTCGAGGTCGAGGTTTCCGACTTCACTTGTCGAGATTCACCGGGCACTTTCTCCACGTCGAGGTCGCGCCTGCTAGAAACGCGTGTTGGCGGTTTCTCCAACTTCTTAACACGAAAATGCTCCGCTTCCACTTCCACACCGACGAGCGCCTGACGGAGTCCACAACCTCATCGCATCCTCTGTCGAGTTGTATCTTTCGGACGCCTGGGAGCGCCCTGCGTGCGATGTCTACTCAGAGATGGCCAGATACTCTCGTTCGCGTCAGAAAGCCTGCAACTCGTGCTCGGTTTCCAAGACACGGTGTATCCCTGGAGCAGAGCGATGTGCCCGCTGCGAGCAGAAGAATGTCCGATGCATATGGCCCGCAGATGTGATCAGCACTCCGGAACATGCTTCGCGCGAGGGGTCTACAACGAGTCCAAGGAGCGGCGCTGTCTCTTTGCGGGAGTTGCTTCCTGCTCCGCCTCCACCACCTGAAGCAGTCAGGTTGGCGGCTTCACAGAGTCCGATGGGCAGCGAGCATACTGTGCGGGGCGGGCTCTACGGCAGAGACACTACAGCGTTGCCAGATGCACCACCTAGAGCCATCAGCGAGCATAGCCTTGATTTCTCACGGCTGGATATGGCTTGTCCCATCGATGCTGCTGACATCAGCAATCGGTGGCTGAAAGCATACGTCCCAGATCCCTCGCATAAGGCTAAGCAATACAGCGGGCCCATCACGGCCTTCATTTACCGGATGTTGAAGTCTTTCGCCGCTGCAGTCGGTGAGTTCCGGTCCCCAGGCGGGCTCTAGCGGTTTGTTGCCTCCGAGCTCACTGTCAGACGTACTACCAGCACTGACAGGATATTTTGTAGTGCGCGGTGAAGGCGCTCCTTCATTTGTACATCCACTGATGGCTTGGCCACCGTCGCCCACCACCCATTTGTCCACGTGCATGAGTCTAGTCCGTATCTTCGATCGGGCAGGCCCAGGCACCGAGCACCTCTCGAGCATTCTGCTGGGAGAGATGACGAGAGTCTACGACGAACATCAGAACCTCGAGCCACATGCTATCGTGGCTGCTTACCAGGCTTACTCAATCTATACACTAGTTCTGTTCTTCTATGTGAGTGAGGTACACGAAAACCTTCCGACCGCCATGTTGAACCTGCAGGAACTTGCAAGTGCAAGGTATGTGTGCTCAAGTCAGTCTTCGCTCTCCCTCGCAGCAGTCGCTCCGCCTCCTCTAACCAGTCTCTCTCTTTCGTCAGATCAGTATTCGCTCTCCCTCACAGCGGTCTTTCCATCTCCTCTAATCAGTCTCTCCCTTTCGTCAGATCGGTCTCTTCCCTCGATCGAACTACTCGCAACAGTACTTCGGGCCGTCCACGTTGGTCTTTGTCTAGTTCTTGTTCTCGTGCCCCAGCCCTGTTCTTCGACTAGCGTGCGCTATACTCCCATTCTGTGCGAGACAGCTGCAAGCGCGTCATTTCGGCCTGTTGCTGATACAACCTACAGCGCAGCCGTTGGCGTGACGTGCAGGGCAGAAGGACAGCGCGAGAGGCCCAGGTGGGAGGAGTGGATCGTCGCCGAGTCCCAACGAAGGACCCTTTACGCCATGTATATGTTCGACAGCGTTCTCACTGCGAGAGATGGCGTACCAACCTTCATCAGCACCGAGCTCCACGGACTTCCTGCTGCAGGGCCCTCTAATTTGTGGAGAGCGACTTCGAGACAGGAATGGCAGACCGACTATAATCAGTATCTTGCCCGCTGGCCCGACGGCATTCTTCGACTCGATGAGTTGTGGCCGATGCCGGCCGAATTCGACGACGAGGTCATCAGGAAAAGGCGTGGCAGAGTGGATCGGTGGCTGATCAATCTCGACGAGTACGGCATTATGCTTTATACCGTCACGAGCTGCACCCACGGCACTTGAGTCGAGGCGGCATCTGATCGTTTCATCGCTTAGTACGGGTGAAAGCGAATTGTCGCCCATCTCCGTCCGTCCTGATAGGAATTCGGATCTCGCATTCTGAACACCGACCGGCTTACTTACTGTGCCGTGCCGATTGCGATGAGTTGGTCGGGGAGTTGACTGACCAATCATCACTGTCCTCGAGCCCTCCGATCGCTCGACTGCCAAATATATAGCCGCCTTCAACGCCCAGAGTCTCACTCACTGGTCAGGCAATTCATAACATGAGCAACACCGCACATCACAACAACGAAAGCACGCATACCGACTCTGATATAGCACCACCTCTAGCCCTGAAGTCTGAGCCATACAGCATATTCGACAGGCGGCAGAAGGCAATAATTGTGTTCCTTGTCGCAGTCGCAGCCACTTTCTCCGGCTTCGCCAGCAATGCATACTTGTACGTATACTCACCAATCTCATGGGGCGAGACATCGATCTCCGGGGTCTGATTCGAGGTCTTTCCGATACATGTTCAGTCTAACGGTGCGATAGCCCTGCGATCACAGCCGTCGCAAGGGACCTGCACGTGTCGAATGAGCTGATCAACCTCACGATAACAGCTTATCTCGTCTTTCAAGGTCTGGGGCCCAGTCTGTGGTCACCACTCTCGGATGTCAAAGGACGACGAATTGCATACATCTGCTGCTTCATAGTCTTCATTGCCGCCTGTATAGGTCTCGGACTATGCCAGAACTATGCCACCCTACTGGTGCTACGAATGCTACAAAGCGCGGGCAGTGCGTCAACGATAACAATTGGGTCAGGAGTCCTGGGCGACATTACGACACGCGCTGAGAGAGGCGGCTACATGGGCATATTCCAGGCAGGCTTTCTGACGCCAGTCGCAATCGGTCCAGTGATCGGAGGTGCCCTTGCTGGCGCTCTCGGCTGGAGGTCAATCTTCTGGTTCATCGTTATTTACTGTGGGATATTCCTAGCAATTCTTGTTCTGGTACTGCCAGAGACTCTCCGCTACAGGGTCGGAAACGGTAGCCGGCTCCCCACAGGATTGATCGGCAGGTGGCCACTCGTTCTCTATCAGAAGACAACGAAGGTCCAGTGGGCTTCTTCTCCGCCTGCGGCTCGTCCATCCAAGAAGCACGTCAACGTCCTTGGGCCACTCCGAATCCTCACAAGCAAGCAAGCTGCACCAATCATTCTCTTCCTCTCGATACAGTATACGGTCTGGTATATGGGCATATCGGCTATAGCCACTTTGTTCGAGGAACGCTATAGACTTTCTGAGACCCAGATCGGCTTGACATTCATCGCGAACGGGGTGGGGTCGATGCTCGGTACGCTCACCACCGGGAAGATTCTTGACATCGACTTCCAGAAGATCCAGAGAAAGCTGGCGGAAGAGTCTGGATCTGATGGCACGGCTCCTGTCGACCCTACCGATCCAAAGTTTCCACTCGAGCGTGCTCGTCTCCGGCTCATGCCAGCCTTCACCATTGTTCAGGTCTTGTCTCTGTTACTGTTCGGCTGGACGGTGCATTACTCAGACAAAGTCCCTCTCGCCATACCGATCATCTCCACCTTCGTCACGGGATGGACAGCGGTAGGCATGCAGTCTGCCATTACGACGTACCTGGTCGACGTCTTCTCGGACCAGAGCGCTGCAGCGAGCGCGAGTCTGAACTTGGCGAGGTGCTTGCTGGCTGCTGGCGGTACGAGCATCATCATACCATTGATCAACGCCATAGGGGTCGGCTGGGCATTCACGCTTTGCGCTGTGGTGCAGATACTAAGCCTTGCTGGTGTCTTTGTCCAGTGGAAGTTTGCTGGGAAGTGGCGCCAGGAGGCTGATGAGAAGAGCGCGACGAGTTGATCGGGCAATAATGGCAAGATTAGATATGCAGCAGTCTGGCTGTTCCGGCTCGCAGCTTGGATGACCCCAACATCGAAGCTCCAGATATTCCATTCTCGCATCTGGGACGATTTAAACCTCGAAGCACACATCATTCCATGCTCAAAGTCAAAGCCCGCCCAAACCCAACAGTCCAGCGAGGCGAAAGCGAGGCACTGCCTTTATGTTCGTCTTGGTCTTGTGCTAGGTTCTGTTGCTGTTGACCAGATAGGTCGATCCTGAGCTTGGACGAGCACGGCGGCGCTACCAAGTTGCCAAGGTGAGGTCGTTCACACATGTCTGAGTGTACCTTGGTTCCCCTGCCGGTCACTTCACTTGGCCAAATTGAATGTGATGCCCCAGGCAACCACACGTCGTTCGCACCTGCCACTTTCGAACACTTTCCTCGACGATCTGAAAACTTCTCCTTCTACGCTACGATTTTTAGCTTTTCTACCTTCAACCACTTCCCACGCTTTTCAAGGACGGGAAATAGAACTTGCGCTGGACACAAAGGTCTCCCAGCCTCCATCATGGATGCAGATATGTCTTATGGTCCCAAAGGGTACAGCGACGGCGCGGTCGAGGGCGCAGATGAGTATCAAGGCGTGCTCGTAAGTCGTCATCGAGATGAAGTCCTGGACCCTGCGCTGACTGACTACCAAAGGCGTCAGCAAATGTGCACTGGACGTCTGAGTCGACATTTCCCTTCCTGAAGCTTCCTGCCGAGATTCGGAATAAGATCTACCAATACCTGCTGAAGGCTGGAGGCGAAATATATGTCAGCATACACAACGTGCGCCGTTCCTCTTGCATTCGTTTCCAAAGTCATACGGATCCTGAGCTTCTCGAAAACAACGTAGGAAGCTGGACTGGCACCTCCGAGCCTCTGGCAGCCGAAGTCCCGGGCGATGGTATCGGACTTCTGCTCACTTGCAAAGAAATACACCGAGAGGCCATCGTTGTATTGTATGCCGAGAACAAGATCACATACATCGATACATTTGGATGTTTTCATCCTCGGCATAGCTCGTGGCTGAAGCAGATTGGCGTTGATAACACAAGTTCGATCAAGGACTTTTCCATACGCGTACCTGTCGAGGAGCTTGGCAACAGCCCATTCACATTGCTAGAGTGCTATTGAGATAGTGCGACGCAATTTGTCAATAATCTTCCGCAAGGTCTCGAAAGCCTGGGACTCGGTGCAGCGATGACTTGTCAAACATTCACGTGGCATGAGCGCTGTGAACAGGACAATCCTCGACCCTGGCGGCGCTACAGAGCCCTGCTGCTCATGATAGCTGCGCAAGTAACGAAGGCTCATCCGACTCTCAGAAAGGCGATCTGGCAAGCAGGTAACGGTCTGAGACGTTGCGAAGACCGGAGAGTGCCAACAGCTCCTGGCGAATCTGAAGGAAGGCGAACAAAGCATGAGCTCTACCTCAAGTTCGGTCCAGCCGGCAAAATCTCGAGCCCCAGCACGGCAACTTACACGGCAGCTGGCGGCGAACTTGTGACCAAGAAGGATCTTGTGCTGGACTGCGTCAAGATACGGCGTCTCACTTGTGAAGAACTGGAGCGGCATGACGAACTGCATTTCGCCCTTCCGGATGATGCTTAGTCGTCAGAGCCATAGACGGACGGCTGATATCGGGTCCAGCAGCGGTCTGACAAGTTCAGCGGCGATCTAAGAAGGTGGGGGCTCGTTGGTCCCACCAGACGATGCAGTACATCAGATTCCTTTTCACTCGGGGAGGTCGAAGGGGAAGGGCGAGGACAGCTCGGTTCTCCTTCCGGGCAGCCTTGGGTTGCTGACCGGCCTTCCACGATGCAACAAGGGGGTAATGGTGATCGATGGGCATGAGCCGACTTGGAGACCATGTTTGCTCCGACTTCATGAGGGCCACTGACACGCTCCCTCTTAGTAGTAGTAAGTCTGGGCAGTCGAGACAGCCAGATAGTCAGCACTACCAGTGCCACCGTGACACTCTCTGGCCGAAACTGCCTGCAAGTCCGCAACATAGAAATGATGATTATGCTTCACCTGTGTTCCGTAGCTCCCTGCACAGGTCACTTCATTTGACGAGGTCGGCTGTTGAAACTGGGCAACGACTATTGCTTCTTGTCTTCCAACAGCGACTTCGCTACTCATACATTAATTTTTTGTGTTCCACAATTCGAGTCCTTTCTTGCTTCTGCCACTTCTCACACTTCTCAAGCATCACGGCAAGAACTTGTCTTCAGATCGAACTCTCATACATCTCCAGCATGGCTGCACATATCTACCACTCCCGCCGTGAAGATGGGAGCTTCTTTCGTCATGAGCTGCGCCAATCGAGGTACTGCATCCGCTAAGTCATGGCACTTTCTTAGCTGACGAACTGCCATAGTCACTGACAATCCTGAGCAATGCGTCCGTTTCGGAATCGCGCTTCCTCAAGGCACCTGCTGAGATCCGAATGAAGATATATCGCTACCTGCTAGTCGCCGACCGTGGTATGCGTCTCGAAAAGTCCACGCGCGCAAAGTGTCTGCTTGTGTGCAACAATGATGCTGCCGAACACCCCGGAGACGGAGTGCAGATTTTACGTACCTGCAGATTCATCTACCGGGAAGCAACCGCAGTGTTGTACTCGGAGAACAAGTTCTCATACGCGGAGACCTCTGATTCCCTCTCAAGCATAGGTGCTGGGTGGTTGACGCGGACCGGGTCCTTCAACAACTTCAACATAGGCTTCATCAAGAGCCTGACCTTACGAATCGCCACTAGAACCTGTAACATGCCTGGTATTGAAGGTCGGGTGGCGCGTGAACGAGCGTGGACAACGATGGCATTCAGACTCGCAGAAAACCTACCCGATCAGCTCCAACACATCACCGTCGGCCGCACCTGGCCTTGTTGGCGTCGTAAGAACAAATTCTACCCTCGCGATCAGACAATATCTCGTGGAAGCAGATCCAGAATTCTCCTCCTGGCCTCCATCATTACGAAGATGCACCCAAGGATCAAAAAGGCCGTGTGGCTGGCGGACAATGGCCTGAAGTACATCGACGAACAAGCATTCTGCACCAACCAAGATATGTACATCAGACTTGGGCTTGCTGGAGAAACTTCAGACATCCGCACAACGCGATACAGGGCACTCAATGGCAGTATGTCGACAAGAAAGACATCGTCTTCGACTGTGGTAGAATACGTGCTCTGAACCGGAAGGAGCGAAACTTGCACGACGAGCAGGATTTTGCTCTACCAGACGATGCCTTGTCGTCGGAGCTCGGCACGGAGAACCTGGACGAGCTGGGTGACTCGTACCTGGAGGCGTACAAGGATGGCTACTTGAGTCGTCCAAGTCTGGTCGGGGACGACATGGAGTGAGTGAGTGCTGCTCGCGCCGTCCGAATGTGGCAGGGAGCAGAGGCAGGGTTCAATGCGTTCATGGTCTTGCGTTCATGTCCCAATTCTCTGCGAGCGCGAAATTGGCATGCTACCAAGACCAATCGACGAGCATGAGTTCGTATTTACCGAGGGCCATTCGACCATCCTGGCGTTTGAGCAGCTTCAGGCAACGCCATAGTCAGCGGAGTCAAGAATGATGATCCATCGTGAGTTCTCGTGATGTTCCGCTTCGCATTGTGTACGGAAGTCTGCAAAGAGTGAATCGTAGGTCGTATGCGCACGGTCGTCGAACCAACGCACAGGAAAGAGAGGCTGTACTCAGGTGCCGCTACAGAAGTAGGACGTTGCTTTAGACTGTTCACCAATATAAATGTTGGTGACCGGGATTGGCGAAACTCGTTTGCCCGTGCCCCGCGCTGTGACAATGACGCTACGCTCCACCTCCACACGTTTTCCTCAACAACCTGCGACTCGAACTTCAGCCTGCCCAACAAACAGTCTTGCGCTTTACTAATTGTTCCGCGTTTGCTCATATACGATAAACCAAATCGATCTCAAGCCACTACGACTGCATCCTCGACGACCCCAGACCGTCAACAGCCCCGCCTTTCGAAAGTGACACTCATATATCCGGCGCAACTTCAGCCAACACGACACAGACACAAAGCCACGCCTGACATTTCGAGCGGGCTGGCGGCGCAGGCCTTTCGCCAGACCCTGCTCTCGACCCTGACATACCTGCTTGTCCCTCGAGCTACTCAAGATGCCTGAAGGCAGCGTCGCCCGCGGCCCCCCCATGAACCGCACGACCCGCCGCCGCCGCGGCAACGAGCGCCTCATCCCATGGATCTACGACATAGTAGTCTGGTCCCTCGGCCTCCTGATCGACCTCTACTTCCGCGAAGTCCACCCCCGCGGCGCCTGGAAGATCCCGCGCTCGGGCCCCGTCATCTTTGTTGCCGCGCCGCATGCGAACCAGTTCGTGGACAGCATGATATTGATGCGGATATTCAAGATGGAGGCGAATAGGAGGATCAGTTGGTTGATTGCGGAGAAGAGTACGAAGAGGAAGTTTGTCGGGGCGATGAGTAGGGCGGTGGGGAGTATTCCGGTTGGGAGGGCGTTGGATAAGGTGAAGAAGGCGGAGGGGAGGATATCCCTTCCAGATGCGGAGGGCGACGCTACGCTGATAGAGGGCCAGGGTGTTGACTTCGAGAACGGGCAGTTTGAGGTTGGTGGGTTGATTGTGTTGCCCAAGAGTGGGAATCAGACGCCGAGTGCGGAGATTGCGAAGATTGAGTCGAAGACGAGGATTAGGTTGAAGAAGCCTTTTACGAGTGAGGTTGCGCTGAAGGCGTTGAAGGCGGAGGGTGGGAGTTCGTTTCAGGTTGCGCCGTTTGTGGATCAGGGAAAAGTATATACTATGGTGTCTGATGAGCTCGATGCAGGCGGAGTGATTGGTATCTTCCCGGAAGGAGGGAGCCACGACCGGAGCGATCTACTGCCGTTGAAGGCTGGCGTGGCGATCATGGCGCTCGAGGCGTTGGCACGGAACCCGAATTGTGGTCTTAAGGTGATCCCTATCGGCATGAACTACTTCCACGCGCACAAGTTCCGGTCACGAGCAGTCATCGAGTTCGGTCATGTTATTGAGGTTCACCCTGACCAGGTCGAGGCATACAAGGCAGGAGACAGGAGGAATGCTGTCGGATCGCTGATGAGCACTGTTCAGGATGGTCTGACGGCAGTCACGCAGTCGAGTCCAGACTACGAAACGCTCATGCTGGCTCAGGCTGCCCGACGGTTGTATAACCCGCATGGGAAGAAGCTGCCGCTCTCACTGGTGGTGGAGCTCAACCGACGGCTGGTGAAGGGCTACACGATCTACAAGGACGAGCCTCGGGTGATCGAGATGAAACGTGAAGTGCTCCAATACAACCGGGAGTTGCGAGCGTTGGGAGTGCGGGATCATCAGGTCGAATGGGGCAACACCACGAAGCGGCCGTGGTGGCGTGTACTCTCGACATTGATCTACCGATTGGGAGAATTGGCAGTACTGGCAGTTGGCACTCTCCCTGGACTTGCCATGTTCTGGCCGTTGTTTGTGGTCACCAAGGTCATCTCGATGAAGAAGTCAAAAGAAGCACTGGCGGCTTCAACAGTCAAGATCAAGGGGCGAGATGTCATCACCACCTGGAAATTAATGGTGGCGCTTGCAGTCGCTCCGGCACTGTATGCGTACTACACGATCATCGTCTCGATCTGGCTGGTCTACAACCGGAGAGGCGGCTACTACAGCGACAAGGTGCCATACTGGATGCTGGCTCGGACATATGTGCCTGATTGGGTGCCGATATGGTTGTTTGCTATCGCCTTCACGATACTTTGTATTTCACTCACATTTGCCGCGCTGAGGATCGGTGAGATCGGCATGGATGTGCTAAAATCGCTCAAGCCATTGATCGTTGCGTTGGATCCTCGCTCGTCGAGCTCTTTGGCGCGGTTGACAGAGCATCGCAAAGAACTGTCAGCCAAAGTTACGGATGTTATCAATGCCTTCGGTCCAGAAGTGTACCCAGACTTCGACGCCAATCGCATCGTCGCAGATCCGTTCAGAGAAGGCGCATATCAGTCACAATATCGCGAAATCCCAGAGACCAAGGTTGAAGGCGCTACGGAGCCCACTACGCCAACTGCTGCAGAGCTGGAGGACAACACTTTGTATGGACGCTCTCTCAACTTCCTACCGAGCAACGAAACATTCATGAACATTGGCAGCTTTGGCTTCTTCTCATCGCGGCCTCATACGCCAAAGAGTCGCAGCCGTAGCAGCTCAACTGGTGCTGGTCTGGGACGGGGTGACGGATTGAAGCCTTTCAGCTCGATTGACACCCAGGACTTGAGCCAGCGCATTCGAGGTGCGATGAGGGAGCGCGGCAAGAAGCGTGCTAGTAACGCGGGAATGAGTGAGAGTAGCTGGGATGCTGTCTCTGAACCAGACGAAGAGGGTGTCGAGAGAAAGAAGGAGCGTTGAAGGGGGTATTTCCCAGGAACCAAAGGTTGATAGCATTTGGGTTCACAGCACAGTGGTTCGTAGACGGTGGCCGTGAGCAGCTTCTTGGGGCTGCATTTGAATGAATGACAACTATTCTTCTACTACTTCGGCGAGCGCGATGCCATCAGGATCGCTTGCCATTTTTGCACAATACCAGGGCGAAGAAGACTTGAAAGCACTTGAAGTTGAAAAGGGGCGATGGACGACCGGTACGTCACTGCCAAGGCCAGGGTTCGGGTTGCCAGGTGGTCAACAAGGCAGGCGCTCGCCGACCTCGACCTGGTTGGCATGTGGTCACAACAGCTGCCCTCAGCTTTGCATTGAGACTGGCACTGCGATTCCTGACACTCGCTTTCCGCTTCTCGAGTGCATGGCTGATACCGTGCATTGCCCGCATCGTATTTGCCAACGCTGCTGATTCTCTGACGCCGGCTGCTCGACAACAGCGACTTCGACGATTCACCACAAAGCGGACTCGGCCAATATCGTTCAGTGGCTCCTGGGTGGGAGCGGACCCGAACACTTTGGATGAGGCAACAGCGCCTGTACCCCTATACCATAGCCGCGAGCCTGGGTTCCGTCAGTACCGCAAGATGGAGGAGGACTACGAAGCGACAGCCATGACGGCAAACCCCTCGACCACCTCCTTCCGCATCGACGAGGGCTTTGCAGAGGACGCAGCCACTTTGGACGAGCATAATAATTCAGAGGTCGCACAGCTATGCCAGTCATGGCTCATGACCCGGTCTCACGCAGACCGCGCGGCGATTGCCGTCGAGTTATTACGAACGCTGCCTACGTCGTATCTGTCGAATATTGCTAAAGCGATGGATCCGATGCTACATATGGACCCCCTGAGCAAGCTGCCGGCCGAACTCATCATGCACGTGCTTCGATACTTGGATGCGCCGACGTTATTGACCATATCGTTGGCCTCAAAGAGCTGGAGAGATCGAGCACTGGACACGCCACTGTGGTTGGATCTATTCATATACGAGGGCTGGCAAATAGACCAAGCAGCACTCAAGTCGATCGAGGAGAAGATCCATTGGGGCCAGCTCAGTTCGAGGGAGCATCTTTCACCCAGGAAAGGCAAGGCTCGCATGATCAGCGCGGACGAATCAAGCCTACCTAGGCCGAAGAAGCGGGCATCTCCTGATATATATGCCACTCAGCAGCGTCAGGCAGCGGTCGAGCTACCGAACTGGGGCGAGCAGCATACCACTCCAGAGATTGCAAGTCCTCCGCAGCAGGACACCGACGATCAAGAGATGCTTGACGCCCCAAGCGCCCAGACACCCTCGCCAGCCAGGACCAATAGACCAAATAGTCGAGACACAGACGATGGAATGGACTTTGGACTAGGTCCGAGCGGCTCCACCATCGCCGACATTGGTGTAGGGCAGAGGGAACCCAGCTCTCTGTTCGATACACAATTAGTGACACGAGATGGACAGGACAAAAAGTTGAATTGGGCATACTTGTATAAACAAAAGCACAGGCTGGAAGAGAATTGGCTACACGGGCGCTATACTACATTCCAGCTCCCGGACCCAGCACATCCAGAAGAAGCGCACACAGAGTGTGTTTACTGCATACAATTCTCTGGCAGATGGCTCGTCAGTGGAAGTCGAGACAAGACGCTCAGAATTTGGGACATGGAGACACGACGGCTGAGAGGCCGACCCTTGACTGGACATTCACAATCGGTACTTTGTCTGCAATTCGATCCGGCTCCGGAGGAAGACATAATTGTATCTGGAAGTAGCGACGCGAGCATAATCATCTGGAAATTCTCCACCGGCGAGCTGATCAAAGAAATTAGGTCTGCTCACGACGAATCCGTGCTTAATCTGCGGTTCGATCACCGTTATCTGGTCACCTGCTCCAAAGACCACAAAATCAAGGTGTGGAATCGGCATGATCTCTCTGCAAATAGTCCGGATATTCCTAGGATCAAAGCCAACACTGCTGATATCGAGGTGGCTGCATATGTCATCGACATTGCCAACACATTGCCTCAGCAGCTGGACGATAGAATCGAGCATGGTCTGAAACCGCTCAAGGCCTGGTCCCATCTGCTCACTTTCAGGGGGCACAATGCCGCGGTCAATGCTGTTCAAATACGAGACGACCAGATTGTGTCAGCCAGTGGTGACAGACACATCATCATTTGGAGTATAAGTAAGGGACAGCGGGAGAAGTCGCTAACTACGCACATGAAAGGCATCGCTTGTGTCCAATTCGATGGCAGGCGCGTTGTCAGTGGCAGCAGCGACAACACTGTGCGCATTTACGATCCTCAAAGTGGGGCTGAGGTCGCTGTGCTTCAGGGCCACTCTAACCTCGTGCGCGCTGTTCAAGCAGACTTTGCAGATGTTCCTGGTCAGGAGGCTGAAGATTTCGACGAGGCGCGCAAGGCGGAGGAGTTGCTGAGGCAAGCCCTCGCCAACCAAGAGTCAGTCGAGCATGACCGTCACCACGCACGGCGTGTACGTAATGGTCAAGAGGGAACGTCGAGACCGACTTTCGGTGCTCAGCTTCCACCTGGTGGAGGCGGCAGCAAGTGGCGCAAGATTGTCTCTGGATCATACGACGAGACAATCATCGTGTGGCGTAAGAACCCACGGAACGGCGAGTGGGTCGTAGGCCAGACCCTGCGCCATGGCAGACCCCGAACAACCAGAAGGAACCACGCCCGAAACGTTCCCGCTGCTGTTCCTGTTGTGGCAGCTGCTGGAGTGCCCGTACTTCCAGTCGCGGGTCCAGCCATCGCACAACCACCGGTAATTCCGCCGCGGGCGAACGTACACATCAATCCGACCAATATTATGTCACAGGCTGTGAACGCGTCTCTGTCAACGCTGGGAGCTGGACTCTCAAATATCGTTGGAGCGGCTCGTGGACTCAACGGAGGACATCAGTTAGGTGGCTCAAACGCAGCTGCTGGACCGTCGCAGAGTGCTCATAACGCCACCACGACCAGTTGGTCTGCTTTCGCTGGAGGTCAGATGCAAGTCAACTCGAGCTTCTCGATCCATCCCTCTATTACCAGCTTTCCACCTCTGGGAGGCCGATCTACGGGCGGATTTCAACAATCGAACACGACTTTCCCGACATCCATGCCCCCAATGTCTGGCCCGTTACCGATGTCGATCGCAGCACCCACGGCGCCTGCTCCAGTGGCAGCAGCACCGGTGCAGCCACCACTGCTGCACCACCGCTCGCGCCTGCCATGGTACCAGCAGTTGCGGCTCAAGCTCCGCCGCCACCGCCGGCACCCACTGCTAACAGACGGGTCTTCAAGCTGCAGTTTGACGCAAGACGGGTGGTGTGCTGCAGTCAGGATACGAGGATTGTGGGTTGGGATTTTGCAAACAATGATCCGGAGATTATTGAATGCAGTCCTTTGTTTTTGGGTTGAAAACAATGTGATGAGACAGTCAAATCGATCTTGAAGATTTGGACACTGTACGATCAACAAATATGGGGAGTGGATGGTGTTCTAGCATTCTTGTGACGATAATCAGGAATATCTCAGCACTATGTCTCCGCCACCTCGCTGGCCGTTGTGAGAGAATATAGCCGGCAGCGTGGTCGATCTTATGATCACAGTCATTACCGTGTATAACGTCACTCATCGTATATGTATAATGCCCACATCTATTGTTCAGGTTCATCTGTTCTTGCCGCGTCCCCGTGTCCTCTTGAGTTGTCCGATCAAACTGATCTCACCTACTCCATTGGGTAATACCAGTTCCTGAAGTCTAGTCGCAAGGTTCGCCGATCACGGCACTCGGTGTTGGACCCGTGGGGCAACGGCCCGGGTCTGGAGCAAGGGTCCAACGTTTGCCTCGTTTCGAATTTTTGAATCATAAAGTTCTATGACCATCATGGATGTGGCGATATAGTCCCTCTCTTTCCCTCCGTGCTAATGGAGACCACTGGACATCTGTCGGCGGTGGAAGGAAGGGACCACGCAACAATTCTCACTCCTAGGTAGCTACTCGTCACATACCCGAACCTGCCAATAAAAGGGTACATCGAGAGCCCTAACCTGCAGACCTTGACTTTCATACCGGACGTCTCAGTCCAGCACTCCCTTGCAGGACAATGGCTACTATGACTTCTCGACCCAGTAGTGACGTGGAGAAGAACGCCGTCGCGCAGAATGCGATAGCTGATCAAACTGGCAACGGCCATGACTACACCAAGCCAGCGCCATCGACGTTCGAGAAGCTCAAGACAAGGATGTACCACTCCACCATCGTCGAATATCGCGGCATCGAACCAGTCCAACCCGAAGATCGAACCGACAGACGCTACATCAACGTCCTCTCCTTCTGGATCTCCATGACCCTCAGCGTGCTACCCATCATCTTCGGCATGCTCGGACCACTGGCATACGGCCTGTCCCTAACAAACTCAGCTCTTGTCATCCTATTCTTCAGCTTGCTTACCGCGGCGCCATGCGCGTATCTCGTCACGCTGGGGCCGAAGACGGGCATGCGGCAGATGTCGCTTGCGCGGTATAGTTTTGGCTACTATCCTGTTTCTGTTCCGATTCTGCTCAACCTTGCTACTCTGGTCGGGTACTGCATCGTTGGGGACGTTATTGGCGGCGAGGTTCTGGCTGCTGTAGCACCGCAGAAGATCAGCTGGACGGTGGGCATCGCCATCGTCGGCGTGATCGCCTTCTTCATCTCGGCTATGGGCTACAGGACTCTGCACTACTACGAACGTTATGCTTGGATGGTTGCGCTGGTCTGCATTGTAATTCTGATCGGCAGTGGTGGGAAGGATTTGCGGAAGCAATCTGTGTTTCCGGCTCCTGAGGCGTCCGCTGTGGTGAGCTTTGGGGGATTGATGGCTGGATACTTCCTACCGTGGGCGGCCATCGCTTCTGATTATTCGGTTTATATGAGTCCTGATGCTCCTGCGTAAGTCCACGTCTCCAATTTGCCGCAACGACACAGCGCTGGACAGTACTGACACAGCGTTGTGCAGGAAACGAATCTTTCTTTACGCCTACGCCGGCTTAACAATCCCAAGCATCCTCTTCCTCGTCCTAGGCGCCGCAATCGGCGGCGCTGTCCCCAACATCCCCTCCTGGTCCGCCGCCTACGAATCCGGATCAGCAGGTGAAGTCCTCGGTGCCATGCTAACACCGCTGGGCGGCTTCGGGCAATTCATCCTGGTCCTGCTATCATTGACCATCATCGCTAACCTAGCGGGCACCATCTACGCCGTCACACTAAATTTCCAGGCTCTCCTGCCAGTCTTCATCCGCATACCACGCGTAGCATACGCGGCCATCACGACGATGATCATGATCCCCATCGCAGTCAAAGCCGCCGAATCTTTCTTCGCCAACCTCGAGAACTTTGTCGGCGTGATCGGGTACTGGTCTGCCTCATGGGTTGCGGTTGTCCTGATCGAGCATTTCTGGTTTCGGAAGGGTGATGCGGCTAGCTATGCGATCGAGAAGTGGAATGATCCGAAGATGCTGCCGTCTGGGGTGGCGGCGATTGCGGCGGGGAGTTTGAGTATGGCGCTTGCGATTCCGAGTATGAGCCAAGTGTGGTATGTTGGGCCGATTGGGGTGAGGACGGGGGATATTGGGTTTGAGATGGCGGGGGCTGTTACTGCGGTTTTGTACGTGCCGTTCAGATATTTTGAGAAGAGGGTTCAGCGGCTGAATCGCTGAGTGGTGTGATGCGGCTGCATATGGTTGATGATGAAGAGACTGGTATATTGTGTTGAGAGTTACAATGCAAGGTCTTTGAAGTGAATACAGCTCCTCTTGATCTGTTTCACCTGTTGCCTTTTCTTCGCACAATAGCAGACTGGAGTGACGCTCCGCAAAAGCACAATAAACAAATCATAACAGCACCCAGATTCGATCTCGGACTTTCGCCCCGGGGTTGTTGTTACAGACGTGGCCAAATCACTCGCACCTGCCATCAGTCGGAATGCTTGCCATTGAATACCATGCTGCAGAATTGTGGTAGTCTGTGTGATCTGCGGACAAAAATTCGGAAAATGAAGATACAGAGACCTTACTGAAACCCGCGAGTCGCAGTCGATGTTAGGAGTTCGGCTCGTGGTGACTTTCTCACTTAACTCAGGCGAGTTTGTCAAGTCAGGATGTGCAGGGTTTCCCCATGGCTGTGCTGGCATCGCTGCGAGGCGAAGCTCTATCTCATTGACACGTCGGCTGAGGATTTATGGCCCTGCAGTCAGTCCGTTGATATTGACGTCTCACAGCTTCTGCCGTTCCGCAAGAGCCTTCTGGATAATATTCACAGGAGCAGGCCTGCCAGTCCAGATCTCGAACTGTGCATAGGCTTGTTCTTTCAGCACATCTACACCGCCAAAGACCGTCCACCCTGGCCTTTTCCTCGCCACGCTCATGAGCGCCGAAACAGGTGGCCGATAGCTCATCTCCACCACGCGACCTCCTGACTCCATGAACATCTGCGAAGGAATATCCTCTTCACGAACATCATCAGCAGGTATGCATCCCACTATCAGATCGGCCGGCTTGACCTCCTGGAGAGCCTCGCAGATCGTAAATTGCATCTCCGGAAACGAATCGGCCAATGATTGCGCTGTGGCGCGCGACCTGTTGACAATCGTGACATGTCTCAATCCCAGATGCGAGATCGCAAACACCGCTGCCCTCGCAGCCCCTCCCGCCCCAATGACGACGGCCGACTTGGGCGTCGAGGAATGATGTCGTGCGATGCAATTGCGGATCCCCAACCAGTCCGTATTGTCCCCGTGTAACTGCCGAACACCGTCGTCAGTATGTCGAACAATGATCGTGTTGACCGCACCCATTGACGTCGCCGACGGCGATATCGATTGCAGCAAAGGCTGGACTGAGAGTTTGTGAGGGAAGGTGATTGATGCGCCGCCGAAGTCTGGGCTGTTCAGGAGTTTGCGATTGCTGGCGTCGATGTTTGTAGTCTCGTGGATCGAGTAGTGGTGTGGAAATCCGTAGTGGGCGAAGGCGGCATTGTGGATTGTGGGTGAGAGGCTGTGGGCGATGTTGTTGCCGAATATGAAGAAGCGAAGCGGTTGCGTGGACAAGTCCTCAGGGGCGATTGAGCCCATGTTGCTGTTGTATGGTCTGAGCGCCAACGATGATGCCTACGTCTGCCGTGTGGTTGTGTCGAAGAAGATATAAAGTATCTGGGTTACTGTTTTGGGAAGCATAAGTAAGTATATCATTCTGTGGTGAAAACCGGGTAAGTCTTTGGCCGATGGACGTACCACTCATTATGCTCGGCAAACTGAGCCGTGGACAATTCGCTTTACCCAGGGCTTTCCGGGGACGATGCTCGACGATCGTTCTTCGGCCTGCCAGCACCATGGTCACTCGCAAGTTATCAAGATTGGTTCTCGGGGCGCCCGCGAGGGAATCTAGGACTGCATTGTTCGGGAAGGGGGCCAAGTTGGGAGGAAGTCGATGACCATGGACAGGGACTGCAAGCTTTTGTACGTACGAGTATTCTGGACCGCTGTCAATTCCACCACTCCTAACATTCAATTGATCGCCGTACTCGCCTCAGCCGCCTCATTCAACACCTTCCACGCGCCACTCTGTATCTCACCCGTGATCGGACTCTCCCCTTCACCATCCGTCAACCACAAGCGATACTGCTCATTTATCTGGTGCCCAATAACGCCCGTTCCCTCCACGCCCACCCATCCATACCGCTGAGCAAGCTTGAGCGTCCGCGTCCGTCTTGGCTTGAAGCACATATCCAGTACTACTCCCTTTGCTGCGCTGCTTCCCGACTTAGCACTCGCGAACGCCGTCTCAATAATCTTCGCACATTCAATCTCCGTCTCCGTCTGCGGCGCGAAATCCGGCACGGTGCCCACGACATAGAACGGCGCCCCTCGTTGTGCGAATATCTCCTTGGCCGCATCAACGGTCTGTAGATGGACCAGCTCAATATCGTCGCTCCCATAAGCTGTGACGTCTTTCAGCAACGCTGCGACTTCGTCTTCGTCCCGATTGACGACGTATATCGGCCGGCATTTGAGCTCGTGATATAGGACATACACTGCCGCTCGTGATGCGCCTCCTGCCCCGACCAGCAACGCCGGTCGCCCTTTACCTTCTTCGCAGGTCCCGGACGCGGTGGCTGAGGCTAAGCACCCTTTGATCCCCCTCCAGTCTGTGTTCGTACCTCTCAGCGTCCCGTCCTTGGCGCGATAGACGTTGTTGCATGCCTTCAACAGCTTGGCATGGTGGTCCAGTCCATCGAGGTGTTGCATGATGGAGACTTTGTAGGGCATAGTCACTACGCCGCCGGCGAAGGTTGGCTCGCGGAACAGTCGTACAGCGTCCTCGACTGTAGGGCATTCTTGCGCGTGGAATTTCCAGTTGTAGTGTAGTTGTTGGGCGACGTAGTCGTGCATGGGTGGAGCGATGGAGTGTGTTACCCCGATGCCGACGAGGTAGGTTGATGTTCTTTGGTCTTCGGCCATGCTGCCCATTGTTGAGACTGTCTGTCTTTGTTATGTGCGTGTTTCCCTGGGAAATGTGGTTAGGAGACCGTCATGGCTACCTGGGTATATCACTGTGCTTTGGGGAATAGTGATTATAGTTCTCCGGACTAGATCTTAGCCGGGCCAGATTTTACTCCATTCGATCTCCGCATATACCCCGTACATGAGACATCGCCATGTAGACTGTGCAAATGTCCAACGTCTTCGACTGCCGCCATGGCATCAGAAGCAATGTACAGACCTGCTATAGCCTCTATGTCCCTGGGACGGGCATGGGTGCATGGTCTGGAGGAGAAGATCAAACAAGCTGGCCAAGCAGGTTTCAAGGGTATCGAGGTATTTTACGAAGACCTCGAGTATCAAGCGAAGGCATACAACAAAGGAGAGAAGCCGGAACCAACAAACGAAGACGCTCTGGTCGCTGCAGCACATCAATTTCGAAAGTTGAGTGACGAGCATGGGTTGCAAGTCATCGGTCTACAGCCATTCCTCTTCTATGAAGGGCTGTTAGACCGAAAGCAGCATCAAGTGCTGATCGACAAGTTGAAGGTGTGGTTCAAGCTGGTGAAAGTATTGGGAACGGATGTGATTCAGATCCCCACGAATTTCTTGCAGTCCGGCACCACGGGTGATATGGATGTCATTGTTGCAGACATGATCGAGGTGGCAGATCTGGGACTGAAGGAGGATCCGCCTGTCAAGTTCGCATACGAGAACCTCGCCTGGGGTACACATATCGACACCTGGGACGCTCTGTGGGAAGTCGTCTGGCGAGTAGACCGACCGAATTTTGGATGCTGCCTCGACACCTTCAACATTGCAGGCAGAGTATGGGCGGACCCTGCCGCACCTAGCGGGAAGAACGCGAATGCAGATAACGACCTGCAGGACTCCTTGTCGCGGCTCGTGAAGACCATAGATGTCAACAAGGTGTTCTACATCCAGGTTGTGGACGCCGAGAGGATGAGAGAGCCATTGATTGAAGGCCATCCGTGGTATGCTGCAGATCAGCCTGCCCGCATGAGCTGGAGCAGAAATGCCAGGCTATTCCTGTACGAACAGGACAAAGGTGGCTACCTACCTGTGGTCGATGTTGCGAAGGCGTTCATCGCTGGTCTGGGTTATCAAGGCTGGGTCTCGATGGAGTTGTTCTCGAGGTCGATGGCAGATCCAGCGCCTGACGTGCCTCAGAATCATGCACAGCGAGGCATAGCGAGCTGGAAACGGTTAGCTGAAGAGCTCAAGCTCTCATGATAATCAAGTGACTATCAGGACAGGTGCACGACTCTGATCAGGACGTCTTGCACGCCCACGCATCTCTTCTGCGCCACAAAAAGTCTCAGGTGTCGTAGGTCCGGCGTTGTTAGCGATGTGGTACAGTAGGTATGATTGCAGTCGTGTTCTTGGCTGGTCCTATCTGCGTCCTGGCTCTGTGTATCTTTGTTATCTCTCGACCGGCATGGTAGATCTGCAGTGCTAGATAGAGTCGACAACCATGGTGGTACAAAAGCACAAAGCAATCTTTGTACCGAGATTGCCACCGCGCGCCTGTGGCACGAACTGCAGCCACTTGTGCAAGGCAGTCTCTCGAGGCATCATGATTCATGGATAAACTTGGCGCGATAACAGAAGGACAGAAAAGATAGCAATGGAAGATTGGCACTTGCTTGGGTCGCGTGCTTCTGATTCTCGAGCTGCATGACTCCCGGACTTGGTGATTTCAACGTGAAGTTCGAAGGAATCGGCCTGTCTCACACGTTATTTCAATATGCATTTAGGCGTTACGTCGGTCGGCGTGGGGAGGGTTTTGTCGCTCTTACTTCCAGACAGAACCAACGCATTTGAAGATGATTATCTTCGAGTACCGAATTCGAGAGCCTCTTGATTGCACGGTTCGCCTCGCGTGACTGCTGATACTCGAATGGGCTAGTTATTGAATGGTGGAAGTAAAGCGATTGGTGTTCCTGGCCAGAACAAGATGAGACGGCCGCCCAGAGATAACAGCCTAACGGCGTTCTGTCGCTATCGCCCGTTATAGCAGCAAAGTGTGGAAAGTGCGGGCCGGACTGCTGCAGGTGATGGGCAGCTGCGGCTGAGATTGGTGGTGCCAGCTAACGGCGGCGAATCCTACAGGTGCACTCAGCCGTCAAGTTTTCTTAGTTAAACACGCCGCTGAGAGTTTTGAGAGGCTTGCTCGTTAGGGAGTAATTTAGTTATCTTGGTGTGTTCGAAGAGTCGCTTAGTGTTGCCCCAGAAGCAGACACGGTACTCGACCGCATCCTCGACCACCTCCCACCCCGGCTGCCCCAAAATATCGTCTTCGAAGTCTGCACCTTCTGCTCCAAATCCAGGCCTTGTGTTCCTTCTCTTTCTTTCCGCAGACATCGACCGTGTTGTATATTGCATTATGAGCGCAAGCATTGCGTTTGAGCGACAGCGGACGTCCGAAAAGTGAGGTGGGCCGCCGGTTAAGCGAAGAGAGACCGTCTCCGGACTCGCTACACCAAAAGGTGGCACGCGATGGCCTACAGCACCCTTCCACAAGCCGGCGAGGCGTCACCGTCCCTGCCGGGACTGTCGACAAGGCCTTTGTCCGCTGACTTCGAGAGCTTAGTTGGTGATGTCAACGTTATTGATCCCACGAGCAACGACTCCCCCCTCGTCAGCACTCTGCTCAAATCGATTACATCCTCGGCTCCATCTTACGAAATGGTAGAGGACGATGATTACGAGGACCTGCGGACACCGAGAAGAGAAGACAATGCACTCCATAACACCACGACGTCGGAACAGCCTCCTGTCAGGACTGCATCCGTGAGTCGGAACCTCCCGCTCAACCACCCCATTCCCGACCTGCAGTCCATTCAAGGGGCATATGTAAGGAATGTGGAGCGTTTAGAAGAAAGTGCCGAACGTCTGAGCACCACTTCCAGCCTCGAAGACGAGATTCAACGGCAAAGATCGCTGGCTCGTCGCTCTTCTGCTGCCAGCAGTCGCTCCAGCCTGCGTGGTGTCCAGCGGCCTCGCAATATATCTTCAACGTCTATGTCCAATTCCATCATTGGCGTCAACTCAGCTGCACGCACTGGAGGCTATTCGCCCTCGGCGTATATCACCTCGCCTACCGGATCCATTCGATCGAATCACCCCGTCCATCGTCACGTCTCGAGGAGTAGCAGGTTAGGTGACAGCAGGCCGCTGGACATGGTCCTAGAACCCAGCCCGCCCACACCACCTCGCACTGCCGGGTATGATGCAGATCAGTTCCTCGAGCCCCCACTGGCGGAGATCGCAGAAGACCGCCCACCATCTGCGGCGTCGGGAGATACCTTCCAGCAAGCAAATGCGGCCTTCGCTGACTTCGACGGCGAGCACTATCAGCAGAACAGGACTTCCTTTGACCAAGATCTGGCCTATCGAAGGCAGCTGCCAATACAACGACCGCCTCGTGCCCGCGACTCACGCATGTTCAGTGAAGCTCAGCCAGGCGAATCGATGATCTATTATCCAGCACCTGTACCCGTCATGCTCAACCTGCCTACGAAGCTGTCCAAGTCAGACCATAAATTGCAACAGCAACGACGCACACAGATGGTTGCTGGCATGAATGAGGAGGCAAGAAAGTCAGCCATGTGGCTGAACGGAGAGGCGCCGCCCCCCACAGAGGAAAATCACAAACGTGCTTCGATTCTCCCGCCTCAGCTAAGAGCAAGCGCTTTCTTCGACCACCAGCCCGGCGTCAGCCCTAACTTGCAGCTGAAGAATGGTTCCGCGATCCACACGTTGGATAGCATACTGGACGCTGCTGCGTTTGCGCCAGTCAGCGCTTTTACAGATCATCCTATTGTTGGAAAGTTGGGCAACGAAGTCTACGGTCGAGAAAAGAAGCCGAAGAAGCCTACCCCTCAGGTCGATGCCGAGACGAAAAAGAAGAGGCGAAGTTCTCTCAGCAACATTCTCAAGATCAGAAAGTCGAGCAGTAATCTTGGCAACTTGGAGGGCAGCCGCATCACGTCAAGGGAATCAAAGCTGATGGACCACGAAGCTGGACTGAGCGGAGACGAGCTAGAAGCCGCAGATCGTTCCATTGCTCCTGGAGCGGACGAGCTTGCGACACCCAACGCTGAGAGGACGATGCTCACGGACGAGGATGACGCGCGGAGTGAGAGCTCCGGATCAGACCATGAACCAGGCTTCTCAGGCGCGCCGACGACGTTGCTGGCCGAATTGCAGCTACGTAAGGCGCAACAAAAGCAGCGCAACCGGACCGCGGCTGATGCGTTTCCGAACGGCATGCACTCAACACTGCTGGAGATGGACGCGGTGCTACAGCTGCAACAACGATCGCGTAAGCAGAAGCATGTTACGTTAGCATGGGAAGACCATGAGGCAGCGGACAAGGAGAACTTCGATGACGAGGACGTGCCTCTCGGAATGCTGATCTCCGAGAAGGATCGAGCAAATCACTTCAGCACAGCGCGTCCCATAGGTCTGATGGAGAAAAGGGAGCTGGAGGACAATGAGCCTCTGAGTCACAGAAGAGCACGACTTCGCGGTGAGCCGGTGCAGGTGCGACAGACTATGACCCCTCCTCAGTCCGAGCATGAAGCGGAGGATACCGACTCGAAACTGAGGCTCAACCTGCCAGGCATGGCCGAAGGTCAGCTTGAAGAAGAGGAGGGTGAGACCTTGGCGCAGCGACGAGCCAGGATGCGGGAGGAGAAGGAGAAGGTCTCAGCCGGCAACTTCGCATCGGACGTTGCTAGTCACCTTGGCCTGGACGCAATTGGGTCCGAGATACCGCCGTCGAAGACTCCTGACGCCGAAGAGACGCTCGGGGAGCGGAAGGCTCGTCTGAAGGAGGAAGCAGCCAAGCGTCCGCAGATCAAGTCCTCCAACAGCATGGCAGATCTTCTGCAACGTAACCCTGTTGGCCTACGTGAGATTCCTGCCAGTCCATATCAGGGTTTCAACCGGACAAACACCTTTGGCGCAACAACGAATATGACACAACAAAGAGGCTCCTTCGTTCCGTCGGTGCCGGCGCACATGGCGGCATTGCCTTACTACAACCATTCGCCATATATGCAGCCAGGCTTTGGTGTATCACAAAACATGATGTATACTGGGATGCCACAGACGGTCAATCCGATGGTTGGGATGATGCCAGATCCAATGGGCCCGCCGTTGACGAACCAGCAGAGATCTGTGATTGATCGTTGGCGGCAGGGCATAGTTTAGCAGGATACCTTCTGTTGGTGGACTTGGCTGGGTATAGCCAAGCAGTAATTGTAGAAACATGACTTGTATCATAGAATTGGATAGCGATGAGATATGGAGACATACTGTGCGATACCAGGCTTATCCATGGAGATAATGGAAGTTGCGTTGGTGGTGTTCCTAAACATGACAGCAGTTCGCAGCCCTACCCAGGCGGATGAACGAAAGCCGCTTTTCCGAGCCATTCCTCTTTGGATTTAGCTTCCTAGCCACCTCTTGCCGTTCATTCACGACGTCGTTCTTTGAGTACGCCTTCTACCCACATGTACCTCCCAACCACTATCTAAGTCATCTATCTCAAAACTCCTCCTCCGCAGCATCCGCAGCCATGTCGACGAAAAAAGACCAGCGCCGCCCAGATCTCGGTACGTAGCACCACTCCCCGTTCGACGTCTGAAGCTCTTCTTACGACGTCCCAGTAATCCCCTACGTCGAGCCCAAAGACTCCGACAAAGCCGACTTTGGCTCGACCTTCAGCACCACGATGCCCATGGCGGCCATGTTCACGCGCAACAAGATGATCGGGTGGATGGCGCTGATGATGAGTTTGTTGAATTGGTTGGGCGAGACGCCGGCTCAGAGGAAGAATGCGACGCAGCCGGCGTATTTGACTTTTGGGATGAGTGTGCTTGCTGTTGGGGTGGTGAGTGTGCCTTTCTTGTGATGGTTTTGTTGGTTTGGGGTCGGGAGGTGGGGCATGGGGGTTTTGTGTGGATTGTGCTAATGTTGCGTGTGTGGGATAGACTTATATGCCGTTGTTTCTGCCGCCGACGCCGCAAAGGGCGCCTGCGGCTGCGCCTCCGTCGTGAGATGCTGAGGCAACTTCCGAGGCTTTCGGCTCCTTGTATGCACATAGCCTGGCCCGGCGCGGAGACGACGTGGAAGTGCATAGTACTTTTTCCTTGGAGGGACTGCTCAGGAAAAGTGCCAACAGTTATTTATTCCTTCAGAGCGCTCTGTTAGTCTGGACAAGAGGCTCGTTGAGCTGTTGTCCGACAAGGAGCCAGGGCTGCTGCGAAGTGCTCTGCTTCCGAACTATACGTGTATATAAGTATCAAAGAACTAGGGCGCGAAGCTGAACATTGGGCTACGCCGTGTTGCGACCTGCCTTGAGCTAGTCGCCGCTGTACTAGTAAAACCTCCTTGCCACTCCGTGCTCTTACAGTAGAGTAAAAGACTTGATGTCAATCTTGAGCCCGCCTCTTTGATCTGCTTCGATGTTCTGAGATCTTGGCGTTGTCTAGATACTTCCATCCAGCGTCGCTTCCCCGACGATTATTCACCTTCGCACCTACCACTCATCAACTACGACGCGTTCGCTCCTTCCGAAGGTCATGGCGCAGTCTCCTATGCCTGCCGTAGCTTCATCGATTCTGGTTTCCTATGGACACCCGGCTCTCCCTATGGCCGAATGCAACAAACGTTGGTAGTCTTCAGCTGGGAAATATCAAGTCTATTTGGATACAATACCATGTCCCGATCATTCGACACGCGCCCGCCACCGGGCCTATCGCACAACTTGGTCCGCGGATTGATCGTCGTCGGTGCCTGTTATCACGACACAATCTACACTGTACCGCAATATCCAGAAGAGGACGGAAAGTTACGGGCATCTTCAGTCGAACGTCGAGCCGGAGGCAATGGAACGGTATGTTGACCCTGCTCAACGACAGATCAAGTCCATAGAGGCCACCCGAGCACGTAACTGACATGCCGCATCTAGAACACTCTCAGAGTCCTGACACAGCTTCTCCACCATCCAGCTTCGAGGATCCGTGTCCAAACACTCCACATGCTGTCAGTTGTGCCCAGGCAAAGCTGGGTTGTGGAACTAGCGAGGTCGTTGGCACCCTGGGTCGACATGATGCGAAGCATTACCCGTGAGCAGGAAGACGGAGAGTCACACAGCATTGTGATCAGAAGCCAGGCTACTGGTACAAGGACTATCGTCAATCATCGCAACCTTGACGAGATGACGGTTGACGAGTTCGCCAGATGTGTGGATGACATCTTCACTGTCATTCCTCCTGGGCCTAATCCCCCATACTATGGAAATGCATGGCATGTGCACTTTGAGGTGAGCTCATGAAATTCACGCAGCGCCCTCCCTGGCGGGTCACCAGTTAATGACACTACCTTGAGACTGAGGCTATGAGGACTGACCTCCTTCCACAGGGTCGTATTCCCGATGTAACCCTCCAGTACATCCAACACTTGCGAAGCAGCTACGCACGGGAAATGATCACCACAAGCGTCGAGGTCGAGAAACCCAAGCGTCCAGGCCTTGCCGAGCTCGCCGACATCGTTGACGTCGTCTTCTACAGCCGCAGCTGGGCAGTCGCCGAAGGCTACAGGTCTGCACGGGAGTGTCTCGAAGCCGTTGCGCCGACTGTGGAAGCTCAGACACTGTTCTGCACTTGGGGCGGTGAGGCGAGCGCCATGCTTGCAAAAGGCCTAGGACAAGTGGTCACGGTTACACCTAAGCCTATCGAAGAGAACGGAATCGTCGACGCTGTGGGTGCGGGAGACACGTTCAATGCTGGCATACTGTACATGCTCTTGGACAGTTCGCCAATCACCTCTGTCAGTCGGTGTGAAGAGATGCTGAAGTTCGCTAATCGGCTTGCCTGGCTAAAGCTCCACAAAGACGGATTCGTTGGTCTGGGGGACTTGGTTTTCGAGGATGTGCCGTCCGACGGTCTGGCGGATGGGCTTTCCAGAGCTGCGTTGGCCAAGGGGCACTAGAATGGCCACACCAACGGCCACACCAATGGCACTGGTCACACTGGCACCAACGGTCAGATTGGTACCGACGGCCACACTGGCGTCATCGGCCATACCAACGGCAATACCAGTGATGACCCTTACGACGGCCAGTAGAGGAGAGACGCTGAGACGAGGAGCTCACTTGGACGGGCTTGGACTTCGGGCGGCCTCTGTCTCGATGGAGAGTGTCATTGATCAAATTATGGTACAACCGGCGTTTGAGCGCCCGACTGGACATATACACTTCTGGGCCGCTGCCCTGCTGATATGAGTGACCGGATACAGAGTATAGACGACGGAAGCATAGCTACATCCTTGCGCATAACAGGCTACCATGCAGCCTACCTTTGGGTCTCCCGGCCCAAAAGCTCAAGCACGACCTCCTCCTCCTCGTCCTCATACAACCCATGGCCCCTCTTCATCCCCATCCCCTCGCAGAAGTGCACCAAATGGCCCCTCCGGTCCCTCACGAACCAAGCATATAGCACGCCCGCAACGTACACATTCGCACAGCTCGCCAGCACCGGCCACCGAAACTGCTCGGGCTTGTTCCATACTACCGTCGCTGCGAACGAGCACAGCTCGAAGCCATTCTGCATAGACGCCTCGACCGCGGAGAACGAACCGCGGTGCTGGGCCTCGACTTCTTCCTGCACGATCAGCTGTGTTGAGAGATCGAAGCCCCAGAGACCAACACGGCTGAGGATCGTGCCTGCTACTAGCGATAGTGCGGCTGCTATGCTGCTTCCACTAGTTCTTCCACCTCCTAAACCATCACGCCCAAGCAGCAAGAACCCAACAACGCCAACAGCAAGACACGCCCCCTGCCAGCTCAAGAACCATATCCCCGCCCTCACCGCCCCCACCCTCCGCATTGCCGCGGGCGCGAGCCAAGTAGCCGAGACTTCGAACACCACGGACAAAGTGCGTAAGCATGCTATGGTAAGGGAGCTGAAGCCGACTGCGAGGAGGAAAGTGACCATCTGGCCGGAGAAGGAGAGGACCGTGAAGTAGAGGAGTGCGCCTGCTAGTGAGGGGCGGAAGGCGCGGTGGGAGAAGTAGGTGTGGAGGAGGGTTGTTTGTTGGTGGAGAGAGTGTTTCCATGAGGAGGTCGTCGACGTTGCTGTCGCATGACACTCGGTGCCTGATGGCGTAAAAGTGGCAGAGATGACCTTTGGATGCTGTAATGCGGGTGTGGAGTCATATACCCATTTGATGGCGTACCACTCGATCGGGAGACTCACGACAGCCGTAGCCAGATTCGCTATGACGGCCACCGTGGTGGAGTAGCCATCGACAACGGAGATCAGGAATGGTCCCAGGAGCTTGCAGCCTAGATCAATCCTTCGCATCGCAGCATTCATCTCCCTCAAGAGGCCCTCGTCACCGCCGGCTATGACAACGACCCAATCCTTCTCGACGCTGACTAGATTCATTACGCTGCAGAGCTTCTCCACGCATGCTGCCATGCTGAGTGCTGCCAGGAGTGCATAACTTTGCCACGGCCATAAGTCCCATCCGCTACTGAAGCACCAGAACCCAACACAGCTCAGCACAACAGCCACGCGGGCATACACAATACTCTGCCTCACAACAATCAAGCGCGACGGTGATGTGTCGATATACCGCCCGACTGAGGGCGACAGGATCACGGCGGCGAGACCGCGGCAGAGAGCGTAGACTGACAGTGGGAGGAGGGTACCAGGGAAGGCATGGGCGAGGTAGAGGGTGCTGCCGAATTCAAAGATGCGTGAGGAGAGGGTTGAGAGGAGGTGTGAGAGGTAGAGGCGGTTGTGGTTGGTTGCGATATTGCGAATTACTTGGGACTGGGGAACGTCGTCGCTGCTCGGAGCTGTTGGGTTGGCGTCTCCCATAGGGGCAGTGAGGTCAGAGGCGGCCATAATCCTAGTGCATGTTGCCCACCTCTTGGGTCAGCAGGCGTTGCACTGTTCGTAGGTCACTCTTCGTGGACAGGTCACCAAGTTGAGGAAGCTGACTGCTGCAATACAACTTATCTCTGCTTTAGATTGAGGACCGGATGCTAAGACCTTGACATGGTGGGCCGATGCGATCCAGGCTTGGAATAGACTCGTCCGGCTTCAAGCAGGAAGAACTGCCTCACTGGTCTCGTCGCCAGAAGTATGGACGGTAGCATCTCGCGAGTGCACACCTAGAAATGTGAGCCAGGTGCGGAAGCTGAGCAGGTGATAGAGGAAGGTATCTCTCGAGTGAGCAGACGGTGGGGACTCGTGAGGTCTTGTGATTTCAGTATCGTACTTGGATCGTCATACTAATGTGAAATTTACCCGTTCTTCATTGTAAATCAAAATTACCAGCTTCAATCACCTCACAACGACCGGCTACGAATGCAACTGCACTTTTGCTTCCTATCCTGACAGCAACATCTTCGCAGCACCTTCCGCTTCTCGTGCTCGCGCCCGGTCTTTCGTCAGTCGTCAGCACATCCAAGCGGAAGCTCGCCTTTGAAACTTCATCGACGGCGACGCGACGTCCCTTCTTCGATCTCGGTTCCAGCTCCGTGCTTGCATCCACGACACCCCCGAATGGCCACAAATTCCTTCCTCAAGCCGGCGGCCATGTCGCGAGCTGCCTTTCCCTTCACCACAGCTTCGAGACCGGTGTGCCCACAATGCAGACACCTCCTGCCTCCTACCTCCCCAACCCAAAAGCGCGGCGTCAAAAAAATGGCCCAAAGGCATAAGAACCTGGGCAACCTTCTGGGCAAGCATGAACACGTCAAAATGGCCGACATGGCACAGAAGAAAGGAGGGATGCCCGGCGACATGGGCGTCTTCCCCGGCACAGAGGTCTACGGTCGATGGAGCAGCTACCTTCCCGTCTTATGGAAAGAGAGGGATCCCAAACTATGGCTACGCATTCAATGGAATATGTTCAAATCACCCTTACAGTCCTTCATACGGTAAGCCCCACCCCTCCATCATTGCTTCATCACACGCTAACAGATCTGCTCCCTAGATGCTGGGTATCCCTCCGCTACTCCCGCGGCACCCTCGCCAACCGCAGCAACACGGACCTCAAACAACCCAAGAAACTCCCCATGAACCTCACCGCCCGCACTCGCGCCGCAGTCCGCCTCTACCGCGAACTCCACCAAGCCATCGCGACGGGCGACAAGGCCTGGCTGCGCGAGAACGCCGCCGATGGGTTGCGAGATCGCTCCATCAACATGATCGAGAAGCGCGAGCGGATGAATCGCGGTGCGGTAACGTGGAAGATCAGCAATCCGTGGTTGATGACAGATGTCGTGCCGCCGTGGCCGCTGTGTACTCTGCTACCAACGCTCGTGCGCTCGTATAAGATCGATAGTGATGCGGTGGGGCAGATCCCTATGTCGAAGGATACGCTGCTGCGGCAGACGATTGTGCGGATTAACAGCGTGCAGACGTATGACCTCGCCGATGGCCAAGGCGAGAAGACGAAAGAGTTCGAGGAGTATGTGGTCCTTACGCAGCATATCTGGGATGGGGAAGAGGAGAAGTGGAAGATCTGGGGCACGTTGAAGCCGGCGACTGCGGAGGAGATCAAGAAGAATGCTGCTATGGGGAGGAACGAGAGGAGGGATACGTGGTGGATCGGTTTAGGAATAGTATGCCGAATATGGGGCAGCCTATGGTGTAGAGTGGCTAGGGGCAGGAGGGATGCTGACGATGACCCGGGGTCTTGCTCAGATGAGCTCTGGAGAATTGACGCAGATTTCAAGTGGACGTTCAGCGACATAGTCGCAGATTTATGTTGAGAATTTTGGTCAGATCCACTGGCAGCCATGAGCTTTGGATCGAAGAATCTCGTCCCACTAGGTAGCAGCTGAAGCTACCTTAGCATGACAAGTGTCGTCATCATCGTGGCATTCGATGGTTGTAATAAAAGAAGGATCCGCTGGTAGCAAGGCAGATACTTATACGTCTTCCTCCAAGGCCAGGGCCGGTGCAAACCGAGGCAGCGGCTTCACTGACTTGAGGAGGGGTATTCACGATTGCGTTGCATGAGTCAAGGTCAGAGCTGTTGCCTGGCGTGTCATTCACTACGACCCGCAGGCTATGGACTGATCGCTCGCGGCAATTGACTGGACAGACGGGAGCGGCGATGAGGCAACTTGCGATCCTGGTGAGACTCGGATGCTTCGATACCATCATCAACAGCGGTAGAACGAGAGGGAAATCATTTCATCAATCATGCCATTCATTTACACAGTTATGCTTCCCGTGATATACCATGGTCGATCCAACTTGCCATGTTCCATCCTGTGGCCCAGCCGGCCTCTTCTCCATGCTTCCGTTGTCTGCCTTCGGCCCGGACCAGAGCAACGGCATCGTCGGACAGACTCTGCCCATACATTCCCAATGCTTGACATTATCAACTTCTGGCGGAGTTGGGATCAGCCTCACCGGCTGCTGACCCTCGTTCGTGCAATGAATAGTGAAGGCCGCCTTACCGGCCCAGTGGAATGATCAATTCGGTTTCCGCCGCATGTCCACTCTGCCACGAAAGGTAGAAGTCTCTGCTTCGCCTTCGCCGTGTATGCTTTCTTGCTTTTTCTCAGGCGAGAGGCACCAAAAGTCGTTGCCAAACAATGGTCATGCCTAGGAAGCATCCGCTGCTTCTAGGTAGGGCGAGCTCCTGTAACCAGTGCTGAACAGGGGCGTTGAAGGCGCGATACAGGAACGACACGTCTGTCACGGGCCTTGGTCATCCAGGAACCCGGGGTTCTGAGCATCAATAGCAAAGTATCGGGCGGGCGTCGGGAAATGTGGACGATGGATTCATGAGCCGTGTCTTCCCTGTGGTCTGCGTTGTTGCAAGCTCTTGTATTGTAGATTTGCCTGGGAAATTCCGGTTCACAATTTGAAAGAAGCGCAAGTTCCTGACAGGATGCGACAGTGCTCGTCGACGACTAACTGATCCAGATCTGGCTGGACCCAGAAGCGCCAGAGAGTGTCGTCTCGTTCCGCCATATTGTTCACGTTGTCGTGAAGGTAGCCTCAGGCTGCATCCATCCATCAATTTCAGCACCGCCATTCAGTTGAGGTCCTGATGTTATACAGCGAGCAGTGAATCTCCTAGCCGATTCACTGTAGTGACTGCTCCGCGCCTATGCGCTTCATTTTCACTTTGCTGAAGATGTATAAGTGGTCGCGGTGCCCGAGCCTTTTGCTTCGAGTTCTTCCACGTCCCCTAATTCCTACAAGGGTCACTTGCCATGTCAAGACAGCATCTGCTGCAACTTGATGGGGCGATTTATCTCGTCGAGGAGCCACAAGAACACCGCAATTTCATCAACTCTCTCTCCGCGGCCGTCCCTTCTTTGGCGATTGATCCTGCTGCAGCCAGGTCTCCCCTCGACCACCAGCACGAACATCGAAGGGCTCACCGTCCCCAGTTTCATTACCTCCAGCACCACCAGAACCTCTAGCCTGTCCCAGCACCCTCCTCAGCCTCCCATCTCCAGCTTCAACCTCTTTATGATGTACCCTGACATGCCTTTGCAAATTATCCGGCCTCGGATACTTGTGCATCGGCCCGTTCGTCGGACAGAACGGACATGTATAGCCAGGCGAAGTATGGACGAGACCATGTCGAATCATCTCGTTCTTGCGCTTAAAGCCTTGGCCGCCGGGACCGCGCGCGCAGCCTCTGACTGAACAGAAGTGCGGTCGGGATTCGGAGTGAACGTTAAGGTGTGAGTTGAGGAGATACTGGGTCGCGAAGGGAGCGGATGTGCAGTGTGGATGGGGGCAGGTGTGGAGGATTTGAGCCGCCGGAGCAGGGGCATTGGCGTTGGTCGCTCCTGCAGGCGAAGACGGTCGTTGTTGGTCGTGGGCCGAATGCCGATCTGCGGGTACTGGCGCTAGCTCTGGGACATCCTTACTGCGTGGTGTGGCTATCGGTGTGCTGTTGGGCGACTGTGTGTGCAGTGGTGGGGCGTAGCTTGTCAGGTGCGATATTGATGGCAACTGTTGGACATGCTGACTCTGTGGAGGTGAGGGATTGCTGTGAGGTGTTGGCACTGATGTTCCAGGCGAGTACGCCGGTGACCATGACAATGTTGGTGTCGAAGCAGACGTAGTGTCTGTGGACACCGAGTCTGTTCGACCGCGATTTGTGATGAATGATGTCAAATTAGGGCCTGCGGCATAATTTGGTGGCGACATCACATTCGACAAAATCGTTGGGAGGCTATGCACCACGGTTAAGGGCGGTCCGAATTGCGCTGAGCTTGTTCGTGATAATGCTGAGTATGGTGACGGACTTGAGGCAGCTGACATTGAGTCAACGCCCAGGGCTATTGTGAGCGAAGGTAACGTTTGATCAGACCCAGGGGAGCCGATGGATTGAGGCGTTGATGCGTTGTTCAGAGTTGGAATCCTGGCATCTGGTGGCATGTATCGACTGTCAATGGCGAATTGGGACAGTATGGGGGACTGCGCGATTGTGTCGTGCTGAAGAGCCGCAGGCGTAGCGTCTCTGATCGCAAGCATTCTCGCTTTTTCTGGCGATCCGACCTTTTGTTTAGGCACTTTGCCTTTCAGTGTGTCGACTTTATTGAGTAGGAGCGCTTTGACGCCTTTGGACGAAGGAGGCTCTGTGTCGTATCTTGCCTTCTTCACACTCACGGCCTCAACCGGAGTAGGAGTCGAAACATTCTCTCGCTTGATTGGAGATCGTGGACATGGGTCATTCAGCGACAGCTCTCGACAAGTGATCTCGGGCGATTTCTCCCTGTTATAATGTGTCGAGACTGGTCTGCGCACAAAATCTCCATCGTGGGTAGACTGGCGGATAAGAGCGACCATGCTGTGTTGCGCTGCCGCGTCCTCTGGTTCTGCTTTGTCTCCACGCCTCAGTGGTCTGTGGTCGATGCTTCGTCTATTCTCGGATGCACGCTTTCGCTCTTGGGGTATTGAAGAGGTCACTGGCGGAGTTACCGATTGCTGTCTTTCATCGTCACTGATGTCCTCTCGCTGCCGGTCTGACTCCTCGTCTCCTTGTTCACTGGGAGGTACCGACACCAATGGCGGCTCGTCGTCAGGATCGCGGCCAGAGTAGTCGAACTTCGTAATTTGGGTCAGACTTTCCCTTCCCTCATCAATGTACTGCTCTAGCGTTTGCATACTCGACGTACGGTTCCATTAGTGCCTGTGTCTAGACACGAGCAGAGGCATGATGTTGGTCGTGGAAAGGATATGAGTCCCAATGCCCCGAGCTGTCTCTGATATCCCAGACTCGTGTGCGGCTGCACGTGGCTTATTAGCATTAAATTCTCCATGATGGACAAGCAGCTAAAGAAAAAGCGGTGGCTTGAAAGGCACGCTGGGCTCGTTGTTGATCCCAATCATTTCCCGATCCCAAGAACGCGTAGCCAGTCGACACAATTGCATCTCGAAAATAGCTGAAGATCGGTGCAGGTATGCAGTGGTGGTCTAGACCGGTCTGACGTCTCGGGAGGCTCAAAAGTCGGTTTTGACAGTGGGACTTGCTACGCCATCTGGGGTCGACGGAACTTTCCCATCGAGATCTTTTCATGGCTAAGCTCAAGCCCGAGGGGAAACTGACACCGTGATTTGGAAGGGAACAGTGCCAAAGGAAAGTCTGGACGTACCTCAGAATTGATTGACTTTGTTTGTAGCCGAAGCTGTGAACCTAAACGTGAGGCTCAATAACGGCTCGGTAACCGACTACTCGGAACGGTCAACCCAACGAGTACTTCTGCTTGAGCTTGAGAAGAAGTTGTCGTGTTAAAGCACAGTCTCAGTCGTGTCAGTTGATGTGAAAGGCCCAGTCAGATGATGCTGATGTCGACGTCGGGAGCTCGATAGAGCGTCAAGCCCCGGAGTAGTGGGGCTCAGCAATTTTGGGCACCAGAGCGTAGAAATGAGGCGTAAATCGAGACCATGTGCCTGAGCACGGCACGATGACAAGGGTTGTCAGATTATGCTTGCTCTGCCGTCACCAGACAGTGCTGTGGAAAGTGAGGAGCTTCGCGTCTGTTCATCGAGTTCGGTCTGTGTACGATATCGTGTGTCAAGAATCGGTGCAAGGTTCACGCGTGAGATGTTGGAGCCGCATCAAATCAGTTCTCACAGCATAGTGCTGGGCCGATTGCGACGTGCTTAGGAATATACGACGGTGCAGCGGGCCGTTGTTATGTAGAGTAGGAAGACGATTCAGTTGCCTAACGATGGGGCTGATTGCTCTTTACCAATCGTATTGTTCTGCGGTTGCCAGCATTGTCGTTGGGTAAGTGCGATCCTCGTATGCAGAGCTCGTGCTCTAGAACGTTCGCCGAACCAGGCACGTTGCGAGGCAGAATTGACTCCCCGCTTTCTTCTAGGCTTTTTTCGGTAAGAACCAGCGAGTGAATGCACATTTTGCTACACCGAGAACAGGAACGGCACAGGACGAAGCCGCTGCAGTCCAATTCGGTAGCCAATCCTGCCGTCATTGCAGAGCTGTCAGGATTCGGGAACGCTGCGAATGGTCCTCACCTCAGGCAGAGCCTCTTGAAAGAGGGATCCGCAAAAGCGTGGGCAGTCGCCCGCTTACTGCGAGGTGGTCCGAGCGTTGGAGCTAGCCTCGCATTGGCGCCTCGGTCTGAGGCTCATAATAGCCGCAATATCACACCAATAATACAGAGATCTGCCAGTGGGCACACAGCAGGATGCTCGAAAGGTGTGACATGGGCAGCTCACGACCAGAGAATGTCCCGCAACGGGAAGACTCGCGAAGCACCCATGGTCATCTGAGCAGTTAATGCCCTGTGCCATCTACAGATCTGTTGTCGACCGACTTTCTATCCGAGAATGCAGCTTATCGGATACACGAGGCCTCTGTACGAGTGTAGGTACTCCAGTCACCCTGCTTCCACTCGCGCAGTGCCTCCGCACGGTAGACTTCTGTGAGCGACTCGCGAGATAGGTACCGTCTCAGAGCCTCCTCTGTTTGCGAACGGAGGTCATAACCCCATCTGTGGCGATTCTGAGGTGGCCACATATAGAGTGCTATGCAACAGCGTCTGACTTCGCTCGCAGACGTTTGCCGAATTCGCTGCGAGCAGGCCGTGCAGCGACATGCTTGAAGATCATGATCGAGCGCACGGTGTTGCGAGCTTCCGGTCCAGAAGTGCTGGCGAGAGACGAGACAACCACAACGTCTACCAGCGGTCGCGCATAATAACGCCCTAGGCTGGCTTTTTGCCTTCACGACAGATGATCAACTATGATGGCGCCCAACGCTCAACTCAGGTCTCGGGTTGCTGCAGGAGAGGCTCTTCCTCCCGAGGCTTCTGCCGCTGATCCGAGTCTCGATACAGGATATAATGCTGCACAATGAAAAGCAAATCGAATCCGCTGGACACGACACTGAGACCGAATTTCAGCGGGTTTCCGGTGATACCGCTCCAATCATCCTGAAAGCTCGCATCGATGATGAGCTGGATCATGGACAGAACTCCGCCAGTAATGTCGAACAAGATCTGATATATGCTCCAGCCTTCTGTCGATTTGCGCTTATAGTTCAGCCAAGCCTGTGGAATGTACTTAACAAATGTGACAGCCAGCTTAATGTAACCAAACATATAGATCAGATCGATCCAGGCCCAGTCGTACGGATCCTGGTTCTCGACGCCGTTTTTGATGCCAGCAAGCAAGGCGATGATGACAAGTGCGAGTGCACATGCGATACACAAACCAACGACCGGGCGATTTGCTCGTTGGCGATCTGAATGGGTGAACCCCCAGAGTGAGGGATAGAATTGGCTATACGTTAGGACGACCAGGACGACCGCATGCAGGCCAAAGACGAGATCGTTGAAACGTACGGTCGGTTCAAGGCCATGATGTCGGGCAGCATACTGGCTTTTAATGACTGGCGAATATAGGAAGGCCGCCGTCGATATAGTGTAGCTACCGAAACCGACGACGTTGAGCAGCGGAAACTCGATAGTCAGTCCATGTGTTGATTTCCGCTTCCAGTTCAGCAGTGGTTGCGGATAAAATGAGGCACTCCATGAAAGTGTATACGTCCAACCGCATAGTCTTTGCGACCGTTAGGTATCGGAAGAGACACAGAAAGTACTGTACGTACCTCGACAGACCCTTAGGAACGTCTCAAGTTGTTCATCTGTCATGGTCGGTCATCTGCGCAGGCGCTGAACATCAGACTTCCTCGAACTCACGACCACTAAGGAATGTGCACCTTGTGTCCCGTTCTCTAGCCGTCCTTGCAGAAAAGAATGCCCTAGGGATGCATATGCAAGGGTTCTAGAGAAGATCTGATGGCTTCCAAGAACCAAGAAGTTGGATCTGGGTTTTTGATAGGCATCAGTGGGAGCTTGATCGGCCAAAGCTTCGGCAAGGAGGCTCTATCCAAGGCCCAGTGAGATGTCGTAGGTGATGATGCACTATAGAATGGCGTAAAGGTGACTGGAGGAGGGGTACTTCCGGAGGCACTAAGCTGTGCGTCCCCTCAGCAACCTGGCACCATCCCTGTAGAAAAGCCGTTCAAGAGATCTGCCCAACTCACCCGGTCCACCCCTCTAGACCGCCGTCGACAGTTCATTGCCGTCGAATACTGATCACTGTCGTCCAAACCGTCGACGACCAAATAAGTTGTCGCATTTTGCGCATGGCATCAAATCAACAACGCATCGACTATTGTGACGACCTGGGAAACCCCTCCATCCTCGGCAGCTCGACGTCTCCAAAACCGGTTGAGCATAAACAAAAAAGATAACTCCGACTTCATTCGCATCCTCGACGATACGTTACCGCTGGCGCATGGTCGTTCCTACCTAATCGCTGGGAGGTCATCCTCCTGAGAGCCTCCGTCATGTCTGATCTTGCTCCTCCGGGGAGCAGCACATACAACTCGGGCACAATGCATGTTGGTGATGGCACCTGGGACGCAGGCCGAGACTCATTTCTGCTGCCGAATCTGGTCGGTCTCAACTTTGCAACGATGAGATATAATGGTAGAATAGATGCTATATGTATGGAAAGGAACAAGATGCTAACAATATTGTAGGAATGGGCAATCGCTTCTTTTCACTCAACGGCTACCACAGTCTAATCAGAGCGCATGCTGTCATAGCAGCCATAACATTCCTCGGCCTCATTCCCGGAGCCATTCTTCTACATCGATTCCTCGGCCGGCATGAGTTCTGGGCCAGAAGATTGCACATATGGCTATCGATACTAGCACTGCTGCTAGCCACCGTCGCTTTCATCCTGGGCTTCATTGCAGTCGGCCCGGAGCGAAGTCTGAGCAATCCTCATCATGGCATCGGCGTAGCATTGTACACCTTGCTGTGGTTCGAAGCCATCAATGGATGTCTGTGGAGGAATCGCAAGAAGAACAGGCTACACTGGCCGCTGAGCTTGATGATTCATACATGGCTGGGTCGAGCGACTGCGCTGCTGGGCATTGTTCAAGTGCCCTTGGGCCTGACTCTGTATGGATCGCCAGCCTTCCTCTTCGTTCTGTACACCTTGTGGGTATTTGGTCTGCTCGTACTTTACTTCGTACTGGAATGGGTTGCCGGTCGGCGGATCGAACGCCATGGCGGCTATGGAACAGGCTATGGAGGGAGCGATGCCAGCTACTACACCGAACATGTCACCACAAGACCAGGCAAGAAGGAAGGCGGTGGAATGGGCAAGTGGCTAGCAGCTGGAGCCGGAGCAGTTGGACTAGCTGCACTATGGCGACGACGATCAGATCGAGAGAACCGAGAGAAACGACCGCATCCTGGCGTAGGAACCGAATCGAGTGCCTCGTCATGGTGGGAGAGCGAAGAAGAGAAGCAAAGACCTCAGAAGCAGAGAACTGGCTTTGGAACGCGGCTTATGGAAGTAGGCGCGGTTGCGGGAGGCGTCGCCGCCGTCAGGAGCTTGTTTGGGCGCAAGGAACGCGACGATGCTTCACACGTTGGTCCCTACCGGCCTCCTCTCGGCGGCAATACCTCGTACACGAGCACTTCCGACTCAATGTCGCGAGTCGAGGAGGGCCTACCTCACAGACCCGTGACGCCAGGCGGACCGAGCCCTGGTCACGTCAGACCGTCTCATCCACTAGCCCAACCACCTATGACACCCGGCTCTGCCACACCTGGCGCTCCGTTGACTCCTGGAAGAAGACCGTCTGACGACGCATACTCATATTATTCATACATGTCAGGATCTCCATCACATCAGGACCGAAAGGGCAACACCATTCGCAATGCTCTTGCCGCGGGAGGCGCCATGTTTGCAGTCAAGTCATTGTTCAAGAACCGACGCCAAAAGAAGGAAGAGAGAAGAGCGGAAGAGCTTCGAAAGCAGCGACTGGAGGAAGAGAGAATTGCACGCGCCAACTCAGCGCACAAATACACTGGGGATGGAGTCAGGCCACCACGAACACATCGTCACGGTCGCATGGGAAGTCAGACCGCATCAGACATGTCAAGCATCATGGATGAGCCAGGCACCCTTCCCGTCGCAGGCACTGCCGGTGCTGCAGCAGCTTCTGCTCTGGCTGATCGTAACCGAATTCGTCCTGTTGGCGCAGATCCGGCCATTGTGATGCCCGGACCACCTACAGCTATTCCAACGAACATCCCACCTGTGCCTCCGCCGCATCGGTATGGCTCCGAATCATCAGGTAGCGAGCTCTACACCACCGCGGATGGTCGGCAGAAGCATCGTCACCGAAACGAAATAGCAGCAGGCCTTGCGGGCGCGGCCGCGGGTGCTATGGCAACCGATGCAATCAACAATCGTCGTCGACGGCAGGATCAAAACACGGATTCTGGCGAAACGCCACCAGTCAGCGTCCACGTCAAGCAGCATGCTGACGGCCGCCACGTCACGCTACGAAAGTTGACCGAGGAAGAACAAGCAGCGCAGCGGAGGCGTGAACGAAGAGCTTCTGCCGCTGGCAGACGGCGGCGCAACTCCAGTTTGAGTAGCTCTGACTTGGGCGAAGTGGCAGGCAACACCAAAGCTGATAGACGATGGCGAAGAACGGAAGCGCTCGAAGCCCAACAAGCAGCAACCAATGCCGCTGCGGCGGGTCCGAGCGCCGTTCAGATCCCTGCGCCCCCGATGCAAGTGCCATATCCTACGCCGCCCACACCCGGCACACAAGCTGTGGATCCGAGGACAGGACAGCTTTACACGCTTCCAGTTCCTCCGCCGATCCCTGGATCAACCAGTAATCTGGCGCCTCCCGGAAGTATCACGAGTCCAGGAACCGAGGCAAGTAGTGCTGGAACAGAGTACGCCAACAATAGACGAAGGCGGAGAGCAGAGCGTGCCCAGGCAAGGCTGGCGAGGGAAGGAAGGCAGGGTAACACCGTGGACTTTACCTGATGAGTCTTCTGATCAGCCTTGATCGAGGTATCGGCATATTGATGCATATGTTGGCGATTCTGGGTCGGACTTTTGCGAATGATTGAGCGAGCATGACACGATGTAACGACAACTATGTTCATGGCATCTCAGCGAGTGTCGCTGATCGTCCAGCTTGTCGATGGTCTAGGGTGAGAATGGATAAAAGCCATCCTTGCAGTAGATCTGCCTTTGTTTGACTACCTCACTTCTCCTACAAAGTTCGACAGTTGGTCTCTTGCCTGGTGCTGAAGCGAGACCTTGGCAAAGCATTGTACGAAGATTTCAATCCGCATTGCACAGCCTCCCCTCGACTACCCCGAGCTTTCTCTGCGACAAAAGCGGCGGAGCGATCATACTATCCGATATCCAAGATCTTGAGAGCCGCCGCTGGGAATGAACCCATAGAAGCTGAATCGGGCAAGGCGTAGGTTCCTAATTCGGAATGCTCATAAACTTTACGTTTTCAACGCGATTTCGATGGATCTTCTTCTGATCACACCGACAACTTCGCATCGAGTCATTTACAGGCGATCTTCATAGAAGCGTACACGATCCGCGATGATTGTACGGTCGCAAGAGTAATCCTGAGGATGCCACCGAAGCTGCTACGCCCTCATCATGCCTCCGAAGCCTTCTGTTCGCGGCGAGTTCATCGAGACTGTATGTACAATAATGCCTTCAGACTGACCCGTGAAATGCGGCTCTTTGAGGATCCGGCGTACAATGTCTCAACTGACACAAGTCCTTTTGATCCGTACAGGAAACAGGCAACAAAATCTCCCGCCGCGCCTCAATCCTCGGCCCCAAACACATCATCCTCGCCGGCAAATGCGTGATCCAGAACGACGTTGTCATCCACGGCGACCTCGTCCGCCCCGCCACCAGCGCCTCCTCGCACAATCGCACTGCATCAACGGCCACATCCGACTCCAAATCCGCGGACGCCACCTCAACCTCTTCGGCCCCCCAAAATCAGACCTCAATTCATCTCGGTCGGCACGTCTACTTGTCCCCGGGTGTTGTTCTACACCCGCCTTCGCGTCTTCAGACCCCTACGGCTACCTCAACTAATCCAACTCCCCAACCAATAACGACCTACCTCCCCCTCACAATCGCCTCACACGTCTTCATCGGCGCTAGTTCCGTCATCCGCGCCCTGGAGATCAAGTCGCACGTATGGATCGGCGCGAACGTCACCGTGGGGAACATGTGTATCATCAAGGAGAATGTGAAGGTGTTGGATGGGAGCGTGCTGCCGCAGGGGAGTGTGTGGGCGAGTGGGAATGTGGTTGGGGGAAGGCCGGCGAGGGTTGTGGGAGTTGTGGGTGAGGGTTGGGGGTGGGGGAAGTGATGCTGTTGGTGGAAGAGTGGGAGCGCTGCTGCGGGCGGTGCAGCGATGGGAGAGGTGGAGGGGAGTGTGGGTGCTAGGGTGAGGGAGCGATGGGCTTTGGTCGGTGGTGGGCCGAGGAAGGGGTGATCCGCGATGCGTAGCACGACTATACTGGTCAAGGGCACGGCATGTCGGCTTCACTCTGTTCATATTCAAGGGACGATTATCCAAGAACTTCGCCCCGCCTGGTAGCAGCAGATGCTAGCCAAGCATGGCGATGACGCCAAAGCCTCCGTCATGTGCGCGAAAGGAGAAAGAAGAAGAGGTCGACGACATAGCAGCTACTTATACCCCTTCAGCAGAGTGAAGCCCCGGCACGAACCGAAACGATCACTTCACTGGTCAAGCAGAAGGTATTCACTGTGTTTTCGACGAACCAGCGCTCGGTCAATCACTGCCATTTGCCATCTAATCACAAGTAGACATGTAAGAAAAGATGTCAGGGACCGTCTTCATTCCGAACGTCTGGTGTTTGGCAGGACGACCAAGGGCAACGTGTTAGACGTGTAGAAGGATGACCAAGAGAAACGTGTCAGGATACCTACGGCCACAGGCAGAGAGATCTGTTCATCCATGGATCACAAGCTCACCGTGTTTTATCCGTGTCTCGTCGCCTCCGGAGGCGTGCACAAACACAGTTGGGCACAGCGACAAATGGTAGTCAACCGGATTCACAAACAATGACTCTTGTCATCCGGCGATAGATGAGTCTCAGCAACTGCTTACCCGGTCTCATTATGCGTTCCAACGTCGACCGGCGTAGTAATCAACGATGCTCAATGCGCTAATCTATCATGATTCGACTTCACCATGCTTTGCCCTGTGCAAGCGTCGGGATACTTCTGGCCTCGCTTACGGTATTGTAGGCGCAACACTCGAACGACGTGCGAGAGCGCTGACAAATGTCTTGCAGCCCGGGAGCATTCAGACAAAAAAGATAATTATATTCCTAATACGGAAAGACGACCATACATCGATGAAGTACCGTTACATACCATGCAGCTAGCTCTGTCGCAATTCGCTGTTTACCGACCTCAGCAGCCTCGTGCTACACTCCCAAAGCTCATTGGAAGGTGCATAGACACGACCCCGTGATAGTTGGCCCGCGCATTCTACTGGGGAACATGGCCACTGATGTTGTAGCATGCGGCGTACTCTGGCTCCTCAAGGTCGTAAAAGGTCGTACCAAGGGGCTGACGATCATCTCTTTGGCTCTACTGACTGCCAGATGCTGCTGTTGGGGCCATCGCTTGCCATATCCATCCTGTACACTCAGGTGACATTTGAAGCGCAGACACATTGCCATCTCGTACGCAGAACTACTCAGACCTCTGAAATTGCGCTGAGAACGACCTCAAATCAGCCTCAGCACACCCATTCACGATGTGCCCATTCACTTGCATCTCTGCATTGATCAAAGAGCAGTGACTACCTCCCGGTGGAGTCAGTCGCGTGACCGATCCGCATTTGCCCGGGTTTTCGCTACGCTGAAGAGATATAAGTAGTCGTTTTTGCCCTCGACTTCTCCTTCCATTTTCCCAGCAGAGTAAGACGGCAGCTCCAAACTTGCCATGCCAGGGTAGCTTCTGCGACTTGGTGGGGCGAGCTTTGTCAAGTTTCCCAGCAACTCACCGTCTCGGAACAATATCAACGCAAAAACTCCCTCTCAATCATTCTCATCTCCCTATCCCCCTGCAGCTCAAAGATCTCCTCCACGCCCACAATATCACCCTCAACCCCCTTAATCCCACCCTCCTCCTTAATCCTCCGAAACGCATCCGTCATCCCCCTAACCGCAGCCCTAACAGCATGATTCCCACAAATCACCAAGCCAACCTTTCCCAACTTCCCCCACTCCTCAAAGCTCATCTCCGGATAACTCGTCGGCACAATAACTAGCGGCGGCACCTTGACCCTTACCCTCTTTCCCTCATGCTCCACCTCGACCTCGGTCCCAACCTCAGGCCACGCCTCACAAAACGCCACAACCTCCTCCGCCGTCACGCTCTTACTGTGCACGAGCACCGCATCCGCCCCGGCAGCCGCATACGCCATTCCCCGCCTCCGCGCCTCCGCAAGCCCAAGTCCTGCAATCAGCGCCTCGGTGCGCGCTATGACCAGCAAGGCATCCCTTTGATCGTGAACCGCCGTCCGCGCCGCTGCCTTCGCAGCCCGGATCTTGCCCACGAACTCCTGAATTGAGACCAGGACTTGCCGACCGCCGGGGCGAAGACTGCTGTCCTTAGGGAACGTCTTGTCTTCAATGACGACGGCGGAGGCGCCGGCGCGGGCGTACTTGGGGACGATGTAGGTGATGTTTACGGCGTTGCCGTGGCCGGTGTCTAGGTCGGCTATTAGTGGTGGTGAGGGTGTTGTTGGTTGAACAGCTGGGTTGGTGGGTTCAGTGTTGTTGTGCGACTCTGGTGGAGGGACGGCGTGGTGGGCCGGCATGACGTCGGAGATGGCGCGGACGAGGTTGAGATGCGTGTCGTAGGAGATGATGTTTGCGTCCGGCACGCCGTGTAGGGCTGCGAGCTCGAAGCCGGAGACCCAGAGGGCTGGGAAGGGCGTGCGGGCTGCTAGGAGGGCGGAGAGTGGGCTGTGTGTTGACATTGCGATGCAGGGGTTTGAGGGGTCGAGGAGGGCGCGGAGTCGGGAGGGGCCGGACATGTTGGGCGGGAGGGGTGGGGAGGAGGCGGGACGAGTCAGTGATCCGTGGCCGATGGGTGGAATTGCCGTGTGGGTTGGGCAGCCTTGGCTAGAATCTCGTAAGCTTGCACGACCGTTTTGAAGCAGACGAGGTACACTGTTCACGTAGGTGTCAATGTGATAGAACGGCGAGAAATCACGCCTTTTGACTGTTCGGGTATTCGGTACGCGGCATGCGATTCGGGCAAGAGCCGAGAAGCTGGCCGCCGTGCCACTGATATCTTATATCGAGTACTCCCCCTCGGACGTGGGCTGGTTTGGCCAGTCGAACATGGATGGAAGAGGAGATGAATCGCCTTGCCTTACTGGGCTTGTACAGCACCGACAGTAATAGCAGTCCGCGCTCTAATTTCAGGTCTAGACTTGTAAAACCGTCACGCTGGCTTTAAGAGAGCATCAATACCTTTCCCACCACAGCCTAGGAAGGAGTCATTTCTTCGGCCAGGCAGCTTCACTTGTCTTCTCCACGTGGCTGCCTCCTAAGTTTGCGTTGACGTGGTAAGTGTAGCTCGGCGTGATCTTGCATGTCGCGCTTCATTTTGCGCGTTGTCTCATGAGAGCGAGAGCATGCGCGTGCGCATGTGGCGTTAGCTTGGATGTGGATGCAGCTGCTTTCGGATAACAATGATACCAGAGCCGATCCAATCTTGACAGCGATGTTTTGGCCTGGTGATTTTGTGCGGTTGAAGTCTTCGAGCAAAACAACCTCGAAAGGTGTAGTACGTATTCTGTCAAAATCCCCACGGCCCACAGATCTACTCGCATGGGCGCCGCCGATCGATCCGTGCCACCCATGCAAGGTACCGATCTGGCGGCCCCTGCCCGGAGCAAGCCACAATCTCATCTGTTGAAAGTGCTGACATCATAAAAGTATGGACCAGATTTCACTTGAAGGTAGGTACACTGGCAGAGTCTCCTTTCTTTCCTTCACTGAGATACACACTGTGTTGATTCAAACGCTCACGGAGGATCTTGTTGCAGTTGTATGTGGAGGTTACTCACCAGCGAGATACGACCCAAACTCATCGTGTCCGGCACAGCCATGGTTCGAGCAACGCGCAAGTCAACCGGCGCGACCGCAGCAGAAACTACTACGGCAAGCAGCCGGCGAGCCGACAATGACGCCAAAGCTGCCCCCAAGTCCTCAACAAGGCAAGCCAAGAAGGTAGCAGCAGAGAATCTGAAGGAGGAGTCCGAGTCATCCGACCAGGAAGATGCAGTGATCAAGCAAGAGCTAACCACTCCTCGGAAGCCATCAGTCAGAGCAGCAGCACCAACGCCGTCCACCACCAGGTCTCGGAAACGCGCCTCCGCAGCGGCGGACTCAACACCCGCAAAACATGGCTCGAAGCGCACCAAGACCGAAGCCTCTGTGAAGGAGGAGGATGTCAAGCAACTCCCAAGTCCTTCCGCATCCTCTGCCTCACCACCACCAGAGACACCCCCTACCAAAGCCGCAAAGTCCACGAGTCGACGCCTCAATCCCTCCGCGACCGCAAACTAAAAGCCCACACCGCCTTCGCCGGCGCCAAACTCTCCCCCTTCCCGGACTTTCCCCACCCCACCCCCTCCGAAGCCAAACTCGCACACAAAATCCTCTCCACCCTCACGCACACGCACACGCCCAACCGAAGTCGTCGCCCCCTCCTCTCGCGCCGGCTGCGGCGACAGCCCCTCCGTCCTCGACGCCCTCGTCCGCACGATCCTCAGCCAGAATACCAGCGACAGCAACTCCACCCGTGCCAAGCGCTCTATGGCGTCTGTCTATGGCGGGTCTGACAACTGGGAGGCCATCGTTAAGGGCGGCCAGTCCAAGCTGCAGGAGGCGATCAAGTGCGGTGGCCTGAGCGTCGTGAAGTCCCGCGTCATCATCAGCATTCTCAACCAAGTCCACGAGAAATACGGGAAATACTCACTCGACCACCTACACACCACATCGACAGAGGACGCGATGACGGAGCTGATCAGCTTCCAGGGTGTTGGCCCGAAGACTGCGTCTTGTGTGTTGCTGTTCTGTTTGCAAAGGGAGGATTTCGCGGTTGACACGCATGTATATCGGATTACTGGATTGTTGGGGTGGCGGCCGCAGAAGGCGAATCGGGAGGAGACGTATGCGCATTTGAATGTCCGGGTGCCGGATGAGGATAAGTATGGGTTGCATATATTGTTGGTGGGGCATGGGAAGAAGTGTGATGAGTGTAAGGCGGGCGGGAGGAATGTGGGCAAGTGTGAGTTGCGGAAGGCGTTTAGGAAGGAGAAGACGGAGAAGGGGGCTTTGAAGGAAGAGGCTGACGAAGAGGTGGAGGATGTCAAGACGGAGGAGATGGACGAGGAGGACTAGTAGGATTGTGCGGGAGGGGAACGGTCATCGATGACAATCCGACATGTATAACACGTGAGGGACGAAGCGGACTGTGGAAGATCTGACATGTAATAACAGCCTCAGAACATCGTCTGGAATGATAGAATCCAAGTCCATAGGGCACTTCATTCATCCCCCAGACCGAGCCTGTACCATCTTCCCCACACCCATACGACTCGCATAGCCCCCTGAAGCTTATCACTTCGAGTACCGCTCGTTTCTGACAATCCTCCCGAACACCTCCTTGATGAACCCTTTCGTCTCCCATATGGGAAGTATACACGTAATAGCCGCACTAGTAAACACCCAAATAAAGCTAATCACCACCCAAGCCGTAAAGAACCCCTTGGAGAAGATATAGTGCGACAAAAACATCGGGATCGGGACCAAAAAGTCCATGATGAAAGGAATAACGATCGACGCGATGATGGCGGTCTTGAGCGCGCGGCGGAGCTGGTTGGGGGACTCTTCGAGAAGGGAGTCTTTGGAGAGCGTGCGGGTGGCGGTTGGGGTCTCGATGTCGGGCGTGGGCGTTTCGGAGGGTGATGGCGAGGCTGGGATGGCCTTCTCGGGTTCGGAGTCGGAAGCTGTCGTTTCGGCTGGAGGTTGAGAAGCGGCTTTGGGCGACATGGTGGTTGTATTCTCTGGAGCGTCGACCACCACCGCGCTCTCGGCATTGATCGCACGGGTGATTTCCCAGTCAAAGTCGTCTGGTTTGATGTACGTGACAATGACGGACACGATGCCGCCAACACAGACGGCGGACAAGTTCCCAGCGAGTGTTGAGTACTCGGAATTTGTGGTCTCGAGGGTCAGCTCGCCGTAGTAGCACTGTGCTGTTACGAGCCAGGACATCACACCTGCCGCAAGCCCGGAAAGGGCGCCGGAGATGGCGGCGATGCGAGTCTGCTTCTTCCAAGTGATGCTGAATGCGACTGGGAAGACGGCACCGCCGATGGCGAGACCCATGAATAGGAACAGCCAACCTAGGTCGATGCCGGCGTGTTGCCAGATGATGGCGAAGATTGCCATGACTAAGCCGAAGATAGCAACGTTGACGTGTGATACGAAAATGAGAGTCTTCGGGCTGGCGTTGGGTTTGATGTAGGTCTTGAAGACATCGAATGTGAGCACAGAGCTGACTGCGATGAGCTCAGCGCTGGCGCAGGACGTGACTGCCATGAAGAGAGTGATCAGTAAGGCTGCAGCGCCACCACTGCCAAGTACGGCGGACGCGGAGAAGGCTGATGCCAGGCCTGAGGAGATCTGACTTCGTGTTGGTACTTCAGGATATGTTGGGAACGAGGGGTTGTCAGTCAAGGCAACAGCCGCGAGACCGAGGGTTGTCGCGAAGCCAAATGGAATGGCGAACCAAGCCAGGCCTCCCAGGATATATGCTCGGACAGCTGTCGAGGGTCGCGATGCAATAGCACGCTGCCAGTACGCTTGGTCGAGGAAGACAGTGCCACACCCAGAGCACAATTGGATAACACCAAAGATCAGTGCTGAATTCGACTTGATAGTCAGATAAGATCCATCCTTGTTGCCATCCACAGGTCTCAGCTCTGCCGCTCGCTCAAGCAAATCGTACATCCGAGAAGGTGAGCCTATCAGATCGCCCTCTGCATATATCTTGAACATGAAATAGAGGATAATGATCATGAGGATGATGGTGTGGCTATAGTCGCAGAGGAAAGTGGCTCGTAGTCCGCCGGCAATGACGTACAACACCACGCCGAGCGGGATCAGGAAGATGGCAGCATAGACGTTCATGCCAGTGAGCGCTGTCAACACGGCTGAGCCACCAAGCAGCAGCTGTGAGCCGACTAGAATATTGGTGACAAGTGCGAAGAACAGAAACACGCAGTGAGCGAGCTTGCCATAGCGATATAGTATGATTTCCAGGAAGGTGTGGGCGCGAGGAGCATTCCTTTTGCGTCAGTCAGAACATGTATCGAGAAGAACCCGGAACGGGAATTTGATGCCTCGCCCGATTCAGGTTTACAGGTATACATACATCTTGGTCTTACAAGCCAGAATGGAAAACATCAAGATCTGGACAGTAGCACCAGCAGCGTACCAGAATGGACCAGCCACGCCATACGTGTAGGCTACGGTCGAAGACTGTAGTAAGGTAGCAGCCCCTGACTGGCGGTCAGATGACATGATGTTGACACCCCGCGAGAGACTTACAGGTCCATGCGGACACAATACCAGCAGCGATAAGGCCTGGCTTGACGCTTCGGCTGGCGGTGTTGAACTCTTCGCTGGTCCTGGTGTCGTAGCTTGTGTATCTATTCTGCTAGACGTTAGTTGCGCTGACGTAGGAGACCGCTGCTGTTGTCTACCTGGATGAGTGCCAAGCCAATCATCTGGAGCGTTGTTAGCATCGGTGTGACCAGTTCGTGGAGAGACGTACCAAGAGCGTGAAGAACGCTCCCACACCCACGACAACGCCATAGCCGACGCCGCTGGGAAGGGCTGCTTCGACGTCAGACATGGTTTCCTGCAATCGCAAGTCGTGTGCCGCGCAACGCTAGTCGTCGTCCACGCTGCTACCAATGGCACGGCTTTGGGGGATTGTTGTGTTTAGAAAGGATTTGAGCTGAAGAGCATCTCAACCCCCAGAGCCTGGTCATGAAATACTTCGCATATCAATATCCTGCACGCCCAGGCCGTCGGCGAGATACTGTGATCAGCATGCAAGTGCCGTGCTGACGGCGCCATAATGACGTGACGATAGCATCTACCATCCGTATCCTATCGCAATGATCTGAGTCGTTGATGAAGATCTGTTATCAGTCGTTTGAAGCCAATGCAGGTACCAACTGTCGATCCATGGGATTCACGTGGAAGTCCGCACGACCGCACCTGCCAAGTTGGGTCTTGTACCGAGCTGATAGCGCAGGCGAACAGATGCTGATAAGGCTCTGGCATGGTGGATGACGGTGATGTGCGATACACGCATCGCGGAGTCTGTTCGTCGGTCCCGCTGCACATCCACGGCAAAGGAGATAGGTGGAGTTGAGCCCAAGCTCTGTGAATGGTATACATGGCGAGCGACACACACGTCTGATGTGTCGAAGAAACGCCGAATGTTTGTAGGTTCTGTCTGTGGCCGGATGACGGCAGCGCTACAAATCGCCGGCTGACAAAATAGCGCTAGCTATGACCGGTTGACCGGATTTCGTCCATCATTTGGATCCGGGATATATATGCACTCGTGAAGAGAACTTGGGGGAAGCCGCCACGACGACCGCACGATGAGTGTACCGCATGCCAAACCGGTGTGATTCAGAGCATCTTAACATGACCAGACTGATGATTGAGCCAAAGACTTGTGGTTAACACCTTTGTCAAATAGACTTGTTCATGTCTAACTGATCTCTTTTACTGTGCGCCGTATCTTCAGCTAGCAGATAGGCAGGATTGACAACGTCCAGATATCAACAGAACCACAACTCTTGTGACCACGTCTCTCGTAGCTGAGAACCACAGTCCGCATGCTTGCTATTCACTCCAGAATGTGCGCTCAAGGGCTGAAAAATCATATAGCCATAATTTGCACTTTTGTCGGGTATCAAGTCTCAACCTATGTCACCGTCCTCTTTCGCTGGAAAATGGACCTCGTGCGGCTTTTGCTCCTTGCTCTGATCTTCTTCTCTTCTCGCTCGCTCTCCTTGCTAGCGCGGCCCTTTCGAGCACTTCTGTCATCATCGTCGTCGTCATTGTATTTATCCTTGTGAATCCTGTTGTAATATGTGTCAGTACACTGTCAAATTTTGGCTGATGGAAAATGGAAGTGCTTACCAGCTATTTCCAACCATACTCACGCCCTTAGCCTCCGCCATGCGGTAGAACTTGGCCGCACGCTTCATATTCTTCTTGCATCCGATACCCTGCGCATAACAGAAGCCAGCTTCTGATAATGCGTCGGCATCACCCCAGTTCCCAGCAATTTCAAAGCATCTCAATGCCAAAGCTTTGTCCTGCTCCATTCCCCAACCATTGAGATGACATTGGCCCATCTCGTAGATCGCAAGGCCGAATTGGGCTTTATGCGCCTTTGACTCGGCTAGGTCGGCCTTCGACTTGGGATCTTCGTCGTCGGCAACCTCCAACATGGCATGGTCGACTGCTTTCCGTAACCAGGTGGCGCCTTCTGTTTGGTTTGGGCGCATGCCCCAGCCGTGGCGGCAAGCTAGTGCGTACAGAAGCATGGCAGTGGGATGCTCCTGCTTGGCGGCGATCCGCAGGTGATAGGTTGACTCTTTGAGACTTCCCGCCTGATGCAGATCGATGGCTTTCGTGAGGTGGTCATCCGATGACATTGACTGGTAGTTGCTAGCAGACCGTGATGTGCCTGGCCGGACGGTGCTATTCGATCGGGAAGACTGAGAGATCTCATCTGTGGGAATTGGTGGTGGCTGAAAATTGGTTCTCGTTGCGTGAGAAGTGTTCGGCCGGACGGTGGAGACGGAAGCATCGCTTGAAATGGCGAGACCAGATGGACCAGATGATGAGCTCGGTCTCCTCGCGGGCTCAAAATTGAAGGCGAATTCTGTGCGAGATTCTTCTGTCGAAGTCTTGAGTATGCCAGGCGAAGGCATGGGGAGCTCATAACTCGGCCGAGCTTCTGATGGCGGTGTGCCCGGCACGTTCGGTTCCTGCCATTGGAAGTCGGGCCCTGAGAGTCCCTGGAAGAGCGCAGAGGTGCGATCAGACTTGCGACCTCTCGGAAGTGTCCACTTGCTGTGTGTATACGACGAAGAGTCCACAATGAAGCCTTCCGATACGGCCGATCGGGAGTCATCGAAGGACTGCGAGGGCGTGGGCAAGTCGTCGAATGCGGCTGATATCCGTCTGTTGCCGTCCTGGGAAATGGGTGAACCGACCCGTAGATTGCTAGAACTAGCAGAGCTCATGGGCCGGGAGAAATTCATGGCGGATCGAGCTTTCGACTGTGTTGATTTGTTTGAATTCAAGGAGGGTGAGCGATCGTGGGACGGGTTGTATATCGATGCGGACGAGCGAGGTAATGATACGCCACTGCTGGAAGACAATTTACGTGGCATCTGAGAGAAGGTTGAGCCGGCGTTCGAACTGGTGTATTCGTCATCGGAACTTTCATGATGAGGTCGTCGAGCGAAGGCGGCACTTGGTGGTGCCAAGCTTAGGTCTGGATTTGAAGCAGACGAAGACTGGCGGTACATGCCGGAGCGTAGGTGGTCGTAGTGCTTATGTTTCACAGGGCTCAGATCACTGCCCTGACGGTGCATTGATGCTGGCGACTCGGCCCGTGGTCCGTCGAAGAAACTGCTGTTACCATCAGGCGCTTCCTCGAGAGGAGTCATGAAGGGCTGGCTGTCATGACTGCCGGCGCGAGAGGGCACACCGCTGTGCATCGGATATGAGGACTGCGGGCGCTCTTTCGGTTCTAAGATCTGTGGGTTGGTGCCAGAGTCTTGTCTGAAAGCCTGTGGAATCTGAGGGACCGCATCCTCCGCCGACAGTTGCCTGAAGATCTGCGGCTTGTTCTTCTCATGCTCATCTAGAGACTGGCTGACGATCTGCGGAGGAAGTCTGCTCATGCGCCGTTGCCCTTGCTTCCTCGTCTCCTCCAATTCGCGCGCCAGTCGTCGGCTCTGCGCAGCGAAGGCATCGAGCGGAGATAGCGCCGGCGGGATGTCGCCATCGAAGTGCTGTATTCGTGGTGAGGTCCAACCAGAGCGGTGACTGGCGGACGAGGTGGCGCGGAAGTCATGTTTGGGCAACTCAATGAAGTTGGGGCGTGGTTTGTCCATCCAAGACAGGTTCTTGGTCCGAGCAGATATAAATCAATGCGCCAGTCGTATTCATGAGATTATGACGGTGTCTGTGGTAGTGGCGTGAGACAAAGGACGACAATTGAACGGATAGAGTGCGTTGGGGAATGTCGATGGCGTAGTACGCTCGTAAAGGTGATCTTCGGCAACGTGGGGCGAAGGGTCGAAAATTGTGGCGAAGCGCAGAATTAATGCTTATTGATAACGAGCGACCGTATTATTGCTACAAGCACGGGCAGGCTGGGATTGCTGGTAAGGATTGACGGTCGTTGAAGTGGTTGAATGCAAGGTGCAGGTTGAAGTGAGTCGAGGCAGCAGAAAAAAGTGGACAGCATTTTGGCTTTGCGGAACGCTGCAGGAGGTGCTTCAGGGGTCAGACACCACCACACGCTCTCGCACTATTGCCGAGTAACTATGACTGTCCATAACAGTAGTATGCCTCAAAACATTTGTCCTTTATTGAATGCTCTTATTCTCGCATCGACGGAGGCGGTGCCTTTGCAACCCACACCGGACGTTGTGGCTCAGGAGACCCTTGGACACACTTTGTCGAGATCCGTGCAAAGTCCCGACCACCCTGCGGCCCGGTCGTTGAAGAGGCGGGCGAGTCTTTCGAGAAACCTCCCAGTGACCCTTTCAAGCAGCGATCTTGTGCTACCTGTCCCAGCTCCGATGTCACGACTACAGGCTGTACATATACAGCAACTCCTTCCACCTACAACGTAGCAAACAATCGCGGTGGCCTGGCCGCACAAAGTTGATGATTGTACCACACTGAAGATGGTGCTGGAAGGCAGATGGAAATGCTTGGTCCTTCGGCAAAGTGATACCATTGTAGATCTATTGCCATTTGCTGCCATTCTGGAGATTGATATATTTACGATTCTGGCCATTGACCGACACCACGACTTGTTCTTGCGGATAGTAATGCCTTGAATACGCACAACTGCCGTTGATCGGCAGAGCCTCATGGTCTAGCACACTGCAAGACATCGTATTCTCCGACAATGTTTGGCTGCCTCAAACAGGCGTCTTCCCTGTCAAACACATCTGAATCACAGATCGAAGGGACAGGCCGGGCACCTGGCAAAGTAAACAGGGGTAACCGAAGCCCCGCCAATTCTTTCCCTGAAGCCTGAGCCACTCGTGGCAGCATTTCGCTAGAGCCGGGTCATGGAGATCGTCGTTGCATGCATCAATTCTTGATTCGAGCGTGCTTTACGCGTTGATCTTGTCGCGTTCGTCTCAAGCAACGCGAGGGCTCTCCCATTCGGCTCTACCGATTGAAGGCGGTTCAAAGCAAGCATGTAGGCCGCTGATTCAGAGTTCCTTTGCGGGCTTTCCCTTCTCCCGGCCAGGCTGCGCCACCCGCAAAAAGGGTCTGTTCCGCAAACACAAAATGCTTGTTTCTAAGTGCAACGGCACCGACTATAGCGAGACATCGTGCAGCTGTTCTACTTTCTGTCGCAAGCAAACATAGACAGATGCACCGCTTTGGTGCTATGGTGTACTGCAAACCCTTCAAGAGGCCCGACTCTTGCATCAGCGCATCAACTTCGCGAGATCCTTCTCGCTAGACTGACCAAGGAATACAGCACTTGTAGGCAGGCAATAACGATTTTCATCTCGATCACTACAATCTCCTTACTCAAGTTCATCAAATTGTGCCTGCCGAAGCGGTCCTGCTGTTCCTGGACAATTACCGCCATTCACGTACGAGTCTGTCATTGCGCCAGAAGGTGGGAGTGTCTAGTGCGTGGTCAGAGCTGGTGACAGTTCGACCGGCGTGAGTAGGGCTGTCACGCCTTGGAGGAGACCAGTAAGTTTATGTACTGGACGTGACAGCAATCCCTCCGATGAGCTATCGTTCGATCTGAGGATAGCGGCGAGGACCTTCAACATTTGAAAGGACAATAATGACAGGCTTTTGAATCGTCTTGCACTTGCGCCTGGAGACCCAAGCACAACTTGAACTCAGCTGCTGCATACTGCACATCTTGGCCTTGAGATGAGGCAACTCGCAGATTGTTTAAGCAAGTACTAGAAGGAGATTTTGTTGATAGTCCATAGCCTTGCCCAGTACAGAATCTCAGTTCGCTCACCGTCGTTGCTGCTAGGGTCGAGCGAAGTGCCCCAAGGACTCAAGGAGTGATGTTCAAAACGGCTTCCGCGTTGTGGGGAACCTCTGGAAACACTCCGCGCTTGTTTGAGTGGACGAGAAATTGACGATAGGCTTGCCCAAGTTGAGCCAGGGGGTGGGCACCTTTGTGGCTTCAGATATCTGAAACAAATGCTCTCCTGGTGTAGCTTAGCCTCTAAGTCTCCTCAAGGGCAAGCAGTGAACGAAATTTGGCGACGAACTGAAGCGTTGACAGCTTGGGCTCTTCTGTTGAGGTCGTACGGCTTTGTCCTTAGAACGTCTGAGAGCACAGCGCCAGGTCAAGTCGTAGCAGAACTGCTGCAGAGCATTGGCTGTGGTGGTTGTAGTATCATGCAGAAGAAAGGGGTTTCTGGTACCGCATACTGACCGAGAAAGGCCGCTGATGGGTGGGCGGTTTGCTAGTGCAGGTCATTAGTTAGCTGTAGTTCAACCCACGTCCTATTTTCGATGTAGCAAGAGATAGGATCGCGCCACGGCTCAGACCTGGCCACAATGCATCAAACCAGTAACAGCACAAACTTAGCCATATAGACCATGCCTGAGCAGTAGAGGGTGGGTGAGCAATACGGGCATGAACTTATCTGGCTGGCTGAGGGGTAGGAGGTGCATATGCCCTTGAAGAAGATCATGCCAAGGAGTAGGTAGCGAATGCAGCCGGTGGAGTTCTGCAAAGAGGCACCAAAAGAGGCTGCTGCTGTCGAGGATTCACTTCTGCGACATCGAGCAGCATCTCTTCACTGCACTGCCATAGAAATAATCTGCTCCTCTGGAAGGGACGCTCTCTCATGACATCCATCTCTTGCCACATCACGCAGCGCCAGATTTCGGTGTAATCGGTTGCTTACAATTTGGCTTGCACTGCGCCTTTGCCCCAATTCCATCTCCGCCTCCCTAGAGCGTCTGCGCTGTCGACTTCAACAAGCTGGGCCTTGAACAATATTGACTACACCCAAGCAAGAAGCACCATCAGCCTTCTGCTCTCAGCGACGAACGATCTCAGCCGCCTGTCGAGCGACAAGTCGGCACCCTTACTGTACACATTCTGTTTCGACCCATTCGTACAGGACTTGACAGCCGCAGGCTCGGCTGCAGAACCCAACACCATAACAGAGATTGTGGTCTGGCTATATAATACATGTGTGGGACATAGCAACAAGTGGCACTTTTGCTTTCTGGAGCGCGGTCGTGCAGACGTTGTGCTTGGGCTTCTTGCGGTGTATCGCTTAGGAGGCACTTGTCACAGCAAAGGCTCTCAATATGGCCGCTGCCGCTGTCGAGTCCGGCAACCCATATCCAGAGTCGCCGTACGACGCTGATGATGTTGCTTTCCCGTGCAAAGGATGCGGCGAGGTAAGGAGCCCTTGCGCTGGGGACTGAAGCCTGCTAACCATATTCCAGATTCTGGAAGAGGGCAAAGCCTTCGAACTCGGTAAGTACTCGACCAAGTTGGGAGAAACGACAGAAACTGATCGATCACAGCTGGAAACCGATGGCACATTGACTGCTTCCGATGCAACACCTGCGGTACTCTGCTCGACTCGGATGCGAACCTGCTCCTACTGGGTGATGGGTCGCTGATCTGCAACAACTGCACATACAGCTGCTCAGGATGTGGCTCAAAGATCGAGGATCTGGCTATCTTGACTGGCGACCAGGCGTTCTGCTCAGACTGCTTCAAGTGTCGGAATTGCAAGAAGAAGATCGAGAATCTTCGATATGCTCGGACTTCACAAGGCATCTTCTGTATGGACTGTCATGAAGCTCTCATGGCCAGGCGGCGGAAAAAGACAGGTCGTAATCCGGCATCACGTTCGAAACTGTCCAACAACATACATCTCGACAAATCTCTCCCGCCACCTCCACCATCGGATTCGGCACCATACCAGCAAACGGATTCGGAGTATGGCAGTCCTTATGTCTCGCCTCCACTAGACTCTAGCGTCCCATCAATATCAAAGACTGTAGAAGGATTGAGACAGACAGATTCTAGAGAAGAAGACTTGACTAGCAGCACAACTCTGAACAGCCATTCACCCAGCAATGAACCTGACAGCACATTCAAGGGCGGCCTCACACTGCCCTCTACAACATTCAACGGCAAACGTGGTTCATTCATTGCACCAAAAGCGGAGCCTGCTGCGTCTGGGGAAGAATTCCTGGTCCCCGTTGCATTTGACCCCTCCCCGGCTGTTCAGTCACCACCACAACAAAGTCAACAGAGAGAGGTTCCTAAGATCACGGAGGAACGTCCGCGCGATTATTTTTCGCGAAGTCAGAACTCGCAGTCTACCAAGATCTCGAGTCCTCACATCACTTCGCAGCTTCAGGGACTGCAACGGTCTCAGCAATCGTCCTCGGATACTTTGCGCAACAAGAAGGACGATAGCAGCAGTCTCAACAATTCGACTGTTGCCTCACCTCAGTTGCCGTCTGAACGACAATTCTCTGAGTCCAGCAGTACGTCTCAGAGTGCTCGTACAGGATCGACGACTACAGAAGACAAGTTCAAGCTGCAGGATGCGCCAAGCACCAAGCGTATGCACTCGTCGCAAAGCTCTCGATCTGACAGTGGCTACACAACTGGTTACACTACTGCCCTACCACAAGATCCCGCTGACGTCTACACAACACCGCGACATTCTATCGACGACAGTCCTTCGATCGATCAATCTCCGCGGCCACCTCAACACCCAGCTCTCCTAGCTGCTTCGCTACCGAAACGCGGTGACTCTTTGGACCGCGCAAAGATGAACCAAGGCAAGACTATTGCACGGAAAGAGATCAACACCACGAACACACCGTCTTCGTTAGGTGATGTGATGAATCAAAAGCCCAACAACGCAAGCGAGGCAGCCAAGGTCAACGGTGGAAAGGTGATTTCTGCACCCATCGAATCGCCCAAGTCCAAAAGCATCTACGATACTCCTACCATACCTACTCACGACCAGAAAGAGTCTTTCACTGAACCTAGAAGTGCTCCCATGCCACCTCCTGGTTCTGCCCGGTCCCGCAACGAGTCCGTTAGTACCATTCAGTCCGACATGTTCAAAGCCGCGCAGAAGTCGCCGTCTCTGCCAAGGTACTCAGCTGGCGGAGACTTCACCATGGACGAAGACATGGCAAGAATACTGGGCAACGAGAACGCCGAGCAGTCATTCCTCAAACGTGTCTCGAATTCTGTCCGTCACGGCAGAAGCTACAGTGACAAAGCTGGTCGCATGTCTCGGGATAAGTGGCCTCGATCGCCTGCTCTGCAGGACATCAGCAGCCCCAGCACTGCCTCCCTAGATGGTGTCAGCGATCAGCTAGCCTTCTACAAAAACCAGACACGAGATCAGCGCGTCAAGCTGATTGCACAGGAGAAGAGAATTGCGGAACTTGAGGCCCAGATCGCGTCTTCGCAATCGATCAGTCAAGTCAACTCGGAATTGAGGGAGAAGCGATCAACTATGGTCGTTCTCGATACACAAAAAGAGATCGTCGTCCGAGAGCTCGAGCTCATGACCGAACATCTCGCAGCTGTCAAGGCGAACAAGGAGCCCATGGACGTTGGCAAGATGACCAATACTGTCCTCCGCGAGTTTGCTGCTTCGCTCGAGAGACTGAAGAACTCCTTCACACCTCAACTGGAAGACTTGATCGAGAGACGCAACAGTCTCCTGGAAGAAATCGCCAATTTGACAACAGTCAAAGACAAGAGCTTTGCTGAGTTCGAACAATTGTCGTCGAAGAACGCCCAACTGGCCGAATTGAATAATCAGCTGGTTCATCAGATCCAGAATCTCTACAAAGCCAATTCCGGCCAGACTCCAGAGCAGACCAAGACACAGGTCAACGGCCTTGGCATCTATACTCACCACAAGGACAAGTCTATCGAGCAGGCCACGCTTTCCCGTAACCTGTCCACCGACAACTCGCTAGCTGACTCTGGTACCACGCTGGGTGCTGGGGAAGCTGAGCCTGTGACTGTGCTGCAGGGACCGCAGGTTGTCAATATCAGAAAAGGTCAACCTAAGAAGTTCGACTGGCGCAAAGGCCAGAAAGTTGCCAAGGGCGTGACTAAAGGCATCAAAGGAGCTTTTTCGTCCGCACAACAGAACTACAGCCGCGATCTGCAATTTGCTGAGACCGGTGCCTACGGCCAGCAACCTGCTGGTCAAGGTCCTGAGTATGGAGCGACTTTGCCTAGACAAGGTCAAGACGCCAAGGGCTTTGGCTTCTTCGGCGGTGGACCCAAGGCTGGTGGAAAGGGCATGTATGGGCAGGGTAACAACAGTGAGCCTAGTCTGCTCGATGCTAGCATTCGTGAGTATACAACCCAGCACGTCGTTCTCGCGTACTAACTCAGTCTAGACCTCTTCGGCTCTGATCTCGAACAACGTACCGAGTACGAAGGTCGCAGCGTGCCCGTCATCGTCAAGCGCTGCATTGATGAAGTCGAGACGCGAGGTAAGAGCACTATGTACATTCCACAGTTGCTCCCGTGCTAACGTTTCTGCTCCAGGCATGGACACCGAAGGCATTTACCGGAAATCCGGCGGCAATAGTCAAGTCCAGCAAGTGCGCGACGTATTTGAGCGACCCTCCGTCGTCTCACACGAGATCAGCGAGGTCATTTCCGACCCAGACATGGACATCCACGCTATCACCTCCGGCCTCAAGCAGTACTTCCGGAAGCTACCAATTCCGTTGATCACCTTCGACGTCTACGATAAGCTGCTCGACACCACAACCATCGAGAACCGCGACGAAAAGGTCGCTGCCATGCGCGAGGCCGTCAAGGCGTTGCCACCTGTGCACTACGAGGTGCTGGAGTATCTGATGAGGCATCTGGATCGTGTGGTGGAGCTGAAAGAGGAGAACTTGATGACGAGCACGAATATTGCGGTGGTGTTTGCACCGACCATTATGCGGCCGGAGAGCTTGGCGAGGGAGCTGGGTGATACGAAGGCCAAGAATGAGGCCGTGACTGTGTTGGTTGAGGAGGTTGATCGGATCTTCCGCTAGAAGCCGAGGAGCACGAGCAGGAGCGCAAGACGCGCTCAACCATTTAAATTTGGAAAGCTCTTTTGGGCATATGAACTGACCAGGCGGCCTCCGGGCACAATTCTCTGGTTATGGATTCACAGGCCGGGTTTGAGAGAAGCGTGTGTCAATAGCAAGGCGTTTGTACGCAAATGGTGTATGGCATGTGAGTGGGCAAGGTAGCCGTATGGCAAATACTCCATTTGGATATGCTCATCTGGAGTCCTTCAGGGAATTTCGAACGTGCCTACCTCTTGGCCTGCAGTTTGAGAAGTGATGCAAGACCTTTGGCAGGCACTTTGGCCCAACAGCCTGCCCCACATTGCTCTTCCATTCAAGCTAACCGTGACCCGGACTGATAAGTCGACGACCTGAAATCTACTACATGTTACGGTTCAGGTAATTACTTGAACGTTACTTGTCTTCGTCTTCGCAATGGGCGACGGGCCTACCGTGATAGTGCCGCCTTCAGCAAAGACGTCGCTTTTCATCGGACTGTCTGCCTGTGTGAGGCGCAGCATCGATCGAACATGTTCCAGCCTACGGTCGGCACCACTGTGACTGGCAACGGCATACCCATAGCGCGATCACTTCTGGTCAATGTTGTCCCTCTGAATGACCAGCGTCCGATCCTCGGGCTATTCAGATGGACAATTGCCAGGTTACAGGGACCAGCACTCATTATGGCCCACTTGCAACACCGGTGACATCGCCCCAGCTATCTTCCATCATCGACCAGGATGGGCTCTGTGAGCAATGTAGTAGGCTTGATCTTGCACCACCAAGCCAGACTCAGCAGGAAATCGCGAAGCTCGGAAAGCTATCGAGCATAGAGGATCCAAATTGCCGGCTCTGTACTTTCTTTCGAGGCTTACGCCAAATGCGCGAAAATGTCGGCATTGACTGCATGGGCGAGTTCGGAAAACCGTACGAGATCAGTCGATATCCGGAATGTTGGCTGCGAAATATGGATCTGCAGACAGGTGATATTGTTTTCACTTTACAACCCATTAGACCTGACAAGCTGAGGTTCGACTCGAGCCGGAGTTCTGATCAATTCTTTCCGGGCCTGACCTTCGTGGGTAGTGCCAGCGCGGTCAAGCACGGCGGGTTGGTCAATTACGTGACGATACGAGATCGGTTGCAGTGTTGCAAAACGCGCCACGGTTTGGACTGTGCACCATTGGCGTCTCCCAAGCTTGCAGCCTTTCGAGTCATTGACTGTGTCGCCCGGACAGTCAATCTCTGGAAGGCTGGATGGGACGCTCCGTACGTGGCGCTCAGCTATGTCTGGGGTAAGCAGCCAACAAAGGCACCCACAAATCATGGTGAGAAATTGCCGAAAAGACTACCTCAGGTGATCGAGGACAGCATAAACGTTGTTCGAGGCCTCGGATATCAGTACCTGTGGGTTGACCGATACTGCCTTCCAGAGGCACATGCTGCAAAGGCCCGCCAAATCAATCAAATGAATGTCATATACGAGCAATCCATTTTGACTATCGTTGCTGCCGCTGGATCGGATGATTCACATGGACTGCCGGGCGTTCGACAGCAGTGTCCGCAACAGCGATGCTCTGTGACATGGGGAAACAGTTCCCTGGTTTGTTTGCCTGTTGGCCTTGCCGTTCATGAGATCCAGACATCGAAATGGTATGTACCATGTCCAGACCGCATCCCCAGCTCAGATTGACCTCTCGGAGGGCCAGAAGTCAGATGATTGTCGTCCTCAATAGGCGGAATATGCTTCTGATTGACACGTGTCTTTAGGTTTACGAGAGGATGGACTTACCAGGAGGCGATGCTGTCACGTCGCTGCCTGTTCTTCACACCGACACAGGTCCACCTTGAGTGTAGGCAGGCGGTATTTCAGGATATGTTATCGACTGCGGAGAACCATTTGCAACATCCAACGCATCCCAGGCTACCAACCAACCATGACAGAACGCTGAGTCTCGCCCCTAGAAACCTGAGCCTGTTCAAGTTCAACACCATGATTAACGATTTCAGTCGAAGAAGTCTCACTCGCCAGGAGGATGCTTTCGATGCTTTCAAAGGTATACTGCAAGCTTTGAAACGTTCTCAAGCCACCTGCCACCCATTGTCAGAATTCTTTGGGATTCCCATTTTCGCTCAGGAGAATGAGCATACAATATCTACGCTATGTGGACTTTGCTGGAGCATGCAAGAGCAGCGAAACTGTCGCTTCGAACCCCCAGTGCGACGGCGGCACTTTCCAAGCTGGACTTGGCTGGGCTGGCGCTCATCGAGCACATCTCGTTTCGGCTGGTCGACGTGGTCGGATTTGCCTATGTCGACAGAACATCAGTGGAAAGGAAGTCAACTTTGTGGAGAAGACGTAACACGGGCAACCCTCTACCTTCATCATACAGGTATGGGCATATTGCCGTGGAAAGAGAGCTTGGACACTATCGCGGACCTATACGAGGCCGGGGCTCTGACAGCACCCATTCTTGGGATTCATGGCTGGACCCTGACAGTCCGACTCCGCCTGGATCAGCTCAACGGGGATACCGAGCGCCAGCCAACCGGGCCTCATGAGCCGTTCGTCAGACGGCACGACATAGTTGAGTTTCGCAATGCACGCTTCGTTGCGGAAACCAACAGCATTGCTCTGGAGCGACAAGACACAACAGTGACGTTCAAGGTGGTCATGTTGTGGCATAGACCAGCCGACTGTCGTAGCCACGTCAGCGCCTTGATCATTGCAGGAAAAGACGCTACGACGTCACCTCCAACATATGAGAAGATCGGCCATATACACTCCGCATGGTGTGACTTCTGGAATGAAGAACTTCGCTGTCCGAACCCAAAGCGGTACCCTGGCGCTGCGGTGGAGACAGTTTGGTTGAGGTAGCAGTATGATCTTGGGCTCGTTTCTCGGCACAAAATGGTAGCTAGCACGGAATATGCTCAAGAAGTGGTTCAGAGTTCCGTTCGAACATCTTCACTTTCCGAGAAGACCTTGTGGATGGATCAAATATCTAAAGTGTCAGCTAAGATCAGAAAGTTTCGTCCTCCACACGAGCAGGCCGTACGACAGTGGGACTTCTATCCGTCATATCCCCTCCGCCACCATCATCGAAGTCCTGCCCTCGATGCGTCGGCCGTGCTCCTGCAGCTCCAGGCGTCACGGGCAGATCTGCTTGCAGTTCGTCGTAGTCGTAGCGACCGTCATCCCCATCGACGTCCAGTTCGAAGTCGATGTCGTCGTCTGTGAAGTCAATGCCTCCTGTTGCTTGGGCACCATCTTGGCCGTCATGTTCCCGGTGTGGGCGATTGAGACCCGCAGTGGAGAGGATCGAGTCGACTATTTGGCGGGTTGCCTCTTTCGCTGTTCTGCTGTTAGTTTTCTCATAGGGCAGGGGTGTCAGAATAGAAGTCAGAACATACCAGGCGTCTTCAACAGCCGGTTCTGTGGAACATGGAACTGCATTGTCTTCGGCGGCGAGCCGAACTGCAGCACATCGCTGTCGTCTTCGTCGTCCGAGGAGTTGATGTCCCATGTGCCTCGCTGAGAAGCGGGGTGCTGGGGCGTGTATTGTGCGTTGCTGGGCTGTGGTATGCGTGACTGCTGGGCGGCAGCTGCTTGCGGGTCGCGACGTGGCGTCAGTACGGAAACGCCAGGTACTCGTGGAGCGTTGGAGCGAGGATTTGTCGGCTTGCGAGGGCTGAAGAGGGCAGAGTTGAGTTGTGGCGCGGGTACTTCTGGGCTGGACATGGGTGAGGAGTCGAATAGGCGACGTTGTGTGCGTTGTGATGTTCCCGGTGTCGCGGCATTGTGCTTGCGTGTTGTGAGGGGTGTGGCTTGGACGCGGTAGTTCTTATCGAGGATGCGGTGGAGGAGAGGGTCGGTCTTCTTGCGGGCTGTTGTTGGTCGTGCGGAGGAGGGCGGCGGTTGTTGGGATGGTAGGAATGGCGAGGACTGCGGTCTTGTCTCATACTCGGTCGGCTCGAGGCGAGTTTGTGCGCCGGGAGTAGATGGAGCTGGCTGTTGAGTGTCGTCGTAGTCGGTGGCTTTTGTCATAGACGTTGTGTCTACTGCTGTTTGGTTGACTTCTTGGCGAAGTGCCTCGTACGGTGATGGGTATTCGGCGTATGAGGCCGATGTGGATGTGTCGTCTCGTGCTTGTCTGTGTGTTGGGCGCGGTGTTGATGATTTGGAGGGCGACAGGGTCATGTTAGATATATCTAAGTCCTGTATCGAGTCGGTGGATATATGTTGTGCGGCTGGTGTCGAGTAAGATTCAGACGTCTCGAGTGTGGTGTGAGAGTTTGTGGCATGGGAGTCCTCAGTCTCGGTGGTGGTCTCGTCTGGAAGATGCGACTGCTGTATGGACTGGTCTTCGTAGCCAGAGAGTGAGACGTTGGCGCTAGCCTCGAAGAATTGCTTCCAGAACTGGCAAAATGTTAGTAGCGTTACAATAGCATGTCTCGAGCACTGTACTTTGGAGCCCTCCCAGACGTCTCTTGAATGCGATGCATACTCCTCAACGATTGGAAGAATGCTTGACGTGACTATGCGGTGTGCGCGACTGAAGTTGTGGTCGATTTCTGGAGATACAGTGTCAGTGCGTGCTTCTATGGTGGGATGAGGGGCACTGATTTACCTTGCAGGGTCAGCGTTATGGATTGTTCGAGCTTTTCGAGCTCTTCGGTGGCAGTGAGCTGTCGCTGTTGCGATGCTGAGCTTGCTCGTGCCATGGCGACCTTGCGCCGGCGTGTTCGACTGATCTATGACCTTTGCGACAGAATTGATCTATCTCGCAAAGTGGAACGCGTGAAGACCGCGACGAGGCTGCGTGCGCGATGACAAGGCTCGAGTCCTCGAAGTGCAGTGGGGAGACCTGAACCAGGCGGACTGTGTGAGGCTGCGTCGCTCCGAGATACTATACAATCGAGATTGGCCGAGCGCCGGTCAATAAGGCATAGTCGATACTTTGCCATTGGGCGGCGCTACGTCTCGTGGTCCTGAGATGCCCTCCATCCCGTCTTTGCTCGAAACTATTTCTTCTTGGCGGGCGGAAGATCGACGGCAGTGAACTTGAAAGCGGGGAAGAAAGTTGGTTCTGCCATGGTCGCGGGAACTCCGCCACCTACGCTCAGGCTGACGTGAAACCACAAGGGTACGCACAATATAGAGGCAGGATGAACGTTTCCTCTTGAATGCAACATCTTACCTCAAAACGTCTCTTTCCTAGACCTCCCTTCCGGAATCTCACCCTAATCGCGCCCTAAGCATGCCGGCGCCACTCGCTCGTGGTAAGTCATGGTCCTCCTTACATCACCATCCGGCGCCCATTCTCAGCTACTGAAGCACGTGCCTTGCTGTGCTCTACAGTTCGTTTCAATTTCTGTACTGACAATGCCCGCCCCGCCGGTCGCAGGTGCGATCATTGTCGCCAGTATTATCATAGCAGCTGGTATCGCTGCTTACGAAAGCGATAACATTCGAGAATGGGTGGAGAAGACGAGGCAGAAGATCGCGACTAAATTCGACGCCATAAGCAATGATCTCCAGCCTAGAAGACCTATTCCCATGCGGGTGCGGTCGACAGAGGCCTCCATGACCGAGGAGAAGGGCGAGGATGCGGAAGCAAAGAGAGAGAAGATGCGGGCACAGATAGCAGAACGAGCGAGGATACTCGAGGCGCGGTCGAAAAGGCAACGACCAGGGGCTTCCCCGCCTCAATCGCCCAGCTTTGATTCTCTGGTCGACCATGACGGCAAGCTTCGGTCAGAGGCCTCCTCACCTCCGATCACACCCATAGCCGATACAACAGCAGTCGAGACGAATGCATGGGCGGGCGAGCTGCGGTCGCGGCGGCTAGTCGACTCCAGGGAGGACTCTGAGGAGGGCCAGCTGCCGATGACGCAACAGAATGTGGCCAACCTGGAGCGGGAGATGCGACACTCGTTCAACATTTCCATACCTGAACGCTCAATACAGCCATCGAGTCACCCATCAGAAAGCCTCCTTGATCTGACCCCAACCACGGAGGACTTCCCGGACCCAGATTACTCAGTCCCTTCGATAGACTCCCACGACCGTCAGTCACAAGGCTACTTCTCAGCGGCTGCCTCGGACAACTCGCATACGGTGGCAGAGTCCGACTCACAATATTATTATGCGCATCCTTCACAACCACATCAGCCACTAGACGGCCGCTCCAGAACGATGAGTCCAACAGTCTTCGACCACCCGCCTTCGTCCGCTCAGAGCGTAGCAGGGAGCACATCAGTAGTAAACCCAAGCGAAGCTGAGATCAGCGAAGATGACTTGGTCAGTGAGCCAGATGGAATTCGAACTCCAGGTAGTGCCTGGACAGAGGTCGGAAGTTCCGTCAGCGGTGACGATAGACTCATACACTAGACAGGTGGCATGCCTGGATGCCAACAATACGATTCAGATGCGGTCATCCGTTTGCCGACTTGTTTATGCAGGTACCCGTTCCCTACTCTTCACCGATAGCGACTTGAGCACAGCCGAACAATATCGACTGCGGCAACGAAGCGCGAAGTTTGCGGTGTCGATGCACTGTGATGGGCACCTTCCTCGTGCTGCTCCTGACGATTTGGGCACATGTCCCTCGCTCTTGCCTCGATATGCTGCCAGTCCATCACCTAAGGAAAATTTCACTTCAGTCTCTCTTCACACAATGCATACGTCGCTGCACATCAGTGCTGCTATATTCCTACACTCTCTTCCATCTAGGCATATTGGACGTCAACGCAACTTTGGTCGTGCTTATCGAGCTTTCTAGTGTCTACAAGGCCTCAACTTGCGACCATCAGCACGACCTGTATCAGTGTCACCTGGGTGACGATCTTGACTGAGTCGCGCGATCTGCCATGGACGCTGATGCGACTCAACATGAGGACGCCGTTCCAGCAAAGTGGTCGAACAAAGACGTAAGTGTTGTCTTGGAGTCAGCTTCGCAATACTGACATCGCGCAGATCATCTACGTCGCTTGCGTTAGTCCAGTCCTCCTCGCAGCATTTCTCGAGTGGTTTCTATGGCTAGCAGCATTCTTCTATTGCTTGTACAAGGCTTTCCGGAAAGCAGATCATTGGTCGCAACGCCTGCTTGCGACACTGCTATTCTTCATCTTCTTGATCATACGGTATGCTAGGCGACTTCAGACATTGTGCGCAAATACTGACGAATTACAGAGGCATATTCCTGCCAGTGATGATCGTCACGATCCCGCTGCCCAACCGTATTACTCGATACTTTCCCGACATCGCCGTTGATGCTCTGCAGGAGTTCGCCTTCTACGCCTTTGCGGTGCTACTTACAATCCCATGGCTGGTGGTTGTATATCAAATCATCGTACATCCCATTGGAAGAAGGAAGCTTGTCAAGTATACGTTGGACGAACATAATGCACCTAAAGTCGTGGTGGTCATGCCTGTGTACAAAGAGCCTCCTGATTCCCTGTGGAAGGCTCTCAACTCTGTGGTCGACGGCGATTACCCACCGGCTTGCATACATGTTTTCCTTTCCTTCGACGGCGAAGAGATCGACGAGCTATACCTTCGGACAATCGATCGCCTGGGCATTCCTGTGACCATGAAGGAATTTCCGAAATCGATTGATGTCGCATACAACGGCTCGCGTGTCACCATCTCACGCTTTCGACACGGAGGAAAACGACACTGCCAGAAGGCGACATATATGCTCATTGACAAGATCTATCGTCAATACCTAGCCGAGAAGGACGACTTGTTCATCCTCTTCATCGATTCTGATTGCATACTCGACTCTGTCTGCATCCAGAACTTCATGTACGAAATGGAATTGAAGCCGGGCAATACTAGGGACATGCTCGCTATGACAGGGGTCATCACTTCTTCTACAGGCAGAATGACGCTGCTGACCCTGTTGCAAGACATGGAGTATGTTCATGGACAGCTATACGAGCGCTCAGTCGAGTCAGGGCTGGGAGCTGTCACATGCCTGCCAGGTGCGCTGACCATGCTTCGCCTGTCAGCATTTCGCAACATGGCCAAGTTCTACTTCTCGGACAAGGCAGAGAACTGCGAAGATCTGTTCGATTATGGCAAAACTCACCTTGGAGAGGACCGCTGGCTGACACATCTCTTCATGCTTGGTGCTCAGAAGCGCTATCAGATACAGATGTGCTCGAGCGCGTTCTGCAAGACAGAAGCGGTGCAGACTTTCGGCGCGTTGCTCAAACAGCGTCGGCGATGGTTTCTTGGCTTCATCACGAACGAAGTCTGCATGCTGACCGACTACCGACTCTGGCGCAAGTATACGTTCTTGTGTCTTATCCGACTCATGCAGGACACCATCCGGACGACGGCATTACTGTTCACGATCATGATGATCTCCGTGGCAACCAAGGCAAATCAGTTCGGTGACCTGCCCTGGCAGTTCATCTGTGTCTCCCTCGGACTCAATTGGCTGATGATGCTGTACTTCGCAGCGCGCCTCACACGGTTGAAAGCTGCGTTGTATCCGATGATGTTTGTGCTCAACCCATTCATGAATTGGGTCTACATGATCTACGGTATCTTCACAGCTGGTCAGCGTACTTGGGGTGGCCCTCGAGCAGATGCCGGGGCCGCGGATGCGAAGGTCACGCCTCAGCAGGCAATTGAGCATGCCATGGCCACTGGAGATGATCTGAATGTCGTGCCGGAGACCTTCAAGTCAGCTTTAGGAGCCCGTCAACGTCGCCTCAAACATACAACCTTGCAGCCATCACCAAGCGTCGAAGGTAGATTTGCACCAGCTGTGCTCTCGCCGACACCTTCACATCACGCCCGGCAGGAATCGGGTCAGTCGGATGTGGATATGAAGGAACTGATGGGCAATCGGGACATGTCAGGTGATTTGAGCGATTCTGAGGGCATCTCGATTCACACTCCCAGGCATGTTCCCACGAATCTACACATGACTGAAGCCATGTATGGTGTGGAGGGAATGGACGTGGCAGATCCTAATGAGCTATCCCGGCGCCTGAACATCATATCTGGTGAGACCTCGATGATCGGAAGAAGTCCTCTGGCAGGACGAGCCCGTTGACCGCGGCTCTGCCAATGAGTCAGCTGGACGGCGCTTTCTACGCGTCACCTGGGATGTCGGAAGTTGGAAATCGTGGCCATAGCACTGGTGGTCGTTCGAATCCAAGACGGCCTCATAGCGATAACTTGGACAGCAGAAGAATGCCTGATCGCCGGAAGTTGCAGAGGAGAGAGCGAGATCCCGCAAGCATGGTATGAGATCACAGGAGCAAGGATCGTTAGGACAGATCTAATTAGCTATCCTCAGGAATTAGTATCTTGTAGGCCAGTAAAGCCCTCCCCGAGGGTGGACAATTGATAAGGTTCTTGCCAATAGTCAATGAGACGGCTTCTGGCTGCTTCACCATGCTGCTCTTCGAATCATGTGGTGGTGCGATTGATGGCGAGTGGTTTGTGGCTGCTTCACCCAAAGCTGGTTCACACGCGGAAACAAGATCCCTAACTCCGATGAGGCAGCAGTGACGGCAGGCGCACATGGTTGCTAGGGCCAGTCTGCCTTTCAGCGAAGTTTCTTCTTGGTGCTAGAATCTTCAATTATTTCCCGGCGCAGCCTGGTCCTCACAATTTTCTGAACAAGCACCATATTTCTTCCCTCTTGCTCACAGCAGACTTGCATCTGGCTGTAGACCTTTTTGGACTCGCCGCTGTCTCTGCAGACTCTCTGACTGTGCTTCATTGGCTAGCTGCACAAAGGCCGCCTGCCAGAAATCTCCCCGCTATTCCTCCACCGCTTCAAGCCTCCCCACCTCAACGACAATGAGCGTCGTTGGCATTGACTTGGGGGCGCAGAGCACCAAGATTGGTGTTGCCCGCAACAAGGGTATCGACATTGTAAGTCGTGGTCATCGCTCGTATGAAGGATCGTTACTGACATGGACAGATCACAAATGAGACATCAAACCGACAAACACCGTAAGTGCTTGAATCGAACAACGGCACTTGACCGTAACTAACATTGTTCAGATCTCTCGTAGGATTTGGTCCCAAGAGCAGATACCTTGGTGAAGCGGCGAAGACGCAGGAAATCTCGAATCTGAAGAACACCGTCTCGTCGCTGAAGCGCCTTGCTGGCCGCACCATCAACGACCCCGAAGTCGCAATCGAACAAGAATACATCACCGCTCCTCTCGTCGACGTCAATGGCCAAGTCGGTGCGGAAGTCACATATCGGGGCGAGAAGCAGAAGTTCACCGCCACACAACTGATTGCTATGTACTTGGGCAAGATCCGGGACACGGCTGCGAAGGAAACCAAGCTTGCTGTCTCAGATGTGGTTATCAGCTGCCCGGCATGGTTCGCCGACTCTCAGCGAAGAGCGATGCTCGATGCTGCCGAGATTGCCAGCCTCAAGACATTGCGCCTCATCAACGACAACACCGCCATTGCTCTTGGCTACGGCATAACTAAGACCGATCTACCCGAAGCGGATCAGAAGCCTCGCCGCGTCATGTTCGTCGACATCGGCTACAGTGACTATACCGCGTCAGTAGTCGAGTTCAAGAAGGGTGAGCTGTCCGTCAAGGGCACTGCCTGGGATCGTCACTTTGGTGGACGCGATTTCGACAAGGCCCTGGTCGACCACTTCGCTGCCGAATTCAAGGAGAAGTTTAAGGTCGACATCCACACAAATTTGAAGGCCAAAACGAGAGTTGCTGCCGCTGTCGAGAAGCTGAAGAAGATCTTGTCTGCCAACGCTCAGGCTCCCATCAGCATCGAATCGTTGATGGATGATAAGGATGTTCGTGGCTCCATGAAGCGCGAGGAGCTGGAAGTGCTCATTCAGCCTTTGCTCGACCGTGTCACGGCACCGCTGGAACAAGCCCTCAAAGATGCTAAGCTCAAGCCCGAAGATATTGATTCGATCGAGATGGTCGGTGGCTGCACACGTGTGCCTTCGATCAAGGATCGTGTCAGTAAATTCTTCGGCAAGCCACTCTCATACACGCTCAACCAGGACGAGGCAATTGCACGAGGTTGTGCATTTGCATGTGCCATCCTGTCACCTGTCTTCCGTGTCCGAGACTTCTCCATCCACGACATTGTTTCATACCCCATCGAATTTGCTTGGGAGCAATCGCCTGATATTCCAGACGAAGACACCAATTTGGAAGTCTTCAAGACCGGCAACGTCATGCCATCGACCAAGATCCTCACTTTCTACCGAAAAGACCCATTCGATCTGGAGGCCAAGTATTCGAAACCAGATATGTTGCCTGGCAAGCTCAATCCCTGGATCGGTCGATTTTCTGTCAAGGGTGTGAAAGCCAATCCCAACGACAAGGAGCACTTCATGATTTGCAAGCTCAAGGCGCGACTGAATCTGCACGGTGTCCTTAATGTGGAATCCGGCTACTATGTTGAAGACGTTGAGATCGAGGAGCCTGTGCCTGAAGGCAAGGAAGGCGAGAAGAAGGATGGCGATGCTATGGAGACGGATCAGCCCAACGGCAGCGCAGACGCGCCCAAGACTCGCAAAGTCAAGAAGCAGGTACGAAAGGGTGATCTGCCTGTAGCTGCTGGTACCTCATCTCTCGACTCAGCGACCAAGGCTACCGCGACTGAGCAGGAGAATGCCATGTTCATGGAAGACAAGCTTGTCACCGATACTGAAGACAAGAAGAACGAGCTCGAGGCTTACATCTACGAGCTCCGTGGTCAAGTTGATGATCTCTATGCCGACTTCTCCAGTGATGACGAGAAGGCCAAGATCAAGGAGAAGCTCGAAAAGGCTGAGGTAAGTTCCTGCTTCCTGAATATGCATAATGAACTCTACTGACATGCTTCGCAGGATTGGCTCTATGAAGACGGCGAAGACGCCTCCAAAGCCCAATACATCGCCAAGATGGACGAGATTCGCTTCGTCGCCGGCCCAGTCATCCAACGCTACAACGACAAGCTCGAAGAGGAACGTCAAGCACGTCAGAAGGTCGAGGAAGAAGCCGCCGCTAAGCGAAAGGCCGAGGCTGACGCACGCAAGAAGGAAGAGGAAGCAAAGAAGGCGGCCGAAAAGGCAGAAGAGAAGCCTGCTGCCGAGCCCCAGGATACAGAGATGTCGGATGCTAACGGTGAGACGGTCAAGCCTGATGGTGTGGAGGAGGCTAAATGAGTACCACCAGGAGGCGGTAAGGGGTTCTTCGGGCGCTTGAAGAAAAAGTTTGGATGATCGGACGAGAACGAGAGCACGAGCGAATGATATGCATGGCAGTAACTGGCGTTCTTAGACGACACGACAAAGGACGCTCCTCGATACCACAAGGATGATAGAAACGATCTGGGCTGCTGGATGCGTGAATCTGATTCGCACATGAAGAGAACACACGTCGCCAGCAAAGCAGATAAATCGCGAAATACCTCCATAGAACTATGAAGAAAATATCACCTCATCGCTGGCCTTTTGCCGACTGGCTCGCTGGTCGAAATTGTATGGCTTAGGCGCTTTGCGATGTACACAATCCACTAGGCTCAATTGACGCTTGCCTTGTATGTGAAGCACTTTCATCGGGCGTTGGATCCGTCCGAAGCGGTCTCCTCGACATTGTGTACATAAGCTATTCCTTCCCAACTTTTGGTCCAACTTCACCTGCCTGTGTAATTTGCGCTCCTCCCAAGTCGTCCTGTCCTGCCCTTCCCCACTTCTTCTCAAAGTCTTCTCACCAATTCTCAGCAACGAACAGGCCCGCCATACCTTGTCCTGTGCCGATACACATGCTAGTGACCAACACCCGCTTCTTCGCCCGCTTCGCCTCGCTTAGAATCGTACAGATCTGTCGTGCGCCAGTCGCGCCCAAGGGGTGACCAAGCGCAATAGCTCCGCCACGCGGGTTCATCTTCGCGTGGTCGAGGCCGAGGACGTCTTTGCAGTAGACTGCCATTGAGGCGAATGCTGCATGCGAAGCGAGGTTAGTAGTCTAGCTGCGTGGAAGTGGGTGGGAGCGAAGGGAAAAGAATGAATAGGTAGGGCAACACGAACCTCATTGATCTCAAAAATATCAATCTCATCCTTATTGAGGTTGAACTTCTGCAGAAGTTTAGGAATCGCAGCGGAAGGCCCAATGCCCATGATCCGCGGGGGCACGCCAGCGACAGTCGCGCCGCAGAATTTCGCGAGGATGGGCTGACCCAATTCCTGGGCTTTGGAGCGTTTCATCAGGAGGATCGCGGCGGCCCCGTCCGTGACCTGGCTGGCATTGCCGCCAGAGGTCTTGTCGCCGAACTCGGGCATGGCGGGTCGGATCTTGCTTAGGCCTTCGAGCGTGGTGCCGTAGCGTGGGCCCTCGTCTTTGGTCAAAGTGACGAATTTCTCCTCGCCGGTCTTGGGGTCTTTGACTTTGGTCGTGATCGGGACGATCTCGTCGTCGAACCACCCTGCCTTTTGCGCGACTTCGGCTCGTCGGAAACTCTCGACGCTGTACTCGTCTTGTGTTCTTCGGGAGATGTTGAAATCGTTGCCGACGTTTTCCGAGGTTTGGATCATGGGCTGCATGCAGTCTTGGGCGTCCTGAGAGGCGGCGAGGATGGCTTCGTCGAAGGGCTTGGCGAGGCGGTCGCCACCCATGGACATGGATTCGGCGCCCATGGCGATGCCGATGTCGATGCTGCCGAGGGCGATTTGGTTGGCGATGTCTTGGACGGCTTTGAGGCCTGAGGAGCAGAAGCGGTTCACGGAGGAGGCGCCCGCGGTGATGGGGTAGCCGGCGCCGAGCATGGCGGCGCGGACTTTGTAGGCGGCTTTGCCGTCGCCGACCTGGATATCGGGTTTTAGAGTGCAGTCACTTCAATTTCTGAAGGGAAGCGCTTACATTGCCCAAGCAGATATCTTCGACCAGGTTGGGGTCGAGGTTGCTTCTCGCCTTGACTTCTTTGAGCAGCGCGAAGACCATGTAATCGATGTCTGTGTCCTTGAAGCCACCCTTCTTGCCTTTCGTCAGGGGCGTTCGGATGGCCAGTGTGATGACTACATCGTCGGCGTTCTTTTGGGTGCTGCGGTCGGGTCAGATCAGCTCGCCGTTCGTATAGATGAATCGCCAAAGAGGCGAGACTTACATGGTGCTCACCCCGCTCTTGCCTGGTGTCAGGTGCGAGATGAGGGACGAAAGACGTTGTGCCATGCTGCGAGCTGTGGTGTGGGTGTAGCTGGAGGTATAGAGTATCGAGTGTATGCAGTGGTACAGGGAGGTGCAGGTGAGGAGTGACAGATCGGAGTTGCGTAGTTGATGTGTAGTAATATTTGAAGCACCTGCAGTCTTCAACTATGCCTCGGCATCTCGTCCTCGCCTCTTGGTTTACTGGGGAAGGTTGTGTGATTGGGTGGACTGGATCCGGCGATTTCCGTATTGATTCTACTGTGATAGGACCTCATGCTTGTCGTGACCTCCCGACGGCGTCTTTGTGTCTCGTGCCTCGACCTCCTGACACACTTGGAAGTTATGAACAGGAAGGCATCTTTTATAATCAAAGTTGTAGGCTTGTCCTCCCTCAATGCACGGATGAGTGTGTTGGCCGCTCACACGATTTGCGGAACAACGAAATATAAATTCTTGGTACCGAGCCCAGCATGCGCAGGCACGGCATTTCCAGGCAGCCAAGCTACGACTACAGTGAGTGACATGGTTATTGAGTGAGCAGGAAATGTGCTTGATACTTGAGTCAAACGTCGATGGGTACACTGTCGAGCAGAAGTCAGAGTCCACAGGCATGATGGCATATAGCCTGGAGTATCGCACTCGTCATCTTCAGGATTTCATTAGCTCTGTCATCCGGTCTGCGATCTACCCGTTTTTGGACTGTTTCCTTTCCTAGATGACTTCATACCAGAGCACACTTGCTAGCCTCACATTGTGCTATTGAACGGCATTGCTCTGCTACCACCGCGCACAGCATTGCCTGGTTCTGCCGGCATTGCTTATCCAATTCGACCATGGTGCGCACATTTCTTGCTGGTGCACCCTCGACCGGCTTCTTTCGCTGTCCCGTGCAATCCGGCGCCACTCTGTCTTTCCTTTGCCCGAAGCCCAGCGTTTGATTGCTTAGAGCGCCTAGATTACGCACGCTTGCAGACCGCTGCGTCCATCCTTCCAAACATCCGGCGTCCTAGCGCACATTTCGAATCAGCAAAGGAGTTTCAGTGGCCTCAAAATCCGCACCACATCCCAAGCACGTACCGAGGGTTCGTATGCGCATCGTCCAGGTCTGCTGCCGCATCAGTGCATGCTGCGCCGGCATTGAAGGCTCGGTCGTAGCAACTCTGTAGACCCTCATCGACGTCAAGTTCCACGTGGCCGGATCTTGGAGATTGAGACTTGGCGAAGAGTAGCACGTCAATATCGGCATAGTCTGGAGGTGCCAGCCGCGGCCGACCAGTGTCAGCATGATTTCGTGCAGCGCGCCATGCCACTCTCGTGAGCTGATGACTCTCAGATAACATCGCCTTCAGGACCATGAGTAGCTCAGGGCTGTAGGGCGTTTGTGGTGGAGAGTGGCGCGGAGTAGGGCAGTTCTCGAGCTCGAAGACTTCCAGACGCTTGAACACAGACATAAGAAGCGGCAGCCACCGCATCTCTGAATACAGATCGTCGGTTGCGATGGTCCAAAAATCCTTCAGGTCGCCGTACACCCACCCGGGAAGGAGTGCTGAGATTTTCATGTGCCTGACCGTCAGCATCCACGAGTTTGGGTCTGTGTCCAACAGTTGCAGGCCGAAATCAGCCATGGCCGACCACTTTTGTGCGTGGAGCCACACGATCGTAGTTCTTTCGTACTTGATCTCCTCGTGTATGGTCTTGCAGGAGAGCCAGAGACTCTTTGCGGATTCTGGCAAGTGTGATTCTCCCGACAAGCGATCGAATTGTGTTGGGTCACAGTGAAAGCTGTTGTAGTAGTATGAGAAAAATGGACTTGGGTCTGAACCTGTGCGAACAGCGATCTGTAGTTGGTCGAATTGGTCTCCATGGTCTCGATAGATCTGGTGACAGAAAGAGCAGGCTCTGCCATCATCCACCACTGTCCAATTGACCGGCACGACGATCCTAGCTGGTAAGACTGCTCGATAGATCTGGCGCCGAATCTCGGCTGGGAGGTCCAGAAGGCTGAGAGGGCCCTCGCGGACCGTGGCTGCGGTCGTAGTTGAGGGCGTGTCCTCCATCTCTAGCAGAAGAGATAACCGGAGTCTGTGTCAGCAGAAAGGCAAGATGCATACATCTTCTGTAGATCACTTAACTTCTATGAAGCATCATTGCAAGAACAAAGTTTGTCACGGTATTGTCTCTCACAAAGGAAGCAGAGTCCCGCATGAGTGCACACATTAATCCCTTGAGCTCGTGGGCATTCGATGGCCCTCGCGATCGAATGTACTCTTGAAGAACTTCGCCGATGCCAAAGCCCACGTGCTGAAGTCGATGAAACGCTCACATTCCGTTTCTGTGCCGTCCTAGCGTCCTACCCCTAGCCGGCCAACCAGTACAAGCCACATATTCGTCCGCCTTGCCAACATTTCCAAGTGCCTCCCCCTGTTGGAAAGCTACTCTCTCAGTAGCACCTCGAATTTGTTGCAGCCGTGCTCTCACCTTCAGAAGCGCTATTCCACCTGCCTTTGGAACGCGGCACATACGTGCTAAGCACAGCCTCGCGTGCTGCCAGCCAGCTCATTTTGGGTACTACGCGTGGGTCAGCCCGCTTCTGTTACTGTTTCCTTTGCACTCTGGATGTCTGTCAGAACTCAAAGGTTTTTGGATTTCTGCTTGTTGCATAAGACGGCGTTCCTCGAATGCGATGGGAGGTTCATCATGCCGCAAAAAGACTGGCGTTGTGCTTCTCAGAACCCACACCAGCTGTCTAGTCGGAACTGAGGATCGGGGCCGGCAGGATCAAGGTCTGCTACTGCATCAGAACATGCTGCGCCGCAATTGAAGTTGCGATCGTAGTAGGTCTGCAGACCTTCGTCAACGTCGAGTGGAGTTGCGCCGTCCAGCTCTTCGGCAATCTTGAGGGCCGTGACACTGGTATCCTCCTTTACAGTGCCATCTTCTTCAAATTCGACGGGCCAACTGGAGAGAAATGTGACATCGACACCCAACGAAGACGAGATTCGGAGAACGACCTTTGCAAGTTTTGGGCTCGACACAATGACTGCCTTGAAAGCCATCAGCTGTTCCGGTACGAATCGTATATGTTGTGGATCAAGCTGAGTCAGGATCCCAGGTGTGCGGTCCTGAAGTGGGCATCCTTCGAGCTTCAGTATCTCTAGCTCTGAGAAAAGCTCAGCGAGAAGTGGTAGCCAGCGCATCTCCGAACGCCAGTCATCATTGTTGATTTTCCAGAACCTGTCTCGCCATCGCAGGGAACTCATAAATGGGTAATGATACGGGCGGAGGGACATATGTTTGACTGTCAGAGCGTACTGCCTATAGCTCGCGCGAGCCATCAGCCCGAAATCTGCCATGGTGCACCAATTGTCTCCTCTGAGCCACATCTGGTCATGCAGCACCTGCCTCATCTCGTTGTAGACGGTACGACACGAGAAAATGAGGTTCCAGATATGGTCAGGCAGCTCAGTAGAGGGCAGCGGCTGGCGCTTCGGCTGATCGGTCTGTGGGTCAGCCCAAGCATGAAAGGGGTTGCTGGAAAATTGATAGATATTCCTCGTTGGCTTGCCTGCGCGAACCGCCTTCTGCACAAGGCCGAATGCTGTTGTATCGTCGCACCAGTGATTCTCTCGTCCGCATTCATGGCAGCCAACCGAGTCGTGTGTTTGCTGAGTGTACAGATCATCCCAGTTGGGGATCACCGTATTCTCGGCGAATACCGAGATGTAGACAGTGCATGGCAACAGCTCTTTGTAGATCATGAGTCGAATCTCGGGCGGGAGGTCCAGGAAGCCCAACGGGCCCTCGCGGACTGTGGATGCGATTGCGGTTGCGGGGTTTTGGGCCATCTTGGGCTACTGGAACGACTAGGCTGTGGGTGTATCAGGGAAGGACAAGATGCATATGAGCTTACTGAGTAGCTCACCTTTTATCAACCATCAATGAAAGAAAAGGTTTGTCAGAGACGCAACCTCGCCATACTATCGTCGTTCAGGAAGAACCCAGAACTTCCGCATGAGGCTTCAGAGATCCGAGACATCCACTAAGTCGTGCGACTGATGCCCACCGTACGTATCTGGACCAAGAGTTTCTTTCATCGAAGCACGCAAAGTCGCTCAAGACGGATTTAAAGCCCGTACTTAGGAGTGGCTGGTTCAGATCTGGGCTATCGAGGACCATTGTGCATATGCGAGTGAGGACGCTGGCACTGAGAAAGGAACGTCATGTGTTTCGTTCGAGGTATTCGCCCCCGTCGACATTCAGGTTCAGTCCGTAGGAGCCACTTACGTGGTCGCACGCTAAAGTAGAGTAGCGCTTTTCTCGCACCTGCATTGTCCTGCCCACAAGTTTCTGACCTTTCATGCTTCACAGCAAATAGGTGTCGGATGCAGCAAGTTGATGTGGTCGTGAAATTCTGAGAAAGTTCAAGAGCTCAGGAGGTCAAGAGTAGCTCAGGCTTCACTTATTCACTGCCTAAGAGTTCTTGGCATTTGGGGTTTGAATGGCCAGCTCGGTACCCCACTTCAATGCATTTTTCTGAATATCTTATTGATCTGGCTTCTTGAAACACCTGCACCTTTCGCGCATTCTGAATAGGTCTCAAAGCGGTCAGGCTTACAAGTACTGATCCTAGGTCTGAGTTTTGAAGCCACGAGCAGTTGCGACGCTCCTTTGCATACTTTTTGGTCACCAAAGTACGGATTGACTCAGAAGTCGTCCGCTCAGTTGCGACTCAGATCAATATCCAGATCAAATCTCCAGTTTCCTTCCTCTGAACTTGCAGACCACCACCACACACCATGTCCGCCGAAGCGGAAGTGAGCGATGCGCTCAACAAGCCTGTCGATAGCAATGCGCAAGCCGCTGAAGATGCGAAGAAGATGCTAGAGGAGCTGTCTGGCGAGAAGGCTACCAATGGTGATTCAGAAGCGAAGCCTGCGGAGAAGGAGACTACCAATGGTGCTTCGGAAGACAAGAAGGAAGATCAGGCCGACGAAGGCGAGTCAGACAAGCGAGACCGCTCTCCAGAGTACCGCCGAGGTGACAGACCTGGCCGTGGTCGAGGCCGTGGTCGAGGCCGCGGTGACTATGGTGATCGTCGAGGTCGTGGAGGCTACGGTGGTGATCGTCACGATCGTGGTGAGCGACGCAACAACATCAAGTCTCAGTACGAGCAGGAAGAGTCAGACGATCCGGTTGCCATTCGCAAACAGGTTAGCGGAAGTCCTCAAATCATCCAACTCGTTGCTGACAAGTCTAGGTCGAGTTCTACTTCTCAGACTCTAACCTTCCAAGAGACAAGTTCTTGCTCGGTCAGGTCGGTGGCAGCCAGAACAAGCCCGTCGAGCTCAAGATCCTCCACTCGTTCAAGCGGATGCGCCACTTCCAGCCTTTTGAAGCAATTGTCAACGCCATGAAAGAGTCAACCTTCCTCGACCTCTGCGAGGATGACACCTGCGTTCGCCGCAAAGAGCCTCTTCCGGAAGCACTGGACAATGGTCCAGACAAGGATGCCATCCAGATCTTCGAAGACCGTGCTATGCCCCGCAGCGTGTATGCCAAGGGCTTCGGCGAAGAAACTCCAAGCACTCAGTTCGACATCGAAGCCTTCTTCGCCGAGCACGGTACGACGAATGCAGTACGCCTGCGACGAACCGATGACAAGACCTTCAAGGGCAGTGTCTTCGTAGAGTTCGACAGCGAGGAAACGGCCAAGAAGTTCCTTGAGAGCGATCCGAAGCCAGCATACAAGGGGAAGGAGCTCCAGATCATGAGCAAGAAAGAGTACTGCGAAACCAAGGTCGAGGACATCAAGGCTGGTCGCTTAGCCCCGAACAAAAAGTACGAGAAGGGTGGACGTGGTCGGTACAACGACCGTGGCGACCGTGGCGGTCGTGATAAGCGGAAGCGCGATGATGAGGACGATCGAGACTGGCGAGTCCGGCGGGACGAGGATCGATCCAAGGGTTTCAAGGATCATAAGGGTCGTGATCGAAATGGAAGAGATCGCAGAGATGACAGAGATCGGAAGGACTCCAAGTATAAACCCGTCGAGAAGGATGACCGGTAAGTTCGACATGCGTATACGATGGTCCTCATGCTAATGCTAGTCGATAGTGGCATTCCGGTTGTCAAGACCAGCGAAGACAAAGATGCCCTGAAAGCCGACGCTCTTGCCAAGGCTAAAGCTATGGTTGAGGCCGAGAACAAGAAGCAGGAAGGAACAGAGCAGGAGAACGCCAAGCATGGCACCAAGCGAGAACGCGAGGAGGACGCTGATGACGCTGGCGAGCGGGAAGTCAAGAAGGTCGACACCAAGGAGGTCGAGGCTGCTGCCTAAACTGGTTTTGACAGAAGAGCCGCTCGGCGTTATGATCGCGACGACTGCATATCTGCATGGACTTGTGGTAATCGACGCATTTCGCGGCGCAGGGAGATGACATATGGCTTATGATCTGCCGCAAATATGCACAATTTAGGGCACCAACGGGTTTAATGGTTGAGGCGTTCAATGGAAACAGGACTTCGAGATGTTGTCTGGCAGGGAAAGGTTCTCGAGCGATTGGTTGCTGAGAGCCGCTCTGAGGTGGTCTATTGACCGCAGCTGGAGATTGCAGACCTAGGTAAGGCTGCCTTGGTCAAGATCTAAACTTCTACGGGAGGCTGCACAGGTAGACCAAAAATACCGTTGACCAGACAATTTTCTTTCACCGGCGCTCTTGCTTTAGTGGCTATGCAGTGATCCACTTGAGCAGTTCTCTCCTCGTCCAGTTAGCTCGTGCAGCCTGGTGTTGTTATGAGTGCTGCACAGGTTGCCGTTCACTTCCTGCCGTTGAACAACTTCCTGGTCACTCTGTCACGTGACCCCACTTTTTCGACATGGCCAGCAACAAGATTAGTGAATTGCTCAAAGACCTCGACTCAATCTCAATGTACGCTACTTCCGATGAATATCATCCAGTCGACAACTTCCAAATAACACCAGACCGCCGTCCAACCATGCCGTCGCCGCCGGCGTACCGATTTCCTGTAGCCAAGCCTCCACAGAGCCCGGTGTGGAGAACAGACTACGACCACCGAAGTCTCATTCATTCTCCTTCCCATCTTGCTTTTCAGCCCTACACAGACGCCAACGGCAATCCTATACAGGTCTTACCGCCGTATAATAGACGCGATCAGTACTATACGGATCCTGGAAGGAGACAACAACTGCTGCCATCGGAGACATCGAGGCCATCTGATCGAGTCCGAAACTTGGTTAGAGACCCGTCTTTTGGTGTACCAGACCAACAACAATTCAGTAACCAACAGCATTATCCTCAGAACAACCAATCGATAACCGGAACTGAGAAGAAGGACCGCAACAAGAAGACCAAGCAGAAGCGGAAGGACAAGCGTCAACAAGAGCAGCAGCGACGACAGCGTGAGAAGTCACAGTCGCTAGTGTCTGACGACAACCATCACTACCCGCTGCCACAGGCGTCTGGTTTCAACTCAGCAGCAAACGAAGATGTCAATGCGATCGAGATTAGTGCTACGAGAAATCGACTGAGGAATCGTCTACCCGAGCCGGAGCCTGCTTTCGACGACCAAACCTCGACACATTTCTTTCCGCCACCGTCTCCTGCAGCTGAGTTCGATCATCCGTACTCGAGACAGTCGCAGAGTCTGCCGTATCTTCCACACCCATCTTCTCCGGCTTTTGTCCTGCCTGGTCTTGCGTTCCATCAGCAACACATGCCCGCGACCAACGGGGCCGGGCCCGTCACACCCACTAGCCCGGCTGTTCCTAATAATCCTACATCCTCCATCTCGAACCGAGCCCGTCGTCTGCCCAATCATGTCCAAGTCGCCGATGCGTACATCTTCCAGCAGAACATCGATGCTCGCCTGGAGAGCATTGGCGTAACACACGCTCGCGAAGATGCCTTGCGTCTCGCTGGCGTACAGTGGCTCGACCAGGTCAGGAGAGCTCTGAAGCTGCCTGTAAGAACCTTCGATACGGCTTGTATCTACTACCACAAGTTTCGGCTCGTTCATGGAGACAACGAATATGCATACGTCGATGCTGCGGCTGCTGCACTCTTTGCAGCATGCAAGATAGAAGACACGCTCAAGAAGAGCCGAGAGATTTTGTGCGCAGCACACAACCTCAAGGCGCCGAGCCGTGCAGAACAGCTCAGTCCGGATGATCCTGCTTTTGATGCCTCGGCACGGACAATCCTAGGTCATGAGCGACTGATGCTGGAGGCCAGCGGATTCGATTTTAGAAGTCGACATCCTCAAAATCTGTTGATCAAGATGCTGAAACAAGCTGGCCATGGCCCAGATACACTGGGCTCGAAGATGAGCTTCAAAATCAGCTTAGATCTGTACCGAACGATGGCGCCACTGAAGCAAGGCACGGCAGCCATGGCAGCTGCCTGTCTGGAATTGGCTGAGCGCATTTGCGACAAGATGAATGGTAGTAGCACACGAAAGAGTGAGGAGGAGATGGAGGAGGCATATCATGCTTGGGGCGTGAGTAGAGCAATGGTCATGGGTAAGTTTGTGGTAGTCCTTCAACAACCGCTCGAGTCAGGGTCGGAGCTTAACCTCAACTAATGCTTAAACAACAGAAACACTCCTCGATCTCTTAGATATCTACACCTCCTACCGCACCTCGACCTCCCTGGGCCCGACAGTTCCTCTCGATACCTTCCTTCAAATCCGCATTCCCCTCAACGAGGAAGGTGCTCGTCGAAAGCTACCCCGATTTACCGAATACATTGAGCCACGAAGCACTAACAACAATTCACAATCCAACGATCGCACAAACGCCACCGGCAGCAAACCTCCCAGCGGTCCCCGCAATGCCCACGGTCACAATATGCAGAACGGCACTACCAATGGTGGCCCTGCGACAAGCAGAACGAGTTCGAAGAACACGTCTCCTCAGGACAAAGACAGCAGTAGCCCAGGCACTGGTGGGAGTGGAAGCACGGCTGCTACTGGAATCGCTAGTGCAACACCTGGCGGCGTGGTGAGACCGCGTGCTAGTGTGCGTGGCCGAGATGGCACAGTGCGATTCATGCTCAATCCGGAGCGCGAGAGGGAGGAACGAGGTGTTATCGCGGAGTACGGTGAGGCAGAACTACAGCGATAGGGCACTCCGTGTGTGCTATCTCAGGGGCACGGCCGGGCCTGCTGACGCCGGGTATGATCTTGCTGCGCGGCACGATTGTGACCATGGGGAGTCCTCTGGTGCCGGGTCATCGTCACCACAATACTGAGCCAACTCTGATACCATGCTCAATGTTCAGCAGCGAGACAGCAGTCAACGACTGACGGCGAACCTGCCTGCATCTGCCTTCTTCAGGCAGGAAATTATGTAGCAATTAATCGTCTAGGATTCTGCCTATCACAGTAAACTTGAAGCACGGAAGTTGTCTTTCAGGTGCCGAGGCTACGTGCCAGCCTCGTCTGTCATCTTGTCTTCCGGTTCTCCTGACGCATAGTCCTCCCCGGGTACCCTAGCACACCATTCAACTTCCTCAAAGACAGTGTGAGCAGTCTAGTCATGACACGAATGCGTAATTGTCGGTAGCATAAGTACAAAGATGGTCGGACCACGAAACGCGGCCTTCGCCGAGGAATCGGCTGAGGTGGAGGTTCTCCTGGCCTCACTCACCAAGACCAAGGATCTCACCAAGCGGATCGCTTCAAGCCTGACACGTCTAGACAGCAGCGGCAAGATAGTCCGCGAAGCCATCGGCCCCATATATTCCAACACACAGCAATTACAGATCACGAGTCGCAACATCGACCGCGTCAATGAAGCCATCGAGCGACTCCGGCAGCCGCTCGACACGCGAGGCCAAGAGGAGACCATTATTCGCGCAGGACCTAAGCCTGGATCTTTTCCACAGTACTTGAGCGCGCTCAAGCGTGTTGATAAGGCTCTCGGCGACTTGACGAGCACGAATCTCAGGGTGAACGAGAGCCGCATCAATGATTTCCACAGCCTATTAACTCTTGGGGTGAATCAGCTTCACGATCTGTACAGGAGCACATTGCAGCAGGACGCACAAACGATAGAGCCGTTGCATTATATCACCAAAAGCTTGCCGTTCCCAACCATTCCGCAGGACCGGATCCAGCTGCTGGGACAGATTGCTGCCGCTATTGCCAGTGCAAGCGCCCAGTCCGCCAAGCTAGGACAACGAGATGAAGACCTCGCCGTCAAGATGTACGCTGAAGTCAGAGGCGACTACCTCAACAAATCGCTACAAAACCTCGCCACAGCCAGCGTCTCGACCGTCAAGGTCAAGAAGGACGACAACAAGATCTACAAGCAAGGCGACAGTGGTATTTCCGCCTACGCCCAAGGCCTGGAGGGCATGATCCTAGCCGAACACGAGAACACATCACGCATTTTCCGCAGCGGCAACGACTCACCTCGAGTCCTCACACAGACATGTGCGACCACCATCGCCACCTTCTCACGAACCATGACAGACCTAAATCGGCACACCAAATCCCGCCTTCTAACCGACTGCTTCCTCACCTATGAGATCCTCGAACTAATCACGCCACTGTCATACCGCATCGAATCCACAACCAACGCCCTCCGCCCCCAGATCAGCGACGCCCTCCGCCCGATCGCGACACCGCACCGCGCCTCCCTTGCCGAAGTCATCACTCAAACCCGGTCCACCGCGGAATCGACCCCATCCCTCCCACCAGACGGCAGCCCCGTCGCCTTCGTAAACGCCACCGCCCAACGCATCCAATCATTCTGCACGTTCGACCGCCCCGTACTCACCCTCCTCTCCTCCCTCGGCGACGGCGGCTGGCGGTCCACCTCCAACCTATCCGCCGATAACAACCCAGCCACCAAATCCTCCCTCTCCCTCGAACTCACCCCCTCAACCGAGAACCCCACCCTCCTATCCCACTACCTCCTCGACCTAATCCAAAACCTCCTCGACCCCCTCGTCGCCCGCAGCACCGCCCTACACCGCAACAACAAGCCCCTGGCAGGAATCTTCCAACAGAACTGCATCGCCCTACTGAGTCGAGCGATCAACACCCACCCAGACGCAGCCCGCTACCTCGCCATCACACCACACAGCACCAAACTCGAGTCCTACCGCAAAGCCGCTAGTAGCCTCTACCTCGCAGCATGGCGAGAACCCAGCCAGCATCTGATGGACACGATCTCAACCAAGACCAACTCTCGAAACTCCGGCGCGCTGGACTCGACGAGTATCATCAAAAGCCTGAGTTCAAAGGACAAAGACAAGATCAAGGATCAGTTCAAGGCGTTTAATGCTTCTTTCGAGGAGTTGGTGGCGAGGCATAAGAGTATGTACATGGAGAAGGAGGTTAAGGGGGCGATGGCGAGGGAGGTTAGTGCGGTGATTGAGCCGTTGTATGCGAGGTTTTGGGATCGGTATCATGAGGTGGATAAGGGGAAGGGGAAGAGTGTGCGGTATGGGAAGGGGGATGTCAGTGCTGTTTTGGCGGGGCTCTAAGGGGATTGCGGTGGCGGAGTTATGGATACTGGAAGCAGGTTGCTGTTGGCGGAAGGGACAATGGGAATCGAAGTGATGAGTGCTGGTGGTGTGGAGGATGGTGGTGGGGCGGTGGATGAAGACCTGAAGGAGCTTTTTCATGTTCTTTGAGGCCCTAGCATGCGGTATTAAGTTGCAGCATTTTGCCGTACCTGTTCCGAGCTCTGAGTAGTAAATCGGGTCCCTACACTCATCGTTTGCATCCATTTCTCAGACTTTCATCCTTCAGATCAACGTGACTGGATAGCACGTGCGCTTCTCCCAGAATGCCTTCTTGATCCTGGACCCATCGAATCCGACGGAAACCGTTCCAGCGACATGCCGACCTCGACCGATCAGCTCGAAAGTGCCGTTCCCCACAGCACTGGGACGCAGTATTGATAGGAAACTACTCCCCTTGAGCGCCCAAAACTCGTCTCCCACATCAACCGGCACCGTGCTAGTGTCGACGATGAAGAGAGCGCCGTTGTCCACGAGCAAGCTGGTTCCAGACAAGAGTATGTCCATAAAACCTTTCTGGATCAACAAGCGCTCCTGGTTGTTCTCGTCATTGCGATCAGGCGTAGTGGAACACAGCCTCATGCAAGTCGACCAAGCTTTGACATGGTCCTACGTCGATTGCTAACATGCCAGAGACACATGCAACAGTTTCATCGAGGACGTCCTTTACAGTGCGGCCTAGCAGCTTCGCCGATTCCTGGAGAAGTTTCTCGTCGAATGTACGGCAATAACTTTCATTGTCGTCTTGGGGCCGGCAGTGGGCAACGACAGTGCACAGCTTTGTGCCTTCCACCGAGAGCAGGCGCCCATCAGGGGAGAATGTAGCCTTTCCTTTGTAGCCGGGGTCCCGTGGCGGCAGACGTAGCAGCCAGAGTCGCGAAGATCCGGCACCCAGGAGGGATTGCCGACGAGCCGTTGACTTCCCTGGCTCAGCACGTCCAGATTTCCGAGGCCCTCTATGATTAGTCTAGCGTACTCCTGACAGACGTCGCCGAACGGCTTCTCGTAGTCTGGTCTCATCTCTACCGGAAGTTGACTTACGTCGACCATCCCCAGCAGCCCGTAAATGTGATCGTGTGACACAGTCGAATCACATGTCGTCTTCAGCTCTAAAGCTCGGAAAAGTTGTTCGGCGAGGGATATACTTCCTGCAAGTGCAAAGTCATCTCTATGATGTACCAGCGATAACACGGAAATGATTCGCGCGGTGAGAGCGCTGATCCGTAGCAAGTGAAGGTCCTTCACCTCTTGAGGAAGCTTCAGTATGATGGCGTGAATACGTATAAGACCAGAGCACTGGAACTGTCCCGGGAGAAAGATCGGTTCCCGTTGACTTCTGACATATTCTTGAAGGACCCATACTCGCCACCACCAATCTGCATACAGGATATCCTCAAACTCTTCCAGAAAGTTGCGCAATACCGTCTCAGGCATGCTGCCGATGGGACCGGCACCATCCATTTTCCACCGCAATGTGTTCGGGCCGTCTACCACAAGCTGTCCCGGCCATAATTGATTCTGCACTGGCTGGTCCAGAATCACGTCGGACACTGTCTTGGCGATGTGCGCAGCAAGTTGACATTTGACGAGGACATGTTGACCCAACCAGATGACCGTCGAGTACGCCGCCGCGTAAATAGAGCCATCCTCGGAATTTCTTCAGCCTTCTCTGATTTATCGTTTTGGTTAATACAAATTGCGTCGATCCAGAGCAGTAGATACGGACGCATTTTGAACCCCGGCAGAACGGACGCCAAAGCATCGAACTCTTCTGCGATGTACGTGAGGGCGTCATGAAGGTTCTGGGGGATGCCGTAGGGCTGGCCATTGACTCGTATGGCTTTCGTTGGTCCAGATTCACCCCAGACGTATGACAGAGCCAGGTAACGGGGATGACTACGGAGCGATCGATGGACCAGCTCGACGCATACCTTGGTCCGCCATTGTTGACGTGGTTTGAGCTTGACAAGCCTGATCTCGGAGCTCTGGAGGGGTTTGTATTTGATAGCGGCTGTGGTTACGGCCGAGGCTGAATCTCCCATCGATGGGGGAGTGTAGCATGATGTCGGGCTAACGTAGTATTCGTTCAGATCATCGACTTAGCTCGAAAGTCCTGGTGACGCTCTGCTATATGTACAACGAAGACTCGAGTTTAGTCGGGCGCGAACACCAAACGCTCTAGATCAGCCACCATGAGAAGTCTACCAAAGTCCCTTTTCTTGCCGCAATACCATTGGCTGCGAAAGAGCACTTTGGCTCGCATTAGCCGCCGAAAACTCGAGTGCGTGCCTTAAGATCCCTGCAACAGTCTTCGACATCGGTGACGTTGACGAAGCCATGTCGGAAGTCAATAGCGCAGAGTCCGCCTCGAGCTGCAACACTACGCCATCGATTGGAGGGCGGTGTGGGCTAGGAGCCGATTGATGGGACGAGAGGGACGTTTGAAAGACACGATGACGTAGAGGCCAACGAGAATCCGCGATGAAGAGAAACGGGCGAGAGCATAAGGACCAAACGCTCCGCTGTCAGTAGACGATGCCAACTGCATGGAGAAAGAGGGCAAGGGGTCACGCAATATACTTGCATACATTGGGCCTTAGCCAAGAGCAATCTTAGAGATGAACAGAGCTGCGTGAAATATACTTTATCCCAGATTGTGCCTTCCATTCGCATGCGAGTCAGCCGTTCTTTTCCGTGGTCAGAGTAACTTGAAGAATGCGCGAAGGTGCGCTCATTCTTCGAGCAATGCAAAAGAGTCAGATTGAGTCCAAGCCGCTCAAATTCAAGCAATCTCTAGATGAATACTAGCCCCCAAAAGAATCCCCCTCAACAGCCATCCTCCTCCGCATACTCTTCCAAACCCCCTCCTGTTCCCTCTCCATCCTCGCCTTCCTTTTCCGCTCATACACCGCCCTGACCGTCCGCTTCGTCGCATCCTCGCCCTCCTTGAAATTCGTGCTCGCTAGCTCCACCACCTGATCGACCTGCTCTGGCGTGTATATGAAATTCCAGGTACTCAAGAAATCGGACTTGTCTGGATCGACGCCCGGTACTTTATCATTGGGCAATAATGGAAAGTAGATCACGGCTATGCCTGCGTCGGGCTGCATCAAATGGAATGTGCTATCCGATGGGTCGTCCCAGGCGAGGCGCTTGGACAACGGTGGCTCGTCGACTGAGTCTCGAGACTGCTTGGTGCCAACCCAGATGTTACACGTGGTAAGGTCAGGCGAGGCTCCGGTTTCGGTCTCGCGCTTTTCGGCTTCTTTCTGCTTGGCTGGGTCTTTGGCTTTTGCTTCCTTGAGCTTGTTTGCTGCTTCGGCGGCAGTGGCTGCGCTGGCTGCGGTCAAGGCCTCGACGTTGGCTTCAGGCTGTGATGACTTTTTCGGCCATCCGGTCCCGACTGGCCAACCTTTGATGCCGCGTTGCTTGGCGTAGCCGTCGACGACGGATAGCAGTTTTCTTGTTGGATGTCGGCGGAGGCGTCGAAAGCGACGAGGATGTCCACATCTCGACCTTCGCGGAGAAGTGGGTAGATCGGCAGGTTGTTGGACATGCCGGCGTCCATCAATTGTAGGTGGTCTGACTTGTGTATTGATTCCGGACAAGTCGATGGTAGCTTATCCTTCATGCCGTATGCAAAATTTGGTATCGTGGCGGGATCAATGGGGTGGATCTTGACCAAGTCTTCGTTCTTCTCCTCGAGCAGCTGACTAATAGACTGCCATCCAGTAATTCCGGTCAACAGAGGCTTGATCTCTTTGATGTAGTGTGACATTGTGGCGGTGAAGGCTGATCCCCAGATGCCGAGCAGGAGTGATATTCGATACTCGGGCACTGCGACACCAGTGTCGAGGATCTGACTTCGACCATTGTTGAATGGCCGTCCGAGACTCCAGGTTGGTATCCAAGCTCCAAACTCTTCGCATCCAACTTCCCACGGGTGCATCTCAATCCACTGGAACCATGCCTCCTTCTTCGCCTTTTCTCGTATCGTTTCCTGAGTCTCTTGGTTGCTCTTATTGGCTTTCTCTTCCTCCTCGATAGGTATCTCATGCCTGACGCATGTGTATATGGGCATAGGCAATTGCCCATCTTGAATGTAAGTCCGCTGATTGGACAATTTCAAATCCTCCGAATGGATATCCAGATCTCCATGTGGCACCATTAATCTCGCCGCAAGGAGTAAACTGTAGATATCCACCAAACCAAACGTCGCGTTCGGATCGCCCTTCAATTTCTCGATAAAGCCCGAAAGAATGAATTTATTCGTTGGCGCGCTGGTGGCCAATTTCAGTGCCGGGGGCGGAAAAGCGATGTGCGTGCCCACTCTTGACTTGATGTGCTTCAACATATCCGCATGGCTGCCTTTGCCCAACTTCGAGTAGAATAGTGCCTCCAACCAGCAACTTCCCGAAACACCGCTCGTATACATCGTAATATCAAACAAACCTGCCTGTTTAGCCGCCTGGTAGCTGCTTGTGCCTGCAACCAGAGCCCTCAGACCTCCTCCACTGCCACACATCGCAATAATGGGTATATCCTCCGGGTCGATGTCTTTCTCCTTCAGATCCAAATACTTCGCAAATGCGCCCACCATCTGTGCTTTCCGCTTGTCGCGGAAGCGTAACTCATCCCTTCCTAGCCCTGTTCCTATCCGCACATCTGCCTGCCATAGAATCTCAGGGTTGATGCTTGGGTCATGTGCCTCTTCCCAGATTTCATCGGCCAGGGTACCAGGCTCCATGGTGATCTCGAACTGCAGCTTCTTGATCGCTGCAGGCAGGAGGCGTGCCCATGATGGCAACACGAAGTCGACGACCTTGTCTCCGAGCCCGCTGAGCTTGATCTTGCCGATGCTGTCAAGGAGGCTATCGATACCTTGAGAGAACAGCGACCATGATCCCTCGTCATCGGACTCGAATGCAGGCGTGTAGATGTCTTGATCAGACGTTTCCTCGATGAGATCGGCATCGCCCTTCTTGGAGCGGTTGGCCTTCTCTGTTGCTTGAGATTGCTCTTGACTATGTATTCGTCGTGCATGCGCAATGAGACGCGCATCTTGGGCAACGTAGTTTGGGCTCGGGCTGTCGCAGTGCCCGGCGTGGGGCTGTGGACGCGGCGACGGCTAGTACGCCGGTCAAGCGGCGGTAGAGAAGCTGCCGAGCAGCACTCATGTCCAGTCGCAGATGATCGATGCCGCTGCATTGATTTTGGATGATGTGTGGCGTCGACCGCCATACTTGAGCCACTGTCGTTGAGTTAGCACTGGGAACAGCCACGCGCAAAATGTTGGTTGAGTTTCCGGTAAATGACGTTGAGCGCGGCAGCCGCAGATCTGTTCCTGGCCCATGCCTCATTCGGCAGCATGAGTTGACCGGGCCGGAAACACGAGCTGGAAGCTTAGCGGCTCCGGAGTCGATCTCCGGGGGCCAGATCGCGTCAAAATTCTGTTCGCTTAGCAGCAGCTAAGGTAAACCTCTCAAAACGCGACATGGACCCTCGCCCAGGACTGACTTTCACCACAGCGGGATCAGACGCAATGTTGGCGGACTGGTCAGACTGCTGTCAGACTAGACCTACTCTCTCGGGCGATAATGCGAGCCACTAGATCTACAATGCGCTGATCAAATGCGGCAGAAATTAGTGTGCTCCTGAGAGAACGAATCCACTGATGTTGGACTCGGCAAAGCGCTTGGAAAGTATCTTGGGTGTGATTCGGGACGCACGCGCATGAGATAGTGAGTACAGGCTTGCAAGGCTGGTCCACCTTTGGGCATGACGCTGTCGATATATCAAGTATCGAGTTGCCCGATTGAATAACCCAGTGGCGATCATCCCAAAGTATAGGCGAGCACCGAATGCAACTGCCTTGGGGAAGCTCGACCGATGCTGCGATTCATAGCAGTCGCACTTGATCCTTCTTGAGTAAGTACAAACGATGCTAGGGTTCGTAGAGTATCAGGACCGAAGATGAGAGGAGCAGCAGAAGAGCAGGTATGAACATAGGGAGCTTCCTCGGCGATGTTGTGCAGTCATGTGCCGACTCTGGGCCAAGGGTGCTGGCTCATCATGGCATTTCGCGCCAGGGAGGGTGCTGAAGCGCTACTACTGTCTCGCTGACTGAGTCAGTAGGTCTGAGATGAGCCTCACCTGAGCGTCAGGTACTTAAACGAGTCATGGTGATTTTCTGGCTAGGGAGGGCGCTACACGAAGTTTGACACCACTTATATGCTATTGCATGGCTACCTTGTGTTTCCGCTCCTGGATATCAGCTCCGCGAGCACAGTAGATCATTGGCAACACCACTTGACAAGCCCGGTTGACATGGGTTGTTACTGCCATTTGCATACATCATCTGCCACAACACAGTGCACCTCAGGAGACCTTCGAACAGCCTCGCCGACTTCCACGGAGGACGTCACAAGCTGCAAGCTCAGCGCGCTCTACGCAAAGCTCTGCTCCGCCTCCTCCCCCGGCGTCTCTCCAACCCTATACACCAACTTCGCCCCACTAACCTTATCATTCTTCAGATCCAACAACCCCTGCAACACACCCTTCAATCCACCCTTCCCAACCTTCTCCGGGTGCGGCTTCAGCGTCCCATCCTTCAACATCCCCTCAGCAATCCCCAACAACGTCTTCGCAGACTCATGATCCTCCTTGCTAGCAGGAAACTCCTTCCCACCCTTCACAAACGCATCGCCAAAGATCGTGTACATAAACGTACTCGTAGACGTGACATCATCCCTAGGCAGCTTCTCCGGGAGGATCGTGCCAGACCTCGCACCCTCACCATCAGAGGAGAGCGCTTTCGCCACGATCTTCTGCGACGAGGGCAGCGAGATGGTGTCCCACGCGTACTTGAGCTTGTTGTCTGTGTATACGTTGATGTCCTTGGCGCAAGTCGGTGAGTTATAGTCGAATGCCTTGTCCACGCCTAGAGACTTCACGAAGTCGAAGTTTCGCGGCGAGCACGTCGTGATGACGCGGTAGCCGGCCGCTTTGGCGAATTGGATGCCTAGGCTGCCGGTGGCGGAGGAGCCGCCGTAGATCAGGACGAACTCGTGGTTCTTGGTTGGGTTGGTGGGAAGATTGAGCTTCAGGGCTTTTTGGAACAGGCCTTGGTCGACAGTCGTGAGGCCGAGAGCAAGCGTGGAGGCTGACTCAAAGGACAAAGACTCCGGGATATGGAACTGCACGTCGCCTTTCACGGTGATGTACTCGGCAAAGGCACCATCAGTGATATCGCTGTAGTTGTTGCCGTGGGCAACGCCGGCGATGCGGTCGCCAGGGGAGAACTTCTTGGTGACGGCATTGCCGACGCTGACCACGGTGCCGGCGTAGTCGCAGCCCAGGAGGGAGTCTTCTTTGGCTGCGCCGCGGGACACGCCTTTCCAATCTGTAGGGTTGAGGGCTACGGAGTGGACTTTGACGAGTAGCTGGTCAGGTCGCGGAGACGGCACGGCGCGATTTAGGACCAAACGAGCAGTTTTGCCGTGAATAGTCAGTGCCTTCATCGTCTTTGGGATTGCTGTCGAAGCCATATTTGCTCGTAGGAATCAGGTCGTATTGCGTTTCTATTGTGTTGGCATACGTTGAGTTTGTTCGTCTGTGAGTATCTCTTATATCACGAAACTTTGCCTCATCGTTGAGTATGTCGTCAATTTTGGGAGCAGCATTACTAAAACGGTAGCCTATGGACCCTTGTATGCAGGTACTGCGAATGCCGACCACGGGATATGTCAAAGGGCACAGATGGCCCGAGTCATGACGCATGTCACGCTAGCCTTTGCGATTGAGGACAATATTTCTCCAAGCACAACAGCGGATTTCTAAGCCGCCGACCATAGGCATTTTCGGCAGTATTACTGCTCTGAGCGTGCATGTAGAATCACCAGGGACGCAGCCTATCATGTAGGACGCATGAGAGTCTAAGGCGACGTTGTGCATGCAGTCTTGGGAGCTGCGGCAGGAATTGTGCACACCCAACAGAACTCTGGTGGTGTTCGCACTCAGCTTGCTAATGTTACCATGAGACCAGGCGTCGGATCCGACATAACATAGCAGCATGACAAACTCGCTCAACAGATAGCAGATAATGCCAGCATGCACGGCGACAGAATTAGATATGAATGCATTCGTGGTAGCGACAGCGAGTCCTGCATGACTAGGTGTGAAAAGGGGCGGCAGCCTTGTCCCGCCCCGGGCGAAGTGTCTGGTGTCTGGTATATGATACTGTGCTCTCGAAGGCCTCTTGTCTCCTCGGGGCTACCTCCCATGACCTTCTGACGAGACGCAGGCAAGATACGTTGCTCAGTGCCAGGATTTTGTGTTGATGCTCATGCATCTGCCCATACTCTTTGCAGCCAGCTCCGGAATGGTTCAAATTGAAGATCGATCCGAGTATTCAAGTCCGGCTGCGAGAAGTCAAACCATCCATCCGAGGTGGCAAGGAGATGGTGGAGTTGCAACTCTTTGTCTAGATCTCGGGCGTGCTGCGCCGAGCTGATCGCCGATACTAGCGAAGGCCGAGAGAGCTCTTGGACATCAAAGCGCCGACCTGTGGGCGACGGGTCAGCATCTGGATAAGCATCAGGTACGGGAACCTACCTCGCATCGTAGCTGCTGCTTCCACTAGCTCAGACAAGGTCAGCCTATCGCCACGCACCTTGAACTCTCTAGCCATGTCTTCAGCTTGAGTGCAGCGACAATGGATCGGGCAAGGTCACGTAGTGACACCATGCTGACCTTGACGGAGCTTCCGTCTTGTCCTCTTGAGGGCGGCAACTTTGCTGTACATCGACGCACGTTGAGGAGGAAGCAACCCTCTGCATCGATGCCGCTGCCCTTGGCGATCTGTACTTGTGCCAGTCCTCCCGGACCGAATCTTTCATAGAAGACTCCACAGGTGAATGTACAGAAGCGCATGCCAGTTGATTCAAGGCCAGCCAGACGGACTATGGCTCTTCGATGTCCCTTGTCAATGAGGTCGCTCGTTGGACGACGCGAGGGATTGCCCGAGAATTCTGAAGGCACGAAGCGTTTGACCTTGGCCGCAGCAGCAGCCTCCATCAGGGCGACTTGTGCGTCGCCGCACACCGTCGAGAGCACAACGTCTGTGCCGGCGAGCTTGAACTGAAGCGCTCGCTGATCGCGATAGTCAACCACCATCACCTGCCACCCCTTCTTGGCCAGCCCCTCGACAGGCCGCCTCGAAAGGAAAACAAACTGGCTGGTGGAAGAAGATTCGATCTCGTGCGCCAACAACTGCGCCAGGCCATTTGTTCCCGCTATAGCGATCTTCATCAGGACCATGAAGCTAAATCAAACATATGTACGGGAAGCCTGTTGCGGGCCAGCAACGGGTGGCGGCTGTTATATCGCCATACGTCCCACTGTTGCTTGGTCGCCAATGTCATGGGGAGACATATCCAAGTCACATCCTCATCCTAGACCTGGGTTTGGCACCAAGAAAGGCTAGACTGATAGGCCAGAGAATGATACACACTCCTCGGTCGGTTCAGTCGCTAAGTGATCAACCACCTCTCACCTCATCGCGCTTTCATGCAACGAGAACTTGGCTGCCATGATTTGCCGACGATTTTCAACCTTCTACATTGGTCCTTCTTAGGTTTCCACGTGAGTCCTGGTAGGGATAATCTAAGAGTGAGCCATAGTAATTATCGGTCATGCCGGGTCGTGTGGGCGCGGCACATCTTTAGCGAAGTGGTCAGGAGGCAGTCAACCCAGTTGGCGTACCAAACTCTCGGGTCAGGTTATGTCAAGCACTGGCGAGTGCATGCAGCGGCCCGGTAATTGAGTTCCGTTGTGCTCATGGATGTCCACGTGTCGTTCATGGATTGTAGTCGTATGTAATCTGATGAAGGCGCTTAAAGACCTGCAAGTATTCGCGTGATTGCTCATCATGAACCGGGATTGGATGAAAGTGACATTTATCTAAGGCTGACTGCTTGGAATCTCTCAGTGATTGGGATTTAGTCTATGTCGATCACTCAGAAGTACAAGACGCCATGACGGACAATTGCGCTCGTAGCTGCGAGCCCAAGGCTGAGTGCATCATATGCGGCTGGTGGCAACTCGAATCGGTAGGTGTTCCAGAAGGTCTGGTTCCTCCTGCAGGCAGTAGAGTGGTTGCATGGGACAGACCGTTTCAGCAAAGTTACTCACCGGTTAATGCTAAGATGTTACCTCGGCGCGCTCTTGGTAGCGATCTGGCCTCATAGAGTCAGTTCGACGCGGCTGCAGACTCCAGATACTCCATGTTGATGACCTTGGTATTTCTCTTACAACAGAGCTCGTCGATAGCTCAGGAGCATTTCATAACAAAATACTATGTTGGGTCGGTACAGCCGAGGGAATTCCACGTTTCTGCAGGGCAGCCTCGCTAAAGGTGCGAAGAACGATTGCAGACTTGCATTGCCAAACCAGTTGCGGAGGTGGAAATTCTCCAGGGCAGGCATTTCATGCATGGGTCTGCAGGGGTCTTGAATGTCGGGACTGCCTGTCGTCCAGGGCTCGTATCTTACCTAGGTAACTGCTCGGCCGTCTCCAGATTGTACGTCTGCTCGTGCGTTGTACGGCCGTCTCCTGACACTGACTCGTGCAGCGCTCGACTGAGTAGGACAATGCACTCACCGCATCCTCAGCTGAATAATGAATGAGCTTTGGGAAAGAGATAGCCCATTGATGTGAATGGGTGGGAAGAAAAAGCTCAATGGCCAAAGAGGATTCACGCGTTTGCTTGACCTGATTTTCTCCAACGGCTAGCCAAGCCTAACAAACGGCAGGTGCGGGGAGGGCGGACCTGCGCGTCTTCTTCACTGGAGCGCGTTCATTTGTCCATCAACACGAACACCAACACATACTAACTCTTCATCCTTTGACAACAAGCATGGAAACAGCCATGATTGCTGTCAAAGGCAGCAAGTGTGTATTCATGGACAACAACTCGGCTCTCAAGAAGACCAGACGCAAGCGCACCAGGTTAGCAACCTTCTCACTACCACCAACTCTTGATGGACGCTAAATCATATATAGTGCTGCAGACCAGGTCACGCTCGAGGCCGCCTACCTCAGCAACTCAAAGCCTGACAAGGATGAGCGAGCTGCCATCGTCTCCCAGGTCGACATGACCAAGAAAGAGGTCGAGGTGAGATCTCTTGCTCTCTTCCAGCGCTGTGTTGTGACTTACATTCCAACCAGGTCTGGTTTCAAAACCGTCGCCAGAAAGACAACCGTCGCTCAAAGCCCCTCGATGAGTTCGAGCTCGACGTTCAAGTCATCAAAGCTTCTGCGAGTCCATCACCGAAGGCGGAAGATGGTCGGTTTGAGCAGAATCTCGTCCCGAAGCCCGCGAACGATGTCGAGGTCGAATCCCCCTCAGACAATGTCGCTCGAGTCGATGCCGAACAAAGTGTCGCGGGCGCTGATGCTTGCGAGTCAGCCATCATCAAGACTGATACTCCACCCAAGTCGCCTGTCGTCAGAGGAAAGCCCGATAATGCGTCCAGTCCTGGTAGTGCTCGCAAGCGTCAGCACGCCGAGATGTCTGCCAACAACGGTGTTCCCGCAAATGGTGTGCTGCTGGTGCAAGAATATGTTCCTGTCAAGTCGAGAGAGCCAATAAAGCGAGCATCCAGCATGCGTCTTGCCACCATGGCCGACGGCAGCGTCAAGGTCCGCACTCGCGACACTCCGACACCCTCACCACCGAAGCAGCGCATGCTGCCACTCACCAGCGATGGTGCCAAGCGCGCGAAGATCAGTCGCAGCGTCAGCATGTTCGAGCCGTCTCAAGTCTTTGCAGATGCTTCCAGCGACACCAAGCTAGCCGTCAAGCCAGTCAACTATGGTCGTTCCCGCGACGCTCGCGCTTGGGAGTTCTACTGCGACAAAGGACCCAAAGAGCTTACCAAGCAAGCTGAAGCTCAGCACAAGGGTTCTGCTGTTGGAGCTATCAACCTCATCCGCTCGACTTCGTCCGTCAAGCCACGTCGTGTCCTCGGCGACCTTCCCAAAAATACCAACGGCACCCGTGCTAAGACCACCAAGCCAAAGATCACTCGCGCCCAGTCATCTGTCGCTCGCCTCCAGGTTGCACCTGCTTCACGTCTTCCACAAGCCGCAGCATCCATTCGTCCCTTCGATGGTCCAGTCGAGGCTGACACCGCTGTCGTCAATAAGATTGCTCGTTCCATTCCTCGAGGTCGCCGTCCTCGCCGCACGTGTGGCTTCTCCGATGGCGAGGAGTCCGACGATGGCTATGATTCTGACAAGGAGAACTGGAAGCCCGGTACCCGTCAGTGGCGTCATGAGCTGCGTAACGGCGGCGAGTACCTCGTTCCCTTTGGCGTGGACCTCGATCTTCCTGTCGTCGCACCTCCGGCCCGTCCTCAGTCTCAGCCTGCAGTCCGCTATGCAATTGAGAACGGCGTCGTCGTCCGCGACCTCGGCGCTGCGACTACGTCTACCACTACTCAGGCGCTACCAACTGCGGATCTTGATGTCGTTCAAGGTCTTCTGAGTCTCGGTCGCGGAGCATGGCGTTAGAATTTTTGAGGAGTTGGTTGGAGTTTTCTGGAAATACTTCTCACTTCTTCTTGTACATTGTGCATAAGATACCCCATTACTCCAGCTATTAGTCATTCTCCGGCGAAGGCGGAAAGGTCCAAAATCTGTGCATTTGAAAAATGCTGTTTTTGTGGATAGGAAAAGCAACCAGGTTGCGCCATATCAGCAGCCACATTAATGCCAGCATAGCACAAATAGATAGTGCCAAAAAGCGGGCGCCACAGCTCCAGTGTGCGATGTAGCGTACTGAAGAGCTCACCAAATAGACAAGAATGAACAAAATGTGTCATACCTGAAGTCATGAACATGCACATTGCCATTGCCTGGCTTCTATTGCTGTGTTGCTGCTCGTAGGAAGTGTGTGTGTGTGGTATTGTTCCTTGATTCTGAGATTCTTGTCCTTCCAATCACGACAGAAGGAGGGCTACGTAAGTCCAGAATACTTTACACAGAGATACAACACCTCGTTGCGTGCCTGCTGTCCAACTCCGCATGCTTGGAATAAATACGCATAACGCCTCCCATAAAGTACCGAAGAAGAATATCATTCCAGAATCTCATCTCCGCCCTCGCCCTTCCCACCCAAGTCTTCCTCTGCCCGCGTCTTCCCCTCCTTTCCCAATTCCGTCTCGCCAATTCCCAACATCGCGCCGAAACCACCCACTAAGCCCTCGACATCCAGTACGTCAGGCCCCAAGGCCTCCAAACATGTCGCATGCGCTTTTCTCGACCGCTGACGTCGACGTCTTTCGGCTCTTCTCGCTGTTTCGGTCTTTTTGACGCCGGTTGGTTGCCAGGAGGACGGGAGACTCGGGAGGCGCGTGGCGGAGGAAGCTCCTTTGGGTGCTAAGTTGATGAGGGAGAATCAGACTGCTTGATCCAGGGATGTGTTGTGGCGAGGGCTGGGGTGAAGCGGTTTTGGGTCGGAGGGAGTGAATCACATGCCTCTGGAACGCTGGGCGGGAGGCTGACTTGAGGGCCGTGCACTGTGCCACCCGATAGTCGGAACCTCGTTTGGGTCGACTTTGATATTGATGGACTTGGGGCTGGTACGGTCCAACGAAGTCAGGGTAGGATGGTTGAACGGCGTTGGCTTGAGCACGTCAACAGCATCGTCGACAGTGGGATCGGTCTTCGACTTTTTGAGAGCGCGGTCGACCATGCGCTCCAGCTTGAATGATCTGCTGGACGGTTCTCTGTTGCGATATTGCCTCGGATCTGGAGTTTCAGTGATGCTCCGCCGAGAACGATCGTAAACAATGAACGAGTCGACCTCGTGAGCACCGTTACTGTACTGCTCAAGGAATGCGGATGCGACGGTTTTGGTGTCCTCGTTGTCGAGGACCTCTATGGTGCCGCTGAGCTTGATGGTGAACTCGAGCTTTCGCTTGGGCCGCTCGCTTGACGCAGGTTGGTCCATGGTGATGGTTGTGCAGGAGTGGTAGTAGACGACAGACTGAGAACACGGCGGAGGGCATGCAGAAGTGTTAGAGTGGCTTGCAAGCGCGACGAAGATAGCACGTCGCGCCAAGAAGAGCAAAAAGGTCCATCAGAGCACGTGAAGCGGTGACTCGGGGGGTGAGAGACTTCGGCGGGAGTTGACGAAGCTCCGTGCTGACTTACTGTTGCTGCGTGCTGCAAACGCGATTCATGATCGTTGCTAGCAGAGTACTCGACTTACGGATACTGACCAGCTCCACCCCAAGTAGGAAATGACATTTCAGCGCCGGACATGGTCCTCGAGAAGGCAACGAGGCAGCAACTTGGAAGGCAGCCTCGGATTTGCATCGAGGTCGGTGTGCTTAAGTACAGATCGTGTGTGAGTCTGGGTCGCATGCCAGGCCCTTCGGATATGGTTATACCATGCTGTGGTCGCTGTCGGGTTGGGAATATTCGATTCTTTCGCCATCGCCGTCGAGCTCACAAGGTCGGGTGAAGAGTATGAGAACCGCGTGCTGTATTGCCCCCAAGGAACGTAAGTCGAGCTCGTTGCCGAGATCCCCGGTGGTCTTGACGGACTCTAGTTCGCAGCCAATCTCGATAAGTATCATAGCGATGATCATTAAGACGGCGCTGCTCCTCGTGCAAATTGCAGCAATATCAGGTGTGTTTCAGGACCGGGATTTGGTATGTTCCCAAAAGTGCTGCCTGTTTTTGGAACGCCATAAGTACCAGGGGTGTTGCCAGAGCAGTATATGCATGACACATCCAGCATCCATTGAGCCATTCAACACAACATCCGCTCACGTTCGATATGAAGTGGTATCAAAAGGTGTCAGCCGCAGGCGCGATGGGAATTGCCTCGGCCTCGTTGCTGATCGGTATAGGCGACAACGTTGACAAAAGCCCACATTTGGGAGTCACGAGACCGGGAGCAACGTCGACAACCGACAGGAAAGCGCAGCTGAAGAAGGTGGTGGATCAGTACCTTGCGTCCACGATCGCACTTACCGGAGGTATCTCCTTCCTCATAGCGGCACGACTATACAAACGGGTGAAGCCCTTTCGACTCTACGCAACGGCATCGGCATTCATGCTTGCGATCATTCCGTGCAACTACTTGCTTCTGCACCGCACACCAAGGACTGAAAGTCAAAAGTCCAACATGCTTGAAAGAGTCTCGAATAGGAAGTGGGAGCTGGCGATATTTCGGACGCTATTGGGGACGGTGGCAGCAGCATTCGGCATCTACGCCAAAGCTACAGCATGAGATAATGGCAGGCGGCGGATTGATGGACAGCCATGTGATCATGCATAATGATAATAATGATGAGGTTGGGAGCACTGCATGGCTGTATGCAACAATGAAGCTTGAAGTTGGAATAGCCCTCGTGATTGCTGAAGTCAGCGGAAGGTGTGGGAGGGTTGGCAGGAGCAATTATTGGCTCAAATAGGCGGCAACCGATAAATCGATGATCGATCTTAGGCGGCGTTAGCTGGAACGGTCGCCTAGCTGTCGGGTAGCTGAACCGAAGGAAGCCAATTGGCCTCTCCAACATTCCCAGCCTTCTCAGTTATCCGAGTCTCACATGGCCATGGGCCGCTCCGCTTCCATTCGGATGACCAACACTTCGGACCTTCGATATCCTTCGATATTGCGCCTTCACTTCTCTGATCACTTGCATTGATTGCGCCATTCTTCTCTTCGTGTGATCGCATTCTGTCGTTTCCGGCATTCACAAGCCGTTTGCATTATTCACAATCGCTTCACTTGCCCGAGGTATTTCCTTTGTTGACCTGCGGAACCCGCTTGCAGTCAGCCTAGGACCAGGCACGTTTCAGCCCAAGACTCTCAGCGCAATACCTGATCAGATCGGCTTTGACGTGGCCGAGGGCGACTTTATCCATGACGCGACTACAGTCTTGACCTTCTTTCTACATTTACAAACCAGGCGAAGGTACATAGCGCGATGGCGGACCGGACTCCAAAATCGCCTCGACGAGAAAGCCATATGGCGACGAACGCGGACGACAATGGACATTGTCCGGCACCGCCAGCTCGAGTGGCTGCTCGCTTCGTAAGAAACACCAGCTCACGGCGGCGCTCGTCTGCCAACTCCTCGCGCCGAAGTTCGATCTCATCACTGCACTCGCATTACTCCAATCTGTCCTGCCACGGCGGTCCTAGAAGTACACACATCGCGCAGCATCTCCGCCGAGCATCCATAATCGAGACTCGAAAGGCTCGCCTGGCCGAAAGGGCCGCTCACGCGGAACAAGTGCGCCTGAGAGCGGCCGCGGCAAAGGCGCAACCACGAGCATCACACAGCGAAGAGAAGGCGGCAGCAGCTCAAGCCGCGAGAGAGAAGCTACTGGCTGAGATCACGGCCAGGTGCGAGGAAGAAGTCCGAAGAGCAAAGAGGATCGCCGAGGAGAATCGGGAACGAAAGGCGGCCGAGGAGGCCAGATTGAGAGAAGAGTTAGATCAGAAGTATGCTGGTGTAGCACGACGGAAGACAATGCACCAGAATTCGCTAAGGCGACCTAGGACGGCCTCGCTCGCCGCCGTGGAGGAGAAGAAGATCAGTCCCGTCATACTGCAGAAAATGAGTAAAGCAACCGCTGCCAGGACGATTCAGCGAGCCTATCGTACGTATACGGCCCGCAAGGTTATAGACGATTTCTCCAGCCTCGACATCAACTTCAACAAACTCGCAAACTCAAGCTTCGAAGATGTCACTCAAGTCATCTCCGCTCAGCGCACCATCAAAGCAACCACCAAGCTTCTCAGGTACCTTGGAATGCTCCCCGTGGACGACGATCCTGCTAGCGAGCGTGGTGCCGTCCGTGTCTTCTTGAGCGCATACCTCATCCTATCTCAACCAATGCAGGCACTCAGCTATGGTGGAGGCCAACCACAGGAGCAGGAGCTCATGGAGAAAGCCAAGGCGCTCATTGAGCCTTTCGAATCGTATATTCGAAGCTCCTCCTACGCCACTCTGCACAGTAAAATGATTAGGGACCAACAAGAGGAAGTCACATTTGCATTCAACACTTTCACTTCTGCCTTTCATGCTTGGAAGGCGAAGGACATGACGGTCATCATTGATGTCATGATCGGATCGTTCGTCAATCTTGATCTCATCATACAGTCTACCAAAGACGATCATGACGGACGGGTTGGCGAGGACTACCTCAACGCCATCCGCCAGGAACAAGCCAAGATCATTGTTCGTCTGAAACGGATGATGGGACCTGAAGCGGCGTTGAATAAGATCAAGCTCGCTGTCAGAAGAGCACGGCGACAGAAGGCTCAAGAAAAGAAGGAGCGTGCTGGCGAAGAGCTCGTTCCGCGCTCTATCACGCCATCTGCAGATGTCATGGACACGCAAGCACCACTGACTCCACCAGCCACACCTCGTGCGTTGTCGCGTTCAGAGCCCGCCCCGTCATCGTTCATCACAAGGCTTGGACAGACTATGACCGTCCTGCCGACCAATCGAGAGATTGCGCATGAGATCCAGATCAACGGCACATTTGAAGTCCAGCAGCAGCCCTGGACAGAGTCCAGACAACACTTCGTGAATGCTCTTCGAAACAGCATGCGCGAGAGCATGGCCAACGGTGGTTCGCAGACAGCCGCCAGCTGGACCCATGCTATGGTTGTGCTGATTCGCGGAAAGCTCATGGGTCTCATCAGTGAACGTCATCCATTGCATGACAGGCTCGACGGAGTTCTGGACCCGAAGTTGATCGAGCAGCAATGTCGAAACGGCGCATTCTCGTACGACGCATTTTTCGACACAATCGCTTCGTTGATAGCCCAGCTGTGCTCACCTGGACGGGATGCTGTTGTCAAGGCTTTCGCAGATAACAAAACCAGTGACACGATCGACAGGCTGTTCGAGCTGATCAACATAATTGATCTGATGAGCCTTGACCACATCAACTTCCAGTTCCGCATGGCATCCAAGGCCGTCCTGGAGCGCGGGCATGAGCATGAGCATTCAATGTTCGAGAAGGACCTGGAACAACAGATCCACACGCTCGATCATACTAAAAGGTGGTGGCACAGTGCCAGGCAATCGCTCGGCTCCAACCCATCTGGACAGCTCATTTACGCAAGAGCGATCACGGACTTGGTCTTCCAGAATTCCCATCTGAAATATGCACAGATCCCGGAGACACTCAGCCTCGACTATCTCCGCATCCTCGACCTTCGCGCCAAAGCAATGCAGATGGTCATGTTCTCATCTATTCTACTCACCACAAAACTCCGTCTGCAGCGCAACCGCGAGGCTCTCTGGTCAGCCGACAAATCTCGACTGGCTGCTGTTGATCTGCTTACAACCGACGCCAATCGGCTCGTGCAACTAGTTGGAACTTCTCGCACGATACCTGAGCCCGTCAAAGCCGGCCTCCTGAACTTTGTCGCCCGCGTCTTGCCTCCAGCCGTGGCAGCAGCGCGCAACTCACGCGATGCAGAAGCAGAAAGGCAGACTTGCATCCAGGAGCAAAGATCATGGAAACCAGCAGAGCTCACACTGGATGCGTCAGACTTCTTCAGCGAGCAGATTGCGACTTTCATCTTGAAGAGTCTGAGAGAGCACGTCTTTGCCAGACTGTCGGCGGTGAGCGCGGCTGATAAGGCGAGAGTCACGAGCGGTGCGGCGGAGACGTTGGCACGGGCGGGTATGCCTGAGTGGGTGGCGGAGGTGGGCGGGCTAGTCAATATGTTGGAGAGGGTGAGGAGCGTGGATTTGCAGGCGCATGAAAGGTGGTATGATTTGGTTGCCGCTGACGCTTGAGCGACCAGCGCATATGAATGGATTCGGCTATTTTGATTTTGGTCTTTCGACGTTGTTGCAAGTGGCGATCCAGTCTGACGACTGCTTTTAGCATTGGATTCAGTTGTGCATATACTCATTTGGTCGTGGACAACTGTATCCACACCCGCAGCAAGGCGGACATCGCTACATATCTGCGCAGGTACACGAAGCACGTTCACTTTTCGTCTTGCATTCTTCTAATTCATGGTAGTTCGAGTTGCCTTATTTGCCTCGTCGGCTGTCCTTTCCGACCCGCCCGCGTTCTCGGCTTGCAAGTGCTCATCTTCAACTTCGATCACAGTCGTCGCAGTCCTACCCCTTCGATCGATGGTCACATGGTCGCCCTGAGCTACTCCTAGACACCAAGTTCAAGTTGCCGTCCACAGCCCGTCTCGTCCTTTTGCTGCTACGGCTCAACCCCGCAATGATCGCTTTGCCCATACCCCACGGAGTGCCGAGGCATTTCGCCGGCTGTACCTCGTGGAGCACTTCCGGCCTGAACGCGGGTACGGGAACGTCCTGATATGCTGCCTACATAGTCGTACCGCTGCAGCACATCGTGAGCACAGAAGTACATCCTGCCAGCTCCGACAGGGTCGGCGACAATGACAGACCACACCCACCCCATCTTCCGCCCCGGCTACCAACGCTACCTAGGTCCCAACTCCAACGACCCCAAAACCTACAAGTACCAACCGCATTCCCGCCCCATATTCAGCTCTCCATTCGGCCCATTCGTAGACACGCCCGAAGACCTTAACGTGCACGACTTCTGCTTCCCACCCAATCAGCCTCTTGTCGAGCCGGACTATGACCTCTTCGTCAACGCTGTGACCGATGAGAAGGTCACGCTGCACCAGTTCAAGCGCCGGGTGGATGCTCTTTCGCGGGTGTTCCGGCATGATGGGCCGAATCCGTTGAAGCTGAGGCCCAGTCCGGTTGATGATAAGGGGCCGGAGGGCGGGGAGATCTTGGGGTTGTTTTCGTGGAATCATATCCACTATCCGATGCTGGCGCACGCGTGTTTCCGTGCGGAGCTCGTCTTTGGTGGGATCAGCCCTGCTTCGACGCCGTATGAGCTGTGGCTTGTGCTGCGGAAGATGCAGATCACCGCGCTGGTACTGCATGAGAGTTTGATTCCTGTGCTGGTGGAGGCGTTGAAGTTGGGGAGGGAGGCGGACTCGCAGTCGAGGCTGAGGCTTGTGTTAGATGTGAAGAAGGTTATGGTGCTGTCTGATGACTCCGGGCTGGACGCTGTACAGAATTATCCCACGATTGAGTCGCTGGTAAAGATAGGTGAAAGGATACCGGAGCCGAATCCGCCGCGGAAGTTAAAGGGTGGGAACAAGCTGTGCTATCTGTTTCAATCATCAGGAACGTCTGGGCTCCCAAAAGCATGATGATCTCGCACAAGAACGCTATCCACAGTGGGATGCAGGGTATGATCACAGCAACGCAGACAGCGCGGTTCATGGATATGGAGCCATTGTCAGCACCTATGAGGTTATTGGGCGTGGTACCGGCGTACCATTCCTATGGCATGATCCTGTGGATATTGAGACTAAATTCAAGTGTGAGCACCAACGTGATGATGAAGAAGTGGGATCTGGAACTGGCGTTAAAGACAATCGAGAAGCATAAGCTGACTCACCTGTTTCTGGTGCCGCCACTGGTGCGGCAGCTGGCTCAGAGTCCGTTGACGGAGAAGTATGATCTCAGTTCTGTGGTTGGTGCAGCGAGTGGTGCTGCGTATCTGCCTCCAGATGTGGCGTATGCCTTGGCAAAGAAGTTGCCACAGGGTGCCGACGCTCCTGTGCCGAGTGGCTATGGACTGAGTGAGGCGGCAAGTATAGCTTCGCCATGCGCGCCGGGTATGTTCGGTCTGGAAGCGAGTCTTCCAGGGACAATTGGGTACCTCTTACCTGGCATGGAGGGTAGAGTTGTGGATCCCGATACTGGAAAGGACGTCAAGAAAGGCGAAAAGGGCGAGCTTTGGGCAAGAGGCAAAGTCGTCACTCCGGGATACTTCATGGACAAGAAAGCGACAGATGAGATCCTCGTACCCTCATCGAGCACTGACGATAGTGGCTGGGGTTGGAAAGACGGCGAGGTGTGGCTGCGTACGGGCGATTTGGTGATGAGAGACGAGCAGGACAGGATACATTACTTGGACCGGCTGAAGGAGATGATCAAAGTGAAAGGCCTCCAAGTCGCTGCAACAGAGGTTGAAGACACGCTTCTGGACTGTCCAGAGAAGCTGGTGCGAGACGCCTGTGTTGCTGGCGTGGACAATGGTAGAGGGGATGGAAGCTTGAATGTCAGAGCTTGGGTTGTGCTGACGGATGAGGGGAGAGAGCTGGGCGATGCAGAAGTAGGAAGGAGATTGTCGCAGTACATCGAGGCCAGATTGAGTCGGCACAAGTGGTTGACTGGTGGACTTGAGGTGGTCGATTCAGTAAGTCCCCGTTGTTGATTACGCGTACTTTCCTTGACCGCGCTTGCCACTTGAGCATGCAGATATAGGCATGGTCCGGGTTGACAAGCATAGCCGCTGACGTTTTCGCGAACCACAGATACCGCGGACGCCCAGCGGAAAGATGCTTCGAAGAGAGATGAGGGACAGATATCATGCACGGCTGAAGCGGGAGGCGAAGTCCGCGAGATTGTGAGCGCGTTCGGTTTCGCTCTGCCTCTTACTGCATGTGACGAACTGAGATTGGCAAAGCTCCTGCTTCTTGGTGTTCATCGTCCATTCAGCGATCAGACTGAGTGTCGTTAGATCTGCAGGCGGTGGTTGGCCGTAGCAGCTTGGGCGTGGGGACATGTGTGCCAAACCGCTGAAAAAGCATGTACAGATTACAGGAGTGTCGTCGCCTTGAAGCTGAAAGGGAAGAGAAAGCAGCAATGACGCCGGGGTCGGCACGGGCATCCAGAGGTAGAACCGAGAAATGAGGGACAAGGCATTCAAATGTCATCCATCACTCACTTGATCTCCCGATCCATGATGTCCTGGCGCTTCACCGGGGAGTCGTTGCTGCAGTCGAGGTCGGCCAAACCTGTCCGTTCGCAGGATTGATCTACAAGTTCCCCTTGCCACGCGTCTGCTTCGTTATCCTTGCAGCAAGCGAGATGCCTACGTCTCGTGAGTGATCATCATGTCTGGACATGGGACATAGGGATGTGCCTTGCTGTCCATTTCCGGGCCGTCAGTGATCATCAGGACGGTGGGAGTGCGGCATCGAGCAGATTGTTGACTCCATTGGACACGCCAGCTCGTCTTCACGGCTCGACGATCCCGGTCGACATTATCATCCCATTCCTTGAGAGGCAAAGAGCTGCTTGCTTCGCGAGAGACGCATTGGCGACTGAGAGTTATATCACCGCTTCAACCGTTGTTATTGAGTCGAACGTCGATAGAAGCCGAGGCGTGGTGACGAACACGTGGAGGAGTCTCGCATGTGCGAGGCGGCACAAAAGGGGCCAAAATGCAATCTTGAGGCTTGAACAAGCTTAAGACTACTGATCTGCACCTTGGCGCCATCACCGGAATGGTCGGCGAATTTCTAGGCGTCACAAGCGATCAGTGGCCAGAAAGAATGCCCGTCGTGTTTTAAGGTTGGAGTCTATTGTTTCGCTGGGAAGTTCACGTTCTTGCTCCTTCTTGAATCTTGCGCGAGACACGCGATCATGCAACTGCGAATTTCCCTCAACACGCCAGTGACGCGGCCTTCACATCATGCCGCCATATCCGCTGTCATGGAGAGTCAAACACCACGACGAAGGTGTAGGGTTATGGCAAGCCTTCTGTCTGGTGATTGATCGACATGAATGATGATGCAGGAAGCCGTCCTTGGACCCAGTGTGGTCCAGAAGTACCCCCGAGTCACACCGCGCAATCTAATCCCTGGTCTGTGACGCGAAACGACTTTGCGACGTCGATGTGCACATACTCATCGAATGAACGCCAATTTGCTATTTAGCCAAGCACTATGATCGAGGCTCAGCGAGCAGTCAGTGCTTCAGGTCTGTCCATACGCGCGCTGTCCACTGCTCGCTTCGCCGCCAGGCTCGCCAAAAGCACACGACATCCTCGTCGTCTATGTCGACGGTTTGTCGCATCGTTAAGGACAGCTTGCAAACTATGGACGGTTGCAGAGGTTTGCTACAAAGCTGCAACAAAGCGAAACGACGCGCTTGTTTCTGGCTTTTGTTTAGGGTTAGACCAAGCATCTACTATCGCGGGCTCTACGCCTAGCCAGGCAAGACTCGATTGTCACCCGAGCGTTAGGTAAGATTGCTGGCTCCACCCTGCCTTTGATCCCCTCGAGCTCATCTCGAAGCATTCATCTCGAACTCCTACCGTTGCTGTCGCACGATCCCAACCACTCATTTTACACATTTCATTATTAGTACTACGCTCCTTTGTTCTAATCGCAGTTCCTGCACTTACGATCATTTTGTACAGAAGGACTCGTCCTTCGTTCCGCTCCTTTGCAGTGTACTGAGACGCTCCAGCCAACATCGAGAATTCCTGGGCTCACATTCCTTAATCACCATACCAGGCTGAAGAGGTCAGTTGCCTACGCACGCACCCCCTCCCCTTGCCATCCTCTGATATGCAAAATCATCATCTTCCGCCCCATTCTCTCCACTCACCTCAACCGCGCTGCTGGGCAATGCTTGCATACTGACATGCTGGACGTGTGTATAGATTGTTGCGATACTAGGTCAACTACCAGGCTCTCAGCGACAAGACACTCTTTATAGGTACACGGCTAGGATATGAAGCGATTTCTCATTGCCGCTTCGGCGGTCGTGGCTACGGCCAACCCACATCTACATAAACATCGACATCTTCACGAGCACGCTGCGAGAGCTGCGGCCACAGTCACCGACATTGTGGCCACAAAAATCGTCTTCGAAGCCCTGGGCACGCCGTTGTCGCAAGACGAGGCCTGCTCAAAGGTCGCGGCAGGTCTGCTTACGTGGAAAAACTCCGCCGACGCAACTGTATGCTCTCAGCCCGCGCAAACGTCGGCACCACCACCACCACCTCCTCCACCAGCGTCTTCATCGTCAAGTCCGTCTGCAGGTGCCGGACAGTTCTTCAACAGCCCGCCAGCAGTTGGTGCTCCAGCTGCTGCACCAAGTGGCGGAGCCTGGACGGACTCCAGTGTGACAGGTCTTAACGCCGACTTTCCGGACGGAACACTCGACTGCGGCACCTTCCCGTCGGCCTACGGCGCCATGCCCGTTCCATATATGGGCATGAACGGTTGGATCGGGCTGCAAGACGTGGGCGCGGGTGTGTCAGGCGCCGCGATAAACACGATTCACACTTTACTGGCAGGCGATAATTGCCGCGAAGCGTCATGTGCTCGTACGCATGCCCCGCTGGCTATTCCAAGACTCAGTGGCCTGCGAACCAAGGCACAGCTGGCCAGTCTGTCGGCGGTCTTGCTTGCAGTGGCGGCAAGCTGCGCCTCACGAACACCAGCACGAAGAAACTCTGTGATGCCGGTATGGGAGGCGTTCAGGCGCAGAACCAAGCCAGCGGTGTCGTGGCCATTTGCCGCACTGACTATCCCGGTACCGAGGCCGAGACAGTGCCCATGTCCCTTCAGCCGGGCTCCACACAACCGATGAACAATCCGAACGGTGCTACCGGCTATCAGTGGCAAGGCAAGTCAACAAGTGCACAATACTATCTCAACCCCATCGGCACTTCTGCAGAAAATGGTTGCAAATGGGGTGATGGCAGCCAGCCGATCGGCAATTGGGCGCCCATCAATCTAGGCGTTGGCTTTAGTGATGGCAAAACGTGGCTGTCGATATTTCAGAACAAGCCTACACAGCTGGCGCCGTATCAGGGCAAGGTCCAGATCACAGGCGATATAGGTAATCAGGTGTGCTCCTACGAAAATGGAGTGTACACAGGTGTGTCAGGATCGAACGGGGATGGTTGTACGGTACGTAACATCTTTCGACAAAAGTGACACTTGCTGATTATTCAAACAGGTCGCTGTCAACGCTGGAGGTTCCGCGACATATGTCATCTCGAACTAGGATCATGCATCGACGACAAAACCTCGAATGCTGGGAACAGACAGCAAGCACAGCATCTTACGAACCGTGAACGACTTTCCTTCTTTTTGAACTTGGTGGCAGATCGAATTTGGATGGCGCAAGCGAGCAAGGAGCATGCACATGGCGATGATAGTGGCAGGCGACAACAGCCGTCAGCCAGGGAGCTATATCTCTTCCTTTGCTCTGCTCGGAAGAGATTTATATTTCAGCCTTCTCTCTATACATTTCTTGGAGATTTCCAGCGAATTCTTCTCGGAGGACAATTCGAATCTAGGTGTACAACTACTGCATGCGCTCTCGGCGAAATCAGTGATGTGAGGCTAACGGCAGTGCCCTAGCCGTAGTCACTGGCTGTGACGGGAGCAGATCACGACATATGCAACCATAGTGTATATAGAAGTGCATCTACCTACCGTCTACTCGGACTCCTTGCTGTCCAAGCCACGGCTTCCGCTGACACATGCAAAGTCCACCCCAGGTGTTTACCTGCGCGTGACAGCTACACATTCCTCACGGTGGCCTGTCATCCATCGTTCACGAGACAACGACCAAAGCCTCGAACTTACTTCCCGATGGGTCGAGACCTGTCGCTCGCGGCCCCGGTACCTGATATCGGAACAGACGTCATGCAAGATCGATTCTTGGGGCCAGAACAATTGGCGAGAGAGCAAGGATTGTGTGCAGGGAGTACCGATCCGGGAATCTCGAAAAACGCTTGTGTGATGGCTAAGCTTTTCGCCTGCCTGCACTTGATGTTGAGTCCCACATGCTTCCAGTTTTGCACGATATTTGGTCATAGCGTGGGAGTACATAGAAGCAATACACGTGGAGCAAACTTCCCGGAATATACTTGCACCTGCAGCGGCGAAGGCCGCTGATCGCTACGGCCTCGAGTTTATTAGTCTGGGATCGTTTTTCCACGATGTCTTTCTCACAACAGAGCAGCAGAGTCTGTCTCTCGAGTGGCCTTTGCCGCAGATGCCAGTCCAGGCGCTTGAGATCCGTGCATGGATATTCCCGCTCAGCGCCTGCGACGTCCGACAAAATCCCAGGCCCCGCCCCCTGACCAAGTTTCCGCCGATGCGATCCCCACCCGCCACCAAAAATTTCTTCATCTCCAGTCCACACGTTTTCTTCATCAATGCCTTAGCCACCGGCCCAGGTTCGGAGCTTCTGTCTGAGCATCTGCACAGCGGACAAGTTTCTTATCAACGAGTCGTGCATGTCGTTCCAGAAGCACACCACAAAAGCTAAATATCCAGGTTCAGCGATTGTCGCGGCAATTTGTAGGGATACACCTGTCTCACCATGCCATAGCATCGAAGCATCAGACCCTCTTGTGGATGCGCCCCCGTCGCAAAGTCCATGTGGCAATGACTCGTCTGATGTCAAATTCTCCGTCCTCGTTGGGCACCATACGCAAGTATCGCAACAACTCTGCCATCTAATGGGCAGCTTGGCCATTCGAGAGTCTAGCGGCCGATCGCACATCTGCATTTGGCTGATCGCCTGGCGGAGATCTGCTGTTATGGTCTCGCCCAACCTTTTGAGGACGTCGATGTGGGTCAGCAGACCGGCACTCGTCGGTGCGTACCGCAGGTAAGGATGGATTAGATCGACTCGGCAACGATATGTCGCTTGATGCAAAAAGCAGTGCTTGCGCCGTCTGGCGAGTGCCGGATCCCTATTCCTTCCACATTCTTCGAATTATTATTGTTGCTGTGACACACTGACTTGAGCATTGCAAAGATGGGAGTTCCGCTTGGGGGCCGTGGACCCCAGATGATCGGGGTCTACACGTTGTTTGTCGCGCTGACGACGATTGCGATTGTTCTGCGGGTGTATACTCGAGTGCTGATAGTCAAGACATTTGGCATTGATGACTACCTTGCGGTTGCTGCTTGGGTGCGCTGCTCACAATAAACCCCAACGTGGCCCGAGGCTGACATGCATTTCAACAGGCCGTCTTCTGCGTCTTCGCTTCTTTCGCGCTGACTGGCGTCCGCCATGGCACCGGTCAACATGCTGAGGATATACTGCCGCCATCAGAATTGCCCATCGGCCTCAAGGTACGATGGCCACCTCTCCTGTGCGACGCACGCTGTCACCCATGCTGACCAACCCTCTTCAGTTCTGGTGGCTCTGCGAGCCAGTCTACGTGCTTTGCAACATGCTCGCAAAAGCCTCCATTGCGGTCATGCTACTCCGCCTAACCGTCATCCGTACGCACCGCATCATCATCTGGACCGTCTTCACCATCACCGAGACCTACAGCCTGTTCTTCTTCCTCCTCTTCATCTTCCAGTGCCAGCCCTCTCAGTACTTTTGGACGCAATACACCGGCGGATCTGGCAAATGCCTCGACCCCAAGATTGTTGTATACACATTCTACGGGTACAGCGCCATCGCTGCGCAGGCGACTGGACATATGCGATACTGCCATACTTCCTGGTCTGGAAGTTGCAGATGGATACCCGGTCGAAGATGGTAGTGATCTTCATCTTATCGTTGGGCGCGATTGCATCGACGGCGACCATTATTCGATTTCCGTATCTGCACTTAATGGCCGACATCGATGACTTCCTGTACGCAACTACCGACGTCGCTCTCTGGTCATGTGCCGAGACTGGTCTCGGCATCACAACAGCCTGTCTCGCTACACTGAGGCCGCTGTTGCGCACTTGGCTCGAAAAGACTGGCATCGCTTCGACAGGACACCGCCGGAAAGGGGCCAGCAACTTACCTGGGAAACCAGACATGCCCCCCTCTCGTCGTGGTCACGCTCGTGTCGCCTCCGCAGGACTAGAAGAGTTTGACCTCGGCATCAGGAAGACCACCAGAGTGAGCGTGGACGAGTTCGGGAAATGGGACAACATGGCCCGCGACGTCGATACCACGGATGGAGACAGCACATCGAGCGAGTCGAGCAAGGCACGGATCAATGCGACTGTCACTGCGGCACCACGAGATATGAACAACCACGCCACGCCTTGGAATTCGACGGAAGCGAGGGACTTCACCGCCAGGGCCCGAGATACGGGTGTCGTCGGTAGCGCTTGGGCGGAGGGCAGGGTCCGGCGGTGAACGTCGCGTAGATGCCACAGTCCCATGACTCGGTGTCGTCGCTATGATTGCTATCATAGCGTAGCAAGCAGAGCCCCTTCTGTATCATAGCCAGACCCGCGATAGCAGCCAATTTCGTTTTCATGTCGTGACACTCTTGACATACGCTGTCTCTTTCAGGCCTGGACTAGTCCTGTACGTTCGCAGAATATCATCGATCTCTGTCTTGATCAGCCAAAACCCGACACGGGACTCTTGAACGAGCCCTATGTGTGGGCCTGTGCTGAGCACCAGTGTGGAATTCAGTCCTAAAGGACGCGCACAGCGAGCGCGTCACTAAGAGTTATGCTTCCTCTTCTCAATCGTTCCTTCTCTCGTTCCTTCCCTCCCTCGCTCCTCCTTCACTGTCTCTCACTCCTTCCTTCCCGCTCTCTCGTTCCTTCCTTTCCTGTGTCCCGCTCCTTCCTTCCCTGTCTCTCGCGCCTTCCCTGGCCATCTCTCGCGCCTTCCCTCCCTCTCTAGTGCGCCTGCCTTCTTTCTCTCTCGCGCCTGCCTTCTGTCTCTCGTGCCTGCCCTCTGACGTTCCTGCCCTCTCTCGCTCCTTCTCTTGCCTTCTGTCGCTCCTTCTCTTGCCTTCTGTCGCTCCTTCTCTTGCCCTCTGTCGCTCCTGCTCCTGCTCTCATTTCACCTTTCCTTGCCTCGCTCGCTCCTTTCTCTCCGATTCAAGCTCTAGTCTCGCTTGGCTCTGACTCTCCCTTCTCGCTGTTCTCTGTCCTGCCTCCTGCCTCCCTTCGATCTGCTTCTCATGACATTCACATTACCCTCATGAGCAAGCTTGACTTATTTTCGAGCATCGATGGCTCGAGTCTCGGATACGGGATCAATTGAAATGAATTCTCTGGTAGCGCTGCCTCAATACTGTCCCGAAGTCAGTATGGTGAAAGAAGCCCGGACTGAAGTTATGTAATTCATGCATACTGATCATTATAGATCAACTCAAGCTCTTGCCTACTCGTAGTCGTCTACGTGAATCTCCCTATATCCACGTCTGGGCCGGCCGTGATCTGACCCTTCCCAAGCTCTGCTCTGCGCCTCTGCGCCTCTGCGCCTCTCCGCCTGTCCACTTCATGTGCCTGTCAAATTTCTCGCGCTGGCTCTCCCCGTTCTCTTTCTCAGCTCAAGCCTTCAACTTCTCCGTCAGCTCCGGCACAACCTCAAACAAATCCCCGACAAGCCCAACATCCGCAACCCCAAAGATCGGCGCATCCCCATCCTTATTAATACACGCAATCACCTTACTATCCTTCATCCCCGCCAGATGCTGAATAGCCCCGCTAATCCCCGCACACAGATACAGCTGCGGCGCCACGTTCTTCCCCGTCTGTCCAACCTGTAAGCTGTTATCCGCGAACCCACTGTCGACAGCGGCGCATTGCGCCGATCGCTGCGCCCAGCGCGTCGGCGAGGGGCGGCATAAGGCGGTCGAATTCCTCCTTGGACTTGAGGCCGCGGCCGCCGGAGACGACTTTGCCCGCGGTGGCGAGTTCGGGCCGGTCGGATTTTGTGAGGTTTTCCGAGACCCATTGAGTTGGTTGCGGTGCGGAGGGGTCGGTTCCTTCCTCGATGGTGGCGGAGCCATCGGCGATTTCGGCGGGAGGGAAGGAGGTTTGGCGGACGGTGAGGAGCTTGATGGGGTCGGTGGATTGGACTGTGAGGATTGCGTTGCCGGCGTAGATTGGGCGGACGAATGCTGTAGATCTGCTGTTAGTGGAATGTGCTTGCTTGCATTGTGGCTGTCGTCGGACTAGGCGAATGGCCTCGACCGAGATCCAAAAGGTCACATGGGAATCAGGAACGTACTATCCTCTCCCTCAATACTCATCACATCACTGATCTGCTGCACATCCAGCAATGCCGCCACCCGCGGCAGCAGATTCTTCCCAAACGCACTATGTCCCACAATCACATGGGTATACCCTCCCTTCTTGATATTCTCAACCAACAACGGCGCCCAATTCTCCGCTAGTCCCCGGTCATACGCCTCATTCTCGACGGTGATGATCTTCTCTAGGCCGGAAACCTTAGAGGCTTCCTCAGCGATGGGCTTGACGTTTTTGCCCGCAATGAAGCCGTGAATGCTGCCGCCGAGTTTGGCGCCTGCGGTGACGGCGCCGAGGGAGGCGGAGTTGAGGCCGCCTTCGCGCTGTTCGAGGATTGCGAGGGTTGAAGCGAGGCGTGATCGTTGAGTTGTGAAGCGGGACTGTGTGGAGAGGAAGTGCGATGAGTGGGTGAGGGCGGAGAGCCGCTGGGTTGCGGTGCGCCGTATTGCGTACATAGTGGGTGGAGTACGTGGTGTGGTGTCGTTGGCTGCGCGGATCTGCCACCTACCTCCTCCTGACACCGAGCAACAAAGGAGAGGAGATCTTGGTGCACCAGTCGTGAACAGGTGTCAAGAGTTGTGGACGTTGAAGCTGCAACGAAGTAGAATCGGAGAACTGTCCACCTCTCGGAGTTCAATGACGCTCGCGACATCAATGCCGAGGGCCTGCAGGAAATCATTTCCGTTCCGATGATAACCTTCTGTCAACCTTCAGTTGACCTCGTGCCTTCCCTTCGGTAATGAGACATCTCAATGTATAGCGAAGACGGTCCGTTCGCAATGAGTCTCGTGCGCTCGCCAGCCTAGTATGAGCGCGTGTAAGTGCCAAAAACTGCCACTATTGCCCATTCTATTTCGTCTGTGACCCAGAGCGTACACACAGCTTCTCATCCCCCAAAGGCTCGGATACTCGAGGCAAGTTCAATTGGATGCACCAGACGGCGACTGACTCAGAACTCGAGAAGGACAGTGAATACCTTCTGGCTGGTCAGTGAAGGGATCGCTGCGGGTCACGCCGGACTTAGACATTGCTGATGCGGTATAAGTATTGGCAATTGCCCTCCCCACTTCGTCCTCCTTTTCTTCCCTCAACGACGCATGTATCCTGACATCATTGTCATGCCTGCATAGTAGCTGCTACTGGCTGGTGGGACGAGCGAATTCAAGTGCTAAGTTACTGGGCGAGTGATCGGATTCTTATGACCAAACACTTGGAGAACTGAAGACATGCAGCAAACTTTCGGAGCACACACATCTCTGTGAAATTTCACCCTCTGTGAAAGGCGCATTCGCCCGATCCTGTACTATTGACGTGGATCTCATAAACCCTCTAGTCCCCATCCCCTTCCTGCTTTCCTCACCACCCACTTCCGCCTGAATTCTTCGCGGCCCAGCTCTCTCGTCCGTCTCGACCAGACTTCGCTTCCTACCCTACCTCCAATCAAAGCCTCTTGTAGGCCCCAAATCGCGGCCTCAATGCCCCTTTCCTCCGCTACGGCAGTATAGAGCTGCTGACTGACGATATGTGGTGTCGTGAGCATAGCATCGACGGCGGGCAGATCGTTCTTCGCAGCGCGGCGTTGAGCATCGGTGATGGCCGAGCTAGCGGAGCTCAAGGAAGTGCTCAAAGCGGTGATGTTGGATTGTAGAGAGGCTTGAAGGGCGGCAAGAGCTGAGAGCTCAGCTTGCAGAGTCTGTTTCGTGCTGGTAAGGGCAGCGGTCTGCGCTTGGAGGGCGGGGAGTTGGGAAGTTGATTGTTGTATCTGTTGGTGCAGATCGTTGGTCAGGATGGTGGATAGGTGGGACAGAAGGGCATCCTTCTCAGGATTTCGTGGTATGGGCGGCGCCGGGAGATTTTCAGCAGGACGAGCAAAATTCGGGAGCGGCAGGTCGAATGGGGAGCCGAGAAGGTCAGGGCCAGGCGGAGGCTTGGCTTGGGGAGCTTGCTGTTGCTGTAGAGGCGGCTGACGAGGCCCAGGCTGGTGTGGTAGATGCTGCGACGGGTGCCGCTGGGGTGCTTGTTGGTACTGGTTGGGAAGGGGCGCTTGCCGAAACTGTTGGGGTTGTGGAGGCTGCTGCCAATTCTGCGGCGGGGGAGGTTGTTGAGGATGCGATTGCCTCAGACTCGTGCTTCTTTGCGATTGATACTGGGACGGCGGCCTGGGTTGCTGCGGCTGCTGCTGGTGCGTAGACGTAGGCCGAGACGAGCTTTGCGACGGCAATGGTGGGGGCGCATCATATCGACCTGGTCTGGGTTGAGCTGGACTGCTTATTCGACCATTTGCGGACGGTTCTTTTGGTGGAGGTGGAGGCGGGCCACCTCCTGGTGATTGAGGGGGAGGTGGTCTTGGTGGTGGCGCCTCATGGGGCAGTGGTGGCCTCGGTGGTGGCGCCGGGCTCTGCTGGTGGGGTGGTGGTATGGGACGTGATCTTGACCTCACTGGTGGTTCTTTGGCGAAAACATCGGATAGTATGCCCAGGAACTCGACTATGTGTGACCTGTCCCACGTTTCTCGCCAATGCGCCAAGTAGTGGTGGTAGATCTTGCCGTCTGTCGCAACATGTTGGCCAGGGTTAACGGCTATATCATCGCTGGGATCAACGTATATTATCGGAGCTTCGTATGGGTATGCGTATGGGATCCATATCAGGATCGGGAAGTGGTAGAGGGATCCTCGAAACGAAACAGGAAGCACACCGCCGAGGTAGAGAAGGAGTTCTGGCTTGCCGTTGTCGAAGACTAGGAAGAAGGTCAGTTCTGTGAGCTCAGTCGCTGTAGACACACATACTATACTCTTTTGTGCCCTTGACTGTGATCCCAGGATACCTCTGTAGGGTCGAGACAATATCGGAGTAGGCGCGGTTGGGGTCGTGGTATGGCTGTGCCTGAGTCAGTCTGCGCCGACCTGTGGCGGCCTGCTACCAACCTGGACTTCAAGACGTCGTGGAAAAGATACCGGAGAGTCGACTGGGGCACCTGTGCCATTGAGCAAAGTCGAAGTTAGGCCTGAGCATGCTCGAAGGTCTGCATCAAGGTTGCGGCATCGTCCAGATCGAGGTCGATGTTGCCCGCATTCCCACCGAATATTAGCCGAGTCACTGCCTGAAAATTGACATGGGCTGCTGCTTCCAAGTATTCACCTGAGATGGTGATGATGCTAGAGGAGTACAACTACCAGCCGTAAGGCGGTCGCTGGTCAGACCACAGCAACCAACAAATATGGCGGGAGGATACAGCCAAACATTAAGTCATAGTTTGTTGATGTAATTCATGCTACGTACTGGGTACGAAACTGGGGTATCAATACAGCTTATCAGAACGACCATGCTCGTCGATCACCACCTCGTCACCGTTTCATACTCCGCCCTTCAATCACTGCTTCTTAGCCTCTGCCTCAGCCATCTTGTCAAGGTCCGCCTCAACACCCCTCTGCCTCGACTTCCCCTCATCATGCATCGCATTATACTTCTCCTGACTAACCCGATCATTCGTCAACCCCGCGACCGCACCACCCAGCGTCCCTTGCACACGATCACTGATCCCTTGTCCCAGATCACTCAACTGCCCCTTCGCCTCCTGTCCCTGCCCAGCCAAGTTCTGCTCCCGACCCTGCTGCTTCAGATTCTCATTCCCCAACAAGTTTCCCAAAGTCTCCTTGCCCGATCCCACAGTCTGATCCCACTGGCCCTGAGAGCGGTCCTGGGAGTCCTTGGCGACGGCGCCGGAGGATGAGAGGGTGAATGGGCCGGCTTTGACTGCGGCTTCGGAGGCGTTGGCTTCAGCGGCGGCTTTGTTGTGCGTCTGGTCGGCTTTGGCTTGGTCGCCCGTGCTGCCCGTCACGGCGGCGATGCCGGACTGGACGTAGCCTTTGGCGGAGTCGAGGAGGGACTGGCCGGTGGAGGCTTGGGGGGTTGAGTCGGACATGTTTGTTGTGGAAGATGGGACTGGTCCCGGACTGATCTGAGTTTGAATTTCTTGAGTAAGGGTTCAACTTGGGTACTTCTGTCAAGAGTCGGAAAAAGTATGCGGTCGGCTACTGGGAGCGCCCCTGATATATTTATCTGACCAGAAGGCGACAAACAAAGAATCCGAACGGAGGTCAGGGCGTAGGCATCAATGACGTAGCCGCTGACATCATTTGGCATGTGCTACCGCTCATCTCCAGCACCTGGAACTGTCTGGATGCCAACAGCACAAGATCGAGCGAACGCGTGGCCTCAATCCGGACTCATAACAGGCTAGAGATATGCAAAGCAGAACGCATGTGATGCAAAATTGTCAAATTGCATAAGGCCTGTGTTCTGCAGACGATCGAGTTCTGGAAATGATCGTCAGGCACAAGGCATACTACGGGAAGATCCTGCCCCAACAATGGACAATGCATCTGAAATCCACATCCTGTTTGTGCGTGTCATGGCAGGTTCGACGATGTAGTTATTGCATTCCTGCAGCCAGGGATGGTTGAGCGATGTATGCAGGAGCAGGTCTGCGGCATCGAACTCAGTCATTGCACTCACGTTCGGCCTTGATTGTCACTTCGTCAGATTCGCTGCTCCAGTACAGCGGTCGAGAACGAACGAGCTCCGTCGTTTCTGCTTCATCCGCAGATCACTGCTCAACAGCTGCAAAAACACTTAACGAAGACCAAAGACATATGCTGGGTCATGCGAAGTCCCTCGATTATGGCATGTCAGCTATCTCTGCTGCATAAAATCTTGTCTGCAGCCAGATGCAGACAACCTCGTTTCATGGATGCGAACAGGTCGATTCGAAGATGGGCAGTAGGCGAGAACAGCATGCAGACCTGCTTGTGGCTATGATTAAGTAGGTGCGCCAACAAATACGAGCTTCGCCACCACTAGACGGATGGGACGACCAATCAGACCTCGCTCACGCGCGAGCAGCCCGGTCGAATGCAAGACAGCCTTACAAGCCAGCGAACTCACCGATGGCCTCTTAAATCACCAGTCCTCTCTCAACTACCCACTATGTTCGTTGTCACCAGAGTCGCAGAAGCCGGATCCCAGTATTCGAGATGGGTGTCGAGCCAGATCTCGAAACAGGCCTCTTCAACAGACAAAACCCGCGGACTCTTTCGATGGACATCAGCCAGACTCATGGAGGGGCCATGCGTGTTGAAAACCCCCGGGAGGAAGTGAGGCCTCCTCGAGCGTGCTCTCCACAGTACCAACGTCCAGAAAGTATTGAGCTGCCATGTTCCCGAAGCACCAGCGACTACCCATACACGGCGAAGACCAACGCATACGGCCCCACCCGAAGACGACACTACAACAGCATTTCGCGCTCAGTTTCACGTTCACGCTCACGCTCGCCCATTCGCAGGCATCGCCAGCCCCGGCTTGGAGTTCGCAGCGTTCCGTCGCTGTCTAGCAGTAGCACGTCGCAATTCACTTCTGCGTACAGCTTTTCCCTGGACGTCCCGAGAGACGACAACTTGTTCCAAGGAAGGCCCAGGTTGCGCGACTCAAAGGTCTTCAGTACATCTGGTCACCGCCGCAGAGCGACTTCGTCATCCAAGCCTAGCAAAACTGAACTAGAGGCGGCAAATATCTTCGACGACATCTTCACGCGCAAGGTCGCGCACGTGAAGAAGACTGGGCCTTTCCGTGTCATCGACGGGTTCTATAACTTGCACATATCGCTGTGTCGTGCGGCTCTGATCACAGCTGCACTCAGTAGCGACAGCCATGGCGAGGAGGAGAATCTAAACAGCGCGCGCGAGATTGGTAATCTCCTAGAGGTCCGCGAATCTGCCCTCAAAGAGCTTAAACACTATGGTGAGCGACGAGCCTTCTTCTGCCCATGCTGACCTAATCGAATCTCAGACGATGTTTGCAAAATGCAACGAAACTACCACATCGACCCTTCACATGGCCCCTGGATGAAGGTTGACATGTGGGTAATGTACGGCTGCCGAAACGCGGCTCTGGTAGAGTTCGCACGCTATGCCAAAGCAGTGCACCCAGCCAAGCGTGATGACTACAATGCTGTCTTGATCAGGAAGTTGTCTGATTGTTTCATAATGGGGAGGAAAATGGTAGCAAACTACGGCGAGGACCGGTCCAGTCTGCCTGCCTCGCGGGAAGTAGAGGCATTACTGGGATTTTGGAAGCGCCTTTGGTTGGCACTAATCGCAGGTACCGCTGTCGTTGTGCCCATGCTGATCATGACACTTCACCCGTCGCTTGGAAGCAGTCTTGGTACAACATCTGCGTCTGTCTTTGCTGTTGCGGTTGGGCTTGCATGGATCATGAAGAGCGCTGAGAGTAAGGATGTCATCATTGCTACAGCTGCTTATGCTGCTGTATTGGTCGTGTTTGTTGGTGCGGGACCTTCGGCAACACCCAACCAGGACCCAACTGCTGGCCGCAATACAATCACGCTGTCCAGTGGAGGCACTGCCGCGATCTCTGTTGGTGCGGGCATTATCGGGTCCAGCATACTTATCGGCGCCTTGGTCCATCGGCAGCCCATTAAGTTCAAGAGACGGATGGCCTCCATCGTTCTCAACGCGCCGGCTGTGATAACTAGTGTTCCCGCCGAACTGGGCAAGAAATGGCGTCGGCGCTTTGGAGCTAAGAGCAACGATTCGTCCACTAGCGTCACTGAGAAGAATACATCAGACAGAACCGACGAGGCTGCGTCACGAGACTCGGCCCGTTCCTGGTCATCAAACTACTCCGACTCGTCCTCTCAAAGCTCCAAGCAAAGCTCTCGGCGTCGCAGGCGCAATGCGAGATCGCCAAGGCGAGCATTCTACGACGATTGGCGAAGCGAGGACTGGGACACTACCAGCGAAAGTGGGAACGGAGGCAAGGCCTCGCTCGAGGTACTGATGGAAGCGACGGCTCAAGCCACGAGCGCACCAGCGACAAGCAAAAAGGCTCGAGGTGGCTCGAAAAGCTCACTCCGAGAAGAGCCAACAGCTCCTTCACGCCAGTCGCATATAACTACATCCGCTTCTGAATCAGCGCTGGATCTCTCACCAGCCTGTAAGCACCAATAATACGATTTAGCGGGCTTTCGATCAGACTTTTATTTTTGTTCTTGATACATTAAAATACCGCTCCTGCCTAGCGGGCACATAATGGATTACCAATGTCTCTGCACACTACTGCCTTCATCAGGCCGTTTTTACTTGCTAGAACCGCAGCTTCGGCCCAGCAAACACCAATAGGATCGCCGCCGCCACATCCCCCCAATCATCGCATACAACTTCATCCTCCCCAACCAGCCCTCCCCCTCACTCATCCTCTTCAAGAACTGCATATTCTTGCTGGCAGCCTCCATCCCACCGATATTCCGATCCAAGCCTTCCATTGCCCGTCCCAGAATGCCCTGGTCCTGGTCGAGGGAGAACTGGAAGGCCTTGGCTTGTTGTTTGAGTTGGGCTGCCATGGAGAGGAGGGAAGTTGAGAGGTCTTCTTGGTCGCGGGAGGCGGAAAGGAGGGTCTTTTCGTGGGCGGAGAGATTGCTGTTGGTGGTGGGAGGTTTGAAGGACGTGCTGTTTGCTTTGTCGAAGGTTTCTTGTTCGGTTCCGCGCCGGCGAGTGAGTGTTGAGGATGTATGAAGGAGGGCGTCGCGGTCGCGCTCTTCTTTCTCAGTCGTGTCATCTTCCGTAAGTGATGTAGCCTCCGTGTCGGCGTCCACTGCTGAAGGATCCTGCTCCGGCGCATTCCTCTTCCTCTTCTCTTCCCGCTGCTGCACCAACACATCCCACAGCGTCTCCGGCTCTCCCTCATCCGTGGAAGCCGCCGTAGTCGTCCACCGCAGCGCCTCATCACCACCTCTTCGCATGTCTCTGTACTGGCCCCTCTCACGCTCGGCATCCCGTGCATACTCCTCCACTCGCGCCCTGAGTTTCCTCACCACACCCCTCTTCTCCACCAGATCCCGCTGCACATTGCCCCGCGTCCGGCTCCCCTGTATACTCTGCGCCTTGCGCTCTAGCTGTAGCAGCAATGTTCGTGCGCCGTCGATGTTGTGCAGCCATTTCGTGCGGTGGTAGGGGAGTGGGGAGGACAGGTCGGCTTGGGTTTGTTGCTGGAGGGGTGTGAGGTCTTCGTTGTCGTTGTTGTTGGTGAAGGAGCGAGGGTCTGGAGTAAGGAGGATGAGATGCGAGAGGTGGGCGAGCTGGCGAGTGAGGGTGAGGTAGCTTGGGTCTTGGAAGAAGGACCGGGTTGTGGTGTTATTGGTTGCGCCTGGTTTCGTGAACTCGCCGTATCGCAGCGCGGTGGCGTTAGGTGCGTTGGGTGAGAACGGACGCAGTGTGGCAGCCAAGGACATCGCGACGGTGTCTGCTGTGCCCTGGACGTGTGTGAGGTAGTCGTTCGGCGTCGGTTGTATATAGTCGCGTAGGGAGACGTGTTCTGATGATCGATGCGGCGGAAATGTATGGCTGAAGTCCGCGGGCTTGGCATTGACGTCTCTGCTATTGCTTTAGAGATATCTAAGGACGCAGCAAAGGCATCTACATAATTTGGTGCTTCAGAAGCACAGCGCAATCGATTGACTTGCTGTCACGGACAGGCTGGCTCTTTGTCGACGTCGGTGACCCGTGGACAGACACGGCCGTCCCTCCACAATCTGCGCCAGGCGGAGGCAATGCATGAAGAGGTCACCTTCAAGAGGAGTTCAATTCTTTTTATTAAGAAGCCTACAATGTCTCAAAACCCAAGCAACGACCAGCAGAGAAGTAAGCCGTCATCACTGCGGCTTGGTACCTGTACATCCGAGCAGGAGGGCCGGTACATGTTTTGTCGGCCTTGTCTTTCTGAAGGAGGCCGTGGGCATTTCTATACTTTGCGCCGTTGCCGTGGAATATTCTCTTTGATCATATCCATCGCCTTCTTCGTAAGCCAAACCCGCATCGTTCCAACGCTTCTTTCCTGTTTGACTGGGGCGGTACCCTGCTCTGCGTCCCCACAGAACACCCAAAAATCTCAGCCTCCGGCAAAGCTTAGTAGTAATCCAGATAGTGTGGCTTCTGTGTCGCCATCCAGTAGAAGCTGGGTAGAGTGAATTGTTCAACAAGACACGAAGGCTCTGCAGAAAGTGCTTGAGTCCGATGCATGGCAAGCTCTTGCCAAAGGTCGGCGACGAGGCAGGACATCTGCTGCTGGACTGTCCGATCATTGGACAAGGCTCCTGGTATTGCTTGCTCGTAGATCGACTAGCTGCTACAGAAACGCTCGGTGCTCAACGCCAGGAAAATGCAGTCGTGTGGGATATAATGCGAAAGGAGAAACATAGATGTGCATCAACTCATATGCTGGCCTAGATCAGACCGCACATTCTCAGATTTTCTTGGATGATGATATCTGCGACAGATCAGCTACTGCTCCGGGCGGATGCTTGGCTGACTTACCGTTGACGGCACCCATGACGAATCGAATCTGTGTTGTGTCAGTGGCACAGGTGAAGTGCGTATAGATCTGCTTAGTCTCTGCCTGGTTGAGCGAGACGAAACGGTTGAGGATGTAGTCGCAGGCCGCGGCATAATCGGGACCGCCTGTGCGATGTTAGCTTTATCAGTACAGAACAGCGGTTTGACGCACCCTCGTAATCTGGGAAGTAGTTCTGCATTGGGCTAACGGGCAGCTTCTCCTTAAATCGATCGATCTTGTTCAAGAACAAGATAATCGAAGTCTTGATGAACCATCTCGAATTGCAGATGCTGTCGAAAAGTGTAAGGGCCTCCTGCATGCGGTTGACCGTCTCGTCTTCGAACAGCAGCTGATCGTATTCCGAGATGGCGACCAGGAAGAGTATGGTTGTGACATTCTCGAAGCAGTGAATCCACTTCTTTCGTTCCGATCGCTGGCCGCCGACATCGAACATGCGGTATGTGAGGTCTTGGATAATGAAGGTAGTCTCGGTAATACCAGTGGTCTTAACACGAGATCGGAGGACATCCTGGTCGTTGGGCAAGTAGTCGTGAGCAGCAATTCTGTCGATCGAATCAAAGTAGCTGAAAGACCATGTTAGTACATGTCGTGGCATGAGAACGGCGCCAGACTTACTATCTCGCCGAGTCGTTGAGCTGGTACTCCCGCGACCGTCTGAAACATTCCTGCACACCGACATCCTGCCACAGCGCCTTGATGGCGGCTCCAACATCTTGTGGCAGAGCATCGCCTTCAATCTGAGGAGGTTGCATGAAGATGGTCTGGACGTGGTACTCAGCCGTTGGTCGTCCAATGGCAGCTCCAACGACTCCATAGCCTCGAGGATGACCCGCATGGACTGCACGGTATTTGAAAAGATGATCTCCTTGAACGAGTCGCGCTCATCTCTACTGTAGCCACCCTCGTGGATCAGTTTCATCTGCTTGAGAATGGTCGATTTGCCAGATTCACCAGCACCTGTGCGAGGTCAGCATTTGTCATTCCTGCGGGTTGTGTGGTGAGGAGTATGTACCGAGCAGCAGCATCTTAATCTCATTCCGTTGCGCAAGCTTGTCGCGCTTGAGCTGGTTTTCAATCTCATCGTTTCTCGCCTTGCCGGCATTGTCTTCTTTTGACGCTCCGCAACCCATCTTGTCGGTGTCGGTGAATTTTCGCTCTTCGAAATGTACAGGTAGAAAGCAGATCTGTTGCTGGGATTAGCGAGGTGCGCCAGGGGAAGGAACGCCCGATGCCGATGCGGTCGTACAAACAAAGGGGCGGCTCGACTTACAAGGACTCGCAAAGGTGGACAAGTAGCAGGCGATTACAAAAAGAAGCTGCTCAAGACTGTGCGCATACAACGCTGGTATTATGAGGTGCAGGAGAAAAGGGTCGGTCGATGGAGAGAATTGGCTGGGCTCTTGGAGACAGTCAGGAACCACCGGACCAGGGTCGCGAAGGTAGTCGAATCGAGCAGATTGCTGCTTCCTGAGTTCGCTGTCGGTAGAAGCTGGTGATAAGAGGCACGCCGGCGTGAGAACAGATGAGCGAGGAGGTCGGCGGCAGAGATATCGGGGTCGGAGACAGTGAGCTTTTCTCTCGTTCTCTCGATCTCGGGCTGGGAGCGAAGAAATGGAAGAGATCGTCTCGCTGCTTTGATCAGGGAGCGAAACAGAGGACGGTGGTGGAGAGGTCAGCTAGCGGTGGCTAAAGGGGAGCCGAGCAGACCAGCCCTAGTTAAAGTTGAGCTAGCCCCGGGCGACGCAGGAGCTAAAGTGACTGCCTATGACCGCCCATACCCGATCAGGTTTACAGCTAGAACAATGCATGAATCGCATTCCTTCGTAATTCATCATTGCTTGCGGATTCTATGTGCCAGAATGTTAGACGAAATACATTGTGGATGCCATAGAGCGATCATCCCAACTGCCGTGTGGACAATGTCACGATGTACGGAATGAAAGAGCGTGGGGAGGGCTTCTGAGACGACCCTTCCGTCGATCCATCTGATCTACCCACTGCAGCGATAGAATTCCGCGCCTACGCTCTTTGTTCGGATGGGCTGAGCGTAGATCAAGCAAACAACTTCTGCACCAGGCGATACGTCCTGTGCAACTCGAACAGAACCCCTGACTAACGCCTTGTATGCTCGCTGATCGCAAGTATGGCGGGCTAGTGTCTCGAAAACCTCACCGTCAAGTGATCCGGAATCTGCAGTTTCAAGTTTCCTATCCCACTATCGTTTTGCCCCCTGTCAAATCTCGAGCTGCGCTGGAGCACTTGATATTGGCAGCCACTTTCCTCGTCCACCTATCAAATAGACAGGCTTGACGAAATCATTCCAGAAGTCCTATGGAAGCATTCCCTCGAGTCGCCATGTCGTTTGCTCTCGACCTCAATCTTGCAGCGTTGCAGTACCAGTCTCAGAGAGACCACCAAGCCCGACATATCGAGCTTCAACAGGGACACAGGCATGAAGGGGATCGACGCTGGGATCATGGATCAGCAGTCCGACACTTTCGACAGTGGCTCAAATTCACCGAAACTGTTCGCTTAGTGACACCACTCCCGAACCTGATACACTGCTCAATGAGTTGAGCAAAGTCTCGTCGCTGCCATGACAGTGGCTTCGAAGAAGCCGCAGTATGCGTGAATCGTGATACTCGTCACTGTGCGTCAAGCCCGCAGCGGCTTGCTGAAGCTTCTGCTCGAAGTTGCGCCACTGTCGAGCTGCCGCGATTCCGTCAGAAGTTTGACAGCTGCCAAGTCTCGATTCTTGGTTCATCTCACTGCTCATTTCGCTATCAACCTGGTTCTGACTGCTGTCTCCTATGTTGCACACAAAGTGCTCCTACCACCCTTAGATCGAAGTCACATACCTTCGAGATACAGCCTCACGGCTGATATGTCCGTAGCTGAAAATGGACTCGAGGCAACCTCTGAAGGTTCGACCTTCCCCAATGACCCAAAATTCAAATACCTAGGTATTCTGACAGAGGGGTTGCTGTCTGCATCTGCCAATTCGGTTACTCCTTCTGGATGAGGCTGAACATCAAGAAGTCACCAAAGCCGATCCTGTCCATTTCGCAGAGCCTCCTGCCAAAACCCATTGCTTCGGGTCGCGCTTGCACTCCAAAGCCGCCAAGCGATCGTACCTGACGTTCGTGTGTTCCCGCATCGATGTCGCTAAAGCGGAGATCTGCCACTATCATCACTTGAATTGCTCTTGAGCCTACGCACAAACCTCGTTAGCTGTGTCAACCTCTCCTGACAGACATGCCGTTGACAAATGCCGACGCACCACAATGCAATCGATGTGATTCATTCTCATGGACGATGGACTTGACCATCACCAAAAGTCAAAAGGCCTGATCATGTCGGGATCGGCGCTAAGCGCAGTGGGACAGCTCAGCTGCCAACTCCAACCTTGTTCGCGAAATCATTGAAGCTGACCACATTTCTTGTCCTTTTGCTTTTGTCGCACTCTCCTTGAACAGACTTACAGGCGACAGCCTCTCCTGTCCTTCATTCAAGATGGCGTCCTACGAGATGGAACGCGGCATGAACCACGGCGGCATGAAGCACGTCGGTGGTCGGCGTAAGTAACAACCTTGCAGCACAACGCTCACAAGCACAGCACCAGCTCCAAGTACCCAACAACTGACTATGTCCTCATGCAGCATTCAACCACGACCAATCTCCCGACGCCGAGCGCGAATACGACCGCCTGCGCGACCTCGCCCGCTCCGAGGCCTCCAAACGCGGCACCTGCTTCGAGCGCTCCAAAGAAGCCTACAACCGGGGCGACGGCGCCGCCGCCAAACAGCTCTCCAACGAAGGAAAATCTCACGGCGAGGCCATGGCGCGCTACAACAAGCAAGCCTCGGACTTCATCTTCCGCGAGAACAACGCAAACGGGCGTGTCGCTGGCGACACGATAGATCTGCATGGGCAGTTCGTGGAGGAGGCGGAGGATATATTGGAAGAGAGGATACGGGCGGGCCAGCAGAGAGGAGAGAGCCATCTGCATGTTATTGTGGGCAAGGGGAATCATAGTCCGCATCATATTCAAAAGATTAAGCCTAGAGTGGAGCAGGTTTGTCAGGAGTTGGGGCTGCAGTATAGGACCGAGGCGAATGAGGGGAGGATATATGTCGATCTCACAGGTGGTAACGCGCCTATGCCACCGCAGCATGGTGGTATGGGGCCTGGGTATGGTGGTGGACAACAGCATGGCGGGCAGCAGCACGGAGGACAAGGGCAGTACCATGGTGGGCAGGGACAGCAGCATGGTGGTGGACAACAGGACTATCAGCAAGAGATGAAGTTGCTGAAGAAGATATTCTTCGCACTGCGGCGGCTGTTGTGTAGGTAGAGCGAAATATGGTCTGCTTCTTGATACCCTTGGAAAGTTTTGTGGATAGAATCTGAACTGAATGTACACATTCATCCCGGACTCTCGGTGTTTCGCTTCTCGTGTTCGCAACGACTGTGCGTACCATTGAAAGATTGCCGATAGCAACAGGCTCGGGACCAGTGGCACTGTCAGCATCGCCACCGAAGCACAGCCAGCGTGTTGTCGGCGTGAAAGGGGTTCTCAGAGCCTCATTGTATCGTAGGACGGAGGCCCAGCCAATGGCAGCGAGGCCGCCTTTTGGGTGGAGTCGTAGGAAACGTAAATTCTGCCTCATCCTGACCGCGACCCAGAGCTTCTCGTTATCGTGGAGAGTAGGTACAAACTATCGCGCGTCAGGGAAAGGAGTGAATGTTGAAAGCCGAGCCAGTACAGCTGGCTCGCAATGACAGCTATGTTGCTGGGCTGTTGGCGCAGCTGGCGTTGCTGGATGGTAAGTATTGCTGGTCCAGATGCTCTGCTGACCTCGCCTGATGCTCAGGATCGTACGCCGGACGTACACTTGCTTAGAGCATCGCGTTTGATGCTACGCAGCTGCAGTGATATCTCTGACATGCACGCCGGACTGAAGGCAGGTCCAAGAAATCAGTGAAAGTCGCAGACCCGGCCTGAGCAACGAAAAAGTCTTGGCATCGACGTCGCTTCACTTGCCAGCCCCAGCATTCGCACACAGAACGGGCGACGGAGCGAAATAGCGATCAGCAAAAAAGCAAAAAGAACAAACTGTTGCCGATTCGAAGGTTGTTCTTCAGGGACTACCCACATGCTTAACCGGGATTGAGCTCTATTCCGCCGTGTTAGAAGCTCGTTTTGCACCTCTGGTGTTCGGAAGAGGGCGACCAATTTCAGGTGCTAATTGAACCGGGCATCCCATTAGGGATTGACATGTGAGGACCTGTGTCCGATTGACGGTGCAAAATCTAGTAACTCGAAAATATATCCTTTAGAAATCCAAGAGCCTTGGCGGACCCAGCCTTGCCCCGGAGCAGCTATCGCTACGTGTATCACGGCCCACCAACATCTCCCCTTATCTACGATACGGCTCGCATGCAAGGTCTCTGCTTACAGTCTACCATTGCAGATTTGACAGGCTGAGGAGGACTTCAAGGCAATACCTACTATCAAGATGGGATTTGGGAAGCAGTCATGGATTTTCACACGATGATGCAGCAAATCGATGCTGTGTGGCATAGTGTGTCGAGAGGTCTTCAAGGAGGCCTCTAAGGAGGTCTTCAAGGGGACAAGATTTGCGTGTAATCGGTTTGGTGAAATCGTCTCATTGAGGGGCTTTTCATGGTGGTTCAAGTCAATTGACGAAGTGATTCCGTTTGCTTCACGTGGGTCCGAACTTTTCGTTGCTGCAGTTGCCTCGAGTGACAGTGAATATTTCGACGAGGAGCACTCCCGCACTTCTCTTCGCACTTCGCAAATCGAATTCGAAACCCCTTTCGCTTGCGCTTCCACCACCACTACCACCACAGTTCCTGCTTCGCTTCGTTAGTATGGGCAAGCACAGCGCTCTCGCAAGCGCAAGCACGAGCGCGAGGCCAAGGCGCGTCGTGGTGCGGCTTTGCGACAGACTCGGCTGCAGACAGCGTTGGCTGGCGCGCGTGCCACGCGCAATAAGCGCAAAGCCACCCGCCAGCTCGACAAGCTCAACTTCGACGACGACGACCAAGAAGAGGAAGAGGACGATGACGATGACGATGAAGAGGAAGAAGACGATGACGATGAGGAAGAAGAAGAAGACGACGACGACGAAGACGACGACGACGACGATGCTCCTGCTCCCGTGCTGCTGCTGCCGCCACAGCCACCAAAGGACATCGACAGCAAGAAGCTGCCCGTTCTTCTCTCTCTCGTAAGTATTTGTTTCTTGTTCCGAAAACCTACCTAACGCGTTCCAGTTCTGCGGCCCCAAGGGCATCACTGGCGAGACGATGTTCCACCTCGAGAGCGTCGGCTCAATTGCCGAGATCAGGTCCCTTCTGGGCAAACACTTCTTCTGGGAGTTGACGCGCGCTGGCGCCACCCTTCCGCCTGTCCCTTCCCGCCTCAACTTCATGAGGATGAACTGCTGGGGCCCAGATCGCGAGGGTCCAATGAAAGGGGCATGGCCCATCTCTACTGTCGACGTGTACCAGCAATGGTACGACTCTCTGCTTGCCGGCTCCTGGAAGCACGGCCAATTCGCGAGGATTCAGGTGGTCGCCTTGACCGACCAGATGCTCTTCCGGGACCAGCAGAAGTACCGGGACTATCTCCAGCTTGACGAGAACCCGGCCCCATACTGGTTCGCACCGCTGCTCGAGGAGATGGAGGGCACCAAGTGGCTTTTCGATAAGCCCGTGGGGGACCCTATCGACGGCAGAGAGTGGGGAAAGGGGGAGAAGGAAGGGGAGTTGGAGGTGGAGTTGGAGGTGGAGGTGGAGGTGGAGGCGGAGGAGAATGGCCAGTAGGCAGCAGTGTTTGTAAGACCTATCTGGCGGCGAGCGGTCGGTTCGATGCCTTACACTACCGCGTCGGTCGACCCTCGCCAGGATCGCCCAGGAGGGGTGAAGGGGATTTGGGGATGTTGGGCGGAAAGGGGGAACAGCAGATGCGCTGAATCGGCGTCTTACACTACCGCGCTGGTCTTCGCATCTTGCTTTAGTACCTGTTACCCAGTAGATAGGTAGATAGCACCAAGAACCGCAAAGGTAAATGGATAATACCAAAGGAAAAGAAAGCTCGTCTTCGTGCTTCGTGATCTACGCGTCGTAGTTCATTGGGTGGATAAGAATAGAGCAGGCTGCATCCCCTCATGCATCCTGCACGACACCACGGACTTTAACGCCTATCAGCAACACACCAAACGCGGTACTTGCTAATGGGAATGCTTGAACTGGAAGCATGATTATACATGAGCTACTTAGTCACGGCAGAGGCAGTATCCGTTGCAAGCTAGTGAGCCGTGTTATCGGTCGCTTCCCAAGCAGTCCTTCCTGCCACTTATCACGCCACCAGCAGATGAGGAAGGAACAGGAATCGCCTGCTCCAACAAATCATGTTTCCGACTGGAAGTCACACCCAATACCACGTTCTACTGAGCTAAATCTCATCACTTGTTCGATGACGCTTGAGTTACTCTCGTGACTACAGAGCACGAAGCGCAGTCAGAAGTAAGTCTCACACGGCAAATACACCATTGGACAGGTGTTGAACACGATGAAGCCGCGGCCATCCCACTCCGCTACGATGCCGAACACGCAGTTCCTTAGCCTCCACCACCAACCATGCGGCTCATTGACTCCAACAGCTTAGGCTCCGTTGTCTCCGGGCCCACGGCTTCGCTTAGGATCTAACGGTGCCCTGCGAGATCCTGCTTTTCGAGATTCCCAGCCAGTGCTTTGACAAGAAGAGCTTCTGTTACATCATACAGCAATCAGCTCGGAGATGAATAGAAGGGAGAATCATCATATCGCTACGGGCGTGAGAACAATAAACCCTAACAATGCTCATAGGCACTGCCCAGGATAATCCATCCGGACTGCGAGACTGCTGCATAACAAGCTTGAAGATCTGTCTCTCGTGCCCAGCTAGGCGGCAAGCGGCAAGGCCTATCAAGGCCCTGCTTCACCACCCCTGTCCACCCAACCTCGTCATTGTCTCAAACTTTCCCACCACTTCTCTATTTTCCAAACCCCTCCACCTGCGACGTTGTCGTCGGTTGTCCGCAGGACCGCAGGCTGGTCTGAATCATGGAAACGAGCGGTAGGCCCAGAAAAAAAAGCAGGTAAGCGGATTGCATCCGTGCACATGCATGACGAAGGTTTCCTTCCTCTTCCTATCTGCTATATCGCACACATTCTACAATACTGCATCTGCGCCTCTGCTTCAGCTCAACCTGTCAACGTCGATCCTTCCATTCGTTCGTTGCACCGTTCTCGAAGTTTGACTAGCACTGCCCGGTGGTATACAGACCCGAGAATCTGTCACTCTCTTCATTTTACGAGACCTGCCTCCAGGATACTATCACCTCAAGCGAACACCGCAGCTCGATTGGTGTAGCAATTGCGCACTCGTTGTCAAGCGGGATCACGACTCTCCACTGCCCATTGGGCATATCGAGCCATAATCAACATCAGCATGCGTCCAGCAACTCTCCTCACAACGGCGTTCATGCCCCTCCTCGCACTCACCAGCCCAACACCCGTACATGAGTCCTCTCCTGCCCCGGAAGCAGAGATCCTAGCGCCCGACTGGCCATCACTCTCACAACTCCTCAATCGAGTACACCCTGGGGTTCTGCATACAGTCCTGCACTCTCTCGCTCCCAAATACCAAGATGGCGTCTTCGACGATGATCGCTCAGCCGTTGCGTCCGTCCACGCATCAGACCACATCGTCGCCACAAAGCTAGTGCATCTCGCGCTCAAGAGGCAGGACAATGGCACAGTGCCAGAGACAACACCATCGTCGACACCGACACCAACGCCCACGCCCACACCAGACAGCACTACCCCGCCAGCAGAGACAACTCCAAGCCAAACGCCCGAGACTACACCAAGCGCCAGCCCGAGCAGCACACCAACCCTCGACGCCAGCCAATCAAGCGTCATAGAATCCCAGTCAAGCGTCATCGAGTCCCAGCTCCAGAGCCAGGTCACCGCCAGCGAACAGCCTTCACCAACCACGGTCGAGATCGCACCAACAACCCCACCGAATGCTACGCCCGTGCGTACCGTTGATGGCGGCGTCGTGTTTTCAACAATCGGAGGCGGTGTCGTTACTGCGACATCAGCCCGCATCCCAGTGAGCTTCACCAAGAGCTCAAGCACGCGGATATCGGTCACGACGAACGCGGATGGCAGCGTGCAGACTTTGACGAGTGTGGTGGTCGTGAATGCACCGGTGACGGGAAGTGGTGACGCGGAGGGCGCGGCGGCGAGTGGGAGTGGGCCTGGCTTGCAGAATGTGGGTGGGCCTGGTGCGGTCGTCGTGTCACCAGTCTGGGTATGGAGCGTTGCTGTTGGTGCTGGATTGGCTGGTGTGATGGCTTTTGCTTTGTGAGCTGGATGCCACGAGAGCAGCACGGAGAGATACAAGAAGGCAATGTCTACTCAACTTGGAGAGGAATGGTCCTGCGGACAAAGGCAACGGAGCCCAAGCCAGAAGGATTGTGGAAGACGAGGAGAAAGAGCTGGACATGATCTCAAGTGGAAGGTTGGCCATGAAGCCACCGGTAACGCGATCCACGAAACACACGCAACGCACATGACATCTAATGCATCACATGGCGAAAGAGTAAAAGCTTGACCTTGGATAGAGAACACACAGCATAGCACACATACCTAGAGATTGCGCCAGCTACGATAATGTGAGGTGCAAGTTGAATATTCAATCCTCTGAAGCTTAGAAAAGGTTGTCTTGGACCATGACAATTCCACCCGACGCCCTTCTCATAACTCATCTTTCTTTCATCCAAGCCTCAAGTCCGTCCGTTGTGTAGATCATATATTATTATTCCCAAATCTTAGACCATCAAACCAACGAAGAAGCTCAAAATGGCGCCATTCAACAGCGTAGTGTCAAATGGCCCAACACGCCTCACAGCCTCTGCTAGAATAGCTACTGCTAGCGGAGGACGTAGGAGATTCTAGTCCGACTCTAGGTGCTGTCAAGAATGGTTTACTTTTTGCATTCTTGCGCTCATAGTACCGCCCAGGGGCCTATAGGCATGCCGATGCTCGGGTGCGGCGCTTGCGGTCACAGATCGTCTGACGAGCTCTGCCCTTTCGCCGCTGGTGCGCCAACCGGTACTTGACACATGAGAAACTTCGTCTATCTATCCTTCTTCCTCTCCTTCTCCTTCGGCTTCTGCTGTACCACATCATCACCTCCACCACTCGGTGTGGCTCCGGCAGTCTTGCCCGCGCTCTTCCCATCCCGCTCTCTCACCTCCACAACCCTATACTCCGTCTCACTCAAATCAATCCTCCTCCCCGTCCCCAACCCACCCATCCCCTTTCCCGTCAACACCCTCCCAACCAACCATCCCATCACAGCCCCCCACACAACTGTGATCGGCCATTCCTGCCACGCCCGATCCCAATCCAGCGCAATCGGCACCGCCCCAAACCACGCCCCTATGATCGTCCCAACACTGCTACCCCACACCCCTGCGCCATCGAAGGGGAGCCACGCGCTCACGACGTCTCGCCAGGCTGGGCCGGAGACGCCGTGTGCGTAGAATAGGGGGTAGAAGATCAGGAGGGACAAGTGGGTTGCAAGGGCGAGAGTGTGTGGAAGCAGAGACAAAGGGAGGAGCGGGGCGCCGAGGCAGTGCAGGATTATTTGGAGAGGGACGGGTGGGAGGAGGAGGGTCAAAACGAGGGAGAGCGTGGCCGGGAGGAGGCGGTGAAGGTAGGTTTGGAGGGTTGGGTCTGTCGGGTGGGTTGAGTTGGTGGAGGTGCGGAGGCCTTTTCGGCGGCCGATGGAGGATTTGCCGCTTGTGATCAGGGATGCGCTGTTGGTCTTGTCCGAGGTGTTCTTGTTGGGTGTGCTGCTTGCTGTGCTGCTGTTGCTGCTGCTGGTAGCTGATGGTGACTCGCTTACCCAACTGCCATAGCTCGGTACGCAGAGGACGCAGAAGATGGCTTGCGCGGTTGCAACGGGGATTATGTCGTATGTGAGCGTTCGTAGCGGGTCCGCGACTAGTGCGGAGGATCGCAGAAAGTATAGGGATGGTAGTAAGGCGGTGTGAATGAGCGAGTAGAGCTGCGCGGAGGGCGTATTGAGGAGGGGGATCGGGTTCGTGGTTGGCGTGAGGAGTCGTGGGCGCGAAGGAGCTGGCGCTGACGAAGGGAACGGAGCTGCGTCTGGCGGATGGACTATGTGGGCAAGCGGTGGAGGAGCCATGACTCAACGACCCGAGTGCCTGAGCCAGACAGTATGGCCGGAGGATTGAAGTTGTCGAGCGTAGATGCTCCGCCGCGGCGCACCGTGTGCCGCCTGAGCTTGCCGGAACTGCTAGCAGCAAGCCTTCATGCGACCAGCAATGCTGCGAGTAGCTGCTGGCCAGGGCTTCGAGCTCTGAGGTACAGTACAATACAGCCTCACGTGGTGACAGTGCAGTGCCTCAAATTCATCTCTCGTTGACTCTAGGAAGTTGGAGAATCGCGGGAAAGCCTTGGCGGAAAGCGCGCCTTGAGAAGGGCGGAAGAAACGATTAAGCAATCACAGTTCATCGTTGAATCAAACAGGAGAGCAGGAATGAGTGAACGACTGTTCATTACGAAGACCCGGCTCGCTCACTGCTGACCAGGTCAATCACGCTATAAGCAACGCTTATGTATGCTTCTCTTCGCTTCTCGCGACACATCCAGCTGGGTAGGATACTTCTGCTCCGGCTCCTTACTGATACATCCATTCCCTCGTCCCATCGTCATCAAGTCCAAAAACACATCGCTTTGTATATTATGCAAAAGGGTATATAAGTAAACAAAAAGCATTGTGCCGGCGCAGCCGTTGCTTAACGAACGCTTAGAATCAGAAAGGAATCGCCTCTGCCGTGTTGTAGTGAGGCCGTTTGTGGTCAATTTACGCCAATCAATGGCGACGACCGTTGCTGATGTGCTTGTTCGAATGTGAACTTCGTGTCTTGCGGTGTCTCGTAGACTTCGTCGTAGTAGTCGGATTCGACATCGCTCATGCTGAATCGTGACTGCTCGGGTTGCTGATTCTCCTTGTTCGGGAATGGTGGTGACCTTCGGAGCGTCCTTTGCGTGTTGGGTGTATCGTGTGTACCGGGTTGGTTCGGCGTTATTGGATAGCCGACTTGCCGGATTTCGGCATAGATAGGTTGTCTGAGAGCTTCGAGCTCTTTCTGGAGGTCGTTGACCTGTGCTTCGAGCTGTCTCCGGGAGTTTTGTTCTCGTCGGAGAATTTCCATCAGCTTGTCGAATTGATCGACTGTGATGCGCACTGGCGAAGGCGGCGAGCCGCCCGAGCGGCGATGTGCTGTGAGTGGACGGATCGTTGTTGCCTTGCTTGTGCGATCAGGCACGTATGCCTGCTCGTTCTCTGACTCGGGCACAGGCGAGTGGTCTGGTGAGCTCAGAAATGATGTTGGCTCGAGACTCGACGATGACATGCCAGAGTCTGTCTCCGGGAACAAATCGTGTATTGATCTCCGCTTGAGTGGCATCTTAGGTGGAGGCGCTGATTTGACATCCCTGCCCTGCAATTTCTCGATGGCATACTCAAAGTCAATCATCTTCACCTCGAGCGTGTTCACTCGATCTTCGAGTGTCGCATCCTTGCCTTCCCGCTCGTTCAGCCCGAAATCGAACGTCTGAAGTGTCGTTATTTTGGTTGATGGCTCCGTTTCCGACATCGTCGATTGTGTCACATCATCTCGTTGATCCTCCTGGTAGGACTGGTTTGTTGGTAAGGGGTTGTCGACAACACTCTGCCTCCAAAATGCGATATCTGACTCTCGGTCTCGAACGCCTGCGTTGCGAAACCTGATCTCTGAAATCATCTTGTTGAGAGCATCTGCACTTCTCGATCGACGTTTGTAGTGTCGCAGGTCGAGCTCCTGCCGTTGCCGTGATCGAGCAATAAGATCATTGTCTTTTGGCTCGGCTAGTATTTGCGCCATCTCATCGGTAATGACAAGGCTAGGCAGTGTATTCCGACGACGATGTTGTATTGGTGGTGACGGCCTGTGTTGTTCATCCTCGTCCCCAGCCGGGTTGTAATTTTGATTGAAGCCATGGGAACCTAGGGCACTTTCCCGTATGACACTGCCGGTCGGCTGAGATGGAATTCGTGTGACCACAGGAGTCCTCGGGCCTTCCGCGATCGCTGTCAAATTTCCGGGGTCCTGGACGTCAGTCAGTATTGCGTCGCGCCTTCCCAATTGAGAAGTAAACATACACTGCGATGGTAGGGCCCTCGGTCCTGCTCGACGCTGGGCCGCCCTCGTTTGCTACCAAACATGCGCCTTAGCGTCGCCCGGAACCCAGTATTCTTCCTTTGGTTGATCGACTCCTTGGAAGGTACACTGGACATTGAGCTGGCCATGAACGAAGGACCCATTGAGGCGCGACCAGCGTCACCTGGACCAAGGTTGCCAGTACTGTAGTGTCGGCCCCTTTGCGTGTCGGCAGTCGATGTCTTGATCGGCCAGTCGCTATTCGGTCTGTAGGAAGTAGAAGCGTCCTGGTCGTGGGGTATGGGATCAGAGATCTTTATCTCCCCGCGCCGTATGGCCGCCCCTGTTGTAGATGATCGAAGTAAGGAGCCATTGGAGTATCGGCTCTGCTCTGGTGGGGAAGACATGGCTACCAGGGAGCGCGCACGAATGTAGGCGAGTTGCAGCCCTTCTCAGTCAGGACTATTGCAAAGATGTGCAGAAGGGCATCTTTGTAGACGCGATGCGGCCCCGGACGCAATTGCAGGACGTGCACTCGTTCCACAGCAGTTCGCAATTATGACCGCGGAGCCGCTGCCAGGAATGTGCCGGAATAGGACGCTCTGACAGAACTTCAATCCAGTCCTGATGGAAATATACCAGCGGGTAAGGCGCCGACCTGACTTAAGAGCCCGCCAACGAAATGAACGGAAGGATCGCTCAGAGCTGTTGCATCGGGTCGGCTCTGATCGAGGAATGTGTACAAAGATAGACTCTCGGCGCTGTAAGCAGAGCCGGCAAAGGCGATTAGATCAATGTATAAGCGACGTGGAGGCCTGAGGTGAACTCCTGATCAGAATAGTAAGGCGTACGATGCGTCGGAAGGCCACACATGCATCGAGGAGTGCAAGAAGACGAATGTTCAGTGTTCAATCGATTTCGCAGACAATGATATTGTGGTCTTAGAGGTCATGCAGAGAAGAGGGGCATTGGACTGAAAACGTGTGCCTCGCAATCAGGTTTCTTGCAGGGATTGAACGGCCCGAGAAGAAGCAGAGTGAGGACGTGGAGTCGTCCAAGGAGCCAGGATTGTCCAGGAACAGCAATCGCAGACTCCGGCAAGATGTGTACGGAAGGCTCGTCAGGCAAGGGACTGCATGTTGGCAGTTTCATCGCCATGAATCAAACCTAGATCTGGTTGGAGGCGGGCAATAGCACGTAAGACGACGACAAGCGAAGCTCGACGGCAAGACAGGCGAGTGAGATGGTGTGCTTCAGTATCGTTAACCGATGCCGAAAGTAGAGCAGTGGCGACATAGTTCATCTTGATGCGGCAGCGACCTTGCAATGCTATTGATACAAATTTTCCGAATCAAATATCGTGATTCATTGCGCAAGAACAAATGAGCTTGCAAAGTGACATGAATGGTGTCCGAGGTTGTGGAAGATCGCGAACTTTCCCAGGGGTCCATCTTCACCTAGAGTCTTTCTAGCTCGAACGCTACCAACGGTCAATTGCGCCCCCATGGCGGACGCGGCTTCTGAGTGGTGGGCGACCTTGTCACCGGTCCTTCTGGAAGGGTTGCTCAGCTGCTGATACTTTTCGTTGATCCTGCAGATTACTTGCACCGCCTTGACTCGTGAGAAGGTTTCCGAGGTCTTTGTCCTTACATTTTAGACTGGTTGCTTCGAGGCAATGCACCGAAGCATTGCGCAGCAGAAGAAACTTTTTGACAGCATTCATTTGCACTTGTGGAGTGCTAGAAGTTCGAACTTCGTACTCGGGCTGCGGCGAGCCCATCAAAGACCCGGGGAACTCGCGGTGAATGGTTACTCGAGACCATGATCCCAGTCAATGCGTCATGCACCTGGTTTTCTCGGGCATGCAAGTCATCATCCGGGAAAACATATGGGTTTCACCAAGGAACAAGTCTGCAGCTTGAGACGCGCTCTTGACGCGTGGAATAGGGGGCAGAATTCGGAGCACAGTTTTCATCTCCATTCAAGTTGATGGCGTGCCAGTGCTGTGCCTTGCAGCACACTGTCGATATAGTCGTCGCATGCTCGCTCAGTCTTACGATGACAGCTTTGAAGCATGCGGAGGGGCCATTCGCAGTTCGCAGATGCGAGTCGCTTGGCGGGCTATACCGACGAGCCCGCCAAGAAAGATCCTGCCTCGATTCCAGATCTCTAAGCTCACCTGCTTGTACTTTTGTTATCTGTTGCAATATCGAAGCGATTGCCGAAACACACTCAGCCGCAGCATCTAGAAGCTCTCGAGCCGCAGATCGAGGCAACCTCTTCCTTCAAGTGTGTGTAAGTGGAATGATTCTGATCTTGTGGCCGCGCCTCAGCTCAGCTCGAGCTCATCTAAGCTTGGATACCGCAGGTCAGCGTTATCTTCGAGGTGCTTCATCCACCTTTTGAGGAACGGTGAGCCTCTGTACAGCCATTGGTCAGTATCTGCAAAGCATCAAATCAGCAGGTACATTGGCTTACCTCGACACTGTTTCCGAGTCACCAATCACACACAGATGCCTTCTTGGTCGAGTCATCGCCACTAGCATGAATGTCAGTTGCTGCTCGCCAGCTTCCCGTCGTTTGAGTGCATGCTCACCGTTGAGGCGTCTCTTCTCTCCAAGGAAGCCCACTTCATGCTCTGGATTACTCCTTACGAGACTCACGATGACAGCCTCCTTTTCTCTTCCTTGGAACCCATCAACACTGCCCATCTCAATGCCAGGGTAGGTCTCTCGCAGCATTCCACTAATGACGGCAAGTTGCGCATTGTAAGGTGTGATGACTGCAATGTCTTCATCCCCGATGCCAGCAGCAATCAGGTTCTGCACATGCATCTTCACCACTGCGGCTTCCATCTCATTGCTCTTGCTGTCGCCGAGCAACACACTTTTCTTGGCCTTGCCGTCTGTGGCGCCGTCCTCCGTCTTCTCTGGGAAGTCGCCACCTTGCGTGTCGTAGAACACTAGCGGCTCTCGTGTATCCTCTGTGTCTTCGACATCATACTCAAGATCTCTGAGCAGGCGCGCTTCCACGCCAGTAGCTGCTTGCAATTCACCGTCGTACAACTCGTCGCTTGGGAAGCGCATAATCCGCTCGTGCATCCGATACTGCACATTGAGCAGGCGCTTGATGTCGTTCCCATAGAGACTCAGCAGACGGTCGAACATCGTGGTCTCTAGCGACCAGCTTTTGCACTTCTTGACGACAGCATCTTCTATCGCCAACTTCCTCAGCTCCTCTTCTAAGGCCTTGATTCTTTTCTTCTCTTCTGCTTTGTCAATCTCGCCGTCCTTTCCCTTAATAGTGGGCGGTAGCTGAAGGTGATCGCCTGCCAACACTAGCTTGCTAACCTCGCCAGCCATGACGACCGGTATCCAGCACTGTGGCTCTACCGCTTGTGCTGCCTCATCTACAACAACGACATCGAACTTCTTCCCACCAGCAGCACCGCCAACGTCCCTCCCGCCAGCCCCATGAAGCGTGCTGACCACGACCCCACAGCCCTGTACTACTTCTCTTACTACCCTTCCTTCCCGCTCTCGGTACTCTCGTCTCAGCTCCCTCACCTCGCCCCAGACTTTCCCTCGCTCGCCCTTGCCTTTGATCTTTCCACTGCGCACCTCCTTCACTCGCTCTTCGATCTCTTTGCCAACGTCTTTTACCAGTCCTCTCTGCTCACTCTGATCACTCAGCACTTCTAGACTCCGTCCGAGCACACTCGGCAGCAAGCGCGCTGGGTGACCGACTCTGACGACATTTGTCTTCGGTGAGGTCGCTGTGAGTCGCTCGACGATGTTGTCTACGGAGATATTACTAGGCCCGCACACTAGCACACGCTTGCCCTGGTCGAGATATTGCAGAATCAGCTCAATCAGAGTGTAGGTCTTGCCGGTTCCGGGTGGACCGTGGATTAGAGCGATGTCGGGCGCTGCTAAGGCGAACTGTATGGCGGCTTTTTGGGAAGGGTTGAGGTTCGGGTTGTGGAATGTGATGTTCTTGGCCTCTGGAGAATTGAGGTCTGGTGGGGTGGGTGTCTCGAGACCGAACAAGATGCGCTGAAGCGGCGTATATGACTCGGGAGGAGTCTTGAGCAGGGTCGTGAGAGTCTGTGTCATTCGGCGATTTGGAATGTCATTCGCGAGTTTGACCCTGGTGCAAAATGTCAGCAAAGATGCCCCAAGGGAGCGGGCAAAGTTATTAGAGCACGTACAGCCATAGCCTTCCATCACCCAATCCGTCCACACCACTATCGCCGTCGTCATCCTTGCCGCCCCTTTTGCCAAGCGCAACCTCAACTTTCCGCTCCCCAGTCTTGACCACAACACCTTCCACGCCCTCCTTCTCCTCGCCCTTTCCATCTTTCCCTCCTTTCCGCCTTCCGCCCTCTTTCACCCTCTCCGCCAGCCGCACCACATCTCCGACTCCGATGCCATGCTCCGGCAGCCTTCCCTCAGCACTCGCATCTGCAGTAGCTGGGTCTAGACCTAAGCTTAGAACTGTTCGTCCGCCTAGGCCGGTGCGCGTGGCTGTGATGCAGAGGTTCAGCAGGGCCAGGCCGGCGCGGGCGAGGACGGCGGGTGGAGTAGAAGAGAGCAGAAGTGTAGTTTGGGAGAGCTCGACGGCGAGCTCGAGGTTGAGGAGGGAGAGAAGGGTGTGGATGTAGGCGGCTGGTGGGATTGGTGTTGAGGATTTTGGTGGCTTTGACGGTCTCGAACTTTTGAGGTTGGGTTTGGGCTTCGTGCGTGTTGGTAGAGTCGTCTCGTTTGATGTCGACTCGGCCTTTGGAGAAATTTCCGCTGGCTCTGGCCGCTCCTGAGATTCTGGCATGGTCTTTCAATATGGTAGGTTCATGGTACGGCGAACCAGCGTCTCTGTAGCCAAAAATCTTCCTGGACGTGTGAGGCTGTCGGCCCGGTAAGGTCACGGATTACTGGGTATGATGATACAAAGCAGTCAGAGGTCCACCAAACTTTCATGAGACCATCGATGGGAGTATTGGTGCAGATGGAAAAGGTGTTGAAGTTTGCCTTGCCTTGAGTCATGTAAATATATTTGCCTGATCCGATTGCCTGATTTCATTGCCTTTCACTTGCTAACACTACAATCATACATGTCACGCTGAACGCTCATAAGATCTGTCACGAGATCTGCCACGACGTCTGTCGCCACCGGCTGGCAGCTTTCGCTCAGCCCAGTCCTTCTGTGGTTGTCAAACCTCGAGATGTCCTCCAGATCCTGGCGACTTCTCTGATATCCAACCTGCCCGGCCCTCACCCTGCCATCGCTTTTCACCCGTCCAGAATCTGACGAGGCCCTCTGCGCCAACCTTGTCGCCTTCTCGATACAGGTTGCTGATGTCGACATTCAACGGACTGTCTAGACCCGGATCGTTCAGCAGCTGCTGTATTGCGCCCATCGTGCTTGCTAATGTGTATGTTGGGGCCCAGTGTTCGGACGTCAACAGCGTCAAACAGATTTCTCCGCTCTTGAAGTCCACATTTGGATGGCAGATGGGTGTCTTGAAATGTATTTTGGGAGGCTGGTTCGGATAGCTGGAGGGCACCTCAATCTCTAGCAGCCACAGTCCTCCAGCGTATGGTGACGATGGGTCGCGCGAACCTTTTAGGACTGCTTCCCAGGTGAAAATGTCTTCGTCGGAGGCAGGTCCAAGATGCAGGAATGCGTCTGAGGGCGCCTCCCGTAGATCGGTCAACTCATGGGTAAGTCGCTTCAAGGCGGAGCCGGAGCTGGATTTCGAGGATGACTTCGCACTGCGGGAGGTCTTAGAGGACATCGCGGAAACTAGACCGATGTGTTGTGAGATGTAAAGGTTGTATCGGCTGTATCGCAGAGAAAACTTGTGTCTGTAGCAAGAGATAGCGAAGCGTGAGCAGGTGCAATGCACGATGACAACGACCAGCCACCGGGAAAGCCCCAGGCATCGTAACCCTATCGTTGGGCCTCGGCACGCCTAAACCCCAAGCAGTTGCAGTTGAAGCTTGACCCCTGAAGCGAATCTGGGGTTTCTGCAGGGTCCAAGATCCAGATCGCGACGCGAGGAATTTGAGGAGTCGAGTTCTTTCTCTTCTGACTGCGAGCTCTTCAGTCAGACTCAGCAGCAGCTTCACGTATCACATATCAGGAGGTACCTACCAGCAGTAGTGGCCATGCGAGCTTCAAAGCTTTCGCAAGACACCACCAGGATCTTCAATGCATTATCTGGGAATGCTCGTATCGGCTCGAGGAGGACGACCAGAAGTTCGAAAAGGATATCGACGTTCGCCCTCGGCCACGATGGCACGGTTGAGGTGAACGAGGAAGATGCAGATCTGTTAGACACCCCATCAAGCACTGCGGGGGACATCGAAGACGGCCTGAACACACCTCCTCCTTCGAATCGCAAGCGGAAACGAGGGAGTGAGTCGCCACCGTCGACACCAATAGTCAAGGTCAGCAAGATTACGACGATCAAGACAGAACTTAGTCCGCCATCACTTGAGGCTATACCGGCGGCAGACACGCCACGGCAGAAAGCCAAGCCAAAGATACCCGCAAAGCGGAAGTTACAGGATGATGGCACATACGCTTATACAGCGCCATCGAACTGGTCTGAGATCTACTCTATCGTCAAAGCCCAGCGAGAGCGGAATCCTACAGCACCAGTGGACACTATGGGATGCGAAGACCTGTACTGGACGTCTTCACCTCCAGCGCAGAAGCGCTATCACACCCTGGTAGCCCTTATGCTATCATCACAGACCAAGGACACGGTCACGGCGGCCGCGATGCAGCGTCTGCACACGGAGCTGAACCCAGTTGCGCCATTCACAGAAGCTGGTCTGCCGAGAAATTCCTCACTAACCGTAGAGAACATAATCGCGGCCACGCCACAACATCTCGACAGCCTCATCTCGAAGGTCGGCTTTCACAATAACAAGACACGCTTCCTCAAACTTACTGCCGAAACGCTCAGGGACCAATTTGACTCAGATGTCCCCGACACACTCGAGGGCCTGGTCTCGCTGCCCGGAGTCGGGCCAAAGATGGCGTTCCTCTGCCTATCCGGAGCCTGGGGAAAGGACATTGGCATCGGAGTGGACGTCCATGTCCATCGTATCACCAACCTTTGGGGTTGGCACAATACGAAGTCACCCGAGGAGACTCGCATGTGGCTCGAAGGCTGGCTACCGAAGGACAAATGGCACGAGATCAACAAGATGCTGGTTGGGCTGGGCCAGTTGACGTGTCTACCTATCGGTAGGCGTTGCGGCGAGTGTGACCTGCAAGGAACCGGTCTCTGCAAGAGCGAAGTACGCGGCTGGAAGCCAAGTCCGAGGAAGCTCAAAGTAAAGATCGAGAGCGAGGAAAAGAAAATGGTTGTGAAGTACGAGAACATGGGCGGCGACAGAGGCTGATCATGCTATATGAGGGCAATGCCAGGTCTCGAATTTTCACGCCATCTTACCATATCTGACACTTCATGGTGTGCGTTGCTTGTAAAAGTGTCCATAATGCACCAGGAGCGTTTGGCGAAGCTGATATCCAGCAGTCCTTGCGATGGGCTGTCATTCTCTGGCTCGCGCACTTTCGTCAGGAGCCACTCGGTTACAGGCTGAATGCTACAAAATTCTTGTTCCGACATAGGCATCGATCTGTCAATCAAAGATCGATGGTGAAGCAAACACAAGCCCCCGCTTCTCCTACGTGCCAAGATATGAAGTCATTCCAAGCTCCAGCGGCACAGCTTATTCCGTCACAAGCAAACCCCGAGCGCGGCTTATTTCTCTTCAACGCTCCCGCGTTGGACTCATCTGACCACTGACAGCCCCGGACTCACTGCCTACCGGTGGCTTGCTTCCCCAGAAGCCCTTAAATGTGATTCCCCAATCTTGGGCAAAAGCCCTCGGCAGTCGACAGATCCCCCAATCCTACGCATCTCCGGCTTTGACAACCCATGAATTGAGCACCACGCTAAGGTGAGAGTATGACGATGGTGACAGGATCCCGGCTACGCACGATTGCAATAAAATGGGCGGCTCATTCTCGTCAAGTCTCAGGCCTTCTGATGTCTGTTCGCCTCGCAACGTGATACTCCCTGCGATAGTCTTGCAAGATGACTGAAAAGCAAGCCCCACCGAATAGATCAGAGTCCTCCCTGACAGAGGTTGGTTCTGAACGCGCTCGTACAACGCAGCCTGCCGAAAAGGAGCCCGCTCACATCGAGCAACAACCAGAGATCGATCCTGTGCTGAGCAAAAGAATCACCAGAAAATGCGACCTTCACATCATTCCCTGGCTCTTTGGCATATGGCTGTTCGCTTTCATCGATCGTTCTAATATCGGTAATGCTAGGTTAGTTGCAAGCATAAGACGCACCGCACTGCGAGATTGATCTGACGCCGTACAGAATCGATGGGCTCACCGAAGACCTGAAGCTCACAGGAACGGACTTCAATGTTGCCCTGGTCGTTTTCTATGTCCCATACATATTGGTGGATGTTCCTTCGAACTGGATCGTGAAGCACTTCAAGGCAGGTCGCTACTTGCCCTTCCTGATCACCAGCTGGGGAGTGGTCAGCACTTTTCTGGGATTCACGAAGTCCTATGGTGGTCTTGTTGCCGCAAGGTTCTTCCTGGGTCTGTGTGAAGGAGGTCTCCTCGGCGGAATGATTGTGTATCTGGCTATGTTCTATCGTCGGACGGAAATGCTGTACCGAATTGGACTGTTCTACTGCGCAGCTCCGCTCTCTGGCGCCTTCGGTGGCCTCTTAGCAACTGGACTAGCCAAGATCAATACTGGAGGATATGATGGTCAGTACCGATGCGGGATTGTATGGATTGCGTCTAACATGAACGCAGGTTGGCCTTGGATCTTCTTCATCGAGGGCGTGATCACAGTCTGCTTCGGAATATTATGCTTCCTCTTCATGCCGAACACCCCAGCCGATGCCATATTCTTCACAGAAGAGGAGAGATCCATGGCTCAGGTCCGCATGATGCACGACGCACATGGCAGCACGAAGCACTCGGATGTCAACAACGAGAAGTTTGATTGGCACTGGGTCCGCATGGCGTTGTTAAGCCCCAACACCATGTTCTGCTCCCTGGCCTGGTTCTTCCTGTTGGTTCCGCTTTATGTGAGGTTACGCAGATGATTCAGATGGGTTCATAATTTGCTGACGATGGGCAGAGCTTCTCCCTGTTCCTCCCCACGATCATCAAGGCGTTAGGGTACTCGGCAACCAAGGCGCAGCTGTTTTCGGTACCTCCAAATATGTGCGCATTCGTTTGTGTTCTCATCACGGCCGGGCTTTCCGATCGTCTTCGGGCGCGTGGACCATTCATGATCGGCGGCGCCATCGTCGCCATTGCGGGGTACATCATGCTTCTGGTAGCGAGCAAGCCTGCGGTCCGATACGGCGGGACATTCCTTGTTGCTAGCGGTGTCTTCACTGGATCTCCCATGGTACAACTCGCCTAACATTGCTGTGATACTGTGCTGACCGGTTCTGCAGGTGATGGGATGGCTGTCGAACAACACAGCTCCACACTTCGTACGGGTAAGTCAAGGAACACCGTCACGCTAGAATAGACTGACAAGGTCGAAGGCGACGGCAAGCGGCTTTCAGATCGCATTCGCAAACTGTGCAGCATTCATCGCCACGTTCACTTACCTGCAGAAAGATGGACCAGATTACAAGCTCGGCCACAGTCTCAATATTGGGGCATTGGTGCTTTGTATCATTACCGTGGCGGCGGGCATCTTCTACTGCCGATGGGAGAATGCGAAACGAGATCGCGGAGAAAGGGACCATCGTCTGACCGACGAAGATGAGTCACGATTAGGGCAGTAAGTGCATCCAGATCCAGTGTCTCTTCGTATCTCCGCATTTGCAATCTCGACGGTGCTGATCTACATGCCTAGCCGACATCCCAACTTCCGCTATGCCATCTAAGAGTTGCTCAATGTGGCATAGTTGAGGGCCTCCTCAACGGACAAATGAGCATAAATAGTACCACTGGCAATCTGATTCTTCACCGCAGAAATGTCAGTCAAGTTTTGCGCCTTCTCAGACCGAGACAATCCCGATTCGTGACGAAGAGCAGGTTCGAAGCGCATTGTCGTGCACGATTGCTGATCACTGTTGTGGGACTCATTTGTTACCACAATGCATTGTAAGCTCTATTCAATGAGGTCATCACCGTTGCACTTGCCAGGTCGGTGTTCTCATTGTACGAGCTCCTTCATGTCGCACGAGTTTCGGCTCCGCGCATCGGAGCCCAGCCAACGACATTCTGAAGCTATACAGAACCGACCGGAGTAGTAGCTGGGGTGCATGGAAGCTATTACACCACAGCAGAAAAGTCTTCATCAGCAGACACAGATTTGCACAATGCGGACCTGCAGCTCTAGACGGGTAGTATGAATGTTTGATTGAATCCGCCTTCGAGCTCGCGCTAAGACAAGGTCCGGCTTTCGGAAAATTCGAATAACAACCACGCATCCTAGCCACGTTTACTGCAAGTTTGAGACACTGGACAACGGCGTTGTAGGACTCCAGCCCGCACCATGTACTCCCGCAAAGCACTCCACGCTGCACTTCAGCCAACAATAAGCGACAACAGGTGAATGTCCTGCTAACACACCAGCCTCATCCTCGATTCATTGCATATGCGGCCGAGGCGTTGTGCGCCCTTCTCCAGCTTCTCATCAGTTGTCCAGCCTTTTGCTGTGGCACCAAGATGCGCATTGCACTCAGCACTAGCCACAACAGCATCAACAATGCTTCCAACTATAGCCACGTTTCCATCGAAGATCCGCAGCAATCCCAGTACCAAGGACCAGGATCCAGCTTCACCAACATTGGTCCTATTGCCAACAACAATCGGAAGCTCGACGAGGTGAACTTGGAATGCAATGCAACACGAGGCAGGAACATGTTTGTTGTGCCTCGTTACCTTTCTCATGCTGTGTAAAGCCAGCACCCAGCGCATTCGGCTATCGATTATGGTGTCGATGGCTGAGCGGTGGTATAAAGGATGGAAGTCCAGTAGTACTTCTAAAACTTCCGTTTCCACCAGCAAGACCTACAACATTCGTTTGCTGCATTCGAGTGAGCTTTGTCACTCGCTACGGGTCTCCTCCGCAATGCTTTGCTTGGCTATAGCCTTTTCATGGTCGCCGATGCTAATCCTCTACTGCCTCGAGGCACGTGGAGCGACTACGGTGGCGGCACCTCGTCGACGGAAGTTGCTGGGTGCACTGGTGGCTCGACAACGATATATGTCACTTCGATTTCAACGCTCTCGCCAGTTGCAGGTGGCTCTGTTACAACAATAAGCGCTCCCGTCGGGCCTACAAGCTGCCCAGTGGCCCCTCCTTCACCTGCGTCGACCATCACTGTACCAGGAAAGCCTTCAGAATGCCCATCAGTGCCCGCCGGCGGATCAGTCACAACCATTACAGTTTCTGGCGTACCTCCAAGTTGTCCCTCTAGCACTCCTGTGGCTCCCTGTACAGGCTCTACCACGTGAGACTACCCGGATGATCTAAGCTTGTCGCTAGCAGCCTCTAACGCTCGGACAGGACCATTACTGCACCTCCACTCACCGTTACCAGTGTAGGGCCCGGCAGGTAGGCAATCTGGTCCGTTCTAACTCCGCTCGCCGCTGATTTCGTGCAGCGTCACTACCGCAACTGTTTCTGGCCCAGGCTCTACGGCGTAGGTCCCAACTTGCCTCTGAAAAGTCTCCCTCTGTTGACATACACTTAGGACCCTCACTTCGACTATCTACGCCACTAAAACCGCGTATGCCACCACGACCGCGTATGCTACGACGACAGCATACGCTACCACAACTGCGTATGTTCCAACAACCGCATATGCTACGACGACAGCATACGCTACCACAACTGCGTATGTTCCAACAACCGCATATGCTACGACGACCGTGTATGCTACTAAAACTGCGTACGCTACCACAACCGCATACGCTACGACGACTGCATATGCTATGACGACCGCCTATGCTATGACGACCGCCTATGTTCCAACAACCGCGTACGCCACAACGACCGCATATGCTACAACTACCGTCTACGCTACTAAAACTGCGTACGCCACCACAACTACATACGCTACGACGACCGCATATGCCACGACGACCGCGTACGCCACGACGACCGTGTACGCCACGACCACCGCGTACGCCACGACGACCGCGTACGCAACCACTACGGCCTACGCCACCACGACCACCACGCTTCCAGCTGCAACAGTAACGAAAGTCACCACCTTGGCGCCCTCAACTATCTACACAACCACCACACTTTATGTCACCACAACAGCGACACTCCCAGCTTCCACAGTGACAAAACTCACAACTACTACTCTATACTCGACAGCGTACTCGACACTGGCACCTTCAACGACGACTCTCTACTCGACGGCCTATTCCACGGCTTATACCACAATCTATTCGACAGCGGTCAGCACCATCACATCAACTTCAGTCTCCACCGTAGTCAGTACCAGCGTCTCAGTCTCTACTACCACGGCTGCTTGCACCGGGTGGTCTGATCATAGTGGGAAGGGTCGCTGGTTCTAGGCACTGATCGGCGGATCAAAAGGACAATTGACACTGCGGTGGCAGAAGGGAAAAGTAATGAAAATGGGACATCAATCTAACGAGCCACACGACAGCATTTCAATTCTTAGGAAAGAAAAAGGCAAAATCAAAAAGACCAGCAGATTACATATGCGGACGGAGGAAATCAGAGAACATGTGGTGTTGCATATTTCAAGTCGCGAGAGATCACGAGATCTCTTTTCGTAATACTTTGCATACTCATGAAGATATAACGATCTGAATGACATCGTACGTCAAGCGATCCTCAATAGGACAAAAGTTCTCCGTAGCCAGAATCCCTAGTAGCCCAGGCCACGTCCTGACCTCACTATCCGAGGACGCAGCCCTTTCATTCCCGAGAATCTTTCCAGGATACGTTGCGCCAGTGGCCAGTGTTGCAGCTAACGCCTCAGATGCAGACAGTTGACCTCAATTCATCAAGATTTGGGTTTGTTGTGGGAAACAAGGCAACCAGGAGCCCAGGCTCACACGCTAACGCTTTCTGTCCTAGCGTGTTATCAGTTTAGAACGCAACTCCAATGCACTGCACCTGCCTCCTGACACTGTACAAGCTCACCGGGTGCTTGCCTGAAGTCTCATAGAATCCGTCCATCGCCTGTCGTCCGTCACATCCCGCTTCGATCTCGACGCTCACCATGTCATATTCGGACAGGCTACTTGAGCATTGTCCTAGTCTTGGGAAATGCTCAAATCTGTCTCCTGGGCCTTGCGGCACACAGATCGACTTTTCGCTGGAGATGCCAACGAAGCGGTGCATCTGACAGATGGCCATCAGTCGTCCGAGGTCGGCCGACCACAGCACGGCGGCCAGCTCGACGGCGAGCTTCACCAGCTTGGGACGCCACTCCATTGGCAGGCCTTTGCAAGCTGCTCCGAGGCTCGTCATTGCTCGATGTCCCGAAGTGACGAGCGAAGCAGTCTTCGGCGGACGATGCGTTCAGTGCTGACCCAGTTGACTCATGAAAACCAGCAGCATAACGACATTTGCGGTGTGCTTGCCGCTTCGAAGCAGATGAGAAATCTCTTGAGAGCTCGGCAGCCTTGCGTTTCGTGAGCTTCACCTCGGCGGCTCTTATGGCTCTAAAGAACCTCAGACATACAGCTTGTCCACGCCCGTCATCAGAGCGTCGGTGATTGAGAGCTTGTCTGAAGGACAGCCATGTCCAGCTTGCTCTACAGTTCGATGTTTACCATCTGCTTTATGGATCGTTCATCCAGCGCTCTGGCATGATGCGAGGTCTGAACACTGTCGAATATGGCGAAAGGACGTTACATGATCTAGAAGCTGTCGTCTGTTCTGTGTCTGGGGGGACGTCTGGAAAATCGATGCTGCAAGCTGAGTTGACACCAGTGGTCGATCAGCCACTGAAGCAGTCAGGTGAGCAAAGATCAAAGGCATGTTCTGCTCTTCTAACTCATGTGTCCTACGTCTGGTTAACTTGTTGTGGCTAGAGCGCCAGGCATAGTCTTCCCCCACAATGATTTAACTTGAGCTTTCTCTAATACATTTGTTTCCATGCCTGGTATCGAGTCCTCACACCTTTGCAACTGCACCATTCACAATCTGGGACCAGTCTGCTTTGTGCCATTCAGCACAGCTGCTCGAGAGCATCCAGCTTGGCAGCGACCACAAAGCAAAGCCTTCCGCTTCTCATCGTCCCGAAGCCACCGTCGAACACCACAATGCCTCTCCTGACCCTTCCCAACGAGCTCCTAACGATCATCGCTAAGGCCCTGGCCGACGTAGGGACGAGCGACGATGTCACATTGCTTCGTCTAGTATGCCGCCACATGAACGCAATCATGTTTCACAACATCACACCAATTAGCGGCCTTCTCTCCACGATGCGGCTGGAGCTCAACGATGACAGCTGCCTGTGCATAGACAAGTTGTCTTCTCCGCCGCGCGCATCCATGTCAAGACACTATTGATCGAGACCGAGCTCCCTCTGCGAACATACAATCAGACACAGTACTATTCGAGCCTCAACAACTTCCCCATTCGGTCGCCAATAGCGGCGGAAAATACTACAACTCGGACCGCATACGGAAGGGCCCTCAAGCCACGAATCGATGTCACAAACCTCAATCAAGCGCAGAGACGAGCATTCTGGGACGTCTACCGCGAGAAGCTCAACGAGCAGGAGGCGTTCACACACCACTGGCCCGGTAATAACTCTAAAGGGTACAAGTCGACGGAGATCTTCCAGGCATTGCCGAGCCTCCAGACCATCAAGTTCACAGGTGGCAACTCCTCTCGATTCATGCTTCGTGAAGGCGATACCCTGAGCCCGGATTCCCTACACTATAGGACTCTTACCGTGCCTCCTCCCCTCAGCGTCGACGTCGGCCCGCAGAACCAGAACGCCGCCTATTTCGCGCGCGAAACACAGGCCCAGAAAGTCCCAGGCAAGTGGCTGTGCTCCATCTTGGATGGTCTGCTTCAATCAGGCAATGAGAGTGTCCAGCATCTCAGCATTGGTGGCCTTCCCCTGCAGTTCTTTCGGTTCATGCAGCTGCCAACCAATCACCCTGGTCTACCGGGACTCAAGACTCTCTGGATTACCCTCATGGCTCCGCGCACGCTGGCTCCACAGCAGAAAGATATCATACGTACCAACATCAACTTCTTTGCTAGTCATATCGGCCCTAATATCGAGGAACTACAGTGGCTTGGCGTAGCAGGCGAGAATGAGAATACCGGCGAGGTGTTTCCACATATCTTTGCGCCAAACCTCAACCTCGGCGTTGGTGTTGGCTCCCGTCTCGGTTCCCTGAAGCTCGACTGGACCGAGACCTCGTTCGCTGAGATGACGGGCTTGTTGGGCGTCCACGGTCACGGTCTGACGAAATTGAGCCTCGCCACCGTGAAGCTATCTGATGGGTATTGGGTCGACATCTTTCACAATATTCGCTATATCTGCCAGAACCTGCAGACCGTCAATATGGCGGAGAACATGGCGGACGAGTCGGGCGAGTTGGAGGAGGAGGAGACTGGTAGAGCTTGGGCTGCGAACCCTCTGGGGCAGGGTCCGCTGTACACGGAACTCTGCGACTGGCTCAAGCATGATCCTGCTGCGCATCCTGATGGTCCACTGCTTGCTACGTGACAAGGTGGGGATGAAGACGAGTGGGAGAATGAGGCTGACGACTCCTTTGATTATTGATGGAGCCGAGAAACGGCGACCAGTACAGGCACCCTGGAGGGGCGATCGAGGCGAAGGACGACTGTGTTTGAATGTCTAGGCAAAGGCTCAGTGAGCGACTGGGAGGCACGCTCTCTGAGCAAACCGCGCTCTGGACTGAAACCACCTAGAGCTGTCACGCAGACGAACGACAGCAGTGGACAAAACTACTTCGATAATTAGGCGAGGCTTGAGAAAGGCGTTTTGTTGGCTGATCAATCTTGTCGTCAGATCACCTGGCAGCATCGGAGGGGTCCTCGAATGGCAGCTTCGTGTGGGCAGGAAGTTGTCTAGATAGAATGGACCTTTACGCCCTTCCGAGAAGACTTGTGGCATTGTCATGGGGCGATAGCCGAAAGGAAAGTTTGTATGTATGTGTTCATCGAATTATTACCATGTAATGTCTATGCACCGTAGTACTCTGCTCATTCAGACGAGCTACCTTACCCACGACCTTCCACATCCAGGCAAATCGAATTCTGCGCCTGGAAAGCCATACTCGCGCGTTATATGCAACGCTTAAGCTGCGGGCGCTACAGCTAGTCCACTCCACCTGCCCCATGTACTCCCGCGAGACTGCGTCTGCAATGATGGGAAAAGGTCCCGCGTCGTGCAGTGAACCATCTGTGCACAATTCATGGCCGCGTAGCAAGTGCCCCCCCAGCACCTGCAGAAGCTTGCAAGATCCGCTCATTCGGTCCTCGTATTCGAATCTCACCGGAGCAGGTCCTTGAGCCCGTCAATCGAAGTGGCCTTCCTAGCTGTCGACCGCCACGCATGTGCACTGGCAAAGGGGCATGGCTTTACACCTCCACTATGTAGTTGCAATATATCCAAGAATATCCGAGCGAGGATATGTATTAATTTAAGCGCACATAGTTGCCTGTCGTACAGTGTTAGCAATCGAACGTCTAAGCGGTCTGAACGGTGGGCAAACATACCAGGAAATTGTCCTTGCCTCCCGTTCACTTTGCCAGTCCACCATTCGTTCTCGTTCTGCGTTCGTGTAACGATCTCGATGATGTCGCCGGTCATAAAACTCAGATCGCCCTCTGCCTGTGCCTCATAGTCGTACAGTGCTGTCACTGTCTCGGTAGCAGGCACGCCACTCAATCTGCTCGGCTTAGGCTTCGGTGGCGGTGGTTTTGACTTCCCTATCGCACTGAAAGCTGGCGACGTGGGCGTTGAGCCAGTAGCAGAAGGCGGTGAGTATGGCGGAGGTGGATTTGCAACGCCAGCTTCTGGATCTGCAGCGGCTGTGCCATTGCGTGCGTACTTGGATTTGCTGGCTTCGGCCTCCTTCGCCTTGGCGGCGTATTTCGATTGGTACTTACTGGCGCCAGGAGCAGTCTTGATGCCGCCGGTCGCCTTAAAGTGCACGATTGAGAGTTCTTCGGCCTTTTCTTTCACGTCGCCGCGCTTGGCTTCGAAGGCTTCCTCGATATCGAGGGCAAGGTCGAAGTAGCCGATGTTGATGGCTTGCATCTTTTCGTGTAACGTGTAGAAAACGTTGAGTTGCATGTAGTAGAAGGACTGGAATAGTGGGCGAATGAACTCGGCCTCGAGGGCGAAGAGTTTGGGTAGCTCGTCCTTGAGGAGATTGTTGAAATATTCGTAGTCCTGGGTGGCTTGCTCGACGTCGTTCTCGGCTTTGAAGAGCGCCTTCTCGTCCTTGAGAGTCTTGTCTTTCTTGTCCTGAAGTTTCTTGAGGGTTGTCCGGTGTCGGTCGTAGTCGATCTGTTTGTGGTCTCGTTTGAGGTTGACTTTTCGCACGATCTTGATGACTTCGAGCAGCTGGTCGGCGGGTGCTATTACGCGCTGCTCTATCATTTCGAGTTCGGGCGTCAGGGTGGCCTGCAGATCGCGGACGATAGCCTCGTATTCTTCACAGGCCTCAATGCCTTCTGGGTTGCCTTCCGGGATGGTCGAGTTGGGGTCGGACATGCGGCCTGATATGGGCTTGTAGATCTCGCCGATGGCTTTGGAGAATTCGATTTGGTGGTTTAGCATGCCTGGAGTCGTTAGTCGCGGCGATCAAGGTGACCGTAAGACAGCATACCATTGATAGCATCAAAGTACTTCTTGGACTCGTCGTGAAGCTTCTTGGTTTCCTTCTCGAGTTCCTCGAAGCGGCGCTCAGCATCGATGTATACGGCGTCTTTGGTGATGTCGCCGATGTTGAAGCGCTGCTTGAATGTCTGAGGCGCACGAGTAATGCTCTTTCCCACGCCTTTCAAACTCATGGTGGGCTGTCGAGGTCTCCCACCGACGCAAAATGTACCAAGACCAAAACTACGGATGATTCGGCAAGGTGAAGTCTGGGACAGTCGAAGCTTCGATATGGAAGAATAGTGTCCTGTCGCGACCACGTCTCTCTGAATAGAAGATCAGTCAAACTGCAATGCAGGGCAGAGTTGGGTACGAAGGCTGAGGCCTTCCGCTGTCAACGGCTGCACACCAAGACCTTGACGATGACGCAGCTCCGGCGGCGTGGCTGTGCTTGGCTGATGGGTGTGCTTGTTTGCTTGTCCTGGCACTAGAGAAATACTTGAGGACAGTAAATGCAGTAATAATTTGATATGAGGGGCCGGTCAATGGTCGCTTGAATCTTCAAGACAGGGGCTTCTTTTGCTTACGTTGGGCGTCGAGACGGGCTTGAGATGATTGTGCATCCTTCGTATTCTCGTCTTGGTCCCGCGCCATCGGCGTCGGCGTTAGCGGGGCGGAGATCCACTTAATCTTCGGCTCATCTGCATTCACTCATTCATCGTCTCTTGCGAGTCTACGACAACCTTGCCATCTTCACTTCTCGACTTCGGATAGCAGAAAGTGAACCTGAGTACTAGTGCGCGACCGCTAGATCACAGTCACCAGTCATGTCGACTCCCACGACATCAGCCGCGCGATCGGCCTCTCGCCACTGTACCCGTACCATAAATCTATCTCGGTCCAGCAGACCTGCCGTGACGTTCCTGAACCAGAGCAGAGGTCGACGAACATATGTCTCGCAGACGAAGCCTAATCAGGCTCAAGTCACCGATGTCGAGAGCGCCATCAAGGCAGACCAGCGCAAGTTTGTCGAGAAGAGTGGCAAAATGCCCTCAAATGCCAAACTACCAGGCTCCGGTCTTGATGGTGATATCGCCATGAGCCCAGCCGCTGGCATTCTGGGCCAAGCAACAGTCATGGACAAGGGGTCAAGACCGATCTACCTAGATGCTCAAGCGACGACACCTACCGACCCTCGAGTGCTTGACGCTATGCTTCCCTTCCTCACAGGCCTGTACGGCAACCCTCATTCTCGGACGCATGCCTACGGCTGGGAGACAGAGACCGCCGTTGACAAAGCACGAGAGCACGTGGCAAATCTCATTGGAGCAGATCCGAAGGAGATCATCTTTACTAGCGGCGCCACCGAGAGCAACAATATGAGCATCAAAGGTGTAGCAAGATTTTTTGGACGTGCGGGCAAGAAGAAGCACATAATCACATCGCAGACCGAGCACAAGTGTGTCCTCGACAGTTGCCGACATCTGCAAGACGAAGGATACGAGGTGACATACCTGCCAGTGGACAACAACGGCCTGATTAACCTACAAGAACTCGAAGCTGCCATGCGACCAGAGACATGTATCGTCAGCATCATGTCAGTCAATAACGAGATCGGCGTTATACAGCCAATGAAAGAAATCGGACAGCTCTGCAGATCAAAGAAGATCTACTTCCACACCGATGGCGCTCAGGCAGTCGGCAAGATCCCAATCAGCGTCAATGACTGGAACGTGGACCTGATGTCCATGTCTGGCCACAAAATCTATGGTCCCAACGGAATTGGCGCATGCTACGTCCGACGAAGACCCAGAGTCAGACTTGATCCTATCATCAGTGGTGGAGGTCAAGAAAGAGGTCTGCGAAGCGGCACTCTTGCACCACATTTGGTGGTTGGTTTTGGAGAGGCTTGTCGCATCGCGAAGGAGGAAATGGATGTGAGTCTACCCCTGCATTTCCCCTTTCGTTGATGACTTTACGCTGCGACAAATGCAAGAAATACGAGTGGCCGACACAAGCGTCCGTTGGCTACGTTGATCTAACAGCAGGGGTTCTGAGCCATGCTTCCCTCTTTCCTCTGCTCAAGCATTCATTCAGACAGGTGCTGACCATAGCACAGTATGACACAAACCATATCAATCGTCTCTCGAACCGCCTCAAGGATGGCTTACTTGCCATGGAACACACTTCACTGAACGGTGACCCAACTCGCCACTATCCTGGCTGCGTCAACATCTCATTCGCCTATGTCGAAGGCGAGTCTCTGCTCATGGCACTTAAAGACATTGCCCTGTCATCAGGAAGCGCCTGTACATCCGCATCACTCGAACCCAGCTATGTCCTAAGAGCACTCGGCAACAGTGATGAGAGTGCGCATAGCAGTATCCGCTTTGGTATTGGGCGATTCACAACAGATGCCGAGATCGACTACGTTCTTAAGGCCGTCAAGGAACGCGTCACATTCCTGCGTGAGCTCAGCCCACTCTGGGAGCTCGTGCAAGAGGGCATCGACCTCAACACCATCGAATGGAGTCAGCATTAGCCAACGATTGTGGAATTTGCTGGTACTTGGGAGAGCTTTATCTCTGTTTCGGGGAAAATTACTCCGTGGTTTGAATTGAGTGCGTGTCGGGTATAATGAATGTAAATTGTGTAAAATCACAACACGAAGGTGGGCCGGGCAAGGAAGGCGCACTTGCCGCGGAGGACTATTGACAACCTCCTGCTCGAAATAACAAATTTCATCCACAGCTTCCACAAATTTTCGAGTCTGTCTACTTCCTTCTCTGTTCAGCCCACGCTCAAACATATCGTCATCTTTAAACCCGTATTGAATTTCAACTTTGAAGCCGTTTCTAGCCGAAGGCGTCAGAAGACCAAGCACATCCTCGATACGCCCTATTTTGCTTCTGTCCATGCCGCAGGACTACTGTTGGATTCTTGGCTCTGAATTGACTTGCCTATGAGCCGGACTCACTACAGCCTACAGGCTAGGCCTCGGCAAATATGAGCTAGCAATGTGAGGACTCCTCGACTATTTCAAATCGCCGTCGACCTATGTGGCGATAGCCTCCTTTCCCTCAGTGTCTCAATACAAACCGGGCGTCGACTGCAGATACCGCGTCTTGCCGCGTTGTCGAATCAAGCACAAGGCAGAATGGGTCTGGGCTGCCTGTCTCGCGGCACGAGACATGCCTTGTCGACCAAGGCTCTGCTCCTTGTGGGCATTCAATACTGGCCTCGTGACGGCTTCCACACACTCGAGTAGTGCAGCGGTTGTGCCTCACTTTGGACGCGCAGAGATAGCGCGGATAGCGCTGTCGGGGAACGTCTCTCGACAGCTGTTGCCCGACTACAGAGGGTATTGTGACATTATGATTAGGATCGGCTGGACTCGATTCCTGCGCCTCAGAACTGGCTGCATGAATGCGGCTCTGCAAAACGCGAGCTAAACCACATCGGGAGCTCGTGCAGACAACATTTCCTCGACTGCCACTTCACTTCGTTCTTCTCGCCACAGCATGACGATGCTGCGCTTGGGCTTGTCCGCTTGCGGCTCATCAGATGCGCCTCCTCGCAACAGAGGAGCACCGAAGTCGGTCGACTTGACCCCGCTTCATCGAGCTGAGTCGCTGCAGATCCAGAGTGTCCCCAGTGACCACGGCTTCCTGCATGCTTTCAGGGCATGATGGTCGTACTGGAGGAGTCAGCCTTCGTGGCTGCTTTATGCTGCCTGTGCGACTCTCGCGGGCCAGTTCGCGAATATCAGGCATGCGTTCTGGCGCAGAGCCGCACGTCTCGCGGGAGCCATCGTGCACGCCAAACGAATCTGGATGGGCAGCATGTGCCCGGGATTTACTGTACTTGCCTAAGTGACACGCCTGCCACTTCGCGGATATGGTCTACAGACTACGAGTGACCCGACTGTCTCCGTCAGAGCGGCGTGATTGAACTATGTCGACCACTCTGCTTGACCTGCACCCAGACGTCTTCCATGCTATCGCTGGGAATTTGAGCATTGAAGATTACTACAGTCTGAGTCTTGTCAACAGACATCTGCGAGCTCTGCTTACCGATGATCACTGTGTTAGGCACTGTATCAAACACAACCTCTCCTCCTCCATCGAAGGTAGAGCGGTCACCCGCCACGGGCAAGGCTACTGGCAAAGTATAAGCCGGATTCATCAACAGCGGGAGGCTCTGAAATATGCTGACCCGTACTCTGTGAGCCAAATTGCCGATGTCGAAAGCTTTCTGTACGCAGATGGAGCGCTGGTCTACCTTACCCCCGGTCAAAGCACTGTACGAATACTTGATCTTTGCAAAAGAGGTCAGGAAGAAAAGGTCCTCAGTAGGGCCTTCATCATCAGCAAACTGTCAAGAGAGGCCAGCACCGATGCTTCGTATATCGACTGGGACTTACAGCTCCGGGCCTACAAGGACGATATCGTATGTGTCTCTGCTACACGAGGCAGACGGCTCAGGGGTTTCTTGCTCGCGTTTGATGTGAGCGAGGGCGACCAGCAAGAACGGTGTCTGCTGTGTGCGCCTCTTCCCGAATATGGAGTTCGAAAATTACAAGTAGTATCTAACAAGCAGTATCTATACTATTGTTGGCCAAATCGTCCCCGTTATTGGGACCCAAGGGATGGCAGAGCGCACTGGTCTGCTCATGGATTTCATTTGCGCAACGCCGCCAGTCGCGACACCAATTCGCTGAATACAGCCACATGCTACGCATCTGGCGATACTTTGGGGAAGCAGGAGGCACACAGTAGCGACTTTTTCTCCTCGAAGTGGATCCAAAGGGAGCCTTTCCAACTCTGCGGTCTATCGGGCCTGGATGTCGGTACGACCATCGCTTTCACGATTTTCGATGATCATTTCATCGCAGTGAGCAACGCCAAACCTGTAGATTGTCGAGGTTCCGAGCATTTATCGCCATACAACTGCTATTATCACTACGTTATGTTTCCTTTAGACGACCGCCATCCTTCTATCCGCACCAAATTCATCACGCGACGCAACAACGATGAGGGTGTGATTCACGACTCATGGACTCGAATGTCCTTTGGAGTGGACGAAGTCACTGGCAAGCTATTGTTGACTGAGGCGCGCCGTGAATGGAAAACGAACACAGAGGACAAGATGGAGGCTGGATAAGGAGCTGGTACACAATGCCGTTCCTTGACGCCGTTGCCACGCATGAAGCATCTTCCCTGGCCTCGGTGCTGTCATGCCCTACTCCCGACTGCTATGGCGGAGAGCTGAACTCAAAAAGTCCAATCGATTGGAATTCTGACGATATGGCACGAGTCCATTCACAACTTCTCTGGCGGTCGCAGCAATATGTCCATCCAGAGTCTGACTTTCTCGGTCCCTGCCTTGGAAAGTCCGGCCAACCACTGCTGTGTACACCGCGGCCGCCACGATCTGGCTTTGGGGGCATCCAAGAGTCTGCCGTGCCCTTGGGCAGCTCGGAACACACCCAAGCTAACACGCTGTTCACTTTCTACGACGTGAATCAGCGACTTGCGGTCGAGGTGGTGCTCAGTGATGACGAGCGACGAACGGGTATAAGAGAGGAGGACAAAGTCTGTCAAGCCGTACATGATCAGCGAGGCATTCACCTGAAATTTGTGAGCCGCATCGACCACGAGATGACTGCGGAAACATCGGCGACGCAGTTCGCCCAGAGTACAATCCAAGTATGGCCTACACGAATTGAGCCCTTCTTCTCAAGCAACTCCTTCCAGGAGTCACCAACAGAGAGCGGAAGTGATACTGAGTTTCCCTTGACACACTCGACGGACATGCGACCCGTAACACGTCCGCGAAGAGCGGAGACCAGGAATCAGCGATTGCCTAGCGAGCTGATTAACAAGGTTCTATGCCAGACCTGTCTGTGTTGGTCGGCAGAGCAAATCGAGCCTTGGCGTCGATCTGCTACAGAGCGCCGCTTCGTACCTGTCGACGCCGCGTTTGGCCCGAGTGGTCTGTTGTTGGCCTTCGAGCATCATTGTGATGCCCGCCATCACCGCAAGTTACTCTTTGATTTCATTTCCCAGGAGCGTCGTATGGGCAGAAGTATCCTCGGGTCAGCAAAGACTCTGTGGTACGTCTCGTTCGATCCAAGTTTTGGGTTCGAAGGTATGGAGAGGAGAGACGGGAGTTTGGCTACTCCGCGAGGGCCCTCATACGGCTTGCATCGTACGCCGGTCTGCACACAGCGCTTTTGTGCCAGCAGCAAGTGAGCAGCGATCGGTATGTGGAATCCCCGAAGTCGTCCGTCGCTCACACAGACAATTATAAGAAGCGAAAGCGGGAAGCGGAGCTGGATGGCGACAACGAGCAAGACGTTATTCCGAATGCACATGGGCGGCAGAGAGACGGCGAGACACGACGAACTCAGCGAAAGGAAACTCCGGACACTCTGCACTACGGCGAGAAATCAAGTCCCAGAGCTGATCCACCGCAACCGGCGTTGTCTACGCCGACTGCACAGGAGCCATTGATCTGGAAGGAAGACGCCATGTACCTGCAATTGCGCAAGGGGTGGTGGCTCCGCTGAGGCTTCGGCTTGGTAACGCCTTACTGTTCTTTGGGACGGAAACAAGCTGCCTGATGGATGGCGGGCACTATGAGCTCAGCTGCTTGTGTTGTTTAGCATGTCCTCGCCCGTTTTCTGCACGCATATTCTAGTCACACGCTGTCGTGTCCTCGCGCTTCTCGTACATCTGCCCATCTGTCAAGAACCTTGTTCTGGCGGACGTGGCATATCTACGGTTGGCACACGTACTTGTATGTCCATCCGAGCCTCTCAGTCGGAACGTCAAGGGGATAGCGAGGACGCCACGTCTCATTGGCGAGCGGTTCGTACACTGCACCATGCGGAACATGCAACTACCCCACTCAACCCTGGACGATCAGTACTGTCGCAGAGTCTAAGCCACCAATGAATCTGCTTCACTACCAAAAGTCCCGCTTGAAGGAAGGGACTTTTGTCTGATCTCCCTGAGAAGCGCGAACCTGCCCTCTCGTTCGTTCTGCTCCGCCGAGATCAGACCAACAATCGTTGCCTCAGTATTTACGGGCCCAGCTTCGAGACAATCGACGACAACGCGATTCGGGTGGATTCGTTGCCCCTCATGGCTGGCATAATACCTCTCAGCCTTCGCTCCTCGAGCTAATCGCTCATAGCATCGTTGAACCTCCCCAAGCCGTCGCCATGTCGGACAGGTGGTCCGGGAGGATCGACCCCAAAACTAAGAAAGCCCGTCGCTTCAGGAGCCCGGATCTCAGCCCGCCCCAGTACTACTGTGAGATACAAGGAGAGGAAGATCTCTCGTCACCATGGCATCATTTGTGTATACCTACACGGTCAACTCAACCGACTCACCTGGCTGCAGCAGATGGAGGCCCTTGCTTCCCGGAGGACAGTCCTCTGTCATATGGCAGCCGTCTCGGGCCAGATGAGATCCGCCTGGCTTTACTTTATCCTGGGCAACCGGACGATGACATCTTCCTGAGCACTGAAGTAGTCCCCACCGAGACTGCGATCAATAATTATTGCGCACTGTCCTATGTCTGCGGAGATCAAAGCGACAAGGTGCCGATTTGGGTTGACAATCACACATTTCAGGTGACACGAAATCTTAGATCGGCATTGTACGATGTCCGCAACACTCTACACGGAGAAAAAGTCCTCTGGATGTGGATCGATGCCATTTCAATCAATCAGCATGACGTTGTTGAACGAAGCGCTCAGGTACAGAAGATGAAGCAGATTTTCGAGGAAGCGATGGTTGTTGTTGCCTACATAGGACCTGACCATGGTGCAGGCGTCGCTTGTTTGAGGAATTCGGAGAGCTGTAACTTGGGAATTCATTCACTCAAATCCGCTGACGTCGCCATCCATCGGAGCTGGCTGCGCAGGCTATCCGAGAAGCGTAAATCGACGGGTGCAAGACTTCACGCACTGCTGAACGGTGATTTGACTCTTGAGCAGCAACGAGCTTATGCTGTGGACATCGACATATCGACCCGCTATGGCGATCCGGGCGTCGAAGACCATTTCAATGAGAGAACGTGGGGAGAATGTGGAGAAGCCGGAGACGATACCGCTGAGGAGACGTGGACAGAGGATGGAGAGAAGAGACGTTGGTGCGAAGCGAAGTCGTCCGGTCTCAAGTCCGCCCCGATCACTCGGGCTATCGACGAAGCTACGACTGCGTCACTCGCTGCGGCTGGCGTCACCAGCTTACATCGTGCCGATGACATGGAAGCTTTGTTTAGTATTCCGCCTGAGCAGCAAATCGAACCCGAAGCTGCAAGAAAAAGCAGTGCGATCATCAAGGCGGTCGAGCAGCTCTTTGCGATCATCAAGGCGGGCTTCCAGCTCGTCGCGAGAATAAAGGCGCAGGAAGAGCTCAGCACGGTGGAGCGAAGTCAACGACATGTGCAGACGTATATCGAGAATGTCAGAGTGCTGTTCGACGTGGTGGACAACCAGTACTGGCGGCGCGCCTGGACAATGCCGGAGTATACCTCGACTACCCTCAGAATTTTGCTGTCGGGATCCGAATGGATGCAGCTGGAGGACCTGCATGATGCTTTAAGCATGCAGAAGGCCGTTATGAGCCACTATAGTGCCATTTCTGATGCCTCGGACTTGGGCGTCGTAGCTACCCAGGTCTTTCAGCATGATATCGTGGGGGCACAAAATAAATTGGCCCTCGGCGCACTGAGAAGGAAACTACTAGTGGATGACGGCGGCAGTGCTCTTGCACAGTTCACGCTTCTTGATTTGCTTCTACGATATCGTAGATTGGAAGCAAGCGACCCACGAGACAAGGTATTCATTCCGCTCAATCTCTTGCCGCGGCCATTGCGGTATGGCGAAGTGATAGACGTCGACTACAGTCTATCAGTCAAAGACGTCTACGTTCAGACTGCGCTTCGCGTTCTTGGAAGCACTCCTGACTGGCCGCTCAGTATTCTCGAGCTGTGTAGGTTCGACCAGCAGAGGAAGCTGCCTTCGTGGGTACCAGACTGGAGCATCACTCACGTCCGGAGCTTCTTCATATTGGGGCCCTACGGGTCTATCCCACGAAGAGTCGATGCGGCGTCTGGTCTGTTCCCGCCCAGCGATACAGTACCAACCAAGTATATACCAGAATGCGATGGCCTCCAGTTGTGCGCCATCAAGGTAGGTCGTGTGTGCCAAGTCTGGCCTTCGCACACCACCGCCTCGAGGCTCGAGTTTTACCGGTCCTCGATAGGTTTACGTGCTGCGGAAGACACTGCCCTCGTCGAAGAGGTGTACCCCTTCACGGGAGAAACGGTTGTGCAGGCCATGAGATCAATGCTTGCGACGATACGGGGCGTAGATTCAGATGTGCTGCCGTCGGACAGACAAGGCTTAGACACAACTCACCATGAAGTAGGCAGGGAGACCCCACTTGCTGCAGATGATAGCGGCATTGCACTCGCCGAGCTCGTCACAGGAAGTGACGAGCAGCTTCATCACCGCGTGAAGCGCGACGATGTGAGTCACCAGAAAGAGCATTGGCCGAGGGATCAGCAGCACTCAGAAGAGAATCCCCTGACGCTGGTGCGCAGCGATCAATGGCAAAGCAGGGGGCGGGATCCAGGAATTCTGTTATACCGACGTCTCGCTCGTGTCGAGTTTGAAGGCCGCAGTGAATTCATCGCCGGGGTACTTCCCGCTGAAGCTGAGGTCGGTGACGAGATGTGGGCGATTCGTGGTGGGAACATGTTCTACACGTTGAGACAGATCCGGGATGTAGATACGAAGGCAGACTATGGCGAGCGTAAGGACGCTATTAGTGACGACATTGATGTTGTTGACAAGGACTCGGGTAAAGCTGGACGCTGTCTTATTGGCGAAGCTTGGCTGCATGGCCTCATGCATGGGGAGCTGAAAGACTACTGCAACCGACAAGGAATCTTTCTGCCATCGGAAGAGGAGATAATTCTATACTGAACATCAAGCGTGACAGTGGACTAACAAGGTTGTACGATCAGGATTGGGTCATTGAATGCTCTCACCGCGATGACCTAGCTACGATGCAGCCGTCGATGAAATGACTCTTGTGGCGGAGGAAAGCAACGCAGATCCGAGAGCCAGACATATAGAGGACAGACAGGACTAGGGATACTAAAGGAAGAGCGAAGGGAGAAGCAAGAGAAGAGCGCATATCATTTCGCTACGGTATGGACTACTCTCGAGACCAGCTCGATTTCGACATAAGACGCTGGCGCGTCTGTACACCATGCCACAGGTCAACTTTCCGCGGCGTCCTTGTAAAGCAGAAGTCACTATTTCGCAATGCTTCATTACGCGTCAAAACCCATCACCCAAATCGACCCTTCACCAAGACTCCTCGTGCGAAGCAATATATCTATTCATTGCCACTCCTTCAAGTTCATCAGTCCTGTGTGAACTCCTTCCATCATCGTCCAACCAGCACCTGTGCTATTCATCCCTAGAAGTGACTTCCTCCGTCGAAGTCAGCCCACTCTGCAGTTCTGGCATACTCGAAATCTTCAGGGCTCAAATCCAGCTCAAAATCACCGACAGGCAAATCCAGATCCGCCTCACCAGTGCCTTCTGCGACGTTGTGACCGAGCTCATCGTAGGCTTGCGTAGTTGGCAAAGCCGGAGCAGCGACGTCTCGAGTGGCGTTCAGCAGTACCTCTTCGAGCTGCTGGTCGCTCATCCCGCCGGAGCTGAAGTTGACATTGTCAAGAGCTGATGTATTGGTCCGTTTGCCCTGAGCTGGAGCTTGCTGGAAGATGGTGGAAGTCGCCAGAGGGTCCGGCACGATGCCGAAGTTCGACATGAGGTCACGCGGGACACCTGCAGCGGGTGAGACTTGCAGCAGGTTGCCAGATCTGGGTCGAATGGTGGCTGCCACGCGCCAGGCTCTCGTCGCGGAGCAGGAGCTTGGTCATGCTGGGCAGATCTCATGGGCTGGCGTCGGAGCCAGTCGCCTTCTGGTGAGCGGAAAACACCATCCTGACTGATGAAGCACTGATCTGGATTCGCTGGCCGGGTGGTCGGCGTCTGTGGCACGGCCGACTCTCCGAAAAAGATGGTTTGCGGGAATCCAAACTCAGTAGCGCCATCTCGCACTCGATCATTGGGAACTGGGCTGCCTTGGGAATCTATGCTGATTGGGCTGGGACGAGCCTGGGCAACACCACCACGACCTCCACCGCGGCCACCACGTCCAGCTTCACGTCTAATGCCTGTGTCGTACGTAGCAGGTAGGCGAGGAGCTCCAGGAGTAGGAGCCATCGTCGGCATAAGCTGACGAGCTGGAGTCTGTGGCAGGAACTGCTGCTGGCGCTGTGTCTGGCGTGGAATATATGTATTACCACTATACTGGGACGAGTAGCTGCGAGAAGGCTGATTCTGCTGATATAGCGGCTGCTGGAGCGGTCGAGCAGGTCGAATTTGCTGGCTTTGAGCATAGTTTGCTTGCTGATTGGGCAAATTGCTATGCATTTGCTGCATTTGCCTGGCAAACGGATCATTCTGTGGTGCATTCCAGCCATTGTCGCGTTGCTGAGGGCGATTGTTGGCGTATGGACCATAGTTCTGCTGGTAGAACTCTCCTTGCTGTTGCTGGTGGCTTCTGTTCTGGCTATAGCTGCCGTGGGATGGATTGTGGCTCTGTTGCTGATACTGGAAAGGCTGATTCTGATTCCGAAGACCTGCTTGCTGATGTGTACCAGGCATATACTGACCGAATCCTGATGGGTACTGCTCAAAGTTGCCGTGCGAGCCATACTGGTTCTGGTACGCGTAATCGCCCTGATTTCTCCATGCTTGCTCTTGCTGAAATCGCATCCAATCCGGTTCATACGAACGAGCTTGTATATCGTAGAGTTGTGGCTGGCGTCCAGGCCATGGAACATTCGCTGGGGGGAGATCGATACGCTTTGCACCAGGAACAGCAAGGGACATCCCAGTCCGCTGCTTGACAGCTTTCCAGCTTTCCTTGGGATTACCCTTGTACGTCTGTGTGAGACGAGTCGCTCTGGACTGCCGAATAGCTTGCTTTCGCTTCTTGGGAGGCTCAGATTCGACAACAGAAGGCGATCGAGCTCGCTTTCGACTGTTGCCAGAAGCAGCGCTGGGAGGCGTTGGATCCAGTTCATCGTCTAGGATGACCACAGCTGGTTCCACAACCGAAGATCCAGCTTGCTGCGGAGGAGTAAGATCTGGAGTTGCAAGCTGTTCGTTGTGAGCTGTAGCTTTGCTACTGCCATCTTGACCAACATGATTAGCAGTTGTAGCAGGAGGAGCCACAGCCTGGGCGGGAACAGCAGCGTCACCAGCAAGACCAGTCTCCTCTGGCAGCTCTGGAATCGTGTTCTGGATGCCGTTGAACTGATTCAAATCGAGATCGTAGTCGCCAAAGAGCTCTTGTTCGAGAGGATTGAACGAATCGGAGCTGTTGACGTTCTGAGAAGACAGAGCGGGCGAGAAATCGTAGATCTGGTTTGCTTGCTCGCTTTCGTGATCATCCTGGGGGTTGAGATTGGCAGGCCAGGCAGACCGAGCATCCAGCACGTGAGCCGGATAGACAGGACCAGATGGTGTGGTGTTGAATCCGGCAGATGGGAAAGGATACTCCGCTGGGGTGGTCTTGAGGTATGGCGAGGCAAGGTTGTCGGTCCTACGACCAGGACGAACAGGAGAGATGGTCAGGTTGGCGGTGTTTCGAACCATTGTGGCTAGGATTAGGCCGGAGGGGGAAGAGTAGTTGGTGAAGAAGGAGAGATCTGAAGAGGCTGTCGAGTAACGTGGGAATAGGAAAGACGATGTTGTGACCAGCACAACAAAGCAATCAAGGCGCAAGGGTAGTGGATGAAGGAGGTTGAAGTCGAAAACTGTTGGCGGAATCGTGCAAAGTATGCGTGTGTTGGGGAATCGAAAGAGCAGGTGCAGAAGCGGTAGAGCTCTTTTATGGCCGAAGAGCATGATTGAAGCAGCAGAAGAGTACTCGGATGAATGGCAAACGGCTGCTGAATAGATCGGATGAAATAGTGGGGATGAATAGAGAATAGATGGGAGGGTCCTACGCAGCATCAATAGGTAGGAAAGAAAACCAACACATTGCTAGTATTGATAGCAGGGGTGGAGAAGGCTATTCATGGTGGAGCGGAGCGGGAGGGCTGGACAGAAAGCGGAATGAATGCACTCGTCGTGGTAAATGAATGGCTCAAATGAGCCTAATGAATAGGGAGCGTCAATGTGAGCAAACGCTTCGGAGAGGTAGCCGAACTGGATAGCCGATCGAGAATCGAACAATATGCCCGCCCTAGGCAATGAATAGCAGGAGGTGAATGCCTCAGTTCGGGTGGAGCATACTCGTGGCTCGTTGGTGTCGGAGTGCAGTTCAGCGAGAAATGGAGAACAGGTGCTGGGAGGCAGGCACAGCCTTTGAGGAGGCAGCAAGCAATTCCGACCGAGTCAATAAGATCTAGCAAATTCGCACAGCTTGATCCGGCAGCAGCGCACTTGAACGGAGCGGAAGGTGTAACACGTCAGTAGTAGAAAACTTTGGACGAACCTGTCCCAGGATGCTAGCCTCCACCAAGCAGGTCTTGCTCTATGTGCATTGCTGCGTTACTGTTATGCCTCAATATCACTTTCCCATCGCTCCCAAATGCTGCCGCTGCGCGCTGTCCAATCGTCGTCCTGTCGTTAGTATGAACATAATCCGCCACCAGATTCTTCCATATCCCATGCTCCGGAAAGGCCGACGATCAGTGGCTCCTCGGCATCGAGCTCCTGAGCAGTCAGTCTGCTTTGATAGGCAATCTCGGCATCAACTTCTGTGCGTCTACCACCCATCAATATATTTCTTGCCCATTCGTCGATCGCCGGTTCGCCAGTTTCGTCCCTTGCTTGCTTGAGGAACGGAATCAGAGCTGTCCCGCCTGTCCCGCGAGTCTTCTTCGGCTTTTCTCCGGCGCCAGTCTTGTAGCGAACTGACGCCAGGCCGTGGCCACGGGCAGGAGCAGGATCAGGCTTGTCTGACCTCTTGATCGGCTCTGGCTTCGGGACTCTCTGCTCTTAACTATGATGTACCTCGAGACCATCTGTATGTGCTTATCTCGGAGCGTTCTTAGCATTGCCAGCGCTGCGTCATAGGCCACAGTCAACGTGCGATTTGATCGATTCATCTCACATATTCGCGAATGTTGGCAATACCTTCGACTGCCTGCAGGAAACGTCGATGTGGACCAGGCATGTACTGCCGCATCTCATGTATGAAGTTGTGTCTTGGCTTCGGTGCCGAACCTGGTTCTGCTTCGGATTCGGAGCTTTCATTCATCTTAGCACCCGTCGGTCTATGCTCGACGCCTAGGACGACGTCGAAGAACTGGATGATGCTACTCTGAGCATTGGAGCCTCCGCCGTACTGCCGAAATCGAGCATTGCGAGTGCCGTCGTCGTAGTAGACTCCGTTGGGCAGACCTGCATCGGACATATTCTTGCTGCCGGCCAAGTATGGACGAATGCGGTGATAGAAGATATGAGGATCACAGTTCTCATACATCCGCACCAGGATAGTGCCGAGCTCGTCGAGTGTCTGTGCAAACGATTGAAGGCCTTCGGTGACCTTGACGATGTCGTCGTTTCGTGCTGCCTGGATAGCGTCCAGCATAAGTGGTATTGTTGGACCTGCCCTGGCCTCAATCGCCACGCTGACTAGGTAGAACCATTGCTCGTCTAGTGAACCGGTGAATGTGAGTAGAGTTGACAGGTTGTCGAGTACGAGAGGGTCCGACAAGAATATGGGCTTGTAGTTCCATAGCACAGTTCCTGCATATGTGGCTACCGGCGGTAGTTCGAGGTGTTCTGATACCTGCAGTAATGGGTATGTGATTGATGGTGGGAGTCTGTCTGCAGCTTCTCGCCACCCCAGATATAGCCATTGGCTAGGAACACCAGGACGACATATGCCCTTCGCCACTCCGCCTCTGTCTCAAGGTGGACGGCGGGTATGATGGGTAGCTTGTCTATCACTGTACGTAGCCTTTTCGAGAGCAGCAGCGACTGGAAGTTGTTCACTATTCTTTCCCATCTATCGTATACCTGGTGAGGTAGGCATTGGAGGGGAAGCGTCGAGGGCAGGAAGCCCGTTGCGGGCGAGACGCCGTAGTCCTCGGGTCGAGGAATGGGCGGGAGCATGCTGAAGAGGTGGCGAGTCTCTCGTAGTTGGCACAGGCGATGTCGATCAGGAGGACGTCAATCGCGATCGAGGTTTGCCTTGTGAGTGGCCTTTAACGGAAGCTCGTCTTCATGGGCTCAAGCCTCGTCATTATCACGTAGCCAGAATGCGCATCTTGTGGCTCATCAGCTCTGACCTCTCGAATACATACATGGAGTCGATCGTCTAGAAATACGTCAACATGCGGAGCAAAGGGAAAATATCGAGCACTCGAGGTCCAGATTCAATGCGGGCGACGTCGGAGGAAGCTCAGGCTTTCGCGCGAGTGGGAAGCGCGGCTCGCAGGGAGGCCGACATGCCGCCTGTGAAGAGCGTGTTCCCATCATCATAGAGCACGAGTCTTACAAATCACGATCACCAGTAATTGATCAATGTAGGTCGTGTGATAATGTTGTCTTTGTACGTCGGACGTTGTGTCAAGGCGTCGATCATAAACCTCGCCTCTGTCTGCGCCCGTACCAAAGGTCCTTAAGCGTGCGCCTGAACCACCCGGAGATTTGCCAGACTTGGCCCACCCAGAAAGGTGCTCCTGAAATCCATCGCTGTTCCTGCACACCATCCTGTGAGATGCTCGACCACTTCAACGAGACTGCAGAATTATTCTTCAAAGAGACCCGATGGTATGTGCGAAATGTTGAGCGCCTTCATAGGCGAAGCGGCCTTTCCCACGACGTATCTGTCATAGCAGCAGAGCAGAATCGCTGCAATCGCTGCCAGCACTAAGCCAACCATTGCATTCATCGCTTCCTCCTTGTTCTCCTCCGCATTCAGCATCCAGAACTCGTACCAAGCGCCCCGACTGGTCTTGTAGGCTTTCATTGCGACCGATTGGACTTTCTCGAGTGCTGTTGGGTCATCCGGAACACCGAGTTTGTGTCTGATGTTCGTGCGGTTGATCTCCCTAGCATTGCTCTGACGGTCGCGTCGTGCTCCCGTGGCTCGATCTGCAATCTTGCCTTTCGCGACTTGTTGCTTGTGTCGGGCTTCCCGGCGCCGCTCTTGTCGGTTTGGTGCCAGCTGCGTAGGCATGATGGAGGCTCTGATAGTGGGGATGTCTGATACTCTGACTGATGTACTTCTCGAAAGCTGTTTGAGGTCCATCTAAAAGCAGTGGTATGGCGAAATGTGTGAGTGCAGTCGACTGATACAGGGACAAGTCCTCGCTGTGAGGCTGGGCGCCTTCTCGCAAATTCGACGGTGAGTCAAAAGCAGGTTTGCTGGGGTACAAGTGATACGGACAGGTGGCCACTTTGGATCTCAACTTCACCTGTTCACCACCCAAGAAACCACGAATATGGACCTGACAGAGAAGTGTCTTGGAACGGAGTCCTCCAGGTCGACACCCACGTCTTCAATTCTTCCGAGATGTCGAGATAACTTTTCTTTAGATCCCAGAAGCTCAATGGCAATGCAGTATCTGAGCGACCTTTCAGAACCTCCAGTGCAGCAGCTCGCAGCGCGATGTCCAGACGTCTCGCTACAACCCATCTTCGAGCGCACATGTTGAGAGCATGCATGAGGTTGTCGAACGGCACGTCTAAAGGCTCGCCTCGTTGTCGACAGTACACCACTTTAAATCTCGCTCCGACAAATATGAACGACGCGAGCAGAGGCGTGTTCAGCTCGGCATCGGCATCGCTGATACTGCGGACCAGCGTCACCATGTTCTCGTTACACATCTGCAGGCATCGCTCTAGGGCGATCGCTGGTGTTGACCTTTCGAAATCAATCAGACCTTGATACATCATGACCGTCGTTGCATACACAAGAGTCTCTGTATGAACTAGGTTGGGATCGAAGTCAACCACGCCGTTCTCCAGGATGGTGTAGCTCGTCTTCGGCTGCGCTTCAACATACAGCATAAGGTTCTGATACATGTCGTCACACCTGGCCAGGTCGTCATCGTCGACTGACTGCATTGGCGCCAGAGCACGTTCATGCAGGAACTCATGAACTGGCTGCAGGCCGATCGCAGCAAGATGGACATGGCCTCGAAACGAATCCCGAAAATGTGGTGTACTGACATACGCCACACTTGACAGATGGTCGACCAGCGCAGCAGAGACATCCCTCCATCCAACGCCTAGAGTCGACACCGCGTCGAGTGCGAGTATGCACCACGTCACCGAAATCGTACTCGCATCTCCTCCAGAATTATCTGTTGGTGGCGGTCCAATCTGCGCAGGACTTCGAGCTTCGAGCTGCGCACGCAGCTTTTCGAACATCCCTAGATTCTCACACATACGTCTACAGATCGACATGAGGCTGAACGTGCTCGGTATGTTGTCGGAGCCATAGTCCATCAAAGCCATGATTTGTAACGCCCTCAGGGAACTGATCGAAGGATGAGCCATTGCCTCAGTCACCACGTCACCTCTCAGATACTGACTCAATCTAGTGCGACCGTGGTACCCGAGTGACAGCGCTTGTGTCGAGTACGATATTTCCAGAGCTAGCACAGCACGAAGCTCGATGTCGTCGATTGCGTCGACCGGATCTGGCAAGGATGCCAGAGCTTGTGATATGTGGTCGTGGCTCAAGATTGGACACCATGGTTGGTTCTCCTTGAACCACGTCTCTGCCAGCGAGAACAGCACTGCTGGACCGAGACTCATGAGATCTTTGACAGCCGCTTCGGACTCAAGGCGATGACGAGACCTCTTGCTTGGAGGCTGGCCGCCATAGAACCCTCCTGTCGGAGTTGCAATTCCCGATCCCGTCGCAGTGAGGTCTCTAGGTCCAGTCGCAGGAGATCGCAGAGTTGGCTCAATGTACACTGGCGTGATAGCCGCTGCAGGCGTGGGAACAGAGGCTGAGGCGACCGATGTTTGCTCTCGTTTCATACGTTCCAGTTCCACTTCCAAGTGATTCAGTCGGTTCTCCAGTTGAGTTACATAACCAGCTCGGAGGCCCCGTTTACCAGGTTGCGGGACATATTGGCAGGCTACCTTTGCTTTCGAGCAGAAGCCGCATGTCGGAAGGTGTCTATCGCATCGCGTCTTGCGTTGACGGCAGAGCTTGCAGCTATACGTGTGTTAGTCTTGTCCTCTGAAGTACTTGCCGCACGTCCCTTGCTCTGTAGTCTTGTCGCGACTCCCTCATACACTTTTCTTGATGGCGGTAGCGGGCCAGTCTACCCAGACCACACAAGCTGTACTCCCAAGCATTCTATATGAGCCCATGACACGCCGGAGTCCTGGCTAAGCGGGCGTTGAACCTCTCCACGCTCCGCTAGATTCCTACCGTCCACATCCTCTGTATGCTTCTTTCGAACAGGGTGAGACTTACACAGTTGAACTCCTTCGCTGGCCGGCGTCTGACTCTTCTGATAAGCTACTCTCGTCTCGAGGCTCATCTTTTTGTCATCGATGCTACGAGTGATATCCAAAGGATACAAAAATGCGAGCCCAAATACAACACTTCTACAAAGCATTCAACTGTGTCAGCAACGCGGCGAGATATGGCCCGAGGCTCTGGAGTGACGCAACTGTCTACGCTGTGTCCAATAAGAACTTTCCGGATTCATTATCCGCAGAAACACGGCGCTCTCAGATGGCCCGACCGAAGCTGCATCCCGTGATACTAGCGACGACATCATTGCGAATGATCCTGTTCGAACTTTCAGTGTTGAAGGCAACGATGGTTCTGGAGCTGCACCTGCATGCTGTGATGAGTCGTGCTTGTCAGGCGGTCACGCAAGGCAACATGTCGCGCCCATCGTGACTTCCACACGCGTTGAAATCGCTGGGTGTCCATCCGTCCGAGGAAACATCGTGACGCAGCTCCGGATTTACCAACGCGATGATTATTCTGGTCGTGGAGGTGTCGCACATGTCGATGTCACGACTGAGCTGCGAACGCCTTGACACTCTCTGATTGGCACGGGTCCGGCTTACCCTGTCGCCGCACTTCAAAGTTGATAGGAAGACAGGTACAACGAAAAGCACATGCTACTGACTGTGCAGTAGGATCTCTTTATTCAGTCAATCAAGGCGCACTCGACCTGCGATTCAAATTCTTCGGGCCTGAAGCTTGGAATTGTTCACAGATTGACTACCAGAACCACATCGATCATGTTTCTTTACTGTGACTACCGATTGCTATCCGTCCACTACCCGCCACTGCAGAAGCAAAGTGCTTGAGGCTAGCCGCCGACTTGGCGGCGGCGAGCACCACTCGTCCGACTTCGCCGAGAGGAGATCATCTTTGTATGATTCGGGTCTGCCGCGGGTTAGGTCGATATCCCAAGTGTCAGCAAATTGTCGAATATGAGGTTGGAGGTGAGCCAATCATGTTGCCCACGTGCTGGCTGGGATTTGACACCATTATGGCGAGAAAGAGGCGCGCAAGAACTGGCCAAGTCCTTGTCACGGGTCCGCTGCGATGCTTATACAGATCCCGGCCAGATGTTCTGAGCTCGACTATACCGTTTCATTGACGGAACAGGCCAATACAGGTGCTGTAATTTGGCGGTCCACGACGTTACTGAGTTCCGCGACATGATATCTCAAGCACTGAGCAACAGACACACCACAAACGGCGTAGAAGACGACGTCGTCGCACTTTATCGGCATTCCGCCGCCAAGGCCAAGACCAGCGCAAAGCCCTTGGCATGGCGGAATCCACCATTGCTATGCTGGCTTTCGCCATCCGAACTACTCTCGGCTCTCCCAATGGAGAGGGAACAGGGCTCACTGATGAGACTTTGCATCTTTCCAGAAGCGCACGCTCACATATACGCCCGTGTCATTCGTCGATGGACCGCGCGCACATATCGACCAAGGCGGATGCAACGTGGAATACATGGCCATTTGAAAATTCGCGGTCTTGGTCAAAGAGCCGTATAAAGTAGGGGAGAAAGCTGTCTACTTCTGAGTCCTCGCTTCTCTTCTCGAGCCAACATCCATTTGTGTCCGCGCATTCGCAGCCCTGGTCCGTGGGTCACATTCTTTGAAGTTCTTCCCACTACTTGACTCCTCGCCACACCGCCCAACATGGTGTCGCGTGCACTCCCCGAGTATGACTACATCTTTGCCTTCGGACTGATCTTCGCCTTCCTCGACGCCTGGAACATCGGCGCCAACGATGTCGCCAACTCCTTCGCGACGTCGGTCTCTTCCCGCTCGCTCACTATGCTCCAAGCCATGCTTATCGCTACGGTCTGCGAGTTCGGTGGTGCCGTCCTGGCCGGCGCTCGTGTTTCCGGAACTATCAAGAACGGCATCATCTCGACCTCGGAGTACGACACCAACCCATCGGTGCTCATGCTTGCCATGCTCTGCGCTCTGGTCGGTTCTTCCCTCTGGTTGACACTGGCTACCAAGATCGGCCTACCTGTCTCCACCACTCACTCGATCGTGGGCGGTATCATTGGTGTTGCATTCGCTACCATCGGCGCTGGTGGTGTTGATTGGACCTGGGAGGGTGTTCCTCAAGTATTCGCCGCGTGGGGCATAGCTCCTTGCATTGCCGGTGCGTTCGGCGCCATCATCTTCCTGATCACCAAGTATGGTGTTCTTCAGCGCAAGAACCCCCTCATCTGCGGCTTCTGGATGATCCCACTCTACTTCGGCGTCACTGCGGCTGTATTGATCATGTCAATCGTCTGGAAAGGTGCCGCTTCCCTCGACCTCGATGACTGGGGAACAGCCCCCACAGTCGGCACAATCTTCGGCGGCGCCGCTGGTGTCGTCCTCCTGTACGCCGCGTTCCTGCTACCATTCCTTTACCGCCGCCTCTACTTGGAAGACTGGAGTCTGAAGAGCTGGGAGATCATCAAAGGTCCCATGCTGTGGTTCAAAGGCGAAGTGCCCCCAATGCCCGAAGGTATGGAGAAGCAAACCGTCCAAGACTACTACCGCGGCCACAACACCAAGACCGCCAACCCGGTCCTCGCCCGCGCCATCCCAGAGACCAACGTCACCGACACTCCCGTCGACGTTGAGAAGACCGCTGGCAACGCCACCTCCTCTTCCTCCAACAGCGACATCACCCCAACCGACACCCAGACCCAACCACACCACTCCATCCCAACCCTCAGCATGGAAGAAGCCGCCAAAGCCAAAGCAATAGCCCATCCCTGGAACACGCCCACCGGCTTCCTCGCCCGCACCAAATACTACTTCTTTCGCGGCGTGAACCGCGACATCGTCGAAGAGCAGGGCACCGCGCACACCGCCCCGAAGGCTTCGCCGCAAAGATCCTGGCTAAGGACTTGAGCAAATACCACCAGCACGTTCCGGCCTATGACAACAAGACTGAACACTTGTACTCCTTCCTGCAGGTCATGACCGCTGCCGTAGCCTCGTTCGGACATGGCGCGAACGACGTCTCCAACGGTGTTGGTCCCCTGGCTGCGATCTACCAGATCTGGCGCACGAATGAAGCCTCCAGCCGGTCTGAAGTTCCCATCTGGATCCTTGCGTTCGGTGGTGCCGCTATCTCGATCGGGCTGTGGACTTATGGGTATAACATGATGCGCAACCTGGGCAATCGGCTAACGTTGCATTCCCCGTCCCGAGGTTCTCAATGGAGCTGGGCGCCGCACTGACCGTGGTCATGGCGACGAGACTGGCCCTGCCGATTTCGACTACGCAGTGCATTACTGGTGCGACGGTGGGTGTTGCGCTTTGTGCGGGAACGGTGAGGGCGGTGAATTGGAGGATGATTAGTTGGATTTATATGGGTTGGTTCGTTACTTGTGAGCTCCCCTCTTGCTCTGTGTCACTTCGACAGCTAACCGTTTCCGCAGTGCCGGTCACTGGAGCTCTCTCGGGCTGTCTTATGGCTATCATCATCAATGCTCCAAGGTGGGGGTTGCAGCCTGCAAGTGTTGCTTGAAATCTCGGGCTGGACGTAGACGCAGACGCAGACATGTCGAGGAGCGGATGTATGAGTCAGCGCCATACCTATACACAGTAGTTAGTGAGTATTGTTTGAAACCTTTGATCAAGCAGACGGCTTTCTGCATCTGGTCTCTACTGTTGATTCCCGTGCACCTCTTCGTCAACCGGTCTCAGCACAATCGATACGTCATCCGGCGATAGATAAGTCTGATCAAAATTTTGATCATCCGGTCTCGCGTGAGGCTATACGTCAACCGGCTTTCCACCTCCCCTCAAAATGGTTTTGGACGTGCTGCTGTGGCGCGTTCTACAATACTGTCTGTCGCGATTCTCCCTCTCCCCTCTCCATCTGACCATTCATCTTCCAGCCGTGTCTTCGACAGACCGCTCCTACCAACAGTCATGGCTATGCTGCCGAGGAAGGCCGGCCCCGTTGACCGCCCCCTGCCGCAGAAATTGTTTGCAAAGCAGGTACGATTGCTTTCAGCCGGGACGCTCCTGCCGTCGGCCAGTCGCTCCTGTCGCTCCTGTCGCAGAAGGTGTATAGAGAGGAAGGCGCGAGTGCCATCAGCAGTCGCACCTGCAGTGCTGCAGAACGTGCATGGCACAGGCAGGTGTGAAAGCACTCGGCCAATCGCTCCTGCTGCAGAAAGTAGTTGGAAAGGCAAGTGCAACTTACCGTCAGCTCGTCGCTCCTGCCGCAGGGAGCGTATAAAGAGGCAGGTGCGAAGCCCGCGAGCTGATCGCTCTTGCAGTGCTGCAGGAGCAGCGGCAGTCATCCGGTCTGCTGGAGACTACGTCAACCGGCCTCAATTGAGAACTTCCTGTCATCCGGTCTCAGCTGAGGTTGGGACCGTATTGATCGAACGTTCCAGAGCGATCTCCTGCCGCTGCTGCGTCTGCAGTCGGTGGCGAGATTTGTCTTGTCGTATGGTCAGCCCTAGACGACTCCCACGTCGGCGAGCTGCTCTTCTGTCGCTATGGGAGCAAAGTTGAGAGCGTCACGTGAGTCGAGTGTCTGGATTAAAATGAATCTATATTCATCTCGCAATCTGGAGGCATTTTCACCGATCCTTGCCCGCTCCCATCCCAATGCAACTTTCATTTCATCGTCTCCATCGCCCAGCCCCGCGTCACCAGACCCGTGCTACCGACACCTTACAACAATGGCATCCCCAAAGCCATCCTCACCAATTGAATGAACTCCGGCTTCACATCCGCCCACTCCAAGCTAGCACTCCCCGCGGCAAACGGATGCGGCCCAAGCTTCGGATCGCCGACCAGCGCCCCCGAGAGCGCCATGCAAGTCGGTGGGATACTGTTTATTCTGAGGTCTGAGGCGGAACGGAATGTCAGTCAGCTGTCTCTCTTTCCAAGCTGTAGGTTCGAAAAAGAGAAGGAAGAGTGGGGGACTATGAAGCAGAGGCAGGGGAAGCAGGGCAACGGCGAGGTCTCTTACTCTTGCCACCAGCTGTATTCTCAACCGTGAGAGTTCCAGGCGGCTTCGCCTGGCCCATCTTTATGATGTCGTTCTGACACATCCTGAAGTTGTACTCGGGCACGCCAGGAGGGGTCTCAGGAACACGCTGACCGTTGGGAAGAGTCTTGACAGGACTGCCTGGAGGAGGTGGGGCGGTGCCTGTTGCCATTGGATCTAGTCAAAGGAAATCACGTCCGCAACTTCTCCATACTTTTCCTGAGAGCATAAAGACCATCAGGACACAATGGCCACGGCTCTGACGTCTCCGTAAGCTGCAACAGCCGGGATTAGGACTCACAAATTGCTCCCGTCCCGGTAGGTGGGGTCCATGTCAACGCCACTGTCCCGCTTGCCAACCACTGCGAGAGCGAACTCACGACTGATGCGCGCGATCTCATGACTGATTGGACCGACCTCACGCTGGACAATGTCTTCATGTAGGCTGAGTGTACCGACGCGGAATGCACCGATGCCACGGATGCCGCTGAGGCCGACGCTTTGGATGCCGCATCGACGGACGCCTGAGAGGCCTTGCTCACGCTTTCGATCGAGGACATGATTGAGGACGCGGAGGCGCCAGTGACCAGGGTTGCGCTCTCGTCTCCTTTGTTGCCTGCCTTGACATCACCGACAACACCGCCTGCGGCCGCACCTGTACCGACTGCCGCAGCAGCGGCCCTTCGTGGTTTGTTAGCTTGGGTCAGGAGATGAATGAGGAGCGAAGAACTGGGCTGGAAGGGAACACGGAACACGAGTACGGGGCGAAGGCATGAAAGAAAATTCCAAGACCCCCAATCCCGATCGCGCTCCGCATTCGTTGCTGGAAAGAAAACTTACCAGTTCGATCCAGCGTAGAGCGCTCCATTCACAATCACGTATTCACCATACCAGCATGAGCTGGCCGCGATGCCACACGATTCGGCGATCACACTTCCTGCTACCGCTTCCGCTGCAACTTCGGAGACCACAGCGACGACGTCGACGACAATGCCCACGATGAAGCCTGCTTCGGCGGAACAGGTCAGGGAAAGGAGGACGACGAAGGAGGAGACGAAGCCGTCGAACTTCATCTTGGCGAAGTCTTGGATGTTGCTTGGCTGATGAGGATCGATTGTTCAGTGGTAGAAGCCAAGAGGGAGATCATGATTGTACAGACTGCGTTCTGCCATGGTGGTCGGCTTGGCGTCCAGTCGCGACAATGAATCGTCAAACACCCTGGTTGCGGTCAGTTTGAAGGAGCTCGAGCTTCTTCTTTGTGCGTTTCTCAAGACAAGCTGTGTCTGTTGACATGATGAGGAGAGCTTTGTTCTAATGCACATCCGTTGTTCTGTATGCTCTCGAGATCATCTTCTGCGACCAGTCGTCAGGTGTCTGGATGCTAGGTATTGATGTGCCAGCATCTTGGTCGAAGAACAAAAAGATTGATAGCACCCAGAATCGAACTAGGGTCTTCTGTTACGCACATCGTACAGCACACGAGGTCAAACCCCATGCACAGACGGAATGCTGCGACGTGCTGAACCACTGCACCATGCCATCAAAGTATGCAATAGCTTTTTTGCGGTAGATTGTGTTCCAGATTTCCTCTGTGAGAATATTCATACTTTCGTTAGACCAGTGAGTGAAGTACGGGTCTGTGATTTCCAAGTGAATGATCCGTGCGCAGTCATATCAAACCGAAAACAGCAGGATCCGCACAGACCATGCGAGTTGTTCTGGCAGGTGCGCGCGGCGCGATGACCCAAACAGCATCACTAACGAATCACATTTGAAGGAGCGCATCGCATGATATACTGGAGCATAGGGGTATGTTGTTGTAAGCTCGTTATCGCACGTTTTGACGTGATTTCTGACCGCGTCCGAGGCCGAGGAGGAGGTCTGAGATATACACCTATTATACACAATTTGCATGGTCTGGGACCGTCAAATTAGCGCCTGTTTCGCTCGCTAAAGGCGGCTATAAGCTTGGAGGTCGTGCTGCTGTGTCTTCGCCGCCATGACATAAGGTGGAGCGCTGCTTAAGAGTACCCCTGCCACCCGTGCCATCGACTCCCGCTCTGCTCGACCTTGTTCAGACTCAGATACCCTCTATTCTCCAGATTCACGCGAAATTGCCTGAACTTAGGCGTAGGAGCCTTCTTGTCGAAGAGGATATCTAGCTCAATATACGTGAGGCCCTTTGTCTCTGGCAGTCTATACCAGATCCAAATTAGACACAAGAAGGCCATTCCAGCCAGCGGCCAACACGTGTTTCCTTTCAGATTCCACGCCGTAGGATTGAGCATGCGCGGAATGATGGCATTGTTGATGATCGACGCAATATTGTACGCGACGCGGGCGAGCACGACAGTCTTGACGCGGAGACGCGTTGAGGGGATCTCAGCTACAAGGACGTAGCAAGTCGGACCGATCGTCAAGTTGTAGACAAGCGTAAAGACTAGCAACAACGAGCCGAGGATCCAGTACACGACATCCGGGTTGATGCTTGGTATGACGCTCACCAGTCCGCCCAGCAGGAGCAATGCGATCATGCCAGTCTCGCCCCAGAGGTACAACGTGCGACGGCCAAATTGGCGGAGCAGAAACCATGCAGCCATATTGCCGACAATTCCGAGACCAAACATACCCGTGGTGAGCTTCGAAGAGTTCTCAGCTGGAAAGCCGGCCTGTATCCAGAAGTAGTTCGCGTACCCCATGATCGTGCCACCACAGAAGGCTTGCGTGATCCAAACCATACAAGCAATCTCGGTGCGGCGAAGATTTGTGCCTCGGAAGCAGTCGGCGTAAGTTGTTGTGGTGGAATCGTTGAGCTGTTTCTCGATGTGGTCGGTATACTTCATGACTGACACAACTTGGTCGACGTCAAGAGACGAGCGACCCTTCTCTGTGAGTTTCTCCAAAGCCCGATGTGCATCTTGGTCTCGACCATGTCTGACGAGCCACCATGCGCTTCGGGGCACCAGCAGATCACGACCAGCAGCGGCACAGACCATGCCCATTGCAGGCCGAACGGCAGGCGCCACTGCCATTGGTTGTCAAAAGCGGCACAGGCGTTGAGCACACCGGTAGCAATGACTTGTCCGATGAGCCAGCACATGTTGACGTTGGCCAGCAGGTAGGTTCGCAGCGCTACCGGGAGGACTTCAGCTGCGTACGTGGCACTAAGAGTCTGGAAGACACCCCACGGAACTCCTGAACTTAACGTCAGTGGCAAATCAAATACCGGAAGTTGCAAGCATACCTGACAACAGCTGCGAGACAAGCAGTATCTCCCGGGTTGTGGCAAAGAAGGAAGCGAAGCCGACGACATTCATCACAGCGAGAGCGACAATGACGACCTTCTTGTACCCAAACTTGTCCGTAAGGTAGCCGTTGGCGAGTAAAGCAAGCGTCTCTGTGCTCGTTGCCGAACTCGTCAAGGCGGTCTGCCAGGTTGCCGATAGCTCGTAGTCTGGTGGATCGCCTTCTTGGTGCACTGGGTCGCCGAACTCCTTGTCGAAAGCGTCCTTGCCGAAAGAGCCTCCAACCATCATCTTGTCATATGCAATCATCACGATTGTCAATGACAAAACGACGGACCAGAGTATGGCTCGGGGGTACATCCTGCAGCCACTGGCGAAGCTCATCTTGCGCTCCTTGGCAATACCTTCACGAGCATTGTCGGATACTCGTCTTGGTGGTGCCACATGAGACATGTAGGGGCTGGGTTGGAATCCAGTAGCACCAGGCTGCCTCTCTGGTAGCTCTACACATGATACTGTCTCGATATCGATTTGCTTGGTGATAGATCGATGACTTTTATCGTCCATGGTCGAGACAGCGTGATACTGGCTGGATATCTCTGAGGACGCCCGGTTTGGGCTTTCGCCTCGATGCTCGATGTGGATGACCGACATCGCTGACGAAGTGCTCGACATCCATATCGATGGGTCAGCGATACCTCAAATACTTGTTGGCACAGCACGACCGTCGTAGATGGGTTCTTCCATGATCTGGGGAGATGCCCACTTATTCGGCCACAAACAAAAAAGGAGTCGATCTTGGAGAAAAAGCGGGATCAGCCCGGGGCCGCTTAGGCGCCATAGGCGATTAGAGCGAAAAATAGGCGAAAACGCGGAGGACGATCACATCGACCTTTCCTGACACAGCTGGCCAAGACGTTCCGCGCAGATGTCTCTGCAGCTTGTCGGTATGATTCAGTGGCCACGGGACGCGCTTGGCATCGGAGTCGCCTTTTTCTGACTCCTGGATCCTGGGATCGTCACGGTTTTGATGCGCAGGTACGCCTCTCCACCTGCGCAAGTGCCCCGGGGAAGTGATCCTTGGGCACCAAGTAATTTTGTTGGTCGCAGATCGTGATTGCGGAGAGGTTGTATCTTTCATTTGGTCCTTCATGGCGAGGGATGACTCCCATTGGAGCCCAATCTTGTCGTGCCTGCACTAGTCGCTTGAACGCCATGTCTGTGAGTATCGTCCTGCTGTACCGAGTTCCGAGCACCATTTCTTGCCCACTTTTTCCAGCTGGTCACAGCATCACGGAACCGCTTCATTGTTCCCCGTATACACGACAATCGCGCTCTAAAACAGATTCAGCCATTCTTAGCGACGCGATGAGAGTCGCCACCCAGATTCAGCTTGTTCTCCAGAAATAGGGCAAATTGTTGCTGGCAGAATCATCGGGAAGATGCTGCCGGAGGTCAGTCCCAATGATCATTGCAATCACGCCCGAGTGCTGTAGTTGGAGGTGAATCTTCTATTCTCTTAGTATATGTTGTGTTGTCGATCCTTGCATGGTGGCTTGTATGGGAGCAGGCATCAAGTTCAGCCACTGATGAAATCTGGTCCTCTGCCACGCTGCGACGAGCACGACTCGCGGCACTCCCCCAAAAGGTGACCTTCTTTGACCTAGCGTCAGCGAAGGCGAGCATCAATAGACAGCCTCTGGAGTGGTGCTGAAGAATTGCTACCGGCGATCTGTTCTCGAGAACTCCGTGGCATGCTAAGCTTAAGGAAGCGTAAGAAGGCGGACTGGAAGTCGTAAGAGTGCTCGATTTTATCGCTAAGATAACGGCAGGAGGCGAGCCGGAATCGGGTGAGCCGTCCGAGGAGGCGCTGGGGTTAAGGAACCAATTTCCATGGTAGGCACAAGTTCTTTGAGGCATCGAACATCCCTTCACATGTGCTATGCATGACGCCCCTTGGGTTACTTGCTTAGTCTTAACTCTCATGGGCGTCGACTAGCTGGCTTTGACATGATCGTCGTCCTCGTGCCTGAGTCTTGCTGTTGTCGAGTCGGAAACTTATCGACTGGAACCAGGTTGATCGAAGTTTGATATAGCGCCTGTGATTGCCTCACGAGACATGGCTGTTGTAGAGTCCTCGATTATGCTCGATCGCGCGGACTGACGTTGTTCACTGTCCAAGAGGTCGCATCACCGACTGGTCGCACGAGCTCGCCGCTCACAGCAGTTTCAACCCACCAGTAACCTGATCAACCAACCCCTTCGGCCCGAGCACACCCAACACAGTAGCACTATTCGCCTCAATCTGCGTCCTTCCGGCATCCCTAATCACCTTTGCTGGCAGCCCCAAACTGATAGCCTGACCCTGCAGCATTAACAACTGATCCTCACTCTCACACTTAACCGCAATCTTCGGCTGCCCATGACTCTCCCACCGCCTCAACATAGCACTCGCACTCGAATTTGCCGTCAGAGCACGATACACCGCCAATGTAGCATGTCCACATTGCGCAGCAATCTTGCCCTTCGTCATGCCGAGATCTGTGCGCACGACGAGCATTAGTTTCACTTCTTCGTTCGTGTTGGCTATGGCTTTGATGCGGTCTGTATCGACCAAAGCCACCTCGTCGCTATCGGCATCGTCTGAAGACTCGTCGTCGGCGTCATCGCTTTTGCCGGTGTGGATAGCTCGTGCGAATTCTTCGTCGGAGGAATCGCTGCCGACGTTTACGTTGACGTCGTACGAGTTCGGCCAGGAGCGGGCTGGTGATTTCTTCTTCGATGATTTTGTAGATGTGTCGGAGGAGCCGAAGAGGCCTATTGAGGAGCCGGAGCCTATGAAGTAGCCAAGGACGAGGCCGAAGATGAGTGATGAAATGCTGAGCGCGAACGTAGTAGGCCCTGGTCTTTCGACGGATGGGTTGGACATATTGTGGAGGGCTCTGCTCAGAATTGCCTCAATCAACGTGCATTCACTGCGTCGCGTCTCGATGAGTTTGTTGATACACGGGCAGCCTAAATATCAACTCGGTGAGATCGCAAAGTCCTGAAACAAAAAGATGATAAGTTTTTGGAAATTGTGACGCAGGCACGGGAAGGATCTCCGAGAACCCCAGATTTTGCGCCCAAATCTAAGCGCTTAGGCGGAGATCCCGAAAGTTTGGGTGTATGTCGATATTTAGTACTCTATCTTCTACCTGTCTCTTTCCCAGAGAACCTCGCAGGTCATTCCGAAGCACAAGTTTTAGTTATCCTGTCGCGCAAGGTCATAGACGCCGAAAGATGTCCTGAACTTCGCGATGGTCCTCCGCGCCTGATCCTCGCCCATTCTACCATGCCTCCCTCCATCCACCCCCATCCACATCAATTATCCCAATACCTCTCCAGCAGCCTCTCCGCCTCCCCCGTCCATCTTCCCCACCAAGCCAGCACCGCAATAACCCCATCCATCAACCAGCCTAGCTTTCCCGGAAAGCGCATATCACTCATGCTCGCCACCAGTGCCGAATGCACCGCACTCCTCGGCAGCCCCTCCTTATCCGCAAACCCATCATTTGCCAACCCGTACATTATATACAGCCCCCTCTCAAACCCGGGTGACTAGGCAACACCTCGCCCGAGAACTCAATCTCTTCGTCCCCTTCCGCCGTGAAGCGATGCACTTGTCCTTGCTTCACCGTGGCGCTTTCGCCTGGGGTAAGCACGTGTTTGGTGCCATCGACGTAGACGATGAGGTTGCCTGTGCGAGCTGTGAATCTCTCGCTGTAGGCTAAGTGGTAGTGCAGTGGTGGGCCGCCGCCTGGTTTGCACCAAAGGACGGCCTCGGTTTTGGCGCCCGTGGTCTCGTAGCCGTATTTGAGGATCTGGATGCGGTCTTGCATTACTTTGTTGCTGATCCAGCGGCGGGAGGGGTCGCGGACGCCGGGAGGGATTGTTCGAGAGGGTTTGGTTGCCATGGCGCTGAGATGCTTCTTGGAGACTTCGGAGAGCCTGTGCAAATGGTGCTAACGATGGTCGAAATGATGTGTTTCTTCCGAGAACTAAAGATATGAGGTTTGCTCATTATATGTCGATGCTGTTCTCAGCTGGCTGCCTCAATTCACCCATCGGGCTCGGGGACTACATCCTGGCTGCTCTGACTGACTTGGCAGGCTGAGTTGTACCTTTCCTTGGGAGGCACTTCCTGATCGGGCATTGCTAAATCCGCGGCTCGACGTAGCTACACCTACCAGAACCAGATCTTAGTGGTGGACGCCATGACACAAGCCGAAAAGGGAAAGGTTGTGGAATAGACGATTGGTCCCTTCGTTCGGACTGCTTGCCACGCTGAGGAAATCCGCACCAGAATGCTGCTTCACTCCAGACGAATAGGTATGCCTGCATAAGCACTGTATAAGCAACCGTGAGGCTGCTTTGCGCGCACCTGAATTGGGAAAAGATGCAGCCACTGCACGCCAGATAATTCGAGATATCGCTTGCAAGTATGGATGGTTCCTTTCTGGCATTGTCGCCACGTGTGACCATGTGCGCCACCGAAGCAGAGGCCTAGTGTTAGTACGCAAAGAACGATTCAAAAAGGTGCATAAGGCACCTTCTCGGCTGAGAATCAAAAGCATCCACACTTGCCGCAACTCGCACTGAAGACGAGATCTGCTTACCGTTAGAGGATGAGTATTGGGACTGTGAAATATCAGAGTGCGAAGAAGTGGCTCCGAAGTAGTTCCGCAATTGGCGTAGTAGACCACTTACCGTACCTCTGCAACAAGATGATTTTACAGTGCTTGCGCGAGATGCATGATGAGGCAACTGATACTCTTCATAATATATTTGTTCGTTCAGTAATAACCTCCACCTTACCTTCCGGAGATCAAGCCACGCTGTTACCTGGCGATCTGTCAGAGATGCGAAATGGTTGTTCAGGTATATGTCGCGACAAGTGGGTGAGTCCTGAATCGTCATTGCAAACAAGCACGGATCGTCACCGATGCCTGCAGACCGTTATGATTATAGTTGGTAGCCATCAATGCCTCTCTCCTTCGATGGCAACAGCTAGACCTTCAGACTCGCGGCCATGTAGGAAATCTCTACTGCATGACCGCTCCTCAAGATGTGCAAATTCAATAGTAGCTAGGAGCAGAAGCGTGGTGGACTGCTTCCGGAAGCATGTTGGCGGCTTGTGGACGAATCCGACGAGTTGAACGCATACTGCAAAGTCGCATCCCTGCTGATAGCATTCAAACTCGTCAGCTTGGCGATGCCCGCTTCGCTGTCGACGTCAATGTTACCCAGGTGACTCCGCTGTCGCCCAGCTAGGCTCGCAAGCAGCCTCGCCTAGATACCATTTCAGTTGCCATGGTTATATATTCGTGTTCGTGAATTGTGTTTCGAAATCCGCACCCAAACCGGGGTTCGAAGTTGACAGCCCTTACTAGTTCACTAAGGGTGCGAGATAAGCGGAGGACGTAGATTAGATAGTGCCTGAAGCGTGCGGATTTCATTCTCGTGGGACATCGGAGGAGGGGCGGAGACCGTTATTCAGGCGACGGTCGATGAAGCTTCATCCGATCCCGCGAGGTTATGTTATTGCTTTTTGCAAAGTCGGCAGACATCTGTGGCTGACCCAGTCGTGGTTGTAGCAGACTTTTTGCACTTTTCGTTGGCGACAGGCCTGGACTTGGCGGGTTCTCGTGAAACACTGGTGGGGATAGTAGAAGGATTGCTGGCTTCACTTGATCTCATCCGTTCTCTTAACTCGTAACTGCTCGGACTCGAAGCATTGGGCCGCCATGTTAGCACAACAATTCAATGATTGTCTTCACTGCGACCGAAGAACCTCGAGCGTCGAATTTCGCGCTAGTATTCACTTGCTCGTCAGTCTGCAATCATCATGAAACATCGTTCAGCGACATCATCAACTCTCTCGCTCCCTCGAAGACCTCTTCAACTCTCATAGAAACCAAGACTCGCAGTCATGGCACCGAAGAAGGCGGCCAAAAAGAGTCGCTCACTCGGTCCACGAACACAAAATGCTCGGTTCGCTGCACTGATTAGACATGTCAAGAAGAAGCGCGCTGCAAAGACGTCCGTACGGCTCTTCAGACTGTCCAAGAAGGTAGCTGTCTCGATCCACAGGTACACGACGCTCACACTCTGCCAGATCCTCAACGAAGGCGCTCGGATGGCCAACGTGACAATTAATCCGTTGGGAACGCTGCCTCAAGAGCTGTTCATCCACATTGCCGGCAACCTGGAAGCAAGCAGCCTCATCTGTCTATCACTTACAAGCAAAGCGTTCGCATATAAGACCGCGTCCTTTCAAGAAAAGATGGTCAGCAACATCTCTCAATCTTTCGAACCATCCCCTACAGGCCGCGCCGAACGTGGGGCTCGTCAGAAAGCACTGGTTGGTGTCAAGGAGACCCGAGCGCTAATCGGTCGATACTTGGGACGGGAGAACTACCGATACTGCCACGCTTGCGAAAAATTCAGGCCGATTTCAGAGCGCTTTTGGTATGACCTCTTCGAGAATAGGACGCCGCCGGTCAAAGTGGAAGGCAGGAGGGGGATTGGTAGAGGCATGGTAGAGAACTTTCCCGAAGATCCCGCTGAGCAGCAAGCGAAGATCGAGGACCTGCTCGATAAGTGGGCCATGGCCGGCCTCGCAGGAACTCATGCTAGCCACCCACTTCCAACCTGCCCAGCACACGTATACGCAGACAAACTGTATAGATACACGATCCGAGACTGAAGGAGCCAGGACTTGGACCAAAGAATCAGCTTAGACTTGCATGGAGGACTTCAGAACGATACATGGATCCTGAAAGAACGAGGTTAGTTTTGGATTCAATAGCTTCAGTACTGGTCCACAGGGACCGCCCTAAGGGCCAAATGACTTCATGCATGCATACAATTGCTTTCCTGTCTCTCCACCACGTTCACCTACCTAGATATCGTGACACAACGACATAATGTGTATCGTAATACCTTCTGTATCAGCTGTGGCCGCTTGACTGCACACCTCATAGCCTGGCCGCCATGCCTCCACTTCCCGCCCATCATGGCTGGCCGCACACGCGAGATCCTCTTCAAGATCTTCTACTCGTCCTCCTTCACCTTCGTTTTCCTCCTCCTAATCGCCTTCTGCGGCGTCGCTCCCGCCGACAAACTCTACGAATCATGGTCGCGCCGGCGCATAGTCGATATAATCATCATCGCCGCCGCCTGGGTCCTCACCGCCCTCATCGCCGCCTTCCTCTACTGCACGCGCCTATACACTACTAGAAGTATCCTTCGCGACATTCCCAAGACGTTCTTGCCGATCGAGCGGGAGGACTTGCCGGGGAGGAACACGTATAGGTTGATTCAGGAAACGTATGCGCGGACGGCAGTGATCGCGTATCAGGCGAAGCCGAGGGGACGGAGGATTGAGAAGGAAGTGGACGGGGCTGGGGAGAGGATGTTGGCGTTGAGTGGGCAGATGAAGGTGCATCATCATCATCATACTCTGACGAAGGAGGAGGAGGCGTTGTTGAAGCCGAAGTGGGGGGAGATCAAGCATCCCGGGTGGCAGAGCCCGGCGAGCGAGGAGATGCCCGGGTTGGAGTATGCGCAGGTTGCGGATGAGTTGGTGGATTTGATTGAGGCGAAGGCTGTGAGTCTGGCTCCGGGCATCGAGCGGAAGGCGGGACGCTATTGCCAGATGAGATGTGGGTGGATGTGTTGACCAGACCTGAGGGTGTGGGAATGCGGACTTATCTGTCACGGCTGGCAGAGTTGGCTGTGCTACCTGATGATGAGCTGGTTGAGGACTTCCTATTGGTGTACGAGCATTCCAGGTACAGCGGAAAGCCCATGACCGAAACCGACTTCCAGACCATGATGCGTCTCTTTGCTGAAATACTGCGAGGTATGCGCAAGCCGTCGGTAGACGACCTTGTGGACCTCGAATCCGATTTGGACGACGATGACGATAGCGGCAGCGTGCGGAAGCAATCAAAGAAAGGCAAGGGCTCGGCCGAGTCGCGTGTGAACGGCATAGTCCAGCCCGCCCTGAACAAGTCGTCCAGCACTCTTTCATTCGGCTCCAATAATTCGGTCATCCACAACCCTGTTCCAGACGAGCTCGCTTTCAATGCTGCGCTCTGGCCGAATGCTGCAACACAACCACTCCCAGCACCCTCGAGGGAACCAACGCACACTCGCGCCGACTCCGATGCAATCAATGAACCACGAGCGAGCGTCGCACACAGCATACTCCCAAATTTCGCGTCAACGAGACCTTCAGCGGCAGATTCCACTATCAATCAACCTCAGACCGGACCTCTACCCACCAGGCCGCCGTTTCGTACCGGAAATACACGCAGCACTACCGCGAGCGGCCACGCCAGCTTCTACTCCGCAGCAAGCCTACAGAACTCGACGCACAGTCTCAGAAGCAGTGCATCGGAAAGAAGTCAGGGAAGCGTGATCAGGCTCGCGAGGCGGATGCCGGGAATCGAGATGTTGGCAGTGGTACTGGATTGCCATATGAGATTAACGTCAGGGGGTTCGGCACGCGATAGCGGCGCATCAGCCGAGCACTGACGTCCTGGACGGCGCCTGGTCAGGAGTACCAGCGTGTATAAGGAATGCTAATGCTTAATTTGACCCAAGTGACAGACCAGCCTACAGCTCGAATAGCTTTCCCCAACCCTTAATTTCACCTTTTGGCCTCCCCAACATCTTCAAACATTCCCACACCACCGTCGCCACCGTATCCAACACAACCAATCCGTACTTCTCATACTCCTTCTCCCACTTCCCCGCCAAATGTGCCGCCCGCAAGTTCGTGCAAAACGGGCTCACAACCATCTGCCTGCTTTTCGTTCGCGGCATCCCCGCCTGCGCCTTGACCACCTCCGCCATCTGCTTCTCAAGCGTCTCCTCCGTGGTCGCAGCAATATCCCAATTCTTGCTAACGCCCAGATGGGACTCGACGATCTCCCAGTTCGCTTCTTTGGCGTAGACTTCTCCAATCTTCGACTGGACCGCATCGAGATACGGTGTGATCATCCCAAACACGTCGCTTTGCCCCTTCCGATAGCCCAACTCCTCCAGCACATGATTCAGCGCCAACGTACTAGTCGTCATCCTCACCCCCGTCTCCTGCTCAACCAACGCACACAACTTGACATCGCTCTCAAACCCCAACCATCCCGCGCTCGTGCCGGACCACCCGATGACATCCACGTTCGCGTCCGCGAGGAGCTTGGCGGCTTTGATGATGGGGGAGTCTGCGGGGTTGGAGGTGTCGAATTGGGAGAGGTCTTGGGGGCTGAGTGAGATGGCGGTTACGGGCAGGCGGGAGAAGTGGACTGTGATGCTGGGGAGAGATGGATCATGTTGAGGATTGTAGGGGCTGTAGGTGTTGAGGAGAGAGATGGTCAGGGGCTCGAGGGCTGTGTTTGAGGATGGGACGAGGATGCCGATTTTGAGGTCCTTTGGGGCGGAGGGAGTGGTTGATCCCATCGTAGTCGTGGAGTGTATCGAGGCTTGAGTTGTAGATATTGTGACGATAGTCACGGCGGCGAGTGGTCAAGAGTCTTCAATGTGATGGGACGAGAGATGAGCATCTGTTCGGACGTTGTCACTTAATAGCAGGTCGGCATCGGTACCTGCCTCATTAGGCACTGTCTGATAGCCGGCGGCCGTATCTGTGTCGGCAAGGCCGCCGGCGGAGAAGTGCGAGTGAGCATCTTCGTTATCGCGATGGAGAGTGCTAAGGGGAACGTGTCATCGTACAACCGGCTTCAGTATATTGTCATCCATGAGAGCGTCTCCTGTTGCATTAAGTGCACATTGGCTTCATGATAGACGTTGAAGCATAAGCGGCGACAACACTGCAAGAGAAAATTGGTCGGTGAAGGTAACCACGACCGATGACGTCGTGCCTTCGTAGTCCTTCCGACGCGCCTCGCTTTCTCGTCGTGCTTAGCCACGTCTCCCTTGTCGGTCTTATAGGTCCTTTCGAAGCAGTGCATTCGAGAATGAACGGACGATAACGTCTTCGCATTCTTACAAATCATGGACATGATCGCCCAAGGCGGAGACTTGTCGAGCGTATACAAGCGCAAAATGTGGATAAGGGCTATTTGACTCACAACAATGGCACAGCGCTATTAGGTCGAGACCGGCAGCAGGCTCATACATCCAACAATGGTACACATATCACACCTGAACCCAGCAAAGAGACCTTGTGCTCTGGACGACTGAAAGCCTCAGGATTGAGATCACTTCAGGTCAAGGCATGCCACTAATCATTGCACCAGTCGAACTACCTGACTTCGACGCAATCATCGCCCACGCCGACATATACGAACCAGGAGATGACCTCGTAGCACCTCCAAACCCCGTTGCATGGCCAGTCGCAACACAGGCTGAGGCGCAAGAGCGCCTTCGTCTGCTGATGGGACGCCAACGACAGCGCTTCTTGGAGGACCCGACAGCAAGGTTCATGAAAGTGGTCGATGTAGCTGGATCGTATTCGCCCACCACATCTGACGATCCAATGGAGCCCATCTCCAAGTTCATCCCGCAAGGCGACATCATCGCGATTGCTCGATGGCATTCCTTTCCCAAAGGATACTCATTCGACTCCATGTCCCACTGGGAAGTCGCCACTCTCCCACACAACCAGGCTGAATGGCCACCGAACTTCAATCAGCCACTCCATGACTTCATTCTCTTATCGCGCGACCGCGCTCGCGCATCCTGGATTCCTGCTGGACAACCGGCGTGGGTACTGATGCATCTTGTTACGAGATCGAGCCAGCGCGGACGCGGTGCAGCAGGAATGCTTATTCGGTGGGGAATCGAGCAGTCAGAACGTGAAGGCACGCCTGCGTATTTGGAGGCGGGCGTTCAGGGCAAGCCAATATATGAGAAGTATGGATTTCGACAGGTTGGGCAGGGAGTCAAGCTGGACTTGAGCAGTGTAGGGAAGCCAGGTGTCGTATTCGAGATGGCTAACATGGTGAGGCGACCAGGACGGTGAGGGTTTCGCAACGAAGGCGCCGGGGAGAGTGACTGAGTGTATTCACGCCCGGTTGTATTCACTCTTCTGAACCGAGCGGCCCCCTATAAAGTCTTCGTTTGTTTCTGTTTTCCTTTCTCCAGGTACATACTCGACTTTCTGCCGACGTGCGACTTTCTATCGATTCGCGACTTTCTTACACCCCTTCAAGCACGACTGTTGGCGCACTCGCGCCTTTTTTACTTTCACCGATACGTGTCCGTCGATCATACGAGATCATGAGTATGGAGCGCAACATTGGTCCCCCCAAGCGTCGAACGCCCCCGATGAGTACCATGCCCCTGGATGCCATGAACTCCCACTATGTGAGTATTTCATGCAGCACTAGACGAATACGCTGACTCGCGCAGGGCCAGTACGGCGATCCACCCCTTTATCACAACAACTATCAGCCCGACTACTATCAGCCCGACTACCATCAGCCCGACTACTACCAACCCGACTACTATCAGCCCGACCACTATCAGCCCGACCACTATCAGCCCGACTACTATCAGCAGCCACCCAGTGTAAGTGAAGGGAGGCTCCTCACGAGTTGAAATCACACTAACGCTTCCAGGCCTACTATCCATATCCTCCCCGTCACTACAGTCCCATGCCCGATCCCCGCGAAGGCATGCGACCCCGAAGAGGACGAAACTTGCGATCTTCCAAGGCTCTGTTGGTCGTCGTCGATCTGCGTCACCAAGGAAGCGATCACCGAAGCGCAGAGAAGGCAAGGTCATGCCCAACCCTCGTGCAGAATTCGATGCAAGCGGTGAACAGGAAGTTCACGTTGGGCATTCCTTCTCCAAGGTCAATAGCACTGGGGTGAGTGCAACACATGCTCCTTCGGATTCTAACTGACTTTCGCAGCGAACTGCCGGCTGTCGCAAAGCGGAAGGCGAGTACTGCGTCGAAACCGATAAGAACGGCGTGGTTCGTGGCGGGGGGAATGGCGAAAACTCTACCGGTATTCATGAGCGTGGGGTGGTCACTCTCCGGGCAGCTTCTCACGAAGGCATAGAGATCCGTGTGATACGGCGGGTAAGTTGTACCGCTGGACCACGATAGCATGAGCTAACTTACGCAGAAGCTACAAAGTACTGGAGAGATGACCCGTGAGTTCACCTTGAAGGTCAAAAGCGTCGGCAACGACGATAACGGATCTTTCATCGATGCGATCGACCACGAGACCGACTTGAGTACTTTGGTCAACATCGCCACTCTCGAGCGCGTCAGAAAAGTCGTCGCTCCAAACACCGATGAGGCTGACGACAATGATACCGCCTAGGACCTGAGGTCGAGCCGGTTAGAGGAGGTGCCGCACATAGGTGTGGTGAGAGATTGAATCGATTCAGTCGTTGGCCCATGTCGTCAGGGAGGCGCAGAACGGTGTAGCAGTCGCTCACCTCACACTGTGTGACGTGCCGGCATGAATGCGGTCCGGAGGATCTTATTATGTGCTGTCTGGCTGTCTCTAAACGTTCAGTAGTCAGACTGACCGTCCTTCGTGTCGGGAACGGGTGCGCGCGGATCCCATAGCAACATTCTCAAGACTTCAGCAAACGATCGATCATATCACGCTCCTGGCTCGATGAGTGCAAGGTGCCTTAAGTGTTACTGCCGTGCCTCGGGCTACTACAGATTACTTAGATAGGTAGGTAGACCCACCAAGCTCGGGACGGCCCAGGGGACATATCCACATCGGGCTTGGCATATACATCAGCATACTATTGTCAAACACAAGCTTTGTCAATGGCTGCGATATGCATCGCAGAACATAGCACTTCGAACAGGATGATATGTATGGAGTTGCAGAAGATGATATTTCCAACTATGCACTATCAATTAAGTCAGGACCTGTACTTCCGGCCCAATATTATGTAATGAGTGTGGTATGAGACTCGTCAAGCTCGTGTCGTATCAACAATAATAAGAGACTCGTTTTATACCGCCGTATATGCAATGCCATTCCCAGTGTTCTCTATGCTGCCAAGAATCCAAGTGATGATACCGTTTCGGGTGGACGGGTGAAGGTCTCAAACGCTCATGCTGCAGATGAAGGCGGAGATTCCTTAGTAATTCTTCCAGCCCGTTGTCGCCACAGGCACCCATCCGGTTGTAGTCGTGGTAGTGGTGCTGGCGGTGCAGGGAGCGGTGTAGGTCGAAGTATAGGTCGAAGTGACGGTGCTGACGTCGCACCACGCCTTACTTGTGACGGTGCTGTAGATGGTGGTCGGTACCGTGACCGTAGACACGTCCTGCCATCCCTTGCTGGTGACCGTGACTGTAACAGCAGGGGGCGCGGGCAAAGTGGTCGTGGAAGTGATCGTGCTAACGTCGCACCACTGTTTGCTTGTGACAGTCACCGCGGGAGGAGCCGGCAGCGTAATGGTCTTGTTATCGCACCACTGCTGGCTGACACTGGTGACTGTGACCGGGGGAGGTGTAACGGTGACTGGAGGAGGAGCCGGAATGGTGACAGTGCTGGGCACACACTGGTCACCCCAGCCACCGCCGTTCTGGTTCTTCCAGTCGCCGCCGCCATTGGGAGCAGCAGTAGCAACAGCTGCGAGAGCGATGAGAGAGGTAATCTTAGCGGCCATTGTTGTTGATTGATGACTTGATGAGACAAGTAGCGAATGTTTGGAGGGAGAAGTGGAAGTTGGATTATTGATTAGATGCTGTAGCGATTGTTGTTGTGATGGAAGTACAGTCTCAACGAAGGGCATGGCACCTCCATCTTATAGATGTCCAACATCAGGCCGTTCATCACCGAGTCCACCTGCTGTGCTGGAAGTTTGCTGTTCCTCGGGGCCAGGCGAGAATAGAGGCAGCATAGAATAGAGTGGGCGTAGCCACTTCAGCCGCCAATCAGGTCCGGCGACCAGGTCAGACATGCATATAGCATAGGTGGACTCTAGTATACCGGATTGGTGGAAGGCTGGGGCAGGACTTGCGACTCTGGCGAAGTATACGGCGGAAAGCGGGCCAGCATCAAGGCCAGGCGACCAGATTCCGCTCTGTCAGCGCCGCAGAGAATTGGAGTCCGCGGCTGTACGTTTGTGGGGTGCAGTAACTTACAGCAAAGAGGTCAGGTCAAGCTCTGGCCCCTGGCCAAGTTCCAGGTGAATGTGGTTTGGCTAGCCGGGAGCCGTTAGTATGACGTTGAGCAACCGCTCAAAAATAGGGAAGCTTTGGCGCTAGATCCAGCTGGCACCTTATTTCATTGGCTGAGTTCGATTTAAACGTGGCTGAGACCCACTTTCGCTGTGAGGCTAGCCGAACGACTCAGCCTCGGGCGCGCAGCTTGTCTTCCGACCCTGATTCCCTGCCACCATCCCGGATATCGCCAATTCACCATGCATCTCGAGAAGATCGGGCACCATCTGTGTGGCGAATGCAGGACAGGTCCATCCTCCTGTTCGTCAGGTTTCGAGCAGCGTCCGTGCGCATGACCGGATTATTCGAGATCAGAGTTGACACACCAGACTGCGGTCAGCACTTGTCATGACCTCGATCCTGGCAATCCTGAGACTGCTCTGAGACTCCTCGGGAATCATCACAAAGGTTTACTCACCACATGTTCGCTTGTCGAAGTGTTAGCCCGGCCACGTCGGCCCACGGCTATGAGCAATGTTTGGGAGTACCGCAGCTGGCCGTACAGTGGCGATGCAGAACGTATCAGAGGCATCCAGCGGAATCCCCGGCCCCGCAGAGTACGCGACCACCTAACAATTTAGGTCACTACGTAACACTTGTTGTTGCTGCCGAGCAAAGAGCCTCCACGAGGGCCAAGGCATCCTGCCCCATACCTGCATACGAGCCCCAGAAACGGATCCCTGAACGAGCACCATAAGCACTCTCACGGAAGACCCAAAAACAACCTTGTGCCTTGGCAGCACCAATGTTATACACGGATCCTCTGCCGAAGCTCGCTAACATTGGTCGAGACATCTATAGCCATTGTACTAGTGCTCTTCACCCATTCGCCGCTGCGTCGTTGCGGGCTCCGAAACCTAAGCTGTCAGCGTGGCTGGATCGGGCAAACGTTCTCAATCAGGTATTCGCACAATCTCCAAAGACGTCTACCACTACTGTTGTCCAGCCTGAGCTACGAGCACCAAATTACACATCATCACTGCTGCTGCCAAAGTGGCAGGAGTCCCTCGGACACATGCGTTGCTGACACACACTGTACGAACTCAGAAGGCCTGTTACTGACTATACGGCATGATCGTTGAATTGTCCCAGGTCCTGCGGCGAGGCACGGTAAGAGCTTCCGTCCAAGTACGCCTCGCTATGTTTGGCATCACATAGGGCAAAGATGCAAACACTTTAATTCTGCTAGCCTGATACTCCACGATATCTGGATCAAAGACACTTTCAATCGACAACAGAGAGTAGACTTAGGTCAGGCACCCGTACTTGAGGGCTGGGTACCTCAATGACTGACCGACGGCCGCTGGCTCAATGATCTCCTGCAGTGTCGGCGATGAACTGTGTGCCGATGCCGTAGCTGCGCGCGTGAGTGGCTTTCTGGGAATAACTCAGGTCCACCGACAGGTACAGTAGAATCTGCTCGCCACACAACAGATCATCTCGATCAGTACGGTGGACCATGTCAGGCCTGACATATTGCCCGGCCAACCTTCTATGTTATGTCCATTGATCCCCAGCCGAGATGAATATTTCGCCCACTCGACCTCCTGCAGCCAGCCAAAGACATCGTTCAAAGCTTCTCGTGCAGCGCCAGCCATGCTCTTATCTCACGGTGTGAGGGTCCATCTTCTTCCTCAGAAGAAATTAGTAGACTATGAAACACTAACAGATAGGGTTCGTCCCCGAACCTGTACTTCGTACTTTGACCACACGGTGCAGTACATAAAGTCAAACGGCCGATTGCGCGATTGTGTGTCGCCATCGAAGCGTGGAGAACTCTCATTGAGGATAGATTTAGCGTCTGAGCTTGCACTTATCCAGCGAGAAGGATTTATATGCACGGGTAGCCGGATTTACTCAAGGTCTTCCACGGCAACCTTTTCCTGCCTCCTCTGATTCTCACCCACTTTGATTACACAGTGCTTAACAGCAAGCCAACCACCTATGATTTCATGAATTTGGATGAACATCCTCATGCCTCCCAAATCGATGATTGAAGGCATCGAAGCGTAGAGGCGGGAGTATGACTGAGCAATGGGCATAAGACTGTCTCACCGCATCAATTGCCCCTCCCCCGCAATTGCAACTCGTGGTTGCTAGATCACTCGAGGTCCCGATGTGGGCTACAGCACTCACTCGTACGAGTGAGACACGCGCAAAGATCGGCAGGTCCGAATCAAGTTCGCCGAGCAGGTCAGGCCACTGCAGGTATGGGTCTAGAGGCGCTCGCGAAGTCGCGCTTGCCCTTCTCTGACGACGTCGTGCAACATCTCTACGGTCTGCGAACTTTCCAACACATCGATCCTCCTCATCATAGCCCAACACACAACTTCGTAGGCCAGAGATTTGATGTCTTAGTAACCCCATACCCACCTTCACGAGCTCATCGGCCCCCATGATGATGTTTTGCCCATTCCGACAACTTGAACCACAACCCCGGAAGCCCTGCCGTATCGAACACGAACGACCCGACCAAGGCCCCCACTATCACAATCCTTAACGTCGTCGGCCCCAAACTCTGGGCATAGCCACTTGCACCTTGCAGGCCCAAAAACAGCCCTGGACACTGGACACAAGCAGCAGTCTGCAACAGCTATTCGCTGGAGGCATACGGCTTGCCCTGCCTCACCGCTGCTCAAGAACAGCAATAACTTGCTCGCTCCGTCCTTGATCCCCTGCTGCACGCTGCGACACTGAGTTCTGAACCCGGGTTGTCAGAACTCGACCCAGATGGGCGACTTGCACAAGGATGCCTTGGTTTCAACTGGACCCGACGGCGTCGCCTTCGATGCCACGAGGTTGCTATTTATGAACTTTCTGGCGAGCCGTTCGCAGTAATAGCAGGGCACGGATCTGTCGCTGCTAGGGTCTAATAAGACTAAAGACAGCGAGTTGACACGTCTTATGGCCTGACACTCACAATTCAGGTTCGTATGCAGAACACTCTATCTTCTCTAGAGCAAGACGACGGAGCTTTCAGTCGCTGTCCGCGCTCTTATCGTTTTTGCGCCAAGATGAGCCGATGCCCGTCACACAAGAAATGCAGCATGGCCTATTTCCGGTGTCCGTCAAAGCGCGCCAGGCGATCAGGCTGATCTCGCAGGCTGTCAGACGCATTCAGAATCTGGCCAACGCTGCATGCGGCGGCGTCGACTATTCCACCAGATTAACTCAATCTGCTCGTCGAGCGTGGAACGCGCCCGACTCCTCCGCGGCCTAGGCTTCTTCTCCTGCATCTACAATCGACGTTTCTTCTTCACCAGCGCCTTTCCCAACTCCTCTTCCACGTCCACGGTGTACGGAAAGTCTCCAAGATGCTGCCTGGCGACCCTGTGCGCCACGAACTCAACGTTGGGAAAGCAATCTCTGTCCTCGGGGCTAATCCCACACCTGTCCTCCTGCGCCGCAGACCTGATCGCGACTATGTCCAAATTGCTATTCAACAGAATGAACTGCATGACCCGCAGATCATCCAATTGCCAACGGCTGCCCCACCTCTCTTCGTCCTTGTGCTGATGCAGGTCCTTCAGACACAGGTAGGTCAGACAAGGAAACCGCAGGAATAGTTGCGTCAGCCACCGTTCAGAAATCTTAAACGAATGCCTATTGCTGAAGGGCTTGGTGATGGTAACGTGTGAAAGGCATAAAGATGAAGTGAAGCTGTGCGTTATGCCGTACCAGCAGGCGAGATAGATGTCGTCGGCGTGCAGCTCAAGCTTCCTGTTACTGTCGCGGACAAGCATGGCAATCTCGTCTCGCGTCGTGGTGCAAGCTTGAGCAAGGCTACGCGGGGGTTTCCAGTTGTCTTCCCCGCCTTCGTGCAAGTGCGAGTAGTGGACCTTGATGCTGCATCGCGCCGTCGGCTGGAATATCGAGTGATCATTGGGCAATGGTGCCTCGACTTCGGCTAGATTTGGAGCGAGAGAAATGCATTCGTCTTCCCACCACCACTCGCGCTCATCGTGGGCTCGAATTCTTTTGCCGGTGGGGATGGAGCTCTGTCGTAAGTGAATGTTGAAGGGCGAGGACGAGCGGTCTAGAAGGCCAAGGTAGATGTTCAGGCGGATTTCTGGAGGGAGTGCGAGTAAAGGGAAGGACGGTGCTGAAATGGAGTCTGCACGGTGATTGTGTTTGATGATCGATGGTGTGTTGGTGGTGTGGTCGGCCACGGGCGGGCAGTTACAGGGAAGAATATGCCGTGGTCTTGAGCGATGCATTTTGTGTGAACAACAGGGAACGGTATGGCGTATTGTGAGAGGCATTTTATGTAAGACAGGAGAGCTAAGCCGACGAGTCGGGAGGAGTTGATGGATCAGTCGAAGAGAGGAGTGAGTGTTCGAGGCAAGACATGCTACATATGTTCTATGGCATTTCACCGACTGCTTATCTACCCTCCTGCCCGCCCGCATCAGCGGCAACCAAAAGTCCCAAGTCGGGCGTCTATCGTCGTTTTCATATTGCTTTGCGACTCTTTGATGTTTGCGACTTTCTGGACAGATATCAATCAAGGACATCGCTCCGGTGGATGTGGCCGCCGATGTAGCGGGCTCCCGCACGGTGGCGTCGTGAGAGACTCTGAAGTTCTCGAAGCGAGAACATGGCACAGTGGAGAGGGACAGGAACTGCACGTTCCGCTGCAGGGCGTTGAGTCTTGTCTAAAGGGTCCGCTCATAGTGTAGCATACGCAGATGCAGAAGGTCCCATGTACCAAAGTTCTTTAGTGCCAAGAATGCTTGGAATCATAGTCAGAATTGGATCTGAATTCATGTATGCTGTCTACCTGAAGTTGCGAAAGTGCTGGAAGCTGACATTCGCATGGCATTAGCGCAAGCATTCTCTCAAGGTCGTCTGGTGTCCCGCATGCCTCGTCCTGATCATCCTTGACCTTTGCCATCGCGCTCCTGCGGACCGCAACTCCCTATTGCGCTTGGCATTGTTGCCTGTCGAAAGCCCATTGCAGACACTTGGTTGCGGAGTGAACTCGGTTCTCCCCTTGAGAGATCCGAGGCCGCTAATCAGAAGATCGTCCCCTCGGAATCAGAATCTTCGGCTAGATCATAAGCAGCTTGAGCATCAGAAGAGTCTGAGACACGCCTGCTATCGGCACCGGCATCGTCCTCCGCGTCTTTGTCATTGTTGTCCGGCGTGACGCCCACCACAATGTCGTCCAGCAGAGAGACGAGCTTTGCCTTCGCGTCTTCGTGGATTGCAGTGAATTCTTTCCGACCTCCTTTTGCGAAGACTTTGCTCAATTGTGGGAGACCAATTGCCTCATCCTGCCACCATTCATATTCCCAGATTCTGAGCCGACCGCGCACCATGCCGATGAAGACTGGATTCATTGGATACGCATCACGAGCAGCTATCAACTGCTTGGGGGCAATTGGTGCCGGTAGCAGGGCGTTGACGAATATTGTGGTAGTGACGATGTCCTTACGCTCGTCGTCACTGGTCTTCTTGGTGAAGCGGATAAGACTCTGAAAGCACTTGTCGGGATGGAGCGTGTTGTCTCGAAGGAGCTTCAACCCCAACCCGTAATAGCGGAGACAGCATTTTGCGAGATCACTGACACTGGGACTTGCGGCCTTCTTGTGAACGACATCCTCCTTGGCCTCTGCGATTGTCTTGGCGTCCATCTCGGGTTTCGATTCTTCACTGACCGCTGGTGAAAGACGTCGCGGCATGTTAAGCTTTATTCGAACCATCTCAGTCACCTGGAGAATTCACCGGCTTCGCACTTGTGGAACTATCACTAACTTTTCGCTTGCTTTGGACCGTCGTAAGAAAGTCGTTTCGGTGAGAAAGTCGTGAAGATCAGAAAGTCGTGAAACTCAGAAAGTCGTCAAGATCAGAAAGTCGTGCGTAGTACAGATGAGCAGAACAGATCTGTGTCCTCAAGTTGTGCGAGATATTTATACTCGATGATTTCCCTGTGTATGTAGACATGGGACCGCATTTGCGGTCCATGCTCAGGTCGGAGTCGTGCCAGAGTCTGGCTTGTTACCCTTAATTGCCTCAGCAAACTGCTTCGCCCATTCCTTTGCCTTCTCGAGCTGATCGTGTAAGAACTTCCACCAGTTCTTCTTGCCGCTGCCAGACGTATCACTGTCGGGTGATCCCTCCTCCGATGTCGACGGGTCCGGATCACCAGGCTGCTGATCTCCTTGCACTCCTGATCCTGGCGGCGGATCAGTCGTCTCGGCATCCTCGGGCGCGTCGTGCGGCGTATCAAGCTGCAGCGCCTTGTCATCACTGTGCAGCCCCTGCGGCCTCAGAGGCAGATGTAGCGTGCCGTTGTTTGGACCAGGCTTGATGCCGATGCTCTCGCAGACAATGTTGTAGACTTCGGTGTTCTGAAACGTGGCCAGTCTACTGTTGCCAGGATGTGGGAATGCTGGGCCTCTAGCCACAAAGATCGCTCGCATCAAAGGATGCTCATGATCATAGCCGTGAAGGCCTTTGGGCTCGTAGCTTGTGCCATCCTCCAGGGCTTTTGCAACGTCAAAATCGGTCTTCTCTAAGACTGCCCAGCCAGCTTTGGGCACAATCCAAAGAGGCGCAATGCGGTCGTTGTTGGAAAAGTGGTATCTTTCTGGCATTGTCTCGCGCGTGTAGACGTCGAATGAGCCCATCTTTTTGGCTGCTGCGAGAAGCTGTTGGTGTAGTGGTTCGAGATCGCGCTCCGCATCTTTCAGGCGAAGGCCGCGCAAAGGCCAGCCATCCATATGATCAATCAGGGACACGTCGATAAGTTCGTCGAGTTGGATGATTCGTTTTGTAGAGGTTGTTGCCATGCCGTGGTCCGAGACCACTACCAAGTTCACAATCTCGGTCAGATTGCGCTGGACTAGCCCCTCGACAATCATGGTCAGCATGCTATCAACATCAGCGATCGTTGCTCTAATTTCTGTGCTGTTCGGGCCGTATCTGTGACCATCTGCATCGACGTTTGGTACGTAGGAGAGCAATAATTGTGGACGCTTGTCTCCATGTTCAACCTCATCGCCTGGCAGATCCAGCCAGTGCATGAGTCGGTCAACCTTCTTCGGTAGCACCTCGCTTTCGTTGAACTTGTCGAGGTATGTAGGCTCGCGATCTGGTATATGCGCTTCGGAGCCTGGCCACATATGAATCGCTGTCTTCGCGCCCTGATCCTCTGCCGTGACCCAGATGGGTTCAGCATTCCACCATTTTGGCTGCATCGAGATCCTGCCGATATTGGTCAGCCTGAGTCGGACATTCGGGAAATCGCGAGGGGTAGTGGATAGGGAGAAGGCTTGAGGCCAGACAATCGTCAGCTCGCCGCTAGGAGAGCTTCAAAGATGGCAGCGCCTCGCCCAAGGACCACAAGATGATCCGAGACATTGTTCAGAACAAGTGTCTCTGATGCTGCATGAAGACTGCCCTCGTGGTCGACTGATGGTTCAGGCTCACGAAAAGCGGATAGGCTTACGTGGTATCCGTGTAGTAGAACTCCTCCTGTATTTCTGGATCCCAGAACTGGTTGCTAACGATTCCGTGGCTCTCTGGATATAGTCCCGTGACCAGAGTGAAGTGATTGGGAAATGTCACCGAAGGGAACGACGGCAGCATCCATCGTGGAGAAACGCCGGAGGCGATGAACGCATTCAGTGCTGGTGTAATACCACGATTGAGAAAGTCCGCACGAAAGCCGTCCAGGGAGATCAGGATAGTGGTTGGCTTGAACTCATGGGTGCCGTTCCAGTATGTCCGGAGATGCGAAGCCGAGGTAGTCTGCCTCGATGCCGTCCATGCACCGTAAGCCAGAAGTACGAACAGTGCGATGATCACGATATGTATGACTGCCATGCGTCCTCGTTTAGGTGGTGTGTATGGCTCGGCCCTGGTCAGATCAACAGAACTCTCGGAGCTGTTGTCCTTGAACCCGCCCTCCATCTCGAAGACGACGCGGCCATCTTCGTCGAAACCAGTCTCGCTCTTCCGTCTTGATCGTCGTCGCCGCCTGCGATCTCGCTGGTCTGACTTCGCGAAGATATCTCGGACTACATCCGCCCTGTTCGGTTTGGCCAGCAATCTTTCCTGTTCCTCTGCTTCGTCCAGGACATGCTCATCGCTGGGTCGCGGGGAGGCGTCGTCGTTATCTGTATCTGCATCGGAATCAACGATTGGGGCGTCGTTATCGTAGGCCTTGTCGGCCAGGAAAGCCTTCTTCTCGGAGGATGCCATAGCGATGTAGCATGACTTGCGAGATGGCTACCTGAGGACGAGGTAGGGATTGGCTTATATGGAGAGGGTGCGAATGTGATAGCAATCTAGGGTGAGAACTTTGGTGAGGGACTTCACGCACTCACAAGTAACGTAAGCTGAGAGGGTCCGACGGCGCACGGGCTCGCGACGGGTATGCAGGCACGCCGGAGCTAAATCGAGTCGGGCAAAGCGTCGGACACGGTTTCCGCGGGGAGCCGCGACCCCGATAGAGGTGCACTTTTGATCTCGCTATCGCTCTCGACGTTGCTCTGTTTTCACGTCAAGACAGCAGCTTGGCTTGGCTTCAGCTGCTGCGTCTCGACTCGACTTGGGTCCACGCAGGGTCGGACGCAGCACGATGCTGCTGAAGCCTACCAAAAATACCCATGAAAGCGGCTGCTCGCCAGCCTCCCCGACGAGCGACAACCTCACAACGACCGATCTGTCCGACGTTAGAGGCTTCCAGAAAGGACAGCATCGAGATGGACGTGTCCCGTCGGTGTGGTCATGTCGGCCACTTACTTTGATCACCACGATCATTGCCTTCCTTTCGATCGCAGCCATAGTACACTCTTTCGTCAACTTGCAGATGGATCCTCAAGGCTGCGGTATGTCCTTCATGACGCCTACGTACATCAAGATGGAGGGCTTCGATAGCGAATACTCGCGCTTTGCCTCCAAGTATGGTCTCTACCTGTATCGCGAGGAAGGTGTCGACCAGTACGACGCAGCTAATGGCGATCTTGGTCTACGGGGCGCACCAGTACTATTCATTCCGGGAAACGCCGGCAGCTACAAGCAAATTCGCAGCCTGAGCAGCGAAGGAGCTAGATACTGGAAAGGCCAAGATCGGACGAAGGAGGAAGCAGAGCAGGGCAAAAGAGCATTCGACTTCTTTACACTTAATTTTAATGAGGATCTGTCTGCGTTCCACGGACAGACCTTGATCGACCAGGCAGAGTATGTCAACGAGGCGATCGCATACATCCTCTCCCTCTATCACCATCCAGTGCGGGGCAGGAAGGGCGGCAAGCATCTTCCGGACCCAAATGCCGTAATTCTGGTTGGACATTCCATGGGCGGCATTGTGGCCAGAACCGTGCTGGTCACCAGCAAATACCAGGCGAATAGCGTCAATACGATCATCACGATGAGCACGCCACATGCTCGACCTCCGGTGGCTTTCGATGCAGATATGGTCAGCTTGTACGATAAGATCAACAACTACTGGCGAGCGAGTTACTTGCAGGACGAAGACGGCATGAATCCTCTGGCTCAAACGACACTGATCAGCATCGCCGGTGGTGGACGCGACACAACCGTTCCATCTGACTATACCAGTGTCAGTAGCCTGCTTCCCGAATCCCATGGCTTCACGGTCTTCACGAGCGGCATTCCAGGTGTTTGGACTTCTATGGATCATCTTGCTATCACATGGGCCGACGAAATGCGGAAATCGATCATCAAATGCATGTACGACATTTCGGATGTGCGGAAGCCGGGTCAGACGATTCCACGCGAAGAGCGGATGAGAGTCTTCCGCAATCACTTCCTCACAGGGCTGGAATCTAACACTCCAAAGCACTTGCTTGATGCCGGCAGGACTCACGACGTCTTACTCAAGCTTGGCCGCTCGACCAACGAAAAAGATGCAAGCATAGCCATTCGACAACTTGGTGCACAGGACCAGCCGAGTACACAGCTGCTTCAAGTACCCGCCGTCACCCATCACGGACAGCGAATACTGTCAGTTCTGACCAACGTGGCCATAGATGCCCCGGGGACATTCGGCGAAGACCTTGAGGTCCTTTTCTGCAGCACATTCCCATTGCCTTCTGGCAACTCGAACTCGCCATCTATTCAGATCGATCAGTCGAATGGGGCTCAGCTGCCACGAGACTGGCGTGCAAGCGCCCAACCGGCGATGGCATTCAGCTACCAGCATCAACACGAACTTCCCAAAATGCCTTCGACCGTCATATCCCTTTCACCTACCTCCGATACGACGCCGCAGATCTGCGAGACTTCCAGTTTGTCGCCATTGTAGATAAAGCGACCGAGATCAGTAACAATTGGATCTTTGCCGAGTTTGCCACAATCGAATCTGCTACTACTAAGTCCACGGGAAACCTAGCAAAACTTCTTCTGGGTGGCGAAGGGTTCGAGCTACCACCAGCCCGACCGATGGTGAACGAGATCACCATCCCAGCGCTTCACTCATCATTGCTCGCATACAAGCTCAAAGTCCGCCAACATGGATGCGGCGATGAGGCCGAGATGTTCACACCTCTAGTCCGACAATACATTGAGCAGCCGCATCACGAAAGCAAGTACTTTGTCAACTTCAAGGAAGGCGATATCAACCTGCATGGCGTCGCGCCGTTCATGCCTCCTTTGCTGGACGGCTCGACACCAGGTGCTGAGGGAGTCACTTTCCAGATCTTCTCTGACAGCACCTGCAACAGTGCTCTCGAAGTGCATCTACATGCAGACCTCCCAGGTTCGTTCGGCAAGCTCGTCATGCGCTATCGAACAATCTTTGCCGTCTTTCCGCTTCTTGTCGTTGCGATGGTTTTGCGCAAGCAATTTCGTGTCTATGACAACACCGGAATCTTCATAGGCTTCTCAGACGCACTGGAACAAAGTTTGCGCCTCCCGCTGCCAGTATTGCTTCTGAGCATGATCTTCTTCGCCACGGCTTTCTCAACAGCAGGCAGTATCTCCTCGCCGGCGCAAGACAATGCGACTATGGTCGACTTCAACAAGAACGATTTGCTGCTTGGCAGCCAGGATTCGTTCTTCTGGTTTCTTGTCCCGTTGGCCGGGCTGATATGCGTCGGCGCTTGCGTGGGTGTTCACTTTCTTGTTTTGGGGATATTGCATTTGTTCGTGGGTGCCAGTCGGGTTTATGCTCAAGTCACTACCTCGCAATCTCGACCTGGACCGTCGCCACCATCCTCCTCCGACGAGAAGGACGGCAATCACAAAGAGAAGCGGCCACTTCATACGACGCTTCCACCATTGCAGATACTAAGCGCATCGTCACCTCGCCGTCGCCTCATCAACACTGTCTTACTCCTCCTTCTTGTCGCCACCGTTATTCCGTATCCATTCGCATACGTGGTTGCCTGTCTGGTACAGCTCGCCACGACCACACGCGCACTGTCACAGCTCTACACATCGAGACCGATCAGCGTACACGCCTCCAATTTCTTCAACTACACCTACGCTGTGCTCATCTTGATGCTGTGGGTGCTGCCACTGAATCTCCCAGTCCTCATTGTCTGGGTGCACAATCTGGCAGTACCATACTTGTCTGCCTTTGGCTCTCACCACAACATCTTGGCCATTGCGCCGTTCATCGTGTTGGTCGAGACACTTGCCGGCGGAAAGATGGTACCGCGACTGAGGATCGCGAAGAAAGGTAAGAAAGGGTCTGCTGGGACTGGCTATGGGAGACTTGTTACGAATGTTGGATTCTTTGCTTTAGCGGTATATGCAGCGGTTTATGGGATGACGTACGCGTACAGGCTACATTGGATTGCTTGTGTAGTGGCCGGATGGCTGGGTGTGCTTCACTGGTTGGGTGGGAGTATTAATATCGGTGGCAGGCCGCCACCAGGAGGGAAGGTTGTAAATAGATGAGCTCAGAGGGGCCTGTAGTTATGTACATCAGTGCGAATGGCAAGAACCTTGCTATATGTTTGGTCCTTCTGCACCTTTCGGCGCTTTTTCCGTCAAGCTCTTGCCCAATGTCACCTTTGCACCTTCCCGGCGACCTCGGATCGTGCTTTCCCTGCATAGCTCCAGTCACTGCTTCCGTCAGTGACTTGACCAGATATGTACGAATCTATATACATTTGCAACTGCCAATAATCGGCCCTAGAATGAGCAAAGATCGACACATTTCATCAGCATAGTGTGAACGGCGAACACATCGAGCGAAGCTGTCTCTGGCTGCAGCCAGTCCTAGACATACTGTGGCTGTCGCAAGGAGATCCTAGTTCAGTTCTGGGTGCTGCTTAAGCCTTTTCTTTCTCTTCTTGCAATCTTTGATCTCACGCGCGACTGCCCGGCACAGTTTTGCGACGAAGGTGAATAGAAGTGGTCATAAGAGGTCAATTGCAGGGTGAAGTGACGTGAGATCAAGTAGGTAATATCCTAGGCTCCAGATATCTGAACATTCCTCCAGACTCACAGGTCTTGCGGTCTTCCAGGTGTCTCTGCCGGGCCTCTCGAAGGCAAACTCATCACTCAATTGATGACACCGACTGCTCCGAAGTCTTGCAGATGTTGTCAGTCCGACAAGCTCCTGTACCTGCATGATCAACGCACGGCGATGGACCCAAGCTGCGTCATGCATTGAGTGTTTTGATATTACCCATTCTGGCAACACTGGATACTGTCCACGGTCTTCAGCAGTCTGCCGAAGCATTCATCGAGCGCGGCCTTCGCTCGGCAAGAGCTCCGTCTGAACGATGAGTTCGCACGGAAGACGAACGCCGTTGATGGAGCAAAGACGGAATCCACGAAATTGGTCGAAACTCTGGTGTTGCAATTCGCACACAGATTGGCAGAGATCAACGTCAAGGTTCTAGGGCCTTGCCCGCCCGTGTTCTCGGCTCGTCGGATAGACGCAGAGACCATTCTCTAGGGACGCCTCCAAAACATGGAGCGCCCCTCCGTGACCAGATCGAGGTGCTTTAGACAAGCGCAATTCCTGCAGGATTCTGTAGTTTTTCGACTCTTCGTCCTGCTGTTGATGTCCTCAAAGCCCGTACAGAAGCGTCAAATGGCTATATTCCAGATATGGAGGCAACCACAACGACGACTTCTCCTCCGAAATTCTCCCGGTACCGAACAGTGAGGGCGCGCGCAGCGACACTACAGACGTTATCATCACAGTCTGACCACGAACAACCCGCAGCACCACCACTGCCCAAAGCCTCGACCTTCGCTCATGCCGACTCGGGCGTCAAGAGGGCACCTTCACGCTATCGGCGCAACAATGCCATAAAAGACGTGACTTCTCCTCCGCTTCCTTCGGCGCCATTGCCGAAGATTCAAGACGAGCACGCGACACCAACAAGTCCGAGCCAGCGAGCACAGTATTCAAGTGATCGGCACGAGAAGAAGGGTTCTCACGCGCACAGGGATCTAGGCGCGGTCACGCGGATCCAACAACATGGACAAGTGCCACATTCACAGCATAGAGATCGATCCAGGCAGAATGGCCACGCTCAACAACAGACCCTGATCGACCCACCAGACCAGAGATACGACAGAGCACGAGAGGAAGCGCGGCTCATCTTGGAGGGAGAATACGACCGCTTGCATAGGCTGAAGAAACAAAGCGAGAGACAGAATCGTGCGGTTGGGCAAACAGCGCCCGATCTGAGCCGTAGAAGACGTTCACCACCGCGAGAGACGAAAGGCGAGGAGCAGGGTGTCGCTGATACTACGAAACAGGCGAGTACGGAGCAAGAAGTTGCCCTGCCGACGAAGCAGTCCCCCGCCACTCCCAAGCAGAAGTTTGCACGACTGAGGCAGCGGAGTGAGCCAGAAACGGCGCAGCGGACAGTTCCGGTTCCTGCTGAAGTGCCAGACAGCACCACGGTCCCAGCCGCTGTCGCCGCGCCCGAAAGTGTTCCACCGACAACTACTCTCGCTGCCGCTCCCGCCTTTGACGCTCCCCTTTCCGCTGTCAACGCAGGCGACCGACGTGTAAGGGTCCGATTCCATACCTCTGAGATCACTCTTCCTGTCACAACTTCCACGACCGCCAAGGATCTTTTAAACTCAGCATCGGTAGTGCTGTCCAATGCTCCAGACCCGCGCACCGCCACCCTGCTCGAATCCTTCACTACAGATGCTCTTGCCCTTGAGCGACCTCTCCGACGCTACGAGCGAATTCGAGACGTGCTCAACTCCTGGGACAGTGACACACAGAATCACCTCTTCATTCTTGGCAACGGTGACGACGACGAAGAATCGACGGTCAAGCTCCATGGTCTGGACTTCAAGGACGTCCCGACCAAAGCAGGCCGCGATATCACGCTCCAGATGTACTACGCCTCCCGACCCGGCCGGTGGGACAAACGTTGGGTACGGCTGCGCGAAGACGGACAAGTCACGATTTCCAAGAACGAGTCTGGACTGGAGAGCACGAACATTTGCCACCTTTCCGACTTTGACCTGTACGCGCCGACAAGAAAGCTGATCAAGCGTTTGAAGCCACCAAAGAAGACTATCTTCGCAGTCAAATCGCAGCAAAAGAGCGCAATGTTTCTCGAAGCTCATGGTGCGAACTTTGCGCATTTCTTCTGTTCTGGGACGAAAGAGGTAGCTGATCAATGGTATGCGGCTGTGCATGGCTGGCGAAGCTGGTATCTTGTCAATGTTCTGGGCGAAGGAAAAGTGCCGCAAGCGGGCACAGGCGAAGTGCTTGGTGACAGAGCGGCCCACCTGAAACGGCCGGGTACAAGTGCAAGTGCTGATACGGTGCCGTACCAATTGGGCAGCTTTAAGCCTTTGCTGGACTTTGACATGCTTGCTGCGGGAAGTGGCGGTTCTGATGATGGCAATGGTGGTTTGGGCAGAAGAAGCACGGACGCAAGGCATCGACGAGGTGCATCAGATGTAACGCATGGCGGAGTTTCAACAAGTCCCAAAAGATCTGGCACTGTGCGTCGAGGGCACCCTGCTGCGGCGCCGCCGAGCTCGTACCCAATGCATACAGCCGCACAGCCTGGTGTTCCAGGTCAGCCGCTGCATGCACCGGCACACGATACAGCTTTCACAGGCAGAGGCTTGCTCGCCGCCCACGCTTTTACAACTTCAGGCCCTGCTGGACAACACGACCCGCTACCAATTTGTGAAGATTCGGATCAAGCATTTACAGGGCAGGGTCTGCTATCACGGCACGCCACGCAGCGCGCTCAGGGAGGCAGAGGCACTGGCAGAGGTGTGGCAGGTGCTCGGCCAGGGCAGCCCCTGGTCGATATGACGCCCAACAGTGACTTTGCGGATGGGAGTCTATTGAGGAAGCTGGAGGGCTGGCGGGTGTGAAGGCAGGCAGACTAAGGCTCCGTCCATTGACAATTGGGAGGTAGGTATATGTACCGCATTAGTCTGGAATTCGTCCATCATCCGACGCAATTTTCCAGCGCACTTTTCATAGCATAGTGTATCGGCCCAACACACCGAGAGAAGCTTCACCCAAGGCCAAGCAGAACCTGATGTGGGATCTTAGGACTAGAGCTTCATCTCGGAGACCCCTGTTCGCATCAAGATGCTGTTAGTATCATCTCCTTCTCTTTTTGCAGTCTTGGGGTGGTTCAACTGGCGTCATTTGAATGTGTCTGATTCGCGACTCTGCGAACATGTGTGACTTATCGCCTGTCACTGGTGGACCTCGATGAACGTGAAGCCTGCTAGGACTCATGTACAGACCCTATCTAAATCAGAGGATATGAATACGTCCGAGACAGGCTGAGATTTGTGTCGTCAATTAGCTCAATCTACTCTTCTTCAGCTCATAGCGCGGTACGATCTGGTCTAGTACACCGAGAGTCATGCTCGTCTCCTGCTCACCTACTCACCGCGTTGGCATGGGATCGGTGCAGGTCTCGAGGATCCTGGTTTGAGTCCAGGTACTCGTGTTCGTTCTGGTGTTTGCCATCTCTTAAGGAAAGGCCTCAGGAGGAGCGACTAGTGTGCCATGCTCTACGTTCATCTGCAAGTCTTGCAGTAGGAGCAGTGACTAGCATCGGAGGCAGAGGTAGGTATGTGGTGTTGATACCAAGAAACTTCCATTCTACGGCAAGAGGTTATGGTATACTTCGGGCATGCAGGTTTGCCTTTCCACTGACGTGCAGCAAGAATCCGAGTTTGTTAGGGCTTACGTACCACCTCATGCATCGATCTATATGGTAACTCGATCACAAAGTTCCCTCTTTGAGGGTTCATGACGCATCTTTGCAGAAGTTCATCAGGCGAAACCTGATTTTGGGTATCATAAGCTTTCTGGTCAAGCAATGTCAAGCTTCAAGCACGAGAGGCTTGGTAGGGATTGAGATCCAAGGTTGCACGCAGCGGTGGGTGTATAAGTACTGCCTGTGCCCGGTCTGAGCAACTGCTCTTCGAACCACAACAATAGCCACGAGATACTGTAGAATTAGCCTGTCATCTCCCCACACGTTCAGAACTCCTAGCACCACCCACCCGGTTCGAATACCCGACCAACTCCTGAAAGATGTCGAACATTATGGGCAAAGTCGAGCAGAAGCTCAACGACAAGCTCAACAAGGACGCCCAGCCAGGCAACCAGGTCGAGGGGAAGGCCGATGGAGATGTCAACGACAGTGAGTGTCTCTTTCCTCATCTGCCTCCGACTCAGCTGGCACGTCCCAGCCATCGGTGCATCATGCTCAGCGGACAGTGGCTGTTGTATAAAAATGTGCTCCTGCTTCGCCTCCCGTCGTCTGCTGTTGCTGCAAGTTGAGTAAGCTCATAATGCTGACGGCGGCGAACAGAGGTGAACCAGGTGGCCAATGACGTCGGTGTGCCTCAGCAGGACGACGGCATGCTGGACAAGGTGGCGGATGCGAAGACGAACTCGGATATTCCGTTTGGGAATAACTGACAAAGCGCATGACGCATTGGAGCTCGGCTTACAGATGGCCACCACCCCTATAATATAGATGTATCAAGCTCCGTATCAGATCAGGATCAGAGGCCACATTCAATGACATGAACCAAACCGAAGCAGGAGCAGACTTGAAGTCATGCAAAGAACAGTGACTACCCCTTGCCTGAGTCAGTGAAGTGATCGTTCTCGGGTTGCTTCGGTCGTTGAAGTTGGTAACAAGGTATAAGTAGTCGTCGAGGTCCTCGCCTGCATGGTCGTTCTCTACTACACAACCAATGGTGGGATCAGCAGCTACTCGCCATGTCACAATAGCATTTGTTGCTGGTCGACGGGGCGATCCATTACGGACAGTTCTGCCACAGCAGTATGTTTGAGGCTGTGCATCTTCGAGCATCCCGATGATGAAATTATAGGATCGCTGGACGGTGTTCTTCCCATCATGGTATTGTCCGCTTCATCGCCAGAGCAACACAGGTTCAGCCTTTTACTTTTCGCCATCGTCAGCTTAGTGCCCACAGAGTGAAACCAGCAAGATAAAAGCAGAGTCGAGTTGTGTCAGACAGCAGTTGGTTACAATTTATTGGTCCACAGTATTTTGGAATTCAGATCAGGTCTGTGAAATTGTGTTTCATCCTTGAGATCGAGGCGGTTCAAGAAAGGGAAAGGGTGTCACTGACTTACAGAATGTTGATCTTGTGAAATTGTGCCGTCTGAAACAGGCTGGCCGTTAACGTCGCCCCAGAAAAGTGCGTGACTAGCTCTCGACTGGCTGTGACCTTTGTTAGAGACCCCTGAGTCATGAGCCGTCTGCCATTTTCGAGAATACCCTTCGACCGGGGCGATATACTGAGTTGGCAGGCATGCTGTCACGTCTTGGGTCGTTTAAAGAAGCCGGCGATCGACTGTTGCCGTGGATCGTGCGTGGCTGAGCCAACACCTCGCGTCCTTTTCAGGTTGTTGAGGTGATCTCGGCGATTGATGGCAAGGACCTTCAGCGAGTGGTCCTTGTACTCAGGCGCACTGGATGCGCCATCGTCACTTGATACATCACGCTTCTGACCATTGACCTCTAGCTCCAAGTAGCCAGTGTTTGACCAAGCTCCAATATATTCGAGAGGCCGACCAGGTGATTGCGGGCCAATTTCGGGTCCAAGTGTGATGCTGCTGGTCGTGAAGCGACTCAGCAAAGCACGCCAGAGTGCTGAGAGGAACAGTCCATGCGAGACGATTGCCACGGTCTCTTCCTCCGAGTCCACGGCCAGTAATGGGGAGAAGTAGTCGTCCAAAAATGTATCAGCCCGCTTGCGCATTTGCTCCTTGGTCTCCTTTGGCTTAAAGTCCGGATCTGTGTCGCTCGGCACCTTGACCGTCAGAGGGTCATCGTCTCGTTTTGATGCCCAAGGAACAAGTTCAAGGGACCCAAAGTCCTGCTCTCGGAGCAATTCGAGCTTGACCACTTCTGTGACCGCTTTGGATGTGCCATACTCCGCTTGCTGGGCTTTTCTAACCTCATCGCCGGTCATCCATGCTCGCTGCAAGTCTGAAGTGAAGATCTGCGTGAAGTGCAGCTTTCGATTTGTGGTCAGGAATTTGCCCAGCCGTTGTGTTTGCAATACGCCATGGTTAGTCAACTTTGAGTCCGTCACGCCGGCCAGAAGGCCAGCGACATTATGCTCTGTCTCTCCATGTCGAATGAGAAGCAGATGCATAGAACGTACTGCTCTGAACAACGGTAAAGAAAAAGCGATGTGGAAACTGAGATCATGACGGTTCAAAAGCGATGTTTGCTGTCGCGTCGTGATTGGCTCGTGAGATAGACCGAGTGCAGAAGCTTAGCCGAAGGAATTTCGAATGCATGGCCGCAACTTTTCTGGTCGCGAGACATCTTCGGGCGAGCTATCAATCTCACAATTTCACCATCCATCTTAGTCGTCACAATTGTGTGGTCAGCCCGGCTCCGAACGCGCAATCATCTTCTTCGCAGCAGATCACATAGCATTCTAGCCAACAGACCACTCTCTCGAGCAGCATCATGGATGGGTAGGAAGCTATGTCAAGAACGCAGACTAGCACTGACGCAGAATCACAGCTTGAACCCCAAAGAGCAGCAGGAGCTACAGAGGCGACTGGAGGCAAAGCAGATGAAGGAGTTCATGGGTGTACGCTTCCCGTCCCTGCAGCACCGTGTCCAGCACTGACCAGGGACGCCCAGACATACGCCACCCTCGTCCAGCGGTGTTTCGACGACTGTGTCAACGACTTCACAACCAAGTCGCTCATCGCCCGAGAAGAAGGCTGCGTGTTCCGATGTGTTGATAAAAAAACGAAAGCAGGCGAACGGATAGGAGCGCGGTTCCAGGAGCAGAACGCTCTTGCGATGCAAGGAGGCGCAGGAGGCCGGTAGTGGGCAGTTTCGCTGTCTGATATCCGGTTCTTAACAGCTCTTCCCATGTACAACAATTGAGGTCTTCCAACTCCTGTGCATCCGCCTCGCCATACGAAATCTTGCGCGGACGTCAGAGGACTCTGGTAGAGGCAATTCGAAAAATGACTGCAGTGACAGGCGGCCTTATGCCCATCTGGCCAAGACGACGGCTTCCCTCGTCCGATCTGGATACCATAGACTTCGTCCCTCTGCAGATACAGCTGTCGACGTAGGCAGAACTTGCGTGTGAGACTCACGAAGGCGGCACCTTTGTAAGGCATTCGCTCGGTGTCTTCCAAGCCTGCACAAAGACCAACGAACCCTATCACGTATAGTCTTACGATGTACCGCGTAGCAAAATAAGCTGCGACGCGCTGACTGTCCAGGTTTGGAGCATGAAGTATGGAAGCGCAACACGAACGCGCTTCAGATTGCTTGTCGAAGTCGCTCCGGATCTCCGAATTGAGCAAGACGATCCAGACTGCCGCTGCTCCACATAACGAGAACCTCACCATCATCCGCAAGCCCCACGGCCACTTGTCTCTGTGCACTGGCAATTCCAAACCCGCAATCTTCGGCGCGTTTTCGTGCGGGAACTCGAGAAGGGACCATTATCGGGTTTGCTACCGGTGCCCGGAACTCTCGTGCTCAATACGGTCCTGATATCATTGGAGATCACTCTGAGCCCCTCATGAACACCACTGGAAATTATTTCCCCCACTACTGACGCTTTGCTATACATCACTTTTCCGGTGAGCGCGTTCGTGACTGTGACTTCTTCCATTTCATTCAAGAAATATCATTGCTGCTAAACATCTGATCAGAACGAAATAACGATGTCTTCAGATACCGTAGGAAAGGTGAGCCAGGCGTATAGTCCATCATCCCGAGCATAAGCTGATCAAGAATCTTTAGACTATCACCTGCAAGGTTTGTGCAATGCGCTCGACTCAATAACTACGTTTCTCACCACGCTCTTAGGCCGCCGTTGCGTGGGAAGCCGGCAAGGACCTCACCATCGAAGATATCGAAGTGGCACCTCCCAAAGAGCACGAAGTCCGCATTCAGATCCACTACACTGGAGTCTGCCATACTGGTAGGCCGCAAGCTTTGCAGAGAAGTGGAAGAGTATTGATCATATGGCAGATGCATATACGCTCTCCGGCAAGGATCCTGAGGGCGCTTTCCCAATCGTCCTGGGACACGAGGGAGCTGGCATCGTCGAGTCTGTTGGCGAAGGCGTGACCTCGGTCAAGCCAGGCGACTACGTTGTCGCCCTCTAGTCAGCTATGCCTCGAATCCACCGAGACCCAAGACTAACTTCAGCCAGCACCCCGGAATGCAAAGAATGCAAATTCTGCAAGTCCGGCAAGACCAACCTGTGCGGCAAGATCCGAGCCACGCAAGGCAAAGGCGTCATGCCAGACGGCACCTCGCGCTTCAAGTGCAAGGGCAAGGACCTCCTCCACTTCATGGGCACCTCCACCTTCTCGCAATACACCGTCGTCGCCGACATCTCGGTTGTAGCCATCGATAAGTCCGCGGCCATGGATCGTACCTGCTTGCTTGGATGCGGCATCACCACGGGTTACGGTGCTGCTGTGATCACTGCGCAGGTCGAGAAGGGCAGCAATGTTGCCGTCTTTGGAGCAGGGTGCGTTGGTCTGTCGGTCATCCAGGGCGCGGTCAAGAATGGCGCGGGCAAGATCATCGTTGTGGATGTGAATGACAAGAAAGAGGAATGGGGCAAGAAGTTTGGTGCGACTGACTTTGTCAACCCGACTAAGCTGGGCAAGCAGTCGGTGCAGGAGAAGCTGATTGAGATGACGGATGGTGGATGCGACTATACCTTTGACTGCACAGGCAACGTCCAGGTAATGCGAGCAGCACTCGAGGCCTGCCACAAAGGATGGGGCCAGTCGATCATCATTGGTGTTGCGCCGGCTGGTGCTGAGATTTCAACACGACCCTTCCAACTCGTCACTGGACGCGTCTGGAAAGGTTGTGCCTTCGGTGGTGTCAAGGGCCGCACACAGCTACCAGGTCTTGTCAAGGACTGGCAAGATGGCAAACTGAAGGTCGATGAATTCATCACCCACCGTCAACCACTCGACAAGATCAACGATGCCTTCCATGACATGCACGCAGGTGACTGCATTCGCTGCGTCGTGGATATGGGTGCTCAGAAGTGACTACGCTCGGATGGGCAGAAGCAGGCCAGGCTTTGAGGCATTTTGATGGAACGAGATAACTCAGATATCCAAAAGTTGTAGGAATGTGTACGAGCGCAGCCTGAAAAGCTGAGACCTTTGGTCGCGATCTGTCTTCGCGACGAAATGTGACGTGACTTGCCGCGATGGATTACTTCGCGAGAGATGTGTAGGAGAAACGACGTCTCGTCTTGGGAACCTTGGAACGGAGAAGTCTCGCATAAACGTCTAAGCTCCAAACGGCATCTTGTTTCATACAGTGCTTGCCCGTCGTTGCGGTTCAGGCAGGACCGGAATATCTGAAGGTGTCTGCTTGACGATACCCACTATGCCTAGGCCAACGGCAAACGCTCGTCAATAGCAGCTTCTTACCTAGGTATTCTTGACAGCTGGATCGAAAAGAGTACCTGTCACAAATTTTGACATGCACTTTCCTCGTTCCTGCAATGCAATTTTCATGCATCGCTGAAACGGAAAGAAGCACATCCGACGTTCGAGGCTCCAGCTAAACCCCAATCCAGGGTCTCCGATTCTCCCTTTGCCCACATCGAGCAACGCTTTCGCCGCCTCTTGCTGCATCTGACGTCTCTCTGCCGTGTTTTGAGCCAGATTCGAACTCTCGATGCAAGCCATTTCATGCTCATTCGGCCAGTGCGGAGCCACGAGATGGCCCACGAGGAATGTGTGGCTTGTTGTTGCTTGATTCATGCGCCTAATTCGCGGGATGGCGCTTCTTTCAAGGCCATCAACTGACCTTCGGTAACGCCGGACTCTCCAGGTCTTCTGGAACCTCGGAACGTCACAACCAACTGCTCATTAGGTTACGATTGCGAACGAAAGGCGGGCTTAAGTGGGCTGAACGGTACCCTCTGCTGACGAGCTTACTACTTACATCGCTCGACCCTTGCATGCTTCGCAGTGCCTACTTCCCACGCGGTAGCAGTGTTGGAAGTTACTTGTCCGCGTGGCCAACGGGCGAATTGAGTTGGTGCGGATGGCGTCGCGTTTCCGGTCCACATCATAGACGTCTTGAGGGGAAGAAGTTGTCATCCTTTGGGATTGCTCACAAAGTCGACAAGTATTTCAACATGCCAGGTTTTCTTGCCTCACCAGAGGAGAAGAAGCCTCTTCTGCCACAAAATGGTTCCAAGACCGAAGTAATAGACTCAGACGACATCCTGCCAAGCAGATCGTTGATTAATATACCAGAAGGTAAAGCGCATTCGCTTACAGTCCCCGAGAATTGCCTTGTTGAACGAGATCTCTCGCACGAGCAACACAGTTGGCTGACTTGCTACAAGCGACATGGATACGAGCTCGCCAGGATACGAAGGGTCGCCGGCTTCCCCAGACGATATCACATAGAGGATACAAAGCAGCATGGCCGGAGAATACTATGAAATCCTTCGCGGAGGCAGTGGCGGCGGGGACACATGCGCTGGAGACTGACATCCATCTTACTAAGGACGATGTGGTTGTGCTATGCCACGTAAGTTGTGCCGGAATCTCAAGTCGGCTGCCACAGCTGACCGTATTTCTTCCAGGACCCAGATCTCAAGCGCTGTTTCAACCGCAAAGATAAAGTCGTTGATTGCACATGGGACGACATCTCGGCTCTACGAACCATTCGCGAGCCTCCGCAGCCAATGCCACGACTAAGTGAACTTCTTGAGTACCTGGCGCAACCCGCGCAATCACATATTTGGCTACTCCTGGACATCAAACTGGACAATGATGCCGACAAAGTGATGCGCCTCATCGCGGAAACAATTGCAGCAGCACCCCACCCAGCAAAGGCATGGGAGCAGAGAATAGTCCTCGGCGTCTGGGCCGCAAAGTTCCTGCCCTTGTGTCGGAAATACTTACCTGACTTCGCGATTACACACATTACTTTCTCCACCGATATGTCACGGCAATACCTGCAGGCGCCCAATGTCTCCTTCAATATGCTACAACGTGCGATACTCGCTCCTCTTACCGGCAAGCGCTGGATCAGGGACGTCAAAGCCAGCGGCAGACCTATATTGTCCTGGACAGTCAATGATGCCAACCTGATGAGATGGTGCATTCAGCAGGACTTTGATGGAGTCATTACGGACGATCCAAAGATGTTCAACGAGATCGCGAACAATTGGGACTCAGAGAAGCAGAAACTGGCACGCGTCACACTGAGGCAGTGGATGACAACGGTCTGGTTGTGGTGTCTGATCTTCATATTCGGCGGAAGATTCATGAAGAAGTTCCCGGAAACAGTGAAGCAGGCGTTGAAGCTGGATGAGGCGGCGCTGAAGAGGAGAGCGAGCGTGTCACGATCCTTGGACACATAGCCTCATTGGCGTCAAAGATTGGGCTTGTCGCAGCCGATGATTATGCCAGCGACGATGAAGTTATTGCACGCAATATACGGGAAAGCGCATAGAAGCAGAGAGGAAGCATATCTGGGTAGAATCGAAACGAAAGCATTCCCCAGGATTTAGCGTTGTCGTATTTCCGTGTGAGTCGCGTCACCTCCAAAGCAGCGCGTTTTAGACGAGTTCATTGGCACAACCCCTCCAAATTATCGCGACCACTTCCGCACCAAGATACAACAGCACACTACTGCCCGACGGACACTCTGGCCTAAGTGAGATCTCTGCGCCTGACCTGTACACTACTCAAAGATGCACTGAAAATGCCGCGAGAGATCATAACCATCCAGGCCGGCCAATGCGGCAACAACATCGGCGCGCAATTTTGGCAGCAGCTCTGCGTAGAGCACGGCATTTCGCGCGACGGCAACCTTGAGGACTTCGCTTCTGACCCGTCAGTGTCGATCGGCGACCGCAAAGATGTCTTCTTCTACCAGTCTGACGACACTCGTTACATACCCCGCGCCATCCTTGTCGATTTAGAGCCGAGAGTAGTGAACGCCATACAGACGGGTCCGTACAAGAACATATACAATCCAGAGAACTTCTTCGTTGGAGAGCAGGGATCCGGTGCGGGCAACAACTGGGCGGCGGGGTATAGTGCGGGAGAGAGGGTGCAGGAGGAGATATTCGACATGATTGATCGAGAAGCAGACGGCAGCGACTCCCTGGAAGGCTTCATGCTACTACACTCAATAGCAGGCGGCACGGGCTCAGGACTGGGCAGCTACCTCCTCGAGCGGATGAACGACCGCTTCCCAAAGAAAATCATCCAGACCTACAGCGTCTTCCCCGACACCAACACCGGCGGCGACGTAGTCGTCAATCCCTACAACAGCCTCCTCGCTCTGCGCCGACTCACACAAAACGCCGACAGCGTCGTCGTGCTCGACAATGGCGCCCTCAGCCGCATTGCCAGCGAACGCCTACGAGTGCAAGAACCCTCCTTTCAGCAAACCAACCAGCTGGTCTCCACCGTCATGTCCGCATCCACAACCACCCTCCGCTACCCGGCTACATGCACAACGACCTCGTCGGCATCATCGCCTCCCTCATCCCGACGCCGCGCTGCCACTTCCTAATGACCGCCTACACGCCCTTCACAGGCGATAACGTCGAGCAGGCGCGCACAGTCCGCAAAACCACCGTCTTGGACGTCATGCGCAGATTGCTGCAGCCCAAGAACCGAATGGTCAGCATCGTGCCCTCCAAATCCTCCTGCTACCTCTCCATCCTCAACATCATCCAAGGCGAAGCCGATCCCACCGACGTGCACAAATCCCTCCTCCGCATACGGGAGCGCAAAATGGCGAATTTCATCCCCTGGGGTCCCGCCTCGATTCAAGTCGCGTTGACCAAGAAATCACCATATTTGCAGAACACGAATCGTGTGAGTGGGCTGATGCTCGCGAATCATACCAGTATAGCGACGCTGTTCAGGAGAATTATGACGCAGTATGATAAGATGCGGAAGAGGAATGCGTATTTGGAGCAGTATAAGAAAGAGGCGCCGTTTGCGGAGGGGTTGGGGGAGTTTGATGAGGCGAAGGAGGTGGTGTTGGGGGCGGTGCAGGAGTATGAGGCTGCGGAGAGGGAGGATTATTTGGATGCTGGGACTGGAACCGACGGAGCATGATTGATACCCACGATGTACGATGAGGGAAAGGCGGCCACATAGAGACCTAGTTCTACTCGATGAAGACATGAACAGGTCCAATAGAGAGGTTACTGGAACAGAGGACCATCACACGACTGACGATCCTTGAGGCAGACTCACCCCATCACATAGCAGCAAGTGCTATATTGACATGGCAATGCCATCGGACCCAGATCGCCGGAGTTCTTGTGCAAAGAAGACGAGCGTGAAGATGAGGGCACCACAACTACTTATACCTCTGCAAGCAGGTGAAAATTGGCGTGAACCCGGAGCAGTCACTCAATTGCTCGTCCAGCTTCGGGGGTATTCACTGTTCGCCGCACGTGTCAAGCTCCTTGAGTGAATCCGAATTGTTGACGACGGTGGTGGCGAATTGGACTGGGCTCGAGGTCCTCTCAGAGCATAGTGTGTGGCGCTGAGCTTAGTAGTGAGCAGCGACTGATGAAGACTCGACTGTAGGAACCTTCACGTGATGGCGTTCAACGATCGACGTCCGGAATCGCATGTGATTGCCATGATCTTGGTGGAAGCATGTGGCATGCAGTTACTACTAGTATCGACGTGCCAGCAAGCAGAGGCACATGACCTGGCCGTCCCAGCCAATCTCGAGGGGCGTTTCAACAAGATAACGGCGTACAGTCCAACAGTCCCAGATCTGGAATATCCAGCACTCGGAAGATTGCGTTGTTTGACACGAGGTTGGAAATGTATCCTTTGCAAGGTTTCAGTTCGGGTACCCAGGTAGGGATGCACAAGACCGCAAGAGGTTGAGGTTGCTGTTTTCGGGCGTCCGTACAGCCGTGCTTGGAGCTCCGGATTCTTGAGTGACGAAGCCGTTTGCCCAGTGCTGAGCCCAGCTTTCGCGCGTCTGAGCGGTGACAAGTCTAGCCAGCGCTCAGACGTCAAGTCCAGACCTGGTGACAAAGAGAATGCATTCTCTGTTGTGACTGACGGCTTTGTGTTGGGCGCTTTCGCAGTAGTGAGCGCTGATCCAAAGTGCTTGTTGTCCTTTGTATGCAGCGGACGGCATGGAATCAAGGCGCGACCAGGCCGATGATAGGAGGCCGATTAAGCGGTCAGGGGTGCCTACTGGCGGTCTCATTAGGCGGTTCGAGTACCCTGCACTGCCTCGCGGTATCACCGGACCACCTCAACATCACGGACACTCTTCGATCCACGGAAATCGGCTCATCGCTGAGGCTGACTCGGCTTCAACAACTCTCGTCTGCTGTACGATCCAACGAAGGATCGCCGCAAGACATATCCGTACAACTCAGAAAGCAGACATTCGGGTCAGCTTCGCTGGATAAGAGGTCAAAAGCCTCACTTCCGTGTCTTGACCCTTATTAGAGCTTATCCACTGCACCAGAGTCTCGTCATCACCACCTGGCAAGGTCCTGACGCCGAGGAAACGCCCATTAACAAGCCTATCCACAAGCCCGCCTCGTCACAACCACGGCATACGAGACCCTTCCTCGCCCTTCCATCACGACTCACAGCCCTTGTGCCTGGCAAGTGGTTGACCTGACCTGAGCCGAGTGACACTTTCCTTCTCTTCCCATTCACTTGGACTCGACTGCTGCCTTCACTACCAACCTCATTCACAGTTACTCCTACCTGCCCTTTAAGTACCTTTACAAAGAATCCTTTATCTACTGCAATCTACAAACAAGCCATCCCACCGACCTCTCACTATTTACCCCGACCGCGCCTATCTCTGACCCCAATCTGCGCAACACATCATCCTCTCCATCCGATCACGAGTCCACTGCCTGACACAAGTTCGCCATACTATACTACGCTTCCATTACAAATCGCTCTCTACGTACCACTCCCTCGCCACACACCTACCTACCTCTACCTCGCCATCATGCCTTCCCGTAGCAACTCCGTCTCGTCACAAACCTCCAACAAGGAGCTATCGCCCAACAACATCGCCATCAACGTCGTGATCTCCGACGGCAAGAGTGAGTCTCCCGCCGGCGATGCACTGCATGGCCACACAGCAGATGCTAACAATGCTCCCGTAGCAATCAAGCTCAACATCCTCCCAACACATACAGTGGCGAACCTCCTCAATTTCCTCAAGGCAGACACTACCGTTGACTCAAACGCACGGCTGCTTATGGACTCGAAGCCACTATCGCCTGCGTCGACAGTCGCCGAACTGAAGCTCACATCCGGCGCCACCCTCTCGCTCGACCCACCCTCCGCACGACGGAGTACCTCTCCTACCACCACCGAGGCTATCGTTGCCACTGATAACAAGTCAACAGCCGATTCAGGCACATCCACACCCGCCACTGCAGCCTCAACACCCCGATCGGGCACACCAGCGAAGAAGTCTCGCAAGCCACGATGTAGCAAGGACGGCTGCAATGCCCCCGCACAACCGATAGTGGGAGACTGCGGATACTGCGCGAAGCGTTTCTGTGGGAAGCACCGGATGTTGGAGAGTCATACCTGCGAAGGACTGGCGGATGCACGGCAAGCGGACAAGGATCGGAATACGGCCAAGCTGGAGGGCGAGCGAACTGTGATGTTGAGAGGCCTGTAGTATTTACGGTGATCTAAAGACATCCTGCAATGCGTCAAAGGGTTGAAGCGAGTACATATCTGGCACGCGAGACGGAGAAGCAAATATGGGAGCAACTCTATGATGGAAACAACGGACATCGCAATGGCTGGTATTACGGCGTCTAGCGTTTTGCGGCTGCTCACTCGGATCAGATGGTTCAGGTCACTGATGAGTGACTTCGACACCGGAAGGTCTTCTCGGATGTCTACGGTGCTCTTGGGGGGGACAGCAAGGCGTTTGCTTTTTCGGTGGTAAATGTGTTTGCCTCGATCGAATGGGAACATAACCAGATACCCACTAATAGAGCCATCTATCTACTTACTCGATTCGCTGCATGCTGGGACTACTCCTTTGATTTTTGATCAAACAAATAGGGTTGTTCATTCACACGGTGGTATCATTCCTATCTCGACTACCCCTGTCTTCGTGATACCCTGATTCTGAAGTAGGAAGGATGACTTCAATCCAGCCACTTTTCGCTCATGTCTCTTCAAGTGAAGACCAGTAGGCAGTCAGTGACTGACTCCGAGTTGCGCAACGAACAGTGACTGCCACCGGCCCAGAGGCAGTGAAGCGCTGGTGTCGGCTTGCCACGGATCCTTGCTCTTTTTACGAAGTATAAGCATGTGCCATGCCTTTGGTTATTTCTTCTCCTTTCATACGCGCAGAAAGGGCGATCAGGGAAACCCGCCATTGCCATGCCTTGTCAGCAGCGACTGCTAACAGGTAGGGCGAGCTGTCTCGATGCCCTTTATCATATGCCTCCATCGTCCCGCACAGACCTCTCAGACAAATCTCTATCGGTGAGCTGCTACCCTGCACTGTTCTCCCTCTGAACGTAGCACAGCGATGACAATGAGGGCCTATATCTGCCCAGTCAGAGGTGGTTCGAGCAGTCGACGATAGGCATGCGGACGGCGTTGTAGTGTTCATAGACATATCCTTTCTCTGACTGCCGTCGCGGACAAGACTTGTTGATCTTGCTCTCCTCGTCCTACTGTGATGTGCCTCACAAATCGAAGCGTGTGTCTTCAGTTCCACGGCAGGGATAGTCTCAGGCACATGTCTCACGATTTTCCCAGAAGTTCCACGTCGCAACACTTTCCGGGTCCCACACCACGCCGTCACCAGTCTCGGTGAATCTGCGCATGCCCCTCTTTCGCTTGTAGTAACTCCTTGCCCTAGCCTCGACGTTCTCCCAGGCTTCTGGTTTGAGGTATGAGGAAAGACATGAATCATCGGCCACGAGAGTTTGAAATGCAGACCTGGCCCACGACAGGCATGTCTCCGAAGGGCCTGAGTTTGGTGATGGTAGTGAGCGGAGGAGTGTGGTCAGCCGCGCGGGATCTTTCACCTTTGCCAGAGTGATCCTGCATAGTGGGATATTCGTTGCACTGCCAAGCAAGTCGCTCTCTTCATACAGGAATGCTCGACCAGACTCATCGGAGTGTGCAACGTGGTATCTTGTGCCTGGGTCTTTCTTCGAGAAGGTTTGCGGTCCCACGACAAGGGCCCAGTGGAAGGAGTCGCAATTGGAAGGACTTTGGAAGGAAGAGGTGCCGCTGCCTCGAGGATAAAGACCGAGATAGAGGCGGGGCTTGTTGGTCCTGGATTGTGGTATCGAAGCGGTGGAGGACAGAGAGCGGAAGTAGGATGGTCGAGAAGAGTGCCGACTCAGTGGTGGTGTGGGAGGCTGCGTTGAGTGCGTGTGTGTGAGTGGCGCTGCGGGAGAGAGGGTGATGGTCGACATGGCGAGGAAATCCTATGTGCGACAGGGCATGAGAGTGCTCAGAGTGAGATGCCTTCTCGCGAGAAGCAGCAATAGCATACGATCACTCGAACAAAGGACGACAAACCTGTGAGAGATAACATTTTGCGGGGAGGTATGGGTTCAGGGTCCTGCCGCAGCACGTTGTGAGATGGGCAAGAGGTCCAGAAGCCGAATTGCTCGTAGAGGAAGGTGTGGGACACACGTGGGAAGCTACCACGATCGAGGCACCACTTTCTCGGCTAAAAGACCTCCTCTTAGAGGACAAGAATCGGGAAGGGCTCGGCAGTGCCGGAGTCTAAGTTGCTGATGCTAGACATACCTATGTGGTTGTCGTAAAAAGCCATTGCCACAGTCTCACAGCGATGAGGTAGACGTACGTCTTTCGGATTGGAGGTATGACGTGTTGCGCAAAAACCAACGAATTTGTTTCAGAATATTCTTGAACTTTTCCTGGGCGGTTCCTGCCAAGTCTCAAGACGCGCAAGGATCGGGAAATGCTTTCCGGACACCACGGCAGTGTGGTCGACGTGGAGCACAAATCCTTTTGTGTGGGTGTACGTCTATTTCAAGGTACATGATATACGAAGTACCGCTTGGATTGTCACTGTGGCGTTGCTTTGGGCATGATGAAGCCGATCAGTCGCGGAACGACTACCTGTAGTTTGGCGACTGAGTTGCATCAGACGCTGCTAATCAGATGAGAATCGAAAATCATTGAAGGACTGTCTTTCAAGAGGCCTAAGACCAAGGAAGCAACGCCCAGTCTGGAGAAGTCTGGACGAAGGAGCAAGTAGTAGTAATCATCTTGCAACTGTATGTTTACCTTACCTGGACGGAGCGGCTGGATACAGCAAGCACAATACCACAGTCGGATGCAGCCGGGCTAAGCGCATGTCGTGCTTTACTGAGCATCTCCATTGTTCAGATGCGCCTCTCTCCCTAGGATATTCGCTAGTGGTAAGGTAGGTCAGACGACATGACTCCAACACCCGGCCGTCTGACTTGGGGCGGATTTGGGCGTCAGTCAGGCGCATGCATCGCCTCCGAGAATGCCGCGTCGTCTTTTCAAAGATCATGTGGCTTGGTCAGGTACTGAGACCAGGCATCAATGCTATGAGAACGTTAAGAGAAGTATGCGAAAATACGCGGAAAGGTAGGGTTGAAACAAGGCGTCGACCAGGCAGGCGCCGCAAGCTATCGATCCAAAAGTCCAGGGCCGCACCGCCACAAGTTGTGGCTGGCAATCTCAGATGATCAAATGAGATGATGAGCTGACGACGCCTGAAGGCTAGGCGGCCTGTTTGATTGGGCGTTCGCATTACGGTCGGTTGTGGCGTGCAGGATTTCAAGTTCAGGTTCAGGTTAGGCTACGTCACTGCAGCGACGGGACGGAGATGCTGGGAAGTGACGATGGGAGAAACACGGGCGAGAGTCATCACGTTCTTATTAAGCCGCCCAGCCATTTCCTGACATCCCAATCTCTTCTTCTACCCTCTGTCCCACCAGTAAAGAACAGTACGCAAGAAGCACTTCCTTCTCATCCAAGACACAGTAATTCGAGTCTCACACTCTTTCCATCCACACCACATACCGCAGCCATGCCTTTCACCGCCAGCGATATCTGCAAGATCATCCTTGCCATCGTTCTTCCTCCTCTCGGTGTCTTCCTTGAGAGAGGTTGCAATGCCGACTTCTTCATCAACATCCTGTTGACCATTCTGGGTTACATTCCCGGTATCATCCATGCTCTGTAAGTTGCTTCAGTTCGCATAAGAATCTGGACATATCGCTGACGTTTTGATCTCAGGTACATCATTCTCAAGTACTAAGCGCGCTCTTCATCAAACATGCAGCGGATCCGACCGGAACGATACCCAATCTCTTACGAAGGTCGCCCTACCCTTCAGTATTAATTCAAAGCCGCGCTCATACGCAGGCGCCGGACTTCTCACATCGATACCCCCCTGCCAACGCCGTCACCCGGACTTCGAGGCAGCCGAATATGTACCCGCAAACACACGCTTACGGGCATAGTGCCACAGTACTACTAAGCGATTTTTGAGAACCTTGCTTGATGTGATGGATCAGAGGATTGGTACAAGGCACTCATGGAGCTTGACTTGCGAGTTTTACAGGCGCAATATGGACATTAGAGCACGTGGGTAGTACTACAAATCCTAATCCAGCATAATGAAACAACTTGCTTCTCTCATTTGACTCTCTTGGCTACTTGCTGGGTGACTGTGAAACGTGGCAGCAGATCCGGGGAAGGCATCATCCGTGCTTCGTAAGATTTCGTCAGTTGCATCTCAATCCCGGGACCGTGCGGCGACTTCAGCCTGGGTACGCGAAATTTCTGTAGTTTGAAGATCAGCCTCTGCGCGCATAGCACATCTCACGGCGACAACAGTAGCACAGATCGAGTCCGGCAAGTGCGGCAAGCCGGTGTCAAACAGCATACTTGACGACCAACAATCAAAGTCTTTCCTTGACCAGCCGCATTTGATGCATCTTGACGAGACTAGTAAGCACATTCACTACACCAACCTCTAATGCCGTAAGAAGGAGGAGCTGTACGTGAGCAGAGCTCGACGTACGTATGAGCATCCACAGTGATCGATACTTCAGCGATGGTCAAGAGCCGCCAAGCCCGAAGAGCGCGACTACCAGCCGCCGAGACCAGGGAGACGAGCTTCTGACACTCTTCCTTCTCGCCTCTTGACTGTCCGAGCTACCTTGAGGCTTCAATCGTTTCATGCCCTTTAACACCTGGCTACTTTCTCTTCCCAAAAACTTGAGACGGTGATGAATCTGATTCAATGGCTTGTCTGATGTCCCATAGCGCCTGTTCCCGGCAGCATTCTGGGCAACGTCCCGTCATCACTGAACGACGCCTCCATAGCTACGGTTTGAGTCGTGTGGTGTCCCTGCTCCGTGTTTTTTCTACGACTTTATGCCTCTCTCACTTTACTTTCGCCCCTTCAGTCATCCCGTGAACTCTCACTGTCGTTTTTGCACTTGTTCAATGTCCGTGCCCAACAGGGTTTTGTCGATGCAGCAACAGCACCCATTCCTAACCCACGTGTCGAGCAATGCAAGCACATGAAGACTACGAACAAACGACGAGCTCAGGCGGTCCCTGACCGACTGGGAATTCGCCAGAATCAAGTATGCCTTCCCGACAAGGTTATTGACGACGTACCCTCTTGCGCATATTCATGTATACTACAATTCGTTCTCAAGAATTATCACGACACGACATGCGCGGCCACTTCCAATCTCGACCTTCTTTGTGTCACTCAGACAGTGTCCGGTCAGACTCTAGGCGAGGCATCGCTACAGTGTGTCGCATCATACTGCTCCAATGAGGTCAATAATACCGTACTATTGTCCGCCTACAGAGTTTGCGAAGATGTCGACAACGCGGTCCCGAATACCGCATCCGTAATCAATGCGACAATCAGGCCAGCAACTCCGCAAGCGCCTACAGTTCAGAACGCTGTGCCAACAATTCAGAGTGTGGCACCTACAGCTGCAACAAACCCGCCGGCGCAGGCGACTCCAGCGGCGACAGGTATTGAGGCTGGAGGCAGATCTACCTCCATGGTCATTTCCGGAGACGGCATGTCAGTCACGATGGAAGTCATGATGATGGCGACACCATCAGCCCCAACTGCGACTCCGACCATGACTTCGAACGGGTCAAGTTTTGTGCCGGAGCAAACAGGAAGTTCGCAGGGCTTGTCAATGGCTCAGGTTGCTGGTATTGCGGCGGGCACTGGCGTTGCTGCTGTCATTATTGTTGCAGTCATATTCATATTCTGCAGACGAAGGCAGCGCGCAAAGCAAACCAAGACAGGTTCAGCGAAAGAGGACGCAATAGCAGACATCCCAGACCGAAGAAGCAGACCAGCTATGAGCACTTCGCCGAACACTGTCGTTTCTCCAAACAAACGCCGCAGCTTCTGGCGCATGAGCATCAAGCCAGAAGCCATCGGCGTTGCCGTGACTGATAAGGCAAGGCCTCGAGGCAGCTTTTCTTCAGAGAAGGGCATGCTGAAGTACATGCCCACAGGGAACCCATTCGCGAGTCCAAAAGATCGACTATCGTGGCCAGAATTCGGCAAAGAGCTTGGGCCAGAGAGATACCGGCGTGATAGCATTTCCACCATCTTTGATGATGATCTCGAGCAGCAACCGACTCAGGCTGGAGTCGCGACCAGAGCAAGGGCGACAACTATAACCTGGTCAGACAGGCCGAAGAACATGCCACAGCCGCTTCAGCTTAAGCCCGGCCACACTCCTTCTGCGTCTGTGGATTCTGGCGATACCGGGACTAAATCCAATGCTCTCTCGCTCACGCCCACTTACGACAATGGACAATTTGCGCCTTTCAACAGCGAACCACCAGTACAGAACAGTATCGCTGGTGCACTTGCAGCCAGCGCGGCGACTGCGGGACCAAATCAGAGCTCCCGTCTATCGCTTGAGCCTAGCGGCGTGGCAACCTCACCAAAGCGCAATAAGCTGCAGAAGAAGTCGACCAACCCTTTCAAAGCTCTCATGTCCCCAAGGGGTCCGCCAAAGAGGGAGGTCTTGACGCCAACCTACAACATCAGCGCTCCTTTCATCGCCGCACCAGAATCGAACGAACAGTCATTATACCGAGGCGAACCCTCGCCACTGGCGCCGCGCCCCCTCCAACTCAACTCCAATCGACCTTTCTCACCGAGCTCCTTCATGCCAGTTCCCAAGGGCATTCGACCCAGCCGACGCAGTTCTGTAGCCCTGCCAAGTGCCGCGGTGATCGGCAATGCCACAGACAGCACCTCCTCTGATGGTCTTGCGTCGCAATACTCGCTCGACTTCCCTGTCCCACCCAGTCGAGCAACCTTGCGCGATGGTGCGCCCAGTGGGCTAGGGCTTGGAACAAGTCGAGGCTCTATTCCAGTTCCACCACTAACACCTCCTTCACCACTCATGAAGGGCAGAAGAGGCGAAACGATGTATGAAAGTGTGTACTCTACGGACTCAGCAGGAACAGGCTTCGGTGATCAGCAGTTGTCGCCGAAGTCCCGAGCGAAAGTCACCCCTACAATGAAGAACTCTGTGGGCGACTTGTTCTTCAAGGTTGAGATGCGGTAGGAGATGTAACCTGGCCCAAGAGGGCACGGATGAAATGTAGCAGATTACAGGCTACCACTTTTCTATATGTGCAAGTTTTGTGTTAGCATTTGTATTCCCACTTATTGGTGTACGGTAGTCTAGTACTGTAGTAGAGCAAATCACAAGTGCGACGATGCTATATATAAACCCAAGCAGCGATTCACAGACCCCGTCGTGAGCCAACAGGTCGTCACATCCAGCACATATCGCTTCTTGTCCATGAGCTCGACCCATGCAGTCATCGCGTCGCTGGCGCCGTTCGGTCGAGCTCAGCCAAAAGCGGCTAGCGCTGAAAGTCAGTTGCCTCGTTTTCAATATGGAAGGCGTCACCTTCGCATGTTCCTACATTTCTGTTTTGATTGCGTGCTTTCATCAGACTTTCTTTTTAGGGATCGGAGGCGCAGTCGGCATGGATTGAGAGCTTTTGGGACTCGAATTCGTGCTGAAATTTGAGCATTTTCAACTCACGTTCTCCCTGATTTCTGTCTCCTACTCCAAGCTTTGGATAGTCCTCTATATTTCACAGTCAGTTCTCTGCACCGCAGCCATTTAGGCAGTCGCTAGGTCACCTCATTGAGCTAGGAAGCTATCTGTGAGGGAAAGGTCGATTACTCCAGGCGAGATCTCGTCTGTACTGCTCAACTCCGTGCTCGTGCATCTATGCTTGTACGAGCGAGCTGCATCAGCTCGCTCTACATCAATGCAAGATGCCCCCGAACATGTCTTCGAAGCCGAAAGCTCATCACGGCGGCTGCTAAGCGCACATATGCCACCGACTCCGAAATCAACGAGGATGGCGTCGGCAATGCGGCCCTGTTTAGTCGCGCCCAAGCACGATCAGCTGGCCACCCCAAAGGGGACCCGCCGTCCCTAGATCTGCTTACGCGGCACATAGGCATGATATATACCCGCAAGGCAGATCCAATATCCGAACGCAGCGAAGTACGACGCATAGTTGATCTTCTTCCGACATTTGAGTGGAGAAGTGCTACAACTCATCTTGATACGGCACTTTTGATGATCACGCCAAGGCTCGCTAGCCTGCTGCAGGAGGATATGTCAAGCTCTCAGGGTACTACCCAGAGTTTCCTCGAGAGTGTCATGAAGAGGCTGTTTCCAAGGCTCTGGCACATGAAGCTTAATGAAGACGGGTACCCGGCCTTGAATCATTCTGGCGAGACTGGAGGCGAGGAATGTCTCACACCTGAATACCTGAGGTGGAGTCAAAGTCACAAGTCCTTTTCGGAACTCAATGCAATTATCGGAGTTGTCGACAAGCTGCCGGGCCCACAGCAGTCCAGCGCCGTATTTGCGGAGGGCCTTGAGGGTATGGCGTACTTCATTGGCTCTTCAAGGGACATGACTTGGCAAGAACGTCAAGACAGTGCCAGAGATGCTGCGCAACTGAAGTTCCGCTACAGTTCTGGACCGCTAGGTCTGTCATCGAATGGTGACTTCGAACTTAATGGAATCGCTTCACTAGCTGTGCCGATGGCAAACACGCTTTTCATCAATGGTCAATCATCGACACTGCGACGGATCACATGGTCCAGGTCTTGCGATACAGGGCATCGCTGGGCTCACTCGTCTGCGACACAGCTGACGACCGTCGACATCGCAGTGCGCCAGTCGTGTCAGTTGTTCGGTGACCTGTGCCTTGCACCCCTTACGAAGTTTCGACCAATCACATCAGCGCTGGGTAATGTCATCAGTTCTATTGAAGTCGATGGGACGTCGCAGCCAGCATCAAGGGAGCTGGAAGCAGCCGTTGATGATGTTCGTCAGACGACGAAGCTGGCAGGTGACGCAACATCACTACCTTTTTCCAATGTCTATGCTATGCTGCGTTCGGCCGCTTGGCAGACGCCGAGGAAGACATATAAGAATGTGTTCGATGGCCAAAGAATTCACCGAGTAACAGGCGGTGGAGGAGGATGGGGCGATCGGGCTGGCATACTGTCTCTTGAGCCTGCGGTCTCGTTCGACACCTCAGGTCAAACGTCTACGAACGCTGCCGACACGCCCTTTGCCGCTATAGACTTCGATGCGCCAGAGTTGCCGGACATTACTTCAGCACTGGATGGCTTAAGACAAAGATCCAACGACATTGTACAGCCGGACGACATGATTGCCTTCTACCATGACCAGGCGGTGAGAAACGTACCTAATCATCCGAGCTTGCGAATGGATCGGTACCCACAACAACTCCGCGACGCCTGGCACAGGAACAACAACCAGCAGCTAGTTCTGTTAGGCACTGCTGTGGATCCAAATTATACATATGCAGAGGAGAGCTCAGAAGAGCGTCAACGGTGGACGACAGGGGACAACATGAGTCCACCCGTGAAAGAATTCCACGATACGACGACCGAAAAACTCGCTCACGGGGAGCTTGTGCTGATCAAGGACAGGTTCGGAGTTCTCAGCGAGCGCGGCGTTGCACTTGACTTCATCGGTATCAGGAAGAGCACCAAAAGGCGTAAGTCAAAAACGAACAGTGACGGCTCGAAAGCGCCACAAGAAGCCGACGAGCGCGATGCCGGGGCGGGTCAAGCAACAGCCAACAGCACGTCGACATCCACGGAGAGACATGGTGATGGTGATGCGAACGCAACCATCGCGAATGAAGATATTGAACCTGCGAGCAACATTCAGGAGGGGCTGGAACAAGCGGATCGGCTCCGGGAGACTGACGAATTGCATACCGCCGTTGACAATTCAGATGACTCGACCAGTGTGCGCAACAAAGATGTCCCGAACGACGAAACTCCAGTCCATATCCGCACCCTCTTGCCCGTTGCACAGAGCTACGTTGTCACTTACGCATCTCAGGTCGATCCTGACAACCCGAATCGTAAACCCTCAAGCAGAAAGGCGGACCTGCCCAAGAACTGGCAGCGCATGCTCGGTATGAGAGATATGCCTGTAGGCCATGCTCAGAGAGTCTTGAGGAAAAGTGGCATCAGCAAGGAGCGCATGAAGGCCATGATCGAATCAGGAGAGCTGGCTGCAGCACTCAAGCGGGAGCAGTTGGCTCGAGCTCCTGATGCCGTACCAGAAAGTGAGCAGCCGTCTAGCGAAGGGGAAAGGATCAATGCCGCCGCAGCAGATCCAAAGCAGTCTCAAGACCGGGCCAGACAGGATCAGACGATTTCTCGCGGAGCACGGTTACAGGCGCTGCGGGAGAGGCGAGAGCGCGAGAGCCGCAGTCCGTCTTCATCGCCCTATGATGATGAGGCTGTTGCAGTAGAGACGCCATCACAGGACTCTGCCGCTCATGTGATTGAAAGGCACCACCACACCGAGTTAAGGATGGACGACAGCACAGCCGGAAGCGGTAGCAACGTGCAAACCCTCAAACACCTGCTAGGCGACCTCACCCTCTCGGACACATACAAGCGCGCGGCGCTTGATGAGGCGCTTGCTAAGGGCACAGCCACTGCGGGCATGGTGCAGGAGTGGGCGGAGGCGCGAGGCCAGGTGGAAGAGCAGAGAGAGTTGGCGAATGGAGTGAGGAAGATGGTGGACTTGATCTCGGAGTTCGAGAGGATAAGGAAGGAGAGGAGGAAGCTTAGTAGAGAGCTAGAGAAGCGGGAGAAGGCCAAGAACAAGATGAGGATTAGGATAAAGTATGGGAATAAGGCGATGAGGGAGGAGGAGAAGGCGCTGAAAGAGAGGGAGAAGGTGAAGAAGGAGAGGAGGGACTTGGGGCACGACTTGGCTAGGGAAATGGCTCGGTCGAGGAAGGAGAAGGCGAAGGAGAAGGAGAGGGCGAGGGAGAGGGGTACTTGGTCGGAACTCTTCAAGGAGATGTAGATGTTGGTTGAGGGGGCAAGATCGCTTTATCTTGTGGGTGGTGTTCGTATAGATTGTATAGTAGCGAGGGAAGATCAACCCGATATTTTTCCCATCTAACCATAGGTCACACTTGGTTTATCGTAGGTAGCTGAGTGTGAGCCAGCAGATAACGGGGTGTTTAGCCCTCCCTTCGATATCCAGCCCTTCTATGTCTCATGTGTCACCGCCTGTGCATGACGTACCACGAATAGCTGAAATAACACAGCCAAAATTGCCCAGACCATGCCTCTGCACCGTGTCGTGCACCGAAATGAAGGGCGTCTTTCTATATCGCTACCGCGGCCCTGGCATCTATCGATATGTGTCGTTCCTGTGGATTGTCCATCGGCAGGTAGGACATTTGCTTCTGTCCGGGCCAGTGCCTTGGCATCTCGCGCCTTTCCATCTGGTGGTGCATTGGTATTGTGGCGGAAGAGGTGGCGGATTCATTGTGGGTTCGGCCTGGGACTTGTCGGACTGGGACTGGTCGGCCTGGAACTTGTCGGCCTGGGACTTGTCGGACTGGGAGGGCTTGTCTTGGTCGGCGTCGCGGGTGCGCGATGGTTTGGTATCGGTATCGGTAGCGGTTGATGGGGGTTGTATGGATTGGTCCATGGCAGCATGTAAGAGATGTTCTCATTGAACGTGGCAGACGGACTTGTAGTGCAACACTTCGGGATGGTGGTTTGCAGGCCTGTCCAGATCCGAGAGCGTAGTCGTCAATCACGGCTAAGGTAGGCTGTGTTGTGTGTCTCAACCTCGAAAAGTGCATGGCCATTTGTTGGCATCAGAGACTCGGGCATGACCGCAGCGACTCGCACACCCTGCCAGAACAAAGTAAGTGATGCTTCCCACTGCGAACTCAGTGGACCTTGGACCCCTTCATAGCCTCCGAGGAGTACTGGAACGCAACGACCTCAAGCCCGTGTGAACATAACATGTCGTTCAGGACCACTGAACAAGTGCCCTAGCCATGAAGAAGACCTAATCATCACGATGGCACTTCCGACGGCAGCAGCGGCTCCAAAACATCGACGTCCAACTCCTCCATGACCTGCAACACGACGCCGAGACTCTCCATGAAGCCGTTCACAGAGACGCGGAGCATTCGGTTAGTCGTGGCACGGTACTCTGTGCGGAGGACAGTGTTCTGCTCGTCGCTCAGGCCTTGGTCGTCCGAGTGCTTATGGCCGTTCGTCAAGCCATCTTCAGGGCTGGCTGGTGGACGAGTCAAGCAAAATTGCCGGCGGACCAGTGGAGAGAGCTCAGCATCGACCTGTAGAGCGCGAAGGGCAGAGGAGGCCAGGCGGTGTGTTGGGAGCGGAATGTCGATTGTCAGTGTGCAAGGGAATTCTGTGGCAGCCATGGTTGTCTCTTCGCCTCCGAGAGATGGTTTACTGGCTTCCAAGGCTGTCGTTTCAGGATGACGCACTCTCTCATCCGATGACCAGGGTTGGGCGTGGTCCAGGCTTCAGGGGCCGGGGCCGTGGTAACGGATGGTGTTTTGAAGTGAAGTCATCTGCCAAGACTTTGAATCTTGGTGAATTTCGGGGGAAGCCTCGCTAGCTCGTTGCTAGTCGACCGCAGCCTTGGGCGTTGCATAGCAACCGGCGCCGGTCCATGTTTATGCGGGATGATGGAGATGAAAGCTATATCATTTTGATCATAAGTAATTACCCGCAGCCGAAACAGTTCATACCGCCCATCACATCGCTCTCACTCCTCATTCTTACTGTTCGAGTGCTACTATTCGCACTTCAACTATTATCGCTGCTGATAATTCGCCCTCTTCATCTGCTCCTCCTTTCTCTTCGACCCAAACAAACCAGTATGCTTGTATAGCACAGCACGCAACAGTCCTGGGAGCTCGCGTGACTTGTCGGTGGCTCAGTGCGAATAGTTTGGAAGACAACAGCAGCTTTCAGTGTCCTCGAAGCGAGTCAGCATAGGCATCTCGGCCAGAGTCGCGCAACTATCAAAGCCGCCATGCCGTCCCTCACGGCGCAGCCTACAAGCTACGGCCAGGTCATTGAGTACATTCAAGGTATGCGCGACCAGAAACAGTGACTTCCATGTGAGCATGCCCCAGCTGATCTTTCCTCAGATCGACTCTACCTCGCTTCATACACCCAAGCTCCGAACGAAAACACACCGTTCCCATACCCTACAGCACCGAAGCGATCACCTCACAAGAAGTCATCAAGAGCCACAACGGGCCCAACACCAGTCGCAGTGCGCCCTCCGCCCGTCTACTTCACCATCGATGACTCTCTTCTGTACAATGCCTTCCACCACGACTTCGGTCCGCTTCATGTTGGACACTTGTATCGCTTCGCTGTACACTTCCATGAGATCCTTGGCGACCCAGCCAACAGCGATCGCGCCGTCGTATTCTGGAGCCGGGCAGATGCACGCAGTCGAGCAAATGCCGCCTGTCTGGTAGCTTGCTATATGGTCTTGATTCAGGCATGGCCACCACATCTTGCGCTCGCGCCCATCGCGCAGGCAGACCCTCCTTATATGCCCTTCAGAGATGCTGGGTACAGTCAGGCAGACTTTGTCTTGAACATCCAGGATATCGTCTATGGTGTGTGGAAGGCAAAGGAGGAGAACTTGTGCCAGTTGAAGGAGTTCAATCTTGAAGAGTGAGTCAGTTCAACCCTAGATCGACAACAGTGCTGATCAACCGCAGATATGAACGTTACGAGCGAGTCGATATGGGTGACTTCAATTGGGTCTCGCCACAGTTTGTCGCTTTCGCATCACCTCAGTCAGAGCCTACCGCTCCGATTCCGCCCACATCACCCGCGTATGCCACGCTTCCGTCGTGCATACCCGAGATTGCAGGCGCACGGATCAGCCAGCCGTTCAAGAATGTCCTCACACACTTCGTCCAGCGCAATGTTGGCCTGGTAGTTCGCCTCAACAGCGAACTGTACTGCCCGTCATACTTCACTGCTCTCGGCATCCAACATATTGACATGATCTTCGAGGACGGCACATGTCCGCAGCTACCGATCGTACGAAAGTTCATCAAGCTTGCAGCGGACCAGATCTCCAGGCGCAAAGCTATTGCCGTCCACTGCAAGGCTGGTCTTGGTCGGACAGGCTGCTTGATCGGAGCCTACCTCATCTACCGTCACGGCTTCACAGCCAACGAAGTCATTGCTTTCATGCGCTTCATGCGTCCTGGCATGGTGGTTGGTCCTCAACAGCATTGGCTGCACATGAACCAGGGCACGTTCCGAGAGTGGCAGTATGAAGACACCATTAAAGCCAAGTATGAGAGGGAAGCGAAGCCATCCACTCCACGTGGCCTGAGTTCAAAGACACCCATGCGCCAATTCTCTGGCAATCAGATGGCCACACCGCAGCGAAGCTCGGTCCAGCGTGCTGCTCTTGGCGAGATCGATGGAAACGATGTGAATGCTACCGCTGCACAAGACGAGAACCTGCCAGCACCAACACCAGGTCAGCCACGAAAGTATGCTCGTATGGATCCTCGAGGTCATACATATGCACGATCCACCTCAGCCGGCTTCCGTGCCAGCGTCAATAACAACACCGAGAAGGCGGTAGAAGCAACCACTGGGCTGACGGACTCGGATGAGGAGTACATCCTGCAGCGTCTTGCCGCTCGTAGATCTGCTAGCCGGAGCCCGAACGCCACCAGCGCCAAGGGCAAAGGTCGTTCTGTCAGCTACACTACGACAACGACCACCACCACCAAGACCATCGATATGGGCGATATGGGCATCTATGAAGACCGCGACGCTGACGTGGTCTTCGGCAATGCCGATGGCAATAATGTCTGGACCGATGACGTCGACTCGGAAAACCAGATGCAGACATCCTCACCCAACAAGAAACTCGGCATGTCCGATTCTCGTGCTCCAAGCCGATCACCGAGCATCGCTGGCAATACTCGCTCAAAGACACCTCGGCGAAGTGCATCGGGCATGCACGCCTCTGGCAATGGTTCTCTGGCTGGCTTGACAAAGACGCGAGGCTCCATCAAGGAGCGCGAGAGTCCTATGCGGCGGTCAACCGATGAGCGAGGCAAGGTCCGCAAGACCAGTGGTCGGGTTGGCAGCAATGGTGTTGCCCAGAACAGCGTGCTTGGTGGTCGGACGCGGTAGGATCGCTGTCCAAATGACAATAACAATGTTGTCGTGAATACATCCTCGCCACAGAGGTCAACACTGAAGCGAACGACTCGTCGTTTGCGGCAACGAGTCAAGTATGATGAGAACGGCGTCGAGTGCCTGTACCAGAAAAGCCTCGATCGAGTCCAGCAACAACGCAGCAGTTCGACCGTCGAGGATGACGAGAAGCTGCTGGCTCACCAACACCAGAAGCAGCAGGACGAACTCAACGAGCTTCGCCGCGAGGTCTTGCGATCACAGGCGAAACTCGATGCTAACGTTCGCAGCTGGTTGACGGGCTTGCATAGCGTCGGCTTCCCGCCGTGAGAGGGCACGATTTGATATGATGCTGCTCCGACCAGCTTATGCATGGAAAGGATTTGTGATCATCTGATGTGTACATGACGGCGTTACTATTGTGGGATTGTCGAGCTTCGGAGCTGGTTTTGAGGACTTCGTGCACGGATGAGCAACGGCCATATTCTCTGTGATCAGGCTCTTCTGTACGAAAGCGACCTTTTCACTGAGTGAGAGCAGGGCGTTATTCGAGGTTCGGCTGTTGCGCCTTCGTCATTTGCAATGAATGAAAATACTTCAAAATTCGCTGACTCTGCTTGTGGCCTTTTCTGTGTGGCAGCTTGTTGAGAACCCTACCATGAACGTTCCTCGTAGACTCATGCATGTGTCAAAGCATCTCATCCTCGCTACGCTGGACATCGCATTCCGTGGTGCAGAGAACAGCGCGTTCAGCAAATGGATGATAGCAACATTCAACGTATGCTGCACCACAGGCTGACACCCTGTGCACCGTGCGCAAATATATGTTCACCGCATCATCGATCCATCGCAGTACGAGATGCTTTGTCCGTGCAATCCAGCGGGTCCGAGACCACGAACAGGTCCCTCATGTCGTAGAAAACGCTATGTGCTGGTGCGAGAAAGCGCTAGACGCTCACAAGGGCTGGTACTTGTCGACGGGCAGTGCTATATTGGGCGTCATCCGGTCTCATGTAAGTCTTGATAACACCTAGATCATCCGGTCTCGTATAAATCTTGTTTACTACTTGTCATCCGGTCTGGTCAGAACTCTGTACAAAACCGGATGACAGCGTGTCACTAACTTGCTACTGCCCTTTCAACACTCCAGGCAAGCAGTGACAGCAGGAGCACAAGGCAATCGCACCTTCTTCCTACAGCATGTCTGCATCACAAGCAGCAGGGGCCACCTGGGGTTGACACCTTCCACTTCAACTACCTGGTCAACCGGCTCTGGCGGAGCATTACACGAGCCGGATGACGTCTTCACTTAGACTGCACCTTCCCCTCTCCCTCTGCTGAGTTGGCAAAGCCAGCAGGCGCGCGACACGATCGCTCCTTCCATCACAACTACTGTCTGGCGCCACGATCGTCAGGTGTCTCACCCAGCAGCACCTTCCATGATTGCCTGGCTGTCAACCGGCTGAGGCTCGGTCCTACGTAAAACCGGATGACAAGATCTTGCATGTCCAGCGGACCGACCAAGAGTATCGAGGGTTGCTCCGTCGTTGACACTCCAAGCTCAGTCATTTCTGCGCTTCGTCTCGCTCCCGTAGTCCTGGACATTCCCGCTCTGGCCTTCCCTCAGCGTCTTCGCCTTACAGAACGCCAAGACGTGTAGGCCCTTGTTCCCAGACGCGATAGCACGACGGCGGCTTGATCCAGCTGATTGCCCCTGATCATGGCAGTACTTCATGACTATGGCTATTGAATGGGCTTAGTCTCATAACATTTTTTCGCAGAATTGACGGACCTCAAAATTCGTTGTTCGACAGAGCCATTTCAGAGAGACTGCTGTCCCGGCGGGGACGAGGCCGCGCCGTGACCAAACGCTGGCCTGGGAGAGTCAGTGATGATATTCAAGTAGAGCCTCATAGGTGTTGTGAACGGGGAGGCAAGCGTGTGAAAGTCGATGTTGGGTGGTGGGCAACCGGTGCATTGTACCAGAATGACGACTGATTCTTGGTCCGAATCGGCAGGCCAGCTTCCCGCTTTGCACTTCTGTCTGGTTTTGCTGAAGTGCCTTTGACGTCATCAGCAAGTACGTTACGCGAAGTCCTGGGTAGCTGAGATCTTGATTCTGGTAACTTTCCGCTCCACCCTACCCCTCGACTCCGCCACCACGCTCCGCCTAGCTCCCAAAAAGGCAAGTCAGCTTCCTACTGTGCATTTTCATCCGATATTGCGGAGCCTTTATGCAGGTACACAAAGGACGCAAGCCGCATTGCGGCTTCCGGATGGTCAGCTGAGAGGTTGGTACCAAGACGTATCCGCTCCACCCCTCCCCTCAGCCACGCTGGTCCATTCAGCTCCCAACATGGCAGGCCGGCTTCCAAGTCTGCACTTCTATCTAATACAGCGGATCCCCAGCGATGTCATGGACAAATCCACCAGCGTCGTGACCTATTGCGACGCTGCGCCAGGAAATGCCCTTTCCCCCTCTTCCCTCCGCCGCACTGCTTCGCCCAACTCCCAACAAGGCAGTCTAGCTTCATCCGTCGCATTTCCATCTGATTTAGCGGAGCCTTGTCGACGCCATCAGCAGTCGCATAAGGTCGTGATCGCTTCATTGGAGCTGGGCAGGATGTTGTCCTCGGAAAATTCCCGCTCCCCTGTATCCCACTACCACACTCCGCTCAGAAAGGCAGGCTAGTATCCATGTTTGCATCTCTATTTGGTACAGTGGAGTCTTTTGACATTGCCAGCAGATGCAAAAAGTTGCGAGCTTCGTGAATCGCACGAGTACATTCAGTTGAGATGTTGAACGTTAGACAACCGATGAAAAGAAGGCCAGCCTTGCGCCATTCATTCACATTGCGTATCGCTGTACTTTACTTCGCCACGCTGACGGCTCGCTCAGCAGCAAGCAACTTCTCCGTCTCTTCTGAGATGTCAGTCTCCACCGATTCCGTCGTCTCGACCGAGTCGCTGTCGTCAACGGAGTCATCTGCTTCGAAGACTACCTCTTCCCCAGCCTCTTCGGAGGCAGCCGAGTCCGAGGACGAAGTCGGTTGTCTGCCGCTCTCGAGGTCTTGTTGCTGACTGGCTGCACCGTCCGAGCTTTGACGTCTAAGGAAAATAATGATCGCACACATGCCGGACATTAAGAAGAAACAGGCCAATGAAAGGGCCAAAAACCCTCTAATGGTCTCCAGGTCTCTGCGTATCGTTACCAGCTCTTTCACCCGGGCTTCCTCTTCTTCTCGGAATGGCCACGTAGGCCACGATTCCGGAGGCGTATCCTGCAGTGTCAATGTGATGGTCACCATTTTTTGGGGCGCCGACGTGGTCATTGTCGCCATCACTATAGATAGCATTGACGGCACTGATGTCGTTTGCTGTAAGGGCAGTGGTGCGGAAGTGGTAGTCTGCAGTGATTCGGCTGATGAACTCAGTGTTGTTGTATTTTGTGGTGGTGATAACATTGTTTCCTCTAGTGGTAGCGATGTTGGAGTCGTGTTCTGCGCTAATGTGGACGCTGTCGACGTTGTATTCTGCGGCGGTGGCAGCATTGGTGTAGCTGTGCTAGTCTGTGATGGTAATGGTGACGTATTCGTGTTCTGTAGTGGTGATGTTGGGGTGTTCTCGTCATGCGCTGCTTCGAGTGATGATGTGGTTGTCACATCTTTCTGCCGCTGCTCGTGGGTCCAGATTGCCCAGCTCTGAGCCATGTCTTCATCACTGGCTTGGAGCACGATGGGATTCTTATCGCTGACTGGTCTGCTATTCGTCCACGGCGAGCGGCAGACATGGATCATCTCGTAGGACTCCAGTTTGATAGGACGTAATCGGCAGTCCAGTGACCGTGAATCATGGGAAAAGTTGGACCGAACTATGGTGCCATCTTCGTAGACCATGAACGGCACGGTATAGGCCGACGAGAAGACCTCTGCGAAGACCCAAGCGAGGAAGAACATCCCAAGGACAGTCCAAAGGGTGCGAGATAGGGAGGCTCTTCTCTTCTGACTCGTTGTCTCCGTCGCCGTACCTGCAGAGGTCACCTCAATTGTGTGTTGCGGCATCGTGCTTGCAGAGCCCACGGTGTCCGTGGGCTGTGGGGGCGTATGTACAGAGGTCGTCGTGTTCGTGTTCTGTGGTGGCATCGCGCCTGCAGATACCGCTGCATCCGCTTGTGGTGGTATCGTGATGGCGGACGGTCCTGCATTGACGTCTTGTGTCGTCGTGTTTGCAGATGGTGGTGTCTCGCTATGCTGGGGCATCGTGCTTTGTACAGCGTGGCCTTGAGGGAGTCCTTCGACCATGGTGGCTGCGTTGAGCTCCGGAAGTCTCATAACGATAAGAAGGGTATTTTGTCCAGACAGACCTCGGGGCCAGCGTTGAATTATATACCATGATCAACAGCGAATCTGCCTTGCACAGGTATCTGCGCGACATCATGGAAAGGTTAAGGTACTCATACGGAGTTGTTTGGCTGGCTTTTCAGCTTGCTGCGCCTTGGTATGGAAGTCTATACTGGACATGTAAGTACCCAGGTAGCGTTCCAGCCCAAGCACCTGACGATCAACGTGCCTTTCATGTTTTGTGCATGACGAACCTGAAGATCGGAATGAAGCAATTCTAATATACCTACATTGTCATCGCAGGTGCTGCCGACCTTACCTTGTCATCGATGCGCATCTCAAATTGGCTGCTGATACCCTGATCGTGAATCGAAGTGCGACACTTCAGGCACGGTGTCACATAGCCGGCACAGCTGAGCAGAAAGGACAAGAAAGTGCTCCTGCGCGACGCGTTGAGCAAACCTTCAGAAGCCTTTCTCCAACCGTTATGAAAGCAACTCCTGGTCCTTCGGAGATCTGCCTCCCCCAACCCCGGGTTGGGGTACGGGCATCATGGCACTGGCCTCGGCCAAACGTCACTCGACGACATGTTAGAGATCTGAGGCACCGAGCAAACAGAAGATGCTATGAATGATCCGATCCCAGTCGTGCAAAGTGAGGAATGCATATGAGAACACGGCGAAGTACACTGACGCTACTGGTGAACGCATAGTAAGGAGCAACTCTTTCAGGAGACAGCAGGAGGAGATTCTAGTGGCGCCAGGACAGAACCAGAAAGATACTAAGTACACGCCGCTGTTGGCTCATAATCTACCGAGAGGACCACAGACCGGGGACACAGAGCTCGGGTTTCTATCCAAGGTAGGTTCATTGCCAGGTAGTAAGTACGAACCTGGTAGCTACTGGGCAACTCATCTCTGGGAGGCCACTTTACGTGTTGCCCGTTCTGGACGGCCTGGTATACGCGAACGACTAGCTAGCCGGCTCTGCTGTCATCATGGCGATCTCAGCTCTCGACTCGAGGCTATTTCGTAACCTTTTCGGTACATCAGAGATCCGAGATGTCTTCTCTGACACTGCTTACACGCAGCGCATGATCGATGTGGAAGCCGCTCTGGCACGAGCGGAATCTGCTGTTGGCGTGATACCTCCTAAAGCTGGCGATATCATCACCAAGGCGTTGAAGACGGTCAAGATTGACTATGAGCGGCTGGAGGCCGAGACCGAGATCGTCGGCTATCCTGTCTTGCCACTGTTGAGGCAGCTCACTGCACAAGCGGCGAAGTTTCCTGAGGGGATTCCTTTCAACGACGATGAACTGGCCGCCCGCGCGGAAGCAGCCAAGTACATCCACTGGGGTGCCACTACCCAAGACATCCAAGACTGTGCATCCATACTGCAAATCAAGTCTGGTCTGACGATTGTTCGCCGCTACCTAGATGAGCTCTCATCCACCCTCACTTCCCTCTCCAAACAACACCGCAACACACCCATGGCAGGCCGCACCCACCTCCAGCACGCCCTTCCTGTAACATTCGGCTACAAATGCGCCGTTTATCTCTCCTCCATCCAACGGCACCTCCAACGACTCAATGAGCTCGAACCGCGCTGTCTGCTGGTGCAATTCGGCGGCGCAGCCGGAACGCTGGCCTCGCTTGGCACTACCTCAGCGGGCCTCCAGGTCCGCGCCCAACTCGCCCGCGAACTCAATCTCTATGACCCATCCATAACCTGGCACACAACCAGGGACACCATCGCCGAGATCTTGAACTTCCTCGCCCTGGTCGGCGCTCCCTCGCCAAAATCGCTTACGACATCATGCTCATGTCCTCCAACGAGCTCTCCGAGGTCGCCGAGCCCTTCGTCCCGCACCGCGGCGCAAGCTCCACTATGCCACAGAAACGCAATCCCATCAGCAGCGAGGTCATTTTGGCAGCAAGCAAAGTGCTGCGCGCGAACGCCGGTTTAGGCCTCGATGCCATGGTCGTCGACTTCGAGCGCGCCAGCGGGCCCTGGCATTTAGAATGGGTTGCCGTGCCGGACAGTTTCGTGCTGTGTGTAGGCAGCCTACACCAGACGTGTTTTGTGCTAAGGGGGCTGGTGGTGAATGAGGAGGCGATGTTGGGCAATTTGTTGAGCACGAAGGGGTTGATCGTGGGAGAGGCGGTGATGCTGGAGCTGGGGAGGGAGGTCGGTAGGCAAAAGGGGCATGATATTGTGTACAAGGCATGCAAAGAGGCGATAGAGCAGAAAACGACGTTGTTGGAGGTGTTGAGGGAGGATGAGGAGGTGAGCTCGAGGATCGGCCAAAAGAAGTTGGCTGAGTTGTGTGATCCGAGGAACTACTTGGGTGCCAGTGGGTTGATGGTTGATCGAGTCATTGGTGGTGTTCAATAGGGGAATCGGAAGCCAGGACAGAGTAGGCTGTGGTTGGTGCCTTGTGTCCGCAGTATGCGCTATCTTGGAGTTACCTACATCAATGCCCGCCACTGGCATGTTCACCATTGGCCTCACCACCTACTGCCGGCGCAAGCTGAATCTCGGATACCGTGACAGTCCTCAACGGAAGGAACTCTTCCAGCCCAAAATTGCCATTCTGCCCTCTGCCGAAGCCGCTGGCTTTGGTCACGCCAACGGGTATGGTCGCTGTGCCGTGGGTCAGCTCGACGGTTGCTTGGGGAAGAAGTCAGCAACTCACCCTCATCCTGGCCCGTCCCCATAGCATGATTTACATGCGCCTGCCCAACCTCCAGCTGCTTCGCGACCCTCATCGCCCTGATCACATCCCTCCCATAAACTCCGCCAGCCAAACCATACTGCGTATCATTTGCCACGCGCACCGCCTCCTCATCACTGTCGACTGTATACAGCGCCAACACCGGCCCAAAGGACTCCTCATCAGCAATCTCCGCCTCGTTGGGCACATTGCGCAGAATGACTGGCCGAGTCTTCGTGTCATCTACCAACCCTCCGTCACCGTACACCATCTCCGCGCCTGCATCAACAGCCTGCTTCACCAACTTCACCGTCCTCTGCGGACCCGCGGTCCCTACAGCAGGCATCGGCTCCCAGGCCGCCGCAACCTTCTTCAACACCTCTACGAACTCAGCCTCAACCTCGCGCCGCACGATCACTCGCTCTGTACTAAAACAAACCTGCCCGCCATGGATATACCCACCTGTGACCGCCGCTCGAGCAGCAGCCTCTAAATCTGCGTCCTCCAGCACGATCAGCGCAGACTTCCCACCCAGCTCCATCAGCACTGGCTTCAAGTGTTTCCCCGCCAGCGCCCCCAATCGAGCGTCCAACAGCCGCACTACCGATGAACTCCACCTTCCGAATCGCAGGATGCGCGATGAGCGCTTCCGTGACGCGCGCCCCATCCTCGCGAGCGGCTTGCACTACATTCAGCACACCCGGAGGCAGGCCTGCCTTATGGAAGAGAGAAGCAAGGTAGTGCTGCGTCCTTGGCGCTTGCTCGCTTGCCTTCAACACAACCGTGCAGCCAACCGCCAGTGGCGTATCAATGGCCCGACAGGCGAGGTACACGGCGGCATTCCACGGCGGGATACTCAGCACGGGTCCGATGGGTACCTTATACACCATGGCGAACGCCATGTTGGGGTCCTGTTGCAGCAGAGGGAGTTCACCGGACATGACGGACGTGATCCGTCCAGCCATCTCCTCGATGTGAGCTGCAGACCATTGGATGTTGAGGGCGGCCCAGAGTGGGGCGCAGTTGGTTTCGGTGACGTAGATCTGGGAGAACTCTTCTTGGTTCTCGCGGAGGAGAGCGGCGGTCTTCTGGAGGATGCTGCGGCGCTGGATGTGAGTGGTGTTGCGCCATGTTTGGAAGGCCTTGAAGGAGGAGGCGGCGGCGGCTTGGGCGGAGGTCGGGGTGGCGGAGGTGTAGGTGCAGTAGTCAGCGGAGAGGTTGGCGGAGTAGTGAGTGTGGGTTTTGGTGGTGGTGTCTGCGGTGTAGGGCTTGTTGTCGATGATCAGGGGGAGGTGTGGGAGGGTTTGTAGCTGTCATTATGCTTTTTGGTCGGGGTTTTTTGAGTTCGTGGTGAGGCCGGGCTCTGCTTTCAAGTCGACGAGGCTCTTCTCGTTCGATCCTTTGTCAGTGGAAGGCGAGTTTGTATGCTGACCTCGACTCGACACGTGTGCTAAATATGTTTTGCAGAGGTTCCAGGCCTGCTGTAGAAACATCTCGTCCTCCACGCGAGGCATCTTTTGCTCGCATCTCCTCTTTGCCTTTATGCATGGCAGTCGATGGGGCATTCCTTCGCGAGTTGGTATCCTGTTTCATCCTCCGACGAACGTGCTCAGCACCGACGCATATCGGAAAGTGCCTTATAAGGCTGCCCGAGCTGATCTGGGGTACGCAGATCAAGCATTCTCAGGGCGCTGCATATGGCTGGGAACGGACGCCTGATGCTGTGTTCCTTCAAGGATTCCAGGAACCCTGGCGGGACACTTGCCAATCCTGATGACACGCAGCACGGAATGCGCTGCGATGAACAAGGCTGTCCTGCTAGCCAAGGACAGACCGAATTCTAATGGCCTTTCATAGTACAATATGCAAACGGAGACCGTGGTGTGTAGCTCGATGATGACCGATCTACTCTCTTTTCGATATTCGCAGGCGACATTCACACAAGGTTGTGGAGGCAGTCGATCTTCTCAGATACCAGCTGTCTGGAACAGCGGCACCGCCTCAACCATTGCCATGCTCAAGTGCATCGAGGTTGATGGTATGATCACCGAATGTGTAGCTAATCGTACCTGCCGATATAGTCAGTCCGTCGTGCTTCGCACATTCCGGAGTCTCTGGCTGCTGTGATCTCCAACAACTTTCGATCAATCCGCCACGCTCGGTCCTCCCAACAGCTTCCGTGGTGCGTTCCCTCCTTTACGAGGGCCTGGGTCCTGTGAACCAGCCCCATCTCGGGACTCGTCTCCAACTCCATGCCCATTGTCTTCAACTCCAGCCGAACTGACTACAACCCAGTCCTTGCTGTCTTGGCTGCCATCCTCGTCCTCCTTGACTCTCCACTCCATTGAACCATCACCTTGCTCCTCCCACACACCATCTTCGTCCTGGTCCCCATCCCAGTCCTCCTCTCTATACGCCTTGAGATCACTCAACCACAACTTCTTCGCTGGTGCATCGACGAGTTCCTCGGGCCCTATATTCGCGATATCGAGACTACACAGGAAAGGTCAACACCACTGTGTGTCTTCCCTCTGCAAAGTGAAAGGCTAGCACTTACTTGCACCAGCAATTATAGCTCTCCCTCGGTGCAACCCGCCCATAAATCCATCCCAAAGAATCCGAAGTATCCTCCCCATGGAAATCGAGCGAGCTGGCCAGCCAGACCTTCGGCTCTTCCTTGTCGAATATCTTCTCGTCGACAGCAATGAAGTTCGACGGATACCGGTGCATTCGGATTGGGCCAGCTTTGACAGCATCGAAAAAAGGAGAGAAGGGATCGCTCGCTTCCCATTGGTCTCGAAGGTCCTCGAGTGTGTGAATTGTGGCGGCCTCGCTGTCGCTTGAGAGGGTGGATGGAGGGAAGATGTAGCCGAACCATGTGAAGGTATGTCCCCAGTCCTGTTTCCGGCCGCGGGAAAGCGGGTGTCAGTAGGGACTCTGCTCGCGAAGGGGCTTTTGCGACGGTTTCGGACCAGGGATCAGTCATCGCTGTCACTTATGGTCGATGACACCTCCAATAAGACTTACCTCGCCTTCCTCGTACTGCCCAATCCCGCACACGAGCTTGCGGATCTCACGCTCTTGATCAGCCGTGAAAGGCTGCAGGAAGAATACAGGGCAAGCATTGAACGCATGATCTTCAGCAGCAGCGGCGTTAGCATATCCAAAGACATCGACGACGCTGAGCATCGGAGGAGGGCGCCACCCTACCAAATGAAGAAGCGTTTAAGTCGTCCACATGCTCCACCTTCCAAATATCGACCAGTTTCCCTTCTTCACTGACGTCCTTACGCATCTTTCCAGCATCCCACACGCGGAGGAAATGTTCGGTGAAGACGGGGAGGACCTCCACAGCACTGGACTCATCTCTCACTAAGCGGTCTGAGCGTGAAACGGCAAGGATTTGACGGGATCTTGCTTCCTCGCCGTGGAGCATGTAGTCCACAAAAAAAGCATAAAGCTGTGCTTCCGGATCGGAAGATCTAATTTGCATTGTGATCAACATGTCGCGGAGAAACGTTCTTCGTGTTGGCTCGGGACCTTGCCAGTTGTGGATGATCACATCGTCTGCGATGTTGTCAGAGCCTTGGCCTTCCATGATCCGCTGCTTGAGCGTCGAAATCGCTTCGTCGCTCAGGTGGCGCAGTGAGATGATCGTCGGCTTGTTGTTTTGCAAGCTTGAAGCTGGCAGATGACTCGGCCATTGGAAGTCCGGGTCGATTCTGGTAGACATGTGCATCTCGTCCAGCCCCTTGAGGTCCTCGTACAAGTTCACGCGCGAGTGCTCGTATGCATCTAATCCTAAACACCGAGCTAGTGTCAAGCCCTCGATCTTGTCGCAAGCCGTGAGCAGAAAGTTAGCATTCCTCATCGGCACACGCACCGCAGCCAGAGCCTTCGTCTCGCCATCTTCTGCCGTCTCCCAGTGCGTGGCTATCACATTACCTAAGTCCCACGCGCGGTCCACGAAGATGATACTCGTGTACGAATTCTCATCCTTTCTCGACTCAGTCGATACTGCGTCCTTCGCGATAGCTAGAATGACATCGGGCCCCGGGACGTAGTCTCTGATCCACTTCTTTTCTTGTAGCTTCCGTGGTGCAGGCGGTTGTGCCACGTCTACAATCAGACGTTGCACGAGATCCTCATCTGGCTTCTCAGACAGCCCATGGATGACTTGCTGACGATCACTTTCGCTCATGCGCTGCAGGTAGAACACGTTAAGCACATGTTCGGGACCTGGATCTTTATATCTATTGCTCCACTTAGTAGAGACTTACCTCGTTCGCCACAGGAATTCACGTACTTGAAGATATATGGTACGTGATCCGAAGACGGCGCCATTGTCACAATGCTGCTGGATTGGAGAGTTCAGAGCACCTGGAGTGACCGGTAGATAAGATCAGAGTCTGGTCCTGGCGACACTACGACTCGGGATTCCAGTCGGAAATTGATATTAGACGCTCGCATGCTAGATGTTCAGATGTTGCTGTCAAGACACGCCTGCATGATCTTCGACTTTGATCTGTCACACATTTCGGAACCAGCCAACGAGCGGCGAGCATCATGCACTGCCGGCGGTGTGGGCTAGCGACAAGGCAGCAGCACTTGGACGCCTAGTTTGCCCGTCCGCAGTTGACCTGGACAGTCCAGTCCTGCATGAAAACTGGCGCTAGCATGTGGACTTGGATGCAGATCCGGACTCATCTGCGTGCATGATGAATGAACAGGCCTCGGGAGAGCGCTGAATCCAAGATGTGAACGGACGCGTTGACATCACAGGCTTGCTTGCTTGCAGTGTGGTCGTGTGGTGGTTGCCAAGCGTCATACATTAGGCTTACCCGAGCAAGCAGCAATATCTCGCGAGATCAAGATGAAGCGAACAGAAGGAAAAGCTGCCTCGACGATTGAAGCAGAGTGCGGAAGCTGTGGTGGCTGCAATAACTTCATATTTCATTACTGCTTCCAAATCGAGTACTCAAACTGAGTACAAGCGTTCCTTCCACCAACTGACAGACGGAGCGAAGCAGTAATGACCGATCTCCTCCACTGTGCTCGAGCTACTTGATGCTATGTAGTATTCACTTGCAGGAGTCCTCCACCCGAATCAGCTGCCAGGTCGAAAAGCTGCGATTCAAAGAAGCGGGAAGGCCTGCCTATGCAGTCGAGCGAAAAGCCTCCTCGTATGCTCCTCGTTCTCGCAACCACCACAACGGGTCGCCATGTTCGCCATCGAATCTCAATCGTCAGAGTAGAACGGGCACGATGAGTGGAACGCCGCCAGTAGACGTTATGCCGCCAGTAGACGTTATGCCGCCAGTAGACGTTATGCCGCCAGTAGACGTTATGCCGCCAGCTCAATAATGATGAGATGAGGTACCTGTCCAAAAAAGAATTGGGCCATGCCACAATGTTGCGTTTCGCTCGAAGAAAATGTTGTGCATGAAAGGAGAATGTGTCTGTGATCATGTCCGGTAGTAATCCATCGCCAAAAAGTAACACCATAAATCGTTAAGAGACGAATCAACCACCCTTGAGGTCAGCCGTAAGTCCAATTTTCGTAAGAATCCCCGCATGAGTCGGAGTTGGGATATGTTCATCACTCAGTCAGCTTCTCCTTGCTCCGCCAGAATTTCATCAGCTTGCTCAGTCGATGACTTTTGCGCTTCTCGACCGTCTCACTCTGTACACTCTGCTGCTCCGCAGGAACAGCCTCGAATTTGAGCTTGCTACCGTTGGCAGATCCGGGAATCAGGCGGTTCAAGCTGGCGAGACTAGCGCGCTTCCATGCAGGCTGACTTGATCTTGAAGTACCAGGAACGCAAACAGAGTGGGCTCGCTGCTCGACTGAGGAACGTGTATTTGCGCTGCTTGACATTCGCGGAATCATACCACTTGAGTGGCTATCCGACAGTGATGGCAGGTCTTCGTTTGAGGCCCGCAGTACGAAGTCAGGATTTGGCTCGCCTAGATAGCGCGGTCCTCGGGGAAAGCTTTCGAACGAGACATGCTCGGCATCTGGCGATGAGACCATGGAGGCCGATGTTGTCCGGCCTTCTGTCGAAGACGCGTACTGAGAATGTGGGATAGAGTAGGAGAAGATCATGGGCGATGATGCCGGCCGCTTCAACTCGTTCGGCAAGGCCTCGATGGTCGAGTTTGAGGAGCGATTCGGATCAAAATCTCCTTCCGGATCAACAATGACAACATCGTCGGTCGAAAGAGCAAGTCCTAGACCCTCCTCGACACGATCTTCCATACCCATGGGTGAGACCATCGACTCAACATCTTTCGCTTCGTCGACATCGGTCTCTTTGCCAGCCAAGAAGTTGTCCTCCTCTTCCTCATCAAACACATCTTCGGTCAAAGAAGTATTGCTACCCATTCTATGGATATTGAAGGAAGCTCGGTTGACAGGTTGCATGTCAGGTGCCGACTCAGCACGTTTGTGAAACGACCCAAATGCGTCAACTTGGCCACGACGTTCGCTACTGTGAAGCTTGGCAATGCGACCAGTAGGACCACGAGACGGTGTCACTGCGGGAGCATCGGCCATGACAGCGTCGAGGTCGATGATTGGCTCTGACTGTGTCTGCATCATTGGTGGAGGCGATGTCAATGCCATTGGTGTTGATTTGGGTCGAGTCCGGTGTGCGATGGGAGAGGCGGAGCGGAGAACTACTGTATCGTCCTGGTCGAAGACATCATTTATCCTATCCGAAGCCCGTCGCATCAGGGCAGGTGGTGTTGGTGTCCGCTTGGCATTCTTGGACTGTCGCTTTGCTGTTTTCCGTGAGAAGATCCCAGAAGTCCATGTGTTGTACTTCCTCTTCTTCTTCACACTAGCTGTACGTTCCGGAGAAGTCTTGGGTCTTGGCTGTTCGTGTGGAGCTGGAAGAGTAGACGGAATGACCATAGGTGAGGAGGTCGCGGTCGGTGTCGGCAGATCATCGCTTGGAGTGGGACTGAACCAGAAATGCTTCTTCTTGCTCGGCGGGCTGTCCGACAGAGGCGCACTAGGAGAACCGGAAGCTGAAAGAGGCCTCTTAGGTATCTCGAGCTCAGCTGGTGCGGATCTGGTACTAGCCGAAGACATCAGCGTTGCTGGGTCGGCAGTGCGTGGTCGTGGTCTCGTTGGGCTGTCATCCAAGGTCCGAGCTCTAGTCGGAGAGTTGACGGCAGAGGGAGGACCAGACAAGCCGCTAGCGATCGAAATGATGCTACCAGTAACCGAGTGCCCACGAACCGTGGAGCAGCTGCCTTCCGTCTCGGACGATATCAAGGAAAGTGGTCTGGGTATCATCTCAACCCTATCCGCGAATCCGACCCTTGGTCTGGGCATGTTCAAGCTTTCGCGTCTAGGCGATGATGGTGTCGATTGCGAATGCGAGATCGAGTGTCTGGGAGGACTTTGCCTGGGAGTCGGGAAAGTAGCGTCCGAAGGAGTGCCTGGCTGCGAGCCTGAGCGGGACTTCGACAGTGCTTGTACCTTGATCAGGTCCGACGTGTCGATGTCTGATATCGACACAGCCTGCGATCTCCGATGCATGTGACCTCGAGGCTGGCCGCTAACAGGAGGTGGCCTGTAATCACTCTTTGCCGGACTCGTACTGATCAGTTGTGTCCCTTCTTTTCCACCGCCTACGAATTCGCTTCCTCGTCGTTTGTGACCAGGGCCAGCCGAGCCTGGTGCATCTCCAAATGTCGACCGAGTAGGACTTGGAGTAGCTGAAGCCACGGCACTTCCGAATGTGAACGCTGGAAGCGGTGCTGGGCGTGCTGATCGCACAGCGCGTTGCTGGTTCAGCTGCATCTCTTGCAGCACTGGATGCGTTGGGCTGGGCTCGCGGTCGGGAGTCAGGTCCGCACCGGGATTGAATGAGAAGTCTGGCAGGGGTGCAGGCCGCGTACGCTTCGCAATTACCTCATCCTCGGATGACGGCAGATTTTCATCGCTGTGTGTGGTCTGTGCTGTGCTCATTCCAGGGTTGAATGAGAATAGCGGAAGCTCCACGGTATTAGGATTCCGCGAAGGCATCCTGCGATGCCGTGACTTGGAGGCGTCACAGGGCCTTCGATGGGCACTGATATCGGCAATGGCGGCGGTGGAATTGACATTGACGCCATTGTCGACTCTGATTCTGGAGCTCTGCTCAAGTAATAGAACTGTGCTTATGGCAAGGTGATCCAGCACCCGTTGGAGGTCTAGTTGAACGCTGGACTTTTTCGAACAGAACGCGGCCACCATTAACACTTAGGAAGTAGTACTCTTCAATATAGCCACATAGAAATAATGTATAGGAGGTGTAGAAGAGGTCGCTCCAGTTCGTTCTCTTGCAAACGGTCTGAGGCGGTTTCGACGTTATTGCCGGGTGTCGTCGTGTCAGCGTTGGGGGCGTTGCTGACCCGGTAGTTGAGGAGATGTTTGGTAAGGAGTGGACGGCAACCTGGCAGAAGGAGACCCGAACAAGGTCCTTCTGCAAACAGGAGCCAAAAGGCGGGTGTTGGTGGGTGATGGAGAGGGAAGGAGAGAGGGAGGATGAGAGGCGGTTGAGTTGGTAGTATCGAACGAGGAGATGGAGAATTGCTTGCAGATAGCACGAAGCAGCAGCGCAGCACACAAGTTCGGGAGCTGCGGGCTGAATGGCACGGTACCTGCATGCAGCGTGGTCACCTGCTGGTCAGGCCTTCTTTAGCGGGGCTCTAGGTCAGGAGCTAAGCCGGAACACGCCTAACTACACCTAAAAGCTTCGTAATAGATGCCAAGGCAGCCGCTTGAGAATTGAATCGTGCATATTTCGTGGTCGCATGCAGGAACGGCAAAGTCTATCACCATACCTCCCTCCCTGCTCGCTGCATATCAATGCTTCCTGCATCTTGATCCGATCCCAGAATCAGCGTTACACATGAGAGATCTTCATCGAAATTCTTCGTACGGCCAGCATGAGAAATGCCCAGTGCTTAGCCAAGCATGATGATGTGTGGCGGGTGGCATAGCCATGATCAACCAATCTCGGAAGAGATTAGACCATCTCAGAATAATCGAACATCCCATCTCCGAACACTGGGCAATGCAATAATGTCGCCCACTCGATGAATGGAAGAATCAAGAATTCACTGCTGAGAAAACTTGGTTGTGGCATGAAAAAATCGTCACCACGATCAAGCTGCCATCGAGTAAACCTCTTTTCATCGTCCATGCCTTTGGAGCGTGATACTTTTTTCCAAGAAGGCGCCACGCGTGCTGCGCGTTGACCTTTCGGGGTAAACGGCCACAGGCGGCCTCCTGCAGCAACTTTACTGTTGCAGCATAACCGAAAAGCTCGAGTTCACTATCTGCTCATCCTGGCCATGTAGGTTTTAGATGAGCATGCTTTACCTTTGCTTCAACTCCTTGCATCTCGTCAAATTTCTGACGAGCGCATATCGCTGTCGATCACTGTCATCTCGGTTCAAAGGACATCCAAGTCGTCAAACACAAGCTCAACAAGGCAGTTGGGATCTGTTCATCGCGAAAACCCATCAGCGACTGCAGCACATTTCTGGAGGTGGTGGGCCCAACGTGCATCCCCTTGACAACGCCTTGAACGCCATACCTTAGCGTCATCCTGCGACGACGAATCCTCGCTCACCTGCACTCTGAAAATTCAGGGTCCGCTGTTCCTGGTGACTTTCCACTTTCTCCGTTCAACTCCACCGCATCTTATCGTTTCCTTTCGCAAAATGGGTCCAGCCTTTTGACACCACACCGCCATACCGCCACAGCACCGTGGCGGCAGGTCATTGGTTGAATGACAACGGCGACATCTGGCCTCGACAATTGATCGGGACGATTGTCTTGATGAGGTTCACCGGTTCAGCACAGATCACATGCCTGTGACTGCTGAGACCTAACGACGTGCATGATCTTGCAGTTGACGAATTGACCGACGCAAGTTTGACGTACATCGTGCTACGAACAGCACGACTGCTTCTCGGACTCAACAACATCGCTGCAGCACCAGGCTATCTGTCATCGGAAGAGAGTTGAGGATGGCTCCACGACGCAAGCAGCAGATCTCTGCCAAACCCCAGACTACTGCAAGCAAATCCGAGAATGTCACCAGTGCGAGCAAGGTCAAGGAAGAGAAGAATCTGCTCCCGATCGAACTCCAACAACTCATCCTAGACCACTTCACCCGCGCCTTCCCCTGCCCCAACCCCACTGATCTCAAAGCGCAGATCCAGACAGTCAAAGGCCATCTCTACAACCGCGACTTCGTGCCTGCATTCAGCAAACCCGAATACTTGGATGCGTATGCGCTGCGCTGGAGCGCCGCACGTGCATTGGGTTACGCGGAGCTGTTCGCTTCCCTGTCACACTCTGGCGGTCTGTCATCGCTGTCGTCGCTGTCATCACGTAATGCAGATGCCGACGCATCACTGCCATCACACATTGCAGGCCTAGATGAAGCCACCAGCAATCAAAGGCAAATTCTCTGCATAGGCGGCGGGGCAGGCGCGGAACTCGTGGCGCTGTGCGCGAGCACGACCACTGCTCCTGGTTCTGGCCATACCGCCACACCGCGGCCGCCGCTGTCAGTGACCCTTCTCGACATAGCCAACTGGTCGAGCGTGGTGTCAAAGTTACAGACCGCGCTGACCACAGCGCCTGCACTGTCTGCCTATGCAAGTGCGACAGCCAAGGCAAGTAATGCACCTCTCATCGAGCCCTCAAATCTAGAAATGAGCTTCGTTCAAATGGACGTCTTGGATCCGTGGGACCAGGCCCTACAGGCAAAGGTGAGGGGCGTGGGGCTGGTGACGATAATGTTCACGCTCAACGAGCTATTCGGTGCAAGCAGGGCGAAGACCACCGGAATGTTGTTGAATCTGAGCGATTGGATGCATGTTGGGAGTGAGCTGTTGGTGGTCGATAGTCCAGGGAGCTACTCACAGGTAGGCGTCGGGCAAAGTGGCGAGACAAAGAAGTATCCTATGAAGTTCTTGTTGCAGCATACCCTGATGGAAGTCGCGAAGGGCAAGTGGGACCTGGTGTTTGGAGAAGAGAGTCGGTGGTTCAGGGTTGGGGAGAATGGGAAGGGGGAGAAACTAAGCTATGCGCTTGAGCTTGAGAATATGCGGTATCAAGTATGGTTGTATAGGCGGGTATGAAGATGCTAGTGCCCAAGACGTCGGGAAGTTAGGGCATCAATTGCGAGCGAAACGAATGCTCACATAGCAGACATGAGACAGAGACTCAGCAACTTCCCAAGAGACCGCCCCGACCAAAAGAATGCAAAAGTCTCGATCTCGTCCCACCAGGCAGCAAGCAGGTAATACTACGCAGGCATGACAACGCATTGTCAAGCTCTTCTTTCATGCTGGAGAGAAGGAAAGGAAGACGAAGCCGAGTCGGCAAGACAATTATTTATACCAGTCAACGCAGTAGACATCCGGTGCAAACCGAAAGAAATAATTCACTGACTCGGCCAAGAGCCATTCAAGTGTTCTTTGCATGGGGAAGAGCTATCACTTTGCCTGCGGCTTCATTTGCGTTTCGCATCAGTGCTCATACCAGGACATTCATCAACAAATTTGTCTCATTGATTGAATCTATGCTTGTGCATACTTAGGTAGTAGTTACACTCCCTGGAGAAGCACGTTCATCGCCGAGTCGTCTTCGTTCTGGCAGATCTGTGCTTGTAGCCTTCGATGCCGTCCTCTCAAATCAATGAGTCGACAGCATTACCTGGATAGAGCGATTGAGGCCAGAGGGACATCAGCGAGATTCCGTACTCAATCATCATCAGGATCAGATGCGACAGAGTTCTACTCGTCATCCTCATCACCCTCCTCGTTCACGACGTTGAAGAACCGCAGCTCGTAGACACCCTTGCTCGTGCTGACCACGCGCAGCCAGTCGCGGAGCTGCTGCTTCTTGAGGAACTTCTTGGTCCTGTATTGCGCTGTTGTCAGCCCGTGTCCTTCCAGATACAACTTTCCCAAGCGTTCGAAAGCCTTATTCTTTAGGTGCGCACTTACAAGTACTTCAAATACCGTCCCGAAAATGGAATATGCGTGACAACCTCAATCTTGCCATCGCCGACCTGCTTGATCTCGACATCATCGCCCAAGTTGCCGGTGCGGCCCTCGACCTTGATGCGGTCGTGCAGGAACTTTTCGAACGCGCTGATGTCGAAGATCTTGTCGGACACGGGCTGCGTGCAGTTGATGGTATACTGCGCGAGACGTCAGCCGGGCGCCTGCGGAGGAGTGAAGGAGGAATGGAACATACCTTGCTAGTGACCTTGGTCTTCGCGCCTTTCTTCGAGGACTACGAAAAGAAATGCCTTAGCCTACTGCTCTGACCAATTTTTCCAAGAGGTCGTGGGTGGCAGCAAAGCGGTGCGGCGCACTTACCTGAGTGGGAGCCATTGTGTGTGGTTGGGTTGGGTCGCAAAGAGGTTGGTATCCTGCGCCTCTGAAGGGTTTGTGATGTGATGAAAGGAGCGAGGAAAGCTCGTTGTCTCCAGAGGGAAAAGTTGAGGCCACAAAGATGGAGGATTGAGCGCATGCAATGGTGGAGCTGTGTGCCAAGATTTCGGAGAAGGCTGCGGCAGAGCCTTGGCGCGAGTCGCGGTTTCCTGCTTCAAATTGTTTGTTCTTGCTTACCTTGATTTCTTCATGTCATTGACTTCATCTCATCCTTTGCGTGATATGCGGAAGGCCTCGGGATCCATGAATAACTTATGCTTTGTCGCCACGGCTTTTCGTTGCATGTGCCTGTGCAGAGGCAAGTCACCGCACCGAATTGGGTAAATATATGAAAACATGGCACCTGGTTCGAGACGTACAAGCAATATTTGACGACATGCCGGACGACGGCTGTGATGCCTGAATGTCCTCATAACGTCAAAGCTGACATCTTTTGAGATGCAGCCGATGTATCTACTTCATTTTTGATCATCACCCATCCCCTTCATGATCCACCCACTCGCCTTCTTCGCATACTCTTCGGCAAACTTTGGATCTTTCATCTTTTCCTTGACATTCAGCGTTTTCGGAATATCCTTGCCCTTGTTGATTGCAGGACGAGCTGTCATCATCGCCTCCCAGGCCTTGACGTTCGGGAACTCCTCGATATCGACACCAGCCCAACCAGCCCAGTATACCCAACCGTAACAGGCAAAGTCAGCCAGCGAGATCTGGAACAGTGTCAGAGGACGACGCTTCAGGACTTGGGCGCGGCTTCTTACATGATCGCCAACGATGAAGCCAGACTTGCTCTTGCCGAGCTGCGTGTCCAGGCAACGATACAACCGGCGAGACTCGTTGATGTACCGGTCGATGCCATACTTGATCTTTTCTGGCGCATATCGGAAGAAGTGATTCGCCTGACCTTGCATGGGTCCCAGGCCTGCGATGGTCGCATCAGATCAGTCATTGTTATTTCAGGGATGCGTAGGTGTTCCAGATCAAGAGGTGCTAGGTTAATGTATGGGCCTTACCTCCGTGTTGCCAATACACCCAGTTTGCGGTCTCGAAGTATTCCTTGCTGCCTCTCGGATAGCTGATCTTGTGGTCTTTGTCATACCGCTCAGCGAGATACTGCAGGATACTACCGCCCTCGAAGAGGTTTATGGGTGTGCCATCCTCCAATTTGTCGGTTAAGGCGGGAATCCTGCCGTTAGGGTTGATGTCCAAAAACCATTGCTCCTTCTGAGCATTCGTCGAAATGTCGAGATGCTTGACCGTGTAAGGAATGCCGAGCTCTTCCAGGGCAATGGTGATTTTGATGCCGTTAGGAGTAGCATCGGTATAGAGGACGAGATTCGATTCAGTAGCCATGTTGCTAGTTTGGGATGGCCTGCTGGATACGTGTGAGGCGTACTGTGCAAGACGAGTTTTTGGTGAATTGCTCGTTGTCATGAGAGCATGAATGGTCAAAATATACTACTCCCTCGCGTATCCGGTAGTGTGTGACGTCGCTGTCCGCCAATTACGTGCTCTGCACCTTCCGAGTTTTGTTTACGGAATCGAAGGTGGTTTTATTTCGCAGATTCTTAACACCTGCAAGATGTTCCGCTATCGTTACAAATGCAAAGGTCTGGCCGGACGAAGCTTGGTCCTTGGATGTACGCGCATACCCGTGCCATCCAATTCGTTGTAAGCCGATGGCGTTGTCGATGCATCTGGCAGCAGAGCCGCAGAACCGAGATGCGGAGAAAAAAGTGCAGATTGACGCAATTGTTCCTGTTTCTCCAACGTATGTCTGCCGGCTTTAACACCAGCAAAGTCCTGAACACGGACGACTCGTCGATGTGCTTTCGATCGTCCGTGAGGACTGGAGCAAGACACTGGCTATGACAAGTGCAACACCACAGAGATTGGCTCTAGTCTGACGACCTTGGCATAGTCGGGACACAATGCGGTAGCATCAGGGACGCGGGCCCTGCCCCGGGAGAGACCTGCTTGGAACATCGCAGCTATGCCTCCGGCATCAAGAGGGCTGCAGCTGGCTCTACGACATTGCTCACCATACAAGCCACTACGACAATTTCAGACGCAGAGTCGTGTCAGAAGCAGCTACGTGCCTCCTACACCGAGGCCCATACCCAAGGCCAGACCCAAGGCATCAGTATGGAGCAGAGTACAACAATTAGAGATGCGACAGCTCTGGAAAGAGCTCTGGAGGAACTTTCGTGAAGCACGAATATGGGCACCCTTCCGAGCCATTTCACGCCAGATACACAAAATACCAGCACCATACCGACGGTTCATAGGCAACGTCCTCAAGTTCCTGCCCATAATCTCAGTCGCGATCATCCACTTTCCCTACCAAGTCATGCACACCAATGGCAGCTCCATGTCTCCATTTCTCAACCCGAACAACACGCCCGACCTGCCCGAGACGAAAGACAAGCTCCTCATCAAGAAGCTCGGCATGGAGAACCTCGGCTTCTTCCGCATGAAGTACACACCGGACGGCACAATCAGACGAGGCGAGATTGTCGTCTTCACCACGCCGCACGACCCGACCAAAATCGCAGTGAAACGCGTCGTCGGTCTGCCAGGTGACATCGTCACGCCCCTGTCGGGTTTTGACGGCCCGTCCGAAGTCATTGTGCAGTACAACCATATCTGGGTGGAAGGCGACGTCGACGACCGGGAGAAGAGCCGCGACAGCAACTGGTATGGCCAGATCAGCCAGAACTTGGTCATTGGCCGCGTAGTGGCGGTGCTCGAGCCCTGGTACAGCCCGCGATGGCTGAATATCGACGAGCACAACTACCCCGCCAAGCGCAAAGGCCGGGTAGCGAATGACGCAGTGGCGGAAGCGAAACTCGATATTGACCAGCAGGCCGTGCGCAGCGTGTGGACCGCGGCCGACAACAAAATTACTGTGCTACTCGCCCAGCTGCGTGGCGCAGCGTCACGCAAGACGGTCGTGAACATGCTTATGAGGGAGCAGAAGGCGCGCACGAAAGCGGCACGGCACTACGGCGATGCGTTGGATGAAGCTATGCGCAACGACCCCAACACGCGCGCCACGGCGGTAGAAGTGGTCGAAGCTTTTGCCGCTGTCTTCGAGCAGGCCGGCCTGGACGTAGTGCTAGACGAGCACCAGAGATTGGATCTGCAGCCCAATATGGAGGCGCGTGAACGTATGAAAGAGCAGGTAGGCAGAGCCGGTATGTCGAAGAGGAGCCGGAAGAGCTGTTGCAGCGCCGGAAACAGACATTTGAGTATAGGATGGCGAAAGCGGAGAAGGAGCTGGAAGAGTACGATCAGTGGAGCTGGTGGAATCGGTACAAGCCTAGGGCTGTGCTGGCGGGTCGACTGGAGAAGAGGAAGGCGGAGTGGGAGAAGGAGGTCAAGCAACTGGAACGGAGGAATGCTTCGACGAGGGAGCTGGAGAATTTGGAGGCTGGCCACTTGGGTGCTGCTACTGGGCGGCGCGAGTAGGGGTAAAGCCGTAGAGGATGGAGAGAAGAGACGTGTACAGTATATCACCAAGTCGGACGGGAGTATCTGTGGCAAGATGATTGGTTGCATTGGAATGGCGTGACATGCATATAGCAGATCTTGAGGAAAGGTCTCGCACTGTTGCAGGTTTCTCTTTTGCCAGACGACTTTTTGGCCCCTCTCAACTTTTCATGATCTGTTCCAGATCAAGGCTTTCTTCCCACAAGCTGCTTCTAACCATCAAATATGCGTCCCCTCGTCCTGTCCACCCCGTACTCCCGCGACGACCCCGGTTTTCCGCAGCTCTTACCATCTTCACGAACACCTCCAAGAACAAAATGCACCAAGAGCCCCGTCCCATCCTCACCACTTCGCCTCCTTACTCGTCGTAAACCCTTTCAGAATCGCCACCCGTTCCTCCAGCGCCCCAACCCACCTTTCGACTTCCTCTCGCGCCTTCTCCGGCGGCACCTGGCTCCCGACCAGTTTCGCGTAGAAATCTTTCCTGTACGGCGTCGCGCTCATCGCCGCGCTGAAAATCGGCTTCACCATGAACCCGTGGTGTGGGGCTAGCGTGCCCTTGTATGCTGTGCGGAAACACTCTGCTAGCTCTGCTTTTGGTTTCTGCGCTGTTGATACGTCTGATGCTGTTGGAATAGTTGGGTTCTGTGTGAGGTCCTGCCGTAAAGCTTGTGCGGTGAAATCCAGTCCGCGGACGAGCCACAGGAGGCCTTCGGTGGCGGTATGTTTCCCTGTTGACAACTCGTATTTGCAGAGGGATTGTAGAGTGGTGGATTGTGTGGGGTTGGCGAGGTAGGCGGTGCGGATCTTTTTGATGTTGCCCGTCATGTCGGTCTTCACGGGGGTGAAGGCGACAGAGCCCAGCAGGTCGAAGAGGGAGGTGGTGGACTCGGCGGCGGAGAGGAATTTGTCTGTGTCTATACCGCCGTCTGAGATTGGGACGTCCGCGAAGTGCGTTTGGAGGGTGTCGAACCAGGTTTGGGAAGGGGCTATGGGTTTTTGGGCGGCCATAGTGGTGGATTGCGGTGACCTGGTATGAGTGTGGTGATCGTGATGGCGTGGCTTGGTGATTGAGCCTGCAACGAGTGTGTGAGGAGGGGTGAGTTGTTCAGTGGGCGGTTCGTGGAAGAAGGAGATACAAAGGATAGGTGTTCAGCACAGATGTTTCTGGATCGAGGGGTGCGGTTGGAGGAGCACTTGTTTCCCCCAACCTTGTCGCCTCCCCGCCAATTGGCAGTATGCGACTTGATCACGTGATCACGGGGTGTTTTCAAGTTTACTCCCTTGAGCGTCACGGTCGACATTCCATCCCACACAACAAGTCCGCTACTCGAACGCTGGTCTGAGTCGCTTGAGCGCTTTCGATAGGTGCCTGACGGTTCTACACCCAGACAGGATAACTGCGTATCTGTACCCCATGGGGAGAATCGAATGTGTAAGGCTGATCAACTTTGAATCGATTCAAGCCTAAGAGCAGATTACGATGACGTTTCACCTCTGCAGGACGATGATGCCAAGGCAAGAGATACGAACTTGCGCCCATGCATTGCAGTGCGAACCAGACCGCTTGACGCCGCCGCGCCGGCGAAGGTAAGGGGGTGGCTGATCTCTGCCGCCGAAGGCGTCAACTACTGCTGCGCCTCCAGCCTGATCGAGTATATCTCGTATTGTGATAAGAAACTGGCTTTAGGTTTCAGGCATTTGCGGAGATGTATATCACAGATGTCGAATGAGGAGACGGTACTTCTGCTGGGGCAGGCGGCACGCAGCTTCGAGTCAAAGCTCATTGCGGCAGTGCAATCTGTGGTGGACGATGGTAGGAACAGGGGTCTGTGCCGCCACGCCCACCTGCCTGCCTCAAAAAGCCTCGATCACCTACAATGCAGCTCATTGCTACTGCGACCTACTAGACATGCTGCGATGCAGACAGCTTTCACGACACTGACCTTGGTCAGCCTTGTAGCTCTAGCGTTCAGCGCTGACTTTGACCAATGCAAGCAGAATATACAGCAATTGCTCGCCAACGATTCGATCCAAGCTTTAGTCGACGAGTATGGTTTTGATCTACTATATCACGGAAAGCTCCTCGGGTTTGAAGGGGACGATTCTGAACGCCCTCTAACATTGACACGCGAGGGCTGTGAAGCAGCATGTGGAAGTGAACCAGAACTCCTCTCAGTCATAGAAGCATTTCAGATTCTAACTACGTGGGTGTTACCAGCTGTAGCATTGCTCAGCCAGCTGCCTTATGAGTCTCTTAGCGATCGCAAGCGACGCAACCTGGAGGCATTCTTAAATTGGTTCGGAGGCCCAGCGGCCACCTTATCCACGACACTATACAACATCTTCCTGATTCAACGATGTGCCACGCTGTCACGCGCGCACGGCGCCGGGAGGTGCAGGAGCAAGCATCCGATGCATACTACGTGTTGAGCTGCATCAATCAGTACGAGTTCCCAACGAAACCCAGGGACGAGGAGAGGCAGCGTTTTCTACGGAACACGATGGTCTTGAGAGGAACCTTGTGGCCGCTTCTTGAAGACCAAGAAATCCACGAGACACAGCGCCATCAACTGCACATTCTGACGGCAAATCTGGCATACCAGCTTCGGCTGCAGCGCCGCAAGGCAGTATGGCCGGTGGCTGTAAGCATCATCTGGTTCCTGATCGCATTCATCATCTCGGTTGTAACAGCTTTCGCTGATCTCGGCGACAATACCAAGGCGCATTCACTCGCTCTGGGACTCCTTCTCAGCTGGCTACCTGTCATTGTGGTTACTAGCATCGTTGATCGTAATCCAGTCTCCGCGACAAGATGTGCGACATTGATTCAACGCTGGTTATACAACGTTTCCGCTGTGGTACCTGTCACTATCGCACCGTCAGTGCCCCTATGGACACAATCAATTGAGGAGGCGCTCGAGAAGCCTATGGACCAATTCGACATCGGAGCCTTCGTCGGTCAAGGACGGCGCCTACGCTACTGTGGCATTGTCAACGGGGTCCTCGATAAGATCAAGTACGAGGATGAAAAGCATCTCCGTCTTGCCGATCTGACAGCCAACGCCACACCCAACAGCTTCGAAGCCTGTATCAGAAGCCGGCCGCGATCGTGGTATATTATCTGGCTGCTTAGCCAGGCAATTGTCATCATGGCTTTCTCCATGGCATTCGAGGTATCCTTCAACACACCAACTATCGGTTTCGGTTGTCGCTCACTAGCATACTTCATTTGGTTTTTGGTCAGCAGTGTCTCTTGGGTCATCTTGGGCATCTGGCAAGAACCATCTGATCTTCTCCGCTGTATAAGTTGGTTCACGAACGGGTTTAGTGCCCTCGCTCTTTTCACGATCATGATGCTGCAGCTCACGAATGGGCTTAACAGTTGTCTTTGCAAAGTTAGCGTATTTGGCAGCAGAACCTACGGTGGCTACATGGACTTTGAGAACGGAGAATTCTACCATCGGCACTATCATGTGCAAAAATACTGGATTCCTGCATCTGTGTTTGGACTGTTGAGCTGTTCTGCACCCATCTTCTGGGCGGTAAGGAGATGGAGCAAAAGTTCGAGTCTGTGGAAAGTGAGTGAAGATTTGCTACTAGAACAAATGGAAGGCCTGAAGTTGGATTGGTTGACCTGAGGAAGATCCGAAGAAAGGCATATAGATCATCACGAGTGCACTGAATCCAGCCGAGTGTATAACATCCATAGATGAAATGCATGAATGATGCGATCTTACTTTTAGATTGACTGGGCATATATCTCCTGCGAATCATATGATTAGTCGACGACAGTACACTCATGACACCTTGCAAGCGTATCGTCCGCTTTGCGAAAGCGGAACATGAACATGAAGTCGACATTGACGTGCTTCCATACACACATGGCATGGATGTCAGACTGAACATTGGAAACCCAAAGACGTTGTGATGAGTGAGAGAGACCAATACTAGTACCTAATTTTCGTGGTGGTGTCGAGGCCGGCACAGGTTGGGGCACCGCTTTTTTGTACATGTAGATTGGGGCTGCCTGGCGACGTCATTTTGAATTTCCCTGCAAGCGCGTAGGGAAGAAACTCGAGCAAGAGCGAGACACTCAAGATGAATTGACGGTGGAAAGAGCCAACGCGCGTCGCGTATTCTCACATTGCATTTCGCTACACTGTAGACTTAACGATGAATCTATACACTTGACCATATCGTCTGGCGGGCTGCAGACCTTAACATGGCGGACGACATATCGTACACGTCCCATCGTCTCAAGCATGCCTCGCCCGAGCACCTTCACCTGACTATGCGACGCTTCTTCATCGGCCCTATACCCGAGGGCTGGCTCAAGGACAACAGGAAATCATGGTACAAACGACGCCTCGAGCTGAGCAACTACACCTCTCGCACCGCCTCGTTCTCGGCTGCGCAAGATCAGGGTCAACCGCATCGACGGTCGATGTCAATAGCTGATCCCGGCGGACCTTCAACAGCTGCGAGAGTCAACTTCAGCTTTCCGCAGCCTGAAGATGTCGATGATCCGGAGCCTGCTGAGCAGGGTGCGTCTGATGAAGAGACTGAGGTCGAGGCATCGGACGAGGACACTGATGGTGAACGCGAGTTGAGGCAAGTAGAGCTGGTGTCTACACATGATGCACAGCAGGCGCTAAGTCCCGTCTCTTCGGGGATAGTATCGCCCAAAGCCATGCCAATATCGAGGGACAAGAGGCTTCAGAATACTAAGAGTGCTTCGGAACATCCCATAGGATCCGCAGACAAGTCAGTGGCTTCAAAACAGGAGAGCTTTCACACAGCTCAGCAGAGAATCGGATCGTCATCGACAGCCGAGGGGCCTGTGGTCGATCGTCAAGAGTCTGGTCCATCTGTCGTGGTAGATGAACCTAGTCGAGACGATAGTGACGGTACACGGTTCTCTTCGTCGATCAGAGAATCAGCATACACAGACGGTGCATCTCCAGAGACGGACAATGGCTCAAAAACAGAACTCCTGCGGCGAGACAAAGACGCTGCTGCTCAGCGCACCGGCAGCCCAGCTCGACCAATCAGTCCCAAGTCCGCGATGCGACCAATGCAAGACCATGATCCGTCACCGTTTATAGGAAATGGAGACCAGCCCAGAATGCAACTCCAGCGTAGTAGTACTGGCGTTCGCTTCAAGGTGTCGGAAGGCATCACCAACCGGCAGGCTCGAGTCCATCGACGTGTTGACAGCACGCGCAAACGCGTCACTGGCCACAGACGCAATACACTGAGAGAAGGCACCATCGTCAAAATGGAGCGTATGCTCGTCCGTATAGACATTACTACCCAGCAGCCGCCTGACACTCTGGACGAGAACGAAAGCTTGAAAGTCGAGACACGCATGCTTGAGAAGTGGCGAGAGTTCATGGTGGTCGTGCGGAAGAGTGGAGTGTCTGATGCCGATGATTTCCGACTTCAGATATATCAAACACGAGTCATACCTGAAATCGAGAATGAGTCTACACGCAAGAAGCCGTCAAGAGAAGTGAGGCTGGATCCGAAGACTACCCGTGTGAACCTATACTCGTCGCTTGACAAATCGGTCGTGGTGTGGCATCCCTACAGGAAGGGTACAAGAATCGTCATTATGAAGGCTTCTTCTACTGCTCACTCGGTTGAGTGGTACACATTCCTCCGGGATGCAATGGGCTGGAAGCGCCCAGCAACATTACAAGTCAATGTGCCTGATCTCGACGTGCAGCTACATCTCGACAAGCCGTTTGAGGAACTCACAAAAGCCATACAAGGCGCAGAAGATGAGAACACTGCACTCGTGAACACCCTCAAGGCCGAGCAGGCTGTTGCTGGCAAGATCGTTGAAAAGTGTCTCGCAATGCTCGGTCATGACCCTGAGTGGTCCGACATTCTGGACCGCTGGAAAAAGACCGCGCAAATCGGGTTGGCGTGGAAGCGATATGATCGACTTGAGTGGGTACACGGCGTGTCGGAACAGAAGATGTATGGCTCGATGGCGATGCAAAAGACACACGAGCTCGAGCTGAGGCCAAAAGAGCACTATGCAACGTCAGCCCGAGGAAAAAAAGGCGTGGTACATGAAGAGCCTGCGCCGGTGGAAGGCTTCCTGATCAGACTGACCTCGCAGAAGGGAGTGCATCAGCGCATGGGCAAAACATTCCACAAGCGCCTGTACTATTATACGCAGAATCAATTTCTGTTCTTCAATCAGCCGGCCAAAGCGACGCCACCACATCCGCCGAGGTTGTCTACGATAAGCGGCTCGAATATACCGACTGCGAGCGAAATCATCGAGAAGACGCCGGAGACATTCGATGTTCAGCCATATGAAGTTGATGAGCAGGGCAAGATCAAGTGGATGTCGAGAGATCATCAAACAGTCAAGCGACACGACCTTGAGGCTGTAGAAGAAGCACGACGGAACATCGCCAACACTGAAGCTGCAGAAGCTACATCAATCTTTGCCGCATTCGCAAGGTTCGGAAGATGAAATGGGGCGCACAGCCTGGCGATGAGAATCGAAACATAGGCGAGGATTCTGACGTGGATTTCCACAATGACGTTGACTCGTCAGACGACGAAGATGGCACAACATCCGCAATTGACGACAAGCGTACGCTCGAGCTGGTCCACGATAATGGCCTCACTATTCGATTGCAGGCCCACAGCAAGGAAGCCCGCAACGAATGGATCACACGCCTGAAGAGTCTAGTCAAGTACTGGAAACTGCGCGCGACCTCTGACATGGAGCTTTACAAAGCCGTTCGACGCGCCAACCTGTCCAATCTCAATATTGACGAAGAAATGGAGGCCTTCGTGGGCCAGTTCGGCCGCAAATGGGAAGTCTCTCGCAGTGAAGCCAGCCCGGAACTTTACCACATGTGCGGCATAGCCAGCTGCCGCACCGTCCTGCTTTCGGGCATCCTCTTCCGTAAAGCCCGTCGGCGTGCCACCTTCCAACGCTGCTCGGTCTTGCTTTCGGCGGGCGGGAAGCTGCTGATACACCAGGCAACAATGCGCAAACGTACTGGTAAGGAGATCCGGCATCTGCATCAGGAACGGCAGGAGGTTGTGGACCTGAGCGAGTGCTATGTGTACAGTGGCTTCCTGGTCGAGGAAGATCTGCTATATTCGAACCAAACCTTTGATGCGAACAACGTATCCTCGGGCGGCGCACGTACGCCGCGGGTGTACCTTGACACTGTAACAGGCGAGGCATCGACGAGCCAGGATGTTGATGTGATGACTTGTTTTGTGCTGTGGCGTAACACGAGACGTGGCTGGTTTCGTACTGCCGCAGGTCTTGGTGGTGCTGGTACCTCTCAAGAGCAAGGAGAGAAGAACGGGAAAAGAGCGCGGATCAAGAGGGTGGCACAGCTGGGCGTACCGGGAAGGGGAATGGTGTTCAAGTGCAGGAGTCGGGCGGAGAGAGACCATTGGGTGCTGAGCATTAACGCGGAGATTGAGAGGGCTGTGGAGGGGAGGGTTAGGGGCTTGGAGGGGCTAAGTGCGGAGGCACGGGTTGAGTCGTAGGTGCTGTACGCTGGCGGAAAGCCATGCTGGTAGGAGGACCTTCCATCTCGCGTCATCGGTTCCAGATAAATTCTTTTGCCGTCCTCAAGATCCCTTCGTCATTCTAGCACTTGCCTTGAACACTCCGGGCGAGCAGCTGACACAAAAGCAAGCGTGGGGGAGGAACTCGCCCCACTAGAAAGCAGCGAAGGCTCTCGTAGCATAGCAATGTACCATGCGCATTTCGGATATTTGTGAGACAGGAAGGAAGATGATTAAGAGGGCAACGTGGATACTTATACTTCTTTCGAAGGAGTGGAAGTCCGGTGCAAAGCGAAGTTATCACTGCTCTCATTCGACCAGGGAACATTCACTGCTCTTTGCGTGACTCAGGTCAACTCTTGCTTGTGGATACTCAATCGGATAGGCCATCAGTAGGGTCATATTGTCTCTCATGAAACTCACATGTCTCTTGGTCTCTCGAGCGAGATAGGAAACAACTCAGGCATCGAACCATTATACATACTGGACGACCGGCTCCATCGTCGTGTACTATTACATAGCCAACACAAGCCCTGCAACCATCGCATTACCTCAAACAACCACGATCTCAGTATCCGCTTCCCTGGCCATGACCGCCCCAAAGACCTTCGTATCATTTACACAGAAATACCCTAACCGCTCAGCAAGCTGCCCATCCTCGCCTGCTTCCAACTTCGCAACGAGAACAAGGCCGTGATACTCGTACACTTCATCCGCATACCCCGTACGCGAATCCCACGCTGCGCGCCTCCGCTGTAGTCCGACAAGCGGCAACAGTCCAATTTCGAAGCTTGGACCCGAACGACGTAATTTTGCAGTGAACTCCTCCATATCGTCCATATAGCACTGCACTTCACATCGTAGCACGCGATGCTTTGCCACGCTGGCGGAATTGCGGATGAACCTCCGGATCATTTTGGGGCGGACCTCGCTCGAATGCAGCCGTATAGATGAGGGCAGCTTCCCAGCCTCGATCTCGTCTGCGGACGGCCACTGAATATCCCTCTCGTGGATAAGTTTTCCGACGAGGCGGATGCTCCGCCATTGACCTGTCCCCAAGGCGCGTCCGCAAACACGGGTTCCGTGGCCGCGAAGGACGGTTCAGCGAGGTGCACGCCGTCTGTTTTGGCGCCCCAGGATTGGTAGATGCTGGCGTTGATGAGGCCGTTGATGGATGCCCAGCTCCACGAAGGCGCGCGGAGGTCGCCGGTGATGCGCTGGGATGGTAGACCGCTGGTCTGGCGGCCGTTGGCCACGTGCCAGAGGAGGCATGGGATGAGGTCGTACTTCCATAGGCCGGCGAGGTAGTCTGTTGCGGGCCGGCACGCGGACCTTTCGTCATGGTGGACGAAGAGGGTCTCGGAGGCTATGGCACCACGAGCGCGGGGCACGGCGATGGTGCGTAGGTACTCGACAACGTCGACTTGGGATTCGGTTAGGTAGGCTGGGGCGAGGCCGAATGAGCGGGCTAGGCCGGAGATTGCGACGAGTTTGTCCGTTTCCCGCGTCAGTGAGCAAGCTGAGTAGAGCTCGGCGAGGTAGAACCAACCGAAGAGGTCGCGGTGGCAGGTGAGAGAGGGAAATGATGGGAGCGGAAGTTTGTCTTCCTTCAGTGGGGAGATAATACGGGATGTGAGACTGCGGGTGGGAGTCTTGGGCTCGAAGACTGTTGGTGAGCGCGCTAGTGTGGTTGCTGCGCGGGCTAGGGTCTGAGGTATGTTCTTTGGGAGGCCTTCTGGAAATGTTTCGCACGCGAGCTTCTCGCGACACTCCCAGAAGACTTGGTCTGGGCCGAAGTGGACGATACGGTGGGAGAACAGTCGCTCCTGGAGGACCCAGCCACGTCTGTTTATCGGGTTGCCGATGAGCTCGTCACGGGCGAAGTCCTCTTCCACGATGAAGTGCGTTCCTTTGATGGTGACAGGCGGTAGCTCGCGTGAGCTCGAGCGCGGCCTCGGTCGAGGAACCTCTCGGTCGATTTCTACCCGGTATGGCTCGATATCGCGGTGACTGGGCGTTTTGAAGAGACCGTATGGTCCGGCGTCCGTATCACGACCCGCTTGGATGTTCAAAAAGGCATGTCGATAGACCTCTCCCATACGTGCTGCTTCCTTTTGCCAATCCTCGACCCAGCCTTCTCCTATTTGCAATATGCACAGACTGTCGATCCACAAGTATCGAAGTTGCAAGGCGCGAGCGACCTCGACGGCGTCTCGAAACGTCCTTGTGAGGAGCGATGGATCAATGTTTTGTTCCCACTGTGGCAGCACTTCCGCATTCAAACGCGGCATAGTATCGGGTTTGACGCTCCATCGATGCGTCAGTGATGCATAATGCTGGTCCATACGGTCTCCTGGGCTGCAGTCAAGTCGGATCTTGCCATTTTGGAGATCTAGTAGGCGCGTCGGATGGAACTTGTGGTCTCGATGACCAGTGTCTTTGCCCTGATCTCCGGTGCGGCACTGCTCATGGCTTTCTGTACAGGCCGAGTACCAGCCCTGTACAAGCCGTTGGATACGTTTTGTCCACATCGAATAGGTGTGAATGTGATCGTGATCACTCCTCCAATCTCGTGACTGAAATGCCGTTTCAGGCGAGATAGGAGAAACCAGGTCGTGGTCTGATGGTGTTTCATCGGGCTCATCTGGGCATTCTTCGACAACTGGCAAAATCCGGAATACGACTTTCTTCCATACAGGGTTGTTACCGAACTGGAAGCATATACCAAAATCGTCCTTGTTGAACCATACCGGCGACCACGAATAGAAGGCCTGCGGTTGCCTCCACAAACTTGAAACACCTTGCATCACACGATGCACCCAGGGATTCCGCCATGTGCTTTCAAGAACCTGCCTCTGATCCTTGGACAATTTGCGCCAGATGATGGTACAGATGTGGCAACCTTCTGAAGCTGCTTGAGCAAGTCCAGATGGGGACCCGTGGTGCATGTAAGCCGGAATAGCGATGCCGCGTGTTGTTGTGTAGTACCATGGCCTGTCACTGCCCTTGAAGGCAGTAGCGCATGCCGAGCAGAGCATAGCACAAGGTTACGGCCGATTGGTCGCGCGTCCCACGCATTGATCGGAAAAGCTGACAATGCACGATCTGAGTTCGAGACTTCCTTCCTTCATTTCGCGATATCGTTTGCAGAGCACACTGCGGCCTTGCCTATCTCCTTTCGATGGAATTGAGAAGCTGCTGTGATGTACAAGGCGCGGTAGTTCGTAGGGAGGTTTCACACAGAGCTCGGGCTATCCCGCATAACCGGTCTCTTAGCGCGAACCATGCCAAGACATGAGCTCCTTCCTGCTACGGTCACTACGATGACGACCCAGCATCCTTCGCACATTCAAGGCTTTCGAGGGAGTACAATTGCTGCCACCGTTGGCCATATGATGCACGACTCCAAATTTAGCCATAAATGACAATTTCGATATCCTTTTCAATCGTTTCTGCGGATGTGATTACTTTCAATGACAGCCAATCAAGAGCGTGGCTTCACGCCAGGGGCCGGGCCTTCAACGTCACGGCTTCCCGGTTCTTACCTCAGCGTTGGGAACTTGACGATAAACATATCTGGTGTCAAAATCTGTCTTCATTGTGCACAGATATATCTATCGGAATCGTCCATACCCTCGAAGGCGACATTTGCTGGAGAGTTCCCTTGCAACCAACGTATCCTTATCACAAAAGCACTCACAAGGCGAGGAAATGGCCCCTAACAAGCCAGTGAAAGTACACAGTCCTGATGGACTTCAAATGCCCATGTTCAGTCAAGCGATAGAATACAATGGTCTTGTAAGCGTTTCGATATCACGGTCGATGTTCTGCTCGGAATCTTCCAGTATGGCCTGCGAGGCACATGGGCATCCGGCTTGACGGTTCTGTCTTCACCTAGCTGATCGCGGATAGGTCTACGTCTCTGGCAACATCGGCTATGATAACAAGACGGTGAGCTGAATCCGATAGAAGATGAGATTGAGCTTTACGAGTGGCTGGATTTGTCTCTCGAATCCGGGATACTGTACTCAAAAGCAGACTAGTGCTGATATGCTCCTCACCAGCTAACACCCGTCGGCGTCGGCGTTGCCGACCACACTCGACAGATCTTGAAGAACATCCAGATTGTCCTACGTGCGGCCGGCTGCTCCAAACCGAGTGGTGGACTGAGCAACATCATCAAGGCGAACGTCTTCTTGACAGACATGAAGGACTTCAGCGCTCTGAACGGAGCATGGGTGGAAGTTCTCACCGCAGCACAAAAGGAAGACGGACTCATTGGAGAAGGCCAGGAGGCTGTCATGCCGGCTAGGACGTGTGTCCAGGTTGCGGCGCTGCCATTTGGAACGGATGTGAGTACCGAGTCTCCTTGATTTCATCATCCCATCGGACGGTGATGGCGCTGTGCTTATTCTGGCAGTCTTTGAATTTGCCAAGACTCGATGTGCCACCAATGCTGACTGTGTGTACTGAAGGTCGAGATCGAATGTATCGCACATCTAGATTAGCAAGTCTGAAGCCGATGAGCGAAGGACCGCGACCTTTGCGAAGTGTATATTCAGCTCCCACATTTTGTGCTTCTCATCACGGTGCATTGCTCAACGGGCTGCCTCAGCTCTCCTAGCCGTGTCAGAGTCGTATAGTGAGAACGGACACTCGCAGTCAAAAATCACTTGCCCGGTCGCCCACAGCAACAAACACAGATTCTTGGCACTTGACTCACGTGCATTATATATTACTCTTCCACGATTTCTGCCCGACAATCGACCACGAATCGATAGGAACGAGAATGCCGAGGCCCTTCACTTCGGTGTAGTGTACTTGATAGGCGAGCAGTAGGGTTCTCTGACTGTACTTGGTGACTGGTCGGTTGTCTTTTTTGCTTTTTGGAGCTCTCACGCTGTTGTTAGTAGAGTAATGGCGTCGATCGTCGAGGCAGGTTGCGCGGATGGTGAGGAGACGAGGTGTTACTGAAAAGATGACAATAGCTGGATTTACTGAACCGTCAAGGGCGACGGAGTGTTCCTCACACCCATCAGCGTCGCAGAGTCCTCCTTAGCTCTCCTACATGATTAACGGTTGATTCAAGTCGATTTCCCACCCTACACTCAACTGCGGCACTTGATCATACCGACTCGACCTCAGACTGAACCTCGTCTCCTGCAGCGTCGCCATGTAGCTCTCACCCGCTCCCTTCCTCATACTCTCCAGAAACGCCCAAGTCATAGCGCCTGATGCCCTCCCACCAATATTCGCATCCGCACTCGTCTGGTCATCCCGACAGCCCGAGAACATCGTCACTGTCTTCCTCTCGCCTGCATAATCGCCCTGATAGTCACTTCCACCGAGCCCTTCGGGATCGTTGCGATGCTGCCACGAGCGGAAGAAGTTCGTTGCGCCGGCGTAGAGATCTTTCGCTTCCGCAAGCTTGTACGCGGAGAAGGGACCGGAAAGAATGTCAGCGCCTTCAGCGAAGAGCTTGACGCCCTCTTTGAGGTTGTCGAGCATAGAGATGTTGCCGTCGTCGTCGGATTTGTATACGTACGGAAGCTCCAAGGCGGATCCGCTGTGGCAGCAGTCGAGGATCACGAAGAGCGTGCTGTTGGGTGGCAGATTAGAGATTAGATGTTTGTGTAGAAAGTCGCTGCTGATCTGACCTGTTTCCTCGTAGTCTACAGGTACGATTGTGTCGAGGAGGCCTGTGGGATGTCGACCTGTTGGATCCTCAACTTGTCCGCCATGTCCTGAATAGTGAAGGAAGTTGCATGTTCCCGGCTCAGAGACCAGCCAGTCCATGGCTCGGATGATGTTCTGGCCGGTGGGCATCTGCATGCCTGGTCGGTCGTCGCGTAGAACAACCTGGTCCTCTGGTCTGTATCCTCGATAAGAGAGAAAATCGGCTACGTTCTCGATGTCTTGGTGACAGCCATGAAGTTCGTGCTGGCTGCCTGTATAGTTGATGCCGATGAGGAGAGATCGTTTCCGTCGGTTGCCATGGCCAGACATGGTGGTGGCTATTGAGTACAGGCGTTACTTGAACGATGGTACCCACCGGCAAGTTGCTTCCGCGCGAGAAAAGCGGTCAGAGCAGATAAGCGAGCGCTGAGATTGAAATGAAGCACCCCAAAATCTTCGATATGGAACGCAAGAAGTTCATCAGTGTTCAGCAAGTCACTGATCAAGGACAGAGGGTGACGCAAGCTAGTAGTACGATGTAAGCTAAGAACGTCGGATAGAGTTAAGCTCAAGGTTCTCTTGGCGTCGTCTTGTTCAGCATTCATCAGGTTCTGCCTTCTTCAACTGCCTCAGTGCTTCGAACCTAACCTCATTGCTTCTCATTCTCTGCAAAGAAGAAATTTGCCCCCACGATGTTTAGATTGTTCTCTTTGGCCCAGTCTCTCACGCCGTGCCTTGGCTTGCCGTAGCCCCAGTGTTGACGGTCCTTGGGCTCGCTTGCTGCGGCGTCCTTATCGCCTTCCAAGAGCACGAAAACGTAGCGATGCGGTCCGGTCTTGGGTGGTGGACCAGGTGGCTTATAGCCCTTGAGCTCGCCTGTCTGCTTGAGCGCATACGCATTACCGCGTGGACCATCAACAGATATTTTGGTGATATTGATCAGCCAATGGCACATCTCGCTCCATTTCGGGTTCATGCGAGATTTGGCGTCGGGATCAGTCAATGCAATGATGAAAGTCTTGTTCGTTGACAAAGCAGCCGGATTTATGGAACGGAAAGTGAAGGTCGGCCGATGCTGGACATGCTTGACGGGGATGTCGTTGCCGAGAGAGACCACCTCGTGATGCTTGGGATAGACAATGTCGAGAGCGTACGAAGGCTCGAAGTCATCCAGAACATCCCCAATGATCTCGTTGTCCTTGAGCGTGTCTCGTATAGTGTTGGCAACGCCTACATCGGTGTTGATGGGGCTCTGTAAATCTCTGCTGACAACGCTGTCGGTGAGCAGTGCTGCAGTGAGTACGAGCAAAGGATACAGCATCATTGTGAGGGACGTGCTGCTGTATCGTGCTATCTTGTCCTCGAAGAACGAAGCAGTTTGGTCCTGGTTTGGGAAGTCATGAAAGCTAAGTTCCCCACAGGACATTTCGTCATTGCGGAGCTGTTCCGGAAATTGTATCCGTCAGAAATATTCAAGGTTGACGCGTTTCGTGCGCCGTGGACTCGTGGTCCTTTCCTGCCGATAACCTTCTGCCGATGTAGACCGTCACCAAGGGGCGCTCGAGCCATCAGTATCGTTGAATCCATCTAGACTGGCAAGCTTGCTCGTCTATGTCCAGCTCGTCATGGCAACTCCCGTCGTCTGAAGATTTCACTGTTCGCTCAAGCTCAAATGCTGGCCGTGGTGTCTTTGCCCTTCGAGATTTGCAAGCAGGCACACATCTCCTAGCCACTTCACCCATACTCTCGCCTACATCTTATGTGATTCTCCGGGCTTATCGGCGCGAAGTATGCGCGTGGTGCTTTGCCTACGATCGTGGGCGAGATTGGAAGATTCGACTATCAAACACGGCATTGGCATTTTGCAAGGAGGACTGTCGGGATGAGTGGCTTGACCTATATGGCAATGGAGCGCTCGCCGCTCATCAAGCCCTGGAAACGGCGGTCCAGAGGACCCTCAAAGATCGAAATGATGCAGAAATGACGGAGACGGAGACCTTCTACTCTGCGGACGTGGCTCGACAGAAATGGGAACAGGCTGCTCGTGTCAGTGACGAGCTGCGCTTGGCTCGCGAGGCACCAAAGCTGTCTAAATCACAGAGGCAGCTTCTTCGTCAGCATTCAGAGGTCAAGTCGATTGAGCCTGACATCATCGCCTATCTCCTGTCCACAGGCCTGGTCCGTCATTCTACAACTGCAACCTCTGCACTGATGGAGCTTGCGCCGAATGACAAGGTCTACGAGTCCGCAAGCTTAGATGAACATGTCCGCGCCTTCCACCTCTTGACAGCAATTTTGCCCATGGAGATGCTGTCTAGCATCAGCGCGTCACTTTGCACAGAATACGTCTCTCGTGCCAGCCACAACGCTTTCTCCATTCGACCGACGGCAGATGGCGATCACAGTGGCGAGTTTCTCGGATATGGTGTCTGGCCAGAAGCAAGCTTCTTCAACCACTCGTGCAACCCAAATGTGAGGAAAGTAAGGAATGGAAGGCAGTGGTCATTCACTGTGGCGAGGGACGTGGAGCAAGGCGAGGAGTTGTGCATCACGTATCTCGGTGGTGAAGAAAAGGAATTAGATGTCGTGGAGAGAAGGAAGAGACTACAGACCGAGTGGGGCTTCATGTGTGGCTGCGAGAGATGCCAGAAGGAAAGCGCTACGAACGGGGTCAACAGGAAAGCAGATGACTGAAGGGATGAATAGGTCCCCGATTGGCATGACCAACGTTGCGACAGTCTATGACTGCCGCATCAATCTTTTCGAATTGAATTTGAGCTGACAGTCATTGCACTTTTGAAATGGACCGGCCTTGGCGTAATGGTTCATTTTGGCTCACTAACGTGGTGGCTTCTAAAGGTCGAAAGAGCCAAAAGGCAACACACGTGGGATATCACTGCCACAGCTGATATGCCAAAAGCAAAAAGCCAACCACATCACAACAAAGATCTGAGAACCATACTCCGCGCCTAGTTAAAGTACACTTCGGGGTCAGCGAAGGGTTTCTGCGAACTCATTTCATGTCGATCTGTGGTCGGCTTCTCGAACAAATTGTTCGACAATAAAATATATACTTTCAGTCAGTCACCTTGACAACTGACTACACAACAAACTGCAATTCCCCTGGGAGAACTATAGGGTTGGACTCGTTCATAACGGCGACGAACAGACTGAAAAGGTCAAGGCTACAGTGGATATCATGAAAGGACCTCTATCTATGAAAGTCTTAACCCTCCTGCCTTGATATGCCTACAGAGTGCTCCCGCATCGTCGAAAAAGCAATGACATGTCTGCCCCCAGCAAACCCAACCACCGATATCAGCCATGATGATGCTTATCCAGCTGCGTCGTATTTTCATCCATAACCTGATACGCTGTCTGCATGGTACTCGTATGCTGTAGTCGCGGAGGCCGCTGCAGTTCATCGGTAGCCTGTTCTTCGGCTTCTATCTGCTGTTGCTCCTCGGGGTGTTTGTCTTCGAACAAGTCACTGATTGACCCCTTCCCAGTGGCTCGCTGGTAGATAGCAAAAGTCGTGGCAAACTCCTTGTGCGCGCCGATTTGGATGGCCTGCAGAAGGTTCAGGGCGAAGTTCTGACAGTTGTTGCTGATCAGGTTGTAGGCCGGTCGAGCCTCGCGCATCTTGTGGATTGTCATTTCGGCTCGAACAGCAAGTCAGTAAAGCGAGATATATGTCGAGGAGGAGCGTTGCTCACAAGCTTGCCGCAAGGCTTCATCGCTGAACCTCGTTTTGCCAACGTCAAAAGTGTGCCAGTCCGACGCAATAAGCCTCTGGTTGGTGTAAATGATGTCCAGTGACTCGTCCTGACAAAGTCGAATGAGCTACGTCGCTTACTCCACGATATAGAATCACTCACCATCCACAATTGATGGACGTAGTCTCCCACAAGAACAGCCCAATGTTGTGTAGGATCAGCTAATTTCTCGGTCAATCGTGTTGTCCATTAGGCATCACGCGGAATAGGGTACATGATGGCCATCCGGGTTCAACTTGAAGACACAGAAATACGTACGATATGACTTGATCTTCTCGGTGATCATCTTTCCAAGGCCAGTCTGCTCAGCGAACCATTTCCCGCCGAATCCTGCGACCGGATGCCAGCCAATCTGGACTGGCCGCAGCTCGCCACTGATCGAAGCCTCCCCTGCCGGTATCACGTTTGGCTGATGGCCAAGACCCGCCGAGTGCTGGAGGAATATTTTGCCCTTCAAAGCCTGATCTTTGCTGCGAGGCTCAGTTGAAGATCGGAAGTGCAACAGATGTCCTTACAGAAAGCTCCCTACGATCTCGCGTTTGGACTTATGCTCCTCCTGTTCTTCGGGCTGTTCCTCAGGCTGTTCCGCCTCTGACACGAGTACCGGATCCGGGCGGTCGTCTCGGGAAAACATTTTCATGGATCTTGCCGCGACATCCTTCCAGGCGCACATCGATGAGCAAAGAAGCGGCGTGCGCGCGACGGCGATGCTACAGGCCTACGAGGTGTCACATAGATCAAGAGTGTGAACGATGGAAAGCAGGATATCGATGCACGGCTCGTTTGAATAAGCTTAAATCCAGTGGTCTGGGCTTACATAAGGGGCGTTTCTTGTCCTACGAACGATGCCCAACACTTGAATTCTGTGATTGTTTTCTTCTACGGCTCATTTGACTGGCGAGAGTGCTCCATTGTCACTAGTTATCAAGCTCCCTCCGCACCAGTATCTCCCCTCCGTCAGCTAGCGTCTGACCGGGCTTCGGGATAGTAATAATGCCGGCCTCGACCAAGTCGATCGCCAAGCTTGTCAACATCCCATCGCAGCCCTTCGCCGCAATCACCTCGACTGCGACTGGCAGATACTCTTCGTGGTTCGAAGCATTTGAGTAAAAGGAGGTCTCGCCCAACGGGAACACGAAATCAGGCACCTCAGCAAACACTGAGATTCGGCACTGGAGAATCCGAAGGGGACTCCGGGGGCTGTAAAGTATGTATCTCGAGGCGTGAGTGATCCGTCGCCGCCTGTAGCGCCGACATAGAGCATGAGGGAGTCAGAACAGGCTGAGTCGTTCGTCGCGGGTACGACTTCGCTGTTAAACCAGTCCATGAAGATCGTCTTGTTCGTGAGAGCTTCGTCGAAGATCGAATCGTCCTGTGTGTCAGCCCAGGCCCACCGAATTCGTGGTGAAGGATTGACAAAGGGAGTACGACCATCATGCGCAGCGGCATAGTCTTCGTAAAAGCGATCCCGCAAAAGCCCAGTCTGATTTTTCCCAATGAGCGCAGCATATGTGAGATTCGCGAAAGCTGCAAGGCTGTCAGGTACTCCTTCAGGGTGCGTGTCTTCCCAAGCAGAAGTAATATTGAAGTCTAACGTCTCAGCGCCAAGGAAATCGGCCAATTTGTCCGCAAATCCAACGAGGATCTCGGAGGCATTGCTAGCGGAGGCGTTCTTCGGATAGCCAGTGTAGAGCTGCACTTTCTTCGGGTACGTTTTGTTCGTAGGCTGAACGTAGTTTTCTGCGTACATCACTGCTTGCGCAGCGTTCCAGATGTATGGGTCGCGAGTAAGAAAACCTGCGGTGTCGAGTGCCCCAGCCAAAGGCATTACACCAGTCAATTCGACCAGGCCATGAGATGGCCGATTTCCGAACAGTCCCTGCGCAGAACTTGGCCCTCTGATCGAACCACCAGTGTCGCTGCCGATCGCAAGATCAAGCCACTCGTAGGTTCCCATGGCAGAGCCGGAGCCTGCCGAAGAGGATGATGTCTGCTGATAGCCATCGCCGCGAGGATTGAAAGGTGAGTGATAGTCCACCCAGTCGGCTGTAGCAGATTCACCATTTGCGAACTGTGACGTCTTTGTCTTCCCAACGAACACTGCACCTGCATCCAACAATCGCTGCATGGCCACGCCCGTGGCATTGGCTTCGGGATAGAGGCTATAGTAAGCCCTGCTGCCGCAGCCAGTCTTCATTCCAGCAACATCGAAAATATCCTTGACTGCAATGCGTACACCAGCAAGTGGCTTCTCGGCTGTTTTTGTGGAATACAGCCTTGATGGAACACCGATACTGAGGGCATCAGCCCCAGGGATCTGCGCAGATAAGGGCGAAAAGGTGCCTTCGGGTGATTGCAGCAGCGAAGCAATGAACGCTCCTGTGTGGTCTGAGTACAGGCGATATGTCTCATACAACATGCCCGTCGATGCTTCCAGGAAATATGGACCAGATGGTAAAGAGGTCGACTCTAGGGCCAGAGTTCTGAAGTCGCCGCTGGTCCCCGTCTCGGCGCCTGCATATACCATGGTACTTGCAAAGAGGTCCGAGTAGACATCATCCGTTTGCGAGAAGTTGGCAACGGTGGCAGCAAGATCCGGCTCAATCCATCGCCTTGGATGACGGTCAAAGGGTAGAAACCATGGATCCCCTCGGCATCGGACAAGGCAGCCACGTCGACGGACATGTTGCCCACAGCATGTGGCGACACATAGTAGTAGATGTCGTTGTAAGCCAGAGAGAAGCCAGTCGATGCGAGCTGGGCGTTGACAACAGATGCTACAAGGACCAAGCAGCTGAGGAAGCTCTTCATCTTTGGTGCCATCATGGTCGGACAGACTTGCAGTACAAAAAATCATCACTTACCAGTAAGAGGCAGTCCTTCACGTTATATGGTCGCCTCAAGGGCGTGGCCACGGCATGCAGACTCGCAGCGTGCCACACCGTTGGATTTCTTATCTCTCACTCAGTAGTACATAGTGCGAGGCTAGTGCAAGTCCATTCGCGGACATCGCTGCTACGTCGGTCTTGTCAGGAACGTTGAAGTTGCCAAGTCCTGCCGACCCCAGCACTGCCATGCGCTCGTCGGCCGAACCAATCATTCGCGATAGTGGTGTGGTCGGAGTTCGCATAGATCTGGAAATGACGGCATCGAGCAGACATAATCGAGGAACAAGAGCTCGGATGAAACTCGTGTCTGGCAGCCTCGCTTGCACTAGTCCTACTCCGGAAGCTCAAAAGTGTTGCGATAAGACCTTTCAAGACTCGTTGTCTTTACGTACCTATCGACCCACGCCAAGGCATGCATTGAACCGCTACGATTGGACATCAGATCAAGTCAAATTGGGATTATCTGGGGATGACAACGTGGTATGGTTCTGCGAAATGCATAGTCCTACCATGCGCAGAAGTCATCTTGGGATCCAGGAGATTTGACTGAGTATAAGTATGGTCAACTTGACCGGTGAGAATATCGGGCAGTTGCCGTGCGACCTTCCTGCCTCCTCTGAGGCATCAATGCTTCAAAGAGTCATTCAGGATGTCGCCCCCTTGTCGTGAGATCCTTGGCGAATATAGGCATGCTCAGATACGCAGGACCGTTAGCGATCGAAGGTAATTCTGCCTGGTCGATTTGCCGGAGTGAAGACACTACTTTTGAAAGGCCAGGGTACGTGAAGCAGTGCAATTGTCCAGGCCAACCTAGGTACAACTTGAGCAGGTAGGCAACAAGGCAATTCTCTTGGCAGGAAGGCGCGTAGGTGCTTCTATTTGACACGACATTGCTGCCTCCCCTCTTTCTATTACCTGGGTAATTCGCGTCATATCTACAGATCGTGAGACAGTCCTGACCAGTTGCTGCTGACGATGACGGCCTCCCGAGATGTCGACATGTCCTCAGTGAACGATTCCTCGCCTTACGACAGCGACGACTTCGACGAAGATGGAGTTGACGACGACGGCGTCGATGAAAACAGCATCGAGAGCGATCCTGATGATGGCTTGACTACCTTTCGATACAAAGACCTCCCCACTGAAGTGCGAACCATGATTCTTGCACACCTGGTAAGTCGCGATGATCCACGATCGTGTTAACGTCTGACAAGATTCCAGGTCCCTCAAGGAGGCCGCTGTGCACTCGATCCCACGGTATGCGTTTCTGCTATACACGTATCGTCAGCTCACGGATCGGCAGAACATCAAACGTCCAGGTGCCTTTGTCGATACAGGTGGCGACCGTGGCATCATGCGATATCTTCTTGTCTCGAAAGCATTCCATGATGGACTCGTTCCTATTCTGTATGTGCTATTCTGCCTCCTTTCGACAACGGCAAACAGATCGATTCTGATCATTTTTATAGGTACCGAGCAAACGAATTTTGCCTAATCGAGCCTCTCTCTCACCACGATTCTCTGACCAAGATTGGTCCTCTTGCGCTTCAAAGCATCAGTCACCTAACAGTCAAGGTCGCCCGGGGTATGGAAGATCTTGGGAAGATCTGGGAGACTGTTGTCAACACTTGTCATGCCCTGGAGACTCTCACGCTGGTATTCTATCACGAGATTGTGAGTATTCAGCGACTATGCATCGAGTCATATGAAGCTATGCGATCAAAGCAATACTAATCAATATGCTCCGAAACAGAAGTACTGGATGCGAGTACTGGCGGATCTGATTGTCGCGTCCGACCCGAAGCCGAAGATTGACGTCCTGCTGTATTCAAGTATCTGGGCGGCCCAAGACACCAAGCATACGAAGATCAAAGCCGACATGGAGGCCTCCCTAGCAGCCGCTGGACGAAGAACGATGTTCATGCAATATAAGCCGCTCCCTGCGAAGATCAAAACCTTGCGCATCTCAGCATCGACTTGCGATGCCGCTGCCTACGGTCTGCTCACCACCAAGTTCAAGGATAGAACTGTGTTCCAGATCAACGCCGGGCAGGAAAGTGAGCTTTACAGCCATCTCACTTGCAAGAAGATCTAGAGGGAACCCTGCAGAAGTCACAAACTTCTAGAGCAGCGAATCTGAGACCAGACAGCGGAGGATCACTTGAGCACTACCAGTGTGTCCAGCAACAAGCTCGTACTAGACGAAGCATGATAGGATGTCGACAACGATCAATCTTCTGATCAGGGAGGCCTCTGAATAGCCCCCAGATAGTCACAGCCTTCATCGAATAAGCTGTAGCATCAAAATTCGACAGAGTTGTCGTCTCACAAAGCATCTGCCCACGAGGCGTACCAATTTCGAAGTTGGCTGCGATTGGTCGAGCTTGATACCCATCAATCAGGCAAACGAGGCACCTTCGTAGCAGCGGCACACAACGCGTAGTTCTCCCACACCTACGCTGAGGTGGAATCTTTCCTTGCATCGAGCTCGCCAGCGCCATTGCAGGGCGCGCCGAGACCGTGCGAACTATACTATGCCCTGAACTTGACGCACTAATTTCCCACCACTGCTTGCCCACCTGGCAAATGATCCATCAAGTGCCCGTGTTCGCGCCTAAGATAGCTAATCTTCAAGAGCAGCGACTCATGTCAAAAGCGTAGCCATCCATCATGATGTCCTCCCGTTCCCTTTACCGCCACCTCACATCCACGACCACCCAGACATTTCATTGTTCGAGCCGGCCTTGCAAACTACCAGTCCACCTCCCTTCCACACCACACCTTTCCCACCGCTGCAATATCACCACCGCCGCCCTCTCCGACCAGCAAATTGCCTCCCTTCGCGCCAACTCAACCCGCCTCTCCAGCCTGATCCACTCAACCGCCACCCATGGCGCCGCAAACCGCTACGGGTCCCACCCAGACGAGACAGGGCTAACCCGCCTCGCTCTCTCCCCAGCCGACAGGCTCGCGCGCGACTGGTTCGTCGCTGAGACGAAATCCTTGGGTTGCGAGGTCACGGTTGATGCTGTTGGGAATATCTTCGCTGTGCGTCCTGGAATTGCCAGCAAGGAGAACGGAGGGAAGGGGGAGAGGCGACCGGCTACATTCGCGGGCAGTCACCTCGACAGCCAGCCCACAGGCGGCCGATACGATGGCGTACTGGGTGTCTGCGCTGGCGTAGAGATTCTGCGCGTGTTGGAGGAGGAAGGGATCGAGACGCGCGGGGATGTCGGCGTAGTGAATTGGACGAATGAGGAGGGGGCGCGATGGGGGGTTAGCATGATGGGGAGTGGGGTTTGGAGCGGCGCGAATGATCTCGATGAGGTCTGGGCGCTGCGGGATCAGTTGGATGGTGCTGGCAATGAAGGGAGGGGCAGGACAGTAAAGGAGGAGTTGGAGGCCATTGGCTATCTTGGTTCACATCCTGTGGGGGGGGAGGACAGGTTTCACATGGCGGCACACTTCGAGCTCCATATTGAGCAGGCGCGTAGATTGGAGGAGTTGAGAAAGAACGTGGGTGTGGTGAAGGGTGTGCAGGGCTACACGTGGCTGGATGTGGTTGTCAAGGGGAAGCAGTCGCACGCCGGGACCACGAGGTTTGAGTATCGCGCGGATGCGCTGTTTGCGACGAGTCGGATGATCAGCACGGTGAGGGCGATTGCAGTGGACATGAATGCATTAGCAACGGTAGGCACGCTCGAGCTGAGGGGTGGCGCCAGTATCAATACCGTTCCTGGGGAGGTGCACTTTACGATCGATCTACGCCATCCGCATGCTGGGAAGCTTGAACAGCTGACGAAGCGGGTGAAGAGAATGCTCGTTGAATTCGCAGACAAATATTCGACGAAGGTTCAGACAGATACGCTCTTTCATAATCCGCCGACGATCTTCGACAAGCAAGCTATGGCGTGCATTGCAGAATCAGCGCAAGCAGTCATGGGGACGAAGACAGTGCCGGAGCTGACGAGCGGAGCGGGACACGATAGTGTGCATACGTCGAAGCATTGTCCCACGGCGATGATCTTTGTGCCATGTAAGGATGGGTTGAGTCACCATCCAGAAGAGTTTGCGACGGAGGAGGCAAGTGCAGACGGGGCGAGTGTGCTGTTGCAGGCTGTTGTAAGGTGGGATCGGCAGAGAGGTGACTTGGGCGATTAACACATGGAATGATCTGATACTATCGCATGGTATGAGGCCAGCAAGTGCGATGAAGATCTGAACCTGTGTTGCTCATCAAGTCAAAGGGTTAAGATGAGCCACTTGCGGACCTTACTTAGCAAGAAGAATTTGCCATGAATTTGCTGGTTGGGGAGAACATCACAGGCAATTGGTCCATGCTATGATATGTCGGGGATCAACTCTCGACAATTGACGCATGTGAATTGTTTTGGACGTGCCCTTGTGTCTAGAATCTGTCTAGAATCGCGTCCGCAGACGCATGCAACTTGCTCCCTGGGAGGAGTTTGCAACGATGGCCATCCATCGTCGACGAATGTGTCGTAGTGGGATGGAGACTGCTGTCCATTTGTGGTCGCCGAAAGCTGCCAGCTTAAGAAGGAGGCGCACCACGGCCGCGGCCAAACCCGCCTCTGAACGAGGGAGCGAATTCGCCTGGCGCACCCTCCTTGCCAGGCTCACCACCGGCCTCACGACGACGATATCCGCCCTCGCGGTCGCCATCACGACGGAAGCCACCACCCTCGCCATCACGTCGGGGACCACCACGACCACCTCCTGGACGACGCTCACCACGGTCATCACCGCCCATCATGCCGCGGGGAGGAGCATGGGAGCGCTGCTGCTTGATGTGGGTAGCAGGGACGATCTCGGCAGGCAGGTGCAGCCAGTCGCGCAGGTACTCGAGGCCCTCGGGGGTCAGGGTGTAGTAGTAGTATTGCCAGGAGAAGCGGGTCTTGAGGAAGCCACGGGAGGTGAGGGATTGGCAGGCTTTGATGACCTGTAGTCGGTTAGCTTGATGTTTCGCACAGGCAGAGTATTGACTCGACATACATAGAGGTTCTTGACATCAATATCGCCGTGCTTGGCCAGGTTGTAGTCCTTTTTGGCGACGAGTACACCCTCCTTGAAGAGGTACTCGTGGATCGCCTTGCGATCGGCTTTGGGAATGAGCATTGTCGCGAGTCTCTTGCGCTCTTCGTGAGATCGCGTACAATGCGAGTTCAGAGATTATGGGTTGAGAAAGAGTGGTTGTGTGAAAAGGTGCGGTTGACGTTGGAGAGCGGGACAAATTTGTGGCAGGTGCGAATCGAAACTCTTGGCGCTGGAAAATGCGGCTTGGCACACTTTGCAGATTGCTACTCCACGGCGACCGCACCAACCTCCATCGACATCGCAGTCAATCATCACAACAATCTTCTACGACAAACCGTGCATTGCACTCGAGAGCTACTGGTAGTGATCAGGTCAGTCAACACCGTCATCCGCCGAACGTATTCAACTTGCAACCAACATCTTCCATCGACCTCGAGCGCGGCCTACCGATCATTGTTAAAGATTCTTCAAGACTAACACAAATCACTGACAGACCTCTCTGAACCGCAATCATGGGTATCTCTCGTGACACCCGCCACAAGCGGTCAGCTACCGGTGCCAAGCGTGCCACATATCGTAAGAAGAGGTATGATATGGACCACCAAGAAGCGATCTTTGACCAGATCTAACACTTTCCCTGCAGAGCCTTCGAGAAAGGTCGCCAACCAGCCAACACCCGTATCGGCAACAAGCGCATCCATCTCGTCCGCGTCCGCGGCGGCAACCGCAAATTCCGAGCCCTTCGTCTCGACTCCGGCAACTTCAGCTGGGGCTCCGAGGGCGTAGCCCGCAAGTGCCGTGTCATCGTCGTCGCTTTCCACCCTTCCAACAACGAACTCGTCCGCACAAACACCCTCACCAAATCAGCCGTCGTCCAGATCGATGCCGCTCCTTTCCGTACCTGGTTCGAGGCCCACTATGGCACCAGCATTGGCAAGAAGAGAGCGCAACAGAAGGGTGAGGCGGTTGAGGATAAGAAGGTCAGCAATGGTGTTACGAAGAAGCGCGAGGAGCGGGTGAAGAAGTATGGCAAGCTTGACAGTGCGTTGGAGAAGCAGATGGAGGCTGGACGGTTGTATGCGGTCGTGAGCTCGAGACCTGGTCAGAGCGGTCGGTGCGATGGGTACATTCTGGAGGGCGATGAGTTGGCTTTCTACCAGCGCGCTATCAGGAAGTAAGCGGTGATTGAGACTTTGTGGTGCTGGTGGTCATGCCGGCGCATACCCAAGAAGATCAACCTATCGGCCTACGACATCCAGATCAAGCTGCAGCATGACGGGCAAACAAAACATGGCAAGGCGTGGTACCATTGTGGTTTGAAGTACGTCTTTGCCCGGCACGAGTTCTGTCCTCCAAGCCAGCCGAGAGCCCAGAAGACGGCTCGTGATGTTGTTCGTCGCCAACACTCCTCGGCGTCAGTACTATCTGCTGTTAGTCTCGATGGAATTCCTCAGCAAATGTAGCAATCCAAATGAGAATTGAAATCGAAAAGTTCGAGCTTTGTGACGATCGGTATACCTGCCTCTGCTGGGTCCGGCGCGGACTTGTGTGACATGATGCTTGGGTCGTTACTCCAGCACTACCAAGAGTGACCTCAAGTTGCGTCCGACCCAATACTGTAACTCTCGACATGGCTTCTCACTCGAATCCCTGAATCATGCAACGATCAGTGAATGCCCCCAGCTAAGCCAGCAGATTCATTGCTCCGGCTTGCCTCGGATCTTCAATTTGCTGGTGAGGTATAAGTAATTGTGTCCCCCCTCAACATGATTTCCTTCTCTTCTTCTCCATAAGGCAGATACATGGACTGTCGACTCGCCATGCTAATTAGCATCTGCTGCTACTCGATGGGGCGAGTTTGCTTCGGGCATTCTTATCACAGTATGATGGTCTAAATGGCGCAAGGCCATTGAGGCATGCAGCTTGCGATGCTGTTCAACTCGTGTTGACCGTCAGTGGTCCATGCATGCTCAAGTCATGTTTTGATTGCTCCTACAGGGTTGACTGAGTGGCACAACAGCCATGTTCGCTGCGGTCAGTGTCTACCAAGCAGCATCGTTCCCTCAGTCTTTCTTTACAGTCATAACGTCGTCTGGATGGGTATCAATAACCTTCCAATCCGCCCGGGACGCAATATCTGCCTACTCCCTCGTCATGCTCTCGATCTAAGAGGTCGTACGAAATCCCAAGTTCTGTACACTCCCGCATTTGTCTTCAGACCACGATCAAACTCTGGCCCTGCTCACCTGCCATCCAGCCAGGCATCTTGCCCAAGTCCAAGCCATTCTGCTGTTGACCGCTCGCGACGAGCCCCAGCTCAGCGAGCATTCTCAATCCCAAGACCACGTCGGATCCGCCGAAAGTGATGCCCACGGGTGCACAGTCCACTGTGTTCCTCTGGCCTATGCTCTGCTCCAAGGAAGACTCTTGGAGGTCAACATGTTGCATAATATCTGTGATTTTGACTGTCACACGATCGAGCTTTGCGCGAGATGTGTTCGAGATCGGTCCGAAACGGGCATCGAGAGCAGCTTCGGTGGATTGTTCAGCCCGTGTTGGGTGCTCAGGAAAGAACATCGAGTTCTCATTTTCCTCTTGCTCTTCGTCGTTCTCTGAACGTTTCGCTCTCTTCCGCTTTCGGCCCAGCACGTCAGTTGGTCCAGCTTCAGCCTTACATCTGTCCTCGTTCTCCTTGTTGTGTCCTTCAGCGTCCTGGGAACCACCGTCTGCGACGGTTTGACCAGCAAAGAACTTCGCGAACGCTCCGCCTGCGGTTCCTGGCCGTGCCCCACCACCTCTCAACGCACATACGCTCTTCAGACTCCTCGCCGTCAGCTTCGTGCCCTCCAGCGCCCACCGCTCATGCCTCCTCGATAGCGCTTTCGGGATTGCCTCAATGACCAGCCTCTTCAAATTCGTGATGTCCACCTTTGCTTGCTTCGTTTGTTGTCCTGCCGCAGCAGCCGCAGGCGAAGCGCCATTCACGGCGATATACACATGTGGACTGCTTTGCGGCAGCGCGATATAGATCGTTCTCCCACTATCCGTAGCATGCCGCGCGCTTCGTGGGATGTTGGACTGATGCGGCGCAAATGCTTTGTCGGGTGTCAGATACAGTCGCACGATCGGTAGCTCATTGTACTGGCCGACCAGGTAGGTGAGCTGATAGTGTGCCTTAACAAGCGGTGAAACCTGCTCGCGAAGCGCAGTCACAAACGTCGTCGGTGTGATGGTTGGGTATAGCGCATTGTTCGTCTTCGTTGTATGATGTGTCTTCTGCTTCTTGGTCGGCGGCTCCTCAGGCGTAGCCGCGGTGTCATCATGGTCAAGCGGCGCAACCTTCAAACCCGTCCATCGCAGCGCCGTATCATGCGTGCTCAAGAACGCAAAGTCAATCGTCGCATGCTGGTAGAGACTTAGTCCGCGCCTCCAGTCGCCGTCGATAATCCGATCGATCAGGTACTGCTTGTTGTGCTTCTGCTTCCCTTCGCCATGGCTGTCTATATCGAGGCGGAGATTCTTCCAGATAGCCTTGAGTTCAGAGAGTGATCGCGCGGGCGGGAAGAGGTAGTCCTCCTCGTCGGACTCGTCGAGAGTGCGGTTTGAGCGCAGGTAGGGTTGGCCCGCGGCTTCGGCGTGGGAAAGCCAGTGGAGGGCAAGCGTTGTGAGTTGGGTGGTGGTGAGGCGGGAGAGAGATTTTATCGTTGCTGTTGACATGCTGTCGGCATGCGTCAACGCCGAGAGGGCTCTGGAAGGCTGGACACGCAGACCGCTTGTCGGTGATATGAGCTATCAGGGGTCAGAATATTGCATACTGCTGGAGTTGGAGGTGGAGGTGGAGGCAGTGACTGAACCCGAATTTGGGAGAAAGTAAACAACAGGCTTGGCAGCGATCATTGTCATCCGGATTTCGGAAATCGACCTTGTCCTGCTCAAAATCGCTTATCTATGCACTGTCGCACTCAGGTCTTTACTCGTTGCCATTTTATTCATGTGTATTGTGGTAGGTGTTATGTTTTATACGAGGCCAATATTCATTTGCTGGAATGAGATCGTGACAAAGGCCTCCTGCCATTGTCAAGTCATGGCTGTGTCTACACCAGCCCAGATTTGCTAGCACTTATATTCGCGGGCGACAATCCAGCAGTCCGGATGACGAGAGCTTTTACCAGACTTCTCAGGCTTCCCGGGACAGGCCACGCTCTTTCTGTCTCTTCGACATCGATCAACGTTTTCGCTTTCTCGTTCATTTCGCTCGTGCCGACCTTTGTGGAAGCCGCGACTTGCCGTTCTGATTCGTCATGCAGTTCCTGCCTCGCCAAGGCCAATGGTGGTCCAGCTTTGTTTCATCTTCAGGCAGGGTCGGAGATCTGCCATTCTTGTTACGACATCACTTGTATCGTGCCACCGATGTTTTCTGAGTTCAATACCTGATCGTTGTGCTGGCAATTATGAGCCGTATCATGTTCCTGTTTGCTCGATTGCAGCAACACAAATTGGCTGAAGTGGATGAAGTGGGAAGCATCATCACTATCGCACGCTAAACGCTGTCCCTCTGGTCGCTTAATTTTGGCCCCAATCTTGTCGCGAACCCGTCAAACCCCCCTGCTAGCACTGCTAGCAAGCTCGCATCCGCGACCGCCCCAGATTGATCTCGACCTCCTCATCCTGCAGATATGCCTTTCCTTCGTGATGCTTTCTCGGACGATATTGAGACGCTGCGAATGTCCTCAACCTATGTAGGATGTACGAAGCACTCTCCGGCGACGAAGTCACAGATCCTTATATAAATCAGCAGAGAGTGCTTCTGAATACAGGGAAACCATCACATACCTCGCGTTTGCCAAGAGCGGAGAGCGTGGATGATCAGCCTTACAAGGCCATCGAGCTGAAGCCATGGACGACAACTTCTCCTGTGGTTTGGTATGACCAGCAGCGCCCACGTGCGAAACGATTCTGGCAAGACACCCTAGCTGAGCTGCGCACAGTCAAGTGGAAGAAATGGGCTGGGCTGTTCGCGAGTCTCATCCTACCGCCAACATTCATCCTCTGGCTCATACTTGCGACGATCGTGATCACATTTCCCGGAATCCTGTTCCAAACCGATGATGTGTGCAGACCCGATGGAAGCTTCTATGTTGGACTTGGCTCTTACGACCCCTGGCATACAGCGAGTCTCTTTCAGATCGATGTTGGCTTCGGACGACTTTCCTTCGCAAATGCTAAGCTTATCGATTTCTTGTTCGATCTCCTGGTAGGACGTGGAGGTCAACTACTTCTTGGCTACATTGCGTACATGGTGTGCACCAAGTCACTCATACGACATATGGAGCATCACAGCGTTCCCATCACGACCTTCGAGGCCCTTACCATACAGGATCACAGCATGACAGGCCTCATGAAACTCGTGAAAGGGGTCTCGGGGAACCGCGATGCGCGCTCAATTGCTAGTATGGTATGGTTTGCGATAGCCACAGCCTACATACTGCTCTTTCCTACCTTTGTTTCGGCGATGAGTGGGTACAGTGCCAATGTGGAGGCGTATATCGAGGTCGACTCCGGCCCGCTAGTACCATGGGACGAATTTGATGAGGTGCGCTACATAATCCACGACGGAGCACGCCTCGGTGGAGCGTTTCATAACGATTATGCCATCACAGTTCCGCACGCCTCTTCGAGTTATGGAAGCAGCGAGTTCTGGGGAGACTGTTCGAGCAATGTGAGCTCTCTGCTTTACGACTACGATAGCCGTGAGTACACTGTCGCCCCGAATCTTCAGTTGGACTACATGACTCCACAATGCAGGCAACTCTGGAATGTTGCAGTCTATACCAATACCAGTGGGTTTCTGGGTCTTGATCAGACTTCTTCCACGTTCAACACCACAGACGGCGACAGCATCCAGCTTCAGAGTCCAGTCCTAAACATATCTGCGTATTACTCGTCCAGCGAGAAAGCATCAGACTCCTATCAGTACTCAACAGAAGGCGAGTGGAGTGCCTATGATTTCGCGCAATACGGCTCCGGCTTCTTCTGGAAGAATCCCCAGACCAACAACTACACCTTCGGCGACACCTACAACCCACTGGTAACCTACGATGATAGGACGTACACTTCGGGCGAGATCGAAAGTCTGGGTCACTGCCAGCAGACCGTCGTACAGTACAAGTGGGGCTTCTCCTTCATGCTGCTCTTCAGCCTGCTGATCTCACTCGTCATCTGGAGCACTGGCATGTACGCGACGTATCTCGACGCTTTCCTACATTCCAGCCTGGACTCGTCAAGACGACAACTCGGTCTTAAACGTGCGACGCTCGATCTAGCATCCGCCATGACACCACATATATCGCCGGACCAAATGGAAAGCGCCAGCAATACCAAGCTCAAGAACTTACTTGTCGATAGTAAAATCACTTACAACCACCTCCTCGACCATCTCGCTACCTCCACGCGTGCGGCGAAGTTCCGATATAAGTGGAGGGCATTCAAGTTCACACGCTACTGGATGCAGGAAAAGATCTGGAGCACGCTGTTCGTCATCGCATTGCTTATGTGGATTGGGTCAATACCATATCCAGGTCCATGGCTACCACCGCTTCTCGCCAATACAATACTGCTGATGAGTCTGAGCGTCACGCTCTACGCTGGCCGATAGTCGAAAGCCAGATGGCTCTCATCCGTGGTCGGCGTGGCGGTATGGGCCATTTTGACTATTGTGGCTTACCAGGCGTCTGGGCGATGTGGTGGGTTCTGAATCCGATTGGGGTGGGCATGCTTGCGTGGTCTGCAGGGAACGGCTACTAGGTAGTAAGGAATGATCGAGTGTTGTTGCTCAATCGCGGCAGCTGCGCTGCGTATCCTCTGTCACAAGGTGCCTAGTGCTCTTTCTCACGCATCTCTCGCTAATGTCTTCGTCCCTTACGGCCCAGTCCAAGCTATTCGGCCAGGACATGAGCGTTCTCCTCAGCGCTAACGGAAGCGCCACGAACTCTCTCAGCACCCTCCCTGGCGAGCTGACAGTTGATGGACTGTTCCTGCGACTTGGTGCTCAAGTGAGGCTCACCTCAAACATGCTGGCCCGAACTGCAAGACCATTCTGTTACTCAGAGCCCTCCCTCACCCGAATGCTTAGGAATCCACCGTAAACTGCTGGAAACGCTCATTTTATGCACCCGAATGGCCTCCCTTGTACCTCACGCCTTCGTCCGTCACACATCTGCCCTTCACATCTTTCGTCAAACCACAGCCTCGGTGCCTACTTCTCTAACACGAAGTAGGAGATATCAAGGAACAAGTATCCCCGTGAAGAGCACTGTAAAAGTCCGATCCCAGCCTAGCAAGGGCGATGAGAGTGATGCCCACGATGGTGTCGTTCTTATGACGATTCTTCGTAGTTGACCGAAGATTCTCGCGCCGCCAGGTAGCAGCAGGTGCTCCAAGGCATGGCAAATGGAAGATTCGGCTTGGGGAAGAGAGACGAGAAGAAAGTCGAAGGTAGGGCTACTTATAATCCTGCAACGAGAAGAAGACTTCGACACCAGCGGAACCGATCACTGCACTGGCTCGGCCAGGAGCCATTGACTGTTGGGTCCGTAAGTCAGCACAGGTCGGTGCCTGTTCATTCACTTCTATGGCCATACCGCAGTGACTGGAAACCCGTGGGGTATGCATATGTAGCTTGAATGACCAGCATGACAACTCCTCATGCAGTAGATGAGAGCACCACCAGCATAAATCCTTCGTCTGATGGGAAGCGTTCACGCCAAGATACGTTCCCATCTACACTTGCATCCAAGCAACATCAAAACTCCGAGAAACATGTCCACCAAACCACAGACTCCTCCTACGCCCCCCAAAGCCCACAGCCGGACCCAAAACACTATCATGTAATCACAACGGGTGTATAAGGCCGCGGCATAAGCGTCTGCCCGGGCCCCAGAACCCCCCCAGACTGAGCCCCGCCACCCAGACTATCGTATAGTCGGCGCATCAGTGAACACTGCAGCTGCTGCTCAATCGGAAAGGATCCCTTGATCTTGCATCTGCAGGGCACGCCAGGGTCGTCGCAGCGTCCATCTTCATCCGCGCGTGTCTTGCATCTGCAGATTTGCGTCATCTGTTGGCCAAACCATAGTCAGTATCAGCTCTCAATATTGTGATGCTGAGAATGAGAGGAAGGGGCTGGCTGTGATGAAAGCACTCACGGTTTTCGCATTACATTTACCCCACACGCGGCAAACGACATTGCCTCGAAAGCAGAAGCAGCTGTTGCGACATATTTCCGGGGTCAGATCGTGGCCGCCCCACGATTGTTCGTGGGAGCCTCATTGCCGCCGCAATCGTAGAGCTTGTCGTATTGTCCGACGCCGTTGTTTAGGCAGTTTAGTTGTTGGACACTGTCTACTTTGAGCCATCGTTTGACGATGTCTGCGGGGTTGGGTGACTGCTCCGCGTTGAAGGGCAGGTCTGCGGGTGACGCGCCGGCTTCTGGGGTTTGTATGGTGAGGGCGAATGCAGCCGGGAGGGCGCAGTAGAAGAGGAGGATGGTCTTCATTGCTGCGATTGCGGTGTATGCCTCGTATCAGGCGTATCGAGGTTGAAACTAGTGACCTACCTATTTGAAGGATCGCATTGAGCCCCTTGACGAGCCGACGCTCGCGACGGGCCGCCAGGCTGCGCTGTTCAAGCTCTTGGTATTGTTCCTGACCTACCATCGACATAGCTTAGTATTGTTGTCGAGGGTCTTTGTTCTGTCTTGACATCTGTGCGAATTGTGGGCATTGTTACGAGCACAAAGACTCGACACGCCGTTCGTGGGAGTAGCGTAGGCCCGACAACGCCGGCGCCGGTAGCAGTAGACTCTCAACCACGACCTGAGGTAGCTGCTGGGCTTTTGACGAATGCTCACTGTTGCCCAGGACCTCGACCGTGCTGCGTGATGATATCTGATAACTGATGACTATACGAAGACAAGAAGTCGGGAAAGAGCTACCGCATCCGGACAAAGGCTGGCATTCCAGGGGCCGCCCAGGATACACACGAGCCCTGCGTCCGAAGTTGCCTCGGCCCGGGCGCCGATAATGGGCGGAAAGAAGCCACATCCACCACACTGCGAAGTGGGGAGGCGAAAATCATGACGGTGGTTAGACTGAACGAATGAGGAAGTCAAGGTGGATGAACAAAATCGCGGGCGCTGAACACCGAGCCAACCAGGAGATCTGCATGCTGTATGGGCGTCAGTCCCTCCGAATCGACGGACGTCTTTTGAGTCCTATTTCCTTTCGCGCAGACATCATGATTAGAATAGCTGACGATCGAGCTGCTGGCCGCACATTTTCGGAGCTGCTGGCCGAAGTCTGAATCATTGGAAAGCCCTTCCTTCAGCGCGTTTGCTGGTCAATTGTAGACAACACTGAAATGGTTATGTGAATAGAAATGTCAATAGTTGACATGTGCTGAAAGGGCGTTGCTAGTCGACGAAGGCGTGATCGTGGAGTGAGCAGGGAAAGTGGTTGGCTGAAACAGTGTGGGAGACGTCAGGCTTGGACAGTGAGGGAAAGAGCAGAAAGAGCTCATCTTGCAGCAAAGGCTGCACCCCACTCGCTCTGTTCGTGGGACTGACGGGCGTCGCTCGCACACCCTGGCCAGGAAAAACTAGCTCGATGCTGGCCCTTCTTGCGCCATTCTTCACCCACCACTCACCTTTTCAGTTCCTTACTCTTCACTCACATTGTCTTCAGATCAGTTCTGAAGTATCGACAGCTGCGTTTGCCGCGCGCCTCGTCGCAACTCATTGTCGCCCGGCCGTCGACTTCATCCTCGAGTTCTTTGTGACAGCTGGACTTTGTCGCCGAGACCGGGATTGTCGCGCCCCACGTTCTGATTGGAAATCAGCTTGAGACTCTACGCCCACCCCGCCAATACAAAATCTGCGCCTACCAAACCACAACCAGACCTCGAAACCGTACACCAGGATACAGTGCGACTCTGATCTGAGCACACAGCTCAGCAGAGTCCATCCCTCTCCAGGGTCATGTCGGCCTACCGCGGTCGCACTGGGCCAAATCTCAGTGATTTTATGAGCAATCTCAACCACCTGTCGCCGCAAGACGAGACGTTCCCCACCGTCGAGTTCGACGACAACGATCTTGCTATGTTCACCAACACCGACTTTACGTCGCTCGATATGAACATGCCCGACGATAGCTTCAACTACAATATCAACGGTGAACAAGGGAGATCAAATACTCTGATCTACTTGGTGCAGATCCTCAATTTGGCTCGGTCCCTGTCCATACATCGCCTGCCGACACTCCTCAGTACTACCCCAACTTCAATACTCCCATACAGCCTAGCCCACCACAGTTCACGCCCGCGCCAAACACAGCCCGTCCAACTCCGGCACCTCAGTCCGGCTCCGGAGTCAAGTCGTCATCCGCAGACACACGTAGCGTCGTCAGTCCAGAGGACAGCTCTCGAGTAGCAGCTGAGGAAGATAAGCGACGAAGGAACACCGCCGCCAGCGCCAGATTCCGAGTCAAGAAGAAGCAGCGAGAGCAGGCGTTGGAGAAGAGTGTCAAGGAGGTCAACGACCAGAACTCGAAGCTCCAAGCACGACTAGACCAGCTCGAGATGGAGAACAAGTGGCTGAAGGATCTAATTACAGAGAAGAACGGCGGTGCGATTCAATCCAGGGAGGATATTGACGAGGCCTTCCAGCAATACAAGCGCGAGTCTGAGGAGCGACAGGACGTGAAAGAAGAGGCGCCGCGCGTCAAGGGTGTCGGCACCAAATGAATATCATATCAAAACATTGATGCGAAGGATCAATCATTCTCGAGAGACGGCCAACAGTTTGTGCCTCTGCTTAGATCGTACATATCAAGATACCAATTCTAACTCTTTTCACAATTGAATTGCATTGTCTATCATGTTTGCTCCGACTCAGTAGATAGCTATTGGACACGCCAGCGGATGAAAGACGCCTCTTACCCATTCATTCCAAGGGTTTCCTGGATTTAAGACTCAGGGCCTCTGCTTGCTTACCATGTTCCGAGTCTTTTTGCAGTCACGGAGATAGCAGGCATTACCGAGTTGCCGCCTGGCCTGGCGCGTGCAAGGCATCACTGCCCTAAGTAAACTCCGCCTACATTTGAATTGCCCCAATCTCTTTCACACCACCACTTTCCACTCTGTCCGCCGCCCATACTCAACGCTCCCACCGCATTCGACCGGATTGCTTGCTAACTGTTGCAACTCCGCCGCACGACCATCGTATCGACTGCCGACTGCGAGCAGGTCAATCGCAGATCCACCGGTGTGCCCCGCCAGCATCATTAGCGATCAATCAATTCGCCCACAGTACCGGTCAAACAACAGCCTTGTCTGGGCGGACACACCCATTTCGCCAGCGCTCCTAGAGCGAACGTCGCCCCTACATCCTCCTCACCATGTCTGTTACCGTCGCCGAGCTTGACGCCACCGTCAAGGCCTTCCAAGAAGGCAAGGGCGAAGGTCAGAAGCAGGCCCAACAGAAGCTCAATGAGTTCAAGTCCAACCCGGACGCCTGGCTGATGGTGGATAAGATTCTACAAGAAGCTCAGTATGCTCCTACGAAGTATCTGGGTCTACAGGTCTTGGATGATGTGGTCAATACGAGATGGAAGGTCCTGCCGCGAGACCAGTGTTTGGGCATTCGGAACTTCGTCGTGAACCAAATCCTGGAGTCTTCGGCGTCGGAAGAGTCTCTCAAGGCCAACAAGATGTTCGTCAACAAGCTCGACCTGACGCTCGTCACAATCCTCAAGCAAGAGTGGCCGCACAACTGGCCGACCTTCATCAACGAGATCATCTCATCTTGCCACTCAAGTCTGTCGGTCTGCGAGAACAACATGGCTATCTTGCGACTGCTGTCGGAAGAAGTCTTCGATTTCTCACAGGATCAGATGACATCGACAAAAGCGAAGAACCTCAAGACCACCATGTGCAACGAGTTCTCTTCTATCTTCCAGCTCTGCAATGAAGTCCTCACAACTGCTAACAGCATACCGCTTGTCAAGGCCACTCTCGAGACACTTCTAAGATTCCTCAACTGGATCCCGCTCGGCTTCATCTTCGAGACCAAGCTCATTGACACTTTAGTCAGCAGATTCCTTGAGGTCGAGCACTTTCGAAATATCGCTCTCAAATGCTTGACCGAGATTGGAGGTCTTCAGATGAGCCAGCAATTTCAGTACGACGAGAAGCTGACACAGATGTTCACCGAGACTCTGACCGTTGTCGCACGGACTCTACCGGTCGAGACCAATTTACGCGAGATCTATGGCAAGAGTGGCGCACGAGATCAAGAATACATCCTCAATCTCGCGCTGTTCTTGTGCAACTACTTCTCAGCACACCTGCAGACCATCGAGCGTCTCCCTAACACCGATTACCTGCTCCATGGCCACTTCTACCTCATCAAGATCAGCTTGATCGATGATCGAGAGATCTTCAAGATCTGCCTGGAGTACTGGACCAAGCTTGTGCAGGAGCTGTACGAAGAGATGCAACAGCTACCAATGAGCGAGCTTAATCCTCTCGTCAATATGGGCGTTGGTGGTATGGCCAACGGCGGTGCTACCCATCCCAGTGCTCTAGCCAACTACCCGCTTAGAAAGCACAAGTATTCAACAATCTTATCAAATCTTCGCCAAGTCATGGTTGAGAAGATGGTGCGGCCCGAAGAGGTTCTCATCGTCGAAAACGACGAAGGCGAGATTGTGCGCGAGTTCGTCAAAGAGAGCGATACCATCCAGCTGTACAAGACCACGCGTGAATGTTTGGTGTACCTGACTCATCTCGATGTTGTCGATACCGAGCACATCATGTCCGACAAGCTACAGAAACAGGTTGATGGTTCCGAGTGGTCGTGGAACAACTGCAACACCCTCTGCTGGGCCATTGGCTCAATATCAGGCGCGATGAATGAAGAGACTGAGAAGCGATTCTTGGTCACCGTGATCAAGGACCTTCTTGGGCTGACTGAGATGAAGCGAGGCAAAGACAACAAGGCTGTCGTCGCTAGCAACATCATGTATATTGTCGGCCAGTATCCTCGCTTCCTGAAAGCTCACTGGAAGTTCCTGAAGACTGTCGTTAACAAGCTTTTCGAGTTCATGCACGAGACTCACGAGGGCGTGCAAGACATGGCTTGTGACACATTCATCAAAATCGCCAACAAGTGCAAGCGCCATTTTGTTGCACTTCAACCTGGAGAAACAGAGCCATTCATCGACGAGATTGTACGTAATATGCGCAAGATCACCATGGACTTGTCACCACAGCAAGCACACACCTTCTACGAAGCTTGCGGATATATGATCTCTGCTCAAGGCCAGAAGGGCGTACAAGATCGTCTTATCGAAAATCTCATGTCACTGCCCAACCAAGCATGGGACAGTGTCATTCAACAAGCTAATTCAGATCCGTCGATTCTGCAAGACGCCGATACTATCAAAGTCATTGGCAATATCATGAAGACCAACGTTGCGGCCTGCACTTCGATCGGCAGCTACTTCTACACCCAGATCGGTCGTATCTACCACGACATGCTCAACATGTACCGGGCATCATCTCAGCTCATCTCGGATGCTGTTTCGTCACAAGGTAAGGACATCGTCGTGCAGCTAGTGGCATAACGCTAACAAATCTAGGCAATATCGCAACCAAGACTCCAAAAGTTCGAGGCTTGAAGACGATCAAGAAAGAAATTCTCAAGCTCGTCGACATTTACGTACAGAAGGCGGATGATCTACAGATGGTCAACGACAGCATGGTTCCGCCACTACTCGATGCCATTCTCCTTGACTATCAGCGCAATGTGCCAGACGCTCGCGATGCTGAGGTGCTAAGTGTAACAACTACCATCATCCACAAGCTTCATGTACGTTGGACCCCAGGCAGATCCCGCCACATGGTCAGCTGCTTCTCTTTTCACAGAAATGGTGCTAACAATTGACAGAGCCTCATGGACGACAAGATCTCCCCGATCATGGACGCCGTCTTCGAATGCACCCTCGACATGATCAACAAGGACTTCCACGAGTATCCAGAGTTCCGCGTCGAGTTCTTCAAGCTATTACAAGCCATCAATCTTTACTGCTTCAATGCTCTACTTAAGCTCGATGGCCGACAGTTCAAGTTTGTTATTGACTCTTGTATGTGGGCCTCGAAACACGACAACCGCGAAGTCGAGAACACCGGTCTTGCGATGTGTCTGGAATTGGTCAACAACATGGCCGATACGACCGATCCGCAAATTTCCGGCATGTTCTTCCAGCAATTCTACATTCCCATCCTCCAGGACGTTTTTTACGTCTTGACCGACTCGGACCACAAGGCTGGCTTCAAGACCCAATGCATGCTGCTTGCGAGAATGTTCCAGCTGGTAGAGAGCGGCAAGATCGCTCAGCCTCTGTACTCCGATTCATCTGTCGCTCCTGGCACCAGTAACAAGGACTATGTCAGCCAGTTCACTGCCAATCTTCTTCAGAACGCCTTCTCGAATCTGAAAGAAGCTCAAATCACACACTTCGTTAACGGGCTCTTCCAACTCACGGACGACCCCAACAAATTCAAGACCCACATCCGAGACTTCCTCATTTCACTCAAAGAGTTCGCTGGCGACAACGCAGACCTCTATGCTGATGACCGTGAGCAAGAAAAGGCTGCCCTGGCTGCGACCGAGCGCGAGCGCAATATCAAGGTCGGAGGCCTCATCAAGCCGAGTGAGCTCGATGAGGATGAGCTGTGACTAGACCAAGAGTTTCGTGGCGAAATGCCAAAACAAGCATTTGATCATCGTACTGCCGATGCGACTCGAGTCGAGCATTTTGCCATGGAGGGCGACGAAGGCAACGACAGTCTCGACGATGCGTGGTTGTTCTACAAAGCTTGAACGGCTTCGGGCAACGCAGCATGCGACTTCGACACGGCAAGGCCTCCGAGATACGACCTTGTGCATGCAGCGGATGCACAATCTCGAGACCAGCAGTGACGCAAGCGGCACGGCCCTGTTCTTTTCTTACCAATGATACCAACAAAAGCGACAGGATCACAGAGGGCGCACGTAGACTTAGCGCAGGACTTGCTGCTGGTGCGGACTCGTTGGCTGCTCGAATTGACAGGCAGACCACTGGCAAAGTCCTTTGAGGCAGAAGCAGCTGGAGGCGCCTTTGAGCACGAGGAGATATGAAGTAGCAACAGGCAGGCGATCATGCGTTGCATGATAGAACAATCACGAAGACTCAAGGGCAAAAGTCGATCGATCTTACCATAGGCTTGAGTGCCTCTCGATTGTATCGCAAAGTACAAATTATGCTTGTTGTTAGTAGAGACTGTAGTACCTCACACTGTGAAACCATGCCGCTGGAGACGAGGCAACCACGCTTTTGTCAGCGACTCCAACTCTCGGCAGTGACGTTTGTGTTTGCCTCGTCGCATTGTTCTCCTACGATTCTGAGTGCGCTTCTACTCCTCTTTGGACCACATCCTCGACTCTGCACTGACCTGAGATCAGTGTATTTGCCATCTAGAAACAATAGGCGCTTCGGTCCCAGGAATAGAACACTCAAAGGGCTATTCTCCCCTCCTCTCCCGCCCGGAAGAGCGAAACTCCCTCCACTACCAACACGCGACTCTTCACGTTGAGATTCGCAATACACGAAGCAAGGTCTCTCTTCCACCTTTTGCGACAACCCGTGACAAACCCTCGAAGAGACCCTGTGCCTCGACAAACCAACGAACATGGCAACAAATCCTCCACCACCCTCAATCATCCGCCGCCAACCGGGCCCCTCCATAGCCACCCGCCAACAACAACACTCCTCCGACCGTGGGTCCGGCACCGCAACGCCTACGACAGGCTCCGCCACACAGACAATCACCTCTACGCCTACCTCTCCGCGCAGCACTTCGCCGAGTGAAGGCCCACCCCTCGTTCTGCGTCTGCGCGGCGCACACGATACTCTTCGACGACGTAGGCGAGGTCAACAACCGCATGAGCAGGGTCAGGGTACTATTAGAACGGGGATAAGATGGGCAGAAGATGTGGTCGATAACGAGGGGTTGGGGAGGAAGAGTAGCAAGGTGTGCTGTATATACCATAAGGCACGGGCGGTGGGTGAGTCTAGTAGCGAGGAGGATTCGAGTGATAGTGACTCCGATGCGAGCGGGAGTGATAGTCCTGGTGATGGGCCGAGGATGGTTGGTGGAGCGAGGGGCCGCAAGAGCAGAAGAAAAGGGCATAAGCACGAGCATGGGGATGACTGCGGAGATGGTCATGGCCATGGACATGGTAGTGGGAAGAAAAGGCCGAGTCCCAACGCGTATGAAAGGATGCCGAGGTATGGCAAGGCGCAGAAGGACGAGGAGGGCGGTGGGAAGGCGTGAGCATGCAGACTACGAACGAGATGATGACGAGTTGATGGAGGCATATTGAAGTCATTGACCTCGAGTTCAATCCTCGAGTTTTCCGCTAGGAACGCTACAGTACAGCCAATTCTAGATCCCACAAAAACGGAAAGGCAAGTTGCGGTCGTCCCTTCACTCTCTCCCTGCCTCCCAAAAGAGAAAATTGTCGAAAAGATTCATGAAGTCGTCCATTACCGGCTAATCTTTGCCCTTGCGCCTTCCTCACTATCATCTGTTGCCCCGTTCTCGTCCTCCTCGCTTCTATCCACCTGTCCACCTACCCGGTCATCTGGGAATATACACCTCAATCACATCACTAGATCTCCTGCGCAGGCCGTCGCTCGTATCAGATCCATTTTCGTGCTCATGTTCACTGCTGCCACACGCTGTGCCACTCTTGCCCATCATCTCGATTTTCTGCTGTAGGCTAAGCGCTGTATTTTTCTTTGGTCTGCCTCTTTTCCTCAGTTCGACGTCGACACTCCTACCATCAGGCTGGAGCTGGACGGGAGCTGATCTGATCTCCCGTAGACGTGTTCGGGGCTGGGTGGTGTTGGCTGGCGCCGTCGAGACTTGGGGCTTCGGAACGATCACGTACTCCTTGGTCCCAGGTTGGGATTTCTTGGGTGTCTTCCGTGGTTGCTCGCGAAGACCGTAGGTAGTTGGTTGGCGGTCTCGGTCTCGGGTTGCTGCTTGCAGCTCTTGCGACCAGCGAGATCTTCGTGACGGAGTATGGCTCAGCTCAGAGATTCTGTTGTGTATGGCTTGTCGAGGAGGCGTTTGTGCTTGGTCGCGCCGTGGGGCAGGAGACCGCTCAGTGGTGGCTGACTGATGCAGCTGGTCATGGTGATACATCAACCCCTCACGCGGTGTAATACCAGAAGCTACTGCGTAGCTTTGTGGTGGCGGACTAACCGCAATGTATCCATTCAGGTCCGATGATCTTCTGCAATACGACTGATTTGGGAACGATGTCTGCCAGAAACGCATGCTTTTCCGTCGGGACACTTTGGCACACGGTGCGGCCTCTGCCGTCTGAGTACTGGCCGGGTCTGGAAGAACCGCTGTTGGCTCATAGTCCGCATCGCCAGCATGATCATTATCATCAGAATCGACGACGTCTGAATGGCGAGTCCCCTAAACAACCATGCTCTTTCGCCGCGTTGCCCGCATTGATCCAGTCTGTACATTTTCGGCGGCCAGACTGACATTTCCAGTCTCGTTATCACTAGCATCTTCAACATCGCTGATGCTTCCGCTTGTGTTAAGGCTCAGGATACTGTCTGCTGATTCTCGTCGTCGAGGTCTGATACCGGATGCCGACGAGCTACGTCGTAAGGTCGTCGATGCGGTCCGACTATTCTGGATGGACTTTGTTTGATTGGCAATAATTGCAGACGGACGAGTGTTTGAGAAAGAAAGCCGTGCAGAAGTTGGTCTTGGTGGAACACCGACTGGCTGGCGGACGGACTGATCTTTCGAGCCTCTTGAGGTGCTCAGCCTACTCGAAGGCTTCGCCACGTCAATGATGTCTTCGGATGCCGGTGTCGTTCGACCTCCGTCAGTCCCTGGATACCCAGAAGTCCTTGATTCCGCTGGTGACGATGTCGGGTGGTCGAAGATGCTCAGACCAGTTGAACCAGGCTCGGCTTCAGGAGCTCCAGGACCCACAAGAAGTGATTGCTGGGCTTCGATGGAAGCCTCCGGTTGATCACCAGCGGCCCAGCTCTGGATGTCAAGCTTGCCTTTCGCGCGCTTCGCTATCGGTGCCTGCTTCTCATGTAGAGGGCTACGAGGCTCTTCTGATAACGCAGTAGTGCTGTTGCTTCTTTCATGACCCGCTTGCGCCCCAAGACTGCCCTCCCTGGCCTTTCTTTCGTAGCCCTCGACTGCACCAACGAGTTCTTTTCCAGGACGGCGCATTTTGTCTCTCAGATTGGGCTCAGCATAAGAAACAGCCGACTTCGCACGGCGAGACGCTCGACCGAGACTGCCGCTTAAAACCTCCTCTAAGCCATTCTGGACAATAGCTTCTTGCTTCACTCGTCGACCTGGTTGCGAAGGCTCCGATGGCTGCGGCGAGAACATGTCGTCAGTAAGAAATGGCGTTTTTGGCGCCATGTCAACATCCTCCGTCGGCTCAATCTTGATGTCAACAGATGGTGGCAGAGCAGGCTCAGATCTCTTGGCCTCTAGACGGCCGGTGGACTGTGGCCTCTTGCTCTGTCGCTCATCTGCCGCTTCTGGTCTGGAACGTTTCGGATCACTGCGTTGTGCAGATTTTTGCACCTTAATCAGATCGTTATTGTTCGGCTTTGCTGTGAGTTTCGAATCTACGGTCTGCTTCGTTGGGGAGTTTGTGCTCTTCGGAGCAAGTGCCAGTCGTTCCTTCGACGGTGAGGATGCTTGTCCGGATACGACGCTTGGCACTTGTCGGTCTTGTGGTCGCGTGAACCTGTTACTCTTCCTCGAAGTGACGATGGGCTTCAGGACTGGCTTTCGCTGAAAGACGAATTCTTCAGCTGTTTTGTTGTCCTCTGCCCCAGGTTCGAGAACATCTGCGTCAAGCTTCCGCTTCACGGTTCTCCTAGAAAGCTGTGTATCGGATTCTGACTCGAGCTTGTCAGTGCCATCTGCCAGGTTCTGAGGCGTTTCCAGGTCTGCAACCAAACTGCTAGTCCTTCGCTTCCGACGTCGTTCGATATTCTGAAGCATTGAATCCGAATTGATCTCAGGAGGCGGAGCAGTCATGTCCTGCACTGATTCGAGAGTTGACTCTATTGATACCTCGATGGGCGCGGATTCCTTGGGCGACAGACTCATTGAAGCGCTTTCATAATACTCATTCTCTGGTTGAGCATCTTCCACTCCAATCGAGAACCGGTTGACAAAGCGATGCTCATCGAGGCGTGCTAGACGTTGTTCTGCGTCTCGCAGACTTGGTGGATTCTGAACTTGAGCCTGCCATATATCTTTCGTTGGACTGCTGACAAAATTTTTGAGACGACTTTGCCTCCGTTCTGATCGTTCTCGTTTGCGAATTTTTTGTGGTATGTCGCCGAATTGTGCAACCAGTGAATTTATCTCAGCCAGCTTTTGTTGCAGCCCATCTCTCAGTACCAAGATCTCGGTGCTCGCTAGATCACTCCTTCGATATCGGTCTAGTTCGCTCTCACAAGTGATCAGCCTCTGACGCAGATCGGCATTTTCGACAGTAAGCTTTTGTAGCTGCTCGTCGAGGTTTCGGACTCGAATGATTTGAGCGGCATGCGCGCGAGTCAGGTCTCGGTTCTTGCGTAGAAGAGATCTCTTGATCGCTTCGTGGTTCTCTATGATTTGTGGCGGCTCGTTCAATCGTGCCATGTTCGAGTCGCATGGCAGCAAGTGCGGTGTAGCAGTGATGTTGCAGTGTAACTCAATGGCGTCTCGCTGTTTTTCCTTGACGGGCCGGTGAAGAAGATGTTGTCTCTATTGTCCCAGTCGTCAGCGCTTCGCTGCTGGGTCGGCTTGGAGTGATCAGGTTCGACAGATCGGCAGATCAAAACAAACTTCTAAGCCTGATCTAGGGCCTTGGCATCGGACGCGCCGGGGTTATCGCGTTACCCCGCGGCCATTCACGAAATCAACGGACCTGATGAAGAGTCGTGGTCACTGATAATCATTCCATACCGTTGAGGATCTGTTGAGGCTCAGGTGCCGCAAGCGAAGGTCCGAAGCCTCACAGAAGTGTCGTGGTTGGCGCGGCGCATCTTGCACCTTCACGCGCATCAGCTGCGCTCACCAAAATGTCGTACGCATCTCGCCAATCGATTCTGCCCTCATCGAGACAGTCGACATTCGGTCTAGGAGGCAGCACTTCCTCGAACAATGCCCTACAACAAAGGATCATACAGAAGAGAGCCGAGCTAGAAAACCTCAAGCAATTACGAGATCTCAGTGGCAACCTTGCAACTCAGATGGCAGAGCTCGAGTCCAAATTGGCGACTCTCCGAGATGGTGCAGAGGCAGTCGCGTGCGTTCTACAGAACTGGGAAGGAGTGATGAGTGCTATCAGCATGGCAAGCACGAGGGCTGCGTCAACGTTGGTCCCCACGGGAAAGAGCAATGGAGCGAGTGCTGAGCCCGAGTTGCCAGTCACTTTGGTACGCATACCGGTAGGAGACACCGATGGGAGCAAGCAGCAGCCAGCTACATGAGCATAGTGCCGCTCTGAGCGGGTGTCGATATCTCGTGAACTGGTCAAGCTCGGTCAAACACCATAAGGCACCTTGCGAGCGCGGATCGGATCATCGAACACCTCTGGCGGTTCACAACATTATTGTAGCTTCTTCGACGAATCTCAGAAGCCTGCTCAAGGACGAACTTCTAGCACGGCCCACTCAAAGCCTCCAGGTGTGGCCATGCATGGAGGGTTTGAGCCTTGAAGTCCGCCCAGGATTCTGACTTCAATCACGCCATCCCGAGACTTGATTACGGAATCATTCCATTGGCTGCTGTACGCGGGGAATACTCGTAATCAAAAGCGCACACCGAGCGTAATTCTCTGCCCTTGAGACTCCCACAAAGCCGCACAACACCGATCGAGACTCGGCCAAATCACGATACAGCAGTGCAGAAGGCAGACCTTGGCAACTTGCTTCTTCGCCAGCAAACGTCAACCTCTGCAGACTACCGTCTTCCACGTCGAAGTGCGCCACTAACTTCAAGACTGTCAGAAGCCAAGCAGCAGTTCTCATTCGCCGGCGAAATCGGCCTCCACAGCCTACCCGGTCAGAGTCACAGGCAGCAACGGGGTCCAAGACCGGCTGAGGTCGAAGGGCAGTTCTCGTGCCACGGCAACTTCAGCCGCGATGTTCACTATGGCCCACTCGACCCTGCAGGAAAACCTCAATGCGTACAACACACGGCCCTCAAGGACGGTTGCCCGACCCACCGACCGTGGTCGAGACAATGAGAAAAGCCTTGCGGGCGCCGCCCCTGCAAAGATCCCAACAAGCAAATTTCTGGCCAAGGGGCGAATGCGACTCGGAGTGTGGCGTGAAGTAGGAGGAGACATGCAGTAAATCCCACGCGGTAACTACCATCTCCATGGAAATGGAGCTAGTCATGACCTCTTCCCTTGCCTGATGAAGCTGCTTGACGTTCCCGATGACCAGACCTCGCCACGCCGTGTCCATCTGGTGAATACCGCTTTCAGCAGCTTCCAGGCGTGTTTGACTTTCGCACCGCAGAGCACACATATATAACGACACGCGGCCATTGAAAGTGAGCCTCAAGGGTCCCCGACACTTTGCGGGGCACCGTCTGCATTGGCAGTCTGTCCGGCGTGCCGTGCCAATCGTGCGCCTGTCCCGTTGAAGTGACGAATGACAACTCGAAATGATCCCTCATTTCGGCCTTTCGACAGTGGAGATCGTTGGCAAGCTGGCTCTGAGCCGCTGCTCTTCTTCTGCCGTAGGTTGACTTTCAGAAATTCCTCAATCTCGTCGGAAAATTGAAGAGCAAGGCCAGCGTTCACCATTAGGCCCAGCCCAAGGAACAGGCGAGTTTTTGGCGAGAGTGCCTTGTATGATCTGCTTGCGTTAATGCCTTGAGACTTAGAGAGTTTAGAGCGTTACGTACGACCACACCGGCAGCGCCATTCGGCCCAAGGCGCAGCAGTTGATCCAGATTTTGGTGTTCGCACGAAAATGGTGGCGAATGGACACTCGCCCAAAAGCCAGAAGGTGGAATTGGGCACTGATGGGCAAGAAGCTTGGAGAAAGGACCTTTGGAAGTTGACAGCTCGACCCCTGTGGGGCGAACACTTCATTTTGAACCAATCATCAGCTTCCCGTCGTAGGGCAAAACAAGGCAACCGCGACCGCTCGCGCTCTCTTCTCTTCTCCCGAGTTGCCTTCACATCGCGGACCGTCGCGAAAAGCAGGTGCCACTGCCGCGACTCAAAGCTCTTGCAACTCACCACTGTTCAAGTTCCCACCTCTGCATCCTCGCTGTGCGTTATCATAATGCTTGGAACTCCGACAGATTCATCTACGCGTCAGGGCTCGTGTCTCATCAGCTCTTCGATTGAGTTGCATGGATATGAACTGGAGATGTTGCTGGGGAGTTCGAGTGTGCTCACAATCACAGTTTTGCAGAACTACCGCCAACGCCTCCCCGATGACCTGCCGATTATGCGTGGGCGAGCCACTCATAAACAAGGCAATGGCTCGCAGTGTCTCAAGGAACTTCGAGAACACTGCCAGCTTCTGACATGTGACCAACTGCGCCCACCATAATGTCTCTTTCCGAGCCTTATAACGACTTGATCTTGCTGATGGAGGTGCAGTACATGGACTGGATTCTATCTTCATCTCGATTGCTGTTTTGCCCTTTCGATTCCTGTTTCCGTTCTTCAAATATGGCAGATGTGGATCGTCGTCCTCGTGCTCCCCTACCAGGGAGTTCGAGACCACCAAGCCTCCCGGGAGACACCGATCAGAGGCCCCCGGAGCCATCACGATCCACTAAACCTTACCGTGCAGCGCGACCTCCTGTTTTACAGGCTAGACAAATTGAAGGTCCAGGCATGGACAACAATTCTCGGCAGGAGAATGACTTCCTGGAACAGCGTGAGGACGTACTAGAGAAGCTACATACATTCCAGGCCCCATACGAAGGTCTCGAGTCGTTATTCTCGCCATTTGAGAACTATACTACACGTGCTGCACGGGCGACATTCAAAGATGGCCGAATGCTAGCCGAACTTCGAGACGATGCTGCAATCATCAACCTACTGTCGGGCTCATATTCCTCGCTGGAGCTGATACGCCACAGGTGAGGAGGCCGAATCTTTGTTAGATGTTTACTGACACAACCCCAGGTCAATCAGAACGAGGCTAACGCGATGACAGACGAGGTGCCCGACCAGAAGCTGGCCCTTTGGAGGCTGCATACAGCTGGTGCTCTGCTCACAAATTTCAGCGTCCGAAAGGACATGACTGTGCATGCAGTAGACAACACTGCTGCGGTCGTGGATGCTTATCGACGTCGTCGAAGCGGCGAAGGATTGTTTGTCGACCCTTCTGTGCCATCAAGAGCTTTGTCTCATCGCAGGAAGCCCGATAGGCTTGTCACCATTGACAGTGACAACGTCCACATCGTTCGAGACCTCTCCAACCAGAAATGGGATCTCGAAGCCGTGCTGATCGAGGTCGACCAGTCCAGCCTGATGTCGCTGATCTCAAATTACCAGCAAGTGATCAGGCGCGGTGGACCAGACCTGCCTATGGCGGAAACCTTACAGCTACTGGACACCCTTATCGAGGATGCGCGTCGTTTGTGTATACGCAGTCCAGTTCTGTTCCGCATGTCGACCAGGAAGCTCATCGTGGCCAGCAAGAACACACGCTATGGCGTCGACGACGGTGTTATGTTCAAGACTCTGACAACATCGACGGGCATCAGAAACATCCTAGAACTCAGCGCTTCGTACTACAATTCGCTGCCGGATTCAATACAAGGCTCATCCGAGAGACAGCAGGTCCGAGCGGAAGTGAGACCTCGCTTCCTCCAAATGGTCGTCCTTCTGCTGGCTCTCCTCAATGACAGTAAGTCCATTGACTGCATCCGTTTCCACTTTTCTGTTCACTACCTGTATCCACCGCCTTTGTACACCACCTCTACGCATCTCACCCCTTAATCATGACCTCGGTCCTCCCACAACGTCCATAATGTCGCGATCCAGTCACTGACCATTCTTCGCAGATGACCTTAGACAGCTTGAAGCTTTCCTTGAGACTACCTTCCGCATTAAGGCGGATCGACAGAATCTAGAGCTCTTGATTCTGAAAGTCTTGCCTCTGTCGTCTATCAACTCCAGGATCTTCCTTCATGCCTTGGTGACTGCCGTCGACGGCCCTCTGGTCAGACCATCGCAGCATGAGGACGATCAGCGAGAGATTTGGAAAGCTTTTCTAGGGCATATTCTGCAGCTTGGCTATGTCGTGCCTGGTAGCATCGACGAAGTATGTGGACCTGACCACTCATGGATAATTACTTGGCCCGGGGACGGTCTCAAGGACACAAACATCTTCCGGAATCTTCAGTACAACGGCGAGTCACGAACCATAAATGAGATCCCCCGCGTGGACCTTAATCCAGAATTTGCTGCCGGTGCGGAGCTGACTGTCATTCTTGCCAATGGCGTCCGCTTTGTCATCGCAAGCGCTGATCTGGAGAATATCATCCGAATGAGTCCTGGTCGGTACTCTGTCAACGAAGCTCGCAGTGGTGGACGGTCTCTCGATCTGGATATTGACGACACTTGGGTGAATCAGCCTTATTCCGAGCAATTGGGGACATCAACAACATACTTGGCCTCATCAAGTCGATCTTGCCCCACCGATCGACTTCAGTCGTGCTCTTCGATTCCGTCTTTCGGCCAGGGCGATCCAAGTACGACGACTCCACACTTGCAGAGATTCGTGGATGCGGGCGTCTCACTTATCACTGCGCTCGACTCAATGGGGAGTGCCTTGCAGTCACCTATAAGATCGACGGTCGAGCTATTGGACGGAGGGAGCTCCTCAGGCTGCTTCAGGGGGACCTCAGCAAGATCGATGTCATGGTCAAAGCAGTACAGACTACACTGTCGACTGCATATGACGGCCGCAAGACCAGCCAAAACATCGCAAGCACATTGTTTCGTTTGCAAGAAGAGCTTGCCGCCGTCAACTGCTATGTTGAGGAGGCCAACCGGCGCAAAATGCAAATGCTCAGATACGAGGCATCGCTCCACACTGAGCCTGTCGCCAAAGTCCTGTACCAAGTGGGCGCAAGGGACACGCAGATTGCGCTATGGCGAGAGTACTGCATGTGGCACCAAGCGAACGAGAATGTGCTATACGTCGACAGCGAACGTAGAATGGTCAAGGATGTCCGCTGGACAGAGGAACAAACCTTGGTGGTCACGTTCCACGATGTACCTCACATGCAGTACTTTGCCACGCCACTCAGCAAGGTATCTGAAAGTGAGATTGGAGAGCAGTTGAAAATTGGCGATCATGTGCTGCTCTGTGGACAGTATATGTGCATCGTCGAGCAAAGCGGCGAGAGCTATCAACCTACCGGCCTCGCACCTGGTGACGAGGCAATTTGGCGAAAGAATTTGCAGGTGCCAATTCGACAGCGACGACCTGTCGCAAACAATGTGCTCAACTACGATTCGCAGCCACCGCCACCGCAGCAGAGGCGTGTTCCACAATCGCTTCGACCTGGAAGTCACCAGCAAAGGTCTTTTGCGATCCGCAATCCTACAATACCGGAGCTCGATACCGAAGCAGTCTATAGTGAGGCAAGGGCCCAGCAGCAAGCTTTCACACATGCTCAACAACAGCGTCAGCAGTACCAGCATCAGCGATATTATGCCATTGCCCAAGATCAATCACAAACTCCAGTCCAGTCAAGTCCCTCGTCACATAACAGTACCGGCAGTCCGGGCAGCGCCAACTCTGATTCCACTTCCAGCAGCGACTACAGCCAGCCTGCAGCATCGCCAACTTCCAGGCCACGTGCACCGACCAACAGCACTTACAGGCCGTCCCAGTCCCACCAAGCCAGGGTCCTCCTCATCAGCAATCACCACAGCACCACTCGTCCTACTCACCGCGGCAAGCGCAAACATCTCAACAGCAATACCAATGTCCTCCACCACCCACTCAATTCCAACCACCCCAACAGCGTCAGCCCCAATACCTCCGACCCCAAGCCACCATCCAACAGCACCAGCAGCAAGACGCCGCAAACACGTACGTCACCCGACCGCTGGAGATGGTGGTCAACTGGCTACGAATCACAGGTGTTGATACCAGGGGCCCTGCGGCGCCCAGAGGTGCGAATCGCAGGGCCGGGCCAGGGAGGGTCCGGAGCTATATACGATAGGATGTGACGGCGCGATATGCTTCAAGTGCGCGCCAACATGCGCAAACTTTTCTGGACTTAAATATCAGATCATGTGCGCTTGATCTACTCTCTCGTGTTTCCTGGGTGACCTAGAAAATCCATGAACAATCATTGCTCACGCCTTGATCAGTCTTGAGTCCTCATGATGAACGTTCAAACATTCGATGAGTATTCTATCACGTGCTCTTGTACACGAACTTCTCCTCAGACCATAAATACTGATTCGTGTGCCACGTCAACCGGTTTGGTCATGGCTCTACGTGGGACCGGATGACAAGGAACCCCGTCGCACCTACAACCTTCCTGTCCCATCTCTTGATCAGATTACGGCAGCAGGAGCAGGTAGAGACCACTCCTTCCGGATATCGCTGCCCTATTGAAGCCTCGGGGGGGGGGAGGCGCTCCGCATGGAAGGTGCCGAGCACTGACCTGTCAACCGGTCTAGACAAATTTACTTACCAGACCGATTGCATGGAGGTTTCGGCGTTGCAGCACGTTGACTGCGGGGCCCACTTTGCAAATCGTCTCAGAGATGCCAATTCGCCTTCTCTTATGGACGAGTGATTAGGGAGGAGAAGCGTCCATTCAAAGGCGGAAAGTCGACCTTTCTGGTGGCGGCTCTGGGGGTGGTGCTGAGGGTCTTGGGCGTTACGTAGAAACTGATACTGGAGACGAAGCAGCGAAAAGATGGATTACCGGCCAAGGGTGATAAAGGTATCCGAAGACCATATCCCGCCTCGTCATGTCTGCAGCCCGGTCACCCATCCAAGTCAGCGCTACCAGCTAACTCGCCCCAATATCCAACACCTCCCCCACTTTGGTCACTAACCAACCCTCCTAAACAGCGTATCATCCACCCTTCCTTCCTCCCTTCTCCTCCCCTCGTCCCACGCATGTTCGCCTTGCTCCTTCCCCTCCCTCCCAATCCACCACCATCCCCCAACCCACCCTTCCGCCCGCTCAAAACACTCATACTTCCTCCTCTTGCTCTCCTCCGTCTTCAGCCACGGATCCGGGAACTGTGTCCACCCGTGCATCTCCCCCTTCACTTCAACCACTTCCAGATCCGCGCCGCGTCCTTCGTGCCTCATTTTGGCGACCCATGTCTGTGACTGCTGAGACAGGGAGTCCAGTTCCGGAAGCACCAACAGCATTCGTGCTTGCGGATGTATTTGGCTAGCTGGTGCCAAACCAGGAGAAGCCCTGGGGTGGGCGCGCTGGGCTTTGGGGAGGTATTTCGGCATTAGTTCGCTCTCGATTTTCAGGCTGGCGAAGAAGCCTGTTGGTGGCTCCAAGCCGCTAGGCCGCGGGCGCTCGTCAGGGAGTAATCTCGCATCCAGAGAGGGGTAGAACAGCAGGACGGGGATTGGAGTCGGGTGGTCTTGCGGGATAACACACGGCCAGTCGCGTCCATTGCCGAGTGTAGGGTCGTTCGGGCTCGAGAGGACGAGGTTCAAAGCCAGATTCCCGCCGGAGGAAAACCCGGAGAAGGCGAGTCGGGATGTGTCCAGCTCGATCCACTCTGTGCGCCGCATGTCCGAGACGTGCCGACGGATATCCTCGCGGAGGACGCGGCCGGACATGCTATCGGGATTGAGGACGGCGCGGACGACGTCCTCGGCGTCTTCATTTGCGGCGGGGAATTTACTGTAGGGTCCCAAGCGGTAGTCGACGCTGAGGACGACGCAGCCGTTTGTGGCGCCCAAGGTGCGCGCCATCTGAGCGCAGAAGGAGGCTTGTTCGGAGGGGGAGCCGAGGATGAAGCTGCCGCCATGGAAGTCGATGAGGACAGGGAGGTTGAGAACTTTGCGCTTGTGGCGTTGCCACCGTTGAGCGACAGGAGAGGAGGTGGTGGGCAGTGGGGAGGGGGGTGGTCGTTGGCTGGGCCGTTGCATGTCCATGCTTACAGGGCGTGGCTTGTCCACGCTGGAGCTGCGTTGTCCGGGAGAGGGCGGGCTGGCGGGGTAGTGGTCAGGCACGGTGAGGTTGACCATTGAGGAAAATGGTTTCCGGCCTGAGATGTTCAGGCGGTGGTCGAATTGTTGGTCGAGTGGAGTCGCGTCGTCGTACAGATCGGGGTCTTCATCACGGCTCTCCGTGTGGCGCTGTGTTTGCTGGCCTTTCTCGTCTTTGGTGACATTTAGACTTGCTTTTCGTGGACGATGACGGTGGCCACGGAGTGGACTCGGAAATCTTCTACCGCGACGATCCTCGGCGGCGGCAACGGCACTTGCTGCGCTAGGCCGATCTCCGTCTTCTGGTACAGGCATCGTTTCGCCACCATGATGGTCATCTGGCAGCACCAGGAAGATGTGAACAGGGATGTTATACTTGTTCGGCGGAGATGGGGGCAACTTAAGCACGAACGGTCTTGGCCCCTGTGGTGATATGTACCGTGAGGTGAGCGATGATGGGACTATCCGTGGCAAGGAGACAAGTGCTTTACGCCAAGTAGTGCCGAAGGATTGGGCGAACACTGATGTCGAGGCTTGGAGAAGAGACGGGTCTTTCGAGTGGGTAGACGAAGGTCTGCTGCTCGATGTTGATGGTGGGCGAGGTGAGATGTCGCGACGGGGAGTGCGCGGAGGTGTTGGCGGTGGCAGCTCGTCGGTGTAGAGTCCTGCCATTCTTTGCGTTGATCGAGAGTTGATTTTACGACATGAGCGAGCGATGTGTCGGTGCTTCGTATCGCTCAACAGGCACTCTTGGGAAAGTGGCTTCGCGGGCTGAGATTCCGATATTCGATTCCACTTGTACGCGAAGTATGCTACCGCGCTGGATTGTCGCCGCGACGGATTTCCCAGCAGAAGACACCTTTCCCCAACGATGTGATAGTCAACTTCTCCGGTCTTCGCAAACAGATTCAACTCCAGAGGTCGTTGACCGGAAGGCGGTACCGACCAAAGCGAGCAAGAAGTCCTTGCCTTGTTTGATCTCGAATCACCGCTCTTTTCGGCTCACCCGCGATGTTGTGGTATCAGTCCCTCTTCCCCACCAAGATAGCTTACATAAAATTGCCTGTCTGGCCTCGGAATGTTGTGAATTGCTGAGTCACGGTACCGTTACTTCTTCAACACGAGTACAGTTGAGCTTGGCGTCCAATGTCGTCTTTGATCTCAATTGTGAAGCGGGTCGGGTACAGTGAAGTGAGAAGCCTTGTGTGATGCCCTGGGGTCGGCGGGTTGGTATCCGCTCCAATATGTATCCAAAGTATCAAGATCTCGCTAGATCGGATCCTTGACTGCTTAAGGTGCTTAGCTGCGTTCAGGAACAGAAGAACGGCGTTACGGCAAGGAAGCCTTTTCCATTTCCTCCAAACAGCTTAGTGTGCTCTCACTTGCAGTATGCAGCGCGGTATCATCCTGGAAGAAGCTTGGACGGGACAGGTACGGCGGGCTGTGCCCTTTTGATTTCCAACCTGGAGATTATGTCATCTTTCATTGGAAAACTTGAGGCTCTGTGCAGTGAAGAGGGGACTTGGACAGAGTTCGAGCCAACGTCAGTTTCAGCTGGTCTAGCAGAATCGGAAAAAGCTGGAAAGGTAGATGTGAGGTAATGTGTACGTACATCGTCCGTATTTGAAGATGGGTGACATTTCTCAGGAGGCTGCTATGGGTTACGGTGGGACACGCATAGCATCGCATACGATCGACGGTGTGGATGAGTATCATGTATAAAACTGCGAAAAATACACAGTATTGTGATCGTGTTTCGAGTGCCGTGCGAGGCACTCCCCGTCTACGTTCATATTTGTTCCTGCCGAACATTCCTTCTTTTCTTTTCGTCATGACAAGTAAAGAGGCAGGCTCCGCCCAGCGAGACCCGACTGCCTGATCACACACCGTTCATGCCCTCGCAACAACCGCCTCCATCCCCAACCGCGCCTTACACTCCTCACAATACCACTTGGCACTCTTCGGCACGCTCTTAAGCCCAATACAATCCAAGTGGAACCACTCCCTTGCACAATCATCCGAATCACAGGCCACCATCTCTCCATAGCTGCCCATTTGGCAATAACAGTAGCGCTCCTCGTCGTCTTCCTCCTCTTCTTCGGCTTCCACATCGCCATCAATGTCTCCATTCTGAGCGGCGGCGTTGATGTCTTCCCGCGCTGTTGGTGGCGGAGCTCCAGCTGTCGCCAAGGGGGCCGGAAGCTCATTAGTGTTGTAGATGCCGGAGTTGGTGGGTTCGGGTGAGCCCTCGAGAGCATTGCCGTCTTCGAGGAAGGGTGCGCTGCTTGCGGCCGTCTCGTCTTTGGCTTCTGGGTCATCGAGGTCCAGCCCGTCTTCGTCAACGTCCATATCGACATCATCGACGTCGTCCTCTGCTGGGGCGGCTCTGGCTGATGTCCGACCGTCCTTGTCATTTCGTGATCTGGACTGCTGCGACGACTTTTGTCTGCTTCGCTGTCGGCTGGCTGGCCGCGGCTGAGATCTTGGAACGTCCCCACCCAATTCAGCAGGATCTTCATCGTCCGACATCTCCGCATCGATAGGCGTCGCAATGCCGCTTCTGCTGTTCACGGACCTGCCGCTATTGCTTCGCTGCAGACGACCATCCATCGAGCTCTCCTCCTTGAGTCGCTGCGGTGCGCCGTTACCCTGAGAGCCGCCTAGTGTCACGATACTGCCGCTTTTCTTGTGCAGTCTCTTGGGCGGCAGGCCTTTCGGCGACAGTGAGTCGTGCAGGCCGTCATACTTGGGTCGTGGCCGCGCAGGTCGTTTTGCTTTTGCAGCTGCCGTGTTGCCATTCGCACTGGTGCTGACGAGTGCCTCGGCTTCGCTGAATGTACCACAACAGGTGTGCTTGTCTTAGAAGCACGGCCTCTGCCACTGCGATCCAGCCCTGCGGTGGAAAGACGTGGTGAGCTGCCGCCTTTGGTCGATGCGTTGTCCGCGTCTCGTGCCTTGGAAGCAAGCGTAGGGTACGGTTTGCCTGCGGTGTCGGAATCTCTTCTTGCTCTGTCGGCCAGGAAATCCTTCGCCATTGCTGTGGCCACCTCCAACTTCCTGTCTGCCGCTGCCTTTTCCGTGGTGACTTTGCCGGCTGCCGTGCCTTTGGAGCTTGAAGCGGCCGCATTGTTGTTTGCAGTGAGTTTCCCAGGTGCTGCATTCTTTGATCGAGCATGCGGTTCGGTCTGCGTAGAATTCTGTCGAGCTCGTGCAGATACTGGCTTGGCCGCTGCGAGCGCCGGGCTCCGTTTGTAGGCGTCTTTTGGGAACGTGGATGCTAGAGGAGAGGAGGCAAGTCTGGGCGAGTCAGCTGCTGCATTGACTCTGCATCTTGTGGTCAGCATATCTTCCGTTAGTGAGGAAGAACAAACATACCTTTTCCTCGCAACTGCTCCAGCTCCCGCAGGCGCCTTCCTCTTCTTGGTGCCATCCTGCTGCGAGGGCTCTCTAGACATGGCTCTCGCACCCACAGCAACGCTCAGCGATTTTTCCATGGCAACTGCGCCGGCTCGTGCGCCCTTCTTGCCTTTGCCAACTGCGATACCCAACCCAGCAATTTCTGACGCGCTGTCGTTGGCTCTAGTATCCTCTCTTACGAGGTTCCTCTTCTTGCTGTTCTTCGGATCCACGCTCCCACCATCCATCTGCGCCAAGCGATCAAGTCTCTGCTTTGTCTTTGCCGCTACAGCCTCCCTACGGCTCTCGCTCCTTTGAGCAACCTCGTTTTCGTGCATGATGGCCAAATTGTTGTCTCGACGGGAGGTACCCGTTGCAGTGCCCTTTTTCGGCGGGTTGATGTCAGTGAGAGCCAGTGCTTCAGACTGCCCAATCTTGCTTCCTCCGAGATTTCGTCCGCGATGTGAGGCCATACGGTATTGAGTCGGCGGATGTGGTGGGTGAGCTCTTCGTTGGCGTTGTTGATGACATGATTTTTCTCGTCCATAGTTTGCATGTTGTGGGTCAGATTCTGGCGTAGTGCTGCAAAGACCTGTCTGCGCTGTAGGGAGACGTGGCTGGCGGTAGACACTTGTGACGCGCCATCGGCGACTGCGCCTGCGATGCTGTTGGTGGCACTGATCTGTGTAGGATCTTCAACTAGATTAGTCGTCGATGGTGCAGCGCTGTAGGCGAACGTCTGCGGCAACGGTAGCGTGGGCTGAATAGCGTTGCATTGCGTGAGGAGAATCTGCAAATGTTCTTCTGGCTGCCACGCTTTTGCGTCCACCTCTTTCAGCAACGATACGTGTCGTCGGACTTCGCGAGGCAGGGCGGCAATGGCATCGGTAAAGTACTGAATTGCAGGGTAAAAGCCATGCGGTTCTGGTCCATCCTGCGCAGTTGGTGGCTGCAGGGAATTGAGAGAGTACTGTCGCAGACTTGATCCATTCGTCTTGGAGGTACGTGTGGGATTCGTGCGAGTTGTTCGCGCAGTGCTGCGCATGCTGGACGTGCCTAACGCCGGAGCGTAGGTCGTCGCCATCGTGGCTACAACAGGGAGCTCTGCCGGGGCCTCAGTTGGAGTCCAATTCGTGGCATATAAGTGGTGGAAACCGAGCAAAAATTTAGTGACCGACTAAAGTGCCTGACGACAGCGTTCTCGTCGCTGCTGGCAGCGTGTGACGGGTCTGATCAGGTGAAAAAGCGTCGACAGCGTGTCCGATCGCTTGTTAATGGAGGAGCAGCGCCGGCCGGATCAAGTCTTTCTCCGAATTCTACGTCACCTACGCCAAGAGGCAGTGAACGCGTCAAGTCACTGGCAGTGCCAGGCTGTTCGGGCATGAATTGGGCGTTTTCAGCGAGACAGTTGAACCTCACGATTTCTGGCCAGGGCGGGCTCTGAGGGCTGGAACTGTTTTGTAAATCGAGCCAGGAAGTCTGGGAGGAGCCTCACCTGAGCTTCAAGTCGCAGAATCAATCTATCATGAATTTGCCTGCCAGGGAGGTCGCTGTAAGAAATTTGGCGTGAGGTATGTTAATGATAGAGAAAACGCTCATGTCTTGTTCGAACAGCTTGAGTGCTTATCAAACTCGGAGCAAAGAGAGCCGAGAGGGCAAAAACGACTGGTTCGAGCTATTCGTCAGAGAGGCTCGCACAAAGAGCAGTTCATAGCATCAGTCGCTTGCCAGCAACGATACTGCTGCACCTCGACAAATGCCAATCACCATCGCTAGCACACCCGCGGTTGCTGAGGGATATCATTAAGCCAACGTGAAGTCATCCCAACCCGTACAATCCCATCAAAGTCATCACAACCATCCATCGTCCTTCTGCGGCAGTGCACTAATCCCAACATCAAAAGCAATCTTTGGCGGCGCCTCTTCTTTCTTGCCTTTGACAGGACTCTTCTTGGGACTACAGCTCCCATCTCTCGGCGTCCGGACCGCACGTCTTCCACCGACACTGATCTACCTTTGCTGCACGAACCCACACCTTCAGCCCATCGTGTACACCACCGTAAAACTTCTCTTTGCATGTGCGAAGACTTCCGCCCATGACCTTCTCGAAGCCGGACTGTTTCAGTGCGTCGCGAAGCTCGTTTCTGCCTTCCACCGATGTGACGGAAGCAATCAGGCCGTTCATGAGGTCGAGATGGTTGGCAAGGTACTGCGTTGCGTCCCACTCGACGCCGCCAACGTATGGTGCTGCCGGATGAGGGGGGCGCGGCGCTGGAAAGTGTGCTTCCGCGTAGGTCAGCTCTAGGTTGCTGTTTTGTAGCACTGGGACGACATTGAGATGGTGTAAGAAGATCCAGAACACTTCCTTTGTGACGTTGCTGACTTCTTTCTGCCATACGCGGTACGGTCGGGATGTATGCATCTGGGACACAAACTCCAGCGTTTCCTTGCTCTGGTCAGGTACAGGGTCCTGAAGGTACTTGAGGATCTTCCGAGCTCGTGCCTCGAGATGGCCAGATAGCTGGCTCCTGGCAGCACTGAGATGAGCGAAGAGTAGAGAGATGATGACTCCTCGTGTAGTATACTCAGATGGTCCCTTCTTTTCAGGATCAAACAGCATGGCCAATATGCAAGGAAAGAACTCGTCCTCGATCTGCGAGAACCGTTCCATCGCCAGATCAGTCGTACACAGAGCTTTCAGACAGAGCAGCGTCTCATGAAGCAGGTTGTCCTCATGCTCCTCGCGCCACTCGACTTGGCTGATCCGGTATAGGAGCTGCACAACCTCGAGCATTCCACCCTTGAGCACGAATGTATCCGTCCATGTCACTGATTCATTTCGCAGAAGTATTCGTAGCTTGTGCAACTTACCGACTTCCACGAGTGATGGCTTCTGTACCTCTCTAAGGTAGTGGATGAAATCACCAGGCGTGGTCGCGCTATCAGGAGCGGCCAGAGATGCTGTCGATCCAGTGGACCCTAACGACCGAGACGAAGTAGGACGAGATGAGCTCATGTCCACCGACTTGGGCCGAGACTTGCTACGAGATCGTAATGAGCTGCCGGACGACGATTTCTCCTTGTCTTCTTTCGTGGGCGATCCTGGAGCGTCCCGCTTCGTTAGGGTCAAGATGCGACTCCGGGTCCTTGATCTTGACCGTGGTCGTTTACCGTCTTTGGCTTCGCCATCCTCGCTCTTCGGACGCTCGTCAACCTTCTTAGTAGGACTGCGCGATTTCCGCTCATCACCAGATGCTGGTGTGTTGCTAGAGTCGCCGCTGCCAACGCGCTCACCCCTCATAAGAGCGGCCTTGAGCTCCGGCTTCAGATTCCGCATGGTGTCTCTCATGTTGTGCGGAATGTTTCTTGCGTCGAGCACCTTCTCAAAAGCGCTATCCAGTTCTTGTGGACTCAGAGGCTGTGCCTGCTCCACGACAGGTGTCGATGGTGCCGTGTCTCGCGATCGCTTGTTCAATGTGGCGATTGCGTCAAGGACCCTCGACGATCGTTTGCTCTTTTCGGGACTCTTCTGCTTCTCTTCACTGACCTTCGAAGATTTCTGCTCTTTCTTCGGTGACAAGCTCTCCTTCTTCGGCGAGGGAGGTACAAGAGGTGACGAACTGGGTCGACTGGAACTTTGATCTCTGCTCTTCGGCCGCTGCAAGGCGGGCACGTCATCGTCCAGATGCTCGCTGAAGACGGAGCTTCGACTAGAGTTCTGGTGCTGCAGGAACGGCCGTTGTGGAGGCTTGTAGTCCAACGAAGAGGGTGCATAGCCGTGGAAGTTTCTTTGCTCGGCTGGCCGAAACTCCGAGTAGTCTCTGGGCGTGTACATGGAAATCTCATCTTGGGTGCTCCGGCCCTCGGATCCTGGGAACTGTACAACGCCATTCCGTTCTTGTGGCTGCGTAGCAAATTGCTGCCAAATGGGCGTTGGCTCAGCAGGTCTGCTTTTTGTTGGCGAGATGTTCTCTTGGTTCCGTGGTGGCTCCTTCAGGTCCTTCTTAGATCGCTTCCTCAGCAGACCTGCAAGATTTGTCGAGGATTTAGTCTTCTTAGGACTCTTGGTAGGCGATGCCATCTTCTGATCCTCCTGGCGTCCAAGTATGAGATCTTTCAATGACACAGAGCTTCCAGTCTTCTGGTGCATCGGCGGCCTGGCACCCGTAGTTCCATCGCTCTGCTTTGTTGGTACCTTCTGGGCTTGAGGGGGACTGTTGATGTGTCGCTCGCCCAAAGGACTCGGGCTGTGATAGATTTCTGCTGTCGAAACTTGCTGGTTCTGTTTCGTAGGGCTGTTGTCTCGTCGACGGCCTCGAAGCACGTCTCCAACTGAAGGCACTCTGCGATGCTGTTTGCGGGGTGATGTTGAGGTGTGAGGATCCTCGTATATCTGCGCAGCCTGCTGCACCGTAGGCATCTTCGCAACCAAAAAGCTGAAAATGCTCGTCTATGATGCAGTCATAAGCACTGTCTATGCTAATTGGCAGATGCACTTAATAAAAGCTGCTGGGCCGTACCGACGTACGCGAGTGGTCATCGGTCGCGATCCAGGTCTGTTTTCGCCAAGCCGTTGCTGCGGCAACTACAAGTCCGCTTACAACGTACCTGCCATGCCTGAACCTTGAACACCTCTTTACTCAAGCAGTCACGTACTGTTCGACCGACAAAACGCGCCTGCCATGTGGATAAGAGATCGAATTCAGATCTTAGGTTTGCAGGCAGGAATGGAGGAATGGGCGCGATCTCGGAGATTGGGCAACAGTCACGTCAGTACCCGGGTAGACGACTGCTGCGAAATACATGTATTCAATAGCAGTTGCGGTTGAATGGGTACTCCGTAGGTAGACATCTCTTCAGATGTCCCTGCCGCCATTACACCTCCATCTATGAACGCGCTGCACATCTCCCTTCTCTTCCAATGATCTGTAGTATCATTCCCGGTGATCGCGCGGCAAGTCCCCATTCATAACCAGCAACATCATAGCCTCATCGAAACGCTGGATGGTCGGAAGTCCAAAGTGGTGTCGTCCTTTCCACATCAAATTCAACAGAGTTGTGTACCCAAGCCAATGCATTAAGCCTAAACAAGCAACTCCCACCGGCGCCAGTTGGCCCCATTCTACCCATTGTCCACCTTCATAGCCGCACTCTTTCAGCAAGCTAACGATCGCGATCATCGATGCGATGATCTGAGGAATGTGCTCAAGCTGTGCGGTCGAGGTGGTGGCAATGCATTTGGTGTATGAGATTTGTATGTAGGGAACCGGTATACCGAGCCACCTTATTGGCTGGAATCGTATGGCTTCAGGACTGACTGCGTGGGAGCTTTCTGCTCCAGAAAGCTCTGCTAATTCGATCGGCGCTGATTCATCGGTCTGGAGAGTTTGGTCTGCAGCTTCGACTTTGGTCTTCCGCTCGCTGTCATCGAAGGTGTGAGTGAGGGTCAGACTGCGGACGATCGACCTTATCACGCCCAGTAGTTTGATGGCATAAAATAACCAGGCCACGTTACCGAGTCTGGAAAACTTTTCAGGGGCGAAATCGTCATGGTAGAAGAACGGGCCAGTAAAGCCTCCCCACCATAGTACGCGGAACCGCCATGGATCTGGTTCCTTGAGAGCATCACTGTGGCTCACGACGTAACCGATGACTCCAACAGCGACTAGTTGAGCCACGCACGTGGAATAGACTAGCTTGCGCGCAGCGAGTACTTCTTTGTCGACCAGCATTATTGACAGCACCGAGGACGAGAGGTCTATTGAGATGAGGACAGCCAGAAGCTCGGGGATTTTGAGATCTCTGAAGCGGCTGCAGAGATTGATGGCTAAACAGCCCATGTCTGTTGAAGTGAGCACTCGAAGACAATTGGCAGTTACGAAGACTCACTGAAAAGCTGTGCTACCCCAAGTTCCTTAGCCCCAGAACTCGCGACATGGAAGTAGCCTAAAAGCGAAGTGACGATCATGCCAGCAGCAGGGGCGAATGTGCTGAATTGAACTCCTTTACCAACGATGTCAGCGTTGAGATCTGTGGCGTCTGCGGGAGGGCCGTCATACGGAGGCATACATGCCATGTAGATGAACTGAATGAATGTCCATATAAAAGCCGCGGCGTGCAAGCATTGAGAGCATCGGAGAAGATCTCGCCGGTTGGCTGTGGGCGCTCGATCTGCAAGCGGGTTCGAGTTCCCACCGGCACGGCGACGCCAACATTTTGATGCTGCTAAGATGACGTTCACCTCCAACAACGAAGAGCATACAGAAACACAAAAGGCGACCAAGCAGCCAAGGGCCCACCAGAAGTCATGCTTCATCGTAATGTGAAGGCTTCGACACGCAAACCCTCGTATGTGAAGACTGGTGTAGCTTCAAGGCCACTTGTGGAAAAATTTTCAGCATATTACCTGCAAGTCAGCAGTGCGGTCTTTCTATGTGGCAACTGTAGGGGTTTGCTGCTGTTGTTGTTGTCCCCAGCAAGGATTGGGCTTTGATCCATTCTTCCAAATATGCCTACCTATGCAGCTTGCTGCTTTTCATTGATTCCTGTGAAAGGGTTCAGATCCGGAGAAGCTTCATGAGGTGCTTGTCATCGACGTCTTCTGACATGGAAGTTCTTCTCCTAGCCTGTCTGGGTTATGGCATCGGCTGTCGCGAGTGCGAAAGCGTGGCCGTGACCAGGACATCAAAGATCCGCCTTCCCAATCCTCACAACCTCACCCCACAACAACTCAATCTTCAACGCCTGCCGCCAAAGGAATTCTCCCCAGCTCTCCTCCCTCCACACAACCATATTCCAATGCAACAGGCCCACCACCGCCAACAGACTCACCAGACTACTCCCAGCCATCGCATACAGACACTTACTCCGCAATACCAATCGCCTCCGCCGATCATCCCGGTCCTTCTCAATCGAGATATCCTGCTGGGTGCAGAAATATAACAACAGGAGCACGATGGAGATGATGATCCAGATCGGGAAGCTGCGGCTAAGCGCGGCGAGGTTGGGTTGGAAGGCCCCGAGTAGGCGGAAGCATTGAATGCCGATATAGGAGAGGAGGATGGACATGCTGAGGAGGCGGAGCGTGACGGCAAAGGGGGAGTAGTGTAGAAGCCAGCGGGACATGAGAGAGGAGGCGAAGAGGTGGGCGAGGTAGGCTGATGTGCCAGCCTGGAGAGGTACTTATTAGCAGGTGCAGATCAGATGCGAGGAAGCGTGCCAGTCTCTCAAGCCATCGAATTCGTGGACATACCCAAAGATAGCTCAGCACAACCTGCAGTACACACATACGAAAGTGCTCAGTCCTCGTAGAAGACCATACCGGCCCAGTGATTCCCACAGGCTGCCCAGTGAGGGCGTCGACAGTGTTCGCGTGCTTAGCGACCTGAAACAGTCGTAATGCCGTCAATGGCACCCAGACCAATGCCGCTCCCGTAGAAAGCGCTCGACAGAGCATCAACGGTATGTACCATCTTTTGCGAACTCCAAGCGCTACCGCGACCCGCGGGTAACGTGCGCTTCGGCGCACTCCGACGTTGACATCGCCACCGCTGACGCTGGTGTTGGCGCTGATCTGGTTCTCCGATAGCAGCGAGCGCTCGTATGGGGGCGATGGTTCACCGAATGCGGTCGCCAGCGGGACTCGTGTCTGCGGCGTCGAGCGGCCGCATCGCAGACAGACGGTCCAGCGAGAGCCTGACGCACGTGATGCACGAGCTGAGTCCGAGCTCACAGTGTTCAAGATTCAGCATGAACTCCTGGGATGCTGCGAAGTGAGGGCATGCGACATGCGACATGAGAATGATCGGGGATGTATTTCCGCCGAGCGGGAAAGCTTGGCATAGGCAGGGGCATGGCCTCGCGCAATCACTGTCGGTCTTCAAGGATATGTCACACCGCGAAATAGTGCCTCGTAGGTGAATTCAACTACTGTTCCATCGGAGACCCGATCCAGCACCTTCGAAATATCACAGAGCTCAACTTCAAAACAGCAAAAACAAATGAATGTCTAGCAGCACCTAGAATCGAACTAGGATCTTCTGTTCACGAGGGTGTTACCACCTCTGTGCGATGTGCTCGCCGTTGCACCATGCCGCTGATAATCGAACTCGGAGGCAATGGTTGGGATTGATACGCAAAAATCCACAATCACAAATATATCAACCTCACCCCAGAGCGGAACCTTGAATTTACTGTGCCGTCAGTAGCAGTAAAGCAAATTCCAGTGCCACCCGTGGACGAAAGACTCTGGAGCAAGGGTCATGGAGTAGGACAGAAGAAAGGATAGCACCTGTTTTAAATGACATGGCAGCGAAGTCAGATCAGTGACCATTGCTGTGCTCCAGGTGACCGGAACTGAACTTGACTCGGGTCGTTTGCAAGAAACCCGGCCTGAACAGATCTCAAGGTGACATCAGCGGTTTTGGGCGAATGGTTTGCACGAAAGGGCCTCAAAGATGAGAAGATCCATCGCTTGCGACATCACCATGCGGAGACTTCCAAACGATGCTCTGAGGAACACATACTCATTGCTGCATGTGATGCGCACGCACTATCTGTGTTGGAGGCCGGAACTGATTAAAGATAGGCAGGCCTTCCTTACCACCTGGATTAAGAATTCGCCCACCTGAAAGTCTGCCTGTCGTGGTCGATTACCTCGACGTGCCCTTATCCTCCTGCTTGTACATGTGGCTCCCGAAATGTGTATCGAAACGCCGTACCTGTCGTGTCTCGTGTCATCTGACTGCTGAGAACGGTCATGGCGGTCGTGGACCGGATTGATCTATATGTCGATCACGGTTCATGGTCGGTCATTGGTAAGCACTTCGCTGCTAATCGTCCTCCATGGCTATGCTGAGCAGCAGCACGCGGACACAGGTCGAAGCGTTTAGAAACCATGGACCTAGTACGAAGTCAGCGATAGGGATTTTGGTCCACGGGAGAATAGTCTTACCTTGATGGTCTTGGAGTCTAGCTCGAGACCATCCTTTGCGACCAAGAATTCTTGAACATCCTTGCGTTGATCGCCCTGAAGCTGGATCACCTCGCCCATCTCACTGTCGGTAACGATGGTTCCATTGCAAGCGAACTTCTTCTTGATCACCTTGAGAATCTTCTTCTGATCGAACTTCTTCGGGAGGCCTTGAACAGTCGTCAAAGTCTTACGACCATTGCGCTCTGGGATGCTCGTTAGTCGGGCGATCGAGGCTGTAACTCGGAGGTTGCTTACGCTGGATGCGGATGTGAATGTAATTCTGGGTTTGCTTAGACTCCCCAGTATCGTCGTCGGCCTCCGCGAAGGGGTCTGAGTCACAAGTTAGCCGCTGATCGTCATCTCATTGATCGGGCGTCAGGCAAGATATGCGATTAGGTCGTGATCGCTGGCGCATGACACTGGCGATGCTCTTCTACCGTCCGCGGCGGTCGCGATGTCACGCTGACCATAATCGCGGGCGGCAAGGTGGTGAAAACTGGTGGCGGATCGGGCTGGGAGGGGCTTACCAAAGGTCTTGAGATTTTGGATTTGAGTTGACATAAACGCGTGCGTTTGTGGTGTTCCTTGGATGAAAGAGTCTGCAACTATTCTCTGTGTAGTATCAAGTACTGTCTTGGTGGTTGTGAGTGGAGAGTGGAGAGTCTGGTTGATTTGCAAGAAGAAGTGTTGACAAGTGTTTGAAGGAGGAGATGCGGGCGCAGCTGAGGCAACTTCATTCACTCTGCCAAGTGATACGGTGTGGCGAACAGACCAGCTGGGCAGCCTGAGTCATTTGAAATTATTAAGGTATTCCAGACTCGACTTCAGCCTGCAATCCATTCTCGACCTCACGAATCCTTTCGAATTGCATCCTCGCTAATCCTTCAAGATGTCGTGGCGTAATCAAGGAATCACTGGCTCCAACAACATTCCGCTCGGGAATCGTCGTCGGTTCGGCGACAGTAATGGTGACTCGCGCGATGAAGCTCCATCTTATGGGGACTCTGCGAAGCGTGGTCGCAGTCCTGCCAGAGGTATGTCCCATCCATTTCATCACACACACACTGGAGATACTAACATGATATAGCTGAACCTGCTGCCGATGGCGTGAAACGACGTAGGAAGCGCAACCGTTGGGGTGATGCTACCGATAACAAGGCTGCTGGTCTGATGGGACTGCCTACCATGATCCAGGCCAACATGACCTCTGAACAGCTTGAAGCTTACACCCTTCATCTTCGTATCGAAGAAATCAGTCAGAAGCTCAGGATCAACGATGTCATCCCCGGAGATGGCGACAGGTACGTTCCGACCATACCGTCTGCCGAACCAGAACTAACCCGCAGCAGATCGCCATCGCCTCCCCCACAGTACGACAACTTCGGACGACGTGTCAACACCAGAGAATTTCGCTACCGCAAGAGACTCGAAGATGAACGCCACAAGCTGATCGAAAAGGCCATGAAGACCATCCCTAACTACCACCCGCCTTCTGACTACAGACGTCCCACCAAGACGCAAGAGAAGGTCTATGTGCCTGTCAACGACTATCCCGAGATCAACTTCAGTATGCTAACTAACCCTCTAACTCTGTTGCAAGCACTTGCTTTCCTAACCTTGCGGTCTATCGTCTGCTTAAATCTATGCGATGGGTGGCCGCATTGTACCCGTCCACTAACTACATTTCCTGCCGTTTGCTTTTACAAGAACTCAAACACTAACACTTAGCTTTCTCCTCCTCTTAAGTTGGTTTACTTATAGGTCCTCGTGGCAACACCCTGAAGAAGATGGAGTCCGAGTCACAGGCCAAGATCGCCATCCGCGGCAAAGGCTCCGTCAAGGAGGGCAAAGGCCGGTCTGACGCCGCTCACACCAGCAACCAGGAAGAAGATTTGCACTGTCTGATCATGGCCGACACCGAAGAAAAGGTCAACAAGGCGAAAGAACTGATTCACAACGTCATCGAGACCGCAGCTTCCATTCCCGAAGGACAGAACGAGCTGAAGCGAAACCAGCTGCGTGAGTTGCGGCCCTCAACGGAACTCTTCGCGACGACGAGAACCAGGCCTGCCAGAATTGTAAGCTAACCTTGAAAGGATGTTCCGTGGCGGGATGTTCTTGCATCACTTATGCTAACCTGTATATAGGTGGTCAAATCGGACATCGCAAGTACGACTGCCCCGAGCAGCGTAACTTCACCGCCAACATCATCTGTCGTGTCTGCGGCAATGCTGGTCACATGGCTCGCGACTGCCCTGACCGACAACGCGGCTCAGACTCCCGCAACCAAGGTCCAGGCTTCAATGGTCCACAACGTCGTGTTGGTGGCGGCGATAACGTTGATCGCGAGATGGACGTAAGTGCTCCACCCATCCATCATCTAACCAAGCTAACAAGACAGAACCTCATGCAAGAACTCTCCGGCAATCCTTCGAACGGTACCGCAGGTCGTATCGAAGCTGGTCCAGCCAGCGGCAACCCATGGGATCAGAGCGGCTACAGTGCTGGTGGCGGTGGCGGCGAAAGTGCACGTCCTTGGGAGAACCGTCCTCCTGCTGCATCTGGAGGAGCGGCTCCCTGGCAACGCGACCGACAGAGCGATTATCCTTCCAGTGCTGGCGGTTCGGCCGCTCCGTGGGCCCAACCTCAGGACAATGGCAATTATGGCGGCTACGGCAGCGCTCCAGGCGCGCCAGGTGGGGGCGGTGCTGCTCCATGGCAAGCTCAGGCTCCTCCACCTCCCCCTGGTGGCAACTACGGCTATGGTGGTGGCTATCCAGGCTACGATCAAGGCGGCTACGGCTCGGCAGCACCTCCTCCACCTCCTGGCTTGAGTGAGTTCCTCCAGCAGTACCAGCAGCAAGGCGCCCCACCTCCACCACCATCCGACATCCCAGCGCCTCCGCCAGACTATGGTCAGGCTCCGCCTCCACCTCCTGGTGATGTTCCTCCTCCACCACCGCCTGCGTAATGGAACATTGTGGACCATCGTGGGCAAGGCCTAAGAAATCACGTACCCGACAGACTGTGCACGCGCTGAGGCCGTGATCCTGAACGAACGGAACATCATTTCGCATGGGCTTCGTGAAGGTGTGCAGAGGTCTCCCAGAGGCTCAGAACAGAGCAGCGGCCAGCACGAATGTGAAGGTCTAGTCCCGAATTTCGCGAAGTCTGATCGCTCTCAGTATGCGGAATGCATGACCTTGTATCATCATATTAGGAGTAGCTGAATTCAAAATGTCGACATAGCATGCGCTGCTCATGTCTGTCCGAAGAATTGTTCTCGAGCAGTGTTATTTTCGCCTGTATTTGAATCACTGCTCTTGCTGGAACAACACAAGACAATTGGAAGTAGCGAGGTGTGACTTGACGCAAACCACGACTTCCAAGAATGACTTCCCTGTTTCACAATTTCGGAAACTCCTCGCAACAAATAATCCATTGTCGGTGTTGTTTCATCCTTCGTATCCATCAGAACCTATGATTTGTGTCCTCTAACCATGGCCATTGCTATGTCGTACAGGACACGAACCGAGTGGGTATGCACCGCCACCCCTAACAACCATGTTGACACTCCATAACCAGCTGGCCTTGATATCCAATACGCAAAGCATTCTACGCGGCCAACGTCAAGCTTTTGGAGCTTCCTAGCGGTCCTTCACAACTACGCTTGATGACACGCCAAGTTTGGGGCCATCTGAGGTCCTTCCACAAAGGTGAAGACCGGATTGGACATTCGTCTCTACTCCCCCTTTTAAGATTTCAACAACCGAAGAGAGATGTTGCTAGCACACACCTATCAATAGCCCTACCGTTGACCAGAGCATACCATGTTTGATCCACGCTATCCCTCGGCGCGCCGTGCTTGTGCGCTATTATCTAGTTGTGGTCGCTCGAATTTTAGCGGCACCACGTTCATGTCAGTACTGAATCCTTCGACAGCCCGGTCATTCTTTCCTTCCTCATGAAGGGTATGTGGTATATCAACGAAGCTGGGAGATGCTGACATCGTCAGCTCCTTCCCTTAAGTTTAGCCAGGAGGATGCAAAGCATTGGAAGCCGCTGACGACCCGAACGCCATGGCTCCTGTCCCTGGTGATATTTGTGGTAGCCTGTGTTATTGCCATCGAGCTGGCACTGCGCAGCGACCACGGGCCAGGCCAGGACAATCCTACAGCATCGCAGCTCGCTCGAAGGCAGAATGGAACGGTGCCATCGAGCACGACTGACAGTGCCGCGGACACCGGTGCTGACGATATCGAGAGTATCGAGATCGACGATGCTGGAACCAGCATCTCTGCAACATACGCTGCTGCGGAGGACTTTATAACGATGACAAGTCTCGATGCGACAAGCACTCCTGCGACATGCATATCTTGTTATCCTGCCGCAGAGGATTTCGTGACATTGACGAGTCTTGACAAAGCGACCGCTCCTTCTGCTACTACTACTACCAAATCCAAGACCGAGATTATAGTAGCGACTTCGGCCGATGCGGATGACTTTGTCTCCCTCACCTCGTTTTCAGCCAATCCAGAGGATTTCGTCACCCTTACCTCGTCCGTCAACGACATCACGGCGGCTCCAGGAGTGACGTCGCCCACAATAACGGATGCATCAGACCGAGTGCTGTCAACTGTTGTGGTCGCTGCCACGGATCCGACAGCGGCACCGTCGACCCTCGAGATCATTCCTACCATTATCACTGTAGTCAGCGCTGGATCCACTGCTGTGCTGTCTACGACTACAGCGATACCAGCAAGGCCCATCCCGACAGCATCTAAGGTCAAGGCGTCTCAAGTACAACTGTCTACTTCATTTGGCTCACTTCACTACGTGATGGCCACTTACCTGGCCGTCATTCTAGCTGTCGTCATCATGGTTCTTTGGAGTCTGACCTACTCTGCTCTGAAGATGATGGAGCCTTTCCATCAACTCTCAAAGGAGGGCGGCGCTACCACCAAGGAGTCATTGGCTGCCAACTATCTGTCCTCCAGCTATGGTCTTCCCCACATGCGCCATATCTTCAGCCGGCATTGGACTATGCTGTTTGGGACATTGACGTGTAATATCATTGCTACTCTGGGCCCTCTCAGCTCTGAGCTAATGTCCGTCGTCGCGACCCAGATCTGTCCAACAGCATCTGGCGAAGCCAGCTGTGTGCGCCGGTATGGGTCATCAATATTCCTATTGCACGTGCCATTCAAGTTCTGCTGCTCTTCATAGCGGTTCTCATCATAACTTTGATCGTTCTGAACTTCCGGCGCAAGTCCGGCATTTTCAGCAACCCGTCGAAAATAGCTACGATTGCTGCGCTATTGTCCCATGACAGCATTCGACATGACCTTCGCGGCATCAGTCAAGCAAGTACCGATAAAGAAATCCTTGCCAAGTTGGCCGGCAGTCGGTACTCGCTTGAAGCCATTCGAGGGAATCACACGGAACAACTCCAGTACAGCCTCGTCAACACAGATTCTTCCCAGAGTGATTGGTCAGTCCACCACAAACCGCACGCTCCCCTCGTCAAGCAAGACTACCACTACTCCACACATCAAGTCCAGCCACCTCTCCTCTCAGAACCCTCCAAAGACTCACAATCCTTTCCACAACACCACCGCGTGCTCCGAGATCTCCTCTTCACCATCGCCATCCTAGGTCTGTTCGGCGTTGTCTTAGCATACTACCTCATCGGCGGCGACAACTCATTCAACAACTTCTTCAACTCCAAGACTTTCGGCCCAAACTTCCTCCTCACAACCGCCGCAAGCCTCATCGACGAAGAATGGAAAACACTAGAGCGGGAAATACGCATCATGGCACCGTACCGCCAGCTAGGACGAGGAAGTGCCAGCGCCGAAAAGTCTGTACTGGTTGATAACGGGGGAATCTACATCAGCAGTCCCATTGATGCTCTTCGACGTGGAGAGTACCTCCACGTCGCGGTCGCCATCACTGCGATCCTGTCGGATGTTCTGATCATCGCCGTGTCTGGCGTGCCGTTGGCGGATGGGCAGATACAGGCGGCGTTCAAATACAGCTCCTGGATCACGATGGTCATATGCGCGTGGATGTTGGTCATGATGGGTTGCGTGTTGTGGTGGAGAGCGCAGGTCAGGAAGTTGAAGATGCCGAGGGAGCCAGGGACGATCTTGGCGGTGGCGTTGATGCTGGTGAATGAGGGCAACGGAGTTGTGGAGGAGTATAGAGAGTGGGCTGTTGCATCTGGGGCTGCTGCTAGGGATGGGAAAGTCAGGAGAAGGGGAAATAGGTATTATGGAGGATGGCAGCAGATGGAGGAGGGTAGGGAGAGGTGGTGTATTGGCGTGCATAGTACAGGGTTGGCGGAGGGCTATGAGCGGTGATGAAGTGAGAGATGGTCCCCTCCTCGGATGGACAAGGAGCGGCCTGAGAATGGCGTTGATGCAAGATGCTTCAGAACGACCTTCCGCCTCCCTCGTAGCTGACTGCTGAGCGTACATGTATTCAGACACGCGTGCTTAAGAATCTGCTTTGCGGTCCCCAGCACTCAGCTATTCAAAGCCATCGCACGAGAGTGCTGGACCGTGCTCCATTGCAACTTGCCGTTGATGTTCCCACAGCACCTAACAAGACATAGCCTCCTCGTCATGATCCAGTCACCCGGTTCAAGTGAAGCACTGAAGGCTCACTGCTCTCTGCTCGAATCTTCTCCGAGGCCGAGTTGGAGACACGTGTTGAAGCAACCAATCGGAGGCAATATTTTGACGTCCACCACAAGTGTACATTTACTTCAACCTCCGTCCTCTACTTCCCTCTTCGACTCACGTACTTCTCTTCATCCATCACCCAACCTCTCATTACCACCGGAACACTTCCCAAATCCACCCTCATTCCACAAAGATGCCTCGTCGCGGCGGTCCATCCCCTCGTGCCTCGGCACCCTCACGCCCAGCTGCACCGGCCCCGAGCAGAGCTCCTGCGCCTCCGCAGCAGCACCTATGTCTACTGCCACCGCTCCTGCTAAGCAAGCTCCTCCTCCCGCGCAGGCTGGACAGAGCCCCGGTTTGTTCGGTCAGATGGCTTCCACCGCTGCGTAAGTACTCCATAGCCAGTCAGCTAAGCTTCGCCTGCTCGCCACCCGAAATTAGAATGCATGACTACAGACACAGAATACTGATATCATCTCCACAGCGGCGTCGCAGTCGGCTCCTCCATAGGCCACGCCATCGGCGGTTTCTTCGGCGGCGGCTCCTCCTCCCAGCCCGCTGAGCAACAATACCAACAGCCTGCTGAGTCGTATGCTCAACCCGGTGGCGCTATGGACAATAATCTCTACAACTCCTCGTCACCTCAAGCCCAGGCTTCGGGCCCTTGCGCGATGAATATCAAGCAGTACACGGACTGCATGACGCAAAATCAGGGAGACATGAATATCTGCGGGTGGTATTTGGATCAGTTGAAGGCTTGTCAGGCTGCTGCGCGGCAGTACTAGAGCGCCAGCTCTAGATTGTACTTGGGACTGGCTAGGCGGCCGAGACATCCCACAAGCCTGTTGAGGGAGGTCCGACTTAAACGGCTCGGTTCTGCATAGGAAGAGAACCAGCATGGGCTGCATACCGGTGTTGCATTTTCAAGCATAGGCCAGGAAAAGAGAGAGCTCTTTGAAGGGGACATCAAGACTCAACTCCACAATACATAACTTCGCACAGGTCTTTTTTCACCTTGAAGCTCGTCCCACTGGGTAGCAGTAGATGCTACCATAGCATGACACAGCGTCGCTGAAGACGCAACCAAGAGTGGAAGAAGAGAGAGAAAGATCTCGACGGCGAAGCGACTATTCATAATGAGTCTCGTGAAAAACAGGTCCGGTGCAAGCCGAGGGCAGTACTGCACTGACTCGGTCAGACACGGCAAGGACGTATTCACTGTTCGTTGCATGAACTGAGCCAGTCACTTCTCTTGACTAAATGACCGGTGAAGGTAGATTCGCAACTTCGTTCCTTCTTTCTCACCCCTGCCAATACGTCAATCGACACCAACGAGCCCGGCTGGCCTGCCTCATAATCGCGGCATGCCCGTCTCACAACCGCGGTCTGCTCGCCTGTCTCGCATCGACATACCTCCTCGCCTCGCTAACAGCATCATAGTCCATGACCCATTTCAGGAAAGCACCCGACCGGAACTTCGCCTGTGAATCCGGCTTCACGTTCTTCAACGACACCTCTACCGTCTTTGCCTGCTCATTCCGCGCCCATTCGGACGGCGGCGTAGTACCGGTGAACGCATCTGTGTTCCATCGCGCGAAATCCTTGACGAGATTCACTCGTGGAATGCGGATTAGTTCCCAGAGTCTCATCACTTCCGTCACCGGAAGCTCAGGTTGTCGTTCGTGGAGCAAGTAGTCCAGGACGCCAATGTCTTCGACGATCTGCGTGAAGCCTTGGGCCGCGTTTGGGATCATAGCACTATTGCACCTGTCAGCATGAACATGTATGTATGGCGAAAAGTCAGAGCCGGAAAATTGATGTCCCGACCGAATCAGGTCCTAAGGTACACGTACTGTGCGCTGTCACCGAGCAGAGCAATCCTACCATTCTTGCCGACCCAATGATCGAGACCGGGCATCTCGCAGAACTTCCAGCGAGCACAATGATCGGCCGTCTCGAGACAAGCCCACAGCGCCGGTGCCATGCGTCCTCTGACAAGGGAGCGAAGGTGCTCGATGTCTCCGTCTTCGTCCCAGAAGCCTTTCATATCCTGTGTTTCGTCGTCGCTGATGAAACAGAGGAGAGATACTTCGCCGTTCTTTTCGTGGTGGCGCTGCACTACGTATCGATCTTTACCGCCCATCCATACCTTCAGCGTAGTCTCTGAGAGCAGATTGCGAGCATCTGGGTGGGAAGCGATCTGGGCGGCTTTCACCGAAACCGAATAAGCAGTCCCCTGCACAATTCGTGGATTGCACGTGGCCGCTTGGTCGCGAGGTATGCCCAGCACCGCAGGCCGCAACTTGCTGTGCGCACCAGTAGCGTCAAGTACGAGATCGACATCCTCCATCCGTGCGCCGTGTAGCCGAACTCGCACGCCATCACCTCGAGCCATGAAACCATCGATGGCCGTCCCCCATTTGATTTGAACCCCTACACGAGTCGCAGCTTCGTGAAGAACATTCCAAGCCTGTCGCCGATTGAGTCCCCAGTCGGGCCACGGACTGACGTCCACCGCCTGCCGCCTCTCACCACCAGCGCCGGTTTCAAGGTTATAAAATGCCGTAGACGGGCTTTCGTCGCAGATGGGAGCGAAGTAGGATCCTAAACCCCAAGCTGTGAAGAGCCTCGAGCCGTTTGGCCGGATCATGATTCCACCGCCTGTGGAGGGCGCTGAGCGGCGCGCATCGTATAGGAGGACATGGTGGCCACGAGATGCGAGCACGTAGGCTGCTGTGAGGCCGGCAAGTCCAGCGCCCGCGATGAGGAGTTTTAGTGTTTTCCTGGTGGTTGGATTGATTGTAGACTCAGATGTGGGTTGAGCCATAGTTTGGTGGCTGCCCGGAGCTCCGACAGCAGAAGCTCCTAGGAGTTCAACATCCGTCAGGAACAGTGACGGAGAAGTTGTGTGGAAGATCTTCGTGGTAGTGGCAGATCTGTCTTTCAGTCGTCATTATATGCACAGAGCGGTACATGATCACGTCCATGCCAATATGGCCGTATACTGGACGCCTTGCGGGATCTACGTCGTACACCGAACTCTTGCGAGGGCTCATGTCGCTGACGTTAAGCGTAGAGTTTCATCGCAAAAGATCACTTGCAAGTCCAGCCGTTGGCGAATTTGAACCTCGGCATAAGGCGTTACTATTACCATACTCGGCCATCTGACTTCGCAGTCTTGGTCTCGAATTGGTGGAAGGCCCAATTATGCAGCGCGATCACCTCGCTTGGTCTTACGGGACCCTCGAACATGTGCGAAAGGAATAGAACAAATGATGCGGTCGAAACCACAGACGTGGCCATAGGAAGTGCCCCTGCACCTTCCTGTGAGGTTGAGATTTGCAACGCATTAGGCAAGCATACGGAACTTAGCATCTCGACTGGCTGACTGCCGGCTAAGTAAGGCGTCGAGATTACAGACATGGACCCCTGAAAAGCGCTTCCACGTCGCAGTCATATCTTCGGGCATAAAACTACAGAGTGCACCCCTTCCCCTCGCACGACCATAGCGTCTCAAAGCGACCATGCAATCATGACCCATCTGCTTCTCTATGGCTCTCCAACCGATTCGGCTGCCTAGAAGTGTCTTCTATCGATACGGGCGAGACAACATACGGTCTGCTGGACTGTCTAGAGGCCATCAAGTCCACGTGCGCCGGTAACGGTACAGCTACTAGCGTTGATGCGACCGATATCTGACTTGGAGTGCTAGAGGTAGCCGATCCTGTCAGTGAAGTTGGCGAAGGTGGCTTATCATCGCGCGCCTGCTGATGTCGCGCCAGGTAGGAATTTCGTTGGGTCAAGGGCCACCCAGACCCGACGCTCTGCATACTGCGTGTTCGAGAAGGAGATCTCAAGTGCGTAGCCTGCTGGTAGGTTGGCAGGCGCGAGGGAAGAGGAAATGAATAGTTGCTGACACGCCTGCCGTCGTTGTTCTGCGTCTGGTAGATTGTGTGGGAGAACGAATGCGAGTGTCGCCGAGAATGGTCTTGAGGACGGAATCGACGGCGACTGCACTTGATGAGCCGGTATATGAGGTATATGCACAGAAAAAACACGGCGGTGCCTCCAAGCGAGAGACTAGATAGACCAGGATTTAGCTGTGCTGGTTCGCGAACGTGTTTGTCGTAGGAAAGAGCGAACACTCACCCAAAAATCGTCAGGTTCGAATAATCGTCATCGGACACCGGGCCGTTGTTGTTGTTGCTCGTTACCACGGGCGTTGGGTAGTATGGAGGAATCGGCCGATCGCGACGTTCGTTCCTCCACGTCGAAGAAGGACGCATCTTCAAAGATTCGGTCGACAGTAACGGCGCGCTGATGTGCACCGTCGCTTGCATATATTAATTCGACTGTTGACGCATCGTTGCGTGTGTACATCAGGTTGATGTTGTCGCATCGTTGCACAGCAACTTTAGCTCACTTGAATGGTCAGTGCGAAGTAGCATTCCGCAAAGTCCGCTCACAGACCCAGTACTGTGCTCAATAGCATTCTCCAATCTCAGCGCTCACGAATGACGAAGTCAGCGGTCTCTATGAGGCTGCCCGAGCCCTGTGTTCGCGCAAAGCTTTGTGAAGCTGTTGCAAGGAACTTCAGAATGCCATCCAAATTTGACACGCTCTAAATCCCGAAGTCACTGCTCGTCCAGATCTTTCATGACATATATCGTGTCCAGTCTGCTTTCTGTAAGCATGAGAAACCTCAATCAGTCGGTACATACTCCCTGCCTCTCTTGCAGCCGATGCCAGGAAGACGTCCTACCTCAACGAAGCCCCACTTGTTGTACCAGTCTCTGAGCCTCAGCCCCTGCCCATCGGCCTGGTCATCGACTGCCATGATGGCCAAAACCTTCCTTACCTGCGTCTCCGTCGGCTTATCTTCGTGGCCTGGTTCACATCGTCGGTGCCTGCCATGCTCGAGCGCATGGAGCAGTGATCCCATGAGCAAGCCACCAACGCCGCGCGAAGCATGATCCGGGTCGCAGAATATGCTCATCTCAACAGCTCGAACATAACCAAGAGAATGACCATGGAAAGGAGATGCTGAACTGAAGCCAACAATGCGGCCAGTAGCTACCTCAACTGCAACTAGATAAGGCAGCTTAACCTCCTTGGCGCTCGCAAACCGCGATATGATATATTCAAGAGGCGGATGATGAATCAGGAAGGACAAGACTGTGTTGTCAACGTAGTAAGAAAAGATTGCGTGGACGGCTTCGAGGTCCCCAGGATCAGCCTCGCGAACGTGATAGTTAGACATTGCTGAGTTGGCAAGTCGTTCTACACCGTCTGCTCTTGGTGCGGCGTTTCTGCACCCGAGGAATTTAGCAGTTGCAGTGACCGGTAGCCGCTCTCAAATACAGGAAGATGAAAGGAGAAGTATTGATGTACCTTATCCAAAGGGCCTCTGGAGTTTATTACCTTATCTTATCATCACACATACGCGTAGTTTCGTATCCGGACCTGAAGCTGCGTCGACTTCACATCGCCACGCGTAACGCACATCTCCTGCTCAATGTTTTGGTAAGGTCGACATGGCCGATGAGCTGTCAATGACCAGATGTTGTGAGAGGTGACCAGAATTGATTCCTTCGCGATGAGTCCAGTGCTAGGCGATCCGCATCGATCCCCAACAAGCTGTTTCAAGTTCAGGCAGCCGTCGCGCCAAGACTTCATGGTTGAGCTGAGCTCATCCCTGCGAAATCGACGTTGAACGTCCTGACTCCAGGGTCGAGTCAACCTTGCCAATCAGTACTCGGTGGCAGATGTTCTGCCAGACACGACAAGCCATTGCAGCCTGCAATGCAAGCTCATGGCCAGTCTAGGCTTTTGCTGCATGTTCCTGAATAGATGAACAGTCCATGCAGATCTTTGTCAAACATTCACCTCTGCCCACTGTTGCCTGGCGAGCCTCTGATTGCACAGCCTTGCTTCACCTGCAGGTACCTAGGTATAAAAGGGAGGCATACTCTCGACTTTGTCACTTGATGTCTCTCTACCCGCAGTAAGTCCCGCAGGTGTCACTTGTGAACCCCTCATCGTGGCCTTGGTCTGGCCGAAAATTAGGCAACACGGCCACAAGCGGCTGCTGGAAGTAGCCTGCAACTACATATACACCCTCTTGCTCTCAATAGTCAAATTACTTTTCCACCTCACGAAGCTGATCCTCGAAACGGGGCGCCCTCTGTGATGGTTCGAACTAACGAACCAGCCCGCGGCGGCTACTACCACCGCCTGCCACATTGCGGCTGCTGGACCCCCATCAGAAGACACGATGGCGTTGCTCAAAAGCAGTATCTCCCCTTGACCGATCTTAGATCTCACACAACAATCCTGGCTTCCTCAACTCGCACGACGCTGAACCAGACTTTCACCAATAGCAAGCAGGAGAAGCTAGAAGAAGTCCGCTACACATTCCCATTATTCGACGGCGTGTCGATTGTTGACTTCAAGTGTGTTTTGGACAACAAGACTTTGGTGGGCGTGGTTAAGGAGAAACTCCAGGCTCGGACCGACTACAACAAAGCTGTCGCACGTGGAGAGACTGCTGGTCTGCTCGAACAGCTGCCTGATGCGTCCGACGTCTTCACCACCAAGATCGGCAACGTCCCACCACAGGCTAGTGTTCGTGTTGAGATTACCTACCTTGGTGAGCTCAGTCATGACGCTGAATTCGACGCCACACGATTCACTATCCCTACAGCGATCGCACCTCGATATGGTAGCACAACTTTCGACAGCGCCCAAACCTTGGCAGGTTCACAGACACCCACGAAAGGCTCTATCACGATTTCCGTCGACGTTCTGCTCGACGAATCTACCGCAGTTCGAGAAATCCGGTCACCGAGTCACAACCTCGCTGTAACCTTAGGGCGAACCTCAACCATGGACGAGAAGGTATTCCAGAACAATTGTGCTTCAGCGAGCCTGGCTCTCGATTCAGCGGAGCTTGGGAAGGACTTCATCTTTGTGCTCTCTTCTCAGGAGCAGGGTATACCCCGAGCAATGTTCGCAACTCATCCTACTCTCCCAGGACGTACCGCGATCATGGCCACACTGGTGCCAAAGTTCAACGTACCTAACATTGTGCCAGAGATCGTCTTCGTGGTCGACCGAAGCGGCAGCATGCAAGGCAAAATCAAAACATTGGTTTCAGCTATGAAAATCTTCCTCAAGTCCCTTCCTGTGAATGGCATCAAGTTCAACATCTGCTCTTTCGGCAGCAACTTTGACTTTCTGTTTCCAAGAAGCCAGACTTATGATCAAGTCTCCCTTGAGCAAGCTCTCGCCTGTCTCGACGTCTTCGATGCAAGCTATGGAGGCACGGAAATGCTCGCGCCGATCAAAGCAACCTGTGAGAGACGATACACGGATCTGCCACTAGAAGTCATGCTGCTCACGGATGGACAAATCTGGAATCAGCAAGAGTTGTTCGACTATATCGGCTCGCAGCGCAACACACGATTCTTCTCCCTCGGAATCGGCGCAGGCGCTTCATCCGCGCTCGTCGAAGGTATCGCTCGCTCTGGAGGTGGTTTTGCACAATTCGTCACCGACCAAGAGAAAATGGACAAGAAGATTGTTAGGATGCTAAAGGGCGCTCTGACACCTCACGTTGATGATTACAAAATCGATATCGTCTATGAAGACGACACGAAGGAGGACGAAGAATTCGAAGTAGTCAACAAGTCCACGTCTTCAGAGGCCAACACTCTGGTCACCAATTTCCAGAAGCTACACACCGCGAAGATCTCTCTGTTCGACGAGAAGGCTAAGGAAGAACCGACAAACCCAGCAGCAGGGCGGTTCGATGCTCTTCCCACCATCTCAATCCCGGCTGTCATCCAGACCCCTTACAAGCTACCCGCTCTGTATCCATTCAACCGCACGACTGTCTACATACTCACCAATAATGATACCTCAAAGAAACCTGCATCATTGAAGTTGAGTGGTACTTGCGATGCTGGTCCACTCGAGCTCAGCATCCCGGTACAAGACATCGGCGATTCTCTCACGGTCCACCAACTTGCTGCCAAGAAAGCCAGTCAAGAGCTCGAACAAGGCCGTGGATGGTTGACTTCGACCAAGGACGCGGCTGGCAACTCCTTGAAGTCGTCACACGAAGGTCAGTGGGACTTGATCGTGGAGCGTGAATGCGTTCGGATCGGTACCGAATATGGAATTGCGGGCAACTTCACCTCTTTCGTGGCTGTCGAGAAGCGCGATGCCGGCAATGGTCTCTCAGAGGGCGATATCGTGCAAGGGCTGGCGACCACAGACAACTCGGAGGAGCCTGCCTCCAAACCGGCTCCTGGCGGCTTATTTGCTGGTGCCGCCTTTGGGGCGTCCTCTGGCTCTTTGTTTGGGGCTAGGTCCTCAACTCCATTCTCTGCGCCCGCTCCGTGCCAAACTCGGCTGTTCAGCGCGGGCTCTGGCTCTTTGTTCGGTGCGCCGGCCGCATCATCATTTGCAGCGCCTGCTCCGAGTCAGCCTCAGCTTTTCGGTCGAGCTGCGGGACCCACAACAGGCGGCAGCTTGTTCGGATCGAGTCAGCCTAGCTCGCCGTTCAGTGTCAACAGTAAGAGTGCGGGACTTTTTGGAAGTACCGGCGTGGTTCCCCAGACTGCGAGCGTTGACATGATCTCCAACCCCAATGATGATGTGTCGACGAAGACAGGCAAACGCAAGGCACGCGCAGGTCACAACAGTAGCAGAGGTCTGGTCGCGAGCGCCAGCAACCAAGATGACCGTGTCGTTGAGCTAGCTAGAAGCAGCGTCCCGACCAGTAGTCGCGACAGAGACTCCCCCATTAGAAAGCAGCTAGCAAGCCAGCCCTCAACAAAGCCAACCTCGTTGAACGACGAGCAGAAGCTGGAGCAGGTCATACTTCTACAGAAATTCGATGGAAGCTGGTCTGCTGACGATGAGCACCTCTGGAAGCTACTGGGAGTCGAGAGGGCGACAGTGGCTGAGACGGCGTTCAACTCCTTTGATCAGGTCGATCCGCACTCAGTCGCTACAATCGCTGCTCTGGCTTGGTTTCAGGCGAAGATGCTGCGGGAGAAGGAGGTCTGGGAGATGGTTTTCGACAAGGGCAAAGCGTGGCTGGAGTCGCATCAGCTCTTCCTGGAGGGCAGCGCTGGGGACATGACCGATCTGGTTAAGGCTCTTTTTGAATAGTATGCTGATGAGTGCGCGGAACGTGGTTGATAGAGTGGGTTGACATAGGCGTGGTACGGCTCGAATCACGGTCCCCAAACTGACGCATGGAGTTCTCGGCAGGCTTGACATGCCAAATGAGCGGCGACTCTTTGCAAATACTGAATAGATAGCAATTCAAAATGACATAATGCCCTTTGCTATCCTTTCCCTGCTGTCGAGTCCGGTGACACTTCTAGTAAGCACAGTGTAGCGTGCATGAGGTCTTTGTTCAGAGGCGGCAGAGCCTTGGAGAAGTCCACATTTACGGATTCACAAGGAAGGTACTTGAGGCACTCAGCATTAAGCACAAGGCGTCCAGGCAATTAAGTCTAGGCCGGTGGGGCTTAAGGCACTTGAGCGGCACCTTCTCCACCTGTGACTTCACTTGAATTTGAAGATTGATTGATGTCAGGGCGTGACTTCTGCTTTAACAGGACCAAGCCTTAGTCTTCGGCCTTCTTGGATTACACGCTTATCTCACCTGGGCGTCCTCCATGTTAAGGACCTTAGCAACACGCAGTATGGCTTCCATCATATCACTCAAGGACATTCCTAGTCTCTCTCAACTCTACCGAATCAAGCAGATCGCGGGTCCGGACTCGGAGAGTACAGATTCAGATCTACCGACGCCAAACCAGGCCTTCAATGACAAGATCTGTACCATCCAGGAGGACATCACATTGCTGGAGGTCGATGCGGTCGTCAATGCAGCCAACAACAGTCTCCTCGGTGGCGGCGGCGTTGACGGGGCGATTCATCGTGCCGCGGGTCGCGAGCTGTACGAGGAATGCAAAACTCTTAATGGTTGCGATACTGGCGAAGCGAAGATCACCAAAGCGTATCGGCTGCCATCGAAGAAGATCATCCACACTGTCGGTCCAGTTTACCGTTCCGCAGCTGCATCAGAGGATCTGCTGCGTGGTTGCTACCGAAATTCTCTCCAACTAGCCGTAGACAACGACTGCAAGTCTATCGCTTTCTGTGCCATCAGTACTGGTATCTATGGATATCCCGGAGTCGCTGCCGCCAAGGTGGCCATCGGTGAGACACATTCCTTCTTGACCACTCCTGCAGGCGAGAAACTGGACAAGATCATCTTCTGTAACTTCCTAGACAAGGATGTGCGGATCTACTCGAAGTTACTCCCAATGTACTTCCCGCCGACCGAGGCCGACCTGTCCCAAACAGGTGAGTATGGAGTCATCCCCATTGGAGATAAATTACCGACAGATCAGGTCAATGAAGAATCTCAAACCAGCGTAGCAGAAGAAGCGGTACTCGATGTTCTGTCCTTTCGTTCTGATCAAAGACTGACAAAGCCTGATAGGCATCGACGGAACGCCCTTCAGCTGGAGAAGATCGTCACGACGATGAAATCCCTGCAGCAGTCAAGGATCCCGCCACCGAACCCTTCCCACCCCATGTCGATGACGTCGACGCCAATCGATCCTCAGCCAGAGATCGCTGCTCCGCCGACCACGGAGGACTCTGCCCTGATGGCCATAGAGTCAAGCGAGACAATGTACACAGTGCTATGGACGGTGGTGAGCAACGCGCCAATGCTGATAGAGAACACGGAGTCGACTCAAGTCCCGGTAAAGGCCTCCATGTCGGCGAAGGCCTTGGACATCAAGATGGAGACACTGAGCGAGTCAAGCAAGACCCTCTCCCGCGAGACGACTCCGATGGTAGAGACGGTGGAAGTAGCGAAGGAGCCGTCAAAAGCACCTTGAAGGAGGCTACAGACCCTCGTGGCATCCCTGTGGAAGCGAACAGTAAGGTGACCTTCACCCATGTTTCTGAGACTAGACCACTGACAACTTCCAGACCACGTGTGGCTTTTCCAGTCTGTTGACGATCCCGCCATCAAGGCCTATGGCCGACTGGGCAGTATCTGTGTACGAAGTGTGGTGCGGTCAGCGGTGCCGTTGGTAAGCAGAGCGTCTGTGCTGCACCGCTGGGAGTCCGCCGCGAAACAATCTCTCAAGCTGAGTTCGACGCGATTCGGGGTGAGCTCGTGAAGACGTCGTGCGGTGGCCGCAAATACTGTACCCGCCATCGTCTCTTCTGAAGACAAGGCACAGAGCCGTCCTTGGTCCTCTTTCACGCGTCTTCCTGGCGCGCGAAATGCCGCGCTCACACTGCCGCTCCTGGTCACTATAGCAGCCGCAGGAGCAACAAAATAGACTCCTCGAGCCTCTGACATACAGCGATTTTGAAGCGATATCGGTAGCACTGCATTTTAGCGAGCGAATGAAAGTACTGCTGCACGGGGAGAGCATCACATAAGGTGAACCAGGGGCATTCACGTTCGTTCACTCGCAAGGCATTCTGCCGCTTTAGCGATCATAGCATCGAAGCCAAACGGCAGCTTCCTATGCCATTGAACCTTTTCCAAGATCCATGACTACTCGTCACGCCGAACTGCATGGAAAGCAGAGACTGAATGAGACTCTCGTAATAGGATACTGAAAGTGCAAGTGTGAGGGCGTTGCTTGACTCCACGCGCTTTGCTGAGACCTCGGTGATATCCTGCTTCTATTTCAAAGATCGGCTCAGAAAGTAAGGGCACTCTGACTATGTTCCGAATCCGTCGTCGAAAAGCCTTGCCAAGTGAGGCTCTCCTGAGAGGTCTCTGACTGGATGCGATTTCCGCGCAGTGAATGGTAGTTGCATTTCGAGTGACTGCTCGGCCATGAGTCACCGAGGCCCGGATGAGCATACCATGGGGGTATATAGATCTGTCAGGTCAGCCTCTCTTCCTCTACTCGTCTACTCATTCCTATCCGACTCCACATCTCCCGAAGCATATCACAAACGTTAGTACACATTCAAAATGGCGACTTTGAACAGGTACCAAGACGACCGCCTGCTGGTCGGCGCACCCAGTACGCAACGGGCTGCGAGTCTGCCCATACAGAGCACGCACCCCAGCAGACCTGCCTCCGGACCAAGTCATATCAGACTGCAGATCGTCGAGATCATCAGCTCCGACGACGAGGATGTGCCCTACCCGCCAACAAAGACCCCCTCCACCCGCAAACCTCCCAAAACTACCCGCGTCACCGGCCGCAGACCCCACCTCCGCTACAGATCCAACAACGACCCTGCCATTCCAGACAACACCGGCACTCCCGGCCGCGTGCAATTCCCTGCCGACTTCCCCGGCACCCTGACCCCACTCTTCCTCGACTTCTTCCGCGCGCAAAACTCCAACATCGTCCCTCGTGCAATCTACTTCATGCAAGTCCCCTGGATCTTCAAGCTGCACAACGGTCGCCGCAAGGCCGACTGCACGGACGCCAATTACTTCGTCCGGGACCCAACCACAGGGCTCATAGACGAGGAAAGGCCTGTGGCGGAGATGAGGGTGATGACGTTGCCTTGGATGCATAAGCAGCATGGTGGGAAGAACGCGCAGCGGTGTATCATGGTGCGGGACGGGAGATTGGAGAAAGGGAAGTGGGTCGTTTTGGCGAGGTGTAGGGGCTGGAGGAATGACTTCCGTGTGTGGAGGGGCGCGAAGGACGATGAGTTCGAACAGGCTAGTGTGGTGAAGAAGGGCGTTGTGGCCGGAGAGGCTGTGAAAGGGAGTGGGTCGCGGACGGTGAGGAAGGGCAAGGCCGGGAGCCGGTGGGAGTTGGCGAGCTATCGAAAGCTTCAATTGAAGAGCGCGAAGGAGAGGGCAAGAGAAGTTGTGGAGCTTGACGACAGTGATGGGGGTGGTGATGCGACTGAGCAAGTTCCATACCTGTCGCCAGCGCTGCCGTCCACAGAGATCGCGCAGGACGATCTGCCGCGAGCTCCAAAGTGGGACGAGTCTGCTCCGCTGCCATCAGTCGCCGTCCATGAACCCGAAGCATACGCCGAGGACAGCGACGACGACGACGGGATCATCGACCTCTCTCAGCAGGTTGTGTTCCACTTCAACGGCCCATCGTTCCGGACACGGACTCTTTTCTCCTGCGGCAACTTTCACAGCTTCTTCGGAAATGCTTCAGCAGCCGGCCTCATCACGGCGTACGAGAGGTATCCTGTGCTGAAGTGCGTCGTTGCTGGATCTGATGGTGCCATAGGCCAGCCATGGATAGTAGCTGACGAGGTGGACTTCACGGAACTGGTGAGGACCGTGATGAGCGCGAACGATATCGCTGGAGTTGGTGACGATGGGATTACCATTCATGTTGGAAGGTAATGGAGAGCAGCTCTGGCTGAAGTCGACGGTAGAAGTGAGGGTGACATATTCCGCGAGTGCTGCCATCGGTATTCTGGTTGATTGACAACATATATGCATCAGTCGATGCGTGCCATCTCGGAGCCGCAGCGGCAGGGCCCGTCGTGGCACCATTTTGGTGGGTGGAGCAGCAGCAACACTGCGTGACCTGCAGTTTTGAAACAGGTCGGCAACTATACCTAATAAGCCATCAACAACGTCGGTCTGCCAATCGTGAGATTGATTGAGCCGAGAACACGCATCATTGTCTATCGACAAATCGGACTGCTCTGCGCAAAGCCTATGAGCTTCGATGGAAATAGACGACGAAGCAGCGAAGTCTTTGGCACCGAGATTCAATACAGCGGACATCTGGCGTTGCATGGTGGCTGGAGTCCTCTGAGTTGAAAACATCGTCTTACCGGATCTGACGTGCCCTTCAGTCGTGATATTGAGTCCACTCGGTCAAAAGAGCATCAAGCATCGAGTCAATCTGCGCCGGGGCGTCGACTTCATCTGCGAATGAAGCAAACATCTCTGAGAAATCTGTTCCGGCCTCATCCGGCGCATGCAGAGACTGGCTCGCTGCATCGGCTGAAGCCGGTGATGCTGCCAATGCTAATGTGCTGGACGATATTGCTTCGAACAGATCACGGTATGGTGCCGCATCTTTCCATCGTTCAGCCAGGATGACGAAAGTGATCGTGCAGTCCGTGCATGTCTTACTGATGCTCTGGTACCCAAGACGTCCTCGAATCGTAGGACTTATTCGGATGCAGTACGCGTAGGTCAGGCCTGCAAGGAAGAGTTCATGCAAAGCTCCCCATGTGTGCGTCGTTGGCTTTCCGAAGTACTGACGGCGGTATGCATGGCAAAGCTCAGCAGCGAGTCCTACGCATGTTTCGATGACCTCGATCTTGCTGCTGTTGTCATTATGACGTGTGAGCTGAGGACGTAGAAGTTGCAGCTTGGCCTGATTGTAGACCAGCAGAGCCCAGTCGTCAGTCATGAAAAGCGACAAAGCTGGCCCTGTAGGACCGAGAAGAACAGGCAGATCAGCTTGCCACATCTCCAGATCCTGAAGAAGTTGCGCTATCGTGGTGTCGAGTTCACCTTGTGAGCCGTGTTTGCGGGTGTCAGAATACAGTGCTGTATGTATACGACCTTGCAAAGCCCTGAGACGGATCGAGAACACTGCTCGTGTTACATTTGTTGGCGGATCGCTTTTACTGAAACGTCTCCGTCCGGCCAGGCCGGCCGTACTGATGTACTGATCGTCGGCGTCTGTAAGCATCTGCCAATCCCTATCAGAATCAAGCGACAACCGTCGATCGGTCACTGATCTCACCTCGGCATCAACCTCGTTGACATGCAAGCTCAGGGGTCGACCTAGATGAATGCAAGACGCGCATTCCATGGAATATGCAGACCAGAACACGCGCTTGCGCATCTCTGATCTGATACTGTCCGGCTGATTTCTGTGGATATCTCTGTGGTACCCTAAGTCAACGCATTGTCGGACTGCAAGGCCGGCTAACTTCCTAGATCAAATCAGCTGAGAAGCAGAAATGCATGGTGTGGCTTGCCAGTGCGAGGCGCCGATCGATGATCGCAATGAGTATGCGGCACAACACAGAATGGCCTGGATGTTTAGCATGGTGTCTGTTGAGAGAAGGGGCTCAATATAACACATAGCTGAGGCGTAGAGTCGCTATCGGAGGATCAGCATTAGTTGGCAAAAGGACTACCATGACATACCTCCGCGGTGTACTCAACTTGAGGTACCAGAAGTGCACCAATAGCATAGACCTATGACAGTCAATTCAGAGCTCAGTGCTGAGTGTAGAGACAGACAATGTTGAGGAAGAAATATGGAGCAGAGTCGATGATCGGCTCATGGGCATTTAGGATGATAGCTGATTCCCATTCCCTGAAGTCCGCCTCGTAAAGGAATGGGTATTGGCTGTGAATATTATCGAAGTAGGCATTGCTTAGTATCACAGCTGTTGCAGGGTCTGGCAAGTGGCAAGTGGCTGGCGTAGTCAGATCAACGGCTTCTGAGGGTTCGCCCTGGAAAGTAGAATTCCCGACCTGGCTGAGAAGGGGCTTGATGAGACGAGCGAAAGCGAATGTTGATGAAGATCCAAGATAATGCGGCTCGGCTCCCGCAGCGTTAAGACTTAGTGTCCCAACTTTCGATGCCAGATCGTGAAGATCTTCAGGGTTCTCGTGATCATCAAGAGTAGTTGGCTCGGGTGAGCTGGCGGTAATGGAGGCCGCCAGCAGCTCGGGCGCGGATGGAGTTTGGTAGACCAGCTGTTGTTGTCGAAGCAGAGTCTCAACATAGTTCAATTTCCGTTCCAAGTTCTCGACATAGTTGCGAGGTAGTTTTCGTCGCGAGATCGGATCTTCGTACAGACATACTATTACGCATGAGTGTCGCTCAATGTGACAATCTAGGAGTCTAGAGTACCTGTGCCATACCGCACACAATTTGCGCAAGCAGGGGTTTCGTCGTCGCAGTGCGCCACGTTAGTTTTACTTCGCTTAGCGTTGGGTTGAGAGTCATATCTTCAACTTCGAGCTCTTGCAGCTCAAGCAAGCTAAGTAAGTCCTGCCCAGCTTCGCGCGCTTTGCTGTGATGCGACTGCCCGGCGACGATATCGCTGCTGCCATGACGGCGACGCTGCTGAAGAAGGCTCGCAGAGAGGGCAAGAGCACTTCATCCTAATGAACACAAAGGACGGCATCTACCGTTGCAAATGTCCTAGTACGACGATTTACAGAGATAGTCATCCTCAGAGTTCTTGCACCTGGGGCACAGGGTTGTAGGCTTGCGCCGGTATCATTTGATCAGGCCAAGGCCCGCCCCACACCTAGAGAAGCTCGGGCGGCAACACTTCGGCTGGGGTCAGGCGCGGCTGACCATGATACTCCGCGAAGTGTTGCTTATCTTACTTTGCTCTATATACGCGTCTGGAAGAGCTACGATGGACGAGCAGATCATATACTACGGTACTATCGAAGTAGATAGTGGTGTCTGCCATAGTCTTCTGCGCTGTCGTCAGGTCTTCTGAATGTCACCCCGTCACTCAGAGACGCCTGGTTTCTCTGACTTGGTGGGTACTTCCAGATACTGTTCCGGATCTGACATCCTCCTGTCATCGACTACTTCACTGTCTAGACCGGACTGGATCGAGCTTTTGTGCTTCTTGGACTGCTTGTGTGCGTTGAGCCAGGAGCCCGTGAAAAGAAAGTCGATCTCCTCCACGCTCATGCCGGCGATTTCTGGCACACAGAAGTAGACGTATACTGCTGACAGGAAACACCAACCCGCGAAAAATAAAAATGCTCCCCAGTTGTCGGTCTGCGCCAGCAGTGAAGGCGAGCCATAGGCCATAGCAAAAATGAAGAACCAGTGAAACGACTGAGACAAGGCGCTCCCGAACGATCGGATACGATTTGGCCATAGTTCAGCTCCAAACACGTATGGCAGAATGTACAGCCCTAAACGGATCAACGTTATGAGTGTGACGTCCACCGGTGGATTGTACGTACCTGTTGCGTAACCAAAACCATGAAGGAAAATGAAGGCAATGGCGCCCTGCGATGCGCCGTTCGAGACGTGGCCCTGCTGCCGGTATTTGACGAAGACACCCAGATAAATGTCTGATATCATCTGCATGGTAGTCCCAACAAATAGCGAGTTCCTTCTGCCCAGAGCATCGACGAAGAAGAAGCTTGTGATGACGGCAAACCACAGCTTCGCGAAGGTGTACTTGATCTTGTTAGCTAGTTCGTCGCTTCGTGATGCGAATACATACCATGGCACTCAGGAACATGTTGCGCGCTGTTCCTCCTCCAACACCAACAATCGTCAAGATCGGAACAAAGTACGACGTGATAGAGTTTGCCCCTGACAGCTGTGCGAGGCCATAAGTCCCGAGACTCTGCACCACTCTTCGCAAATTTGCGGGAACAAGAAAAGTCTCCTTCAGGATACCCACAAAGCCATCTTCATGTTCACTGCGTTCCCTCCGGATGGCGCTTTCGATCTCAGACAGCTCGCTCTGCACCCGTGGATGCTCAAGAGGCAAGCCTCGAAGCTTCGCAAGGGTGAGGGAGGCCTCCTCGGACCGACCAACCAGAAAGAGCCACCGTGGACTTTCGCAAAGGAAAAAACTTGCGGCGACTGCTGCTGCCAGAAAGGTACATGGGGCGAACCATACGATCTGATACTGCAACCGTGATGCCTGCACATGCTCGTAGACTCCGAGCACACAAAATGCCGCCGAGGTCGAAGCGATGCCCATCGCGACGTTGAACCAGGCGGTGAGAAGGCCACGAATCTCTGGAGGTGAGATTTCAGTGATCGCCATTGGGCCAACAGTGGTTAGTGCTCCCATGCCGAGGCCACTGACAATCCTGGACGCGTACAATGCTGCGAGATTCGGCGCCGACACGGCTATCATCTGACCTATGATCCAGATGACAGCGTACAGGCGGAAGGCCCAGAGTCTACCCCATCTATCGTTGACAAGGAACGCCAGTGCCGCCCCGAAACCAGCGCCGATGTATACGATCGAGATGAAGTTGCGGATCTTCAATGCGCTGCTTCCTGTCCCAAGATGGAAATGCTCTTGGAAGCCTGGGAGCGAAGGTGCTACCGCGGCAGATGCCTGATCCCAAGCTGTGCGGAGTGTCAGTCATGCCAACAAGAGTATGGGACGACTCACTCAGAGGCATGCCTCCCGTTGCAAAGAGAATGGCCGAAAGAATGAGCCATTTGTTCGTGAGTGTCACTCGTGGTGCCGCTTTTATGGCACGATAGTGTTGCACAAGCGCTGTGTTCTGCCAGTAGCTTTGAAGCGTCATGATAGCCGGGTAGACAGATGATGGTCGGGTTTTGCGGGAAACATGAAGTTGGATCCAGCGAGGCTCGTGGCAATTATATCATATCATGGATTGAATAAGATGTATCTCCCTCTCGGGAGTCTCCACGACCATAGGCCTTATCCATCGCTGCTCAGCATTTTCCTTAACGGCTCTGCAAGATAGACGTCCATGCTTGACCTCACAAAAGCACGGCCGCGGGTCGGCAACTTGCGAGAGATGATAAGATGGTGTTGGAAGAATGAATTGAGTTTGGCGCTAAATGGAGATTTCCGAATAGCCGAAAGGCAGGTCCAGATCAGCTTCAATGAACGCTCACACCTCCTTTCAGAGGCATGCTCGTGCTCAACGTATTAGGCCAACGCTGCAAGGGCTCGCCCACCGACTAACATCAGAGGTGGAACACATAGTAGTCCAATAAGTGCCATTACACTGATGCTATGTGTGCGGCGACGCGGTGCAACGGCGACCAAGTGCATTGGCGAGACCCCTAAACTCGCGACCTCACAACCTCGCTACTTCTCCATCTAGACTGTCCTCAACAGCAAGCGCTTGATTCACGAGCGCGAGTCGACTTGAGAGTCCTTCCATGATCTTGTTGTAAGGCACCTCATCATTCCGGCGTCTCCGCCAACGCCACATCTCCAACTCTGGTGTTCTGCTACCCTCGATTCTGTCCACGACATATCTGCCTATCGTGGGCAGGAACTTGAAGCCATGACCACTACCACCTGTCACCACCAACAGCCCCGACTTGTCCGGAACATAATCGATGACGAAGTGGTTGTCATATGTGTCAGTGTACCAGCACAGACGCGTCTTGGTGTGGTAAGGGAGCAGGTCTGGAATGAACTGCTTGAGAATGGACTTGATGCGCTGAGCTGCGGCCAGTGGCACCTGACGAGTCGATATCGGCGTCCATCTTGTCACGGGAACACTCCGAACACACCCATCCGTTTGCATCTGAGGGTTGGTGTATTTCAGCCCACGATAACCAACCTTCACCACGCCTTGATCGTCTCGAGGGAAGGCGTAGAACCCTCCTTGTTCCCCGTCGTACATCTTGTAGCTATATCGGATTAGTGGGATGCGCTTCCAATGGGCGTGCTGTACTCACGTCCACACAGGAAATCGCTGCGGAGCGAGTTTGTCCCAGAGGTCGGATGTTCTAGGGACCTGAAATGTCGCAACACTTCCAGCCGTCGTCTCACAGAGTCCGTCAAGCTGTGGTATCAGACCTGGAGTCCATCCGCCGCAGGCCATGATTGTCAGCGCCGCTTGATGCTCCTTTCCATCGATGGTGCGTATGCCCCTGACACGACCATTCTTCTCCAGACATCCGCTATAAGCGCCAGCTTCTGATCCGAAGACCGTCTTCACGCCGAATTGCATTACCTTGTGCAGTGCAAAGCGACAGGCCTTGTCGGCGTACACGACGCCCGCGCATGTATCAAGAGTCCCATAGTTGCCTTCGCGCCCGAATGGGTTCACAGCATGGCCGAAGCCCAGCGACTTGGCACGAGCGACATCCTCGGGGTTCTCCAGTGTGATCTGTGTGTCGCCTTTCCCAGCCCTTGCCATGCTTTCTCGTGTGGCCTGCTCGAACAGCGCCGGACCAGGCACGTCGGTCATGGAGACATTTCCGTTGTTGATGAACAGAGTATCTTTGGCAGACATCCCAGGTGGAAGATTCTGTCCGCTTTCGATCTCTGCATTCCATCGTTTCCAATGCTCTATCGCGTCAAACGCCATGTTCTGATACTCCAGCTTCGAGCCGTACGCGGCCCGAATGATCTTATTCACATCTGCAGCACTTCAGCATTACCTCATCTCAATGTACCCAAAGCAGCGCACCTGACGAAGCCCCATCGCAGCCCTGATCATACGAGTAGAGTGACTTGTGGTATGGCTGCTTGTCAAAGATCGTGACATCGGTGTAACCTCGCTGTGCCAGATGCAATGCAGAGCTCAGGCCAAAGATTCCTGCACCAACGATTATAATCGGCTCATCTCGCGTAGCGGTCATGGTGCCCTAACGTCTTGGTTATGTCCCGCCCGATAGCTGTATCAGCGTGTTCGTTGAGGCAAGATAAGAGTGCCTGACTTTCATCTACATGACATCTCCTAGTCAGAGTGATCTGAAATGAGATTGTCCCTCTCCTCGGCGAGTGCCGATTAGTGCATCCCATCATGTGGGGTATGATGGTACTTTCCTTCAACCTGCATTTGACCTGGGGAGTACTTCGGACATATACCGTATCAACAGCATGATGGAGCCACTTGCAAGCGACAATAACCATCGCCGGAGGGCTCCTCGACACGCAGCACGATGGCAACAGACAGCGATGCCCTTCTTACGGTGCCTATGCCGCGCATCGCATCAGCCCAATGCTATGTGCTGGAGTACTCCCTAGGCAGCTACAAATTGTCGTACGGAACAATCAACAGCATAAACAACGTCGTGCTCAAGCTTACGGATGTCGAAGGCACCGTAGGATGGGGAGAAGCAAATGCCCAACAGCCCTTCACGGACGAGTCTGTTGAGGAGGTAGCCACGATTCTGCGGGATGAGCTGCTGCCTCTTTTGCTGGAGCAGCAATCTCTGGACCCGGTCAAGATAGACGAGTTGTTGGATCAGCACCGAAAAAATCACCTGATCGCAAAAGGAGCAATCACCATGGCACTGCTTGACATGCAGGGCAAACGACATGGTATCCCAGCCGCAAAACTGCTTGGTAACATTGTCCACCACTCTTTGCCTGTGCTCTGGCCACTAAGCCAACAGACGCCAGAAGAAGACATCGTCATCATTGACCAGAAGCGTGTCGAAGGATTCAAAACCTTCATGCTGAAGATGGGCCAACGTGATGCGACAGGCGGTGCCAACATTGAGCTGGAGGTCGCCCGAGTCTCGGCCCTGAAAGCACACTATGGCGATGCTATCTCATTCATTGCAGACGCAAACACGGGCTGGACAACTGCCGAGACCGAACAGTTCATCCAGGGTATCAAGAGCTCAGACATCGCCTTCCTCGAGCAGCCGACCGCCAAATCGGATGTTGAATCTCTGGCACACCTGAAGTCAGAGTTCCCGAACACTTTCCTCTCCGCCGACGAGAGCTTGACAAGCTTCTCGCAAGCGCAAGCACTCATATCCGCGCAAGCATGCAGCATATTCAGCATCAAAAGCTCCAAGAACGGTGGTCCACTACGCGCTCGAGCGATCTGCGACCTGGCTGACCGTAATGGTGTGAAGCTCTACATGAATTCAATGCTCGAGCTAGGCATTACTCAAGCAGCTAGTCTACAGCTTGCCGTCACGAGGTCAAACCTGGCGGATGCTGGACATGCATATATGTCTACGCTGCGGCTCAGTGGAGATCCGACGAACTTTTCATCGTTTGTAAGCGAAGGTGTCGTGCGGTTGCCCGAGGCGTCAGGGCTGGGTATTGAGGTTGACGAGGCGAAGTTGAGGAAGCTGGTCGTGGAGGAGTTCACCGTGACCAGATAGATATGGCATGAGGTGCTGGTATCCCGGGTATAATTGATACAGTATCGGCAGTTGCGCATCAAGCGTCGTCTCAGAGGAGCCACTTCTGTCGAGGGCTCAGTCTCCATTGATCTAAATGAATGCTCATGCTCAATACTGCCAACCACATTGCTGTGACTTGGGATTTATTGATCGAGATGGAGGGAATACTTTGCTATCGTGTCATGACAAACCACGTAACACTGAGGACCACCAGCCTCGACTACCTAGGTAGCCTCTCCACAATGGACTGGACGGCACATCTCATCTCACTGCCAAATGTTCGTGTTTGAGAAGAACGACCTCCTGGTCTCTGCAGTCTGAGTTCATCGTCCAAATAGACCGGGAGAAGTCCCATGACGCCCACAAAGCCCGTATCACGTTGGGGGCTGACGATGCAAAGCCTAGGTTTCTCGAGTGACGATCCACCTACCAGACCCAGTGCTTTTGCGGCTACTTCGCTTAGTACTCGCCCGCGACGTCGCTCGCGCCGGTAAGTTACTAAACGAATCCTCTGGCCGCACAGTCGATCGCCTAGAGTGCGTTGATCTCGCACGACTACCCGACCCTGCATGAGAGGACGTCGTCGGAGCATGGCTGGACGCTCTAGATCGAGAAGCTGACGGGGCATGGCTGGGTGCCCTCGATCGAGAATTCGTTGGTGCATTGCCGTTACTTCCATGGTGAGAAGCTGTCGCAGCGTGACTGGATCTTCTAGAACCAGATGCTGTGCCAGCGCGCGAAGTCAGACGGCTCCAAACCGATCGTGTCGCACGAGAGTTTCCGCTGCCGCTCCGACCAGATCTCCTAGAGGCGTGACTGGCAGTCTCATGTCGAGAAGCTGCCTCAGAACGACGACTAACGTCATCTCGCCATTCCACCATTTGGCGCCTGGAGAGATTGGCGGTAGGAGCGATGCTCGGGGCAGCCGCGCTCCCGTCGTGGCTGGTGACTCGACTTGAGGTAGCGGTGCGCGCAGTGTTGCTGTAAGAGGATCCACCGTGCCGGCTAGATCTCTCAGCGCGGCGGGATGGGAGGAACCGACGCGCTGCTCGCATGAAAAAGTTTTGGTTGACTTGAACGTTGACATGTGTGCGAGGGACGTAGTGGCTGCGGCCATACGCACCCCAAGCGTCATCATAGTCATCACAATAGTCTTAGCAGTCGTAGCAATCGTAAGATGCGGGACAGGAGTCCACAAAGGTGACTCGCATTGCGAGTGATCGATGAGAACGGAGCGTCAAGCGTTTGGAGAACTCCTAATGAAGAATATGGCTTTAGACTCGATTGAACTTTCGGGGAGGCAATTCGAGTGTGCTTGAAGATGGCCAGACGTGTCCAAGTATGAGAGAGCTCGGTCTTATATACCGCTGCCTTGGGGATCCGGCCATCAGATCTTGACTGCTGCAAGGCTGTACTGGTGAGATATTTCAATCTGAATGTGAGCCCGCCCGCGGCTGTGTCTGAGGAAGGCATGCCGGAGTCGAGTCTCGCTGTCTGATGCAACGAATTGCGTTCGTACGGCATTGTTGCTGCGAGGTGACTCGAAGAGTCGAATGGGAGGACTAGGCCTAGTACTCATGCCGTGTTGTCATCGCCAGCATGGTCTTGGTGCCCCGCCGACGTGAAGCTACACCGAGCTGTGTACTAAGGCCATAGGGATTTGCACTACATCTAACGTGCACCTTGGAAGCCGTTAGAGAACAAAATGGTACTACGGTCGATGGCACTTGCCTTTCCATCGTGTTGCGTCAGTCGGCAAGATCGCCCGGCAAAGACTCTGCTCCAATCTTGCCCTCTAAGCCACAGCCCAACCAGTGGTTTCCGGCTATCCGCAAGAGCGTCGAAACCGCGGCCCGTTGGGAGTGCTTCGCTGCGCCTAGATGATGATCTAGAGGAGCCAGTGAGCGCGGGCGCAGCTATGCCGCCTCGGAATACTACAAGCGAGCCACGAATCGCCCACGTTGCAGTAATGAGCATGGAGCTTCGTGTCCCCATCGACGTGAATCGACTCGGTTGCATCGCAAAGAAGTTTCCTAGCCAAGACGGCCCGACTGAAACGGAGGTGTGATTTGGGAGCCGAGATACATGACCACCTCCTCACTGCATACTTACTTGAAGGCCTTTGGTGTCAAGCACCGTCAATGACAGTAGGATGGAGTCGTTACCTACCTGCTGAGTCCGGCTCAACCTTCCGACGTAGCCCCATCACTTGTCAACCACGACTCCACGTCCACTAGGCTCCTGCAGTGAACTGCGCCAAGAGAGCGGTGTCCTCAGTAGCGACGAAGCCTGGTGCCCTGTCGTTTGTAGTGACACGTTTTCCTTTTCCATGTTTGTTGGACATCAGAATCCCCCCGGCAGGAATGCAACTATCGACACAGATTTGTCCAGGCGCCCGATCGTCGTTGTCCTTCAATTGTGATTGCCGCGCCTCGTGTCTCGGACTCGCTGTCCTCTTTCGCATAGCTCCGTGATGGCCAGTGCACTCCATCAACATGCGCGTTGCGATGATGAGCAGCACTCAGCAGAAAACTTCCAATTGGTGTAGCAAACGAGAACCTTATAGACGATCCCATAGATGTCGTCCGCAGGCAAGTTTTTGGGGACGAAATGACGTCGATCTTTCAATGGTGTCTTATAAGCGAGACACTACAATCTCTTCTCCAGGCTTCGGCCACGAGAGCCGTCGATCTCGAGACAATCCTTGTCTCGCGTGCACAATGTCATCGAATCATTACCTCAAATTCCCCGAGACTCCCTTGTGGATCGACGGTCTAGCGTACGTTCAACGGTGCAAGAAACCTTGCGGAGCTGAGCTCAACAACGGCTTTCAGCCGTGATGCGTTCCAGGGAGGCATCATGTCTAAGCGAATCAGGTTCGCAAGGCGGCACCGATCGTGTGGTCGAGATTGCCTATAGAAGACTATAAAGTCCACGTGCTTGCTGCTATGCCAGCAGAGCCTTCAGCAACATATCGACGAACAACACAAGCTCAGCTACCACAGTAGTACTCAAGGAGTCCATTCTCAAGCACAATCTCACACTCCAGCCCTAAGCATGCGTTTCTCACTCTTTGGAGTCCTTGCCCTCAGCGGCCTCTCCATCGCCACCCCTACCATTGCAAAGAGGGCTGATGCTGTCAGCGTCCTGACGGACCTGAAGGCACAAGTCTTCACCTTTACCGGGGCTATCAGTATGTCCTCGCTACTCTGCTGTAACGTCGTGCTAACAGACACTAGATGCTACTCTGGCAACACTATCTCCAGACTCGTCCGCGGCAGACAAAGCGGCGGCTGTCCCAGAGGTCGGAGCTCAGATTACCTCCATCACATCTGCTGTCAACTCGGCCATTGCCGAATTGAACTCGCTTGCCGCGACACCCGAAAAGCGCTCACCTCTCAGCATTGACGCCATTGAAGCTCCAACATGGGAGAAGCGTCAGGAAGCAGCCATCATTGTTGCCGTACTGCTCGCTGCCATCTTCGTCGAAATCATTGCAACTCTCTTGGGCGCCATCGCGATTCTGGGCGGAGCTGTCCTTATCGTCTTCACCACTCCACTAACGGCCGCTCTTCCTTTGCTCATCCTGGCTGTTGAAGCTCTGCTGAACGTCGTGCTTGGTGGTGTAACTGTTCTGTTGGATACATTGCTTACGACGTTGGCTCTTGCGCTTGCCGGCGCATTGGGAGGACTGTAAGCCTAGATGGATTATCGGAGAACGCTGTCTTTTGAGGTCTGAACGAGTTTGTTGGTTGTGTGCTCTGGAAGTAGCGGAGTCAGAGTAATCATGATGCCAAAAGTTGTTTCACACAGGCAGTCGTTTGTCATTGCAGCAGGACAGAGAGGCAGCATCGGTTGAGACTCAGGCTTTGCAACAGTCGAATCTTGTGATATCTCGTCGTGGACAACTTGGGGACTGGAATGTCAGCAAAGGCAGCCGGCTTCTTGTCACTTGAGCAAGCTGTGATTGTTCAGCTTTACTTCACTTGTATCTGTGAAGGTCGCAAGGCCTCAAACATGAACTAGCGTTTTGGGCATACATTTTCTTCTGTCAACCTGCTCAGCGACCGTCGCTGCTTATCTCGCAACGAAACTATTCATTTGATCTTCGTCATCCACTGGCTCCCAACGCTACGACTCCAGATGGACTCCGAGGCGTTGCGGGATGCATTGAAGTCGGGCGCGTACAGCGACTTCACAATCACTTGCAAAGGAGAGCGATGGCCCGTCCACGAGGTTGTCTTGTCCTCACTTCTCATTTCTTCAAGCTCTGCTCAGAAATGATTGTCAGGTATGTTGTTGCAATCGCCTGTCGCATACTGTATAGTTGCTCACCACGATCTAAGGAAACCCGCAACGGATCCGTTGAGCTCCCTGATGACGATCCCCAAATGATTTCGAAGCTGGTTGAGTACATCTACACCAATGACTTCGAAGTCTTCATCACTGGCCCAGATGTGGTCGCTGCCAAAGTGCCAAACGGAGACATGTCGGACGACGACGTAACATTCAGCCAGGTCCTCCACGCCTTTCAGTCACTCAGCGACAGCGAGACCATGGAACAAGTCACTCGGACATTCACAAGATTCATCCGGCTTGTGGATGCTTATCTGATTGCCGATAAGTTTGGGCTCCCCAAGCTTCGGAGCAGGTCAATGGACGGTCTGCGCGAGCACGACTTTCAGTCGTTCTACGTGCACACAGACTTTGCGACAGTGGTCGAGCGCGTACTTGAAAGCACGACTGCAGGCTGCGAGCTCAGACTGTTCACCGTCAAGACATGTATCAATGTTTCGCATATGATCGACGAGTCTATACGCGATCGATGGAATGTTGCAAAGATTGTGACAAACCACGAGCCCATGGCATGGGCAGTTGGGTCCAGAGAACATACAGTCAACAGCGCACATTGTGTTGACGATTGGGAAGTTCGGGGACGAAAGGCTTCTTCGTGATGGGCACGATGGCACGCATGTACGGATTGCAACACTGCGACACAGGGAATGACTGCCACGAGAACAGGTAAAAGGACACTCCATCCAGACCACGCTTCACAGAAGTTTCGCACTAAGCGAGAAGCCACCATCAAGCTATCCATCAGACCTGTAGGACATGCTAAGAGGCGCCTGCGCAGGATGCATTGAAATGTGCCGGAGTTGACCGGACAGGTCAATGCAGCAAAAGTCGGGTTTGACTAGTGCAGTCTGCCATCAGAGTAAGTTACTCAGACTTCGCATCGACATGCTTCGTCACTAGAGGCTCAGAGCGGACAGCGGAGGACTTGAGCGCAATAGAGTACGTACTATACGCTCGGGCCGTGACCACAAATAACATTTCAACTTGAACGGAATCGGCGTTATGAGCAACTCATTGCAGTTTTGCATTGTGCCATTCGTGACCCACATGTCCACCGCCAACATGACACGGCACTCCAATAAATCCATAGGTCAGCGGCTATGCAAGCGTTATCAAGCGGCAAGGACGCTCCCCGCGCCCACGCAGCTTCTCGAAAGATACCCGCCAGAAACTTCCTGATCGAATCCCGATTATTCAACTCAATCCTGCTTTTCCATGCCGACCACAGCTTCACTCTCGCCAGGCACGCTCTCTTTCTTGACCTTCTTCTCCCCCAACCCCAACTCAACCTCACCCCTCAACACTTTCAGCACCCGCAACATCCTCTGCTCCCTCCTCAACCTCTCCCCACCAACATCCCAACAAACATTCAACACCGCCATCGCCGCCACCAACACATACACATCCCCACCCTTGACCCCCCTCCACCACCCTCTCTTCACCCCAACCTTCCACAAACTATCCACACTCGTCCGCGCCGCATACATACTATTCGCATATCCCGCACTACTGTTCCCCTCCACAATCTGAAACAGCCCGCCAAGGAAACCACCCAACACGAACCGGAACTGCGGCAGGAATTTCCTCGGGAAAATCTGCTGGAAGAGGCAGATACTCGCCCAACTGACCCCGATCGCACCTGTGAGGGCCGTCGTGGTGCGGAAGATCTGCTGGCTGAGTTTGTTCAGCTGCGGTAGGAGGTTGTTCTGCGCCGGGAGGAACTTCTGAGGGCTCATGACGACGCTGAGGGCGCCGTAGTAGATGGTGAAGAAGCGGAGGAGGGAGGGGAACGACAGGAGCGTCTGGCGGAGGTAGGCGATGAAGCAGGATGTTTGGGACGGGTGGATGAGGGCGCAGGAGAGGTTGGTGAGAGAAGGATGGGCGCGGGATGTGATTGGGTTGATGATCGGGTTGATGCTTGGTGGAAGGGTCGACGAGGGGGACTTTGCGTTGGGTCGAAGGATGGGGGAGATAAAGGGCGGCCAGTTCAGGCGGGCCATTTCGGCGATGGAGTCGACGATTTGGTTTGTGGTGGGCCAGGCGACTTTGGGTGAGAGGTTGGTGGGGCGTCGTTGGACGTATTCGGGCGTGTTGGCGAGGATCAGGTTGGAGTAGGCTTCTGGGAAGCAGTCGCGGTCGAAGACGAAGGCATGTAGGAGTTGACCTTGGGCGAGGGCGAAGATGGCCCAGTGGCCGAAGGGGTTGTTGCGGGTCAGGCCACGAGCCGAGAGGACGTCGTAGAGCACTTCGAGGGCGCGCCAGCCGACGTAGATGGCGATAGTGACGCGGGGTTGATCGGATGGGCAGATTCCGAAGGAGAGGCCAGAGAGACTAGCGCCGATGGCGGGCGTCAATTTCGAAGTGAGGATAGCGTAGAGCTTTGGCCAGCGCTCCCGGATGTTCTGGACTTTCTCATGAAGGAGCTGAAGGCGTAGCTTGGAGAACAGACGGTAGAGTGTGCGGTGGAAGAACAGCAGACTCGCGAGTGACAGAGCAAATCGTGACGGCGATGCTACGATTGGCTTCCTAAGCTGGACCGGTCGGCCAGATTTGCGCTGAGTGCGGAGCGAGACAGCGTTGAGTGTGGAGGCCACGAGTTTGAGCGACAGGGAGGTCGCTGCATAGACGCGTGACGCGGCTCGGAACGAGGCCAGGTTGAAGTTGTCTCGCTGCGCAGACTGCGAGTCATATTCGTCAGGCTTGCGGATCTTATCCGAGAAGTGGTCGCGCAGAAACGTGGTGAGCAACTGTTGCTCGCGAGGGCTCAGAACAAGCCTCATCGGCGTTGAAGCAGCCATGCTGGCGACTTCTGCGGTTGCAGAGGTGGCTACTTGGATTTTATTCGTTTGGAGTAGGCGTTAGACACGTAGCTTGACCAAAGCCCGCCCACCTGGCGCGAAGAGGTCGTCTTTTCGTGAGATGCCGAGGCTTGTGGTGCTCAGTCGTGCACGTGTTTTGTCACCTCAAGTTGGCGTTCCCGACAGCTTTATGAACGCGCTCAAAGAATGTAGAGTTATCGAAGAAGTAAGCTCGGCTACATTGCGTGGAGCTCGAATTCCTAAGACGGTATTTTGCGAAGAAGTGGTGAGTCGAGTCAAGGTCGTCCTGACGCCTGCAAGGCAGCCATTAGGCCCCACCTCATATCCGGGGAAGAGACGCTAGTGCTCTCCCGGATGCCTCATGCTGGACTAAAAGCACCTATTGAACTTCAACGTCAGATCGACGCAGCATCGCAGTCCTGCTGAACATCGAGTATTGTCCATCCGGACGAAAGCCAGCCATGCGGACCCTCATACCGCTTCTCATCGCCCTCTTCCTCCTAGCCACCACCACACTCGCCGCTCAGTCCGCAACATCCTTCTGCAAATGCGTCTGCGCCGGAAACAGCACCATCATCGCCCTGAACCCACGCTCCTCCACTTCCAAGACCCAGCACTCCTCCCTGAAGTTGTCCCGCTCCCTCACACCTCGCGACGAAGACTCAGAAACAGAACAACAACGACAAGACCAACAAAAACACCACACCCCAACCTGCGCAGACTGCAACCGTGCCTTCTGCCTCGACCAGGGCGTCAAGATCTGTGAGGATGTGAAGGAGGAGGAGATCTTTGCGAGCTGTTTTCGTGTGTTTTCTTTCTCTCCTTTCGTTTACGGTAAGATTGCTGACGCAGTCCGAACAGAGCGCGATTCCCTTAAAGACGAACTCGTCGTAATTTTGTTTCTGGCATGCACGGGCGGCCTGTTAGGGTGGGCGCTGATGAAGCCATTTGTGCTTAGATTTAGAGATGGAGGTGTGGCGGGGTTGGCTCTGCCTACGAGTTCGGGCATGAGCGGCAGGGGTGTAGGGGCAGATGCGGTGGGTTCTACAGGCCGTGAAAGGACAGGCCGAGGAGCAGGAACAGCTTTCCGGGGGAATGGTCACGATCTAGAAGATGATGAGGAGCCTTTACGGCCAATATGACAGTAGTGGGCACGATATCATGATTTAGAAGGACTTTTTCATTTTGGTGTGGGTATCTCGTTATGCTGGCTTCCATGATTCGTGAACGGTCATTTGCATGTTTCCCATTCTTCCTCCATCTGTGCCTTGGAGGTATTGTCAGACTTGCTAACAGAGTCTCTGACCTGATTCACCTCGAAAGACTATGCCGCGACCCGACCAGCATCCTTACCGCGAATCAAACTCTCGCGTGGTCAGTGTGCTTTGAGCAAGCGGTCTGGGGCGACGCCGAACAGCTGAGTTTGATGGATGACTTGAGCGTCGGAGGCGAGGTCGTTCCTTGAGCCTCGGCGTTGGACTTCCTGTGGACTTGCGGCAACCTGCTAGCTTGGGAAGCCTTCGCTTGCTTCCTCGAATTCGACGCTGCTATTCACGACAGACAAGCCGTGGTTTGTCATAGGGTCACAGCGCTAGCGCAAAGGTGTTCGCAGGAGGGTGCAGTGGCAATGATGAAGCGCCTCAACGCTGCGGAGCGAAGAAACCGACAAAATCTCGAGTCAGCCGGCCGTTGATAACAGCCTCCTTCCACCCAACCACTTCCCAGATGTCCGAATTGGCCGACCGATGCTTGCTTGATAGGGGATGGTTGTTCAGCAACTTGACCCTGCGAACCTCCCGCTCTGCCACCACATTCGCCAACAGTGTGCTTCCGGCTTCGCCATAGGCCGCCTTCGATTGCTCGTGCCACTGCGCTAAGTCGCCGTAGTCTACGTTCAACAGAATACGGGAGATGGCTGTCCCCGGCGCATGAAAAGACGTGGTCTGAAGCAGGGCGGGCTCTGTAGTCGAAGGAGATATGTCTGCAGTGGCTGGCATAGAGCCAAACACCATTGATCTGAGCTTGGGGTTGTGCTTGGTTCGAGTCTCATCGAGCGAGCCGAAACGTGAAGCAAGAGATGACACGGACGCTGTGTCTAGGTTGGTCTTGCTTGGATCGATGCTGGTCGCAATGAATGCCAGCGCCAAAGACTTCCACTGTCTGGCCAGACCAGCCCAATCAATATCGGCGTCCAGGAACTCAGGATCTGAACCGGATGTAAGGAATTCCGTCTGCTTGAGGAGGCCTTCGACGACATCCCAGTCCATCACTTCAGACAGCAGCTTAGCAGCGCGGTTGGTGACGTGCTCTATGCCGAGAAGCAGACCTGATACCCAATAAGACAAGATGTATAGCAACATGGCAGATCGATCAACCTGTGATCCGGAGGAAACGCGCGGCTGGACCAAGGCTTCGGCTGTAAGGATGGCGTCGGAGTAGAGGAATCGCAGAGCAGCTCGAAAGCGTCGGGCATAATGAAGATGGGCGTCGAAAACGTCAGCACGCGCGCTGCTGTGGTGGGTCTGCGCTCTAGAATTTCTCTTAGACGCGGGCTCCTGATGAGGATCGTACTGTGCGCATACACGATGGGTGGTTGAGAATGTCTGGGGTTGAGAAAGATCGAGTAATCAGCCCAAGCTTTGGTATAGCTGAGTTGTAAAAGATGGTCTGCTAGCGAGATGAACGGTGCTGGTTCATTTTGTGCGAAGGACAAACTTGCGCTTACACCATTCGGCTGCGCTGATTGCGGTGAAGTAGCAGAGGCAGGACCCGTATGTTCGTGACTAGCATAGCCTTCGTCCGACCCGACTGTGTAGCCATTCTGCACCGTTCGACTGGGCTGCGTCAGCTCATCAGGGAACGTGGCTCGGCCATCGATTTCGGTCGGCAGTGTCGCATGGTCGGAGGTGTCTGCAGCAGACACAGCTCTACTGCCTTGTTCCGACACACTTGCTCGCGGCGAAGCTCGAGAGATGGTATTCGAAACATCGCCAGAGACGTCATCAGAGACTGCTTCAGGATGACTGGTATGGGTCACAGGATTGTCTCCAACCAGCTCGTGCTCAGACTGGTCTCCAGCGCGTCCTCCCAGCTCGTGAGGTGCCTCTGACTCCTCTGTAGAGTCTTGTGTACTCCGTTCGGTAGTTTGGGGGTCGTCGGCGGCATTGGGGCCAACATCCGCAGCTTTGGCTGATGCCTCGGCAGGAGCTTCATTCAGAAATTCTGGCGCATTCTGACTTCGGGTGGCCTCTATGTTGTCCGGGTCAGACTGCGTCGGAGGAAGTGGCCGAGATAGGGCAGGCAGCTCGGAGACACTGTTCTGTGCAGGGGTCGAAGATGCAGGCTGTCTGGTAGCTTGAGTTTTGTACTTGTTCTTCAGTCCGGGTAGTGATTGAGGCAGCGCTGGCTGGACCACTCCTACCGGCCACCGTCTGGCGATACCCGGCGCCTGTCGGGATAATTCAGGCGCCATGAGGCTTGCCGGCTGCTAGGTCAAACCAGATGATCATCAGTTCAGACCCTGGTCGACGACATGGAGGTCAATATGTAATAGGGTACACAGATCAGTCTCAGGCCTGTTCCCTTTCGGATTGCCTCATTAAGTCCGCATAGACTACAGACCTTGCATGCCACAACCCACGAAATGATTGACTTGCGGACAATGGATTGAAATCTAAGGTAGACGAGGTACTTGCGCAGTGCAGTTACAACTTGAATTTGTGGCAATTGCGGGGGACCTCTCCGAGTCATCGGCTCTTGCTCTTGGCGTGGAGAAGTTTTGATGTGCAGTCAATTCAGAGGATCTTACGCCACGGACAGAAATCTATATGACTTGACGACCAGTCTTCTGCTAATGACGCAGGGGGTTCTAATGGTACAAGACACAGCCCGACACTGGGTCTATGTTTGGTCGTCTCAGTACGAGGTCAGCATCGACGAGGATGCGTTATAGCCATCTTGGCATACTGAAATGCTCAGCCCAAACAGTGGCATTCAGCGAAGCCGTTGCCAAGATATGAGTGCTCGAGCTGCGGTGAGAGCAATCGAAGCTACATGTCAATGGAAAATCGCTGCAGCAACGTGTGGACAAGGCAGTCCTGGCGCAAGAATGCCATCGGGTTTCGCTTCTGCTTGTGGTGGGTGTTTGCCTCGTTTGTTGCGTTGAGACATCTGAAGCGTCACTTCGACGCTCCGAATTGGCTTGTCAGTCCCCATACCCGTCGAACCTGCGGATATCCCGTCCGACTGGTTTGCATGCTCGGCATGCAATTGTCGATGAGGCTACGACTACGATGATAGCTCATGATGATCACTACACAACATGCTCAGATCCCGTAGTCGGCCCAGAAATGATACCCGCAGAGTAATCACGCGACATTTCGACGCTTTCATTCTGCAATCTTGCGTGCGGATGTCATGTGGTCATAAGCTCCAGGAATGAGATTGCAACCAGTCTGCCTGATGAATCCTGGGGCGCGGCGGGGTCTGCAGCGCTGAAAGTCTATACACCATATGCTCGCGGTTGACATCGAACTTTGCCTGCGGCTCATTTCCAAGCACACGAATGGTGGCTGAAGGCCTACATATGGCAATCTGCAAAGTTGATGCATGTCTAATTGACATCAATGCAAAAGCTCATACGATCTCTGCAGAACGCGATTTTTGAGGTTCTCAAGGTGATGAATGCCGAACAGTAACCAAGAAAGGAATAATCTTGTCGCGTTCAAGACTCTGTGTCAGCGTACTCGGGACATAATGACATAACAACTGGGTTCGGAGAGTGGTCAAGCGAGATTGATCGGCTCGTCCGCAAACATTTCTACGATCTTCCTCGCTTGACTTGCGATTGCTTCATTTGGCGTTCTGGTGGTTCAGATTCGGGCGACTGACGCTGCTTACCATCTCCAAGATGCGTGAGCCTCAGGCCTGTCAGGCCATCGCTGTTCAGTGGCGCAACGTGATTGAGCCACAAGTCAGGAGGGGCTTTCGCAGAGTTTGAGGCTCGAGAGATTGCCTTCAGCCTTTTTGCATTCCCACGCGGCAAATCACCCCGATGTTGGTGGGTCATCTGTCCCATCAAGGCATAGTCAGGTACCAGTTCAGGGGTTGCTTTTGTTAGCGTCTTCTCTTCCGACTCCCCTTTAACGACCGTCGCGCTATCTTCACACATCAACCCTGAAAGTCGTTTCACGATAGCCTTGGCTATTCACTGTCTGCGCCAAAGAACATCGAGATTTCATCGCGTCCGCTGCGCTTAGGTCCATCGTCGCAGAACCTTCTTCCTACCCGAGCAAGCGAGACCCAGTTCTGCCACGAGTTGAGGGACTCGCTCGGTTCCGACGTTTCGACCGGCGATATCACACAGAATATGCAAACATCGCACAGTTCACTTTGATGCGCGGTTCTCAGCGGCAAGAATAGCACATGCTGTGGGAAGCGGATCGAGCAAACAACGAATCGGACACATGCGACCGCAGCTGCAAGCATCATCAACTGCAGTATGCCGTTCTTCGAATCCCTATCCATGTACCTTGGAATACCCTTGGACGTGATTCTGTCAGCGGTAAGTGCTAACTTCACTTTTCCGATTTTCTCTCATTTGCTGCCCGATGCGCGCATACTCCCATCTGCTTGCCTTCCGGAAACGGGCCTTGTCCCAGGGCCTGTACAACATTCAAGCCCCTATTCTGTACCCGAGACTTCACCACGATGCTCAATGAGTTGTCTATTGAAGGCAGTGAGCTCGCTCTCACATTGTCGTTGTCATTATTTGTATGTACGGTGCGAGTACAAGGCATAGACTCGGTATATACAAGTCCATTCTCCACCACGGCGCACCAGCAGAACCTTCGGTAAATTACCTGATGGCACGTATACGGCATCATCTTAGCTGCCGTTAGTCAAACCTCCAACGTGGCGGATCCGCGTTCCATATCCCCGTCAGTTTTCGAGGTCCACGTCTTTCACGCGTCCCCTCTATGCCCAACTGGGAGTCTACACGCCCAAAATCTACCCTTGTACCTGCATCTTTGGACTCTCCTGCACGAGGATCTTCCTCTTGTTCCTGCTCCAGTTCGCTCACACATTTCCTGCAGTTCGCAATCATGCTCTGATTTTGAGTCCTCGACGTTGAGCATCCTGGCTCTTTCCACTCGTTCATTTCGAATTTCAATTTCAGCAACCCACCAAGACGTAGGCTCGGCGCCTTGCCTATCGCTCAGTATCGATCACCGCGTGCTCGACCACATCAAATACTTTCACCGTCTTCGACCTTTACCGTTGCTACCGCGAGCAACGCCTGTCATAATTACTTCAACCCCCGGCTCCGCGTCCCAGATAATTTACCTGGCCGAGAGAAACCTTGCTGCCTTTTAGTAATATTTGTTGTTCGACTGCGACAGTCCACAAGTGCATGCTCATGGTCTGACGAAGGAGCGCATTGAACTTCGTCTCGATCCTAGAAGTACATGGCCTCGAGGCGCTAGCTAGCCTTCTGCGATAGACAGTCGATCGGCGACGGCGCTTCACTGGAGGTGGCCACAGAAGAACCCTCGCTATGGGTGTCTTCACGAAAAGCCGCAAGGCCAACAAAGAGAATGTCGATCCATTCGGGCCCGATGCCTCAACCGCGAGCTCTAAAATGTCCCGCAGTCTGAAGCGGAAGAACAAGAATGCGCCTGAACCCAAGCCGGAGTTCAACATAGCGGCGGCACTACCGACCACAAACGACTTCAGGACAAGTCTGCTCATGCCTGGGTTGTCGGCCCGTTTTAGTATGTTGAAAGAGCAGGACGACCCTAACTCAATACTGGGCAAGGCTAGCGACGACAGTGTGCTGTTTCCCAAGAGGGCGTCACGACTCAACTTGTTCAACCACAACCCGTTGACGGACATCGCGGAGACTGAGTCAATCCGCTCTGTGCCAAAACCATTCGCCCGTGGCGAGCGGTCATCGTCGTATTCCGACGCAGGTTATGCTAGCGATGATGGAGGCAGCGTAATGAATAGATCTCGTCCTGGTGAAGGAAATAACCTGTTCGGTGGTCGGCAGAAGGTGTACCACGTTGGTAACGGGGCAGAGACAGCCAATCCAGGCAAGGCTCGGTACCTGTACGAAGACGATGTACGGCAGTCGCCTTATCAGCAGTACAAAGCTGCCAAATCTCGAGATGCACTGGATAAGTCCACCTGGCCGGAAAACGATAATGCCCCGAGAGCATCGGAAGAGGCTGATACTGTCAACTCACCAGCGACGGCATTTAGTAAGAACCGAGGCACACAATCTTCCACTAACTCTGGCCCATCAAATCGAAGAACATCGACTGCTGCAACATCTGTAGCAACATGCGACTCGCCAATTCCTCGACAGAACAGCAATCACGCGCCCTCGAAGCTACGAACCTCAGATGGATTTGAAGCTAATGGCGTTACGCGCAATGCGTCTTCCGATTCGAGGAAAGCGTTTCCACCGCCAAAGGATGCTGCTGATCAACCTCCAATGCCTTTATCGCAGCCTCGAAGTGCGGTTGGGCTCAACGAGAGATATGTGACCCGTAGTCCCATGTTCTCCACACAAGCTTTTCGAGCCAATAGTCCACCTCCTGTCGGCCAAGCGATTACATCCCTCGACAACGGCGTTCAAGAACTTTCTAAAGGCGCCCAATTACAGACCAGAAGATATCAGACGGCATCGCCTACGAACCAAGCATTCGATGAAGATGGAGATCAGGTCTACAGCAGCAATCTGCAACCCAATGATCGTGGCAAGGCAACCGCGATGGGTTTGTTCAACCGTCCGAGGCAGCAGTACGATGAGCAACAATTCTTGCAGCGTCAGCAGCAGATGCACGAGGAACGCTCGGCCTCGAGAGCCCAAGGTCACGACAAAGATAGTAGAACTACTTCGACAGAGGTCAAGTCTCCGGTGATGAGCCGGACCAGTGATGCAGCAAAGACGAGCGATCGTGCATCACAAGAGTCTCGAACCACTAATGGTAGCTTTCGTTCTCCTTACGGAAGCGGTCTAAGGAAGCTGAGCTCTCCCGAAAAAGCAGCACCATCTGCGATCGGTGCAGCTGGGGAGCGTAGCGTCAAGGATCGAGTCGAATCACTGATTAGACGTAACAATGCAGAACTGACAGCGATGGAGCACAAACGCTCGCCGCCTCAAGTGCAAGAGTCGCCTAAGCGGACGAATGACACTGCGAAGTCAGACCAGTCTCAGAGCACCTTCATCAACCGATTCGACAGCAGTGATGATGAGGATGATGATGAGGTGGCTGCTCCACCTGCACGCTTCTCTCGACCTCGGATAGCCCCCGAGGACGTGCATCCAGCGCTTCGCGATGGCTTACAGGACTTCGATTTCGGCGAGCAAGTCTCTCCTCGACTTCCACCCGGCCACGCAGACAACAGCCCAGGGCAACCCGCGCTGTCACTGAAACCATCTAGTCCTGCATCGAAGCCGATGGGCGATGACTCTCCTACGCTCGGACCTAATGGTCTCGGTCTTAGTGGCATGATCAGAACGCATCTGCGACACGACAGCGATCGTTCTTCTATCTATCCTCAGTCACCAGCATCCGAATCGCAATTTCACTTCTCGCGGACGCCACGAGAAATGTCAATGGTATCAACATCGAACACGATCAACACAATCAACACAATCAACCCACCCGCAAGTGTTCATAGTGATCCGTGGGAGTTCGACAACGCTCAGCGGAACAGCAGAAGAAGTGCGGCTGCATCAAGTCATCACTCCGGGCATGGTGCGAACAATGCGGACATCACACCAAGCACAACACCATTACCTCCAACGATGTCCCAAAAGGCCCAGCAAATTCTTGGTCATGCGGCTGCGCAGCGACAACAAGAAGCAAGCTCGAAAGCGCAGAAAATATTGGGCGAAGAAGCCCCTCGACTCTCGCAAGGATCCAACCACTCTGCACGGATGGCTCTTTCACCTCGTATGCCCTTGTCGCCCCGCTTCCAGCAGGAGTCGCTGCCTCAGCCAGAGACAGCGGTCGATGTCAACAGCTCCAATGAGACCGTGGCTTCAGCCCCATGGCAGAGCGAGAACGAGCACAGCGACTATCATGAGCATAATCGCAACGTATCCACAGACACGCAGAAGGAACGCCAAGCCTTTGATGAGGACCTCGCCGAACGTCGACGGAAGATCCAAGAAGGCCTGAAGGCCGCTGCAGAACGCGACCGATCGCAGTCGCCAGCTGCGACAAGACGATCCAACGACCATCATCGACAGCCCTACGAGCGAAGCGGATCTGCTCAAGGCTTTTCTTCGGGTTTGCGCCATAAAACTAGTCGTGGGCAGATGGCAGCCGCTGAATATGGCAACAAAGCTATGAAGATGTTGGGTCTAAACAGCGGAGGTCCGGATTATCATCCGCAGCAACGACCGCATCCCAGACGCTACGACAGCAGTGACAACGAGTATGATGACGGTCCACCGCGAGACCAGCGAGGCCATCGTGCTCCTCACTACAATCGCCCTCCACCAGCTGCTAGCCAAGCATATGCTGCTGGGCGCCGTACACCGCACGAAAATCATAGTAGTGGTCGCCGCACACCCGGTCCAAGTGATGGACGTCGGACTCCTGGTCCGCATGATGGCCGGAATACACCCTATGCCAATTCTTCCAACGAAGATTTCGATCGAGCTCGTCAGCAACCAGCTACGCCCAACTCGCAGCGAGGCTATGGACGGGACCGAGCCGGTTCTGAAGCAGCTCAGCGCTCGCAGAGTCGACAGCGCCACTATCGCAGCGACGATGACGGTCACGGACCTCAGCGTCCAGAAATGAGACATGCAGGTTCCTCGCCGTCGCCGCCCCATGGTCGACGTCGAGGCCCAGACGACGGCCGCCCCCCTGTTGGATACGAGCGATCGCCGTCAACAACCCCAGGCTCGGGTAGGAACCGAAGCAACAGCCGGCCAGGTCCGCCACCTCAGGGATACTTCGATGGCAAAGCACCTCCGACGCCGCGTCTTAATGACGGTCCAATGCCTTCGCCAGCAGGCTTGCCAATATCACCACACCCTCACGTGATCGGCGCTGCCTCGCCTGCTCTCGGTCCTGCACATAGTAACGGCAACGTGGGTGCGCCATCACCACTCCTCAACCCAGGCCGTCCATCACCTCGCCCTCCGATGCAAAGCCCAGCCCTCGCAACCGGCGCACCATCTCCATTCCTCAACCCAGGCCCAACGCCGTACAGCGCGCAAACCTCACCGGCCTTCCCACCACCCACCTCTCCACTACCAATACCAAACCCATCCTCCGCCCTCGCCACTGCTCCAGCTATCAACGGCCGCTCCACTCCCGACCTCTTCGCCAACAACGGCCGCGCTACCCCAACAAATGGCTCATCTGCGCCCTTACAGCCAAACGGAGGCCGACCACGCCGCATGACCGTCAACAAAAACATGATCTCGGAACCAACCTTCATCTCCTCCACTAGCAGCGTCCCACTCGTCGGCCTGCCGCACGCTAGGGTCGACGGCAGCGCAACTGCTCCACCTACCTTGCCAGCGATGAATCCTCGCCGACGAGGCGGCACGCCGACCAACGAAAATGGCAGTGCTGCCACGAGCGCCGCGAACACGCCTTTGGCAACACCACTCGGCATGGCAGTGCCATCTGCCGCCGGAGGGTTCGGTCCCGGGATGGGCAAGTCGGTTTCCGCTACCAATTCGCCTGCGCTAGGAAATACGCCTACAGCCGCGACTTTCGATTCCATCTTTCACGGAAAGTCAGGCGCTGTCGGCAGTGGGCCAATGGGACCGCCACCACCGAAGAACTCCGGTCGCAATCGTCTCCGCAAGATCAGCTCTGAGGGTGGTGGTATGGCGAGTCGAGCACGCCAGCAGGCGGTCTGGGCGGAGAGAGAGCGGGAGGACCGATTGACGCCGCGGGATGGCGAGGGCACGGGGTTTCCGTTCCCGAATAAGAGTGCGACGAATTTGGGACTGGGAAGGAGTGCGACGGCGGGTGGTGCTGGGACGGGGAGGATGGGGGCCGAGGAGGGAGGGATGTTCTGATCCTCCAATGCGCGAATTAACCTGGAGTGTCCGCATTAACTCTTCGTCGGGTTTCTCTGGCGGCTCTCAACGTTGTGGCTCATTCCCAGCGCTCACCACTTTTCCTTGTTTATGCAACGCAAACGCCATATGCACGACAATTTTCTTCTATGTCTATGGGAAGACAAATATTGGATACACTATACCACACGACAACGGCCCACGCAAGAGGGGCGGCAGAGGAGGGAGAGGAAGAGATATATACATACGGCTTGCGAGAGCCGAAGAAGCCGAGTACTTTGGACAGAAGAGCTGGGCAGAAGGAGCAATGTACGACCACGTTTGCTTTTCTTTTCGCGTCTTTATCATGTACGACTACCGACTACCAACAGCTTCGCAATGTGGTTCAGCGGCTCTCCGGGGCTTGTTATGTGGTGGAATATACTACAGGAGGGCGGCTTCTTCAAGATCCGTTAAATATTAGTGTACGAAGTGAAATGATTATTGCTATCTACCGTACACTTTCTGGTCGGCTTTGTTCTTCTTTCTGTACATCTGTGCACAATCCTCATTGCCGTCTTTTCCACAACGATGCCTCTGCCTTTCGGGGTTGGACGTCAGACTCGTCCGCGAGCCCACAAAGGTTTTGGATGCTACTCACGCCGGACACGTGGTGACATGATATCAGCCCTTGCGAGCCCAATCAAAGAACAATTCTGTGACCATTAACTGTGTATAGACTGTGTTCGTTCGCGTAAGGCAGAATCTCTGAGTCCATAAATAGTGGCGAGGCCCGCATCCTACCATAACGAAGTCTGAAGTGCTCGTCGAGTGAACAGAACCGCAAAATTTCTGAACGAGGCTGCAACCAGCAACACACACACATCCCAAGACCCCACCCATCGGAGAGACATATCCAAAACCGACAAAAAAACTTCGGACACCACAGATCGAGGATCGAGGCGGGACGAGGCTCAAAGGCAACACGCCGACACCATTAACAAGCCGAGCTTGAGCCAATCGTAGCCTCAAACCAAGTACAGTCAGAGAACTGTCAGCGGGCCTAGTTAAACACTTAGTGGCTGAAAGGGGGTGGTACAACGCACGAGGGATAGAGGGCTGAAACAGAACTCGTTCTTGTTGATTTTGTGGCCGATTGTTGGCGAGATTCTTGCTGTTAGGATATATATGGAGGTCGTGGTCGAGGTGGTGATGATCAGGTGAGGTGGGAGTCAGTGGACGTTGATGTGATGGTGAGTTGTGGTCGGGTCTTGGCATTTCGATGAAAATCTTTTGCTGCAAATAAATACGAGTAAGGTGCTTTCGAAATGAGAATCTGGACATCCTTTCAGCGTGTTGCGTGAACTCACCCTTTCTTCGTTTGGTGCATTCCTTGAGCCTCCGTCGACCTCACCGCTTCCTTCGACGTTCCGTAGGGCGCTGGATAGAAGTCAACATGGCGTCTGAACGACGGGCTGTGCTCGAACCAGCTGAGCAAGACGATGATAGTCATTTCTCTGGCGACGAGCGCAACAACGGGTCTCGCACGTCACTGGCCGTGACTTGGATGATGAGCGTAGCAAGAAAATCGCTTCACTCCGAGAGCAGATCGCCAAGATGGGCAGACACTTGCTAGAACATGACGCTTCCATCTTCAAGAGAAGAAAGAAGGAAACGTCAGAGAACGCTGCATCGCCAAAACAAGCTTCCACGACTCTAGAGCCGGACTCCGCCTTCGTGACTCTCAAGTACACCAGAGCACGCAGTGAGGAACAAGATCAGGCTCAGGTCCCTTCTCTAGGGATTTCGAGCACATTGGATGTCGACCCAGAGGATGACCAAGTGGTTCCGTGTGCCTACACTCAAGCCATGAAAGAAGCAAGATCCAGAGGAATGACAGCCGAAGAATACCTCCAGGACTTCAAGAGGGAAATGTTCGAAGATTCGCGGAGACAGGTTGCCAAGGAGAGATCGATGTCGAAAACGCTCAGTCGCAAGAGAGCTCGTGAGAACGATCAAACTGGATCCATGTAAGCCCTCTCGTTCCTTCAATGACAGCCTACTGATCGAATTTAGCGCACGCAGGACATCGGATCATTAAGGCAAAAAACTGCCTCAATCTCCCTTGAAGACTCCCAGAAAGTTGAATCTGCACACGACCCAGCCTGCGAGAGACGGAGAGGCTTCCATCACACCTGACATTGGTCACGACACGTACAGGTCCTTGTTGCTCGAAGCTGCCGAGGACCGCGCCGCGACTGCCGAAGAAGCCGAGACGAAGCTTGCGGTGAGCGACTGAGGAACATTGTATATGGACAATGAGCAGGAAATTAGGGTCAAGAGCCATTCTGATGGTGGGTCGCAGGAGGTCTGAGAAGTAGCCGGTGGCTATTTAGGACCGGTAGAGGACAGCTCAGACTTCGCTTTGATGGAGACTTGATCGAGTGGAACACAGACAGAGCAGTAACGAGTGTACTGATCCAGCACATCCCTCCGGCTCGCTACGACAGCAGCCCTGTGAAGAATTAGAAGCTGAATAGAGCCCAATCAGTCTGAGGCGTCGTCGGAACTGACCTTTAGCCGCTGACATCAGAGAATCACGTGATGAAAAGAATCGGAGTCCCTCGAGTCCCTTCGACAAGCGCGCCAATCCCGCCCGGAGTTGTCATTCTCAAAACCTGAAGCGAGCCGCCGATCGTGCCAACATCTTCTCCTCGCCTATCAATGTCTGTGCATCGCCACGAATGTCGGACGCTGTTGTCTCGTGTTGGCTTGCCGTTCGGCGAATGCACTGGACCTCGCCTAATGTTCAGGTCTGGCGTCATAATGCAGGATAAGTACCCTGAAGCAAGTTTCCCTTCGAAGTCGCGAGTCGAAGACGAATGGGACGCTGATACTTCGGCCTCTGGCGCTGATGGCTGATAAGCAGAGTATCAAAGGGTCGAGGCTGTGTCTGCCCTATAGCTTCGTGTGGCATGGTCGTTCCATTTGTCGCAATCGCAATGGAGAACATGCTGCTGGCACCGCTGTCATCCATTTGATAAGACCAGGTATCCCTGGCCCTGCTATTGTGTTCTTCCTCTGGTTTCCACCGTGCGCATTGATGATACAGCTCTAGCTACTGACTACACTCATACGTTTGCATATTGAGTCCAGCTCATTGATTTTCCACGATGAAAGTGCTCGACAACGTCCTGGACAAAGGGCGAGATGCATTGCATCATGTGCACCACAACGACAAGCCAGAAAGCCTACCAGAGCATGAACACAAGCGTAATGATAGAGCTTCGACAGTGTTCTCTCACCGGTCGGACACGGTGAAGTCGACTTCAAATGCTTCGCAGAGGCCGCCACGGCCATATTTAACCAGAGTACCTACTGTGCAAACCAAATAGTAAGTCCATCGCTTATGAAGGCAATCGTGCGACTTACCAGTCCAGTATGGAGATGCTTCTACATCTTGATCGCATACCACGAGTGCACAACATCCTCGCCGCTGGCTTTGGATGGATCCTGCTTGCGGGCTTCCTAGTCATTCCTGGAACTTTCACTTCATTCAAGCAGACCGAGGCCTACGAGAATGCGAGCGGGGACGCTGCCTCGGACATCGCCAACTCAATCGTCAACGCCATCAACAACGTGCCGTTGGTATACATCAGCGCCGCTTTGAGCGGAGTCGGGGCCCTTGGTTGTATATGGCTCTGGTATCGGTGGCGGAAGAACTATGTGTGGTTGATCAACAGGATCTTTCTGTATGTCTTACTCGATCACACAGGCCTTGACTGACTGATGTAGGCCTACTCTTTTGTCGTCGCTTGCCGGTGTGCTCTCGACCATTGTCAATGTATACTCAGCAAGAGAGGGCGTCTGGAGTGTCACGGCCAAGATCGCCGCAATTGTTACCGGCAGCTGTGCAGGTGTCTCGTTGGGGCTATTCCTGATCTACAACTTCTGGGCCCTGAAGGGTGTGCGCAAGCAGCACGATGAGGAATTCCCAGAAGAGTACAGGCGCAAAGAAAAGCAGAAGAAACGGGAGAGTGTTATGGAGAAAGTGAAGAGGAAGGCACACGAGCCTGCGATTCAGCCAGGAAGTATCGTCTGACATCGACAGCGTCTAATGATAAGCATATAGCGGTTGCGACCACCAAGTCGACGTTGGTCGTTCCTTCCCATGTGTGTCCTTCGAGCTTCTTGCCCACTGCAACTCATTGGCACTGTGAAAGAACAATGATGTCAAACACAGATAACGGCAGGAGCATTCGAAGTCCTCCTGGCAGACCTTTGATCCCCGAGACTTTCTCACAGCGCCATCTGCACATTACTTGCAACAAACCGCATCACATAACCTAGTATTATCAACATTCCTAGATTGCAACTTTGATGTCTCCTATCCCCTCGAAAGCATCCCAATCATCAACCCGACGATCTACCCACGCCTACGAAACCACATCGGCAGGACGTCGTCCTAGGAGCCTCCGACGTCGTAATGCTCGCAAGAGCAGAATGCAGAAGATCGACCTTGGCCTAAACGAATGCTTTGAGATTTGCCAAAGCAAAGGTTACCATCAAGACCCCGATATACACATCGGGTCAGCAGCAAGTCGAGACGGTAAGAAGGCCATCCAACCTGCATGATCATACTGATCCCAACAAGTCAACCCTTTCTCTGTCCTTGACCACAATCTCTTAGCACCACCGACGCCACCAAAGTCCGACTTCACCTTCACGTTCCCCGCTCCAAACAGCTTCGCCACCACTGCAAGCATCTTCGGGCCCACAACAGGTTCTCAATCTGCTTCGGCACACCCAGGTCGATTCGATCACAGCCAAAAACGTGTGCGGCCCACCATTACTCCTGTGCAGCAACCACCGAAAGCTTTCAACCAATCTCCGCCGTCATCGCAGGTTGCGGTAAGCTCGAAGTCTGGAGAGGCACTGAAGCACCAAGAACAGCACCACTGCCCTACTTTGAATGATATAAGAATCCCAAGTCCGCTCCTATACCACAAAGAAAGCCGCCAGGCATTCAACCTTCCCGATGACAGCCTTGAGGAGGAACGCATTCAAGCTTTCCTACGAAGTTGTGGTCAAGCTCTACCTGATCCGGCCATCTGGTCCGATCAAAGTGCAACGGCAAAGACCGGTGGTACCGGAATCCAGTCCAAGTCAACTCCTACCGTCGGTCACCAGGATCTCTCTGTGCTCCACAGCAACGATCCACCCACCGAGGGTGCCGGCGAGTTGTTCCGCAATGTACCTGAACCACCATGGACCATATGCTCAAGTATCTTCAATACACAACTGGCACGGAGAGGCTCGTCTGGCCAAAGACCGGTACCGATTGAAACGACTTCCGACATCTACAGGAGCTCAAAGGAAATGCGTGTCACAGTGTATCAGAGAAGATTGGAAGACCTCTGGACCCCATTCACAGCAAATGCTTCCGATGCTTCGAACCCTACTAGTCCATCACTGGATGAGTGTATGGAGATGATTGACACTGGCAGGCCCGTTCAACGTGATGGAAGTCCTGCTTCGACTCCCATGGATCTCATCGATGATGATCCTGAGACGATTGAGCGGATGTGGGATGCATTCGAGTCCACAATTTGCGGCTCGGACACAGACACGATGGCACTAGCCCGGACCGCGCCCCCTAGATCGACCATCGATAGACCCAGGGAGCGCCTTGACAGTGATGCCACCATCATACCTGAAATTGACATAGCTGTGTGTTCTGCGCCGGATTGCACTGCGCTAGTGCCAGCTAGCCTGTACCGACAATCAGTGGAACTCCAGCTAGATCGTCCTTACAATGCGGTCTCATTCGCTCGTAAATTTGCTGGTGCAGATAGGTGCACCCTTTGGCCAAGTCCTTCCAGCGTCGGATTGTCTACATGGCTGAAGGATCTCGGTATCGAGCAGGAACACACCCCCAATTGCGACATGGGAAAGCATGAAAGTTCTGCGTATCGAGTCGTCATGAACGAGCTCCTCCAGTCAGCAAATCGCAGCAATGATGCGAATGGGAATGATGAAATTGCCAACTCGGCTGCAAGCTTTGGCCTAACGAGCTTGTTTGAAGAATTTGAGGACACCACTGCTTACGCCGCACCTGTCACTACCAACGTCAAGGAGATGAATGTACAGACCGCGACATCTCCCTCTGATGCTGACGACGATGGATACTTTTCGTCTCATGTGAGTGACGACGAGATTGCCCACAGCGAGGCAGCTTTCAGCGAAGTTGAGTGGGACTTCGATTGGGACTAGGAGGACCAACAGGTGGACGACTGGAACGAGATGTATATAAAGCTGGCATGACTTGCCTGTTGAGATTGCGCATTGGGCCAGAGGACTGAGACGTTATGGGCGGCCGAAAAGCGATGATAGTCTGATCAGCACACATGGAGCAAGTGATCTGGTATGTTCCAATAGTTGTGCCGTATGTATATTGTCACCAGATTGCCTCCTCGCGGAATCCCATTATTGTTGCTCTACATGCTGCTGCAGTGCCTTCAGTATCACAGGCACATCAATTTCAATCCACTGCACCCCCCACCATACTCTGCCACCCAATTTCTCCATGACCCTCCGAGACGACGTATTGGCTGTGTCCACGTCCGCGTGTCCGTACCACTGCGTTGACTCAACTCTTTCTCGATCATCTGCTACTGTGCGCTCGCTCACAGGATCAGACGTTGACAGTCTAAACGTTTGCTCAATTTTCGGCAATAAAGCCCTTCCCAGCAACGTAGCCAGACCTTTCCCGCGATGCGCGGGCTCGACATGCATGCTCGACAGGCTGCCATCTTTGCCGAGGAAGGCCCATGCGATGCACTCGGACGAGGTGTTGTCATTAACCGAGGGGTCGTGGTAGTAGATTCCCAGATTTGTAATCGCCTTCAATGTAGTCAGCGTCCGTGGGATGGGACTTCTGTCGAGTACCGTCTGTAGTTCGGAGGTGGTGAGTGTGCCGAACGAGTACCCATCTGGAAGTCTGTACCCTTCGCCGTCGACTGCTGAGCCAATCTGCGGTGGCATCACTACCTTGACATACATCCCATCTCGCCTCGCAACCCCATTTGCCTCGAAATACGGCACAAGCACAGAATGAACGCTCCCGAAGAGGACCTTGTTGGGTGAGTACGGCTGGGATAGATACTTCTTGTTGTCGCGCAGCCAGATCCAGTCCTCAGGCGGCGAGGTGGGGCGCTGAGGGATGAGACGGTCGGCGAGGTGAGTGAGAAGGGCATGCAGGAGGGCGGCGTGAGTTGGACTGGGGATGAAGGGCGTGGGTGGTGAGGTGATTGGGCTGGGTGGAGGGTTGGTGAAGGGGGTCCGCTGGTCAAAAGGGATCTCCCAGGAGGCGAAGACGATAACTTGGGTTTGCCCGGCGGGCGCGAGGTCGATGTGGGCTGCTAGCCATGGTTCGGCTGCTGGTGGTGAAGGCGAATGTGAGGGTTGAGAAAGCCAGTCGGTGATCCTTGAGGATGAGTCGTCCGTGTTGGTCAGGGCGATGAAAGTCTGCGAAGTGGGCGATGGCTTTCGGTGGTGAAATTGGATCCAGCGGCTCAGGGTGATGGTGTAGGGAAGTAGTGGATTAAGTTTGTTGTGTAGAAGCTGTAGCTTTTGGGAGTGGTCGAGGAAATCGGCCGTGATGTTGGGATGTTTCGGCGCTGAGACTGATGTTGCTGCCATCTTGACTATTGTGGTGCAGACTTCAGTTTACTACTCTTGTCGTCTTAGGACCACCCCACTGTTGCTCCTAGATCTCACCTCCACGTCGGAACGTTATTCTTCTCTTATGTTTTGTCAAGAGCAGCCTTCATTATATGTGGCGGTGCCTTGCGAGGTCCCGCACATCTCCGTGGGCAACGATGATCTTTGTTGACTCACGATTTGTGCAACGCTACGGTCCTACGACTTACATTGGAAGAATTGCATATCGCTTGGCATATGCCGAAGTCCATCCAGTGAATCACAATTGGCGCGGCTTCGCCAATTCATGTTATGAGCCGTTTTGCTATATATATGCACGTACGAGCAGATCTTCAGATATGGTCTGATCAACGAGAAAGATATTGATTGACGACGTCAGAAGCAAAAAGTGCTGGCATTCTGTCTATGATAGTCGCTCATTCTGTGTGCGTACTGTGCAATCTTCAAGGATGAGTGGACTACACCCGCCTCTCGCCGTGATCGTGATTTGCTTGCGGACCCTTAGCCGTTTGGCTCGCCACCATCTCGATATCGGCGCCACGGATCCCTTCGTTGTCGTAGCGCGATTTCTTCCCTTCTGGCGTGAAGCTCTTTCGCGCCCAGATGGCGAACCACACAATTATGAAGATCACGCAAGCCCCTGCCAAAATTCCGAAAATATACCCAACTAGCGTGCCAGTGCCATCGTTCGGGTCGAGGAAGTTGTACGGATAGAAGCCCTCCGTTTCGTGTGTGATGTAAGCCAAAGCAAGGTAGAGCGCTAGCAGAAAGATAAGACCAGGTAGATGCAGCCAGGGAGGCCGTCGAGTGGCAGGCAGAATAAGCTCGAACAGAGCGATTGCGGAATTCAGACCGTGCTTGGAGAGCTGGTGACCAGTCAGTACATCGTCAAGTCCACGCACCGTACTCAACTCGGACGCCGAACTCCCAGTTGGGGCCGCAGCGTCCTCTTTTCAGCCAAACGAAGCACCACTTGTTCAACTTACATCTCGCCATCTGTCCACACCCACCGTGTACCACGGATCGGGTGAAAGAATCGACCAGTACACAATAGTGACTAGGAAAGGAAACGTGACGATAGTTGTGTAGTAGAAGCCATGAAGAGCCTGCAAAGGTCGGGGCCAGCTGTCAAGCCAGCTTCGTCCGCGCAAGGAGTATACCACCCCGTGTATCCCCGCGATAAGGGTGTAGAAAGCAACGCCCCAGTAACTCAGTTCTGTGAAGTAGGAGAAAGAGTGGCCGATGCCTTCAGGGCGCACGCCGTATGTAACGAAGATAACAACGAACGCGTATGATGATATCAGTAGGCGAACGACGGCGAGGATACCAGGGCCGAACGCCCACGACGTAACGAATGGCAGGGCATAGTGATCGTTGTCTACCCCGAGCAGGTTGTATAAGGAGCGCATTCGAGGACGATACGTGAAGACAGTATCCGAGCTGTGGCTGGAGTCTAAAAGAGTATGAGAGTACTGATGGAGTATGGGTGTCCTAGGAGCGTCTTGAGGTGTGTGTCTAGGTGCTGTAAGTGGCGAAATTATAGGCATGTACACAGGAAGCAACGATGTCGATGTACCCGATGAAATGAAGTGCAGTCGCGACATACCTCGGTTAGCATGCCCAATGCGGCCGCATCTAAACAAGCATTTTTGGCAGTCTAGGCAAAGCCCGTTGCCCAAGTCGAAGGAGAATTGTTGGAAAATGAAACGCCTTGTTTCATCGTGTAGCAGTCCAAGACTTACACCATAAATGAACATAAGTCGTCTTCTCTGATCGTGACGCTTTGCTGGCAGCGATTCTCACGACCTCTATGTATCGCCATCGTGGCGACCTGTGCTATGGCAGCAAATCGATGGCAACGGGCGGTCATTCTGAGCGGAAGTTCCTAGGTTAGCGACCAATGAATGATCAGTACCTGCTCCCGCACTCATACGACGACGAAGAGCTAGGGTCTATCAACGATTCTTATAGCATTCGCAACTTCTGTTCGGGATCATGCCAGGACGCTGTCAAAGACCAGCATGACAGCGCAGCTGTCGATATCAGACGGCCTGGTGATCAAGGACACCCACTGGCGTTCACCCGCCTTCGAATGGTGATGTCTATGGCTGAGTGGTGCAAGCCTCAATTTTTCCACAGCCTCGACACAGCCAGCAAACAACAGCTGTGCTTAGGTCGATCATGGCGCTCGGAGGCCGATTCTGGAAAGGCTAAAACTCAGACCTGAGCGGTGTTCCAGACATTCGGACATCCACAAACCTTCTGTCACAGCTAACGTGCGGTAGCCACGCGGCATCAATCTCTGTCAGGTATAGTCTCCCACTGAACACACAAGCATTCCTTGCATGAACTGCCGTCTCGGCGGGTCTTTAATACCCGGCCAATGGTCATGAAGTCATCACCACAACAATTCGTTAACGTTTCTCTATTTCTGGCTAACTGCTCGAGGGAAATGTAAGGTACACCTCCAGTAGGCGGTTCCCATGAGGCATCCTCCATGTCCGACAGGCTTCGAGCCGTCTATCCAGAATGCAAAAGTCGCTGGATTATCCCAAACCCGTTTAGTCGGATGGTAATGTTCGTCCAGCCCCAAGTGATCTACTGGCGTTGGTACAATTCGCGAAAGTCAACTGCTCCAGCCTCTTGAGACCCTGGCTCTTGTCACGTTCTGAACTTTGCCACCAGTGAATCCTATTGACATAAAGAGCTTCGTCCTCGACTGGTGGCGCGCACACTATCTAATCGATCTACCTACCAGCGTATCCTCACACTCGTTGACAGGCATGTTGCGCGGTTCCTTTCTCGCCCTCACGGCGCTGCTCTCGCTCACATCTGCTGCACCTGCTAAGCGGCAATGGGGCGACTGGCAGCCCTGCAACAACGAAACAATCCGCATCCGTAAGGATTTCAACAATCTCTGTCCAGAGGAGCGCAAAGCATTTACAGACGCTATCAACTGTATACGTTCTCAGCCATCAAATCTCGACCAAGCAAAGTATCCAGCGGCTATCAACAGGTACTTCGATTGGGCCACGGTTCACGTCAACCGCACCAATGTCGCTCACCTTTCAGGCTATTTCCTGACATGGCACCGCATGTTCATTCACCTCTTCGAGGAAGACCTACGAAACATTTGCGGTTTCGAAGGCACAATGCCATACTGGAACTGGCCCGCCACAGCCGATGATCTAGCCAACACACCAATCTTCAACGGCGACGCCTACTCCATGTCCGGTGACGGCGCATATATCCCCGACCGCCCACCAACAGTCCTCGCACCAGGCTTCTCCCTCCCAACCGGCCTCGGCGGCGGCTGCGTCACAACTGGACCATTCGCAGGCATGAACTACACCATGCAACCCATCCCGATTCAGGGCCTGATTCTCGGCTCCCCACTCCCACCCAACGCTTTTGCGAACAACGGCTCTTGCCTAACCCGCGACCTAAACCCGTACGTTGCCCAGCGCTGGGACAACTGGACCGCCTTCAATGACGCCATCGCCGCGCCCAACCAAGCCGCATTCTCCACTGCACTGAATGGCGTATTCGGCGGCACCGACCTCGGCCTGCACTCTGGCGCGCACTTCATCGTCGGCAACCCTGCTTCCAACATCTATGTCTCGGCGCAGGACCCGATCTGGTATCCGCTGCATACCTTCCTCGACTTGATGTACGTGCAGTGGCAAAAGGCGCATCCGGAGATCTACGATGAGTTGTATGGGACGATGACTGCGAATAACGCGCCGCCGAGCGCGAATGTGACCCTGGACTCAATGGAGCCGGATTGGGGTTACTTTGGGGATAGCGTGCCAGTCAAGGATCTGATCTCGACCACGGCAGGGCCGTTCTGCTATGATTATGAGTTCCAGCCGGGGCCATATACGGAGAAGAGAGGGGAGAAGATGCTAGGCTGGTCGTGATGCAGTAGGTGGCATAATGATGTTCGACGTGTCGAACGGACGCTCGACAGAGCTTAATCGTTGTACATAGCACTCAATCTTTCTTGCATGTCAGAAATGTTAATCTAGCTCGACGTATGAATCGTTGACCTCTTGTTCATGTTGCCACAAGTCGTAGACAGTAGGTGAATCAGTATAAGTCTTGGTAAAACATCAAGACATGAACTCGTTATCGTGAATCAACATTTCTACTCGAAAACCAAGCGCCTTGCTCAAATATCGCTTGAAACGCTTCCACCTACCAAATAACTCCATAGTCTGCCCACTCAGAATGGGAGAACTTCCTCCACCGATACGGTGGAAGCCGAGCGCTCCCTCGTCGACACTGACTCTGACCCCTTCCAATATGATGTCGTGGGTTCAAAACGTCCACTACTGTCGGTAGGTGAAACCTCACCCGCATCTGTGATTTCGACTGCTTCGGCAGTCGTGCAAGGTGACCCGTCGTGACGTGGGAAGACATCGTCTTCCTCGTCGCTCGACGAAGCTGAGTCCGCGTGCTCCTGCTGAGCTTCCACAGCGGCAGTCTCGTACGTCTTCGAGGCTCTTCGCCGTGGCGGCGGAGGTGGTGGCGGCGATGTTGGTGCCCGCGGCCTTGGTGATGCAGCTTTTTCAAGCAGCGATCTTTGTGTTTCGACGTAGAGGCGTGCATGTGCAATGACTTGTCGCAAATCTGGGTCGTCAGAAGACGACTGCATCCGTATCCGCTTGGCGCTCAGACAGTGTAGCTCTATGGCTTGTGCGGTGGTAGGTGGCATTGTGATTGTGTTGGATGCACGTCGGCAGTCGAGCATTTTGCGCCGGGCTGGCTGGGGCCTAGTTGATTTAATGTGGCGGTTCAGGACGGTGTCCTAGCGTACGTTGGTTATCACCGACGGTGCTGATGCTCGACTGCCGTTTGTGTTATTTGTTGTTTGTCTACAGCGAAATATCCTAAAGTCGAAGGGACGAAATCGAATGTCATATACGTCGGATGAACCATCCACACGTTTCCACACGCTGACTTACGTTGCGACACCGGCCCACGCAAGCAAAAAGGCAAGCAAAGGCATATCTTGCGATATACATACTGCCAGTGCCCACCAGCGAAGTCAGCAACTCCATCGGCCAGCAGAACAATCGCCGAAGTTTGAGCACGAAACTCCTGTCAGGCCGAGCATATCGGACTGCTCGCCCTGTCATCTGGTCAAAAGTTGAGGCGGCACTTGCGGCTCTGCGAATCCACCAAGAACATTCTGCCCCGGAAAGGACGGCGTGGCGGCTACGTCATGGTCCCTGGGACTATTTTCGGAGGTCTGGCATGGCTGTGATTGGTTGTGGACAGGGCAGCGCACAAGGCGCCGATTGAGTTTGCCGTTGGATTTGCGAGTGCGCTATATATCAGCGATCGGAACTCGGGAGTCGGGAACGCGCAAGATCAGGGCCTTAGTGGTAGGCAGCGCGCGCACATATAGCCAATCAGTCTTCGACCAAAATACTGCGATTCGCTGAAACAGAATGCGAGTCTAAATGACTGACAGGCAAAACACAGATTACGGCAACTGCGAGCGGCTTTGGTTTAACAAAGGACTATCAACACGCAACGCGGCGCATGCCCCGATTGGTAAGGAGGCGGCGACCTTGGCACATGCATTGACCCTGGCCTCGAAGATAGACACCAGCAGCGTACACGCGGCGAGAACCTCTTGGCTACATTGTTGTGTTTATCGGACTCAAATGTGCTCGTCTGGCTGACGTGGAATGCTATGAAGTTGGTGAGCATACGTCGTCGTCGATGTAAGAGGCCCCCATCGCAAGCACCTCTTCCTCCCAAAAGGCACCACCCAAGATACCTTGATGCGATCGACCCGGTATGAACGGCGTCCTCTGAGCGCCGGGCTGATGGGTTGGTATGCGTGTCGTAGTTCGAGCCTCGTTCAGGTGAGGCAATTAGGGTCCTTACTAGGGCATAGAGTTGCTGCAACCATATATGCAAGACCGTCGCTTGATCACTATGTGGGCAGGAAGTCACCCCCAGCCGATTGCGACGACGGAGACGATCGCCGACTCCCATTCCGCTCAGCTTCGAAAGCATGGCGTACATGGCCAGAACTGACGTGTACGTGAAGTTTTGTAAACCGAAGAGGCAATGTACTGGTCTCGCGGTTTCGCATGGGGGTTGCTTGCTTGTGACTTCGTTCGCGGAGGGCAAAGAGCTCAGCTTGGAATCAGCCCGCGTCGAGTGTGTTGTTTCGGCGTTGGTCGTTGATGCGAAGCTGAACTTCAACGTCACGACTGTGCCAGAGGCCTTGGGATGTAGTTCGCTACGAGCCTTTGCAGCGCAGCTGGTAATTACAAATTCGCACACAACGGAGACGCTAATGTTGTGTATGGATGATGGCTCACACCACTCAGGGATTCGATTCTCGATGTCTCTTGAAAATTGTGCTCAGTTTTGTGATGAGCTTGTTGCGTTTCTGCTTCTGCTGTGAGATAACACGAGAGGCCTCCTCATCGGTAGAGCTATGCTTGGATGCTGCCGCACTTGGAGACGACTCGGTGGTATATGCCTTCTCTTGACTCGGATGTGGACCCTTGACGTCCTCCTCAATGTGGTGGAGCCGCGACCTGAACTCGGTACCAGCGATCAGGATGTTCGGGAAAGAGGTGTATCTGTTCGGATCGCGGGGCTTTTCCTCAACATAGAGCCGGCCTTCCCGATTACTGGGATTGGAAGTGCGACCTGTCAACATTGTCACGATCTCAGAGACCTCGCCGTTCAGGAGCGAGTTGATGATCGGCGTGGTGCAATCCACGCTCTTCCCAGAGCCCGTCAACATCTTCAGGGTGCCCTCTGTAGCATCATGCACAACTTTGCCACGCAACCAGGCGCGGAACCCGTCAGAGGCCAGATCGACGCCAAAGAGACTCATCACGACAAATTCCGGTACCACTGCGCCTGCAAGCTCGCTCTCGTCGACGCCTGACAGCCTATCGATATACGACAGGGTAGCGACAGCGACTTCATCGAAAGACATGGTATAGTCCGCCTCGAATCGTGGGGCGTACTGTTCGTCGAGCGCCTGGGCAGTCGGCAGACCGCGGAACGCAAAGATCTTGTCTCGAGGGTCCGAGCATTGTTTGCTCTTGTGGTCCAAGACAGTGGTCACAAATGTATGAAGTGGGTCTCCGGTCTGCCTGTTGCCACCCGGGGCGGACGCCATGGCTCGTTTGTTTCGGTCTTTCGTGTATAGGAGACTCTCTACCGCGATACTCAATCCGTCTTTCACCAGGGCGTCAGGCGCGCCCTGTGTAGCGATTGTACCCTTGTCCAAAGCACTGAACGCGCGCAGACTTGAAAAGGGGACGACGAAGCGGCCGCTGTGCAGCATCAGACGGGTATCAGAGCAGATGACTTCTGGAACGATCCACGTGCGCGAGAAATACGGATTTCTTGAAAGCGCGACCACGTCGTCTCTGCCCAAAGCTGCAGCCTTCTGCTCAAGGTCCAGGGTTTGATCCGGGGTCAAAAATCCATTATTCATGGCCCACCGCATGTGTAGGGCTAGGAATGCCGCCTTTGTGAAGGGCTCCTCTTTGCCCAACCAGGCAATGACGCCTTTTGCGGTACAGTAGATATGATGCATGCTATTGAGTTGCTCGGTCTTCTCTTCAAGGTCCGCCTGGTTGATGCATATAGCGTCGATCCAGAGATCCCATGTCCAGAAGGCCCCTGCGTTATACATGCCAAACGGGACTGGCTTGACAAAGCGATTCTGGAGGAAGTCAAGGAGATTTTGAGCTACCCCAAATGGCTGTCCATCAATGGTGATGGAGGCCACCGGAGTTGGATCATGCCAACAGTACGAAACGGCTCCAAAGTTCTGCCTCACGCCTGACTCGATCTTATGGCGTATCAGCTGGCAACGTATGTCGTCCGTTGTGCTCTCTGGAAGGACACGGAGAAGACGTATATATCCGGGGTCGAGAGGTGTGTAGGTGAATGCACTAGCCGCAGCGGAAGCCATGATGTTGCTGATCCGACAGATCTTGCTTGAATTCCTCGCCAGGGAGGGCGCTGTGAGACCTCGTCACGATGACATTATGGCAGGTCAAGCAGATGCTCCGTTGCTGAAAATCTATCCAGGTGATCACCGTGATGGAGATGCCTGGAAATGATGCACTCGGAAGTCACAGTACGAGATAGACATCGACTCTTGCGCAAGCTTCCTAAGGGGCTGTCGCGTCATATCTAGCGTGGCCTTGGTACTGCAAGCAGATACGAGGATGCTGCAAGCCACGAAATTGGACGAAGCCTGACAGCGGCTGCAGGTTTGCCGGGACGGAGGCAACATCTTCTTTGTAGACGAATGAAGGCCAATGGCTTGTTCGGGGGTTGCAGCATTGAAATTGTTGTCAAAAGATTGCATAGCAAATCAATCCATGGTTGCAGGATGACAGGTGAGAACAGGATAGGAATACTCGTGTAAAGTGGCAGGAGGTGGTGGCTAAAGCGGCGGCAGGCGGATTCAGGGGCTGCGGGCGGAAGTCGCGGGCGGAAACAGGGATGCAGGTGGAAGCCTTGGAGACGACCGCAAGTTCCGCTGGCAAACGACATGAGAGCAAATGCTGAGAAATTGTTCAGAAAACTGCAGTGTACATATCGTAAACTACGGGAAGAACGCTTGCTGTGCGTGCATGGACCTCAAAGTAGCAGAGTCGAGAATGGATTATATCGCAATGCCTCTCGAGCCACGATGTGCTGGCAAACAGAGCAATCTGATATGTTTTGCCTGATGGCACTGTTGATGGGGTTGATGCACAAAGCAGTACTGTAGAGCCTCATGATGTGCAGGCCATCTACTTGTAGTAAGAATTGCACAGCATGATATGCAGTCCCCGAGGGTCCAACTCACAGAAAGCAGCCCTGAGCAAGACCCTCCCAATGTGAAAGCACAGAGCCCCTCCATTTACTGAAAGGACACGTTGCAGGAGCAACACTGCTGCTGCCTACCGTTCAGAAATGGCAACTCACCTTCTCAGAAAAGGAAGCAAGCCAACTTCCATCTGTCGCGCCGCTAAGTGCGGGGCAATGGTCAGAGGATGACAGCAACCTGCAACCTCAGATTTCAAGCAAACTGTCGCGTTGCTGGGGGAAGTCACTGGTGCCTGCCTTCCCAAAAAGGGGCCGTGACCTTCCTTTCTTGACTTCTATCGGTTGCGCCGCTAAGTGCAAGGCAGCGGCCAGCAGTGAAGACAGTTTGCAACCTCACACTTTCGACATGTGAGCAGATTGTTTGTGAGGGGTCGATGGTGCCTGGCTTCTCAGAGCGGATGTTGACTTGCCCTTCTTGACTTCAATCGGGTTTTGCGCCAAGGACTCGCTGCTTTAACAAGGGCAAAAGTGCTCCTGCCCAGCTGAAGTCGCGGGGACAATGTGAGTCACCTGGTGGAAACCTGAGTACTGTCCAGCTGAACCTTCTGCCCCTCTGCCAAAGGCCTTGAACTAGGTGTCGACACGTCAAGGGATCTTTGGTAGGAGGCGGATCGAAGCTGATTGCCGCGGCGGTGAGGTGTTTCAGAAGTGAATGTCCGGCCACAGAATGCTGATACTATGGCGATGGATCAATGAGAGCGACATTGACATGAGTATATGATGGGGCTATTTCGTGGTCGTGTCGCATTGTCTGGCAGTTGTCATACCAGGTGTCTTCGTGGATGAGGCCAACGAACGCCCAAATCGACTTGAGATCTCTTTCGACGTTGCGCTGCCGACTTGTCCTGAAACTCGGCGGCATGTCATGGCAGCTTAGACCAACTCCTCCCTCTGATCGACGTACACACAAGCACGCTACATATGAAGATTGAGCACGTACCTCTTCTCCATGCCCTCCCTCACGAGGGAGACGAATGCTGAAAAGGTGCCGCAACAGCAGCAATGATGATTTGAAAGAAATTACTATTCCAATCAAAGATCAGAATAGATCAGGTCTTTGGTAGTTTTCAACTAGCAAAAAACTGGCCTCGGATGAAATCCTCACTGGCGCAGTTAAAACCCGTGCACATGGACGAAGAGGAGAAGAAGAAATCGAGGAGGAAAGGGGTGCGGAGGAAGCTATATAGGTTGGAAGTTGGAGCAGGCAGGCAGCAGTGGCTTGGCGTTGAAAGCCTAACAAGCCTAATTCTTCAGCTATCACTCACTCTCCATGAGCCTTACATATGCTGAGAGAAGTGCGGCCGACATGATCATCGACGGGTTAGACTTTGCTGGTGAGCAACAGCGGCTCGGGTGTGCTTGTTTTTGTGAATACAATACATTTCGAACCAAGACAGCCATGGAGGAGTGACGTGAACATAAACGTTAAGCATTAGTTTACAGGGTGTTGGCTTCGAATTGAACAAGAGCCTTGGTGGTCGCAGTGCACGTGCGACCTCGACATGGCTCAGTCTCTTGCGGACACGCAAGGCCAGAAAGAAATTCCTTGGACTCAGGCAAAAGTCCATGAAAGATAGACCAAGAAGCGAAAAGCCACCCGGGCGACTTCGTGATCGAAGTCCAACGTCGTGCCACCTCTTTCGACCTTTCAAGCTCCCCAGACGGCGATCCTCCCGCCCGCACCACAATACTCACTCGCATCGCCCTTGCACAACATCCCCTCGCAATCTCCCATCCCCGCCACCTGCACACCATCTTTCAACGCATCCGCACAGTAGCACTCCTGCGCATACTCCACACCCGCCATTTTGAAGCCCCGACTCTTACACCCAGCCACACACAACTCCTGAGTCATGCTCGTAGCATTCACGAAACTCGCCCCACCCAGCGTCCGCGGTCCAGAATCCACAAAGCATCCCTTATACCCCCACCCATCCGGACCAACCGTAGCCTTCAGCCGCGGCGGCACGACGAGTGTGTTATTGTACACACTCACTTTCCCACTGCCGCCGCAGATCTGCGAGGCAGATCCAGAACAAGCCATATTGCAACCGGCGGCGGCTGAGGAGGCGTTGGTGGACAGAGGTGTAGATGTGGAAGGAAGGGAAGAACCGCAGTAGCATTCGCGCGAGTACTCGAGGCCGAAGAGGGGGAGGTTCTTCGAATTGCAGAAGGTGGCGCAGACGGTGGCGTTCATGGTGGAGGAAGATGTCATGCCTGAAGGGAGAAGCGTCCGCCGGTTGAGGGCTCGGCGTAGCAGCCGAGGGGAAGGTAGGGGGATGGTGGAGTTGAGGTTGGTGAGGTAGCGGTGGTGGTGGTGGCAGTGGTTGTGAGTGTGGTGGATGCCCGAGTGGTCTGTGTGCTGAGAGTAGTTGCAAGTAAGGTCGCTGAGCTCGACGAGGGCGTAGGGGTTGCGCTTCGAGATGATGTTCCTACTGACGAAGGAACGTTCGGGGAGGATGGTGAGCTCGATGATGTAGCAGTGGCTGACGTGGTAGTAGACAGGGAAGTGCTATTTCGTGATGTCAAACTCGTCGAGGCGGCGGCAGTGGGAGAAGTCGCGGTCGTGGAGACAATGGATATAGTTGCACTTGTGGTTGCAATTCCTGCCGATGTCGTTGAGATGCTGCTGCTACTGCCTCCAATGGAAGTGGCGGTCGCTGTAGAGGCACTTCTTGTGGTCGCTGAGGAGTTCGTTGTGATGTTCGACACTGTAGCGGAAACAGAAGATGAGCTCAATGACATGCTCGAGCTGACTGAAGTCATGATGGTCATTGAAGATGTGGCGTTGACAGTGCTGACCCGAGATGTGACTGAGGTCGAGATGACTGAAGTCGTCCCAGCCAGCGATGAAGTTGTACTGCTGGAGCTAGGCGGCGCGAATTGGTACAGCGAGAGGCCGTTCGGACCACCACAGATCGTTCCAGAATTGCCTGAGCAGGTCATTGAACAGCGACCGTCAGTGACAACGGCTGATCCTCCCAGTAGGGTGTTGCCGCAATAGCATTCGGAACTATACTCCGTCGCCATGTACTGGTATCCGGTACAGAAAGAGGCACAGATCTCAGCAGTCATGGAAGAAGAGGCGGTCGCTTTGTCTGCAAGTGCTCGCGTGCCAGATCCTTCGGAGTAGCAGTCGACGTAGCGGAAACTCAGAGCACTGGGTACAGGTGTGGGCGTGCCCGGAATAGCAACAGTCGTGGTAGTAGTCTGCGATGATGAGATTGAGGTGGCGGTCGAGGCAAAGTTTGACGTCAATGTCGACCCAGTCGATGAAGGGTTCGCTGATGAGCTGGAGCTTGGAAGAGAACCAGATGCATACATGTTGAGGCGGCTTGGACCACCGCAGTACTCGGTCTGGTTGTTGTTGCACGTCATGCTGCAATCCGATGCTGATGCGCTCACCGATCCTGCTCCAAGACTGTTGCCACAGAAGCACTGACCACCATATTCAACACCAGAGTACTTGTAGCCAACGCAGGCGCTAAGACACCCTAGAATCGTGTTGTTGGAGTTTGGCTGCACAGTGAGCGCACGTACACCTGAGCCTTCTGTGTAGCAACCAAGACTCTGGAAACCAAGCGCTCCAGGGTTGATGTAAGGACCAGGAGTGTCAGTCGAGTTGCCGTTCCAGCGAGCGATGTCGCCGAAAGTCGACAGAAATGCGCCGCCGCCATTGACACCATTTCCGCCGCAGATCTGATTGCTGTCTCCGGTGCACGGGAAGTTGCAGTTGTCGTCCGTGACGAGAGTCTTGGGTCGGTTGTAGCCACACCAACATTGAGCTCGGTATTGGGTGGCAGCAAAGATGTAGCCACTTGCAGCACACTGGCTGATGCAGGCGCTGTTGTTGTTGGCAGTATCGGACGAGTAGATCTGAGTCTGCAGCTGTCGGCCAGGATCGTTCTCCTTGAAGCAGCCAGCGTAGCGGTATGTCGCCTGCTGTGTGCCTGGATTCAGAGGCCCGACTTGTTCGGAGACAGCATTGCAGGCGAACTTGAGCTGCTGCTTGCCAAAGGTGGGATCATTGAGATTGATCGTCCAGGTCGCGTTGCCTGTGTATGCATTGACGTTGAATTGACTCTTTGGTGGTGAACAGTACAGAGTCGCTGTGGCGTTTTGTCCAGCAGAAATGAGGCTGCCTTCCGCAAGGTCAACCTGGTTGTTGGCGCCGATGATGCTTCCTGGTATACCAAACGGCGGCTTACTAACTGTCAGCGAGATGGGTGCAGCGTTGGCCGTTCCTTTATTGGAGATTCGAAGCCGCAGATTTCGACTCGTATTCTCTGTGACATTTCCGAAGGAGAATGTGGTACCATTACTGTATGGAACCCAGGTGCCCATCGGAGTCTCGAACTCGATGAGAGCTTTCGGCTGATCCGACCCGGATGCAACAGCATTGAGCACTGTCGAACCTCCGTTCGAATTGATCTGTACGAACACGACGTAGCTGCCACTCTGAGAAGGATTGAAGTTGACTGGAACTGATACGCCTTGGTTGGCGAGAATGGAACTGGGCAGACTGTAGAAGGTGAAGGCAGACACGGTCTTCGCATTCGCAGTCCCGTTCGGTGCAACCCAAGGTCCAGCCGCTGATGACGTCGAGAAGAGGATGGACGAGATTTGAAGAGTGCTATTGCCGACGTTACTGATGGTAAAGGACTGATTGACACCTGCGATATCCTGGCCAGTGATGTAAGAATTGAAGCTGATAGTGTTCGGTGCAATTTGCAGCAGAGCTGCCTGGCTCTGTCCGGTGCCACGAAGCAAGACTTGTGTGCTAGTCGAGTAGCCTTGGGTTTGTTGAGTTGTGTTGAGCACGACAGCGGAGGACAGAGGTCCGACAGACTTTGGTGCAAAAACTGCTTGGAAGGAGAGTACCTGTCCCTGAGTGAGTTGATATGGGAGGGTCGGCAAGCCGCTGAGGACGAAGTTCGGGTTGCCAGCGATGCTGGCCGCGTTGATGGTCATAGCAGTGTTGGCAAGGCATTGTACAGCTTGAGGAGCTGATGTCTGGTTCAAGTTGGTTGATGCAAACTGAAGAGAACTGCAATTGACCGGCAGGTTGACAGGTGAGCCATAGGCGTAAATGTAGCCCTGATTCGTGCCCTGATAGACGATGCCATCGCCAAAGACCGGGCGGGAGAACTTTGTGGTGCCTGGCGTGACGAAAGAGTTGCGAAGGTTGAGCTTGCCGCCACTTGGCACGGCGTCATAGATTCGTAAATTCGCTCCTTCGACGTCGCTGGTCCATAGAAGACCAGTACCTGGCTGTCCATCGAGTGAAGTGGTAGTACCGTGGCCAACACCCAGCACATAAGCGTTCTTTTCTGGTGAATCGGCGACCCAATTGAACGAGGCCACTCCATTGTTGCACGAGAACTTGTAGACATGAGTTGGGTATTGGATGACATTGATATAGATGTAGCCGCCTTCCATGGGATAGACACCAGCACCGGCGTAGACCGAGTTCTCGTTCTGAGTGACCTGAATGACATTGTCCAGCTTGTTTGGCCCATTCTGGTAGCCTCCTAGATTGTCGAGATCGAGCCAGTATGTCTTGCCGCTCTTGCCAGTGACGACGCCCATCCGCTTGACGTTGCCGCATTGAAATTGACTTGGCAGCATTTCGAGGGGTGTCGTTCCAAGATCTTTGTCGGCGCCGTCTAGTTGTGGCTTCTCCCAAGGCATGAAGAAGTCAATGACGCGAAGAGAGCCGTCATCGTTGATTGCCATGTGAACTGCTGCTTCTTCGAGAGCGGGTGGTGGATTTCGACCATTGACAGGGATGTTGCTGAGTTGCGAGGCGTAACCGTTGCCTGTGGCGAAAAACATGCTGCCCTTGTCGTCGCTCGTTAAGCCTCCGCCAGACATCCACACACCACCTCCTGGAACAGTCGGACCAACGCCGGCACCTTCGGTAGTGAACTGTTCCACGATCTTGCCGGAAGACTTATCCCATCCGAAGATCCAGCCAGTAAAATTGTACTGAGCGCAGTGACTTGCAAATCCAGCATAGATGTACTGGCCATGCTGCAATAGTCCTGGACGCTGATGATGTATTCCAGCTCCGAAGCCGCGACTGGGGTTATTCCGAGCAGCCGAGCCCTCCAGATCGACTGGAAAGTTTGGTCGTTCAGTCAAGTCGGTGGTACTAATAGCGTGGAAGTAGTAGCGGCCATTGGGTTTGCCACGTGCACCGCTCGCGCTCTGGTCGAGATACGTCTTGGCTGTGAGATACCAGGTGTCCTGCATCGAGTCAGCTTGGCATTAATGGCCCAGGAACTACTTACCGTGGAGGGATCAATGACGCCTGTCGCTGTCACTCCAATAGTAGGATTGATGTCGGTGCAGCCATCGAGATCCGAGACAAGGAAAGGTCGATGCAGATTGCGCGAGGCTACGATGGCTCCAGTCTTTGCATTCATTTTGTAGATGTTGTTCTGCGTCGTCGCTATGTAGACGTACTGGACGCCATCACTTCCGGTGTAGACAAGTGGTTGGGAGAAGATCTGCTCCGGCACATTCTGGTTGTTGACGAGGAACGTGCCCGGAAGCAGCGTCTTGAAGAGAAAACCAAATTGAGGACTTCCGACAATGGCTGGGTCCATGTTGTGATTGGTCTGATAGCCGGTCCGGTCGTTCGATCCACCCCAAGTAATGGTGTCGGTCTTGTGAAGGGCATTGGCGATGGGAAGGAATGACACACACAGCCATAGAACTGATATTATTGGCCATATAGGCGCTGACCGAAGTGATCGCATTCTGTGCAGGAAATCAAAAAGCATACCAAACTGCCTTAAAGGAGTGACTGGAAGCAACAGGAAGCACAAGGAGCAATGGCGGCCATGGCGATATATCAGTCTTTGCAAAGCCATTTTGACGATACCATCGAGCTGTCATCAAAACTTACTGGTAACGTCGTGGGCGGCTCCTTTCCGAGACATTGGGTCCTGGTTGCTTTGAACGCGTAGATCCTCAAAATTGCAACTCATCAATTCATACGCAAAACCCATACTGAATTCATCTCCTTGATTGGACTTGCTTCGCAAGCATAGTGCTTGAGATGTGTCGAGCGTGACCAATATAGCTGATGTCAGTCCGGCTGCAGCCTTGGTGTAGAATCTAGAGCGGGCATGGCAACGGTTGAGAATTGGCGCTCCCTGATAGTCACATTGGACATCTGCAGTACTTTGAGACATAGACTTCGTCACCACGATCAATATCAATCATCTCGTCTGATCACTGACAAATGTTTGGGTTGCGATTCGGATGCGCAAGAAGAGTATGGCTCAAATCGTGCCGCACAAATAGGGTAACTGGTATGGCAAGACCGACTTGCGCAGTGAGCCTGGAACTTTCTTTGCTCATGTTGATTTCCAACCTTGCGGGTGTGCTGCTGCATGCTGCAATTCCGGCTTTCGCATCTGTCGAATCCTGAGAAATGAGGAGAGACAATGGGCACCTGAGTCACTCTGGCTGCTGTCGCGTTAAGCTTCTTGTGCCAAGCCGTTGCGGAACGCGGCCGGGCTCGATCCTCCAGGATTTTTGTATCGGATATCATCTTCTTTCTCTTCTTTACAATTCACCGCCGATGAGCAGCAGTACATCTAGTATTGTTTATTCCAGCCTCATCCTCTCTACGATGAGGCTGTCCGTCGATTCGTGCGCAGATCACTCTTTTGACTTACTCTGACTGGGCATCTGGGATCCGAGGTCATTCTGACCTCCTTGGAATCTGGAAAATCACAGTTGAGGGGACAATCCATGCTGCGAATCATCGCTGAGAAGTGGGAAAGGACTTCGAGAGGTAATTCGCATAGTATTGACAGATATGATCAAATATTTGTGGCCACGGAGCGTGCCTGGACCTGGTCAAGCCCCAAACCTTTGCTCGATTTCTCGGTATATTTGTGGCGAGATCTCGTCGCTGGAATCTCCCTTCACTGTCACCACAAGTCCGGGACCACTTTCTCGGTAGAAGTTCAGCAGACCTGTACTGGTCTCGTCGAATTTGGTCAACCGTTTCCTCCAGGTGTCTTCACTGTCATCTTCTCTCTGTGACAATGCCTCGCCAGTCACGTCGTCTTTGCCAGGGACCTTCGGATCGTTGAAGCCTACGTTGTATACTCGGCCGGATGGCGCATGTATCCACCGGTTTGCCATTCTTCCCAGGATGATGTCAACGGGCGTGACGAGATGTATGACGAGGTTCATCGGAAGTAAGTGTGATAGTGCCTGCGCTTGAGTTGCCGTTCGAGGAAAGCCATCGAGGAGGAACGAGCAGTCTGGACTGCTGTCGGGTTGTACTGCGGATGACGCAGAGCCGTTTCCGCGCTCAATGGCTGCTACCACTTCTTCATTCGGTCGGTTGGTCTTGAGCCACTTACGCGTGGTGAGCTCCGATAGGATCAAGTTGAGGATCAATGGATCTGGCACGAGACCGCCCTGCTTCATATACGAGTCCGCTTGTCGGCCTACACTGTGTAAGCGGGTACGCCAGGTGGTTCACAGGCAGACTGCATACCTAGTTCTGTCTTATCCTTCACATGCTGCCGAAGCAGGTCACCCGTCGCAATAGAGCTGAGCTGCGGGTATCTTTGTATAAGTCGTTCTGATTGCGTTCCCTTCCCAACACCAGGTGCGCCGACCAAGATTATTCGTGCAGCTTCACGCAGCTTTCTTGCAGCCATGGTGTATGCCTAGGGGTGCCGGCAGATAGCTGAGCCGCTCGCGCAGGGCCGCTCGCCCAACAAAATTGGTCACGGCTTCATGTTGATCTGTCAAGTACGAGTGAAGCACGAATCGCAAGGTGCTGTTGTGAAGTGGTATATACACGCTGATCGTTGTAAGAAGATCGTGAAGGCTGGCCAGAAGCAATGTGGTCCAGGCCGTTATACCGAAACTTGTTCGCTCGGGTCCTCCTGCAGTGCGCGCCCGAGGACTGCGGAGAAGGTGAAGCTAACTGATCTGCAGCTGACCGAACTCGCCCGCAATCCGAGCTTCGAGCTTCAAGCTCCAAATGTCGGAGGTAAGAGCTGATCTCCGGTAGTTCTCCAAAACGCGGTCAAGGGTTGGTGGACGCGTTTCTTTGAGTGGCCTCAGATTTTGGCGACGAGTGTCATGGTCTGCCTACTGGCACTTACACACAACAGCCATCATGATTCGCACAGAGACTCGGTTTGACAACAAGCGGAAGCGTCTTGACCACAAGAAACTCCAATTCGCAACAGCAACATACAAGGAGAACGACTATCCTCATCGCCTGTCACTATACGATGTGCCTCCAACCCAAGAGATCACACTCGAGGAGTTCGAGACGTGGGCGATCGACAGACTGAGAGGTATGACTACGTCGCCTTCGCTGAAATGCATCAGCTAAATTGAATAGTCCTCGCGGAACTCGAATCATGCTCGTTCAGGAACCGATCACCGCCCGAAACGGCGGCACATATGCAGCCCATCATCAAGAAGTACCTGCAACTGTCGGCAAATTCAGCAGCCGCAGGCAGCCAGATAGACCAACGGCTCAAGAGCGAACGACGGAAAGACCACTACTCACACTACATTCTCAGACTTGCATTTTCTGGCACAGAAGATCTGCGGAGGAGGTTCGCTCGAGTGGAATCAATGTTGTTCAAGTTGCGACTTGAGGAAGACGATGGACGCGAGAAACGTGCCTTCATCGAGAGTCTGAACCTCGACTGGGACTATGTCACACCAGAGGAAAAAAAAGGCCTCGGTGAGGAACTGTTAGGAGCGACGCCCGGCGTACGGAGGCTGGACGACGAGAACTGGTTCAAGGTTGACTGGACCAGAGTGCCAGAGCTCGTTGAGCACCGGCGGGTGCTGATCAAGAGGGGCAAGGCATATGTGCCACTGAAGGAGCAGACCAGTATGATCCTCAACGAATTCACAAAACGGTTGGAAAGCGGCCTCGAGCTCACAGCAAGACAACTACCACGGCTAGACGAAGACGACCGCCTCTCGCCCATCCTCGACCACCTGTCAAAGAACTTCACTACCCCGGATGCGGGCTTCTCGGACTCAGACTCTGCTCTTGCTGGTGCTCCAATCAACGCAGCCAACATCGACGCACTTTCACAACACTTCCCGCTGTGCATGAAAAACTTGCACACCACACTTCGTCAGAACAGTCATCTCAAGCATTACGGTCGGCTGCAGTACAGCCTCTTCCTGAAAGGCATCGGACTGAGTCTCGAAGACTGTCTTCTTTTCTGGCGGCAGGCTTTCAACAAGATCACGGACGACACGTTCAACAAGGAGTACCGCTACAACGTCCGCCACGTATACGGCGACGTGGGAGGTGACTCGAATCGTAGAGGACGAGGCTATTCACCGTACTCGTGCCAGAAAATATTGACCGAGCACCCACCGGGCACGGGAGAAGCACACGGCTGTCCGTATCGCCACTTTAGCGTAGATAACCTCACCAGTATGCTGCAAGCTACCGGCGTGCATGATCGAGACCTACTCAAGGGGGTCAAGGAGGATGTCGAGAAGAAGCGGTACCACATTGCCTGTAATCGGGTCTTCGAATGGGCGCATAAGGGTGAGATCAAGAAGGTGAAAGACGAAGGTATCTGGGGCGCTGCTGAGCTCGACACGATCGTCCATCCGAACACATACTTCAAGCGATCGTACTTGCTGAAGAACCTGGGTGAGCCGAAGCAGGACATTCGGATGGAGGGATGAACGAAGACAGGAACATTTCGTGTAGTGATGCCACGGCGCGTTATTGTAGCGATGAAGTAATGATCATTGGCCAAGGTCCAGCAATCTAACATGCCCAGCACACCTTGAAGAGGCATTTCGTCTTCACTCGATGAGTGAAAGAGATACACAGACTGAGTCGGTTGATGCTACTGCACGTGATGAACACCGCCGTGGAGAAATGCCAAGCCGAGCTTCTGAAGACGTGGAGAGACAGCGAACTTGAGCGCATCGTGAATTCCATCTCGGCTGGTTTGCTAAATTATTTCATCCTTCGACTTTCATCTCATACAGCTTACTATTGCTGTATCCAGCTTGTCTACCTCTCAAGTCACACTCGTATCTTATTCCATCCATTGTTCCCGTTCGGTCAGCTTTTTACTGGACTTCGCAGCCCGAGATCGCTTCTGCTCACAAAAGTTTTCTGATTTGCTTCAGACCAGAGTCTTGCGACGGCACAACGTCTGCGCAAGAACAGACCGACCTCTGGTCACGTTTTAAGTCATCTTCTTAGCGGGCTTCGCGCGTCTACTTCATCTCTTAACGCTCAGTCCAAAAGTCAGCGCGTCCAGCGATCATTGACTGCTCTCATCGCAGTCGAGCTCTGATCATCTTCAACTATGGCTGACTCAACTTCCACGATGAACGGCGTATACGGCAACCAGTTTAGCCAACCCGCTGAGCTGGCTGCCTCCATTCCACCTACCTCCGGTCATGCTCCGTCTGTGTCCCAAAGCACCACTGCTTCTGCCGCGGCTAGCACTCAGAAAGCTGATCCACAAGAGATTGGCTGGTACTTCGTTGAGCAATACTACACCACACTCTCCAAAAGCCCTGAACGGATACATCTGTTCTACAAGAAGAAGTCTCAGCTTGTCACTGGCGTCGAGGCCGAGAAGGTCATTCCAGCTGTTGGCGAAAAGGTAAGCTTGATCAAATCCACCTGTGTATCTTTAGCTAACATTTAATAGGCTATCAGCGAGAAGATCAAGTCGCTTGACATCCGCGACTGCAAAGTCCGCGTCCTCAATGTCGACTCTCAGACCTCTTTTTCGAACATCGTTGTCCAAGTCATCGGTGAGATGTCCAACAAAGGCCAGGCACACCACAAGTTCGTGCAGACCTTCGTCCTAGCCGAGCAGCCGAACGGCTATTTCGTCCTCAACGACATCTTCCGGTACCTTAATGAGGATGAGGTCGAGGTCGTAGATGATGAAGCACAGCCCGAGGTCCCTGTGGAGGAGCCAAACACCCCTGCCGACGAGACTGTTGAACCTCCGACTGAGAAGCTCGTCGTTTCCGAGACCGCTGCAGAGCAAGTCGATGAGAAGCTAGAAGAAGACAAGGCCGCCGAACCTGAGATTGAGGAGCCGGTCAACGGTGTGGCTGAATCTGTTCAAGAGGAGCCAGCAGCTGTCGAGGCTGACGAGCCTGAAGCCGAGGTTGAGGATGTCAAGGAGGCTGAGCCAGAGCCTACTCCTGAGGCTCCTGCTGCGTCCGAGCCAACCGTTGTCGCTCCTCCCAAGGCCCCAGAACCTGTCCCAGAAACTCAGCCTGCCAAACCCAAGACCTGGGCCAGCATGCTTGGTGGAAGCAAGCCTGCAGTGCCAGCTCTCCCTGTGCAGGCTGCTGCCCCCTCGCAACCCAGAACTCAGAAGCCGGCGGCTGCTCCAGCTGCCGCGGCCTCTCGAGCAGCTCCTACTGAGCCAACTGCCGTAAGCCCGTCACCAACCCCAAGCAACGGCTGGCAGGAAGCAGGTCACGGCAAGAAGAGCCGCGGCACTTCTCAAGCAAAGGTCGAGCCCGGCAACGTGCTCGCTTACATCAAGAATGTTAACGACAAGGTCGATGCTCGTCTTCTGCGCGAGGCGTTGGAGAAGCACGGCGAGTTGAAGTACTTTGACGTTTCCCGTCAACGGGTAAGTCAAGCCCACCACAGCCGATGACCCGTATGTGCTAACGAGTCACAGAACTGCGCCTTCGTTGAGTTCGCCAACTCTGATGGCTATGCCGCTGCTGTTGCTGCCAATCCCCACACAGTCGGCTCAGAGACCATCACTGTCGAAGAGCGCCGCCCTCGTCCCAATGCGTACGGTGGTGCCAATGCTCCCTTCGGCCGCGGCAATTCTCAGAATGCTCGAGGCACTGGTCGTGGCGGCAACATGCAGCAGCGTCAAGGCAGTCAGGGCCCTCAAGGTGGTAACGCTGCTCCACGTGGCGGCGCAATTCAGCAGCGTGGTGGTGCTCGATCTGGCAATGTCACTCCTCGAGGAGGACGAGGTCAAGCTCAAGCTGCATAGGACAACATCCACATATTCTTCTGTGTTGGCACCAGGAGGAGCCCAGGGTTGAATGTCAACATATACGGCATTCAGTCAACTTCTTGAAGAGCCTGACAGAGTCCTCCCTACGCATCAATTTCGAGGCCTTTTTCAGAAGGTCATTCTTTTCAGAAGGTCATTCAATGCATTAATGCTACTTTCCAGTCACGCGACAGTCAAACAAACGGTACAGCGGATGGGCCAGGCCCTTTTGCAACAGATTAAAACGGCGCTACTGGAAAAGTTTCGAGTCGATTATTATGCTTTAATATCCACGAGAGCATAGCAAGCAGGACCGGTTGAGGTTAGGACTTTTCTTTCCCATCCAAGGACTGCTTCGTCAGTCTCACGATTGATTTCTTCTTTTCGTTCTGAGTCTTGGGGACTGGCCGGGTGGACGGGGCCAGCTGGCAAGGAGCATACACATCGTATGCTAGGTGGGAGGATGCTTGAAGATACAACCAAGATGCACAGTGAAGGGTGCGCAGCGGAGCTGGGGTGACATGCAGTAATGTACACTATCGGATCTCACGTGGCTGCAGGAAGGATAGGGTGGACTCTATGGTGATGAATGTACATTGTCTGCGATGTAGCGGCAGATGATCAGTAACGTCCACTGATGACATGCCATCAAGACTTCCCATGTGTCCGGCGTGAAGTGATGAACTCGAATGCGATGCTGGTTCCATTGACCTGGTGATCGACCAAGAGTGATGATATCTGCTATCTGGCTTAACCCCGCGATGATTGCGATATCTCCAACAGCCTGGACTCGCCTGACCGACCACGTCCATCCTCCGTCCGTGTACCTGCACTCGTTCTCCTTCTCTCCCTCTCGTGCTCACCGTGTCCTTCGTCGCATCGATCACCACGTACATGTCGCAAGATGCGTCCTGGACACGCCGCGGGCAACGCGAACGAGGGCAGCCCCACCAAGCACGGCGCCGCTGACCCACTTACATCGACATCCCTGCCTGGTTCACACCCTCCTCCCGGCCGAACTACATACTTCTTGACTCGCGAGATAGACACTTCGCAGGCTCGGCCTGAGCAAATCGAGGGCGTCCGGTCGTCTCCAGGCATTGTACCATCACTCCAGGACTTCCTAGACGAGTCAGCCGAGCCGTCCTCGAAGCGGCCCCGGACGTTGGACACTCGACGTAGATCTACTATCAAGCCTGTATACCATGAGCCTGCGCGGCGGCCGTCAAATGCCGAGATATCAGCACAATCGCCTGAGGAAATAGAGCGATCTGTGACGCCGTCACCTCTACCTTCCCAACCATCATTACCCAATAGTCCTAAGTCGATATCCTCTCGCTCGATACAGAAGTCCGATGACGAGCACATTAGCGATGGTGCCTCCAGCCAGGCTATTGCGTCGAGCGAAGAAGGCGATGAGGATGAAGAGTCAGAGCCATCTGCACAGGTACAAGACAGTCAGCCAGAGCTGATCATGCCCAGTATCAAGATGCCAAGTCGGAGACCGTTCACTGCGAGGGGACAGCGGCTGGGGCGTTTCAAGATACTCGTTGCTGGTCGCAAAGGTAAGTCATACAGACTCGGTTCATACATGGACTAATCCGTCGCTAGGCACGGGCAAGACGTCCCTTATCAAGTCGATAGTCCAGCTATGCGAGGACATTGTACATGTGGACCCACTCTTAACGACTCAGAGTGGTGAGACGCCACGGATCATGGAGACTCACGCCAGCACACGCCCATACCCAGCCTGGTGGTCTGATCTAGACGAGAGCAGGATCCTCAAGCGCCGGAAAAGCATGGGCGACTCAGTCCTCGAACGCAACCTCTGTTTCGTCGACACCGCTAGTTCGAAACGGCTCGATCACATTGTATATTATGCTGAGCAGCAGCTCATGAAAGCGATTGATGCCACTACCACAGGGAGACATGACTTTACCTCCATGCTTAGTGGTCAGGGTGGGTCGCAGGTCGATGTTATACTGTATCTTATTTCTAAAGGTAAGAGTTTCTGTCCGGCTATGCTTGGACACGCTGCTAACTCGGACAGACTATGCAAGCGAAGACCACGACCGAATAAAGAGACTATCAGAACTTTGTAACGTGGTTGCCCTGATTGCACGATCCGACCTGCTCTCTTCCGAGGAACGTCAAACTCTCAAATCAGACCTCTCAAACGACATCTCTGCTCTCCCTCGACTCCCACCATTCAGCATCCCCGATCACGACTCGAACGCCGCAACAGCGACAGCTCCCTATGCCATCGCCTCCATCAACGGTCCCGACCTAGACACAATGGATGCCTCCCTCCTCATGTCGCCAGAATACGTCCAACCGCTGCTCCCCTCCGAACTCAGCATCCTCGTCGACAACCTGTTCTCCCCAGACACAGTCGCCTACCTCCGCCACACCTCCGCCAAGAAACTCCTGGCCTGGCACGCCAACAACCCCAAGCTCACCAAAACCCCTTCCGCTTCCACCGCCGCCTCCCTCCGCAACTCAACCCTCGCCTCCCCACAACTAACCTCAATGAGCAACTCCGGCCTCCTCCCCCAAGGCTCGGAGCTGTCTCTGAACACATCCAACAGCTACGCTCTCGCTAAAGTAGCCGACCATTCCCAACGAGAAGAGCGGCTTGCACAGATCAGGCTGTCCAAATGGGCGAGCGAGCTTCAACTGTCCCTCCAGCGCGAGCGCGAGCGGTACGAGCGGCTAGCCCGGCATGAACGGGCGCTGTGGCTGTTGCAGAGGATGGGCGAGGAATACCAAGATGGCATATCGTTGCATCATCATCATCTGAGTCATCGCAAGCTATGGTCCGGAGAGGAGACGCGGAGAAGTCGCCTGTAAGGCAACACAATGATGCGGCGGTATACCAGATGCACGACCCGTTGGGGCTGTTGCAGTGGCGGCATAGTGTAAGGAGTAGAGGGTGGGTTGCGCTGCAGGTTGTGGGGAGTGTAGGCGTGTTGGGCGGGCTGGCATTCTTCTGGATGACCAAGACGAGGGGCGTGGCGAGCATGCTGCAAGAGGTTTGGGAGGGGTGGGCGGGGTGGCTTGGTTGGGATTGATTTTGTGCTTGGAGCTTTTAACGCTAGACACGAGGGTGCGATCCGACAGCCTGGCTCACGGGATGAGGGACGTTGAGCGACATACTTGTATGATGTTATGCATTGTAACGAGGGGGTCATGATACAGGGCGTTGGGATACGGAGTGTCTTGCGGAATCGAAGAACGGGCGTTGCTGGGGTGGGGTGTTGGTTTGCTTCTAGCATTGCAGAAGAGACAGGGCAGGTTTTCGTTTGGTTTCTTCCACTCAATCATAGCTCCATCACTAGATAGTATCAGCTACGACCTTGCCTCAAATGTCTCTTCTGAGCTCGAGTATTCTCAGTGCTCCTCGATCCACTTCCTTTTAATGCTCTGGACCATGTCGTATGCATGCTTTGCAAACGTCCTATCTCATACCCGGGAGATGCCGTTCTCTTGGGCACCGATGTCGCTCAGATCCTGCGATTGAAACAAGTCTCGGTTCTGAAGCTCTTCCTCCTGTGCGCACGCGGCCGCTACTGCGAATCAACATCACTGCGCGTTCTTCCACAAATTTTCCGTTCCCACCGCGTTTACTATCTGATGACTGCCTCGAGACCAGCCTTCTTCTTCGCCTCGTACTCTCGGATTTGCCTGCTCCAACTGTTCACAAACATCAGTATCATTCTGCTCTAATCTTTCCAAGACTCGACAAAACCCAGGTTCCTCTTCCCGCCATATATGCATTTTGGAAAGAATGAACTCACTGCCGACTAGGGAAGAACTCCCCCTCCTCTGGCATTCGATACCGATGCTCCCGCTCCGCACTGAGCTTCCATGCACCGCCCATAACGCCGATGATCACAGCAAACGCCACCGCAGTGTTGGTCTTCCAGTTTTTCGGTTGGCCGTACCACCCACCGGCGGGGGACCAGACGTGTTTCGGGTAGGGGATCTTGCCGCCTCCTCCCATTGTGAGGGGAGAGAGTGGAAGACTGAGGGACGGCCAATGGAGTGTGAGGTGGCTGTCTGCGCGGAGTGCGGATGAGCGCAGTATCGGAGTTCCTGATCACGCTGCAGACGAGTAGTGGAGGGCGAACGGAGCGGAGTGTGTGCCGCAGCGGATAGGTCGAGTAGAAGCGGAGAGGCTTGTGAGTCGCAATCGGGCGGTCAGAGGCAAGCGGAGATCCGCTAGAGTGTCTGTTGTTGAGCGTGAGGAGGCAAGGGAGTGGCCTGTTTTGAGAGTATAGTCCGTTGCATTCGTGTTCGAGGTGAAGTGAGGTACAATTGGAGGTTCGAGTGGGAGCTTCAATGTCCCGAAATGGCAGTTGCAGACAAGAATAATGCAAAAGCAGGATAATGGAGTCGCGCAAAAAGTTGGAGCACAATTCGCTGCACTCGATAGCATCACGATTCACGAGTACATACAGCCACACCCGTTCTTTGCACGCTCTTTCGGTCCGTTTTCCTTTGATTCCTGTTTCAACTTGCCTGCGGCCTGTTGTTCGAGCTGTCAAACACCAGCACCATCCAATGAAGCTCCGGCTCCAACGATGGAGCGGATGCCTTCTCTCACCCCAGACCACGAGACCACACACCCTCGACTCCTCTCACACACCACTACACTCTCTACAAAGATGTCGGCACCAGACCACGGTCTCGATGTCCTCCTCATCCGCATACAGCCACCCCGATGACCCGCCGCTACCGATGCTCACCACCAAGCAAAAGATCGAGCAAAGAGGAGCCCAGAAACATGCTGCTATACTCGCTCTCCCATCACCACCTGTATCTGCCGCTCGGAAATCTGCCAGACTCGCTGCATTACATGCACGATTAGCATTACCTCAAAAGTTACCTCTCGAGACATTAGCGCGCTGTCTCGTTGACGCATCTGCGGATTCCAACCCAAAGTTCAACAATGCCTCGTTAGCAACATTAGGAGGCGACCTGCTATCATATTACACCTCCGAGTTCATAGTCGCAAAATACCCACGCCTTCCCTTAGCAGTTGTTTTCGCCGCCATGTACGCCTACTGTGGACCAAAAGCACTACAAGCCATAACGCGCGAATGGGGCGTCGAATTAGCAGCACATCCGGGTGGAGAAGTCGATCCAGGCTACTTACAATTCGAGCGAAGGCCGGCTGAGCCGAAAGACATAGAGCTGAAGTTCGGACCTGAAGTACAAACGAACATCAAAGGCGAGCACCCCGAGGGCTGGCGGCAGGGGATCAGCATGCGGGCGGTATACAGCGACCCATTTGGGCGCTTAACGGAACAAGAAGGCCAAAAGGCAGAAGACTCAGAAGGAAACCCACTCAAGGGTGTCACAGCAGAGACCGCCTCCACAAACTTCGTCCGAGCATTGTTGGGCGCCATCTACCTACACGCCGGCCGCACCACAGCGAAGAAATTCTTCCGCGACCATTTCCGGAGTCGGCAGCTGAACATGTCGAGCTTGTTCCAGTTTCGATTCCCAGCTAAGGATCTCAACAAGCTTTGCGCCCGCGAGGGGTTTCAGTCGCCTGTGGCGCGCATCATAGCTGAGACGGGGCGGAAATCGCGGCATCCCGTGTTTATAGTGGGCGTGTTTAGTGGGAACGATAAGCTGGGAGAGGGCGCGGGATCGAGTTTGTCGGAGGCGAGGATCAGAGCGGCGGTGGCGGCGCTGAAGGGGTGGTATTTGTATAGTCCATTGGAGGTCAGGGTGCCGAGTGAGATGGAGGAGGAGGGCAGTGGGGTGTGGGAGGGGATCATGGTTGATGGGGGGATGTTGTTGCTTGAGCATCAGTCCGAGCAGATGTCCATGAGATGCATTGGATGTTCTGGATTTGTGTATATATCGTAGCTTCGACGCCACTCCCAGATATAGGGAAGTGAGATACTTGTAAGATCATTTCACCAATTCATCGACATTCCGAGCTGTTTCGTTGAGCAAAAGCCGGTGAGCTCCTGCCGATTCAGTCGGCATGCACCATAGAGACCATCGTCCTTGCACAGTGAGCAGTCGCTGGACGGTCTTTGTATAGTGCGGGAAAGCGTCATCGCAATTGCCATCCTCACACCCAAATTTCGGAGAAATATATTTTGAGTTGCCTCGTTTCACTTCTACCTTACCACCACCCACATATTGCATATCCTCAGACACTGATATGTATACGACTGAATGCTACGACTGGGAAGGACATATTCATACACAACAAATCTACCCAGGATAGAGTCCCACAGCTGGCTGGCACCTTTCTGCCACAAAACTCACCTTGCAATCCATCTTCGAAATTTGGCCGCTTTGAAGAGGCCTCCAAACCCAGCAACTTACGCATCTTCTGCCAAGATGTCGGACGTCTATCCTTTTCAGAAGCTCGTCGTGCTACATCCAAAGGGGCAACTCCTCGCAGCTGCCGGACCGGAATTATTCTGCATTGATCTCAGGAGGAAAGAGTTCGAGGAGGACGAGGACGAGGAGCACATCAAGCTCAACTGGAGGCATTCGGCTGCGTTTCTCAATGGCAGAGAGCTCCAAGCGACTGAGAAGAAGATAGACCCTGTCGATGCGAGTGAGCATGCGGCCAATGCTGGGGCTATTGATAAGGACGAGCCTGCTGCCAAGCGACGGAAACTAGATGATCCCGGAGAAAGTTCAATTGTTCAGGACCAAGACACGTCTGCTGCCTCACAGCAGGAAGACTTGTCTCGACGTTCATCACAAGACTCTATATCAATCACGACCGACCCGCGAAAGAAGGGAGAACGCCGCAAACAGAAACCACCACCGTCATTAGATCAGCCTGCAGCAAATATCAGCCATATGCTACTTTCCTTTAACAGGACGTCGCTTGTTGTTGTCACAGCAGAGGACAAGGCCATCACTGTGTATGCCATGAAGAAAACCGCCGACGAAGAGGTTCGAGGCTTGAGAATAATGAGCAGACGAATTATGCCAAAGCGTATATGTGCTGTTGCAGTTGTGAAGAAGAGAAACCGCGAGTTCCTCATCGTAGGCGACAAGTTTGGCGATGTTTGGGAGGTACCACTAATCCAGTCGCCGGATTGGAAGCCGCCGGACCCGCAGCCTGACCCTTCTCACAACAATCAGGATCTTGGCAGCAATGGCTCAGGTGGCAAAGGCGGCTACGAGCCTAGCGCAACAGAGCTGACAGTACATACAAAAGGAAACCTCATGGCACTGGAGCAGCAGCGGAAGCTAAAGGAGAAAAAAGCGAAAGAGCGAGCAAGTCATGGAATCGATCAAGGCAACGCAAGGAAAAACGAGGCTTCCGTGACTGGCAAAGGTCCTGGCATCGAATTCGAAGCTCGGCTCTTGCTTGGACATGTCAGCCTGCTGACAGACGTTATCGTCGCTCGCATGCCAACGTTTGACTACGAAGGAGGTCCAGCTAAGAACTATGTTCTGTCCAGCGACAGAGACGAGCATATCAGGGTGAGTCGCTACCCGCAGAGCCATATCATTGCGGCTACTGCCTGGGAATGAAGGAATTTGTCAGCTGTCAGCGACTACTGCCCTGGAAACTGGAGTGGCTTGCCGTCGGAACGGGAGAACCAAGTCTGCGGATATTTGATTGGCGAAAAGGAAAATCGTTGTCTAGTCAGACATTCGATGTCTTCGAAATCGAGAGCAAATTCATGCGCTCTGTGGCATGTCCGGGACACGAACGCAGCCTGAAGGCAGCGCTGAAGGATCTCGCGGAGCGGCAAGACAAGTTTGCTGTCAGAGGTATTTGGCCGCTGAATGACCCTGACGAGATGGATGGCTACGTGCTTGTGGCTTTGGAGGGGTAAGTGTACTCCGAATCTGTTACCTTACCAGGGATCTAGCATGCTGACACCTGACAGCTTGCCTTTACTTCTAGTGTACCACGTCAGCCTCTCAGACGGTGCCCTCGAACTGCAACAAACAGTCCCTTTGAGCGGCAACATCCTCGACGTTGCTGTGGACAACCCTCTGGATACGGGCACTGGCCGTACCTATATCTTTGTCAGCCTTGACACCGCACACGTTCCGGGTTCGATGCTCGAGCCCGCTACTCCTGCCACAGCAAAGAGTATGAAGGTGCTGGATCATGCGAACGAGACGCTGGGCACGGGTGTTCAGATTCTGTATATGAAGAGTCCCGGATCAGACAGCCCTGATGGCAAGAGGGATCAGTACCTGAGGGAGTGTTACATGACGGACAAACTGTCGGCTTTGCTGAGGGGTATCGAGGGCAGACCGACGATGAATTTGGCAGACTCAAATGGGAAGCCAGCGACTGGGGAAGAAGGCGGGCAAGGTCGTGGTGGGAGGAAAGGACCGTATAGCCAGATGGGAGAGTTCTTATATGGGCTTGAGAACTTGCGGAAGAAGCGAGGGGCTGCTGCGGCAGAGGAGGATCCGGAAGGTGAGGATGCAGGCGGAGAGGCTCAGGAGATGGCAGTGGAGGGTGCCCCTGAGGTCCCTGCGGCGGAGCCCACTGGTTGAGAGCGCAGACTTGTGTCTCCAGTACTAGTCGCGCGATGCGAGTATCGACAAGTAAGATAACACTTGGGCGGACGGTTGTTTTGCCGCATAGGTTACAGTGGTCTATCAGTAGTCCGAGGGTCTGGCTGTATATCACACAAGACCCTGAGTGACAAGAGGCCGCCCTTCACATAGCGGACTTTACAAGACCGGATGACGAAGGCATTAGAGCGGCATGTTCGTGGTTGCCTCAACGAGGCGGCGTGTTCTCCAACTTGGGTGATCTTTGGGGAGGTGCGGGGAATATTTTCTCGTGGTGAGCGGTGTCATGGCAGTAAGACTGGCTGCAGTTTCCCACACATCTGCCCACGACACAGCAAGACTTGTCTACCTTGTCTATAACAGTGCCGGAGACTTTATTCGCTTGCCGTTTAGGCCGGAGCAACTGTCTCATCTTTTTCCTTTGAGCATAGCAATCCACCCGCTCGCTCATCCGCCTCTCACTGCTGTTTCCGCCAACACACACACCACCACCATGCCAAAACACACCTTCCCACCCCTCAAGAATGACCGCCTCCTACGTGCAGCGCGAGGAGAGAAGTCCACCGTCCGCCCATGTGGATCATGCGACAAGCCGGCCGCTACCTTCCCGAATACCATCAAGCCAAAGGAAACCATGATTTCTTCGAATGCTGTCGATCCCCAGAAATCGCCTCTACTTTAACCCTCCAACCCATCGAGCGCTACGATGGCCTCCTTGATGCCGCAATCATCTTCTCCGACATCCTCGTCGTGCCGCAGGCGCTGGGGATGGAGGTGCGGATGGTGGATGGGGTTGGACCGCAGTTTCCCCACCCTCTGCGCTCTCCGTCGGACGAGCAGTATTCACAAATAATGGAGAAGGAGGTGGATGTGCTAAAGGAGTTGGGATATGTGATGGATGCGATTACGCTGACAAGAAAAAAACTGGATGGAAGGGTGCCGCTGTATGGGTTTAGTGGTGCGCCGTGGACGTTGTTGTGTTATATGGTTGAGGGGGGTGGGAGTAAGATGTTTATTCAGAGTAAGACGTGGGTGTTTAGGTATCGCAAGGAGGCGAAGGCACTTCTCAGAAAGATCTCGGAGGTGGTAGTGGAGTACCTCGCGCAACAGGTTGTGGCGGGGGCGCAGATATTACAGGTCTTCGACTCATGGGCAGGTGAACTTGGACCCAGAGAATTCCGAGATCTTGCCCTGCCAGAGCTGCGGTGGATCAGTGCGCATCTACCGAAGCGGATAAGAGAGTTGGGGGAGGAGGTAGTGCCGTTGGTGGTGTTTGCTAAAGGGGCGTGGTACGCGCTCGAAGACCTCTGTGAAAGCGGGTACGATGTGGTCGGGCTGGATTGGCTGCACGACCCGGCGGAAGCTGTGAAGATAGCACGGGGCCGAGTGGTTCTGCAAGGAAATGCAGATCCGGGAGTGTATATGGGAGCAAGGGGGCGATCACGGAAGTAGTCGAGCAAATGGTCGATGGATTCGGAGGTGGCCAGCAAGGGTGGATATGCAATCTGGGGCATGGGATTACGCCGAAGGTCAATCCGGACGATCTGAAGTGGTTTTTAGAGGAGGTTGTGCGGTGCTCGACGAGCAAACGGTAGCATAGATGAAGAGCAGTAAGTGTCTGGGCACTGCAGCGTGGAAGCAGTACAGATACCATCGTCTAACGACTGTGTGTATAAAAGATGAATATGAAAAGCTCTTCAGGTATCTGAAATCCCCAGGGTATCTCGTCGGAATGCACGACAGCGCTGGCTTCTGTACAAAGACACCTTCTGCCACTGCTATGACAGAACACGAACTGCCCTCTCTGTCTCACCAAGGACACCACTTACGAAGAAAAATCCTCCCCTAGAGCGATCCACGGTCTACGCACCCCACATATCCTCATCACTACCCACAAGATCCTCCTCGCCCAGCACCTTCATCCCCTCCAGCTTCTTCTGCCGCTTCATCTCCTTCTTCCCCACCAACATGCTCGGCGTCACGGGTGTCATGGGCGTTTGCGGCATGTACATTGGGCTATATGGGGTTTGGGGCACGCCGGTCTTAGGGTGGTAGCCTAATAGGTCGGTGCGGGCGTGCACGAAAGTTGTTTTGGTGTAGGGGGCGGAGGTCAGGCCTGTGTCGGCGTAAATTTGGCGGAAGGGGAGGGTTGTGTTGGAGTCTGTGGGGCCGAGGGGGTGGTTCTCTTTGTTGTTGTTGAGGTTCAGGGCGTTGGGTGGGGCTTGCCTGCGGCGGAGGGTTTCGTGTTGTTGAGGAGGAGGGGGTGGGAGGCGTGGCGAGGTAGGCAGACCCGCATTCGTGGATCTTCTGGCGTAGGTGGTGCCGGGCCTGGGGTATATAGGCGTGGGGAGAGCGAGGTGGACTCGGTGTCGCCGAAGGATTGGGAAAGGTCGGCGTCGCCGATGGGTTGGGAGATGGGCATGCCTCGGACGGAGATGCGTGTAGGGCGCTGTTTGGTGGAATTGCTGGAGTTCGTTCGCTCGTGTTTGCTGGCGAATGAGTGTGGCGTATCGTTGACTCGAGTGGTGGCTCTTGAGATGTCGTCCGCGACCTGCTGTTGCGGAGGAGGGTAGTAGTATGGCGACTCTGACGGATGAGGTGCGTCCTGACGTAGATGCTGCAGCTCGGGTGGGTAGCTTTGTTGATGTTGTGGTGATCTTGGCGGTGTAGGCATGGCTTGCACCTGGCTGTGGTAATTGTATGTTGGAGAGGAGGGAGACCCATCAGTGCTGCTTACAGCCTTTGTCGACTCCCTTTCCTGTTCGTGCGCCATTACGTGGGCATACAGCTTCGCCATCTGGTCCATGTTCTTCTGCTTGTCTTCCTCCACTAGCCTCGTATCGATGGTCGAGCTGCTCGTTGCATTCGATTGCGTCTTCTTATGTCTGTTGCCCGAAGCCCAACTTCGCAGACTTGCCAATTTGCCCGGACTTAGCGGTCCTGGGCTAGGCAGCGCCTTCTCGTTCGCTTGAGCCGTCTTGATCATCTCCATGCTGAGTGTTGGGTTCGAAGATTGTGCTTTTCTTCGCAATCTCAACCCGACGGTCAATAGCAAGAATAGCGTGACCGTGACCCAGACAACGTATGCACCCGCAATTCCAATGATCTCGTACTTGCGCTTCGATGGATCTCTCAATGCACCAGCGGCTCCCGGCGGACTCAGCGGTGAATCAGGCGGTGGAGCGGGGCCTTTGAAGATGTTGACCTGCCAGATGCTTTCCTTCACCTCGGCTTCTTGCCTCAGCTCAATAGTCGGCGCAGCGGAGAGAAGCGAAGGGAAGAATACAAGGACAGAAAGAATGAGCTCCGTAGGCAGACTCATTTCATTCCCCTGTTTGGGTTCTTGTACTCTGCTTCGAAGCTTCGGTACGAAGGAACCTTTCTTTCCCGAAAGGCTGGTGGCCCTTCAGTGATCAACTCTCACACATCCAAACCGTCAGCAGGCGCGCAAGCTGAAACTTATGGAGTGCAATGACTTCGCTTTTTGGTGACGGAACCCCTTGAATGCGCAGAAGTGGGAAGATGAGCACACATCGGACAGCCAGTCCTGCTCAAGTACCTGCGGCGCTTGCGTTGTGCCATTGTGGTGGGTTATTGGGCGGGGTCCCAGGCCACGCACAGTGATTGGGGAAGACGGTCGTTAGGCGAGATGCTTGTGAACAATGCAGGTGAGGTTGGAGGCAGCCAATAGAGGGAAGTAACGTTGTGCTTGGCGTGAGATAGTGGAGTGCTCGATTCGAGGTCCGGACTAATCTGACCATTCAGAGGTGGGCATGTAAGCGCCCGATTGTGACCAAAAAAGCAGCTCAAAAGGTCGCGATAGCCCCGCTTATGCTGATCACTCGAATCATCAATGGCGTGCTTTTGAGCCAGGAACAAGCGGCCTCCGATTGGTCAACGTCAGGAGTGCCGGTAGGATTGTAGCTAAAAGAAGCAGAGGGACGGGTCGAAGGCTTCCATGCGAAGCATGTCGTCACATGTGAAGAGTCAGGACTGACGGCTGCATCTGATATCAAACGACGTTCCAGGCATGTCGGCACTTGCGCATCACCGATCTTTGACAGTGTTGTGACGGATCTTGCGCCTTCCGTCACAGTTCTTTGACCCGGCACGTGCCGAGGACCAGAAGACCACTCTCTGCGGAATCCATACCAGCGTCGGAGGAATATGGGAGCTACGGGAATGCAGCCGCAATGGCAAAGCAGACTCATTGCAGAGTCCAAGGCAGAGACCGCCCCAGTACAGGCACAGCCAAGTTGGGTTGACGGTGACTTTGGCAAGTGAGCTTCGATACATTCTTCTCTGACGCGTCGATAAGTCGAGCACGACAATGAAAAACAGGTAGGAGGGGCTCGGCCCTCCGTGTGAGAGAGGTCAGTAGCGGTTTCTCTCACAGATTGACGTCCTAGCTTCGTCCGTTCACTAGAAGAGGTACCAGTGAAGGACTACTGACAGCCTGCACTGCGGGAAAGCGCGTCAACGTCGCAGGCCGACCATACACAGTCTTCAGCTTGCGCCTCAGTACTTGAGCTGTGTGTAGACTTTTCACCGGGGTTTCCGGCTTGGACACAGCACAATGTGGTCTTTTCCGACTCCAGGGTGAGGGCTCTTTTTTTGATAGTACCTGCCAGTGGCTGACTCACTGCACAGCGCTGTGTTATGCTGGTTCTGTTCTAGTTTTCTTCAAGGTTTATTGTGTTGTGAGCAGGTTTTGACGCGTTTGTTGGGCAGGCCTCGGCTTCAGCTTGTGACTGGCATCTTCCAATCACGTAGTGGATTGGGGGTGGAGTGGAGCGGAAGCATAAGCCTAGATGGGGGGCTTGGCCGTGAACCGGAGCGCGAAGATTACGTCGGAAACTCAAACTTGCACACCAGCGGCTGCCTGACGGCCAGGTGGGCAGTTCTGCTGCTTTCAGGTTTTGAGCATTTCCGAATGGATTTTGGGGCATTTTGCGAATCTTGGATGCCAGGGAGGCCACGGACTGGGTCTATTGTGTCTAGGGAGTCCGCTCAACAGTGTGGTTCGGTCATGTTTTCTGGATTATTGAGAGCAACGTCGAAAGCTATGGTGAGTCACAAGCAGCGCCAAGATGGCAGCATATCTCAGCTTGCTAGGTGTGCCAAGCGCCTCCGCTCCCAAGGTCCGCAGCTGAGCGGAGGCGCTTGGCATAGTTTACAGCATCGAAGCCCTGAACTAGGCTTCCACCTGAGCCCTGTTTGTGACTCATCATGGCTTCCCGCTCTGGTTCTCCGCATCCACAGAACATGCCAGAAAGAAGCCGGGACCGAAGCCCGCCCACTGCTCGCATTGGAAACCTGCTCCACCCAGCTACAACAGCAGCAACAAGATCTGCAAAGGACACCTACAGAACCAGCGGAACACAGGGCTGCGCAGGCAGGCCATATTATTAATCCTCTTTCTAGTCGCTGACCACTTTTTCCCTCCTTCACAGCACTTCTTGAGACTAGATCGCCTACACAAGCAATTTATTCTCGAGACAGTGACTTCAAACATCAGAACACAAGAACTACATCACGATTCCAACTCCATTGCTCCAATTCCACTTCACTCGAGCTCAATCACCCAACCATAATCAACCGCAAAGATGGGTTGTTCAGGCTTCTTCCGCTCGCTGAATTGCTGCCTTCCGAAGAAAACTCGGGCAAGCAAACAAAGAACCCGTCAGACTCGTGGTCAAACATCATCACCACCAAGATCTCCGCGTCTGACACCATCAACTACGAGATCTCCGCGTCTGGCACCATCGCCTGCAAGATCTTCGCAGCGCAGCTCACCAATACACTCAAATTACGACGAGTCATACGGAATGCCGTCGAACCGGAACTCGAACGACTATACAGTGGCGATGTCGTCTACGCCGAGTCTACTTACACCGAACCTCCGTGTGTCGACACCGAACTCAGTTATACCGACACCGAACTACAACATGCCGACGCCGAACTACAATGTGCTGACACCGACTTCATTTCGAGGTCAGCCTGGTCAGGAGGCACGACGAATACACAGCAGCAAGATTTCAGCGTTGCAGCTGGGATCGCCGCGTGCCAGCGCTTGCATCTTCAGGGCTGACTCCCATGTATGCACCGCTGCTTGTCAAGCGAATGCACGCACGCCAGAGCACCGATCCGGGTCGTCGCTCGTTTGCCCTGAGGGGACCCGCGCAAGCCCCCCGGCGAACGCCAAGCCGATGAGGAAGACGATGAGGGGCGGCCACAAGACTGCTTGAGGGCAGGACAACACCAGGTCAATCTCACGATACAATCAGTCTGAAAGACAACGACGTTGAGATTGAGCATCTCATCGGCATCAGACCAGACAATCAACATGGTACAAGACGCAGCAACTACAAGATTGAGCACTTTATCGGCATCAAGCAATGACCATCGAATAATCTTCACCCTCAGCATCAGGCAAAAGCAGACACATCAGGCAATGACCATCAAAACAACAATCACGCTGAATGTAACAACAACGAAATTGAGCACCTTATCAGCGGCATGCAAAAGCAATAAACACACAAAATACAACAACAACGAAATTGAGCACGTTACTGGCGTCAGGCAAAAGCGAGCAACACAAAAAATGTAACAACAACGAGATTGAGCACTATTTCAATATCGGTACCAGCGGTGGAGTTCAAAAATTACCACAAAACTGATTTGGTTGTGCTTGTGGCGAAAGGGAGTGTCAGCCTCCAGAACGTCACGAGTACAGCCGGGCCTTTCAGTAGGCAAATGGGCTACAACGAGAGCAAGAAGGCTCAACAATCAATTGAGAGATGGAGTGCTTGGTGTGGGGTTAGGGGTGTCTGATAAGCAGTAATAAGGGGGTTTACCTGATGAGTACAGGGGTGAAGGGTGCCGAGCATACACAATACAGATTCTGGTGAAGACAACTGAGTATGCTCGGGGATGGGATTGAGGCTGATAGTGGACGGGATAGGGGTTTGATCTGGGGGTTTGCCACTCGCATCAGATCAATAGGGTAAAACATAAGTTATGGTGACTGTCCACATGCATCAAATTGTGCACAGCGCAATAGTCCACAATATCATCACCTCAAATAAGCTCTTACTGCCTCCTGATCCTAGTCTTGGAATCGGCGACGACTGCTCCAGCTCACAGCCGCTGGCAAATTGGCTCTGTCGCTATGCGCAAATCAGAAATCCTCAATAGTAACCCCAACACCTCTCTCCCTCGCCAACCTGACCACCCCTTCGCCCACGCTCAAATCCATCAACCCAAGCCCCACGCCCTTATAAACCACATTACCACTGACCAGCCAATCCTTGAGCTCCTTCTCTCCAGCTCCAGTGCCCAACTCCAACTCTTTCATCACGCTCTTCTTGATCATCAACAACTCGCCTACCTCCACCAGATGCTCCGGCTTCAGCTTCGCTTGAATGACTTCTCCGGCCTCCTTCATGCTTCCTTCCAGCGTGTCGACAATGACGACGCCTTGCTTCTTCGCGGCCTTGAAGTGCGGCATGCCGTGGCCGTGTATGTGTCCTGCGTGACTTTCTGGCAAGGTGTCCGTTGCGTGCTTCAGGACGTCTGGGTGGAGTTCTAGCATATGCGGCGCATAGCTGCCGATCGCGGAGACATACCTCCCCTTCCTCTGCCCGTTGTGACTCGTCAGGAACTCGGGTGGGAATAGTGGTGTAGTAGACGGTGTGCAGCAGAAGATCGCGTCTGCTTTGCGCACTTGCTCTTTTAGCAGACGGCCGTACTCGCCGAAGTCGGGTGACAAGGCTGAGAACTTGACGTCAGACCGCCAGGGCAGCTTTTCGCCGTCTTGTGGTTGGAATTGCGACATCAGCCGCACGGATCGGTCCATGCTGCGATTTATGATGTTGACGTGCTTGATCTGGTCTCCCTTGAAGAGTAGAGCCAGGCGGATGTGCCAGTATGCTTGCTTGCCCGCGCCGAAGACTGTGATGGTGTGCACGTGCTCGCGCTTCTGGAAGAGGATTGTAGATGCGAGGGCGGTACGGAAAGCGGTGAGTTCTTCGGCGTTGAGAATGCCCATTGGGTTGCCATATCGGTCCATTATAGTTACTGTGCCTCGGGGTGTGGTGGTCTGGGCACTTGAGACTGAGTTGGGGGTTGGAAGGAGGCGCCGCTGATGGAGGAGGCAGCGGAGATTTCTGATCCCATTGTGCTTGCGGGCGAGAGGGTCATGTTGGACATGGAGTCTGTCATGGAGCGGTTGCTGCCGCCAGTGCCTTTTGTTGAGATACTCGAGATGGAGGACTTTTTCTTGTAGTTGGGCATTTCCTCTGGTGGCGTTTCTAGGCTCACGACTTTGATGCCGACTGAGTCGCCTGTTGTCGCGGGCATGAATAGTGATGTGATGCCATTCTTGCGGATTACTGTTCGCTGGGGCTGGTAGGATGAGCAGCATGGTGAGTTTGTATCGCCTGTGGAGTAGCCATGTAGGGCGTCGCCTAGGTTGTTTTGGAGTAAAAGGGCGTCTTCTTTGCTGAGGCCGTCAAGCAGTTCCCGGACATTGTCGTCGGTCAGGACGGTGAACGGCATTCTGGTAGTCGTCCGGAGACTTGCGACGACTACTTGACACTCACTGGTCTTGTTCCGAGAACATGGGTCGATATGCCACGAGTGTCAAAGGTTATGTCGCGAGGCGACCAGAAGGCGAATGCGAGGCAGTGCGTACTGTCGCACGTCTCGCTCGTGATCTCCTGACGCAATGATTCTCGGTGCTTGTCAAGGGTAGACGACCTCGAGTCACTATACAGCGAGACGTGCAGGATTGATATATGATGGCTAAGAGGATTTTTGGGAAGGATAAGTCGCGGTCAAGACGATGGCAAAGAAATGCTTGAGAAGTGGAGTGGTAGATTCTTATGAGTAGTCATCACTAAGGCCGCCTAGAGGGGTGTAGAATGGTGCTACAGTGTAGCCTTTCGCAGATGATCCAATCGCTGACACTCGGCCTGGGCCATAATGCGATAGGCGTGTCATTTTCGCCTGAACATGCATGCTTACTTAAGGCCATGAAGTTTGTCGTGATTAGTACCTTCGATCTTGCCCCGCTGTGTATCTCTACTCTACCGTCATCTGCACAGCATGACATCCGAGCACTGGCACTGACCGTACTCTACCTTGTCTGGCGGTCTCTGAGAAAGTCGCCCCATCGAGCAGCAGCGGATGCTGTTTGGCATGGCAAGTAACGCGGCCTCCACACCGGCGATGGGGAGAAGAGAAACACAGCAAGTCGAGGACCAGTGACAGCTACTTATACCCTCAGCAACAATGCGAACACCGAGACTAACAGCAGTGATCACTCTACCGACTGGGTCAGGACGTATTGACTCGTCGCTGCACCATTCAGACTCGGGTACTCACTTGGCACGGCATGTCGATGTTGGCCCAGTGAATGCAGAATGAACAACATTGACTCACTCGACAGAGATCCTCGGCACGAATGAACTTCACTCAAGCTCTCGGCTCGACACACGAGCACAGATCTGCCAACGACCGGGCAACTTCAAACCCTTTTAGAGCCTGCCCATCACGGCCTCCGACATTTTCGTTCGTTCCTAGTCAGGTAATATCACCTGGGTCTCTAAGTGAGAATAGGTCTGAGTGCATGAACATTTCTCTATGCCAACTTCAGCTTGATGTCTGCTGCGCTGTGGCGGACGGTGGTTGCCGTCAGCGGTCAATTGGCGCGAGAGTAATCTCGTGCCTGAGTGGTAGGGTACACTCATACTAAGCAGCGACATCGGTCGCTCGTGACGCTCGAACAGGATTCTAGGATTCCAGGAGTAAGATACCATTTTTCGTCGGTGTGGCAAGTCGCCGCAGGATGCGGACGCTCTAAGCCTGCCACGTGTAGACCGGTGTGTGCAGTCAGACTCGAGCTAGCACCTCTCATACAATGCAGATAGACAAGACGGCTTGTCCAACGCATGCTGCGTGGTGCCCGGAGGACGAAATGAGGCTCGATTCCTGATTATCGAGATAATATTTTGGACTTGGCGTAGGCTGAGTCTCGAGGAGGTCTTGATCTTCACGCACTGCCGGCTGCATGGGTCAACGAAACAGTGACATGTTCTCTTTTGAGAATTCTTCTAGAAGTAAGTTCTCCGCCTGAACATTGTCCGAAGCAGGTAACGGCAGACACGCTGCACGCAAGGTGACGAAGTTCTGTTGAGATCGACACGGCGGGAAACTCTGGTTCGGGCAGAAAACTTACTCGCTGAAATCGCGCATTATGATTCGGTGGTACTAAGGTGAGTCGGTGAATGAAGTGGCAGCATGCGTGCTTGACAGTGGTTGCGCAGCCAGTTCAAAGTCCAACAGAGGTGTGAAACATGTGATGGAGGTTATTTCAGTATCTGGATCCGGTGAGATATGGCAAGCAGAGCAAACGGGCCGACTCAAGCTGTACCTGCCAAGGACAGCTTTGGTGGCTCCAGCTGGAGCACCGGTGGACGCGTTGTTGATATCTTTGGCAAGTCCACATCTCCTTGCAACTCTGGCTTCGCGAGAGTGGCGTGGCCTGAGCGCCAGCGCAGTGCTACCAGGAACGAAATGTTGGTCGGCATTGTGGCATTGAGAAAGGAGGCGGCATTATTCGGAGTCGACGAGTGAAGTCATTTGAATTCACTGCCTGAGTCTGCCAGTGGGCGGAACCCGAGGCTGCCCCGCATCACCACCCAAAAAATGAGTTGCGCAACGCACCTGCAGGCGGGCAGATCTCTTCACTAGGTCACCGCAACCGAGTTTATCTTCAGACGCTGCTCCGAGTTTGATCCAAGCTTCCCATGTGGCCGTACAATACCTAGTATCATAGCACAACATTCGCATTCTTTCTCACCGCATGATCTAGACTTCAGTCTTTCCAGAACCACCATCCATTCTGTCGCACGTGCTTTACTACGCTATACACTATATAGCAAACAACCAACCACGAACCACGAACCGCGACGTAGTTGGAATACGAAAACTGTGTCCCGTACAACCCACGCCAGCATTTGGGAGGCCTCCTCACACGGCCAGAGATAGTCGTTCAATGCCTTTCCTGTAGGAAACGGAACCGAAGGACATCATCCGCCGTGGAGGAAAGATGCCCTCAACGGTCATACACTTGCCCAATGGGCAGACCTACACAGTCACACCTGTATTTGGCGGCTACTCGTTCAAGTCCGCTAACCTCGATGTGCACCACTCAGCTATGCCGCCAGGGTGGACGGTACAATTGCAGACCGAGGATGAGGTCGACGAGATCAACGAGACGGAGCGGCGTAAGAGCCGGATCTCTGTCATTCGCGAACCTTCAGACGACCAGGATCCCAACCAGAAACGAACGATATCGCACCGGTTTGCTAGGACAACGGTACAGAGCGACACGGTCTTCATATCTAGTATATCTATGCCAGCCAACAGCGACTTCAAGGGGCCTACTTCTCCCACTCGACATATAGCACTGATGTTATGGGCTACGTTATGGTGGTACTTCCACAAGGAGGCTCCCAACATGTCGATTCTCACTGAGGACTCCGCACTCACTCCTGAAGCCGGAAGGCCCAAGGTGGATTGGAGGATAAAAATCAAAAGAGAAGGCATATTCAAGGGCAAGAACGTAATGCAAAAACTGGAGAGAATGGGTCTCATTGCAAGTGAGGACTCATGCGTGGGCACCGACACCGACATCAGACTCCCCGGCGGCTGGGGTGAGGCTTTTGTGAGCCAACGAGCCTTCTGGCAGATCGATCCGCGGCTGTTTCTGTTCACGTTAGCACCCTCGGCACATTCACCATATCCAGCGCAGTCACCACATCCTTCGCGACCGTCGTCTCCGGAGCGAGGAACGGCGGATGGTCGTCCTGCTGCCAGGCCGGTGGACAACATCACAACAACGGGCATCTTGCCCGATGGACTCTCTGCTGGCATCTCGTCACCTGGTGGACCATTTCAATCCGCCAGCCATCTGCCTACATACTATCCACCTCCTCCGCCTCAGTACACCTTCACAAATCACATCCGGCATCCAATCCGACCGAGGCCCCCTCGACAAGGCGAGACCTTCTATACGCGCTATATTCCAAGTCTCGAATCATGGTTGTCTTTCAGAGTCCCATCGCTATCCCCGCGACCAGTACCGCACGTCAGTTTTGCGACGAATGGCAACTCGATGGGTCTGCCCGCCCCGGCAGCAGCAGCGTCCACTAGCGATCGGCCCATCAGTGTAGCAACACTGCCTACGCTTTCGTCTTTCAATGAGCGCTCTTCCGATCTCGATCTCCTGCATAAATGGATGAATGACCCACGTGTCAACCGCGCGTGGGGAGAGGCTGGACCAAAAGAACGGCAGAAGAAGTTCCTTGAGGACTGTCTATCGAGTCGGCATTCCTTTCCTGCTTTCGGCTGTTGGGATGGCAAGCCTTTTGGCTACTTTGAGGTATACTGGGTGAAGGAAGACAAGCTGGGCAGACTCTTGGGTGGAGGCCTGGACAATCACTGTCGAGGGCTGCATGTGCTCGTGGGAGAGAACGAGTTTCGGGGTCCGCATCGGGTTAAAGTATGGCTGAGTTCCCTGGTCCATTATGCTTGGTTGGCCGACAGTCGGACCGAGCAGGTGATGCTGGAGCCACGGGTGGACAATACCAAGTAAGTGGGACTGCTCATCTTCTCTCGCGATGTCTGGGCTCGAATCTGAAGCAGGGTACTGACTATTCCGCAGATTCATCAACTACCTCAAGGAAGCCGGCTTCTACAAGCAGGGCGAGGTCTCGTTTCCACACAAACAGAGTGCGGTGATGAAGCTGGACAGAGAGAGCTGGATCGCTCCGAGCATATGAGCCGGAGCGCCCCCTTTCTTGCAATTCCTGGTGATTTCACCTTTGCCGAAATAAGAGCCCAGGCGGCCTCTGGGCAGACGGCGCGTTTCTACTTAACGATCCGGACTTCAGCCCTGGCTTTGCGGCCAGGTTCGAAATCAACCCTCCAGCAATGTTGTCCTTGCCTTAACGCTCGAGCGATACAGTAGCTTTGTGCAGTGATCTTCAGCCAGCGCTGTTGCATCAATCAATCATTCATCTCAACATTGACCTACTGTGGTTTTCGTGGCTCCACTATCGTGTGACCCGCCATGAACACCGCCCTGAGGGAGTCTTCGTTTCGCGAAAGTCGTGCTTGGTAACTGTCGCAACATTGACGCCGTTTCGCGCAATTTGACCTTCCACGCAACTTGGTTTCCTCGTTCTCAAGTTCTGATGGCCTCGATGACTTCCCAACACCATGATAGCGGCACTTGACGAACTACTTTGTATATTGGTACATCGTAATTCTTGGGCCGAGTCAGTCACCGCCCCGCACTGTCGATTTTTGAGTCATTTTGAAGATGGTCATTTCGACGTGGAAATAATTTCGACTGTCTGGCATGCGACTCATAACTCTGCACACGACATCTCTCGTTTCCGAAAGCACAACAAACTTGCAGCGATTTGCGTGACAACGACTCGACTGGCAGCGCTCAACAGCTGCTCCCGCCAATATGGCGACCACAATCCCCGTCGACCCCTCCCTCAACTCAGCCAAAACCCTGCAACTCGAAAACACACACAACCGCGACGTACTGATTGAGATCGAGAAGAAGTACCAGAAGAAATGGCAGGAAGACAAAGTCTTTGAGTCAGATGCGCCAACAACAGAAGAAATCCCATTCGGTTCGGCATCAGCGAGCGACATCCGAACCAAACACCCCAAATACTTCGGCACGTTTGCATACCCATACATGAACGGCACTTTGCACGCCGGCCACTCCTTCACGGTCAGCAAAGTCGAGTTCACCGCCGGTTTCAACCGTCTGCAGGGCAAGCGGGTCCTGTTTCCTCTCGGCTTCCACTGCACGGGCATGCCCATTAAAGCCTGCGCGGACAAGCTCGTAGAAGATGTGCGCCGCTTCGGCCAGAACTTTGAACGTTTCGACGACGAAGAAGGCGAGAATGTACCAGAGAACGGCGTTCCCGTTGCCCCAACACAAGACGTCAACGTCAAAGAGGACATCACCAAGTTCAAGAGCAAAAAGGGCAAAGCCGCAGCCAAGACAGTCAAGACCAACTACCAATTCCAGACGATGCTCACCATGGGTATCCCCCGAGAAGAAATCCACAAGTTCTCCGACGCCAACTACTGGCTCGAGTACTTCCCGCCTTTGGCCAAGCAAGACCTGATCGATTTCGGCGCGAGGATAGACTGGCGGCGGCAGTTTGTGACGACGGATGCGAATCCTTACTACGATGCATTCGTGCGGTGGCAGATGAATCGTTTGCATGAAGCCAACAAGATCTTGTACGGCAAGCGATATACTATCTACTCGCCCAAGGATGGGCAGCCGTGTATGGACCATGATCGGACCAAGGGCGAGGGCGTAGGACCGACTGAGTACACGGCGTTGAAGTTGAAGGTCAAAGAATGGGCTCCAAAGGCACAGGAGGCCATTGGAAGCTCGATACCGAAAGATGCGAATGTGTACTTTGTGCCAGCGACGTTGAGGCCGGAGACGATGTACGGTCAGGTGTGTTGCTTTGTGGGGCCGAACATCAAGTATGGAGTCTTTAAGGCGAGCGAAATGGAGTACTATGTCGTCACAAAGCGAGCAGCGTGGAACATGTGTTTCCAGGGCAAGTTCTTCCCAGACGACGAGTCAAAGTTCCCACGCGATCAGAAGGAGCTGCAGCCAGTCGTTGAGCTGCCGGGCTCGGCGTTCGTTGGCACTCTGATCAATGCGCCGCTATCGGTCCATACAGATGGTGTCAGGATCCTGCCGATGGAATCTGTCTCTGCAACAAAGGGCACAGGTGTGGTCACTTCAGTGCCATCAGACAGTCCTGATGACTTTGCAACAATGCGCGAATTGGCGAAGAAAGCAGACTTCTATGGCATCAAGAAAGAATGGGCTGAGCTCAAGATGCTCCCCATCATCGACACGCCCGCCTATGGCAACCTTGCTGCACAACACCTCGTCGAAAAGATGAAAATTCAATCGCCCAAAGACACCGCCGCCCTAGCCGAGGCAAAAGACCTCGCTTACAAAGAAGGCTTCTACAACGGCACCATGCTAGTCGGGCAATTCAAAGGCGAAAAGGTCACTGACGCCAAAGACAAAGTCCGAGCAGCCCTAATCTCCTCCAACGACGCCTTCCCCTTCGCCGATCCCTCCGGCGAAGTCATCTCTCGCTCCGCCGACGAGTGCGTAGTCGCCAACATCCCCCAATGGTTTCTGAACTACGGCATCAATGACCCTGAATGGCAGAAGACCGTCCTCGAATACGTCAAATCAGCCACCGGCCTCGAGACCTACGCCCAAGAAACCGAAAACCAGTTCGTCGCCAACCTCGAATGGCTCAACCAATGGGCATGCGCCCGCACCTACGGCCTCGGCAGCAAACTCCCCTGGGACCCCAAGTTCCTCGTCGAGTCCCTCTCCGACAGCACAGTCTACATGTCCTACTACACTATCGCGCACATGCTACACAGCGATCGCTTCGGTAAAACCCCGGGGACACTTGACATCAAGCCAGAGCAGATGACCGACGAGGTATGGGACTACATCTACACGCGCACAAGCGACATTGCGTCCGTCTCCAAAACCTCTGGTCTCTCAGAAGAGAAGCTGCGCAGCCTGCGCCGCTCCTTCGAATACTGGTACCCCCTCGACATGCGCTCCTCCGGCAAAGATCTAATCCCCAACCACCTCACCTTCTTCCTGTACATCCATCTCGCCCTCTTCCCCCGCGAGTACTGGCCCGTTTCGGTCCGCGCCAACGGCCACTTGTTGCTCAATGGCGAGAAAATGTCCAAATCGACGGGAAACTTCCTCACCTTGGGCCAAGCAACCAAGAAGTTCGGCGCAGACGCCACCCGAATCAGTCTCGCGGACGCAGGCGACGGCATGGAGGACGCGAATTTCGAGGAGAAGGGCGCTAATGCGGCGATTATGCGCTTGTACACTTTGAAAGAGTGGATCGAGGGCACCCTCAAGGATTCCGAGCTGCGGGGTGAATCTGGGAGTGTGGTGTGGGATAAGTTGTTTGAAGACGAGATGCACCTCCTCGTGCGCGAGGCGGAGGCGCACTATGCTGCGACGAACTACAAGTTGGCACTCAAGTCGGCCCTCTACGACTTCCAATCCGCCCGCGACTTCTACCGCGAAGCCTGCCTGTCCTCGGGCATACCGATGTCCCGGCCCACAATCCTCAAGTACGTCGAGCTGCAGGCCCTAATCATCTCCACCATCGCGCCGCATTGGGCGGAGTACATGTATCTCGAAGTCCTGCACAAGCCGACCTCAATCCAGCTCGCCCGCTGGCCAAAGGTGCCGGATGCAGACCGCGCTCTGACCGCGATGAGAGAGTACGTCAAAACAACCACCTCAAACATCACCTCCGCGGAAGCGCAAGCTTCGAAGAAGATGGCAAAGGGCAAGGCTACCGCCTTCGACCCCAAGAAGCCGAAGCAGTTGACGGTGTTTGTCGCGGATAGCTGGCCTGCGTGGCAATCAAAATACGTCGACCTCATTCGGAAGATGTTCGAAGAACACAAGATCGAGGACGGACCGGGGAGCGATAAGGAGTTGAATGCAGCGGTGGCGAAGATGGCGGGCAAGGGCCCGGAGATGAAGAAGGCGGTGCCGTTTGCGAAGGGGCTGAAGGCGCAGGTCCTTGCTGAGGGAGGAGACGTCTTGAGCGGTGACCGGAAGTTGCCGTTCGAGGAAGAGGAGCTGTTGGGCGAGATGAAGCGTGGTCTAATGAAGACAACGGGTTGCAAGGAGGTTGTGATCAAGGTCGTCAAGGAGGGCGAGAAGGACTTGCCGCAGATCTCGGAGAATGCTGTGCCGGGAAGTCCAGCGTTCTTGTTTGAGAACGTTGAGGTCTAAAGCTACGATGGCGGTACGGCTAAGTCATGACGAAAATGGAAATGGAAGCTCGGTTGTCCTCTGCGCGGATGGAGCGTGCAAGGCTGATAACCGAAGGGGATGATAGAGCTGGTATCGAGGTCACTGATGCGCCCCAGGGTACTTTCTTCGCTCGTCAGTCCAGATTTACACCTTCCTGTGTATGATGATATCGGGTAAGGTGCGGCTGGCTTATTGTGGGTTAAGCTGCTGCAGACGCAATCTCATGCCCGACCGCCAAAATACTTCCCTCCATAGATATATCTCGGCGCAACCGGATCCGGCTTCGTCACAGTATCGCCTATACCCTTCAAAGCAATGTTCTCCCAGCCATCCTCCGCGGTATATGCTGGCGGTGCTACCCACGTGTTGCTGCCGCGGCCGCTGCCGCTGCCGCCGCTGCTGCTGCTCCTGCTACTCTCACTAACCCCACTCATCGTGGCCTTGCTACGACGCCTCGATGGAGTCCGCCTCGTCAAGTTCTCAAGATCATTCCCAATCACCCTAGGCCAAGTCGTGCCTCGACGAGTCCGCCTCGATGCTCCACGTCCCGGAAACGCCCAGCAAGCAACAAGAAGCACGAGACAAACCCCCGCGCCGATGATCACCCAGCCGCCATTGACCACCCAGTCGGACGGCCCGGTGTGGTGGCCATTTGTGGTGAGATCATTACCATTGTCAACGGCCCGGATGGTCTTATTGTGGTAGGGTAGTACATGTGTGGCTCCTGCATGGTACTCGGCATCCCACATGACCTCTTCGGCGAATGATAGTACACGGCGGTCTAGCTTCGGGTGGCCTTTGTCATCACAAGTGTCGCATGCAAGGCATCCAGAGATTGTGCATTTGTTGCCCATGGCTACTGCTGCTGCTGTTGTATACTCTGGTGGAAGTCGATTTCGGCAATCAAGGCTGTTAGGATCAGAACACTAGCTCAGAGATTTCAACGACACAGTAAATGCGAGTTGTATATATCAAGTTGATCAGCGATTGATGGTTAAAGATGTTATGTGCGAATGGAGCGGCCTTTGGAGGTCACGTTCAGCTGAACCGTAATATGTTTACATCCATGGATACCTAGAAAGTGTATATGCGGTACACAGACCGATACAACCAGTCTCGTCGAGCATTGGACTCAGCAGCAGGCGATAAGATTTCCTTCACAGGTGCCTTGTGAACCCAGGATCTGATGAACACAAAGAAATGTGCTCGACGCTTGTCAGCGACTTTATTGGGGGGCCCCTGTCCTTACTCTTGGCGTGGTACACCGATTCCCGTACAAAGCTCTACGTCAGCTGCGTCGAATTTGTCGAGGTTTCGATGGAAGAATGGTGCGCGGTCGATCTGAGCTCACTAGATTTGCCACTATTAGCATTGCCAGTCGATGTCAGGAAATTCACACCATACCTGGGACAGCTTGCTGTAATTACCCATCTCCACGTTATCCGAGTACGGCGTGTTGTTTCTCGCATCAGCTCGAGCCTTTCTGGCCGCCTTGCGGGCCCGAATTTTGCGTCGGCTTGCACAGCAGCAGTAGATTGTAGCCCCGATTAAGGCAAATAAGACCAGGACCGAACACACGAGAGCAACTATGGCCAGTGACATGGGCAGCTTGTTGTTTCCGAACTGGACGAAGCTCGATTGTTGAGGAGCGTCTTTTGGTTGTGGGGGACCGCCCAATCCAAATGTTGCAGAGGGCGACGGCTGGCTAACGAGCGCCTCACCGAATCCTTTCGTGCGCTTGCTCAAGGTCGGATTGATTTCTGCGGCAAGAGATCGCTTACGGCATTCGAGCTTCTTCCAGCTGCAGAGAACGTTGCCCATGACTGTTGCTGTTAGTGGTATGTTCTTTGACTTGGGACTGATTAGTTGGGGTTAAGATGAAGAATTCAAGATCGCTGGAAGGCAGGCTGAGGGACTTACTTAAGATGGGCTGGCTTCGCCTGGCTCTCATGGCACGAGCATTGTGACTGTGGAATAGTGACACGGTCTGATAATTGCTGAGGCATCCAACGCCAGCTTGGTCCTCCTGCTGAGTCCTTTCCGCGAAAGGGCAAAGTTTGGATCTGGCCACGTCGCGACAAGGAAGCTGCCGTAGGGGTCTTTGAGGGAAGTAAAGCAGCACCTCGGGAGTCAGTCGTCCTTTATTCAGCTCTGGACCGCTGCATGCCCTCGTCTCTGTCCGCTCAACTCAGAGCATGATACCGAGCGACAAGAAACTCGCCATCGTAGTATGTGTTGCGCCGGGTCGCGTTCTTGTCGTGCAAGCTTGAATCAGCTAGAGCACGTTTTCTAAAATACTCTGTTGAGCACATGTAAGCTTCTGTCTGTCGTGATTCCACCGTCCCATCTGGATCCATGCAATGTTGTATCGGTCACGGAACGCGACCGACGCAGGGAGGGACCAAGCACCTGCTATCCTATTCGACTTCAATCGACCACGAGTCGTCACCAATATATGGCGTCTACTACACGTCAGCATGAATTATGCGCCCATTCTTGTCATCGGGATGAGATCAAGATGGTCGATTCTGCTCCTGAGACCGTCGTCGCTACGAAGCAGGATTCTGATGACATCTCGTAGAATCGTCAGTGATCGACTCGTAGTCTTGAATCCCGGCAGTCGGAACGCCGATAGCCGCAATTCCGCTCCGCCCCGCTGAAAGCCCGTTATCGATAAGGTGTTGGCTGCTGCACATGAAATTATCATCGGACTCAAACCACCCTCGACCTCAACTACAGCTACAGCTACTGCAAGCATGCTACCGACCCCGTTGCCCGGCGCAGTAGACCCTTCCTGGCGATGATCTGCGCTGTCCGCTCGTTCGACAAGAACCGATAGCATCGGCTAGGCGCATTCGCCTGACGGTCCGCACGAAGAGCGGCCGTCAACCATTGCATTCGGCCGCAACATGCCCCGTGATCCCCTGATCGCCCTCGTAGGCAAGCCCTCCTCCGGCAAATCCACTACTCTCAACAGCCTGACCGACGCCTCGTCCAAGACAGGCGCCTTCCCCTTCACGACCATCGACCCACAGCGCGCGATCGGCTACCTGCAAATCGAGTGCGCCTGCGGTCGCGACCCGTCGAAGAACCTTACATCGAGGTGCAAACCCAACTACGGCGCCTGCATTAACGGGAAACGCTCCGTGCCGATCGAGCTGTTGGATGTTGCGGGCCTGGTTCCGGGTGCGCATGAGGGGAAAGGCTTGGGGAATAAATTCCTGGATGATTTACGGCATGCGGATGCGCTGATCCATGTCGTCGATGTAAGCGGGACGACGGATGCGGAGGGTAAGGTTACGCGGGGGTATGATCCCAGCGTTGATATTGAGTGGCTGCGGGGCGAGATTGTGCGGTGGGTGCAGGGAAATCTGATGGACCGGTGGGGCAGTATCGTGCGTCGGCACGTTGCTATCAAAGCGCATCCGGCGGATACCCTGCAGGGGCAGTTCTCGGGGTACGGTTCGACGCGAGAACTTGTACAGAGAACTTTGGACAAGTTGGGGGTGAAAGAGCCGCTGGAGAAGTGGGACGATGCCACGTGTGAGAGGATGGTGAATGCATTTGTGGACGAGAAGTTCCCGACGGTGTTGGCTCTTAACAAGATTGATCACCCGGATGCGGATCGGAACGTGGCGAAAATTGCGAAAGCGGTGGCCGCGGAGCGGATAGTGCTGTGTTCGGCGATTAGTGAGGTGTTTCTGAGGAGGTTGGCGAAGCAGGGGTATATCAGGTATCGAGAGGGCGATGAGTACCTCGATACGAGGGAAGACTTGGTTGAGCAGGGTGATCCTACGGGAGGTGGACTGAAAGAGATGGATGAGAAGCTGAAGACAAGGATCGAGAATCTAAAGGACATGGTCCTCTATCGGTTCGGCAGCACCGGCGTGGTGCAGGTACTGAGTCGAGCAGCGGAAGTACTTGGATTGGTCCCAGTCTTCCCTGTACGCAACATACACACCTACGGATCAGGCTCGGCAGGTTCCACGGCTGTGTTTCGAGACTGCGTACTTGTCAAGAAGGGCAGCACTGTCGGCGACGTGGCACGAAAGATCATGGGAGATGCACCAATTGCATTCATCGAAGGCGACGGTGGCAGGCGAATCGCTGAAGATCAGCATGTTGCGGTTGGGGTAAACGATATCATTTCTGTTCATGTTGGGAGGTGAAAGCGCTTCTAAGTTTACTGGTTTTTGGGAAGACGATCACCCGCCCCATACACTACGCACTTGCCTACGTCGAGGCTTCAGCGACGCACTGGCACGAGGCTCCCAAACCCTCACACGTTATGCAGGCTACTCCGGCATGTATGCAATCACCCTCCTCCGTGGAGCCCACCCGTGGAACCTCACTGATTTCCCTTCTGCAGGCCAATCCCTGTCAGCCATACTCATCAACAATAGCGAAAGGAAGCGCGACTTACACGGCCCCTCTCCGAGTTCATCCCAAGCCCTGGATCCGGCGCCTCCGGGAATTCCTCCTTGGTCTTCTGCGCACTCCCTGCCTCATCTCTCCGACTCACGCCCTGGCCATGACCTGTGTCAAGTTGACCTGCTTTGGCGTCTTCGTGGCGCTTCATTCCTTCCTGGGACTCTTTGCCTGTGGGATGTGTCAGTCATACTATCCTTCTGTTCTCCGATGAAGGCGATCGCGTATGGCAGTGAGATGTACTTTGTGAATCTGTTCCGTCCCTCTTAACAGCATGGTCGTCGATAGGTCGACCAGACCAGCCCGGGCGGGAGTTCTGGGCGCCCTTTTCGGCGGCGTCGGTCGAGGCGAAGGAGCGCAGCGTATATGAGGCCGAAGATCGTGGAAGGGCTCGGTGAAGGAGAGCTGTGCGTGCAAGGAGGGTGGCTGATGGAGGTGGGAGACGTGGCATGATTGCGTTCCGGAGGAGCAGATCTGCGGCAGAGGACTTGGTGTAACTGAGGAAGCTCTAAGCGGCTGGGGAAAGGTCCTCGGTGTGAGATCCTCTAATTTGGGATGCTTGGTTCTTGCAAGTGTCTGTTGAAGTTTTGAGTGAGGATGAAGATCCAGTCTGCAGGATCAAGGAGTACAAGAGTTTTGAAACGGCAGTCACGTATGTCTGTAGTGACTGGAGGTGCAGGTACGTGGTTCAGACTACGAGAAGCTTGGATCTAGAGCGTGGAGAAGAGCAGCAACAGGCACAAATTATTTCGACATGCATATCCGCAAATGTCATTGATCTGCATGAGGTAACGGGTCGAATCAGATGTCGTCATGAATCGCAGATCTGATCTCGTCGCCTTTTTCTGGGGTGGACCTGACCCTTTTTTCCCGTGGTTGCCTTTTTGCTCAGTGCACCAACCAACATCGTGTCGACCTGGCTTGTGCGTGGTCGAAGCTCGGCACAGCAGAGTCTCTCAACCGGGAAGGGAGTCCGAGCTCGAGCACTGACGCTCGTCGCACGAAAGCTTTGTTTGACACAGCTTGACGCGACCTGACACCACTCCCCACCAAAATTGCTTCTTGACATCCGAACAAAGAAGAAGACCAAGAGGAGCTATTCCATCCTTCGTGCGTGAAATTGGCCGGCTTGTCAACCATTGTGTTCAGTATACATCGTCGACGCATCCGGCATCACAGGTAAGCGAAATGTTGCTGCTGCGTTGCAGCATGTAGGTAAGTCGTTGCTGCGACTCGACAATATCTCAATTTGCTTCTTGCTTGCCCACGATAGCGCTTGAGTCGATACAGCGACTCTATCGCGCTAGTCTTTCTATCAGCGACGCTCACCCATCACCGCCCAAGATGCGTGACCTCCTTCCTCTCGCCCTGCTCCTAGCAGCCCCCACCCACGCCTTCTGGCGCCTGCCTTGTCCAGCTCCGCTTACGATCGAGCGCCTCGACCCGATCGTCTCCCCTGGCAAAGTCTCCGCCCACGCGCACACCATCCTCGGCGGCAATGGCCTCGCATCCAACATGACCTACAACACCACTCAAGCCTCAACCTGCTCATCCTGCACCGTCATCGGCGACAACTCCAACTACTGGGTTCCGGCGTTGTACTTCCAGCACAAGAACGGCAGCTTCGAGAGCGTAAAGCAGAATGGTGGTGCGTTGGTATACTACCTCCAACGCGCTCCAAAGGGCGTGTCCATGAAAGCCTTCCCGCCTAACTTCAGGATGGTAGCGGGCGATCCATTTCGGCGCAGTGATCAGAACGACACAGAGCAGAGCGCAATAAGCTACGCGTGCATCGACTACAATGCCCCTGGCACGCCAGAAACTCACGCCTTCCCAACCCGTAACTGTCCAAATGGTTTGCGCCAACAAGTCTTCTTCCCTAGCTGCTGGGATGGCGTCAACGAGGACTCTCCGGACCATACATCGCACGTCGCGTACCCTGTCGGCGGCTACAACGGCGGGAAATGTCCTGATACGCACCCCGTCAATCTGATTTCAGTGTTTATCGAGATCTTATGGCAGACGGATAAATTCAAGGATTTCTGGAACCCGGATGACAAGAACCACCCCCAGCCGTTTGTGTTCGCGCATGGTGACCCGACAGGATACGGTGGACACGGCGACTTCTTGAATGGATGGGATATACCGTTGCTGCAGCGCGCGATCGATACTTGCACGTCCAACTCGGGGAATGTAGAGGATTGCAAGGAGTTCAAGTTGCGGCCGGACAAGCAGGCTGAAGGGTGCGTCCTGGAAAACAACCATGTCGATGAAGTCGTCACCGGCGTCCTCCCGCGTCTACCAGGCTGCAACGACGTGACACCTGGCCCTGACCGCGCACCTCTACCCTCAGGCCCGCCTACCTGCGGTGCTACCACAACACTGAGCAACAAGACCGGCACCGCAGCATCCCAGCCGAGTATAGATGGCTGGAAGTACGTAGGCTGCGGCACAGACTCGACCTCCGCGCGCGCCATGACCGCCGCTCGATCTGCGTCAGACGACATGACTAACGCCAAATGCGCGAGCTTCTGCAGTGATGGTGCAGCGAATAAGCAAGGGAAGGGGTTCAAGTACTTCGGGACGCAATATGCGCGGGAATGCTATTGTGCGGATGAGGTGCGGAAGGAGGCGATGCCGATTGAGGGCGTGCCGGGGACTTGCAAGATGGCGTGTAGCGGGGATGGGTCGCAGATGTGCGGGGGATATGGAGTCCTTTCAATTTGGCAGCGGGCTGGCGGTGATGATGGAGTAACGAAGGGGAAGAGTCGGAAAAGGTTCGAAGAGCACGTTGCGAGGCATGCAGTGAAAGCAAGGAAGATTGCGAGTTGAGTGAGGTAGTTACAGTCGTGGTTTTGATAAGTGAATATGGCGACAGGTGAGGTGAGGCGGCCTTCATACTTCTCTTCTTTAATTAGGTATCATGGACATTTGGACAGGTCATGTCTTTTTCGTATCGCGTCACGTTGTACTCCCGACGCAGCTTTGTAGCTTTGCTCTCGTCTCGAAGGTCTGCTCCCTGATTTATCTTCGGTCCGCGAATGCACGTCTCAGGCGGGCTCCGACTTGACACCAGGAACGTACACAAACTCCTCAAGCTCCAGCCGACCCCTCAAAACAGCCATGCTGATCAAGTCCTTACTGTACAATGCGATGCCTGCATCCACAACCTTACTGGCGTACGGATCCGTGCTGCTGTGGCCGATCACAAGCATCGAGTCTGAGAATTCTGCCATTGCCTTCTTGCTTGGCGCGGATGTCTTGACCTCCTCGGCACCCAATGCAGTCGCGACGTTTTTCAGCTCCAATACGAGCTTGTCGTTGAGGCTCTGCTGTAGGCGTTTTGTGATATACACCACGCGACCTTCCAAGATATGGCTTAAGCCGGCGCGTCCGCGATCGATGGCGCCTTCCAGAGTGAACTGCCAGGCCTTCTCGTGCGCTTCATCCTTGGGAATATATCGGTCTGGTAGCAAGAAGGTTGAGTCGTCCACGGAAGCTCTCAGCCATGCCTCTGTGACGATGTCCTTGCCACTGCAGATTGCTAGCATGAGGCTCCCACTCCGAAGCAGAGGTCCATCACCAACACACAGAACGTCGGCTTCGACGATGTTCGTTGTGATTCGCCCGCCCATCTTTTCGAATTTGCGCATGACCCTCCTCTCCTCGCCAACGTTCGTCGTGCTGGCCATATAGACAACCGGATGCGAAGTAGCACCTTTTGTCGACCATCCGCTTGACGATTCAGTCGACGCGATGTTTTTTGTCGGGCATCCACTTGATGGGTCGTTGTACATGCTCTTCTGACGTTTGGACGCGCGTGTACTGGCTGTGTTAGAGCTTGACCTCTTGGACGACGACTTTCGGGTACGTTCGCGCACAGTACTTGGCTCGGGTAGAGTGCTGCAGACGTGGTCTTGTGGTTGGTCGCTAGGTGAGACAACGATGACATTGTCGTCGAGGTCCACTTCATTATCGGGGGTCTCGCGGTCGTAGTCGGTAGCAGGAGTCGTTGGCGTAGCAGTAATTAAGGTTTGCGTCGTGGTCGCTACTGAGCTCTCAGGACCCAATTGAACTACTTCCTTCGGCGGCTTGTCTGGGCTGTCATCTGGAGTACTCTGTGTAGGTACGAAGGCGGGTGCGTCGTCGTGGTCGGACTGTTGAAAGCCTTGCTCTGGCGAATTGGTCGGAGGCTCGTCTGGAGTGCTCCCGGGTAGGACGGTGGTCGGAACATCGTCGAGCTCAGATAAAGGTTGCGTCATGGCCTCGTCGTTGGTACTTTTTGGTGGTGTAGTGGCATGCAGGTCATTGTGCTCGGACAGAAGCTGCGTCAGTGGCAGAAGGTCTTGAGATTGTGTCTCCGGTGTAGGTCGGGGTATGGGCGGCGGACGCATAGAGTTATGTAGGGTTCCAGCCTCGTCATCGAGGAGGACCTCCCAACGATCACCACCCGCTAAGAATTGATCATCCTCACGAAGCAAGATACTGTAGCTGTGTTGTGCCGAAGACGAGCGTAGATGGAAGTGGCGCCCTCCCGGGCTTAGGATCGTGCTTCCTTGCTCCTCGAACGTTGTCAACGTCACACTGTGAGGAAGGACATCTAGTGACAGTCAGATTGGTCAGGAGAACTGGTCACAGTGCTGACCTAGTATGGCGAGGCGGGCTTTGAGGGCGGCGTGGCGGTCTTGATCATGAATTACCTTGAAGCCATGACCACTGCCACGAATAGCATATGATGTGTCAGGCTCGAGAGCTTCCAGCCGTCGTCCTTGTAGAGGATCGTGGAGAGCCAGAAAGAAGCCAGGCATCTTTAAAGCTCTGCTTAATGACCTCAGTCATCTGCGTTGTCAAGGTCGACCATGCCAGGCTTCGATGGCGTGCAACAAGACGCATTCAAAAGACGGACTCTTTTCGCCATTATGAGGCGAGCTGGCGTATTATGTGCGGCTGAATGACACGGGTCGACGTCATTTGATATCCCAGAAATCCTAAGTCACACTTGCCTCGCCACCCTTTCTATCAGGGTCTCAGGCACCTTCTTGCTGCAGATGTAGCTGCAAGCCAGTGCATGATTCCACCAGAGGAAGGAGCAGGCAGACCAGTGAATATGGTGTTGTTGTCACTCCTGTGAATTGACGCTCTGGACGTGCACCCGTTCCTACAACTACTCACTTCTTCCTCCTTTGAGGCATCGAGACGAGCTCAGAATGTGATCAATGATGATTGTGCCTATCGATACGTTCTGGGTGTCTCATCGTCCAGCATGATCGATTCCGGCGACAATACTAAGATGCTTAGTATTGTTCTTCGATGTCTCACTTTGCCGGTGTTCGAGTACACCAACATAGGTCGCAATGAAGAGGATACACATCGTTGGATGAGTTCCGAAGCCACTCAAGCAGACTCTGTGAGCATCGTAGTCTGTTTATCAGCAATTATCGCATCTCCTGTGCTGAAACCATGGCCGATGGCTGCACCTTCAACGCGCCCGTCTTCCCCATTGCTACCGAGGTACCCATCAACGGTTTCCGCGGCTCTCTCCACCAGACAGTCTTCTTCGCACCCTCCTACCACCGCGACGACGCAGATAACAATCCCGTCAGCCAGCCACTGACTTGGTCCTTGGTCGACAATTATGGCTCTCGCACTGCAAGCCGATCCGGCGTCGATGGTATCACTTTGGGCATGGTACTCGTCTCCTTCTTATACGTCGGCTTCATAACCCCTTCCTCGAAACGCGGCACTCCATTCCACAAGTGCCTCCTCTCCGCCCTCTTCCTTGACCTGATCTATCGGCTCCTCATCGTCCTTCAAGACAGCTCTCTTACATTCGGTCGATTCCCAGCATACCGCTCTCTCACACAAGATCCAATCTCCAGCTACACAACGGCTTATACCATCTATACCCTCACACTCGCCATCTTCAGGCTCGCTTCGACCGCTGCCACCACCATCACACTACTCTTGCAGCCCAAAAGTATCCTCTCGGTCTTGCGCATGACTCGTCGAGTGCTGTTCATCAGCATCATCATATACCTCTGCTTGGCCTCTACGGCAACACTAATCTTCCAGATCCTCTTTGTGGTCATCCAGATCCATACCATTAACCTGTCCGGGGACTCCACGACCCCAATGAATGGTCTCGACAGGAGACTCGTCTCGCGCGGCCTGTACCTCGCCTCAGCCATCGCGATCTGTAGCTTCTGCGCCATCTCTTTGGCTTACATCGTCTACGCACTGGGCAACCGCCGTAAAGTCACGGCAGCGACACCAGGAGACTCGTCCTCATACTGGATGAGATGGCGCCTGCTGAGCAGGTACGAGCGCGCCCTGACGACTCTGAGCATGGTCCTACTTCAGTCCTTGATAGCGCCATTGATACTGGAGGTCTTGAGCTTTGTGAGAATCGCGACGGTAGTGGACGGGGTAGTGGAGACAGATCTAAGCGTGAGTGTGGTGAATGTGGTGAATGTGCTTGTCGTGCCTACGGTGCTGGTGTTGCTGCCGTTTGGCGGGCTATTCGACGGGGAGGGAGATGACGGACGCGCGCCAAGGCGAAGGATAGAGGAAACCGTTGGGGATGCTGTTGATGGTGGTGGCCGGCCTTGTCGAGATGATGGTGCAGGTAGCGATAACAATCTCGGCTTATTGGGCGGGCCCCGGGAGAACATTAGAAGCGGCATCGGCTTTGCTGATCGGGAGCTGGAGGAGATTGATCGTTTGTAGATGCTGAGTGAGCAATGATCTGCAAGCATCACTTCTCATTCAGCCCTCATTCTCCCCCCGTCACCTTCCTCATGACAACCCGAGTCCACCTCCGCCTGCGCCACTCCCCGGTCCTCAATGCACTACTGCCAACCCCACCATAATGCACAGCTTCCTCCCAGTCCCTGCTCCGCTCCTTCTTGTTATCTTTCTCCAATTTTTTCAGCCTCTCCCGCTCCGCCTTGGAACATCATACTCCCCATACGCCAGCCACACCTCCTCTTCCCTCCCGCCCTGGCCCGGTGGAGGCGGGAGATCCCAGACCCAGCCATTGTACGCGCCTCCTGAGCTCCTCCTTTGCAGCGGTCCGAGCCCATCGCCACCAGCGACGTCCTCACTCCGTCCGGCAGGAATGTCGTTGACGCCGGCCTCCTCAGAGCCGCTGACGCCAAACTCAACACCCACCACCAGTCTCTCGTTCACCCACTCGCCTGCTTCAAGGTCCAATTCCCATTTCTTACTCCCCCACTCCCAGCCTTTGGGGGGTTGGACTTCCTCGAAAAAGCGCGTGCCGCGAGGGCGGTCGCCTGCGATCCGAGAGGGACTTAAAGGGTCGTAGGGGGTTGGGGTGAAGAGGTGGGGCTGCCATTCTAGTGCGCTTGTGGACGAGGAGGTGGTGTAGGGTGGGGAGGAGGGGACGGTGCTGGAGTTCGAAGATCTCGACGAGTGCGGTTGGGGGTTGGGAGGAGAGGGTCATGGTGTTTAGGGAGGTTATTAGGGGGTGTAGAGAGGCCGGTGGTGTTGGGAGAGCGTTCAGCATGGCGTCGAAGACCGCGGGTTTCTGTTGCGTGGATTTGATGGATTCTCTGATGGAGGTGCTGCTGCTGCCTCGCAGGAAGGATTTCTGGTGTTTGTGCAGCCAGCTTTGCGCCGAGGGGTGGCCAGAGATGATGAGGGCGTAACCTGCAGTGAGGATAATGAGGCGCCAGGGAAAGAGGTGGGCGGCGATGAACAGTGCGAGGGTAAGGAAGAAGAGGTATAGGAAGATAGTGGAGGAGAGGATCTCGTCGGAGAAGTTGGTAGCCGGGGCGATGAGCGCGACGAGGGTGTCGTGCGCGTTGGAGAAGTCGGCCATGGAGTTCTGCAGGTCGCGCATGTTGCGGACGAAGTCTTTGGAGGTCTCGGACGCTGGCTTGATGGTTCGTGCAGGGGCGATGGCAGGACCGGTGTAGGTCGCGTAGTACGGGGTGGTTGCTGAGGTGTGGGTTTGTGCGGGTGGTGGTGGGTGCCGGGACATGAATGCTGGGATCATGATGAAGAGGGTGACGACTGCTAGTGGGAGGACTGCCAGAAGGTATGGATTCAGGCAGACGAAAGTGTAAGTGGCCAGCAGGGAGAGGGTGTGCGTAGGATGTCGCCAGGTGAAGAGACGGATCATTTGGTTCTCGAAGACGAACACTATGCCGATACGAGCGTTGAAGCGGCGGAAATTATTCGCCATCACCATCATCGAGAACGCTGGCCGCGAAACATACTTGGAGGATCGACGATCCTTGGTGGGTGTATCGTCCTCATCGTCAATTATGTCTGCTGGGAAGGCCTGGCTGATGATTTTGGCGAAAAGGCGGTCTTGTAGTGATGCTGATTTGCCCTCTTCCGCGCGTTCTGCCTGTCGTTCCTGGGCTTTCTCCTTCAGTCGAGACGGTGAAGCTTTCTGCTTTAGCCGATCTCTTCGGCTCGCTGATGATGCCACTGAGTCTGTATCTGAGACCGAGATTTCATCGTCGCTGCCTGGGACGACCAACAGCGGTAACGCCTCATCGCGGTTGGCGAAGGCGTCGACCGTGTACTCGTCCATACCGCCAGGGTTTCCCCTATTGCGACACAGTGCCTCTACAAATTTAGGATCGTCGTCGAGCCATAGTGTAATGAGGTCTGGTTTGACACGTGATAAAAATGTACATGGTCGATCGATGACATAAGTTGGTGTGGCGGAGATATACCAAGCTATCGCCTAGTGCTGGCCTTCAAGCACTGTCCAGGGGTTCCGCATTTTAGGGATAGGATAGGGGCTATAAGATTCCCGGTAAGGGCTCTTGGTGTTCTCCTTTGTTCGACCATCCGAGTCTAGCCACTTGCGGGACTGAACAGTGCCGAGTGCACAAAGTGCTCCCCGTAACGTGAATTTGAGAATCAGATTTCTAGGTTGCCGGATAATCGATTGGCAGAATGAGGTCGCGGAGGAAAGGACGCCACATGAAGGGTGGAAAGATCAGCGTCGATCGCGTGTTGCCCGGTGAATTTAGGGGCCACTAGAATCTGGGCCTCTAGGCGTCGCTAATGCCTATGATTGGGGGAGCTACCCCCGGGACAGGGTAGCCGGCAGTTTTATGATTTGGATGCTGGCTCAGGAACGAAAGAACAAACAGACCAGGCCACGTCCAAGCTAGCCCTAGATGAGCATCACCTGCATCTTCACCGTATTATCGCTGTAGTCAGTTCATCTGCATGCTCGCATTCTTTTCTGGAGAAAACAACCCCCAGACAAACATCGTACGCTGCAGCATGTCCTACTGAACTCAGTGTAAACCAACAACGAACCCACTCAACATTGTTGGTCAGATTCATTCTTTGTGAAGTCTTAGCGTCGAGAACCCCCCCTTCGACAACGCGCTGGTGCTTTCTGAACGTCCAATGCCGCATCGGTAGCATCCTCACCGTTAGGTCGCGGCGACTTGACTGTCTCCTTGTACCAAATTCACCCCTCTCGGACATGGCGTGAGCGTCGTTCCGCCCGAATTAGAATATTCCTCCAGACTTCGGCGCCATGCCTTTCAGGCCGAACGCAGCCGCCAACGGAGACAATGGCAACAACAAGAGCGCATCCGCCATCGCTGGCAGAACGATAGGAGCCGCCGTCAATAATGATGGAGATGCTGGTGGTACAGCCCCACGATCGATGCCTGCGGTCTCGGCCTCAGCAGCGACTGCAGCTCTCCGAAAGACGATGGCTGATCGCGAAACTGCAGGTCACTTTGCCTCCAGCACTTCGTCCGCCAACGGCAATCCTGCCAGTCAACGCAGTGGACCTCCTTCTGCCTTCCACGGTCAAAATGATAAGCATAATACCACTCGGAGGAGGCAGTCTTCAATCCCAAAGGTGCCCATGGGCCCGCGTGCAATGGACTTTCCCGCTGGCAAGAGGTATGTAGAGATCGCACCTGCCTCGTGTCTGATTGAAATCTGACACTGACACCTTCTTTCTCCAGATCCGTGAGCAACTCTGTCTTGCACTCCAATGGCATCCACGGCGCCTCAGCCGTCGCTTCTCAAGATCCTTACACAAACGAGTTGACTATCAACGACATCTCCCGCTTCAGTTTCGCTTCCATTGCCCCAGCCAACCCACGCGATGAACGCGATTCCTCCGAGTACGACAACTTCTTAGAGCCTACCTTTAATTTTGACGACTTCCATGACCACATCACGACTTCCGAACCTAATCTGAGGGACTTTCCCTTGCCCGGCGCTGCTCGTCCGACTCCGAGCAGTAACGACGATTCTGGGCCTGATCTGCCAGTCCAGCAGCCCTCCCAGCCCGTGCAGTCCGCTGCTCAGTCCCAGCCTGCCATACCTGTACCTGCAAGGAAGACCTCGGGCTCTATGCACTATAGCACACCTCTCAGTCGGAAGGCTTCTGGAGCCTCTACGCAATCACGCATGTCGAACAAGTCGGACTCAGTACACGCACAGATCACAAATACACAGTCAATACTGAAAGGGCGGCGTCAAAGTCACTTTCCACCCAATGCTTTCAACAACCCAGCGGGCAGCACCAGCTCATCCAAAGCGCCTCGAAAATCCATCGGACCTGGAACATTCGTGCCTCCCGATACGACGAAAGCTGAGGGTGTCAAGAGGCGGCCTAGTGTGGGAGGAAGGAGACCAAGCACAGAGAGCAAGAATGGTCTCTCTCTGCGCTTGACGAACAAGAAGGGCGATTTGAGCGATGGCAAAGCTTCCAGGACCATCCGAGCCAAGTCCTTCATGGGGGCCAAGAGTCAAAGCTCTAATGATTTGCTGGCACCCTCGAGTCCAGAGACCACCAGACCGACTTCATCTCACGTTCCAGGTACTCCGAACAGACGCAGTGGGACACCTGGTCGAACGACAACTCCCGGAACTGCTGGGAAACGTATGTCGGTGATGCCAGGTCATGGAGGCTTGGGTGCTAGGACAATCAGTCCTACAGACGCTCGAAGAATGAAGAGAATGTCAATCGTACCTCCTGCACCTCCGATCCCGCACAGTCGAATATCCCAAGCACCACCAACACCTACCGAACCGATGCCTACGAGACCTCGATCGACCGTTCAGTCCCCAGCAGTCGGTAATAGGAAGAGTCTCACTCCATCATCTGCAAGGACTACTCCGGATCCAAACCGGAAGTCCTACAGCTCAGGTCAGTCGCTGTCATCTGCTACGAGCTATGCTTCCTCTGTCCGCAATTCGGCATCTTTGAGTGCCAGACTATCACAAAATCTGAGTTCCTCTCGTTTGCCAACGCCTAAGCCGCGTATTGATACATCAACTATAGCCCCTCTGGATATAGGAGTTCCACCCGTGCCCGCCATACCGAAGGCATACGAATCACCTGGCAGCGAATTCGATCAGCCTTTCTTCTCTGCAAGGTCTTCGAGCTTACCACCCATTGACTCGCCAATAACATCGAGCCCTCAAGTCACCAATTTTGAATCAGCCATGAAGACGCTTGAGACCCCTCGAGCACCGAGTGCCTCCTCAAAGGTCTCGCAAACCATCCCGCTTGAGCCGGAGCTTAGACAGAAGCCTCAGCCCAAGAACTCGAAAAAGAGCAACCACAGTCTTCGCCTGCCTCCGCTCAATCTCCTTCCGCTCAGTACACCGACAGCGGCCAAGATCAAGGCATTCAAGGATGCTCGAGCTGAGGCTGCAGACGCTCCATCCACGCCTCCGCCATACCGTAGTACCAAGACGCCCAGTACGCCCATGACTGCTTCGAAAGCAAGCTTCTTCACAAAGAGCCATAGGGCTCAGGAAGAGGCAGTCATGCGGAGTAGCACGTCTCATTATGCTCTTCGGCCAGATCCGATGCTCACTCCCGCGAACGAGAGTCCCAGCCTACCGCCTTTCACATTTGAGCCTGGCTCACTCCAAGACCGTGGTATCTCGCCATTTGTGTCATCCTCGCTTCCAAAGACTGACGATTTTGCGAATTATATGCGACCCAACTTTACCACAGAGCTCAATCGGACAGGCCAGGCTAAACCAAACGGTCCACGCGCTCCAAGCTTTTCAGTGACACCGAAGCTTGGATCCGAACCAAGCCCAGTGGAAAGGTCTGAGGGCGACAACTCTGCTTACAGTGGTCTGCGAAGGAAACTAAGTAGGAAGCGGACCGATCCGAAGAGTGAGCAAAAGACCTTGGAGCAGCCGGTGGCCACTAACTACGACAACATGCCTCCTCCCAAACTGCCAGCGTCTGCAACCTGGTCGAACAATCTCTCCAGTGCGGCGAGCCCTGTGCAGAAGCCGCAAACGTATCTCAGGTCCAGACGCCAAACCTCTGGCTCGAGTAACATCCTCAACGCGCAGAGACAGGACAGCATTGACAGTAATGCTACGCATGTGTCAACATCACGGCCGTCAATGGAGTCTGTCCGCTCTTTCATGCAGCACTCCAATCGATCTGGTTCGATCTCAAGTATAGCCGCTCAGGCGAAGTCGTCGCCAAGAGCCCCGGCTCCGCCGCAAGCACAACCTCCTCGCCAGGAGGAGGTGCTGGACCGAGATGACATGGTTGCGGAAGAGGAAATGAAACGACTTGCTTCGAAGCGAAGAGATTTCGAATCGGCAGCAAGGGAGCTTGATGCGTTGAGGGCAAGAGCTTGCCCGGCGCGTAGAATCACAGCCGCTACAGCAACTCAGCTACACACTCTCAACATCTTCGAAAGAGGAGAGATTGTTGACTATGGCGATATCTACTTCTGTGGTAGCCTGCGAGCGCGCAAAATTGTCGGAGATCCTGGAAACACCGCCACAAATTTCGGCTACGACGATGACCGTGGAGACTACAATATTGTCGAAGGAGACCACTTAGCTTACCGGTACGAGGTCGTCGATCTCCTCGGCAAGGGCAGCTTCGGCCAAGTCGTTCGCTGTATTGACCACAAGACTGGGATCTTGGTTGCTGTCAAGATCATCCGTAACAAGAAGCGTTTCCATCAACAAGCACTCGTTGAGGTCAACATCTTGCAGAAGCTCAAGGAATGGGTGAGGATGTTCTCGATGCGCTTTGTAGCCTGCTAACAGATTGACAGGACCCGCAGAAGAAGCACAGTGTCGTTAACTTCGATCAAAGTTTCTACTTCCGTGGTCACTTGTGTATTTCCACCGACCTCCTTGGCATGAACCTCTACGAGTTCATCAAAGCTCACGATTTCCGTGGCTTCTCGCTCAAGCTGATTCGACGATTCACGAAGCAAATGCTACACAGTCTGATTTTACTGCAGAAGCACAAGGTTATCCACTGCGACCTCAAGCCTGAGAATATCCTTCTCGCACATCCTGTGCATTCCGAGATCAAGGTCATCGATTTCGGATCCAGCTGCTTCGAGAACGAGAAGGTCTATACATACATCCAGTCTCGGTTCTATCGATCGCCGGAAGTCATTCTGGGCATGTCTTACGGCATGCCGATCGACATGTGGAGTATCGGTTGCATCTTAGCTGAGCTCTTCACTGGATATCCCATCTTCCCAGGTGAGAACGAACAGGAGCAGTTGGCTTGCATCATGGAGGTGTTCGGCCCACCCGAGAAGCACCTGATCGAGAAGAGCAGCCGGAAGAAGCTCTTCTTTGACTCGATGGGAAAGCCACGCCTGACGGTATCAAGCAAAGGTCGCAGACGACGCCCAAGCTCGAAGGACCTGCGGCAGGCATTGAAGTGTGACGATGAGGCTTTTCTCGATTTCATTGCTCGATGTTTGCGCTGGGATCCGAGTCGCAGAATGCGGCCTGACGAAGCCGTTCGCCACGAGTTCATTACAGGCGTGAAGGTGTCGGTCACGAACCGTAGAAACTTTGCCAGCAACGCTGCTTCGCCTATCAAACGCGTCAACTCGGTCACGGCACCTAACGGTACTCGGCCCTTGCCTCAGCCACCGTCGTCAGCTCTGAAAGTGGTCAATGGGCGTCAGGAGCCCACTGTGTCACCGAGCAAGACCACAATCGCTAATAGACGCCAGTCAGCCGCCTTGAATACGCAAGTTGGTGCTAGAGGCTCGCAACCCGTGCTTCCGAGAGTTGCGACAATTGCACAAACTGGACGTGGGCCCAACAGCAGGACGGACCTGGCGACAGCTGCGGCTCAAGCTAGCCTGGTGAAGTGAGAGTGAGATGACGGCGTTGTACAAAAGCAACATACCCCAGCGATTGGCTCCGCCGCGCATAGATCAGGTCATTTTTAGTGAACAGATTCAGTATCTTTTGTAGCATATGTACGGCAGCATAGCAACGATGAGGATGGGCTAGCATCGACAGCGAGACAAGTCAAGAGCTGGAGACCTTCATAGTATAACATTACATCAGTGACGATACATCAGTGACGATACATCAGTGCCGATACATCAGTGACGATCTCGTTGCCGTGGAACATATCGATGCCACGACTTTCTGAAGCATTTGTCCGTCTTGCAACAGCGTGACTTCTGGCTACCGCTTCTGGACTTGTGCATGAGGGATGTCGGATAGTAGGGCAAGATGCAGGAGCACGTCATCGTCCATGAATATTCCGAAAGGCAATATCCACTGTGGCCTGTCGCACATTTACTGCACTGTAGTGGTTGACGTATACAGTGCGGAATATTGAAGTTCATGCTGACAAGCACATCGGCAGGAAGCGTGCCCGAGTCCGAATTACATTGCAATGCCTGTAACCTATGAATGATTTACTGCAAGTCGTACCTAGTCTAGTCGCACCTTCTTTACTAATCTGCCAAAGTTGCCCTAAACGGGGAGCGACTTCTTCTGTTCGTGATAAAGATCTTCTTCGGCATTGGATGACCAAGCAGTCGTGATATCTATCTAGCATTCGTTCACCAAGGCCTTCTGCCAGGTAATTCGCACCCAATTGGTTCTAAAGGCTGAATACTCGCCATCGGTCTCGAAACGCATAGTGTCGGGCCCGTCCCTGATCCTACTGGTGGCCTGGCCGTGCTTGGGGACAAGGACGATATATCAACTGGAGCGGCTCAATTGCCCCTTGGTATATGCTACCATCAGGCATTTTCTTGACTCTTGTCACACGTAGAGCAACTGTCCTACCATTTCGCAGCTTCACGGCAACGAGATCAGTCCACAGCCACTTCTTCTACCAACGTCCAAACACGACAGTCAGATATATAGATCCTACTATCAAACACTCAACCTTCTGTCTGCAGAAGTCTCCCTACAGCACGATGGGAAACGAAAAGCAAAAACCAATCCTGATCTCCGGTGCAGGCCTCGCCTCCCTTCTCCTCGCCCGCGTCCTGCTCAATAACAACATCCCCTTCCGCATCTTCGAGCGAGATGCATCACTCGCCTTCCGCGGCCAAGGCTACAGACTCAGACTGAGCAATGAGGGTCTAGATGCGATTGAGACGAGTCTGAATCCGAAGGGGTGGGAGCGATTCTGGGAGACTTGTGGGAAGACAGGCGGCGCTGGATTAGTCACGTTCGATGCGAGGAATGGTGAGATCTTAGAGGACAGTGATGGGCCACCAAATGGGAAAGGAGAGAATGGTGCGGGTGCGGGGACGAAGCAAGACGAGGGCCGCCCCAACGATGCCGTCACAAAGCTGGAGAGCAAGCAGGAAGAGGGCAAGAAATCCCACGACACACCACTAAAGCAGCTCGGCCGAGGCCCGAAGGAGGCGCTGACGAGTCGTGGAGGCCAAACTGTGGGCATTGCGAGGGGAGAGATGAGGGAGGTGTTCTTGGAGGGCGCGGAAGAGTATGTCCAGTGGAGCAAGGACGTTACGGGCTACGAGATGGCACCGTCCGGAGAGGGCGTCTTTGCAATTTTTCGGGACGGGAGCAAAAGTGAGGAGGGAAGCATGCTGATCGGCGGCGAGGGGATTCACTCGAAAATTGCGAAGCAGTTGAGCGGTGGAAAGTTGAAGGTTTTCGATACAGCATCCCGCGGCATTCACGGTCAAGCCCCAACCAGCGCCTTTCGGGGATTGGGCGAAGGCGTCTTCCGCATCGTCGACGACGAGAATTCTACTGGCAAATTGAGCATCATCACAAACGTGCGGTCGGGCGACAAGGACAGAGACGATATCCAATTCGGGTGGACTATGATCGGTCAGCCGGGGGTGATCCATGCGCCCAACGATGACTATACCATCGTAGGGAAAGTGGCGGCGGACATTGCGAAGAAGTTGACTAAAGACTGGGATCCGAAGTTCAAACCATTGTTCGATAACATGGATGAAAAGGAAGCGGCGTTTTGGAAAATGTGAGTTCTACTGGCCCTTTGCGCTTTCCTTTCCTCTTGTTTGGGCTTTGTGTTCTTGCCATCTAGTTCGCAAGGGAGGACTCGCAGAATGCTGACTTGGTCGCGATACAGCACATGCTCCTCCCCTTCCGGTGTCCCACAGTGGGAGAACAACCCTCGGGTTACAGTCATTGGAGACGCAGTGCACAGCATGACGCCTGCGGGCGGTCTCGGCGCCAACACAGCAGTCCAAGACTCCGCCCTCCTTGGCCGTCTCCTCGCTGAAGCAGGTGGTTACGCTGATGGAATAACGAAGAAATATGAGGACGAGATGAGGATTTATGGCTCGAAGGCTGTTGCGCAGAGCTACGGCGTGGCAAGTAAAAGCTTCGCTGGGTTGATTGACGAGGAGCGGACGCCGACTGTGTAGTATGATGCGAATCTCAGCATGCAGACTTGGTCAGAGCAAGCTTTAGAACACGGCACCACAAAAGTGTGAGCCATTGTGAGGTAGACAGATGCTTGAACAGACATGACATTGATGCAGCTTCACAACAATGGCGTCCTCCCAAACACCAGATTCTTAAAATGAATCAACAGTCAAACCAATTCAATCTCTTACCTGCTGCAACTCATTTACCACCATCATTCACCTCTAACCAGTGACTGCACACAATTCACACAGCACTTTCATCACAACACCTCCACTAGCCCCCATTCACTCCAGCATGATCACCCACCAGCCAGGACTTGACGCAGTAAGTCATCTCTGAGATGTGGACGAGACTCAAGTGAACTCAAACACGAATGAGACTCAAGTGAACGACGAGTGACGAGAATCCAACGGGCACTTATCGGTGTAACGCTACACTATTACGATCTCCAGCTCTTGACTTGCTTCCAAGGTTGTTCGCGGCGGGCTCCATTGGTCAACGGCTGGAATTCTCTAGATTACGAGCTCGGCATAGTACGTGCTTGTACAATATCATCAGACTTCGAACACCTCCCCCAACCCACCATCGCCAGCTTTCCGCGATTCTACCAGATCCAATCGCCAACCTTTCCACTTACTCGTCAGCCCCCTCTTCACTTCTCTTACATGCGCCACCATCTTCTTCATTTCCTCTTCCCTCTGCGCTCTAGCAAAGGCCGCTTCGTCCATCTCGTCGTCATCCTCCAACAGTAAGCTGTCCGCTCTGTCCCGGGTAGGGCCTGCGGCGGTAACAGATGGTGAGGCTGGGGCCATGAATGCATTCAGGCCGGAGGATAGGTACTGCGTGAAGTTGGAGTGCTTGGCTGTGCCGGGAGAGGCGGTCGCAGCTCGGGAGGCAGCGTTGTTGCTGCCAAAGAAGGATGATTCTCGACGAGCACTGCCAGGGCCGGTAGTGCCGGAGAGGTCGACCTCATCGAACCCTTCTTCATGGTGGTCCAGTGACGAGCGAACTGGTAGAGTACTACTGGCGCCATCCGTGTTATGCAACTCGGGTTGCAGATTCGTCCGCTGATCCCGCCACACGCCCCTCTGCAAGTCAAAGACCTGCCCCTCGAGCTCCCTTATCCGGCGCTCGAGTTTCTTCCGCCCTTCGTCCTCCAGCTCGTCCAATCCATCGTCGACGTCCGCACCGCTGCCGGAGATGGCACGCTTGTGCTTCTCCCGCAATCGTGCCGTCTCAGCTTCGAGTGTCGCGATCTTAGTTCTCAAGACGGGGATCTCTCGCGCTGTCGATTCGGCGGAGGAGAGTTTTGCCGCAGTGCGTGCTTCCGCTTCTCGGTGGAGTTTGTTCATAGCGTTGATTTTCGCTTCAAGTTTGGTCACGTTCGCCGTGGCTTCGTGGTATTTCGTGGTTGTGGTTTCCAAGTCTCGCTCCAAGGTGCGGATCTTGGTGTCTTTGGAGGTGGCGTTCGTGCCGTCCTGAACGGATTTCTCGGAGGCGCGGTGTAGAGCCTTTTTCGTGTCGGCTAGTTCGTTCTCGGTTGTCTTCAATTTGGTTTCGGCGGTGGCGAGGGAGGATTGTAGTGCGGAGAGTTGGGTTGAGTGGGTGGTTGTGTCTGATGTTTGGGAGGTGAGTTGGGTGCGTAGGCGAGAGATCTCGAGTTGCATGTCGGCGATGGTGGCGTCTTTGGATTCGAGTGATTTCAGGATTGGTGCGGTACTGTCGTCGAGTGTGTTGGCGGCGCTTTCTCGTCGGGAGCTCGGCCGGTGGTGGAGGGTGTGGGAGTGGATGTTGTACGTTGTTGGCGTTTGAGAATCTCGATCTCTGCTTTCAGAGCTGCGGTCTCTGAACTGCCGGTGCTGGCTTGGGACTCTCGTAGCTCTTCCAGCTGCTCTTCGACTGTCCGCCGACTCCTTTCATGCTCTGCAGCCTCTTCTGAAAGTCGTTCATTTTCTCGTTCCAACTCCGACACTCGTTGTAGTGCTCCAGTGCCCGGACTTTTGAGGTCTGCAGCTGTGTCGCGGAAACTGGTGGTTCGCAGCTTGGATTGAATGGAGATGCTGGCTTGTCGGCCTGGATGTTTTCGTCGTTGGGACTCGTCGACGTCGGGGTCCGGGAATGTGTCTGTGTCTGGTGATTTTGAGGGTGCTTCATCGTGTTGGTTGTTTGCTGCGGCGGCGATGGCGGCGTTGAAGTCTGCTTCGTCTGCATCCGCCGGATCTTCTGTTGTTGGCTTCACTTCATCTTCCGCGGCAGGGACGGTATCCTCCTTGGGCTCCTCCTGCTCGTCGGGCTCAGCATCGGCCACTTCCTTCTCCTTGGGCTCATCTTTGTCGACCTTCTCTTTTGATTTGGTGCCTGCCTTATCGCCTGCTTTCTTCTTCTTTTGTAACGCCGCAACCTATCAAACAAGTCAGAGTTGTGCAGATGAAGTTGACGAGGTCGTAATGTGGTAGCCCCAAGGATGGTGTAGGCGCATACCCTCTTTTTTGCCGCAGCCAGCTTCTCAGCTTTCTCCTTATCCTCCTTTTCGCCCATGGTGAGGTCCGTCTTCACTCGTGTATTGATCAAGCCAGCCGACTTCGTGGTGTCAAAACATAGGGTCGTGGAACGTTAAGGGTGACGCGTGTGGGGAAGTGCTACGCGAACGCCGGTTGACTGTGTCTGAGCTCGGAGACACTGAGGACATATATGTATTGCTGAGTGCAAGTTTGGTTGGCTTGCGATCCATCGTGAGGGTCTCATTGTACGACTTATCACAGCAGACAGAGAGCAGGGTCAAGGACGAAGCAGTGCGTGTGAGAAGATATTGTTATTCTCGGGAGAACCCTATATCCTCGGAAAGCGAAGGCCACAGCTCGAGGAGTGCTCATTTGCCAACTGAGCCCCTCCTTAACAACAAATTCCCAAACATGCTCCAATACGCCATCTCGTCTCAATGCAGATGCTTCGCACGTCGTCACAATGCAGAGCCGCATCTCACCGGCCTGCCTGAACGCCGTCGCCATGGCGAAGTGGGTATCATTAGTAGTTGTACACATTTCAGTTCCGTAAGAATCCAAATCCTAGACGCCAGTGGCCTGTGTTTTCGTGCCTCAGACTTCCATCCGCCCGACTACCTCCTCACTCACACCCCTGGCGGTCGACTTGCTCATACTGCGGGTGCTGCGCGTCTCCTCGTCACTAAGAAGATAATTGTGATGTTCGTCGACCACCGGTCTCTTTGGCGGCCCAAAGCCTTCTTCGTCGCTACTTCGTTCGTCCAATCCCGCTGTTGGCGCATCTGTAATGACAATTCGTGATCCTACGACCTCAACATCAGGGTCTTCATGCGGGACGACTTCGATACCATCTCGGTCGCCCAACCAGTACCGTGCACGTTTTCGCGCGCCCAGATCAGGCGTCAACCATCCGTCGCTCTCGTCGTCAGCTAGACGTTTGGACTTGATCGGTGTCATCAGTCCGCCATCCTTGGCAGACTGTGACAGCACGCTGATTCCTTGCAGGTACAGATAACAGACTCTCTTACGAGTCTTGTTGAAGAAGAAGTAGTTGGTCGACCATATCGTGCCGCCTTCTTCGTCCTCCTCGAACGGATCAAGGTCGGGCGCATATCGGTAAATGTGGCATTCCTTGAGGCTCATTTGCTGATCGATCAATCCCCACATGGCAGGACCCCAGCTTGGCTGACCAGGAGGCGGAAGCATAGAGCCAGGTGGGTAGACAGGCTTGTACGAATTGAACGGTCTAGGCCTCAAGTTGTAAAGCGTGGTGTCTACGTTGTTGATTACCGCTCTAAGGCTTTTCTCTCGCTTGAAGTCTGTCGGTCTCAGGGTGTGAGAGAAGTCGTAATCGGGATGACTTGCGTTGAGCGTCGCAATCAGATACGCGTAGGTTCGCCGCGAGCTGATTTTCTCCATGCTGCCGAACGGACTGCTGCGGCTGAGATTCAGGCTTGGCGCCATCAATCGGGCTTCAGGCGGCGAAAGTGAATGCGATAAGGTGACTCGCGCCTGGTACTGTTCCTCGAGCCCATTCTCGATCGTCTTGTACAGCTTTTTGTCGCCACCAGCGGCTTTGGTAGTGTAGAGATCGCATCCTCCTACGACGCTCAAATCGGGCGTCGAGAAATTGAGAGCCGAGGTAACGATGTCGAGGTCGCGATTGGGCATGAACTAGTTTGTGCTGTCAGTACGTGCAGATGGGAGGCCGCGCAGGGTAGAAAATGTACGTACCTTCATGTTGACTGATTACTGAGAAGCTGCGTCAGCCTGCATGCGCATTTGAGTCCAGTGCTAGTCTATGCGCGCGCGATGCCTGGGATCGTGTTCCGCGGCACGCTATGACCTGTGGGTTGGCGGGCGCGTTTGTGATGGCCCGAGAAAACGAAAACGAGTTGTTCTTTGTTCAGGCGATGGTTGAGCTTGTCTGCGCTGACAAACTAGACGACTATCGGAGGAGAGATCCAGGCTGGCTGCAGAGACAGCTCTACCGTAGTGCGAATAGCTAGACGGGCGACCGTCTAGCAGGCAGTGGTGATACGCGACGTGTCCATAACGATGTCGATAGGAGTGCAGTGGGTAGGATGAAGTGAGGTTGTCGAGTACGCTGAGGGGGCGTCGTTCTGGCCAAGGTGGAGCAGCCGAGGTCCAGCCAATCAGCGGTACCATCCGGAGCATGAAGATCAGGCAGCCTGCCAACTCGACCGTTGATCGCAGCGACAGCGTGGGAGAGTCAGAATGGTGTTGCTGATGGTCAACGCATGTGACTGTTGACGTCGCGCAACACTAGATAGTCAGGTAGCTGCACGTGGCTGCTGAGACAGCCCAAAGAGCATTCCAGATGTCGAGAGCGTCACCTGCCAATCGAGCGAGTAGCTCAGGTTGAATCGAGTGCTTGCATTTGCCCATGCTGCGTGTCAACAATCATGGATCACTCTATGCACACTGTCCACGGCTCGTGAGAGCATCATGGTACTTGACTTTGTTTGCAAAGTCACAGATCTAGTGTCCCCTTGCTTACCAATTCCCATGATCCTGCCAACGCCTTGCTATGCTTTAAGCCGATGAAATGCAGAGTTCGGTGCAAATGTGCGTGTATGTCCACGGCGCCCTCCCGAACCAGATGACGGGCTTATTGAATTATGCCGACCTCTTTGAGGTTATTCGCAACTTCCTGGAATCGAAATCGTCAATATCCTGGTCGCAGAAACGTGCTGCCACAGATGGCATCCTCGAAAAATGTTCGAACCAAGAAGATGGGTTGGAACAATGCTGGCTTTGAGGGCGCCAGGTAGACCAGACATGTTGCTGGCAACAGGTCCATCACATAATTTTGGTGACCTCCTCCTCAACCTGCACGATAGACGGAGACCGCTATTAGTCTTTGCGGCTCATAAGACACACAGCAACAAGGAAGGATAGATGGTGGTCGACGACAGCGTATCACGAGAAGTCAGGGCTTACCTCCATATCTTCAAGGCTGTCCTCCTGGCTTATGCATCGCAGCACATTCTTCTTACTGCTTTCCTGCATTTCGCCAGCGAGAAGTAGCTCGTCCAGAATGAAGTATGCTTTTTGGAAGTTGAATATGATGTCGAGCTCGCAGACGTTGCCGTAGTACTTGTCCATCTGCTCGACGTATCGATGGACGATCTCGAGTGTGATCAATTCATTGTCTGTGGAGTCGCATCCGGCGATGAAGAACAGAGAAGCATAGCGACGATAGACGACTTTGCTGTCTGAAGGGTAGGGAAGAGTGTCAGCACAAGTTCACGAAGGGTTGCGCCTGGGAAGAGGCACCTTTGTATTCAAGAAAGTTGCACATTCGAGTCCGTCGTGACAGGACGAGTTGAGAGACATCTCGAACGATTTTCGCCTTGTCCTTGGGAGACAGTGTAATGAACCATTTGGCAAGTCTCTGAAGAAGAGGAACGAATTTGATGATTAGCCTATGTATCTTGGGTCTGCATTTCGCACTGGTACGAAGGTGGGTGACCACGGAAGGGGACTGCTAACCACTTTGCCCTGCCGGCTGAGCAAGATGAGGTAGCTGTCGGTGTGCGTTAGTCTATAGAGTCTTCACAGAAATCATGTAAGTCATACTTGATGGGCATTTTGCTTGGCCACGGATCTGGCTGCGGTGGTGTATGAGGAAGAGAAGAAGCGCAACAGGCGATTATCAAAGAAATTGCACACACTCGGACACAATATCCGACCTGGACTGCCCCACTACAACTGCAATACGAGATGGAAGTTCGATGCTTCTTTTCTTGTTCCATGACAACGCTAACACAGCGCTGCATACACATTTGCTGCGAAAGACCGTCGCTGTGTGTAGCCGCATCAATAGAGCCCGTCTGGCGTCGTCCGAGTGAATAGGCAGAACTACATGAACGGAACGGCCCTCACGACTTCAAGATGAAGTTGATACTCTCTACCAGCAATATCATGTCCTCCGGCCAGGCCGTCCTCCGCCGCCCGACATTCAGCAAATCTAATGTCGAATTGATCAACTCCCTTCATGCCAACTTTTCCTTTCAGAGCCCTCCCCAACACAGCACCACGACCTCCCCAGAGACATCCACTGAAGATACCCTCTACGTGCCCACCTGGCGGCCAACCCCCCTCACCGAACCCCGCGAAGCCTACGACATAACAGCCAAACTCTTCTACCTCCCGCACATCCCTGCCTCCCGCCGCTGCGCCCACACCAAAGAAGCCGTCGAACTAGTCCTACGCGAGCTCGGCGTCAGCAGCATCGATCTCCTCATAGTCTCCTACCCGGGCGTGAGCTTCGACGCCGACGACGAGTCCGGCGAAGAAGATGACGGACAGGAGGATTCGTCAACCATCGACGGATCTTCAAGCTCCGACAGCAACAGCAACCACGAATCCGAGAATTTCTCCGCGCAGCTGAAAACCTGGGCCGTCCTGGAATCCTTACACGACAAGGGAACGATCTCCCAACTTGGCCTGTCAGAGTTCTCTTCGGCTCGCCTTGCACGCTTCCTACCAGAAGTGAAAATCCGTCCCTCCGTCGACCAGATAAACGTAAAGGACTGCTGCGTCGTTCCCAAAACGCTCATCATGTATGCGAAAGAGCACAATATCGAGCTGCTGACACACAACGACTGCACGGACATCCTTCCGCCAGGCACGACGAGGGAGCTGTTGGGCCCGGGAAAGGGTGGAGCGGGAGTGATTGAGGCCCAGTGGCCGCCGCCGACACAGGATGGGGAAGGAAAGGCCGCAACAGGGTTGCTGGGAGGCGACGTCGAGCCGCAGTGGGTGATCAAGTACACTGCAGTGGTCAAGGATAGAGGAGTGATTGAGAATAAGGGCTATTTTGCTGTCGCGAATTTGGGTTCGTGTATTGAGGACAAGGCAACGTCGACAGCGGCTGAGGTCGTCCCGCCATCAGGATGAGCGAGGTGTTCTTCAGGATTGCTATTTCTAGCGACGGTGTTGAGGCGGGTACTGACAAACTTATGGTTCATCGAATATCATTCACAGCCTTCATGCACTTCACTGGCGTGATCTTCGTTGCATTGCAAAGTGAATTGAGAGTCTTGTCTAACCTACAACAGCTCACGGAAAAGCAAAAAAGAACGTTTTCCGATAACAGCACCCAGGATCGAACTGAGGTCTCCTATAGTCACGGCACGGGAGAGGGCGTCGCTCTCAATGCCAGGCCTAAGGCGTGTTGAACCGCTAACACTATGCTGGTGAAAATGTAGCAGAATGAGAGGAATGATGTTCTAAAATTTGGGAGTATCGATATATCAACACCACGAAGCTGAGACATCTGTGGGATGATTGTCATGGCTGCAGCTCATCACATATCACCGCCTCGTTGTCCCTCGTGCTACTAGGTACTTGAGCAAGGAGCATTTCGAGCCCAGTCCTGTGATTCCTTGGTCACGAGGATATGAAGGAATGTCTCATCCAGTCATTGCTACATACTGTTAACTCGGTTTCTATTTGCCGCTCGCTCGCCTGTCTGCAAAGCACTGCTGCTCCATACATACCAACCGCTGGCCTAGTCGCTCAGGTCGTTCGTGTCAGCCCAGCATACTCCTCTTCCTCCCCCTCAACCTGACGTCCTCCAACCTCTTCAGTACCACACCACTGCCTTTCCACGCACCTCTATACCCATCAGCACTTTGCAGGACCTCCTGATCAAAGAACGCTTCCTGTCTGGGATGGGTTGAGCCAAACGCCCGTTCCAAAACATAGAGGTCAACAGCCCGGTCCTCATCTTGAACTGACGTTGTGGCGAGGCCGAAGTCTATGAGGACTATTTCCCCAGAGAGGTCTGGTCTTGGGAGACGGCCACCGTGGTCGTTTGTGGATGGATCGCTGGCCGTTTGAGTATAGGCCGTTTGAGATGGTGGTTGCTGCGGCTCCTGCTGCTGTGGCTGCACTTCCTTCAACGCAGCGTGGCCCCCAACCTTCCGCACGAGCAGGTTGCTGGTGGTTAGGTCTCCATGTATAACGCTGCCCTTGGAGTGCATGCCCGCCACAGCGCGGCCAATTCGACGCAGTAGCCCTTTGAGCTCTTCTTCGCCTGCTTGTTTCTCTTCGTCTGTGAGTAATAATGTTGTATTGCCTGTTGTCGGATTGCCGGAGGTCTGCCGCAACCATGCGTCCCAGTCACGGATGAGTTGCTTGACGGACGTGCCGTCGATCCATTCCATTAGCAGCCAGGCGCCGCCGCCACTCGGGGTGGGACTGTTGCTTGATACTGCCTCGGTTGGTGGTTGATCTTGCTCTGCCCGCCCCGCTCCGGCTTCCTGCTGCCGTAAAGCGGACCTCAAGTGCCTGAGCCCCTTAACCTTACGGCCGACGTCCCACTCAACACCATACACCCCTGGAACGCCCCACGCATCCTCTCCAGAACTACCAGCCACACCAGCCAGCTTGACCAACACCCGCGCCTCAGCTAACACCCGCTGCTTCGTCAACCTCTCGTCCAACACCTTGTGCCGGTACTTTTTCGAAGGCCGGACTTTGAGTGCTGCGAGTGTGGAAGGGCAGAGATACGTAGTGCGGTAGAGGAGGGCCTCTGCACCTTGGGCTATAAGGACTGGTGGTTGGGATTGATTGGGGAGAGAGAAGGGCCATGGGAGGCGAGTGTCCGATTGGGCTGTGGTTGGTTCGTTGGCGGGGGACGCCATGATGGCGAGTGTGGCGGTGGTGAGCCGACAATGACGGCGACGTAGAAGTGGGAATTGACCAATGGTGTCTGCAGTGCCCGCCTGACCTAGGCTGGTGCCTCGCTATGTCCTGTACGTGGAAGTGTTTTTTCGAATTAGTCTGCGGAGCCAGTCGTCAAGTCTAGCAACACACGCCCAGGACCCAGGTATCGTACTTTTCCGGTGTTGCCTAGAATCACGATGGCATTCAACCCTTGAGTTCTGTCCACACGCGCAATCTGCCACTCAAGTATTCGTTGATGCACACTTGTAGAGACAAGTCACCAGTAAGAAGATCCGGTCAGCGATAGGTTTGCGAAAGCCCGCCGTATGTGCACTTTCGGGCACATGCCAAGAGCATTGTGCAAATAGAGCAGCATCTTTTGATGTGGGACGATAGCCATCGAAACCTATAGTACGGTCTGTCACCATGACTTTGAACGAGCAAGATCTTAAGACTGCTGGTCCATGGTTGTACAATCTGGCAGCTCTTCCCAGCTACCTGCGTGACCTCATTCACTGCACCGTGACAACCGGCTTATACGGGCCCCAAACTCATCGGATACTAGAGACAGGGCCAAGCGGCGAATATGTTGAGCTCCTCGAACTTCGACCTATCAAAGGATTCAAGAGTCGATCAAGACAGTACTTTCAACTTCTACTACTACGCCACCACCTCACTTCCGTTAGGATACCAAGGATTCTGGAGAACTTCGACGGAGTTCCGCCAGAGTTGCTGCTGCAGAGAGCACGGTCCATGAAGCACTGACTTATCCAGAGCTGGCTTTAGGTGATGCTTTGACTGCATTCACGATTTGCGAGTACGACAAGGATGGTGGTGGGGACATTGAAGCTGTCTGGCTACGAGACCTGGATGAGGCAGGCATCGATGAGCGTTGCGACGAAGGGGACTGCGAGTCCATCAGAGATGCGACGCAGTACATGTGTGCTTTGGTGATCCTCAGGTGCTTGAAAGCGCTCAGCGCGGACTCAAATGCGATCGGATTGTGGGAGCGTGCCGTGCGAACTTTGAGTGAGGAGCACGACAACGACGATGTACGGAGGTGGATCAAGAGCGATAGCGACGTAACGTTTTCGCTATTCGAGTGTGACGACGACGCGGTCGAGTGTGGAAATAGATCTGGTGCCTTCTCAATGGGCGCATGTCGGAGGGAAGTATACCCTTGGAACGATTTTGAAGGAGATAGGATGAGCGATGAAGCACTTGCAGAGATAAATGGACAGCTGAATTTTGCAAGTGAGGGAATGATCGAGGCTCGCAAGTCGCTCCTACCGGATTTGACAGCCGCAGCAGCAGCAGCAGCAAACCCTGGCAACTGCGACCCAGCCCCTGGCGCGGCTGCCCTCAGCAAAGCAGATCGCATTTTAGAACCTACATCCACGTCAAACAATTACATCACCACCACGGCCCAACTCGGCCTCTTCGCCGTCAAAGATCTCCCGCCCGGCACCACAGTCCTCACCGAGCGGTCTCCTCTGACCGCAATTCGCCCTCACGGCGCCTCCCTCTGCGACGCCTGCGCCGGCGACCTCAATTCCGACAACACAAAGACCTCAGCAGAATCCTGTCCTGGCTGCGACATCCCCTTCTGCAGTCCCGAATGTCTCTCCATCGCCGAATCATACCACAAGCCCAATCTCGATGACGCTTCCACCGATGATGGCTACCCACCCGCTTCATCCCCATTCTGTTCCGGCAGCCACAGCGAGACGACCGACGCCGCCAATCTTGGTCGCGCCGAAAGCTCTACCACACCCGAGTGGGATCTGTACTTCCTTCTGATTATCCGCGCCCTTCAGATGGCGGAGACACAAGACCGTCACCCACTTGAGCTCTTCGAGTGCAAGTACCTCTGGGGCGACTTCAATGAGGACCACGCCCCGAAACATCTTGACACAAGCGACTCACCACCGACTCGAGGTCCCGCGCTCAGAAAGACACTCCCGTACAGCCTGACCCACCACACGAGTCTCCCATTACAATGGTTCGAGCTCCTCATGCTCTCCCGCCCAGATTCCTTCACTCCCTACTCCCGCAAGTGGCTGCAGTGCTACGACTGGTGGGTCATCCAGACGCTCTATGCGAAGTTTCGGGGTGTGGCTGATGCCAAACTATCCACTTGGTCAGGAGAGCCGGAGACCGCGAGCGTGTACCCCTTGTGGTGCTTGGCGAATCACAGTTGTGAGCCGGGAGTGACTTGGGAAGGCGGTGGTGTCAGGAGGCTGCGTGTCAGGGAGGAGAAGGTGGTTGCGGCGGGGGACGAGGCAACGGACGCGCAATGGATTGGGGTGAAGAAAGACGAGGAGGTGTGGAACCACTATACCGATGTGCGGGAGAAGGACTATCGCGTGAGGAGGAGCAGGCTGCGCGAAGTGCTGGGTGGAGATTGTTGCTGTAGTCGCTGCTTGCGAGAGGAAGCTGCTGCGAAGGTCAACGGTCACTGATTGAGAGCCCAAGACAAGAAATTGAAGAGAACAAAAATAACTATGACTGCATGAGCCAGACGACATGCGGCAGACCAGATGTCTCGCACATCACATCAAGTTCACTTAGTACAACTTGCAGAGTAGGCAGACTGTGGCAAGAAGTCGTGAGCTTTTCCACACCTGTCTCGCTTCATCCTGACAGCGCCCTCTGTGCCATAGAGTCCAGGGCAAATTTTTTGTACACATTAACACTTAAGTAACACTTAACCAAATTACCTACTTAAGCAGCGAAATGATTTCAGACCTTCAATGCCCTCCTTGACCCAGGAAGGAATCATAGGCCTTACATGGCAAGAACGCTCAGCAATTGTAGTCATGCCTGGCAGGTCAGATCTAGCTCTTAGATGCATGTGAGTCCTGATCTCAGATGTGTTGTAAGCTATAGTGTATGCAGGTGTGATAAAACGGTATACAGCACCTATGTTGTGTGAAAAGGGCGTTATGGTGAATTATAGCCTATAGGTATAGCCCGTAGGTAGTAGGTAGCGCTTGCAGTGGCCCAGCGCACGATCTCGAAACTTGCAAAAAAGCAAAAAAGGAACAATCTCGAGACCTGCAAAAAAGCAAAAAGTACAATCACAAATGCACAATCTCACAACATGACCCCGAGCAAAACGTTTCCGGGCGCAACCCATGGCCTATCTGGATATAGAACCTACATGGGGTGCCGCCACGGGCGTGAATATGTTACCCTGTCGGCGTCTCTCACGCAAAGCGCTTCATCGAGAACACACGGCAGTTGTTTCCCCCGGACAGGAAACCAAGTCCCCCCCGGGCAGGGAACAAGAGCAGGGCCAGTTTTTGGGGGTCGGGGTCGTACGTCCGCACGCGTACTCGATCGTAAGCTGTTCATCGTGCCCCGGAGGGCGAGTGAACAACCGGCCGGGCGTAAATGGAGGGGTTGCAGGCCTTTCGCTTCCAACGCAACCGGGTGTTAGCCAGAGTCGGAAGGGTCTTTGCGTGTGCGGATTCTGAACGCCAAGTGTGCAATAGTAAAATATAAAGTATGCGAATGCTGTGCCTGGCTTTGGGGGGCTTAGGAGCTAGGAGGCTCAGCGCGAGCGCCCGCTGGGTAGGATGGGGGCTTGCCTTCAGCTCAGGTGTCGTAAGTTTTGTTTCTTGGCAGGTACACTCACGGTCAAGGAAGCGGTCGAGATCTTTCAGGTCGAGTTGGAAGGTGCGCGCTGTCGTCCGTAGAGCACCCATGGGGTGAGCAAGTCTGTTGGTGCAGTATGCTGTGAGCGAAAGCTTATCTACTGTCTCGTCAATAAATTGTGTAGACTTGGATGGTGTGCTAGCCTGTGTAGCTGTCGTCATTAGCAAGTGATGCCGCTGAACTTCCAGCAATTTGTCGCCATTCGAGTGTTCCCGACGTGAATTGAACACGATCGTCGAATGCAAGGGTGTTGCTGTCTGTCTGAATGACCTGTCTTCGTTGCTGCAATTACAGTATCGAAACGGCTGCGGGCGGCCAAGATTTTCCGCTGCAGCCCGACCTCGGGAGCCCCTGAACGGTTGACAGTGGGCTGAGCGCTTCAATTACAGCCAATATCGAGTCATTTGCTCCCAGAGCCTGGTAGAGCCGAGTCATGTCGAGTGAAGTTCTTGGACTTCCCGATGTCTTGCCGGTCGTTGCCTGGCCTTCTCGGTTCAAGTTTCGTCACGCCGACGAAAGCGGCTTAGCGCCTTTTCGAAAAACAGAAGAACTTCTCTCTGTCGTCCAAACCTCTTACCAACCTTTAGCATCGTAAGAAATACTCTCCCTACCCATACATTTCGATTTCGCTAACACGACCTGCAGTCTTTGCCTTTTGGCTTAGATCAAGTGGTACGTCTCACCACCCAGAGCATCCAGATCGTCCGTGAGGAACATTGCTGACATCCGAATAGTAGTATCTGTTCTTTCTAGTTTAACAGCTAGAAGATATCCGACAGGATGTCCCAACTGTTATCTTCTTTTTGTACTGTCGCTGGAGTCGTCCTCTGTGCTTGCGCATGACACTCTGGCATTGTGTCCGAGGTCTTACACTGCCGCCTTGTGATGCTAAGACATCGCCTTTTCATCAGTCGCTCTGCTCTGCAGATGCTGGGGAAGAGATTTGGTTGTTAAGGCTTCGATGAGTTTGACCGTCTGAGTTGAGCGAGATGATGGACGTCGGACAAGCCATCTCTTGTTCAGAGGGCGGCCTCCTGATCGTGGAGGCTAGTGACACGGACAGGCGGACTTGGTATGATCTCACAGGACTATCTGATTAACGAACAATGTCACTGTCGTACTTCTGACTGATGCGGTGGCCAACCCTCAATGAGTATCTACCGGAGTAAAGTACAATGCTCAGTATCTTCTGACGCACATGATGGTCAGACGCGTAGTCGTCCCACAAGTGGGCGGGCTCCAGACAGACTGCAAGTTGTCGATCGATCCAAGGTAGCAGAAGAGATCCAAGGGAGCAGAAGAAAGACATTGGAACACGAGGGCTGAGTTAGATAGCTGATTCCTGAACTACACGAGCTGCCGCATGACGTCTTCCTACGCGAAAATGATCGACAGTGCATGGCCGTAGCTTAAAATTCACGACCACGGTATTCACAAAATTTCCCCAGACAATCGTTTGCTCTCCCTGGCAGTCGCTCTCTCTTCTCAGCCTACACTCGCTCCCTCCAAGGCCTCTAGACTTGACTGGAGACATCTCGGCATAGCAAAGCACTCTTTATCACAGTTCACCACCACAATGACCACTTCCACTCCGAACATCGACCCCTCAATCTTCACGACCCTCCAAACCAAGATCGACGAAGAGTCCGCCATTCGCGACTCCCTGCGCGCCATAATCGATGACCTCTCGAAACAGTCCCGCGTAATCACCTCTCACCTCTCTCGCATCCACAACACGCCCACTCCACTTCTCCCAGACCAAATCCTCTCTCCCTGCGCTGCCCTCCTTCAACAACAATCCCTCACAGTGCAGGCCCTCGCGTCGACCGCCTCCGCCTATCCATTCTACAAATACAACTCTCTCTGGAGCCACCAGATTCAGTCAATCCTGTCCACCCTGCAGCTCCACGAATGGCTGTCCTCTACGCGGTTGCTCACTCTCGAAGACTTGGGAACGTTTCTCAACGTCCCCGTCAACGTCAAGCCCCCTGAGAAAGACACCTTCCACATCACCATCGAAGAATACCTCCTCGCATTGACGTCCACGATCGAAGAGTTGGCCAGGCTGGCACCGAATGCAGTCACAATGGGCGACTACGCTCGTCCATTACAGATCAGTCGATTCATCAAGGACGTGCATGCGGGGTTTCAGTTGCTGAATCTGAAGAATGACAATTTGCGGAGGAGAAGTGATGGGGTCAAGTACAGCGTCAAGAAGGTGGAAGATGTGGTCTACGATCTGAGCTTGAGAGGTTTAGTGCCTAAGGACGGGGACGAGGGTGGGGCGGCTGCTGGTGGCGCGGCATCAGGATGAGGAAGGTGTCACGTAAAGGATGGAATCATCGCGACCACTTCTCAGTCTGCAAGAGCAGGTTCAATCTCAGGATGAACATGGTCGCTGCAGCGTCACCGAGACACAGCTATGGCAATGATGGCTGACAGCGTCGTCTTTTGTACTGGACCAGAATCTGGGCAGGCGTCAGACTACACGGTGAGCAGGTCAAATCACAATGCAACGAACATTGCGTCATGGGGGAAATTCACGATCATGTTCAAAATCTTCTCGCTACAAGACTGCCGGTGCGGTTGTAGACGAGCCAGCCTTCCTGCCTGGTCTGATCCGAATCGATTGAGACGGTTGCTTAGATACTTGCCATATGGTACCTCCGCACATGGGCAACGTGTGGACACGATTGATGAAAGGAGCCGCATCGCGTGTCTGCAGAGAAGATGTCACTTATCAACGAGAAGCGTTGGGTTGGTGCGGTGGGCAGTTTCGCTACCTGGACGCGGATCCGACTGTGCGACCGTGCAAGGCTTCGGCAACAACGCGACAACGCGAGTTTTAGCAAGGAGGTGAACACCCACAATCAAAATTGTCAGACCACTTCAATGCCAATTACGAGCGGATTTGAAGCACGTAAATGTTGGTAGTCAATATCATTTCCATTACACGTCCACGCCACCACCTGCACTTTCCATCGTTGTTAGCGAGCCAAAAAGCAATAATATCGGGGAGTTCACGACCTTTTGGTGATCATGAGCCCCCGCGAGCACGTACTCTCGCAAATTCTACGTTTTTAACGCAAACTTTGGGGGATCGAATATATCAAGACCGTTGTTGCTAGGGCTACAAGTGATAAGTGGGGATGAAGTGAGGAGGGACTCTCGAAGGAGTCAGGGCAAAGCGATGCGGAGGTGAGTTTGGTGGTGAACCGTGGCAGGGCAACGAGAATCTGACGTTGCGGCACCTCTTTTTGTCGCCCTTCACGCCACCAGTTGTTGTTCGGCGATGCACGAATTCGAGCTAGGCATGTCAAATGTCAGGTACTCGCAAGAGCATGAAAAGTATCGACCATTGATCAATATTGAGTACCGCGTAGCGGGATCTCGATGGAATCACGTACGCCGGTGTGTCGCGAGATCAGCGACCTTCAACAGCGAGAGTGTTGTGCGCCCTCTGAGCAGAGCTCAAGAACGAAGTCGACCGAATTACGGTTGGGTCGGCTTCCGCAACTCCTCCCCATCAACCCGTGCACTGCTCTCCGCGGTCGCCGGTCCTCCTCCCAGTCCATTCTCACTAGCTCCCAACTTCACGTTGACACCGCCGCTGCCCACATTGACCGTTCTCTGATCCGCAGACTGAAGATCGGCGCTCGCACCGCCTACTGGCTGGTCGGGGAGCGGGAGATTGGCCTTGACGCGGTCGATTTGCTCGGCTTTGGATTCTTGTTCCGAGAGCTTTTGCTGTAAGATTGCTTGTTAGGATACGTGGATCGTGTTGAGAAAGGGTGAGAAGACGAACCTTGAGAGCAGCTGCTTCGCCGCCTTCCTCGAGACTGGGAGCTTGCCGCCATGGAATTTGGCTTCTTGGGCCTCGATTTTGCGGACGTCCTCGGAGGTGACTTCGTGGCCAACGTTGGTAGCCATATTGGACAGTTTTATTCGATTGAATCTGAGATGACTCCTGGATTGTTTCGTGCGTAGTTGATGAGAACGAGTCACTTAAAGACCACCTGACTTACTTTACGTACTTATACTTTCGATGTGCGCTCGTGATCCGGGGACGAATTCCGTAGAAAATTCTACGCTCGTGATGTTTGACAGTTCTATTGGATAATAACTACGGGGAAAGATTCCGACGATGATCAACATGGCATGACGAAATGCTTCGTATGTGAGGTCAGTGGATGCCTTGCATGAAGAAGGACTACCTGGTTAGGAGATGTTTTCCGGGCGCGTAAGGCAAAAGGCAGGCAGAGCCCGCCCGGACATTACATCGTAAATCCCGTCTGTTTCTAAACAACCACTTTGCGCTCACGTTTCGTTCACATTACTCGTATCACTTCCGTTTCACTGGCCGGAAAACAACGTAATTTGCTCCGAACCCATTTTGTACCCATCGGGCAGTCTTTGAGGGTACAAATGATAGAAGTCATGGAGTCAAATGCGCTGCTCGGCGAGCCTGTCCGTGAGGCCTTCCCACGGATCAACTACACGCGCCTCGCACGTCAATCACGCCGTTTCTTCGCCCAGACCTAGCATGACTGGTTGCTCCTCCTCATACTCGGCGCTGTCGCCGCCGCTATAGGGCTTGCTCACTCCCCTGTTCTTTACAACAGAGTCTTCCCAGTGACGTACAGCACCTCCGGCGATATCGTATGGCCAGAAATCGCGTTCCCGTACCAAAAACTTATCTTCAGTCCATTAATTGCCGGTCTCCTATGCAGCGGCCTCCCGACACTGTGCATCCTGCTGGCGCAAATTTGGGTACGATCGTTCAACGACTATGCATACCATTGCCTAGGTGCGGCGTACGCTTCGGTGGTCAGCACATTGTTCCAAGTAAGTCAAAATGCCGGATAGAGGCCTTCCGACGGTATGCTAATTGATCAGGTCGTATTGAAGAAGACCATCGACGGTTTCCGGCCCCATTTTCTCGACGTTTGCAAACCAGATGTTTCCGCTCTCGCTCTCCGACATGGCACTGGCTTTCAACGCGTTTTCTTCACGGTCAGCGAGATATGTACCGGTAGGGAGGACTCCAGGATGGCGAATGCTCTCGAGAGCTTTCCTTCTGGGCATGCCAACATCGCGTGGCTGGTATGGGCTATTTGAGCTTGTACCTCTTCTACAAGAGCAGAAACTGCAGACCCGCGCGTCACGATGCCGGTTTCTAGCGAATTGCGGTCGTCCTGGCTCCCTTGTTGTTTGCTACGTACGTAGGGATGACTATGGTGTTCACAAGGTACCACCATTGGTACGAGGTCGTTGTTGGGGGCGCGATTGGCAGTTCGGCGGCTCTACTGAGCTACCATATGGGAGCGGGGAGGGTCGAGGAAGAGGAAGAAGAGGAGTAAGGTGGCCGGAAAACGGAACGGAAACCAGCTGTGGACCACTAGATTGTGCGGCTGGTCGATACGGGGAGTATGCTGTTGGACCATCATTAGTCTAGATTGAAAATGCAACCATTCGTACCTTTATTGTGTCAAATCCATGCAGAGGTCTCTCTGGCCGGATTCTCACGAGAACTTGTGACGCTCAACTAACGCTCGTCTCAAGCCTGCCGATGTTATCCGCGCAGACCTCCAGACCTCCAGACCTCCAGCCTCCTTGTTGGCCAGGAAAGTCATTAAAACTAGTGTTGTATCAAAAACCCTTGTAGCGGCCTCCCTGGCCCAATCTTCATATTGAGTCTCAACGAACGACCTGACGCTCAAGCGAGGCTCATATCGAGCCTGCTGATCTGGTCAGCCAGATATCCGGACCTTCAGCGCCCTCCCTGGCCGGAAATGTCATGAAATCAGGGAAACAAAACACTGTCAAAATTCACACAGCAACCTCCCTAGCCCGATCTTTCATGTTGATCGTTCGTACTGACTCAAATGATGACACTCAAGTCGCTCTCAAGTGAGGCCCAACACCAGGCTGACCCTTCGATTAGCACAATATTTCAGATCCTCGGCGAAAGTGCATCCAGATGACGAAAACAGGAACAAGAATATAGAGGTGAAAGAACACTCTTGATACCTTCCCCTATTTGATCATACGTGCATGCACAGTCCGCTGGCATCCCACACCACGGACGTATTCCACAGACGTATACCGCTGCCTTACACCTCGTCACCGTCGCTCTCGCAGCATTTCTATCACCACCCACAAGGCCGAAAGATGCCAGTCGACCGGTCTCTACCTAAGGCCTCGTCAGCCGGTCTCAGCCAAAAAACTTCCAGTCAACCGGCGACCGATAAGTCCTATCGAAGTTTTGGCTAACCGGTCTGGAACGGTTCTGCTGTAGCGCGTTCTACAACAATGCTGTCTGTCCTGACTCTCCTATCACCTGTCTCTCTGACTCTTCGCGTTCCGGTCACATCTCAGATGCAGCGTTAATAACAGCGGTCGGGCATTCGCCTAGCAGCGGCGACCTCAAGAACGACTGCGCCTGCCGCAGAGAGCATTCAGCAAGGCAACCGCGAGTGTCGCTGGACGCGCCCGCCGCAGCAACGAGCCAAAAGGGCAGGTGCGCAGGCAGCTGGCCGGTCGCTCCTGCCATTCCGGTGCTGCGGAAGGTATTGACGAGGCAGGTGCAGACGCCTTTAGCCAATCGCTCCTGCCTTGCTGTAGGTAAGTGTTGAGCGAGAGAGGTAAATGGCCGTCAACCGGTCTGGGCGGCTCTTTGTCAACCGGTCTGACAGATGGCGTCGTCAACCGGTCGCAGCTGGTCGTAACGCTCGCGCGTCACTGCCCGAATGCTGAAGTAGTTGGGAGCGGCGGCGTCGAACACAGTGGCTGGTCGGCAAAGGGCAGGAAATTCGGCGGTTGTTTGTCTGTTTCCTGACCATGTCTCTGCTTTTGCTTCTTGGGTATCGCTGACTACATACTCACTACTAATACTGGTATCCTTCGCAGGAAGTCCTCTCGGGAAAATTCCTAGCCTATGTCAATTCATTTCGTCGTTGAAGTTCTCCCATCACGAATAATCCCTGAACACCCACGCTCAAAAGATTCTTGCCCTGTGTTGCATTGTCACTGGAGTGCGTCGCAGCCACTCCATAGATTTCACTTGCTCCCACAATCCACCTAGTCTTATCCTCCCCTTCCGAACTCCTACTCGCTGAAACCCTTCCACCACTTGATCCGGCCAAAAGCTCATCCCTCGCGAATAGCGTGTGTGTCGTTACAGCCAGATATCGCCCCCTTCCCCTGCAACCCACTTCTCCCAAGCAACCCAGTACGCCCGCTCCAGATCCCGGACCCAGCGCTTCGTGTCGAACAGTCTAGATTCCCAGCGATGCTCCCAGAGCATGCGACGGATTTCTGTTAGGCGGCCTCTTGCGAGACCTGTGAAGGGCGTCTCTTCTTCTGAGTTGGAGGCAGCGGTTCTATCGGTCAGTGTGGCTGCAGGGGAGAGACGGATTCTCTTGCTTGGTCTGGCGTCGGTCTTCGAAGGGGAGGTGGTGCTGACCATGGAAGCTGTACCGCCGCTTTTGTGCACATCGGGCACAAATTGACGAGCCTCCGCGTTCCAATACTGCATCCCTTTCCCCAACCGAACCGCCTTCTCGATGTACTCCCTTTCCCCATCCTCCCCGCTCAACTTCCTATCCACCTCCCTTGCAATAACCTCCCCCTTCCACGGCACATTCACAGTCAGCTCCTTCTGCGCAGTCTTCCCCTCCTCAGTCTCCGGCAGCGCACTCGACAGAATACTCCCCGCCATCCTCGAGCACAGCTTATGACTCCATCTCGACCACGTCAAGATCGGCGTGCCAGACCAAACCACGTCTGCCGCCGTCGTGTGCGCATTGCATTCAGGCGTGTCGAGAAACAAGTCCACGACGGAGGCACGCGTGATGTGCATGCCTTTACTAGCGACATCCGTAAATATGACGCGTCGTGCCACGTCGCTGCCGGCCCATTGTTCAGCGTAAGCCTTAAGGTGCTGCTCGCCAAGGTCGGGGAATTTCAAAAGCCAGAGGACGGAGTTCGGCACCAAACTCAAAATGCGCAGGTACATGCGGAACGTGGCCGGATCGATCTTGTACAGCTGGTTGAAGTTGCCGAAGATGACGGCGTCGTCGCTGACGTTAGTCGGGAAGATTTCCTTGCGGAGTTTCCATCTTCGCTTGAGTTCTTGGCGCCAGAGCTCGTCTTTCTGAGACTGGCTAATGTGCTTGGCTGGGCGACAATCAGCGTCGGGAGCGCTCTGCTTGTGGTCGACACAGAAAAAGGTTTCACGGGCGAAAATGATGTTCTCGTTGTAGACCCAGTCTTCGTCGTCTTCGGCCAATGCATCCGGGTGGAGCTTGTCTTCGATAGCGACATTGCGGCGCCAGCGAGAGAGAGTGCTTGCGGGGACGGAGATCTCGTCGGCGAAGATGTAGTCGCACCATTCGGCGCCGAGCGTGCCGGCGAAGCCCATGAAGCTCATGTGGAGTGGTGCAGGTCGCGCTGCGAAGACCTCGTTGCGGGCGCCTCGGGTGTAGCCGTTTAGGTTGACGAGGATGTGGATGTGGTCGTCGACGATCTGTTTGACGAGGCGCTCGGTGGACCACGTAGAGACATCGCGGAAGACAGGAGCCTCACGTTCTATTTGGGCGCGGAAGTCCGAATTGTCTGATGGAGTTGTGGCATAGCATATGGCGCGAACGGACTTTTGGTCGTGGAAGCCAAAGATGGATTGCATGAGATGAGCCAGCGGATGGTTGTTGAAGTCGGAGGAGACGTATCCGACATTAAGGTGAGGTCGAGGAGGTGGCGGCGGAGGGTAAACTGTCTTCGGGAGCCAGGCTGATCGCAAAGTAGAGACCGATATTCGCTGCGCATTGCGCTGAGAAATTTGTCGAACACCTTTGGCAGATAGAGGCGTCGTGAAGGTGTGGAACGGTAGGACGGTTGGTGCTGTGGGCGAAGACAATGCCAATGGTAGCGTTGGTCTTGTGTATCGCTGCTTCGGGTATTCTTTGCCTTCCTTGTAGCGGTCCTGGTACCACTGCCAGCCAATGCGACGGATAGCTCGCTCGACGAGCCTGACAATCCTAGATCCTTCCCACGGCTTGCCAGACCAAGACCGCAACGATGCTCGAAGAGCAGTATCTAGATTTCCGCGAGCTCCATTGGACATGAGATGAGTGGTGAGCTCTTGACAAAGGATGTTGATGACTGTCGGCGAAAGTGTACCCATTCCCCAGCTCCCACCTTCCTTCAATTGCTTCTCCACGATCTCAACGACTTGATTCATCCAGCCATAGCTCCGAGTGGCATCAGAAGGACGCCCATTCTCATCGACGTGCACACGGTCTCGGGCACCATCATCAGCGAACACACCACCTCTGCCTTGCCAATTGCATACACTGTTCAGAGCCGTTGCCAGTCCACATACCGCTTCCGCGAAGTTCGGGTTTGAGGCGACAGCCCGTTTATAGTATCCAATAGCATCCGCAACGCGTCCCTGGTCCTTGACTGCATTTGCTAGATTAGCCAGAGCAATGTCGAACTTCGGATCGCAGCCAACAGCATGCTCGTACATCTTGATGGCGACGCCTAGTTGGCCAATATCCTTGAGTAAGCTGCCAAGGTTCGTGTACAGATGAGCATGGTTCTTGTCGAGGTTCAACCCATAGTTGTAGTACGACAACGCAAGACTGATGCCACTGCCAGGGCTGACACCTGGAAAGCTTGGACCAGGGTTCGCATCGTCTGGCATTCTTGGCACGAATGCACTGTGCTGAACACCCGCCAAGAGAATCCCAACATTGTTAGCCGTGGACGGACTGCGCTGTAGCGAGAGCGAGAGATAGTAAAGTGCAAGGATGTCTTTGGTACTGGTTGTTCGAAGGGATCCGACTTCCGTGGAGTTTGACATTGCGTCCTGGTAGATCTTGGCCAGCGACAGTAAAGAATTGCTCGTGGTCGATACTCCACCCATGATGGCTCTTTGCTGGACGATCCACGCAAGACCTGGCAGCTGTCCAGACGGAGGAAATAGATTACGCGCTGTCGCCTCGGCCTGTGACGGGGCGAGTAGCACAGGATCTTTGCTCTGCATCTTGGCCTGTAGATCGACTTCATTGACCAAACTCTTGAGGCAGGCGTAGAGAATCTGGTGAATGAGTCCACGAATGCCCGATTTCCTGTGACCCGTAGCAATAAGTACGGCGCTCTCGAAGGCGACTGCAGCTTCGCTGTTCTTTCCCAAGGTGTATAGCATGTTGCCCTTGGTGTGGATGAGGGCGAGCATTCTGCCATTTTCCGATCCAGGAATGCTGTATCCGCTACTACCGAACCCCGGCGAATTGCTCGACCTGTATTCGGCGCGATCCGAGTCATAGTCATGTTGTGCGGAATCGACAGAAGTAATCGTGCTCATTGTTGCCAGCGAAGTATTACTGGTCGCGTCTGAGTCATCTCCGTTACCGAGCCCACCTTCAAATGGATCGTTCGGGATCTTAAGCCTCGCTTCGACAAACTCGATAAGATCGATGGCTTCTTTCGCCCGGCGAGCAGAGCAAAGCAATCCTATCAGATGCTCAACAGCCTCGAAGTAGCTTGGCCGGAGCTGTATCGCAGCGTTCCAGTAATTGAGTGCCTCATCGCGACGATTCAAGGCGAACAAAGTAGCAGCAAGGTTCGACATTGCTTCAACGTGTTTCTGGTCCTGTGCCAATATTGCTTGGTACCATTTCAGAGCTTTTTCGTACTGCCCAAGCCCATATGCGAGACAGCCAACGAGAAGCATGCCGTCAACCCATTGTACTTCAGCTTGATCACATAGCAACTCCATCGTCTGTAGGGCAGACGCAGCTGTTTGACGGATAACGTGTGCTTGGTCGAGTGAGCCTGCGTGGCTGATCGACGAGTCAGATATTCGACGAATATCTCGTTTGATCGGCATGTGCCCGAACGAGAACGAGTCGTTGCCAAGTGCTGGAGGCAACGGGTTTGCAGATTCTGAAGCCCGACGATGCGGAGAAAAGATCGCTGTTTGTGGGCGCGATGGCGTCTGATGCAAAACATTGTCACTGGCATAATGCAGAGACTGTGCTGCCGACTGCGAAGCAGACCTACCCACGCCGATATCTGATGAATGTGGAGTCCTTGGCTTGGGTGGTTTGGGAAACATAGTCACTTTGGGAGGGCCCTTTCTCGCACCATTAGCTGAACCTGCTGAATGCATTTCCATTGCGCACTTCTGATGGACAACAAGTAGGTCACCATAGATTCGATGGGCCCAGCTGAAACTCTTCTCTCGAAAGGCCAGGGACTCTGCCTCGGGAGTCGGATACAAAGACTGGTCCAGATCGAGTTCGGCAGGGTACGGCGATGGCTGATACCCTCGAGTCTGCTGTACCGGGGAATACGTTGCATAATTGCCGACATGCGATTGACGTGAAAACGTATCATATCCCGTCGATGCAGCAGAATGCTGGATCTGCGGCCATGTAGGAGGCGCATTGTGCTGTTGAAAGTCGGCAGGAAATTTGCCTGGTCGCCGAAGAACAGCGGGAGCAGCCGACGGGTCTTGCGAGGCATAGTGTGCATACGATTGTGGTCTCTGATCATAGTAGCGATCATCTCTGATCGAAGCCGGACGGTACGGAACATATTGTCCGTCTGGCCAATACGGTCCGAAATACTCCTGTCCTGCTGATGCAGTCGGACCAAAGTAATTCTGTAGCTGCGCGGGCATAACAGTTGGAACTCTCGAACCGGGCTGCAGATAGTATCGCTGTGTAGGCATCGATTGGTTCAGTATCGAATCAATTGGGGCACCAGGGAAGTCCCATGCCGGAGGATAGGTCTGTTGATTGGTGTGTGTTCTCGACGCGTTTGTGTTGAATAATGGCCACGATCCCATGCCATGCAACGGAGGTGTGGAACCGTGCCTGCTTGCATCCTGGAAACGTGTAGCGCTCGGCGGCGAAAGTGATAGTAAGACGTGCTTCGATGCCGGTATCTGTACACTCGAATCAAATCCGCCAGAGTCTTGCTCGTAAACATTTCCATGTGGCGTCTTTCGTTGTCTGAGCGCTTCGTGTTGCGCGTAGCTCAACCCGTCCGATCCTGCTCTGTAGCAGCCGCCCGAGAACGGTGTTGCAGAGGGTACTACGGCATACTGTCGAGGCGTGATACTGTCCGGCGGTCGTCCATTGTGTGTTTTGAAGTCCGTCGACAATGCCTGAGGACGTGGGTCTACGAACATCGCTGCAGAATATTGGTGTTGTAGCGTGTGAAGCCTGTCATCAATGTCGAACACCGGCCTGCGCTTTCTGCGGACGCTTCCGGGTAGTGCAGGTTCGTGGTTGGGTTTGTGCTGTGCTAGCCAATGCCCTCTTTGCAATTGCCCTGCTCTTTCATAGTCTTGTAATCATATCGCCTCGCGGGTCGATCTTCAAGACGCGGCGCAGAAGTCGGTCAGCAATTATATTTCCACTCGTCTCAATCTTTGGGTCTGTGCTCGGCAACAAGGCTGACAGATGCAAGGGATGCTGCGAACAATTGACCCCCTTGTAGAAAGCTGGCGGGGTTGGTACACGGTAAAGCGGACTGTTTGTTGTCCTTGCTTCGATGAAGGTTCTGGACCGAAATGGTGAGACGTGACAGAATACAATTTCTATGACGCTGTAGAGGGGTATCTAAACGGCCGTAGAAAGACACTCGCTAACACTTGAAATGAAGACTCGCTCGACGTAACAGGAATCCGCTGAATGTGAAGACAGTGCTCGCAGGTGCTCAAGAGTGCAGAAGTGTAGTACTTCAGATGAAGGTTCGATATCGAAGGAAGAGTTGACGGAGGGAAAGTTCCAGTGAACATCAATATTCCTAGGCGGACCGCGTTGGATGATGGGCTCCAGCGGGGGCCCACAGAGAACACCAAACCCCGTCCCATCGCTTGGGATGTGGTGAGCTAGCAAAGCCATCCATGCCGCTTGTGCAACATCGAGACTAGGCACGACCAGAATAGCTGGCTGCACGACCCATAAGAACAGGGATCAGCCTCAAGTGTGGGCTGCGATCAACACCAATTCTCCTCTGTTTCCAGGTCTGCTGGCTCTTGCTTATTTTCTTGTGGCTGCATAAGAGGTTCTTTTTCTGCCCGTTGTGGCTTCTGTATGGCTTGAATGCTGGTCGCGGAATCGGTGGAACTCCCAGGATTGAATGCATCACTCGACCAAACAGCCTCTAGGCAGCACGAGATGCATCGAGCGCGCGAACAAATTCGTGTGCGTCTGGTTCCTTTTGACTACACGCAATGGACGTATTTGTCGGAAGAGCATTTGGCCCGGCTGTGGCAAACGAATGTTGAGGACCCAGGTCGCCTCCGCGAAGGTCTCAAACAAATCTTCGAACTTGGTGCAACGTGAACTTCCCTTGACGACAGGAGCAGGCACGGGCCACGCCAAAACGTCAAACTTCGGGAACGGGAATTGACAGCTAAGATCTTGGTCTGTACTGCAAGAACAGGCGCATATCGGTGTGGTGGTGTGAGGTAGGGCTTTGAGTCTCTGATCCACAAATACGCAGGCTAAGGCACCAAGCCTCCAGGTTCACTTCGGGCGCTGACGATGTTCCCGTCCTATAGATCGGATTCGTTACAGGTTCTAAGCGAAGAGGCAACAAACTATTCGCTGCTGATCCGCCTCTGTCAGCTGTAGTTGCAATTTTCTCGTTGATGACTATCGTTTCTGCATGATTGCAGTGCCCGCCCGGTGTGACGGCGACCAATCGACTGGTACATTCTTCATGACATGTCCCATCAAGAGGCAGCCAGCCTTCCGGACCATATCGTAAGACAAGGATGAGTGGGTCTCGAAAATGTGCAGCTTTGGTGCCGGAAGCTGAAACAGCTTTAAAACAAGAGGCGCACTGGTGACCGTCTACCCGGCCTGACAAGGCTGCACGTTGCCTTCGTGCATGGGCGACCTGCAGCCGTCGGTAGGCGGTCTGTATGCGACGAACCCAAAGGATCATTGACTCGACTGATGTTCACTCATACGGGGACTCGGTGACCGTTGTGGACATATGCATAAGCGCTGTGGAAGCGACCGCATTTATCGAGGACAGTATGAGTACCTTCGCGATCATCGAGTTTGGTGCTGATAGGCACGAAGATCGTTCGCAATGCGCATGTGCGGACATGCAATCCGAGGCAGCACGACTGCGATCAGCAATGATATGCAGATCAGTCACTTTGCCTGGGCGTGTAAAGACAAGTGCGGCCAGTCCTGTCCATCAGACCAACAGAAACCAAGTTATAATTTCACGTTGATCTACATCAGATGTAGACGAGTGATCAAGAAGGCAGAAGCAACGTATTTGGGCATTTTTGGCAGAGAAAGGAGGCGAGAAGACATTCGGTCATCCGGTCTCCTGGCGGAGGTGAGGCGCCGGTGCCCCTTGGAGTTAGTCTGTCAAGACAGCGGACATACCACTAGGTGACTTGTGTTGCTCAAACATCTCTCATTGGGAATGGCTTCAAGTATGATGAACAAATAGACAATCGTTCGTCTGAGTTCCGGCCACCCTTCTGGCGGCTCTTCGGACTGAGCGCAGTCTTCCTCCTGCGCAGCTGCATCGTTCGTTCTCAGATCGGGTCTGAGAGAATCCTTCGCATGGTTCGCCATGCTCCTCAATCCTGTACATTTCGCCTCACCATATCCTGCAAACCGCCATACGGAGAGATATCCTGTCAACAATCCTTTGTGTCGGGGTCGCAGGCCATGTCGTATGTCGCCGAACCACTGTGTATGCACCACATTTTGTTCCCCCCACAGAATCGCTTGGATAGTCCATTTGACGAAAGGGGACTCCTTTGCTATCGATGTACAACTTCTTCCCTGTTAAGATCATTTCGGCTTACGCCAATAGTATTGCTAAACGAATGTCAGCGTTAACTATGGCCCGTTGAACTGGGACCTACCTTGTGCTGCTTACGACACGCTCGAAGACCTGGTTTCCGCAGATCGTTCACAACGGCCTCACGGCGGAACTCGTCGGTGTCCTGGTCGGGGACATAGTAGTATTCGCTCTCTAGTGGCTTTCCAGAAGCGTCTTTGCCCTCTCGAGCCACCTCTCCAATGCAATCAGTTTCAGTAATGATGCTGCGAAGTTCACTTTTGGTCATTATACCAGCTTCGACGGGAAGATTGCCAAGTATGGTCGAGAGAGGCGTCGACGAGAGGCGTGAGTAGGCCAGCTGATTGATGACATGAGATTTGACGTCGAACGCGCTAGCTTTGGGTCGATGCTTCGATCGATCAGGAGAGGCAGCAACAGCACTCTTTGCGCCTGGAGACGACTTCGGTGTATTAGAAGTAGCAACTCCGGAAGCCGAGATAGATGCCATTCGGGCTTGCAGGTTTGAGCCGAATGGGCCCATCGAGTGCACCAGTGGATCGTTTTCCTCGTCATTATCGTCAGCAAACTCATCGATTGGCCCAACAGATTGGATTGATGCGAACGAAGCAAGGTTCTGCGACATGATTTGTGTGGGACCATTCTGCGAAGCTTCCTCGACCTCCTCTGGTGGCATAGGGTCTTCGTAGATTTCGACAGAGCGGGTCTCGTGACGAATCGAAATGACTGGCGGTGATGATGGCAGATGTGGTGCGGGTGCTCTAGTGGGCGAGATTGGTGACATTGGTTTGCGTCGAGTTTGCACGGGACTCGGGCTTGGTGGAGTGGAATGTCGAAGAAGCGCTCTCTGCTTTTTGGATGGTGATGGTGTATCTTCCTCCTCGTCTGAAGAAGTGGGTCCCAGATGGACCTTCTCTGGCCAGTTGACCATAACACGGGTGCCATGCACGTCCAGCATAATTTCGTAGTCTCTCATATCGGTGGTGAATGTCTCCCCCTTCTTGACCTCGAATACTTTTGACTGACAGTGGACTTTGACGCCATTCCAACCGGTACATTGAATCTCAATCCGCTCTCGGTCAAGAGAACTAACGGTTGGTTTGTAGGTTGCCACAACGTGTACCCTCGACACTAATCGATTTGAAGACAGCTGGTATTCGCAGGACGCACTCGAACGACCAAGGCGGATAGGTTGACCATTGTTGTGCAGATCAATGGAGGGCAGAGACGCTAGCGGAGCCCGTTCTGAAAGTGTCGAGATGACTTTCACAGCAGGCGATGGTTGAACGTGTCCGCGTGATGGAGAAGAGGTAAGAATATGTGTTGATGAGGTGGGAACTGGCGTCGGATATTTCGTGTGGTCTTCATATGTCTCTCTGGTCCGCTTCAGAGGTCGAGGTAGAGCAGGTGATGAGAATGGTTCAAATGCAGGAAGCAGTGTGGATGGCGGTTTCTTGTTGGGCGAAGCTGATACTGGTGTCGGTGTTGGTGCATCTTCCGGGGCTCCTAGAGGAGCAGACATTTTGTAGGATGATAGAGGTGGCCGTGGACGGCTTGTTGCCTCCAGTCGCGTGCCCACAGCGGCTGTGTGGGATGCTGCAGTAGTTGATCATGCACAAGCAGGATGGCTACGAGTAAAGGCCAAATGCACGACAGACCCGCAGTACATGATCAAGATCCGGTCGGAAAGCGGTCTGGTCTAAAGTTGAGAGGAAGGTGTAGGTAGGTATGTAGAGGGAAGATCGCGGTGCGCGCCTCGAAGCACGGTTGGCTCCACCACCTCGACGCGCTAGCAAGGTACGTCACCTTGGATCGAGCACGAAAAATGTTAAGAACAGAGCACAGGGAGTATTGCGAGCAATGCGAGGGAATCTTCTATGAAGGTCTGCAGTCTACAGCTTTCTGATCGCGCTGAGATGTCTACTAAAACAGGACCGCGCTTTGACGCGTCTTCGTATAGGCTCTGACTCTACGAGCGCTATTTCTGCAACGACAGCGACCGAGCATCCATCGATCGAGATCGCATCTGCTCTACTGCTGCAGAAATGTAATTGCGGACATGATGAACGCTGGTGGGCTCTTTAGTGAGTTCAACAGGCGATGATGAGTTGCATGATATGAAGAAGTCAACATTTGATCGCGAAGCATTGAGAGTTCTAAACCCCACCTTGTCGAATTGGAGAAACATTGCAATCCAAAAGTCAAAAAAAATTGACCGCTTGCCTGCATCCTGCATCTTATGGTCTGTTGGACTTGTCGCTATTGCAAAACTCATCACAACATGGCATTGACGACGCACGTCGCGAAGTCTGTGGCGTTTGCTACGCCGTACCAGCTAGACCCAGAACAAACATTGAAAGCATCTCAAGCACTGCTCGCCCATCTCCGAACTGAGACGAAGAAGTTACAGTCCAGTACTACGAAGAGGGAATTACTCAAGACTGACGACTCAGAGTCGGAATCCGAGGCCGCCGATAGCGAGCAAGCGCCAATATGGCTCACGCTGACCACCAAACAACACATCATCGACAAGAACCGTCTGCGACCGACGAAGATCGCAGTCCCACACTCTCTCAACGCATCACCCAACCTCACCATCTGCATAATATCTGCTGATCCGCAACGAGCACTCAAGAATGCTGTGGCAGATGACTCTTTCCCGAAACCTGTGTCCGATCGTATCACTAGGATCGTGGGCTTCGAGAAGTTGAAGTCAAGATACAAGTCTTTCGAGCAGCGTCGAGCACTGCGCGATGAGCACGATATTTTCCTGGCAGACGATCGCATCATTAGCCGGCTACCGGAAGCGCTCGGCAAAGTCTTCTACAAAGGCACATCGAAGCGACCCATTCCCGTCGATATTGCGGTGCACGATCGACAGGACGGCAAGCGTGTCAAAACCAGCAAGGGCAAGAACGACTCGAAGATCCAGGCCAATAACGTTGCATCGCCACAGATCATTGCGAAGGAGGTCAGTCGTGCCATCAGCGCAGTCCCTGTGAATCTGAAGCCAGGCACAAGCACAGCTGTCCGCGTTGGCCTTGCATCTTTCACGCCGGAGCAGCTTGTCGAGAACATCAATGTCGTGGTCCAGCGCGTAATTGAGAATCACGTTGCTAAGGGGTGGCGGAACGTCAAGTCCATCCACGTCAAGTCTCCGACGTCAACAGCACTGCCAATCTGGCTTGCCGATGAGTTATGGGCTGACCAGGACAATGTGGAAGCTGTGGGGGCTTACGAGGAGGGCAAAGGTGCACAGCAGGCTTCGCTGCAAGACGCGTCGCAGAAGAGGAAGCGTTCGCAGCATACTAAGAAAGGACCGCAGACTGGTCAGCGAAAGAGAGCTAGATTGTCTGATGTGGAAGGCCAATCGTTGTCGGCAGAAAAGGCAAAAGCGTTCTCAGAAGCCACAAAGGCTGTGATGGTCTGAGGTTATGATGCGACTGGTATGGAAGGTCTGCAAGCAGGCTCTCTGCTGGCTTGCCCTAGTAGCACATAGAAGATCATGTGCATGCCAATTTTCCCTTTGAAAGCATTCTTAGTATTACTAGCGCCGCTACTACCCGCTTAACCCCGCTACTTCCCAGACACTAACACTTGCATTTAAACGTCCCGCCAGTCTTTGAACAACATGCTGAACACACTCTGCTCCTCATCATTGAAGTGTGTTCAGGACCTGCAACTTGTCTGTTGGGCTTCGCTGGCTTTTGAGCGGCCGTTGACCAAGATATGCTGCCAGATCGATCCATTTATCGCGGCCCGTCATGGACCGCAAACGTAAGAGAGAACTACGGGACCTGAATCTGAAATCCTGGGGAGGTGTTAAGGGTGAGCAGGTGGCAACCATTGTGAGACCAGGGAGTGTTCCTAACATATCTCAGACCTCTTCTCCGTGGGAAGTTCACTGGATTCATCTCTCAAGAAGAATACTGCCTTTATCAAGCGCCTCCGCACCGGAATCAACGCAGCCAGCCAGTCAACCCTGGTGAACGAGATCCGCACTCTGTCGCTCGAGAAATACTTGTCAGAGATCATTACTGCGGTCGCAGAAGGTCTCTCTAGGCTCAAGACGTCGACTGAGATCGCGGCGGGTGTGGAAGTCGTCAGTGCCCTCCATCAGCGCTTCGGTCCTGCAAGCTTCACGAAACAATTGGCCTGGATACTGGGAAAAGGTCTGAGTCTGCCTGACAAATCGGTGGTAAAGTCATGGACACCCGACGTTCGAGAGCGAGAAGAGCGGGATCGTCTAGCGCGACAACGGGTGCTGCTACGAGTCGTGGCCGAGTTTTGGATTTGTGGTCTCCTCCGCGGGCTGGACGATGTGGAACGACCAGAAGAGGTGTCGGCAAAGACAAAGGATTCAGCAGCGAGTGCCGCTCGCGGGCATGACACCAAGAGCACTGCAACCTCAAATGGTATTCGGGCAGAATTCGGCTATGACAATGAGCCTTTCCCACTAGAGGTGCTGAAGGAACTGCTCGGCCACGATCCTGATCACGTTAATCTGCCACTAGCAGTTTTGTTCGTGAAGAACTTCTCCTGGGACGTACTTGGCCTGAAGCATCATCCGAAGAGGGTAAGAAGACTGGTGATGTCGACGGAGGCCCACCCGAAGATCACGGTCTCGATGGCGATGAAGATGGCCCCATCATTCCACTCAACATACGTCAGCGATTTATCAATGTCTTGGAGAAGTACCTGGACACCGTCAAGCAGCATGTGCTTCGCGATCAGAAGCAGCTCTCGAACCAAAGCCGCAGAAATGCTGAAGCCTACGTCAAGAGCGGCGAGATCTTCGAAGACAGACAGAACAACTTCGAGAAGCAGACTAAGGCCCAGGAGAAATTGATAGCCAACGCACAAGTGCTTTGCGATGCACTCGGTCAGCAGATGCCCAGCTTGGTTGCTGTCGATGGCACAGACGCTCCTGCAGCAGGCTCCGTTGGCATCGTAAAGACCGGGGAATACCTCCGTGGGACGGGCGAAGGAGCTGGCATATGGGAGGATGAAGACGAGCGGCGCTTCTACGAGAACCTTGTGGACCTGAAAGGACGCGTTCCAGCAATTCTGCTCGAAGATGCCAAAAAGCAGAAAACTGACGGTCCAGAGGAGCCCGGCGCAACACACAAGATGTCCTCCACAGAGACACCGGATGCAGTGGCAAAGAAAACAGCTGATTTGGACGATCAATCCACGGCCATTGCAAACAGAACCGTCGGCGCACAAGTTGATGCTGTCCTGGCGCGCTTACCAGATCTTCAGAATAAAGAGATGGTCGATCAGGTGGCCGAAGACTTCTGCTTTTTGAACTCCAAAGCATCAAGAAATCGACTCATCAAAGCCATACAAGAAATTCCAAAGGGCCGCACCGACCTCCTGTCGCTGTACGCGCGTCTTGCAGCAACACTTGGACAGTACATGCCCGACGTAGTTCAAGGCCTCGTGTCCCACCTCGACGACGAGTTCCGGAGTCTGCAGCGACGGAAAACCAAAGATTTCCTCGGACAGGTGCGCATGATAAATATCCGCTACCTCGCTGAGTTGACAAAGTTTGGCATTGTTCCAGAGCATGTCATATTCCATTGCCTCAAAGTCAGTCTCGAAGATCTTTCGCGAATGAACATCGAGATCATCGCAAACCTGCTTGAGAATTGTGGTCGATATCTTCTGCGCAACCCAGACACGGCACCACGAATGACATCTTTTCTGGAGACTCTTAATCGCAAGAAAGGTAACCAACATCTGGGTCAGCAAGAACGCATGCTCATCGAGAACGCTCTGTACTATGTCGACCCTCCCGAGCGTGCAGCAATCCAGCAGAAGGAGAGAACACCCACAGAGCTGTTCGTTCGTCAACTGGTCTATCTCGATATGACTAAGCGGACTTGTCCCAAGGTTCTCAAAGCTCTGCGAAAGCTACACTGGGAAGAGAAGGAAGTCGTTTCGATGCTTGAGAAGATCTTCAGCAAGCCAGGAAAGGTCAAATTTAGTAATATCCATCTTTTGGCTGTCCTCCTCGGTTCCCTGAACCGCTACCATCCAAATTTTACATCAGTTGTTGTCGACAACATTCTGGAACGAATCGTTCTTGGTCTGGAAAATAATGACTTCAAGTTCAATCAGCGACGCATTGCGGAAGTAAAGTATCTCGGAGAGCTGTACAACTACAAAATGGTGGATTCGGCGGTCATTTTCGATACGCTGTACCGCCTGGTTACGTTTGGCCACGAAGGCGGCAAGCCAGTGCCAGGACAAGGCGTTCCTCTGGATTTGCTTGACGATTATTTCCGCATCCGCTTGGTATGCACCATACTGGACACGTGCGGCAATTGCTTCGATCGAGGCAGCTCGAAGAAAAAGCTTGACTTCTTCTTGATGTTCTTCCAGTACTACATCCAGACAAAGGAAGCAGTCCCTATGGAAATTGAATTTCTGGTCAACGATACCTACAAATTGATTCGCCCACAATGGAAGGTCGCTTCTGACCTCGCGGAAGCTTCGTCTTTGCTGGCAGAGGCGATCAAAGCCAACTATCAGCAAGGCGCCAACGTCCCAGAGCATGCTGATGATGCAGAAGAAACGGCTTCCGACGAGGAGATTGGCGAGGACGACGCAGGTCTGGAGGCTGAAGCAGGCCACTCGAGCGATGAAGTCGAGGTCCGTCCTCAGGAGTCCGATCCTGCCCGACGTGCTGACTCCCTGCAGATTCCAAATGACGAGGATGCAGGGGACGATACTGATGACGCCGAGTCCAGCGAAGACGAACAGATTATTGTGACCCGCGAGGAAGAGAGAGTGGACCCTGAAGCTGAAGCCGAATTCGATCAAGCCTTTGAGAGGATGATGGCCGAAAGTCTTGACTCACGCAAGTTAGAGAAGAATCGACAATTCGATGTCCCACTGCCCATTCGAAAGGTCCAACGTACAGCCGCTGAATTGAACGACGACGAGCCCGAGATCGTCGAAAAGCTCCCTAGCAACACCATGGCGTTCTCGCTGATGACGAAGCGCGGCAATCGGCCACAGGTGAGTTATCCGCCTTGACGCCCAGCAATCGTGCTGACAATCAGCAGACCCGTACTATCGAGCTTCCGTCGGATTCCCACTTTGCCGTGACGATGAAGAACCGACAAGACGCCGAACGCGAAGAGCAGCAGCGTATCAAGAACCTGGTCTTGAACTACGACTTGCATGATGACGAACACCAGAACGATGGTACAGATTTGCTTAGCCCTATTGAGCAACCCCTTATCTTAAAGACCTCCTATGCTAAAGGATTATCAACCAGGTCTCGATCCGCTCAACTCGTCTCTCAGTCGCGCCGAGAGATCCGCACGTCACGCGCCCCGAGCGAGAAGGTTGAAACTAAGTGATGTCGATTGGTATGCGTTTGCCGTCAAATAATTTACGGTGTTCTTTCGTCGGCCCCATTTTGCAATACTTGACCCAAAGAAGCCAGGCTGATTGAGCGTACCCATGCATAGGACTTGAGATATTTCGTCTGGTACTGTATCTTTCTCTCAACACCACGGGCGCGACCGTTCGAGGTCAATCACTTCAGAAGCCGACGATGATCTTAGTGCCCACGACGATCTTCCCAAACCGCCGAAGTCAACCGTGGAATGCGATAAGCTTACGCGTGGATCGTTACAGCTATCCAAGACTACAACAGTCCAGCCCACCTCGCGGGTCTCGGGCCATGCGATCCTTGCTAATCCGGACGTATCCGTTCGCGAAGAGGGCATCCGAATGGTGGGTATAGCATGCTCCCGAGTCATCATGGATCTAGTCGAGATCGTCGCGGCCGACGACTCCATGGCGTACAGAGGTAGTGGGAGGTGCAGGTCATCAGGAACCAGTGGCAGTCAGGAGTGCTGTAAGCTCTAGTGTGAAGAGTGGCCTAGGACCGGTGAAGGAGATCTCTATGGTGGACGCACGGATGTGGTTGCTGGTACTCATCTGGCCGCCAAAATCTGTTGGCCAATTCTCCACATCCCACTCCAGGCCTCTCGTGGTCAGGTGGCAGCGACCAAGTATGGGGATGATGCCAACATTCTCGGCAAAGTAGCCTGGCTCTATGTCAATCGTATTCGGTCCTTCGCCGAGCACGAACGTCAGGCTCTGCTCCGAGAGCAGATAGATCCGACCTGAGAGGAGACTAGTGTCGTTATGGGCAAGATACAAGTGGTGAATCTGTGAGAAGCCTTGGTCGACACGTCCACCGAGGCCACCTAGGACGACCACATCCAATGGCGGTATGTCCAGATGCTCAGTTCGCTGTATCCATTCCTGCTCGATCCATCTCAATGCCTTCGTGAAATCTGTTGAGTATTGATCCGGTTCCTTCACGATAGTGACGCCTTTGCCTCTGTAATAAGTAATAGTCTCTGGCGTGACTGAATCTAGATCCCCAACAATGGCATCAGGTCGTCGCCAGTTTTGGTCAGTCCTGAGGTTCCTCAGCCTATCCGCACCGGCATCTGCACAGACTAGCATAGAAGCTCCCTCAACCGTAGATTTGAATGCATTCTCATTTATCGGTTGGTTTAAGACAAGTACTGCATACGCTGGGTCAGCAGCAGGGCCATTGCGGTTGCCAAGCAGGCTGCTGGGCCGCCAGTACGTGTTGGTCATGCTGTATCATCAGAAGGGAACCTGTGTTGCGTTCCCTGCGGAGACTGCCTGTGGACGCCCATCACGGTCTTCTGCATTGATGTAGAGTGAGTGCGTCTCGTGAGCCTCCCGGGTAGTAACGATTGCGCCTGCCGAATTTCGGGCACGCCGTAGCAGAATATCTCCGGCGGCCGAGGCAAGCGCAATCGACAGATTCGTCTACGATTTGATGGAGTGCATGCATATCAAACTACTTCCTTCTACATATTCATTTGTACATATGCTTCCAGTCACTCACTCGTTCGTTCCTTCTCGAACAAGCCGCCAGCAACTTTACATCTCTGCGCCACTATACCCCCTCCTGCTAGCAAAGTCCCGATCGCCACCTGGATTCAAGTAGACTGAACCGCATCTCAAAATTTATTTCTCTTGAGCGCGACAATCCTCAATTGGCCACAGGAGTGGCATGCTTGAGCGTGCCGCTGCCTATATCGACCCTGTTACCCAGGTGATCATACAGCGCGGCGATGTGCCTTTCAGATCTTCTCGACTCCTCACTCGCGGCTTCTTCAGACATGGAGCAGCGGCCGCAGTTGATACACCTCCGTGGTGGCCACTGTATCTTGAGACCGTTCGACAGGTGCCGTATGGGCAGTCTAAACAATGTCTCAAGACCAAGCGAGAAGCGGTAGTAGTGCCCAAACATAGCAGGCGGAGTCGACCGCGATGTGTTCAAAGCACTACTTCTGCGAAGGCGACCAGAAGCTCGATCGGATCTCGAACATACTCTGCGGGGACTGCTACTGCACCACAGCGTGGCTCAAATGGCCAAGTCGTTGGAGATAGAGCAGAAGCAGAGCACAATGAGCACTATGAGGCTGAGGACGAGGAGGACCAGGTCGGCGATCAGAAAGACAAGATTATGCGCCAAACCCAGCATCTCTATGATAATCCGAGCGAAGGCATCTACGAGGACGTCGAAGTGAACGAGTCGAGAATGGATGGAGCAAGAGAAGCGGCCCTAGATCCTTCACATCCGGCAAGCGTTCGCAACTTGGCTGACATGCAGTCAAAATCAGCAGCCCAAATTGAGCTAGAAACGCTGCTGACTCTTGACGCGTCACGAAGGGCAGCGCATAATCGCAAATCTAGCGGAGAGCATGCAGACGCCATTTGGAAGGCTTTCATTGCGTTACCTGAACAAGAGACCTACGCATCTAGGGTCTTGAGCCATCTCGCTGCCTCGGCCATCCTGGCGGACTGGAGGAGGGCGCCATCGGCATTCAACATGATCCCGCTAGAGAATCGTGTGGACCGTGACTACGATATGGTTGTTCGGGCGGCGTTCAAAATGAGGCGAGCTACACTAGCGGTGCAGATGTGCAAGGAAGCTTCCGAGCTAGGCCTGGCAGGTATGTGCAGGCAGACTGCTCTGGTCAAAAGCCTGGGGCTCGGCCTGTTCAAGACCGCCGTCCGCGTCTGGAACGAGTGCTTTGGAGATGTGCATCTGCACCCCGAGTCAGGCAGAAACAGTCTTCCTAGCCACTTGGTAGGACTGTTGGATCAGGATTCACACCTACCTGAGCTCATATACAAGATACTCAATCGGCTGAAAGCGACAAACACCCGGCTGACTGCACAGGAACGTGGATGCCTCATGTACATGGCCCAAGAACTTTCTTGGCGAGTCATTGCAAGTGGACGAATCATGTCGATTATCACACCAGAAGGACTGTGGCGCATCTTCGACAATCTGGCTGCGGCTCAACTGCTCGAACACAAGATGCTTGCAACAGCTATCACGACATTGGCTTCGGAGGGCAGGGTTCCTCGCGCTCGGCATGACCTAGCAATAGCCATTTACCGAAACAGCCGCCTACGCTTTCCTGACGAGCGAGTGAATGCCCACGTCTTGAATGGCCTGGTACGACTGTGCTACAGAGCAGAGGAGAAATATGAGGTCTTTCAGTATCTCTTTGATGAGATGCGATCTCTGCCTAAGCTGGAAGGCCGAACTCTTCCCGGCCGAGCAGCCTACTATGGCGCTCTTCGCGCCCTGTCTCTTCAAGGCAACGTGGCTGCGGTCAGCAGCCTCTATGAAGATTTCATCACAGACCACGGTGCACTGCGGTCTTGTGGCGATTTGATTCCCGCGCTGTACGTTCATGCAACGGTTGGTGACGTGGCGGCAACGAAAAGGGTGTTCGACTCTGTTCAGACCAAGTACGGGTTCGCTCCAAATATAGCTTGCTGGAACGTGCTCATTCTTGCGCATGCTCGGTCCGAAGAACCCATCGAAGCATTCTCGGTTTTCGATCATATGGCTAAGCAGAACATCAAGCCTGATGCTTACACGTTTAGCACGTTGATCAGCATTGTCGCCAAGAAAGGCGACGTGACGAATGTGCTTGATCTTCTTCAGAAGGCGATGCAGCACGACCTCAAGGATATCCGCCCGATGCTCGCTAGCTTGGTCCATGCGTATTGTTTGAACGACGACTTGGAGTCAGCTAAGAAATTGTTGGCAAATGTCCACACGTTCGATATGATTGGGTCACCAGTCAACATCTGGAACCAGCTGCTCAAGCACTATGCGTATCGTGCTGACGTCGATGCTATTAAGTCCACTCACCGGCGTATGGTTTCTGCTGGCGTCGAGCTCGACCAATATAGCTACGGTTGTCTGATGGCTGCTTTCATCAGGAAGGGCAACACTGAAGCGGCCCGCAATCTGCTACAGGACCTTCATCTTGATTCTAAGGTGGTTGCGACGCCGTTTCTGTATTCCCTGATCCTGGTGGGCTTTGAACGCGAGGGTAATCGAGACATGGTACGCCTCCTCTACCAGGAGATGGAAGACAGATTCCCACGGATGACTCCCAGCGCGAACTTAGCAATGTTGAAAGCGGAGGTGAGAGCTGGCTTCAGCAAGGAAGCTGCAAGGTACGACCGAGAGACCACACCCGGCCGCATGCATCGGCCAAACTTGACGGAAGCACTGAATCTCCTGGAGCAACTCGGACAAACTAGCACCACGACTCAGCCGGGAAGAGCCGCGAGTGGTCCACAGCCAGGTTTTGTCCGAGAGCCTGCTGCGGATGCTGTACCGGCTATCTACTCGAGCGCTGTTGCAGAATCATTGGCGACCTCTGGCCAGCTACCCAAGCCAGGGCTGTCTTAGACCTGCTGGACCTGGCGGGGGAACCTGGAAGTAGTCAGAGACCCGAAAGCATCCGTATGTTGACCACGCGCCTTCTTGTCTTCCGCGAACAGCATCTCTGGAAGGAAGTCGATAAAGTGTGGATGCATATCTTTCGGAAAGGACTACAAGCTAGTCTGCCGCTGCATCAGGCTCGAAATATTACACTCGGCATAGTGGACCAATCGTCAAAGCCTGTCGTCCTTATGGACGAGCTTATCAGGACGGTGGTAGACTCGAATGGGGCGAATGTACTGCCAGCTCAACGTTTTGCCCTTGCGGTTCCGCTTACACGCTACATGAGCAGTCTCGACTTGCAGAATCACCACGCTGACATCCAGAAAGTTGTTCAGTTGTTTCAGAGACCTGGCTTCCAACTGTCCGGCAGCAACTGGAACATCTACGTGCAGTGTCTGTGTCGTTCTTACAGTCCAGAGGATCGCTTAAGAGCATTTGACATCTTCGCGACTAAGTTGTTCCCATTCATGCCATCATACCGTGTGCTCGACAAGAACCGGTGGATCGCGCCTGAAGCTTACGAGGCGACGCCTCGGCATCGAATGCACACTCTACCTGCGACGTCCTTCCGCATGCTGACTAGGGTATACCCGGACGCTACACCGCCATCCTACATGACAGTCGTGTACCTTGCCCGCACTCTGCTCGACTTCGAGAAGAGGGCACAAAAAGGCGATGATCATTACATTAAGTTCGTCCAGGGCATGTACCCCGATCAGTTCAGACGGATCCTGCAGCTACCCCAACTTCCAGATCGTATCCAGCTTGCGCTCCTGCTGAGATATCGGCCATACTCTCGAACGCCAAAGCCGCCGCAAACCCCTGTCGTTACAGACAGTGGTGTCCTCGGCCCGGAGCCGTTACTCGACCATTTCACATTCGAACGAATCGAGCGACGAGGCAAGGCTATAAGTGCCAGGGGACGTACCATGGATCGTAGTCAAGAAGCGGAGGATATTGCCTTCGCTGAGAAAGTGCTCGGCGAAATTCCACGGGAACGACAATACCTTGACGTGCGTTGGGAGACGGCCGCAGAGCAGTCACTGCGGATAGCATCGCAAGAGCAAGAATACCTACGGCGCGTCCAGGCAGCGGACGACATGATTAGAAACCCGGGTGTCGCTATGACCATGAGCAAGCAATCGGGCGACATCACTCTCAAGACACATCAGGACTGGGATAGCGTCGAGGACACTAAGAAGCTCCTGAAACAAGCTCTCGATCGGATCGGTGCCAAGTCCTCAGAAGTTGTTCCACAGCAGGATGAGGGGTCAGTACAGGCGAAGGACACCGAATCAGAGCCCCGGATACGCACAAGACCAGGAAGCGTAGACCTCAGCGACGTGAAAAGGCTCAGCGATCTCGCTACGCAGAGTATTACTGAATACGACCAGAAAGCAGCAAGAACCAGGCGGGCAGGAACACCGCACGCGACCATCAAGTACAGCTGGCCGCTCACCCGTCGCTTCTTGCCCCCTCTGAGACGGAAGGCATACCTCGATACCGCTAAGAGGAAGCAGGCTGAACAGCGTGCGCAGATCTCGTTGCAGGATGCACGTGATCGGGAGTATCAGAAGCGACTTGCTATGGCGCAGGGGCCTGCCGAAAATAGCCATCAAGCCTGGTCGCCCCTGTTTGCGAGAAGTCGGGAGCTGCCATCCAATGATCAACGTACTCTCGACCAGCAAGCTCGCAGTGTCCAAGCTGCCAAAGATGCAATGCTTCAACGTCTGCAGGAATCGAACGTTTCAGACGGATTCGGCGATGAGGAGCCTCGAAGTTTTCCAAGAGAACAATCGGATTCATCATTTTGGGACGCTGGCAGCAGTCTCGGCGGTACGGGAGCTTTCACTGACCTGGCGCCAGACACAACGAATCGGTACTTGGGAGAGCCTCCTCAAGACGAGTTCGGTAACTTGCATTCGGCAAGTCAGAGTGCGTTCGGGCCTGAGAGCGTGCCGCCAGGCACTTTGACGCACGAAGAGTTGGCTGAAGTCCTGGGCAAGCCAAAGAAGAAGAAGTCGGTGAGGAAATCGCGGTAAGGGGTGCTTGGCGATGCTGTGCGTGTAGTGAGTGGTTTGAAGTATGGTGTGGTGATTGACAGGCACTAGGAGCATGCTTGAGAAGGGAATGGAGGACGTGTCTGCTGTACAATGCATATAATGTAGACTAAGAATTAGAGGCGGCCGAAGGCCGTGTTGACATGACCACCTAGCTGAATGATCTGAATAGACGACGGCGCTTCTGGACACTAAAGCTCGGCTGACGGGCATATTCTTGGTCACTACTGCTTGACGGCGCGCAATCAGGGCGCCTGTGTGGCGGATCGACCGACTAGGTAGTCGCCGGCTGACCTTGGGTTCTGCACGAGACCGGGTGACTAAAGTAGCAGGCAGACTTATCTGTGGCCGGATGACAAGAAGCTTTTCTGAGACCGGATGACTGGAGTGACCATTCCCGTCACTGACACCACCAAAAGCAAACTCTTGTGCTCATGCATCCCCGACCTCAACACCCTCCGGGATTAAAATTCAGTGGTCTCAGGACCATTTTGATACCATCAGCATCCTCGGGGCGCGTGTCGAACACCCGGGCGAGCAAGCTGACGAAATCAGTCCCTGCGTGAACCTGAAAGGTGGTCCGTGGTATTGCTGAAATCGATCCATGTTTTGGACTTGATCGAGAGCTTGGCCTTCAAAATGAGTCTCGGCTTAGGGGCAGCTGTGTGCGATGGGAATTGAGCGTGGTAGAAGGTGTTGTAGGTCCAGCAGAAAGCCTTATCTGAGACCGGATGACCATGTCTTGATACAGTCCTGCTCACGATTGGCTCGAAGCAGCGATGCGTTTGTTGCAGCGCTGCATTTCATCCATGTGTACCGTGCACAGACTAATGAGCAATGATTGGGTTTTACGTAGCGAGGCAGTGTCCAGATGGTGCAACCCATTGACTGAGCAGAAAGCAGCAATATAAGTGTAGGGAAACGGTCCCTTGTGGACAGCTCACCACTTCCATCGAACGACTTGATTGAGGGATCCGAATACGCAATCGATATCCTGATAGGGAGGACCTAGATCGGTTTGTTGGTCACCTCGACTCACGCATGGGAGCATAAGCATCAATGCATGCCAGATGCCACATAACATGAATGGAACAGTGTGTGAGACCGGATGACAAGACGTCAAAACTCCAGCCGGGCGACAAGAGGCTCTCATGCAGACCGGATGACCAGAATCCTGGCCGCCGGCACTCTGCTCTGCCTTTCCACGCAACTATTAAGTGAATCTAGCCTGGGTAGATGACATGCCAGCTTGACTTATCGAGCTTCCGCTCATCGTCAGAAGTATATGCCCAACCACGAGTGAAGAAGCATCGGTATGGTACGTCCGTAACAATTTCGTCCCTTGCCTCGTGGTCTCCGTGAGCTCGTCCGCACCGTGTCTCTTCAACTCCTTCCACCGTCCGCCCAGCTCAAGCAGAGAAGGATCCTAAGTCATGCAGCGCTGGCCACAATTTTCTCGCGCTTTCCGACAAACTCAGGCACTGCAGCTGCGACATTACTCTTCGGTGATTGAAATGTACCAGGCAAGTGCCTTCCGATCTGTCCCGTATCAAGGTAATGCCGGCCCAGCTACGCTAGCGAGATCACGCGACGGACGAAAAACGCGCGATCCCTATATGTGACACGAAAGGAGCCCGACTATGAGGTGATGTCTTGGATGGACGCCGATATGTGTCCAAATTGGTTTGTATAAATGTCAAGAGCTCTGTAAGTGTCGTCTGGACTCATGGAGATGCAACGCAAAACGCGAGGCCATAGTGAGATTTTGCTGTACAGAGCCATTCCGTGCAACTAGCCCGAGCACACATTTATCCACACATCCTACCACTGGACTTACTTTGGCCCTCTCGACCACGAGCATGACCACCCACCCAGCCCATCACCCAGAGCCATCCACTCCCTCCCTGCCAACCCTCATCTTCATTCCCGGGGCCTGGCACCTCCCCGCCTGCTACGGTCCCATCATCCATCTCCTGTCTACCAAGCACAACTTTCGCTGTGTCCCCATCACGCTCCCTTCCACCCAGGGCGACCCCTGCGCGACCTTCAAAGACGACCTCGATGCCACACGGGTCGCCATCGCCGCCGAAACTTCTGCGGGAAAGGATGTCGTCCTCATCGCCCACTCATACGGCGGGATGGTCGCGAACAGCGCCATAAAAGGCTTCGCTAAGAGAGATGGCCGAGACCACCGTCCACCTGCAGCAGCAGCAGAAGCATATCCAGCAGCGTCACCAAATGCTACAGGACCGCCAGCCGGACCAGGCCACATCACCGGTCTGATCCTCATCGCCTCGGGCTTCACCCTCTCGGGTCTGACATTCATGGCGCCCCTCTTCAACCGTCCCCCGCCGGCTTGGAAGGCCAATTGGTCAACCGGCTTCGCCGACCTCGCCCTGTCGCCCCAGGCACTCTTCTACCACGACCTCGCCACCTCCGAAGAGCAGGACTACTGGGCCAGCCAACTCACGCCACAGTCACTGAAAGCTCTCTTTGAGGGCGCTGAGCACAGCTACGCGGGATGGCGGGATTTGGATCTGGCGTGGTATGTCGGGACAGAAGCAGACAAGGGGCTCCCAGCATGGGTGCAGAGGTTTGGGGTGGGTGTGGCGAGGGGCATGGGACCTACAAAGGTGAGGCATGTGGAATTGATCGGGAGCAGTCATAGTCCGTTTTTGAGTCGGCCGGGGGAGGTGACTGAGTTGGTGATGGAGGCGGTGGGAAGCTTTGGTTTTGCTGTTGATACAGATGATGCGAAGGAGACTGCAGCGGTCGCTGTTCGGACCGAATTGGTGGTCTGGCCTGCATGTCGGTTGTGGGAGCCGACGACGTGGTTCAAGTTTGGTGTTCCATTGACGCTGGGAAGGGTGGTAGGATGGGCGACTGCTGGGTTTCTGTGGATGAGAGGTGGGTGGTGAGGCCTGGATGCGGAGAGGGTATTGTACAACACAGCAATGTGCACCGAGCACATACACGCTAGATGGCCCTAGGGTCTGGCGACTCGTTCGCGGTCTGTCACGAATTGGAGGACTCCTCGTCGAGAGGAAGCCAATACGCGGCAGACGCAGTCCAAGAGCACCCAGATGATCGGCAAAATGGTGGCCTAGGGGAGACGTTCATGGGAAACGCTGCGAAGAGTAACGAACATAGCATGAGCTCCAGTGTTCATAGCTGGAAACTCTTCTCCTGTACCATCCGAGAGTCATGAACTTGAACCTTGTGAATGAGGAAGGCACACGGGTCTTCAAGCCTGAAGCCAATTCGAAGGGCACGGATTGTATGCTGACACGGAGTGAGCGACCTCTGACTGACTTGTTGTCATAGCTGGCCTCCGAACATCCCGAAGTTGCACAAAAGGAAGTGTATCTCCAAGCAAAGGACAAGGCAACCACGTCCAGCCCTATCTACCTGCCTCTCTTAGGAATCTAGGTTCTAGTAGGAACTTGCTCACCTTGACGTAAAACGGTCTTGGCCGAGGCAGCGACCTCTCGCGCGAGATACACGGAATTCGATCTTTTGAGGATGATGGTCCGCTCGCGCTTAGAGGACACAGCGTGAGATTGGCTTTGTCACAGCTTGCCACATCATCAAGGTGTCACGTTGCACTCGGCCGCCGCACCAGAGCCCATTTGCGGCTTCTTATGGCCGATCCTGCCGGGATGCTCGGAGCGCTGGCCTTGAATCTGTTATGAACGAAATGAAACGTGTCCGGGTATAGAAAGACGGTGAGTCCCGTACCAAGCGTGATGGAGTCGTTGCCTTATCGGTTGCCTGCAGCAGTTCGCACTCTTCTCGTAGGGCTGGCTCTTGTTACACCGCATGTGCATCAAATTTGACAGTCATCCTCGTATTGTCATGGTTGTTGCGTAATTCAAATCGAGATGCGTATGCCCCTTACGTCGTATTAAGGGCACGTGCTCCAAGCCAAACGCCTGACGGCTGGATGAACCTCTGCTCAGGACCGCGAGCGCGCTTTTCGATGAAAACGGAGTACATTGAAGACGACAGTGGAGGCCCAGACCGGTCTTGTTTCTCCTCTGGTGCGATTGAGGAGTCCTTTGCCCACTCGTTTGTGTCAGGTCTTTTACTTGGACTGTCATGTCGCAATGCATAGGTGCGGCTGATCGGACGGCTGAAGGCGGATATACTCTAGTCTCATCGACACCGTTGACGAGTCCATTGCGAGGAAGCCGAAAATGGAGGTCTTCTCAGCGTTAACCAATGATCAGTTTCTCGAGGTTACACAGCAGGTTCACCATCCTTTCCCAAGCGAGCTTGAGACTTAGGCTTTGAAGTCGAAAGGCACAATAACCAGGGCGTAATAGCGCTGCAGCAGAAGATTCACGGCCCCCGTCCATCGCGACTGCCATGGAGCTCGCCCTGTTGTTCCCGTCAAGTTGAAGAAGGAGTGACCCAATTGCCCTAGATTCGTGTTAACATGCAGCCTGCGACTAGACGGCAGACTCATGTGATAGCAGGTACGAGAGAACGAGCGTGTTGCTCGTGATGTGACTGCAGTCGGGCGTGTCAGGAAGTAGGCGGCGATGGCATCACTGCTCGGGCACTCGCACTTCACCTCACTCCGTGCGGCCTGTTAGCTGCATTGCGCTGTTGCGTCGTTTGATACTGTCTGAAAGCATGCTGTCGTATAGATCTCAATACACGTTAGCATCGTGCTGCAGAAATAATTGCACTCTATGCATACGAAGGGGGATTACCTAGCTTGCATTGGCCCATGTACACTGCTGAATGCATCAGAGGAAGTGCAGATACCGTGCATAAACAACGCGCGTACTCGTGGAATGTGTCATTGCAGTTCGCTTGATGAACACAGTGCCCTGACAATGGCCTGGTGAGCAGCGAAGAGCACCTGCCTTATTGCTTTCAGGGAATTGGCGTGTAGCGCGAGCCTGGCAGTGGCAGTGGCATGCGCGCTTGCCACCAATAATGTCGAGCTGCATTAGCTTACTGCGAGAGCACGCTCGAGCACTTGCCGACCGTGGGGGCGCATCTTGGTCGGCAGCAACACGTTCAGTGCAGATAGCGCAACGACAAGAACCAGGAATGATTCATTTGGCACAACGCATATGCTGATGAAGCGCATCCCATCAACTTCGTGCATCATTGTACTTCCCGAGTCATTGCTTGGCGCAGCGGTACGGTCCCTTGGGTACATCGATGTCCAGGCTGACCCATGACGACGAACAGTTGCCTTTCCGGATGGGTGTGGCTTACAGTCCAGTGCGAATGTCTGCGAGTGGCCGTGATTTGGCTATCTACTTCTCAAGGTCTTGATGTGTAGACTCGTAGACCGGTGAAAAAAGATTCCATGTTCGGTTTTGAATTTCACAAAGGACTCGCGATGGAGATCGTACCTGACCCACAGCGTTATCGTCAGCGAGCAGATAGCCCCAATGAGTCCATTTTCGAGTATATGAGTGAATTTAACGGTGGTCTGGGATACCAGGTAATATCGCTGAAGTAACAGCAACAACAAAAAGGGGGGGAGCCCACCCCGATGGATTCTCTGCGCTGATTGAGCACCAAGTGCCCGGGCGACGTTTCAGCATCTTGCGTCAATGAAATGCGAAGGGGCATTCTCCACTCACAGATGATGCTGTCACTCGCTTATCAAACGGACACGATCCACCCCCAGGATTCGCAGAATTTATTGCCTTGGCTGACCGTCGGGTGCTATTATTGCATTTATTTTCCCATCATTACCTGGGAGAATCAGCTCGAGCCGTCATCGCGGCATGTGGGCGCCGTGGCTGTTGCATTGAATGCGTGCGGATGTTGTCTGGTGGTGATGGCGGTGAACTCGTTGCTGGAAGAGGGGTGCATAATCAAACAAGGCCCCTTGGTCTTGAATCCTCGTGCTGAACCATGCGTGGTCAACGAGTAACATGCATGCAAGTGGGGGGTGTAGTCGAATGCGCCGAGGGCCGCCCAGGCCAGTATCACGAAACTTGATAGCAGGCGCATACCTGGTACTGCTTCGCTCGCTCCTTTGCTGGGCCCAGACTCCGTGACATACGAGTGACCGGTGCTTATGCTCAGAAACGGTCGCAACAGAGTTTATATGTTTCTGGCACAACTTCACCAGCTCACAAGCTATCCGACTTGACAAACTCTAGCTCTTTGCGCATTGCTTTAGAATCGCGTGACCATGCAATGGTCATGGAGGCCTCCAGAAAAGATGGACCCGCCTGTCATCTAGGTCTTGACTGGCTAGCCGAAGGGGCCGAGCTCGTGGCCTCGGAAAGAATGGTGACACAAATAGAAGATACAAAAGATCCACAGAAGTGACGACGAATATTACCGTACTGTATCTCGCCTCATTGGCAGCAACCATTTTTGGCGAGTATCAGGTGACGAAAACCCTACTTCCAATAATGTTGCAAGGGGGTACACAGTACACTTGCTCCAGCCCTTGTCAGCTGGTAGAGCAGCCATGCAGGAGGCGTTTGCTATGGCATGAATGGGTTGCATGGGTGTGCGGGCGTACGTGAGTGTGTTCCTAATCTGCTATCGATGAGCTTATCGAAGGTTTGCGATGCGAAGAGCAAAATGATAGAGGAGGGTCGCTGTGCGGACGGATCAGCGCCGGAAGAGACGGGAACTTCAAGTTTGGTTCCTGGATTCGAGGTGGAAATCCTGCTGCGGCAGGCGGGTAGTTACTGTAGCACAAAGCCAGATCCCAATTCCCGGGCGGTCATGTAATGTGCAGGTCGCGCATTACAACCCTCCGGCAATACGGAACTCCTGTGCATAACAAAGACTGCAGGCCGCCAAGTAATGACGAGACACAGATCAAGCGCTGCTGTGTCTCGTCTGACATTGACGCGCCCTCGAGGGCGAGCGTGGAGGCCGCCGACATTCCAGTGGTGATTGGACCGTTCATCGAGCAGGTGACCTGAGAGCGGTGAGAGCGCGATTGAACAGCTAAGGCAGAGCGTGGGGTGAAGCATGCGCTGGCAAGGCACGCTATCCCTTGAATGTAGCTTGCAGGACATTGCAATTTCGACCACCCATCGACGTGGTCAAGGGATGTACAATGGTAAGGCAGACACGCGGTGCTGACTCGGACACAACGGAGTGCGTGTTCATCAACTTGGCAAGAGACCTGCAGTTGGGTTCCTGAGATCATGGCTGCCCAGGTGGGTGATCAGTCCAACCTTCAGGGCGGCCTACAGGACGTAGAATCCTATCAGCAACTTGTCCCAGACACAAGGTCGTAGAGATGCAGACTAATGCTGTTTGAACGATGTTGCACAACGCCTGCATAGAATACCTAGGTAGGCCTGTCCGGTGAAGCCAAAACTGGAAGTCGATATCATGACCACAAAAAGACGCCGCGTAATTACTAGTACCAACGGCTTCACGCCTGTGGACCTGACGCGAGGTCCACGGTGTCGTCACAACTGAGCAAAGCAGCAAAAATCCGCGGCTTTGTGCTGTCAAAAGCTGCCTAGACAAGGGGCAGGGAAGATGCCGTGGAGGAGTCGTGGGGCGTAACGCAGGAAATTTTGCCGTTTCCATTCTCAGCCCACAGCAACTTCAATCAAGGACGTGTCTGACTCCTTACGAGCCCTTTCATGCGACTTCTCGTGTCCCTTGTCCTTGACGTTCCTCTTTGCAACACTTGAGGAAGCCGGTCTCCATCGCCACGTTGCTCCATACCATCCACTACTTCTATTCTGATCTGCTGCCAATCTGTCAGCCTGGAATTTCAAACATCGCACAACTCACTCCTTCGGTATTTGAACGCCTGGGCGTCCGCACGGTCCTTCTACAACGCATACAACAAATACTCGGCTGCCAACTCAACACCGACCTCTTCCGCACTGTGCCGTACGATTCGAAAAAGGTGCGACCCTGCGATACGGTGCGCGCAACCACAGCTTAACGGAATCACACTGCCTCCAGTATACGTCCCGAGCCATCTGTCTGCTGCGCAACTTTTGCATCATGGCTGACTAGTCGCACGCGATCACCAAAACGCCAAAGTCAAGACTGAAGTCGCCATGCAGGCACATGAAGCAAATCCCGAGCTGGACTCATTCACAACGACAGGTCCTTCTGATGTTGACGAGTACAACAAACCAGCCATAGACTGACGATTCACTCATACCACACCACACGATACACACTCTCTGTACATTATGGCTGCTGCTTCAACTTCTTCTGTCAATGTGACCCATCAAGGTCGAGACTCGTCTCCCGCTGGACGGCAGCCGAGAGCCATCAAAAAGATGCCCAGCATACAAAGAATCAATTCATCAAACTATCCTTCAATGTACTACACCCCTGCATCAGCCCATAGCTCTTCGCACAACTCGCGAGCTGTTTCGCCACATCTTGGCTCTGTACAGTCGTCGCCGGCTATCAGCGGCATCAGCTACTATAACACTAGTCAGCGTACGGCGAGTCCTGGCCCGTTCGACCTACCCGAACCAGTCAACGCTCCACCAATTTCGTCGTCCCTGGGCAGAGAATCTGCACCAGGTCTGATACGAAGGGTCTCAGGTGCCGCCAGAGGCCAATTAGCTCAGACTAAGGAGGCACTACGCAGGAAAACCTCATCCTCGAATTATCGTCGTCGCGATGACAGCACCGGTCCAGTCGCCCGTCGACGAAGTGACAGTAAAACCATGACCGTGGGCAATGGCAATCTGGACTCTGGCTCGTTCGAGTACCTCCAGTCAGACACGAACGCCGGCCTTGGCCTGTTCGAGACAATGAGCATCACTGCTGAGCCAGCAGCGATCAGTGATCATACACCGGAAGGCCAAGCGCCGGCCGTGCCAGAGAGCCTGATTGCTGGAAGCACTTTGGTCAAAGTGACGCAGCACAACAAACCAGTGGACAAAACGTTCTTTCTCGATTCCTCAGGATCGCGTGTCAATTGGAAAGGCAGCTTCTCCATGAAAGCCTTCCATGTCGACAACATAAAAAGCATTCGCAAATGGGCAGAAGCTGCCAACTACCAACAGGAACTCCGCGGCGATGCGGTCAACCCCGACCTCTGCTTCACTGTCAACTACACCACTTCTGACTCCTCAAAGCGGGTCAAGAGTCTGCATCTTATGGCTAAATCCCGTGAAGAGGTCGATCTGTGGATCGACACACTAGAAGCTCTAGCCAAGCACCGTGAGCAGCTCATGTCGTCCATGATGGGCACGATGGAACGTGAAGGTCTCACAAAACAGCACTGGGACAGCGAGCTGCGGCAGAGACTGCATAAATCCGACAGCGCTAAATGGGACAGACTCGATCTACCTGCCATTCAGAGTCTCTGTGAGCGTTTACATATACACTGTCATGCGAAAGATCTGGAGTACGCATTCGAAGACGCTGACACCTCAAACAAGGGTTCTTTGGATTATCAGCAGTTCAAACACTTCGTTCGCACGCTGAGAGTGAGGAAAGACATTCACAGAGTCTTTCAGACGTTCTCCGAGCATTCGCCATACATCACCAGAGCTCGATTCGTGCATTTTCTTACCTATCACCAGGGTGTCAACCTTGATGATGAAGCTGTCAACGAGATCTGGAGTACTAAAATTCAAGACTTGATCGATAGGTCGCGCGACGTCGAAGATGGTTCTGTCTTGACCGATCGCATTGACTATCCAGCCTTTGCCTCATTCGTGGCATCACACGACTGCCACGTCTATAAAGCCGCAATGGCGACGCCACCGAAATTCGACATGCCATTCAGCTCTTACTTTGTTTCGAGCTCACACAACACGTACCTGACAGGACGCCAAGTAGCTGGCACTTCTTCGGCAGAGACCTACGTCACAGCACTCCGCCATGGCTGCCGCTGTGTTGAAATTGATTGTTGGGATGGACCTGACGGCAACCCACGAGTAACCCACGGTCACACGGGGACATCGTCCATTCCGTTCGTTGACTGCATCCGGGCAATCAACAACTCCGCTTTCGATGTATCACCATATCCAGTGGTCGTGTCTTTGGAGGTGCATTGCAACCCCGAACAGCAGCGCAAGATGGTGGACACGATGAAAGCGGTGTTCCAACACAAGATGCTGGTCGACCTTCTACCAGACCGCACAACCGAACTTCCATCACCAGAAGAGCTGAAGTACAAGATTCTGATCAAAGTCAAGGCCACCGAAGCTTTTGCTGATCTCGGCGGTAAAGACGAGTCGCTGTCTGCACGGCAACGGAGCGCCAGCTCACCCTATCGCAAAGGCATTCCTCCTCCGTCAATGTCATCGATCCCACCAATGCCAACTTTGCCCAGTCCAGCCATGACTGCGGCTTCCGATTTCGGCATCCACTCGCCTACGGACCGGTCAACTGTGGCCACCAGCGCAAGCAGTGCCGGCGAGGAGAGCGATGCGCCCTTAGCATCACCTGATCCAAGTGACACTCCATCGAAGACTCGCAAAACGAGCAAGATCATTCCGTACCTCTCGCAGCTTGGTGCTTACATTCAAGGGTACACTCTGCGCAGTGCCAACGATCTGCATTTCAGGCAATTCAACCATATCTTCTCTATCAATGAGAACACTGCAATGGGTTTATGTCGACCTCCAGAAACGAAGGCTCTGTTCGAGGACCACAACGTGAACCACATGTGCCGCGTTTATCCAAAGACACTTAGAGTGGGATCGTCGAACTTCGATCCCAATACGTTCTGGCGACGTGGAGTGCAGTTTGTCGCACTGAATTGGCAGACTTTCGATCCTCACATGCAAATGCATCGAGCTATGTTTGCGGCCGGCACAGATGAATATGGTTACGTCTTGAAACCAGAACCTCTGAGAAATCTTCGCTCTAAGGATGGACCATTTGAGACCAGGAGAAAGCTGCCCCGTTTCGAAGTCCAATTTTCTGTCGGAGTCATCTCGGCACAGCAGCTCCCACGTCCCCAGAATCTCGGTAAAAACGAGCCGATGAATCCTTTCGTCGAGGTTCAGATGTTCTCCGCTGAGGATCGAGCACGAGGTATTGCTCAAGGCACTGGTGGATCGGCGAGCCTAGTTTCCAACGACTACCACGGCATCGGTTCACCATTGCGCTTGCGCACCGAGATCGTTCCTGGCAATGGCTACAATCCGCAATTCAACCTGGACCTAAACTTCAACCTCCAGACGAAATATCCGGAGCTGGTATTTGTCCGATTCATTGTACACAACAGTCCGGACGGGAAGCCCTATGGGAAGAATTGCAAGCAGATCGCTGTCTTCACTGCTAAACTTTCAGCCCTTCAGAAAGGCTACCGTCATCTCCCACTGTATAACGGACACGGCGAGGAGTTCATCTTTTCTACCCTGTTCTGCCATATCGCTAGGAGCGAGCCCAAGCTTATATCGACATCACTGCAAGACTCGCAGGACAGGAGCGCACGGCAGGCGTTCTTCAAACCTCTGACCTCGATTGCTCGCGGCCTTTCAGGTGATCGGACGCGGGAACGCTCGAGCAGCATAGAGCATCAGCTTGAGGAGGCAAAGGAGTTCCAGGAACGCACTTCTAGGAAATGAGAAACGTTTCCTTTGTACTGCATGTTCTCGGGTTTGGGGACTGGAATAGCACAACTAGATTTGAGAGATACCCTATGTATTGATGACTGACGACCCACTACCATAGAAATTCACCATTCGTCTGGCGACAGACAATTTTTGTATACTATAGCTACAGCACTAAAGAGCACAAGTCTTTGAACCTACTTAAGTACCTACCTCAACTATATACAGTCGGTTCCATTACACTTTGCCTTTCCAATGCTCGAGGACACTGTGGACTTTTGTCAGGGTCTGAACTAGCCCTGCACTGCCGATTGGCGGTCTGACCAGCCACCGCAGATCGCTATGGTGGGACAGACCGAGTCTTCCTTTCGTTCTCGTCCGTTCACACATCAGCTCAGCTTTAGACGAACGATCATTTGATTATCTAGCGTTGTCAGTATTGTTGTTTGCGGCATGTATTTCTTACAGTGAGGGCCCTTGTGCTGGGCTCGTGGCAGCGGTACGGCTAGTCCGCCCCTCAGAGGCAGCGGTAACGATTCACAATGGTCTGGCGCTTCGGGCTTGCGTTTGAGACGAGTGGTGACTTTCAGTTGGACATCGTCGGTACGTTCCGTCCCTTCCACTGAGGATGGTAGCATCTGGCTGACATACTCTCAAGGTTTCCTGGCCATCCTCGGAGAGGGCTCCGTCGAGACTATTGCACAAGTCGTGACACTGAGCAACCTTGCATACCTACCTCGATTACTCCCGGCACCTCAGATCTTCATCCGACCCACGCGACCCGAGAAGTTGGAGACGACATCTAACGCCAAAGTCATAGGAGTGCACTCGGGAAACACAGGAGAAGATATACACCACATTGCACATGCCCTCCATCGCGGTGACAAATTGCCGCCGAACCGTGTCCTATGCGTTCGGGTGATGGAGAACGAGAATGATCGTCCATCTATCAAGAGATTTGGGCCGCTGGCCATGCTGGCGTTCTTTGGCTTTACTTTGAGCATCGCTCTACTGGTTCTGTCTGTGGTGTTTCGTGACTCGTGAGTTGTGGTAATATGAAGGCATGAATCACGTGCTAATTGCCCATCAGGATGTCACTCATTGCGACGCTGCTACTGTCGCTTCTGAGCACCAACACTGGCATCGCCAACAAGTGGTCGCCTACACCGAACGACCCCAAGCCCGATCCGCACTCCCCAGAAGGCGATGTGGTGATCAAGTACCCACAAGGCGCCTTCATCGTCGTCAAGTGCCAGGAAAGGACGGCCCGCTATCTTTACTTCAATCCGAGCGAGCGGTGCATCTACCACGTCAAGAGCACTGCGATCTACCGAGGGCTCTCACTGATCTCGACATTGTTTCTGATGGGCGGTGTCATCTGCCTTGCCAACGCCAAGATCCAGCTCCAGACCGCTTTCGCTGCGTCGTACATGTCCATTAACATCGTCTATTGGATCGTGGCTGCTCTGCCACCGGCAAGCCACTGGGATTTATCCAGGCTGGAGGTCACGCAGATCGAAGTCAAGGGTGGAGCTCCGCCACGGACGGCAGTCGTGGCCAACGTGCCACCCACCTACACCGAGGCACTCTGGAAGGCGATCGCTGTGACTGGAACAAGCAATTGGGTGAAGGAAGCGGGTTGGGCGCCAAGGACACCCGCATGGAACGACTGGCTGGATGAAGCCGAGGAAGCAGCTGTGAGCGAGCCGATGAAGGAGACATTCGTCAAGGGACCGGACGGTCATGAAGTCGAGACCTGGACTATCAGGAATTGGGACAGCAAAAACGCTCTGTCAACATTGCTTCGGAGCACGACTGATAAGATCCAGAGGACTGGGACTTTCAAGACTGGCTATGCATGAGATGTTGGCACTTTTGCGTGCCTTGGGACCACGGCTACGAATCAATGAAGCATTAACGACCATATAAAAAGCCCGACTGGCAATCTATATAGAGACGAGAACTATGAATGAACGACGGAAGTTTACGATCTACGCTGCCTCCGAAGATGTTACTGCGCTTCGGACTATGCCTTGAACCTGTTGTGTACGAAGCATATATATTTCTGCAGGTATGTTGCTTTGTCCTTACAGCTAACGGCCAGCCTACTGTAGCACTCGCTGAACAGCGTTCATGCATGGAGCGCAGACTAGAGGTATTCTGGCAGGTGCGTTGACTGAGATGTGATCTCTGAAAGAGACCCATGTTCGATATTGAAAGGAAGGCACTGTCGCCAAAGTTGCCGTCAAGTAAGTCGTCCGGTCTCAACAACACCAAGATCCTGTCATCCGGTCTCCAGCTGTGTGCAGGGTCAACCGGTCTTATCTAACGCCTTCCTTCGTAGGTGCGGGGACCACCTGCATTTCTTGAAACCACAATTTTGGTCGCCCACCCGCCAAGAGTTCGATCTTGCAGCCGCACCATCGCACGCCCCTCAAGTTTCACGCGCAGCCAGCGAACTCGAATTCGCTCTTCATCCACTTCCGCGATAACACGACAGTCCTTGCCACGAAGCGCACTGTCTGGATCGCCACGAAAATGTATGAGAGAGTCTTTGCATTATCCTGCGGAGTTGGTCTGCAGTATGCTGATTCGGGGTACAGTTGAACAGAATATTCAAGACTGAAGTCTGGTTGAGTCGCAATCATGCCTTTCACCAAGCTGTAAGCCCACACTCCACGAAGAAAAGCTCAATGCGACTAATGCTTTCAATAGCGTCAAGAACTCGCCCTACTTCTCCCGCTTCCAGACCAAGTACAAGCGCAGACGGTCCGGCAAGGTCAGATATTCCGCGAAACGGGCAGCGATCGAGGCATAGCACTAACATTACGCAGACTGACTACTACGCTCGCAAGCGCCTCATTTCCCAAGCCAAGAACAAGTACAACGCACCCAAGTACCGTCTCGTCGTTCGATTCACCAACCGCGACATCATCTGCCAGCTGGTCACTGCTGAGCTTACCGGCGACAAAGTTGTGTCTGCTGCATATGCGCACGAGCTGAAGAGATATGGCATCGAGCACGGTCTCACCAACTGGTCTGCTGGCTACGCAGTCGGTCTGCTGTTGGCTCGTCGCGTCCTGAAGAAGTTCGAACTCGATGAGGACTTTGCTGGTGTCGAGGAGCCAGATGGAGAGTTCACCTTGACTGAGGCTGCTGGTGAAGACGATGAGGCCCGCCGACCATTCAAGGCCTTCCTCGATGTCGGTCTGCACCGCACCTCGACCGGTGCCCGCATCTTCGGTGTCATGAAGGGTGCTTCTGACGGTGGTCTTTACATCCCCCACAACGAGAAGCGCTTCCCCGGCTACGACCCCGAATCCAAGGAGCTCGATGCCGACACTCTCCGCAAGTACATCTTCGGTGGTCACGTCGCTGAGTACATGGAAACCCTGCAGGACGACGACGAGGAGCGCTACAAGACTCAGTTCGCTGGCTACATTGAAAACGACATTGAAGCTGATGGCATCGAGGACATCTACACCGAAGCCCACAAGGCTATTCGGGAAGATCCCTTCAAGAAGGACGACGATGAGGGCGAGAAGAAGGACAAGGAGTACTGGAAGGCCGAGGGCAAGAAGTACAAGAAGGCTAAGCTCACCAAGGAGGAGAAGGACAGCCGCATCAAGGAGAAGATCTCTGAGCTTGCCTCTTAAGCGATCTTCTGGTCCATGCCTATGCCTTCATAGTTGCTTCATCCATCTTCTGTGGAGCGTGTCAGTTCTTGTTCTGTGCCGAGCAAGCGTTGCTCCTAGGGTGCCGTCATCCAGAGCGGCAGAGAACTGCAATGGAGTACGATTGAATGGACGTCTGATACCTCTTCAGGGCAGGAGCGCTGTGGCTTGACGCTCTGAAGAAGCTTTGCAAGGCGAGCAATGAGGCTGCTCAGCGCGCTGGGCAGCCTGAATCATCACGGCGCAGAAAGCTCCATCGTTGGAGTAGGCTCTGACATAAGCTCCGTAGAATTCGCCTCGGGCGTTGCTTACACAGCCAGACAGCCGTGTGGCACCTAAATCTCAGCGTGGAGTTCCACTTCGAGGTCCCAATGAATGGCCTAGACACATCCCTAGAAGTCAGTCGATGAATATCCAGCAGGTGTCAGCAGAAGGGTGTCTGACGGCCACCGAGTGTTGCAATTTTGAACCATGTCCTGCTTGTAGATCTGTTGAGCTCGAACACTTCTTTCTCTCCATCCTCTGCGGCCCTCGAACACGCCGAGGCCATATGATCGCGGCAAGAGCAGCCCACTGTGATTGGAAGACCTTCCCCAAGACCTACATCATAGGCGTTCGACTCGCCCGTCCGCCGCCGTTTCGCGAAATTTGGCCTGCAGCTGTTCGGCATGACCATCTAGACCTCGATTGAGGAGCCACCCCGCCACTTCTCCTCACTGCCGCTTGACTGCTATTGTCAGCGATCGCTTGTAGTATTTGCGACGCGGACGTGCTCTCAGGCAGGCGTTTCGAGGACAGCGACTCAAGGACGACCTTGTGACAATGTCGTCGGCTGTCGGAAACAGCACCTCGGGTCTGGACGTGGACTGGCTACTGCACAAGAAGGGTGAGAGAGCCTTCAATGAAAAGACTCAGCGACTCGTGACTAACACCGAGCAGAGGCCAATTATGCACAGTCGCAGCAGAACGGGAAGACTGACGAGCGCGACGACACAAGTACTCGATCTCCGCCCACCTTACCATCAGTGAACCACACAGAACCCACACCACCACAGTCACCCGTAGAGACTACCCATAAGCCGGACAATAAGTTACCAGAGATACACATCGCACCTGATCAACCTGCACCCAAACCAGCACAGACGAAACCAGAACCACCGAAGCAGGCCAATGGCACGAGCACGCCTACTCAGCAGAGGCCTGTCCTTGCGAAGTCGCCCGGTACGGATGATACGAAGGGCCACAAGTCGCTTACGAGTAGTCTAAAGAAAGAGAGCAGTGGCAGGAGGCCATCATGGATCAACAGTCTGAGCTCGAAGTTTGGCTCGTCAAATGCAACACCTTCACGAGGGTCGTCAGTCGACAATCAGAAGCCACCTGTCACACCGTCTCCTCAGCCCTCGCCCAAGCCCACCTTTTCCGGAAATCCATTCGACAGAAAGGAGAACAACCCCTACGCTAAAGAAGAGCCAAAGGTGGTGGTCCCGCAAAGCACTGGGCGACGCCAGTCGGTGCTCGTCGCTGCGGGAAAGGAAACGAAGCTCGAGCAGCCTGGCTTCCTGTCAAGTGCGCTTCGTCGTCTATCTTCCTCTAGCAATGCTACTATGGGCAAAGGCGGGGCGTCAGGAGCGATCTGCCCTCGGAAGGTCATGAACGTCGATCAGAATCGTGAGCGCATCAGGATACCGGAGCTTGATCAGAACAAGCTCAAAAGGGTTGCATTCTGTGTTGACGTGGAGATAGCTGGACGAGCGGCTCAGGCTGATGAAGAGGAGTCCTCGGCGGGTGGGTCGAAGCTGCCAGTATCAAACAAGCAAGCATCACAGAATGCTACATCGGAAAAGAAGGATACCAGCGAAGCAAAGTATAAAGAGAAGGGCGAAGGAGCTGCCTTGAAAAACGGACCTACCGCTCCGGATGAGAGCCAGGAGCCGAACGGCACGCAATCCGGCAACAAATCAGATTCGACGACACCCATCGACATCAAAAGGTCGAATTCAGGCGAATCGAAAAAGTCAGCAGAACTCGGGAGCGAGTCATTATCACCAGAATCACAACCTGGGACAACTCGAAAAAAGGAGAAAAAGAAAAGATCGGAAGCAGAAAGGAAAGAGCGCCGTGAACGCAAGCGAAAACACGCTGAAGCGAACGGACTTGTGCCTTTGGAACTCATTAAGGATGATGATACTGATTCCGGTCTGAGTACGCCAGGCATAGCTACGCCGCAGACCGGTGCATCGCCGACCACGGATCCTCTGAGAATCTACAAAAGGTGTTGCCAATTACGGGAAACGACAGTGATGAGTCGCATCAAGGAACAGATCTCGAAACCTGCCGCTACGCTTGCCGAGGCCCCCGGAACGGTAGCCGTGATCGATCTGACTGGGACGGAGATGCAACTGCCAGATATTCAGACCTTTGGCGACTGGTTAGCCATTGTTCCTGTGCGAAAACTCGTGCTCGACAACTGCAACTTAAACGACGAAGCAATCAGGATAATACTTTCAGGCCTGGCAGGATGCAAATCACCAGAGCAAGCACGCATAAATCGAAGACTTCACAGCAGGGTCACTGGCAAAGCGGGTCGGGAACAACTAGGAATCATCGAGAAGCTGTCGCTGAAGCACAACCCAGAGATCACGGTCATTGGGTGGAAGTACATTGCATTGTTCCTGCACATCTCGAAGTCCTTGAAAGCAATAGACCTATCAGGCATACCATTTCCCAGGAGCAACGGTGACCTGTCACGTTCCTCGACTCTCAGCAGTGGTGCAGACGGAAGTGCAAGTTCAACACAAAGCAAAAGGCCGGACTATTGTGCTATCATCGCCAGAGCAATCTCGGATCGACTTGGTGACCGACTGGAGGAACTAATCCTGAGCGACTGTGGGCTTTCATCCACGAATGTCGGCGAAATTGTCGACGCTTCGATCAAGTGTAAGATTCGACGCTTGGGACTGGCAGGCAATGGCCTTGGCAGTGATGAAAGTGTAAAGCACGTTGTGAAATACGTTGTTTCAGACATTTGCGAGGGACTCGACTTGGGCGGCAACAACCTACATGGTCACATTCCTGATATCGCCGATGCGCTGGATGCAGAAAATCCGCTCTTCGCGATCAGCTTTGCGGCCTGTAACCTCGACTCGAAGGACCTTGAGCTCATACTCGCCTCATCAGCTCGTCTCAAAAACCTCAAATTCATTGATCTGTCTGGCAACAAGGGGCTCTTCACCGCGAAGAACAATGCCATACCCATCTTTAGGAAGATGCTTCCTCGATTGACATCGCTGAAACGCATCCACCTAGCGAATGCGGGACTAACACCAGATCATGTCATTGCGTTAGCGGAGGTCCTACCAGATTGTCCGGCGCTGTGTCACGTTTCACTTCTCGATAACGAGGCCCTGGTCCACGCTATGAACTCTAAGGACGGATCCTCACAAGAAGAGGCATGTGCCTTCTTTGCTTCGTTGATGACCGCGGTGCGCGTCTCGCATACGATTGTGGCAATCGAGGTGGAAGTGCCAAGCTCGGATAGCAGTGAAGTTGTCAAAGCATTGGCGTCTCAAGTCGTTGCGTACAGTCTGCGCAACATGGAGCGTAGTGCACTGGACGAGATTGGTGGTAGGAACCCGGCACTTCCAAACAAGGACGCTCCCGAGGTACTGCTCCATCTTGTTGGCCATATGGACGGGGTCGAAGGCAATCACGATGCCGATGACCCAGCACCGGATGAGGATTATGTCATTGCCTCCACTGGTATTGTCAAGGCTCTTGGTGTTTGTTTGGGTACCGGAGATGGGAGTCGATCACAATCGAGAAACATTACGCCGTCGGCTAGCGGCACAAGCACACCTCGACAGATCTCTCAAAGGCCTGTCACTCCGAAGAAACCTAGGAACGTCACACTTGAGCTCTGCGAGAGTGCTAGAAAGATCAGGATGAGGTTACGGCCGGCCTTGATCAAGGAGGATAAAGCGGGCAACGACGAGAAATTTCGTAGGTCATCCCTTTTGCTGACCATGGAGATTTATGGCTAACAGCTGAAATAGGTCGCCTTTTCTTCCTGGACCAAACGTTACAACGCATCATACAACGCTTCGAGGACGAGTATCCCGAAACTAAGGTACCTGCTATACCATCTTCATCAATCAACGAATATCACAGGACTGGCGGAGAAGCTGCTAACGCAACACAACTGGCCGACGATGCCGTCATCTCCGCCAGCGTAGGCTCAAACACTCTAGAGCAGATAGCCTCTGGAGAAGAGTACCTGGCGGGCGATCAAGACCAGGACGCCCGCGGCGACGATTCCTTCAACCTGGCCCGTACCAACTCCAACACATCACTCGCTGCTAAAGCATACACAGACGAAGAGGGCCGAATGCACCGTTTCGGTCAGGGCGTTCGCCGTGAAGTACTTCGACAGAGCGAGCTCGAAGCCGAAGATGCGGATGAGCTAGACGAGCGGCACCTGGATGATGTGCGAAAGAGATTTGATGATTTCAAGGGTGAAGAAATCAGGAACAGGGTCAGGGAAGAGGGACCAGATTCGGTACTCAAGAGCTTGGGTCTGAATGCAAGAGAGCTTCTGCTCTTGCAGAAGGAAGATCCGGAAGGATTTGAGATTTTCAGAGATGCCCAGATGGCCGCGCAGATTAATAGTGGACGGCGGCAGAGCGAAACTGGGTAAGAGATGGGAACCAGGATGGGACGGTGTGTCTTATTTGGTATGCGTTCCGAGCGTTATGATCACCATGAGGCGGACTCTGGATGGAATCGACTCGTCACTATCGTTAGTCAATATGCACAGAGGAGTGCCTATACAGCACGAATGACCTTGAAGGCAGCATTGGAAAAACGTCGAGCAATGGTGGCCGTGACTGAAGCGCTTCAATCGAGCAAGTTACCCGAGTTCGATGGAATTGATTCTGCATGACTTGAAAGTCATTTTCTCACAATACCGACCAAATTCAACACCTCACCTTAATTCCCATCCTGCACGCATGCAAGTGCAGCATGGAGGTGAGTGTAGATTTTGAAAGTGAACGATTCACCATGAGAACAGTATGTTACTTCTATGTATAGCCAAGGCGCTAAAGACGGATCGGTCCGAAGCTGCATCTGCATGCTTAGCCTCCACCGTACTAACCCAGATCATTGAACCTGTGAACTGACCCCAACTCTACTCTACTACAGAGCACTCCCGACGACAACGACGAGGCGTTGCGCGTCCTCTACGACATTTGCGAAGAAGACGAGGACGAGGACGACGCGGTCACCGTAATCTACGATCCGCTTGGCATCGCCAACACGTACAACTCATACAACGCGACTGTCTCTCCCCGCGCCATGTCGGCCACTTCCTCTGCCTCCTCGAACAACATGGAACTGCCTATCACGGGCGGCAATCGTCCTTCCTCCTCTTCGTCCACCGGTAGCGTGTCTCAGAGCTCCTCTGTCTCTGGTGGTGCAGGCTCGTACACGAATGGTAGCGCGGCCGCAATGAACAATGGCGCAGGAGCAGCGAGTTACGCGAGCCCACTACCGGCCGGTCACCAGCAGGATTTGAACTACTTGTACGAGCAGATTCAGGAGCTGAGCAAGATGTTGCAGGCGAATCGGGTGCGAACTGCAGAGTTGAGTAGGGTTGCGGAGACAATGCGCCAGAACGGCACCTCCACCACAACTAACGGAAACCACAATCCCGTCGAGGCTACTGAGGCAAGCACGCAGTCCGACAGTAAGCTTTCCGTCTGGTGCCCGCCCTGAGATCATAAATGAAAGGGCAATCAGCTGATGCAACCACTGAACAGAAGCCAGAATCCTCCATCTCGAGCGCGAGCTCGCAAAAGCCCAAACCCTTAACTCCGTCTACGCCCACGAACAGTCCGAGAACACCGCCCTCATCGCCCTCTACGAAGACGCCATGGGCAACACCACTGAGCTCGTCCGCAACTACGCCAATTCCGTTGAGTCACGCTTCCTTGACCAACGTCGCCGCTACAATGACCTCCTCCAGGCCGAAAAGGACGATCATCTGCAGTCAAGACTGGAGAAGGACGAGTGGGCTGCTAAGTACTGGGAAGTGAGAGAGATGATTAGGACGGCCAATCGCCTGAGAACAGACGAGTGGTGTGAGGAATATACCGTCGTGGCTGGCTTGCAGGGCGAGGTGCGGTGCATGCGCCGGCTGCTGGGATGGGAGAAGCAGGAGCCCGAGGAGGAGGCGGATGGCCGTATTTGAAGGATTTGCCGCTGGATGACACTGGTCCAATTCCTTAGGTTGGCGATGACCCAAGCGACAGCCAGGGCGGGCTTCAAGAGCGAATGCGGAAAATTGTATTGCATAGCGGCGGACAACGCGAAAACGGGTACGGGGCGGGCTCTATCCGAGGAAGCCTCAAATTCACGAAAGCATGGCGTAAGGCGTTCTACCAGATTCGGGGGGCCTTCTATGGTCACGATCTGAAGGATTGAGATTTATCAATCAAATGAAGAAAGTGTTCCCATCTTACACGATTTTCACACTGTGTTCGACACCTGACTGCAACGAAGCCCGCCTGGCAGGATATTCGTTCATCTCCTATCAACGTATCTATCAATCGACTGGTAGGATCTCAGTGTTGACAACAGGAAATCCATTCACAGTGCTCAGCCGACGCGCGAACTTCACCTCTGCTGGACTCAGCGGGTTCGAGCTGAGCGGCGACACCCATTCGCGAGTGCGAGCTGCTCGAGTAGTGTCCAAAGTGGGCAGCTCCGGTTTGCTGCGGCTTCTGTTCGTCGTTGACCGGGTCCGATGCCCACTTGTCGAACTGTCTGTCAGCTTAGTGTTAGGCAGCGACGGCAGCAGAGGGTCTGCGGGCATCAGCGGCCAAGTATCGTTAAGCCTGCTGGAGGGCGGTGTGGGTGGCACGGCTGGAAGCGGGCAGTTTGGCGGAGGAGCGAAAGGCGTGCTAGCCGCTGTCAAAAGCGGCATGCTCCGCGGCTGGCGAAGAATTCCAGGCTCGCGGAAAGGAGACTGCAGCATAGGACCCGATCGGGGAGCTTGTGCAGGGATCATATCCTGGGTGCCTTGCTCTGCGTGACCATATCCGTCGTCCGTTGGAATCACTGGGAAGAATTTGCTGCCAGCCCTGGTCGTCGATGCGACGCGCCGCAGCGGAGCGGCGGGAGGAACCCAGATACTGCCGTCATCATCTTTCCTTCTGAGCCTAGTCGGTATTGTGGGACGGTTTTGCTGCAGCATCGACGTCTCTGCTGCTGGCGATATAGGGCTCGGATGACCACTAGGTGATTGTGTCAGCTCTGAGATACCCAAACCTGCTCCATCTTCGACCATGGCTTCCTTCGCTCTCTTCTGACTAGACCTTCTCTGCGGTGCGAGTGTGTACGGTGGAGGCGGAGGGCTTGGCGTTTGAGTGGATGCACGGACGATCTCATGCGAGAGGGGGGCATCGACTGTCTGCTCCAGCATATATGTCAATGCAAATGGCGCCAAATTCGGACCGAAAGATGCTCCTGGAGTTGACGGAGTTTGTGGTTTCTCAAAAGCACCCGCCATCTGATGCACGGCATCCGACGCAAGCGTTGGCGTCCTGAGCATCAGCGATGTCCGACTGGACCGATCGGATGCTAGACCTTGCGTAGCTAGAGGCTCAACGATGATGGGCGTGAGCTCTGGTCTTCTGGAGCGTTTTGTTTGCGGCATGAACCCCACTTTTGTTGGAGTGGAGGCGGTCTCGTCCCATTCAGCGTAGTCTTCGCGTCTGACGGAGGTTGCAGAGCTTGAGTGGCTCCGACTTGGTGTGGAAGCCCTGTCATAGGCCGGTGAACGAGGCGGATGTTCAGTATCGGAATCGGTGTACAGAGACGAGCGTCTTGTTGACCGCGAGAGCAGCGGGTCCTCAACCTGGGACATCTGCAATGGCGATCGCCGAGCTGCATCAAAGGGCCGGACAAAGGGCGCGGAAGGGAACACAGGTGAGTACAGATCCGAGAATGGCACTGGCTTCGAACTGGCCGCGAGAGCATCGGGATCGTACTCCAATCCACCTAGACGCTCAATCTCAGTACGTACTGCCACCAGCCACTCGTTGAATGTGCTGTCGTCTGCGAAGGCGATCAGGCAACCGGACACATGTTGAGGCCGTTTCTGTCCGTTCCGAACCGATAAAGAGGAGAGATTAGGTGATAACACCAAGTTGTCAACGCCGAGATCGATGTTGCGACTGTCGCTGACCACGTTCAATACCCAGTGTCTGCCTGGCAGTTCATCACTAGCCACAGCAATCGACTCTTCTCCAAGCTTCAGGATTCTTTCTGGCGTGCGATTTGACGGCCCTTCGGTATTGTACTGTAGTATATATCCATCATCACTCAGCATCATGATCTTTGTTGCGACTGTAACAGACAAGGAGGGACGGCGCTGCTGGCTGCCAGGTTCGGACAGCGCTGAGCCCGTAGGAGGTGAGATGGCTCTTGAGTATCTCGCTAGAAAGCTGCCAGTTCTCTTCAGTTCGCGGGTGGGCAAGGCAATCTCTAATTTTTCGTGGAGAATAGCATGCCGGTATGCTTCAGCGTAAGGCGGCGGCTTTCTTGGGGCACGATCGATCTTTGGTGTTGCTGGGCCCGGTCTCGACAAGGCATCGTTGGACCACGTTGTGCTTCTAGCCCTCCGGAGTACCGTGCGGATGTTCTCTCCTTCTCCTTTGATCGTTGTGCAACGTTGAGGACTCGGTGCGCCTGCTTCACAGGCGTCACTATTCAACTTGTTTCGGCTGAGCTTCCGTGAGAGATATGGTCCCAATGATCTGAAGGATGTGGACGGAGAAGCTGGAGGCCTCTGCGGATCGTCTTGCATGAGACGTTGGCCTGCCCTCTTGTTGGATCTAGACATGTCAATAGCTGATTTTGGGTGAGCTCAACAGCACGTCAGGAAGAAGACAAGTCTCTGACTTCACTCGGACAGCGCGTCTATCCTTCACAGGCCCAACCAAGCCACATCGAGCCGACTCGATTGAGGACCCACGACAATCGCGTGGTTCTCTTACCCATGCTCCGGCGACCCAGTGGCATGGGTATTGGGGAGCTTAGCGTGAGACTAGACCGACTTTGTTAGTACCGGCCTCGTCGATCCTGTCAGTCCCGTTGGATTGTGGGGATGAGCCAGAAGCTAGAAAACTCATAAGGATGAACATGGAAAGGCCAACAGTCGTACGCGAAGTGAAGATGCCTGTTTCTGCTGCTTCTGGCCAACAAGCTCACCTTTGGGGTACTGTCAATGACTCGGGCCTGTGGTCGTGAGAAGAAATTCGACTAAACCATGGATGCCGGGTTGTTCGGGGATTTCTACAGCATCCATGCAGTAAACGTGTTCGTGTTCAAATCAACAGCCCGGGCACGAACGTGTGGCGCTTTGCCGTCTGCCGTGGCAAGGCGCGGTCGATGTCCAATGATTCTGCGACGGCCCTCGAGGAGACATGCGCATTTGCGGTGAAGAAAGGGTCAGATCGACTCCAGGCTAATTTCGCTTGCGATAGACCCATGCCCATGGGTCAGGCTAATCATAAATGCCAGAAATCCACTTGTTTCCACTTCTGCCTGTGCAGAAGCGGGCCATGGTCCTGCGTCATAGCTGGCAAAGATTTGTGTCAGATGGAGTAGAACAACGAAGGAGACATAAGTGGAAGGCGAGGAGGTCAGCAGTCGGAATTCATGGGACGGAAGTCACGATGGTGGCCGAGGAGCGGTGACCAATTGCCAACAGTCGTTTCCGTCCAATGACCTTACCCAGGCATGGGCACGGTGTACCTGCCAAGCCTGGGCCTCGAGCACCAACAAAAATTGTTCCCTTTTACCTACCCGCTGATTAGTAGTATGGTATATATGTTGATATGTGTTCCCTGTATTTCGCAATCGACCACAGGGTGTGGAAAATAAGCCTTCCCGTCCGCTCAGGCAATTCAAGCCACACGCCGAACGGTTAGTAGTTAAGTGGGTGACCATTAGCGAATCCCGTTTGTTGATTGTTTTTGATTTTTTCGCTTCTATCAAGTGTCACTCCTTGTTGAATTTCAGAGTATCACTGGACTACAAAGGATCGCTGAGCTTTATACCGCCATCAACGAGCTCCGACGCCGATGCCATGCCCGAGTTTAGCCCTCGCTGCGTCTGCATAGAGAATCGCGGGAGATGGATGAGTGCAGTGGACTAGCGCATCTCGTTCTGCGACCATCTAGGACGGGACTGCTGGCTCGATGTTTCCAGTGACGGACGCAAAATTTTTCTCAGTATGCGCTCTACAGTACTCCAGACAGCGCCCTCTTACGTGACTATACTGCCCATTTCTGTATCTACTTGACCGTGTAGCTGTGACGCTATATGCCCTCACAATGCCAGATTCGACCTCCCCCATTTACGTCGTGTACCTGAAATTACGGTTCTCTTTGTCTGTGAGATCCAACCAGTCGTTGTCCGAGCCAGGTCCTCCAGATCCAGCCTCACTATCGCCCTGAGGCTGTTCTCCTCCAGGGAGACGACGAGCATTGGCCTCTTGATCTCTCTTCCTGTTTTCTAGACGACAAACGACCATATATGTCAGAATCAGCGCCATCGCTGCAACATAGCAGACCATCATCGCCGTAATTCCCCCAACATATGCCGGGGCCTGACTTTGGCGGAATGTTTGCGGACCGATTATGTTTCCCGTTGTCCATGCCACAAAATTGAAGCCATACAGTGACGTTTTCTTGCTATGTCCCGCGATGTTGGCTTGGTACACTGATATCAATGTAACATAAGGTGCCCAATACGTATAAAGAATGTAGAGGCCGACGAGCTGTCCAGCAAGGTTCGACCTCGGTAACGTATAGCAAAGGACCGCGCCAAGCAGAGGCAGCAGTACAGCCACGGAGATCATGATAGTCCGGTAGCGTCGTGTTCTGGATGCGAGGTACGACAATGCGATTCCAGAAAGCGTGCTCATGGCGCCAGGAGCATCGCCAGTAGGGAGGTCTCAAGTTTGGAGAACCCCAATCCCTGTATGATGAGCGTGTTGAACGTCGAGAGGCCACCGTTAGGCACCTGCAGTGCGATGATGGTAAACCAGATGAGCCAGGTTTTGATGTCAAGGGCTGCTTCGCGAATGTGGGACAGCTTGAATTCCTTGTTCTCCATTCCAGTATTATCGGACGCTTTGCGCTGCACGAGGATGAGCTTCTCGCGGGGCGTCAGCCACTTGGCCTGAAAAGGGTTATTAGGAAGGTAGAAATAAACGACAAATGCCCATATAATGGTGAAGGAGCCCAAGGTCAAGAAGATAATCTTCCAGGGCTGGAATGGTCCATCATAATAAGATATCAGCCAAGCAATGAACCCGTTGCAGATTGGTGCGCTGTAAGCATCGTTAGTGTCGGGCCCTCAGAGTTCGGGAGATCGCCACTCACATGACGTTCAGAATGATGGCGTTTCTCTGTGGCTGCTCCTCGGGACGGTAATGCATAGACACAAGGAGGGTCACAGCCGGAATGACCAAGGCTTCAAAGCCGCCTAAGAATAAGCGACATATGAATAGCGTTGCGAAATTATGACATGCTGCCATGCATATCTCGGCGATACCCCAGCAAAGGACGTTGAGCGCGAAGAAGTCGACGACGGGAAACCTTTTGCCTCTGTCAACAACGGATCCACGAGCATGCCACCAGATGCGGCAGTAGTTATGGAAGGCGTACATACCTTTGAAGACAATAAGAGGCAGGGCCGATGAACAAGAGCCCGCCAAAGAAAGGCGCGGATCCACACCACGAATACTGCTGACCGGTGAGGTTCAGATCCTCCCTCAAGTCATATATCGCTGCTGCTGATATGGCCGTCTTGTCAAGACCTGAAAGAGTTGCACACACGAAGAGCTTTGCAGCTGCCGTCAGACATGCTTCCGATGTTTAGTGGGTCGCGACTCACGATAGGAACCAGTCTCCAATCGACTTTCTTGATCATTCGCTTTTCCTCCTCCTTGGTGTAGTCGTTCCCGTGAAGCTCATGGCCGTGCTCGGCAATGAACTTCGCTGCGATGTCGACATCCTGTGCACGTCCTGCCTTTACCGCTTGAACTGCGTTTTCAGCCGTCAGGTCAACCGGCGAGATTTGGTCTGTTGAGACTGCCTGCTGATTAATGTCGATCTCGTCTTTGGCCATGCTTGTCCTCCGCTCAGAACTTGATCCCTTCTAAGGACTTGGCGACAGAGAAGAGATAGAGTGCTTCACGGTTTACGTCTTGGTGCGGTGAAGCCGTTGTAGGAAGACAATGTGCAGGAATCAAGACGTCTTACATACCATGTCGTCCGAAGCTGGCACGCTTGCGGGCAGTCGCTGTTACCGACTATCAACTTATCATAACTCTGATAGCAAAAAGATACGCTTGCTACTCGTAGGATACTGTAGAGCGGACACCTCCAAGATAGCCGATTCGCTTGTGCCTACCTTGGCCATGGATTTTCCGCAGTCTGTAAGTGGCGAGTGGGATGCCGCTGTGGGTTGTGGAGGTTGGCCGCGCTCCACAGCGGGCAACCGCAGTTATCTAAGATAGCCAAAGTCAATGCTTCACACACGCCGAGTGTGCGCCGGGCTGTATCATTCTTTCTGCTTGGCCGCTCTGTCGCTCGGGTTGATTCCGTTAGCCGACATGGAGGGCAGCATAGAGGCTCGCGCTGTACGGAACACACCTCGCCTCGCGAATATGGTGCGGCCAGGCTGTGGGCCTGTCGCATATTTTCGCGCACGCTGTATACCTACCTATAAATTCAATTGAAGGTCAAGAAAAACAGCGCACTGAAGGAAGCAAGCACCATCTGACCGTACACCATGATTGCACCCATAGAGACTAAGCCCAGGGTTGAGCCACTGTACCCCGACTACCTCCGTAAGTACTCGATCTTGTTGTCTTCAACTTACTAATACCTTCTCAGCACATTATGACCCCGACGAGAAAGTCGAGGGCGTAGGGTCCTTCGAACACGATGATCCTGGATTCCGAGCTGATGCAGAACTTCCCAACCTGCTTCATGATGCGACCAACAAGTTCGACCTGAGTCCACATTGTGGGACAGAGCTTCACGGTGTCCAGATCTCAGAGCTCTCGCCTGCTGGCCTCGACGAATTGGCCTTGTTTACTGCAGAACGCGGATGCGTAGTATTGCGAAACCAGAAATTCAATGACATTGGTTTCGAGAAACAAAGCAAGATAGCCTCGCACTTCGGGCCTCTCCACCGACACGGTTGGATGCCGCATCCAAAGAATGGTCCCGTCGAGTTTGTCATCGTGTATGACTCCGAGGATGACCTGAGAATCCGCAAGTCTTGGGCCAGGAAGAGTCCGATTCAATTCCACGTCGACCAGTCGCCGGAAACCCAGCCTCCCGGGTTGACATTCTTCTGCATGCTCGAGTCACCGCCTGGACCGGGAGGTGACACGATCATTTCGCACGTAAGTACTGCCGTTGCATTCGAGAGAGCTGTACTAATGCATCCAGATGGGCCGAGCCTTCGATCGTCTGTCACCATCATTCCGAGGGCGACTGGAGGGCCTCAAGGCTATACACACAACCGCAAATCCCATCATGCGAGAGATTCGCGACAACGGGAACCAAGCTGTTCTCAGACGGCCGATCACAAAGTCGGTGCATCCTGTGGTCACCCTACATCCTGTCACCAAGAGAAAGTGTCTGTTCGTGAACTCGTCGTACACACAGAGTATTGTCGGGTGGGATGAGGAAGAATCCGACTACTTGCTGAAGTTTCTTTTCGACCATGTGAATCGTGGGGCCGATTTCTCCTGCAGAGTGCGATATGAGCCGGGCACCATTGTTGTATGGGATCAGCGGTGTACTCAGCATTCTCAGACTCTGGACTATAGTCCCGGACAAAGGCGCCACGCCTTCAGGCTGACGCCTCTGGCAAATGTGCCTATACCAAGCAAAGTGGAGGAGGATGATGGTGAATGCCAAAAAGACGAGGGAAGAATGATGTTGAATCTTTGTTAGCCAGTGCGAGGAATTTGGTGTGGCTGCCGTAGTCCCACAATGGCCTTCGAGACTATACTTTCACTGTCCATCCCTGCCATTGTTTGAACATCAGATAGTGTCCGTCATCGTGGACTGAAAGGTCGACTGCTGTGATTTCCTCACACTGTTTGAGATCGCCTTAGCTCGGCAAGAATCGTCTCGACCTTGAACAGGCCAAGGGTGGTGAGGCCTTTTACGCCGGCTGCACCATTAGCCGATACGCGATTGATCCATCGCCATCGTTCTATCAGTCGCTTGAGCTCCTTGAGCCCGTCCTCGGAGGCAGCATCGGCGTGAATATTGCTATCACTTGATTCCGTGATTTGACAGCTGTCAGAGTTGCCAAGTTGAGAGAGTACCAGCAATAGATCCACCATGAACAAGCCCGCCATCGCGAAGTTAGGTCGCGACCAGCAGTGCCAGAAGGCATTCCATACGAGGCTGTCTAAGTTCTCGAGGAAGTCCACCAGCTCTCTGGCACAGAATATCGAGCCTGTGGTGATCGCCGAGACTCCCTCGCGCATGACACGATCATCAGACATACCGGGAGGACGCCCGGAGGATCTCAAATGCTTTATAGGTCTGAATAGGGCGCGGAATAAGAGCATGTGGACCACAATGTACGACAGATGTAATGAAGCATTCCCGTCCAATCGTCGATGATGATCTGCCTCTCGATCTCCTCCAGTCACCCGTCCAGATGATCTTGACCAGGATCGGAGATTGTCGGGGAGAGTTTCTTGCCAAGTGCGAAGTCTTGTCCGCAGCGTTCTGGCCGCGTCCAAGGAGATGCTCAAGTCTTCTGCTGTCCTTGACTCGCCTCTCACTGTGTAGTAGGTAGTGCGAATGTCGTTGAGAATCAAAGTCAGATGTGTGAGACGCTCAAAATGGTTGATTGTTAAGTCGGCTCCAGACAGCTCGCAACCTGTCCGAACGGGAAGATGTGGTACATCTGCGTCTTCATCGTTGATCAGCGCAGGCATACCCCGCGACAAAGCAAGCCACTGGTCCATGGTCCACACAGCCCACCATAGCCGCTGGCGAAGAAGGCGCTCCTGGAGTGGCACGAGCGTCCATTGCGAGGGGTCGCGGTGTAGTCCAACGGTTTGCGCGACAGACACTGTGATACTGTTCAGAGACCACTTGAAAGCTGTATCGGAAAGCACTGGGTTGGCCGGCAAGTGGTGCTGGAGCATCAGGCACGCCTGCACCGTGGCCAAGGTCGGTGCGTGAAGCTCTTGTGTAATTCCCAGCCAGCACAACCGATAGAGCTGCGGGCGAGATGGAGGGCGAGGAAGAACATCGTACAATTCCTCGTCATACAGCATGAAGGGAACAGATGATGCGCAGATCCCGGCGATGAGGGCAAGACTCAGTCCGTCCAATACATCTGTGGACTCGACCAAATCGAGGACTGGGAAGTAGGGATTGATGAACCTGAAATAGAGTCGGTACAGCTGTAGAGCAGTTCTGCGATCCACTATGCTCCAAAGCTCCCTCCAGGCGGTCTCGATTTCATTCTTACCGGGACTTGGTTCTACTGTGTCGATGAGTTCGTACTCAGTGATACCGAATATGGTGCTTTTGGCCTTGCGATCGTCGGAGACCTTGCGAAAGGACAAGCCAGGGGCTAGCCGTCCAAGATGCGCGTGCTGACTCAGAAGAGACACATCCGATGGACCTGTCGGACCGATGTAGAAAGAGAACGCGTTTGACAAATTCTCCAGACTGGTAGTGGAAGGATCTTCTTGAACCTGCGAAAAAATTTGGCCAGATTCGGAACGGGTCACATATGGCTGAATAGTGTGATCTATTGGCCCCGGCGACGTTCGAGTTGGATCGAAGTCCGTCTCGGGATGGACAAGGCGTAGATTCTCGTAGTCGCTACCAGGCAGTATACTGATCTCATTTTCAGTTGGCCACAAGTCTGACCACCGAGGTTCTTCGACTTGATCATCAATCTCATGCGAGCCCATGAATGGTCCCATGAAGTCCGTCAAGCTAGGTGACCGCCAGGACGTAGGTTGTTGAGGAGACCCTGCGACACGACGCTTTCTTTGAGAAGGCTTTTCGTTAAATTCGCACGCGCGACCGAGTTGATGGCAGCGGGAGCACGGTGGCCCATTTGGCATCTCACAGGCCACCTTCCGCCGACGGCAGCCATCGCAAGGTCTTTTCTTTCGCGACTTGTAAGCCCTACCAGGTGAGAGCGGCGTATCTACCTCATCCTTCATGACGATAGTTGCACGGAAGTTCGTATTCAGTAGGCACGGGCTGAGTTACACGCGATTTCAAATGACGCGATAAAAAGACCGACTCCAATGTCAATCTCGTCATGGTGCGTAGGGCACGCTACAGCTTAGCATCTTCGATGCTACTACATAAACGCCGTTCAAGCTCCAGAACCTTCGCCAGGCCAGGATCTTTCAGCAGCCGTTCTGCTCGCTGCGCCGATGGCACGTCGTAAGGCAACAACGGTCTCCTCGGTGACGCGCCGTACCCGAATTGCTTCGATAAGAGATACTTCATACCAGAGACTCCAACTGGCTTCACAACGTAATCGGCAGCGTTAATAACGTCTTGCAGCCTCCGAGCCTCTTCTCGCTTACCGCTCGACATTTTAGACTCCTCGCACAAGTTCCACAACTTCACACATACTCTCGGAGCTATATTGGGCAGACCACTGATAGCTCCAACAGCCCCAACACTGACGCTGGGAAGGAGTATGTCGATAAAGCCGTCAATGGCGCTGAAGTATGGTATCGCTTCACGCCCCTCTGCTGTCCCGTGGAAGCGGCGAGGATAATCTTGCTGGAAGTCTGCATCGCGCATGACAGCGTCGATGCGTGACAGCTTCGCCACATCGGCACAGGTCAGCTTAATGCCACAGATGTTTGGCCCATCTTTCACCATCTCGACGACCAATTCTGACGTGATGTCGATACCACCAGCCAACGCCGGGAAGTTATAGACAATAACAGGTGAGGGCGATGCATTGCTAACATCGACCATGTACCTCTTAACTGCAAGCATGTTATCCTGCCTCAGAACACTGCCATAGTAACCAGGTGGTATAACCATGACGAAGTCGGCTCCAGCTGCGGCGGCTCCTATTGCGAGTTTCACCGTCTCACGAGTCGATGGACTTCCCACACCAACAACAATCGGGACATCACTTGTGGCAGGATTCTGATCTAGCACTTCCCGCGCTGATCTGACAAGCACGTCTCGCTCCCAAGCTTCTAGATGACATGCTTCACCCATGGACCCTGCAATGACGGGCACAGTCCCTGCCTCCGCAATGAATGCGACATGTTTTCGGAAGCTTGCAAGATCAAGCTCCTCCTGGTCGTCGAAGAATGTCGGCAAGGGTGTGTATATGCCTGGCGGGAGAGGACGCATGGCTTGGTCTTCGGTGATGCAGCTAAATGTCGACGATAGGAACGCTTGCTACCTACAATGATCTATGTGGGAGGACAATGTGCTTCTTCCGCGTACAACGAAGTGGTGGGGCGTGAGTTCTGTTACTCCCTCGCACTGGCTTTGCGGCGAAGACTAGGCCATTCGTCGTTCAGGCACTCGTCCCACAGAAGTCTATAGTGCATCTTCTGAGTACCTACTGGCCATGCTCCCAAGGCGCGCAAGCGGCAGAGTATCCCAGCGCGGATCTCACCACTTGGCCGCGCGGGCAACTCTAAAAAAATGGTGCATCGCCGCACCCCTTGGCACGGCCACAATTAACGGTCGATAGATAGTGACGCGGGCCCGAGACAACGCCGCATTGCCACAAGGGCCAGTATTGGCACCCATGGCCCGCGCAGAGAATGAGAGTTGCCAGGAGAAAGAGGAAGGCAGACAAACAGATAGAGCGCTAGCCGGCGTCGTTTTGAACAGTATCAAGACGCCGAATGACGAAAATCTTTCGTCGCATGCCCAGAAGCTTGGTAGAAAGCACAGAAGACTCGGACAATCATTCTTGCATGGCGGAACACCCTCGTTGGCGGGCAGGCATGGTGACGACAAACCATCGGGACTGACCATGTAGGTATATGGGCGGTGAATAAGAGACCAACGAGGCCCGGAGGAGCACTAGTTGAGGCTATCCCCACCATATCATATCAATTGCTGAGCTTGAGGTGCCACCGTCTGTAGAATACGGAGGCTGCTGTCACAGCATCGACGACGCGCCCAATTCGCAGCGTGAACTCTTCGCCGCTTACCCAAGAGCCGGACAATTGGCCTGAACGGAATAACCAGCCGCCCGGGCTGAGAAGCAAAATATTCAGCCTACTTCGGTCCTATAATCATGATGCTACGATCGCATCGTCGATGAGGCAGACTTTGCGATGCCGTTCCATGATGTGGCCTACGCAGGCCCTCGGAGCAGCACTGCGCAACGCCATTTCCGTCCGCGCGATGCAGGCCTTGCTCTAGACTAGATTCTCCCTCCCCGCCCGATCTTGCGGCCCGTCAGCGAGAAGGTCATGGAGCCGGCATGACTGCAGCAGTTCTCCGATATACAAAGACGTTCGTGCGAAAGCTACGTCGTACACCAGCGTGAAAACCGTAGGCAAAGAAAAGGGGTTCATGCAGAATTCAGGCACAAAAATTTAAGCTCTCGTCTCCTCCTCGGAATCTCCACCCACGATCGCCGCTAAGGGACTGTTCCTGCATGAGCGTGGTTTCAGGATCCGAATGTGCAGTCAACGGTTGCCGAGGATGGCGCAAGGGCGGTTGGCGTTGCACTGATCGGGGAGGTGAATGACTGTTGGGATTTCTGGTGTTTGTTGTGAAATCGGAAAGACCAGGTAAGGATCTTGGAAAGGCTTTACGGAACAGGAATTGTGGTAGGCATGATCGATTTCGCGATCATCATACTTGCAATGTGGGAGCAGCAATAATAGCATGAGCATATTGCAGCCGTGGGAAACCACCAATCATGGTTTGACGAAGCGATGTTCACTCTGCTGAATGTACTTAAAGCGTGGACTGCAGAGGACTGTAGTGCACGTCTGTGTATTCTATGTTGATGCCTATGGACCGAGTAATTCCCAATTTTCCTATGCGTTAATGCAACGACACCCTAAACAGGGGCATGCTTCCCTCTTCCTCCTAGACAATGTACAAGTTCATGTGTCACATAAAGACATTAGCCCTTTTCTCTTTTTCACTCTCTTCGGAGTGCCTGACAACAGGAAGGAAAATGCTGAATAGGTGAATTGAAAAGAATGTATCACTTTGAGGTGGGATACATCCTGAGCTCCCAGGGTAGGGGACTCTAGAAGAGGGCAACAGCCACAAGAGCCAGTCCGGCACCGAGCACATTCTGCGCGGCGGCAGTAGGCATGGCTGCGCCGCCGGTGAACGTTGAGACGACCGGCACAGGCGTAGATGGCTTCGCCACAGAAGGCGCAGGAGGCGTCGTCTGGGCAGGCGGCGCCGGCGGCGGTGTTGTTGCAGGAGGCGCAGGAGGCGCAGGAGGAGGTGTCACTGCTGGAGGCGGCGGTGGTGGAGGCGTAACGTCTTGCCATCCGCCGGTGACTGGTGTTGACGGTGCAGGAGGCGCAACGGGAACGCTGGGAACGTCGCCCCACTTGGTCTCTGTCGCGGGTGCAGGCGTTGGTGTGGTCTCAGTGCAGGTAGTCGAGATCGAGATGGAGCTCTGGTCGCCCCAGCCTTGACCTCCGCCAACGGGTGGCTTTGGTGGGGATGGCGGAGCCGGTGGAGTTTCGCCACCAACTGGAGGAGAGGGAGGAGATGGTGGAGAAGGAGGCGAAGAGGGTGTCGAGGGTGGCGATGCATCGCCCCATCCTGAACCACCGCCAACGGGTGGTGAAGATGGAGAAGGAGGTTGCTCGCCGCCAGTGGGAGGCTTGGGTCCAGAAGGAGGGCCCTGGCCACCTCCAGGAGGCGACGATGGGCCACTATGGTCGCCCCAGCCACTACCACCACCTTGACCTCCGCCAGGAGTCTGGTCTTTGCCGCCCCATGGTCCCTTAGGACCTCCTGAGCCGCCACCTGGGGGACCGCCGGCGCCACCGTGACCGCCGCCATTGCCCTTCGGGCCACCACCATAGCCACCTCCAACTGAAGGTGGACCACCACCGCCGCCGCCCGAGCTCGAGTCAGTCCATCCTGTTGGCGACGCAACGACGACGGCGGCAAGAGCAAGAAGATACTTGGCGTGCATCTTGATTAGATAGTCGAAGGAGATTGAAGCAGTATGAAACGAGAGACTGCTGTGAACGATTGACAGGAACAGTGAAGTTCTGGATGGGAGAGGGAAAGCTACAAACCTCAGGAGGCTGCCCTCATATATTTGTGACTTGCGAGAAACAACGGCACGTAATTGTTGGCGGCTTGCTGTTTGCCATGACTGGCTGTACTCGGAACCGGTTGTAGACCAGGGGTGGCCCACTAACAAAGGAGTGCAGCGAGAGCAAAGGTACTTTCTGCATGTTGGTGGACACCGACCAGCTGGCCGTACGAGAGGTTACATGCTGCATCCGCCGTGATGTGCTCTGCGCAGGAACAAGCATCAACCGTTGTGTGAGGTTTTCGGACGTCGAAGGAAGGATGTACCCCTGAGCAAGGAGGCGGAGACTTGTGTTGTGGAGGTCACGGTCACCCGCCAATGAGGGATCTTGGGGTAGTCACCATGAAACTCGGCCAAGCACGAATAACGCTCAATGTTGACAAAACTGTGCAAGGTCCAGGCCAGATCGGTCTGGCACTGCAGCGCGGACGGTGCGGTGTGTTTGGAGCACTCCCAAACCTGGCAGTGCAAAGCGAAACGTCGGCTCGCAGATCAGGAGAGCCGGCAATCCCAGACATGCCCAATGAGGACAAATCTTCTGCCTTGTTGTTCCTCGATGATGACGATGAGCCACCCGAGGAAGTGGCCTGCTCGTCGACGAGGCAGCCATGATTTTTAAGGCAAAACGCTGTCAAGGTCCTGGCCTTTGATTGCCAATGTCGCTGGAAACAAGGCAGACGCGCTGACGGTCAGAAGCAGACATCGTGTCCGGACGAGTGACGTTGAAGGTGAGGGGTTGCTTGCCTGTTGTCCGAGACGAAAGATGTTGCTCTTACCTCGCCCTGGGAAACATCTGCCACAACATTGCAGAATCATCTGATACTGCAACTTCCTGGATTTCGTGCTCCCAATTCACGCATAAACGGTCCCAGCTGGATTTTGAAGGCGGCACACTGCATTGCAGGTGCGACCGGCAGACATGACGTACGATTCAACTATTTCGTTCACTCTCGTAGGTCTACCGATCTGAGGCTCTCAGGCCGAAATTTGACGTGTCAGGATACTATTTGTCCTTGGACATACCTGGGAAAGAAGAGGTAGGTCTCTAATGGCAGTTGCGCTTGTGTTCCATGACACAACAGGCAGTCTGACGGCGTGCCACTGCCCGCAGACTAGACGAAGGTGGGCAAGACATACATATGCATCTGCAATCTGCTGCTAACTCGCCAAGCGCTTCGACGACACCGAGAGGGCCCTGACGCCAGCGCCGTCTCATTCACCGTCCAGTACAAGCCCTACCAACTATATCCGGATGCGCCCAAAGAGGGCCAGCCGAAACAGGAATGGTTCAAGAAGAGTCGCTATGGAGACACACAGCTGAAGATGAAGACATACGAGGCGATTATGACGGCATACGGTAACAGTGCGGGCATCAAGTACAAGTTTGGTGGCACGATCGCAAACACCATGGATGCGCATCGCGTGATACAGCATTTCCAGGAGGAAAAAGGGCCAGAGACCGCGGATAAGATGATAAATTGTATGAGATGATTTCTGGAATGGTAAGAGGCTGCGTTGCTGACGTTGAGCAGCGCTGTATGCTCAGTATTTCGAGAACGAGAAGCATCCATCGGCTGACGAGACGTTGTTGGTATGTTGCAATTCCATTGCTCGTAGACAACAGCATTATCGGAGGTCCTCATATGGTCGTGCGTGCCGTGTTTACTGACAGTCGATAGAAAGCGGCCACCGATGCTGGCGTCCCTGAGGCCGAAGCGAAAGCATACATCGCCGATCACGACGAAGGCCTCATGGATCTCAAGAATTCAATGCGTGAGCAAGCCGGCAATGGGGTCGATTCTGTACCCTACATCATCTTCGAGGGCAAGCGAAGAGACATCACCTTGGTGGGAGCCCGAGACGTGGAAGAGTACGAGAGTAAGTCCCATGGTCAAATTTGCAATCGGAAACGAGCGTTGCATTGAAGTACTGCTCGAGCATATGTTTCGATTTGACAGAGACGCTGCTCTCATTAATCTTACGATCCTACCTTTGAGCATACGCCCTATTCCCGAGACAAGGCTAATCAGATTCGCAGAAGCAATCGCTTCGATCGTCAAGGAGAGTAAGTAGGAAGCAGTCAAGAAAGGAAACCTGCCTTGCTGTTTGAGCACTTCTATCTATCCAGCAACACAGGGGCACTTGCTAGACTGCCTTCTCACCCAGACAAGTTTAAGGTGCATATTATTTGCAGGTGAAGTGAAGTTGCCTTGGTGACTGAATATCCCGAGAGGAAGGTGGCATGCCTGTTTGAGGCAAATCGAACTTCTATCTGTCCAGCACGGTTGGCCTGGGTGAGTCGAGCTGGCTTGACAGGGACTATGGCCTGATCAAACTTGCCTCAGACTGACCACCATTCTTCACTGGAGGTTGAGGTTGAAGAGTGCTACTGGATTGCACGTTTAGAAAAGGTCGCTACACTGCATCAATTCTCCTTGCTCTATCTGACTGTCGTTGAGTGCCAATGCTAGCCATGCATGTCTTCGATCTAACATGCCTCGATCCGACCAAAGGACTCTTGAGGACAACAATGCGTCTATGCACCACCCGTGCCTTGCCGCCGACAACCTCTGCCTTCAACAGATTTCACCTCAGGTCATTTTCCATCTGCATTTCCAACCCTGCCCCTAGAACTCCTTCGCCTCATCCCCGCCAAATCCGGCCTGCTACCTCCGCGGTCTTCACTCCCTGTTGCCCGCCTGACACCCGCACCCGGTCCCCTCTGCGACCTTCTGCCGCTCGGACAATTCATAGCTCTCCCCACGCTCGAGCGTGTCGTCTATGATCGCATTTTCGTCATCTTTGTGGTATGCTCTGTCCCCGTTCCGTGCATCTGGTGGCGGCGTTTCCGCGCCAGATCCACGATTCTCGTGATCTTCGTTGTCCGACCCGTCTTCGTTGGCGCCATAAGCCCACCAACACTCTCCATCACGAAGCTTCCTGCAGTCGGCGCATCCAACACCTTCAACTCCTCCTCCCGAAACCACCTCGGCATAACAAACGTCCTGAACGGAATACTAATGATAATAATCACCGGAAACCCAATCGCCGCAATGGTCTGCGTGATCGCGAACGTGCCCCCAAAGATCAACAATTCGATGGCGACAAACCCCCAGATCGCTGTGCGCCTGTCGATGCGCGCAAGTGGTTCGTTTTTGGAATCAACGAGTTCTCGATCCGAGAAAAGATAGACGAGTTTTAGCGTGATGCCGTTACCGATGAGTGCCTGGACGCCCATGACGAAGAACAAGCCTGCAAGGACAGCTTGCGGGATGAGGTGCAGCACGACGAGGAGAGGGCCGGTCATGGTGACGAGGAAGAGGAGTCCTTGCGCTAGGTTGGACACGCGTTGTTCGACGACGTGCGTTGTCTTGCGTTCGTAGCGGGTCGTGTCAGCTCCGTTCGATTGTTTCTGAGGATCGGAAACCAGGACGCTCTCTGTGACGCAAAGCGCCTGCGTATGGAAGGGCGCTTGCGGGATCAGCCATTGGGAAGAGGGATCCCGAGGATGCCGGCTATACCGGTTGTGAGGCCGAGGAGGAAGATGTCCCAGTGGAAGCCGGGTGGTTTGCGGAGGGGGAATTCGGAGCCCTGGGCGATGAGGGAGGAAACGTTGTGGTCAAACCAGAAGAGGATTGTGAGAAGGACAGCGAAGGGCAGCGCGGTGAAGACTTCTGCGGCGGAGCTGTCCCAGAAGTTCACGGCCCAGCTGCGTTGGGCGGTGGGGAAGAAGGCTTTGGAGACGGGAAGGACGGTGAGATCGACGTCTTTCATGTGCCCGATGTGGACGAAGCCGGTGAAGAAGATGATCGTTAGAGGTGTGCCATAGTCCTCAATGAACTTGCGGACGTGGCGGTGAAAGAGTTTGGACTCGCCTATGATGCCGCAGAGATACGCGACGGCAAGGACAAGCAGACTGATCATGATGCCAAGGTATGCTGATGTTGCATTGGCCTCGCCCCATTGCCGAGTAAGTACCTGGATACCTTTCTGAAGGTAGACAAATGCGACGTAGAAGCCGAAGGTGTCGCAAGAGAATCGGGTGACATATGTTAGGGCATTGCATGAGTTCGTGATCGCCAAGATCCAATGCAAGATCAGAGACCAGATACCGATCCAGGCCATGAAGCCGAAATAGTCGTAGCCCATGGGCACTACAATATCATAGACTGTATAGCTGAAGACGGTGATCGGACCTGTCACGCCCACGATGACCAGTGGTTGCGCTGCAAATAGTGAGAAGACCACACAACCGAGCACACTAGCCAGCAATACTTCGTTGACGCCGTAGGAGTTATCGGTCTTGACGAACATGTCTAGCGAGAAAGCCAGTGCTGGGAGAATGTTGGCGAAGTACATATATGTCGTCGCTGGAATGACTCGATAGTCCCAGGCATCTCGCCAGTCACTCCAATAGTAGGGTGCTCTCCTTCTCACGTCGTCGATCATACCTTTGAAGAGTCGAATCTTCCACCATTTGGGCTGCCGGCGCTTTGACTTGGTAGAAGTTCTCGTGTCCTGCCGAGACATTGGTTGTATCTCTTCCGGATCTGGTCTGCTGCGAGAATTGGAAGTACGGAAACTGGGCCGCCGAGTCTCCCAGGGCTTGCGTTGTGAATGCATGGACGACGTCCTCCGGCGCAGAGTCGAGCGACCGGGAGAGGCCTGGTCAGCTTCTGGCGATGGACTCATGGTGACTGGGGAACGAGTACACTGGCAGAGAACGGGAGACACGCACATGGGCGTCATATTATAAAAGCATAGCTGCCAAAGGGATCGGTTGTCGATCTGCGGTGTGGGGATGTGCGCAAACTCTTTCTACGCACATGTTCATGGCTTGGTTGTGGTTTCGCCTCTAGGTCGTCACCTACTGCATACCTCTTACAGCGACTCAGAGCTTTAGCTGCATGGCGATGAGCTCTATCGCTGGGCTAGGAGAGGGCGAAGCCGATCACGATGGGCACAGAGATTCTGAGCAGTGACGACGTTGAAACTTACTAGTTGGGGATCTTGATTGGGCGGCGCTGAACCGCATTTTCGGTGCATTGGACGGGAGGACGGATGGTGGGTGGGGGTGGAGAAAATCGCTTGCGGATACATCATCGTCAACTTGATTCTCAGCATGGGAAGTCGAGCAGACCTTCGCAATAGTCAGCAGACGCATGGGATTCAGGCTGGGAGGCACTCCCTGGGTGGTGGTACATATGTTGCGACGACCGCAGTCCGCGCTCTCGCAACGTTCTACTCGTTCGCCAGACGTGCAATGGACCGCTGCAAGTTTTGAAGCCTCAGATTTACTTTGTCCTTGGCAATAATAATCTGCCCGGTCAGCACAAGGTGGATGTTGTTTGTGGCAAAATTCAGCATCTTGCTCCACGTGGTCCATCGCGACTGCCCGCACATGGAGTCATTGTGTCTAGCTGGTCTTCTAATGTGGACCGGCCTGAGCCTTCCAGCATTAGAGCTTGACGCAGACTCTTCGAATCCGTTTGATGGAAGGCAACTCAGCTCACGCAGTGGTAGGCTTGTACTCGGATCAAAGCGTTTGGTTTTACGCACAGCTGCACTCTTGTTTCTGGCTGGCATCAAGTCCCCGTGCACTGAGGACGAAATGCCCTTCATCTCCGTATTCCAAAGACCACAGCAGCGCCCGATCTCTGTTTCGAGGCAGCCTACCGCTCGTAGCACAAGCACAGCTAACACTCCCGGACAGCTATTTCTGTTATGGGGAACACTTTTTCTGGGATTCGTCTCGCACGGTGAGATCGGTGTCGGTTCGGAAGACTTAGTCACCAGCATTTGCGGCCAATTTTCTTCGCTTCCGTAGCGTGCCCCTGCCCTCTTCCACTGGCGTTGGCACCTCCTTCTCTTTCGAAGCGACCGGCGTGCTACTGCTGGTGCCCACCCCAGAATGTTCATCACCACCACCTGGGATGCTACTAACGCTGCCCTGCCTAAGATGATCTTGTTTGAAGCTCCCGCCTCCGCCAGTCGCAGAGTTATGCTCGACTCCACGCCGCTCATTCTCTAGCTCGCGCCAAGCCTCGACCTGCTTCCGCACGTCTTCGAACATCTCGCGCGCGTCGGCGATGATGCCGGTGTATTCGGCGGCATCGAGATCTTCGCTAGGCTCGGAGTCTTCTTGATCGGGGTCATCCTCGTCTTCTTCTGCCTTCCCGCCGGCAAGCTGGGATTCTGGGATGTGGTCGCGATCACGGTCGCGGTGGGAAATATCGCCGCCGCGTTTGCGCAGCCGCAGGTTGTAACCAAAACCGCGCTCGGTGCGCGGAAGGGGATTGAACATGATCGCATTGGCAAACATACGCATCAACTCCATCTCGAGCTGCGCGGCGTTGACAATGCCTTTTGGTGGTTCGAGATCATCGGACTTTTTGATCAGGTAGAACCCGTTGTCTACTGCGCGTTGACCTTCAGCGTCTCTGCTATCGGTGATGTTATCGTTGTTTTCATCTTCAGGCAGGTCGAGTGCTTCAATGGCCGCGACAGCGGCGCGCGAACCTTTGCTGACGGCTGTCTTGATGCTTTTGAGGTCTTGTGGGCGCAGGATCAGATCTTTATACCCGGGCGCGTCGCGTTCGGTGAGTGGCTTGGCGAAGACTCCTCCAAGCTTGTGCGAATTTATTTCGTTGAGTACCAATTGAGCAGTCTTTGCGAAACTCTTCGATACAAGCACGAGCGAGGGGTCATCGGAATACGAGGCGGCTTTGTGGGCTTGCCTATCTGTAGGCGGACTTTCAGATTCTTGCACTGTCGCGGACCGCTTTCGCTTGTTGGTGGCAGGCCGTAATGATTCAGACTGCGCTGCCGTCAACGAGACGCTGTTCCGCAGATTGCCTCTACGCCCCGAGGAGCGCTGTTCGACTTCGATGTTGCTAGGCTGAGGCGTGTTCGGTGCCTCGATCTTGACCGGGATAGCCTTCCGCTCAACATCGCCCACAGGCGCCTCGGAGACTTGAGATGCGACCGATTGGGATCTCCTAGACGCCGCAGTACCTGGTGGGCGACCTCTCCGAGGAGGCGGGCCTTCTCGTTTTGGCGTCGCCGCCTTTTGCGCAGGCTTTGTTGAAGCTCGCCGTGGCTTATCACTCGATTCTGTGTCACTCACAGGACTGATTGATCGTTCTGGCCGGACGGGACTAGGCGGGCGCTGACTGTTAGGAGGTGGTACTGATCGACGTTTCCACGGTGTCGAAGAGCCAGGTGTTCTCTGTATCGATCCCCGTGCTACAAATTGACCAGGGGTTGAGAATGCCGAATGAGGCTGTGGATAAGGCGAGTGTGCCGGAGACTGCCAGCCCTGAGGCAGAGGCTGGTACTGGATCGGAGCAGTCTGTGGGTACGGCGGATAGGGTTGCTGATATGGCGACTGCTGTCTGTCCATGGGTGGCTGTCCATAGTAGCCTTGACCGGGGTAATTTACATGCTGAGGATATTGCTGCTGTGGAGGATACTGCTGTGGCCATTGCTGCGGAGGCTGGTAATGCTGGTACGGAGGATACTGCGGCTGCGGCTGCGGGACGGGTGACCCTCGAGCGGGCGTGGAGCTTGCAGATGATCCTTTCCTTCCGCCATAGTCCATCGGCGGGGGCATTCTCTGCTCGTATGGCGGTCTAGGATGACCCGTTGGTACTGGCGGATATCCGACCTGGGCATGAGCTGGCGGCGGAGGCCCACTTGGTCTACCAGGCACTGGCGAAGGTGCATGCATTCCATATGGAGCACCTATTTGCTGCTGTTGGGTGTGAGAAGTCATGGTAGGCGGATGAGGTGCGAAGCCAGGTGGTGGTGTAGGCTGGGCTGACAGAGGGCCTGGGGTCGGAGCGACCGCCGGCTGCCTCTCAGGATTGATAGACGACTGCCCGGTGCTGGATTGGCCATGAGGAGCCTGCTGCTGAGCTGTTACAGGCGCAGGTGACCCATTATCCACAGACTCCGCCTTCTCCAGCTCTGCGATCTCCTGTTGCAGTCGCTGATATTCCTCTTCATCTCTTCTGATTTCGCTGATTATCTGCTCCCTAAATTTCGCATATAGCTTGTCAACAAGAGCCTGGAGCTGGCCTTCGGAGTCCACTCCGTTCGGCTGAGGCGAAGTGGAAGCCTTTCGCTTTCTAGAAGCAGGCGCGTCGGACGCGGCATCACCATTGACTCTTGGTGAGGCGCCTTTCTCTAGACGTGTAAGATTAGTGTACAATTCTTGCAGCGCATCCACGGTCAGTCGTTCAGCATCGTAGGTGTCGCATTCGCGGACCAGGTCACTCTCGCCGAGCTCCTTCGATATGGTGTCGAAGGCCTCCTGATCATCTCCATATTGGCATATCAGCTGGCAGAGCCTCAAAGTCTCGTATGGGGTGTAAGAGCCTTGCGACGGCATCCCATTCTTGATACCGCTACTAGTCTCTGAAATTCTCGAGTCGAAAAGTCCTCCGCCGGTGATGCCGTCTCGAGACTGGCGCCTTGGAACGAGCAACGGTCCAGCGTTGCGTATAACGATACACGGAGTCCAGACACGTCGTACGTTGATGACACCTGTCGTACTTTGATGATTCTTTAATGTGTAAATGTCGAATGCGCACGCGTACTTGGAGGGTGGAAAGAATTATGGCCGGATTTTAGCTGCTAAACTTCGAAATGATCTGCACCCAGTCCGGCAGCGACGAACGGGGTCACGGTCGACAGGGGTGCCCAAATAGAACAGCTGCCAGTGTGGGCTACACCATGCACCGATGATGCGTTGTGCTGCATGACTGCCTCACCCGGCCTCTCTTTGGGATAGTACTGAGGCTTCACTCATACTGCCAGCCCATTGGTACTTCATCACGAATCGATGCCCGCTCCTCCTGCGAAGATTTCATTGTCCGAAGACTTGTCCACCACAATCCAGTGGAGAAGTGGCTCGTCAATTTATTTTGATAGGGGGCTTTGTTGAATCGGCAGGAATGACGCCCAATCTGCCCTAAGCCAGGCACTAAAAGCACGCGCCTGCAACTCAATCTCCAGACGAGGGACGTGGAGCATGCTCGAGAAGGGACGACAGCAACCAACATTGAAAGTCCCTTGACCTTGACCTTCTGACCATCTTGAAGTACTGCTGCCTTGCGTCCTTATGCCCTCATCCTTGACCTCAAACACAAAGTCCTGTAACCTTGTACTTCGAGAGAGTCACCCTGCTCATTTATATACCGCTTGCTGCCCACGATCCCTATATACCGCGCCCTTACAACAAACCCCTTCACCGCCGAATCCCCCAACACATTATACAAGACTCCAGAATGTCTTCCACCAACAGTGAATGGAGACCAAAGAAGGCCAGACCTCAGTCGTATGCTACCGTATTGCAGACTCACAGTCGCAATTCTGACCGCCCAACAGAACCATGGCCCAGAACTTCTCCGCCGCCCTAGACGAGATGTTCAAACTCGATGGCATTGGCGCTCTTGAGTTGTCTCTCAATCAGAAGTACGACTTCTCCCGTCTGCCCAAAGCATACGAGCTAGGACGTAAAGGCTGACTTCGTTGCTGAGCAGGAAAGACGAAGTCGACACCAAGAAATACCAATTAGATGCGCTCGAGGCTCAACTTCGGGCAACAGAGCAGCGACTCAGGGAAGCAGAGACAAAGCACCGACGACGAAGCCAGATGTGGGCGAGCCAAAGGTCGCCCATGCAAGAAACATTCTCAGAAACCGACGAGAGCGGCGATAGCGATGGGCAGGGCCGATCATCGCCTACAAATACTGGTGGTAGCCGTCAGTAGACGCTGACTGATGCTGTCTGCTTTTTCGGCGTTCGACGTACTTTTGACAAATTATCGCTTGGCCGGAGGCTCAGCAAGTTGACTTTGGGATAATCTGGCGTTACACTGCCTACCTGGAGGCACACCGATTGTCGGCCACACCAGGAACTTACGACTACATCATCTTCGAGACATCTCGTTAATACTACCTGCACTATACCCATTGGGCACACGACTGGTGCTGCCACATAACGGAGTTCAGGTGCTGGAGTGCGGTCTCCTGGAGCAGACTTGCTGAGAGAATCGAAGTACTCAGAGCAGGAACCCCGAATGTGGACTGCGTTGCAAAGAGGGATTCTGGGTTTTCCGAATTTGACCATGCCCGAATTTCAGGCGCGTTGAGGTGCAGCACAGTGGTACATAGACCGAAGCACTTGACCCGATGTCGAACCAGCGTGGATTCGAAGAATTGATGACACTCTGCGAATTACGAACACCACAGAGCTAACAGAAGGGCGAATATAACGGTCCCAATTGAACTCTGATATTGAGGCAGCCATTTGCAAATTCACACACCCAGCCGGTCCTTTCAAGTAAGAACGCGTTCGAGAGTCCCAAATGTTCCAGCACGTCAAGTCCCTTCCAAGACTATCTTCAGTTCCCCCATCAACCATCCCCAGCCACTGATCCTTGGGAGCACGCCTCCGTACCGCAAGGTATACCTCATGACTCTGATACGGGCTGACAGAAGTACCGTACCGTGACAGCAAGTTGAACTGCAACTGACCGAGTCGGGAAGTTTGCCTTCCCGTTCAGGAACACACAAGTTCTATCTGATTTTTGTGGCGTGGTACACAGCCCAAGGTTCAAGTTCTAAAGTCTGCAGTGGTGCACCAGACTTTCGACAACACGTGATAGAATGTGACGCGCACGGGAAAATCAGATAAACCTTCGACCTCCTTATACGGGATCCCATGTCTATGAATCCGACGCTTGACCTGCTTGGAACCGCTCTCGTTGTCTATACGTCTCGACATATCTTACAGTATGATCAATCAACGCCATTCAAACCGTCTCGCTAAATTGATTTCATGCAAGATGTCACATACCTAATTCGCCGACGATCTCATCGCATGCTCAATGCAGCTTCCACTGCCCATCTACCCATCGTCCAAACACCGGCGACGACCTTCACCAACCCCCAAACAACACCTCCCAACCCCAACACCCCCACAACCAACGCCCTCGCACTCCTTCCCTCGACTCCCATAATGCCACTCTTGACCTCGCTCCCGCCATCCTTTTCCGTCCCCACGCCCAAGTCTGGCACGTATTTCATCTCAAATACCGCCTTCTCCCCACCCAATCCATACTTGTTCTCCACAATGAACTCCCAAAACACCTTTCTCGCCGCCTGCACCTTCCACCGATCCAATCCCTCAAATTGCCTGTAGAAATAACACACCCCCATAAAGAACAAACACTGCCCCACGGTCAACGCATAATACACCATCCCGGGCCTCCCCAACTCCAAAGCATCACACAACTCGTGCCCATTCAACCACCTCGTATTCGCCAGCAGAAAGCTCCTACTCGCGTACGCCGGCGGTGTATTCTCCAAGGCTCGAATAATGTTATTTGCCAACACGCCAGACGTCTTACTCGGCCGGATCTCGTTCAGCAGCAAACTCTCCATCACCATTTTCGCCCTCTCGGGCGTCTCAAACCACTCTGTCGGCGTCCCCGTGTACCAAGCAATCAGCCTCCACAGCGCAATATAGTCCACCTCCTCCTGCCGCGTGACCCAGATCCCCTGCCTTGGTAAACTTAAATACAACAGCGTAGCGCTGAACGTCCCTATCGTCGCAATACAATCCAGATCATTGATCGGCACCCCATTCTCCTCCACGCTATAATAGCCCGGATACTTCTCCTCCAGCCCCAGAATCCGCTTCCGCACCGCGGCATGCAGCAACCGGACTCGCAGAGCACTCGCGAACCCGTCGCCGCCGGGCCGAATGCTCTCTAGGTCACGCGTGCACTCCAGGATGAATTGGGTTGTCTCGAAGAGGCGGTGGCGGGCGACTTTGGTGTTAAAGCCGCCGGTCCGGGCGAGCGTCTCGACGACGCGAGCGGCACCCATGCCGCCGAGGAGGGATTGGTAGGCAAGACCGGTGAGGGAGGGACCGGCGTAGCGATAGAAGACGTCTTGGCCGCGCACCATCTGGTCCCAGTCCACAGGGAAGGGAGGCGTGCATGCTGTGGTGTAGAGGTGCTCCAGGGCGGGGTGGTTGGACTTGTGTTGAAGGAGATGGGCATAGAGGTCGCGTTTGGGTTTACTGGTGGACTTGGGTGGCGGGGGATGTGATGTGGGTGGGAGGGATGGGTCTGGCTTAAGATCTGTGGTGATAGTTGCTGGGGAGGAGGTGGGTCTAAGTCCGGGAGTTTCTGGTGGGGAGATCTGGTTGAGGATGGTGAGGCATTCCTCTCCTAGGGTGTCGTATGAGTGCTTGAGAGGATGAGACTTCTCGAGCGTGAGGTGGCCGGGAGTCAATTGGAAGGTGTAGCCCCATGCTGTACGTGTGTACTCATCTCGGCGGGCAAAAGGGTTTGGCCACGCCATGCTGCTGTTATGTGACAGGAGGTATATCGAGGAGTATCATGGGACCAGATCTCATAGAAAACCCAATCGCCCGTCGGCACATGGGAGGTATCATGTCCATCCTTGCCACATGCCAGACAGATGTAGTCATAGCCAGATCGGGAGAGCGAGTCATGGCTGTGGAGGTGGCTGACTCGTACTGATCTAATCTAATCTGGACTTCTTCCAGACAACGTTCACCCGCAGCATTGCGATATTGCCAGTCAACTTGCACTGACAATGTCGAGCGCAGCTGTAGCGCGGAATCCTCTTGTATACTCATTTCTCTATGCGCCCTTCATCCTCACGACTCCTCGCTGTCTGCCTATAGTCCAACGTCGCGCCCAGTCCCAAGCTAGCATTCGGCGCAAGCTACGAGCAAGAAGCTATCACCGTCCGACCACAACAATTTCGCCGTCAAGGATGCAGAAATCGATGCAGCGGCAATCCAAGCCGCCAGGGCCGAGTTGGAAGCTTTGAGACTCGCAGAGTCACAACATGTGCGACAGAAAGTCCCAAAGCAGCATACACCTGAAGAAGTACCCGAGCAGCATGCGGCGGAAGAAGTCCCAGGTCTCGACGCTGCATCCGAGAGCGCACCATCAGAAAGCCCTATCGATGTCGAGAAGCCACTTGACGCGGCTTACACGCCTGGGCGCGATAGTAAGGTGCAAGAGAAATGGCGGCTCAAGTGGGAACTCACCCCGGAAGAGCAGCGGAGGGAGAGAGGCAGGCAGAAGAAGGCGGCGAAGAAAGCCGCAGCGATAGCCGCCGACCACGAGAAGTTCCTTCAGCGACAACAAGCAAGAGAGGCGCGCGCAGCACTGAAGGAGGGCAGCCTACGGGATATGATGACTTCGAAACTTGACAAGACCGGCAAATTACGTACCTTACAATCCTATGACCTCAATACGGCCGACGACGACGCAGATCCAGACACATCCAACAACCGACGACCCGACTGGGCCGTCCGCCGCGACGCCCTCAAGCAGAAATTCCCCGAGGCTGGGCTCCGCGCAAGAAGCTCTCTCCGGATGCCATGCTTGGCATCAAGCAGCTACACGCCTCCAACCCTACGATGTACACCACGCCTGTCTTAGCAGACCAGTTCAAGGTCTCGCCCGAGGCGATCCGGCGAATATTGAAATCGAAATGGCTCACTCAAGCAAGCCCGGCGGACGTACAGAGGCGGCGCGAGGCGTGGGCGAAACGGCACGATGCGATCTGGGATCAGCAGAGCGAGTTGGGGCTGAGGCCGAAGAGGGAGAAGGAGAGGAGGGTGCGGGATGCGAGTGAGGGGATGGATGAGTTCGAGGAAGGGGTCTGGCGGGAGAGGGTTCTGGAGGAGGCGAGGAGGGCTTGAATGCCGGGAAGACAGCTTCCTTTGGTAGAGTTTCAGTGACCAGCCCAGTTTCACTTCACATCTCTGCCAGCCAACATCAGGTAGCTCGATTTGTGCTGGACAGATGGAAGTGGGACATCTGAAACAGGCAGGAGGACTTCCTTTTGGGTCAAATTCAGTCACCCAGGCAACTTACCTGCTGCACTGCCTTCGTTCTGCCAGGAAATGTGCAGTACTACTACAATCCCCGAATCTCCTTTTCTTCGAATTTTTTGATCCATTCGGCTCTATGAGACCTCCCAGTAAAGCTACAGTCTTCCTCCATCAAGCCAGCACGGCAGCAAGCACCAGTCCAAGCCACCCAGCTGCCGCGATAGAGCCTACTGCCTTCACAGGCGCAACAGCAGCGGATGACGCTTCAGTCGCACTTGCACTCGCCGATGCAGTACTGCTCGTGCTTTCCCTCGAAGTAGATGAGCTCATAGCCGTGCTGCTGCTGCTGCTTGTCTCCGTCTCCGATGCAACGCTCTCCGTCGTCGAAGCCAAATCTGTCGCAATCGCGGTCGCGGCAGCGGGAATTGGCACACTACTGACTGTCCCTGTCGGCGCTGCTGTCGCACTAGCTGGATTACCCGCTCCCGTCAAGCTACTTTCCTGGGCAGGACCAGCCGCACTAGTGATAAATCCCACTACACTGCCCGCTGCGTCCGTGCTCGCCTGACCCACCGCGCCACCCAAGCTCAGATCTGCCACCGATGCAAGGACCGCATTCGGGTTTCCTGCCGCCGAGACCTGCACGGTGTATCCCACACCCCAATCCAGAATCGACCAAGCAGGGAGGTCGAGCTTCTGCGCGCTTGAAGCGACGCTGGACCCCAGTTGGGTCCGCGCGGCGAACTCGTCGGGTGTGTCTGGCGAAGGATGGATGGCCACCAGGTCGATACTTGCAGGGTCTTCGGCAGTGGTGGTCCAAGTGATCGTCAGTGGCAGGCCGGGGTTGATGAAGTCGCCGGGCTTGGGGCAGGTGATCGTAAGGGCGGAGGTGAATGTCAGGAGGGCGAGGAAGGGAAGTGTTCGGGCCATGTTGACGCTAAGTAGTCAACGTTATGGCACAGGAATCGATCGTGAGAGATTCTCGAAGATAAATTTCTCTGCCGTGGCCCTTTGAGTCGCCGTCAGCCGTTGATGATCTTGAACAGCAATTGATCAGACAGCGGACACGGTTGAGCGAGTGTCGTTGTCCCAGAGAAGATTTCTGAGCGCGCAGACTTGAATCGTTGTTGAAAGAGTGTTGTCAGTCGTTACGAAGCACAACGGAGGAAGACAGCCAGCACGCGTCCAAGAAATCCTACGACGTTAGTCCCTCCATGTCCCGAAGACAATAATACGTAAGGGATCGCCTATTTCAAGCCCATATCAAGACCCGGGGCAAGCGGCAGGCGCCAGCGATGATCTCGTGACCGCATCTTCGCCATGTTTGACGGGCGCCGAGAACACAAGCTGACGGTGGGAGGAACAACCTCGCGTGAAACGGAAATTGCGCTGCCCACCACCGATTTTCTGGAAGTTCGGATTCGAGGAAAAGGAGAAGGAAATTTCAGCCTTATTACAGACACACTTCCGAGAGTGACACCGAGAGATTGGACAGCCCTTGGCATCATGTGGGGGACAAACTTACTAGTCTTGCTAGTACGCCGAGCCTTTTCAACGACATAGGAAAGCCTCTGAGGTGCTTGCAACTTGACGTCGCGATGAATTCTCCTCAGCATTGGCAAATGTTCGCCTTTTCCAACATGGTCGCCCGACTTCATTACTGGCTTGACTAACGGACCAACGGATCTGTAGACTCAGCATACAGGGATGCCGCGGTCGCTGCAGACCTGTTTCGGTCAATCCGCGGCGAAGACTATCCAACAGAGAATCGGTCATTGTCGTATCAGTCCATGATTTACATAGTTGGGACTGCCAGACACTCAGATCCAGGCCGACAACATAACGTTTGCCAGATGGTCATTACTGACTTGTCTCCGAAGCACTGTAAGACCAAACACACACTGACCGGCACTCGCTTGCAAGGACATCTCGTGCAATGAATGCCTTGATCAGTCTTGGAGCGTGCGAAAGCATCTGCTAGCGCTCAGCGGCCGGTACCTCAGGTCGTGACCATGGCACTGCGTTATTCGGGAACCGGAGGCTGTGAACCGCTGACTCTGTGGATGTCACTCGCGACCTCTGGCCTTGCCTACATCTTGTGTTGCGTAGACTACTTCATGGACATTCACTCTGTGGATCCGAAGACGCCACGTACTTCGACCGCCTCATGGGCTTTCGACACGATCATGCCGATGCAACGCACGCGCGCGTTTTCCTTTCCGGCCAACAACAGTTTGCTCATACCTGAAAGCTCGGGCTTCAGGTGACGGTGTCGGTCCGAGAAGCAAGGCTCTTGCTGGGGGCGGGCTTATTCTGATCTGGACAACACGATGTTCCTTCTGTGCAAGCAAGAAGGAAAATACTCATCAACAAAGGCACTGACACAAGTTTAGATGCTTGATTATTCATGCATTCACCGCCGTCGGCTGCGCTGAAGGTGATGAGTATATACCACCGTCGTCCATCACAGTCTCTAATTCGCATTTCTGATCAGGCAGGTCGGTAATCGAACCTTGTGTCACATACGATCCATATGCAGGGACGGCCATTGCGTAGAGCGATCGTCTCACCGGGAGAGTGCTAGTAGTGGTGACGACGTGGACCAGACGCCATTTTCATTCAGGCGCCCTCACACCCTTCCTGGACGTTGCGCAATTTTCCTCTGTCCTTTTGTGCACGGGAGGTATGCCACCTGACAGCACTCGCACAAAATTAACGTTGCTGCAGTGGCCATGCTGACTGTGTCAAGGTGTCTAGCTCACGGATTCGGGTACTTTGGACGACCGCTAGTAGGCAAGCATAGAAGACAGCATTTCAAAACGTTGTTGGTGACGCGGAAACTTAAATCCGAGTGCGCACTAGAACCCCACACTCGACCTCGCCTCCCCAATTTATTTTGGCATCAGGGTCACACCTCTTACCTAAGGCGACTTACGTCAATAAACCTCCGCCGACCGTTCGCAGGCAATCAATCTTCGAAAGTCGGGCCACCAGAATAAACTGGGTGTCTGCCGATCGACTCGGGCTCAGGGCGGCCCTCGACATAGCCACAGAACCAGCCTCGCAAGCTCTACATCCCAACACGGGTAGCAAGTGGCTATGGCCACTATGTACGGATTTCCGTGCGAGGTGAGCAGCAGTGACGGTGGAATCGTCAAAGATGGAACCCGCTCACCGACTTGACATGTCTTCAGCAAGGTTCAAGCGGTCAGTCGCCGCCGTGTTGCATATGGGAATCGGAGCACGGTGAACGCCTTTTTCCACATACGAAGTATATCGTTCATCCGGCAACTTCCCATTTAGGCTTCATCCACATTCTACACGTATGGATTAGTCGACGTACCAGGCTGGAGAGTACGTTCATGCTGAGCTCAGACGGTGTTGCTAGCAGAGCCTCGTTTGAGACAGCCAATCATCATTGTCACACTCGTACGTGCAGTGTCTTCACTTGGCACTAGCAAGCGTACGAAGTATGCTACAATGGTGCTCATTCATGGTTGCCACCAAGGGCGAGGATGCTTTTCAAGGCGCCCCGACGTCTGACACCGTCTCCCTGACAGGTAGGTGCATTATATAGTGTTGACGTCCTGCCACCCAGAATTTCAGAGCCGCATTCACATCGACAGACGACAAGCACCATGGCCATCACCGACGCATATCAGAAACGAAACTTTGCAGAAACAGTCCATGACTGTTTCGGCTCAGCAATCCACCCTATCCTCGCCTTTCCAGATGGGCTGGAAGCACAATCAGGTTTCAAGTACTATTCGCCAGCAGATCTGAACCGACTGTCACGCAAAGCGGCAGCATTCCTCCTTTCAAATGGGGTCCCAGTCAGGAAGAGCGGCGACAAGCCCCTCAAGATCACAATCTTCGCCTATGGCACCATCGAATGGGCTGCATGCTTCTACGCCATCGTACAGATGGGCCATACCGCCGTGTCTCTGAGCTCACGCCTTTCAGAGGAATACGTCCAGGGCCTCCTCGCCAAGAGCAACGCAGATGTTCTCCTCCACGATCGGCCAGTCACAATGCCCAGCAATTTGACAAATGTCCACAAAGTCGACATGCCTACAGAACAGAAGCTTGAAGCACTCGCAGAGAAGTCAGACTCAGAGGTCTACTGTGACTACACAACAGCCATCGACCCCGAAGACGACGTCTACTACGCACACTCGTCCGGCAGTACATCCCTCCCCAAACTCTTCCCAGTCAGCCACCGCGAATGGCTCGCTCGCATGCGACACTGCGAGCAGATCATCCTCCCAGACGAGCGCTCCTGGTGCGCTTCGGCAATGTACAACGCGGTAGGACTGATCCAAATAAGCTTGGCAGTGTCCAAATCAGTCCCAGTGTTCTTCGAGAACGATCGCGTACAATTCACAGTGGAGGGAGCAGTGAAGTTTGTCCAAGAGGCAAGGCCAGACAAGATCGGCATCACGCCATGGACGCTTGGCATGCTTGCAACTGTCCCGAAGGGCATCGAAGGTCTGCGCCACGCCAGACGGGTCGAGATGTTTGGTGCTGTATGTTCCGACGAGCTTGGCGACAAGCTCGTTGCGGAAGGCGTTAAGTTGGCATCGCTCTACGCTACTACGGAGTCAAGTGCCATGGCTGGATCGTCTTCGAGACCTGAAGGAGATGACGAATGGCAGTGGTTGTCTATCATTCCGCCGAAGAAGCAACATATTGAGATGCGACCACTTGACGGCAGCGAAGAGCTCTGGCAATTGTGGTGTAAGCCTGGATGCCCCGAAGTGCTCCCCACTGTCAAGGATAAGGACGGTGCCTTCTGCACCGGGGATCTCTTCCTGAAGCACCCCACCAAGGAGAATCGCTGGAAGTGTGTGGGTCGGCAGGATGACCATATCAAGATCTATCAGAAGGACAGGCAGTCGATCATCAACGCTATCGTGTACGAACAGACGATCCACCGCGGCAACAAAGACGTTGTCGATGAGGTCGTGCTCTTCGGTCAAGGTCGCGGGAGTCTTGGCGCTCTAGTGTTCGCTGAAGACCTCCCCGTTGGCTCGCACAAGAGAGCTGAAGCCGAGAAGCGGATCTGGCATACAGTCCAGAGCGAAGTCAATGGCAAGCTTCCAACGCCGATCGACAAGAACATGATTGTGTTCGTGGACATCAAGCGGACGTCACTGCCTCAGACTGGGAAGTTCAACATCATCAGACCACAGATCTACCTAAAATTCCAGCATTTGATCGACCAAGCTTATGACAACCAGGCTTCGGAGCCCACCGTGAACGGCAAGTCCTCTGATGCCACAACGAACGGCAATGCGTCCGAGCAGAAGCATGATCGTCCAAATGGTCTGCATAGAACGGAAAGCTGTGGTTCTGAGCACGGGGCTGCGTTGACGAATGGGCACACGAACGGCCCTAGCGCGAAGTATGTCAGCTGAGCTCGTGTCAAGGAGCAATGGCTATTTGCATCAACAAGAAAAAGATGATAAGGGTAGGTAAAAATATCTTAATTAGCATAGCATATCATGAACATATTGTACTTCATCGTTGACAATCACAGCCCTTCAAGGCGCCTTGATGTCCCCTCGTTTGCCGCTGTGACAAGCTTCACGCCCAGATTCAAGGCGCCCTCGACTCCCTTCGGTTTTCGCTTGCTTGAGTGTCAAATTGATCGCATACACTCGATGCGCGGGGCGGCCTGCGTGTAGAATAGGACATAACCATTCCGCTGGCCGAAAATGAAAATGCTTCGCAAGCATTCCACGTTCCGTCATCGTCTCTCACATGTGCTGAGCTATTACATGATGCCGTTCAAATTGAACAGCACCTCCTGCTCCGCCATGAGCCAAGCCTTCGCCCAGCCAAAATTGAGGACCAAACGTTGCCGCATCGGGTGGAGGGAGCGGAGCTTTCCAAGAGTTCGAGGAGAGCATGGCCGACATATGCAGAACGCAGGCCACTCGCTGATTCGATATTGTGCTGATGGTCCATGAGGCCCTGCTCTGGCGATGGAGTCGTTGCTCCGTTGGGTGGCCGGGTCTGATGGGAAGACTGGGCAGACAATTTTTTTTGGCGGTGGGTATATGTGCTCAGGATTCGCTCGTGAACAATGCGCCGTTGCAGTGGCTGCTTGGGACGAGAAAAGACATTCTGCACTCATTGTGTGACTTCCGCAAAGATGAAATCCTGCCTCACCACATTCATCCTCGTCGGACTCTTGAACCTGGCTGCTGCGCAAACCACAGACAGCACCACCACCTCAACAGCGGCCCTTGAACCAAGTCCGACAGAGAGCATCGGCTGTGAACCGTACGCAACTCTTTTCCAATCCTCGCTCACTCCAGATCTTTGCTGTTGACAATTAACACAGTCACGGCGACCACTGGCACTGCGACGGCCCTGCCGAAACGGGCGCTGCTACAAATGCCACAACAACGAACGACGATGACGAGCATGATCACGAACACGACGAAGATGAGCACACTGATGCCGCAGGCACTGGATCGCTGCCACCGAGCCCGGTCGCGAGTGTAGGATGTGAGCCGTAAGTCTCCGGGTCCCCCTAAGGTCCGTCCGGGCGTGATCTTGGGTGCTCTGTCGATGGACAAGCATGGCTTTCACCCGTACTTACACGGAGAGCGAAACAAGCTGACCTGTTCGTTCAAACCCGCAGACATGGCGACCACTGGCACTGTGATGGTCCAGCATCCACGACGTCGACGGCAGGAGACGCTGCAGCTCAGACTTCAAGCACTGTCTCGAGCGTGACGCCGGCTGAGCAGACCGGCTCAAGTGGTGCAGACCATGTTGTCGCTGGTCTTAGTGCCGTCGTTATTGCTGGGATGGTGGCTGTTCTGTAAGAGTAAGATCAGTGTCGAGGAACAGGCATGGTTTGGCAAATCATATTTAGAGTGCATCAGATTGTAGCCATAGAGCTAGAGAAAGGAATCGGAGATCCCAGGATGCAGTCGGCTCGGGCAGCAATGCATCCGTTTGAGCATTGCTTAGGGTCTTGCCCAAATCGCTGATTGTAGTGGTTCTACGCCTCCTGAGTATACCTTCGCAAAGCCCTCCCGGTCCGTTTCCGGAATATCGCTCACAGGCCACCGTCCATACCAAACACAGCCGCTCGAACGTCAATGAAGAGTCGTTAAGTATAGTGAGTCAACCGCTTAACACTAGCAGTCGGCACAACACTCGAGGCAGTCGAAGCAGCATTCGCAGCTCTCTTCGCAGAGGAAACAACAGCAGAGCGTGGCCAGACTATATCACAGTGTTAGTTGAATCGTATTGCACATCAACGGCACGACCGGGGTCATACCAAGCGCCGAGACAGCCGCGATCCTTCTTCTGCTTGACTACGACTTGCTGAGGAGGTCCTTGTTGATATTGCATGCCACCTTGAGGTGGGCCTTGGTAGTAGCCTTGCTGCGGTGGGCCGCCATAGCTGGGTGATAGATGTCAGCATGGGTTGCGCTGTCGCTGTCGCAATTGCATGCGCAATGTGATACTATAAGAGTGTCTTCATACCTCTGTTGGGGATATTGAGGATAGCCTTGAGGCGGTCCCTGCTGATAGCCACCCTGCTGGTAGCCACCCTGCTGTTGGTAGTATTGATTCGCGCTCATTTTGGAGGTTCAGAGAAGATTATGCGACCGAATCGGTTGTTTGGTGAGCTGCACAGTCAAAAAGACAGTCGGATGCCGTGTGCGCGAACAGGGCAATTTTCCGCAATAGCGAGCGTCTTGCGACGAGATATGAAAAGAATACAGGAAGAAGTAGGACGTTTGAGAAATCGGGCTGTGGTCTGGATGCAGATCGATGAGGAGAGCGTCCAGGTGGCGGCGGGCAGCTTCTTTTAATTCGTACTTGGGCCCCAAGTGACGAAAGCTTGAGACGACTAAGCCTTCAGACTGGAGTGTGGCGTTTGCTTCGAGAAGGGTTCGGCAGAACGCATATGCGAGTGCTTGGGACAATGGTCGATATATTCCGAGCTCGAGACAGTGTTACGCGTGGTAAGTGACGATGCTACGTTGACTGAGCCCTGGAGCTTGTTGCATGTGTTGCAGGTGTCATCACAGCAATCAGAGGGCGCCCGAGAAGTTAGGGAGTATCAGTAAGGCAATCGCGCCCGAGCTTGTGGGTGGTGTTGCGCCTCTATTTTCAGCCCCAGACATTTGGGGCACCTGCAGGCACTGGCATGTGTAAGCTCTCGGCTGAGCCCAAGCAGTTGTCACTGCTTCCTGCTCTGCCTCAGACCCGTTCGGAGACAGCTCTCGGCTTCTGAATGGTGATGTGGCTATCCCAACCTCGAATTGTTACATGCAGTGTGCATGCGCCACAGCTGCTTGCGAGTGAGAGGCAGTGCGAGCAGCCCTCAGGTGTCGATCTACGCATTGGGAATGGTGTTTACGATGACAAGAAGGGACGCGCGGCCTCAAGGAACAAGCCTAGCAATCGCGAGTGTATCTTTCCCAGGGCTCGTCCCGGGGTTTCTAACTGCCGCAGATTAGGCGATCTGGCCATTTACGCTTGGTCACGCAGAGAATCTTGGATATGGTGAATCAAGAAACTTGTGTATGCAGTTGGTGATTCCACACGAGCTTTGATCATTGTGCATACTACTAAGACCGCGAAGTATTCACACAGCCTTGAATGTGCGAGAATTGTGAACGTTAAAAGCCACTCCATTCAGCTTGCTAGCCCCCGTACGCCTGCCCTATCGTCTAATTTCACGTGAGCCTCTGGTCAAGTTCTCTGAATGTACAATGCAACAAAGCGTGCAAGAAATATCGCGCGGCATCAAGGTTCTGTCGTCTGCTTCTTGGTACTGTCGTCAAGGTCTGCCGTGGACTGTCGTTGTCAATAAACAGCCGGAGCCATTGTGGTTGATAACTGGGCGGCACAGGATGGTGACCAGCCATAGTCGTGGCTGGAATGCCGTACATGAATTGCTCATGCTGTTGTTGTTGCTGCTGCTGATGCTGATGGTGCATGGCCAACAGGACATCATGGCTGTAGGTGAGCTCATCGTACTCGCCAGGATAGCTATGCTGTTGCTGGTACGCCTCAAATGAGTCGAGGTCGACAGCAAGCTCGTGGGCGAGGACTTTGCTGGTGCTGGTGTTTTCCTCCCAGACTTCATACATCCAATGCTTGAGCTCATCCATCGCAGGCTTGTTGCCACCACCCATACCTCCGCGACCTTCACTTTTCTTGCCACGGCCACCTCTTTTGTTCTTGGGTGGGTTGAAGTGGGCACGACGAAGGTGAGCGGCGGCATTGTAGTTCGCACCATAAGTTTTCTGCGGACATCAGCCACTACTATCCATGATCTTCTTCTTACTACTTACCTTGTTTCGGCAGGCTTTGCAGTTGGCGAGAAATTTGCCATCGACATCTTTCTCTTTGCAAATCCATACCTTGCGTCGAAGCTTGTGGTGGCGACCGATATGCTATCCAGCTCATGAACGCCATGAAAGCCGCTCGGGTTGTCATCACAGTACGGACACTTCAAAGTCTTACGATCTGGCTCTCGTCGAGCAGCGCGTGTGATCTCTGCTTTACGCTTGACGGTGCCGTCTGCACCTTTTACATCCACAAACCGAGGATTCCCGGTTGGCGACGATGACTTGTCCGACTCTTGCTTCGGTGCAAGTAGCCGCACACTCGCGGTGGGCGACTCTTGCATCCGAGGCGAAGAGTGAACTGAAGTAAAAGGAGATGATGACACATCACTTTCCTGCGAAAGTGATGCTGCCATCTCTTCCGAACAATAAGGAAAGGGGAGGGGGTTCCCAGAATAAGAAATGTCATGGTATTGTTGAGGTACCATGGTTGAGAAAGGGAGTGTTTGGTCGTCGAGATCCTCAGCCTTACCGAGCTCGATGGACTCATTGGGCTTCGACAATGAGTTCATGCGGAACATGTCGAAGCCTTTGCAGAGCACGTCATCAGTGTTACTGCGAGTCATCGGCTCACTAAGAACTGCTGATCTCGAGACCAAACTTGAGTCGCTGATGACTGTCATCGGCGGTTGCGGAGCTGATGGCTCGTACGCTTGGTGGTAAGTGAGGTTGGAGGTGGTCTGATCGTTGAACTCACCACGTTCAACAGCCGGCGATGGCGTTAGGGAGTGAGGCGTAGCGTAAACGTTCTGGCTCTGCTCAAGATATTCGGCTGGTGAGAGATCCTGAACCTCTTCGATGTTGCCGAGGCCGGTCCGAGTGAACGAGTAGAGCGTTTCTGATTGTGTTGCCAATGATGCCGCAGGGCGTCGGATGGGAACAGTCGTTGAGATGTCCCGTGTCGTTGACCTGAGAAAGGCTGGCGCTGAGATTTGTCGCTGAAGAGGATGGGTAGGCGTGTCCGTAACCAAATTGTCCTTTGAGAGTCAATCCAGTGTAGAACAAACAAGCATTGGAACACCTACGAGGCCAGGTCGCTTGGAAGACGGCTCCTCACCAAATGAATGCGACGCACTGCGTTTTGAGGGGACGACAGGTGCTCCAGAACCGCTTATTGCCTGAGCGCTGATCGATGTCCAGTACTGTTGCCAGCCCGTTTCTCGCTCGCTAGGTGATAGATGTTGGTGCTCATGGTCGTAGACATTTCGAAAAGCCTGAATAGCCTGAATCAGTCCTTTTGCGTGACCAGTCTCCATGATGAGTTCCAGGCCGTCTCGCTCAAGCTTAGGGGTGCTAGATGGTTAGCCTTAACAAAAGTTTGACAGCCAAAATGAAGCTTACAGCTGGTAGTGAGGTTGATCGTCGAAGGAGAATGAAGTCAGTTATAGTGATGCGTAAAAAATGGCTTGCTTGCACTGAAGTTCGTAGAAAGTGAAGCAAAATGGTAGACGAGTAGAAAGTAGTGTGGGAACGCGGGAGAGAGCTTATTATCCTTCAGATCCCAGATGGTCGAAGTGTCATGGGAGCAAGGTCTGACCGCGGAGGGGAAAGAGCTTACAGGGAAGCAGAAAGTACGTCGCAAACGTGGGATCGAAACGTGGTGATAAGTGGTCAAGATCTGCCGGAGCGGTGCGGTGTCGCGATCACGAGGATCAGTCGCAGTTGGGCCAGGGGAACGCCCAGGCGAGTGGCCCGCTACGGATACTTTCCCTGGGCGTCGGCACGTCCCTAAAGGTACAAGTTTAATACTGACCACTTTGTAACCGTTTCTTGATAGGCTGCCTTGTTTTGAGGCAGCGTGGGATTGCACAGCATGGTGTTCTGTGAGCTCACCCGATTCGTTGCCTCACTTTTCTCACGAATTACTGCACAAATAACAAATATGAAAACGTGTCTGCCCTTTTCGTTCGACGGCAGTCCCGGATTCTGCGCGGCTCTTCCTTATGTGGTCGATGCGAGTCAGGTCGACTGCGGACTCTGCAGGCGTTCCGTCAGCCTCTCGGCGGTGTCACAGCCTGTGCGCCCGTTGAAGGTTCCATGCAGAATACCTGCCAGGACCACGGTGAACGTGACGCGATTGTCGCAGCTGTGAGGATGCTCCGCGGAAGTTCAGAAGCCGTCTGAAGCCTGCGTCGCGTGTTCGTCGGGAGTAACCACACAGCCATGTGGTTACAGAAAAAGTCCCTGCGCCTGATGGGTGTGTTACAACATTAAGGGCTCGCACTCGCTAAAATTCGGTAAATATCAGCGTGACGCAACGATCGTCCCTGTCCTGCTCCAGTTCGGGCAATCCAACGAACTCGGATCGAACGTCTCTGGAAGGCTATGGACACTTAGGTCCAGGTACCTTGCATGGTAGCAGCCCGGAACAGCTGAACTGGTTGATCATGGCGATCGAATGGTCAACAGATCTTGTAGGTATCTAAGCGAGCATCGAAAGCCGTGCGATCCAGGAAGCCTCTTACAGCTCCGCGGACGAGCACCCAGATCTTTACAAATAGAGCGAGAATGGCCAGAGGTCATGTATCAGATATCATCTCCATGGCCACCGTCCGGAACAACGCCGGACCTGAGAGCGCTTGGTAGGATCTGAGCAAGCTTGCCGTAGCGCTCTTCGCGACGGCGCAGAGCACAGCTGCCGCGTGCATGCGAGTCGCTAGGTTATCAAGTTGAATTCGTTGCAGAGTGTCTCGCATACGATGCCTGCTCATCATCCCAGCGCTCATCCTCTGCCGCGTCCCAACTAACACTACCGATGAATGAATTCAGCATAAGCGGCTCTGATCAAAGCGCTGCTCAGTGTGAACGCATGTGGGCCTGGTGCAGAGCTGTACTTGGCTTTGGGTGCAACTTTTGTGTCATGCTCAAGGAGGCGCCAGGTAGAGCGTTGAGGGGAGCTAGACGCGGTCTGTGATGCACATCCTGCTGCTCAGGAGGACACTGCAATCGTCAATTTGACCGCGAGACGGCACATGATTGACTCGTCCTTTTACAGGTGCTGGACAGAACTTCCACGTATCAGTTTGTTCAATGTATTTTGTTCTCTACAAGGTGCCAAGAACCTGGATGACGTAGCGTAGATCGTATCAACGTCGGTCAATGCGAGACTTCCAAACCAGAAGACTTCGTGGCGCCGGACGTGCCTTCAGCCGTCACAGTTTCCTGTGTGCTTGACCGCGTCTTGCGGCGATTGTTTCAGTGGTTGCCACTGCGAACAGCCATCCCACTATCTCAAACCTGACGTCCGGACACATCAAAGTGTTGAGCTTCTGACCGTGAGCCCGCAATCATGGCAGACCCGACGCTATACCTATACACTTCGCTTACGGCAGGCTCGTCACATATCATAACGGCTACGTCCCGACTTGAAACCATCCTGAAGGCCAACAAGATCCCTTTCCGGGCCTTAGACGTCGCTACTGACGATAAAGCGCGGAGTCTTTGGGGAAGAAGATCACGAGGTAGGAAACTACCGGGTCTGGTCAAGTTCGGGCAAGTCATAGGCGTAGGTACTGTTAGAAGGCGAACCAGGAGCCCTCCACTGACCAGCGTAGGACCTGGATCAGATCGAAGAATGGAACGAATTCGGCGAGCTACACGAGCAGATCGAGTCTGCGGACGACTTCCTCGACGGCTCAGCCGCACCAGTCAATCCCAACGCAATCTCTCTGCGACCAGAGCCTGCTCCTGGAGTCGCAAATCAATTGACACCCATTCAGCCAGCCCCTGGCGGTATTAAAAAAGATCCAAAAGCTACATCAGCAACCTCATCTCTGGCCTCGTCGGAGACTCGACACATTTCGATAACAGAGCCAACAGCCCTAGAACGAGAAGGACGGAGTCCAATAGCAACCCCTTCAGAGAATCCCATGACTATGACTATGCGTCAACTAGGGGCAGAAGCTGCTGCAAGAGCCAAAGACAGAAAGACTTCTGGAGCAATACCAAAGTCCGTCCCTGTCAGCAGCCCATCAGCCAAGTCAGACATACCTCTTTCTCCGCCTGCAGCCACTACAGACGCGAAGGAGCGGGAGGCAAGTGATCCAAGTCAAGCCCCGGAAGTGACTGCAGCAAAGGCTCCAGCGCAATTGGCCGCCGAGGGAGTGAAGAGGACCAGCGTGGACAAGATCGAGGCGGCAAGCGCATCAACAGGCAATACAACAACATCCACATCAATCGATTCAGACGCCAGGAAAGACTCCGGACCAACAAGTCCCGGCACAGCAAGTACTGAAGAGCAGCTCCTCAATCTGCGGAGGCAGAGTACGCAGACTGCTGTGCCATCCAAGCTTGCAGAGTCCGTCAGTGCAGCTCCTGAAGGTGAACCAACCGAGAACGAAACCCCTGCGTCTGATGCTATACCTAAGACAGACGAAGACCCCAAAATCGACAGTGATGTCGAGCCACCTGTTGCGGAAGCCAACACCGATGCAACACCAGACGGAGGGAGACAAACTTCGTCAGCTCAAACCGCAGAGCCTACCGATCAAGCCAGCTCCGATCAGCCGGCCTCTAAAGCCGCGGAAGTCGATGCCCATGCTCCAGCAGCTGCGTCACTCAATGCACCGTCGAGCGACCTGGGATCAAACCCAGAAGAGCATATACGGGACTCGTCAATCGTGGAAGCAGATAAGAGCAAGGTCAAAGAAGTCGAGCAGTCCATCAAGATAGATGAGCGTCCTGAGGAGGAGGCCAAATCCGGCGTAGAAGACTCCACAGAAACCTCCGTGTCAAAGCCATCTGAAACTCCCAAAGGGTCATCGACGGAAGTACCTGAGACTGCGTCGAAGACTGTCGAGGACGAGGAGAAGCTGGTAGAGCCACAGAAGGGCGATGCGAAGGACTCGGAAGCGGCTACGGAGAGTGTGAAAGACTAGGCGTCGTTCGTTGGCGTGTGGCCACGCTGTATGGTCAGCTAGCGTAGCCGATGTGCGCGCTGCACACCTTATCCTGTGCATATAATCAGCTCGGCACTCATCAATTTTTTAATCAACGAACGAATTTCCTAGAAGAAAAGCAGACAGGAGTCAATTCCAGTGGGGAGTATTGATTTGATTGCGTTTGACTGTTGCCTCGAAAACCTCTCCAGTACTCACGCGCTCGCGTACAGGATCTCAGCCAGCAGCCGCGGCTCAGACAGCCGTAATCGAAGGCTCCTAGAGCCTACTGGGCTCGTTCTTCGCTACCTTCTCTGCTGCTTCCTGTGCCTGCATCTCAGCCTTGTTGCGGAGGTGTCATGCTTTCTGCTCTGCTTCAAGGTGTTGCAAGAGAAAATTCCTCTTCATTGCTGCTTCCTCGGCATTTCCTTGTTCCGTCATGCTGACTTTGCTGCGCAAAAATCACTCCTGCGGCTCCAGCGCAAGCTGGAAGAGGAGGTTCCCTTTCGTCCCGCCGATGCCAGTAGCAGCAGTAGGGTCGTCGGTGAGCATATGTGACAACAGTCGTACCAGCTTTCAGTCAGACACCTTGAGCTTCTTGGCTTCATCTCTAGCGGCCTTTTCGACGGCATCCTGTGCTTCTTTCTCGGACTTGTCGCGTAAGTATTGCTCCTCCTGCTCCCGACTTAGATAGCGCATGAGAAGGTTCTCATCTATCGCTGCTGTGGCCGCGTCTTCGCCTGCTCCCATTGCCTGAATCTCGGCCTTGATACGGACGTATCGCAGTTTTTGCTCCAGTGACAGGCCTGGCATGAAGAAATCCTCTTGTTCTGCGATCTTGACAGGATCGGTACTGAGCATTTGCAAGACTCGATCGAAATGGTGTGCCGGAACCGTATCTGGGGCAGGCTCTGGGATCTCGTCCTGTGCCGCGTCGCTGACTGCTCCATGGTTTCCGGGCTTTGGGACCTGTCCACCCATCTCGACGTCATGGTCGTGAACATTTGCTTTCTGTGCCTGTTTCTCGGCCTTATCGCGTAAGTATTGTTCTTTCAGGTCTTGCGGAAGGTAGCGCATGAGCATGGCCTCCTCCTCCGCGGCAACGACAGCAGGGTCCTCGACCGGTCCCTTCGGACGAGCATCTTCCTCCAATCTTCGAATGTTGTCGTCGAAACCCGCGAGAAATTCTTCCTTTCTGAACTTGTCGGGCCATCCATAGTCGAGAAGCAACTTCTTGGTATTGTGATAGAGATCAGCTGGGAGACTAGTTAGCTGCATACTTCGGCTTTGCAAAGACATCGGGGCTCACTGTGGATCTCGGTGATGATGCCTCGGCCACGGAGAGGAATCTCTTCGAGCGATTTGTATTTTTCGATGAACTCTTTGAAGAGGTCTTTCGCATCCTTTGCGCCCCATTCGTCCCAGTCGTCCAGGTCCCCGTTCACAAGGACCCAGCGCACCGCCTGCCCTGTTTCATCGTCAGTCATACTCGTGGCAAGGTTGCTCTCATGGTCGTACCGTTATGTGTGTCCAGAATGATGGTACCAACATTGATATTATTGCTTGCCGTGATTGCGACTTGGTGTGCTGGCAGAGTCGGGTATTCGCTGTCTTCCAGGTCGGGCTCCTCGTCGTAGAATGGCGCAACGCGAGTGTATTTGATGTTCTCTTCATCGTGATAGTTGATGGTCTCTGTGTCACCATTCAACGCGAATGCTATGCGGGGCCGTGGTATCGCTTGAAGCAACTCGACCACAGCCGGACTGTAGCCCCATTTCTGGAATTCATCGACAGGTAATGGGTTTTCCGTGTGTGGAGGCCAACTAATATCGACCGAATCGATGTATCCAAAGTCGACCAGGAGACTGTAGAGTTCGGTGAGAACGACGCATAACTCTTGGTGATCGGACATCGTTGCATTTGTTGCAGACTTATTACTAGGAGGCGTGATTGCGGAGCAGGTTCATGGCGCAGCGCAAAGGTTTCAGTCCGGCGTGTGAAGTGAAATGAAAACGACGAGGCAACGGAATAAGGCAATTAAGACGACTCCACCTCATGCACCAACCCGGTGTAAGTGTCGTGTTACATCACTCCCTGATGACTTCGAGTGAAAGACCAGAGCCTGCTCAGTCACAACTCCAGCGTGTCCTCTTGAGTCTCCCAGGACGCCTTCGTGGTCTGTCTTACGGCTGCTTGCACCATTGCTTCTCCAGTGTCCTGGCGACTTCGGTGCTCGAGAAGTGACCGCATTTTCCGGGCATTCGTCACACCAAGCCGCCAGCTTTCGTTCTCGCCCAGCTTTGAGGTCAATCCAGACCTTACAGGCTGGCCACGACGGACGGCTTTCGCTCTTGCGACATGTCTGCGCCATCAGGCCGACCGGCGAAAGTCCATCTGCGACCGTTGCGATTCGTCTATCTGCTATCCTGGTGATGACGGGCTAGAATGCATCAGCCGGCTCGTGGGAAGCTCATCGTATGGACAGATACGGCTGTGTGTTTGAATGCGAACGCAGTGTCCGCCGCAGTGCATCAGAGCGATATGCAGATATCTGACAGCTCAATGCCGTCGGGCGTACATCACTTTGACTTGGGTCAAAGTCATGCTCGTGGATCGCCTCGTGACTGACGCCGGACGGGGATGTGACTGTTGTTTCCATCTGTTGAAAGCGCAGTGAGGTATGCAGCTCGATTGAGGACGCGTGTATGGCTGGCACGCACCGAGCCATAAGTACGTCGCTTGCCCGTGTCGCACCTGCCATGCTCCGTCAGACCGGCCAAGCATGTTGCGTCCATACACGCCATGATCATCCTCGGTATGACTTCCGCAAGCTGGATCATCGTCCTACTCCACTGGAGTCTCCTCATACCGTCTCTTCAAGCAGAAGGAACCAATAGTTCTGCGCCGCTCAGCATCCCGGAGAGTCCTCCTGGGCATACTGTCGACGCCGATGTGGCCGGTCTATCATCTCCGGGGCGGTCTCTGAATCACTCCTCTGTTCCCTTTGCGAATAGGTCTAGAGTCGATGCGCCATGCAACACCGATCAGAATCCCTCTTGTGCCGGCGTTCCCCAATTCGAGGCGCTTTGTTGCCCGGCTCCGAGTCTCTGCTACTGTATGTTTGTCATGAGCTCTTATCTGCAGCACCGGGTGCTAACATTGAGATACAGGGGCCGAATCGGCAAGGCACACCGGCCTGTTGTCCAGCAGGTGAGGTGTGTCACAGCCTAAGCCATGCCACACCGATAAGAACCCATCCTGTGCCGGCAATCCCAAGTTTGAGGAGCTCTGTTGCCCAGCTCCGAATCTCTGCTACTGTAAGTCTCTCTTGAGCTCTCATCTGCAGCACCGGGTGCTAACATTGAGACACAGGGGCCGATCGACAAGGCACACCGGCGTGTTGTCCAGCAGGTCAGGTCTGTCCTCCGGCTTCTCCTCTACCCCAAACTTCATCGTCTCCTCCGCCACCTCCTTCGCCACCTTCTGAAACAGCTGGCTCCGGACCTGTTATAGTACCTGTTCCGGTTCCACTACTTCCTCCAGCACCACCCCCACCTCCGCCTCCTCCTCCTCCTCCCCCTCCACCTGGACCACCAGATCCACCTCAAACCACCGTACCGCCACCAACGGCCACCACCAACAAACCTGACGCGACTTCATTCAAGTGCAAATCCCTCTCACCGGTTGGCACAACTCCCACGAGCCGAACTTGGACAGCGACTGATACCGTGACTTGCGATGGAGACATTTACCCACAGGCATGCTTACATTATAGCTCTGTTCAACGCCGACCCACTGGCGATGCATCGATTCTGAGCTGCCCCTATCCAAGATACGCGAAGGAGACTCAAGTTCCGCGGCCTGAAGTCGAGTCTTACTCTCGAGATCATAATGAGGCATGGCAATCGTGGATCCCCTATTGGCCCACGACGCCGAGAGCGGGCAGAAAGACGAAACCAAAGGCGCTATGCGATCGGGACGAGTACCCCCCCGCACATTTCATGCAGGGCGCCAACGGCTCCGCAAACACCAGAGCCAACTCGAAAACAACGAGCGTCTGGATACGATATCTCCCCGCGTACGAGAACCGTGGAGCCGGGAATTTGTGGAAAGGTTTCTGCGACAGAAGCGCCGTCAGCACGGAGACAATTACGAGTCCACCGGACAAAGACGGTGTTTGCACAAGTAAGTTGACTGTGTGACCTTTGCTCGGAAGCTGACTTGTGCTGGACAGTTCAGCGGGAGATACACGCGTCGCTCAGAGCAATGACGATGCAGTTCATCAACATGCCAAACTTGAAAGACGACGGTCTGAGTGACAATCCATGTCGGCCAACGGCAATCTGGCTGGATCCTGGCTATGCGCTTCGTGTAGATGACCCATGGTATTTGCCGGCGTTGTTGCATGGCGAAAACGCTGACAAGCGACGGAAGCTGTATGGTAACCCTCCTTCAGCAGCTGTGACGCAGAACAGGCAGTCCGTACGGACCAAGATCCCCAACTGCCAATGGAAGAGACAAGCCGGCGTGGCCGATGAGGACTACGACGATTGCGGTAATCCCAATCCCGATGATGCGGAATATGAATGGATTAACCCTCCGCAACCGGAAGGGCTCGGCGTCCACAACGATCTCTCTCTTCCGAGGGACGTTCAATATATCGAAGATGACGGTGTCGAACGTGAAAGAACGGATGAAGAGCTGTTCCGGGACTTTGGCCTGCTCGTGTGCCGGTCCAACGACTGTCTGGCGGAATATTCCTCTCTGGCAGGCGTACTGGCTGATGTTGATATGGTGAGTGTTGTCAATCCTAGAACTGATATCGGCAGCTGACCAATCGTGGCAGGAGGACTTCGATCCTACTTTCACAATGATGCCAGATGTGAGTCCTCAGTTCCTGCGAGAATGAATGCGGATGACTGACCTCTTTGTAGCACCACGACCCGCCAACACCGACCAGCTTCCTCGTCACCGACGAAGCCGGCCACACCACCACCATGTACTGAGCTCGGTCATAGGCCTTGCCAGACGCCAAATCTAGTATGCATTAGCCCCAACATATCTTAGCAAGTATCAATATCAATATCGATTCCTGAAGCACGCTTTGCATTCGTTGATTGCGAGCGAGGTTGTTCGGCATTAGCATGGTCCCTCTTATCTAGTGCACCTTTCCCACCGCTACTGCGGCCGGCGCGGGCGTCTCCTGGTCTTTGATGCCCTGCATCGAGAACGGCGCGGCAAAAGCATACCTCTCCCACCCTTTACTGTAGTCCTTCCCCTCAACCCTCTCATGCTCAGGCGGAAAGTTCTCTCTCCGATCCGCATAGTACCTTTGCCTCAGATCCGTACCATCGCGCTTCGCACTATACGTGGCATAGATCATAGCCCTCTCCCTGGTCGAATTATTAGGTCCGCTCCGATGGGCCAGGTGGCTACCGAAGATAAGCATATCCCCTGGAGCTAGTGGCACGGGAAGCCAGGTATGGGATTCTTCCCATTCGCGAGTGATGTGACCGCCCGTTATGAAGGGAACGTGTTGTTTGTGTGATCCAGGCACAACCTCGAGACAGCCATTCTCGAGTGTGGCGTCGTCAACGGCTAGATTGGCTGTTACGTGGTCGATCTTGCCGATATGGTCGTAGGCCGGCGCGTCGAGGTGAGCTCCGAAGCCGTTGCCCTTGGGAGACTTGTAGTTGATCTTGTCTTTGAAGAGGAGCATGTCGTCGCCGGAGAGCTGGGCAAGGAGATTAGTGAGGTCATCGCCGCAAAGGAAAGCGACGAGCTGTGGGTGGTAGTCGACGAAGTTCTCCGTGCGTAGGAGTTGTCGTTGCCCTTGGCTGTTGATCTCCTCGTAGTGCATCCACTTGCCCTTTTCCTTGGGCCAGGATTTTACTTCTGCTGACCATTCTTGCAGAGCTGAAGGTGAGACAAGACCGTGCTGTGTGGCGCGTAGTATGAGGTAGCCTTCCTCGTGGTATTGTGCGATCTCCTCGGCACTCAGTGTGTAAGGCATGGTGATCCTGATATGTCTGATGATGGGTCTCTTGACGCGTACCGCCTAGTTGAATCATGCTCGTCCAGCAATGATATATACAAAGCTGCGTTTAGTCGAATGATAGGGAGGCGCGGACTTCGTGCCGCGATTTTTGGGCCATCCAATTTGAACCATGTTCGGGCACTTCGTGCCGCGATTTAGTGTTTCGCCTGATCGTCGTTCCCCTATCGGCCATGCTCCGATGACATGCTGTGCCGAGTGTGCAGTGGTGGTTGTGTCCTAAAGATGCCTTCTTATCAGTCGCAGGATCTTCTTCTCATCAGACGAACAGCACGACATAACTTGACAGGTAGAATGGCGGCCTCCACGAACAAGCAGGATGTCCAGGAGAGAGTGAGAGAACTCTTCGACTTCATAGAAAAGCAGGGCCAGGCCGATTATATCGGCGAAGCAGTGTCACAGCTCCAGCACTCTTTGCAGGCGGCGCAGTACGCGGTAGATTCCCATGCAGACGACGATACTGTTTTGGGCGCGCTACTCCATGATATCGGACGCTTGTAAGTCTCCTCAGCTCTCGTACATTGCCTGTTGTCATCGGGCAATTGGTTGACATGCCTTCTTCCTGATGCAATGCTGATGAAACCTCAGCATACCAGCCTCGGAGAAAATGCCGGCGCAGATTGCTGCAGATGGAACCTTCGTGGGTCGAGCCAGCCATGAAATCATTGGGGCTCAATATTTGAAGCAGCTTGGCTTCAACGACAAAGTCTGCCAGCTGGTCGAGGCGCATGTTATGGCCAAGAGATACCTGGCCACTGATCAAGACTATTACAACAGTCTCAGTAAGTCCAGCAAGGCAACGCTCAGGTACCAAGTAAGTGACAGTGTGGCAGGCTGGTGGCATGGGAGCTGACTCGTTTCAGGGTGGTATCTTCAACGACGCACAGAAGCGTGAAGCGGAAAAGGATCCTTACCTGCAAGATAAGCTTATGGTCCGCCGATGGGATGACCTAGCTAAAGACCCTGACGCTGTCACGTTGCCTCTCAGCTACTACGAAGACATGGCTGTCAACAGCCTCATGCGCACACCTCATGGATGAGTATGTCGTGCGACTCCCCGCTGTCCGTTCGACTGTCGATTTCTCGAACTGATCGACATTGTTTCGCCAGTGGCAATGATGCTAGAGATCTTCCACTCTGACGCATCAGCCATTTGAGTATTCCATAAAGGTCGAGTCAAGACTGCCCAGCTGAGGGCCGAAGAAATCAAAGTTGGTAATGAAGTTGGCATCGTACATCGGCTGGAAGTCATGGATGTCGTTCAGATTTTCGAGACTCTGCGCGGATCCAGGCATGGCTGTGAGCTGTGGAGTGTGTTTGTCGGATTGGCGTCCGCTATCAACGACATTTCTCAAGCTACTAGCGACGCTAGACAGGAGGTGTTGCTTGGGCATCTGTGCAGTAATGCTCTCGAGTGTGAATGAGAGGCGCTCCATGAGACTGTATGTCCCAGCGCGATCGACCCTCACAGCTGGAGAATCTTTTGCCAGGACCTTGAGGAGGAAGACCACCGCGAAGGGAATCATTGTGTCATAGTATGCTGGGAGTCCATTAAGGAAACTCTGGAATTCGACATCTTCGACTACATGACGAAGAATCGATGTCGCTGAGTGCACGGCTAAGTTGGCAAAATCCTCCAACTCCTCTGAAATGTTGTATGAGTCTGATGCGGGATCATGTGCTCCCCGAAAAGCATGCGAACAAAGGTAGAGCTTCGTGAAATGGTAGTGCAGTTTTACGCCTTGGTTAGGATAATTGCCAATGCGTTCACTGGTAAGGAAGCGGCCAGACCAGTCAGCTCTCCAAGAGTCAATAGCAATACTCAATCTCTGTAATTGCGGGAGCGAGGACTTTGGCAAAGACTCGTCCGTATCGATTCCGACCATGTAGTATATCTTTGTGCTCAGAGACCAGATCTCGACCTGACTGAGAAGCCTCGAGTCATCCTCCGTTGCGAAAGCACACCGCGAAAATGCGTCGGCCACGGTGGGATAGTCGAAGTCGCGCGGTGTAAGTGGAGGTCGGCCGTAAGCAACAGAAAAGTGATGATCGCAGACGAACAGCAAACAGAACAACCTGGTTTGCAAGTACCAATCTCGACTAGAGACTTGTGGCTTGACCACACAGCGATGTAGCCGCATCTCCGTCGCAATGCGCACGGCAGCACCGATGAGAGTCCAGGAGATATCGTGCAGCCAGAAAGCTCCCACGATCAGAGCTCGGATGTCGTCCAGCGAATGCTTCTTTGAGAACATTTGTGACGAAGCTAGTTGAGTGAATTCCCGGTAACAGACTGCGAAATGATCTGAATCAACGTGTAGTGCACCTACTGCACAAACAGCTGCTGTGAGGAGGGGAGAGCGCTGCCGAATCTCGGACAGAGACTGAGGGGTGTCAAGTATCCTGTACACAAAGTGGTCGAGTCGATGCGAGTACGTAGCGAAGCATGCTTCTGCTGCCCCTGCTGGGATTAAGCCCAAGCAAATGAGGTCTTTTCGGGGGTCCGCAGAAGGTGCCGTTTGGTGCGTTGCTACTTCCGATACCACTGTCGATGGGATGACAGCAGGACCAGACTTGGGATCATTGACAACCTGCCAGGCCTGGGCGGTTGCTTCATGTGTATCTTGTATCGGAAGGCTCGGGTCTGCCTGATCTGTAGCTCCTTCCGGCTCCGGGAGACTGGTGTGACTTTCATTGAACTCTTCCAATCGTAGCAAGTCCAACAATTCGGGACAAGAGATTTTCTCGGCTACCTTCGTGATGGCGGCCTCGAGTCCAGACATCTTATGCTCAACTCGATCCTTCCATGACGCGTCGTTTTCGAGCAGCATTTGGAGACTTTTGTTGACAGTGCAGGAGAGTCCACGCTTTCTACAGCGCGAACAAGGCGCCTGGCCGCCTTCCATATTGCATCGAATCTTTAGTTTCCGGCATGCCACGCATGCCGTTATCTTGCGAGAGATGTCTACTGCAGGATTGCGATCTCCGAAAGCCTCTCGTAGCGCCATTGCTGACGACGATGGCCGGGGTTTCGACATGTTGTCATCCTTTGTTCGTTGAGCAGCACGTCTGCCGTATGGGGTGCGAGCAGATAGCCCGCGGCATGTCTTTCGACATCTCGGGTATCAATAACGAACCGAATGAGATCAGCGCCGGTAGCAAAACTATCTGAGTTACAGTACCCTCATGGTTGTAGCCAAGCACGTGCGGGGCCTGATTGGCCAACCGTAGGTCTGGCGCTCATCAACGCTGCCGAAGAATGAACAGCTTGATTGTCACACAAGCATGACCGTACGCATTTACAATCGTCTTAGCCGACACCTTGAGCTATGGTTCCCGCTAGGCCTTGCCGGAATACAGAAATGCTAGTTGATCTACTCCCGGTCGTTGGCCGATAGCCAGAGCGCCCCAGAACTTTCGTGATCTGAGATCACGGAGGTCCTCCGCGAATTAATGGCCTTCGTGCCGACTTCTGATGAACACTATACCAGGTGTATTTCGACCACGTGCTATCAACATAGGATCGTCATTCGATCTCGAATATGCATCTCGAGGGACTTGTCACATCTGGAACGCGAAAGGGCCGCCCACAAAAGATGAATTGTTACGGTGTTGGGCCGACGGGCGCGCGTCAAGCTGGCGAGCGGCCAGATGAAAGTACAGTATTAAAGAGGCAACTGCTCTGGACGAAGGCACATCATCCGCCACTGCATCAAGCATCAGAGTCGTCAAGAAGATACGCCTCTCGAAAGCACGACCTCAGTCGGTACGACGCGAATCGCAATGTCTCTCGAAAAGCAATTCAGTGATGATTTCAAGGGCTCCGATGCCACTGTCCAATCCGACCACGAGAGGCAGGCTTCGGTGGGCAAAATCACCAGGATCTCGTCGATCATGATGGTCTTGGTCTCCGGGCTGGCGTTGTTCTCAGATGGTGAGCCAAATGATTGATGAAAAGGATACATCAAGCTAATGCTGAGTAGGGTACAATGCCCAGATCATTGGGTATATGAACCCATTGTTCAAAGAACTATATCCGGACACTTTCAGTGCCGAGTTCAAGACTAGACTTAGCAATTCGTATCTCATTGGAGAGATTTTCGGTATGCTGGGCTTCGGCTTTCTCATCGACCGTCTTGGCCGACGCACAGGAGTGTTCTGGGCAACACTTCTTCTCATCCTTGGTGTGATACTTGCTACCGCCGCTCATGGTACTTCGACCTCTGGGATGTTCTGGATGATGATTGTCGGTCGAGGTATCGCTGGCGTGGGTGCTGGAGGCGAGTATCCGACATGTGGGACTGGCTCAGCGGAAGCCAGCGACGAGACACCTTACGTACGCAAAAGGAGAGGCATGCTAGTTGCCGTGGCCACCGATTTCTCCATCGATCTCGGCTTCGTGGTGGCCGGCATCATTGCACTGATCGTGCTGGCTGCATACCATGAGAACGTTTCAGTCGGCGTCTGGCGCGTGTGCTTTGGCCTTGGCTTCGTCCTCCCGGCTGGATTGCTCTTCTTTCGACTGCGCATCATCAACTCAACACAGTACCGCAAGCATGTCATTAAGCGCAAGATCCCGTACCTTCTCGTCATCAAACGCTACTGGAAGCCTATGCTGGGAACCTCGTTGGCTTGGTTCTTCTACGATTTCGTCACATACCCTTTCGGCATTTTCTCCTCGACAATCATATCTCAGCTTAATCCGTCCGACTCCTTGGTGCAGAACATTGGATACGGAACGGTCGTCAACTGCTTCTACCTTCCGGGCTGCATCGTAGGAGGCTTCCTCATGGACAAGATTGGGCGGAAGCAAACCATGACACTGGGATTCTTCCTCTGGTCAGTGCTCGGCTTCATCATCGCTGGAGCGCTCAACCCCATTCAGAGTGTCTTTCCGCTCTTCGTTGTCTTGTACGGTATCTTCAACGCACTTGGTGAAATGGGTCCAGGCGTCGCCACCTTCCTCTGTGGCGCCGAATCGTTCCCGACCCCTCTCCGCGGACACTTTTTGGGATTGGCAGCAGCGGTGGGCAAAGCTGGTGCTGCGATTGGCACAGAAGTATTCACGCCTATCCAGGATTCCTTCGGCGACGCTCAAGCAGGCATCCGGGCGGTCTTCTTCATTGGCGCCGCATTCGCTCTGATTGGGGGTATCGTTGCGTGGACTCTGATCCCTGACCGCGAACGAGACCTGGAGAGTGAGGATGCGCGATTCCGCGCATACCTGATCGAGAATGGTTACGAAGGAGACTTTGGGGAGTCCCTTGAGTCAGAACTGAAGACTACGCAGTTTAGTCTCTAGGTGCGTTTGGATGACAGCGATCGACGAGGCACTCCTTTTCGGAAACGTCGAGTTACACCATGAACATTTGAGGGAACGACTCCGAAGAGGCTAGGAGTGCATTAAAATAGATGTTGATGACCTTCTGGCTTCGTCAAAAACAGGCTTCGTTCCACATATATATCTGATACGCTTGTTGTTCTTTCCTCTGCACGATGGTCACATAACTGTAGCGGGGAAGAAATGCTTCATGGTGCATGGTTCCATTGATCACCGAGCTTGAAGATCGATCATCATGACGTCGTATCACATCATGGCAGTGACACAAAATACTTGATGTAATGCTCTTGAATAATGATATGCAATTGCTGCTTAGGTAGATGCCTGAGTCGTAGCCATAAGCAGAAGCGAAAGCCAATACCAATATGCACACCGCAATGCTGAATCAAGCACAACTTCAGTGATCCAGACCCTTCGCACGCGTCTGAGCACTCATCATCTCCCAACCCAATGAACCGTCTCGTCCTTCACATCTCGTGATCTGATCGGCGGCTTTGATAAGGTCGTATGTGATAGTCTCGCTCACCACAGAATCCTGCTTGTAGTCCGGATGTTTTCGCACAAACTCTCGAATCCATTTCGCTCCAGTCCACAGTGTGCCGTTGGCGCGTTGCCTAATGAGATCAAGGTAACGAGCTAGCTCGCAACGCGTCACCACTGGCACATTCATGTTGTTGAGGTAAGACTCGACGATTGGCACGAGGCCAGGAAAGCCGCAGTCTGGGTTCGAGGAGCCGTTGATGATCTCGTCGACTGTCATTAGAGTGTACTCATCTGTCACTGGAGCCGGCTCTGCTGGTGTTTGAGGCCGGCTCTGATTCGCTGGTGTGCTCGTGCCAGATGCCGAGGCACTGCCGTTCTCGCCATCGAACAATGGCGACCGACCGCTGCGACGCGGGAACGGATCCTTGCGGAACCAAAACTTCGAGTCCATGACAGCATTCCTCTGATGAGCGGTCTCCATGTTCTCTGTGGTGCAGGGTATGGGGATGTAGAAGTTGAGGTCGAACGAAAGGATAGCACGCGTGATGAGGACCATGAATATCGAGAAGGCGGCATTCTCGAAATCAGTCATAAGGATTTCCATGGAGCGGAATTCCACGCGCCAGCCGATATCAGCATCGGTTGGCGGTGGCTTAAATCGCATATGTTGCCAGTTCGTTGATTGAAGGTTCTCAAAGTGGTTCGAACCCTTCACGTCGAGCTCTTTGAGGTCCTCGTTGAACACCACAATCGGGTCGCGGATGAAGAGGTGAGCGAAATGTGTTGCTAGTCGCTCGTCCATACCGCCATCGAGTAACCTCCGCTTCAGCTTTTCATCAACGACCAGATCTGGATCGAGGTACTCAGGCCGCAACCTTGGATCCTCTGCGATGTAAGTGCTGTTTGATGCATACCGAGACTTTGGTATCCGCCAGCGATCGTTCTTCAGTGGTGCCTCACCTAGCTCTTCTTTCGTTCGGTCGTCAACGGCTCTCGAGATCTGGTTCCATCGAACGTCCGTGTCAACCAGGAAGCCTTTGTAGATTGGTGTTGCAGCAGTCAAGGCCAAGAATATGGGTCCAAGTGGAGACAGTTGATCGTACATGGTTCGGCCTTCTCTGATGTTCTTCGCCTGGAACGTTATTTGCAGACAGCAGCTGCCCATACCAAAGGCCATCGCATCCATATAGACATGATCATCCTTCGCCGCGCCATTTCGCACATCGTCATCCTCTGGCCAATTGTGGAGATCGTAATTTACGGTCGGGTCTTTGAACGGTGACGGTGTCTTGCTGTCCTTGAAGACAGGTACATTGAGCTCTACCTTCCTTCCTCGACGTGATCGAATGTTTGCGGCAAGAGTGGGAAATCTAATATGAGGGTTCGCGATCTCGTCCGGAACAAATTGTGATCGCAGAGCAGGGCCTGAAGGAGGGTAGTACGGATCAATGAAGTCGTCCTTTGTACCGAGTCTGGGGAAGGTAGTCAGCGTTATGGGCAACTGATTTTTGTCCATGTGAGCTTTCGCGATGACGCGCCGGTTCTTCATATCGTTCTCGACCTTGAGCAGATCGTTGAAGCCGATACCCCATGGTTTCCCCGGTGTTGCTTCCAGCATGAACCGGCCAAATTCTGGATGAAAGGTCGGCAATGTTGAATCATTGCCGATTGGATCGTCTGGGGGATGCGACTTGACAGCATTTGCCTTCGCCAATGCTTCGTCTGATGCCAAGGACTTCAGGACCTCAGCCTGGCAGAGGGACAACCTAGCCTTCTTCTGCTCATCGTCGAGACTGACGACGAGATATTCTATCTGTCTGGCGTCAGTCACGGCTCTTCAACCCCCTTGAAGACACGCACTTCATCGCCCCAGAGTAATGCATTACGCTCCTTTCCTTTCGCCTGATTCCAAATGTGCAACAATTGCTATACAGATTAGTCCATCGGGACCTCTCGTTGTTTGACTAAGTGACGTACCTCTATGCCCCATTCTCTGACTTGCGAAGCTGCCTTCTTAGCTTCCGGCCATTCAAGTGGTGTACCAAGCTGTCTACATTCGCATGAGAAAGTACGAAGCAAAACCGAGTCAGCCCCACTCACAGTAAACCCATGGTATGTGAGCAGCACACCGGGAGGTTCGAACAAGAAGTCGGCAGTCCGCTTAAATGAGCCTACGGATGCACCGTCGTTCTGGTTAAACCTATGGTAAGGATACCTGCATTTTCCAAATGAGTGACAAAAGCGTGGTTCGTTAACGACTGGAGGTACCAATGGACTGCAAGTGGGGCATTGAATGCTAGCGTTGTGCAGTGAACATCGTGCCGGTCAGCTTGACTCCATGTTTTATAGGGAAGCGTTGCAGTGTAGGCTAACAACGAGAGCGACTTGGGAGGCTGGACTTCCGTACGCATCATTATCCGACAGCGCTGGCGGTAGCAGTTGCCGACCACAAGTTTTGCAAAGCCTATTAGTCATCAGCGATCGGAAGAACGTGGGGACGCAACTCTAGCCAGCGTATGCCAACGGCGTACAGCGACAAGTCTTGTCAAAGTATTCGAAAAGCAATATGGACAATCGCCAATTATGTGCGAAGCAGTACAAGGTGGCTTGACTGCTGTAAGTCGCCATGTATTGAACACGCCATTGGACGAACGATCACTTCATTGATCACGTGATCTGGTCCTGCAAACTGTGACCAGATCGCCCGAGTGACTGAGTCCGTCGGTAGTCCACTCGACCCTGTCGCTCTATTGCACGATGTTTCGCAGCTGGACATCATCGGAAATTCGCAACATGGCCTGGGGACAGCAGCTATCGGGGTCTCGAAAGTGTCCTTGAACGTTTCCGCCGAATCAATGATTACTGTCGTACAGTGAAACTGTTGTAAGCAGTGTACAACGACTGAGCCCTGGTCGAGTATACAGACAGACAATTCCCAACTGCCATTGACTCGAACCGACGATTGTGTGTATGTGGTTGCTCCCGTTGTAAGAAGTAATGCTTGATTGTGTTTAATTCGCATTCGCAGCGGCTTTATCTGCCTTATTTTGTCCATTTTTGCAACCCGCTCCATGAACTCCTCGTATTGACACTTTTCGTAGCCATGTCTTTCGTCCTGTCGTTCATCAGTATCTGGTCTAGAATGCTTGCACGCTCGTAACCCACCACACACTTCCACGGCGCATACCACGTCTTATGCCTGCACTTGTTGAGGGGTATGAGCAGATGCGCACAGCTGTCTCGATATGCAAGTGGGAGTTTCGCTTCTGACATTTCCTCTCTCGTAGCAAGCCGAGGACCTGTGCACCTAGTTAGCTCGATCTCGTACTCGTTGCACAAAGCGGTATGACTCGCCTCCGCCCAGGCCCACAGCATCTTTAATGGTCTCTGTCACCGTCATTGTCGCAGGGCGGCCTCTGACGGCAAGCGATGCGGATCTTAGTGACTGTCTGGCCGGAGACTGGGGAGACGTCAAGCTCTTGGGATCTACGTCGTTGAGCTGCGTTGTCGTCAAACAAGGCTGATTTTCAGCCTTGAGGCAGCCGCAACGCCAAGCCAATAAATTAGTTCCGAGAACGCGTCGATTGGACGCGTCTCGAGATCCCCACTTCAAGGGCGCTGGGGTGCTGGCACTTGAAGCGACGACAACTATCACTCTCTGCTCAACTTTTGGTCCATGTTTGCCTCATCAGATCGTTCAAACATATTTGTGTGTCTCACACACTAATCTAGTCGTGGACCTGACATTCGACCACCACAAAATGGCTTCAAGTGGGGACATCTACTCCGCGACCTACAGTAATGTGCGCAGCACCACCCCTCTGCGTAATTGCGCCCTACTAATCGGCGCAGGTCCCGGTGTACGAGCTTAAGATTGGTGCCGATCATGTCATGCGAAGAAGATCAGATGACTGGATCAACGCAACTCATATCCTGAAAATTGCTGGACTTGATAAGCCTGCGAGAACACGCTGTCTGGAGAAAGATGTGCAAAATGGCGTGCACGAAAAGATACAAGGTGGCTATGGCAAATATCAGGGTATGTGCTGAGATAGTCTTCCGCTGCTATCAGATCTGACACTGGTACAGGGACCTGGATTCCACTTTCAGAAGGCCGCTCATTAGCAGAGAAGCATGGCATACTCGCCCGCATCAGCAAGATCTTTGACTATGTGCCTGGGGATAAGAGCCCTCCGCCTGCTCCCAAGCATACAACGGCAGCTTCCAACAAACCAAAGCCAGTCAAAGCTACTCAGCGAAAAGTGCCCGTTCCTCAACAAAACGTGAGCCACTATCGACCAGCTGTCGATGCCTACCATCCGGAAGCCGACGCATATCGAGAGATCAGCCGCGATGCCACGCCGGACTCATTCATGCAGGACGACCCGTATTTGAACATGTCTCAGAACTCCGCAGCTTCGCGAAAACGAAAGCGCGACCTCGAGCCCGAGCCTCCTTCCGACATCGAGCATACCATCTATGGCGATGAGCTGCTGGACTACTTCGTTGCCGCTGGAGACGATGCTCAATCGAATCTACTCGCGCCCAAACCACCCACCAATTTTGACGTAAACCGACCAATCGACCAGCAAGGCAACAACGCTCTGCATTGGGCATGCGCTATGGGCGATGTTCAAGTCACCCGAGATCTGCTCGGTCGAGGCGCCAACCCTGCAGCGCAGAATCACGGCTCAGCCGAAACGCCCCTGATTCGTGCTGTGCTCTTCACCAACAATTACGACAAGAGGACCTTCCCCAAGATTGTCGATCTTCTAGCACATACGATCGTCGAGCGCGATGCATATGGTGCCACTGTCTTCCATCACATTGCCGAGACTGGCCGCTCACGAGGCAAATGGAGCTGTGCTCGCTATTACAGCGAAGTCTTGATCAACAAGATGCAAGACATGGGTCCTAGCTACATCCACGCCTTGCTCACCTCAGTCGACGCGAACCACGACACAGCAGCTCTTTGCGCAATCCGCAACGGGTGCGTCAAAGTCGCTACCTTCCTCCTCAACCACTGCCCCGAAGCCGGCGACATCCAGAATCTCAAAGGCGAAACAGCCAACGACCACTTACGAGCACTGCGCGAGAAGCGCGAATCCCTCGAACAGCCCGGCTCCTCACCACCCCTCGGGAACGGCATTCATCGCAAAAATCGCCGCAAATCTGGTCACCCACCAACAAAACAACCTGTCTCCCGCGCTGCCTCCTCGATGTACGACTCCGCCAACTCAATCTTCGAATCCCAACGCGACCGCCTAGCCGACCTCTACGATGCCGAAGCTAAAGAGAAAGAGTCCACCCTCATCGAAGCAAAGACCGCCCTCGCCGAATTCGAATCCCAACGCCACAAAATCCGACAAGAGACCTACGCCATCCTCGCCGATCCCACCATCAACGAATCCGCCGAAGACCCTCCACACATCCAAGCCCTCCGCGCCGAGTACGAGACCGTCCGTCGGGAGACGGAATCCCTGCTCGAGCGCTCCGAGCACGCCAAATTACAAGCTGAAGTCCGTGCTGAAGACGAGCGCAGACCTGCCCATCTCTTCCGCGCCGCCGTGAACGGCAACACTAACCCTCCCTCCAATGGCGCCACGCCAAACCTCACCAGCGACCTCCCCACACCACAAGAAACACAAGACTCCCTCCCCTGGGCGATCGAGCTCTCGCACCAACAGTCCCGCCGACGCCAACTCGTCCGGGACATCGCAGCTCTGCACGGCGACGCCAACAGCGGCGAGAGGATCAACAAGCACCGTAAATTGGTGGCTATGGCGACGGGAATCAAAGAAGATGATCTGGACGCAATGGCGGACGAGCTGTTGGAGAGCTTGCAGGCTACGGCGGCGGAGAATGGTGGCGACGAAGTCGTGAGAGACGGGAGAGGGGTGACCTTGAGTCCGCCGGTGATTGTTGGTGATGCAGGAGCGGTTGCCGTTGAAGGTTAGTCGCTAGGTACCAGCATCCAATATGACCAGGGCGCTGCCCGTTGATACAACTATTTCTGTCTTGCAGAGAGCCTTGGACTTGCCTAACGAGCACAGGACCTGTGAGACACTGACCATCATCTAGGGAATCTGCCCCTTTCCGCGGGACACAGCGAGCTAGGATGGGCATCAGACAATTTTCCATGACATCTATGAAGGCAAGGCCTCGGAGCAATAATGATCGCTCGTTCTCACCAAGCCGCTTTTCTCGTCTCCTTTGTCCTGTTCGGCGTGGCCTGCAGGTCTGCTGTCTCCGTTCGGTCACTTTTCAACACCTGTCCCCTGATGACTGACACCTGCGAAGCAATGCCGGCAGCAACCAAGAAAGCTGATGTCAACCGGTCTTGTTCATGCCCTTGACTACTGGAAGAACCCGGTCGTCACTTCCCATTGTGACGGTCAGTCGTCCCTTCCAATCCCCTCAGTCGTTCGTTTCCTCGCGGCGCTCGGTCGTGCCTTCCCACCCGCCAGTCGTGCCTTACAGCTCACTCGAACGCTCCTTCCCTCTCGCTGAATCGTGCCTTCTCATTTGCTCACGCGTGCCTTCCCGCTCGTCAATTGTGCCTTCCAACCCGCTAAATGGTGCCTTGCCACTGTGACAGCCGGTTGAAAGTGCGGTATGGCAAGAGCCATCGACAGGAAAGCGTCATCAACATCATCCGGTTTGAGATATGCCTCTACTTGCTCTTGCTGTCATCCGGTCTCGAGTTGCATTCCCTGCTCAAGCAAATATATCCACTACTGTCTGCCCCCAGTCGCTGGCAGCAGCTCGAAGGTGAGAGCAACGGCTGACCTTCAGCGATGGCAAGTCGACAGCATTGCGGAGGCGTAATCAAGAGCCCTGGGCAGCACAGACGTGATTCGAGACCTGAACAGGAAGCAACAATCTCTGATTGCCTTTGATATGGTAGCTAATGATGCAGTCCAGGGCGCCTCCGCTGTCCTATCATTGTACCTCCGTCATTTCAGCCCAAACCCTTCACTCCCAACGACAGCCATCCAAAGCTTTTCCTCCAGCTTCTGCCTCGTCCGATACTGATACAGCCCAATACTGTTGAAGCACGTCCTCGCCGTTGGGAACCTTTCCCCCAACACCAGCTTACTATCAGGAAGATGCTGCGGCACCTCTTCGAGCAGCCTCTGCACTTTAATCACCAAATGCGTCGTCCCTAACGCCGGTATCCGGTCACTGCCCGTAATGAAGCTTAATATCTTGCGCTGATCAGCCGGCGTCACACGCGCGAAGAATTCCCAGAACCACATCACTTGAGGCTGGTGTTCTGGAGGTGGATGCTGTCGACCAGTGGGCCAGTTCTCGTAGATCGCCACCGCTCGGAGGCTGGCGATGTCGAGAGGCTCGTCCGATCCGCGGACGAGGAGTTCGATTTCTTCAGGCCGGAAGAGGGAGAGCGCATTGCCACCGCAAACGGTAAAGAAGCCTCGTTTGAAGGGCTCGTACTGGCGCGCGACAGCGGTGTCGAGGAGGTAGTGGATGTAGAGGTCGACGAATTCTCTTCGGTTCGAATTGGTGACTGCCCGTTTCTCGCCGCCAGTGCAGAGGGGCATCTCAGCCTTGACGCCATATCGATCGGTTTCGACCACAAAATCGCGGCAGAAGGTCTCCTCGACGTTGCCTTCAAAATCCAGGAGCTGTCGCAGACCTTGCGCTAAGGCTGGTCGGAACTGCGCAAGGTCTTCCAGGGTGTAGCCATGCGACACCTTTGGGGTAGATGTAAGTTTGTCGCCAGTCGATGGCGCAGATGCCAGCAACTTCTTGAAAACGAACGGGGGGAACGCCACGTCAAGGATGGTCGAGTTGTATATGGCCAGACCGAACAGAACGCCGACCAGGAAGAACTGCTCGGATGATTCGAAACAGTGCGGGTTGAAGTAGCAGTGCTGCGAATCCTCATCCCAAACAAACAGCCCGTGATTGGGGTCGAAGATCTCGCGCACGAGCAGCAGAAACCATTCTTTCCGCAGGCCACCTGCGTCGATACCTTCCTCGCCGACGAAGTCGATCTTCAGACCCTTCTTAATATCGCTGCCTCCTGATCCAACAACTTCGCTGACTCCTCGTAGACTGTCCTCAACAAGGCACTCACGGCGCACCTTCAACACGAGCCATTGACTAATGGCTCGCGAGCTGAGTATGGTGTCGAAGAATGCTTCTCGAGCTTTGACTTCCATCTGTCTGCGCGCATCATGCTCCAGAATATGAATTTTGGCATAAATGCTGAGGAAGAATGGGTATTGACAAAACGTGAATTTGCTCTTGGTCGATTCCCAGGCCTCGAAATCAGCAACAAGATCAGCGAAGTCGAGTACAGAATTGTAGAAGACGCTGACGGGTAGAATCTGTCCATGAGCGTGAGCGGTTTGCAGTACTTGCTCGTTTCTCGTGGAACTGTCCCTTTTTCGCGGCGTGTAACCTAGATTCGCCTGAAACAAAAGCGCCATTACTCGTGAAGCCGCACGAACCTGCCAGTCTTCACCGTATACTGACAGCTGTGGCCTACCATCGGACGCCTTCGTTGACGTAGTCGAGGCACGGGCGTCCAGCTGCGCATGAAGCTGGGAGGGATGACTGTTATCTCTGTTAGAGAAGCTGGGTACCAAGCCTGCTGTGGGATCGTTAGGCTCTGGGGCTTGGCGCCTCGACTGCCGTGAAAGACGGTAGGTCACAAAGCTGCCGACGAGCTCGACCGTGCGTTGGAAATGATGGGCAGAAAATCGTGAGACCCAAGATATCAAAAGTTGATGAATGTCGCCAGAAACATTAGCCAGAAGCCCAAGCACACGCTTAATGATGCCAGAGTGGTGACCAAGATTTCGCTCGTTCCGCACGGTGCCAGTCCCTCTTCTCCTGGACATGCTTTGAACTTGCGAAGATGTAACAGATCCCGACTCATGCGATCCAGCCTCTGGCCCGGTCGATCTGTGAATCTGCATGTCCGGAGGGTAGATCAATGGGTTGAACAGTATCATGAGCAAAAATCTGCAATCCTCTGGATGCTTAAGCGGTCGCCGTGGTCTCTTGAGTAGATTCTCTGTCGACTTGAGCAGACTTCTGTGCAGATGTGTTTGCGACTCCATGATCTCGCGCTCGATCGTGTCCAGAGGAACACTGTCCCAGATCGTCTGCATATCCTCGTCTAAGCTTTTCCGCAGGTCGGTCCACTTCTTTCGCCATAAATCCCCAGCCGTCGTGATGAGATGATACCACTCGGCCAATTCAAACCAGTTGATCCGAGGCGTCCGAGCTGTGACAATACCTTTCCAACGCTCAGGTGACTGTGTTCGAGGCTGTGAAGGCGTTCTCTCTAGATTTTCTGATCTACTATTACCAGTCCACCAAGATCCATTTTCGGCAATGTCTCCGACGAGCAATGTTTTGGCATCAAGATCGGACAGGAATACTTCCGGCTCGAATGCGGGCGTTTCGAGAGGTTCCGGCTGCTTCTTCTTGGCCGAGGATTCTGTATGCGATTTTGCAGCTGCAGGGCGGTCCTTATGGGGCTTGACGGTAAAGAACGATGAGTTCATGGCCGAGCAGCCAGTCAAGGCATCAGCAATATAGTTCTCGACCGCCTTGAAGATGGGCACTCGAGCAGGCGGCTCATCCAATGGCTGAGGTGGCGACGTCTTCGCTCGTGGATCATCGCATTCAGTCACAACAGCTCTCCTCTGGGGTGACGCTATCGGACGATCATCTTCGGCGTGGCCTTATAGGCGTCATGGCAGGGTCAGAAGTGCTGCGGATCTTCAGCAGCGGTCGTGGGGTGGAGGGTGGAGATTCATCATCGTTGAAGAAGGCGGTGAAAAGGCCATTGCCGTCGACCTCTTGTGGGACGGTGGCATGATCGACCACGGTCTGATCTGCCGCAGCTGTCGGTTTGCTGCGAGACACGCCTCCACCGCGAAGTCTGCGTTCGAAGTAGTGGTCAAGACACCCGTCAAGCAGGCTTCGCGTCCGGGCAATTGATATAGGCAGCGACCGCCGGATTGGAGGACCACTGGAAGTCGAGCCAGGTTCGATGTAGGGCTCCAAGTCATTGATCGTCAGGCATGTGGTACAGCGGAAGACCTTGAGGCCCTGAGGCCAGCGTACGGTGGCGTCACATGTCATGCACTTTCCGGTAATGGGCTCCTGCTTGCCACTCGCCGATGCTGCCACTGGCTGCTCTTTGACGACTGCTCCATTACGCGGAGTTGCCTGCTCGTCTGTGCTCTGATCTTTGCTGTCTCCTCTTGATCTCTTGTCGCCCTTGCCCCAGCCGAAAAGTGATGGAAATGGGTGACTGAAGGAGCGGGTATGGGCTTGTGGTGATGGCGTTTCGGAAGGGACTGGCTTCCTGCGGAGCGTGGGAACGTCGTAGTTGTCTACAGTGTAGTTCGGCGGCGGTGGGAGCGGGCGGTTGTAGTCTGGTGGCGGTCGCGCATGGACAGGCGAGCGCTGTGCCGGCAGCGGACGAGCGGGCGCCCTCTCTGCCTGTTGCGCCTCGTGGGCATGGTGCAACGAGGGCATCTGAGGCCGTGATACGTTTCAGGCGCTTCTCGACGGCTCCTCCAACGAACCGACTCTCACACGCGAATCCACCATTCGCGTGTCGTCAGTGTCACGATCTTCTCACTTGCTATTATGGTCTCTCAATGGAGGGCCTGGCGGATTGATCGTGACCTAGTCGTCAGGCACGTAGTCACTGTATGAAGCGCAGTACTCGAAGAGCATGTTGTGCTCTCGAAGTAGGTGCGAAGGACAACAACCTCGAAACAGGCGGCGTTCCTGCTTGTGACACCAATATCACGAATCGTGCACGCAGAGTGACAATGAAATCGGATATTCTTTGGCTGGCTGTACCAGCAGAGTGGGTGCAGAGCGACTGGTTGACAGGCATGACCCTGGACCCCCACCTGCAACATCTGAAACCAAGCCTGAAAGTCTAGACAGATGGAGCTTAACGCATCTATGTTCCGACCACTACCAGAGTCTACTGTGTCTATATCAAGGTACAAGAACGAGTACCTGCGGCTACTGTCGACCCATATTCTTCTTTCTACTGCACTAGTATGTAAGCCGAGTCCAAACCCGAGGTACATGCGACTACTGCATTCGCAACAGCGTCCTCCAGGCGAGAGACACAGGTGATACAGCACAACGTCAACAATGAATGCCACCCACGGAGGTCTCCTTATATGGACCAAACTTGTTACTCCCAGATTTGGCAGTACGTGTAACGCCTGGTATCTACGCTTGTCCCAAGCTATGGTGTGAAATCAGCTTGTCGCTCAGCATCAGTCCCACCAGGTATGACGTCGATTGTAGATGGCAATTCGGAAGGAGCGGCAGTACACTTGTCGAGCATACCCTTAACTTCTCGACACCAAATACACGGAAGTCCTTGTCGACGACCGCGCTCTTCTCAGCAATACCCATCGTGCACGTGCCCATCATATGTGACCCAGAGAAAGAATGGCTCCTCCAGAAATCCAGGACATCCTCATCGCTTTCGGATCTCGGCACCGCTATGTCGCCGACCGTGTCTTTAGCGAAGCCTGGACTACGCACAAGACCCAGGAGGTCCCTAGTGACCTCGATCGCCATTCTCCGATCGAATGGATGGGAGAAGAAGTTGCAGTCCACGACTACCGCGTCATTGGGATCGGCTGATCTGATTGTGACGCTTCCTTTGGATTGTTCGTTCAAGAGAAAGGTGAAGATTGAGAGCATCGTCGACGCATTGGCCGGGTCGAAGTGGTATTCCAGAGAAGGCACTCCTAGGGCAAACTCCCAGTGTGGTACTGTCTCCAGCTTTAGCAACGCTTGCGTCTCCTTGTCGAGAGCTGCGAACTCGTCTGATTCTATGATGCGGTCGAGTTTGGGATATGCCAATGCAATGCTAGTCCCAACGTGTGCGAGCGGTCCAGTCCCATCCTCTTCCTCCCACTGCTTGCGGGCTGCCGCTCGCCGCTGGGAGTCTCTGAACCATGCTAGACGTTCCGAGGAGGTATCGGATCGTGCCCAGCTGAAGACGGCCAATTGATGATCGTTGAGGTGCTGGCCGACGTTTTCATTCAACTGAACAACAGGGATTTGAAATCGTTGCATCGTCTCTTTTGGTCCAATGCCGGAATGCATCAGTATCTTTGGGTCAGCCAGCGGGCCTGCGCAGAGTATCACCTCTTTCCTGACGAATATCTCTCGTCCGTCTGACAGGAGGACGCCATTCGCCCTGGATCCGTCGAATATGATCTGCGACACCGTGGTCTTGGTCCAGATCGTCAGGTTCTCCGGCTTTGGCTCTAATAGATCGCTGGCCATGACACGGCGGCCTTTGCGCGCAGTAGAAGCTGATATCGCAATGCCAATTGGTTCGCCCGAATTCTGATCAGCACATATTGGGATGCCAGCGTCGACAGCGGCGTCGACAAGATCATAGAGTTCTGCCTCGACTGTCTCCGGAAAGCCAACCTGCAGATCGCCCTCGTAGCCATGGTCTTCGCATCGAGCTTTCAACCGGTGCTTGTAGATCCCCGTCGGGTGATATTTCTCCAGCTGTTTGTACCTGGTTTTGACCTTGTCCCATTTCCACCCATCATCCTGCACAAGCTTCGCGATGTGGTCATAGTCGTCTCTGGGTCCAATGACCCAACTCGAGAAATTAATTGCAGAACCACCACCTAATCCCCTGCCTCGAGCAAGTGACAGCGTCCGGCCATTCAAGTGCTTCTGAGGAACAGTTGTATCCTGCCAGTTCTTGTCGGGGTTAGCTTGCTGGACATACTTGAATCCGTCAACTCGACCGTCAATATCAGCATTGTCACCGCCAGCCTCGATAACCAACACGGTCGGACGAGCTGGAGACGCGACAATCTACTCGCGAGAATACAGCCGGCGGGCCCTGCACCGACAATGGCGAAGTCCCATCGATCTTGCGCCATGGCATGCAAAGCTGGCAGTAAGAAGCAAAGGTGAAGTAGCGACCGACCACAATTCAGCGTGGCGCGCCACTGTCAGTCTTATAAGCACTTGCTTCGTGAGACAACTGCGGTGCCAAGGCCGGCGCCATGCAAATGTGGACCATTCTGCTGCACTAGGATGGACGTCCGAAGCATGATCGTACAAATGGTCAATTGTACGAGGACTCTCTTCGGCAACCCTCACCTACCTTTTCGAGCTATACGTCGTCTGTCACTCGGTGGATGCATGTCGAGAGTATTGCATTGTCCATTTCTGGGCACTCAGCTCATCGCGCACGAGTATGCAAACTGCTGACCAGAGATGAATACCAATGAGACCTGCCTGTCGGTGTCATAATCGGGCGACAGATTTAGTCCACACCTGCCCACGTCAGGTCAGCGCCTACGATGTTCGATGGAACCGTGCTGTAATGCCAAGTAGGACTAGACTCCGATGTCCAAGATCTGCTGTGAAGGTGATCGAAATTGTTAAGGTGCTGAATGTCGCGAGATGTTGCCTGAATCTTGTTCCTGGGTTGCCTTAGCTAAGCGACCTACCTAACCACTAGCCGCTACACCAGGCGACCTTAGCGGTGATGTCCACCTGCAATTCAGAAATTCGATGCGGCTCTTCTGAACTTGTATGGTGCAACCAGGTTATTCATATGCAGATCGTAGCACGTCGACTGTGCGAGCGAACGGTGCCATACGCCTCGCGGTGCATCCGACTGTCTCTCGTCCTATCACAACGGCAGACTCCATACATCCTGCGCCGTCAACTTTCAGTGACCGTCGATCCTCGACAGGATATCGCGCATGCTATACCGACCGAGTCCGTTTCCCCAGCGCCTCTGCAGGGCATCGTACATCAGACAGATGGAGCATCGATAGAAGTCGCGGCGCCGGCGGCTCAGCGTGCAATTCCATTCTCATGTCCAGGATGTGGTGCACTGTCGCAGCAGACGGAGAAACAGGCCCCCGGGCATTATACACGGACGCGGAGAACGGTGCGAGACTGGCTGAAGGGAAATACATCATCGGCGAATGGACACGCATCAGAAGATACGTCGTCGCCGCCCGATGCTAAGAAAGCTGTGGCATCAACTGCGCCCAGCAATATCAAAGTCCCCTTATGCGACCGCTGTCATGACCTCGTCAACAGTAACAAGGGCACATCCATAGCCCATCCATCTATAGAGGATATTGCCGACTCGATAGCGGAATCGCCATATCGACAGAATCATGTCTACCATGTTCTGGACGCTGCCGACTTTCCAATGTCCCTTGTCCCAGCAATACACCGTGCACTGGAGCTCGCCAAACCACGGAGTCGCAATCGGCGCTCACAGCACAATTATTCGTCTCGTCCGACTATGTCCTTCGTCATCACTCGCTCTGATCTCCTGGCTCCGACCAAAGCCAAGGTCGACAGGCTATTGCCATATTTCCGCGAGATCCTGCGAAGCACGTTGACGCACGTCAACAAGGATATGAGGCTAGGCAATCTTCATCTCGTATCTGCAAAGCGTGGCTGGTGGACGAAGGAGCTCAAGGACGAGATCTGGCAGCGAGGCGGGGGAAATTGGCTCGTCGGCAAATTCAATGTTGGGAAGTCCAATTTATTCGAGGTCATCTTCCCAAAAGGCTCAGGCGAAAGGGCGCCTGTTTACAAGCAACTCGTCCAGGAACAAAGCAAGAGCGATTCGTTAGATCAGATTCCTGCTTACCTGCCAGAGTCGCAGCTACTCCCACCCGCACAGCCAGAAGTGCCATTCCCTACCCTGCCCCTGGTCTCAAGCCTGCCAGGCACAACAGCATCGCCTATTCGGCTACCGTTTGGTAACAAAAAGGGCGAGCTGATCGACATGCCCGGCCTGGAGCGCGGTGATCTAGACCATTTTGTTGCGGCCGAGCACAGACTCGACTTAGTCATGGAAAATCGCCCGAAGATCACGCAGTACAGCATCAAACCTGGACAGTCGTTGTTGCTTGGAGGAGGTGTAGTGCGCATCACCCCTTTGCTGAGCGGCGACAAATCCACGACTATGCTGGCATATCCCTTTGTGCCGCTCGACGCGCATATCACGGCGACCGACAAGGCGATTGGAGCCCAAGAGCAGTCGCGAGAAAGTGGCATCGAATCCATTCTCGCACCTGAGGTTGGTGGAAAGTTTCGATCAGCAGGAATCATCACACTAGATGTCGATGTAACCAAGTATCATGCTGGGTCAGTTCTGAGGGCGGGAGCCAACGTCGATCGACTCCCCTTCCGAGTGTATGGAAAGGATATACTGATTCAAGGTGTCGGCTGGGTCGAAGTGACCTGTCAAGTACGCCGCCGGCGAGGGGACACGACGGAGCCTGAAACTACCACTGCAAATGCTGACTCAGGGTCCTCCGCACTCGCGGAGACGTCCGACTCGGCAATGCCGCCCTCGGAATCAGCATGGTCGCCCCAAAACACGATCCCACAATTCGACTTTCCCCAAGTAGAAGTCTTCAGTCCGAACGGTGCTCACATCAGCTCGAGACGTCCGATGAATGCGTGGACGCTCTTCAGAGAGGGCACATTGACCAAAGAGAGAAATAAGCCGATACGGCCTCGCATGCCTATGAAAGGCGAGAAGAAGGCGGCGAAGATTAGGACGAGAGCTGCTGCTGGTGTATGATCAACCACCATACTTCGTACGCGTCTTGCGAATCCTTGCCTGCAGCTAAGTGAAGCTTAGCTGTCTTGACGAATCTTAGCTCTGGAGCTTATCTCTCAAGGCGGGGTCACCTCACTCGAAGGAATCTGGGGTAGTTGCGACTTGCGATGGCACTCACTCTGACACCCGCTGCCGACAAAGCTGCTCTGAGCGACCCGGCAGAGGATCCTACGCTGCAGTCACTGTGATGGTCGACTTCGCAAGACAGCACTGCCCTGCCAAGTCGAAGATGAGTCAGGTCAGATGAGGTATGCCCAGAGCTGAGGCCGCCAGGGCTGGCTGGTGATCATTACAGTATCAGCCTTCGGGCTTCCCGTCTGCGCCCTGAATACCAGAATACGGCAACCTGAAACCATTGGCTAGCTGAGCGCGGCACAACTTCCTTCAATCGTTCACTCGGGCTTCTCTTATCTTTCTCGTTGCTGGAGCCACTCACAGACCTCATACATGCCTGACTTATCTTCCTCGACGCCGCCGATCTATTCCTGACTTCAGCCGGGCTTGACATGCCTGATCAACAGCAGAGAGGCGTGCAAGATGTCGTGTTTGCGCCCGCCATATGCATGAGGAAGCCGTAGGATCTGATCTGACACACCGCGCCATACAAGCATGGCTTGCGACTATAATATGCTTCCTGTCCCGTAACAAGTCGTTCACTTACTTTGTCATGCTTGTGTTCTACCTTGATCTTGCGAGAACAGAAAGTCCTCAGTATCCAATCTAGACTTCAATTGCGTTACGAAGCGTATATCGCATATACTCGAAACATTTCCGCTTTCCACCCGACCCAGCCACTACAAAAACCAAGGCTAGCCTTGACCTGGGACGAAGATGGCCGCCACATCGACCAAAAGACAATACGTCCATTTCGGCAGGGGTGGTGCAGGTATGACTTTCGCCACGGAAGGTCTCCTATGTATATGTCTGATCTCGTGCGATAGGCAACATGATGATGAAGCCAGCAGGCCAAGTCACGTCCAGCGCACAGCCGCCCAAACTTCCGTCGCCGACCAGCAAGGTCGTCGCTTTTCGACGGGCGTGGGCGGCTTGGGCAACATGACCTCTGCAAGGCGCACATCAGCAGCCAAGCAATCTCAAGACGCCACAAGCCAGCAAAACTACGACGACGACGATGATCACAAAGCATATCATGACCATTCGGCGCCAGGGATCGTGCTCGTCAAGGGTGGTCATAGTATTGGCATAGGTACGTCCAACTCGATCTTATCTAAGCTGAGGATGCTTCACTGCCGACACCATCTTTTCCTGGAAACTATCTAGACCAACGAGCTGACTTTGCCTTTCAACATTGCACAGGCGGTTTTGCAAATCGCTACATCCCCTCCAGCGCCGAGGACGAAGAAGCGGCCCACAACAACGAACACTTCCGCCGGCAGAGTTTGGCAAACATCGCTGCTGCGCGCAGCAGGAAATCTAGTCAAGCCAGCACACTCGTTTCGGAGCAAGGCGCGTCAAGACGTGGTAGTCTGGCTAGCCTGAGGGACTTCGTCCGGGCAGGTGGTAGGAGGACGAGTAAGGTCTAAGGCCGCATTGCTATTGTCGTTACTGGAGATCTTTTGCAGCGAGGAAAGATGTCCTGTGCGAAATACGCATACTGATGCGTTGGCTTTTCTCGGGCTCGCTTGGATGCACGCTCGGCCTGATCGACGATAGGCGTCTGACGAGATCGGCTCGACGCCTTACGCACAGTATCCTGGAAGGTTGGGGCCGTTGCGAATGGAAACGAGGCGGGTTTCGACCGACCAGCTCCCTTCTCACAAGGGCAGTTTCGTCGCAACGACGTCAGTCTCGGTTCTGGTAGTCCTATCTGGTACCTCAAACGAGCACGACGTAGTGCGCATTTTCGAACCACGTAGCGGGATTGTGTAATCCGGCCACGGGATCTTGGCGATGCAATAGCTTACCTAAAGTCAGCGTGCACGGCTCCTTCGTTATTGTTGCTGACGCGCTCGGTGATTATGTGACCCTAGCTCAATCTTTCATGATGTTCGATGTGGGCAGGCATTGAACCTGCCCTTACCACCTTTGGAGCAAGCGCAGGTTTTGGGCGTCTCAGCTCCAACCAGCAGACACAAGAAAGACATCACATTACACCTTTGTAAATGGCTATCGTGCCTACCTGTTATGCTGAAGATCTGAGGCAAATTCGCATATGTGATATGTGCATTCCGTCAATCATTTCCGTTGTATATCTCGTTCAGGCAAGCGGAGAAGGATAGTAGCAAGCCGGATGACAAAAGCAAGAGCAGTTCTGGAGGCTTTACTCAAACCGGTTAATGAGAGATTTTGCGACAGATTCCAGCCAGACCGGCTGACACAGTCGTTCTTGACTGCTACGACTGATCTACTAGCCAACGTCTGAGACGGACGCCCGGCATTCGCGTGCTCTGCATGCCACTTGGCCACAGCTCTGCACCTTTGGGATCTCCATGACTTCGTCCTCCGTTTCCTTGGAGCATTTATATTCCCCTTTTCTTCTGGTGACGAATTTGCCGAAAGTACCTCGGCAGGATCGACTAGATCGTCCTGTATCAAACCACCACTACACCACACGTTACTAGTACCTTGACCATATACTAGGAAGCTCCAACTATCAATTGGTCTTCAGAGCGAATAAGTGGAGGTTCTTAAACCTCTTGCGACAATCACCAGGCTTGCGGGCCACGACTCTCGAAGGATTACAACACCACCAACGCCCTCGTCAGTCGTCGGTCCATTCAGTACATATACAGTACCAGCGTCCGGAGAGCAGATGACATATCTTGTCCATCCCAGCCGAATAGCCTGCCATCACCACTACCTACCACATCAGCAGTACCGCTAGAGGCCACCGCCTGGATTCTGGCACCAGGACGACAGGGGCCCGCCCTTCGCCTCCTAATCTCACCGCTCACTCCCAACACACCCAGCCAAGATGTCCCTGTCTAACCCCAGCACCCCGTCCTCCCGCCCTTCCCTCGACATCCTCCCGCCTAACCTTCGTTCACTGGCCACGTCAACCTTCAGAGACCCCGCCTTCCGCCCAGTCAGCATGTCTCGCACCGTCACGCACTCCGACGCGGGCCACACCCTCATGGGCCGGACCTGGAACACACCCTCCACCATTCCCGTGCTTGTCAGCTTCTATCGAGACGCCGCCGGCTCCTCATCTCCAGAATATGCAGGCGGGGATGGGGACTGGGATGCGACGGTGATGGCAGATGCAGACCGGGGCAGGGCTGGCTCAGACGACGTCGAAGTGGAGCTTGATGAGGAGAAACGCCTCGAAGTCCGCCGCTTCTACGTCTTCGGCCACGACCTCAACGCTCATCCGGACCTCCTGCACGGCGGCGTAGTAAGCTGTATCCTAGACAGCGGGTTAGGTGGAGCAGTGGGTATGGCGCTGCGGCCACGATCACGGTCACGGTCATCGACTAGCAGCAGAAAAGGAGGTCTCGGCGTCGACGGCGAAGGCCTCAGCAACACCAACACTCAAAACCCCAGATTGGAGGAACAACAAGGTCTCCCGACATATACTGTTCAGCTGAACGTGCGGTACCGCGCGCCTGTGCGTACGCCTGGCGGTGTGATGGTACGCAGCTGGATCACCAAGATCTCGCTGGACGGGCGGAAGATTTGGGCGGCGGGCAGCGTGGAGGGGCCGGATGGAGTGGTGCATGCTGAGGCGGAAGGGTTGTGGCTTCGGGCGAAGGCGAAGTTGTGAGTGTGTGAGGCGTAAAGTTGAGGCGACATCTGTAGAATTGTTGGATTTTCTGAATGTGTAGCTATCTACACACATTTGCAAGCATTTGTCCGTCAGCTAATCTTCATGAATCATGAGGATCTAGCGAGCGTCAAAGCGACTCGTGCAGCAATAGTGACAGCTCAGAGCGTATGTTTCGGACACCCTCCATGAAGTCCCCCCGATGCCATTGTCAGATTGTCGTCAGCTAAGAAACACCTTTCCCTGCCCGTCCACCATCTCGTCCGTTCCCGGCAGCCACATTTGTGACATCGCTCAGATCTTGCCAGCCTCCATCGCAACAAACCACCAAGCATAGACAGCCCAGGCGGTAGCAGCTAGCTGCCAAGCTCCCAGACGTACATACCACGAGTGAACCGGGCACCGCATTCCCAGAGCAGAGGGCGGCGGAAGCCAGTGTTTGGGACTTCGGTGAGATAGGTTGTGCGCTCGCGCTCGACTGGAGGGAACATGATGTACCAGATCGGGCTGAGGAAGTGAGCCAGATTCTCGATTTTGAGGCCAGGGAAGAGACTCGAGACGATAAGAGCGTGTAGGAGGGCGTTGCCGTTTCCATCGGTCTTGAAGTGCAGGGAGACGGCGCAGGCAATGATAGCGCTGACGATGAAGAAGAAGATGTGGAGGTGAACCAGGACCGACTCGACCTGGTGGAGTCGGCGGACACGCTCAAGTAGACCAGGACGTTGAGCCAAATCGCGTTCTTCGAGACTGACTGCCACATCGGCCTTCTGACCAGTGACAGCAAACTTCAGTGCAACGCCTCCAAGCCAAGCGGGCACGACCTCCTGCAGACTGGCCTTGGACAGATGTACGCCTTGCCAAGTGCTGACGATCTGCCGACGACGGATGTTCTGGATACCAAAGCCGCTACTAGCCAGCACGTATTCGGAGACACGTGTGGCGATGGTGTACGCAGCATACCATTTGAGGATGCTTGCAAGATCGCTAGGCTCGGCAACGACCAGGTTTGTGTTCATGCAGATGCACCCAAAGACCAGCACCCATGAGAGCAGCTTGCCGATGGTGCCGAGGAAGGGCTTGGGAATCTGGTTGAGGGCTGCGAGTTTCTGCCAAGCAGAGCTGTCTCCATAGATGCTGCGATCGAAACCAAACTTGATCTGGCGAGCATTTTGGATGCCTCCGATGAACCAGCGACGGCGTTGCTTCATGTGCTCGATGAAGCTGCTCGGCTGCATACCCTGCTGGAGACGCTCACTGATAGCCGCAGTCTTGTAGCCGTGCCCATTGAGTGTCCAGCCGAAGAGGACGTCGTCGCACATCGAGGTCTCCGAAAACCCGCCGATCTTCTCCCAAGCAGGACGGTAGAACAGGAAGCCGCTGCCGACACACCAAGCAGCTCCCAATCTGTCGCGCAAATTTTGTTCGGCCTCGTGCTGAAGATGTAGGTTGTCATGTAGAGGATCGTTGACCGGAATGTTATAGAAGTCCTGTTCATACATGAGCAAATTGGATGGGTCCCAACGCTGGACTACTTACCTGTGGAGTTGCGATCATTCCGATATCTGAGTCAAGCAGGACGTGAGGAACGAGAGCGCGAAGCCACTTATCGTCCGGGATCATGTCAGCGTCGAGACAAGCGACCCAATCGTGCTTTGGACCCTCGAAGGCATTGTCTGCCAGATATCGTATAGCCTGGTTCATATTGCCAGCTTTGAATCCGTGATGTCTGCCGGGAACCTTTGGTCGGCTGTAGTAATGGACATGCGGGTATGACTTTGCGAATCCCTCGACAGCAGCCTTAAGATCGGTGTCGACGGTCATCGGAGACGAGGACACGAAGCTTGCGAGTCGGCCAGTCCAAGGTCGCAGCTGCACGAACAGTGTCCATGATAATGTCGACATCTTCTTTGCACACCGTGATAATGACGTCGACGCCTGGGACATTGTCACCATGAATGCGGCGTTTTGGTCTTGAAGGTTGTTTGCAGAGAGCTTGGCCTGTGATAGAGACAGTGAGGTCTGCAACGGTCGTCACTAGTTGTGTGTTAGCATTGCGGATGGCGCATGTACTGACTATGGTGACTGACCATGTTCGATGAGTTGCTGGACCAGCAGCAATTTCGCAGCAAGTGAACCTCCTTCCGCGGCCTTCTTCAGGAGGTATAGGTATCGAACAAGACTGGCAAGCTGTGTGGCAGCCACGAGTCGACCGAACTTGCTGAAGAAGGAACCGGATGGCTGAGCGAAGGTCTCGATGTCGTAGCCATGCTTGGGTTCAGCTGTAACCGTGACCTTGCTCGAGTCTGTGATGACGAGCCCGTTAGGGAGCTCGCTGTTCATCTTCGCGGTATGATGATATTTAGGATGATAGGTGTAAGGGATGGGGAATGGTTGAAGGAGTGACTGAGTAAGAGGACTGGGAAGGTGTAGATTGTCAGAAGGAATGACAGAAGTGTGGTTGCAGGGGGTAAGAGATTTCGAGGAAGAAGGTCGACGCGGTGGAGGAAATAAATAGTTGTTAATAGCAACACAGAAGTGACAAACTTGTGAGTGACTATACTTTGCCTCTCCAGTGAAGTAAAGCAGATGTCCATAGCTAGCCGAGTAACCAGACATCTCAATTGCGCTGTTCCCGGCTAAACTGCTTGTCACTCTGATGCCATCTATGGTGACCTTCTGGTGTTTGTACTTCGTGAACCAGCTGCACGCGAACATCTCCTCCTTGGCTTACCAGACGGGTGTCGACCGTGCTGCCTGGATCAGCAGATACAAAGACATCTTCGAAACACAACTCCAAACCCTTTCATTTACAGAAGTCGAGAAGGTCCAGATTTAGGCTGACTGCATCTCCTTAAAATCGTTGCGTGCTGTACAGTCGACATTGTCGACGAAACCCCCTCTCCTACCAGATCCCAAGCCACAGCTTCTTCTTAACCTCCTCCTTCCCCTTCCTCTTCTCTTTCGCTACTTCCCCATCCTCGCCCTTCATCACCACCCCGGCCTCCGCCTCTCTGACACTCTTATCCGCCTCACCCTCTAAGGCTTCCATACTCGCAAGCATCCTCTGCGTCGGCGTCCACGGCCCCAACTCATCCGCATCCCTGTTCCTTCTCCTCAACGCCTCAATTGCCGGGTCATCCTCCATCGTCAAACCTAGCTCCTGCTGCCTCCGCCTAATGAACACCTCCTTCTTGAAATCACTCTCACTCTGATGACTCTGCCTCCTCGCGGCCGCCGCCTGGTACACCACGTCCTTATCCACGCCCGGACCCAAATCAATCACACTCGCCATCTTGATCCGATTCGCGCCAATGCCACCCGCCGCACGCTCCTTCTTCGTCAGCCCATCATCCCAAGGCACGATCCCGCGGACATCAACACCCTGGTCTTCATCCCGATCGAGATCCTCCATACCATGCGCGCGGCGGTAGATGCGGCGTTTCTGCGCGTCTAGCACGTTTCGGGCGCGCGCGAACTCAACTTGTTCGGTGTTGTAGTCCATGTGCATGATGTAGACGGTCCAGAAGTCGGAGAAGAATCGGAGTGGATGGAAGGGGAGCGTGCTCCAGGCGGGGAGGAGGTGGCCGAAGGGTGAGGTTGCGGCGAAGGTCTGCAGCCAGGTCGTGATTGAGAGGACGATCAGAATCCACTGTAAGCCGGACGAGAGTCAGTCAACGTATACAAAGGGAGAGTTAAAGAGGAGGGCGAGACAGACAAACGCTATGAATATATGTATGACCTTGTTCGTCAGGAACCAGTTCATGAAAGTGCCTTTCTCTGGAAACATGTGTGGGTAGCTTTTCTTCTTTTGCGCCTCACGCTCGGTGTTCGTTGAGGACTGATTGTAGGCGCCATGGAGGGTAGAGCCCCTACTTCGCGATTTAGCTAATCGTGCTCCGTGTGATGGTGGGCGGAATTGGTCTGGCTGCTCGAGCACGATTGGTTTGGATGGATCATTCGTTGACGCATAGCGGCGCTGTGAGGTGTGTGAAAGCGAGAATGTAAGTGGACTTGCTCTCTGTCGGGTAGAGTATGCTCTGCTGCAGTTCGCGGCGAGCCTGGTGGCCCGCCGGGCTATCAGAGTGCGGTCCATGTCTCATTCGTAGTCAAGAGCAGCTTGCGGACCAGAGAGCGGAGGTCATCGCTGGACATGCGGGAAAGGCTTGGCATGAATCCTAATCAACTGGCAGATAGTAGCTATTCAGTAGGGATAGTACTTTGCGATGCGACGTCAAAGCCCACCTGACTAGGAAGAGATACACATTGACATGTACTACAATGTCGCAGTTGAGGCTGCAGAACGAGGTAATGGGTGGGCGGCACTGAGTGCAAGAATCCAACGCGCGAAGACGACATTGAGCCTTTTCATTTAACTGTACATTATTCTTCTGGCTATCCGCTCCCGTAGAGCAAACTCGCGTTCCTTCTCTTCTTCTTCCTCCCAATACTATGCTATTATACTCCAGATGGCAATGTTTCTTGCGGTATAGTGCCTCTACCTGTACAGTCTTCAACAAATAAAACCTTATGCTTGACAAAGCCTGCTTTTCGCCGAAAGTGTTTGCAGTGCCCAGCCGTATGGTGGCACGTCTTTGACCAAACATAGGAGACCTTCGTCAAGCGAAGTGCATGTGATGATTTGGGCCCAAACATCCAATTCCTCTATAAGGGTTTCCTATCCCAAAAGTATCAAGTCGCTGAATCGTTAATAGTGTCGTGAAAATGTGACCAGTCTCTGTTCGTACAGGATATTGAGTGCGCTAAGAATGTATTGTGCGTGGTGCATGTCTTGGAACTTTTGTGAGAGAGCGAACAGAGGTCGGTTGATGTGATGGTTCATTCAGGGGTACACCCTGCCTGCAGCGTAGATGCTCGCTGCAGCAGCAGAAGCCCATTCATTCTCTTCGTACGGAGGTGTGGGCCAGTGTGGAGGAGCATATTCTTGCTGCTTACGTTGTTGAATATTGAGTGGTTGCGTTGGAGTGACAGCGTTAGGGTCGAAGTTCACTCCGTTACGCTTGGCTGATGGCGATGGGGTCAAGCACGCAGCTTGTACACCAGCGTTGCTCGAGACGTGCGTCAGGGGCTGTCGTTGGGGGGCCTTTTGTGCATCAGTGGGTTTGCCCTGGTTGAGTCGACGGACAGCGCGATTGGCGGAGCGAAGGGCCTCGTCGAGCAACTCGTCTTCCTCTTCGGGGGTGTCGTAGAAGTTTTGCGGGATGGACTTTCGATTTCTTGCAGCAGGCTGTGCTGGGACGGCTGCAACATTTTCCCTGGACTGGCTAGATCGCGGAACAGAATGCGTCCTTTTAAGAGTCGACTGATTAGAGCGCGATCCATCTTTACCTTGCTGATCCCCGGCAGACTTGTCCAGACTGTAGCGGACGCTTTGCAGCAGGTTGTCGAGGTCGGAGAAATCATTCTGGTGCTCTGGAATCACGCTGTCAACCATGATAGATGATCGATTTGACCAAGGTACGGCTGCAGCATTGGCTTCCACATCATCACCACCTGGGGAAGCCAGACCGTGGCGGCCAGAGAAGCGTCGTGCTCGTTTCCTTAGGTGTGAAAAGAAGCTCTCCTTCTGATATGGCGGAGATACTAGACCACTGGTTGATCCATTGCCGTTAAGAGCACGTTCTGCCTCCAGTCGGTGTGCTTCTGCGTAATGATTGCCGTGAGAGTTGACAGACAGCTGGCGACCAATCTTTCTATGCTTGTCGTCTGTCTGTTGCTGAGTCGTCTGTTGCTCAACTTCTGCAGGTTTCGGTTTCAGTTGCTTCTGATGTGTGGGGACCTGAGGTGGTAGTGGCAGTGGGGCAGCATTTGCCTGTGTACCCTGTGCGTTGACAGCATTTGGTAGCGGAGAAATGGGTTTGATCGATGGCAATATGGGCATCGGCGCAATGGTGGCAGGATTTGCGCCATGAGTCCAAGTTGCTCGTTTATTAGCGGGAGGTCTTGATTGCTTTGCAAGCAGTGCGTCTTCGGTGTGTTGAGGAACTGCTGGAGCACTGTCTCGTGCGATAAGAGATCGTCTGAACCACGATGGTTTCGTTTGGAGGGGTGAATCGACACCCTCCTTGGATCGGAAGCTGAGGTCAGAATGTTTCCTGCCGAGGAGCCGAGAGGACGATTTAGGCCGGAGGGGGTCGACAGCATCAGCGAAGAACTCATGGTCCATGGCTTGCCTTGACGTTGGCCTGTTTTTGGGATCCCACATTAAGCACCATGTCACGAAGTTGCTCAGTCCAAGCGGCCACTGTGGTGGTTGCAGTATCGACTCAATAGCGTGGGGAGCCATCTAGTCGGAAATGTTAGTTAATGCAGGTACGCGGGCATGGAAAAGTCAAATTACCTTCGGAAAGGAAAAGCCTAGCTTCTGAGCCAGCTTGGTGCCTTCTCTCCATTCGCCGCCACCAACGCGAACGCCAGCTTTGGTGTACCAGTTTCCTGGACTGCCCATAATCTCACAAACGCGCCAGACTTGGTCGACTTCGTTGCCGCCTGGGAAAAGAGGCTTCAAGGTGGCGATTTCGACGGCCATCGCACCAATAGCCCAGATGTCCACAGGAGCTGAATACTCACCAGCGCGGAGCAGAACCTCGGGCGCTCTGTACCATCGTGTGGAGACATACGTGGTGTATGGAAGCTTTGAGTGCGTTTCTCGGGCGAGGCCAAAATCGGCAATTTTTATTGAGTAGGTAGGTGGTGTTGAAGGTGGTGTGACGAGGGCAGAGTACCTGCTGAAGGTGGAATGCGAATCCGACGGGGCAGAAGTCGAGACAAGAATGTTTTCTGGTTTGATGTCTCTGTGAAAGAAGTGATGTGCGTGGATGTGATCAAGGCCAGACAAGATCTGGTACAGGATACTTTTGACACTTCTTGGATCCATGACTTTGTGGTCCCTGGCCTTCATGAGTTGATACAGATTGCCATCCATGTACTCCATGCAGATGTGTAGTTTCTTGCTGAATGGGTCGAGGAAGATGTCCAGTGCAGGGACGAGATGAGCGTGATTGGGTAGAGTGCGCAGGAATACCACTTCGCGGAGTTCAAGGCAAGGTGAGAAGGACTCGAAGGTCTTCTTCATGGTCTTGATGGCGACCTGTATCGCAAGTCAGTTCAATGTATCACTTCACATCGGCGGGAGTACTACCATCGAGTTCCTTCGAGCAACATTTGCGCCGGCTGTGCGTACTCTCGCCAGGTGAACACTGCCAAAGCTGCCATCCCCGATCTCCTTGATCACTTCGAAACGATCTTCCAATGCACTCAGCGTATGCGAGTGTGAGCCCGGTCGCGAGCTGAATTCCGTAGCTACCGTCATGCTGAAGTCTGATGTTCCAGCACGCTTGACGGCAATCTGCTTTCGTCTCCTTTGAGTATTCTTGTTGTTGTATGAGTTCGTCTACCGACTCGCTAACATACTGGACAGAGGTATGTCAGGATTGACCAAGTCGTCAGACCCTTGAGATGTCGGTTGTTAAGAGCTCGGACGCGGTTTGGTTTGGCAGAGAAGTTGGCAGAGCGATGTTCAGGGAAAGAGAGCGAGAGCTTGACGATCTGACGGTGACTGTAATAGGTCGGTGAAGGCCCGATGCGGCGGTGGACTGGTCGTAGTAGTATAGGTTGGACCCGTGGAAGGAAAATGAGCAGCTCGAGAAGCTGCTAACGTGCTGCCGATGGTATAGCGGAGTGCAATGGGGCCGCAGGGGCACTCGGAAAGTGGGCTGCAAGGAAGGTGCGACCCCCTTTCTTGTATCTTGGTATTGTTTGACGTTCTTCTAGAGGGATATTACGTCGGTTCTAGGGATTTAGGATACCACACGTAAGGGCGACTGATTAGGTGGGCGGAATTCTGATGTTTAGCGAAAGTGGTCCAGTAGCCTGGGTGATCTGACCAAGGGATGAATGGGGACCGTGTTGATGGATTGAGGCGCGATATGTTGTACAGTGGTACCTCTTAGAGTTGAGTGAGGAATGAGCTCGGGCTGTAGAACTGGGCTGGGATCACCCAGCCTGATGTATACACGTGGTTTTCAGAAAAGAGGGTGATGGCTTTGACGACCTTGAGTGCAGATACATCGAAAAGAAAGGACCAACGACACGGTGAGATGAGGATCGCGCTCATCAAACGAGAAGCCGGAGGGAAATTGAGAAGTGGAAGTCCTGGCTGGTGCCCAGGTGCCGGCGAAGTGAAGTTAGGCTAGTACTAGAGAATGTCTAGTACCGGGCGGCCCTGGCTCCCGCTGAAGCATCAACGAAACAACACGGATGTTCCTGGCTCCACGGGACGTACCATTTCACATTGACCGAAACCTGCGAGCTGCACCATACAGCTCCTTGACTTTCGGTGTGGTCACCGCCATCTGCTGCGCGAGAAATATGAGAATGATGATGATCGAATTCGGGCGATTCCAATCTGCAATTTCACTGCTGCTTGGGGTCTACGAATGGTTTTGGGGCATGACTTTGAGACTATCACCACGAGCTCGACGGGAGGGCAGCGCCGGAGTCCCGTGGTGAGAAGTCAAAACACAGGCATGGAGGCACCGTGGCAGCACCCACGTTGATCGCCTTACAAACTGCCTCAGCCGTTCCGCAGCTCTGGGATTAGCCAGACCAAACTAGTGACGGACCGTCGTGGATATTAATTGAGCTTGATGCCTCCCACAACATCCATCCGAGATAAATTCATTCGCTTTTCCGTTGATCAAGAAGACCGGGAGACACGCGACGTAAGCATATCACACAGTTCTGGCCTCTTTGCGACCAGGTGGCTCACTGCGATTTGTTGCTCTTCCCAGAATCGCCCCAGTGACGAAATATGATTTGTATGTTGATTCGGGTCCCGAGCCTGGGCCTTGACGAGGTCGCTTTGCGAATGGACTTGTATGAGCCAACGTGGTGCCTGGCTCAACCCTTAATGATGACGGCACCATTCCCCAACGAGCATGGTGTGAGTCCGACGGCGGGCTTTAGGCATAATTGTTCCTGGATCTTTCCTTGAAATGATGGTATTGTGGAGCTCTCCCTGGAGGGTTTTCGAAGCGGGCAGTCAACGGTGACGATCCAATTTAGGAGCTGCTCACGATTGGCGTGATATTTCGGTTGCCCTCTTCGTCACCTTGTGCCACGTCTCTGGGTATAATTCTTCTTGGCCAGCCGCGAGACGGCCGTGAAAGCTGCCACAGTAATTCGCCGAGGATCTTGCAACTGGCCAGGATCTTAGGCGCGTGTCAACTTCTGCGGAGGTGTCAGATCTGTCCTGCTGAGAGATGGCTGTGATTTTGCACATCGCGGTACCAGGAGATGCTCAGGTCGGACGGCAGAATAGATCATGTTTGCTGCAAAATCGTGTAGAACGAACCTGGCTGGCTGGATGATCTTTGTGGACCAGTAGAGACCCGAGTCCGCACGCACGATACCGGAAACCTGAGCCTGACCTCAGAACCTCACTCTTGATACTCAAGCTATTCTGAACATGTTCAACATTCGCGAGGTCGCTGAGGATTCAGGTAAGACCCACACGTTTCGCTCTGCCGATGGGACCCTGCTATGCTTTACCAGAACCAACAGCTTGAGGAACATCGTTGATGGACACATAAATCTGACATGAGCGATCTTGCTGCACTCGAAGTGCCAAGACCTTCGTGCTTGCTGCATCGGCGCGTTTGCATTGCATTGCCTTATTGCCTCTGGCAACGAGAGAGAGAAAGATCTTTCCAGGGCACTTGACATGCTGACAGTTCTTTATCGATATGAACAATTGATACATGTCTGAGGGTCTCGAACATTTCGACACTTCTTTCTCTACACTGTCTCTCGTTCGCACGAGCGACCACGGTCCAACCACTGCACACTCATGTATGTACGTGCCTTCTCATTTTCAGCATTACTCTTGCCTCACACATTCGAGTCCATCATTCACTTGCTGCCGCCTGCTTCTGGAAGGTTCTCGGCATCGAATACCTTTCAACTATCATCACTCTTCGCCGCTGAATATCTTTCAAACGTCATTTAACACTTTAGCAGTGTAAGATACTCACCGATTCTTACTGAGGAGACAGAGTCCTCCCCGGCGTCATGCCCGAGTAAGCCAGCTTATCCTACTCAAAACCATCACTAACCTTTGCAGATTCAAATGCGGCAATTGTGGAAAGACCTTGAACGAAATGCAGTTTTCGAAGGTTTCTATCAAGGACTACCGAAGTCGACAAACTCATAGAAGCAATCACGGCGGCAAATTCAGCAAGGGTCCGGGATTCAAGGACCGCAACGGAGTCGAGTTGCCCATGTGTCGCGAATGCAAAGGAGAGCCAGCCACAACTCTCGAATGCTATGGTTGTGAGAAGACCTTGTCCATCGAGAGGTTCAGCAAGTCCCAGCGCAAAAACAAGGATGGGCGCGTGAGTCAACTTCTGCTTTTTCGACCTCGGCTCGCTAACACTGGCAGTTGTGCCTCGACTGCTCGCAGGAACGAGTTGATCGAGAACCCGACATTAAGGATGCTATCCATGAACAGGAGATCTTCGATGAGAAAATGGAGACGGTGAGTCGCATAGGTGACAGCGTCTGCTAGATGCTAATCAGTGGTTCCAGAAAGGTCACAATTCCGCGTACTCAACAGCCGGCTCCAGATCCACACTTCCGTCTGGCATGTCCACTGGCATGTCTCTGCACGCACATCTCGTATCGGCACCGGTGTCTGGGTTGGGGGAGCTAGTGATGTGCACTCTGCCACTACTCGCTCTACACACCTGCTCCAAGACAGCGACAACGATAGTGATGATGTTACGTCCACCCAAAACGGCTACGGCAAAGCTGGATCACAAGTCTCGGGCACATCTGCTGGCTTCGATGATACCCAAGCGATCGAGAGAAGATGGCCCTCCCAGGGAAAGCGATCCGCCTCAAACACCAGTGGAGCGCCCGGCTGGCACAAACAGGGCGCAGTCAAAAAGACTGCTGAGCAACGCGCCAAGGAACGTTTCGACCGCGACGAGAAGAAGCGTGAACGGGAGGCGGAGGAGGAGGAAGAGGCCCCAGACCAATCGGACTCCGACAGCGGAGAGTCTTTCGTGCTCTGAGAGTGTTGTTGGCTCAGTCCCATGGCAAATGCGAACATTAGGAGCGTCGAGCGTTGCTCGGAGGAACATCGGTACTAAGGTGCTGCTGATGATGGGTGGAATCACACTGTGCTTTACGGGCTGCCCAGTAGCGAGCCTTCTCAGGGAGACCTCCGGGGGCTTTGGCGCGGAATGTGAGGCGAAGAACGGCACACAACGCAAGTTCAGGCAAAAATGACATTGATCAGCTTGGCTCTCAGCGACATGGACGTCCACTGGTGGCGTAAGTTGAGTCCAATAACTGCGCCAGGTCACCGAGCGCATGAAAATGAACATCACGGGCTTTCCTGGCCCTCCTCAGTCTTAACATCGTTGACACTGTGTTGACACAACCGTGACTACTCCCCATCTGACTCTCGTCGCTGCTCAGCGAACGCACCTTGCAGGCCCTGACTGAATCGAAGAACACTGGAGGTGCAGAGAGTTCACGTCATGCAGTGGCGTCTAGCGCGGACCACGTTTCTTGTTTCGAGACCCGGATTTTAGGCTTTGCAAGTCTGAAGAACAACTTAAAACGACAGCCGGATAAGCGAGCCTGCGCTCCATCCTGCTGGGCTCTCCAACTATGCATAGTGGACAAACCATGAGAACTCCAGGCTCATGAGAAACACATTATGCATTATGCATGCGATTCCAGCGCTGAGCAGGCACACAAAATCGTGGGACCACGGTCGAACAACATTGGACAAAGAGTCAAGCATCGTGTCGTTGGTATGTATTCACCCCCAACGCCAGGCTACGCCTTCAAGGGCAAACCTGGTCTTTAGCAGTTCACCGATGACGCAACGACAGCCAGTTCTTGATAAGATCCAGCGTCGCGTGTAACCAGCGCACGGGCTCTGCCTCCCGTTCGACTGGCTGTCCAATCGCCCCCATTGCTCGGCCTGACTGACTTCATCCCGAAGCTTCTACTGGTGCATCGCGAGAGGCAAGTCTCGCCAGTGTTACCAGCATATCCTGCCCAGCTCGTTCTCGGTCACGACCTCTAGCGATTACTACAGTACACTGTGGTCGGGCGCTGCTATCTAACGCTTGGTAGGCCCCCAAGTCCCAAAGTCCGGATTGCCTGCGCCTCTTGTCGAGATCTTATCGTCGTACTCTCACAGCGTCAACCTCACTTGCGACACCGAAGCAACTTCGCTGCCTGCTCGCGAATCTCAAATTCACAACATGACCAAAACGTGTCACTACGACGAGTCTTGATCCGAACCAACCTGCTGGGCTGCACAAGATCTTGGTCATCGGCTTTCCGCATATCCAGGCGGCTGCCCGGCCTCGAATTCCACCATAGCTGGCCTCAGAAGCAATATTTCGAGAAGCATACGATGCGACTGACATCCTAAGATCTGTCGCAACATGGCATACCAGGACTCATACCCTCCGCCGCCGGGTCATCCCTCTGATCCTCGCTACCTGAACTCGCAGCCTCAGCATCTTTCAAATGTGCCTGATCTGTCACGAGTACGATCCCGTGATTCAGTTGCGCAAGATGGTTACACATCCGATTCAAGCAGATATTCACGGGCGACCAAACCCATAAATGAAGCTGTGAATTCTGCCTTCACGAACTCGACCGCGACTGCCAGTGCAATCGCCCCCGACATTCTGGCCCAGCTCACGTCACAAATCACTGCCAATGTCATTCAACAGCTGAAGGCCTCCAACATTTCAGGTCCCGGCGTTTCACCGTCCATAGCGCCAGACGCCAGATCATCTGCTGCAGGATCTCCACCCCCCGATCGAGGCAGTGTGTACACACCACCTTCGCCCGGCAAAACGTCAGGTCTGGGAGTCGATATGTCTGGTGCCACCGTGCCTCCAACGGTCTCACACGCATCTCCGCCCCTCAGTCAAGCCAGCAATGCGGAAGAAGATCCCACTTCAAGGCCTAGAGGACCTCAACGGATATCTACTAGCGGTGACATGACCGTCGTTGAGAAGATCTGGGGAACATTATTCAACGAACAGGGGGATCCCACTCCTCGGCTGGGGCAGTTTCTTCGCGGTATAGCCATGCACCTTATAGAGGACTACGAGCCCAAAGGCTCACTGGTTGTCACACCGAGCAAGATGCAGCGGTACTACGAGGAGACAAAGCTCGACAACGAACTGTTACCGTGGAAGGATATCTTTGACGATCGTACTTCGTCCATATCACGAATGTTGAGAGAACTGGAGATCTCGCATCACCTTGTTCAGGCCAAACTTAGTGATCGTCCCGACGTTCCCGGATTAACACCGGAAGGCTTCGAAAAGTGGTTTATCTTTACCATTCAAGCTCATCCCGACCAAGAGTTCGAACGACTGGCCAAAACGGCCCTGTCCATGCCAATCAATAATCCCGACGATAAGAAAGAACGTTTCCCGAAAGAATTGTCTCGAAGGCTATTTCCCGGTCGCAGTGATGAGGCGATCGAGGCGACGTTAATCAAACATATGTCAAAGCACTGCAACTTGAACATCAAAAGTCGCCACAATAGCACGGTTCAGGACCCCCGACCAGTCGAAGACACTCGCGCTTTCGCAACAAGCGTGCCGACGAATGGGATCGCCACCGAAAATCCAGCCACAGATCGACCACAGTCGTTCTCCAGCGTTCATTCGGCCGCTGCGGTCGTGTCAGATGGAGAAGATACTCCCACTCCTCAGCCAATCGAGCGTGAAAGGAAACCATACGTTGCACTGCCGGGAGGAGGCAAATCAACAGTCGAGAGCACGAACGACCCCATGACGCATAGGGCATCACTTTCTACGTCTGCCGAATCTGCTCCGCTACAGAGGTCGCTTTCTAATCGCGATGGTCGGCCGTCAAGACTAGATGACCCGTTACGACCACGGCCACCACCGATTGCCGTTCATCAAACACAAGCGACAAGTCAGGCCGCTGGTTCCGCTCCGCTAGAAATACCGGAAACTCGTCGACATCGTCAAAGTGCCTACTATCGCGACAACCCCCCGAACACAGCAGTTCCGCGACGCGCGCGTTCTCCTTCGCGGGGCAACCATGCCGATTACCCGCCTGACTACGCTCACTACAGCACCAGTGCAGCCAGTGCGGGCCCTTTTGACGACCGCGACAAGCGGTACCGAGACTGGGAACGGCCTGAGCGGCTGGCCGGTGATCGATTCGATGCCGCGAGAATGTCAGCATATGATCCCAGAGACCGTGAACGCGAACACGTTGGCGGCGGTGAAACGAGGTCAAGAGGGCAGAGCATGAGCTATGCGAATCCTGATGAGGAGTACTATCGAAGTCTTGGGGTGAGGGACGGCGCAGGAGCTGCATATCCACCCAGCAGCTATCGAGACGGCAGGTGACAGCACCCGGCGTGTCAGGCCCGAACGATGTATAGCATGAGATTGTTTATAGCCAGTGTTGAGATGTGAGCGTTCATATGTACTTCAGCGATTTGACTTCGAAATATCCATCTATGTACTTGTGTATGTAACTCGATATGTCCTGACTTCTCATATGTGATCCTCGGTGGCACTACTGCGGCACAGCTTGCTTCGATGGTCGCTATTCGTGAATCAGGCCGTCTAAACCATATCAGTCTCGCTATCTAAGCAATATTTCGCTGTTCCGAGGTCGACCAACTTTTGCGTTACTCTCAGTGGCGCTTCTACAACGCCCATCGCGAGTTATGCACGATGCTCTAGAATCCCAGCAAACATAAGTCCGCCAACTGAAACTCACCCGGCAAACACCGCCGACCATGATGGGACGACAGACCTCGGTCGCTACCCCCTCCCCCAGCGCTTTCGGCAACAGCCAGAATGCGGGGAGTGGTGGATATTTGCAGCCCATCTGCATTACACAGTAGTGGCTTCATCTCGCGAGTCATCCAAACACGCGTAAGTGATTGGGTGCGGGACGAATGCTCGGTATGTCGCGATACACTCGGCCAGAGCCATGGTCGAGTAACCATAAATGTGCTGACTCGAGGTGAGTACATATTCAATGAGCACCACATGAGATCGTGATCTACTGTCCTCCAAGCAACCATGTCAGACAAGAAGGTGCCCGTGCCGTCAGACTATCTCGGGCCACAGCCCCAGAAGGTCAACCTCGATGCCAAAATTGACAAGGCTGCTGATCCACAGAAACTCGACTTTGACCCAGTAGCACTCAAGGAAAGATACAAGTCGGAGAGGGACAAGCGGCTGAACGCCAGCTTATCAGGCATCGATCAGTACAAGTATGTCGAGGGACAGTTCGCACACATGCTCCGGGATCCTTGGATTGAGCCAGGATTCAAGAGGGACTCCATCACAGAGACAGTGGACGTCGTGGTCATTGGTGGTGGCTATGGTGCTCAGCTAGTCGCTGTGAAGATGATTGAGTCTGGAATCACGAATCTACGCATGATAGAAAAGGCCGGTGGCTTTGGAGGGACTTGGTACTGGAATCGATACCCTGGAGCACAATGTGATATCGAGGTACGCCGTTCCCTATCTTTCACCGCTGTCATGCTAATCTTGTCAGTCTTACATATACATGCCCCTCCTCGAAGAGCTCAACTACGTTCCAACAGAGAAGTATGCCCACGCCAAAGAGCTTCTCGAGCACGCCGACCGGATTGGCAAACACTGGAACCTCTATGATCGTGCTCTGTTCCAGACAGAAGTATACGAGTGCAGATGGGACGAAAAGGCCAACCTCTGGACAGTCAAGACCGACCGTGGTGACACAATCAAGTGCCACTACCTCGTGCCCGCGGCCGGCCCACTGCATCGACCAAAGCTCCCAGGCACTCCCGGAATCACCACATTCAAAGGCCACACAATGCACTCCTCCCGATGGGACTACAACTACTCCGGTGGCGGCAACCTCGGCAGCCTCGACAAACTCAAAGACAAACGCATAGGCATCATCGGGACCGGCGCGACAGCTGTGCAGATAGTTCCGCACGTCGGAAAGAACGCCAAAGAACTCTATGTATTCCAACGCACACCCTCCTCAATCGACGTTCGCGGCAATCGACCCACCGACCCGGAATGGGCGGCGTCTCTCAAACCCGGCTGGCAAAAACACCGCATGGATAACTTCAACGCCATCGTCCACGGCGAGATCCTCTCCGAAGACCTCGTCTCCGACGGCTGGACCGACATCCTCCAAAAGCTCCTCGCCCGCATGACACCCGATATGGACTGGGCGACCATTGAAGCGGAGCGCCAACTCGCCGACTTTGAGAAGATGAACGAAGTCCGCGCACGCTGCGACGCTTTGGTTAAAGACCCACAGACCGCCCACAACCTCAAACCTTGGTACAACCAGCTCTGCAAACGGCCTTGCTTCCACGACCAATACCTCCAAACCTTCAATTTACCTTCTGTCCACCTCATCCACACCGATGGCCGCGGTATCGACGCCATCACTCCCAAAGGCATCATCGCCAACGGCAAGGAATACGAACTCGACTGCATCGTCTACGCTACCGGCTTCGAGCTTGCGACCGAATGGTCTCACAAGACAGGAATGGAGATCTACGGCCGCAACGGCCAGTCCATCACCGACTGCTGGAAACAAGGCTGCCGCACCCTCCACGGCTGGACGACGCGCAACTTCCCCAATTGCTTCTGGCTGCAGGTGGTCCAGGCAGCCTTATCGCCAAACTTCCTGCATGTCACGGGCGAGCAAGCGGAGCACATGGCGTACGTGATCGCAGAGATGAAGAAGCGGGGGTTTGCAACTGTTGAGCCCACGGCGGAGGCGGAGGAGGAGTGGGTAAGGACGATTGTGACACTGGGGGAGTTGCGGAGGCCGTTTCTGGAGGAGTGTACGCCGGGTAAGTTGCACCCTTTCCCTGCTCAACCCGTGTTCAGAATGGGTTGTACTATCAACTCTGCCCGAGGATGAAGAAGTGGACCCGTTGAACTCCATACCGTTCCTTCGAGCACACATTGCCCTCCCGAGACAAGGCTAACGAATCTCACAGGATACTATAACAATGAGGGTACGCCGAATCCAATCGGGGCGCAAAATGCGAGTTATGGGGCGGGCGCTGTCAAGTTCTTGGAGCTCATGAGGAATTGGCGAAAGGAAAATAAGCTGGAGGGATTGGATCTGAAGCCGCTCAAGCAGGCGAATTTGTAGTTTGGGCAGTGAGGCGGTCGTTGATGTGAGTATTTTCGTATAGCATGGCAGGGTAGTTAGCCCTCTTTGGAGCACAGAGATTGTGTAGAACATGCTCAGGCCTACATGAATGCCATCTCACGCGTCAGCCCAGCTGCAACCCATCCCCGGGCGAAGTTCCTCCCCGTCCACAGCAGCACCCCAATCCACCAAACCCGTCCAATCCACGCATCATACCACATCCCCTTCTCGATGCCATGCCGCCTCCTGATCTTTCGTACCAACGCTATCGCAACTCCTTCGACCACAATTGCAATACCATTCAACCCAAAGAACCGTGCTTCTCCAGCCGCCAATCTCCACTCCCCGTTCAGGACCCCGCGCACGCTGAAAGCGTGCACAAACGCACTGCTCGCGAACGCCCCGATCACCTTGCCGATATCAGCTGACTGATCCTCGCCCTTGCCCAACAGCTTCCTCTCAACCCATTCGCCAGGCCATACACCGTACACGAGGAACAGCCGGGCAAACAAGCGGTGCCAGCCATAGCTCCAGAACGCTCGAACCGATGTAATCTCCCACACACGCGTCGTGTACAGAGGTGGAAAGAAGCTCAACGGCGATGGTGAGAGCGGGTGACACATGATGGCGAACATAGAGTGCCCGGCACTGAACGCCGCCATGAGGAAGGCGCCAAGGGCTGCCGTCAGGAGAAGTTGGGTGTTCATGGGCAGGGTATCGAAGAGACCGTAGCGGTCGGTCCATGGGAGGTCTTCGTACTGTTGGAGATAGGTCACGTATGTGCGTCGGATGAATGCCCAGCTGACGAGAAGAACTGGGCCAGCGCTGAAGCCTAGGCTGTGAAGGCGATTGCCCAGTGTGGGGATCCATGTCTTGCGGGTGTGCCGGACATCGGCGGTTGTCCAGGTGAAGCCGATGCCGCGCATTGAGAGTTCGAGCTCTAGTGCCCAGGACGCGCGAGCGAGGAAAGTCTGTGGATAGTGCTCTTCGGTGTGGGCGGTCTCGTAGACTGGCGTAGGCGTTGGGCCGGCGAAAGTCGCGGAGAGTGCGGAGGTAGCTTGAGCAGCAAAAGACGGTTTGCGTGGTGTCTTGTTCGCAGCAGGTGTAGTCGAATTGTCCGACGTCGACGACTTGGTCGACGGAGAGCTTGTATGACCATTAACGTGGCCATTGGTCTCGCTCACACCAAGGAAGGCGTCCTTCAGTCCTCCGTTGCTCCACTGCTTGGTCAACTGGAACGAAGGAGATCTAGGATTGCTAGGTCTCTCAACATGCTTATAGTGGACGCGCCGAGGAATGTGGTTGAATAGATACGGGCTGATGAAGAACGCATCCAGAACCCGACACCCTCCGTAGATGCCTACGAGGCCGAGCTGGTATGTCAGGCCAATGCTTTGGGGCACATGATAGACAAGTGGCAGCCGTATGAACAATGTGCCCGCGACCAAGGCAAGGACATTCCGCAGCAGTTTGATAGCTGTGCTGTCGCTCGATTTAGGTGGCGGTGGTGCCAGGAATAGTAGTGCGATGTAGTAGATTAGAGGAGGACATATCGCTGCCTCAATCGTGAGTGGTCTTGAGCCGGGTATGGGATGCAGACCAGGCCGTGGCTCGGTCGTCAATGCCTGTTCCCAGATGGACTTGAAGACATCCATGGTCGGGCAAAAGAATGGGAGTAAAGAACGCCATCATTTCAAACTCACCTAAACGGCGGCAAGATGGGAAGGAAGGACCCATCATCGAATCATGACGTTGGATGTGCCAAGCATTGACGTTAGCAAGTACTAAGTACTCAGTGGAGGTTTCCCAAGGAACGAATCTACCCAGCTTCCTTCTTATCTTTGGCGGTGGCCGACACTGCGACGGAAGCAACGCTTGTTTGCGCTTGACCTTCCTGTGTCTGCCAGAAGCCTTCGAGTGTAATTACTTCCAGTTCCGACATGCTGAGCGCTCCTGCCAGCGGCTACCAGAGGTGGGCCGCAGTGGGTAACTGCGCAAGAAACCCCTTAACCGTGACTGCGCAATTTGCATCACATGCACGTGAAGCGATCACTGCCAGGTCAACAATGCGTGGCGATAGAGGTAAGTTCAGCAAGAGAACTTTTCACGTTGCAGACTATGAGCTATCTCAAGTGCCAGAAGAAGCTCTCGTGGGCTCAGATGGGAGAAGGCGTGTACATGTACTACTTGACAAGGCCTATGGCACTCACTAGGTTTTAGACTGATGGTGGGATTGATCTGGTCCTGGAAGAGGGTATGAAGAAGTGTGCTTTACTTTGTGGAGCGGTTATTGATATGTACAAGCATACTCCTCTTCCCAGTACAACTGCAATGCAATGGGGGTGCTATGACTGCCTAGCTACACTCACACGCAAGTTATCGCGGACATGGATCAACATTTGGTCCAAGTCCTCGGCAGGGTTATAAGCAGCCCATCATCGCGTGCCTCAGTGCTCTCCCAAGCCTGAGTGGACTGAGATGCAGACATCGAAGCGATGGCCGTTCTCGAGTGTCAGAACAAGAAGTTTTGGCCAAGTCTTGTCCACCAGGACCTCGACAAAGTAATGGACCCAGAATTCGGGACGACCGGCAGTATCTGGTTCTACTGGGACCTGCGCGTTATCATGCTCATGATCTCCTGTTTAGACTCGGCGGAGGAGACCTGTCCCCTCTCAGCAACAACCTCAGCAGGATTGACGATGCGATTGCCGAAATGCCCAGCACATGGCGGCTCCAGATCCACGTGAATTGAAACAGCTTGCGTGATGGTTATTTCATCATTTGCCCCAGCGTCTCAAGACTCTGGAGTGCCGACGTCTCGCCAGACCGATTCGTTGGCCCGATTCTAGAGCGAGGCACGTGTTCCCTCAATCGAGGAGACGGTCTATTGTACACCAAGAGTAGCGCAGTTGATCGCGGAATTGCTCGGCTGCCTCCAGACGACCAGCTGTGCCGACCAGCGGTAATCAACAGAAGCACATGCTGCGAACCTGTTCCACCAGCCAGCGGGCGGCGTCGCTGTCTGCATACTGGCCGTTCAGAGCTCCGGGAACACACCAGGAAAATACCGACAAGCACCCGTCGGAGAGAGCGAGGCGGTTGAAAGCGGCAAGAGACTGCGACATGATCAAGAGGCGAGGTCTGAGGCTACCCAAGCCACGAGCGCAGGCACAGCTTCGTGGCTTGACATTTGCGGACCATCAAGTCGCAACGGCAGAGTCTCTGAAGGCATGGTAAAAGCTCGGAAAGGGACTATTGTCGACCTCGAGAGCCAATTCTGATGCATGGCGCGATCATAAGCCAGAAACGGGAATCTTGGTAACGGCGGCTCAACCACGGGAAGCTGCCACAGATGAATCCAAGACTACCTAAGTACCGAATCGAACTCTCCTACCAATCACAGTGCTATCTAGGAGGTGGCATCAACGCCTCAAGCTTTTTTCTTCGACCTCGAGCCCGTTCGGTGGCGCTACAACACTGGTGCACATTGAGACCTCTCGGACCTTGGCTCCTGCAATAATACGAAGTTGTAGCGATCCGGGAGACTTCCGAAGTTCTTGAGGAAAATTCCTGCGGCCAAGCCATCATGCGCTATTGACCACACTTTAGCGACCATACCTTCCTGTGGTGCGGGATCATTTTCTAGCACCTGCGATCCAGATCAACCTAATACACTAAGCGAAAGATCTAAGCATTGGCACTCGCTTGGTTCGGCACCCAGGGTTCACTTCGGCTCAACCTGAGGCCAATCAACACAACGCCTGGAGGCCGCATACCGAATTAGGCTCTTCGGACGTCCCCCAACTCTCCTCAATACCACATGTCCCCGGACTCCAGATGGGAGCGCCTGGTGTAGTGAATATATCGACTACTCCAGAGTTCCAAGGTCTCTGCTCGATAGTCTCGCTTAAGAGTGCAAGGACACACTGTAGGTCCCCGGCAGCACGTCGGGCCCAGGACGGCTGTGGCAGTGGGAAATGCACTGATATCAGCTCCTGGTCTATATTATACCCTCTCGCCTGCTTGAGTTCAACTGGGGTTCATCACATTCTTCGTCCTACTATCCTCCCCTGCCATCAACATGACTTCCATTGAGAAGATTCCCGATACTGATGTGGAGCGAGTCAATTCCATCGACCGCGCGAAGAATGTAAGTCTTATACAACAGTCTTTCTCGTGCACTTCTGACTTCGAATGAAAGGTCGTCGAGGTCAAAGTGGTCAAAGGCTCCGAAGCCTACAATGAGGCCCTCCTGAAAGAGCCTGTAAAGTGGACAGAAGGCCGGCAGCTTATCCTGTTCGCTTGTCTCCTGGTCGGCTTCTTTTGCCAGACCATGAACGGCTTCGACTCTATGCTGCTGGGTGGTATCCTAGCCAACAAACGCTTCCTCAAGCACTTCAACGGCGAGAACAAGGGAATCTGGGCGGGCTTGATCTCCAGCATGTTTCAGATTGGTGGTGTCTCCGCGCTTCCTTTCGTTGGTCCAGCTATTGATACCTTCGGCCGTCGTGTTGGTGAGTCTGCATTCAAGTCATGCATCATGTTCTCACAATCGACAGGTATGGTCATTGGTAGCGTTGCCATCGTTCTTGGAACTGTGATCATGGCATTGACCTCGACCAATGCCTCCGAGGGCCAATTCATGGGTGGCCGTTTCTTCGTTGGATGGGGCGTCAGCATTGCTGCAGCTGCAGGTAAGTTCATTTTCCGTTGACCTGATGGAAGCTTGCTGACAGTTAACAGGACCGATTTGGGTGGTCGAGACTGCGCATCCTCGTTTCCGTGGTGTTATCACTGGGTTGTGCAACTGCACCTGGCTTGTCGGCGCGATCCTCGCATCTGGCGCAACCCGCGGCGGCATTGAACTCGAGGGCAATCAATCCTGGATCCTGCCGCTCTGGCTCCAGCTCTTCTTCCCGGGTTTGATTCTCAGTTTTGCTTTCTTCATCCCTGAGTCCCCACGATGGTACTACGCCCATGGCAAGCAGGAGTCTGCTGTCAAGATGTTGGCCAAGTGGCACGGCAATGGCAATCGCGATTCGGCGTGGGTCAAGCTCCAGCTCGCTGAGTACGAGTCCAGCATTGAGCGTGACAGCTACGACAAGCGCTGGTGGGACTACCGTGGACTGTTCAACACCCGTGCCAGCATCTACCGACTCATGGTTGCTTGCTGGTTCAGTGCTTTCTCTCAATGGTGTGGTAGTAAGTTGCCCTTTCTTCACAACGCGTTCGACCCTGGTTCAGAGGGCGTTCTACCGGCACTGGAGCGCGCTCTAAGTACCTTTACTGATCAATGCTATAGATGGTCCTCTTTCCTACTTCATGGCAGCTGTCCTCGATACCATTGGTATCAACACTGAGGTTGGCAAGACCAATGTCGGCCTGGGCTATAATTGCGTTCAGTTCGCAGCTGCCACTGTAGGCTCGTTCTTCGTCGAGAAATTCGGTCGTCGCAAGCTTATGCTTGCTGGCTTCTTCGGTACGTTCCGTCAAAAGTCGATTCTAGTGCAGGCACGCTAATCAGCGAACAGGGACTAGCATCATTTGGATATGCATGACTGGCGCCGCTGGCAGCCTCAACAGCCACCTCGTGTCAGGAAGCGCCAAGGACGGTGACGCCGTTTATGACAACGACTCCGCTGCGAACGCTGTACTTGGCTTCATCTTCATATTCGGGATCGTGTACTCGTTCAACATCACACCTTTGCAGTCGCTGTACCCAGTCGAGAACCTGTCCTTCGAGATCCGTGCGAAGGGTATGGCATTCCAGTCCTTCTTCGTCAATGCTGCTGGCCTCATCAACACCTATGCCTGGCCTATTGCTTGAAGCAGATTGCGTGGAAGACATATATCATCTTCATCGTCTGGTGTGCTGCTCAAGGTGTTGTTGCGTACTTCTGCTTCCCTGAGACACGCAGACGCACCGTAAGTCATCGCCCTCTCCCTCTGTCTGCCCAACAAGTATGCTGATTCATATGTGCTGCAGCTTGAGGAACTTAACGACATTTACAACGCTCCGAACCCGGTCAAGTTCTCAATCGCCACCCACAAGCTTGCACTCAACGAGGACAAGACTGTCGTTGCTGTCGATGAGGATGCTGCTGCCATGCAGATGTGAAGCACTCTCGATTGTACACGAGAGCTGCCTTAAGCATTCTCATGGTTGTCCAGGTAATGAAATGGTAGTCATGGTCGTAATGTTGGAGGGAATGACATTGTGCTGGGCCGAACTGGGAAAGCGCAATTGTCAGGCAAGGGAAGCCATGCAGTGAAAATAGTCTCTTGACTCGATGTTAATTGGACCTCTGCTCTATGCGAGCACTGAGCTGCTGTCAGTGATGACACGTCGCCTGTCCGTTCCAGCCAGCTTGAACTCAGCATTGAAGCAGCACCTTCGTATTCCCTCACAGTCCTAACAGCGCACCTCTAACTTTGTCCTTGTTGAGTTGCACCTTCCAGAACCTGGTCTCGTTGCAAGCATACAGCACGCCTTGCTCCCCGAAGCAGAAATTTGCAACTCCGCCCTCAATTGCGATCACTCCAAGTGGCACGCCCTCCGGGTTCCATACTTCTACGCCGTCAAGGCAGCCGGAGTACACATTGCCCATGGTGTCACACTTGATACCGTCTGGTACGCGTCCAGGTGCGAATGCGAAGAGCCGCTTGTTCGCAAGCATTGGCTCGCCGGAGCCGGGGCCTGCCGGAACGATGTCAAAGGCATAGATGTGAGACGGGCCTGCGTGGTCGAAAGGGACATCCTTGGAACCGTGAATTGCACCTGTGTCCGTGACGTAGAGGACTTTGAGATCAGGTGAGAAGCACAAGCCGTTTGGTCTTGTGAAGCCATCTGCTATGGCGCGTATTGTTTTGGTCTTGGTGCAAAAGCGGTAGACCTGGTTCGGCAGACTTGGCTTCGGGCGTATGCCTTGACCGTGGCCGTAGCAGGGGTCGGTGAACCAGATGGACTGGTCGTGTGGGTGGACAATAACGTCGTTCACGGAGTTAAAAGGGATGCCGTGGAAGTCCGAAACGATCACCTCAGGAGCAGGAGCTTCGGCAGAGGGCGGCGTGGGCAGTGACACAGCCACGATACCGTTGACATCGTCAGCACTCTGTGAGCCTTGAGCGCAGAGCAGAATCGAGTCTTGTTTGTAGTTCACGCCGCCGTTAGACATAGCATAGTGTACACCAGGGAACAGAAGCTCTTGGTAGCGGGACCTTCCAGGCTCTGCCTCATCATCATTATCATCGAATATTCGATACAGCTTGATATGCTTATGAGATGTGGCTTCGTAGCCGGCGGTGTTGTTGGGCAGTTGATTTGACGTGACGATTACACTCCTCGTGGCTTGGTGGTATATGCATGCTTCGTGAAAGAGCTGCTCGCCATCGCCACTCTCGCAGAGGAGCTGGCCAGCAGCTTCAGGTCCTGTGATGCGGTCGAAATCATTGTGATATTTGGTAAACGTGACCGACTGTGCGTTGGTCGTTGCCATCGTTCCGTCTGAGTGAGATTATGGGGTATAGCGCCACGATCGATCTCAGGAGCTTTCCACTAGCCGTCCGGACGTGAGACTCACCTGTTGGACACGCCTATGGAGGCTTTTTACGTCTAGAACACAGCAACGACTGATGATTTGAGTATTATTCTCGGGCTTTGACTGCAACAGAGGCCAGGTCGCACATCGGCAATTGCTTATCGAAGTACCTTCTCATCGGCAATGAGATTTTCTAAAGCCGGTGTCTGATTATGGCTATGTGCGCCACCTTTAAGTTTGACTCGAAAGAAGCTGGTCGATAGTGGCCAATGCTCTGGAGGTCCAGGTCGTTGTAGCAGGGGCGTATTCCACTAGTCCACAAGAAGTATAGTGACATTCCGGTCCCAGTCTCTAGCATCGATTCGACCTCGAACGACTACTCACCCCAATCGAGTCTCGTCGGACGTCACGAGACATGCAGGCTCCTTCAGCTTGCAAATCTCTTCAATGTCGGCGAAAGCGCCGTTCGTGAGCTGAATGATCACACGTGCGCAACACGACGCTAGTGACATCTGCCGACTTGACGATTTGGCAACACTCACTGAATAATTTGCGCCTATAGCCACGACTTATTTCTTTCCCCAAAGGTTTGGTATCAATGTTGAGACATGTCCATGGATGGACGATACCAAGCTGCTCGGACTCCCAGCAACCTTGTCGCTGCTCGCATCATATGAGGCGCAACTGCTCAAGTCTCCTAGTACCCGGTGTAGCAATGAAGGCGCAAGGCTGGTAGAGCTATCGATCCCTTCTCTGCTAGCGTCGGCATTGGATCTACTCCCTACAAACGCCGTGCTACATTAACGCAGCTCGCCGCGACCAGACGCGATTGCTGCATTGCGGCCGACATCATGGCTCAAGGTCTGTATAATGCGTGCCGGATCACGGTCAGCTGGAATCGGGGTCGGCACCACCTGGAAAGTTTGGGTTGACACGCAATCACAATTTTGAGTTCCACCACGTTATCCTTTACACAGCACTGTACCCCGGAGCGGCCCCAGACGGGCCCCAGCTGATCATGTTCGATCAATAATCCAGATCGCCTTCCTAGTACCAGCAATTGCCGACATAAAAGTTTGTCCAAAGACCGACGAACACGTTGACTTGAGTAGATATAACGACTTCCACTTCCGAGTGATAGGACCTCGTTCCAAGGTCAAATAGGTGTGAGCGACATCGTACAGTACCTCGTCTCGTCCAACAAATTTGCAGCAGACCACGCGGCGACATGGGCAAGCTTCGAGGAAACACGCTCTTCGGAGCCGTTACGGCCCTGACGGCTTTGGGGTTCATGCAGATCGGTACGCTCCTGGTTTTCGTCTCAGCAATACATGACTGACGCCCATCGCAGGCTACGACAATGGATTGATGGGCAACTTGATCAACGGCAAACCGTGGAATGACACTTTCGACAACCCTGATGCGACCCTGGTCGGCACAATCGTCAGCATCCTTGAGGTTGGCGCATTCTTTGGCAGCATCTTCACGGCCTTCGTCGGGGAAAAGCTTGGACGACGGAAGAGCATTCTCCTTGGAGTAGTCATCATGGCCATCGGTTCTATCCTACAAGCCACATCATATTCTCGAGCACAGATCATCGTTGCCAGAGTCATTGCTGGCATTGGACTGGGTGCGTGCCCTGAAAACCTAACTTGAGCCAGGGAGCAGCCTCTTGGTTCTGATCCTGCCAGTACATGGTCACTCTAACAGGCGCTATAGGCATCAACAACTCTACGGTCCCTGTGTTTCAGGCCGAATTCTCGCCAAAGGCTAGTCGAGGCTTGTACGTGTGCATGCAGTTGAGCACGCTGAACTTCGGCATCATGGTACGTGTCCTCTTGAACATGAGTTGGGCGAGACATCTTTCTCCTGCTTCTGTCCCCTCCGGTAGAGGCCCATTCTAACACGTGCAATAGTTGATCTACTGGATCGACTACGCATTCTCGTACCATGATGAAAGCTTTGCATGGAGGGTCCCAACAGCACTACAGCTGGTCTTCCTCATCGTCATGCTTGGATTAGCTCTCCTAGTCGACGAAACTCCTCGATGGCTCGTCGCTCATGACCGCTCGGATGAGGCATGGGAAGTTCTACAGAGAGTCAACTACAACAGACATACTGAAGAAGAGACCCGAGCACAGTTCGACGACATCGTGAATGTGGTCAGAGTACAAAACAGCATCAAGACCGGATCTTGGGCCACGATCCTCAAGAGCGACAATATCTCTAGTCGCCGTCGGTTCTTCATTGCATGCGGCATCCAGTTCATGCAGCAAGCGGGTGGTATCAACGCTATCGTCTACGTGAGTCATGGTTCCTGCCTTTTCTCTGACGCCGTCACGACTAACAAACCCCACAGTACTCCGGAACTCTCTTCCAAAAATCCATCGGCTTCAGTCAACACTTCTCCGGCCTCATGGCCGGCTTCCTGAACACCTGGTTCTTCGTCGCCTCCTTCATTCCCTGGCTCCTAATCGACCGTCTCGGCCGCAAGCCTCTGCTCCTGTCCATGATCTTTGTCATGGCCGCTGTCTTCACCGTCCAAGCCGCTCTCATCTATCAGGTCCAGAATAACACCCCGATCCAACACAGCTGCGGCATCGCTGCCGCCAGCATGTTGTTTGTGTACCTGGGTGCTTTCACTGTTGGTTTTCAAGCCACCGTGTGGGTCTATCCGAGTGAGATCCTACCGTTGAGGATGCGGCAGATGGGCAGCTCGGTCTCGACTGCAACGAACTGGTAAGTTCAAGTAGTCTTGTGGACCGCACCTCCTGGGCCCAATCTCCCCCACTACATGTCGCCTCTAACAACTGTGCAGGATTATCAACTACGTCGTGGTGCAGATCACGCCACCAGGTATCCAGAATATCGGGTGGAGGTTCTACATTATCTTTGCGGTGCTGAACTTTGTCTTCTTGCCCGTGATCTACTTGTTCTTCCCAGAGACGAAGGGGCTTGCGCTAGAAGACGTCGACAGGCTGTTCGCCAAGGATGATGGTGTGATGCATATGCTGCATGAGGGTAAGGAGGAGTCCAAGGAGATCGAGCATACCAAGGACTGATGAAGGGCGAGATGGTGGATCATTTGTGAAATGGATATGAGAGTACCTATCGTGAGGTGGTTGTGTATGTACAATTTGCAACCCGAGATGAAGGCGCCGTCGGGGAGTCAGTGCAAGCTACTAGGATTACATGAGAAGACACGAAAGCACAAAGGATGATATACATCAAACAATTACGCTATCACTGAGCTGTAGCTACGAACAGTCGACTAAACAAACAGGGGTATCATAACGTCCGTGGCTCAGGCCAATTCAGAAGACTCCATAACCTCGAATATAACGCTGGACATAACAAAAGTAGCTCACGCCTATGCTGGCTGTCTTCTTTGGCATTCCAGACTGAGAACCATAGACGCCGAGTCGTCGTACAAATTCGTTGATTCGGGTTTCCGTCTCACTAACCATCCTTGGGTCAATCCCTTCTCAAAAGCCCGCCCCGATCCAAGAGTCAGAGACGCGCTGTCCGATTTACTGGCAGTAGGGCGGCTAAGCAGTGCTCATCGAAGGTCCAGAGTTGACTTTCCTCCCTTCCCTCGAGAACAGCGGCCTGTGGCTATGGCGCTCGCTTCTGAGCACGCTGAAGGCGGTCAAGGCGTTTAGTATGAGAATCGCCGTGAAGATGAGCCTGTTAGGGGTCAAATGTGTCAGCGTCAAATTCGAATCTTCCACATAGGTGACAGGACCAGGGCGGGCTCTATGAGCAGAGCGCCAGATAATGACGTACCAAAGCATAACCGCAAAAGCCAGCAACGCCCCTGCTGTGCCCGTCGCCGTCCCACCAAAGAACGCTGCCAGCGCCGCAAACCCGCTCAACCAGAAGATCCACGTTACAAAGTTGAGCCCCAAGACCGCCCAGCCCAGCCAGCTATACCGGCCATGGCGGAGGAAATCCAGCAGGCCTACGACTACGAGGGCCAAAATCGTCCAGATGGAGGCGAAAAGGAGAAAGGAGTACTCGGAGGGGGTGTGGTTGCGCGTGAAGCGGTTGTCGTCCCATAGAGAAACTGCATAGGCGCTGATGCCGAGCTCGATGATGGAGAAGAGGAGGGCGAGGCCGTAGAGGGGGATGAGTGCTAGGTCGGGGAAAGGCATGGTTGAGGTTGTTCAGAGTGTCGGCCGAGCTTTCGGTTTTTTCTTCTTGAGGCTATGGCGGGTTTCGCGACGTTTGCAACCTTGGGAAAGCCTCTGGCACAGCAAACGCGTTGCGCTGATGATCAGTAGGGCAAGGCGTCGAGAAGGCGATAGCTCTTGTGCAAGGTGACGGATTGCAAACGCGATTCCTGCGAAGTCCAACAAAGACGAGACAAGAAATTGGCAAGAGTCATCCAAGATAATTTGATCATGTGGCTCGTTGTCAAACTCACAGTGGCTCACCGTCAAGCATGGTAGGAACGCGCGTTGGGGGCTTGTCACGAGGAAACAACCTATGGCATCATTTTTCCTGCCCACTGCCTGGGGCTTGGAAGAGATCGTCGCAAGTTCTTTGAGTGACACCAATAACGACAGGGATGCCAGGGGCGAAGACTTGAGAGGCGTTTGATTTGGCGAAGCCTGGCAACTGTGAGGCACGGCTGTTGGTGTGCCGGATTCGTGCTTACTATCATCGACATAGCCTTCGCGGGGGTAATGATCCTGTGAACTGAGAGCAATGAGCTCAGTGCCATCACCTTAGTTGATTTGCATGTTCAGCAGTGATGAAGAGACGCGATTAGCAGTAGTGGTAGGGTAGTGATCTCGATTTCGTAAGCCGAATTGTGGGGACTCCAGGCGTGGCTGACCTCTGAGCCACAATGCTGGGAGGTCGAGACGCCACAGCAAGCTACCGGCTTTTGATTGTCATGATTCCTCGTTCAATCTTGGATTCACTTTCGTGGGACGTCACCACGCGAGATGAAGGCATTGCCAATTGGATGGGCATGATTGTTGCTTGCTTGTGATCGTTCGAGCAGTGTTCGAGATTGAGGCGCAGTGTTCATCCCAACTACACCCAAGCTGTACGTTCGACGGGCTCCATCGTTGTTCACTTGGCTACTCTGCCTCGGGGAAGATTGTGCCTGAGCCACTGCTCGAGTCCTTGAGGCCAAGTCTGGTGTGAAACGAGTAGCATGGCACGCTTTGGGATCTGACCGCTACTGCCAATGCGTTGTTGGTGACCGTCAATCGATCGAGGGTGTATTGTAAGGTGGAGATTATGCGGTATTGACGATGCAACTTTTAGATTGTGACTGATTTCCTGACGTGCCGCAGCGTCAGCTCTCAAGACGTCAACTCATGCGTGGGACGCCGTGAGGCGGCATTAATTGAGGTCTCTCATGCGGCCTTTCTTGGAAGGTGGCAGGAACTTTGCCTTCCTTAGAGATTACAGGAGATCGCCAACGAGGTGTACGAGATCTGGTGAGTCTTGCTAAGGAGCGTCGGGCACCTGTGGCCACATCAGTAGAGCTGGTCCGAGCCTGCTGCGGACTCAACATATACTAGTATGCGTGAAATGTGCAGGTTCCAGCCTCGTGGTGCTGGCTCCGCTCCAGGTCATCTTCGTTCTTACCTCATGCTTTGCTTCCCAACAACGGACCTGCAAGTCAACGGGGACGGCTGAATCGTGGCAGAGAAACAGGATTCGTTCAACATCTGTGTTTCGTACGAAGCGGTGGACTGATATAGCCCTAGGTAGACCCCGTGAACAACGCAGACCTCAGCGTGTCAATTGCTGAACCGGTCGCGCATTGACGCTAGGGTCACTTCAAGGCGGGTGGACTTCAGCATGCCCTCAGACACGATGTGACCTCCTAAAGTTCCAAGCCGGCAGCAGTGGTCAATGTGTCAGATTCAAGGATTCCTTTTGAATTTGTTGTTCATTTCTGGAAAATTGCTGCAGTACCGGTCTAGTAGTGTGCCCTAAACCTCAAGCACGTTGTGGACCTCAGCTGTGCATGGTACGAACGCCAGCCCATGATCTGTCAACCTGCGCACATCATGTCGATGATGGCCAGTCGACCGCCTCATCCGCTGCAAAACACATCGAGCGCATCTATGCCGAAGCCTTGATCTTAGCAGCCGCCTTCTTTACCTCGAATCTCGCCTGCTTCTTCAACCGCATGACCTTGAATCGCTCGAAATCCGACAGGTTTGATCGCTTTTGTTGTTGAACGCGCTTCTTGGCATGTGTGTTATCGGCGATCTTCTCGTCGATGTTTTGGGCCTCCCAGAGCTTGCGAAGCGCACCAGTGCCAACGGACCGTGGCTGCTTGTCGATGACGATCTTGGTGAGGGTGACTGCGGAGATGGGGAGGACTTGTCGGGGTGCGGCGTATTCTTTGTTGGAGGAGGGACCATCGACGAGTACCTAGAACAACATTGTCAGTCCTGCGAATGGTCTCAGGTTCGTCTGGAAGCCGTACTCTATGTTGGTCGACGATTTCGACGATTGAAGCCCATTTCGTGGCTGAGGGGCCTTGACGGATGACGAGAACACGTCCTTGTTGAACGTAGAGCCAGCTGGCCTCGCCGATTTCGATCGAAGACATGGCGACTGTGTCGGAACGGCGTTTTGGTGTGGTCGTCGATAATGTTCGTCGCAACTTAGAAGTGTGTGGTCGAAGCGGACTCGGGCTAAAAAGTTGCGTGCGCTTGGCATTGGAGATCGCAGAGTGCAGTGGCCAGCTGACCAATCACAAACGACCTCAACTTGCAGCGACGAGGCGGCCCTGGGATTCCGACTACCGAGGCTCCTTCGCGGATCAAGAGCAATTGAGAATCGATAATTTACATCTTGGACTGATACCCTGTCCAACTTTTGGAATTGTAGGACGCACAGAAATATAATCTAGTGCGTTGTTTGCTACCTAGTCGCCACGAACATGCCCAGCCAGCGGCCGAGAGTGCTGCTGTTCGATATCGGTGGGGTGTGCGTTGTATCACCGTTCCAGGCTATCTTAGACTACGAGAAGGAGCAGAACATACCAGTCGGCTACATCAACTTCGGCATCAGAGAGCTAACACCACATGGATCGTGGCACAAGCTCGAGCGTGGTGAGATCAAGAACGATGAGCACTTCATGAAGGCGTGGAAGGCAGATCTTGAGAGGAGGGACATCTGGGCAAAGTTTCACAAGGAGAGGCTCAACACGACGAGCGAGCCTAAGGAGATTCCCAACATTGACACAGAAAAGCTGTACTGGACGATGATGAGCACCGCCCGAGTCAATGATCCTTACATGTATCCAGCGCTGAAGAAGCTGAAGGCATCTGGTCAATTCCACCTTGCGGCGATGTCCAACACCACTGTCTTTCCGGACGGCCACGAGTTCAATAATCGCACAGGAGACGACGATGTGAGAGATGTGTTTGAGATCTTTGTGAGCAGTGCACACATTGGGATGCGGAAACCGAATCGTGACATATATGACTATACGCTGGGTCAGATTCGAGACCGGTGGGGCAGCGATATCCAGCCTGAGGACATTGTGTTTGTGGATGACATCGGCGAGAACCTGAAAACAGGGAAGAAGGTTGGCTTCCAGACGATACGAGTCTTCCTGGGCAAGACGAAGGACGCTGTCAAGCAGCTAGAAGAGAAGACTGGACTGCAATTGTTAGAGGAGCCAGCCAAAGCTAGATTGTGATGTTGGCAAGCCTGGAATTAGATGTACGAGCAGTAGATACTAAGTAGCTTCGGACAAATAGTGTCGACGAAGTTGGTATTGAGCCTTGGTAGTACTTGCATATTCACACTTCTGAGGCACGAGAGCCACGTTAATTATGGCAGTCGCACTGCGACTCATGGGCTCAGCTGCTTGAGACACGGTGCTCATACCCTACGCTGCACGGAATGAGGCGAAGAGTCATGCCGTGTTGGTCAGCATCATCGAGTGTGTCGCCGCCGATTTTGGGTTGCTAGCAGTGTGTTTCAATCAAGTGAGGAAGGCTCTGGGCTGTTCTTATATGGATCATGACTCAACGCTAGCAATAATTTGAGTCACTCGTGGTGTAGCGGTGAAGCGACTGGCTCGTGAATCCTTCGTGGGGCAACACCGATGGATGGCGCCAAGGCTCGTTGATATCCACAGAAAATCTACCACCCCTCCTTCAGTAAAGTCCAAGCCACTGCTATTTTTCATCTTGCATTCGTTCCGCATCGCAGCTTTACGTCGCTGCACGTACGCAAACAGCTCAAGAGAGCGCCCTTTCAATTTTAAGTCGGTTCGCTACTCAATACCGCAATCATGGTCAAGTGCGTGCCCCTCCATGTCCTCCGGCGACAAGTAGTGATCTGATACTAATCGATGGCGACAGCTTTACCGTGGAGGAGATCCGCGAACTCATGAACGTAAGTAAAACCGTCTCTAAGGCCTCAATGGTGCACTAACATGTCAACAGAAACCCACCAACGTGAGTAACACCCAAGAGAAACCCTCAGCCGACGCTCGAGAAGTCGAAGCCATTGTTTCACATCCACGTCAATTGATCTCGAGTCGACGGCAGCGAGGTCCTCGACCGTCAGCGCGACAGCGTCACTGACAAATGACAGATCCGAAACATGTCCGTCATCGCACACGTCGACCACGGCAAATCTACACTCACCGATTCCCTCGTTCAGAGAGCTGGTATTATCTCCGCAGCTAAAGCCGGTGAAGCGTAAGTGGCGAAGAAGGAGAGAAAGAGACACATACTGACAGTAGTAGCCGCTTCACCGACACGAGAAAGGACGAGCAGGAGCGTGGCATCACTATCAAGTCAACTGCCATCTCCCTGTACGCCCATCTCCCAGATCCAGAAGATATCAAGGATATCCCACAGGTGCGACGGCACACCACTTATCGTGAGATTCTAAGCTGACAAATTCCAGAAAACCGAGAGCAATGACTTTTTGATCAACTTGATCGATTCACCAGGTCACGTCGATTTCTCGTCAGAAGTCACTGCCGCCCTCCGTGTCACTGACGGTGCCCTAGTGGTTGTGGACACCATCGAAGGTGTCTGCGTCCAGACCGAGACTGTCCTCCGACAGGCGCTCGGTGAGCGTATCAAGCCTGTTGTCATTATTAACAAGGTCGATCGCGCTCTCCTGGAACTCCAGGTCGAGAAGGAAGATCTCTACCAATCTTTCTCAAGAACGATCGAGTCTGTAAACGTCATCGTCGCCACTTACTTCGACAAGGCTCTCGGTGATGTCTCAGTCTACCCTGAGAAGGGTACCGTTGCTTTCGGCTCTGGTCTACACGGCTGGGCTTTCACCATCCGTCAATTTGCCGTCCGATATGCCAAGAAGTTTGGTGTTGACAAGAGCAAGATGATGGAGCGTCTGTGGGGCGACAACTTCTTCAACCCAAAGACCAAGAAGTGGACCAAGACCGCTGAAGGCTCGGAACGTGCCTTCAATCAGTTCATTCTGGATCCCATTTTCAAGATCTTCGATGCGTTCATGAAGGGGAAGGTGGACGATGTTGTGACCTTGGCCGGTAAGCTCGACATCAAGATCACCTCCGAGGAGAAGGAGCAGCCTGGCAAGGGCCTGCTCAAGACTGTCATGCGCAAGTTCTTGCCTGCCGCTGATGCTCTGATGGAGATGATGGTTATCCATCTGCCATCTCCAGTCACTGCTCAGAAGTATCGTGCCGAGACTCTGTACGAGGGTCCTGCCGATGACGCGGCTTGCATTGGTATCCGCGACTGCGACCCCAAAGCCGATCTCATGCTTTACGTTTCCAAGATGGTGCCGACCTCCGATAAGGGTCGATTCTACGCTTTCGGTCGTGTCTTCGCTGGCACTGTCCGCTCTGGTCTGAAGGTCCGCATTCAGGGCCCCAACTACGTTCCCGGAAAGAAGGAAGACTTGTTCATCAAGGCTATCCAGCGTACCGTTCTCATGATGGGCAAGACCGTCGAGCCAATCGAGGACATGCCTGCCGGAAACATCGTCGGTCTCGTCGGTATCGACCAGTTCCTGCTCAAGTCTGGTACTCTTACCACCTCCGAAACCGCCCACAACCTGAAGGTCATGAAGTTCTCCGTCTCACCTGTCGTGCAGCGATCAGTCGAAGTCAAGAACGCCAACGATCTGCCCAAGCTGGTCGAAGGTCTCAAGCGTCTTTCAAAATCCGACCCCTGCGTCGTCTGCAGCATCAACGAATCTGGTGACCACATTGTTGCTGGAGCCGGTGAGCTGCACTTGGAAATCTGCCTGAAGGATCTGGAGGAAGACCACGCCGGTGTGCCACTCAAGATCTCCGACCCCGTCGTCTCGTACCGTGAGACGGTGAGCGAGAAATCCAGCATGACTGCTCTGTCGAAGTCACCCAACAAGCACAACCGTCTCTACGTTATCGCTGAGCCTCTCGGTGAAGAGGTCGCCAACGCTATCGAGGCTGGCAAAATCAACCCGCGTGACGACTTCAAGACTCGTGCCCGCGTTTTGGCTGACGACTACGAATGGGATGTTACCGATGCTCGCAAGATCTGGGGCTTCGGTCCAGATACGACCGGTCCCAACTTGCTCGTTGACCAGACCAAGGCCGTGCAATACCTGAACGAAATCAAGGATTCCTTCCTCTCCGGCTTCCAGTGGGCCACTCGCGAAGGTCCCGTCGGTGAGGAGCCAATGCGTGGTATTCGCTTCAACGTCATGGATGTTACACTACACGCCGATGCCATTCACCGTGGTGGAGGTCAGATCATCCCAACGGCACGACGTGTCCTGTACGCCTCAACCCTTCTTGCCGACCCCGGCTTGATGGAGCCTGTCTTCCTTTGCGAGATTCAGGTGCCTGAGCAGGCGATGGGTGGTATCTACGGTGTGCTCACTCGCCGTCGTGGCCACGTCTTCTCTGAGGAGCAGAGATTGGTACGCCATTGTTCACTGTCAAGGCTTACCTGCCAGTCATGGAGTCGTTCGGCTTCAACGCTGATCTACGTGCCGCTACGTCTGGTCAAGCTTTCCCACAGATGGTGTTCGATCACTGGCAAATCCTGCCTGGTGGCAGCCCGCTCAAGGCCGACAGCTTGCCTGGCCAGGTCGTCACCAAGATGCGTATCCGCAAGGGTCTCAAGGAGGTTGTGCCGGGATACGAGAACTACTACGACAAGTTGTAGAGACGCTCAGAGCTCAAATCAATCAAAATATGCAAAGGACGAAGGGCAGAATGTCTATGTCGTCTGTGTCGACGATCCTGTGCATGGTCTGATGTGGACGGCGAGGAGGAATGGCGTGCTTCTAGGTCGAAGTCCGGCTGAGATGAATACATGTCTGACCGCTTGACGACCCTCTCTTGAGCCACGATCAGTTCTCTTCTCCTTTCTGAAAATTATCTTTCGGCAGATTCCCTAGCATTGCATATCAAAGGAGGAACGGGTGAAGGAGAGAACGATATGATACGACGTCGATAACGAAGTGTGTTGTGGCTGTTCTAGACATGCTGTCAACCTCAAGAAAACGACCGCAAAAGCAATAGGCAGATAGAACACTTGAGAATGAATAGAATCGAGAAAAAGAGTGGTCGTCATTCCAGCTCACTTGATTGCTGCGAGATGATTACAGAGCTTGATCCGACTTCATGCCACACCTCGTGGGAATTCGCATGATTCATGCTGAATTAAGGCGATACGGTAGGAGGTGTCAACTTGTCTTTCTACCTTGCCGTCTGGTCTCCGTGTACCTCTGTTAGCTCGCACTATACTAATTCCGCCCAGTCAAAGCCAAAGTTCTGTGTATTCACTATAATCTCTCCCAACCTAGCCAGACCTACGTCTCGCCTACTTCGCGAAACTCCTCACATACTCCTCCCACTCCCCCTTCCCCATCTCCTTAATCCCCACCAACTCATTGTCCGGTGCCCGCTCCCCAAAGTCCGCCCCCCACCCCTCCGCAAACGCCGCCCCCCTAATCTGTCCGAGCATAATCTTCCCAAAATTCGCATCCTTCCCTTTCTCCTGTAACTCCTTGAACCCGTCCTCGCGATCCTTCTTGGTATCGAACTCCTCGATCTCCCACCCGTCCTTCCCGCCCAGAATCTCAAGGATTTCGTTCTGGGTAGTCCTTACATCCTGGATCTTCAAACTCTTGTTCTTCGTCGCCCCAAGGTTACTCAGCACGCCAACAATCGCATCCGCAATTACACCCAGCCGCGTCGCAGCAAACGGCACGTCCCCGCCATCATACCTTACCAATTTCTTCTCGGGCACATTTGCAATAAATCCATTCGTCAAGCCCGAGTCCAGGAAGGCGTTGTTGTGGATGATCGTCCAGCTGAACTTTCCCTCTGACTTCGCTGCCAGCGCCTCGACCTGCTTCTGCACGGCGACTTTGCCGGCGTAGACGGGCAATGTGGCGGCGAGGTGGTGGTGGGTGTCGCAGCCGAACTCGGAGGGGATGACGCGGGAGACGCCGGCGGCGTAGGCGGCGTCGATTAGTGGGCCTTGGGCATCGATGGCGAGGGAGCCGAGGGTGCTGACTAGGGTGTGGACGTCCTTTAGGTGGGGTTCGATGGAGGTCTTGGACGTGTAGTCGACCTGGGCGACGGAGAGCAGGTCGGACTTGGGGAGGTCTTTGGGTGTGGAGCGGCTGAGGACGAGGACGGGGTGGTTGGCGGCGAGCAGGGCCTTGACGATGGGCAGGCCGAGTTGGCCGGCGCCGGCGACTGCTACTTTTACTGGTTTCGAGGACATAGTGTTGGTATGGAAGCCAATGGGTGGTAGGTAAGTTTCTGAAGCTGGATAGGTTGTCGTCTGTTAGATATATCTTGCTGGAGGCTTGCTTATGGATAGAGGCACGGCCGTAAGTGCTGGGTTATAACTATACATTAATACTTAATACAAGTGTAGAATTTTGAGTTCGTTCCTCCCAGTCGTGTTTGCACCAAATTATGGCGTGCTATTGCGCCGGCCGCAAACCCTCTTACCAATATGCACAGCCCAAACGCCCATCCGATCCCCGTGCACGACGACGACCAGTGTGTGCTTCCCAATTCCGTGCTGCATCGGCAGAGTGGTGTCGTTGGGGGATCGAAGTGGGGCATGTGGGGAGCCTTTTGGTGATGGAACAGGCAAAATGCTGCATAATTGAAGTCTCCGAGCACGGGCTGTATTTGAGCCGGGCCGGAAATTTCCAGTACATTTATGATCAGCGATATCATATGCGCGGCAGTATTCCTCGATCGGTGCCAACAACGACAAATGCAATCCTGCTGCTTTGCTGCCGCGTTTTTCATGGCGACGGATGTAGCCCAGTTGCTCTTGTCAGCAGAGACCTTCGACCGGGAAGCTCACGACGGGACACCTTCGTATTCCCATCCACCGGGTCCAATGCGATGCTTGCGGTTGTTGCGCCGATTGACATTGCACTTGACCAAAATGGTCAGCACAGTAAGTATAAGAATGATCAGAGCCCCAATTGTCGGAATCAAGACGTTTCTATTGCGCTCCTCATCTGCGGTGGCTTGATATCTGCAATCACCATTTGGTCCAGTCGTGACCCAGCAATTATCGGATGATAAAGAGTTCAGGTTGATCCAGATAATGTCTGAGATTCGCCGCCTGGAAGTCTCATTCAGAACATGCTCGTGTAGAAACCTGTTTTCCAGTTGCGTCACAGGGACGTCGAAGCTGCTGCCTTCGGGACAAGCTTCTGGAGCACCGCTGTATATTATCTCATCGTTCGAGAGGCGCCATCTGAAGGGTTCTCCGTCTACACGGCATGCTGCACGGTAGTTGCCTTGGCAGTTGACCACCTTCCACGACCCGCGGTAGGCGTCGGAGGAGTCCATGACAACGCATCGAAATTGATCATTGTCTTCGTCATCACTAACGCCTGGGGAGGACGTATTCACTGGCTCACCGGGCGCCCAACCGAGGACAATCGACTCAGTGAATGCTCTGTACGGATTATAATCGTCTTCTGCGCTGGTGTCGTCCAAGGTCGTGTTGAGAATAGGTTCAATTCCGCACGAAGTCATATTACGTGGAAAGGCCGACTGGAGGGCCGTACTGCTCTGATCTATTGTTGCCATCGCCCAGGTATTGTTGACCCGCGACACACTTGTGGTATCGTCACTGTAGAAGCAACCTGACGTGATTTCTCCAGTGTCGGATTGTTTTATCTTTCGAGGAGCTGAGAGGGAACCTTGGGGAAACACATAGGATGCATCACCCTCGAGATCGTAGGCATCCATCTCGGACCCTATTGTACCCCAAACTAGTAGGACACGTTGAAGAGAGTTCAAAAGCAGGTACAATTCGCTTGGCCAGCCATCATCTGTCGACACAACTCCGTCTGCAGCCTTCTCGATGTTGTAGTAGCCTGTCATGGGCAGACGATCAGCGCTCTTCACCTGATACCACGACAGATTGAGGTTCGAGCGGTCAGAGATGAGGTCTCCAGGACGGTAGATCTGAGAACCAAGATCTTTCCAGAACGTGTAGCCGACAGATGCTGTGTCTCCTGGCAATTCTTCAGATGTTACATTCTGTGGTGGGCCACCCGGATCGCTAGCGGAAGAAGCGCTGTTCAGGTTGAATTCCAAGATCTGCAACGTGGCGGCTTGCGGGTCGGAGCTGTCGTCGATGTATTGATGCATCACGTCCACAATAGCTTCCACCGTAAGACCATCGGTGCATCGATAGGGACCTAGCACCACCATGCCGTCGTCGTCTTCACTGACAGTCGGCTGCGCAGACTCGGTAGATGAAGTTGAGGTCGGGATATCGGAGGTCGAGACATCCTCGGATGCAGTCGATGCCGAAGTCGAGTTGTCACTGATCGTTTCAGTTTGCCGGCGGTCCAGACCCAACTCGAACCTCCGCAGCAGCTGTGGAGAGCGCTGAGAGGAATTCGTGACAGCATCCTCACTCGTGTCGTTTGCGACCTGAGGTATCGAAGCCGGACATAACTGGAATTGTTGACTCCCAACGCTCCAGTACAGATCAATTACGAATCTTCTGAAGCCTATTGCCAGTAGATTCGAGAAGCATGTCTGGAACGAGTCTCCATTGTAGGTGCCATCCGAGAAGCAGGCCTTGGTGAGATATATGCCGGGGAAGACCGCTTTGTCGATGGGAGCCTGGCCAGTGATGTCTCTATTGGAGAGGAACTTTGGGCCCCAGAAGTCGTCCGGCGACGCGCCATCACTTGGCTGGTACGTATAGGACATCACGCATAGGTCGTCGCTTAGCCATGCCTATATCTTCATCAATGCAGGTCGTTCACGCTATGTCCAATTGTAAGTGCCCATTTCCTAATAGCTTGTGGCCCGGGAAGCTGTTAATTATGGAAGCCGATGTAGTGATGGTGACGGAAATGCATCCATGGATGGGAGGTCTAAGGCCAAGGCTTGAGGCTGAGGGTGGAGAGTGGAGTACGTCGGTCGCCTTTATTTAAAGATTCCAGGGCGGAAAGTTGTCACCATGTCCAAGACCACTTGTCATCTTCTTTGCACTTGTAGTTGATTTGCAATTCATCGTCATCCGCTCCTTCCTTGCCTTCTGTAAAACACGTTCTCAACATCGATCTCGGTAAACAACACTGCCGCCTCACGACTTCAAAGCCGCCGCCATGGCTGCCAATGAACCCCCTCCCCACATCAAAGCGCAAATGCAAGCGCAAATAGAAGCCGCCAAAGCCGAAGCCGCACGACGCGGCATGACGTTTCAACAATTCCAAGAAGAGCAAAGAAACATGATCATGCAAGAGGCACAGAAACTCGGCATTACGCCGCAGGAGTTCATCCAGAGAAAGCAGAGAGAACACCAGGAACAAATGCAGCGGCAACAGCAGCAGCAGGCGCAGCAGCAACAGGGTGGACAGCCAAAGCAGCAGACACAACAAGTCGACATTACAGGTCAAGTCGAAGCGAAGCCTGATGCCCTTGCTGTGGCGCGATTCCTTAGGAAGCAGGACCTTAAGACGAGAGTTGTCCTCTTCAAGGGCCAGCGCAAGGATATGTTCAAGGGTAAGACTGCTGCCACCCTATATGTTCACGTCTGACTAATGCTCTCTCACAGTGAAACGAGCAGTTCGAGCCCTCCAGTCCGACGCTACACAAAAGCGCAAAAGAAAGACGCCCTCCTCCCTACCGTCTCCAACCGCGACGACGCCCTCAAAGCCCTCCAACTCCTCCCTCTATCCATGCTCGCCCTCCGCGTCGACAAGACTGATCCACACAAAGGCCATAACCACGCCAAACCCGCCAAGAAAGACCCCAAGCGCGTCAAGGGCCAGTGGGATGTCGAAGTTGTGCACCAACAGATGTTTGAGGATAATATGTACTACATGTGGGTATACGAGGGCTCAAATTGGAAGACCAAGATGTATGCTGCCTTGTTGCTCACGGGTCTGATTGCTGTGGTCATGTTCCCGCTGTGGCCGCTGATGATGAGGCAAGGGGTGTGGTATGTGAGTATGGCGGCGATGGGGCTGTTGATCGCGTTCTTCGGGCTGGGTATCGTCAGACTGATACTATTCCTGTTGACGGTATTGCCGCTGCCGCCTGGACTGTGGATCTTCCCGAATCTGTTCGAGGATGTTGGTGTCATTGAGAGTTTCAAGCCGCTGTATGCGTGGGGCGACGAGTTGAAAGAGCAGGAGAAGTTGAAGAAAAAGAATAGGAAGAAGGCGAGGGCTGAGAAGGCTGCGGCGGGCGAGAAAGGTGCTGATGCTGGTACTGCTGCTCCGACGGCAACAGATAGCGCTGCGCCTACCACGAATGGTACTACTCCTGCGACCAATGGTGCCACGCTTACAACCAACGGGACTGCGAACAAGACGGCTTTGAGTTCCGGAGCTCAGGCTACACCTACGCCCGGTGGTGCTGTTGCGAGGCGACAAGCTACAGTGGAGGAGGTAGAGGACGAATGAGTGACCTGAAGTTGGATCCAGCTTCATGGCATATGCGACAACACTTTTCAACGACGCACACTTTGAGGAGGACATCCATAGCATGCATTCCATGCAGAATCGCTGTGGTAATAAACGCTCATTGGGTATCTTCATTGGATCATCTACGGTATCTCTCGCAACTGCTCTGTCTGCAAGCGCTCTTCTGTTTTAGTCTCCGCCCATCAGCACATCAAGCCGCCGATCAAACGACAATGCCTGCGGCTGCTCCTCCTCTTCCGGCCTCTCCCGGTGACCGGTCGCTCCACCGTGCTGCCCCATCCTCGCACCAACCCTAACAAGCAGAGACCGCAGCTTCTCCATCTCCCTCGCCAGCTCCCCATCTCTGGTCACGAGATTCGGCTGGATGTGCTCCTGTGCGTCCTCATACGGTCGAAGCAGGTCTTGTAGGTGCTTGTATCGCTTCAATCTCTGCTGTGCATCCCGTCGTTGTTGTGTTAGGGTAAGGAGTTGTGCGCGTAGCTTCTCGAACGCTGCAGCGTCTTCATCTCCATCGTCTTGCTGCTCGATTTCCTCCTCGCTGTCCCCAGCATCTCGTAGCACGACATCTTTCCACCGTTGTGGTAGCAGCCTTTGCACGTCCTCCACATCCTCCACAAGAAGACTGATGTCCCGCCGTATAGCTGTCTCAGCACCCAGCGCTCCCTCTCCGTCAGCGCCCTGCTGTTGTAGCAAGAGGTCCCGCTCCTCATGAACACGATTCCAATATAGCGTCTCGATCTGCTCCGCTACATGTTGTTGGGCTTGTGCGCTGAAGTGGGTCCGGTTGTGGGTAGCGAGTTTGGCGTTGGTGTCTTTGATAGCCTTGTCGAGGACTTTGGGGGGCAGTTGGGTTGGGTCTGGGAGTTGGGTGGTAGTGAGGGGCGTCTGGAGGAGGCGGGTTTGCTGGTTGAGGAAAGCGAGTTTTTGGGAGGATATTGAGGGTGACGAGGTTGTGGAGGGCATGTTTGACGGTTGAGAAGGGTGGAGGATCTAGAGGGTTGCTGCGATCATCCAGCCTGGTTACGGAAATTTGTCGTTCAAGATCTCGTGCTGGAGAGACGAGCAGCGCGTTCGCAAAGCCGGAAGACGCGTCAGAGCCGAGGTTTAGCCTGAGCCAAGCATTCTGGATTTCTGGTCTCGAATTTTGTAAATGTTTTCTGATTGTCTCGATGATCATACTACCGGCTGATCGATCCAAGGAGATTCGACGCGATGTGCCCTCTCAGTATGCGACGCGGTCTACAGCAGCTACACTGCATGTCGGCTGCGGTGTCCTAATGCAACGAAGTGCTGCTGGCCCAGCAAATGAACGTCGAAGCTTTGCGATTCAAGAATGACGAACACTTAACTGAGATCTTTGGTCGTAACATCTAAGCTGGCTAATTCACAGATGCCAGTACTCAGACGCGGCTCTATCGGTACGTCTCCATTCTCCCTCGTCCATACCACCAACTCTCCATCTGATGATATAATTTGCGATTGATATTTAACCATTCACCGGAGGTTCACGCCAGAGCTTCTTAACGGGTTTGGAGATATGATATTCAATTCTTACATATGCTGAACACCCAACGAATCCATCTCTACCATCATCATGCTGCAGTCGTCAAGTCGTGGTCGAGAAAGCGCGCTGACTCTCAAAATAGTGCGCCACGGGGTCGAACTTGAAGACTTGTCCCGAAGCATCAATACTTTCTGGGGATGAGGCGTTCACAGCACTATCCTGAGCAATCGACCCCGGTATCAAGTCAGTAGTAAGTCCAACCTTTCGCTCTCCCCCACTGCTTCGCCTATGAGGAAAACCTTATGCACTAGATAGTATATGAAGGGCTTGCCCTCATGAACGAACTTTTATCACCAAGATCTCTGAGGCACACATGCTGTTTCCGTATTGTTCTACGCACTTCGAGGCCATGTGACTGACAAGCTCGGTACAGACAATCCTGAAGGACCATTCTCGATGCGACACACGACGATGTTGACTACCCCTCCTGTTCCTGTGTCCGAGTTGCACCAACTTCGAACTCACGCGTGGCTAGTGACTCGTGCGACACAAACATCGTTTATCGTTCGTGCAATTGCCTTGTCGCGCGCGGAGTTTGGACGACCCTGGGTGCCAGCAGGACCAACAGTAACGATGAGGCTCCGTTCACTCTCGCAGCCCAGGGCTAGAGGATTATCTGCGCCCCATACTGCGACATTTCGTGCTGTAGACGTTGTCAGCAAGTCCTAGGACGACCGGCAGGACGACCGTGCGTTCTCTCGAAATGTGTAGTGCCTTCAAGGCTCCGGGATGTATTTGTATCCAGTCGTTGCTAGTGAGTGTCTCGTTGCGGCACCTCCTGTATTGAGAACCGAGTGGTGTAGGAGGTTTTCAACCAATCAGGTTAGAGCCGTAGGGTCCAGCATCTTGGAATCGATGTCGCTTGATGGCTTCCTGCTTCTTCACCAGCACTGGCTGCCTCTTCGCGATGAAGCAAAGGGAACCGATCATGATTCTGCTGTCGAGCAAGGTCATGTTAATTTCGCCTGCCGTAACAGATCTCGGAATCTCGGGTTATCCGTCGCTTGCTGCCGCAGCGCGACACGTTCGATAAGTCTTTGTTGTTGACCACCTTGCGTGTGCCACGGCAGCGGAAGCACGCAGCTGCACAACTCACGGCTAGCAGGGTACACCGCTGCTACTGCATCATGCAACAAGAGTGCGTCGTGGCTGACGTAGGGTTTCCTGCAGGGGAATTAGTCTTGTGCATCGGAACAATGTAAGGGGCGAGCAATAGTCTGGGGAAGTGCCTCGTTCGTGTGACAGAGCACCCATGTAGGGCTTCAGCGGGGGTCAGTACGATGCTAGCGAGATCTATGGAAGGAAGCTAGACTGCGCATGTGATTGTATGTCGATGCATTTCGATGTGCTGAGAAGCTCTCCCAAGAAGCGAGAAGACGGGCTGGACAAGGATCAGGCTTCGAGAATGACAGCGGCTGGCCGACATACTGAACATGCATAGGCCGAAGTTGAGGCTCCTGAAACGTGGACGCGTTAGCCATAGTGGTGGCTGCAGGACATAAGGTCGCTGACAGCGGCACTGTGCGAGGGGGAAACGTTGGAAGGCGCGATCGTAAATCTGGCAGGCCAGAATTCGACATGATCATCATAGCACTCATCAATTGACAACTGACGGCATCTCACGAACATCTTTCGACGGCCATAGCGATAGGTGAAGACAACACTGCCTCGGATTAGGTGGCTGGGAAGAGAATCAAAGGAAGGAACCGACCACTTCGACGTGTGGAAACAACGATTCAATCGCCGTTGCAACTTCTCGACATCCACCTTGCGCCTTCTCAGGACGACTATTGCATCTCGCCATCCGCACTGAAAATCCTTCTATCGCCTCGACAACCCCTCTTCATCCTGCACACAAAGACGTCTGCTGTGCCCCGCCAACGCCTCTCAGGCAGCGGCCTGGTTCACAACAAACGATTCAACACCACGTGCGCCTCTCTCTACACTGCCCACGCAACAACGGCCACGCACCTGGCCCGACTGTTCAACAATCGACTTGGACTGCTGCTGCCGCTGGCCGCCGTCAAGGCCACGTTCTACCTCAACCATAAGCAACCTACCTGCAGGTATCGGCACTTTGCACATTACAAATTCCTTCGATCCTCGGCCTCACCACCAGCCTCTAGGCTGAACAACGTCGCAAAGCACAACTAAGTCGGCTCGATTTCCGTCGTCCACAATGTTCCTCTCCAATGGCTATGACATGAGCAAGCGATACAATGTCGACAGTCTCGGAGTCGCCTACATTGTCATCGCCGCCGTGTGGACTCTGATATTGACCATCGGCTCCCTCTTCCTCATCAAACACCGCGACTTCCATTACCTCCGCATTCGAAACCTGCCTCTCAGCATTGGCAGTGTGGCAACACTCCATGTCTACCTCGTCCTCTGTTTCCTCGCATATGTCCTCAATGGCCACTTCCCTTGTGCGACGGAGTTCTGGATCATGAGCATATACCTGCCGTTGGGCATCGCACTCTTTCATGCCTCCAACACGCAACTTCTCCATGTTGCTATGCTGCAGAAGAAGTTCGCCCGCATTTCACTCACCGAAAGCGAGACCGGTCAGAAGGTCAGACCACCTGTGTGGGTGAGAGCCGTCAACAAGCTGCGGTCATGGGGTCCTACAAAGCGTGCAATGACTCTTATTGGTATTGGCATGGCCGTTCAGGTAAGATTGTCAATGCGCTCCTCGATCCATGCTGACCCTGGCAGTTCTTGTTCGCTGTGATTGTTTTCACTCTCTCGAAGAAATTCCATGCTGGCTTCGGTCTTGTCAAATGGTCCAGTCGTCCGGCCAATGACTTGACTGCGGCCTCTCAGTGCCGTCGTGGCTGGGAGTGGTGGCCTTCAATTGCGTGGCAGTTCGCATGGTCGTGGCTGTACGCTCCATTCTTGCTGTACAAGGTCCGAAACATCTATGACACTCATGGATGGCGTATGCAGACAATTGTGTGCTGTCTTGCTGGGTAAGTTGAATGCCTCGCCTCTGCCTATCGTATTACTGACCTCATAGTCTTCCTGCTTCGCCAATGTGGTTGCTTGCACTGTATCTTCCTCAGATGCAAGAGATTGATCGTAGATGGGTGGCTCCTTTATGGTGAGTATCCTTCCACTTACTGGTGCTTTGACTCACCTCCATCAGGTTCGCTCCCTCCATCATCTTGATGCAAGGCTTTGTCATCTTCGTCCCGTGCTACCAGGTCTTCAAGAACCGTCGTCTTGAGGACGATACTCGCCAGATAATATCTGAGTGGGAGAATCGCAAGAAGCACGGTAGCGTGTACGGCTCCGACCCACGAACCTCCAAGCTGTCCTCGAAGTCGTCCGCGAGCAGCATCCGCCACCTGAACAATCCGGAGTTGTACACGCTTGGTCATCTTGAGAAGTGTCTGCAACTCAATCCCAAGCCGTTGCTACTGTTTGCTGCATTAAAAGATTTTTCTGGCGAAAACATCAGCTTCTTGACTCACGTCCAAGAGTGGAGAGCCAATTGGGCTTCACTGACACCAACAAAGGCGAACGTCCTCCGGAAGAATGGATCTGAGAACTATCGCATGAGCGACAAGTTGTATCGTCAACAGTTCAACCTTGCTGTGCGAATCTATTCGTCCTTTGTCAGCCTCCAATACTCAGACTTTCCCATCAACATCTCCTCGGCACACTTGAAAGAGCTAGACATCCTCTTCGCCGATGCGGCTGCCAAGATGGCCCCAGCCTCTGCTGGAAGTCTGTGCTCGCCCTTCGCTGACTTCGACCTCGAGAAACACCCTCAAATTAGCGTTGGTGAGACTGGATTCTCAGACAACCTTATGCCAGCTCCAGAGTCGGCTCATTACAACCAAGTGCAAGGGCTCAACCTTAAGGGCGTTGATCATTTGCCCGACGATGTCATCATTCCGGCTGCATTCGGTCCTGCGTCGTTCAGTAATGCTGAGGCTAGCATCCGAGAGCTTGTTCTGACCAACACTTGGCCGAAGTTCGTCAACGCCGGCTACGCCAGCAACATGGAACACGGCGAGCTTAAGAAGCGCGTTGATGGCATGTCTCGTGCTCTGAGTGGTATCTGGACCTCCACGATGCAACGCTTCAAGGCTCGCAAGCAGAAGAAGGTCCAGACCGCACTCGAGGAACGCCAGCATAAGTCGGGTAGTGTCCGGACTGCCAGCTCTGATGAAGTCAACTTGGTTTGAGATGGATTCGAGCCACGGAGTCCGCCCGGCCGAAGTTGCGAGTCTGACTCTGGTTGTTACTGTGCAGCAGTCCGACCAAGTATTGCGTAGGTCGATTCCGACTGCACTAATTATGCTGCGATATTGTTCGGAGGAGAGGAGGACTGAAATGGAGCGGCAACAGCTTGTTTGAAGGATCTTAGCAGCATCGAGCACAAGATGAACATGGAAGATGGGTTGAACGGTATTTGAAAGATGGATCGAGATCAGTGAAGGACGAAGAGATACCCAACCACAAGCTACTACGGCACGAATTTTGGTGTGAATCAAGATAGCAAGACATTGAAGATAGCAATGAGAGCCATATTCAAGTCGAAGTTCCTCATTCAGCTTCCTACTCCCCACGGTCAGTCTTCCCGCATTGCGGAACGGCTGCTTCAGACGGATCCAGACGCACATTTATATTCGCTTAAAATTCCTCCGTTACTTGCAGGCCGTGAAGCACGAAGCGTCCGCCGCTTTCAGCCGTCAACATACGAGACGCTGCTCAGTACAATGGTATCGACATCGCAGCAAGGCACAACATGCTACAGTCATACCAACAAAGTGCTAGATAGTCGTCCGGTCTTGAATAGCATTATCTGTCACCCGGCGCTAGATAAGTCCTGCTATTCAGGTAGTCACCCGGTCTGGTACAAAGCCGTTTGTCAACCGGCGTTACTCAGTCTTTCGTGAGACCGGATGGCCTTGTGCAAGCCACCCGTCTGTCTGTCTTCGACATTCATGGCAGGAAGGCTTCTCTCCTTCTGCACTGGGGGCTTCGGACTGTCGCTCTGGCGTACATGATACCTCTGTAGATGTGTTCGAGCTCACACCACTTGGTAGCGATGCTGTGCCGACTGAGTGTTGTAGCCAGTAAAGGTATGTGCGTGGATCGCAGGACCCCATCTTGCAACAGGGACTATAAGATGGCACCGAGTCCACAAGCGACTGAAAACCATGGATGGATGTACCTTTGACAGCCCTCCTCCATGACTACTCATCATCACAACAAGGACGACTCACTCCTCAACATCGCCCTAATATTCTGTACCCTTGCCATCCTTGCCGCTTCCTCGTCGATGTCATCCTCGGCTTCCTCGCGCACATCAGATCCAGCTGCTATGCCGACAGTCTCGAGCCGTTTCGCCTACCTCAGCCCATCGAACTCGTCATCAGACCACTCCTCTGCCTTCCTGATCTCCTGCTCAGTGCTCTCCTGCTCGATCTCCACCCGCCTTTCCAGCCTCCGCTCCTGCAATTCCTTTTTCAAAAACTCCTCCTTCGCCCCCCTCACCACCCTCTGTATATGCTCCGTCCGCTTCTTCCCGTTCCTTGCCTCCCGTAGTGCATGGGCGCGCAGCTGGTCGGCTTCGGCGGCTTCCGGGCCCAGGATCTGCGCGATTTTGCTGCGTCTGCACAACTCGAGTCTTTCCACATCACCAACGTCTTCTCCCCGGATTTGCGCAAGTTTGTTTCGTCGGCGCAACTCGAGTTTCATGCGCTCTGCTGCGCTGTTCTTTTTGCTGGACGTCGAGGAGAATGAGGAGGTGGAGGAGCTACTGGTTTCGGTCCTTGGGGCGATGATGGTTCTGAAGATGGGGAGGTCTGCCCCAACCTTGTGACCGTCGGCGGGTCTGTTGTACTCGGACCCAGAGTTGGAGCCGGGAAAGAGAGCACCTGCGTTGTTCAAGACGTCTTCTTGCGACGGTGGCAGAGGGTGATTCGCTGCCGCGTCATCTTCCACTTGGCCATATGCGGCAAATATGTCGACCTCCTGGTCATACCAGGACACGGGCTGGTGTCTCGGCGAGGCGGTCTCTAGGCTTTGTCCAGCCAGGGAGGGAACTCGAGACATGGTCTCGTTCGCACATATGCTGTCCGTGGGGTCTAGTACGAGCTCCAACAGACCATCCTTGTAGGCTCTCGGGCGGAGAACACTTCGCGGCGGGATTGGCGGCGGTTGATCCATGGCGACATATAGAATTTGATCGGGACGATGCTGGCCTGTCAGTGACGTGCGCTCGGGGAGCTGCTGCCCGCTTGGAGTATCCATGGCAAGTGCTGACGGCGTTACTTCGTAGTCTTCGAGTGCATGCGCAGGTGCTGACTTCCCTGCGACAGGACGTCTGCGTGCATGTGGGTGAAGCGGGACGGGCTTGAGTGCCTGCTTCTGCGCGGCTGATAGCCCGAGGGAGAGTTGACTGAGTGCTTCGGAAGGAGCACTCTCAACCGCGTGGGCTATCTCGAATTCATTCAACACCTTGAGCTGCTTGCCGTGGCGCAGAACCGACGCCTTGGCTTCGAGAGACGAGTCGCTGGAAGAGGTCTCAGACTTCTTCTCTGGCATAGATCCGGGTGTTTCGCGAGGTTCAGTATCCATGTTCGTGGGCTTGAATGTGACTGGAGGTATTGTGGGGCTATCCAGGAGGCTGCCATTGACCTGAGGCGGCTTGCTATGCGTGTTGCGGGGTATGCTCTTCGACGGCACATCGGTTAGGATCGGCCTGCGCGCGGCAACGGCAACATGAGTCTGTGTGCCTCTGCTGACACGGTCACTCGATGTTTGAGGCGTTGACGTTGTAGACGTGGCCGAAGCCGAGGGATCACTGTTCCGTGCTGTTCCACTGCTAAGCATGCTCGACACACCATCCTTCGGGTGGGCAACTCTGTGCTGGGCTGAATGTGATTCTGTGGAAGGGCTATCTTCTGTACTGGTTGAACTCAAATTCCGCAGTGCCTGTATGGGCTTGTGTCTCGACGAGAAAGTTGTTGCAAGTCTCCTGACAGATGCTGTACGTTGATCTGAGGCTCCCAATTGAGCGGCATGAATGAATGTGCCATCCATGCTTGAGTCTGACGACGATGTGTTGTGAGACGGCGTCAGCAGCACGCCATCCAATACTTGATACGTTCGTTGACGATGCCGAGCTGTTCGTGCTTGCTCTGTCTCGTCGAGAGGCGCATCGCTAGAAATAGTGGACTCTATCGACATCCGATGTACAGATCTCTTGATTGAGGGAGGCAGCCACGGGCTTGCCACTTCTCGCAGAGGAGATGGGTTGGTGTCATCTGTGTCATCTGTGTCCTGGCTCGGCCAAAACTGAGTCACATCTAGGAGTGGTTGGTGGTCCGATGGCAGGTCTAGATAGCGTTCGGAGGAGCCTGTACCTGACTTGCCATTCTTGATGGCTATCGATCCAATCCTTTTGAAAGCACTGCCAAGAGCTTTTCGACTCAACCCACTGTAGGCCTTGGGCTGACCTACCACAGTCCCTGCGCGGATCGCATCAACGACTGACTTTGAAGGCTGGGTCTCGGGACGTGGCGGCGCGAACACAGGCTCTGTGTCTTCGTAGGGCTGTGCGCTGGACAAGCCATGGTTTTGTTCACGCTGCATAGGCCAGGAGATCTGCAGCGGTTTCGTAGATGGCTTTAAGGCGGTTATTCGATGCAGACCTTTATTAACAAATCTCGGTAGCGCAGACTTTGACGACGTTGTGACAAACGGCGGGGCCGGATGAAGTACAGGAGTGTTGGCAGAAGACTGACCGGACGTTGCTGTCATTGAAATGGCCTGGGTAGCATAACTATGAGGATGCGGTGGGAGGTCTGCCATATAGAATTCGCTGTAGACGTTCGCGATGTTTACATGGGACCCGCTAGGACGCACACTTGCAGAGCGACTAGAAGTCTCGACCATCTGCTGCGGTGTCTCCCGATATGTCCGCTCGAATGGCGGTCTGGATGCTTGGGTCTTGGGACGTTGCCTCGTAAGCCTTCTGGCGACATTCATCCGAGTGCGAGGTCTGATTGCTGAGGGAGGAATACACCACAAGCCAATACTATTATGACGGTGGTTCGTTTGCGGATGTGACGAGATCCTCCTATGTCCTGACTGCTTCAATGACTCGATTCCGTTGGTATGCGCTGTTGAGCGTGAATGGTCGCGTTTCTGTTTGCATCTTTGAATGCCGCTATTCCTGGTAGAACGTATATCGTTGCCAGCACGAGTCGATACTGAGCGCTCTCCAGAGTTTGTCCTAGATGTGATCGCATCTCTCCTTTCACATTGCACTGCCCGTGTCCGTCCAGCAGTAGGAGAAGCGATCGGCCATGAAAAATTGACCTCACTCGTCTTTGCTACACCGCCTTGAGAAGTGATAGACCGTGTGATGGCAGTCATTCTGAATGATTCTGTGAACGAAGGCGACGGGCGTTGTTCCGCGCTGACGCAAAGGATGAAGGCGTATATGTACTGAGCTAGTCCAGCAAGAAGTGGTCAGAAGAAATCCGCAACGACTCCAGATGCGCTACATATGACCGAAGAGCCACGGTGGCTTCACACGTTGGATTTTCGTCTGGCAACATTCTCTTGGCTTATCCGGTTTTCAATTATGAATATACGGCGTCCTGGTCGTAAAGGGAACAGCTGTGCGAACACAAACTTTAACATCACCAGACTTCTCCAGATCCAGGTGCGCGGCTCAGGAACTTCGTGCGGCATTCGATTGGTGCGGTTCCGCCTTCATCATGATGTAAAGTGAGTCTTGAAGAATGTCTTAATCGCATCGCCCTGTTCCGTGGGAGACGAGTCGCATAGTAATGGCTCGATTATGGGCGCGATGTGGCATTCCCCGTTGCCAATGACCAGCTCAAAGTGGTCTTCCGGCGTGACTGATCTGTACTTGGCGGCCCATGCGATTGTATGGTCGAGCAAGATCTCGTGACTGCCTGACGATGCAAAACAATGGGACACTTTGAGCTCGGCGCCCTTCCACCATTCTGCATCAGCATCGAGCGGCTCGGCATAAGGAGTCGATGGTTTCCCGGCGAGGTAGTCGCGAGCCCACATGGCTTCGGACGGAACGGCACATATGTCCTTCTGTGCGTTCACCGTCATGGAAGGATAATCGTACTGAAACGAGAGCCAAGGCCCTAACAGGACCATCGCCTTCAGCGGCTTGTCGACTTGGACTTCGGGCAAGTCGTTGCTTGGGTGCAGCATCAGTGATAGCAATGCCAGGCAAATGTTGGCTCCAGCGGAGTCGCCAGCTATGGTCACGTCGGACGGCGACCGACCCAGCTCTGATAGAACGTGCTTCAAGCACTCTGCTGCTTCGTATATCTGGGTTGGATAGGTTGCGAAGGGCACCAAAGTGTATGCCAAGAAGAGGAAGGCGACATTCTTTCGACTCCCGGCATTGACATCACTTGCGACATCGTCCGCCCAGAATCGTATGTGGTCGTCCTCTCCATCCAAGCTGAAGCCGCCACCTGAGCAATACGTCAATGTTGGTCTCGAAAGAGGTTCTGATCTGCTTACCATGAAAGTAGATCACGATGTTCTTGGCCGAAGGTGATCCAATCCAAAATGCTTCGGTGCCAAATTTGAGGTTGAGAACTTGAGGCACTATTCCGTGCTTTTTGCAGTACTTCCTGTACAGATCTCGAAAGGGCGGACTGATGTATTGCAACTGGGCAGTTGACAGCCGAACGCCTACCTACAGGTGTGTGTTAGATTGCTTGTGGCCATGCTGTTTGGCCTGCTTGCCTTGCGGACTACGGCATGTGAGACATGATGCCGATAGCTGACAGCTCCCCGCTCTCCTCGAAAGCCTGCGGTCAATAGACCCGCGATTATCGTGAATGCTACATGAGTCCGTCAGTCTAAGGCCTTCATGACGAGTATCGGAATCGGATCTACCCAGAGAAGATAGTCCAGGAACGAGATCGAGCTTTTCAAGTAATGTGGGATCCCCAAACGTTTGCCCTGGTCGGCGGTACGCTTTCTGCGTCGCTCCGAACATGATCTATAGTTGAGGGACTGTTTCGTAGCTGTAGTATCATAGAGGGTGAAGCAAGCAGTATGCGCGAGGAGTGGTACATCTAGCAGCCCTCCGCGAAGCTGTCAGGGCTTGCTGATTGACGTTGAAGGCATGGTGAGTGAGAACCGCTTAGATCGCCGAGCGGCGGGAACGATCAGATATGATCGTGCGTGTCCACGCAACACGCGTGCCTCCAGACCAGATCCGATGTCAAGAAGGTTTTGTCCAAGTCGGATCTGGCTGTGGCTGGGATGACGAAGCCATTCCTGGAAGGTTTGGCTAGCGCTCCTTCTCACCGCACTGCAAAACACACGACAGGCATGTCGGGGCGCCATCTCATTATTCATACAGCTTGCGCGGAATCCTGAATCATTTCGGTGTTCAATGTCTGGCACGACCAGTCTCGCCGAGTCTAGGGTTGTGGTATGTGGTAGCTGCATTGAAGGTCAACCCATCGAAGCACTAGCATTGACTGAATAGACCTTGTGTCAGTCAGGTCATACACGGTTACCGAGGCAAGTGCGTATCAACAAGTTGCCCAGGCGTGCATGGCGCGGAAGGTACGGATCATACAACTATCAAGATATGAAGAAACTATGATCATGAAAGGCTCATTCTATCACCAATTCGCTACGCCCGGGTCTCGTAATCCCGGCTCGCCATCACACGTATCCTGCATAGCCACTGTGACGCTCCAACAGTTAATGTCTCTGCGATACGTGGGTACTGTCGTGCTCATCGTTGTCCCAAATATCTGAAGTCCGCGACTTGTGTATCACCGATTCTCGACAAGCCCACAGCTGCGTACCAGCGGGAGCTTTGGCTGGGCGTGTCGAATGAATCACGAGCTGATCTCTTGGCCGTTCTGTGCAGCGTTCGCAGCCTGTGCTTGTTCGATAGTCAGACCACCCTGGCCCGCCAGCTCGTCTTGCGACTGATCGACATTGTGGTAATCCAAGATCTCGGAATACATCATGATCTTCCACGTGTCCACGGGCAGATCAGCATCGTTGAAAGACCAATCAAACTTCTCCTCTGCGACTGGCTCGTCCGTAGGATCGTGATATGGCGCAAGATATTCGTGTGTAAGGCCCTGACCAGCTGAAACACGCTTTCGAGGGTCAAAGACCAGCATACGTTCGAGCAGATCGATCGCAGAAGGGTCCGCATTCTTGAATTTGCTGCTGAGTGGTTGCCGTTCTCGCTTGGGCAGGGACTGGACGAATCGAAGCGTGTTCTCGCTGCAGATGGTCTCAATCACATCTTGCGGAGGTGTGCCCAATAGCTCTGTGATGATAGAGAATTGGTTGACGTGGTCCTTGCCGGGGAATAGAGGTTTGCCCTCGAGCATCTCAGCGAATATGCAGCCAGCTGACCAAATATCCACTTCGATGTCGTACTTTTGCCACGTGAGCATGATCTCGGGCGCGCGATAGTACCGTGTCGACACATAGCCCGTCATCTGTGGGTCCTGGATACGTGCGAGGCCAAAATCGCAGATCTTGAGGTCGCAATTCTCGTTGACGAGAATGTTGCTGGGCTTGAGATCTCGGTGAACGACACCAGCCGAGTGAACATATTTGAGACCGCGCTGCGTGGATCAGTATGATTCCCTGCTGTATCTGAGGTGTGAACCCACCAGAATTTGGTACAGGAAGTATTGGATGAACTGCTTCTCCAGTGGCCGCGAAGTCAGCAGTCGATGCAGATCCGTGCCCAATAGCTCTGTCACGAAATAGATATCCTCAAGAGGCGAAATGAAGATATCGCTCAGGGAGATAACCTAGAGATCTTTCAGTACCGTATTTTCTGCCTGCTCGTGGCGTTTTCTTACGTTCTCGTGTCGGAGGTGCTTCAAGAGCTTCAGCTCTCGGTAGGTGCGCTTAGAGAGGACGGGCGTCGAGAAAGGCTTCATGATCTTCTTGACCGCCACTGGCTGCTGCGTCAATTGATCTTTGGCGGAGCTTAGAAGGGTCAGCTTCACTGCTAAGGTGCTTGAACGTAATCTGGACTTACCAGACCAGACCGAATGCTCCCATGCCGACGGGCTGAAGATCTGTGTATCTATTTCCGGTCAGTCTTAGGCGTTGCAGTGTTGGCGCCGAAGAGCCTACCGGCTTGTGATCTCGAAAGTAGTCCCAAAGATTTGGGCGCGCACGAATTCCGCCATCTTGAATGAAAATGCGCAGTGATCTGGTGTGTTCAGGTATGTTGTGGTGGCAGATGCGAGATGCTGTCGATGTGTATGCCGGGTTTGATGCGGCAGGCCGGAGGGGCTATATCTGTAACGGTGGGGTGACTAAGGATGCTAGGCGCTGTGACTGATGAGGGTTGTGACAACGTCGAACGACACTTGACTCGGAACACTGATTGACTGCACTCTCGTTGTCAAGCAAGATGATCTAGGAGCGGTGAATGCAAAAAGGTATACAGAATAGTAGCGAAGGTCTTGGACTAGCGACGGCGAAAACAACAACAGCCTTTTCAGCGGCGATCACCCAGCTGCACGTCGAGAGGCGGAATTCGTTATGTTTGACAGATGAGCTTCAACGTCGCAGCTTCGAGATCTACTTTGAGCTGCTTATAGCCAGCTGCACGCACCCGCCAGGGTCGAGTCATGTGTAGATTCGGCAGGTCTTGTTTCTTGAGGCGGGCGCCGTTGTTTGTTTGATACACCCTGAGGCTCCGGGTGTCCACCATACGAGATCTCTTGCAGATCAGAAACGCTGGTTGCGATCGTAAAAGGGAAGCAGGAATTGACACCCAGCACACCAGCCACAGCTTGTGGCCAATTCCACCAATCCGGCAAATCGGCTTTTGTTTCCGGGGTTCCTGACTGGGATCTACACATGCCCTGAGGCTGAAGCCCGAGTGACGGGAAGTCAGGGTGTTGGGTATAATGGTGTGTGAGCTACGCTGGAACTGGTTCATGTGCTGTAAAACAATACCCACCAATGCTGGCTGTCTATCGTAAGGTCTGACAGCTTCTGTGGCAATATCAGAAAGTTCGGAGAGCATCGCCACATGTTCGATGATTCAGCCAGATATCAAGTTCTTGTCTCCAAAGCTGGCCAATAAGACAAGTTATCGCCATTTGGTGATGAGCCAGTCCCAGCTGCTTCGTCGACAAACGAAGCCGCCCTTCGCGACAGTAAGGCTGATCGATAGCTGCAGCAACCCGGGCTATCGGTATCTGAGGACGAGCGACAGTCATGAAGACTGGTCGAGCGAAACGAATAACACTCCATACTTCGTCATTGCTGGTGTTGCCAGGCCATGGTGTCACGCCCACGCCTGACTTGGACGGTACATGTTCAAGAAGCCGCGTAATGCATCACTGCTTGGATACCAGAGGCGGTCACACCGGCGGCGGCTTCTTGTTGCAAGGAATTGTTCGTCCGGGAGCGTCCTCTGCGATTAATAGAGAAGTCAATCCAGCGGGAAGGCATACATGAAGTTGAGGGAACCCAACTATTATGGGCGGGACGTGAAGTGATTAAGAAGCGTGGGCACCGATTGCCCGTCGGGTAGCATCTGCTGATCTTAACCTATAATTCGACCCCAGTACCGACTCTGAGCAAAAGCACCTGAGATCCAGCATGAGGGGTGAATTAGGCGACTCGTGGCAGACTAGTAGATATGCCTTGGTTCCGAAACATGCGAGAGTGCACTCATCACGGAATCTGGGGATATTCGAGATCCAATCCTGTTACTACCTGAGCCTTTCACAACAGAGCCTCTGCTGGTGAGTGCCTTCAAGCACACTGTCTCGGGATTTTCGTGTGTCAGCCTACCAATGCAGGAAGCATCCAGATTGCCCATGATGGTATGAAGGACCGTACTTTGCGGGCGGAGAGCGCCGTGAGAGTCTGCCTGGTATCTGTTTGAGGCTCCTTTGCAATTAGATGGATCTACCCGTACGTGTTGACCGCTGCGCGAAGAGGGCACGCACGCACTTCAGCATGACGACAGTGCACTCTTGCTGCATTTTGTCACAAGAAATTAGGCACTCGGGACGGTGATACTGTCTCCCCAGATGTTCATTTCCAGGGTAGCTGAGAATAATTTGAGATTTCGGTGGCTTTTATATTGCCTGCTAGGAGTGGTGACTTAGCTAATTAGGCATGAACGGGTCTGGAGTCAAGGGCTTAACCACACTGAACTCCCTATTCGTAGGCTTCAGCCCGCGTGGTCGCGCTTAGGAGCATAGGCCAAGATCGTCTGGCTCGCTTTCTTCTCCTCCCATTTTCCACTCAAAGTTCACTCCGCTTCGAGTGTTCGTTCAGGAAGGGCCGGGGCCCAGGTCTATCATCTTGCTCCTCCCTCGTCCCGTCTTTCCCTCCAAGAGCTTTAACCCGGTGCTGTCACGACTCCTCGCTTCACCTTTGACGCCCATCTCACTACAATCTATTCAGAACGACTATACATCCCGAAAATTGAGCTTCGCTCGACACAGATCAAGGGCTCGTCTGCGACCTCGACCAGGCTTCCTGGTACCTCCCCTCAACTTCAGCTCTCCACCCATTTTGCAACATTTGACACCACCTGTTCCCCGATCGGACGTTCAAATCGCTACAACAAACCTCACTTAATCTACCCCGTCGCGTTTTAGCTCTCGCACGTGGAGAGTCGCCGTCGCTGCAGTTCGAACCAACTTGTGGCGCAGCTGACCGAGTCGGGCTGGTCTGGAGTCGAATCCACCTAAGGATCGCCCAAGCTCGGCAGAAGCTGGAGACGACACGCTGTGCGCACGTCGCAGCGCGGCTCGTCGATAGTCGCGCGTAGTCGCCCTAGCTACAAGCTACATCACAATGGGTGCTTGCGGAAGCACAGAAGCGGGAGGCGAAGATACCGAACAAAAGAAGAGAAGTCAAGCTATCGATCGTAAGCTCGAGGAAGACTCGCGCAGATTACGACGAGAATGCAAGATTTTACTGCTTGGTAGGTCGCTCACTGATCAGCGTGACTGTAGTCGATCTAACTTGCGACCAGGTTCCGGCGAGAGCGGAAAGTCAACGATCGTGAAGCAGATGAAGATCATCCATCAAAATGGTTATTCACAAGAAGAACGAGCGCTATATCGTCTCACCGTATACAAGAACCTGATTGACTGCATGAAGGCCCTCATAGGCGCCATGCAGCAGTTCGAAATCGATACCGACAACGAAAAAGTCAAGGAAGCAATAGTGTATATCGAAAGCTATAATGTGGACCCAGACCCTGACAGCACACTCGAGCCCAAAGCCGCCGAGGCAGTCGAACGAATATGGAAAGATCCCGCTTCGGCTAAAACGATGGAGCGGCAGAGCGAGTTCTATCTGATGGACTCAGCATCATAGTAAGTTACTACCGCAATGTCGGTGTTGCGCGACGGACGTACTGACGATCGGTATAGTTTCTTCGACCAGGTGCAACGGCTGGCCGCTCCAGACTACGTGCCCGATGAGGCAGATGTATTGAGAGCGCGTACCAAGACCACAGGTATCTACGAAACGAGATTCACGATGGGTCAGCTCAGCATACAGTAAGCCCCGGATCATGCCATCATAGGGAGCGGGACTGACTCTTAGCAGCATGTTCGACGTTGGCGGACAAAGAAGTGAGCGGAAAAAGTGGATTCACTGCTTTGAAAATGTCACTTCAATCATTTTCTGTGTGGCGCTGTCAGAATACGACCAAGTTCTCTTGGAGGAGGCCAATCAAGTAGGTGACATCCGAGTCGCTTCGATCACGTTAGCTGACTTTGCCAGAACCGAATGATGGAATCCCTGGTGTTATTTGACTCAGTCGTAAACTCGAGGTGGTTCATGCGGACGAGTATCATTCTCTTCCTCAACAAAGTCGATCTCTTCAAGGAGAAGCTGGGGCGATCGCCACTTGGCAACTATTTCCCAGACTATTCGGGCGGCAACGACGTCAACAGAGCCGCCAAATACCTTCTATGGCGGTTCAACCAGGTGAACCGCGCACAGTTGAATCTCTATCCTCAGTAAGTGTTTAGGAAGCTCTGATCAATTCCTGCTGACGTCGATAGTCTCACACAAGCCACCGATACAACAAATATTCGACTCGTGTTTGCAGCCGTAAAGGAAACTATTCTACAAAACGCGCTCAAGGATTCAGGCATTTTATGATCACAACGAAACGACCGACATCGACGACTTGGGTATATCGGAAATCGGACCTGGCGTGACCGGACAGCACTGGTGAAACAGGCCTATACGAGGAAGGCCTCTCACCACCCCACTTGCAGGCTCCGGGCGGGCTCCAGGCGTCTACAGCCATTCCATGCGAGACAGTGCGATAGCATGCTCATCACGGCGCAGATATGGGGCATGCCCGCATCACGACTTGGAAAACTTCTTTGGAAAGCTGGGCAGATCGCACGCATAGGGTGCCGGTCCTCCTGGAGTGTTTTGATAATTTGCGCGAACTGCAGCGTCTTGTTTGGAAAGAAGAAATGAGAGGTTGGTGGCAGTGAGAACATGACCTTGGACAAGGAGGAGAAGAGAAGAGGCCGGAGACAGTCCCAGGATCGTGCACTTATGCGGAATGATACACCATTCACGTGTGGTAGAGCCACTGGAGAAGGGAGGAGACAAGAGGACGCGGACATGCTAGCCATGTGTATTGACTACAATACCAGCAAGGGTCGAGGATCTGATCTGTCGAAAGGTAAGAAGGATGTAATGCCACCCAATGATGAGGAAAGTGCAGATCATTTTATTGACATGAAGTGTCGTCCCTTCTGGTCGTGTTCAACGGGCCTCTGAGCATTCTTGACAACCCCCACACCAGTTCCTCCCCCAGCATCAAGCACTCCTGGCACTTGGAGATTTCCCCCACAGCCACGGACGAACTCCCCGGCTCAGCTCATTTGCCCCTCGCTCAACACTCTGCCCCGCCTCAACTAATAATCGGCGAAATTCTGAGACAATTGCATTCAAGAAGTACACGGTGTCACAGGCCACTATAATACTCTCGCTGTGCGGCGAACCGTGCTCATGAGTCGCATGCCCTCAGGTACATGACACGGGCGCAGACTGCCGCTTGAGGCCGCTGAGCATGCCTAAAACGCGTGAACGTGACAAAGCAGAGCTCGACTGCTACTTGAACACTCAGCACCCACATATGGAACACATATCAATGATAGCACGCTCACCGCCACGGCCATGGCGCAAACAATTCATCGCATACTAATACCTAAGACTCACCCAAACGAGCTTGGGCTTATAGAGAATCGACGATCAGCGCCCATGCTCATATCAGTGTGGATACTTGCATGTGGCCTGGAATGCGGCGGGTGTAGCTACAGCAGCACTTTCTATTCGCGAAGGGGTGCTTTCCATCTATTATGTAGTCCAGATTGTGGCTTCTATACTGCAGTAGCTCCTTAATCATCCAGTCGTTTGCTCGACGGGTGCCACTGCCAGGATATACTATTGCTGGAGTTCCTGCAGCTTTGAAGTGAAGCCACTGCTTTAAAGTCAATTCCTCACACTCAAAAAGCTTTCCCCCGGACGTTGCTGCTGCCAGAATATTTCTGGAGTATACTGCTGCTCTCCCTCAGCTCAGCACCTCTGGCAGCTATCTTCTGTGAGACTCCGTTCTCTCTGCCGGGTGTAGTTTGCTGTCGTTAGTGAGGGTCTCAGGGTAGTCGTCGCTTCACATCCCACCACACTCCCCCACCATGGCTGCCGCAGCAGTCGACAAAGCTCCTCGAGAGCGAACGCTGAGCACGCATGCTCCGGTCAGCACTCTGCAAGGTCCAGTCGGGCCTGGCTTCTCAAGACCAAAGCACAAGAGAACAGGTACGAATGCATACCCCAGCAGAACGCAGGTCGCTCATACAAACAGTCACCGGTCTGGGCCCCAGCGAGATCAAGTCTGTCGAGAGCAGTATTCCAGAGCATATGAGAGAAGCATGGCGCAAATTCGTACGTTGGTAGCCATGAGCGAGCAGAACGACAGCTGAGTCTTTATACAGTCTGCTTCTGGCTTCAAGACCACAGATGAGTTCGAGGTAGGACATTCTCTTGGGGACGAGATGCTGGTGCTGACAAGAGTGCTCAGAAAGAGGTTGTCAAACACATCGAGACGACTCTCGCTCGCTCTCTGTTCAACTGCGATGAGCTGTACGTATTCCTGCATGTATATACGCCCTGCGACTGACGATCCTGAAGCGCGGCATACTCCGGAACGGCTCTTGCATTCAGAGATCGTCTGGTTATTGACTGGAGTGAGTGATCAGAAAGATGGAGGAGATGGGAGGCTAATACGAAGCTCAGACAAGACGCAGCAGAGACAGACTTTCGCTGATCAGAAGCGAATCTACTGTAAGATCTGAATGCTGGAGCACGAGCATCGATCACTGACTGACCGCAGACCTTTCCCTCGAGTTTTTGATGGGAAGGGCGCTCGACAATGCCATGCTCAATGTCGGTCTCAAGAACGTTGCCAAAGACGGTCTCGCCGACCTGGGCTTCCGAATCGAAGACGTCGTAAACCAGGAACACGATGCAGCTCTCGGCAATGGTGGTCTCGGACGGTTGGCGGCTTGTTTCCTCGACAGCATGGCATCCCTCAACTACGCTGCGTGGGGCTACGGTCTCAGATACCGATACGGCATCTTCAAGCAAGAGATCGAGAACGGCTACCAGGTTGAGATTCCGGATTATTGGCTCGATTTCAACCCCTGGGAGTTTCCTCGCCATGATGTGACTGTGGATGTGCAATTCTACGGATGGGTCAACAAGTACACCGACGAGAACGGCAAGCAGGTCACTTCATGGCAGGACGGCGAGGTCGTGGTTGCAACTGCCTACGATGTGCCTGTCCCAGGGTACGGCACGCCCACAGTGAACAATCTTCGGTTGTGGTCCAGCAAGGCTGCCTCCGGCGAGTTTGACTTTGCCAAATTCAATGCAGGCGAGTACGAAAGTGCTGTTGGCGACCAGCAGCGTGCCGAAACCATCTCTGCCGTGCTCTATCCCAACGACAACCTGGAGAGAGGCAAGGAATTGCGCCTGAAGCAGCAGTATTTCTGGTGTGCTGCATCTCTCTACGACATCGTGAGACGCTTTAAGAAGACCAAGAGAAAGTGGTCAGAATTCCCCGATCAGGTCGCCATTCAGCTCAACGATACTCACCCAACACTCGCAATTGTCGAGCTTCAGCGCATTTTGACTGATCTGGAAGGCCTTGAATGGGATGTTGCATGGGATATTGTTGGGAGAACTTTCGGCTATACCAACCACACCGTCCTCCCTGAGGCCCTGGAGAAGTGGTCTGTTCCCCTGATCCAGAACTTGTTGCCTCGCCATCTTCAGGTGAGCAATCCTTTTCTTTTCTCAAGACGTAGCTGCTTCCTGGACTCTGGACTCTGGACGACATGAAATTTTTTGGTGGGGGGCTCCTGCCATTCGACAAGTTCACTTGACGCGTCAATTCACCACGCGTGCCTTCCCTCCGGTGACTGGATGCACTTCGACAACTCTGGACTCCAGCTTGTTCAACCTCTCATTCTCACTTTCAACACATCACTTTCATCAAGAATTCATCGAACCTGAGCTGCTTGACCTTCAACTTCAGCTTCTTTGACCTGTCGTCTCCTAGATGCCCCTAGTTTACTGCTGTTGATACCATGAGAGAAATATGCTAATGAAATGCTTTGAAAAGATTATCTACGACATCAACCTGTTTTTCCTACAACAGGTCGAGAAGCGCTTTCCCAAGGACCGAGAGCTGCTCTCACGAGTGTCGATCATCGAGGAGTCCCAGCCTAAGATGGTCCGCATGGCATACTTGGCCATCGTTGGCTCGCACAAGGTCAATGGAGTGGCTGAGCTGCATTCCGATCTCATCAAGACTACAATTTTCAAGGACTTTGTGCGGATCTACGGACCGGACAAGTTCGGGAATGTGACGAACGGCATCACACCACGTCGCTGGTTGCACCAAGCCAATCCCAGATTGTCTGAACTCATCGCCTCCAAGGTCGGAAGCTACGAGTTCTTGAAGGATCTGACCCTTCTCAACAAGCTGGAGGCTTTTGCTGACGACAAGGAGTTCAAGAAAGAATGGGCGGAAATCAAGTACGCCAACAAGGTTCGACTGGCTCAGCACATCCAGAAGAGTACTGGAGTCAGCGTCAACCCCAAGGCTCTGTTCGACGTTCAGGTCAAGAGAATACACGAGTATAAACGTCAGCAACTGAACATCTTCGGTCTCATTCATCGATACCTCGCCATCAAAGGTATGTCACCAGAGGAACGCAAGAAGCTTGCACCGAGAGTCTCAATCTTTGGAGGCAAAGCTGCTCCCGGCTACTGGATGGCAAAAACAATCATCCACTTGGTAAACAAGGTCGGTGAGGTTGTCAACAACGACAAAGATGTTGGTGACCTGCTCAAGGTTATCTTCCTGGAGGACTACAATGTCAGCAAGGCGGAGATCATCGTTCCTGCTTCTGACATCAGCGAGCATATCTCAACAGCTGGCACAGAGGCATCCGGAACCAGCAATATGAAATTTGTGCTCAACGGCGGTCTGATCATTGGCACGCTTGATGGTGCCAATATCGAGATCACGCGCGAGGTGGGCGAAGACAACGTTTACCTCTTCGGCACGCTGTCCGAAGACGTCGAGGACCTCCGGCACAAGCACTTCTACAGCAAGACTGACTTCAACCCCGAGCTCAAGAAAGTATTTGACTTCATCAAGAGTGGAGCTTTTGGAGACCAGTCCGCCTTTTCGGCTCTCATCAACGGCATTGTCGACCACGGCGATTATTACCTTGTCGGTGATGACTTCGATTCATACTGCAAGACCCAGGACCTCATTGATGAGGACTACAAGGACCAGGATGCGTGGGTCACGAAGAGCATCCAGGTGGTACGTGTTGGATCCGAGACGATACGGTCTGTTTGCTAACATAGTACAGGTATCACGCATGGGCTACTTCACAAGTGACAGATGCATCAATGAGTACGCTGACACAATTTGGAACATCGAGCCTCTGCAGGTCAAGGAAGAGGATGAAGGTATGTTTTGATTCGTGACCCTCGACATAGCCTTTGCTGACCACACTTCAGTGAGAGCACGCACTGGTTGGAGACATAAGATTCAGCATGAGCGGTCCACGAAGTAACGCACAGCGATCAGAACGAGGGATGAAGACAAAAGTCGAACACTTCTAGAAGTGAGCGGTAGACCCTAGATAGCCGCTACAAGGACATGGATATCAACTACTGGAGACCATTGCCAGAATTGGGTAGAAGCCAGATTATTCTTATGAGGCAGGCGACGAACAGGTGTTTACCAACCTTCTGTCAATGCAGGTCTTTCGTACCTTCCAATCTGTAGCCACATGCCTTTTACTGTGTCACTTGTGGACCGAGTCATCGTATGAACTGCATATTCGAAGTAAGATGTGCAGAGGCATTTGGCATGCCGGATGACTGGCCATCCATCATTTTACCTCCTGGGCATGATTGCTCCTTCCCGTGTGATCACTCTTTCTAGACCCGAAGAGCGATCCACTGTTTGCAACTCTAAGCATCTTGATCATCAGATTGTATTCTACCTCCCATCACTTATCGCTCAATGTCGCTTCAACATCCGAGCATCCCTACGACGTATTCGCACTTGATCGCGCGTTATCGAAGTGGCATCTCATATTGGTTCGCTTGGAAGCTATGGCTTAGCACAGCCCCCATCTAGTTCCCTGACATGATCCCGTTGCCTTGTCTGCCTCGTGTCACCGTAAGTTTAGCGTTGTGCAAGATAACTATAAGTCATCGCGTACGCCCCGAAGGTGAGGAAGACAGGAAAGAACAATCATGACGCGCAAACAGCAGCAGTGGTTTGGCTGCCTCAGCCACAATGACCTTTCTCATTACTCGTGGAAGTGCTTCAGACGAGCTTGACGCTGACATTGCCGGGCCCGGTGTCATAATCGGGTTCATCCTATCGAACTTCCTAACCCTGACGGCCGCCACGACAACACTATGGCTCAGACGTTGGCCGAAGAAGCGATTGTTGGGCTTGCAAGCAGCGCAATGGAACCCAATACTCAACAACTTTGTTCGCGCGCTATCTGACCAACAGCTCATCACCGGCCTGCTGCTGATGGTAATCGGCTTGGCCAAGTACTATCACAGCAGTGTCAATCTAGGTCATAACAACCTGTGGACTGCCGGAGACATCGTCATGGTTAGTATACCTGGCGTGTGGTGCCTTGCTCCCGCAGAGATATGACTAGTGCTAGTTCTCAAGTGTCACGCATGCCATCACACTGATAACTTTGCGACCATACTTTCGGATTCACCACAAACTCGCAATGTTCAGGGTCGTGCTCATGTGGAGCACCTATGGGCTCTGGCTTGTTGTTGCGGCGGGGATACTGACCCCAAAGAAGAACCCAGAGTCGCACAAATTGCACAGAACTCTTGCCCAGTTCTGGCGAGTAGCGACTTGGCTTGAGATCTTCTGCATAGCGTAAGTCTATACGGGAATTGTGTCTGCTGGGGCTCATGGCTGCAGGTATATGTACCTTATAACGATCTTTCCCATCGTCATAACCGAAGAAGCAGCAACAGTCAGAGAGATCATCGCCAAAATCTCCTGCGAACCGAAAGACCTCAGCGCCATCGAGCTCTGGATCAACGACAAACGCCGCAGACCATCACCTATCGGCCTCTTAACACACCACCACTCACCCTATGGCCGAGTTCGGTTATTCATCAAATGGTCAGCAAAGCAATTCTGCCGCAAGTACATCAGCATCGCCAAGCGGGCATCTGCCACGAACAGGAAGTTCCAGCTAGAAGCATGTTCTCTACTGGCCGAAGTGCTCTGGCCATGGTACTGGACTCTAGCTCTAGTCATGCTGCTGTGGCTGTTCGGCTTTGGGACGATGGTTGTGAACCTGCGACAGAATGATCTGTTGCATTATTGGGGCTTCGGGCAGCTTTTGCCTCTAGTGTTCTTGTTGCTACCGCTGTATGATGTCGTGTCAGACTTCTCAGGTGAGCATGGTCTTTCTGGGCACTGCTTTAGCTAACAACTCCCAGAAAAGCGGACTAGGGAGGACGTGTCAGAGGGCATCAAACCGAGCGAAGGACCGAGCGCATCGTTGAGAGATGCGACATCTAGCGTGTCATGTGGTCTTCGGGTGTAGAAGTGGTTAACATTGTAGATTCGCTTGCTAGCTAATGTAGAGGCCGTCACTGCCGTTATCGATGAAGGCACTAGTCTATGTCCTCTTTGAACTTCCCAGCGCTCATCCTTTGCGGCTTCGACGTGGACGTCGCGAGGGTGTCGCTCCCTGCACTTGCGGTCGTTGCAGTGCTGTCTCCTGGTGTAGCAGTAGCAGAGGCAGTCGCATTTGTAGTACCGGTGGCTGTTGCCATTGTACTCGCTGGCGCACTCGACCCACCACCAAGGACTTGACTACTCCCAGTCATGCCCTTGTTCTTCTGTGCCTGCTGCTGTTGTTGCCAGTCGCGGCTCTTCTCCTTGGCCCAACTTCCCCAGCTACTGAGGTATGCGCCTGCCTTGGCGGCATTCTCTTTCGCTGCATGCTGTAATTGTGTAGTGTCGGGCTTCTGCACTTTGGCGGCGCGTTCTTGGATTGCGGCTGTCCACGCTGCTGTACCGCCACTGCCAGCTGTTGTATCAGCCTGAGCAGTCGGACCGATCCCCGCGGCCTTTACCTCGCGACCATCCGCAGAAGTCGGCCTACTATTCTCGTCCTGTCCTCCTCCACCTCTTCGTCTTCGCTCCTCAATTGACTCCCACAGCTTCCCGAACCTCTCTTTTCCAGCCTCTAGCGCCTTCCCTACATTCTCCCTGGTCTCGGCCACCCGCTCGTCCACCTTATAGTTCGTCCGCAGTTGACCTATGCCCTGTACTACCCGCCTCTGCACATCGTCAATATTCAGGCCGCCGCCTGTAGGATGTTGTGGGGGAATAAGGTCGAATATTCGGGGTTTTCTCGATGTGTCCATCACAGTAGAAGTAGGCGAGAAAGGGTGCGTGACATTCTCGGGCAACGACGCGATGAAGAGTTCGAAGTTGCGCGTGTCCCGCCAGGCGGCAAGGAATTCTGGGTTGAAGTCCAGGGCGTTGGCACCGAGATCGACGCTAGGGAGGAGGTGGGCGTCAAGGGACGACGTGCGCTGATGTGCTCTGCTGTTGTGCTGTGGCTGTGGTTGTTGCTGTTCTGCACTTGGTCGAGGGGCCTTTGGTGGAGGCTTTTCGTCGTCGGTAGTCTGCTTCTCTTGTAGCTCCGGCGCATCAGCTTCATTCTGCGTGCTGACGACGCCGGTCTCTTGCCCTTGGTCTCCTTTCCAGAAGACGTCTTTCACCGAGCCATCTGTACGCTCGCGGTAGACTTGGTACGCCATGCTACTGCAGAGGCTCAGGATATATTCTTCGAATTGTAGACGAATCATCTCTTCGCTGCCCGCGTAACCCATGTTCTTCGGTCTAGAGGGGTTGTCTGGATCCCACGTGTCAAGCACTTGCTGTGTGAGGTTATCGATCCACCGTCGGTCTGCTGCTGATAGGTAGAGGCCTGCTTCAGGGACGGCGAGAAGATAGAGATACTGTACGGCTCGGTGTCGAGGTTGACCATGATGTCAGCATATCGACTTTGTTGTTGTAGGAGGAGGGCGTTTGTGGAGCCGACGACGTAGCTTCGCGTGGAATACGAGCCAAGCATGTCTAGGTGCTGTAGTGGCGTGTAAGGTGAGAAAAATGATCCTTTCGAGAAGATGGGCAGCGGCTGGCCGAAGGACGAGAGCAGCTCGGCTCGCGCCGACTGCTTGACCGTGGCTGCATCTGGCTTTGCGACCTGATCCAACTCAGGATGTGAGGCAGTCTCCAGGTGTGATGATAGGCCAGGCAATAGGGAGAGAAGGGCGAATTGCAGCATACACATGCGTTCACATTTGGTCGAGAAGAAGAGCATTTTTCGTTGCAAAAGGAGACATTTGACGAGAACGAGTGTTTGATGGCGAAACTCGTGTATGACCTCACGAAGGGATAGCCCTGAGAACTGCTCGGCAGGACTGCTGGTCGATGTCCGGACTAGGCTTTCCTGGAAGCCTTTGAGAATGGTCGTATCACTGAAGTCCTCCTGAGCTGGCAAGTGTTAGTATAAAGACACTTCCTTGGCAGGGTGAACATACCGAACCACATCTCAGTGACCATTCCCAGCCTCGTCCTCAGCTCGCCCATGCCCGCAACGGTGTCAACGACCAACACCACACTCTTCTGCACACTCGATCGCGTCACTGACTTCGAACGCACTCTCAATCGATCTGACCTGATCTGCCTTGTGCACGCAATCCCAAACAGCGTTGAAGCCCCCTTCCTTGGCGCAGCAGGCTCGCTTTCCTTTCCCTTCACCGCTCCTCCCGCTCCGCCAGTACCACTCTTCTCGCCGGACTCAGGCTGCCGAAGGAGTGTGAAATAAGAGAAGTCCTCGACAAGAGCATGCACCCCATCGCTCAGCGCCATGAAAGGGAGTAAAGACCAATCATTGTTATCATACAGCGCTTGTCCTTGGGGCGTCACCCAGAACTCAATTTCTGGGCCTCGGGCATGGTTGAAGTCTACTACGCAGACTTCAGGGTTGAATGTGGTCATCGTGCCAGTGCCTGCATGGAAAGCGACGGCATGTCCCGTTGCGAGGCTGGTACGGGAATGGAAAAGGGCCGAAGCAGGGCAGAGGAGAACCTGGGGTCTCGAACTGCTCGTCGGTGGGTGCAGGTAGCAGACTGTGATCGAGCACAGACAGTATCAGTCGTTAGTGTTGTCGTCGGGTGTGCTGCGAGTTATACGTTTCTGTTTGAGAAGGGTACACGGAGATTGACACGTTGTCAGGTATTTGCTGGCGCGCGTCTTGGCCATAGCGGTGGAAGCTCTTGGCATCGGCTGGCGGCTCCGCGCGGGCCTTGACTGCCTATCTCGAGAACATCAGGTACGCCGGTCCTGTAGCATGTGTGAAGCGCTCTAGAGCTGCGCCATTCGGGAACTTGGACGGCTGCGACCGCTGCCTCACACCCAACTCGTAAGTATACTTCCGTAGAGGGTCGCGATAATTGCATGTACCACAGCGGATGTACCATGATTTGAGAATTGTCAGATGTGAATCTGATCTTTGTTTCATTCATGTACACGTAGCGTCATGATAGGACTACGGCTACGATGACGAATATGTCTGCAAACTTGAGTCGAGACGCCCTCTGGACACATGCTCTCCCTGGAGTCCTCTCGACTTTGATTCGTGCGACGTCAGTACTGCGTGAACGTTGACCTCCATGGGCCCCTGCCCACCCAATGCGACCATCTGAGAACGCCGGTAAAATGTTCAATGCGTGACCCTACACCGCGCCATGTGATATCGGATGAACGCTCACGAAGTTTGTGAACTAAATTTTCGTTGCCGCCGTCACTCCTCCCACGTCGTGGCTTGCGCCTAGGCGATGTAAGCCAGCTCATCGTTATCGAGCCGCTCAATGTAGTCCTTCTCCATTAGAGCGTCGATGTTCTTCTTAATGTCGGGAATCTTTGGAGGGAATCGCGACTTGACCTGGTTAATGACTTCTTCCACGAGCTGGACGTGCTTGAGCTTCTTGCGACCTTTCATGATGCGGACGATTACAGCCTGCAATACAATTAGTTTGAAAGAAGGACAACGAGCGCATTGAGACGTACCTGTAGCAGAAGCTTACGATCCTCCTCAATCGTCTTGTGAGTCTCGTCCGCCTCTACCTTCTGTTCCGACTTGACAGTGATATTCAGGTTGACCTTTAACTTCTTGTTCTTGAAGCCTTCGTTGAGCGTGTAACTGACGCCCGGACCGGGCTTGGGGTCGGACGCGTTGAGGACGCGAGCCTTGATGAGAATCATGAGAGCGGGCTCAAGTGTCTCATCATTCAGATTAGTGAGCTGTGCCATTTCGGAGTATTCAATCTTTTCCGAGTCGTTGAACAGCAGGAGCATCGCCATCTGGTATGTTGAGACCTGAAAGGTGTACGGTACCTTGCCCATCTTGACATAGTTGGCCTTAAGCTCGCCCTTGCACAACTGCCACAGCCATGTCAACTTGCGGCCGTTGTGCTTGTTGTCGTAAAATTTACCGAACGACTCGATGGCCTTGTTGATCTCCGCTGGGGGAGCAAATGGAGTATTAGGCGCATTCAGAGGCCAAAAGCCTGTGCCTAGAATCTGATATGTTGAATCCAGGTTGCGTTTGGAGTTGCTATCGCCCAGCAGAAGATCTTCGTGCTCCTTGTACGACTGGTTCAGGTCTTTGGAGATCTGTACATCTTGGAACATTCGCTGCAGCTTGTTGGTGTACTCAAATCCGCATGCTTCCTTCAGCTTTGAGATCATGCTAGTTTCTGCGTCGTCACTGACGGAATTGGTGTGCACCAGACGTTTGGCCAACATGCGTGAGTAGAACTTCTGGAACACATCCTTGTCGTCAATGTATTTGAAGACAACCATGATCTGCACGAGAAGCTCTTCCAGTTCAGACTCATCGGCTGCCTTGGCTCCTTTCTTGAGCAGCTGATCGGTGTATTTGGCCAGTAATTCGGGTGACTTGGTTGAGCTCGATTTACAGATCTGGTTGCGGTTGACGAATTCTTTGCAGGCGTTATCCAGAGACCGGACAAATTCAGACTCGCCAGTGAAAGCGACATTGACCAGCTGCTGGTACTTGCCATGGACTTGAAGAAGAGCATCGACGTAGACCTTAGGCTCAAAGTTTTCGCCCTGCGCTGCCACCTTATCGATCGCTGCCAAGCCAGCCTTTCGAACGTGGAGCTCGAAACGAGCTCGGAGAGGCTCAAGACCATCCTTAATTCTGGCAAGCAGCTTGTACATCCGAGCGAGATCGTCTGTACGCTCGCTGTCGAGGAGCACTTGAAATTCATCGCGAAGGAGGAGGGTGTGAGCGGTGATGAGAGATTCGTTGCAGGTGTCCATCAGCTTCTTCATGATATCGGGGTGCAGGTAGAGACCAACACGCTCTTTCTCCTCGTCCAGCCGAGTTTCGGCCTTCTTCATGTACTCGACCACGCTATTGTCGGCCACGAAGCGTTGCGATTCTTGATCGTAATAGTCTTTGGTGGCATTGAGGAATGGCCGCTCGAAGTTGAGTCTGTAGACATCGAGAGTGGATTTGGTGGAGTCGTGCTCGTCCAGGCCGAGCGAGACGAAGGATTCGACGATGGCCTTGACCTGCAGCTGATCAATGGTCTCGCCGTTCCGCTGCTTCTCGACAAGCTTCAGGACTGCGGCCATGACCTTCTCGTGGACCTTGCCGAAAAAGTCATCCCGCCATTTGACGAGGTGTAGAGTGTAAACATCATACACGTTCTTCTTGCCTTCGTCCATTTCCCGCTTCACCCAGTGACGGTTCAGGTATCGGAACAGGTGGTTGTTATACTTGGCGGCATCCGTGTATCTCTTCCATTCTCGAATGTAGTATGTGAGGAGGGCTTCATCGACGTGGGATGCTGAGTTGTCGAGGACCAACTTCAGATGCTGGCTGAGATATTCGCCTAGTAGACTATACAGCTCCTCGCCAAGCAGGTGCGCGCCACGGTGCGTGCTCTGAAGATTTCCAGGACTTGAAGCAGGAGGTGCCACGGTGGCTTTTTGTGACGTGCAAAAGTTGTGGACGGCTGTATAGACTCCCCTACGAAGTGTCAGATTGGTACTCACAGACAGGTTTGGAACTTACATATAGGTCTTCATGTCCAAACCCTCCTGCAACTTGTTCATGACATTGTCGACGTTCTTCTCGAGGTACGCCCATCTACACATACAGTTAGCTACGGTCTGTCGGCGGGGACTGAAAAGACGTACGTTTCATTGACTTCACTGCGAGCCCGCTGGGATGGAGTGGCAGCGGTTGATGTGCTGGGCGCCATCTTCTGCTGCTTCGGCTCAGCCGTAGTGGTCTTGGGAATATCTGGGAGGTGTTGCACCCTTGCTAAAGCGAAGCAGTGCGATGCGAGCGGCGGACGAGGGCAACGATCGAGGACGTCTCGGCTGTGAGTGGTTGTCCTATATCTCTGCGGCGTACTCTAGAGAGACGTGTGTTTGATGAAGGAAGATTGAAATATTCAGTGAAGATGAAATAGCATAGCGCGAGGCAGTTCAACCAGGCGACCTGTCGATGCTTTCAGGTGAAAGACTCAGTCAAGTCGCCTTGATGCCTAGTGGCGGAGGAAGACGCCTGTTGAGTCAGATGCCACCTTTGTCTGATCTGGCGACGTGAACTGTCTTGCTGGCGGTCTCGTTGACGGCGGCGAGACGGAAGAGATCGAGAGAGGAAGAGTGCAATTAATGATGGACAGACCGTGATTTTCTTCCGAGTCTGAATAATGCAAGTAAGAAGTACTGCCAGTGCCACTTGTTTGCGGCTCACCGAAGTCAGTCACGGATCTCAACCCCAACTTCGGCTGACCTGCCTAACTTGGACGCGTTACATAAGGCAAGTGCCCTCTTGTTAGTGACGTCAACTTCGATTGCACTTTGTCACTGTTGACTTCAAAGGAAATGCTGGGGCCGAGCGGGTGTCTGTAAAGAGCCCGGCTTTAAATACAACATCACCATCGAACCAAGAGGATTTGTTCGGCCACTTTTCAGAACCTACCACGTTAGAAATGGCCGCCGCCCTACAGTCCCTGAAGGTGTCAACACACCAAATCCCTGCCTTCAAAGGCCTCCCGAACACTTCAATCTCAAACAAGCCATTGATGATTTTCCATGGCGCCTTCCCCACAGCAAGCGCATCTCAGATTGAGAAACATCTAACAGACACGGGTGTCGTCACACCGCAATGGCGATACACGATGTACAGTGATACCCATTTCCACTCAACCACCCACGAAGTGCTCGTAATATCTTCTGGCTCAGCCAAGTGCTGTTTCGGTGGCGAGGAGAACTCAGGCCGTGTAGAGCCGGTGCTGCAAAAGGGCGATGTCGTCGTAATACCAGCTGGAGTAGGTCATCGCCTGTTAGAAGATCACGGAGCCTTCCAGATGATTGGTTCCTACCCGCAAAGGCACAGCTGGGACATGTGTTATGGCAGGAAGGGCGAAGAGAAGAAGGTCGAGGGCATAGCGAAGCTAGCATGGTTCACGCGGGATCCTGTGTATGGAGATGACGGGCCAACATTGCATGTGTGAGTGTACAAGATCAGCTATCAGGAGGTCTGTACTACATTATCCGTTCGACGAGCCTGGCAATGGTTAGTCGGTGCCCATAACACAACGCGCTAGGTGATGCACATACCTTAGGACGCTCACAGAAAAGGTCATCAACCAAGCCACCAACGACACCAAGAGCACAGCACTGAGCGCTTCCTGGCGGCTGCACACTCTCCCAAAACGATACTGAGTTCCAGTGTCAGCAGTCCCCACCGCACACGCCCCGTCATCCACCGTCAGGGACTCGAAGCTCAAGCTAAGATTGGCCGCCTGGAAGACAATAAAAAACAAATCCAGCAACACCAGTCGTACCTTCGCACGCGCCGGCCGTAGCCCCAGAGGTTTGGAGAAGTATTCGTCGTAGGTGATGTAGGATGTGTACACCACCGAGACGACGTCGACAATGATGGCCATGAGAGCAGAGGGATCCCGATAGTAATTCACCTCCTCATATTGCCCATTTTGTGGATCGTTGAGAACCCTCCTACAAGCATCACTCCTGCTTCCAGCCGGTTCTTTCAGGCAATCGCTTATTCTGCCTGTCTCGCGATATATGGTAACCCCAAGCCCGATGGCGGTCAATGCAAAGATCATCACCGTCAACCTGAACGCCAGTGGAATGAACGGGTTCCGCAATATCGTGAATTGAATGCGCTTGTACCATGCCCGTCGCTTCTTCTTGTAAGCCTGATATCTGCTGGTATCTTCGCCATCTTCGTCTTCACGGTCAGCCAGCCATGGCTTGGAATAGTCGCCGAACTCCTTGTTCAAGTATTCCGGGCTGAACTGCTCGTTGTCGAAGTTCTCTCGTGGGTATACACTGGCTCGACCGAAGCTGATCCATCGTGACGTCTTGTCCGGCCGCCAGTCACCGGAGGATGTTGGATTTGATCTGTGTTCTTGTACACCATTCTGTGCTCTCCTGGGTGTGGACGGACTGTGGTTGTGCTGTGCGAGAAATGCGATGTCCGGCGCATCCAGGTAAGCGGGATCGATGTCGTCGAGGTCGCTCTCTGTCGCATCCTGGATCCAGGCCGGTAGAGTTCGAACAGGTGGCTGGACAGGTCCAGCCTTGTGTCGTTGTGGATGGTAGTGACTCGAAGCTGATCTGTTCAAATTCTGTGCCTTCCCCGAATTCGCTCGTTGCTTTCCTGGGTGAGAGTCCTTAAAAGAGCAGTGCTTGCCATTGCCATTGACCTGCGGCGAAACAGTGGCTACCGTGTTCTTTCTGGCGACCGGAGGTTCCGGATGTTTGTTTTCTGGCACAGCAGGGACTGGCGCCTTCTCGTCGAGGTATGTGGGCTCGCGGACATGGGATTCGGCCTGCCAGGGAAAGCCGGCTGTTGACATCGAAGAAGCAACAGACAAGTGGCTAGTAATAATGTGGTGTTTACCTGCTCATGGTGCCGCCGGACCGGTGGACGATGGTAGCGAGGCCTTCGCGGGTGACTTTTCTCTCGACACCCTCAGGCGTGCAGGGAACACTGCTATTATACAGATGCGAATGTAGCGGATGACTGTGCAGGCTCGCTGCTGACGGATGTGGTTGGTAGTAGCAGATGATGAGTGGAGATCAAATGTTGTTTTAAGCGAGCGAGAAACAGGGCAGATCTCCCCCGGGCGCCTCAGGCCTGTGGCGGTGCATCACTGCAGGACTCGATATCCGCAGTGACGTTGTGATTCTACGCCAAAATATTGCTTGAACCTAACAGCTCGTTGCGACGAAACACGCCCTTGAATCTCGAGGCACTATCGCTCGTTTCCCTTCCCGTACTTCGACTTTCGAAGAGTTGTTGAGCTCTTCCACAAAACACGCCCTTCTACGCCTGCAACCATGAGATAGTCCCTGCCAGTCCCTCCATCTGCCAACGGCCGTCCAGGACCCGGCACTCTCTTCGATGCGCATCTTCCTCCTACCATTGACGACCCGTCAAGCTCTTGTATACTGCCAGAAACCTGTTCAGCAAGCGACAACCAAGCCCAACAGCTACGCAGACCGTGCTACACAGTATGCTGCCAAAACATGGGCGCAGTGGGAAACCTATGACAAGGGATGGCGCAAGACGGTGATCAAGTATGGCAACGCCGGCCTCAAGCGCATTCCATATCAGGAATGGGGGCTTAAGAGCTTTCCGCCGGGCACGCCAAAGCAGGAGGCGAACACCTTGACTGAAGGCAAGAGGTATGATGTGGTCTATCCCGGGAATATCGTACATGAGGCAGACGTGCCCAAGGTGCTTTACCGACTGGCAAGGGAGCGGAAGACACTGCATTGGAATCGCTTCATCGGCAGCATGTTCGTCATGCCGTTGACTGCGCCGTTTGCTCTGGTACCTGTGTACCCAACATTCCCTTCTTCTACGCCGCCTATCGTTGCTGGTCACATTGGAGAGCTCTCAAAGGCTCCGATCACCTTGAGTTCATCCTGGAAAATCGACTAATCAGGCCAATCTCGACAAAACAGATCGAGGATTTATACGAAAACCTAGCGCCAGATTCCCCGGATTTCAACTTCGTGACCGCAGCACAGTTGGAAGATAAGACTGTGCCGGATGAGAAGGTTATCCTACCGGCTGACTGTCACAACAAGGTCGCTAGTGGGCTGGAGGTGCCTGAGCTCAGCAATGAGGTCGAGCGCGCTGTTTGGCAAGTTAATGAAGCTCAGCGCAAGAGCCAAAGCCAAGACTCCTTGAATCAGGAGAAGCGATAACGTTGCTTGGTGGTCTTGGGTATTCCCAGCATGGACTTGTATCATACATGTGGAAAGGAGCGACAGCTGGCTCCTTGTGTAGATTAGATATTTGATGTCCATAGACATGCCGACACAGCTCCATATCTCGAACCTATTAGACAGCATGGCACTGATTACTCGAAATGGCGGCGTCCCCAACGTATACAACTGAAAGTATGTTTCGCATGGACCGGCCGCTTTTCTTGGCCACGGATCTTGAACCTCCGCTCCATATCGACCCTTCCAGATGTGACCACATGTACACGTCGAGACTCCCGGTGCTCGATTTAGGAGCGTAAGGCGGAGAGAAAAGTCTCTAAAAGGCTTTCTGCGCGCTATTTACCTGATGCATGCTGAACTCACCGTTGAGTTGCGTTGCGACGACACCGTAGACAAGGGCAATGATGGATGATTTATCGGATGGAGGCCAGTCGAAGAAAGTGCAGGTATTCTGGACACGATCTCGTGAACGAGTGAAGACAAAGCAGCAATATTCACAAAGTGACTGATCTAGAGGTGTTGCCTTGGAGCACCAACCTGCCTTACCTGCCCGCCCTCTTGCACAGACAAAGTACCACTCGAAACAGCCTGACCAACATCGATTTAAGACGATGCTCTATGCACAGTCATAAGTTGCTTGCGCATCCTCTTCATCACACACGATTCTGAATCGCCACAACAATCGTCTTCTCGCCAGAACGTTGCCAATATGGACGCCTCAATGTCCAGCGAAGTCGTCGCCAATGCCACTGCCGATGTAGCGCCAACGTACATCCCGACAATGCCCTACATGGACCGAAATCAGCAGCTGAGCGCATCAGCTCGTCATCAGGTACCTCCAGCAGATCTCGTCTTCACGAATGGTCATCCCCACATACAGATCAAACCCAAATCGCCTCCTTTGTACGCGACGGACAGCTACGGCAACCCAGCATTCATCCATAAACTTGCGTCGGTAGATAAGCTGGGCCACTTCAGGCATCGGATGCTGACCTGGAACTACGACGAACGCTCGAAGGCCCAAGACATCATCCCGTTCATCTTCCTGGGTCCTGGTTTCGCCGCCAGGGACGCACAATTCATCGACGACAATCAGATTAGCTGCATGGTTGCAGTCCGCAGTGCGCAGATGGTTCGGAAGAAGCCAAGTCTACTACATCCGGCATCAATGCCGACTAGTTCCGGACGACAGATTGCAATCCTCGACATCGACAGTCCTTGGGAGTTCATTCGCAACGTGAGACCAGTCATCAAGATGGTGGTAGACCATATGGAAGCCAGCTGCCAAGGAGGGATCATCAATGGCGTCCAAGACATATCGGCTAGAATCTTGGTGTACTGCGAGAACGGCAACGAAAGATCTGCGGTCTTCGTCGCCGCACTCCTCATGGTCCTCTACGGCCTAGAGTCATACACAGCGATCCAGCTCATCCAATCCAGACGCTTCTCTATCGGTCTGAACGAGAGCATGAAGCAGATGCTGTCTACGTTTGAGACGATTCTCCAAGCAGAGATGCAGGTTGGTGCTATGGGAACTGTCGGCATGCCGCTGCGTCTGAAGCGGACGATGTCCACCATGGAGGAGGAAGGTGATGAATCAATGGAAGATGCGCCTCAGACACTTGATCGACCAGGGACTGCGCCATTCATGGACGTATCGGATTGAACAGACATCATGATGTCGATATCACTTCATGCATTCGACCGCGAGGGTCGCTCTGTGCAAGTCAAGACAGTTCTATTTTGTGACCAAGATGCCCGAAAGCGTCACAGAGTCCACCTCGGGAGGCAGATGATCGCCAGCGACAACAGCGCTTCGAAAAGGGGGCTCGGTCGTGATCGGCTCCGCGCTCTGGCGTGTCACAAACATGGAAGTTGAGGATGATGGTCAGGTCAAGTCGTGCTGTGAGGCGGTCAAGTCGTAAGTCACCATGTCACGGAGTACTTTGACCCTCAGTTGATGATAGCAATAAGTGACGGGCGCATCACCTCTCAAGTGCCGTTGCCTGGGCGAACAAACAACGCACGACTTCAAAGCAGACACACTAGTGACAATCAGACAATGAAATTCGTCTTTCACGCACACATCCATATCTCGTCTACAATTGCACTCGCAACGATTTACCTCTATCCTGATTTCGCCAACTTTTTCTCGAGACATCGAACATGCCAGTCCCGCCGCTATGAAGAAGACTACCTCATCGGGTACGCGCCTCCGACGCAAGATCCAGCAGCCTTTGAGATACGAAGATGAGGTTGAAGATATCAACTATCGAAAGCCTTACCTGAAAAGAAACGGCACGAAGCCTGAGTATCCCGAGTTGCTTGCTGCGCAGACCGTACCATTCAATCCCTGTCATCGACCTGCTGCGTTCCCGTCACTGCCTTTGACTGGCGATATTCCGGCTGCCGAGGAGAGAACCGAATACGAGGTCGACGCGAACGAGGTCGCTGAAGAAATTGAGTCAGATGTGGTGTCGCGCGATACTAGTGAAGAAGTTCACGAGCCTGTTGACAAGGCCAAAGAGTCACACAACTCCAAGCAGCTCGGTCGCCGACAGTCTCCCTCTCGTCGACATGGGAAGCTCATCCAATGGAGAGGCCTGGAGCTAGCTTATCGCTATCGCATCTTCTGCACAATAAGCCATCTCCAAGGCGCTCACAAAGCTGGGCTGTGGCTCGGACTGCTGCCGGAAGAGTTCAATACAATGCTCGACGCTCACGACTGGCGCAAGCGGAACCCTCTTACCCTGCAACAGATCCACGATTCCCGCCCACGAGAGACTGACTGTTTCGAGCCAGAGTTCATGGTAGAGCACCTCGACTACATGGTACGGATTAGCCATTATGAACTGGGGTCACCGCAACAGCTCGCAAAAGCGACTCAGTTCCTGATACAGCGCAATCTGCCAGTGGAGCTGCTGGGCACATGGGTTGCTGATCCGCTGGGTAGCGGACAATTGGTTCAAGCCTCGTCCCTCGTTGCGCTGTACCCTATGGTGCATATGAGTGTCGAGCAAGTACAGGTAATGGAAGACAGGCGGTCGAAAGAACTTCCACCAAGGGGAGCAACTCTACCAGGCCTCGACGCCAGGATCGCACGTAACCAGAAAGATCGCAAGGCAGCTGGCACCATCAGCAAGGCGAAGCCGCGGTCCATCACAGATCGACGGTCTCATAAGAGATCCTTGCCGCCACCGATACCGGCGACTGAACAAGACATGGGCTCGCCGCCTGTCTCGGTCCCGAAAAAGCCTCGAGCAAACACGGCTCGTTGTATTAGTGCTCACACCACCGATCCTGACGACACTGACTATGCCGAAGAAGAAGATCAAGCGAATCGGGTAGCTACATCAGTCGCACAAAAGCGAGCCACGGACATCGCCCAGACGCAGAAGTTCCGCGAACATCAGCTGAACACCCCAGCATCGTCTCCGTCGTCAGGCGCCTCCACTGGTCAGCGAAGTGCCGGATCTATGAGTCTGCGCAATCGAGGCGAATTGAAGGAGACTGCTGCGATGGCGGATCTGAGAAGAGATATGCAGTTCTGGGGATCGTCCCATAAGCCTGGTCTGTCGACAGATACCACAGGCCGCAAGCGATCGGGCACTAGTACGTCTGTATCCACCGAAGGCGAGAAGCCGAAGAAGGTCGTAGTGTTGAAGTACGATAAGAGAGGCACCGCGTACGTTGAGTCGTCTAGCCCAAGTAGAGCAGTTGACTTGGATAACGAGTATCCTCGGAACACCACAGGACCCGAATCATTGGTGCAGCCAGTCTCGGCAGTACAGTCAAACACATCGAGACCGGCCACTCCCTCATTTTTAGCTGTTGATTCAGAGGGAGTCGAGCTCACTTCGTCCCCTCCTCAACCATCAGCAGCCTTCAAGAAGCATACCCAGCAATTCCAGCATACACCTCAGCGGGCCTCTGAGTACTTCGAAGATGGCAGTGATCATGGTGTGCAGGACGAAGAAGGGGACACGTTCTCCACTCCGCAGACGTCGGCTGCGACTCCTCTCGTCCGTCGGAATACGAAGGACGCGGACGAACCTCAAGCTGAGCAAGATCAAGATGTCGCGCACCAGAATAGTCCTCTTGCTGGGCGAAGACGGCCTCATATGGACACTCAAATGGTGGATGCGCCTCCGCTGGGCTCTGCAGAAGATGATGTCCTTCCATCGATCGAAGACCATGTCGAGCATGCTATACCCCCTGAGCCGGACGCCGGTGATGCTCTTCACGAGTTGCTTCGCATTCTCGCTGTTGCCAAGTCCACTGCGCAGAACCCGGGTACCGTCGAGAGCGGTCGCCGCAGCCCTGAACGACCGACCTGTGTCTCTCCGATCACCGTAGTTGATGACGATGAGGAAGATCGTGGTGTGCCAGCACCCTCGACACCGCCAGAACGAGCATTGTCAACGCCAGTCAACGAATACGCCGCTAGACCATCCTTAGTAGCTACACTGAAGGTTAAAGTCCCCGACGCAATTCTGAACGCTGAGCCAGTACCAGCTTCGGCATCGCGTACCGCACCAGTCATGTTCACCAACCCAGGTGACGACGGGGACTCTTCTTACGGCGAAGACCGACCTGCAAAAAAGAAGCAGAAGAAGAAGGCGACTACACCGAAGACCAAGAAGAAGCAGGTCCCGCAGACTGTGAACGAGCTGCCCGAAGTGTCGCCCACGAAGAAGCCAAAGAAGTCGGCTGCAACCAAGAAGGCTACGATGACTGCGCCCAAGAAGGCCACGACGGCTGCATCTAAGAAGGCTGCGACGACTGCTACACCAGGGACGAGGAAGCGAGGCAGGCCGAGAAAGAGTGAGACACCGCAGGGTGTTCCGGAGAATATTGGCATTGATGCAGACGTACCAGCTAGCAACTCGACGACAGAAGCAAGTGCACGCAGTCAGGTTGGCGAGGCAAATGTGGTAAAGCAGATTGAGATGCCGGAGCCAGACGCTGATATTGGGGGTGGCGTTACGGTCTTGCCGAGTGTCGAAGAACTTCCACAAAGTGAAAAAGCCCTTCCAGCTGAGGAGGTCTCTCGGGGTGAACAAGTCGAAGAACGTCCCCGAGTCGAACAAGCTCCCCAAGGTCAAGGAGCTTCCCAGATTGCAGAGATTTCTCATGCTGAAGCTGCTCACCAAGCTGAAGCAGCTGCTGAAAGCCAAGAAGCTGCCCAAGTCGAAGCAGCTGCCCAAGTTGAAGAAGCTGCTCAAGTTGAGGAAGCTGCCGAAGATGAAGAACCTCCTCATGCTGGAGAAGCTTTTCATATCGATGAACATCCACGCACAGCAGAAATTGCCTACGCCGAAGACGCTTCTCGCGTCGAGGGACACCTCCGAGCTGATGAGACGCTGCCGACAATCGGCGATGACACAGCAGCATTTCTTTTGGGTGATTCAGAATTGCTTCAGGTGAATGATGCCACGTACGCAGACACCAACGGCGCAGACCCCATCATTCCAGCCAGCGCAGCAATACAGGAGGTAGAAGCGCCAGCGGGCTTGTCTGAAGCGTCCGAAATCGCTGCAGCTGGCCCGAGCAGTTCTACCACGAGCGAAGGCAATGGAAACTTCGTGCCTCTGCTACCGAGACGGAGCAATCGGCTTCAAAATCCAGTGCCCGACGCGACTACACCAGTCGCCGACTCACAAAAGCTTCCACGGCAACAGACTGTGATCACAGGTCGCGACCGTTTCTCTATTCCCACCGAAACGGTCAATGACGAGGCCGTAGATGACATTGAATCGGCACAAGATGGATCAACAGGGGCCGTTGGTCACAAGGAAGCTCGAGATGATATCAAGCTGGGTCTCAAACTGCTGCGGGCACCACGAGGGACGTTGACGACGAAGCAAGCTACATGGTCGGTGACGATGACTTCGCTAACACCCATACCGATGGTACGGCTCCGATGGAGAATGGTTTTGCTGTAGACCTGGAAAGTCCACTGAAAGCCTCTCCAGACGAACCTCGGGACTCACGAACAGCAATGCCTGTGGCGACGACCAAGAGTGTAGCGAAGAGAACCACCACCACGACGAGTCCCGCGAAGACTCGAGCACGATCGAAGACTCCCGCTGCTAACACCAGAAGCGAAGCGAATGCTTCGTCGAAGCCTGGAAAGCCGCTCCCTGCGAAGCGTTCTGCAACGTCAAAAGCAAAGGCTGCGGCGATTGCGGCCAGGGGCAAGCCCGAAACCAAGACCAAGAAGAACGCTGTGGCCGAGAAGGGTTCGGTAGCTGTCATGACGGCTGAAGAACTCCCTGCGAACGACATCAACCAAGAAACGACACCATCCAAGCTGCAAGAGAGAGCCGCGCGCCGTCCTCGTACGCGTTCTCAATCGCAAGCCACCGAGCCACTGGAAGATGTTGAGGTCGACGCTGGCGCTATGCCCGTCAAAAATCATGTCCATCATCGTCCATCAACTCGTTCTCAGACGCCGGTCGTCGAGCGAAAGGATCCAGCAGAAGAGGATCAAGCCGATGAGGATCCAGGTGACAAGGATCAAAGCCAACAAGGACAACAGGACGAGAACGAGGTTGACCAAGTCGCAAATGTGCCTACCACAAAGAGCATTCACCGTCCACGAACTCGTTCTCAAACCTCAGCGGCAGAGCTGCAGGTCGATATCGGTGATACCACTGATGACGAAGATGGAGCTAGGCAAGAGGCCGCCACGTCCTCTCAACAGGTCTCCGCTCAACCACGCTCGCCAACTCCAGCGCCATCCGTAGGTGATGCCCCCGACTCCCAAACAGACGCACAGTCCATCCTGGCCTCGAAAACCACAACGACCCTGGTCCCACTCAACGACACCACAGCCGCCGCCTCCGCAAAGCGTGCCGTCTCCGAGCCCACGACCGTCGGTCACCGGCCCGTTACACGCTCCATCACGCCACTTCGCGTTCAGGCGCTGATCGAGGAGGACCAGAACGAAGCAATTCTCATCAGCAGCAGCGAGAGCTCAGACACGGAGTCTGAGGCCTCTGTTGGGCAGCCGATTGCGACGGAGACGACGAAGCCGAGGAAGAAGTGGGAGCATAAGGTGTATGAGAAGACAAGGGAGAGTAAGCGGATACGGGGGAATGGGGCTTAGTTGCGGGCATACTTGGAATGATCTTTCCCCTGGCTTGGAGAGTCTCTGCCGTCACCTGAAGGAGGGTCACATGTGTGTATGGAGGTTGGGCGAGGGCTGGAATCGGGCACGGCGCAATTTTGAGACTAAGCCGCGTAGAAACCAGAGCGTAGTGAGATATACCTGAAGACCTTGGGTATGTGGTCGGTCTCGAATTCAGAATCGCCTGCGTCTCGTCGCCTGGGAAGCGCTTGGATAGTGGATCGCATACCTCAATTCTCACTCTGAGAATACGTACGACATGTAGAAGGAAACTATGACTCAGTCGTTGCTTGGCGGCAGCCCGTAATGCACTAGAGTCGCTCCGATCTGAAGTGTGATCGCTTTCTGTACAGCTGTTGTATCAGTGTGGCAATTGTTGTATGGCAGGACTAAGTCCTCATAGAATGATTACTCTGTCAAGGCGGCCTCGAAGGGCCACTTGACCGCACTGCGAAGTCGCTCGTCCCACCACGCAGTAGCAGGTACTACCATAGTATGACAATGCACGTCTCTGGTCTTGTGGGTGATGCAAGAGGCAGACGCTGAAGTCGAGGGCAGGACGAGTACTTATATCTTTCCGAGAGAGTGAAGGTCCGCAGCAAACCGAAACGAGCACTTCACTGCCTCGAGTATTCACTGCTTTCGGCATGAATTAGCGTCAGTTGTTGAGCAGCGTGTGAACTTCATCTGAATGTGCATTGGTGACTAAGCTTACAGGATTTTGGGTCCTGCCGTGGCTAGGAGTAGCGGGCGAGTTCTGGGAAGGCACAGCGGATGCTAGACGGCACCTCAAGCATAGGTACTTCAGGTGTCACTAAGATGCAACTTCGAGGCAAGCATCTAAGTAGTCGAAGTCCTTCTAGAAACCCGCAAGCCTCGTTCTTTCTTTGATTGAGCAGTCCAGAATGATCAAAATCGCAATACAGATCAGATCGTGCACGAGGTCGGCGATTGATGTCAAGACAGCCAATGAGGCACCTGAAGCAAGTGTGAAACGCATCCAGGATCTCGCACGAGCATCTTGGCACTACAGTGTGTTTCGTGTGGCGAAGTGGGAGAGAAGCAAGATTGTCTGTGTTTCGGTGCGCCTCACTTGTTTCCCACTGGGATGAATCTCGGAAAGCCATGGTCTTCTGTTTGTGCGGACGTTGGGCATCAATGGCTTTCGGATGATTGGGGTTGAATAGTTCCTCCTCGGTCGGCGGTCGGCGCCGGGCTTTCGCAGAACTTGGTCCTTCTTCAGCACGTGCTGGTAAATCCGTTGTTGCACTCGAACACCATTCGCGACGCCTCATAGACACAGGCAAAGCCTCAAAAGCTCAGCACCGGGCTTCAAGCAGACACCGTATCATATATCCAGCATTTTCGTTTCGAAGAAATGCGATGTCTTCTGAATCCGAGAAACTCAAAATGCTGATCCCTGACGGCCATGGTTTCAGGGGGTCTGTGGCGCCATCAGCGGGACGAACCAGATACGAGAATTGATCTCTCGCTTACAGCGCCCAGCAGAGGCTATTCCTACTATCATGTTCGGAACCATATCCCGCAAGGCGGCGCCCCCTGATAGAACTCCATTGCTGCCTCTTTTGGAACTTTGCTGGCTGTGCTCCTTCAACATGTCGGAAGAGTGTGGGCTGGAGCTGCAGAAGGACTGCAGGAGGTGGGAATAGCGTCCGATAATTTGACGCAAGTATTCTGCGCCGGGGCCGTGCCGTCGCGTAGCCTGTGTGAGTTCAGGGCGATCGAAACGTTGCGCTCAGACCATTTGGTGCCATATGCAGTGGATGGTTTACCCCGGTTCGGATTGACTTGCGGTCTTTCCTTCTTTCTACCACCACGATCTGCTCAGTGCAGGCTCTCTACATGTCATTGACTTTGCGACACAACCGCTGTGACCGTATTTCCTCAAGCCGGCATGAGCGGCGGTGATGTCGCCCTCGTCGTTCTATCAGTATTTCTAGCGTCCTTCAGTCTCGTCTTCGTTGCGGCGCGATGTGCGGCCCGGTGGGGCATCAGGAAAGAGTATGGAGTGGTTGACGGATTCGTTGTACTTGCGCTGTGTTGTGCGATAACACATGCGGCATTGTTCATCGTTGGTACGGACATTCTTGCACGGCGTTGTGCTCGTGCTGACAAACCGTAGAGTTTTCGAGGGACAAGACGAACACAGACGGCCTTGATGTCTCAGGGTTGCGGATTGTATGGATCGCCAATCTTGTAGCAAACCTTGGGCTTCCCATCGCGAAGATTGCGATCCTGCTCACCTATCTTGACTTCTTCATCTGGCCCAAGCACCAGTCTGCATCACGAATCTTGCTGGCTGGCGTCGCTTCATACGGTACAGCAGCGGTTGTGGTGTCAATTTTGACTTGTGTTCCGGTCCAGTCGTTCTGTCCATGCCGGAACAGGACCAGTGCATCAATGTTCGAGCCTTCGCGCTGATAACGTCAGCTTGGGACCTGTTCACAAATATTGCCATCTTAGCTTTACCGATGATGGCGGTGGTGAGATGGGCTCAGCCTAGGGGCGAGAAGCTCGCCTTCACGGGACTCTACACGCTGGGTTTCGTTGCGATCGTGATGAGCGTCATTCGATTGTGGCGTTCGGACGAAGGTGATCCGATGTCGCCGATCAGCGACAACACTGCGCTGTGGTTCGGCATAGACACTCAGCTGAATGTGATCATCTGGTGTGCAAGCTTACCGTCTCTGGGTGCATTGCTCGATCGATTCTTCCCCGGGTGTCTGGCGAGTTGGTCATCGGCACCTGGCAGAAGAGTCAGTCACCATCGGGCTTGGTTGAAGATTCCTGGACGAGAGTCTCCCCATCCGCCTACAGAATTGAGACCACCGACGGCATTATCGAGACGGCCCAGTGCTCATTCTACAGCCGATTCAGCCAAGTCAGCGGCTTCGGATGCTCCCTCTATGGCCAGCGTTACAACGAACAATAGAGGCAGTGCTCATCCAGGAGCGTTGGTGATCATACCAGAGGATATTGAGGACACTTCGAAACCACTGCCTTCGCGATCTTGGAAGAGAGGCTCGAGGACTTCAAGGGTGTCGAAAGTGTCCAAGAGCTCGAAGTCATCGAGGGGAGGAAACAGTCTCGTGTAACGAAATAATGATCTTGATTGGCAAGCGTGCATAGGATAGATACCCAGGGATACATAGGTCGCATATTGGTTGTTGTACAGATACTTCAAGAGATACTCTTTTGTTGGTGCGCATGTTCGCACAGCAGTGACGACTTCACGTTCCTGCCGCATACGAGTCCAACGGGTGCCAGGAATGCACTCCTCAGCATGGCAAGCGCGAGACTTACCTCGGTGATGAGATCGGTGCTTGAAAGACCTTGGTGTCTTTAGTGCGCGGATCACAGTGATCCGTGGACACAAGTACTGGGTGTTTTGCAACTCATCTAAAGGAGACCAGGCCTGGATGCTGCTCATCGTAGCTTTCTAGGTTTGGGAGGGCGCTGGCAGCTGACATTCTGTCGCTGGTCAAGTCGATGGGCTCAGATGAGCCTCACTTGAGCGTTGAGTAATGAGCGAAATATAGCGAGAACTCTTAGCCAGGGAGGGCACTGTAGAACCATTGACAACTGCAGATTATGCTGCAAATTGCAGGAAACGTCCGGCTCTTGCTCTTGCTCCTACAAATTTCTTGTCGGCGAACCTTCCCGAAAGAAACCACTTTGACCGCTTTCGGACCACGCGACGCGTGCCGAAATTCGACGCGTTTTTGACCCCTCGAGCCGCTCAAACCTGGCTTATGCCCTCCATCACTGCTGTTAGCACACATCCATCAGTGATTGAACTCTGATCTGAGAATATGAGGTGAGTTTGGGCGAATATGTGATGCCCGAAGTCCCTCAGCTAAACGTCCTGTGCAGTTCTCCCCTAAGACCCAGCATGTCCGCTGGCAACCGCGGCACCAGCAATACGTCGCATCGCAAGCGTGTGCGCGCTGACGACGACGACGATATGCTATCTTCATCGCCTGGTCAGTATAGCGAGATCCGTCATTGGGGGCAAATACTGACCATGTACAGCCCTCCCCTCGTCGCCGCCGCTTCTTCCAACCAACGAGAATGATGACGACGATCTCGACGCGGAAGACGACTTGATTGGCGACATCGATGATGCAGATGAGATGGCTGAGGATGAAGACGGCATTGATCTGTTCGGCGACAACTTCATGCGTGATTACAGACCAGATCAAGACAACACGTATCAAGGACGAATGATTGACGATGATGGCGAATATGAAGAGATCAACGAAGCTGATCGTCGCCAACTAGAAGCTCGCATGAATAAGCGCGATCGAGAACTTGCCCAAAGACGACGAATGCCGGCTGCTTTCCTGCAGGATGAAGATGAGGATGCAGGCATTGATCTCACCAAACAACCGCGCCGCCGGAGGCACGCCTATGATGAAGACCAGGACGATATGGATCTGGATGACAATATCATGGAAGAAGAGCTTTCTCTCGAGACACTGCAGGATGTTAAAGCAACAAACATCACCGAGTGGGTGACATTGCCTCCAGTGTCTCGCACGATCAATCGCGAATTCAAGGCCTTTCTCACCGAGTACATCGATGCCCAAGGCATGTCAGTCTACGGCACGCGCATTCGAACTTTGGGTGAGGTGAACTCGGAATCTCTCGAGGTGTCATACGAGCATTTGTCCTCCACAAAAGCAATTCTGGCCTACTTTGTGGCCAACGCGCCTACCGAAGTCCTCAAGATCTTTGATCAGGCTGCGTTCGAGATCGTCAAGCTTCACTATCCAAATTATGACCAGATTCATCCGGAGGTACACGTACGCATTGCGGAGCTGCCTGTACACTACACTCTGCGCCAGCTGCGACAGTCGCATCTCAATTGTTTGGTGCGCGTATCTGGTGTAGTGACGAGGAGAACAGGAGTATTCCCACAACTGCAAATGGTCCGCTTCACCTGTGAGAAGTGCAACATCACCCTCGGACCGTATGCTCAGGATTCTACCTCGACGGAGGTCAAGCTCACATTTTGCTCGAACTGCCAATCTCGTGGCCCGTTCAAGGTCAATACTGAGCAGACTGTGTATCGGAACTATCAGAAATTGACCCTGCAAGAATCCCCGGGAACGGTGCCGGCTGGTCGACTGCCGCGTCATCGCGAAGTTGTGCTTCTAGCAGATCTCATTGATGCAGCAAAACCAGGCGAAGAAGTCGAAATCACTGCTATATACCGCAATAATTACAGCGGACAGCTCAACAACAAGAATGGCTTTCCAGTGTTTGCAACGATGCTTGAGGCAAACAACATTATCAAGACCCACGACCAGCTGGCTGGTTTCAGGTTGACAGAGGAGGATGAGCGGCAAATTCGGGCCCTGTCAAGAGATCCTGGGGTCATTGAGAAAATCGTCGACTCAATAGCGCCATCAATCTACGGTCACAAGGACATCAAGACGGCAGTTGCTCTCTCGCTCTTTGGCGGCGTCAGCAAAGTGGCGCAAGGCAAGATGAACATCCGTGGCGACATCAATGTCCTCCTACTTGGTGATCCTGGAACGGCGAAATCTCAGGTGCTGAAGTATGTGGAGAAGACGGCACATCGCGCAGTCTTCGCTACAGGCCAGGGTGCCAGCGCTGTCGGTCTGACGGCTTCTGTACGAAGAGATCCTCTCACATCAGAATGGACTCTGGAGGGTGGTGCCCTTGTGCTGGCAGATCAAGCACCTGCCTCATTGATGAATTCGATAAGATGAACGACCAGGACCGTACATCTATTCACGAAGCCATGGAGCAGCAGACGATCTCAATCAGCAAAGCCGGCATCGTGACAACTCTTCAGGCTCGATGTGCTGTCGTTGCTGCTGCAAACCCGATCGGCGGTCGTTACAACAGCACAATCCCGTTCAGTCAAAACGTCGAGCTTACCGAACCTATCTTGTCTCGTTTCGACATCCTGTGTGTGGTGCGAGATACAGTAGACCCCAACGAAGACGAGCGTCTGGCAAACTTTGTTGTCAACAGCCACGGCAGAGCGCACCCCAATAAGCTGAGCGTCGATGGAGGCGACACTGCCGCCCTCGAAGGCGAAGAGAACACAGTCAACAATGGTGAGCCCAAGAAGGAAGGCGCCATTCCTCAGGAGCTACTTCGGAAATACATCCTGTTCGCACGCGAGAAGTGTCGTCCGAAGCTGTACCAAGTCGACCAAGACAAAGTGGCCCGCTTGTTCTCCGACATGAGAAGAGAATCTCTTGCCACTGGAGCATACCCCATCACTGTCCGTCATCTCGAGGCCATACTGCGGATTGCAGAGTCGTTCGCGAAGATGCGACTGTCTGATTTCTGCTCAGGCCATGACATTGACCGGGCGATTGCTGTCACTGTAGACTCATTCGTGGGCAGCCAGAAGGTCAGTGCGAAGAAGGCGCTCGCACGAGCTTTCGCTAAGTAAGATACCCCTTGAGTTGCCTCTAACAACGGATTACTGACTATGTTCAGATACACTCTGAAACGACCAGAGAAGTCTCAGCAACGTCGCGCTGCACCTGCAGCAAATACTGTCGGCACAGTGTCTGCTTGATGTTGAAATCTGAATAGATGATGTGCCACGGAGTCCATGCATTTGACGAGGAGGGATACCTTAGCGGACCATTTAGCTACCAGGCGTTTCTGTACATCATGCGCTGTGTGCCAGGAGTCGCACTTCATTATGGCTTCATGTCTTAGACCATATCGCCCGACAATGATTGTCGTCTTATTCATGGCCATTCGGCATCGGGGCGATCGATCGAGGTCCCCTCGCTTATCTTCGTAGCCCCCGGGCGCCCCCTGTCCAGCCGATCGATCTGAACGCGTCGCGCCCCTTCACGCGATTTTCTCGAATACGCGCCAACGAATAGACGTCATCAACCGCCAAATTCAGGTACCGCGAGCACTGGCCTCGAGTCCTCGTGCCGGCTTGCACCTGTTCTCTGGAAATTGTTGCGTACCGTCGCTGAGCTAGTACGTGGGCGCTGTCGGCCACATAATTTCTGTGGTTGCGCATCTGGTGAACGTGTAGTAATTCATTGCTGTGTTCGTAAACGAACATGTCCTCGCCCGAAATGTCGCCGCAAACTGCAACAACCACTACTACCACAGAGCCCGCCTCAGCAGTCTCAACACCACCATCCTCGCCACCAGCAGACGACCAGAACGACGACGGCGACTACAAAGATGAACCTAAAGATGGCGTCGTCAAAGAAGAAAACAAAATGGCTGTGGACATCGAGGACGACGACGAGATGGACCACAAATCCCGCGCCCTGACCAACCTTCTCAAGACCAGCTCCGTCTTCGTAGCCATCATGGCAGACAAAATGAAGGAGCAGCAGAAGAAAAGCGCCGAAGATGCGAAGCGGGCTGCTGCGAAAAGGAAACGAGACGAGGAGCAGGCGGACAAGGAGAAGGGACCTGTCCGCAAGTCTGCGCGTGTTGGTGCCGAGGAGGCAGCAGATGATGAGAAGGAGAACGGCGAGGGGAAGAAGAAGAAGATGCCGACTCGAGGTCGAGGGCGACCGGCAGCCAATAAGGCGCAGGACAAGAAGAAGAACATCATGGACTACATGAAGAACGAGGACATCAACACAGAAGAGGGCCCATCCGTACAGGAAGCGCTAGCAGACGAGGCCGACAAGTACGAAGGCGAAGGCCTGGGCGCACAAACCGACCTCGTCGCCACAGAACAGCCAGCTCTCATCACTGGTGGGAAGATGAAGCACTACCAGCTGGAAGGTCTTGAGTGGCTGAAGTCCCTGTGGATGAATGGTCTCTGTGGCATCCTGGCAGACGAGATGGGCCTGGGCAAAACGCTGCAGGCTCTGTCCATGATCGCGTTCTTCAAAGACAACAACATCTCCGGCCCATTCCTGATCGCAGCGCCACTCAGCACCGTCAGGAATTGGATCGAGGAGTTTAAGTTCTGGGCGCCGGGCATCAAGACAGTGCTATATCACGGCAGCAAGGACGAGCGGGAGAAGATCCGGCGGAAGCAGATGAAGATGAATGAGCAGTCCAAGTTTGAGTTTCCCGTCGTGGTGACGAGCTACGAGATAGTGATGAACGACAAGAAGTTTCTGGCGAACTATCAGTGGCGGTACATCATTGTGGATGAAGGACACAGGTTGAAGAACATGAGTTGTCGGCTGATCAAGGAGTTGATGAGCTATAATTCGGCAAATCGGCTGTTGTTGACTGGCACTCCGCTGCAAAACAACATTGCGGAACTGTGGAGTTTGCTTCACTTCTTGCTGCCGGAGGTGTTCAATGATTTGGATAGTTTCGAGCGGTGGTTTGACTTCACCGAGGTTTTGGAGGATAAGGAAGGAGAAGACGGCGGCAAAGGAAGTAAGCGGAAGACCAGTCTCGTGTCGACTATGCATGCCATTTTGAAACCGTTCTTGCTGAGAAGAGTCAAGACGGACGTTGAGTCCAGCTTGCCAAAGAAGAGAGAGTACATTCTGTACGCGCCATTGACGGCGGAGCAGAAAGATCTGTATAGGGAGATTCTGGCAGGAACGTCAAGAGCGTATCTCGAGGAGAAGGCCGTAGAGAGGATCGAATCACGCCAGGCCTCCAGGCCTGCAAGCCTGAAGAGGAAGGCCAATGGATCTGGAAGGACCACGCCAGCAAAGTCTCTGAAGTCGACGAGACACTCAACGCCTATGTCTGAAGCCTCGGTGGGATCCGTAAGGCGAGGCAGGAAGTCGAATCGAAACAGCACGTATCGCGAAATCACCGATGGCGAATTTAACAAGAAGCTTCGTGCTCTGGAGAAGGCGAATGATGATGAGGAGATCGACATCAATAATGCCAGCGACGACGAAACTCCACAGCTATCTTCGTCCGAAGAATACGAACAGCAGCGTGCCCACACATTGAAACTGGCAAAGAAAGAAATCTCCTCCAAAAAGCTCCAGAACCCGATAATGCAAGCCCGCCTGGCCTGCAACAGCCCGCACAACTTCTACTGGCCCTTCGGCCCCCAACTCGCGGCTGGCGAGGACGACCAGGAAGACATGTATGAGGACAACTACACCGAAGTCGACGAGTCTCTCATCACCGCATCCGGCAAGATGCTCCTCCTCGATACCTTACTCCCACGCCTCTTCAAACTCGGCCACAAGGTCCTCATCTTCTCGCAGTTTAAGACCACCCTCGACATCCTCTCCGCTTATGCCTCAGATCTCCGAGGCTGGAAAACGTGTCGTATCGATGGGTCCATCGCACAGGACGAGCGGTACGAGCAGATCACGGCATTCAACACGGACAAGTCCTACCAGCTCTTCCTCTTGAGCACTCGCGCTGGCGGACAGGGCATCAATCTGACAGCCGCAGACACTGTGGTCCTGTTCGACTCAGACTGGAACCCACAGCAAGACTTACAAGCCATGGACCGCGCTCACCGGATCGGGCAGACTCGGCCTGTGATTGTTTACCGCCTCGCTACACGTGGCACAGTAGAAGAGAGTCTATTGCTAAAAGCAGATGGCAAGCGGCGCCTCGAGAAACTCGTCATCCAGAAAGGCAAGTTCAAAAGCTTGTTCGATGGAGTCGATGGCGCAAGCAAGAAACTTTCAGCCACGGAAGCGGACGCTCTGAAGGGCCTGCTGAATACTGACGGCGGGCAGGAATGGGAGAAGTATGACATCGCAGATGACAAGGCTGGGGGAAAGCTACTGACAGAGAAGGAGCTGGCGATCTTGACGGATAGGAGCGACAAGGCGTACGAGCGCGCTGAGAAGGGTCTGGATGCTGGGTTGAAGGGCAAGGAAGAGGGTGGAGCGAAATTCACAGTTGCGTTGACGAGGAGAGATGGTGCGTTGGAGGAGCTGACTACGAAGAGCGGGACTCGTACCTAGGATATCAAGTGCACCTTGAGGCAACTAGGGACTCCTGCTCGTTCGGTAGACTCGATAGCTGAGAAGGATCATTTGAATTTGTAGTCCTACGAATTTCTTCAGCACAACACCACCATCAAGCTTTTCAACCAACACAAAGTCACCAACACTCGGCTGCTGAAATGCTTCCGACAACAGTCACCGATCAACCCGTCATCAGCGGCCCCGGCGTCTTAACAGGAACCAACCCCTTCGCCTCCTCCAACTCGGGCCCCAACACCAACCCACCCGGCTGCAAATCCCTCACCAACACCGGCACCATCATGAACGTAATCCCCGAATGCCCAATGACTGTCACCACAAACGGCGGCGCGAACAGCTTCCTCGCCTCCGCCTTTCCCCAGCTTCTCCTCGATACCCTTAGTCCTTAGCGCCGCCGCCTTCACGATCGCGGGAATCCAGTGACAAGCCGGTGTAGCGTAGAACACCATGATCTTCTGGCTGGTGTGTGTGAGCAGGTCCCACATGGCGGTGTCTTCTTTGATGATGGTGCCAAGGTTTCTGTTGCGGAGGATCTGGTTGGCGGCTTCGACTTCTTCGGCGGTCCAGGACTCATCTGGGATATTGGAGTTGGGGTTATTGCGGTCGAGGGCCTTTACGGTGAGTTTGTGCGCGGCTATGAGCGCGCGTCTGGCGGCTGGAAGGTCTTTGGTGGAGGCATTCTTGAATTGCAGTTCGGCGATAGCGGCTGGATCTGTTGGTTTGAGCATCATTTGTGTGAGGGATCTGTAGTCGTGTAGACTGAGGACACAAGAGTAGGTGCCGACAGTAGGACACAAATACGGCTACTGAGATGACGTTTCTGCGACTCTGGAAAGGATTGAGACTCTCAGACAGCACATCTCATGCAAGTCCCCGAGACATCGGTCGTGATCGCAACGCATCCGTTGCCGACCAGACCGCCACGTAGACCTCAAAGCTCTTGATTGGCCAGGTCGGCCAGAGACACGGACGCGTGCCAGGTCAGTAGAGCGACATTATGGAGAGATGGTCTGGCGATGCGAAGACCACGCGACAGTTGTCAGCGTACCTGAGCCAGGATAAGGCGGTGCAAAATCTCGAGAAGGTGTGCCATTGTGGAAGGGTATTCATATTCGTGAAATCATAGAAGCGTCCAGTATGCATCATAGAGAATCTCCCGGTCGGGTAGCGTTATGGTACCTGGGCTGGCTCTACACGGCCATCACGCGATAGATTGGGTATTCGTCTCCCTCCTCCACGGGCACAAGGTTGAACGCCACTAAGCTGTCGATATTCTCCGGCTCCAGCGCAATGAACGCCAGCGCAGCATTCTTCTGTCTCGTGCTAACCATAAAGCTGCCTGCCGGAAGCTCAACTTCCTTGTTGACAGTCTCCGTCGTCACAGTCAACAACACCGTACCCTCATAGTATCCGGAATCGAATTCGGCAGAGGTGATGTTCAGAGCCTCGACCTCGCCTCGGAATGTATTGGTCAAAGTCTGTACCTCCAGTCCATACACTCGAAGACGCTCTGCGACATCTGGCCAAGCTTTGGGGATCAAGTACGCCTCCGGCCGTGCCCTGGTCAAGTTTGCGTTGACCGGTGTGGTCACAGTGAAGTTGATAGGAACTTGCACCACACTGCCATTCGATTTGTCCACGAACGAGTACTCCCGCTCGATCTTGTCGCTGTAGTCAGTAATAACGATCTCATCCTGACTGGAAATGAAGTCTTCGATGCCGCTTTCTATAGTGTCGAATACTTGCTCCGCTTGGTCGGCTGCCGTCTGAATGATGGCTTCAGCCATAGTCAGCCCGGCATATGTGCGGCGGGCAAATTCTTGGTCGGCGATGCCGATGCCGCGCATCTCGCACAAGAACGTGATGCATTGCGTCAGGCCCATGGCGTTGCGACCGATCTTGCCATCGCTTCCCGCCTCGTCGAAGAGAATCGGGGAACCAGGTGTGGAGTTGGTGTTTCCAGTCACGTATGGCTCCCACCTCAGATCATTACCTTCCATGGCAGAGGCGATGTTCGTGGCAAAGACCTCTTCTGACATACGACGAATATCTGGGTGGATATTCAGATTCTTCGCAGCGCTGAAAAGCCCATCGCTGGCGTGATTGTAGTTGCCACCGTAAGTTGAACTGGCACCATATTCGTGCATATCTACGGCCACGTGAGGCGCGAAGCTGTTCAAAAGTTGCTTCAGATCCCTCGTCTGCTGCCTCGCCAGCTTGATGTGGTCTCGGTTTGGATCAAAATTCGTTGCCAGCGTTCGCTGGAAGTATGCCACACCATCTGGGTTGTAGCGTGGCAGAATCATGATGTCGACCTTTTCCAGCAGAGAGGCCGTCCAGGTTTGATTTGCGTCCATCTTACCCAGGAGAGCTAACAGAGACTGGTCGCCTGCGGGCTCGTTGCCATGCACGGCTCCTTGCAGATACACTCTGACCTTACTAGAGCCGTTGATGGCTGTTGTTGATTGCGTGTTGGATTCAGAGAGGTACACGTACGGGAACGAGTGGCCTTCTTCTGACTGGAAGTCTGCATAAGCAAAACTCATCCATTCGTTCCTCGAAGCCAGACTTTGCAGATAGTACTCTGGACAAAGTCAGCAATCGTCCTGGAAATTTTCACTGCAACTCACCCAGCTCATACTGATCTGTTGGTCCAGAGCTCCCATTCGCAAATCTCTCCGGTATGGACTCGGGCTTCTGAAAAGCTGGAGCCAGGAGCATCACATTGGGATCTGGAAACGCCGACGCAATCACTGCAGTGTCCCTTCTCACAGGAACATGGTTATTCCCGTATTTGACAGCCTCAACCGACGTCAGGCTCACGAGCAGTAAAGCACGAAGCAGTAGCGCCATAGCTTACGTAGAAGATCCAATGCAGTCTCTGCAGCTGGTGCAGAGTTTGTGCTTCCTCGACAATGCCAGCATAGGAGGCGCCATGTCTGATATACTTGGGCGGCTTGTTCGGCATTCCGCCGTTCGTTGCAACACGGCTAAGTGATCATCGTCATAGTATAGGCCGTGGCTCGGAGGGAACGACGATAGTGAGCCATGGCACGCGGAACGGTTCTTGGGCCACTATCTTTACCTGCCTCTTAAGCACAAGCTTGCCGTGGCATTCTGATAGACAAGCCTTTGAGCCGACGATGAGAGGTCGTGCAGTGGTTCTCTCCGCTCTCCAGGGGCTTGGCGTGGGCTCGGTAAGACTTGCGTCTCAGGCCTTGGGCAAGACGAAGCGAGAGAGCTCTCCATCGTCCTCGATCCTGAACATATCTGGTCCGCATCCTGCTCGAAGAGCGACATGTACGCAAGCTTGGTCAGTCGCGATATAAGATTCTCCTGATGCGTCGATGATGAGTTACCAGTGGTGGTTCTGGAAGGGAGGAACGCACTAGCAAGGCGACGTGACGCAAGACTTGATGGCAGGCTGCTAGAGGTATTCGCCAGTCCTGGGAAGATTTTTCTTGTCGAGATTGTTCTTGTCGTCGGGGCTGTCATTTTCACTGATCCTAGCAGACATGGTGGGCTACAACGATAAGAAGTTGTTGCTGACGCCACGGAGCTACTGAGCTTAAGGCATGAACGTTTGTTGCTGAAGAGAATAGAAGAGCTCCGGTCACGACAGCCCACAACAAGGTGATGTCGAATGAGTGGCTACTGCGCAGGGCGTTCTTGCCATGGCCTGGGCTTCGCTGCTCCTGACTTCGGGTTCATCCTTCCTCGTCCTGGGCCAAGGAGGAGCCGCTCAGCTTTCCAAAGTTCGCTGGACAAATCTTTGCTTCTGCTTCCTGGCAACCGTACTACAGCAGCGAATCCACCGTGAGTGACGGCGGCTGAACGCTATTCCCACCGAGGCTTCCGCTCCGTCCACGAAGGATTCAAATTGCTGGCGTACTACGCTCCTCGCGGTGTGGAGCATGCCTTCCTGATCGGGAGCACATAATCCTTGGCAAAGAGCTGTATTACAAATCTGGTAGGCTATGGCCTGGGGTCCACGAACTACCTAACATGCACTACTGGATCATGGGATGATTCTGTCTATCCGGATGCAGCAGCACATCCAAAGACCTGTCGGCAGACACCATGGCACGTCGACTCAAGTTCATCGCGGTCTCAAAGCCTGCGGAACACGGGTCGAGTGGATCGCGCGGGTCGATTCAGTCACACATCATGCGTCAGGTACACGCGGATAGGCGACGCCTGCAGATGCAGGAACACCAGAGAAAAACGAAGCGGGAGATGGCAGTGCAGGACTTAGAGCTGCTAAGGTCATATCTTTCGGGTCCAAGCAGTGTCATCGCTGGGTCCAGAGACCCTTTCTCGGCCTTCGCCAGGCCGTTGTCGTCCGGAGAATACTTTCTGCTTCATCACTGTATGTGTCTCGATGAGTGATACCACCTCCTTCGTCCCGAACCAGGGTCTGTCTCATGCAGGGAACAAGCTCGAGCGCCAGGCCTGTAGATCTAACATGCTCACAGACATCCAATTTGTCGTGCCGGCTCAGATCGGCCACTGTGCTCTTTTCGAGCATCCAGGAGATCATAAGGCGACAATCATGCGAGAATGGGTCAGCCTTGCGATCACGGATGATGCTTTAATGGCTGCTGCCGTCTTCTTGAGCACCTGTCGCTGGATTCTGCTACAGCGGCCAGGACATTTGGTGGTGACCCGCCTGGCTTTGCAATACAAAAGTACTTGCCTCCGATCTCTCCGCCTCGAGGTCGGCGGGCGGGCTTCAGTGGTCAAACAAAGTACTGTTGCAAAAGCCATAGCACTGGCAATCGATGAGGTGAGACTTCCGTGCGTTATAGACGAATAGCTAATGGTGTCTGGCCTAGGCCGACAACTGCACAAACGGTCCAGCCCGACAGCACCTGCACGGCGTGATCGCCATGGTCCGGGCCAGTGGTGGCGCCCACAATATCGGTCTGACTGGCTTCTGCGCCGTATGTATGACAGATTTGCAACCTCATTGGGTCTCTCAACGGAGGCAGACGTGGATGTATGCACCGCACAAGGCGTCTTCCGACTCCACGCCAAGCCATATACCTTCCCAATCGGGCAAGACAAGCAAGCGATGGATCTTTCTATCACCGAGGCTTCGCATTCCACCTGGCCGGGCCGTTGGTTACAGGACGCTGTACACTGATCCATCGGACTGATTTCAAAGCAAAGCATGCGTCAAGCTCAGGGCTCAATACAAAAGGAAGGCTGCCACCAGGACCGGGCTCAGATCCCCACCCTCATCAGTGCTTCGTTCACGTTCAGACGTCTACAAACCGTGGGTTGCTCTAACAGACCACAACAAACATGGCTAACACAATCAAACCTGGCTCTTGGATACTAGTGACAGGTGCCAGTGGTTTCCTGGCCTCTCACATCGTCCTGCAGTTCCTTGAGCGCGGGTATCGAGTCCGAGGCACAGTTCGGAACATCGACCAAGCTTCCTGGCTCCTCGAAGGTCGTTTCAAGACCTATGCAACTGATGGCAATCTCGAACTAGTATCTGTGCCCGACATGGGCGCTGACGATGCATTCGATGCAGCCGTAAGAGGCGTTGCAGCTGTCTTACACACCGCCTATATCACCAATATCGTACCAGACCCCAATAAGGTCATCACTCCATTGGTGGCGAGCGTACGATCAATCATGGGAGCCGCAAGAAAGGAGCCATTGGTCCAAAAAGTGGTCTTCACTAGTAGCGCGATCGTCACTTCTCCTTTGAAGCCAGACGTCGACAATGGAGTCATAGGCAGGGACTCCTGGAACGATGCTGCTCTCGACGCAGCTTGGGCACCGCCTCCCTACGGTATCTCGCATGCCATGGCCAACTATCCCGCCAGCAAGGTTGCTGAGGAAAAGGAAGCTTGGAAGCTTGCTAAAGAGAACACTCTACCGTTCAGCATCAATGTTGTGTCTCCTGCGGGGATGATTGGAGAGCCGCTTGACAAGAAGCACATAGAGGGCCAGGCCAACTGGATCGTCCACGCTTACAGAGGTAATAAGATGAGGATGGATCCTCTGCCTGCATGTAAGGATACCCGTTCCTAACTTCCTGCCTGCGCTGAGACCGGGACACTGGCTGACTCTCGATAGCATACTACGCTGATGTCAAAGACATTGCCTTGATTCACGTCGCGGCCGTCCTCGATCCCGAGATCAAAAACGCAAGACTGCAGAGCTGGGGCCTCAGTACACATTGGAACGATATCTTGGCTCTACTGCGCGAATTTCGCCCCGAGAGGAAATTCGTGGACGATTATCCCGAGCGAACTGAGATTCGAGTTTCGGTCGACCAGTCAGATGCACTTGCTATCCTGAAGAAGTGGGGTGGACAAAGTGAGTGGACGCCATTGAGGGACTCTGTTCAAGTGAGCATCGATACTCCTTGGTTAGAGAACTGAACGACCCTCGAGAAAGACCGTGTTTACACAAGGCTCTAGGATTATTATTATACTACACCACATATCATCCAGTATTCTCTCTCAGATGAATCTGCGTTCACGGCTCATAATGCTCGGAGGCCAGCGGCTGCGGTGCTGGTCAGTAGTTGTGTCAGTTTTCGGCGACCCTGTAAGCTCCTCCTCGTGCCCTGCTTCAACATCGGGACTGTTCCCTGACGGTTGCTCCACCCCGCGATGCAGAGTGTCCGCTTGCTTCTGCGCCTCCTCCTCCATCTGCTTCAGCCTCTTTCGATAAAGTGTCTCTTGGTCTCGCCATCGCTGCTCCCAGGTGTCTTCCGTCTTGAAGATCGCCCTTTCGATTCTGGCTTCTACTGTTCTCTCGTTTTCCTCAAGCTGGTCCTTCATATGCTCAAGCTGTTGCTGCAGATCTTCTATTGTGAAGCGCATCTCTCTGAATTGCTGTCTGTATACATGGTCTTTCTCGTCGAGTTGCTGTTTCAGTACGGAGATCTCACGGTCTTTGGTCTGAGAGTCTTTTCGGTGCTCTCTATCGAGTCTTCGCATCATCCCAGAGTAATGAAGCGAGATGTCGTTTTCGGTATCCATTTGCGGTGGCCTTGAGTCCTCTTCACTGTCATCATCGTCGTGGGAATCAAGCTGGACGGCAGATCGACTCAGCATTAATGGTGGGAAGGCAGTGAACGCTCGGCGGCCTACCGGTCGCGAGTCGCGTGGCTCATCGGATTTATCTGCAAGAAGGCTGGGCTCTAGTATAGGCCCAGCAGACTGCGATCGGTGCCGCCCTGGAGGCGCTCCCAGTGAATGACGCCCGGACGTGTCAAGCGACGGCAACCGAACCCCGTTGCGCCGTCGTAAGGGAGGCGAGCGAGCAAAGTCGTCTGCACGCGAGACTCTCGTGCTCCTGGGAACCACGTTCAGGACTTCGATGCCCGACTTGTATGAAGGATGTCTATCTGGGACTTCATCATCGACTGCAAGTGCGGTCTGAGGACGCGATTGATCGAATTCGAGCGTTGGGGTGGCGAGCTCAAAGAAAGCTCTGGTGGTGCGTATAGCTGTGTCAGGACTTCTAGACGGCGACTGTTGTCGCGGCGTGGTGAAGCCTCCAACACCGGATCCAGAATCATCGTCCTCATCTCCGGATAATACAAATGCCGCATCTAGGGATTCACCTGACCCAGTCTGGACCGAGAACACGCTGGCAGACGGGGACACAGCCGGCAGTAATGGCGAAGTCGTTGATTGTGACTCAATGGCATAGATCGTCGAGTATGGTGGAGGGGCCGAGTCCGTGACCCTGGAGCCGTCACGAGCAATCCGAAAGAATTGACCTCCGATAACAAGATCGATACTTCTGCTATCTTCGTTGAAGGTGCTGTTTGTGAACTTGGTTGACACAGATACAAGCGACGAGGCTCTGCTATGCCGGTTGACTCTGTTCAGTCGCGAGTTGGCGAGGTCCCGGATGAATTGTGGTACTTCATGGGATAGCGGACCGGTGTTTCCAGCATTCCTGGCGGTGTCCGCAACTCTTGTCGTCTCGCTTGTTACGCTCGGCTGCTGAGACGCCGCTGTGTCTGTCACCGTAGTGCGCATCGCGTTAAGCCTACTCTGCCAAGACTAGAATGGTATACGTGTCACTCCATGGCTCCAGGCAACGTGAGGTAGCAAAGCATGCATTTTCTTCGCAATCAATCGAGGACACTGAGACGCGTTCGGGCACAAGTCCTATATGATGAATTTCGTGGTAGTGTGAAACAGGCCGGCATGATATCGATGCCAGGGATCCCAGGCAACCGCGAATAATGGCGCATATGCAGTGCTTTGGGGGGCGCAGCAGCCCTATTGGTGGGCGCGTTAAGGACAGCTGTTACACCTTACCATCCGTGGACGTTAAACCTTTCGCAACATTAGGTCATGCTTGTTCACAGACCTGTTGAATCACAAAATCATCCTTAGGCTCCTGAGACATCGAGAAACTGTTAAGAGAGAAAACGAGGTTGCCTTCTGATCGACGCCCGCTCTTGGCAATATCGACAAACGTTCCGGGCGCCTTCCCAGACCATCTAATCATCGGTCATCCGAACGGTGCATACCCATCGCAAGATTGATTCCTACGAAGGCAGCCATCACTATTGCACAGATAGAAAAGGTGTTGATTGTCGGTCCGCCCGCATCGTCAATCGCACACGATCCTGAGTCCGCCAGGCGGCGCAGTTGATCACGATGTCGATAAATTGGGTCATGTTAAATCCAACAGGGGACTTCGTTAAGCTTCCGAATGAGAGACCAGTATCAACTGCTCAACGTATCGGATTCTCACTCACTACACCAAGGGCGTATCCCGCACAGAACCCTCTAAACATTCAATCTAGCACAGGATCGATTCATCTCACAAATCAGCGAATAGTCTACATCCCTGAAAAGCCTAGTCCTGAGTTCAGATCATTCTCGGCATCACTGCTCAACCTTCATGACACCCACATCTCGTTCCCTTGGTTCGGTCCAAACATGTGGATGGCACTCGTCGAACCAGTACCCGGCGGCAACATTCCCCAGTCGCATCATATCGAGCTCAAACTTACGTTCAAGGAGGGTGGCGCGCCGGACTATCACAGCAGCTTCGAGCGCATCAAGGAACGTCTGCAGCAAGCGGTGGAGAGTGCAAGGGAGTCGAATTTGACGTCAGGACGACAAGATGGACTTAGCGGTGTGAATATGGACGCTGTACATCTCGATGAGCTACCATCCTACGAGAACTCAGGCAACGACCAGATGGCACCTGTTAACGCTGTGAGTGCTGAAGAGGCGGCCGCCGAGACTGCTGCCGCCGAGGCTCGTTGGGCTGAGCAAGCACGACCGTCCGAAACAATTTCGTCACAACCAGAACCACGTCCTGTGGCGGCGACCACGAGTGATGGTCCACCAGGGTACGAGGAAGCGCAGCAGCAGAGTCTAGTGGATGAGGTCAACCGGAGACTTGCGGATCATCCGAGTTCGTGACCGCGGAATGGAGTAAGGAGATCGTTATAAGTACAGCGCACTCTACAGATATGCCGCATGATTTAATGGATACAATATTCTGATTCCGTCAAGATCCCAATAGAATACAATTCAGGAACGGCCAGAACGAGCACGTCGGATCACACAAAGATGTATTGGGTATGTTTTGCACCATCACAGTCGAGCTACTCCACCAAACGTTTCGACCAATCGTAGCCGTCTCAAATGAAGCTCGATTTTATGATCCGCAAAGTGCAGCATTTCATCCCCCAGGCTCTTGATCATTCTTGCATTCACACCTCGTGACAACCTCCTCTCGCTTCTGCGTTGTTCCTGCGCCCTACGTCACATCTCGCAGGAGCTTCCCGGACCACCTCTCACCCTTCCCTTTCCCCATCACATCCGACACGATGGGCATCACAGACTACTTCTCCGAGCTCTACGACTCGGTAGTAGACGCTTTCACGACGGAAGCGCACGCCGAGGCGCCGCAAGAGGACGGTGACAGCGAGGAGGGCGATAAGGGAGAGGACGACAGCGAGGACAAGGAAGAGGGCGACAAGGAGGAGTCTGAGGATTCGGGTGACAAAGAAGAGGGCGAGGGCGACGACGCTGGTGGTGAGGAAGAGGAAGAGGAGGAAGAAGAGGAAGAGGAAGAGTAAGTCACACTGCCTTTCCTCGTGATGTGTGGGAGCTTGCAGAGGCTGCAAAGTCTGTGGAGCATGCCGTGGCCCCATGAGCAGACCATGAAACTGGCCCTCGAGGTCTGCGGCTGCAGGGCCAGCCGGCTTCTAATTACAAGCCGCCTCAAGAGACCGAGCTCGAGCTCCAAGCGCACACCCGCTGACAAACATGTCTACAGAGAAGTCGAGGACATCAAACCTAAGCTAGAAGAAGAATGCGCGAAGTCAGCGCAGTGCATCGGCTATAAGCACCACTACGACGAGTGTGTCGAGCGCGTCACCGGCAAGATAGACAGTGGCGAGAAGGCAGATGAGGACTGTGTCGAAGAATGTATGTCAAGACCATCAGTAGATTGCGAGTCTAGCGCTAACCAGTGTCATCAGTTTTCCATCTCACGCACTGCGCAAGCCAATGTGCGGCACCGAAGCTCTTCAAGCTCCTCAAGTAGAGACTACACAACCATCGAAGCCATGCAAGGCGAACGACATAAGCGTCGAGAGACTCGCATAGACGAGAAGCGGTATACCGAAAACCTCGCCCTCCGTCGAAGGAATGAGCAACCAGAGAACCAGTTCTCGTCGAGGAGAATCAGCCTGCTCTGCACATCGGTGCTTTGAAGATGGGCGCAGCTAGACAGCTTCCAGGTCCGGCTGAGCGCTCGCATGCACTATCTGTACAGCAATGAAAGAAAGCGACGTCATCAAGTTTCCAATTCGCGTAGATTCAGCTTCTTCGCGAGCTCGTATTGAGATCGCAACCAATGACGGGTGGCAATCGCCGGCGCAATGCTACACGGGAGGCGCGGTCAGCTAGCCACACCTATGACCACCCACGACACCTCTGATCAGATCCTCAAACTCCCACTCCCTCTCAACCTCTCCTGATCCTCCTCTCCATCCTCGACCCGCACCTCACCACTACCCGCCCCTTCGCGATCAACTTCCCACCTCCTTCTCCTGACCTTGTCCCCGCGCCCAAACAAGCCCAGACATACCGGCAACGGCGCCACTGCCACAGCAATCACAGCCTGAAAGATCAATGCCCGCTGCATGTTGTCCTCTGGCCCCCCTATGCCACCCTTTAATTTATCCATAATGACAATGAAAATGCCACCCAACAATTGCCCGCCACACCAACACAGACTACTCCCCAACTCCGGTCCCAACGGGTAGTGCATCTCCACCAAGAACTCCAGCGCCACAGGCACCAGCCCAAAGCTCGCTGCTCCAAGCGCAGCGCACACCACGAACACAAACGCTAGACTCTTCGTCGGCGGCGCGAAGATGAGCACCACGTACGCAATCGCAATCAACGGCACGCAAATGCGGATCATTGTGAGGTAAGCGTGTGTACGGTCGATGATGGGCGAAGAGACGGCAGCAGTGAGCAGGCCGACAACGATGAGGATCGCGCCCGCGATGCCGGCGTTGTCTTCGGAGAAGGAGTAGGGTTCGAGGATCTGGTTGATGAGCGAGGAGAAGGCATTGAAAAAGCCGACGTAGACCGTGAAGGGGAGGAAGATGAGGTAGAATTCGAGGGAGTGGGTTAGGGTGTGGAGGTCTTTGAGTAACGAAGACTTTGAGTTAAGTGGATTGCCGTTGCTGTCCTCGTTCGGGTAGGGGCCTGTGATGTGCGAGGTGGAGGCGGAGGCGGCGGAGGGTGGTGTTGGTGGTTGGCCGGGCACGAAGAGTGAGAACGCGGAAACGGAGGCGGAGATGATGGCGACGAAGCCGACTAGGCGGGAGATGTGGTGGGGTTGTTCTACCAGAAGGGTGAGATGAGTTGGCCGATGGCTGCGCCGAAGGGGTTGGCGAGCGAGACGAGGGCCGTAGCTGCGGTACGTCCGGATGGAGTGAACCAGAGGTTGGAGTACGATGTGGCTGAGGAAAGGGCGAAGGGCTGCGCAACACCGATCACCATTTGCCCCAGCATCATAACGCCGAGTTGGTGGGAGGCTGTGCCACCATATTTGATGCCGTTGCCGACAAGGGTGAGGACTGCCGCGGCCATAATAGACAATTTCGGGCCATGTCGATGAAGCGTCCAGGATGTGAACGGTGTCGCGACCACGAAAGCGAACAAGAATGCAGTAGAAGCCCAATTGATGTTGGTTTCGCTGGTGCTAAAGTACGTCGCTGCGGAGGACGACACTGCCGCAAAGGTAATCCAGTCCCATGAAATGACGATGTTGAGCAGAGCGAGTTGAACCAGTCCAAGCCAGCGACGTTTGTAGACGCGGTACTCAACGGTCGAAGCAGTGGTTAATCGCGATAGTGTGCGATCAAGTGGTGGTAGTCGGTCGTGTGACTCCCTTTGCGCTGGCGGGGAAGCTCCATTGCGGTCAACTGCAGCATGAGAACTGCTGCTCGTCGCACTCTCGCGCTCGTTGACTTTGGGAGTCTTTGAGAACATGGCGAAATCGTCCGTCGCGTCACATACTGCGTCGATATCAGGAGTATCCTGTGGAAGTTGTTGATAGCGAACGGCGAGCCGAGGTTCTCTGCTTGACTTGTTATACATGTGTTCTTATCAAGGCCATGATGGCGCGCGGTCTATCTCCTGGTTACCGAAGCTCGCTAAGCTTGAGACGTGCATGAGGGTAAGTTGCGACAGGAGATCGAGTAATGTAACGGTGCTTCCAAGGATGGCGGCGCGGGATTCTCGTCTACTAGTACCGGGAGCAACCGGCACTTCCTTACCTCAGCAGTGGTGGCCTCGAGACTCGAGCAGCAGATCTCGATGACCTGTGCTGGAGGAGCAGCTAAGTGCTAGTTCTTATGACCGGCAAAATACGCGTATACAGGCGTGTCAACTTCGCTGAGGTCTCGAGGTGGTCAAGCGGCATTCATATGGTTCACTATCCTGCACAATGTCCGCTGTAGGAGAAGCACTCGAAGGCCAAGCACTTGTCGAATCGCTGTCAAGCTTGCTCGGCTTGATCCGTGACACGCCCAAATGCACCTAATGGCAGCCCTGGCAATGCCCATTTCCGGCGCACATTCCAGACCTGGCTCAGGAGCGGCAGCGGCAGCAGCAGGCCTGGCACGCGCGAATTACGTGTTGAGATTGGCCCCAAGCACAACCCCAGTCTTTGGCGGCTGCGTTCAGGGACAACCACCACTCATCAAGAGCGCGCTATTGCCATTGATTCCACCTACCGATGAGATCGACCTGTAGTAATTGACTGCTTTACCGCGCTGCTCTCCTGTACTGTGACCATCCTTGTACCCGTTCGAATTATTTTGCTGCGCTTTCGCTTGGAGGAAACAGAGCACAGAGCAACTCAGGGCGTTGAATTACAGCATCAGATCGCAGGCACGACAGTGCATTTACTGTGACACGCTCCTTCCGCATCAGCAAGAACTACCCGGGGCGCTCTCTTCCGTACCGCACGCTGGCCCGAAGCCGCGACCCATGATGGACATGCACTGAAGAGACCTCGATTCTGTTTGGTGTTCATTGGTCAAGCATACTTAACACATCTTGGATGGAGTTGCTCTTGGTCTAGTCTGGGACGATGCAGTCCTTCAACTTTGCGTCTCGACAGTCTGCGGCGGATGGCATGGACGACGCAGCGAGCCGCTATGTGCCCAGCTCTATCTACAGCGGTGGAGGGCAGTCTAGAGCACCCAGCACCGCTGTCCAATTCACTCCTATGCCGGTGGGCGGCCCGTTCCAAGACACCCCTCGACCGGACACGCACAATGGAGATCGAAACGGAGACCGACCCCGAGCTTCGGCGTACTTGAACGTTCACGATCCGGTAGCGATGCATCTCCTGGCCGAAACGGCAATGGTAGATAGCAAGGACTACGAGGTCCTCTCGTATGAAGAGTTGGAGCAGTTGAAGAAAGAGAAGAAGTTTTTGGACAACAGAGTCGAGTCAACACGGCGGAAATTGGCCCTCGAAATAAAAGTTCGAGATGCTGCGCAGTCCCTGAACAGACTATACACCCCTAAGGGCCGCACACCTAGTATCGATTTCAGCGGAGATGCGAACGGCCACTCGCCCCCAAAACAGCGCAAGCGGAATTTCCTTGGTAGCAAAGGCAGTATCAATGAAGCGTCCTCTAGGGCAGACGATGAATATATTGCAAGTGCGAAGCGGGTGGAGGTTGTTAGCCAGGAATTGTCAGACTTGGAAAAACGATTGGAAACCTGCGACAGGCGACTATTGCAGCACACGGCAGGTATCCTACAGATGACACACCGTGGTCTGAAGAAGAATGTCCGAAAAACCCAGCTACCGCACAGCCCCGAGAGCATGTCGAGTCAGAACCGCAACACGTACTATATGGACACAATGAACGACTTCGACGAGCGGAGCCTATACCAAGTACCTGATTACGTTCGGGAGGCTCACATATCTGGCTTGCCGCCTCTAAATGCTGCGGGCCCTGATGTTCGTGCACTGGATGAGATGGCTGGGCGACTCGATCAGCTTGCAGCTCGGATGCATGCCATGATTAAGCAAACCGGATCGCAAGAGCATTTTGAGCCACCTCCAGAGCAACAGCCAGATCGAGCGAATTCCTTGCAGAATCAACTTGGCTATCTGGAACAAGGCCTTGATGTTATGGAAGGCGCGCATGAACGACTCCTCAGCAGTGTTCAGTCGGATCAAGACACCGGCGAGCAGCTCCACGAAGTAAACGCTCGACTTGGCAGTATGCTAGCTCGGACTAACTCAGTGAGTCGAAGTCCAGTGGAGGAGACTCACGCGCCACAGGATAGGGACCTCCAGGCACAGCTCGCTTTCTCGAGTGATGCATTGGACCGCTTAAACAAGCGGATAGACTCATTAGTTGAGCAGAAGGACATCTTGACGAGACAGATACAGCAGCAACGAGATCTCAACAGCAAATCGGACGCACAGCGTGATGCTCGAATTCATGAGCTCGATGGCCAGCTCGAGACCACGAAACGACAGCTTTCAAATAGCGATCAAGAAAGCCAGCAGCTGCGGGAGCAGCTCAACGCAATGATGGAGCAGCTTGACCAGGCAAAACAGGAAAGCGTGCTTCTGAGCCAGCGGCAGGACGATAGGTCCGCATTAGAAGAGCAACAGCGGCAGCAACAACAAGAGCTCGAGAAGTCCCAGTCAGACTTGCAGTCAAGAACACAAGAACTCGACAAATCACATGGGGAGATGCAGAGACTTGAGTCCGAGATTGTCAGAATGACTACAGAGCTGACTATGGCACGAGCAGAGCTTGACAGTGCGTACGGATCTCGAGCACAACGAGCCGCCGATGTGTCCTCCAACCCCGCTGTGCAGAAGGAAATAGAGGACCTGAAACGGGAGCTTCGAGAAACTATCGAAGACTATGAAGTCATGACTAAACAAAGCATAGAGGCTGAGAAGGAACGAGACAAATATGAGGAAAGGATCGATAATCTCGAGCATAAGTGTGAGACCCTCGAGACTCAACTGAACGAGGAGAAAGTCAAATGGATGGGCGTGAAGACAGGAGCGCCGAATGACTCGACGTCGGCTATGGTGTTGAAGAATGAATTTAAGAAGATGATGCGCGACACCAGAGCCGAGCAGACGAGGGCGTACAAGGTAGGCTTGCAACCCCTCCGGCGTCAGATATGTACTAACTATGTCCAGGCCGAACAAGAAGAAAGACGTCGTTTGGAAGGCATTTTACGGCAGCTACGCAAAGAAAACGGACAGGCCACGCCAAAGAAGATGCTGTCGCCAGCGGTTCTGCAGACAGGCGAATAGCAGGACCTTGGATGGACATTGATGATAATGACCGGAGGCTTGACCCTCTCGTAACAGAAAGATGATCTTGCGTTGGGTGTACAACATTGGCCTAGCATGTTCTGGCGTAATGGATGGATCTGAGCACGACTGCAGACAAGTCGATTGGCAGCATTGCATACCTTGGATGGTCAGATGGGTCTGGAGCTCCCACAGGATTCAGGAAAATATATTGTTTACTTTTTATCAAGAACTTGAAGCATGTACATCACAACAAGAGGAAGCGGGTCAAGAGATCAGGGCAGTGGGTCAGGTCTACGGTGTCAACGCAGCTAAAAGTGAAGCAAGAGCAGGGACGATCGAAGATCTGATGTTGGGTAAGAACGATATTCGAAAACGCGGAACGCACGTACTGAATGCTCTTCTCACTCCATCGAGCTGCAGCTTTTACGTGTTGTAACGCAAAGACTATCACATTCGTTTAGGCCTGCATTACCAAGCACCACACTTCCAGCTCGCAAAATGAGTCTGTCGTCCGCTCGCTCCCATCTCTACGATGCCAGGTGGGCCTCAGCCGAGAACCTCGCGCCAACGCAGCCCTCACGACCGCGCTAGCGACTGAAGTCCTTCTCAGAGGGCGCACAAAGCGACCAGAATCGTGGCTTTGATATCTCAGCAAAGGAAGGCACACCGGCTGCGAGGTATCGCTCGCCATCCTCTTCCACCGAGTCGCAGATCCTCAAGAACATCCCGCTCAACCCTGCCGAGCCATTGCAGCCGCGCCAGCCACCTCCTGAGCGGAGTCCCACGCCAGATGGCCTGCCTTCGTTCGGGTCCAAGGAGGCCCAGGAGCTCAGATTGCAGCCAGGAGGGGCCTTTAGACGTCGGCTGCGCGCTGTGCTGAGCAGAGACCATACCACCCATGGCACCGAATTTCACAGCATGAGGAGCGGGTCCGATGAAGCCCGCCCGGCGTCACCCGATCAGCCAAACGGTATGATTCCTATGGATTTGACAGGGCGGCTCCTCGGCCGGGAAGACTCTAACTCGATCCCCCAGCGGAAATCGAAGTACAATAGTCCTGCCGGCCTCCCGAGGGGCGTAGTTGTTGCAGATGGTCCTGGCCCTTTAGCTACGGCTGACGACGGGACATACGTGTACGGCAGATTCCGTGGCAGGATGAGCCAGCATGGAGTCGGAAATCGAACGCTTGCTAATCACCCACTGGCACGTCGTCTCGAATCTAAGCAGACTGCCTCAGCTTCACGGGAATCAGAAGCTCAATCAGCGGCGTTCCAGAGCTGGGATCGACTGTTCGAAGAGCTCCCACGATCGGTCCACGCTTGGCTACGATTGCAGATCCGTCTGTTGACCAGCCTGTTTCCGAGACGAGACAAGACAGCAGTGAGGAATCGAAGCAGGGAGGCATATGTTCGTGGTGCTACGGCTGGCTCTGCTGCAAGCCGGCTGGGAGTGTGGACGAGGACACATTCGTTCCATAAAGCTTTAACTCTACGGGGAGGCCACTGTGGCAAGTGTGGCGGTATCATTACAGTCGACTTGCAAATGAAGATGTCATCATTATGCTATTCTTGTTTCATGAGGATGCTTCCCGTGGACCCACGCCATGGAGGCCTCTCAGCCTTCGACGAGCTCGTCGCGACCCAACATGGCAGCCATAGGATCTTGAGCCGATAGCTTGCTTCTCTTGTACGCTTCCATCTCCTCCTCCGATATCCCTGACTGAAGCTCGAAGATGGTGCGTTTCTTCGTCCTGCCACTGTCGCGCTCATCTTGCTCTTTTTGCTGCTTCTCTGATCTATTCACGACCGCGGCACTCGGCGCATCCGCTGCCGTGTTTGATTCTGCGTCTGCAACCTCCGCATTTGCCTTCTCCGAGCCATTCTCGACCTGCAAAAGATCGATCCCCTTCCGCCGCCCTTCGGCCTCGGCAAACGCCACTTTTCCTTCCTCGCCGGTGCAGTAGCTGTTTCGTACAGTCGAGTGGCAGCACGCATAGCCCCATGTGAAGTTCGTCCACCAGCTGCCGAAGATCGAGGTGTGGTTGTTGGGATGTACGTCTTCGGGGTATTTGCTTCTGGCGACGGGCGCGGTCTTGGTTGAGGAATTTATTGGTAGGCCGGTTGACGTATATTCTGTGTAGGCTGATGTTGCGGTGATGGCTTTCCGTTTTGCGGTTGTTGCGGGTTGTGTTATGCTTTTGGTTGCTCCAGCATCGGATGCTGTGATCTGAGGGATGCCGTCGCCGGCACCGTACTTGCTAAGAAGGTACTGTCGCTGTGCGTCCTTTTTTGCAGTGGCCTCTGCTTCCAGTTTCTTGATCAGTAAGGCGCCTTCCGTGGGATTGGCTTGGAGATGCAGCTTCGATGCGTTCGGCAAATTCGACTCCTGTGACTCCCAAGCATATTTCTGAGCACGCTCAAATGCCTCGGACTCCGAAGGCCGCATGAATCCTTGGTCTGCTAGATCGCCGCCAGTGTCTTGCTTTGTTTCTGTGTCCATACTGCGTGTCTTGGGGTCGTACCTGGCGGAGTCGAGGTCGAGGTTTTTCAGATACCCTGCCGTGTCCTCTCTCAGTCGTAATTGTCGGGTAGATGTGGGTTGTGACCGGCCCATGTCTGTCTCTTCGCCATAGCGGACGTCTGAGTCGGCGATATCGCCATCTTCGGGCGCTTTCTGACTGCTCGTGGCCTTCTTGATCGCCTCAAGATCCTCGTACTCCTTCACCACCGCATCGTACTCTTTGGGGTCGTACCCATTCCACCGATCTCGCTTCGCATCCCATCCCAACTTCACGCTGTCCACTGCCTCGTCCGCTTGTATGTCCTTCCCAGTATACTTCGCGCCCGTCTTCCTTGGCCGACTCAGACACTCTTTCGTCTTATGTGTCATGGCACCACAGTTCTCGCAGGCGCCTTTGCGGAATTTGGTGGCGGCGGGGCCCAGCTTCTTGCCGCGATCGTACCATTTTGCCTTGTCGAGGGTGTCCTTGGGCGCGGCGTGGAGACGCTGATGTTCGAGGTAGTCGGCATCGCCTTGGATGTCGTCTGTGACGTAGAAGGGTTTCTGGGAGATGAAGGATGGGATGTATTCGTTGCGGGAGGTGTCTTGCGCCGGAGGCGGATTGGTTGGCGGCATTGGAGTGCTGGCCGGCTCGAGGGCCTCGAAGGGAATCTCTTTATGTCTAACAGTCTCTGAGAATGATCCGAGGACAGTGGGATGAGAGCAATGCACCGTGTTGCAGAGGCAAGGCAGGCAAGTGCTACTGTTGGCTTGAGTTGGAGACGCTGGACGATTATTTGCGAGTTTGGCGTGTCAACCGGCCTGAATTAGGTCCTCAAAGTGTCGTCACTTGCCGCTTGAGAAGAACCTCATTCCAAGCAGTAAATGACATATCCTCTTGAACATCACACCGACGCGTGCAGACCCTGACATATCGATCCTGTCACGAGTCTTACAGACCAGACCCTCCCGTAGACGCGTCCAGAAATCGACGAAGCTGGCCTCGTCGTCGCAAAGATGCTGATATGGACCGGCTCCTTCTCGCCTCTTCATACCCCTCCATAACAACAACATGGATGGCTTCCGCGTTCGACTGAACTGCATTGATCACTACCAGGCTGTCCCTCACGATGAATTCGATCCGCCAGTTCCGTTGGCAGCAGCTGCTCTCAGCAAGAAGGAGCGGCCCAGGGTGTCAGTTTTACGAGTGTTTGGGGCCACCGAGACCGGCCAGCGCGTGCTCATGCATATACATGGCGCTTTCCAGTACACCTACCTCGAGTATGCTGGTAGCCTTCTTCCACACGATGTCGACGTCGCCATCCAAAACCTGCACCTGTCCATCGACCATGCCCTCGCAGTCAGCTACAGAAAGAACATATACGAGGGCACCCATCGCTATGTTGCCCACATCTCGCTGGTCAAGGGTGTCCCATTCTACGGCTACCACGTGGGCTACAAGTTCTACTTGAAGATCTATCTGCTCAATCCCCTCCACATGAACAGAATGGCGGACTTGATGCGGGAAGGTGCCATCATGAAGCGCGTGCTTCAGCCATACGAGAGCCATATGCAATACATAGCCCAGTGGATGTGCGACTACAATCTATACGGCTGTGGCTATATCGATTGTGGGAAGGTCAAATTTCGTTCTCCTGTGCCCAACTACCACGAGATCGACGGTGATCTGCACCAATGGCACAATCAATCTATTCTACCAGAGAACATTTCCGACGAGACTGTGCTGCCTAAGCAGAGCCACTGTGCACTAGAAGTGGACCTTCGCGTCGAGGATATCCTGAACCGCCACGACGTTGAACACCGGCCGTTACATTACGACTTCATTGAGCGGCTGAAGCCTATTCCTCTGGATGCGAAGCTCGTTCAGAGTATGAAGGGGCTTTGGCAAGATGAGACGCGGCGTAGAAAGGCAAGAATGGGTCTGAAAGATCCTAACAGCACTCCCTTCCCTCCAGAAGTACTCGTCACGATGTCAGCTGATCCAAGGAACGTGTCTTCTGGTGGATGGATTCATGAGCAGGAGCTTCGGCAAAAGATTGACCAGCTGGCTGCAGATGAGCGCAGCAAAAGCGAGAACGCTGACCTCAAGTTTGAAAGCTATGTCAAGCCTGTAGCACTGGAAGCCCAGGTCCAAACTGCCCTCGACAGTGTCGAAGACCTTTACTCGCATAATATGAAGAGACACAACGACGTCGCGACATTGCAGACGAGGGACAGCATCGGTGAAGTCGTCGTGGACGAACAGCTTATTCATGGAGTCAATGGGCATCAACGCTCCAGCGAAGAGGAGCGACCACCAGATGAGCGTGCTGATGAGCAATCCGCACATTCGAGCGAACATGACAACGCGAATAATGGGACGGAAGTACTCATAAGCTCATCCGAGTACGAGAAGTATGGTGTACATCGAGCTGGTGCCGATTTCGACCCGACAGCAGACGATTTTGAAATTCCGGATGAGTTTGCACCGGACTCTCGCAAAGGCACGACGAAGCGCATCCGCTTCGCGCCTGCCAGGAGGTCACGAAAGCGACGAAAGTTGCTGACTGATGAAATTGAAGCTCTCTCTGATCTCCCGGCAGAGGACAGTGACAATTTCAACGACAGCGGCATCGAGGACGAACCAGCTGATCACGAGGAGAAGGCAGACGCTGGCGACACTTTATCTGACATTCTCCTCAAGCAAACCCAGCGTCCAGCTGCTTCGTCTGCAGTCCGTCAAGACATCCCGCGTCCGTCTCAGAATTCTACGTTGAAGTTTCCAGTTGTAAAAGACCCTCAAAATCCTGATACCATCTCACGCCTTAGCCAGGCCAGCGGTCGATCGCAACCATCGACGCAGAAGTCGCTGGTGAAGACGGATGATCAGCCGTCTGCCTACAGCAAGGCTATGGCGGTATCCTCACCCTCCATGGCTACGAAGACACTCACATCCCCCGCCTCTGGCAAAAGTTCCGCTCCATCATCATTGCAACGGGTGCGTCTGCCAGGACTTCAGGCACATGGAAGCCAAAGCACGGTTCTGGTCTTGCAGACACGGCCACCAACGTCTCAGGTGGTAGCTACGACAATAAGTAGCACTGGCCTTCCCGATCAGATCTACCAAGAAGCATTCTATAGCGACGAAGCGGACGTGCCTGACCAAGCTCGCGAGTATGCCGGGCGAGAATTCAAGCTTGAGAGCGGCACCATTCCCTATCTTCCAGAGTTTGATCCAACCGGTATGTCAGCTGCGACCAAGGGCGAGAAGCCTGCAATAGTCGTCGATCGCGTTGCAGAGGACATCGCCGATAATCAGCGACGAAAACGATGTACTCATACGTCTTGGGCTATAGCTGATCCACCACCAAGACCAGCCGGGGTCCTTGTTTGGCTGGATGCCCAAGCAACGGCACGTGATACATTACTACAAGAAACAAAGGCAGGCCAATCAAATTCTCCACGAGCTGTACGCTCACAGATCGAAGCACCTACACCGAAGAACAAGCACGGCTTCAAGTATTCCGGGAAGCAAGCATCAAGCTCTGTCCAGCATGCCACACAATACATGTCAACAATGGCACTAGAAGTGCATGTCAACACACGTGGCAAGCTTGCACCAAGCCCGGAGCATGACGAGGTCGCGTGCATATTTTGGTGCGTTCAGAATGACGACGCCGAAGATTTCGAGTCCAATGTTTTGGACAAAGCAAACCTGCGCATGGGTCTACTGGCACTAGCTGAGGACGAGCGCGGTGCGGCACAATTCAGACGATCAGCCACGTCACTTGGTGAAGTTGATGTCGATACAGAAGACACCGAGCTGGACATGTTCACTAGACTGGTAGACATCGTCAGGGCATATGATCCAGACATTCTTACTGGGTACGAAGTCCATAATTCATCCTGGGGCTATCTCATCGAGAGGGCGCGGGTGAAGTACGACATGAACTTATGCGACGAGATCTCTAGGATGAAGTCACAGAGTCACGGTCGATTTGGCAAGGACGAAGACAGGTGGGGCTTCAATCACGCCAGCACCATCCGAGTGACTGGGCGCCACACCATCAACGTTTGGCGCGCGATGAAAGGAGAGCTCAACCTTCTTCAGTACACATTGGAGAATGTAACCTTTCATCTGCTTCAGAAGAGAGTGCCACATTACCACTTCAAGGATTTGACATCATGGTACAGGTCGAAAGTCCCCCGAGAGCGAGCTCGGGTCCTCGAATACTTCTGTGAACGAGTGCGGATCGACCTTGAGATTCTCGACGCGAATGAACTCGTCGCACGGACCAGTGAGCAAGCCCGCCTGATCGGCGTCGACTGGTATTCTGTCATCAGTCGAGGCAGTCAGTTCAAGGTCGAGAATATAATGTTCCGCATTGCAAAGCCGGAGAATCTGCTCCTACCCAGCCCGAGCAGACGCCAGGTCGGAGGGCAAAATGCCTTGGAGTGCCTGCCACTCGTGATGGAGCCAATGAGTGACTTCTACACGAGTCCGCTGCTCGTGCTAGACTTCCAGAGCCTGTACCCCAGCTGCATGATTGCCTACAACTATTGCTATTCCACATTCCTAGGTCGAGTCGTGAGCTGGCGTGGCACAAACAAGATGGGGTTCAGCAACTATCAGCGACAAGAAGGGCTTCTTGGACTTCTCAAGGACTATGTCAACATTGCACCCAACGGCATCATGTACGTCAAAAAAGAGATCCGCAAGAGTTTGCTCGCCAAAATGCTGTCAGAGCTTCTGGAAACACGAGTGATGGTCAAAAGTGGCATGAAGGTGGATAAAGACGACAAGACTTTGCAGCGGCTGCTCAACAATCGGCAGCTGGCGCTCAAACTGATTGCCAACGTCACGTACGGCTACACCTCAGCCAGTTTCTCCGGTCGAATGCCTTGCAGCGAAATCGCTGATAGCATAGTTCAGACGGGTAGAGAGACATTGGAGAAGGCAATCGCTCTCATCCACAACACGGAGAAATGGGGAGCGGAAGTCGTCTACGGTGACACTGACAGTCTCTTCGTCTACCTCAAAGGTCGAACGCGTGCACAAGCCTTCGATATTGGTGAAGACATTGCTGACACCATCACCAAGCTCAATCCACGGCCTGTCAAGCTTAAGTTCGAGAAAGTCTATCATCCCTGTGTTCTACTGGCGAAGAAGCGCTACGTCGGTTTCAAGTACGAGAGTCGATCACAGACCGAGCCTGACTTTGACGCCAAAGGCATTGAGACTGTCCGCAGAGACGGCACCCCAGCGCAGCAGAAGATCGAGGAGATGGCTTTGAAAGTGCTATTCCGGACGGCTGATTTGAGCAAGGTGAAATCATTCTTCCAAGCACAGTGCGCTAAGATCATGCGCGGGAAGGTGTCCATCCAGGATTTCGTTTTCGCCAAGGAAGTCAAGCTGGGCACCTACAGTGACAAAGGTCCTCCGCCTCCGGGAGCTCTGATCAGCGCTCGACGGATGGTCGAAGATGCACGTCTAGAGCCACAATACGGTGAGCGTGTCCCATACGTAGTTGTCACAGGTGGCCCAGGAGCCAGACTCATTGATCGGTGCGTGGATTTGGATGTGCTTCTCCACGATGCACAGTCTGAGCTCGACGCGGACTACTACATCACGAAGAATCTGATTCCGCCTCTCGAGCGCATATTCAATCTGGTCGGTGCCAATGTCATGCAGTGGTACGATGAGATGCCAAAGTACCAGCGTATACGGCGGATTGAAGCAGGAGTTGCAAGCGACGGACGAGAAGTCAACGCAGCGAAGAAGACATTGGAGGCTTACATGAAGAGCTCGACGTGCCTTGTGTGTAAGGACTCGTTGGACACTGGCAGTCCCATTTGTAGCAGCTGCCTTGACCAGGCTCCTCACAGTCTTCTACTCCTCAAGGCGAAGCTGGCACGAGCACAACAGAGGTCTGCAGGGCTGCTGAAAGTCTGCCGCTCGTGCTCGGGTTTGAGCTGGAATGAGTCTGTGAGGTGTGACAGCAAGGACTGTCCGGTGTTCTACACTCGGACGAGGACCAGGGCAGCATTGACGAATGATGAGGCTGTCTTTGGGCCTATCGTGAGTCTGCTGGAGGAAAAGCAGAACGAGAGTATCGACTGGTGATGCATTGGCATCCAGGCATCTTTATAGGCGTTATAGGACATATGATACCCCGGACAAGGCATAACAGGACTGGTGATAATTCAGCAGCGAATAGCGTACCCAGAGTACGTGTCATGTAATCAACATGTGTGTCTTCTGGTGTGTGAAAAAAATGTGTCTACATCCAGGTAATAAATATATTTTCTGGCTCAAGGCAGACCGGTTGACAACGATCATCTGGTGCTGTTTGAACAGCGAGTCACCTCTCTGCCTCGACTGCCATTCTTTGCGCTGACCTCATCGTCCTCGACGCCTACTGCGTTGCCCTCACAGCCTCATCTGTACCAGTCTCGAACGTCCCGAGATTTCACCTGATGTTGTGCAGGTTTTAGCCGCAGGCATTATGTCATGCGGGGAGGCCTCGACTTCCATCAATTGCATCTAAACACGTCCACGTACGAGACCCGACTCTGTTGCATATGACATTCTCTAGCATTGACTTCAACGGGCGTTTGACTGGCGTAGGCTGTCATTGAGATACTCATTCATATCTCAGCATGTTATAGCATTCCGTGCTGGAGACCATGGGTCCTTTCCAATGGTTTCTGTTCGTTTACGTCCTCGGCGGGCTAACATTTGTTCCGCTGCTGCTCGCTGTAGCGCTCTACATTGGCTGGCGTACGCTTCCAGTTGAAGAGCCGAATGCTGCGAAGGCAAAGGCGAACGATCCAGGCCAGCTCACACGTTCTGGCGACGAGAAGCTGGTCTTCAAGACCGCAACGGATGACCTAGCAGAGAAGTTCCACCGGAAGCATGATTCAGATGTCGCGGCCGGCTACTTCGCTGTGTGTCGAGAATGGATACCGGGCGGTGTAAACGGGAAGCCTCCAGATCGGCTGACTCCCGCGGGCGAGGAGATATCGAAAGAATCACCCAGTGTATACCAGACGATGTACCGCAGCCTGTTCGACCGCTCCCAAAAACCGACCATCGAACCGCAGAAGGATGGCGCCGGCAAGAGTACGAAACGGGCGAACAACATATTCTACGTCGTCCTGAGACACGGTCATCTGATGCTATACGATGACATACAGCAGTTGGAAGTGAGATACGTGATCTCGCTCGACTACCATGATGTTGACATCTACGGAGGAAGTGAAGAGCCGCTTCCCGAGGGCGAGCTGTGGGTCAAGAGACATGCTATTCGGATGACGAGGAAGGCGTCTAAGGGCTTTACAGAGAAACCATCGCTACCATTCTTCTTGTTTAGCGAGAACCTGTCAGAGAAAGAAGACTTCTATCATGCGCTGCTCAAGAACCAAGAGCGTTCAGTGCCAGATGCACCCGTGGCCGAGGACTTCGACACATCGTTCATCGTCTCGCTGGTCCAGAAACTACACTCATCGGAAGAACAGCTTCAGACACGATGGCTCAATGCGTTTGTGGGCAGACTGTTCCTAGCAACATACAAGACGCCCGAAATGGAAGACTTCATACGTGCTAAGCTCACCAAGAAGATCTCCCGAGTCAAAAAGCCAACATTCGTTACCCGCATATCACTCCACAAGATTGATACTGGTAGCGGTGCTCCTTTCCTGACCAATCCCCGACTGAAGGATCTTACCGTCAATGGTGACTGTGTAGCGGAGATGGACGTTGAGTACACGGGTGGCTTCCGCATCGAGATCGGCGCAACTGCCGGATCGATCTGGGTAAGCGCTTTGGTGCAAGAGAAGTCGACATGCTCTTGGCAGTCACGCTGAAGCGGGTTCAGGGCCACATGCTCCTTCGTCTCAAGCCACCGCCCAGCAATCGACTCTGGTTCACCTTCGAAAAGATGCCGCAGATGGATCTCGCGCTCGAGCCAATTGTGTCGTCACGTAAGATCACCTACGGGATCATTCTGAGCGCTATGGAGAGCAGGATTCGGGAGGTCTTTGCAGAATCTCTTGTGTTGCCATTCTGGGACGACATTCCGTTCCTTGACACCACTGGACAGAAGCACCGTGGTGGTATTTGGAAGCGAGAGAAGAAGGACAATGACGTTGAGATTCCAGACGAGACACCCGAAGATGAAGGGGAGACAGCCGCGGGGACCGCCGAGGATATGAAGGCTATCAAGCAGGACGACCGAAACTGGAGTATGCCTGCATTGGCGGGTGGCAGTGGTGATCAAAGCGCCAGACCTGGAGACAGGAGGTCAATCGCATCCTTGCCTGGTGCGGATGGCACAACTGCTGAAGAAGAGAAGACCCCTCCCGCGAAAGTGCCGAGGATACTTCGCACGCCCTCGTTTGGGAATGTCGCGGATCCTAAAGTGACGGCCAATCACGCCGACAGCGACTACACGAAGTCAGATGGCTCATCGGAGGCTACACCGAAACGCGAAGCAGCTGCGTTTCTGAAGGATCTGTCAGCCAGGAGTCCACCAGAATCCCACGAAGGCTCTCCTCCGAAAGAGTCAGCAATGGCAGAGGCGCTGTCGAAAGGTCGCTCTGGTAGTAGTGCCTCGAAAGCATCAGTCGACAGCACGACGGCAGCGCCTCGAGACTCGACCATCGAGCTGCCTAAGACTATGCGTGGCATTGATTCGAATTCTTCCTCCAGACCGGCAACGCCGGCTGATCCAAGTCGGGAGTCGAAACGCTCCTCAACATATGATGAATCGAAGCCAAACAAGACGCTTGTACAGCAAGCAAGATCCATGACTGCAGCCGATCGAAAGCAGGCTCTTGCCTCTGCGACCGCAGCGGCGCAAAAATGGGGCTCGTCGCTGGGCTGGGGTGTCTTGAAGAACAAAAAAGAGGCAGCTGGAACAGATCAGGCATCAAGAAATAACGAGCCTCCGACTCCTACTGCACCCATGGGTCGTGGACAGCCATTACCGCCTCCTGGTCAGCCTCTCCCTCGACCGAACAAGCCGAACAATCTTATGTCTAATATTCCTTTCATGGCATCAAAGAAGCCCACGTTGCCAAAGAGGTCCGACACGAACGCAGCAACGAGCGTCTCACCGAAGCCGTCACCTCAACTCAAACCATCACAGCCACCCCCTCTTCCCCACCGGCGACGCAGAAGAAGCACAAAGCACAGTCTCGACCAGAGCGATGGCGGCGACGATCTCCTTGTAGTTGAAGCCCCAACCGAATCAGCCCCAAACAGTCCCCAGGTAGAACGCAACATAAATCGCGACAGCTTCTTCGGCCATGGCGAGCATGCGGATGACCTACCGCCAGACTACTCGGGAAGCGGCTATGGCCTGGACCGTGCCGACTCGCCTCCACCTCAGCGTGTCAGCAATGCGCGGCGCCAAGACATGGCCCAAGCGTCACATGATCCTTCCTCTACAAAGAACGCCCCTTCCGAAAGCAGCACACCTGACCTCTCAGACAAGGAGGTCGCGCTAAGCCAGCGGCCGGCTGCGCCTGCACTGCCACCTCGTGCTGTAGCGCCGGCAGCCGTCGAAGATGAGATGCAGCTCCCGCGACCACCACCACCGGCTCGAACGGGATCGGATACGAGTGGTGACTCACCTCGGCTTTCGAGAATTCCGAGCCCCAGTCCGAGTCGGTCGGCGACGAGTAAAGGCAGGAAGGCGCTGGGGCTGAACAAGAAGTCGAGTAATCTGAGCTTGGGGGCTAGGAGTGCTACGCCTGATGCTGGGTGATAGTGATGGTTCGGTACGCGGGCTGCGAATATGGTAGAGTTGGGAATATGATGGAGACGAAGGGTCAGGCTACTCGGTATCATAATATCAATGGAAGAGAACCCATGGACCTTGCACCGTGGACAAAAGTGTCAATGTGTGCGTAGATGGTTGAACGCCTGGTCAGGTCCTAGGGCGACCCCCTTCCCAAGATCACACCCTGCGCTGTCTGAATCCTTCGCAGGATGGATCAAGCCACTCGTCGTCAGGAAGCCTCGCGAAATTCAGCTAGACATTCACACGAACCCAGGCAAGCAAGCTGAATTCCCGAATAGTCGGACAGTCTGGTGAGTGTTGAGCTTCGGATCGAATCGCACCGTCAAAGTATCCTGCGGCACCGGGTCTTGAGCGCGCTGGTCACGCGGTACTAGTGATTCACACCAGTCGCTCGCTAGCAATCGATGCGTACCGCTGTCTCGCATACGGTGACGTTGGCAGCTAGGCGGACTTGGGAACCTCGCGAAGCACGAACCTTCGTGTCACTGTGATCTCCCGGCCTGTCTAGGTAGTTGACCTTGCACACAAGGCCGATCTGAACCGGCCTACAGCTAACGTCAGCAGACAAATGTTGTGAGTGTTCGCAGCTCTACAGTTCCTCACAGCCGTTCAGAGTGGCTTTGTTATCCGTCGGCCGGATGCGGATGTGTTCACAGCTGGGACCATTCTGGACGCATTCGATGGTTACGCTACATAATGCATTCCTTTGTTGACGACAATACAATGCGTCCGATGGACATCTTATAATCGATCACTGCTCTGCCAGAGCGACTCTTGTAGTTGTCATCTCCAGGCGCATCTACGAAACGAATGCGTATACTGTCTTCTCGACAATCAAACATGCGGGCACAAAGAGTGATGTGCGCAATGCTTACTTGCTGGGCTCTGCTCTGCAGTAGCTTTGCCCTGGCGACAGATGTGGACACGCCGAGCGACGCACAAGTCGCTCCAGATGTTTGGGAGCCTGATTTCAGCGAATACGGCCAACATCCAAGCCCCGGACCCGCACTTAGAGAGTTCCTTGAGAAGCGTCAGCTTGGGACGGATCCCCCCGCCAAAGACCTAACGGGACAAACGACTCCTGGAGGTGGGAGGTATCCGAAGCAGAATCCGCCGGTCACAGGATACGGCGGTCAAGTGTGGGAATGTCCCAATAGACGTATGTTGATCTTTCCTTACTATCTGCTATGCGTATGACAACTAACGGTTTCTACAGAATGGGGAGTTTCGGAGGGTGGTGAATACAACAATGTATGCAGACGAGTCAAGATCGAGAACGGAAAATGCTATCCATTCCATTGGAGTGGGGCGTTGAAAACCTTTGTTCCCGATCGCGACATCACCTGCCAGCTGTGGAGATACAATGATTGCACCGCCCGCGGTGATTACTATACCGACAAGAAAATGAAGGAAGACTACCTGATGAACGCCACACAGATGGCCTTAATGAGGGGCTTGCCTGTTGGTTATGTGCCGAGAGTCACTTGGCCCGGCATCGAGAATTACATGGACAACAAGATGTGTGAATTCTACCGGATCAATATCGATTATGGGACCCCCCAGGGCTTCAAATGCTTCAAACTAGGCACGGGTGGCCCAGTGGGCCTAGGCACTTAGAGATTCGATGTACATATGGCTGTAGATATGTATGCATGAACAATATGGGCCGCCCCTGGTGTATTTCCAGCGTGACTGTGCCTGGGAACAACAAGGGTCCATGGATTGCCTGGGTTTGACGCCATCGTTCCACCTTCGTTTCATACTCGTGCCGATGGCTCGCACGTTGGCGAGTGCGCACGCGTGTGTCGGAAGTCTTCTCGTCAGAGTGGATGCTAGTCCTCCCGGTATGAGATCTTCCTCATTTCGCCCAACCGTGCCGTTGCCGCTTCCAGAGCGTTACGCAGCTGTAAGATCTCGACCTACGCAATGTCAGCATACTTTAAGAATGATCACGAGGCTGAATCTACTGACCTGTTGCTCCATTTCCCTGACCTTGAATTCATGACCACTGAGTGAAGTATAGTCGACACTCTCACCGTCGTCACGCTGCTTTTGCTTGATGATATCTTGAACCTGCCTCACAAGTGCCCGACAGGCCGTTCCTACTGCTCGGCTGGCTTGCTCCAGGCGATCCTGCGTCTTGGACATGAACGTGGCTTTGACACGGCTTGCCGCTACCAACTGAGCAGTGCTAGCAGCAACGTCATTGGAAGCTACTATCAGCTGCTCCGGGCTGTTACGCCCCGAAATAACTCCATCGGCAGTCTCAATCAAGGTATTCGTTGAGGTCGCAACCGCTTTGGCCGCTGAGATTAGGCCTTCAGTCCAGCGATTGTTCTTCTTATAGAAGGCAGTCCTTGATGACGAGCCACGACCCTCTCGGACGATCTCGGTTTGTGATTCAGTCGCCGCTTTGATCAATTGGGCGATGGCGTTTGTCACGGCCACTGCGGCGTCCAGAATCGCATCGTTGATGCGAAGCTCGAAAGTCGAAAAGCCGTCCCGTGGCTTGCTTTTCATTTTGGCAAGTCGCTGAGCTGCCGCCTCGATCGCATTCGCAGCCTTCGTCAGTTCAGAGTCCACCAAATCTCCAAGATCTCCGGTCGTGCTCAGCTTCGTTCCCTTAGGAGCAAAGGCATCTGCAAGCTTAGAGAGCCTCTGCAGTTTCATGAGAACATCATGGTTGCTGTTGATGACGACATCGCTCTTTTGCATGGGTTCCAATCCTTCGAGACGAAAGGACTGCAAGCTGCGGAAGAAGTTGATTGTCGAAAGTGCAGATTGTCGAGCTGCATCGGTTAACTGGTCTCCCTTTTTCTCTTCTGTTGCAAATCGTGTGAGGCCCTTTGTATTGGATAAGACATCCGCGATCGAGGCCGCGAAAACGGAGACGGTCCGAATTATGTCGGCATGTGGGCTGTTTGGCCCGTCAGCGATAAAGTTGTTGAAGGCAGTGGAGAATTCGGTTGCACTTGAGGACGCTTTCTCGACTTGCGACAAAACGTACGGTGCTGTAGCATTTTGATTTCCAGCCTGCATTGGTGAATCGAGCTCATACATAGCATCGTCCACACGTTGAACACCGCTTTGAAGCACGGAGTCGATGATGTCCTGGATTTTGTTGACGTTGGACTTAATGACCTCGTCAATCGCGCCGTCGAGTGCACCATCGGTCTCGCCGTTGCCTAATTTCAATTCTTCCAGTTCCTCAAGAGCCTGCTCCATGCCAGACTTGTAAATCTCAATTTCATCATCCTTCTCACGCAGTGTGGCTTCGTGGTCACCATTGCGCTCGCTGTGTGTTGATTTGATGGCCTCAAGCTGTCGTGTCTTGCTCCGAAGAGATTCCTCGAGGTCTGCCATTTCACGATTGTACTTGGACAGCATCGAGGACAGCTCAGAACCTTTGGCACGTTCAGCATCTTCAGCCCGCTCGATTGCGAAGCGTAATTCTCGCTTCAACTTCTCAAGCTCTTCGCGATGCGTGCCAGAGAAACGGTCCTTTTCGTGCAAAGCTCGATCGCGTTCTCGGATCATATCAGCGAGTTCCAGGTTCTTCGTCTTCATCTCTCTTTCCAAACGTTCGCGTCTATCGATGGCCTCCTGAGCCGATGCCGCCTTGAGCTTCAGAGATTTGGTGGTCTGAAGTAAATCGAGATGCTCTTGCCGGAGTTGAGAGTACAGCTTAGCGAGCGCTTCGTACTTGGAGCGCCAAGTATTGACCTGCTCCTGTAGTGCCGAAAGCTGGTCGTCCTTTGATTGGTTTTGCATCTGGAAGTTGTGATTAAGCTGGTTCAACTGTTCTTCCAGCGCTTTCATCCTCTGATCGTACTGTTGGAGCATCAACTGGTCTCGCTCATATTGCGCACGAGCATTCAGATTTTCTCTCTCCAGCTCAGCCATCCTGCCTTGCGTCTGTGCTGCCATCTGATCGCGCATGAGCTGTTCTTGCGCCAGCCTTTGCTGCTCAGCTTGCTGCCGTTGTTGATCCTCGAAATCGCGCTGAGCTTGCTGCTGAGCCATCATTTGCTGCCGCTGCTGATCTTCCCACTGTTGCTGAAGCCTTCTTTGCTCGGCCTCATATTCGTCCTGTTGCCTTTGTGCTTCTCTTGACCAGAAGTCTTCCATGTCTTTCGGGTCGTTAGTCTCTGTACGCGGGGCTGGTGACGGTGCTGCCTCTATTTCCTTGGCTGGTCGGCGCGGCAAGGCAGGTTTATCCTCGTCTTCAGCGAGGAGATTCGGTGGGTCTTGCGGTAGCTTCGGGACAGTGATCAGACTTGTGAGATAGCGCAAATTCGAGCATTCGTAATAGAATTTCACCAGGCGGTAATGCTGACCGTCGTAACGACTTCTTAGTGGCTCTAGTGCCTCGTCATCGCCAGTAGTGGTGTGCATGGCTCGGAGCATACTCGTGATGAACTTGTAGATGCCATAACTTTCCTGGACCAGTGGTACAAGGGCCGCAATCCGACATTCATTGTTGTTTCCACCACGGAAATGTGAGAAGATCAACTTTTGAAATGTGTCAATCTGGTCTTGCAGGGTCATCAGATCGGAGATGGTCTCGTACCCTTCATTGGGATCGTTGATGGACTTAAGACTGATATATTCTTCGTATTCGAAAAGACCGTTGAACTCAGGATGCTGACGGTGGAAGGTGAGTTTGGCGAGCAGAAAGAAAACGTATTCGCGGATCAGCGGACCGTAGCCTCGCAGGCCTTCCCCCATCACGCCCCGTGCAAGTGACTCGATCCAGTTGACATTTTGTTGCGCCTCTTTCACGGTTACCGGATGACCTTCTTGCAGGATCTTATGGACAGTGATGAGCGCTTTGAAGGTCTGGATCTCATCAGCCATGACAGGCTGGACCTTCATGCCCGCCCAGAAGGACAGAGAGCTCTTGTTGTCCCAGGTGTAGACGATGCATGATCGAACGTGCTTTCTCTTGGGGGCAGTCTCTTCGATGCTTGTGGCTTTCCGGATGTTGATGGCAAGATCCGACTCCGTTCTGGAGGCGTCGATATTTCGACCAGTCCCCGAAGCCATGGCCGGATATGACATGGGATGTTCAGTGCGACCGTAACCACTATACGCTGCTCCCGACGACCTCCGCCGACCTGTCGTCTCGCGCCCAGGAGGAATGTAGAACGCCAGTGTGGTGGGAGTGGATTACAGTAATCAATGAGACGAACCGCGGCGTTTCCACATCAAAATGCTTTTGACTAGGCAGAAGGAATGCCAGATCTCGAAGATTCGTAACGCTACGAATACAAGCAGTGGATCAGACAATTGCTGCGCCTACGTGCTATGATGCGGCTTACTCGCGTCTGTCAATTACGGCGTGCGAAGCGATCAAGCTTAGTCACTAGGTAGTACGGAGGAGCAAGTAGAGCTATTGCACTGGGTCCATTTCCAAGCATCGGTAACATTCAGTGGAAGTAGGATATCTGAATGGGCGATTGTGATTGTGTATATAATTCATCATTCCATTAATTGCCGACCAGTGCCCGCCTGGAGCCAATCTCGATCGCGGACTTCGAAGCTTCCAACGTGAACTCTGGCTGTACTCACACGACTTCATCAAACGCTTCCGCAATATGTTAATGGAGGTGACATCGTATTTGCAGTCGGAAGCCGTCTTGCTTCTCAAGATTGCGCTATGGACCCACGCATACACGATAGATTTAAAGCGGAGGGTGCTAATTGATGCGCCCAGAAGTCCTCTGACTGTGTTGCAAATCGAATGCTTGCAGACTTCTCTTTGTGCCACACGGGTCTGATGAGGATCTGTGCGCTATGTTCGAGGCCCCTACTGTCTCGGAACGGTAAGTCTGGCACACCTGGGTGTGATCTTGTTTCCGACAGAGGCTCAGTAGCAATCTTATGACTCACTTCTTCGCGCGTGCGAATGATTTCCCTCTAAGCAGTTGAGACGCAGCTCGCGAACCTGAGCATACTGCATCCTGGAACAGAGACCTCCTGGACAGGATTCTGGGGCGCCACGCCGCTGCAAGCGATGTGATATCCTCATCCCCTTCTTCAACCACAGCACAGCGTTTATCTGTCCGAGTGCTCCGATTTCTCGTGTCTTTTGGACAGTGCGAGCAGACGACGTCCGACCATCAAGTATGAAATGAAGACGTCTGGCGATACCAATCAAATCTCACTGACTCGGCACAAGAGCCTCACGCGCGAGCGCGGACTGCTCGGAGCGCGTGAAGGCTCGCTCACCGGAAGCCGTGTACCTGTCCACCTCCACAGAGGTGGCTTTACAAGGCGCGCCAACGACGCCCTCCTCGAAGCAGTGTTGCAGCGCGCCTTTGCATTCTTGGATACACAATAGTTCTTGCAAATTACGTACGATAGTGCTGCTGATGCCGATTCCAGCGAAAGCTTCTTGGCAGGAACAGTCCAGCGAGTCGGGAATTCAGATTCACCAAGCTGCTCTCGTTCCAAAGCGCGGTATACTGGTGGAGCGCTTCGCGCTCCAGTGGCAGGCTCTTAGGCTCCTTTTCCTGCTATTTGCAGAGCAGTAAGCTCAGGATTCGCGCGCGGCGTCGTGTGGCATCTCTATATTGCACAGTGCCTGTGGCTCAACTGGGACCTTTGGCTTGGGGGACCTTGGATAGTACAGAGAGTCTCTTGGAAAGGACTACCAACAGCGAGCTCTATTGAGTTGAGGCGTGCTTCAGCAATACATTCTAAGATATCGAGCTCTTCCACAAACGATTATGACGCTTTCTTCATCCTCAAATCAGGCCTAGCAGACGTCGAAGGACGACAACCTTGAAGCCAGGACAGCGATCGCACTGAAGGGCCACCAAGAAAGGAACGAGTCTGACTATCAGGTCCGCCAGCTCAAGTTCGGCTGCCTCTGGCCTCTGCAGACTTTCTCGAAGACTCGTTGTAGTGAAGTCAGAGGTGGCAAGGTGGAGATAGGGAGCTTCGCCACATCTCCCGCCGCCTTCGCGACAACAGTGAAGTCTTATTCAATTATTCAGATGCTCGTTTGCTTCTTCCCAGCCACATCAACGCTGAATTATTTTTCGAATACAAATTTCCTCGGCGCCCTCCTCAACCTTTTCTCCCCGACAACCTCTTTTCTCAATCGCATTGTCATAGTCTTCTCCATCCATCTTCATATCGCTTTCAATATGGCGAGCTTCAACAACCCTGTCGCTGGCGGACAGAGCCTCCCGGACTCCACTCAAGTCGAAACGATCTGGTCCATGGGCTTCGCTTCTCTCACCTCCAACAAGTATCATGTGGTCGTTCCCATGTTCATGGCGCAAGCGATCGGTGACGAAGGCGTCAACACTTTGAAGCTCCGTCTAGCGTAAGCCAAGTCACAATTGAGGGTATCCCAAAACTAATTATGCGCAGTCAATATCTTCATGCTGAGACCATCGCCTATCCAGATGTGCCAACTCAAACCTTGCACATCTGTCGTCTGTCTGACTACGATGGTCCCATTCCGTTCACCGCAAGCCGTCAAGGTCAGCGCCTCTCTGCCACATCACCCGACAGCTCGCCAGCAACAATCAACTCTCCCTCAGACACACCTGAAAACTCGGACAAGAAGTCCAAGGTTGCCCGTCCTCCCAATGCCTTCATCCTCTACCGCAAGCACTACCACCCCTCTGTCAAGGCTGAGAACCCTGACCTTCACAACAACGACATCTCTGTCATGCTTGGAAAGCAGTGGAATGCTGAGCCAGAGAATGTCAAGGCTGAGTATCGAATACGTGCACAAAAGATCAAGAAGCAGCACGCTATCGACAACCCTGGCTACCAGTACGCCCCACGGAAGCCATCTGAGAAGAAGCGACGCATGACTACCAAGAAAGCTGCAAAGCTCAAGTCTGCTGCCGAAGAGGCGTCTCCTCTCAGTCATACCTCTAATTCGACTCAATCAACACCAGATGCACTCGACTTCGGCTTCGATGATTCATTCTTCAACACTTCCATTGATGGCCAAATGTTCCTCGACATGCCTGCTCCAGCTGTGTCTCTGAGTGAGCAACTTGCGCAGCAAACTGCCACTACTTCCACCACTCTTGTCCCTTTCAACGAAGATCTTCAACCAAATCAGCTGTCCAACGACGCTACCACTCAGAACACCAACCAGCAAACCTTCATCGACGGCATCATCGACTGGACTGGCATTCAATCCGATGCTCAGCTCGTCTTCGGGTCCATTCTTATCGAAAGCGATGCACTGGCTCAGACGGAGACTGCCGACCAATTCATGACTTACAACGGCATGACTGATGCTGAGTTTGCTGCCGAACTTCAGCGTGTCTCTGAGATGATGTAAGAGCTCGACCACAGCAGGTACGCCAGCAATCAACGCAACGGCATCAAGTAATCCATCAACCACCCCAGCAACTCAACCCCCCACACCATCACCAGAACCCACCACCCATACCACCAGCAAAAAGCCAAACCAACCCTCGCTGACCAATCCTCGACGCACCATCTGATTTCCAACGCAAGGAGACATCCGATAGAGAGATGCCCCAACCAACGCCGCCATCGACCAATCAACCCCTCAAGCACCAGTCCACCCGCACGGCAAGAGCACCATCACCGCTGTAGCCACGCCACCAACGACATCAGTCCGCCTTGAAGGAAACAGGTTTTGGATCGAACACACATGGCATGGCACAGCTGTTGTTTACTGATTTTTGAAAAGTACTTGCAGTACTACGAACGAGATACCCAACCAGCACACGCAGGATCAAGGGAACTGAGGAGCTTGTTGCTTCCACACACACACAGATAGCTGCATTGTTTTGCGCAATCAAGGTAGCCTAGCTGCCACCAAAAACACATAGAAAATGATAAAAAAAAAATCCACCAAAGTCGTTGTTCTCTGCTTGCTGCTACTCTGCGCAAAGGAGGAGGAGAAGGGAGGTCGTCCTAAGCTTTCCTGCAGCACCAAGCTTTCCCGCTCGCCAAAATTCCCAAGTCCCCTTCTCCAAACTTCCGCCCTTGGACCATTTTTCGCCATTCCGCGGGAGCGGCCAAAAGTGGGCGATTTCATTCAATACACCAGAAAATCGAAAGGCTGGGAGGGAGGTTGGGCGGGAGGTCCACAATGCTAGGCAGCAGAGCGAGGGAGGGAGGTTGGGGCTGTGGCGGAGCGGAAACTGCTGCATGACTCGATCGGCGAAATCGGAAGGTTGGGTCAGTGTCAGGAGAGGTGTGGCTGTGCAGTCGTGCCTCCATACGGGCGGAGAGTCTCGGAGGAGGGAAATGCGGAGTCGATGGTTCTCGGTACTGCTGCGAGGAGGCAGAGCGAGCAGAGGGAGCCGGGTCATAGGACGGATGCGAAGGCTACATAGGTACGTCTCGGATATCTTTACGCTTTGGTTCAATATCTGTGCAGGTGGGAATCATGCTTCCGCATTGGACTTGCTACTGGGTATCTGCTTGATAGTTCATCGCTCGTAGAAATGAAGACGCTTGATGACCTCCACATAATCCATGCGCCGCACAAGATGCTAGATAAGTAGATGAAAGCAAGGCAATCGCTGCGTGTCCGCCCCTATGCTGCTCCGTGTGGTCATCATACGGGACCGGCTGTACGCCAGCGTCAAGGCCGAGTAAGTGCACGGCAGCAGAGACGATGGCAGTCAACCAGTATGCGTATCCCAGTCGCTACACCAGATGAATGTACCGCAACGCCATTGTGTTCCGCTCTCTTTCTGACCTTTGGGGCCCAAGGGTCGGTTGCACATCCAGAAGGATCGACCTCGATTTGCGCCGGGCTTCTTTGTCAACATCGTCTTGCATGGCTCGTCGTGTTCGCATTTCGGTGCGATGGGCTTCGAAAAGAGCTTGCCCCAGCTCTGCTTGGAGGCGAAGTTGGCTGCTTCAGCTGCCTCAATATCTTCTTCGGTGACGGTAGTCATCGACTTGGCTGGGGAGTGGTCGACCTCATCGATCGTGCCGTCCATGGTCTCGGCGAGTGTCGAATCATCTTCGTGGTCGGATAATTTGGGCGAGTCTCTCTTCTCGGGCTCCACGGGCGCTGCTGGCGGAGGTGCAGCACGACTGCTGAAGAAGCCCTTCAAGCTTTGCTGGCCTTTGGACACGCCGTTTGACGTTGTCGACGCGCTAGCCTTGGACTTCTTCGACGGCGGCACTTGTATATCGGATTGGGATGGCCGTTTGCCGTTCGTGGGCCTTGTTGTTGGCGAGGGTCTTGAAGGACTTTGCTGTGAGGCGGTGGTAGTCATTGTTGAGGGTGCAGCTGGGATGTCTGCCACGCTGGCACTCTTTGGCATCGAGGGTGTTCTCGAAAACATGTCTCGAATGTTACGCCGGCGGTCGAATTCCGTGATAAGCTTGCCTGACATGGGTAAAAGACACTTGGTAGACCACTGTTGCACCCGGATGCCGCCTTCGAACATGCCTGGCGGGTTGACTAGGTCAAGGATGTGCTTCTGGACTCCATTGAGCTGTATTGTATCGTGGAAGGCGCCGTAGACGGGACAGTGATCAGAGCCCATGAGTCCCTCCTGTATGTTCGCTTCTGACCACCAATCCTTCATGTCATGGCTGCTAACAACGTAGTCGATCCTCGCCCCGTAATTGCCTGGTCTGGCGTTGACTTTGGTCTCCCAACAGGTGTACATACCTTTCCTGCCCTCGTTGAACGCGCGACACACATCCCACATGATAGCATCTTCTCTACCCTCGTCTCTTTCGCCATGGACTTTCCCGCCAACGAGCATCTGGTTGAAAAGCCTTCGTGCTGGCGTAGATATCCACCCCACAGGATCCACACCATTCTTCCTCATCATCTCCTCCGCCATAGCAGTATCAATCTCTTCGCGAGAGATGTTCAGGTCTCCAGTCCAGATGACCCGCTTGCCCATCTTGACTAGGTTGCGAATTCGGGAATCGAGCACATTTAGAAACCCTGTCCTGAACTCGGTTCTGGTCTCGTCTCTTTCAGCAGGACAGTAGGTACCGATCAGCACAAAGGCTGGGAACTCGAGAATGACACATCTTCCCTCCGAGTCCAGAGTTGTAGCATCGATGTCCGATTGGGAGAGCTGGCTGATCGTCGGGTAGCCGCCAATATGTTCGTCCTCGGGTAGATCTCGAAAGCTCGTGCTGCTGTTTGGAGGCGTGAGGATACCCGTGATGCCTTCCTCGGCTCTGATGGGCGCGCATGTTGCATTCCGAGTGTAGATCACGACTCCAGAGTAACCTGCAACGGTCAGCAAGGTGCAATCCACTTGGGCTCGCCACTACCTTTCTTGTGCTTAGGAAGGCTCCAGTAGTTGTCCCAACCAGGCACGAGCACCATGTCATCCTTGAGATCCTTGCGCTGGATCTTCGTCTCTTGGAAGACCACAATGTCAGCTTCGAGAATGTCGAACATGCCCTCGAACGTCCTCTTGTCCCGCCATGGCTGATACCCAAATGGATTGCGAATGCCATTCACATTCCATGAAGTGATTCTGAAGGCCATGGCGACGGTGAAGAGACCAGATGCCTCATTGTGCGAGGCAAAGAGCCCTAATGCGCCGCCTCTAGGCTGCCGATGAGAACAAAGCTGCTCCTCTCACGAGCAAGCACTCTCTTAGGAAGGTGCCACCAGATCGAGTAACGCGAAATCGACACGCAGTCCAGTGACCTCATCGGTTCTTTCCCCAAGCCGGTCGACTATGCCAAGTCCTCCCGAATCAGACTCCACCTGCGGTTCCTGGACGTCGCTCAAGACCTCAGACCACACTCTTGATAGCTACGACTCCCCTCTCCTTGCACACACTCCTCACGATGTCGTTCCAGCGCCTTGGTCTGCGCCTGGCGCAGCAACAGACCCGATCGCCCGTCCTTCGAGCACAAATTGCGCGCCGCTTTGAGTCGACCGCCGTCGCCAACCCCAAGCTCCCCAGACCCGGTGACAAGCTCGAAGGAGCCGCAGATAATGCTTTCAACCGCGAGAGGGCAGCTGTGAAGGCTCACGCTGCTGCTACCAGTGGTTAGTCCTGCGTTCAGGAGCTTAGGAAGGCAATTGGCGCTAACATGATTCAACAGGCCTCTGGCGGAAACTCTCAATCTAGTACGATCTTCTGATTTACATTATCACGAGCACGATTTCTAACACAGCCACAGCGTCGTCGTCCCATGTCTGATCCTCGGCAGCATCAACGCATGGAATCTATGGAACGAGCATTGGGAGCACTGGGAGCACATGCCCCCACTGGAAGAGCGAGTTGAATATCCCTACCAAAACATTCGAACAAAGAACTTCTTCTGGGGAGACGGCGACAAGACAATGTTCTGGAATGACAAGGTCAACTATCACAACAAGGACAAGCAGACATAGATTGCTTTCGTGACCGGGCTGGAGTGAGTGGGGTTTATCGTCATGGAATGGAGCAGCGCACTTGCAATGCGTAAATGAAGAAAGCGGTCGGGGAACCGGAGCAGTAGCAGTATCAAAAAACATTGCTTACGTCGTGACGCTGTCGTCAAGCTTTTGCTGGCATTGGGCCTCCTCTATGGGACATTCATACACGCATTTCGCCAAACTTCTTCTTGACTTCGAGATACTTGCTCGCCACGTCGTTTGCCAACACCAGGTCGCCCTGCCACTTCATAATCATGGACTTGCGATACAGAACCTCCAGCTGCCCCTTCATGTCCTCAGCGAAGCCATACATCTTGCCCGCCGAGTCAAGGTGATCAACTGCGCGATTAACCCACTCCTTCCGCCTTGTTTTGTTGCTCTTCTCCAATCCTGCCAGTCCAATTTCTGCGTCCACCAGATATCTATACGTGATGGCTGCCAGCTCGCAATCGTGACACTCGAGCACTCTCGGTACAATAGCATTGAGCAACTCGAGGGCCGCATTGTGCTCGCCAAGCACATTGAGAAGATTCGCTAGCAGGCCAATAGCTTCCCACAGCGCTGGAAGACAGAGCGAGCGGTAAGCAAGCTGTGCTGCACGGACGACGATGGAGAATAAAGATAGCGCGTTGTTCGACGCCGCAAGGATGCGAGCCTTGAGGTTGAGCAGCCGGGTGTAGACGATGATGTCGTTGTTGTTTGAAACTGCACGCTGAGCGGTCTCCTCAACGATTTCAAGCGCTTTGCTGAGGTTGCCTTCCGCCATCGAAAGCTCGATTTGGCTGAAGGCGAGGAAGAAGGAGTTCTCGATATCAGGTGGGTCTTGACCTTGCAGCTGCGTCGCAATGCGACGAGCAGTGTCGAGGTCGTTGTGTCGGATGAGAAGGCGCAGCTTGAGTAGACTTGAGTAGAATTGCAGATAGTTCTGATACTTGAGTATGCGGAGCGTTGCTTTCGGCACACTCTGTAATGTTTCTGTAACAGCGCTATACCGGCCTCGCTGCGCGAGAAAGCCAGCGACACGGCAGATGCATTTCAGCACGTCTTCGACTGGTGCGTGTGGAGCACAGCAGCTGAGGAACGTTTCGCTGTTCGACCAGGCGAGACTGCCGAGACCGAGGCGGGAGAACGCAGATGCACGAATGAGTAGCGTCGAACCTGCAACGTTGATCGTGGTCTTAGTAACACTGATGTGGCTGCTTTGGTGATGTTCTCGAAGACGCCAGCAAGACTCTCACCATGCTGCAGGCCCAGCTTGGCTTCAGACAGTAGAGAAGTGCTGAGCAAGCTCCACATTTCGGCATCCTTCGCCCTGGATTTGAGGAAAGCCAGGCCCTCGGTTTCATTGCCGAGGATTCCGCTGTCCTGAATGACTTTCATGTCGGACGGGAAAGTGCGACCGAAATGATACAGCCAGCTCATGCAAAAGTTTAAGCAAGTCGTATCCTTGTTCTCTCGAGCAGTCGCGATGGCTTCCTGCATAGCAGGTATTGCTTCTGACGCGCAGCCGAAGTCGGCTTGCAAGATCGCCAGGTTCAACAACGCATACTGATAGAAAGACCGATCTCGACTTTGCATGGTGTAGTCAAAGTAGCGATGCAGATTGTCGAAGGCGGACGTGTAGTCACCCGCGCGCCAGGAGTCAAGGAAAGTGAGGTAGTGCGTCAACGGCAACGTAGAACCGTCCTCTGACATTTCCGTCAGTTTCTGCCGCATATCCTCCGGCATACGCGACCCGCTCGATTGCATTTCTGATACCTGGAATTCGAGCAACGCTTTCACATCGTACAGACTGTACAGTTCAGCCTTGCCTGTACTGCTCAATGTTTGACCGTACATTATTCGGACCAAGTCGTGGGAGGCATCGATGCCAAATGCAGTGAGGTTGCTGTCGAGCGGGTGAGACTGGCTTGGCGGGTTCCTTCGCTCGTACTGCTGCCGACTTTGAGCACGGTAAACGATGAGTTGTTGCCACAGGGCCGTCGCATCCTGAAATTGCATCCTAGTGTACTCGAGATGGCATCTCCTGATGAAGGCTCCTAATGGTGAAGTCCGAATGATTCGCGCCGTTTGCTCCTCTGCTGCTATGCCCACCTCCCTCTCGTGCACAATCTGGCTCTCGATTTGCGCAGCAATGTTGGTAGCGCCTCCATAAGACCGTCGAGCGAATGTGCGCAGTCGATCGCCCAAAGACGCTTCAGGAATCGATCGTACATCGACCGCCCGGGCATGATCGCTGCGAGTGGGGCCAGCGCCTTCTCGAATGCCGAAATGGGCAAGGCATACTGAAGATTGTCATCACTTCCGCGCTTCGCCGAACGAGCTTTAGGAGAGATGTATGTGATGATGAAGTCGAGGACTGCAATGCTTTCCGATGTTGGCACTTCTTCGCTGGCGTACAAGACGACCAGGACTAGTAGTCCTACCTTTGATGGAGTCAGGTAACGCGCCATTGCGTGTCGAGCCGAGCCATTTGAGCACGGTGAAATTGTCAATCGACAGCTTTCTGCGGACTACGCGTCGCTAGGGGTCGACATACGCTCGATTGATACTGTCAGTCTCACATGTCACATTTCAAGCGCGTGAGCCCGAGTCGACGTGACAGCCGGTTGACGTGTCGCCTTCACGTAAAATAGGCCGCCGGAGAATGACTAGGGCTGCCCGTGCAGCGCAATTGCCTCACTGGCTATGCTTCGAACTTTTATTACTCAACATCCCATATATCTTCATGTGCACACGAGATGCAATTCATACTTCTCTAGCGAAATCCACCATGGCGCAGACCAACTTCGATCTGAAAGGCTACTTGCCGCTGATCGCTTCTGGCAAGGTCCGCGAACTATACGAGATTGATGCGAACAGCCTTCTATTTGTAGCAACAGATCGCATATCAGCTTATGATGTGATCATGAGCAACGTGAGTCAAGGCGTGGTCGTGTTGAGGTCCTGCCGTAGACTGACTTTCCTGCAGGGCGTGCCACAGAAGGGCGCCATTCTGACGTCCATCAGCAAGTTCTGGTTCAGCTATCTCACGTCGCAGATCCCATCCCTCAGAACACATCTGCTGTCCACACCAATACCATCCGGCATTCCAGGTGACGTGGCTGCTCAGATCGCTCCCAGGTCGATGGTGGTCAGAAAGCTCAAGGTCTTCCCAATCGAGGCCATCGTTCGAGGTTATATTACCGGCTCAGCCTGGTCCTCCTATCAAAAGACAGGCGAAGTCAACGGCAAGAACTTGCCACAAGGCTTGCAGGAGTCCGACCAATTCCCTGAACCTCTATATACCCCGAGCACCAAGGCTGAATTGGTCAGCACGACGAGAACATCTCGATCGAACAGGCAGCTGGAATTGTCGGCCAAAAGTACGCCAAGCGAATCGAGGATCTAGCCATTCAGATATACCAGGTAGCTCGAGACTATGCCAAGACGAAGGGCATTATCATTGCAGATACCAAGTTCGAGTTCGGCTTGGACGAGGAGACTGACGAGGTCGTGCTGATCGACGAAGTGTTGACGCCTGACAGTTCCAGGTTCTGGCCAGCGGCGTCGTACGTGGTCGGAAAAGGCCAAGATAGCTTTGACAAGCAATTCTTGCGAGACTGGTTGACCAAGGAAGGTCTGAAGGGCAAAGATGGCGTTTCGATGCCTGAGGATGTCGTGCAGCGGACCTCGGAGAAGTACCAGGAGGCATTCAAGATGCTCACAGGCAAGTCGCTGGAGGAGGCTTTGCGCACATCGTAGGATGCCAGCTTTGAAGAGGCAGAGGCTTCGATCGAAAACGGCACCTTTCAGGCGATCCATTATTACATTGGCTCATTCTGTGTCTTTGTCGTCTGCACGCTTCGCGCGTGACACCCTCGTGCCTGCATTGCCGAAGGCTGGTGGGATGCGGTCCCGGAAAGTCAGGCGCTCCTTTGGAAGTTTGGCCCGTTCTTCTAGTTTCTGAGTCAGCCTCTCCTCGGTCACCTCGTGTAGACGTGCGCTGCCGGTGTCACAGTGCTGCCACCCTGTGCGTCCATCTACTTGCCCTCGCTCATTGAGGTTCGTGGCCCAGATACCAGCAATGGCGAGCTTATATGGACCAGGTGACCGATCTGTCATTCCGATTCCCACACTCTTAATTTTCTGGCGCAACATCTCGGACTGTGGCTCTGTGATAACGCCCAGGTTCGTCCGCACGAACTCATGCCATTTGATAAGCACAGTCTCCCAGCGTCCAGGATCTCCAGGCCCGTTCGAGCCTGGTGCTCTCTTGTGTAGAGTCGATGTTGGTGGATGTCTGTGTCAACTATGGAATCCGTCTGAATGTTCACGAAGTAGTTCCGCCCGTCACTTTTCACTCTTAACGCCATGTACATGTATGAGTCCACATTCCAGAACAGCTCACCGAAGAGCGTATTTCCCAAGTCCTGGTTCCGCCACGCTGCAAAGCCTGTCTTCAGAACATCAGGCCGATCAGCGGGCAGCTTCGTGGATATGTTACCCTCGAACAGCATATGTGCTGGTGTGTTCGGATTGCTAGACACATCCGCCGGCACATGCTTCACATTCGCTGTCGAGATGCCGCCTACTTGCTTGTCTGTCATGGTCTTCATCCACGTCGAAGTTTCCGGATCTGCGAAGTCGAGGATTGGTAGAGGCTTGATTGGCAGCGACAGGCCTTCGAGGTTTATCGCTGGTCACATATGAGCATCAGAAACTAACAAAGACGGTTGACACTCACCAAACTGGGTTTGTTGCGCGATACGGTCCGCAGTCTTCTTCCAGAACCCAGGAGCCGCGCAACGGCGCAGCGTGGGCGTGAACATGACGGCGAGTGGATATCGAAGCACTCTTCTCCTCCGCGGATCTAAGACAAGAAGCTCGGGAAGTGCATGAGGACCTTTGCAACGGCGAGCAGCGGTAACAATAATCCCATCTCCCTGTCTACGACTGTTGCTTGTGATGCTTGCGCTCTTGACGTCTTCGGCATTAGACCCATATTTAAGTCCCCTCGGCGGAGCAGCTCCGGCGCTAGTATAATGTATGCTATGAGCTTATATCAACGCCTGGGCTTTGCATCTTTCCCACTCTCCTTCTCTTTCCCAGTGCATAGCCTGTGCATGCTCGTACATGTACCTCTACCTGACTATTGTTATCATACTGAGACGCCCAACCCGCCCTGAGTAGATGTCCACCGCTTAGTCCATCAAGGAGCCTCAACAATGCCCGCCCAAGTCCTTCGCTGCCAACGACTATCTCCAGTACTTGTACCCGCCACAGACCAGTGATGATGGCGAGCCTTGGGCTCTCGCAGTATTCTTATAGGATGTATCGTTAACCGGCCAATGTGTATCGCCTCTGGCACTCAAGTATGCTCAATACGCCAGCGACGATGTCCCATGATCCATTCTCGTGGTCATTCTGAATGGATGGGAAGCTTCCGAGTCTCAAGCATGGTTTGACACATGTATGAAGCCCGCCAGAGCTGATATGCGATGAACTCATGGAGCAGCTGGTAATGTCGACCATGACCACTCTTGGGAGCCAGCGGCTATCGTCCTCGAGGATTTTCTCGTCGACTCAGGGGTCAATGTGGACCACAGTACCATGCCCTTGCAAAGCCAGAGATCCTCTGCTGTTCTCACCTACAGCAGCATCACACAAACACATGCTTGCTTGGTCTGTTTGTCACCTTACGTCACTGCTAAGATGTCACTGCTCAGGCAACGTTGCCTCACCCAGTCCTTTCCTAATGGCGTTAGCGTGGTAGAAGTTGAAGCAACAACTTCAAATAGCCTGCAATTTCCCATATGACCTTCAATAAGAACCACTTGAACATCTTGTTGAAAGACACAGCAATTCAGGTATGTGCACTGCGTCGGACATTCAGCAAAGCCACGAGATCATGCTTCGAGCTTGCCGCAACGTCGAGGCGTGACGCTCATGGCGACGCCCGAATTCATCCGTCGCAAGCACAACTGACTTCTCGGTAGCAGACGCGCCAAATGACAACTCCCGCCGACCTGGGTCACTCTAGCTGCCGCCCAGAACACGGCAGAGAGCTGACAGAGGCGACCGCGCAAGCCCGCGTCCAGCACTCCGATCAAAAGACAACCGATAACACTCGTCTTGCGCATCGACGTGTTTTAGAAGAGCCCGAGCCTCTCTCGCGTGTATACAGCAACCTTTTGTCGGTGAGTGCCAGTGTTTCGTTCTGTCGGATCCTCAGCTGTACTCGAAGACGATGCGTCTATGTCGAAACAGTCCCTCCGCCTCATCGTTCCTGTGCGAGGCGACAACACATTCGCACTAGCTCCAGGCTTGGAGGTGTCTCAGCGAGGACTTGTCTGATGCTCACAACGCTTCGATGGAGCTTCTCACAGTCATGGCAGCTTAGTGTTGGAAGACGGCTGGATGATGCGCATGTGTCGGTCCGCGTTGGCTTCTGAACACCCCTTATGGAGCTCAATGCTGGCAATGGCACAATATGATCGCCCGCCGAAACCTTTTGGTGGCCTCGTGTGACCTGGTCCGCGGGTCTCAAGACTCGATGTGCAGCAAGAGTCATTGCCTGAGCTGCTTCACTAATGCGACGTGTTCTGGCGCATTCATCCAAGGACTTTAACAGAACTCCTTGAAGGCATGAGAAGCAGTGTACTCTGTGTGGTATGAGTCGTTGGATGACTGATCAAAGACCCAGTCTACAAACAGCCTTCAATTTGATCCAAGCCTAGCCATTCACAGGTAAGTTGCACAGAAGCTTGAATGACTGTTGCTGGGACGCCATTTATTCACTTTCGTTGGTCAACTATATAAGTTGATCTGCCCCATTTCACATTTCTTCTTTCCTTCCATCCTATCTCATCCTACACTTCTCTTCCTTCATCTGCCCCAACCCATCACTCCTCTCTTGCGCAAACAAGACAGACTCAAGCGAGCAACGGCCCGACAGAATGGAAGCTAACGACGTCGCAGACGCCGTCGGCGGTCTCTCGATCTCTGAAGACCGTGATCGACAGGGAGCGCCAATTCATCAGGAAGGTAAGCAACACGATTTCTCCTCGCGTCAATGGCAGAAGAGGTTCGACTTCGAGTCTTTCAAACACTGCACTATCCGCCTACACTGCGCGATTGTATTCAACTTCAGTTGAATAGCGCGAGGTGGCGTTTCACGAGTCTCATCTCAACTTCACTTCGACAATGAAGTCTTGCGTCATGCCCGGATGAGTCACTAGCCGCACATTGATGGCTATATCTATCATCGATCTGCCACGCTCTCAGTCCTATCCTCCACAACCATACTCATGCTCTTCATACTGTCATTCGTCATCAAAAGCTAACTCTCTACATCGCAGACGAGACTGAATACTTCAGCGACTCTGACGACTCCTCCGAGACCATCCGTCCAGGTCCAAAGCTAACCAGCATGTCTAAGAGCAAGAGCGCCGATACCTTGCGTTCGGGTGCAATGTTGAACGATGACGTCTTCACAAACGCCGCAACATCCAATGCTGAGCCGAGCCAGTCCAACGCCGTGGTCCTTCAAGGCGATCAGTCCATCGACACCACCGGCAACGTCCAGCACTTCCACCCTCGCGCTGATCGTGGCAATGAGATCAACGAATACAACGCTCAAGGTCAACTGCCTCCGGAAGCTGCAATCTTTTGTGCGAAGTAAGTGCTGGCGACTGCTCAGCTGATAATCTCTGACTAACGACTTCTTTCTCTGCAGCCTATCCAATCACCTCCCTCCCGATCAGCTTGCTCAACACGTTCACCGCGCTTTCGATACCTATGGCAAATGCTATGTCTCGGTCAAGTACGACAAACATCAGAATCCCTATGCTGTCATTCAGTACGAGGACCCCGCTGCTGCAAGAGACGCTCTTCGCACTGGCAACTACACAATGATCGATGGTCGTCAGATCAGATTGGAGCAGTCTAAGGGCGATCGAGCCGTTATCATCACACTCATGGATAATGGTGGCAACGTCTCCGAACACGAAGCCCGCGATGTCCTGTCCCGCTTCGGCGAGATCGAGACCATCATGTCTACCGATATGATCCCAGGCCGTCCGACTTCTCTTCCTCGGGGTCAGTATGTCCGATTCGCTTTCTTCTTGGACTGCCGCGATGCTCTGCGTCGTCTCCACGAGTTCAGTCCCAACTATCGCATTCAGCTCGCTGCGGGTCTTGAGCCAAAGAGACGCATTGGTGGTGCTGGCTCGGAGATCTACACCAGCCTTGGTCCAGCTCGGAACAACACCGACTCAAAGAGTATCTACGTCGGCAACCTTCCCGAGGATTGCACCGACACCGATGTCCATACTGCTTTCGCGCGTTTCGGAGTTGTCGAGAACATCAACCTGGTCCGCAAGACCTATCCCGGTGGCGCTCTCAACTGCTTCGCTTTTGTCGAGTTCTCCTCTCCTGCTGATGCAGACACCGCTTACCAGACGGAGATGTGGATCAAAAACAATAAGCTTCGTATTGAGCCCAAGGAATACACTGCTCGTCGCAACCAGCGCATGGCTTTCGAGAGCCCTCCTGGCAACCGCTTTCCGACCACGCCTCCTTCCCAGCGTCGCATTGGTAGCGGTGGATGGCGTCGAGAGACCAATGTTCACTCTCCTGGCTGGCGTCGTGGTGACGACAACTATCAATCTCCTGGCTGGCGACGTGGCGATGACAACTTCCAGTCTCCTCCACCTCGTCCGAAATTCCAGATCTCTCCAGCTGCTAGTGCTGCACTTCAAGAGCGCTTGGCCGATAACAATCATCACAACAACTCTGTCACTGCTCCAAGCACCCACGACCCCACGCCTCCTATGATGATGAGTCCACCTCGCTACGACCCCTTCGACTATGGTCCGGGCTATCATCATGGCAGTCCTGATGCGTATCGTCCCCACTTCGAAGGTCCCGTCTCGCAATACGGCGGCGGCTACTATCACGGCTATCAGGGTGGTCCAGTACACGCTCCGCCCGGAGATATCCGTCAAGGCGAAGGTGGTTACGCTGATCCCGGTTACACTGGTGCTGCTCAGTACGGCGGTCCTCCTCCACCTCCCCCACGCTATCCTCCTTACAACGAGTATCCTCGTGGACCCCATGACCACCAACAGTAGTCATGCTCTGGAGTCTGGCGTTCATGGTGGACTAGAGTTGGCGCAGAGCTGATATCGATCTTATTCTTATCCCCAGCGTTGAGGCCTTTTTGCGCTTCGACCTGGCGCACACGACACAGTCACAATCTTATTCTTATCCCCAGCGTTGAGGCCTTTTTGCGCTTCAACCTGGCGCACACGACACAATAGCAATCTTATTCTTATCCCCAGACTTGAGGCCACGAGCTTCGACCTGGTGCAGACGACATCGCATCAGAAGTTCCCAGTGGGGTCTTCCTTTTGGTCACATACCAATTGCGACGTCTCGACCGAGAATTTGGCATATTTCAAGGTCTTGATGGCGCGATATCTCGGCTATGCAAGCTCCATCATGGACGGAAGCAACCAAGATCGCTCTCATGCTATGAGCTTGCAGATCGGGACGGATAGGACCAAGGAGGACTTCGCGCATGATTTTTCGGAAAACATCCATAAACTTACCAAAAACAATAGAAAATAATAAACTCCCCCAAAGGCTTTTGCTGTTCGTGCTTCTGCTGCTGACGATGTGACTCGTGTTCTTCGCCGGCCTCTTACACACACCTTATAGCTATCGTACTGCCATCTTCGAGTCCGTTCCGAAGGCACAGTTGTGCGAGGCGCGGAAAATTGTTGTCGCCGTTGTGGTGCGAGAATTGACTATGGAACCAACGTACCAATAAATCTGGAAGCCTCAAGTTTCCTCAGACGGCGAAGTCCGGAAGAATACTTCGTCCATGGTGGCAGACATACTGGTTCCGGCCGAGAGCGCCGATAGTGTCGTACTGTCAGGGGGACTTCAGTCTTCGTCCATCCCACAAGTCATGCCCTGGGGGCCAGGACGGGCCTCGCCCGAAAAAGGTTCCGCCAGAAAAGCAAATTTGCCCCCGGAAGGATTCCTTGGCATGGGGCTTCAATCAAGCTGAGGTAGCTAGCAGTTCACTCGAGACCTATCACAGTAACTGAATGGGAGACCATCATTTCCTCCTGGTTATATATACAAACAACTGCGCGGGCGGAGATAGCCATGATGGCGGCACATCGAGGTCCCGGCCGCAGGAGTCTCCGCTACGGAGGACTTATTTGTTCCTTCCAACGATCCTCGCTTGCCAGTGTATGCTGGTGCGCCTTTGAGCAGGAAGCTACAGGAGGTAAGTTGACCTGAAGGAAATAGTTCGTCTTGGCAGCATCGGTCGCCGAAGTGGCGGCAACGACGGCCGTACTTATGTTGAGGGCTACTCCGGGAGCGTTCATTGCAATGACGAAGCCCAAGCGACTTTGACATCTATTACAGCACCACTATATTCAAACTGCCGTTCCGCTCAGGTGATATGACTATTCACACGCTTTCTGGACTCTCGCTTGTCCTTTTCCTATCCTTCGCAGGCGCGCAAATATGTCCTTCAGGTTACGCTCCAGCATCAGGCTCACCGCCGCCGTCCGAAAAGGCTATCACATGGGAGGCCTGCGGGACAGAGGACGAGCCGCGACTCGAATGTGCATTGCTGGATGTTCCTCTCGACTGGACTGATCCGAATGCTGGCACATTACCACTACCACTCGTTCGTTTGCCAGCATCAGATCCCAATCCACGAAACAGGTCTATCATATTCAATCCGGGTGGCCCTGGATCGAGCGGCATTGCCCAATTCGTAAAAGGTGGTGGTGGAGGGCTGGCGAAGTAAGTTGTGCCATATTGCGGACACAAATGTTGCTGACGCTTCGAAAAGCGACACTGGACATGACTTCCATTATGTTTCTTTTGACCCACGTGGAGTTGGCCTGAATATTCCTTATCTATGTCCTGGTAAGTTTTGTTTCTTTGAACTTTGACAAGTTGAACACATCTCCAAACGGACAGCCTCCAATCGCAGCGAACGCATACGCTCTTTCCTCTGACCTGAACCACCACTCTAAGACTGACCACGAACGCAGATGTCGGCCAAAACTCAACAGATCCCTCTGAATCGGACTTCGTTGCACCTTCCTACATCCCACCAATATCGATCATCCCAGACACAGACGAATGGTTCGAGGCTCAGTACGAAAATAACTTAGCCACCGGCAAGAGTTGTGCGAGCGGCACGTACGAACAGCTTGGAGAACTCATTGGTACTGCTTTCGTAGCACGAGATGTCAATGCGATAGCCGAAGCTCTGGGCGAGGATGGCCTGATCCGCTATTGGGGCTTTAGCTACGGCACGCTCCTCGGTTCAACAATTGCTTTCATGTTTCCCGAGAAGGTCGACCGCATCGTGCTGGACGGCAATATCAATCCTACAGACTACTACATCGGTCTGGGAGCGGAAGCAGTTGCCAACTTCGACGCGGCCATCGAATACTTCTTCATATCTTGCGCGGAGGCTGGCCCAGAGATCTGCGCGCTGGCAGAGGAAGGAAAAAGCGGCCAAGACCTGTTAGACCAGATCCTCGGCTTCTACAACACGATCCGAGACCAGGGCATAACACTCAATGCCACGGATTCCGAGAGTGTGCTGACCTACCAGGACATCGGCGCCGTCCTGGGCGACATCACCAAATCTGGCCGCAGCGTATGGGCGGAGTCGGCAGCAGGGCTTGCGGCTCTTTACAACAGCCAGGCTCCATTGCTGTCGAACGCCGAGAAACGTCAGACGCCCAGCCCAGCGCCTTTCGACCCTACGTTAGCAGATGATCCGAAATCAGCCGTGCTCTCAGCCATCACGTGTGGCGACGCGTCCCTTGACTTCGGCACCGTGGATGGCGATACCTTTCGCTCCTACCAGGAGTTGTATCAGCAGTACAGCAAATACGGCTACGAGTCCCTGCTGGGTATCATTCAAGCCTGCGCAACCTGGCAAGTCGCCGCCAAAGAACAGTACAAAGGTCCGTTTGAGAACATTGAGACACGTACGCCAATCCTCTTCGTCAACGGACCCTATGATCCCGTCACGCCCCTTGTCTCCGCACAGAACAGCAGCCACGGATTCTTGGGCAGCGCCGTGCTCCAGCATACTGGGACCGGGCATTGCTCGAGCGCAGACCCCTCGCTCGAAGTCAACGCCAAAGTCAAGTCTTACTTTCAGACGGGCGAGCTGCCTGATGTCTCTACTATTGCGCAGCCAAATATCCTGCCCTTTGAGGACTTGAGATCGCCGGGGTCTGGATCCCTGGCGAAGCGTTCTCCTGAGGAACTCGAAGAGATTGCAGTGCTGGAGGCGGCGAGTCAGAGATTTCACCGGAGGGTCGAGGCTGTAGACTACCCTCCCATGCTCATGGAAGCGAAGCGGAATGCCTTGGACATGCTACGCAAGAGGGCCTCGACTTCTGCAAGGGCGGTGCCGTCTGTCTCGTGCACGCCGATCGAGCCGACCAGCAGTCCCACCAGCACTGGCGAGGCGCAGGGGAATTCTACAGCAGAATCTCTCGGAGTGGCATTAAGGACAGCATCTGCAAGTACAGCGGTCGTTGTCGGCATGATCTGCCTGGTGCTACTGTAGCAGGATGCGATCTGGCACTTCCTTTTCAGTACCACTTGTATCAGTCTGCCAGTTCCTCAGGAATGCCAGTAGTGTCCTGGCCATATTAGCTGATGACACAGCAATGAGAGCAGCCGCTTGTCTGCTCTGAGTGCACCCATCACTGTCTAATTAAGTACAGGTTGGGAAGCTCCTGCAATGTGAAGCCTGTCCCTTTGGTACTCAACTCAACGTTAGCTAGCCTGTATCTAGCCTAATGTTCAACGCTGGCTAGCAATTGCCTAGCCTATTCTTCAACGTTGGCTAGCCTATGTTTAGCATATACCTAGTCTGAACTTTTGAAGAACTTCTGTTGCACTTTGCATTACCTTTCTTTGTAAAACCGCTTGCAGCTTCCAAGCAAGTCAAGGTTCTGGTCTGCTTCGTTGCAGGGCGATCACACTGGTCTCTGAGTCGAGGGGTGGTGTGAGCTCAGACGTCCCTGCGTCTGCAGCTTCTACAACGTGGATCGACACGAATGACCTGAAGTCAGCATTATCGTCTTGCTGAACTTCTCCAGCATGGATGCGACTTCCAAGCCTACCGTGCACGAAATATCGATGAGTCGTGAGACCGAGGCTTGGCCCAAAGCCTGGGGCAGCCCCACAAGACGTAAGTGGTCTCGATGACACGATGGTCTGAGCAGCGTGACGGCTCCCGAGAGCAGTCTTCTGCTTTGCTTCTACCACAACCTACAGCGCTCCGGCTCGCAAGAAATGGTAAACTGCTTTCAGATTCCGACGGATTCGTGACCAAGCAGAACCGGTGGGCCTTGCGTTATGACATACCAATTCGGACTCACAAGGTATCAAAGGACCTTGCGATGAGGCGGTGCCGCAGCAATTATCTGGAGGAGGCGTCCATGTTCCATGTCAAGATGTCGTGACAACTTATCGCTGAAGTCAGATGCATTTTGCCTCGAGGGTCGACGGACGCGCTAGGGGTATGCTCAAGCAGTCAGCTGTCCGCAAAAGTATGGAGGTCGGAGAGTTCGGGGCCATCTCATAGGTGCCGTTGCGAGAGGTATCGGGGAACAATACGCAGAAGTGGCAGTTGGCGAGCACACACACTTCACTCCTCATACAATTCGAGTTACCGAGGCTGGCGGCCTACACACCGGCTCTAGCAGCGACACCTCTCAGCGATCCCAACAAGAGCACCCATCTTCCGAGTGATTGTCAGAGCAGAGGTATGTCATACAACTTTCTGTGATCCACAACAAGCCACTCATGCCCCCTGTGTTCAGAACGAGCAGCGGAGTGTTTGTTGAGGCAGAGGTCTGTTCTGCGGCGCCTTCCCATTCAGCCTGATCCTTGCCGTGGGCGGAGAGGCATCATCAGGTCCAGTGCAGCGGGCGACGGGCAAGAATGACTTGGGTTCCATGGTGTACTCCCGGTCGCAAGGACAACTGGATCGTTGGGTGGTTGTGTGTTGGGTGCAGTATAGTGCTACCAGATCCCATGGATGAGGTAGGGAGTCTTCGAGATGTTCTTGTGGGCTTGGGATGGACCGTACCTTTTGTCTGGCAGTATTCTTGACCTGGATTTCCGCTCTGGCTTGTTGAATGCTTCTCTTATCCGGTGGGCCATGGCCCGTTTGGCAGTCGTCGTTGGTCTTATCGAAGGAAGGACTTCTCGAAGTCTAGGAGTGACCGGAAACGGTGCGTTGGAAAAGCCACCGTGTTTGGCCGCTTTGTAGGAGAGTGAAAAGCAAGATTGTGCCGACCTCAGCGATACACTGCGTTTTGAGGAAAGGGCAAGAGAATCAATGGTGATCGAACCATAGCCATAGTCGTGACTAAAGCACTGTCATGAACATGAGAGCTTGAGGAACTGGGTGTCATGCGTGTAGGAGGTAAAAGCTTGCGGAATGATGAGTTGCTCGAGAAGCAAAAAGAAAAGCAAGGTGCAGGCGTTGACTTGGAAGGAACCACGTTGCCTGGAATATGATCAGAGTGGATGGCAGCCGCGGCGTCTCACCATACGGAAGGAACATTGTTCCCTACAACATCGCACATGCCTTCCGCCTTGAAAGGAAGGTACGCTCAACGCTTGTCGTTGACTAGCTGAGGGCAACAGAGCTCCTTCGTGTCTGTAAGCGGTGGACTCAGACATGAAGCAGATCGGCTTGAAGAAGGCGTGTTGAGTTGTCGTGAGCTAGGAGGGCAGTGATCTGCCTATGTAGAGCGCCCCAGGGTTGATGTACCACATCCAGCGAGCTGGGATAAGTGCCTCATTCCTGTAAAGTCGTCGTTACACATCATCTCAGCGAGGGCGGTCTTCGTCGTAACTCATAATCGACCCTGCACAAACCCGGCCTTCTCTACCGTTTCCCTCAGTACACTGACCACCTCTTTTGGATCTTTTGCCCCGAAGACAGCACTGCCGGCAACAATGACATTTGCGCCAGCCTCTGCTGCTGTACCTATCGTGCTTGTGCTCAGCCCTCCGTCGACCTCGATGTTCAGATCTGGATATCGTTTCCTTATCTCTTGTACCTTGGGCATCATGTCCGCCATGAACTTTTGCCCGCCGAAGCCCGGCTCGACTGTCATCACGAGGACCATCTGTAGCATTGTCAGCAACCGCACTCAAGCACAGCATTCACAGCCTCACGTCTGGCCTCTCCTTCTCGTCCTGAGCATCCAACAAATCCCACAGCACGTCCGCCTTCGTCTTAGGTTTTATCGCTACACCACACTGCATACCAAGCTCGTGCACATACCGCACCAACTCCTTCGGACTGGTCTTCTTGCCTGTCTCTTCACCCGGCTCATCCGCCGCACTCCCCTGCGCCGCCTCCCAGTGGAAGCAGTATAGATCGCAGCCGGCGTCCCTGAATGTCTTTGCCCAGCGATGTGGTTCGCTGATCATCATATGGCAGTCGAATGCACCGTGTTTCAGTCTATCGCCTTTCCGCGCGGGCTGTGAAGGTCGCTCAACGTGCTTGCGGATGGCTGAGAGACGGGTGCGCCGAATGTGATGTTTGGTACGAAGTGACCGTCCATGATGTCGACGTGTAGCCAGTCGGCATTGTACTCTTTGATCGTACGGGCGCATTCCGGACCGAGTGCTGCAAAGTCGGCGGAGAGGATTGAAGGTGCTATTATCGTCGGCGGTGGCATTGTGAGGACGTGCAACGATAGGGGAGAGGACTACGCGGGACCAGTTCCACTAGACACGCTCGAATACGAGCAAAGATGCCACGCGGAAATGTCAGAATTAGGATGTTCGGACGGCGTTGGATATTGAGCAATTTCGGCGACAACGGTTCGCCCGGAGCAGGCAATCCTCTGTTCTCAAAACAGCAGGGCCAGCAAGAAAAGAGGAATGACGATCAGATAGGGAGGATTAGTTTACCCAACATACGTTTGAGAGCAACATGTCAAGATGTGTTCTGCAATGTTCGCCGGAATCGTGGGGTAAGGTGGGGTGTCACCTTAGGGGTTGGAGATCAGCGGCATCTTCAGGGCTGCTTTCTAGACCGGCTGACAAGACAGGTCACCAGAATGCGAAGAGTATCCAAATTGATTCATTGCTGTCGGACTTCTGAAAGAGAGACATCCTCCCCCAATCCTGGAGTCTAGGCTAGTATCTCTGCCTACGAAATGCTCGAAATATAAATGTTCAGACATCCAGACCCAAAATCACGTAGGATATAATTGCTGGAGATCGCTTGCGTCAAAATGAATGAATGGTTGTACATGTGCGAAACGCTGCTGTCGGAGTTCGTGCTGTAAGGACGCTGGAAAGGTGCCATCGCATGACAACAGGAGACTGTTGTAAAGATGTCGTTAATCAATCGTGCGTGCGATCGTCACACAAGCAGTGATGGGGAGTGCGAAGCGGTAGCAGAGGCAATGGCCCGCGTGTGAAGTGATGATGATTCAGACTCGTGCCGACCTCTCTCAAGAGGACGCTCGCGCTTGGACTAGACCGATTGAAAGAGTGGTCCCAGTTGTTGATGCTTGACTTGCGGTCGCTCGTAATGTCAGGCACGACTTGAACAGAGTCTTCCAAAAGACCTTCACCGGATTCGAGCCCCGGGATGAAGTCCTCTTCGATGGGCGCAACAGCGTCCACATCGAGTCCGAACTCCTCCTCATGAGCGCTTGATGGCTGCTTGTCGAACTGGCGAAATTTCTCAAACCAGGTGAGCGCGGGAGGAGACAATGAGTTATGCTGAATCAGGTTGGCCTGCGTCAAATCGGCAAAGCTCTTTGCTTCGTAGCTATTGCCACCTACTGCGAGCCCATCGCAGCCGTATGACGCGGTGTGAGCTAAGTTGGTGACTAGCTGGCCAATATTTCGAGGCGCTGTTCCCATGGCTTGTTCGGACGCGAGTGTGCCTGGTTGGTGACAGCCACATCGGCGTTCGCAGTCAAATGCGCAGCAGCAGCCACAAGCAGACTCCAGATCGATACTATAATCCTCAAATACAGTGCTGCTGTTCTTCTTTGCTGCCGAACCCGTACGGCTGGACCCGGATTTGGGAGGCATCTATGGCCGCGAAGTAAGCTAGCGAGTGCTGAAGTTTGCGAAGGTTCATTCGGTGGCGAAGCTGTGGCGTTGAGGGTCGTACTTTTGGTTGACTTCCCAATCGTGTACCTCTTATGTACGTTATGAATACTTCCTGGCGCTCGCGCTGCTGTGCTCAAAGAATTAAGTGGTGATACAAGGTATGGAAAGATCAGAGAGATGTAATGGTCAATTAAGGATCAGGAGCAGACCGCGACACCACGCATATATGCCGGATGAGAGGATGTTGCCCGTGTTCACACTCTTCAGGTACCCGGACAGTCCCTCATCTTTGCTACATGCTATTGCTGATCAATACCAACCGTCGACATCCGCGTGACGGTGGGGCCTACAGGTCCAGGCTCAACCGGTTCCGGTACCTTGGAGCTGCGAACGTGGTTTTGAGTTCATGTTCAAGGGCGGAGGTAGAAACAAGGCAACCACTCGGATGACTTCCCACTGTCAATTGTTGCAATTATCTTGAGGTATTGGCTGATGTCTTCGAATGCAAGCTCTGGGTAGCGAAACCTCGGCGTCTGGCTTGACCGCCATGACCTGTAGCATTTGTTAGACTTCGTGACTGTAAATAGTACGGCTACGCCGACACATTAGCGGTCTGACAAGCGGAATATAAAGAGGAAGCAAAATCCCCAGCATAAAGTACTGCCCAGTGCCTCTGTCTTCGAATGGATCACCACAATTGATGATGTCGAGCGGCATGATTTTGAGATCACATGCAGCTACCAGGGAAATGATTCGTCGATTAGCTTTCGGCGCCCTCCGACCGCTCAATCGCGGATATTTCGGGCTATTGTCAAATCGATAGCCTTTAGGTCAAGTTCCGGCGGAGGCGGACCGTTGGTGCGTGGACGAGATAAGAGTCTTTCGGCGTGCGTGTGCCGAGCAGCGGGTAGCTCCAAAAGTACCATGTTTTCAGAAGATAACGCCCAGCTCATGGTCAATTTGTCATTTTGCTGCCAATCGGCGATTCACATACTGCCGGCTCTGACGTCGCTGCTTCGTAGAATGACGCGATCATGGACAAGCACATAAGTTGACTGTCAGCCTCGCATCGAGCGGGGAAGCAGGAACCGCTTCAGGGATGTCGGGTACGATAGCTCCATGGTCCTAACAAAAACACGGCCACGAGCGTCGCAGAACTGGGATATAAAGACGAGGCTGGACTTGCCTCGAAAAGCACGGAGCAGACATGCTCAAATGACCTTCTGCCAATCGCGCAGCCCAGTTTGCACCTCGATACGGTCGCTTGCTCTATTCGCGATTCATGTCACGGATCCTCTAAACCTCGCAAAGTTCACAATTTACCGGACTGATAATCCTGAGCTCAACCATTGCGTTGCGCGAGAGCTGTATCACTAGCCAAAAGTTTGGGAGTCAATCGTGCGTGGGGTATCTGTATACAATAGAGCGCTGGCTCCTCTGTGCGTGGACATGCCTCCAATATACGTGGGCCACTGCTGGAACACAGCTCGGCCTGGAGAGTCATTGTATATAAAACTTTTGATGCTTCGCTATGCAACTTCTGAAAAGTATCGCTTGCTGGTGCTGCCACGACCTTGCACGGGAGAACGAGAATCAGGTGGATATGGGAGCTCATGATGAACAACATGAGGCCTGAAAACCGCGTCGACACTCGGCTGCCAGTCGTCCAAGGGAAGCGGGAAATACTCGTAAAGCTGATCGACGCTCTCGCCGCCGGGACTAGGTAATGGACCTGATTTCCGGTGCAGTAAGTCCGGTCGATGAGGATTGGACGAGACCGATGCCACCGTCATAGATGTATGGTGTGAATGAAGTCGAGGTCGCTGCGTAGGCATCTCGGGTGGAACACTCGTTGGGCTCACGTTCGCCAGAGTGTGAGCTCTTGGCTTGACGGAATGCAGGATATCAGGAGACGGTAGCGGGTTTGAGGTGGGTGGCTTGGCAGAGGACTGTCTTGACCGCGATTGTGGTTGTGGCTGCTGTACGTATGGGCTGCCCCCTTCGTCGTCACTGCTGAAATGCAAGCTTTCCGGCCCATTCGATCCCATGCCGGCGGTGAAGGTGAAGGCATAGGGGTTCGGCGTCGTTCCGTCGGGACTCAGCGATGATGGTATTCCAGGCGGATTCATGGCCGTTGTGAAACTTGGTGTATGCAGCGGCTCGACGACTGTGACATCCTGCTATCGTACTTCAACGCCATCTGTGGTACTTCTTCGGGTGGTGCTTTAACCTTGGAGGCCGACGTGCCTGGCGGAACTGATGTAGACGAGTTTCGTGGCCCAGAAGTAATATGTTTCCGAGATGTGGAACTGCTACTCAAAGGCAGGTCTTTGCGTGCAGCAAAATTGCGAGGGCTTCTGCCTCGAACGATGATGGCGCCAGAGTGGGACTCGGCGATTGGTATTTTGCCGCCAGTCGATAATGATGCCATAATCTTCAGATGCAAAACAAAGTGCTGCTGCAGTTCCTTTCTCCTCCCATTATTCGCAGTCGCTATACGGAACTGCAACCGTTTCCATCCGATAGGGAAGGTCGTGAAATCAGTATCGAGATCTTGACCGGTCATTTTATCAAGGGGAATTCCAGGAGGCTCTCGCTCGACTTTATCCTCGGGTTTCGAAGTCTCACCGCCGGTCGGAGTCTTCCATGGAACCGAGATTATCTTCACCTGATTGCCCTCGACGGACTCAGTGGCCGACACCACGAGTTCGAGCTCGTATATGGGTATCCGAGATCCGTCATCCGTGAAGACGTACCGCAGATTTCGTGGGAGAGTAATTGATCCAGTTATTTGGAATAAATTTCTCCGGTAGCAAGTCAGCTCTGGTGGAGGCGGGGGCGCATCTGGAGTGGCAGGCCATTGTGACTCGGCGAGGAAGAACATGCCATGCAATTGCGCGTTGATGTTGATAGACGACCTTCGAAACGAATCGTCCAGCAGTGTGAAATGGTATTGTGGCATTGAAAAGCTGAGGTACTTGCTGTCACGATCGATGCCAGCTCCTTCTTCTCCTGCCGTGGGTTCAAATTGCGATAACGTGCCGTCTGCGAACGGATCTTCGAAGCTGTTGAAACGCTGCTTCATCATTTGCGACGGCTGAAGACTTGAGGAGGGCCCAAACCCCATATCATCACTACAAGTATGTCAGAAAACGCCATGCGACTGCTGCGCCGGTGACCTACCTCATATACGGCTCCGAGTCGAAGTTCGAGTATTGATCTTGCATGGGATCCATCGCAGATGGCACACTCATGTAGTCTAGATTTTGCATCCCACCTGCCGGGAACGGCATGGGACTGTTGCCATAAGGCATCGCTAACGGGTCGTAACCTTCCATGACGAGAGCCATCCACGTGGAGCAGGAGCAGCGGGAGTTTGGATTGCGGTGGACGTCGGCGGTTGTTGCGCCACGGAACTGGAACTCGAGGTTTGGACGAGTGCGGAGAAGTATAGGACGTGTCCAGCTCTCAACCGGAGGCCATGTCCCGAGTAAGCATACGCACTATCTCCAGCAGTCGAGGCGATAGCACGCGTCTACACCGCCGCCCAAGTATAGGCAGGAGAATATGAGACAGTGTTGCGCAGTATAGAACGTGCTCAAAAGTCCCAGGAACACAAAGCAAGTTGACTGGTGCTAGATGCGAGCCAGTCAGATGGCAGGGGAACCCAGGCTGAACGCGGGGCCACTTGATCTGGTGGATCTACCGGCGACACCGAAGAAACACAACAAAGTATATGCTGTGCAGGACTGCTGTACGTAAGGCGCCGAAAGTATAGTGACAGGTCGAGGATTGAGCTTGACACCGAGGAGAGGTGTAGGAGAGTGAAGAACGGAGGAGAGGAAGAGTGATGGCCGACAAGACTACTGCTATACTTCGTGAATAACAGCAACAGGAATAAAACAAGACTATTGCTGAGTGGCCAGTGACCGACTAAGCTGGGTAAGGAAGTTCCATTTCACTGCAGGCTTCGACAAGGATTCCAGGAGGGGCATCGCCTACGGCCGCGCGAGATAGCCTAGTCCCTCCTAAGTTTAGGCAGATTTTCTTCTAGAAGACTGCTAGAATGTAGAGCTCCAGCCACTCCGACGGCAGCTCCAATGACATCCCCGACCTTGTTGGCCGGTGGTCCTTGCCAGTTGCCCCCCGGCAAAGGCTCAGTTCTTGGACTACGCTTGGATGCTCCCAACAAGCCGCGGTTCAGAAGCCCAGTGTTCAGTTCTCGTCACGATCTGATCTCACTGATGGCGGTCTGTTGCGTATCGAGTCATGAGAGCACGGAGCACGGTTGTGGTGCAGGTTTGCAATGATTTCGCACTCTGCACAGCACTTACTGGCGAGCTCCAGGCAAGATAAATGGCTGCTGCAACGAGTTCTTGGTGTTGCATGCTCGATCCAGATCGGAACTGTGATCTGAGGGTGCTAGGAATCGCAAGATGATCCCTCGACATATCCGACAGGCGGCAAAATGACGTCTTGCCTCTGGGGGCGAAAGAAGTACGTGGTTTGAAAGACAGCTTTCTTAGGCATCATTTCTCTTGAATGCAGGTCCATCGTTACCCTCTTGGGCATGTCGAGCCGCCAGCCAAACCAGTGCAAACTCAGCGCCAAATCGCACACTGGCGCAAGTTTCACGATCAGATCAGCAGCAATCGCAAACCGCTGTGTTGAATCTGGTAGTCGGTGTCTGCGCAACGGCTTGCACAAAAAGCAACAAGCATTTTCGCTCAGGGCATCCCGAGCCAACTCAATGATCGCCGAGGCACGTCGCTGGTCACTTTCCCGAATGCTAAAACTCCCAATGCTGATATTATACAGCTGATTGTGTGCGGACTTTAGAGCTTAGAGGCGTCGAAACAGATGCCATCATTGCGGCGGAGAGCCTAGGCAGGTAGCGGTGTGAGCACACTTATCAGGACCACAATTGATCTCTTCCAAATGTTGGCCTGCGAAAATCATCCGTTACGCTAAACCTGCGGCCTAAGTCATCCACCCCCATTGCTCAAGCCATGGCGGTCTGCGCGTAACCGCTTTGGATGCGCCGCTGACCTCTCGTCCACTGCCACTTCTGCGGGGGATCCTCTAAGCGGCTTCTTCGCATGCATACCAGGAGCTTCCATGCATATGACAAGTCTTCTCGAAGACCTTCGCGCTTCGTACTCTAACCGCACGGAGATCGAATCTCCACCAGGCCATCATAAGCGATTCGACTCAACACTGTAGCTATCCGGATTCAATGGTACGTACCACTCGTCGTTGCTACTGTCAAGCCACGACGTTGTTATCTAGCCAGGCACCACCCTGCACTGATCGACAGCACTGCTCAAACATGAGACGGGGTGCTTGTCGTGGTTCGAACGCAACGCACGCACGCAATTCTTTACGAGCGAGCTACGCGGTAAGTGTTGTGCCCAGGCACCATTATTGTATCCTGTAGTTCCCGAGGCTTGACGGGGATGACGGGGCGCGGGACCCTCTTTTCCACGGGGCAATATACTGTTTTGGAAAATTCGGGGCCTTGTTGCCCATGCTGTGCACTTTCGTTGGTTCGAGCGCCACTTCTTCAGACATTTCACTTCGCCTGCAATGCAAATTCGCTCGCCAGAGGTCTATATTTGACGCGAGGTAGCGCGGCACGCCGCGTCCAATATCCGGCCCCTGAGGTCTGGCTGTGGTCTAACATCAGCGACTTTAGCATATGGCGCACACGGATATTGGCCTCGTGCGTCAGATGAATTTCCGGTCCATAGATCAACCGAGCCGTCTCACTCCAGACCCGTTGACCATTCGAATGCCCGAATTCCCCGTGCTGCACTGATTGCCATCAGACTTCGCCCTGGCATGCACTCGGGTAAGCACGAGCTCCGGACTTAGGTACGCCATCGGTAGCTAACCGGCAGAACAGTCTGATGGCCACCATCGTAGTGCTATCATGACTCGAGCGTACCGCTCAACTGATCGGGCAAGGGGATTGACCACGGTGAGGGAGTCAGGTCTGCTCAACGTCACATGCTCAACGCTCTGAGACTGCTTCCCGAGCGGATTCCACCACGAGGACAAGGGTTATCTTTAAACGGACACTGCATTCGAGCCGAAATGGTGGCCATGGTCCTTCATTTGCCGAATTGCTCTTGCTCCCGCAGATGTCTGGGGTCGCACAAAACTCTTGACTCCACAACCTCGTGTTTCGTTCACCAGACCTCCTCGGTCGGCATTCGAGTGCGTGGTTTGCGGCCCGTGCTAGTATGATCGACTGCTCAGGTGAAACACTCTGGGGTCATGAGCATAGCTGCTGGCATGTAGCCAACCCACAGATGGGTCAAGAAAGGTATGTTGCTTTCGTCCATCGCTCCTGGGATCACCCAGTCCAGTGCTGGGGATCAGCATTCAATTCATCAAAGGTGTGTACGACCTGGAATCCGAGCTCATACAAATACTTGAGTGCCCCATCTTCGTTCACCTGTACGATTTCTTAGCAAATGCTTGGACCATCAGCGTGCAGTATGAGTATCTTACCTTGTCGAAGACGACAGCAGAAGCGCCTTGTCGCTTCAATTGGCGAACACCAAGTAATACCAGGCCTTGCAATAGGGAGTGCCGATCATGTGCTGAAATTACAGGAGCCGATATGCAACCTCTGATTCCACTCTCCATGCTCGGCACATATCTCGTAATTCTGGAGTCGTATTTCAACATCAGGAGCGTGCCCACCACAGACCCATCGCTCGCACGCTTCGCGCGAATGATGCTACTGGACTCCTTGTTGTCCAAGGCCATCTTGTACATGTCGACCAGATCAGAATGTCGACTGCGTTTCAAGAGGTCACTGATGGGACCTGCGTATTCTGCGCCGGAGACCTGGTCGAACTTAGTGTCAGCACTCGACAGGGCTTTGCCAAGTCCTTCAGGGGGTGCCCATGTCGCCAAATCATCAATACTCATCGAGCAGACTGTTGTAGACAGTGACACGTTCCAGCCAAGCTTTGCAAACCACTGTCGCAGGACTTTGTACTCAGCGACGTCTCCTTTGGGGATGCCGAGGAAGACGTTTGGTAAATTCGTGCCCAGCTGGAACTTCTCAATGCCCTCGTTCTGGAGAAGGGCACGAATAGCTCTGTCATGCAGTGAATGACCAATGGACAGTCTCCGACGTCCAGGATCTACCACGATTGCAGCGATGTGTCCAGTCTTGCTTGCTCGAGAGTAATAAGTGGCGCAGAAACCAAACAGCTGCTTCGTGGTGCTGTTTCGAACAACAAAATGCGCTTCGTCGACAGATGGATTTCGCAACAGGAACGTGTTTGAAGTGGCATTCTGGAGTAGCTGTGCCGATCTGCCCTTATCTCTAGCAGATTCTCTCAGCAAAGTGTCAAGTGCGACTGCGTCCCGCTCCTCTTTGAAATTCTCCACGAGCCACTGCTGCCGAGTTGGCTTGGACTGGTGCTTGTGACCCAGGGAGCCGGGCAGCATGCCCGTCGCTGATATTTCACCGTAGACCACTTTGACCGCGGCTTGTAGCGCCGTTTCTGTAAAGTCATAGGTGCATACATATGTCCCGATACTCGTGTCTGCTGCGAAGTCGAAGGGCGACGAGACTGCGATGACGATGCAAGGCTTCTCTTTCATTTGTCCGATGGAGCCAAGTGATAGCTTGCACATCATCGATACATGCTTTGCGAAGCCGTTCTGATACTTGTTGCGGCCGGAATCCGCTGTCACAACGATCACAGCAGCGGCCCTGTTCAGTAGCGTCTCGTGAAGCGGTCTCAAGCCATTCGCGGTATATGATGTATGCGATACTTTGCCGTTCCTTTGTCTGGCGAAAGCTCTCCCAAATTCTCTAAACACCCTCTCTCCACTCATGACGGATGCGTTCGGGTCCCATGAGAAACCTGGATCTGAGACTGACAACTCAGCCGAGTCTTGGTGCAGACGTGCATTGGCAGAAGCCGGAAGTGGTTTGACCAATGGTGTGAGTAGTAACAATTCTTCCTCTGGTTGTATGGTTCGAGACAGGGGCAGATATCGTTTTTGATCCCTTACGATAGTGATAGACTTGTTATAAGCAGCCGTGGAGAGGTTGGTGTGTAATGGCTGCAGTCTTGTGAGGTTTTCGACACCAAGAGGCGCGAATGCTCTTTCCCATGAAGTACAATTCTTCATGGTAAGGATCCTGTTCAGGGATTCCTGAATTCGGAATCGCTCGATGTTTCCGTTGTCGAGTCCGGCTTTGAGGCCATTGATGGCCTCTTCCTGCACCGAAAGTGATCGGCACGTTAGTATGAGATCGCAGCCTGCCTGGAAAGCCATAACAGTCCCGCCGCTTATGCCTATGTTGCGACTCAAAGCTTCCATTTCGAGACATTCTGATATTACCACGCCTTCGAACCGCATCTCATTGCGCAGAAGATCTCGGACAATTTGCTCTGACAGGCAGGCATGCATGACATTGACGCCTGAGGATGACATCGCAACGCCTCCAACCATCATACTGTCTATGCCACCCGCAATAGCATTTCGAAAGGGCACAAGAGCGCTCTGGCTCAGACTCTCCAGTGACTCTGTTATGGTAGGCACATCTGTGGGAGGGCCGAAAAATTCAAGGTTACCATAGGAAGGAAAGTGCTTGCCGCATGTTGCCAAGCCGGCTTCCTGATAACCTGCCATCATGGCAACACCATACGCCGAAACCTCAAGGGGATCGTCGCCGATCGAGCGCACGCCCAGCGGCTGGTTCCTGGCATTTGTCAAGACGTCGAGTACAGGCCCCAGGATGTAATTGATACCGCAAGACCCCAACTCCTGTGCCGTCGCTCGGGCGATGTCTTTTGCGAGCTTCTTCGAGCCGGCGGCAGCCATGCCCATGGCACTAGGAAATTGGCGAATATAAATCTCATCGTAGAGGCTGTTGACACCGCCGTTTTCTTGGTCAATAGCAATGAGCAACGGCACCGGATGACCAGCATCGTGAGCAATCTGCTGCAGGTCCAGGACCAGCTGAGTAGTCTGCGCCGCGGCTGCAGCTGCATGTTAGCACGCTGGTCAGTGACGTTCATCAAGACACCGACATTTGAGGTTTTTGGCGGTCAAAAGAATTGAGCCAACATGGTATTGTTCGATGAGGGTCCGGACTTGATCCGAGATCTCGGTACCCTCAAAGCCCATCATAAACAGCTGTCCCAGCTGTCTATGCGATCCCGGAGGTCAGCTGTGCATCAGACTAATGCCAGACGAAGGCTTACCTTGCTTCGTCCCATACTGCCGGCCCATCACCATTCGTGGCGGCCATTGAGGCCCCAGGAGAGGTATGGACAAGGCTTCGTCTCCGTATCTCACGTGAATGAGGGGGTGGATCTCGGGCAGAGGAGCTCTCAACTCCAACCCGTGCGCGAATGGCTCGGCCGGAGGAAACGAACGGACATACTTTTGGTGTATCGCGTCACTACTACCGTTACAGCGAATGCAAAGGCGGGAGCGAAAGCGGCGATGCTGTTACAGAAAGTGGCTGCAACGATAACCAAGTGCCTGGATGTAACAGTGTCGTCCCCGAAAAACGATCGAGAACTCGAACGTGGGCAAAAAGCGGGCAGAGCTGGTCCGCCATTCCGCTTTGAGCTGCGCTGCTTTCCCTTCTCTCACTTCAGCTACGAGCCTACGACCAATCCTCCAACGGCGTCCCTCCTCTGAGTCTGCTTATCCAATAACGACAGCCACAGAGGTCGCATGCGCTTTTCTCTCGATAAGGCACCGCAGCCTTCCCGTAACGTTGCACGCTGACCACTCTTCGTCCTCACAAAGCGATTTGTGCCCCTCCACAGCGGGCGAGCCATGTGTAGCCCTCCTCTACCATTGGCAAACGCCTGCTGTGACGATGACCAAGGTTTCCTGTGCCTGGAGGACCCTATCGATGTCACCAGGCATCGCTGATGACCGTTCTGCTACCAGCTATGTAAGTTCTGCCGCCGCTCCCGAGCCCTGTTGCTTCCTTTTCTATTCCGTTCAGTGCCTTCCGTGTCAATAACCCGAGGCCTTCCTACATCGAGTTTCCCCAAATTGCAAAGAGCAGCTCCCAGTGAACCACTGCCGCCACGATGAAGGTCATAATACGCGATACTGCCACAGCCGCTTCCGACTACATCGCTGGTCATATCATCCACCAGATCAACACTTTCGAGTCCTCCGAATCCCATCCCAAATATGTCCTTGGTCTGCCGACGGGCTCCTCGCCGGAGAAGATCTACGCTGCACTGGTCAGCGCCCACCGTGCTGGCCACGTTTCTTTCGCAAATGTCATTACTTTCAATATGGACGAATACGTTGGTCTGCCAGAAGATCACCCAGAATCATACCACAGTTTTATGTATAAGCATTTCTTCGCGCACATCGATATCGATCCATCCAACGTGAACATCCTCAACGGCAATGCGCCAGATCTGGTTGCAGAATGCGCAAACTACGAGAAGAAGATACTCGCAGCGGGTGGCATTGATCTCTTCCTGGGAGGCATTGGTCCGGACGGACATATCGCATTCAACGAGCCCGGCAGCAGTCTTGCGTCTCGAACCCGCATCAAGACCTTAGCGGAGGAGACAATTAGGGCCAACTCTCGATTCTTCAACAATGATCTCCACCAAGTACCGAAACAGGCGCTAACCGTAGGAGTGGGCACTGTGATGGATGCGAGAGAAGTTGTGCTGATCGTGCTCGGAGCTACCAAAGCTCTGGCATTGGTCAAGACAATAGAGGGTGGTGTATCGCAGATGTGGACGGCAAGCTGTCTGCAGATGCACCCGAATGCTATGATTGTCTGCGATGAAGGCGCCACAGACGAAATGCAGGTGAAGACGGTCAAGGTGATTGATACTGTCCATACACGCTCAGCCAGACTACTAATCATTCGACAGTACTTCAAGTCCATTGAGACCGTCGCTGCTCACACTGCGTATCCGCATACCACCTCACCTCTTCCACTCACGCCCCCACCCTCATCTGCCAAGACAGCGGGATGGCGTGGAGCGCTCAAGGAGCTTCGGATTGACACCAAGAAATCTGCCGATGTGGATGACGACGATTTGGAGCTGACCCCTGACTCGATGTCTGCCCGTGTTGCAGCCTTGGACTCGGCTGTGAGCATGTCTCCGCCGAGCAAGCTGCCTCCTATCAGGAAAAGCACCATTGACGGCTTGGATTTCGGAAGCATGCATAGGAGAGTAAGCAGCGTGGCCTAAATATGTTCCATTGGCGTATCTGATACAAATATCGGGGAGTGGAGTTCCGGAGCTGGCTTTCGTAGCAGCCTGCTGGGTAAATCTGTAGCATCTGGCATAGACTTAGCTGTGATACCCTTGTAGCAATACATTTTGGTCCTTCTCATGTTGCTTGTCACCAGATACTCATAGTCAGGGTGCGTGACGTCCCAAACACCATAGGACAAGAACGGCTACCAGGTACCATTGAACGAATTGCCATAAAAATGCTCAAGCTGCAAATATATTATCTCATCAGATCGTTCCACGAGCCCTACAATTTTGCTTTCGTTTCAAGCTTCGTAAACACCGTCGGCACTTCCCCACCCATCTCGACCAGTGTGCTCTTGTTCTGCACCCAGTTCTCGAGCCCCTTCCTTCCATTCTCGACGCCTACACCACTTGACTTCCATCCGCCTACCGCCATTTCTGCGGGCGACTCGCCCCAAGTATTCACCCAAGTGATTCCAGCCTGTAACTGCCAGATCACATCATGGCAGCGAGTGATGTTCTTGCCAAAGACGCCAGCCGCGAGGCCCAGCTCCGTGTCGTTGGCGCGCCGAACAGCCTCATCTAGGTCTGCATAGTACAAGATCGTCATCACCGGCCCAAAGATCTCCTCTTGCGTTATCTTCATGCTGTCGGTACAGTCAGTGAAGACGGTGGGAGTAAGCCAGTAGCCGTTCTGATACGTAGAAGGCAGATTCTTTGGCTTGCCGCTGCCTCCAGTCAAAAGCTTAGCCCGGTCATTGTTGATGCCGTGGTTGATGTAGCTGATGACCTTATCGTAGTGTGGCTTGCTCACAAGAGGTCCGAAATTGGTGTCTGGGTTCTGAAGATCGCCGGCCCGGATATATGAGATTTTCTCGAGGAGTAGGTTTTCGAAGCGAGACTTCATGGCTTTCGGTACAAAGACCCGCGTGCCGTTTGTGCAGACCTGACCAGTGGAAAAGAAGTTGGCCATCATGGCTCCATCAACAGCGATGTTCACGTCGCAGTCGTCGAGGACAATGAGCGGCGACTTGCCACCCAACTCCATCGTGACATACTTCATCTCTCCAGCAGCACTGCCAGCAACCTTCTTGCCTGTGCTGACTTGGCCCGTGAAGCTGACTTTCTGGATTTGAGGGTGCTTCGTCAAGTAACCGCCGACTTCGCCAGCGCCGTAAACCACATTGAAGACGCCATCAGGGACGCCAGCCTCGCGATATATCTCGGCTAGGAGTTGAGCGTGTAACGGGGTCACCTCGGACGGCTTATAGACCATGGTGTTCCCTGCCGCTAGACATGGCGCAGATTTCCATAGAGCAATTTGGATCGGATAGTTCCAAGCTCCTATGCCAGCGCAAACACCCAGAGATTCTTTGGTTGTATAAACCCAAGCACTGTCCCGCAGTCGGAAGCTCTCTCCGTTGAGGCCACCTGACGCGATCAAGTTTGCATAGTATTCCAGGACATCGGCACCAGTCACAACATCGACGGTCGACGTTTCCGAAAATGGCTTTCCTGTGTCGAGAGTCTCAATAGCGGCTAATTCATCGTTGCGGGCTCGCAGTAAAGTAACAGCTTTCAGCAGCACGCGCGACCTTTCAATCGGTGGGGTACTGGACCATGACCGGAAAGCCGAGCTTGCTGATGATATGGCGCTATCGACGTCCTGTGTTGAAGAGGTGTGAATACTACAAGACGGCCGACCCGTCGACGGATCGATGGATTTAAATGTGCCTGACGATGATGCTGAAGTCTGGGACTTGCCGGAATAGAACGTGTACCTGTCTGATACTGAAGGCATGTTGTGGAACGTACTCGGGCTCTCGATCGTGTCGATGGTCGCAAATGTAGACACGCTGCAGTGATAGTGAGACCGTTGAAGTCAGATGTCGTTACTCCTCTCTACGTCAATGGGTTTTCCGGCGGAGTCTCGTATCACTGGTCGTGTCGTGAGCACTGCTTCCTTCTAGCGATTGAGATCCACGAAAACTCTGATACCGTAGCTCGGTCAAGGAGAAGGTCGTGTAGCTAAAGTCTTGACTGGAACCCACAACTACTTTCGTGTAAGGGACCCCGGATTTTGGCTTGCTTATTGATTGGACCCGAGCACGTCCTGCGTTGCACAGATTCTAGTTGTAAGGCGCGGTTTTGCTCTCTCTGGTCATGAGATGTGCTTCAATGTGCAAGCAGGCCTTTCTAACAGTCTACGACAGAACTTTCCAGGGCATGAAATGTCAGACGATGGCAAGGTCCGTAGTCACTGGCACTAGCGCCTTCGGCGCCTTTGACCCCTCCATCAAGAATTTTTAACGGCCCTTTCTGATGGGCTGTGACTGCCACTCCAGGCTTAGTCACGATAAGAACCCTGCCCGTGGTTTGAGCAACCGCGAGCTTTTTGCGCATGAATCTGGGGAAAGAGCTCCTCTCTTAGCTTGATGGGTGTCCATCGATAAGTCAAGCAGTTCGCCTAGCATCACCACCTCGTGGCCGCGTTCCTAAGGAGGGGCGATCCAACGCATCCGCCCCTTCATGTGTGGACAGTCATGCCCGAGCTGCAGCCCTGAGAAGACTTGAAAGATGGTGTGATAGGACAGCTCGTGGTCTTTGGATCCATGACCAGGATCTGCTCATCAGTCATAGACTTTTCACCGCTCGATTATTGTTCCCATATCTCACTGAGGCCACGGATCTGGTGCAGAAGCTAGATTTTCAACGCTCCACCTCTGTTGATACGAGCACGATATCATCTTCGAGTCTCCCAGAGCTATCTTACTGCGCAAGAGTACCCTTGAAAACTGTTTTTCCAGCTTCCAAAAATTTTCTTTGATAACGTCCTCTCCGGATCCGAATCAGCCTTAAATAAGCGGGAAGCTCTGGGAACGAGCACGTGGGTGTATAATCGACTTTCTACCTCACCAGTGCATCTACACTTTGTGCCTCGAGGAAAGACCACCTCGATTTTACGATCATGACTACCAACAACTTGCCCGCAAGCGACATCAACAGCTATGACTACCTCGTCGTTGGCGGTGGAACCGCCGGCTGTGTCATGGCATCCCGCCTGGCCGAATATCTGCCCAATAAGCGCATTCTTCTGATTGAAGCTGGCCCGAGCGACTTCCTCGACAATCGTGTTCTTGATCTGAAACAATGGTTAAATCTACTAGGAGGTGAGCTCGACTATGACTATGGCACGACTGAACAGCCGATGGGTAAGCATATTTCGGGGTCCCCAGTGATGAACAAAGGTTTCTGATGCTGAACAGGCAATTCCCATATTCGACATTCTCGCGCGAAAGTGCTTGGAGGTTGCTCTTCGCACAACACTTTGATCTCCTTCCGCGCATTTGAATACGACATGCAAATCTGGGAGTCACTTGGCGCGAAAGGCTGGACCTTCGAGGAGATGACCCGTGTTCTTCGCAGGCTTAGGAATACCATTCAGCCTGTTCACAAGCGCCATCGAAACCAATTGTGCTTGGACTGGCTGGATTCGTGCTCCAATGCTATGGACATTCCTGTCATCCCAGACTTCAACCGCCACATCACGAAGACAGGCTCTCTGACTGAAGGTTGCGGTTTCTTCTCCGTTTCCTACAATCCAGACACCGGTCACCGATCGTCCGCTTCGGTGGCTTATATTCATCCTCTGCTTCGTGGCGATGAGGAGAAGCCGAATCTGACAATCCTGACCAATGCTTGGGTCAGCAAGATCAATGTCTCGGGCGGCAAAGCACCGGCATTGACATTAAGCTGCAGAACGGTCAAAGCCACACTCTTACTGCTAAGGCGGAGACCATCCTGTGCGCTGGCGCCGTCGATACACCCAGACTGATGCTGCTCTCTGGTATCGGCTCTGCTTCCGATCTCAAAGAGCTCTCAATTCCCGTCGTCAAGGACATTCCGGGTGTGGGCTACAACCTGCAAGATCATCCCGAGTCTATCATCATGTGGGAGCTCTCAAAGCCAGTCCCGCCCAACCAGACCACCATGGACTCAGACGCCGGCATATTCTTGCGACGGGAGGCTCCCAACGCTGCAGCCGTGGCGTCTCCTCAATCACCTTTCAATCCCCAGAACCTGCCAGACGGTAACATCGCCGACTGCATGATGCATTGCTACCAGATTCCTTTCACACTCAACACCACCCGTTTGGGATACGACTCGCCTCCCGATGGTTACGCGTTCTGCATGACGCCCAACATCCCGCGCCCTCGCTCCCGAGGCCGCGTGTACCTGACCTCCAGCGACCCCTCCGTGAAGCCTGCACTTGACTTCCAATACTTCACCGACGAGGGCGGCTACGATGCCGCAACCCTTGTCTTTGGCATGCGAGCGGCGCGCAAGATTGCGGAGCAAGCACCTTTCAAAGACTGGATCAAACGCGAAGTCGCTCCAGGCCCGAATGTCAACACCGATGAAGAATTGAGCGAGTATGCGAGAAGAGTGGCCCATACTGTCTACCATCAGCTGGAACCACGAAGATGGGCGATTTGAGCAAGGACGAGATGGCCGTGTGCGATCCGGACATGAATGTCAGGGGCTTGAAGGGGCTGAGGATTTGCGATGCTGGTCTGTTCCCGACCATGCCGAGCATCAACCCTATGGTTACGGTGCTGAGTCTAGCGGAGAGGGGCGCTGAGATCGTGGCGCGACAGGCTGGGTGGGATGGAAAGACTGGCGTGGACATTGCGCCACGGGCGAGGTTGTAGGGCTCGAGTTTGTGATGACCATGTTTTGGAATAGTGTCTCGCTACATGCTTTGACTGAATGTAGGTGAGCCAGGTTATGGATGGCTCGGTTTGGGATCTTTGACGAATTGTGGCAATGGAAGTCTACAGATTTTAGCAAGAAGCAGGTATGACTATGTTATCGTTCAACCTCTTCATAATCTGGCTCCGGGATAGCCGCTCTTGCCCTTTATCACATTGTACGCACCACCGCCTTTCCCAAACATGGTCCTCACGTCGTGAACCAGATGGTCAGGTTTCTCCCACGCGAAGAAGTGACCGCCCTCATTCCAAGTCTTCTCATACACGACATTCCCTTGCGTGCGCGTCCAGCTGCTCGGGAGGACACTGAGTTCTTTCGGGCTGTGGCTAAGCCCAAGTTTGACACCGCCTCCGATATACCTTCTTGTACGATCCCTCGTCACCCTGGTCTTCGGGTCATCCCATTTGTGGATGGCTTCGTAGTAAATTCGAATATTGGCGGCAGGGCCCGCCTGACTAAACCAGTAGATAGACATCCACGTACAGATCTCGTCGGGTGTCCACGGGTAACTATCTGTCCAGTCATGCAATTTCTCGTAGATCCAGGCCAGTAGAGCGACAGGTGAGTCCGCAAAAGCATATCCTAATGTCTGTGGCTTCGTAGATTGCTCTGAGCGGTAGCCGCTGCCGTCCTTTTGGAACCACGCACCTCGAGCGAAGCCCTCGCGTTCGCGTGATGTATATGGCCTGAGGTTGTGTTTGGCGGCCAAGATCGGGTTGCTCAGAAAGCTCGGCCGTTCGCCGTGGTCCATATTGACGTGAGTTGCCTTGACGTTTTCAGGGAACAGGAGCGACATTGTTCGTGTGATGAAGTATCCCTGCTGCGAGTCAGTATCAACGCAGGGTCCGCCCTGAGGCTCATCTTACCCAATCTCCGCCTTGCGTCACGTATTCATTGTATCCAAGCTTGAGCATGAGTCTGTTGCACGTCTCTGCGTATTGCGCCAGTGCGAAGCCTTTCTTCTTTGAGCCTGAGCTGAAAGCATAATTGGGCAAAGACAGGGCGACAAAATGGAATGCAGGTGCCGAGCTGTTCGGTCCGGGATCTGTCAGCGGCTTGTAGATCTTCAATGCCTCGAGAAAGCTGCCTGGCCAGCCGTGCACGAAGAGAAGTGGTATTGCGTCTGCAACATGGCTTCGCTGGTGAATAAAGTGGATCTGAAGCGCTTCGAAACCCACACACTGGATGGATGTGGTAAAATGAGGATGCTGGTTGAGTGCTGCTTCCGCTTTGCGCCAGTCATACGCATCACGCCAGTACGCTGTCAGTCTCTTCACATCGTCCAGAGGAGCGCCATAGTCCCAGCCGGCGCCATCAAGCTCATCGTGGGGAAATTTTGCAAGAGATAGTCGTTTCTTCAGGTCGTCAAGAGCCTGGTCTGGGACCGATATTGTGAATGGCTTGATGTCCGACATGATCATGCATGCTGAACAACAGAGAGAGGTGCCTTTGGTCGAAGGGTCAATATAGAAGCTACAAATACGCCCACATTTGTCACATCCGAGGCATCACGCAACTCATTGCGTCACGGCGCCGAGCATCAACGCGTTCAGCGCCGATGGCGTATAGCTTCGAGCAACGTCTGTAGCACCATTGATAGTCAGCATTGGAAGCAAGAGTGCCCTCAACTTGTCGTCGTACACGCATAAAAGGCCAATGCACTGCCTGTATGGATTCCAGACGACACCGCGGCCAGGCTTGCCAACGGCATGGCTTGGCAGCATGTTGTGGAGTTGGACCCTGGTATGTGTCTAGGCCTCCAGCTACAACAGGGCTTCAGCGTTGGCTCCTCCTGGAGCAATCGTCGACCTTGATGTCGAGCAGAATCTGTTAAGTGCATGGCATTTTGGTACAAGGTCTGCTAACTATGAAAAAGGACGCCGTTAACGAGCGAGCTATTCCTTCTGCTCATACAGATTCCACCAACATCTTCACATGCCTCATCCATTACCAGGTGATGCCAATGGGATTGCTGGCGGCCTTCGAAGAGGCTGCGTAGGTCGGCTTCTTTGCTGGCACCGCAGCGGGCTTCTTCGCAGCTGGCTTCGATGCTGGCGAAATGGTCTTCTTTGCCCCACCTACAGCGGCGGGTTTGGCTCCGCCAGCGGGCTTCTTCAATGCTCCCGGGTTAGCACCAGTCTTCACCGGCGTGGGCTTCGCTGTCGTCGACTTCGCAACGGGTGCTTTGGCACCATTTGTTTTGGGTACTGCCTTCTGTGTCGAAGTTGTAGCGGGCAGTGCCTTCTTCGTCGTGGCGTTGGTCGACTTCTTCGTCTGGGCAGGGGGAGAGTAGATCGACGGACTCGTCGTGCCACGCTTGCCAGAGGATGTGGTCCCGGACAAGCCAAGAGGGTTGTAAGCCGTTGCAGCTCTGGAGCCTGTCGCCGAGGTCCAGTCCATCACATTGTTTCCATAATCCATGACACCGTTACCATATCCTGAGATTGTTCTGTTGATACTCGCACCAACGCCATTGATACTGTTGCCAACAGCATTAACAGCTCCTCCTGCAAAGCCTCCAGCACTCGACACTGCACCATTGATGGTTGGTTTGATGGCATCCGAGACCTTGTCCAGAACCCATTGAGTCGCCATGGTGGTAGTTTACTTGGACACCGAGTTCTTCTTGCTGGGACCTAGCTTCGGAGGCTTACGACGCTCTCCCGTCTGCGAGGCGGCGTCTGAGACTGGGGCTTCGGCTGACTTGGCGGGCTTGCCGATGGGAGTCCTGCCCTCGTTGATCTTCGGTCGACCAGGAGGATGAGGAGCCCCGCTGTGGTCGGCTGGCTGCTCCTTGGGTGGTAGCTTGGGAGCTGTGCGGACCTTCCACTCAGGCTTCGCTCTAGGGGCAGTCTTGCCTCGAGTAGCAGTAACGTTGATGAAGTCCTGATCGAAGAAGATGTCGAAGGAGATGTTAGGCATTGGTACTGTAGAGAGTCTTGCAGCACTGGCTGAAGACTACAAAGCTGGGTGATGTGGCTGTAATTAAAGCTGTTCAGGAGATAGGTTTCAGTGACAATCCGATGCTCATGAAATGGAAGTTGCAAAACACTGTAAGAAGTTGGACGTCATATGGGATGTGGCGGTGCCATAGGAACATGTTCGATGGAGTGAGGGGACGTGTGCAGGGGCCTCGTCGACATGGGTTATGCCATGTTTTGCACCAAATTCCCCTCCTTCATCCCTGTCAGTCATGCCCGAATTCCACGATTCACAAAGCCGACACGATGTCCAGTGCCCGCTCCAGGCGATCAGGGCTGGAAATGTCGCTGAATATGTGGCACAGGATATCAAACCCGTCCTGATGCCGGCACTTGCCACATTTAGTGAAATACGGCCACAATCTGGACCATGACGGTGGAGTGCCTACAGAATATCTGTGGCGTTGATTGCTGAAGCTGTGAGTTGTAGCACTGTCAATGTCGATAGCTTGAGGTCGATTGAGCAGGAGCGAGGGCAAGGCATGGACCGCAAACTTGTCACAACCTCGCAGCAACGATGTCTTTGGTTTCGGACCGGCCAGACGCGGGCCTCCAGCTCGATTCTATGACGGAGCGGCCTGATCGCGTGCCGCAGAACAAAGGCGAATACTCCATCGCATCAAGAGCTTTGGCACTGTCGACGTACTTCTTGAGCGGTGCACTTGCTGTCAACATCTCCCAATTCCTCGGCACGCCATTGTACTTGGTCAACCAGGACTGGTACAATGCATGGATCGCCTTCACCAAGCAGTCCTTCGGGCTGCTGACCATGACCTTGACGCAGGCATTTGCGCCTACGAAAGTCATTGTTTCTGGCGATGCGTCTGTGCGAGGGCAGATGCGGGTCTCAGCAGACGGAAACCTGGTTCTGGACTTTCCGAATCGCCTCGTCTTGATAGCCAATCACCAAATCTATACCGACTGGCTGTATCTATGGTGGATCGCTTACTGTAATGGCATGCACGGACGGCTGTACATCATCCTCAAGGAGTCTTTGAAGAAGATTCCCGTGCTTGGATGGGGGATGCAGATGAGTCAATTCATCTTTCTGAAGCGCAACTGGGAGAAGGACAAGCCTCATATGGCAGACGCGCTCGCGAAGCTCAACAAGCCGAGTGAGCCGATGTGGTTGATGCTGTTCCCCGAAGGCACCAATCTGGCGCCGAGCACGAGGGAAAAAAGTGCTGCATGGGCGAAGAAGCAGGGCATGAAGGACATGTTCCACACCTTGATACCGCGAAGCACTGGACTCCAGTTCTGCCTTCAGGAGCTACACGGGACCACCGAATACCTTTATGATTGCACGGTCGCTTACGAAGGTGTTCCTCGTGGTCAGTACGCGCAGGACATATTCACTTTAAAGGCTGGCTACCTTGAGGGCCGGCCCCCGAAAAGTGTGCACATGTACTGGCGAAGGTTCGCCATCAAGGACATTCCGTTTCAGAACGAGAAGACATTCGACTTGTGGCTCATCGCACGATGGCGTGAGAAGGACCTGCTTATGGAGAACTACCTTCGTACAGGCCGCTTTCCAGCGGACAAAGGCACAACGAAGTACACAACTGGGCGAGTGGTCAAGGGCACAGGCCACTCAGAAGTTCAGATTCGTTCTAGCCACTGGTACGAGTTCTTACAAATATTCGCACCAATGGGTGTCCTTGCCATGATTCTCGCGGTCTTCTATGGTGCTCTTCCAGAAAGCTTCTGGAAGAGCTTCAACAAACAGGCACTGAAGTCGAACACTCAAGAGATCAAGAAGGCTGGTCAGCAAGCAGGCACACAAGTTGGGACGGCTGCGAAAGCGGCGAGCGGTCTGACTCTGGACGACTTTTTCGACAAGGACAAACAAGAGGATTCTTTTAAGAAAGGGGCGCTTGCGGTTCAGAGTTGGCTGGGAACACCACAAGCGCAATCGATGATGAACAAAGTCGACTTCGTGAGTCAATTCGTGCAGGATCCGGAAAGCGCCGTGAAGGACACATTGAAAGGCCAACGGAAGGACTTCATGCATTCGATCAAGGAGGAAGAGCTAAAGCGGCAGAGACTGAATCTACCAAATTCCGCACAAAACGTCGGTGTCCAGAAGGGCACTTTCTGGAAGGACCTCGACCGGCTCGACAATAGCCGGCATGGCTCTGTGGTGTCGTCGGTACCACCCTCCGGCAAACCGACTGGAACATTCTACGACAAGCTCCAGGCTGCCGAGCAGAAGAAGGCACGGGGGCTTGGGTACGACGCTCGTGGAACTTTCTGGGACAAGATGAAAACCGAGGAGAATACGCGTTCCGGCACTGTACGAACGATATCGAGCGGCACGAGCACTCCCAGGGGCACCGTCAAAACATTGCCCTCGACGCCAGCTTGGACAAGCCGAGCGCCGTCGATAGCTGCCAGTGGTGCGACTACCCCAAGGAGACCGTCACAGCTCAACGGCACGGCGACACCGAGAAGACCATCACAGCTCAACGGCACCTCGAAACCTCCAGCCAAGACGCCAGCTAGGCCACCGCTACCAAAGGCTCCGTCCACCGCCACTTCAGTCGCGTCTACGGCACCCAAGAAGCTACCGATTCAGCCAAAGACGGGATCGAGCACCCCTGGCACAGCAACACCCAAGCTAAAACCAAATTCAGCTGTCTCTAGCACGAAGAAGCCTCTGTCAACGACAAGCGCAGCAGCCAAGCCCGCCGCCACGAAACCCAACAACTCCAAACCTATGTTTCCTCTGAACAGTCAACCTACAACTAAATCCTCTAAGGCCAAGAATGACAACACAAAGCCAATGCTTCCAGTCAACAAGCAGTCTCCGGCTAAGCCAACTACGGTCAAGCTACAGTCAAGACACAGCCTAAGACACCTTCGATAGCAAATACTGGGCAGAAGCTGGCGCCAAAACCGAAGGTCGTCAACGGTGGTACCATCAAAGCCCCGGCGAAGACAGCACCATCCAGCAGACCTACCCCTGCGACGAAGACGGCGACACCAGCCACGACGAAGCCGCCGGCGCCAGTCAGCAAAACGCCGGCGAAGCTGGGTGTCAATGGAGCTGCAAAGAAGCCGTCAGTGGCATCGGAATGAGGTGAGAGACATATGCGAAGTTTTTGCGGAGCAAGCGATTTCATACTGCAGAGCCAGCCTGCTTGCTGGCTTGACGGTGATAGGAGGTTCTTTTCAGGATGTATAGTATTGTACATCACAGGGAATTGGTCAGAGGAGGCATGCCATCACTGTGATTCACACTGCATTCATGCTTCTCAGATCTGCTTCACCGTAATGCAGTTGCTTGTATACAGTGCTCGTTAAGCCTTGAGCGTATAGATACTGGTCACCGCGGTGAACAATGCTTCCATGTTCTTCCACAACATCGTTGCCTGCTTTAACTTACACTTCCTGATCCATCTTCGAACCTTCGACACGTCCAAGACCGCTCCTCGACTTCATCCTTTGTTATTTGAACTCTGCTAGCACGACTCAGAGCCCGCCCGACGCCATTCTACACAAGCAAGTCCCCAACAATGTCAACCTCTCTAAGCACCCTGTCCCCGAGCGCTCTCGCCGCCCTCGCACGCATCCAGCCCAACAAGCCCAACACTCAACTCGACATTCGCTTGGCAGCCCACCCTCGAGGCCGAACCCGCCCAGTCCATCCTGCTCTACCCGCGCTTCCCGAAGGCCGTGGCCACCACCTTCTCAGGCAAGTGGCGAGCCCAATTCAAGCCCGTTGTGGCTCTCGCCTCGCTCGAGCAATTGCGCAAGATGTCCAACACCACTGTGACTTGCATCGGTGGGGATCCGGAGGCCTTCAAGGAGATTCTTGACTGGATGCTGAGTTGTTGTGATGGTAAGGGCATCAAGGAGTTTCCGAAGGAGAGAGGATTCAGGGAGAAGCCGTTTGTGCGGTTGGTCTGGTTGCGGTGAGTGCACCCGTTCTCGCGATGTAGACAAGTTCTACTACAGGGAGGCCTCTGGCTTGCGAATTTGACGGTTTCGACTTCTGTAACCGGCATCGAAAAGAGGTGGAAGTGAGGCTTCGCTGAGAGAACTTCGATTCTGGCCAATGTCGAAGAATTCTGCCAGAGGCGCCCCAACCCTTATTTCCCAATTCGTACATTCGCTCAAAATCGGAATGCTGACCTAAGTTTCCCGCTCCAGCGAAGCCGCACTCTATCTCCAGATCCCCTCTTTAGTCACCACCTTCACCGCCCGCCTCGAAGCCATCGCCGCCGCCCAGATCCACACCGAAGATATTCGCGTCCTGTACGCAACCCTGCCACGCGATCACGAGCTGTTGAAGTGGATCGCACGCGATATCGGAGAGCGCTGGGTGGTCAAGGAGTTGAAGCCGCTGAGGGCGAAAGGGCCGCTGAAGACGTTGATGGCGGAGTGTAAGGAGTTTGGCGAGGACGTTGAGAAGGTGATTGAGGAGTGGAAGGCGAAGAAGCAGCTGGAAGCGGAAGCGGAGAGCGTTGCAGTCGGAAATGGAGATGGAGAGGGTGTTGGCGATTTGGGACAGGGTGGCGGCGGTGGTGAGGACGGTGTCGAGGAGGACTTCGTGGGCGGATTCGCATTCACATGGAACTGAACGCGGCCAGGAGACAGGGACGCGTCCACGGTCAGAGGGTCCACCTCTTACCCTGCGCTTCCGCCTCCGCTCTCAGCGCACGAATAGCATCACTACGAAGAAGGCAGTCGCCCACCCGCCTCTCGCGCAACCACAACGGGATGTCCTTCCGCTTGTAACGGACAGCGTTTGATCGTCGAAGGGGAGTCTGGAACTGTTGGACCTCTGCCGCGTCTGATGGGTGAGACTCTGGAATCTCGGAGATTCCTGCCGGTTGAAGGTCAACATGTACCTTTGTCGATGTGGGTGCCTCAGTCTGAGGCTCTGGCAGCTCGGGAATTGTAGACAGTCTATGAGGTGTGTAGTCCAGGCGCTTGAAAGTCTTAGCGGCATCCTCCGCTCGGGCGCTTGCAAGGTACGAAAACATGCCCTCCATGGGCATCGAGTCCTGAGCCATTGCTGTCGTATACGCGTCGATGTTGATCTTAACGTTCCTGTTCGTGTAGCTTTACTGTGTGAGTAGGCAAGGAAACCGGCGGAGTTAGTGGGAGTGAGAACAGGGAGGGAAGCCATGATCGTCTTATGAGCAAAGTGTTGCGCAACATCGGTACAAGGTACTCGGGCGGAGCTGGAAGAGCAGATCAGTTTTGACTCCCAAATTCACGAAAGGTGTATTCGCTTGCAAGTTTACGTCCTGTCAAATCACAGGACACTTGAGAATGCCAAGCAAGGTCAGTACCGCGGTTTCCACTTGTGATCCGCTGGTAAATTCGTTCAGCTGAGGCGGAGCGGAACCTACCATCTCGGGACACGCCAAGAGAAGGAAACACCGCTCGAGCGAGCACGCAGGGCGGTCATCGTAAGCGAATAGCTCGGCAGGATTGTCTGAAATGCATGCCGGGGTTCTCGCGATTGAAATTGTTGCTCCGGAATGGTCGAAGAATAACAGAAGCTGGTCTATGGCCATTGCAAGACCATAACAAACCGGGCTCGTGCTTCGGAACATTGTCCTTCTGAAGCCAAATCGGCTCGTCTGTGACGGAGATCTTCGCGGAAGAGAGTGACACTATCGGTCGCTCGCGAAGAAGGACTGCTCGGATCGTGGTATCGAGGCGACATAATTTCTAGAGCTTTCTTTAATGATGCTTGATTCATGTACAATCCCGACGCCGCCTGTCTTCTGCACTGCTTCCTGCCGCCCAGAATGATCTCGCTTCGCACCTACTCTTCATCGGCAAACTCAGCCCTGCCTGGTTTCGAGTTGAGGTATTCGTTCCTGTTATGTATCTTAGCTACCACCTCTGATGTGCCCTGATATGACCCTACCTCTCGGTCGCCCACGCCATCAACGTATAGCCTAGTAGCAGAGGCGGTAACCAGTAGAGAATCTGGTGGGCTGTTCGTCGAGCGACGTTGAAGACTGCGGCGTGCATCGTGCCAGCGAGAGGTCTTTGCTGGTTGGCAGAGAGAGCGTATGTGATGATTCCCTTTTGCTTTTGGCCGCCTAGCTTGGTGTTAGATCTACACTTTTGATCGTTCCTTCTAGTCTCGGATAACCGAGGCGGTTGTTGGACATACCGAAGTCTCCCCAGCCACCTATGTATCTGTAGACTGTCAGTGTCTGCTGTGACTTGCTTGGCTATGGGGAGCACGGGTTGAGAGTCACTTACTTTCCTGCCTTGGGATCTGGGTGCGCGCCCGATCGAAGGGCTCGCGTCGCCTGCATTCGCAGGACGGGTGTCGGTCTGATCATAGTGACTTGCCTGAGTGTAAGACCGGATGGCACTAGGGAAGACTTGTACTGGAGAGGAGCATGCGCAGGAGTGAGGTGAAGCTGTCGGAGCTTTCGCGCCAAGCCTTTTCGCAGTCGAGCCAATTGGAGCGCAATTGAAAGCATCATCACCTATCGATGCCTGCGACTACCTACTACTTGCGACCAGCTGTATATTCCCTCGCATCGACCCAGGACACCACAAGGTCACCGACGAGATGGCCACACCCAACGTGCTCAACGCCATTTCGAAGTGGGCGGTGCCAGTCTTCATCGGCATCTCGCTCGGTCAAGCAGCTCTTTACGATGTGAAAGGCGGAACACGCGCAGTCATCTTCGATCGGTTGTCTGGTGTACAGGAGAAGGTCGTGAATGAAGGCACACATTTCCTAGTCCCATGGCTGCAGAAAGCTATCATCTACGACGTCCGGACGAAGCCGAGAAATATCAGCACCACCACCGGTAGTAAAGATCTCCAGATGGTCAGCTTGACGCTAAGAGTATTGCACCGTCCGGAAGTGCAGATGCTTCCTAGGATATATCAGGTAAGCTGGTCCTGTTCCGTCGCCTGTTGACCTAAGCTGACCGACCCAGAACCTCGGTCTCGACTACGATGAGAGAGTATTGCCATCCATCGGAAACGAAGTCCTCAAAGCCATCGTCGCACAATTCGATGCCGCCGAGCTGATCACACAGAGAGAAGCAGTCTCCAACAGAATCAGAGCAGACCTGCTGAAGCGCGCATCCGAGTTCAACATCGCTCTCGAAGATGTGTCCATCACTCACATGACCTTCGGCCGTGAATTTACAAGAGCCGTCGAACAGAAGCAGATCGCCCAACAAGATGCTGAGCGTGCAAGATTTATCGTCGAGAAGGCCGAGCAGGAGCGCCAGGCCAATGTCATCCGCGCAGAAGGTGAAGCCGAGTCCGCAGATATCATCAGCAAAGCCGTGGCACGCGCAGGTGATGGCCTTATTCAGATCAGAAGAATCGAAGCATCCCGCGAGATTGCCAGCACTCTGGCCAACAACCCTAACGTCACATATCTACCTGGAGGCGAAAGTGGCGATGGCAAGGGAAAGAGCACATCGCTTCTCCTTGGATTGCGATCGTGAAGGAACTGGTGGCGCTCTGCTCGGGCTGTACAAGAAATACGTGGCGATTGAGCCACGGCAGCTACGACTCTCAAGGCTGAAAATTCATGCTTCTCTGTAGCATTAGCGAATCAAAAAGGGACTTCTCGACTTTCTGAAAGCTTTATCCCAATACCCTCCAGTGAACTCCCCATACTCCCAAGCTCCGAGCCTGCACGCAGCTGCACGCCCGGGAGCCCCTCTAAATGTATCTCGTCAGGGTCGTAATCCTGACAATCCCCCAAAAAGCTCATCCAGCGCGCCCAAGTCCACTCAATCCAGTCGGATTAACCAGGTCCAATCTTCGGCATATCATGATGTTCACTCAACCCACTCAAATACTTGTTCAATTCCTGTACTCTTTCCTTATGTGTCTTCACTCCCTCCCGCTTCAGCCGCTCCTCCAGCCGTTTCCGCCGCGCCTCGTCCCATCGCTGCTCGGCTTCCGTCTTGCGTGGTGCTGAGTGGTCTTCCTCCTCCAGCGCACTTCGAAGGTTTGTGCGTTTCTGACCTGGCAACTTGTCGTTTCTGGCAGTGGTATCTGCGTCGTCGTCGTTGTTGGACTCGGTGGGAAGGTCCTTGAGTACGACGGAGTTGTCGTGGAGCTGCTCTGTCGCGTCACTCCTATTGGTGAGGGAAGAAGTAGTGGCCTTGTCCTTTTTCTTCTTGTTGTGTTTGCTGATCTTGGAGTCCTTGACGCCTTTGAGCTTGAGTTTGCCCGTCGAGTGGGACGCGTATGGGTCTGCCATCACACTCTGCCGCATGCGGCGTTCACCGAGGAGACCGAACCGCGGATCACGCGAGGAGTGGTGTGGTGGTGGGTTGGAACTTTGGCCCGCAGATCTCGGGGAAGGAAGTCGGGGTAGTTGCGGAAACTATATCCGGCGCATATAAACGCACCGCAAAACTCGAGTGCAATCCCCTCGAGCGCTCTTTACCGCCCCAAGTGTCCCCTGTGTCAAAACCGGGGCCGTAACACAACGATTCACGCACAGTGTTCTCACATTCGGGGCGGCAAAAGCGCAGCCAGGGAACCGAAATTCGTTTTTCCAAGGCGCCGGCGGGACAGATAGAAGCTAAATTAGGTAAGGTAGAATTTCCCGATTCAGATGCCCTAAGTTCCCGCCAGTATTTGTGACTTTCACCAATAGTTCCGACCAACCTTCATCTAACAGCAGTCTTGAAGTTCCGTGCTTGATAGCGCACCAGTCATCTTTATCTCGGCTCACACCTCGCGTACATTTGTGCCGTTGCCTTGAGTCGATCCGCTGCACGAGTGGGGTGTACCCCGCGACTGGACTCAGGCAGACTTCACGACTGGGATCAACAAGGCTGAGCTCACGAATCAAGTTGGCGTATTGACCATCACTCGACGAACACTTGCGAACCAGAACAGCCTTCAGTAGCATTTCTGGTCCCCCACGTCTCGAGCTGGACACTGTATAAATCGGGCGCAGGTACCCTAGATGAAGCTTCCTCTGATTGGCGAAGTACTGCTTTGTGGTTCGCAGTGCTGGTACAGGCCACCACGTAAGTACGCATATGTTCGGACCGGGCGGTTCACGGTGCTAGAGTGCAAGGGGTACCCCTCGGCCGCCTCACCTTGTGCATGGCAGGCTTCTGGTGTACTTCCAACTAAAGCTGTCTGATATATGCTTATAAGACGGTTTGTCCTCTAAGGCTTAGTGCTGTGGATGTATATATCCATCCAGGTCTCGAAACACGCCCGCGACCACTGAAATCGTCCTTGTCTAACCCAACAGGTTAATATCTCTCCTTAGGTAGGCTTCGCGCCCCGCACGTGCCCAACAGATTCGATGGAAGCAGTCGTGGCGGTTGGGCTTGCGAGCAATATCTTGGGCTTCATCGAGTTCGCGGCCAGCCTGGTCCATATTCAGAACGAACTAAAGAACAATTCGCTTGTTGCCGAATACAGGTCCTATCAGGACATCGCTAGAGATATACAGAAACATGCCAAACGGATCAAAGCAGGCAAGGAAGGATGCAAGAACGATGAGGTGTGTTCTGACTAGTCGTTCCGTCCAACCACGTTCTGTTTCTACTGTCCATACTGACGGAAGAAAGATCCTCGTGAAAATTGCGGACAACTGCTGCACTTTGGCTGATCAGCTATTCCGCCGTGTGAAGGCATCAACCAACAGACACGGCACGAACATCTTCAATCGCACTTTGACAGCCATCTCTACCCTATGGAACAAGAGAGAGATCCTGGAAATCATGTACACGCTCGATCAGCTTCGCAGCGAGTTGATCATGCACAGGATTCATGAGATAGGGCGGCAACAGATCCGACAAGAAGCTGCGCAAGCAGGTAAAGAGGACCTTCGCAATGTCGTGAAGCTACTACATCAACTCCAGTCTGATCTTGATGCGCTCAAGCTTGACGATGCTCCACGACCGAAAACGAAAAGGTCGATGTCTCTCGACCTTGACAAAGCAGCATGTGCAGACATATGTCCATCCTGCAAAGCCATTCTCGAGACCGACGCAAGTGCCAGCGACATGGTTGGCGCAGATGGCAACAATGGCTCTGTATCAGTCCAGGTCACGCATTCAACAGTGTCTAGGAACGACCCTCCGAGCTCAGCACTCGAGGTCAGCGGGCTCCAGCACCCGATGTCTGCCGGCCAAGAGTCAAGGCCCATCCTGTCGTTACACCACTGTACATTGCTACGCGCAAAGACGACACAGAGCGCTTGAATGTGCCAATGGACACTAAGGCCGATATGAACTGCAGCAAGGCTCAACACCGACGTGGCTGCGTCGGGCTCGTCAAGACTGCCACTATCTCGGAATGCAAGCGCTGGATTATAGCATCACGACTGTGTCAACTATCGTTAGTCCTGCGCAGCAAGGTTGTACCCGCAAAAATTCGAACCAGAAATGTCACACTCGTGTACCAGATCGAAGTCCACTTAGCTGCTGCTTCGTCACTTTCATCTTGGATATTCAGCACGGTCTCGCTTTCCTGCTCCATCGTACTGAGCATGTTGAGCAGACCGAGAATGACATTGCAACCTACGACCTATCGAACGCTAGGGTGCCATCACGAAGTGTGGATGGTCATCGAGCATGGCGATTTGGACCAACTTCGGTCGCTCTTGACTGAGAAGCGCGTCTTCCCTTCTGATCGCGACTGCCGTGGATCGACACTACTTCACAATGCCGCATTCTTCAATCAGCTGGAGGTCTGCAAATGCTTGATAAGTTATGGCGCTGACATCAACGCTACCAACGATGCTGGCCTCACACCTATCGTTGACGCATCTGTGACATGGAAGATCATGGAAGCAGACAATGGACTCGACGTCTTCTATCATCTCCTGAGCCTGTCATCAATATCACTTGACGCCTTCTGGGAGAACGAGCAGTACGTCTTCCGCTCAGCACAGTCGTTCGACTGCTTCTTCCACGACGACTCCGTGCTGCATGACCTTGAACCGGATACCGTGGCCGGAAGGCTGAGCAACTGGCTGTCATCTTGTCACTCGATCGAAGCTGATCTAGACGTCTCGGGGTCGCACACTTTATTGGCGCTGGTGATCGCATATCTGAGCGAGCGTGCACTGCTCACTCAGCGCTGTTGCTGGTGGCAACCTTTGCCGGCTTATCAGAATTTCCTAGTCACAAGTGAAGAAGATGGACCAGACCGTTTCCTCACGTTGAAGAGACGCATACTAGTATTTGACCATGTCCTGGATCTCGTCAACAGCGATATGTTTCGAGGTCGTCTCTTATCGGCTGTTCCGATGGTGTCAACGGTCAAGCACTACATTTCTTTAGTGTGCGAAGCTAGATCGGAGCATGAAGCCTTGCAACAGCAGGCCAGCGATGGTCCAAGAGAGCATCGGCAGGTGTGTCACCGCGGGTTTCACATCACATTTTGTCTAGCGACGAACTTGAAGTTTCTGGAGCACGTGCTCTTCGCTGGGCTCACAACCCGAGCAGATTCTGATACAGTCATGTCGCCGGACTGCCTTAAAGAAGACGGCGAAGCAATCTCTGAGCTCTTTGCAAAGGCCGGCATGCGCCACATCTGGGTGGACATCTTACAAGAGCTCGGGGTCGACTAGCAAAGGCGTACGTGCATGTGAGCCGAGGCTCTGTTATTCAGCTATTACCTGTGCTTAATGAAAGGGTCTTCTGATCGGTCATATCATTTGGGGCGACGGTATAGTAAGGATGAAGGGATGCTGCACTGCGTTCTGTGTACAGTGTATTTCTGCAAGAGATAATAAAATCGTTCGTTCCAGTGCTTCGGAAAGCTCAGACTAGAGTCGATGAGGACGTTAAGAATCATAATTGTTTGGCTACCTAGAACTAGCAATCTGATGTTCTTGTCGTACTTGAGTGAGAGAACTTGCCGGCCCTAGTTTCAGTTGCCTTCCCCGGCTGTGACTTGATCACCTAGAGCCGTTGCAGATCGCTGATGATAGGAGCATCGGGTCTGGTCCGCTGCTAGCGACAGTGCGCTCGAGTGGACATGCTCAAGCGCCCCTAGACCCGGTTCACGGATCTCAGAAGCTCATGTTCCGCCTTGTCGATTAAGTTCGAGAAGAAAGATGTCACTGTTATCTTCTCTGATTGACATAGGACGATGGTTCCGCTGTGAGGCGATCGATATCGATCCATACGCGCTTCCAATCCGGGTCATATTCATCGTCAGATTCATCTTCGTCCTCATCTTCTTCATCCTCTTCGTCCTCGTCCTCGCTGGGGTAGCGCAGACGTCTCTCCTTCGCACGCACTTCCGAGAACTTCGGCAGGTATTTCCAATAGTCGTCGAGTGCATCGAGATCTTCGTCAAGAACATTGGCCGTTACCAGCGTGGCTTGATACTCGTCGACATCATCCCAATCAGCTCTTCCAAGGAAGGTTTGGCGAAGGTAACCTCTAGAGAACTTGGGCTTCTCAACGCTCAGGGCCGTCTTGATCGTCCTCTTGGCCTCTTCCGCAAATCTGACCCATCCATTCCAGTAACGATCTGGCGACACGTTACATGAATTCATTGGAAGGCTGAGAGCCTCAAGGGCTGGAAAGCTTGTGAGGGCGTCCGCAAAGACATCCTCGTCGATGTCTTCAACAGCTAGCCACTCGAAACTGCTGAATCTGATCTCGCGGACAGTTGATCGGAGTGTGGGCCTTAGCAAATGAATTCCATACAAAACGTCCGCGTCTGGGAAGTCCAGGCCGAAGCTCGCCGAGAGAAGACTATGCATCTCCTCATATATGGTCTTGTTCGACAAGCAGAATTCAACAATATTGATACCTTGTTGGTGAAGCTGGATGCTGGACAAGCCGTCAAGAGTCTTTCTGCCGCCATGAGCGACGCTGTAGTCGGCAGGTATAATCAGCTCAAGCTTGCCGTGGTTCGGATACACGTAGCCAAACGGATGGTCACGGTCGATGATATTGACCTTGAGCATTGGCTTGAACGGCCACGCAAAGGTCGCCTTGTAGATGAGAATGCGCACTTCCGTCGGAAATGAGAGGAATCTGCGGTTGCCTGGCGCCATGATCTCCTGCAAAGCGATCAGTATAACGTTGTCCATTACGATAAGCATGACTTACTTGTGGGCTTGGTACGGGGGTATTACTTTCCATGTTAATTGACGAAGGCAAGGAAGGACTCTCGATTCGAGGAAAGTGTGATGTCGGCGATGGTTAGAAGTGCCTAAGCATTTTCACGTCAGTAGTAGCAACACCGTGACTGCCTCAGAGCGATGCGCCAAGCACTTTGTTTGTGACGCCTCATCGTGTCACTTGTTTGTCACTGCTGACCGGCACTTCACCCCCTTCAAGGCAGCATTTCAGGCGACGACTCATATGCACCCCGACCTAGCCAGAAGGGCCGATCCATTGTCTGTACACCCTCCCCAATATGATCAAAGTCTCGCATTCACAGTGCAGCCCTTACAGGACACGGTCATCGACTGAGGCGTGCAAGAAAGGAAGGAGTGTTGAAGCTTGAATCCAGCTAGTGATCCACACGGCAAGTATTTAATGTTGAAGGATGACTAAGCGAGGCAACCACGGCGTCGAGCCGGATGACGAGAAAGATCTGATCACTGCTAATTCGTCTTTCACCATCAATTACACCGACAACTCGAACCCATTGGCGACGACTTCGGAGGTCTTGATTCAGCGGACGCATCGCCCGTCCTGTTCGTATTACGACGCGTCTGAGCACCTCTCAACCAATAGTGATGATCCTATCTGGGAGTTGCTATTCCTGTGTCTGTAGCGCCTTGCTCTCAACAAAAGACGTTCATACCCTGATCGCTCCTGCCTGCCCAATTCCTGCTGCAGACCACTTCCGCCGCAAAAAGAAGATGCGTTCCTATAGCGATCTCCTTCTCGGACACCCAAGTACCCAAACGCTGCTTATACAATGTTGTTCACTGCGTAGTTGGTGACTTCTCCTGCTCTTCGACGCCCTGCGGTGCTTGCTGCAGTTGATCCGCCAAACGCTGAGGATGAATGACCGTGGTCGGAGACACTGGTGAGTCAGAGACGGGATTCTGCGCCACTCCTGACTGCGTGACAGCACTGGGAGCATTAGTCTGCAGAGCAGTCGTCGCAGGCAGCGCTGGCTGTGCAGATCCCTGCTGTGGCAGCCCCGTCATTTCCGCCCGCTCCTTAGCTTCAGTCACAGGCCGCTCAGTAACAGTCGGAAGAGTAGATGCCGGCGCACGGTCGCTCTCATTCGGCGCCATGCCGCCTTCACCACTGGACTGACTTCCACGATGTCCCTCAAAGCTCCGACCTCTGGGTCCTTGGTTTGGGCTTGCCATAGCGCTCAGACTCGAGCGCGACTGTCCCTGGGAAGCGGCCCCTGGTGGACTTTTTGCTCTTTCTTTCTCAAGCTTCTTCTGCTCGTTTCGTTCACCAAGCTTCGCCTTCCATTTGCCGAAAAGCCCCTTCTTCTCTTCGCCTGAGGTGTTCGACCCCGTGTTCGTCACATCTCGAAGAAGCTCTCCACTTTCCCGGCTGTGAGTGCTTGCTCCGACCAGACTCTGGCCAGTCATCATGCTGCCCTCGCGGTCATGCTGGCTAGAGCCCAGCCCACCACTGTCACCTGTAAAACTCTTGCGTGGTCTCGAACTGCCAAATGAGCTATTGCTTCCCCTAGCGCCTGCATTGCTGCCAATGGGAGGTGGTGGAGCGAGGGGGAAATCATCGGATCGTTTCGCAGAACTCGAGAACCGCCAGCGATGCCGTCGCTTATCCTTTTCGGGAGGGCTGGCTCCAGCTACAGCTGGGGAAGCATTGCTGTCAAGCGCATCGAACTCTGAGTGATCAGTGACAGAAGTGCCTGAATGTAGCGAAGCTGCTGGAGACCGAGCTGGTTGAAGGTTAGCGGCCGACTTTTCAGCAGAGCCGGACGGAAAGGCGCTCGTCGGCGTCTCCACTGGTGTTGCTGTTGTGTTTTGGATGTGCGGTGCGTGTGTAGCGATGGGATCAGGCTTGGCTGCTGATCCGGCGTTTGGCGACACGAGCGGTGTATGGAATGCAGGCGTGTCTTCTCCGTGCAGTGAGGCCTGTGAGCTAGCTGCGCTTTCGTTACCACTGCCCGCAATGCGCCCGCGCTTCTGTAGCTTCTTGGTAGGCCTGCTTGAGGCCTCGGGAGGGCCCAGGAACGGGGACTTCGAGAAGAGATTCGAGATCTTGCGCTCCTTTGGTGCGCCTGACACAGCTTGAGGTCCAAATGACGGGGACTGCGCGAGTGTAGGACTGGTCGGAGCATGCTGAGGCGAAGGGAACTGTGGCTGTTGGTCCTGTGCGTCGTTTGTCGCGGGAGGATTCGTCATTCTCGCTGCCTCCGGAGACGGAACAGGCGAATTCGAGGCCGACTGCTCTTGCATTCGTTGGAAGCGCGATCCTGCAAGTGCTGGTGATCGTTTCGACGGGACCGTGTTGCTGCGGCCAATTCCTCCCGTGTTGGAACCCACTGTACTGAGCTGATTCATTCCTGTTGGCGTCCCTGGTGAGGAGACGCCCGGACTGCCTCGTTCCCGCGAGTTTCCTGATGATACAGACACGTTCCTTCTCACTCCGTACTTGCGTAGGCTGTCCGCGCCGGCGCTCGCGTTAGATGCTGACCGTCCTACCGCCGGACTTCTGACGGAGGGAGCACCGCTTTCGACGTCCTTCTGCGTCTTCTCGTCCACCGCCGTGCCTGTCATGCCGATCAAGAAGTTGTCTTGGTTCTCGATAAGAAAGATGAGTACGTCTTGACTGAGTCGGTATTCGGTGGGCGCCATGTCGTGCTGCGGATGCGAAATTATACCAGGCTGAAAAATAGCTGCCAGATTGGCAGCATTCATGCGGTTCATATCTGATTTGGATGCAAACACAGCCAGGAGGTCCAAAATGTACAGCAACAGCTGTCTGCTGAGAGGCGGCAGCTCCGTTATCAGCTTTTGGTATGCCACGACGGCTGCGCCATGTTGCTCGATCGTCATATCGATTGGTTGCGCCTCGTTGTCGCCTGTGCTCTTCGTCGCGTATGGTCGCAGAGGGTCTCGGAAGCGTTCGTAGAAGTCGAGAGGGACGATCGGCTCCGGAAGCTGGTTCAGGTACCGACGGAGGATATTTGCTGCATCGTGAACAGTGTACCCTGTCCAGTCTAGTCCTTTGCCATATCGATCGGGGGAATTGAAGGCTGTCTGGAGGTCTTTGATTCGTTTCGCAGAACCGCTCAGTCGAAAGATGCCCTCCACGTCGGTCGCTGAACTGCGTTAGCTGACGCTTAAGGCCTCAAATTGAGGCTGAAACGTACCTTTCTCCTTCAGAAACACGCCGCACTTTGCTACGACGATGGGAATGTAGCCATAGATGAAGCTGTTGCCCTGTTCGTCACTCAAGCTGATCGCAACGTTGGCGTACCGTATAGACTGGTCAAGAGGCACGCCAAATATTCCCGGCGCCTCGACTGTCGGACACGTCAGTTGTAATCCCAATCATCGGAGCAATTTGACAGTACCTTTTTCGTCCTGCTTTTCTGTTGTTTTCCTAAACTTCTTCCACCAGGACGCTAGTTCGCGCTTCGATGGAGGCGATGCTGCCTGGGCTGCGGCAGATGGGGGACCTTGTGCGCCATGGTGTGATGGTTGAGGAGGTATTGGATCGTTGGAAGGCGCAGTGCCGCCTGTAGCCATCGTTGGCTTCAGGAGCAGCGCCCTGCGGTTATGCTGGCGGCAGGCGTCTGTTCAGCGACCCAGAGACACGACCGTGTGAATTGAAACCGAGATCTGATAGTTCTGACGGTAGCTCAAGGCGACTAGGATGATGTTTGCGCGCGGAGATGTCAATTCAAGCGCAGATGGACCCAGTAATGAATAGGCGCGGAGGCTGCGATGCCGTGTGTGACCAAGGCTGATTCCAACCTGAACTGATCGCGGGCAGATGGCTCCCAACCTGTCTTCAGTGCTCTTGCTTCCAAGATGGATGATATTGTGTATGCGATGTTGACTGCGTCGTCGGATGCCGCAAATCCGACTGTGTTCCTTGTTGAAATTGCCAAAGCGAGTGGCGCAAACTAGTGGGTGGTTTGGCGAACAGTAGGCTGCAAGGATGTCGAGATCGAGATATCGGTGTGGCTAGGGAGCAATAATGCGATACAGTCATACACAGCAAAAGAAGCGCAACAGGATTATTGTCGTGAAAGAGTCTTGACTTGTGCGCTGCCAGCGCCAGGCTGGAACTAGGACAACAGGTGCAGCAGTAGTCAGGCACTTGGGAGAGGATGTGGTTTCAGCAAGCGTAAACGAGGATCATGGCGGTGCTGCCCAGAAAGCAAGATTAGGCGTCGTGGAGGCCAAAAATACATTTCTTTACTTAAAGGCTCTCGCCCTCTCGCTACCAACGTCTTACTGATAGTCGAGACTCTCTTAAACGAATTCCCATGCATGACAAAATCAAGAAATCGTGCTCTCGAGAAGCCTGTTCTCAATGGAAATGACGACGTTGGGCTCGTTACGCGATGCCAGTCCTGCGCCATGTCTCTATGCAAGGAGACGTTCCCAGCTTCTAGATTACTTGACCGCAAGTCATCCCTTTGGCGTTGACTCGACGCCGTTATGCTCTCGACAGGTACAGTACGTCCTCGTGAGATACCTTTAAGCCCAGTTGTAATCCAATTTGGTCCCTGAACGCCGATTCCAGAATTTGACGAACAATCTGAAGAAGTCGACGTCTGTCATTCCTCATGAATGGCCGGAGTTGTCTGAGCAACTTCCTTGACCTGCCTCTCGAACTCCCTCTTCATACCGTACTTGACTGCTTCGAGGACATTGTCGACGGTTGCCTTGGGTGCATACGCGGGAGTCGTGCCAGGTTGATACACGCCAGTCTTGACAAGGATGGAATGCCATTCATTACTGGCCTCGCCAGAGTTGTGGAAATCATTGGTCCCACGGATGTCGGACTCGGGGGTATCGCCGACGAAGTACACCGTCTCTGGAGGAGCGTCGATCGAGTGTGTATCCTTCCTCCACTGCTGCAGCAGTCTGGTCGCGAATTGGAATGTGCCGAGTTGAGGTTTGCCAAACGCAATTGTCTTCAACTCTTTCCCTGTAATAGCTTTGAACATGGCTTCGAGACTCGCTCTGAGGCTCCCATGCCGATACGAGAGTAGGTGTGGGACGTGGCCCAAATGACATCGTTGTGGGCGAAGAAGACTGGCGGACCCTCATCAAAGTTCTCAGACCGAGTGCCCAGTCGCCCGTTCTTGCTCATGCACAAGTCCAAGATGATTTGCTGATCACCTGCCCAATCTCTGCTGTCGGCGAAGACGAAGACGGCTTCAATGTCGATCTCGCCGTAGTTGCGCAGCTTCGACAACTTCTTCTCTTCTTCTGTCAGCTGTCGGAAAGGCGTAGTAGCTGAGTTGTCTTTGATGATATCGCCAGGCGTGATCACATCCTGAAAACCGTAGCCTTCGGCGACCGTACGGCACTTCTCGCCTTCACCGCCAACAACGAGGACGGTCTTGTACTTCTCGGCCATCTCCCGCATAGGAGTATGACCGCAGATGAACTGACCTGGTGAGACCTCGAGTTCGAGTTGAGACGACAGCTGGATGCATCTCTCCTCCTCAGTCTTACCGCCACCATTGGTGACGAAGATGTATGGCACTTTGATGCCGTACTCGTTCTGCCCGTTGAGCACTCTCATTGCCTCTATTGCTTCAGGGATGACCTCCCCACCTTTGATAAGAACACCATCTGTCATTTGTTAGCAGGCTAGGACTTGTTTTCCGAGATGATCTACAGTACCTATGTCGAAAGCGTACGCATATCTATCAGTTGTCTTCAAAGCTCCATCCTCGGGCGTCACAGGCTGAGAGTCGTCTGGAGTAGGCAAGTCGCCTGTGGACGCTGAAGCAAGATGATGTCTCGCCATCTCCATAGCGGCGGCAGTGTCATGAGCAGAACTTCGTCGTGATACACTTGACGGTGGCCCAACTACGGTCAAGCCGCTGTATAGATCCGCTCGAGTCACGCCAGTATTCGACAATCGTCGTGTGCTCCGACGCTGATGATGCCTCTTCCTTTCAGTCGGCGGCGCCATCTCTGGCGGCTGCAGCGTGGCGTCCTCGGCCATCGTGTCGTTGAGCATCGTCTTTGGTCTGAGCCTCAGTCTCCTGTACTGATCCTACAAGACCGGAGAAGACTTGGGCAAGAAGCAGTGTCGTGGACTGATAAGAGTGATAAGGCGCTAGAAGGGTTAATGCTCTATGCACCTGAACTAACCTGTTCTCGTGGAGGACTTCTACGGAAACACGACCCGGGCTTTGCATGTATATATACATTACCTTCGAGCGCTGATCGGGCTTGTAACATACTGGCAGGATGCCGAGCATGACCGACCAACGAGTCGCTCCAGGCATTTCGCCCCAGTGCAAATTTGTCCTGGAGCAGTGCGAAAACCTTCGTCCATACAATTTCGTGTGGTGAATCATTCGCCGTGATACATTGTTCGTTATCAAAAATGCTACTGCATGGTTGGTAGTTAGGTGAGGCTCCGTGGTGACGTCAAATTAAAGTGGAAATTTTCTGCCGAACCCATACCCTACGGTAGATTTTTACCGCTCGGTGAGATCGTTGGATAGTGCTATCTCACCCAATACAGTATGGCGACTGGTGGATTGAGCGTTTGGATTGGTCCATATTCAGCGATTCGAAGTCCCGAGTTGTTTCCATGTGCAACCTCGAGAAGCGAGAAACATGTGGCCGATGCATTCTCGCCGGACCCGTTATCTGTTGGATGCCAAGCTCAGCAACGTGGATCCCTGCCTGTCAGGCACTCCGCAAGTGTCCTTCTTGTCTGATGGTGTTGCATAAAGACGCTCCGCAATGATGCCATCAGCCAGCAGTTGTCTGGTAGAATGCGGATCAATCGGCTGGTACTGTACTTCCACGATCTGCGAGGTACTGTTTGGAGGAAAGCTTTGTGTCCAATCCTGCAATGCATGCTCGAACTATGGTACAAGGTCACTCTAACTTGGATCTGAAATGACTCGCCATATTGTATGGGTTACAGACCACCAGACACCGCCGCTGCAGAAAGCTGAAGTAACAAAACGTCCAATATCGCTCAGACCTCGAACTCCTCGGTCAGCCAATGCTTAACAACAGTCTTGCCCTCCTCGAATGCGGCACGTGCTGACCGCACAATGATTGCTGCGTGACTGTGGGTGCTCTTCTGAATATGGACTGGATACTTTCTCCAACCAACGCTGTCCAGGGCCTTGATCATGGAAAATTGATCGGTTGTCAATGCTAACGTGGGGAAATCGGCTCTGGTCGTGGCTTCCGACTTTTCTGACAGTACAGAATCCTTTGTGTCAGATCGAGTCAGCTTCGGCGATGGTGGTGCAATGGCCAATTCTTCTGATCCTTCGGGAAGATACTCCTGCTGTCGGCTTGAGTTGACTGTTTCGAAGGCATCCTCAAGGCCCACCCGCATTTCTCGGACCAGGTATGGTATTCGATAGCCACCAAAGGATCCGTCACTGTCGCTTTCATGCAACTGTATTCGCCGTCGACTTCGAAAAGTCTGCCAGCCCGAATTGATCATGAAGACGGTGATGGCAACGGGTATCAGCAAGCTCAGTGCTATGACAATCGGTGCCCTACGGACGAAGGTGCGGCTGCCACCGCGCACTCTATCGTAGAAGGTCGGGAGGTCTTGCTTTGGCGGCGCCCTCTCCACAGGCATATCAGGATCCAGAATGACAGACTCATAGCCTTTCAGATATCGCAGGTTCACGGCTTCGAGATCTGTGTACGGATCGAACGCCGAAATTCCTGTCGTATAGTAGACAGCCGATCGATCATTGACCACGTTCGTATATAATGACCGATGCCTGAAGAGGCGCAAACCGTGAATGAAGATCGAGTCTGGATCGGCGAGAACACTCAACAGCGGCCGACCAGTGTTTCGGAAATCGTCAATGGTGAAGAGCTGCCTTCCACTTGTACTCAACGTTCGCGCGCCCAGCACATTCCACAAATTGTTGTGGTAGCCGAGAAGCGGTGTCCGTACACCCAAGTGAGGAGTGACAAATGTGGTGAAGTTGATAGGAGTGACCTTGTCGAAGAAGCCTGCGTGGAAAAGCAAACCGACCACATATCGAGCAACCAGGCCGCCCAACGAATAACCAACGATTGAAAACTTGTTGATTGTATGCCCTTCTTGTCTCAGACGATCCATCACATCTTCAATTTCCTTCGCCACGCGTTCGGCGCCAATCTCGATACCATCGTAGGTTAAGCTACCAACGTTTCGCTTTGCGCTGTAGACCACCAATTCGTCCTCGCCATGCCGCTCTTCAAGTGATTTCCTGACGTAATCTAGGTGGTGCGGATTACCCCAGAGGCCGTGGACGAGTACACAGAGGTGTTGTGCCTTGCTCGCATCTGCTGAGGTAGATTTGGTGATGCCGGTGTCCATAGTCGGACTTGCGAAGAGGGTGCGCCTATCAATAGAGCGCAGATCAAACTTGAAGGATGGAGGAGTCCGTTAGCTCAGTAGTAATTTGCTGACCGCCATAGTTGTGGGAGAGCGAAGGAGATATATCCGAGACGCAGGTGCGTGAACATACTGGTAAAGCCATCGTCTATCGGTCGTCGGCGGCGCCGCAAACAATAATAGTGACGCGCGGATCCGCTGTAAGCGGCGGAAAATTCGTCCGAGATCAGGCACAATTGAATCGCTGCACCGTGACCCCGCAAGAAGAAACCCTAATCGCTGGCAAAGATGTTCGCTGGCGTAAAGTTATCCAAGTTAACGTCCTCAATAACAATCTGTCAGTCAATCGTTGAGAATTGAGATTTCGTTCCGAGCAGTGTTCACAAGGATGACTGGCGATATCTGGACAGAGGAATGTGGCAGGTGAGGCTAATCCAAGCGGTGTTTGAGTCACTCTATCACAGCCGTTTGCTTCGGCACTGATTGTGCTACCAACGAAGGCTGGTTGTGCTCTTACTTGAACTTGTATCAGCTTTCAGTCTTGAGGTCGTTGATGTCGATATGGAACGAAGCGCGTCAAGTTCTGGAGAATGTTGAGGAGGACGGACGTTCATTCGGAAGTCTGTGCTGAAGAGCGAAGCCTTCCGCGTGGCTCGATAAGGACTGTTCCTACCTAAGGTAGCTTAAGTGCTACACGGTCTTATCTTACCACAACAAGCGGTACTTACACCGACCATTACTCACATGATCACCTTATCTTGGTGTTGTCGCACCAGCCCCTAAATGCCTCTGATCCAAATTGTGCGATAAATTGAGCACTTATTGGTGTTGCAGGCGCCTGGGCGAACCCCGCTGACTTAGATCCTACAATGCTCGCTGTCTTGCGCATTTCGAATGGCAGAACATTATACTCTTGTAATCGACATCCATACGAAATCACTGCAGTGGTAACAGAGTGGCAGAGTGACAAGTGAGCATCAAGGCGTCGTATAAACCATGTTGCACAAGCAGATAGTGATAATCAGGCTCTCAGGCAGCCTTCCGTGCGCAGTGAGGCAGGAGCCACTTTCGTGACTTCTTACCTTTTTCATCTGTGCACCTCGCCTCAGATTCTACAAGTACTGTATGAACATCTTTTGGAGATGATAAATCACGGCAGACGTGGTGAGCCTTCGTCATGTTCTCGTCGAAAGGTCTTTTCCGCGAGTTCCAGTGTCCCCAGAAAGAGGAGTGCCTTTTGCCGGTGTGCTGGTTCTCACACGATGTGAGCTCTCCGCCGAAAGCGAGCGAGGCCGGTGCTGCAGAATATGATCCTCTCAATACACCGGGCGCTCTATCGCCTCCTTTGAAACGTCGCAAGCTCGGTGACGCAACCTCTGTGCCCGCAGCTGCCTCCGTTGCAGACACATCAGTGACGCCACCTCTAATGCAGAAGTCATCTACTAGACCTGACAACATCGCTCGAGCTAGTTCTTTTGCGCCTATAGATGCAGCTCGTCACAAGTCGTTGAGTATGGACCGCGATGTTGATGCTGCTGAACATTCCCAGAAATCAAAGAGAGGTGTCTTGGCGCCACCCAAGCCAGCCAAAGTTCCGCCAGGAAAAGGTGGCCATAAGGTCTCAAAAGAGAGCGATATGGCAGCATCCTCAACAGCTGATACAAGCAGCGCCACCAAGACTCCCACTAGCATGCAGCGGCCCATCAGTCCCCCGCCGAAGTCAGCCTCGACAACTCCGGCTTCAAAACCCAGCACGGTCAGTCCAGTCATGGAAGAATCTCTCCGACCGCGTCTACTTGCCACAGGCCCAGACTGGAAAGTCAGAGATGCCCTTCTCAAGGTCTTGCAGAAGAATTTGATTGCACGCAACAACGAGATCATCAGACAAGTCAAGGAAGGCAAGAAGGCATTGGCGCCAGTTCGATTACTGCCGTGGGAGATCATCACACTTGCACTCGACGAAGAAATAGATCTGGCTAAGAAGTTTGGCACAGGCGTGTATCAAAATGTGCTGAAGCAGCGCATTCATGCGATCTCGAAGATGGACCATGAGCAGTGGAAAGCACTGGTCACCGACAAAGTAGCAAGGATAAGCCGCCTGGCCCAACGTAAGGGTGCAATTGGCGCAGCACAAGAAGTTATTCTCGCGGACAAGCAGATAGGGGAGCGAGAGATTATACCGGGCTTGAGTCAAGATGGGGAATTAATGCTCCTCGAACGACTTCGACAGCCACTGGAGAAGCTGCAAGGACATGGCTATGTCACGGAAGCGCCCACGGCCAAACAGATCGAGGAGGAACTCGAGATGCTGAAAGACTGTGATGGCTGGGAAAAGTGTGATCGTTGTGCTTCGCGTTTCCAAGTGTTCCCTGGCCGGAATCTGGAGGGCTTACTGGCTTCTGGCGGTCGATGCCAGTACCACTGGGCCAGAGCAGGCAGAGGGTCCAATACGAAAGAAGCCAGGTTCGAATGTTGTCGGCAGCCAGTAGGTTCGCCTGGTTGCACGGAAGCCGAGTATCATGTCTTCAACGACAAGAGTCTGGCGCGGCTCGCATCGGTCTGGCAGTGGGAGAAGACTCCTCACAGTGAACAGAGGTCAGATCCTGTCAGCTTCGATTGTGAGATGGTCTATACGACTAATGGCATGGAAGTCGTCAGAGTCACCGTTGTGTCCTGGCCCACGAACCGAACGTTACTCGACATACTCGTACGACCTTATGGCGAGATCCTCGATCTCAATACTCGCTTCTCTGGCGTGACGAAGAAGGTGTATGCAGAGACACCTCCATACGATGGCACTGCGGCCGTAGCGCTCGAAGCTGAGCACGCGAAGGTCGGGAAAGTCGCCTCACCAGCACAAGCAAGACAACTTCTTTTCGATATCATCGCTCCGAATACACCTCTTCTTGGACATGCCATTGACAATGACTTGAACACGCTACGAGTCATTCATCCTTTCGTCATCGACACCGTCTTACTGTATCCGCATCCCAGGGGGGGCCTACCCATGCGGCAAAGCTTGCGCAACCTCGCCTTCGAGCACTTGGACGGTCGCAGGATTCAGAATGCAGCTGAGCAAGGTCACGACTCCAGAGAGGATGCCGTCGCAACGGGAGACTTGGTGACGAAAGCAGTGAAAGCATACTGGGCAAAGATGCAAGCGAATGGCTGGCGCTTGCAGGACGGTCTCCCGGTCAGAGGAGGAGCGGACGATAGCAAGCTATAGTAGGCTGCCACGGCGAGGGGGACAAGACACCATACCAGCAGCTTCACTGGCCAACGTACAGTATTTGGTGCGATACGAATGACATGTACCTACATATTAACATAGAATAGATACCCCATGGCGCGTAGATGGCAATACTGCATATGTACAATCCATGGCTTTTATCCGCGACCGCTTACCTAATGGCCTGGTTCAGGGGCCGCTAGAAAGAGCACTTAACTGCAACTGCCCGCCTAGGGTGGCGCTCATGCCTGCCCCTTTTTCGAAGCCTCCCAAAGTGGAACCTTGATCTGCGCATGGAAAGCGCGCCCGTTGCGATAGCAAAGTGACAACTGCGACTTTTGCCTACGTTCAACCCATTCACGGAGACAACACTCAACAATTCGACCTTGCAGACTAAATCGCTGCAGTTGTGAATTCCAAGGCAGCTCGAGTCCCCCAATCTACCATCATTTCTGCTCTGTCGGATATCGCCCGCAACGCTCGCAACTGGGCCACGCGCTATCGTCGAGCTCGAGTCCTGCATTGAGCAGCAGCAATTCCTGGCCCTTGGATTATAGCGAAACCTGAAGCAGCAACGTCATCAACGGTTTGAAGGCGCCGGCAGGCCTTCGTCTCCGACATCATGGGTAACCAGCTGTCGAAGATGATGGGGAAGATATTCGGCTCGAAGGAAATGCGGCTTCTTATGCTTGGTCTGGATGCCGCGGGAAAGACCAGTACGTCAGACACTGACCATACATGAGTACGCAACAGCAAAGCTAACAGAGCGGCAGCAATATTGTACAAGCTCAAACTCAACCAGGACGTGACCACGATACCGACGGTCGGCTTCAACGTCGAGACAGTCACATACAAGAACGTCAAGTTCAATGTCTGGGACGTGGGCGGGCAAGACAAGATCAGGCCTCTCTGGCGACATTACTTCTCCGGCACGCAAGGTTTGATCTTTGTCATCGATAGCAACGACCGTGCTCGAATCGACGAGGCCAGGCAAGAGCTGCACAGAATCATCCTCGACCGGGAAATGAAGGAGGCTCTGCTCCTGGTCTTTGCCAATAAGCAGGACATCCCAGGAAGCATGAATCCGACCGAGGTCACCGAGAAGCTGCGATTGGCGCAGCTCAAGGATCGGACCTGGTATGTTGTGCCCAGTTGTGCGACTACTGGCGAGGGATTGATGGAGGGTTTGGTGAGTTCGACCTTGTCACTACGTATTAACCCGCTAACGAGGCCTCGCAGAGTTGGTTGAGCACCAACGTCAAGACCCAGCCAAAACATGCTCCGGCCAAATAGGTACTGGATCAGGATCACGACTACGAGACCGACTATCGCTCACCACGAGTTCACTGCTACCGCACCGAGAATGCTGCTCCACCATTCGATGGACCTCGCAAACATATCAGTGCGACCAAGGCTTCCCTCAGTGTCAGCAAGATTCCTTCCCCAACCAAGAGCCCGACGACATCCCTCTCACCCATCAGCAATGAACGACGACGTCCCAAAAGACCAGTCTCGATGCCTTCACCATAAGCTTTTGCCGTCCAGATCTCGGGCCAACACGCGCCGCTCTCTGAGGGGCTTTTCCGTTGTGAACTTTATGATACTCATGTATTGCTACTACGACCACAGTTGTTGAGTTTTGAGGCATCTGCTTAGAAATTGACTCCCAGCATAGCGTATATTGTCTTCTTCTTCTAGTTGTCAGGCTGGAAGGTCTGTCCAGCGTTGGTGGTGTTGTCTGGGAGGTGTCCGACATCAAGTGGTGGCAATGGGGTGACTGTTCCTATCCAGAGACACGACGCACTTTCAAGAAGGCGATGTTTGTGGGAGGCGAGGCCTCGCGAGAGCGGAGCGTTCCAAGGTTTACTAGATATGCCAGCAGTTGCGGCGGCTACTTTTACGTTTGCAAGCGAGAACAGTCCGCGATGTGAAGAGATGCCCGTGCAGGCGCGCTCTAATGTCTTAAGACTGAGCTATGGTCCTCGAATTCTGACGACAAACTCATGACGCAGTGCTGCATTCGGCAACGCGCTATCTCTTCCCTTTAGTCTCATTCGTGAACGCACTGCTCAACAGCTCATCACATCCAATGCCGTGTTCGTCTAATTCCCATGTTGTTACTGTTGTGAAATTTTCTTCCGGAACGCCTCGCTCAAAACAATGGCCACAGGTCGGCCAAGTACCAACCGAACCACCTTCTAATATACACCATTCCTATACCTCCCACGATTTCCCACATCCAGCCTTTCTACAGCTCATCTCTCCTCGGCACTTGGATCCACTCGACGTCCCAACTGCGCTGTGGTACTGGCAACCCTATAAACCACGCCCACAGACGGTTCGCCTCGCCGACGCCAATGTTGAATAATTTGCCTGGCATTTGAAACCATGAGCGTAGCACCATTTTGTATGCGCGCCAGACGAGGTTCCATTCGGCGATGAAGGCTTCTTTCAGCGTTTCGGGCTCGTCTCTGTGTCGTTTGGGTCTTTGGGAGGCTTCGGCGTGGAAGGTTGCGTCGTTAAATGCTGGTTTGGATGAGACTTGGCGCTTGAGGTCGGATTGGGTGACGGTCTTCTTATCAGTTGCCACTTTAGCATTCTGGGCGTCCTCCTCGGCGATTGCGGCGCGGAACCACTTCAGTGCATCGAGGCTGTGCTGATTCGACCCAGCGTGTTGACCAGCGCGACAAGTTCAGTCCGGCGGAGATGTGGGTTCTCGCCGTTCTTGGTCTCGTCGAATTCGAAGAGAATCTTCAGCGCTGCGCCGTATCCCGCCGTCTGGACTTTGCCCCACAGCCGACAGCGCTCGCAGCCAACACAGTCCATGATGCGGGAGACATTACGGAAGCGGTTCTTGAAGTCGTCTTTGAGGCTTAGGTCGGTTTTGAACAGAAGGGACTCATCGAACGTGGTGGGCGACGAGGCCAGTGTGGAGGTCAGTTGGAGGACCTTCTGCTTGGTGCTGAAGTCCTGCTCGGGGTCTCCGGAGCAGAAGGTGTAGTGCTCGAGGTGGCGGCGAAGCTTAACCAGCGCGCGTGTGACGAGAGCGTAGTTGAAGTAGAGGTTTGATAGGCGTTCGGGGTGTTTGTGGAGCCGTTCGCGGTAGCAGGTTGTGTTGTGGAACCATTCTCCTGTGGTCTGGTTGAGATAGTCGTAGCAGAGGTGCGTGGAAATGGAGGTGTGCATGCCGGAGATGATGCGGTAGAAGGCGCGTTGCTCAACGCATTGATCATCTAGGATTGCCGGATCGAAGAGATCTAGTGACTCCTCTGTTGACGAGTCCAGCTGATTGCGGCTGTAGTCCTGGAAGACAGTGAGTAACGACTTTGCAGCCAGATCCTTGTTGCTGGCGGTGCGAGCAGCGGCAGGGGCTTGCGAGGTGAAGCAATTCTCCTTGTAGATGGCGTTCCAGACCATCTGAGCGCTCTCTCCAGCATAGCCTGTGAAGCGTTCCGGGTTGTGTACCAGCGAGACATAATCCCCTTTCGCGGCTGCACCCTCGTCTTCCGGTACACAGTAGTCTCGCGTGTCGCATTCGTCGTCGTCTTCAAGTACGCATGACTCGTCAACATTTTCGCCCAGCTGGTATTGCAAAGGCCTCTGCTTTGGCCGCTCTTTTTGTTGTTGTCGGCCGGGATGCTTCGCTTTCAAGCCTTCTAGTTTGCTCAGCTCTTCTGCCCGCCATATCTCTGGGATATCCTGCTCATTCTCAATCGTATCTACCACACACGCTCGGTTGCCACACTGAGCCGATTCGTCCGCCCAGAACGGACAGGTTTTCTGGAACAAGTTGAGGCGATAGTAAGAAAAGAAATCTGTGGCTTCGGTGAGGTCGTGTAGCGAAGGAGCGATGTCTGCATTCAAGGTGTCCAAAGCAGCATAGCTAGTGCACGCGTCTGTCACGATCGACTTTGGATCAATGGCGCATTGAGGATCCGCCTGGACTGTAGTGGCGTGGAAGAGAGCGTAGACCCCTAAGAAGAAGCGAGTGGCGGTGCGTGAGTGCATTGTCGAGGCGTATGAAACAAGAACGTAGACAAAGCAAAGAAGAGACTCCGACGAAGAGAACGTCAATTCATGAAGGGACACGGTGTTGATGGTGATGCATTGGTAATCCTCGTGCCTGGCACGAGCTGACACCAAAAATGTTCAGTCAACGTCAAGTCCGGGGGGAGACAAAGGGGCCGCAGTCCATCGAAGATCGTTGCTATTGGTCCGTTGGGCAATTTTCAGGCAGTGAATCTTGGAAATTTGCCGCTCGACTTCAGGCCAGGTGTCTGCTCAAGGCTTGAAGACAAGGCGACGAGGCGACTGACATCGTCCCCAGGTCATGGCTGATGCCGCCCAGGACCAAACAATGTCGTCGTGTCCGGACTGCGTCGCCTGACCACCGCGGGAAACCGCGGCGCCCGAGCAACCGGATGTGCACCCCAGACCCGCGTCATAGGGTGAAAACGTAACGAGGATGATCTTTACGACACGACGTGAGAAACATGTGTCGCTAACATACAAGCTGACCGGACGAATCCGTGAAGCTGCCAATGATGATCGCTCGCGACTGACTCAAAGCGGATGCTGAGACTGCCCCATGCGGAATTTGAGCTCGATGTAGCAATTCGGCCTCGCAAGACCATGGCGGAGGGGTTCCGAGCTGCATAACGCTGGGCCGAGGGAAGTATGACCAGCTATTCAAACTGACTTTCCAGGATCTGATCACCTATTCGTCGTCAAGGAGTTCAGGCAGGCATGATGGGTCTTCGAAACTACCGCTTCATGATGCCGTTTCAGTAATCTTGAACTGTGCCGGCGCTGACATAAAGTACGCGAGAACCGCATACACGCAGAAATTGGCGAGGATCATCGGATCAAGGTACATAACCACGACGGAAGGCTGACTTATCCTTCATCCAGCTGAAAGAGCTCAACCATCACTTCGTCCTGGGAACAAGACCTGGAAGTTGACGGCTTCCTATTGCAACCATGAATCTACAATTGCTCTTGTACGGGGCGACGCTCATCATTGTCTCACAATTTCTCCTGCTGACCTACCGACATTTCACTGCCCCGGACCGCAATGTACCTGGACCGTGGCAGGCACGACTCAGTCGCCTTTGGTATCTACTGCAGGTCCGGACGGGCAATTGGCATAACATCAACATCGCCCTCCACCAGCGATATGGCCCAATTGTCCGTGTGGCTCCCGGATGGTACACAATCAACACACCAGACAAGTCCGTGTATGGCATTTCTTCCAAGTTCCCAAAAAGCGACTGGTACGAGGCTGGTCTCATCCGGATCCAAAGAACTTTACAGTCTTTACACTCCAAGACATCAAAAAGCACTCGGACGAACGCAGGAAGTTTCAGGCTATGTATAGCTTGAGTTCGCTCATCACGTATGAGGGCTATGTCGACAGTTGCGTCGACATTGTTAAAAAAAGAATGGACGAATTTGCGCTGTCTGGCCAGACGATTGATTTGGCTCACTGGCTGAATTGCTATGCGTTCGATGTCATCGGTAACATCACATATTCCAGGAGGTTCGGCTTCCTTGACGAGGGCGAAGACATTGGGGGCATCATGGCAGCCCTCAAGAAGATCGGTCGCTATGGGTCACTCGTCGGGATCTACAACAAACTTCATCCTTGGCTATATGCATTGAATGAAAAGATACCAGGCTCCGGGGCGGCGGGACGTACTTATCTCATGACCTTCACAAGGGCCAGGATAGCAGAGCGGATGGAGGCTCGAAGGAAGACCTCGTATAAAGCGCCTGTCGAGTCCATGGATGAAGAGTCCGATGTTCCTCGAGATTTCCTGGACAAGCTCGCTGATCGTAACCAGCAAGATCCCTCCAAGATAACACCATATGACATTTTTGCAACAGGTATGTCCAACATAATTGCTGGCGCGGACACCACGGCTATCTCATTGGCTAGCACAATGTACCACTTGATTACGACGCCTCGCGTGCTTCTTAAGCTGAGAGAAGAGGTGGCTCAACATCGCGGCGAAACAGGGCGTTTGTCCTTCAAGCAGACCCAAGACATGCCGTATCTGCAACTTGTGATCAAAGAGGCACTTCGAATGCATCCTGCCGTCGGCCTACCACTCTGGCGCGTCGTTCCCGCCGGTGGCGCCGAAGTTGCTGGGCAATTCTTCCCAGCCGGCACGAGAGTCGGTGTCAACAGCTGGGTGACGCAATACGACGCAGAAGTCTATGGGCCGGACGTGTACGAATTCAAACCCGAACGCTGGGAGGAGAAAGACACCGAAAAGCTTCAACGAATGGAAGCAAACTGGATACCTTTCGGCCTCGGGTCACGCACATGCCTTGGCCGACACATCAGCTTCCTGGAGATGTCGAAGCTCATTCCGGGAGTTGTTGCCAACTTCAACTACACGATGACCATGCCAAAGGAGCAGTGGAAGGGCAACAATTTTTGGTTTGTCAAACCAGAGAAGTTGTCGGTCCAAGTGAGCAAGATCAAGTCGGTTTGATATTCGACTGTTGATGCTGTTTGAGGTCAGGGTGTGGATGGATCAAGCAGTGCCGGCTGGTGTCCTTTCAAAAGTCGATACCGGGCGAGTCAACACACTACAAACCATCGCGTGGGCATCACTATATCTCAGCTTCTGATAAGAGCAGGCGGTCCGAGACAGACACCGTCGTGCATCGCCATGTCAGTGTTCTATACATATACCTTTCCCGGCATTCCAACTCGAGTTTTGCCATTTCCAGACTCAGCGGACCTGTGGCTGAAGCTGAGCGCTACCACGATACACGCACCACGATCCCTAGTATTGAACCACGGCGTTGGTCACTCCTCCAATTGCGTCGCGGTGTCGGCAGCGTTGTCTGCGGGTTGAGTGCTTGTATCAAGGTGCAATGGGATTATCTTGTGCCTGAAATTGTCACGGTCAAAGATGTTCGCTTATACAAGTGATATTGTTTGGCCTTTTACAAGTGATATTGCCCTGCTCGACAAGGCAGGTATCAACACGGCAACGATGTGACGATTCACCACATCAATGCTCGGGCTGTGACCTGACAGCCTGCAAATTCTTGTCCTCAGCACGCTATTATCGACCAGAAGAAGCTACGCGCTCTTATTCTCTCTCTTTACATCCTGAAATACCTATTGCTACTATTGTACTCGTCCCGGAATTTGACGACACTTCTCTGCACCCACCAGAGTTCACATTGGGCGCTAGCCTTCGTCACGCGTGTATCTCGACATGGCTGCCGGCGAGTGGAAAACGCAGTTCGTCAAGCTGTTATACGAGAAGGACAAGGTTGTGCCTGTTGATGCCAACACTGTGCCCTATTCCCCCCCTATACTCAAGGCTCTGGGCCTGGCGGATGTCAAAGAGGACAAAATCCAACAGCAGGACCGGTCAACACAACAGCAAACAGTGGACAATCGCAAAAAGCCCCAGGTGTTATTACCGCCTCTTACCATCAAAGATGAAATCATCCACTGGAATCCAAGCATATCAGACCTCTGGCTGCTGATCAGATCCCACGTCCTTCGACCGTATCTGATGAACATCATCAAGCGCTTCGGCCCACTTGGAGTCACATTCGTCTGGGCTACCGTAACCATTTATTACTGTCTCAAGCACTTCCGTCGTCTGCGAGACAAGTTCATGAAGTGGCTCATGTCGCTCACCATGGCCTCCATGACCATCCCGAGCAGTGACACCAGCCTTGACAAGAAGTTCACCGATATGCTCGACAAGAAGTTGAGAGAAGAGCTCAAGACGAGCATGCTGTCGTATACCCAGCAACGCTTTCTGCGTGTATTCTCCTTCCTGTTCTCCTCGGGCAGCCGCTCCATGGTCGCGCAGTACCAGAAGGAAACACGTCGCTGGTGAGCCGATTGTGGAGTATGTCCTGCCACACGAAAGCTGGCAGGTGTTTGTGGATGGGGGAAGGATATTCATCGTCACTACAGTCAGCGAAGAATGCGACGACAACGAGGAGCAGGAGCAAGAGCAGGAGCCGCCAAGTAATCCGAACAACCACGTCAAACATTGTCAATGTCAAGACTGCTATCAGTGGGAGCAGGACCAGTATGAGAATTCGGAGTACCAAAAGCAGCAGAGCCAGGAGCTTGTGTACACTTACGGACCAGACAAACAGGTCTGGTGTTTCGGGTCCTCGCCCAATCCAGTCAAGGAGCTGCTCAACAAGTTGGGGCAATCGGCTGAAGAAAAGAAAATGGTCGAGGTTCGTAAATACAGCCGCGGGAGCTGGGGAGATTACGAGTCCATTGAGCCGCGCTCGATGGACAGCATCTACTTAAATCAGGTGGAGAAGACCGAGCTCCTCGATGATATCAAAGAGTTCTTGGACCCAGAGACCGAGGCGGATTACAAGGAGTCAAGCATCCCGTACCACCGAGGATACTTATTGTACGGCCGCCCGGGATGCGGCAAGACCTCGTTCGCACAGGCGCTTGCTGCTCTTCACAAGCTGAGACTTAACGTCCTGTCTCTGTCGGCGTCTGGCTTGAACGACTCTATTCTAGCCGACCTGTTCTCGAAAATTTCGCGTGGCGACATCTTACTGATCGAAGACATCGACTGTGCAAGCTGCAACATCAATCGAGATGCTGTGAAAGTGGTTCCGAAAGTAATCGCCAAGGAAGAGGTCAAGATCGAAACGGGGTCGGATCAGGACACATCGTCGGACTCTGAGTCTGACTATGACAGCGATTTGTCATCTGACTCGTCCGTCAGTGCTCAATTCAAGGGCGAGCGCGGGAAGAAATTCGCCAAAAAGCTCGCTCAGCAGAAGACCAAGGCAAGACGAAAACTGTCGAAGCGGGAGCTTGAGCTGGAAAGCAAGCGTACGCGAACAGAAAAGGACAGAGAGGATCGCAAGATTGAGTCCAAGGCCAAGGCTAGGCAGGCCCGGAAGAAGGTAAGGAAGGACGGCCTGGAAGGAAAGGAGAAAGACAAAGGCAAGGACAAAGAAGTCGCCCCACCTGCTGAGCCCGAGCCACAAAAGGGAGTGACTCTCGGCGGCCTACTCAATGCCATCGACGGCGTCTCTGCGCCACAAGGCCACATTCTCCTCCTCACCACGAACAAGAAGGATGATCTAGATGAGGCCCTCATCCGCGCCGGCCGCATCGACGTCAAGGCTGAGTTCTCCTTCGCAACTACCGAACAAGCTCAACAACTCTTTGAACGCTTGTACAAGAGACTATCGACCAAAGAGCAGGCCAAGTACGATCAGAAGGCGATTGTGGAGCTGGCGAAGCAGTTCGCCGCCAAGGTGCCGCCGGGGAAATTGAGCTGTGCGCAGTTGCAAGGCTATGTGCTGCAGTACAGAACGAAGCCAGACGTGGCGGTGGAAAAGGTAGCCGAGTGGGCAGACGGGGTCATCAAGGGCAAAGTAAAGGTTGCTGTGTCGAGGACGGACCTTGCGAGCGCTCCGAAACCTGCGAGAGCCAATAATGATTGGGCTGCTCCTGAAGTAGCTCCGAAATTTAGTAGAGATGGTTGGTGAAGTGGTCATGGCTCAGTTGTGAGTAGTCACAGAGTGTTGATCGGAGGTCTTTGATGCACAATGCTGAAGCTGGTCGAAGAGAGAGGTACGGAGGGGACTAGATTACGCATATCCCCAGCTACGAAGCCCGCGATCATCATAACATAGGATAATCATCAAACGTCGGTAACTATCCGTATACCTTCTCCACAGGCCAACTGCCTTTGGACGTGCACTGACGTAGGTATATCATTCTTGGTCATTTGCAGCTCGCTCACGCAGACACAAGCTGGGCAGGGCATGAATCCCGAAACAAATTGGTCTCGGAGGATCTATAGAGTTGAACTTTGGGTTCTGGACAACCCTTCTCCGCTGATTGGCCTACACGAACTCTTACACAAGAACGCGTAGGCATTCTAGAACCTCGCGAACTGGTGTAGGAATGGCCGTCCAGGGGGCCTGAGAGCTAGACATCCAAAGCTATAGATCTCAGAGCACTACAGTCCCTACGTCTCCCATGTTTTGCGTCTACAACCTCGATTGTAGCGAACCATGGCCGTGCCACCAGCCAAGAGTCCTTCGTGGCGCGACCACCCCTTCCGCCTGATCAGCAGCACTGGAATCGCATCACGGCCGAATGTACCACTCAACCACTTTTGCCGGCAGAATGCCAAAATCATGGCTGGAACGCACAACACCATGTTCCGCGCCTCAACAGCTCTATTATCATGCCCCGCTTGTCCAAACATCCGAGAAGGACACAGCACTCCTGCTCCGGTACTGCAACATCGTGTACACCTTTATCCACGACCACCACTCGCACGAGGAGTCACATTACTTTGCCAACATCGAGAAGGCCACCGGCATGCCAGGCCTGATGTCCTCGAGCGTCGAGCAGCACCGGGAACTTGAGGCTGGGTTGAAGGCTTTGAGAGACTACGCGAACGGGACCACACCTGGTGCATTTGACGCCGCTGAGCTGCGAGGGATCATCGACGATCTCGCACCGGCATTGACGACTCACTTGTTTGAAGAGGTACCGGCGATCCTGGACCTGCATGATAATATCAGCTCGGGAGAGCTCAAACGCATCTACGGTTTGATGCAGAAGGAGGCGGAGAGGACGAGTAGTATGACGACGTAGGCTTCTGTGACCATCTCTTCGGGTTCGAGCCCAATGTGCTAATGAGGTACACAGAGCAGGTCCCCTCGTCTTCGGGAACCAGGACCGGACCTTCTTGCTGGATGGTGAGCCTTTCCAATTTCCGCCGTTGCCGAGGGTGGTAGCGTATGTCATTGACTGGGTTCTGGCACGCCCGAATCGGGAGTTGTGGCGCTTCAATACGAGTGATTTCTATGGCAATCAGAAGGTTGAGGAGTTCCGAACGAAGCGGGACGGCGGCGGCTTGGGAGCATCCTGGCTTTTGGCCGTGGCATTATTGCTGATCGCGTTGTATGCTAGCCTCTCCGAGAAGTCGGTAAGGTTCCTAGGAGCTGTACATAGTTGAGGCGGCCAATCCGGGTCTGCAGGGTTTTCTGCTTCTGAGTCATGATTCGCAAGCGAGGCGTAGGAGCCGTCAACGGTATCGCGGCATTGCCCCCGGTGCATCATAGGAGTAGAATGACCTGCAAAAGGTATGTAGACCAGAGGAGCCAACACAGTGCTTATATTTCTTGTCATCCGGCGTGAGATGAGGCCGACGGAGCTGAACATCAAGGGAGCAAGGTTGACCTCGGACTATCACATCTTCCGTTTGATCGAGAATTCCGCCAACTCGATCTGTTATCTTTGTTCGTCTTTCGCAGTAATTTTCGACAGCAGACATGACTCTTCTCTTATGCTCCTCACAACCTAGATCGTGACGCATGTCTTCGAGCCTGGGTGTCCTCATTCGCGTGACGATGCGACGCGTTGATGCGATGTAGCGATCATTCTCAATCGACTATCTGCGCCCTCTTGGCCTGCGTTGGCCTCGTGTTCCGATGGCTGGTTTTGGCCATTGCCATGTGACCTGTCGCTGCGCTCTCGTTCGAGATCGGTAGCGGTATGTTGCTCCTGGTCCTGCTACCTGGGCATGTTGTGATGCCTCTTCGTTGGCCTTCACAATCTGACGAAGGTCTCTCTTTTGCTGCGAATCGAGGAATTTTGGCAGAGATTTGCGCTGCTGAATAGAGTTGCGTGATTTTGACAGAGGTTCCCGCTGCCATTCGAGCATCGATTATGGATCTAAGACTTGACTGTAACGACAGGACCAGATGACAGCCCGACCAGAAGAGATACTCGAGGAGAGATCAGCCTTTCGCCTTAACCAAGACAGAAACTTTCTTCGAGTCTTGAAACAATCAAAAGAGCGACTGGACTCGTTCTCTTTCTTTCTCTAGTTTGTGTGGGCAAGGGACTGATCTAATGTACATGAGTTGTGTTCTTGTCTGTGTTCCTGCTCTTGTTGTTGGGGGTTGAGCTACTCTCGAGTAGCTCGAAAGGATCGGATTCGGCGTTCCTGCCAGATATGTTTCTCGTGGCAGCATGGCGTCGATGGAATTGGCATCAGCAGTGAAGGCTTCGGGATGCGGTGAACGAGAGACTTAAGCGAAGGCGCCGACGACAGCCATACCAGCGGCTGGAAACGAAGTCAGCTGAAGAACATCGTATGGTAGGCATCTTGATTAACTTACCACCCAGCAGGACATAAATGAAGGCCTTGATTTTCATGCTCTTGTCCATGAGTTCTTGAGCTTCCTCCGACAGGAAGTCTTCCGCCAGCAGGTCCACGAGCGCTGCATAGATGAGGAGACCACTCGAAAAGGCATTGAAGAATCCGACCAGGATCAGCGAGAAGGCACTTCCCTGGTCGTAGCTGTCACGGGTGACGAGACCTATGATCTGTCCGATTGGACATGTCGTGCCGAAAGCCACAACTAGCACCCACGGTTTGAGCGCCTTTGGCTTGTACGGCACTGCTGCAATGCGGCTACCCAGGCCGAGACCCTCGAAGAATTGATGGAAGATGATGGCCACCAAGAGGGTAATAAAACCGTCAGTTGTGATCGAGATGGTCATCCCAACGAAGACACTGTGGAACAGAATACCGCCTTCCAGGAGCGTGATGTTGAGATTCATTATGCGGAACTTGGCAGGGTCCACTGTGTAAGGATCTTCTTCGTCCAAGTGCAGGTACGACTGGGGGGCGGGTTCAGCAACTTCCCTGCTGGCCGTTGCCATCTGTGCTCCAGCGAATCCGGCAGTCGTTCTTGCCATCACTGCTATGGTGTCTCGCAGCTCTTCACGTTGACGCACGTATTGTGCGTAGAAGACCTGGAACCATGGAGCATCTCGGACACTGCAGCATACTTTTCGATCTCAGGCTGCTCTTCATGTGCAACGTTAAGCCTTCATTGTCAGTCCGACTAGCCAAACGAGAAGTAGAGTGGAACACATACCGTGCCATCAGCTTTTCCTGGTAGGAGTCCATGAACTGATCGCGACCCCGATCATATGGCGGAAGGGACGATGCCGTGTCATTTCGATACAGCTCTGCTGGTCCATGACCGCGCTTTTGTTGCAGAGGGCCGCTGATTTCGAGGGGTTTGCTGATCTCCTGGCCTGTCGGTCCCCCGTGTGAATGACCGCCAACCTTTGACTTGAGGTACATCTCAATGACGAACAAGCAGAAGACCGAAAACATCATAATGACGCCTGGCATCGCAGGGTAGTCCTCAATCAGGACATCGGGAAGGCAGGGATCCGAGAGCGACGCAAAGGCTGTGGGTACCAAGTGCACAAACGCTGTGGCTATGAGAACTCCAGTTCCGAAGTGCTTGGTGAAGAAGAAAAGTTTCGGCGGGATCTTCATCCATTTCACTTTCTTTGCAACAACGGGGAAGCCAGCACCTTCAGAGGTCAGCGACGAAGTTCGATAATCCAATTATTGGCATACCTGCTATGCTCGCAAGGAAGACAATGACTATGCTCACAATCAGCTTCTATCCTGCAGTGGTAGAAGCTGCAGTACTTACAGACTGCTGCCAAGTGCAGAGGGAAGTCATAATCCTCCGGGTTGAAGCCCTCACCACCGCATACTGGCTTGGCATCAGCCAGCGGGTCGGCTGGCGCTTCACCACTCATCTCGTTGGCCGCTGGGTACCTGCCACCGGGCTATTGTATAATGATCTCAAGGAAAGGTCATATAAAGCAGCAACAACGCCAAAGGAAATCTAAAGTCGGTGACTATGGAGGTACCAGCCTCGCATCAATAGTCGCAGGAAGCAATCAGGAACCCCAGGATTGGCAGGACGACAAGCTCACTGTATAGTCGTGCCTGTTGCTGGCTCTTGGCTCTTCGTGACGACGACCGTGATCCAGCTACCTGAAGTGGGACTCGTGACCGAAACGCCATATGTTACCGGGCGACTCACAAGCCTGACGCACATGGAGGAGACACTCCCACTGATGGTCGATCGGCCACAGACGTACGCTTCCTTTCCACAGGGGCGCGGATCAAACCAAGCGTGCTTCCTGGCACACGGTTTCTGTCAAGCAGCAGGAGCGGATCTCCGCGTTTCGTATGCTTCCGCCATTGTCTGTTCTAGATCACGCTAACTGGCGGATGTCTTCAAAGTACATATCTCAAGCTTTTCGCTTGGCGTGGCTTCCGACACAATTTGTCCTTGCCAAGCATGGCTGGGAGGAGGAGCGCATGTCGAGAGTGATGATGGCTTCATCACTTGCCGTACGGCTCCAGGACAGCCGAACAAATATGACAAAAAGCACCGTCTCACCAAACGATGCAGAAACAACACATATACGTAATCTGGCACGAGCCACACAGATCGGTCTTGGCTGTGGTCGCAATCAGGTTGCGATGGGTCGATCTTAGCACTACAAGCTCGAGCGAATGGTCCACTACCGCTCACAAATGCCGGACGAGAGTTGTGATAGCCCAAAGGTTGCGTGCTCCGCTCGGGCAGTGGCCGCAGGCAGCTTCTCTCAGTCCAGCACACGTTCCTACCTGAATTCTATCACCAGCTCCAGGTGGTACACGTTGCTCCTATGCTATGCCATATTTCCGAAGGTTTCGGAGTAGAACACGCAAGCCACATACAGCCACTTCGGACAGCGCTGCACCGAGGCAGTCAAGTCTCATGCTCATTGCATAATATTGGCCATCGGCTCAACCAGAACGTGCCACAGCCCAGCACACTCGCGCTACGCATCTTTCGGCAGTTGTAGAAAGATTATTGAGAAGGCATTGCTGCATGTTTGCAAGCAACAGCCTTGTCGGCATATGCAATATCAAGTGCCAAGCCGATTCTGAGACACCGGCTCCTACGACCTCCGCCCCCGGCTGTCTGATCTCCATCGGATCTGTTTGATCTTCTCAAATCCTCCGGTCTGGAGATGCGCACCCGACCAATGACTTTGTACGCCTATCGGATTTTGTCAACACTGGCCCGCCCATGTGTATGATGCACTCCCGGTCCACGTAAGTATTCCACGGAGCCAAGCTTCCGCGCCAAAAGCCAAGCTTCCCCGCCGAGCCTCGGCATCGTCTCGGACCAGATCCGCAAAGAAAGCTTCTGCAACACTTGACAGGTCTGGCTGCCTCATCAGTGAGCTTAGTCATGGCGGCACCCTTTTCGTGAGCCGTTGCGCTGCTGATCAACAGTCGGCTCAGCGTGCGCTCGGTGGATGCGCTATCCCCCCACTGTTCCACGTTCTTACGTGGAAATGTTTGAGATTCTTGCCATCTACCGGTCTCGGTGCACGACATGCGGTCTGATGCTAAGCTATCGGCCTGGCATATTGCCTTCGGGCCCACAACATGCATTGACGGCCTGTCTGACCGTCCAGCTTAGCATAGCCTACCTGGCGGTATGTTGTCCCTTCACCGCCTTTTTCTCCAACACATCGAGGGCTAAGCATACCTGTCGACAGTCCTCGACCTCGGTCCCAAGCCCTAGGCAACTATACGCGGTCAGAGATCATGGCTACTAGCATATAGCTGTGGAGTTCAGCGACAAGTTGCCATGCCATTCATTGGCAGACGGCGTCTAGAAGGAGCTTCGAGACACGCTTATGCACCAACGGCCATATCTCCTGTGCTACACAGCCTCGATAATGGAGAAGGACCAGGTATGTTGAGAGACCATTGGTTGAGCATGGCCGCTCCGTCACTTAACATTGTCAATCCGTCTAGTAGAGCATTACGACGCGAAGAATTGACTATAGTTCAGAGGTCCCTTATTGCTATGGCTGACATACTGAAACATCACGCCCATGCACCAGGAGGTGTAGGGTGCTGCGCCTCGGTCCCTGAGTACGTCGACGATGCGCCAGATCATTCTTTCCAGCTATCTAATTCTGGCAAGATGGGCAAGGAGGTAAGACGCTGCATTGATATAGAAAGCCACCACACCATGACCGTGACCATGCTCTTTCCTCCATCGCATCACACACTGTGTTCGACCAGACAGCATCACACCCGCTACCAGCCTCATCTGTGCAAGACACGACATGGTGGCACACCTTCTCATCTCTGTTCAATAACATCACTTCAAGTCGACGCCTTCTCGACGTGGACTTGCCAGTCAAACTCAGGCCTCATCAAAAGTAACCGCGCAGACTGGACTCTGCAGCATAAGCCTCCTCTCAAATTCCCATAACAGATAACAAACATGGTCGACGAACATCTCGCAACACTGCCACGGCTCACTACTCAACCTCCGTCTCCCAGTCCCTACAGACAGACTCACGACGAGAGATCGAACCCGACAGGACTTCGCACTGGAGAGCCAGTCTCAGCTGCGCCTTCATCCGTAGGAGGAGACACACTTCACGACCATACCGGACAGGGTCACTCACGCGACAACTCCTTCCACTTCAACGCGCGAAGCCGCACCAACACAGTCGACACTCAGTCCACCGCCGTTGGCACGGAGCCTGTAATCATGGAGAAGGACAAGGCCAATGCGATCACTCAGATCCGGGAAACTGGCTCAAGTGAATCTGTCTCCACCGAAGGCGCCCTGCAACCCGACAAGGGTACAGAGAAAGACTTTGTGGTTGATGGCACCAACCCGTTCGGCGTCTCGCCTGGTGAGCTCAACAAGATGCAGAACCCGAAGTCACTTGCTGCTTTCAAGGCTCTGGGCGGTCTTCCTGGCATTGAACGTGCTTTACGCACTGGCGTCAATGCTGGGCTGAGTCTTGACGAAACTCATCTGCAAGGCACGGTCCCGCGAGCTGCCGAGGAGGCTATGAACGAGAAAGCCGCTTCAGCACTTCGGTCCAACCCCGCCACGACAGCTATCGGAACTTCTGATGATTCTGTGGCGACCAGCGGTGCAGTCAAGGATCAGTATGCGGATCGCAAGCGGGTGTTCAAGGACAATCGTCTACCAGCCCGTAAGACCTACACTTTGGGCTCCTTATTGTGGAACGCATATAACGACAAGCTACTATGGCTGCTCACAATTGCGGCTGTTGTGTCTCTCGCTCTCGGTCTGTATGAGACCTTCGACTCTGGCTCCGAGGTCGACTGGGTTGAGGGTCTCGCCATCTGCATTGCTATCATCATCATTGTGCTTGTCACTGCTCTCAACGATTGGCAGAAGGAGAAGCAGTTCACCAAGCTCAATCAGAAGAAGGAAGACCGCGAAGTTAAGTGTCTTCGTTCCGGCAAGGCGATCATGATTTCCGTCTACGATGTTATGGTTGGCGACGTTCTCCATCTAGAACCAGGAGATAGTATCCCTGCTGACGGCATCTTTATCAGCGGGCACGGCGTGAAGGTTGACGAGTCTTCCGCGACTGGTGAATCCGACGCGATGAAGAAGACCGGTGGCTTGGAGGTTTGGCATCAGCTCTCCGCTGGCGGTCACAATCTACACAAGCTCGATCCATTCATCATCTCTGGCTCGAAGGTCTTGGAGGGTGTCGGAACCTTCCTCGTCACATCTGTCGGTGTCAATTCAAGCTTCGGCAAGATCATGATGAGCTTGCGCGTCAAATCCGAGCCTACGCCCTTGCAAGTCAAGTTGGGTGTTATGGCGAATTGGATCGGTGGTCTGGGCTCTCTGGCAGCAGGTATCTTGTTCCTCATCCAGCTGTTTCGTTTCGTTGCCCGCCTGGGCTCAAACCCTCACACACCCTCGGAGAAGGCGGGCGAGTTCCTCGACATCTTGATTACGGCTATCACTATCATCGTCATGGCTGTGCCGGAAGGTCTACCACTTGCGGTCACTCTCGCCCTAGCTTTCGCGACCACGCATATGATGAAGGAGAACAACCTGGTGCGCGTACTACGTGCTTGTGAGACCATGGGCAACGCGACCACAATATGCTCGGACAAGACAGGCACGTTGACACAAAATAAGATGACAGTCGTTGCCGGCTCCTGGTCACTAGGGCAAAAGTTCGCACAATCCGAGGAAGATGGCGCATCGACGTTCACGGCTCTTTTCTCGCGCATCAGCGCCCCATTCAGGGCCCTCCTTACTCAATCGATTGTCATCAACTCGACCGCTTTTGAAGGCCTCGAAGATGGCCAAAAGGCGTTTGTTGGCAGCAAGACAGAAGTCGCCATGTTGAACCTCGCGACATCGTACCTGGGTCTGACATCTACAGCTGAAGAGCGTGCGAACCATGCTGTCGTCCAGCTCTACCCCTTCGACTCAGCGCGGAAGTGTATGGGCACAGTCATGCGCCTTCCCAGCGGCAGCTACCGCCTCGTGGTCAAGGGTGCATCCGAGATCATGGTCAGCAAAGCCGACTACGTCGTCTCCGATATGGCATCCAACTCGCCTAACATCGATGACAGTCCTCTAGATCGCTCGACTCGCGATGCTATCGAAGCCCAGATCCAGACTTACGCCTCTCGGTCGCTGCGTACTATCGGCTTCCTGTATCGCGACTTCCCGTCGTGGCCTCCCAGCGGCGCGCGCACCATTGAGGGCGACAAGACTATGGCTGAATTCGGCGATGTCTTCTCCGACATGACATGGATCGGTCTAGTGGGCATCCAGGATCCTCTACGACCTCAGGTCACCAACGCTGTTGCACGCTGCCAAGCCGCCGGTATCAAAGTCCGTATGGTCACTGGCGACAACATCACCACAGCCACGGCCATTGCTACCGAGTGCGGCATCAAGACCGCTGACGGCTTGTGTCTCGAAGGACCACACTTCCGTCAGATGTCCGACTCGGAGCTCTCTGCTGTCGTGCCCAAACTCGATGTGCTCGCCCGCTCATCTCCTGAAGACAAGCGCATTCTCGTCGCCTACTTGAAGAAGCAAGGCGAGACGGTCGCTGTCACTGGCGACGGAACTAATGACGGTCCTGCCCTCAAGCTTGCAGATGTCGGCTTCAGCATGGGTATCGCTGGTACAGAAGTCGCCAAGGAGGCCAGCGAAATCATCTTGATGGACGACAACTTCGCCAGCATTGTCAAAGCTGTCATGTGGGGTCGCAGCGTGAACGATGCGGTGGCCAAGTTCCTGCAGTTTCAAATCACTGTCAACATCGCCGCCGTGACGCTTGCTTTCATCTCGGCAGTATCGTCGTCCGAGAACCGATCTGTGTTGTCAGCTGTCCAACTCCTTTGGATCAACTTGATCATGGACACCCTTGCGGCTTTGGCGCTCGCGACAGACGCGCCAACAGAAAAGATCCTGGATCGGCCGCCTGCTGGCAAGAAGACACCGTTGATCACAATGCACATGTGGAAGATGATTATGGGACAAGCCCTGTACCAGATCGTCGTCAGTCTCGTGCTCTACTTCGCCGGCGCCAAAATCCTGAACTACCGCGACATCAACAAGCCAGGCAACGAACACCGACAGGAGGAGCTCAACACGATTGTCTTCAATGCGTTTACCTGGATGCAGTTCTTCAACATGTTCAATTGTCGACGTCTGGACAACTTCTTCAACATCTTTGAGGGAGCGCTCCGGAACTATTGGTTCTTGGCTATGGCGGCGATCATGCTTGGTGGGCAGGTCATGATCATCTTTGTTGGAGGTCAGGCGTTTGAGGTCACCAGGATTGACGGAGAGCAGTGGGCCGTTTGCGTGCTGACGGCTCTACCGTGCCTCGGCTGGGGCGTCTTGTTGAGGTGCGTCCCAGATCGGTATGCGGAAGCATTCTTCGTGGCTATCGTGCGAATGATTAAGGTCATTTTCAGCCCGCTGGTCAGGTGTCTTGGGGCGATCTTCTCGCCGATCGGGAGGGCATGGCGGAGGATGAGGGGGAAGAAGCTGGAGCGAAGAATGAGTGCTCAAGGGGAGGAGAGTGCCTGAAGTGAGCTTTACACAGGCAGTAGTGTACCATGTCTCGGGCGAGAGGTGCGCTGGGCCCGCAGAGGAGGAGGCCCAGAGAGGACTGGACATGAGAGACCCATGCGATGAGCGCAGTTGATGTCTGCTGCTTTGGAGAATCACGATCGTTCATGACTTGCCAGCTAGACAGTGATGGCAACATTTGGTCCAGCGCATAAGAGCTCGAAGCAGCCAGCGTTCGAATAAAAGTTTTCTGTTTGCTCATATCACGACTGTCGCTTGGCTTTGATATCCGAAGAATGTGTTGCCTTTACCATATGATGTTGTGGTGTACATCAAGATAGGCTTGAGTCGCTGGCGCATATCCTTACCCAGACAGCGGAACCTAATTGTGCGTCGACTTATCGTCCTATAACGCACGCCTTGCGCGAAGGATTGCTCGTGCGTTCGTGCTAGACGAGGATTAATTTTGGCGATAGTGACCGACATGGGATTGGGTACACGAGGCATGTGTCCTGATAAGGCCGACGTTAGGCATGAATTTCAAGACTGCGGTGTGCTCTCTGGACATTTGCCTCGCCGTGAACTAAGCGAAGGCGTGTCCTTTCGCGTAGTCGATCATGAACCCTCTTGCGCCCAAGGACTCCCCTGAGCAAGTCACAAATGTTGCGGTAGGACTGCTTAGTTGAGCATTCAATTCAGTTAAAGGAAAAGGGTTGTTACAGGAGGTAGAGCTATGCGTAAGACAGGGTATTTACGTCAGCTTTTGACCAATATCAGGCGGGCTCCCTTTGGTGCATTAAATGCGGGCAAGGCAGGTCCTGCAGCTGCGACAGCTGCCCAGTCGCAAGTTAAGGTCTAGTGTTGGGAACATTTATGGCCGATTCCTGGAGCCGGGCGCTTGCCCACTTAGGTAATATGGTGATGTCGGGGGCATATCGTACTCCGGCCCCTACCTATACCCGCGAATATGGGTTGGGGCAAAGTCGGCTGGATGCCTGTTCGAATCAGAGATCGCAGATGAAGCGCCGGGCGAAATCTTGGGGTCGCTCATGCCAAGTGAAAAACGTAAGCAAGCTGGCGGCGAGTCATTGACCAGGCAGTGCCAGCGGCCCGACGTGCTGTGCCTGGCTAAATTTTGTAGATACATCCAGGAGTGCAGCGATAATGACAAACTTACCAGAGACTTTCCTGTACGTACAGACCCAAACGCGCTGTAAGACTTGGGAGGCTGAAGATGGTGAGTCAGCAGGAGCAGCTGTTGTGATTTGCCTAGACAAAACAAGCACGGGGCTACTTGCATGAACGACAGGATACGTATGGCAACACGCGCGGTTGTTTCAACCTCGTAAGACTTACTACCGGCTGTCTCGCCCAGATCTCTCCATCTCTTAGTCTTACGAAGATACGGCTTTACCATACCCACACCTATGGTAGATCCGAAGTGGAAAATGCCCATGTCTCGCAGTGCCGATCATGGCATGTATCGTACGAAAGGTAAGCCCGCACGCGCAGGACTCTACACGGAGCGCCATGTCACGACTTTCACGTCTAGCACCATCTCGCATTTGTTAAGGTAGATCTGACCAGGCCTAGGCTGCGACTAGCTTTGGTCCGATGGAACGCTCGACCAAAACTATCCAACCCCGCAACTGGGGCAAGGACTGTTATGCTTTGAGGTTGCTCCACCACCCAATCCGCCCTGCATACTGCAGACCAGCTCATTCATTGCGTCGGATGATCCTTCTGTGGTGCCGCGGTCGACCTACAGTAGCAGAAAACATCCTGGATACAATGAGTTGCGAGACGAGGTTAACGGGTGTCGTCATTGGCCTGTGGAGGCACATGAGTCGATGCAGGACCGGTTCAACACCTCTGTCCGTCATTGCGACACGTCAATGAGTACTGTACTGTCTGGTGCCAGCTAGCCCAAGCCCGAAATTCAGCAAGCGCTGACTCGTACCACGAGGGGACCTTGAAGTATAAAATGCGAGCCGCTCTCCACTTCTTTTGAGCATTGCCGGCCGACGGTCTCCTCTTTAAGTACAAATCAGACCCTCTTCGTATCCTGAAGTCTGTCTACCACCTGCCTGGCATCACCTTCCTAGACTCTCCAGCAGCTATGGGTTTCATCGACACCAACGGCGTCAATGGCCACACGAACGGTACCAACGGCACTAATGGCGTCAATGGCCACCACCTCAGTGCCCACATAAGCGCGGACGAATTCACCAAGCAAGACTTCGACTATGTCATTTGTGGCGGTGGCACTGCTGGCCTCACCATTGCTGCGAGACTGACGGAGGACCCGAACGTCAAAGTGGGCGTCATCGAAGCAGGCAAACTGAGATTGGATGATCCTCTTGTTGATATTCCAACGGCGTTTCTGCAAATGCTTGGGAACCCGGACTACGACTGGATGTATAAGACTGTACCACAGGTAGGTTTGGGAGGTCAGAGGCTGCCGTATGTTTGACCTGACGACTTTTCAGGGCGCCAACAAGGATAAGATCCATCACATCCCCCGTGGCAAACTTGTCGGAGGCAGCAGCGGGATCAACTACATGATGTAACCTCAAGCAAACTCCGCTGTCACTACCTTACTGACGTGGGTATAGGTACGTGCGAGGATCTCTGCAGGACTATGATGACTGGGCAGAGCTCTCGGGAGATCCGTCTTGGGGATCTAAGGAGATGAGCCATTACATGCGGTGAGTATCCCATCAGAACGTCATCAGCGATCTGCAAACAAGTCTTGATGCGCGGCTTGGCCTCGGCGCTGTACCAAGTGCATGGCCCAGCCACGTCTGATGTTCAGCCCGGTCAGACCGTCGAAGCAGCGCGCTCATGCTAATGGGCTCGCAGAAAACATCAGAAGCTCGAGCCCCTTCCAGAAACCCTTAAAGATCTCACTTCCTACCCACTAGTCGGAGAGCACCATGCACGGAAGGATTCGTCCGCACCGGCTTTAACGACAACTCCCTGCCAATCGAGGATATCGTAATTCAGGCAGCCGACGAGGTCTGCGGACTCTCGAAGAAGCCAACTGACCCATGGTCCGGAGACCATATTGGCTTCTTCAACACCATGGGCTCGATCGCCAGGACCGGACCAAACAGGGGCAAGCGATCCTATGCCGCACGGGGCGCCTTCGAGGCCAATTCTCATCGACCTAATTTGAAGCTTGTTTCCGAGTCAACAGTCGCTAGGGTTGTCCTCGAGAACAAGCGAGCGACAGGTGTTGAGTTCATCAACAATGGCCAGAAGCATACCGTCAAGGCAAACCGCGAAGTCATCATTTGCGGCGGTGTGTTTGGCTCGCCGCAGATCCTCGAACTCTCCGGCGTCGGTGATCCCAAAGTCTTGGAAGCGGCCGGCGTCGAGTGCTTAGTCGACCTCCCATCAGTCGGCACTGATTTCCAAGACCATCAAATTATCATCGTTGGTCATCAGCTTAAGGAAGGACAGATGTCCGGAGATTCCATCTATAAGCCTCAGATCATGGAAATGGCCCAGAAAGCATACGCTGAGACGCAAGGCGGCCCGTTATCCAACATCTCTGCAATTCAGGGCTTCTTCCCAGTCAAGCCATTGCTCGAGCCAGGTGAGCTGGACGAGTTTGAGCGCCTCATCAAGGAAACAAAAGTCGAGTCAGACTTCCAGCGAAAACAGCTCGACCAGGTCCTTCGCCAGGTCAAGAGCGACACATCCGCCAACTTGCAATTTGTCCTTATCCCAGCTTCCGGCAATCCTAACGGCGTCGACGACCAATCGAAACTCTTCCCGCCTCCAAAAGAAGGCTCTCCAGATGGCATTACATTGTGTGTGTGTGTGCAGTACGGCGCCAGCCGTGGCCGCATTCATATCAAGAGCAGCGATCCGTTCGAGCATCCTACGATCGATCCGGGTTATATCAGCCATCCTGCCGACCATATCCTGCTGAGTGCTGCGTACAAGTTTGCGGACAAGATGGCCAACTCGAAGGCTTTGAAGCCTTTGTTGGCGGACAGATACTGGCCGACGTATGATCAGGTGGATCTTGCTGATCCGAAGGCTCGAAGAGATTTTGTGAAGGAGTATGTTCTTGTAAGTATTTCCCCGGGTCACTTTCAGCATTCGGCATCGGACTGCTCAGCTAACAACGCCGTGCTTCAATAGGGAGAGTACCACGTCTGCGGCTCCGTTGCTATGGGCCACAGTCTCGACTCCAAGCTACGCGTCAAGGGTGTGCAAGGTCTACGTGTCGCCGACGCGTCGGCTTTCGCCAACAACGTATCTGGAAATATCGTCAGCTCCGTGTATGCGATTGCCGAGAAAGCTGCCGATATCATCAAGGCCGACCATGCGAGCTCGGGCAAGCTGGGCAAAGTTGCTGCGTGAAACGCATCACGAAGCGGTTGACGCAGCGCACTCTCGACTCACTGCCACGACTGTAATTCCCGGTCGCGATAGTCGCAACGAAACGCCTTCCGACGGAAAACTTCCCCGAATGCTTTCGTGACTACCTTTCGCAGATTGGTGTCCTACGGTAGAATGTTTCCTCTTCTGGCCTATATAGGTGTGTACGAGGAATGCTTGGAAACGATTTCCCGTCCACACAGACATCTCACGAATCTCCCAATTCGACGATCCGGAGCTTTCCTTTGCTATTGCATCTCCCAATGTTAGGGGCTGTGGTATAATGTGTCCTCGCCCTGTTTGAAATTCATCCACTCCTGACATAACATGCCCTTACGATGAATCCCAAGAGTCGTCCATTCTGATGGCAGGGCAGCCGGTAATGAACCTCTGATTCGGATAGAATTCAGGCCTTGTGGGAGCCGGGCTTGCTCCAACCTGGCGCTCCGCCTCTTGTCTACGAGCTTCCGCTTCCTGTTTGCGAGCTTCCGCCTCCTTCTGACGACGCTTTTCCCCGACCATGTACCAGCCCTGCCGACGTCGTTTCTCCTCCCTACCGCGGAAGCCTAGCAGACCGGGATGCCTACTGGCGGTATCCACCTGAGCCATCACGGACGTCAGGGAGGCGTCTGCATCCTGAGCGAGTTTGTTCCAGTTTGCAGGCTTCTTCCAGAGCCCATCATCCCGGCTCTTGTGGTGCTCGAGGACGAGAGAGATCATCTTGTGCAGAGGTTGGGTTTTGTTATCCGTGACCGGTAATGGGGCTATCTTCTTCTCGGACTCCTGCGTCTTGTGCGATGGCTGCTGGGCATCGACAGGTACCGACATCCCGTCAACGTGAGCACATCTCACTGCGTTGGACATGGCATTTTCGGTCTTTTTGTCGTTGGTCTCGACCGCGGACGACATTCCGCAAGCCTGGACACGGCTGTTTGGATCCGGCTTCGCGTTCTCGGCCGTTTCGTCGTTGATCTCGCTCCATTCGTCCTCGCTTCCATCGAGGTAATCTACCGGATCTACTGTGACAAAGTCGTCGGCAGGGTCCTCCGACCTTCCAAGTATTAGTCCAGCTAGACTGGGGTCGATCTCGGCTAGTGTTACATACGCGTGTTCCGAAGCCATCTTGCTTGATCACCAGGCTGTCAGTCCTATTCGAAGGAACTTTTCCAGATTGGCAGTTACGGCTTCTTCCTCTTCCGTGTCGAAGCTCACAACGAGTACTAGGATACCGACTGATATAAGTAGCAAGCTGCCCAGTAACAAGTCGAACTCTGCTGATACCATTCGTGGCCTGATCCGCAGTTGGCTGGTCGCAACGTGCAGACGCTCCTTGACCAGGCAGTGACAGAGTGTTGCGGGATGATCAAGCACTCGGGCTCTTCGGTGCTGATGGACAAGTTGAGGTTGACGGAAAGCACACTACAGAGCGCAGGAAGCGTCTGTTGCGAATATTCGAGTAAAGATATGGTGTGCGAATTGGATTTGTGGGATGTATTCAGCTTGGCTAAGGCACCAGTTGTCAGCTTTCGGGTCATAATGTGCGCGACCACACTGTCGGTAAACCTTCTCCTGACGCCTGTCGCGCAGGATGAGCTTGGCCAGCTTGTTCTGACAACATCTCTCGACGCAAACTTAAGTCATAATCGGGAAAGGCGTCATGAAACATGCTGGGTTGAATTTCGAGCCACCAGGAATGATCTGCTTCTCCTTACCATCGCAAGACTAGCTGACGCCCAAGAGCTTGACGTCGCGATGTTATAGGCTTTGTGAGACCATACCGTGTTTCCTCTCGCCGAGATGCTGGGTTCAGGCACTGCCTCTGATAGCTCTGAGTCGTTGCGTATATCCCTTGCCATAGCGAAGGACCTCTGGCGTGTAATCAAGATGGAATCCTGTGAGGCTTAAATGACTGTGCAGAAGGTAATTTTTGACATCGCACGGAGTCTCGAGCACAGAAGGGTCTCCGGTAGAGGCCCACGACATGCCGATGTGGCCACGAGGTTGAAGCTTTGACTGCGAGTGAAGTCTACGGAGCGCCGAAACATTGAGAAGTGAAGAGTTGTCGACGAAAGTCGAGGAAACGACAGTAGAGTGAGGCGGAGGCTCGTGGCGTGGGTGCTTCCACTTTGCGGTGCTTGAGGCAATGACGTGTACGAGAGCCGAATCAGTTGAGCCAAAATGAGCCTCACTCGAGCATCAATTAGGCGGCATTTCAAAGAACAAACCATCATGACTTTCCTGCGGCAGGGAGGGCACTGAAGTTGATATACTTCCGAGGTTTGTGTCGGTCAGTCCTCAGGTGTGAGATGAGCCTCGCTCGATTGTCAATCAGTAGAGCGATTTATCGCGGACTTTCCAGGTCAAGAAGGCCGTTGTAGGTCTGACAATATGTCGCTGCTCGTGCGGGCAGACTTGGGACGAGCCTCACTTGAGCGTCAAGTAGCAGGAGCGATCCATCGCAGACTTTCTGGCTAGAAGGGCGCCGTGGTCGTAGTTGCCAGTGTTGATGATCATAGCCCGAGTGCCTGCTGATTTGGGACTGCCTTGACTTTGGGAGGCACCTGCTGAGTGTTCTCACTTGCTTGCTGATGGTCCTAATGCACTTTTCCATCACTGTCCACATCTAACAACAGCACTATTCTTTTGCTGCAGTACGATGGCCTGCCCTGCTGACCTTTTCGAAGGTCAAGACCAGCAAGTTCGGGCGGCCTCTAGCAGAGCTGTCAAGCTAGCATTAGACATCCGTGTTGCAAGCCGAAAGTGCAACCATGCGGCCATCTCGACGGATCTAGGCTCGATCGCGACCGAACTACATCTGTTGTCGATTACTCTGCACGACCTGCAGGAAGCCATAGAGGCCGCCCGGCAGGAGACCTCATATTACACCGACGCGTTCCGTCAGGATCTCGCGGAAATTCTGACAGAACTCAATCACGTACTTGATGAGGTCCAGGACTGCTGTCAGGAGCTCGAGGCGTCCGATTCGTCGTCGCTCAAGCCAGTAGCCTGGTTCTTCAAGAAGGGCCGCGCCGCGAATCTTCAAAAGCACATGGAAGCTCTGAAGACCACAGTCATTGTGATGCGGACAGTGCTGCAGCACGCGAAGGACTATGATAGCAAGGAGTAAGTCGTGCGATCTGTGAAGCCTGCCGCTGTGCACAGAGTTCTCCCTGGCTGGATCTTCATTCCAGATGTGGGAGTCAAGGCTGACCAAAGTAGATCTTCATCTGGACGCCTCGCGGAGTCAACACCACACACGATGGTCGAAGAACGCGCGATACTCGAAGCAGTCTTTGCAGAGAACCGCAAGGCACTCCAGAGCAACACTCAAACCAAGACTTCACATTCTCACAGTCTATCGTCGTCGTCCGATGCTAATCCTGAACTGAGCCCCGGCGCCCATGGAAGGAACCTGTCCAACGCCACAGGCGTAGAAAGCATCGATGTTCCAGACGTCCTGCCTCCCAAAGCCCAGGCGGGCTCCCCGCCCAAGACGGAAGATGCAATGAGCCTCGCCCGTCGATTCTCAAAGCGAGCTCATCTTGGAATTCATAAGTCTATCCTTGATATGAAGGCCGAAGAGATGGCAACTGGTCTCCGCAAGAGGTGGATCAAAATGCCTGTGATCGAGGAGGCGGGCTCTGGGGACACAGCACTGCAGGCCATTTCCAACCAGGCTGATGGAGAGTCAAGCAATCCGGAGAAGAAGTCTGTGATCGGGCGGGCTCTGGCAAAATTGAGGATCGGTGGACGTCGCTGAGAATTCCCGCCCGGGCGGCCTCCAAGAGGATTTCTGAAATCGCTGCTGAATTATGATGTGAGTTGCGATTTTCCGGTCAGCGGGCTCTCCATGCTGACAAGATACATAGCATTACTGAAGCATGCATTTGGACGAAGTAGCATCGAGCTACTCTTTGTGTGAGAGTGAAGGTATCATCACATTACTTAACTCTTCCGACTGAACCAGCTGCTGTACCAACCTCCACCAGTCTTTGAGGCGGCTGCCGATGCAGCATTGTCGGCCATCTGATCCAGCATCCCGCCTCGAATTTCGTGTATTGGCTCAACTGGTCGATCTCCAGTCCGTCGCTCGACCTTGATATTGCTCGGCAATCGCTCCATCTTGTTCAGTGGTACAGGTCGACCCTTCGCATCAAAGCCTACGCCCTCAATAGTATCATGCTCCCGGACAGCTACCCGCCGTAGCTGTGGCTCGTTCTCTTTCATCTGTTGCTGTTGCTGCTGAATCCATGCCTCTTCCAGAACCCGCCCACCGCTCGCCCGAAATTGTCGTCGCTCAGCCTCCTCCAGTGTCTCCGTACCCATCTGATCGCCGTCAAACTCCTGACCCACACCCAGCATACCCTTCGCCTTCGCCCACAAACCCCTCGTCTTCTGCGCATCCTTGTCTGCCTTCCACTTCGCCGCCATCTCTTCACCCGCCCGCTCCTGCTCCAGCAAATGCAACTGCTCCGCACTCGCATCGCCCCTCAAGAATGCCTGCTGCGCGTCCCGTAATCGATCCATCTCGGCATCAATGAACGCCCGCTTCTGCCGCCGGCTGTGTGTGACGAGACTGAAGATGCCGTAAACGGCGACAACGGCTGAGATGCCCGTCAGGCCGAGCAGGGCGACGGTTGTGAAGCGGTGGGCTGTATCTGCCCATCTTCGGCCGCCGGCGATGAACCTTTCGGTCGGGGTGAGTTGGGAGCCGTCGCGTTGTGAGCGGAGCTGGGCGCGCAGGCGGGCGACTTTTTCCGCGGGTGTCTCTATGGGAGCGGTGCTTGCTGGCGCAGCTGTAGGGCCTTGGGGCTGCCGCGGCGAGAAGTTGGGGGTAGATGGCTTCTGTGAGGCGTGGATCGAGTTGGATGTGAATCGAGTGAATGTGTCTGAGGGTTTTCGCCGGGACATTGTTGCCTTTTTTCTTAGATATGATGTGGATAGGGTTACTCCTGTCGCGGAGTGCGTGAGAGTTGTGCTGTACGCAAAAGTATTAGGCTAGCATGATCTACAGTAATGTACAAGAATCGAAGCGGACCGAAGGCTGTACAAAGAGGCTGTGAGTCGGTGTGCGTTGAGATGGAACAACGACTGGAATTCTCGAAGCTCTGAAAGTCCATGACTTCAATGGCACTTTCATTTCCTGGAACGGAGATAAGTTTCTCCGCCGATTTCTTCTTACTATTGGCAAGTGCAGGGCATCGCTTCACTTGTCTCTTCTTCAACTTCGATCGAAATGAGAGCAGCCTCAGCGTAGGCACGTGTAAGATCAGCTGCTTCTCAAGGATGCGTTATCTCGTCGCTGTCCTTAGATCTATGGTTGAGTACAGCCAGATCGTCGTGATAGAGTTTGGGCCGTCATGACCACCTCGAGCGAGGAAGTCCAACGCTTGCTTGCCAACCTCGCGAGCTATTCGTCCCAAAGTCACAATGCTCATAATCAAACTACGTCTAGGGAGACCTCAAGTAGTGTTCCATCATTCTCATCAAGCTTGCCTGGACTAGGTAGTCTTGCTCCAGAGGCATACCAAGCCGCGCTCTCGAAACCGTCTACTCCGAGTCCGGCGTCGTACCAGACTCCAAGCACTTCACTTCACCCAGCGTCCTCGTCGCTAGGTCAGACCATTGTAGGTAGTCGACAGAACACGGCATCGCCGGCATCTAAGCCTGCCATTAAACTACCGGTCCCGGATGCTTCCTCTATCACCGACTGGCCGACCGCCATCCGTCATGTAATGCAACACCTCCTCCCCAACCCTGACTTCGGCACCCGCATTCGCCATCTGATCACGACTCAGCACCAGTACGAACAGGACTGGTTCACGAAACGCTCCCTCATCACCGACCGCCACGCCTCGCGGGATACATCCTCCGCACAACTCAACAACATCTTCGCCAACCTGGGCATTCCTGTGCCTGCTGCCAAAGCCGCTGCTACTGCCACAGGTCGCGACACCGAAGCGGAGCAGCGCGAGCTAGCGGAGTACGATGCGAAGGTATACAAGCAATTGTTGGCGCTGGTCGGGGATTTCGATCGGCAGCTGAGGCAGCTCGGAGTGCCATTCTATGCGATCAGGCATGAGCTGGTGATTTTGGAGGAAGGTAGGGAGAGGGATGCGTTTGTGGGCAAGGTGAGGAGGATTGATCGTGGAGAGTTGAGGGAGTTGCAGAGAAGGATGTTGGAGTGGTTGGAGATGAGTTTTCCGGAAGATGCATCTTGAGCCTAGCTGGGACGACGTCGGCGTGATCGCGGATCGTTAGGTGAAATGAGGCGTTTTGGACATATAGAGCAATGCCGCTGGCTGCTCTGCCATCCGCTGGTGAACAGCAACGAGGAAACTCATACCGCATGGCGTCAAGCATGGGGCGGCGTTGCAAGGGTTAGAAGCATTTAGCGCGGAAGCGAATCTGATTGTACTCATACGAGGTATCGAAGATGTCTACTGTGTATGTGTCTCTAAGGATGTCTCTCTGTGTAAGAGCCTTCGAAAGAATGATGCTTCACTTCCCATTCCGCGGTCAGTCCCGTCGTATCGTACAAATATTTCGTAATATCATAGCCGTTGCATAACCTCCCCCGGCGTCGTTATACTCGTACATCGTCATCTGCTCGACGGACGACCTCAAGTCCGTAAGATGTGAGAGTAGTGACCCGGCACTTTCTGCTCGCATTTGCTGCACCCTGCCAGAAAGCCCATGTGCAGCTTCGCAATGCTCCCTTTTCCACGTGAATGCTGACGGGCGTGGACTCTCGTCTGGCCGTCGAGCTGCGCTGTAGCAAGGCTGGGTGTATCTTCCATCATCTTATCGTCATCGCAGGACATGTTAAGCCCAATCATGCCGGCACTCGTTTGCTCATAGCCCATTAAGACATCGGCACTGATCGGACTGTCGTACTGCATCGAGTCCTCGACGGGGCTGGGCAGACCACCCTCGTTGGACGTGCCCCATGCGTCTTGCTCCATCATGGGACTCAAGAACTTTCGCAGTGGTGGGAATGACTGACGAGGTGCTTGTGATAGAACGCTGCCGCGACTGTCGGTCCGGTTGTCGAAGGATGAAGCAACTGGTGTTGGCATACGGTCGTTGAGCTGGTTGGGCTGCGATGGGGCGGTAAGCGAAGGGAACGATGTGGTCAGATGAGCTGGAGATACAAGGTCGTTGGATCTAGCCCGTCCGAAGCGTGGCCGAGGTGGTGGTGGTGATAGCATCATGCCTTTATCATCGCCGTGTTGAGCAAGGTCGACGTTGACCTTAAGTGATGATGTAGAATTGGTGCTGATGCTGCTGCCTTGCGAGATGTGTTTCCATCGATCGCCGTCGAAGACATCGTGGTACTCGTCCGTGAGACTCTCATCTTCACTAGTATCGATTGGCGTGAGAGGAGCTGGTGGAACGGACGACGCAAGTGTTGAACCAAAACGTCGGGCAAATTTCGGCGGCGTGGTCCTAATAGGCAGAGCCGGTAGCGTTCTCCTCTGCTTGAATTGATGGTCCATCTCTTCATCGCTTATGTCATCCACGTCTCGCTTCCTCTTCGAAGCCATCATCGGTTGGAAGTTCATCATAGCGTCTGCCTCACTCTTCCACCAGAAACGTGTGTGCCAACAAGTGGTGATCTCAAGGGGAATCCTGAAGTGGGAGTGTTCCAGGAGAGCAAGGAGATCTTAAAGTGAATCATCCATAACGACAAACTTCTGGAACAATGGCCGATTGTAAGGTACTCACGCGTCGGAAAATGATGATACCGGTTGGAAGCGACCGAAGTCGGGACAGTGAAACTTCAGCTTAGATCAAGCAATTGAAGCGCGAGATTTTAGAACGATTGGGAATTGTGAAACGATATTCGATTGCCACAAAGGTGATGTCGAAGGCCTATTTGTGAAAGAAGGGAGGGGAGGACTCCATAGGTGAGCTCGTTGCCGCCCGTGAAACCCTAGGCGTTCGAGACGTTCGAACTCCTACCTAGGTCCACTTTCTAGGAGGCAGTCAACCCCGGCCGCCAGTCAGCGCGGCTTCAGCCTCTCCTGCACTGCAGTTGCAGCCCTAACCCTCAGACAATATCGACGTCATTCGTCACCTCGCCTCATCAGCTGTTCAGACGCGACGACGTTCCAACCACGTAGCATTGTCACGTCCCTTTGTTATACGGCGACGGTACCATCGAATTTCCTGACGGCATCCTGACGGAGGAAGCCTCCCTGTGCGCTTGCTAAAGCTGGCTGAGGGTTTGCGCTCTGAGGCGTCATTCTGCGAGTTTGTCCTTTCCGAGGCAAAGGCGTCCGACCATTATGAGGCTTTGCAGTGATGGTAGCACATCTGCGATCAAGTCCTTGCGAGTCTTTGGAGATGCTGCGCGGATCGCTTGTCAGCTCGCAACGACTCTCGTATAGATACACGAAGGTGCTGAAAAGCACTGCGATCCAGCTTACCTAGGTATATTGGGTGTGACCCCTCAAGGTGAGATGTATAAGGACACGCGTGAGCCTCGTCCAAAGTCCTCTCACGCCGTCAGTAGGGAGTCTGCTCTGAGGAATACTAACCAACATGGGACCGAACTCGCTGCTGCAGTACGTCTCAAAAGCAATCGAAGCTTGAGATGACGCATCTCTGACAGCGTATAATCATGCCAGAACTGACATTACCACAGATATGTTTGCGAGAACTTCATCTACCGGCTACCGGAGCCACCGCCGCGAGAAAGAACTGTCCCTATGCAGGTGCTCTGCGTCGGCATGTCGAGGTCAGGCACAGAGTCTTTGAAGGAAGCACTCGTCATCCTTGGTTATGAGGGCTGTTACCATGGTGAGGACTTCCCCAATAATGCAGAGTCTCGCGATGAACACAATGATCACGGCAAATTTGGGCGACCTCGACGTCCGTCTGAACTGCGACGCGCGCCATCACTAACGCAGTCAAGGCTTTGATTTACTTCTCGATGGAGGCTACATACGTACCTGGGCGCGTTTAGTGCGTCAAAAGTATTTCCCATCCACATCCAAATGGTCTCCGTTCCCCAAGGCAAGATCACAGGCTTGCATCAGCGCCAAAGAATTCGACGCAGTTCTTGGCCACTCCAGCGCTGTACTTGACACTCACGCCGCAATATTTGCCTACGATCTTATCCAAGCATATCCGGATGCAAAGGTGATCTCCAATCAGCGACCAGATCTAGACAAGTGGACAAACTCTATCATGGGATCATTGGGAGCGGCACGGACACATCCAGTGATCCGCGTGGCAAAGTGGTTCGAGACAGAAATGTGGCATCAATCTTCAATCTGCTTTGACCTGATCCTTGCAGCTGGGTTCGGCTATGCTTTTAGCGGAGGCTCGTTCGAAGCTGGCGTCCTCGGGAGAGCAAAACACCTCAACATTCAACACTCCGCAATGGTTAGGGGTGCCGTACCCAAAGAAATGCTACTTGAATGGAGCGTTGAACAGGGATGGGAGCCGCTCTGCAAGTTCCTGGGCAAGCCAGTGCCGGAGGTTCCCTTCCCTAACAAGAATGCTAGTAGTAGCTTCGCAGCTCGGGTGGATGCTATGGTGAAAAAGAATCTGATACGAGCTGCGGTCAACTTTTGCCTGTGTTGCGCTTTCGTTGTGATGGGAATGATCGCGCTCAGCACTGTACATACATGGTCTAGGTAGAGAAGACGTACAGTGATTTCAAACATAGGTCGTAAATTTTGTCAGCGAAGTCATTGACGCCTGAAAATTAACATGGACCACTTACCTCGCGACACGCCTGGTGATAGGCTCTGCACATGTGCCTGAGACCGGATGACCAGAATATGTTCTCCAACCTCAGCTTCCATCTGTAAATGACCTTGCGATTACATTGGCCTGTCCCTGCCAGATCACTTGCCAAGTCAATATTTGTAGTCCGGTTTTGAAGACGACTGTCACTTGCAGAAGTCGCGCGATGTTGCGAGGAGCAGGAGCCTCCCGGACTCCACTGCACAGAACGATGCCAAAGTGCAGCTTCTTGACCACAAAACCTGCTGCTGCACTTCGCGCAACAGCAATGTGCAGAGTCCTCCGCATCAACATTTCAACTATGGCCGGCTGAAGCAGTGCGATGGCCACATCATCGGCCATTCTCGATGGGGAGATCGAGGCCATGGAGACGGGAGAGAACAACTGCAACCCGTCGACCGCTGCACCGGTGCCCGAGGCGCTTCATTCGCGCCAATATCAACTTGAGATGTTCGAGAAGTCAAAGACTGAGAACATCATCATTTGTATGGACACCGGTAGTGGCAAAACCCAGATCGCTCGACTCCGTATCGACTTTGAACTGCAACGCAACCCGACCTTGAGATGTTGGTTCTTAGCCCAGACTCAAGTCCTAGCCGAGCAGCAGCACAGCTTCATGAGCAAACAGCTTACCCAGCACTCTTTCAGACTGATCACAGGTGCGGATAATGCCGAATATTGGGCTTCGCAGAATGTCTGGAACGCAGCGTTGTCATCTTACAACGGGGTGATATCAACACCTGTTGTCTTGTATGATGCGTTGAGTCACGGCTTTGTGTCCCTCGACAGCATGTCACTGCTTGTATTTGACGAAGCTCATCACTGCGTAAAAAGCAACCCCTACAACAAGATCATGGGCCTCGTCAAACAACATTTCGCGGACACCAATAGACGACCTGATATCCTTGGGCTCACGGCAACACCGATGATCCGCGATGATCTCAAGCTTATCGAAGAGCTCGGAAACAACCTCATGTCAGTGTGCAGAACTCCCACTCAAAGCATAGAAGAACTGCGAGAGCATGTGCATCTCCCAGATTTAGTCTGGCTGGAGTACGAGCAAGTTGAAGGACGGGGCTCCGTGTTACTTGAGCGTCTTCAGATGTTACTTCGAGACTACACCTTGGATGACGACCCCACGATGACTATGTTGCAACAAAGCGACGATCCACATGATATGCAGAAGCTTGCAAAGTTCCTAGCTCGAGAGGAATCTCCTACGAAGCGACAAATACTTGTTCAACAAAGCTGAGCACATCGAGAAAATGCTTGGACCGTGGGCTGCCGATCGGTACAGCTATGCATGCATCAGTCAACTGTATAATGCTACGGCACAGCAAGAAGCCTGTCTATTCGTCATTGATAAGAGCGAGACACAACATCTGGCGCAGCTTCTCCGGCCCCTGTTGGATGTTCCCCTCTATCCGACTCCGGAAGAACACGAAATGACGCCTAAAGTAAAGAGACTGCTCGCTCATCTTCAGTCACTACAGCCGGAGAGCATGAGTTGTGTGATCTTCGTAGAAAGACGTTCTGTCGCCTACGCCTTATGCGACGTCGTGGCAAACGTTTCGGGTCTAGATGGCTGGCATCCTTTCACTTTCGTCGGGTGTGCGAACCCAATGAATCGCACGCTAGCGGACCTTGCGGATCTAAGAGTCCAGCACGAGAGATTTGTGGAGTTCAGACGAGGCGACCGCAACCTGGTTATCGGAACTAACGTACTCGAGGAAGGCATCGATGTCAGAGCGTGCAACCTTGTCATCTGTTTCGATCCTCCTATCTCTCATAGGGCTTACATCCAACGTCGAGGGCGTGCTCGCGATCCAGATGCGAGGTTCGCTTTCATGGTTGATCGGAAGACATATTCGACGAACCTCCATCAATGGCAGGCTCTAGAGGAAGAGATGAAACGCAAGTGTGCTGAAGAAAACCGGAGAAGAGATGATCTACTGCAGCATGAGAAGGGGGCGGAAGAACGGGTTGACTTTCCTCCTATCAGAACATCGAAGGCAACAATCGAAGTCGACAGCGCCCGGCAACACCTAGAGTACTTCTGTCAGACGATGCGTAAAGCAGGGCAGCGGCCGCCCAGACCGCTGTTTATCCTAAACGCCAATGCGCTGGGTGAGTATGGTTGCTCGGTGGTTCTACCCACCAGTCTTCCGCCCACGGTCCGCAGAACGTCCTCTGCTCAGGTCTGGCAGACGAGGCTCAACGCAACGAAGGACGCGGCCTTCCAGTCGTATAAAGCATTGCATTACGCGGGCTTGCTCACCGAGCACTTACTTCCCATCCATGCAGAAGACAGGAAGCACGGAGGTGCGCACGGGACTATTGAGACTCGAGACTCGATTGTCAACGTTGCGCCCCAATTTGACGTGTGGTCGCGGTGCAGACAGGCACTGAATGCAAAGAGGCCACTCTTTGCGCATCAAGTCACAATTGCAGGGGAAGTGAATGTACAGCTTCTTCTGCCTCTCAAGTCCCAGGCCATTCGCTGTACCATAGTGTCAGCCGAAGGTATCGAGATCGCTGTGAAGGTGCGACCAGTCCCTGATACTATTCCAGACGTGTATGCCACGGCCGCCCGCATCACGAAATTCTTGTACGCGTCCGTCCTGCAACGGCGCTTGCCTGGAGTTGAGGAAGATGGCTACTTGCTTTCACACTACATCGTACCAAAAATCCCGCTGGAGCAATGGGATACTTGGCTAGCAGCAGCTAAGGTACGATCACCGCTGTCTCAAGCCCACGAACCTTATGGACAGGAGGCTCTACTGTATGTGCATAATCAGACGGTCCCATACATCTGGACGATGCAGAAGCCGGCCCACAATATTCAGGCAATCAGGCTTTCTCGTGCCATCGATCTGTCGAGGAAACATAGCAGCCTTCCCTCGGCGCCCGTGGCCAGGGACCTTCCTCTTGCGGACTGCATGATTTCCGGCCTACAGCCAAGGTATGCTCGCGTCATGTCCTATATGCCGACGATCCTGCACGAAGTTGAGAAATCTGTGAGGTCACAACAAGCCCTGGCTATCACTCGGCTGTGCGACCTTACGATCGAACCTTCAACGGTGTGTTCAGCATTCGTGAGCCCGAAGGTATCAAATACGAATTACCAACGCCTGGAATTCATCGGCGACGCTCTTCTAAAGTTTCTTGCCGCCATAAACGTCTTCTGTAACAATCAAAGCTTTCACGAAGGCGCTCTCACCGTGATGGTGGCTAGGCTCGTCAGCAATGCAAGGCTGCATCGCTCTGCTCTGGAGACTGGGCTGGCACAGTTCCTGACCACGCAGGCATTCTCCGGGAAAGGATGGAATTTAACTCCTCAGGAGCCCGTGCAGAGACAACTTTCCTCCAAGACTTTGGCCGACATGATCGAGGCGATCTTAGGAGCGGTTTATATGCCAGGAGACACAGCAGACATGAGCAAAGCCACCGAAGCATTGAATCTGTTCCTACCGGAAACTACGTGGAGGACACCCGACCAAGACATTGCTCGCGTGCACGTTGCTGACATGCCGGAAGTCGTGAACAAAGACATACTCGGAGACGTAGAGGCCATCATCGGCCATCGCTTTAGCCGTCCTGTGCTGCTCCTAGAAGCACTGAATCACTCCTCACAGAGCCTCCCACTTCGCACGTACGATCGTTTGGAGTTTCTCGGCGACGCGATAATTGATCTGATCGTTAAAGAGCGTCTGTACAACAGCAAGCAGCAGTTCGGCGAATCTTACATGACACAAGCCAGCCATGCTATCGTAAACAAAGAGACCTTTGCGCTTTTGACGACTCGCGCGGCTATGCGAGTTGATCATGTCGAGGTAAATGTCGATCTCCGCTCGAAGACACCAGCACTTACACAAACGACCAATTTCAAGCGACTGCACGACTTTCTGGCCCGAGCACCCAGCGCAGATCTCGTGTCGCAGAGATCGCAATTCATGCGCAACTATGACGAGATCATTGACTCTGTCACCGAAGAAATGAAGAGCAGCAAAGCTTGGCCTTGGGCTGAGATGCTTCATCTGAACTCGCCAAAATGGGCTTCAGACATCCTCGAGTCCATCATCGGCGCGGTCTTCATCGACTCTCAAGCTGACCTTGAGGCATGCTGCAGCGTCTTGACGACTCTAGGACTCATGGATCTTGTCCAGCGAGCAGTAGACGAGCCCGATATCTCTTACACACAAATGAGAGAAGAAATTCGTATCGCATTTCCAGGCAAGGCGAAATTCACCACCACCAAGACTCGGGATCTAGCCGGTAATGAATGGGTGTACGCATGTACGGCGGAGGTTGAGGGCGAGGGCACGGCCGGCGTTACTGCTATCGCCACCAACTGTAGCTGTGAGGCCGAGGCCGAGGAGCGAGCAGCCTTTCAATTACTACAAACCACAAAACAATCACAGCAACCTCCTTCGGTTTCCGAGCCACGTATCAAGAAGCGGAAGAGGGTCGACTCGGTCCATGGCGCAGAGTCTTCAGGAGACGATTCTGATTTCAGCGAAGATGATGCGGAAGCAATTGTTCGAGAGTCGAGTGAGGAAGCAGCATTGTGATGCAGCGAGTGTCCTTCCTACTTCGGGCTCTCGCTGAGCAGCACCCTCCAATGGGGCAGATTGCAGGATCATTCGCGAGGGCAACAAGAGCTCATAAGTCATCAAAATCTCAGACTCCATCATGATTTGTCTGTTGGCCAGAAGGCACACATTGTGGATATACACGCTTAGACTCGGTCCTTGGGGACTAAGGGGCTCATCGCTGGCCCTTAAAGTGATCATAGACGTCTGATCGCTGCTGCGTCCACCTCACGAACAAGTATGAACTCTTCATCAAAATTCCCGTGGTATCATGAACATGGTGCTGTAGACCTCCTTCAACCTTTGCCTCATCCCTCCAAAACATCAAAGTCAAATTCATCATCCACCGGAATGGCAATACCTTTGAATGCATTCTCAGTCAGTGTCGGCAGATCCCCACTACCTGTCCGCGCTCCACCAATTCCGGTCCCGCTCCCGCTCCCACGACTCTCGTTCGTGCTCGTACTGCCATTGTGACTGCTCGCGCTGAACAAGAAATCATCACCACTGGTGATGCTCTCGCCCGAGAAGCTCAGCAAGCTCTGCGGGACATTCGCCTTGGTGGAAAAGTCCATAGCGGGGAGATTCCAGTTGCCGTTGTCCTGTAGCCATTCATTCCCGCTGTTGCTGCCGCCAGCACCTGTCATGCTCATGGGTGTATGGACAGCCATGTTGGGGGAGTTGAAGAAGTCGACATTGTTGGTCGAGTTGATGTTGGTCATGCTTGCGCTGTAGTGCGGGTTGGTGAGGAGGAGGTTGTCCCAGCTTGCGTTGGCGATAGTGGGCGACACTTGCTGCATAATGGGCTTTTTGGGCGGCAGCATGGTAGATGAGGATGCACTGGTGGTTTGGTGATCGGCTGTGTTATGAGAATTCTGGTCGTCACCAATGGCGAAGTAGTCGAGGTTGATGGACTGATTCGAGTTGGTGGTGTTAGTCCGGACCAGCTGATTGGGTGAGCATGCTATCGCGACGGGCGCGGATCGAGTGGAAGACAGGCTGACTGTGCTGCCGGCTCGATGTGGGGGCGACATAGATTGACCCAAATTTGTGGCAGCGACCGTGGCGCGGCGTGGCTCTTCCGATCGCGAGCTGCTGCTCACTGCCGTGCTGAAGCGAGAGGCAATGGCCTGAAGTTGCTTTTTGGTTGATTTGGGAGGCTTGGCTGCATGTGGCGTCGGAGCAGGCATTTTGCTTTTGGTTTTAGGACTTGTCCCCTGGTCCTTATTGCCTGAGGTGCGTCGGCTCTGAAGTGGAATGAAAGCTGTGGCGATGCGGCGGAACTCGGCGTAGGAGGTCTGGCTCTCCCGGCTGAGCATAGTCAAGGCCAGTTGCAGCGACTTCTGGTTGTCCTTGATCAGCTTACTGTCTTCGTCAAGGTCGATGGACTGCCAGAGTATTGACAGGCCCGACGTCAGAAGGAGTTCTCTCTTATTGATAGGGAAGGTGTAATTCATGCGTCGCTCATCCAACAAGTCGAGGATCTGGAGCGTATGCTTGCCAGCAGCTGCTAGTACGATCGTCGCTGCAGCTTGCGCACTTCCTGTGCCATGGCACAATAATGGTCGATGGATGAGTCCACGAATGTAGAAATAAGTCAACGACTGTAGAGGTCAGTCTCGCACAGCAGGATGAAGACTAGTACACTTACCAAAAGAGGCGAACGACAACTGATCACATTGGTCGCCGGTTTATCATTGCTGAAGCGTAGGCGCAGGTGTTCCGGAAGCTCCTCGGACCAGTTATCAAGGTCATCGGAATATGTATGTAGCTTGCTTATTGACAACTCGTAGCTTGCCTTGGACGAGTACAGATGGTCCAAGGTTTTCGAGAGAATACGTGAGGCCTTGAACATGGCTAGCGCACTGGAGATTTTGGTAGTCTCGCCAGGCAGAGCTGGCGAAAAGCCCTGTGATGTCAAGTTCTCGTCATCAACATCAGCAGGATATTCCGTCGTAATGTCGCTCTCTCGCAATAGTGATGGCGAGCCGGTGGCCGCGGAGGCAAATTTATCCAAAGTGTATTGGCACCAGAAGACCTTTCTCCTCGTCTCAGCTTCGAAGACTCCATGCGTGTGATACTTGTGTCCTTGGTGCAGACCAAGCTGGTGGCACATTCCCACAGCGATGCCGCGGTGTCGAGCAAGCTGGGGGTAGTCACCGCGGAGAAGGTAGCACAGTTGTGCCAGCACGTGAGACTGTATGGCTGCGACGTTGGGAGCTGCTGATGTGGCGTAGAGCGCTCTCCGCCATTGGTTCTCGTAAGTCGGGCAATTCGATTTGAGTTGGTGACCCGAGGACAGCGCTGCAATTTCAAAGATCAGGAAGAGCTGCGCAATGGCTTGCTTGTTGCTCTGCCAGTTGCCAGCATCAGGACCGGCCAAATAGTTTTCATACACTCGAAGAAAGGTTGGTCTGTGTAAGACGGGAAAAAGAGGTTGCCATTCCTGGAAGAACAGGTTGATGTACTGATCGGACAGAATCCGGGGAGGTGTTTTCGAGGCGTTGGTTAACACGTGCTTCGTGGCTGCAGTTTCTGAGATTAGTGTAGACGCGGATATGTTTGCTGGTCTCTTCTCGTGTTCTTGAATCTTTTGTTCGAAAGACTCGACAAAAGCGGCCACCGTTGAGGCTCCTGTTGTGTGCGCTCCGTTCTGTACAGGTGCGGGAATCTCAACGTAGAGGACATCGTCTCTTGATGACTCGATCTCGGCCTTGACCTGAGCCGCAGTCCCTGGCGATAGTGATGACGAGCCTTTCTCGAAGCGGGCGAAAAGCTGTGCAAGCGAGACAGCATGTCGAGTTTCTCGTCCTTCTCGTCCAGCAGTTGCTTCAGCTCCCGTAGCTCGGCCTCTAATCCACGCACGCGGTCCTCCAGAGACTCGGTGTATCCCCTGGGAAAGGCTCTGCGGCTCAGCTTATCGCTCGTCTTGCACTCGAAGCCAACGTTGGAACATTGTGTACACGTGGGTCTGATGCCATCACATCTGATCTTCTTGCTCCTACATCTGTCGCAGGCCTGGGCTATTCTGCTCTGCGTTGTGCACCCAACTCTGATCATCTTCATCGGCAGTATACCCGGCATGTTGGCTAAGTTGTAAAGGGACGCGCTGGCATCGATCGCAATGAGGTAAACGGTAAACCAGAGCTGATAGCGAGATCTGGTGAAAGTCGGGCGTAATCCTTGCGGAAGCTCAGGGAGAAGAGCACGGTATGTATCAGAGAAAAGAGTCCAGGGAGGGGTGGCAGCTCAAGTAGAGCGTTCCGCAGCGAGCGCTGTGCCCGGATATGTGTGATTGGACACACCACAGCCACAAGTGTGATCTCACAGGAGATTCTTGCTTTTGCGGAAGTTTGCAAGATCCGGGGCAGGCTTCTCTGGGGAATGGAAGGTGGCAAGGAGTTTTCGTCAGATCGTGACCTGGGCAATACTGTGGTTGGCTAACAAGCGAATACCCATCGGCGTGGCATTTGGCCGGGATGACCGTGTATATCTCAACAGATATCAGGAGAGCTCACATTATCGCTGGGCTTGTGGAATAACACTTGACCTCTCGTGCAATCGTTCCACTACCCCGCAAGCCAGCATGATGACTAGACTGCTTATTGCTTCGAAGCAGTCGAGCGGAAGCACCGCAAATGCTGATGGTGTAGTTGGCGAAAACATGCCGACGTCTACCTGCAGATTCGACAAAGCCTGCCAATGGAGGCGCGGAGAATGCTCCATCCCTGATCATCCACTAGCTCGATCCTGGCAAGCGTCCATTGCCCCGAGCTGAATTGGTCTGTGCGGAACACGCGACCGCTTCGTCGTGAAGCATCCATCTATCATTTGGGCAAGCGGCAACCTTGCGGCAGCTACAATCGAGTCTCGTCCTGCATCAAGCTGCGCTTCTGGATCGAATCTCCGATCGCTGAAATCTGGGGAAGCCTTCGCAAGTATCCTTACACAGGCTGAGTCGAGCAAATTGAGTCTGGGAGGCCGAATTGTAAGAGAGCCTGTGAGGGGCAAATTTCCAGGCCCACGTCACTTGCAATTACACGTACCATTGTCGACATAGCTGAGCATAGTGCTGTCTTTCCCAGCGACACGAGAGACGTTGCCAACGGCAAGTGCACCGCTGTGGTGGGCTGACGGCTACGGAAAGAACAACGCGTGGCAGGAAGCCCTTGTGTAGGCAAGAAACGGGTGATCTAGGAAGTCGGGAAGTCGCGGGACTAAGAAATCTTTGATGCGTAGTGCCTTCCCCAGGTGCCAGACCGTCAAAACCCTGTCGACCGGACCGACTCGATAGCGAGCCGTTGATCTGGTGATGAACACCAATCATAAGTCACACTTTTCATGCAGGTTCCCGCGAACGAAAGTCTTCTATTTTGGTGGCTCAAGTGAAGTCTTCCTGGTCTCCGGCACCAACCCCATCGTCGTCCGAAGCTGGGGTCACTCCGAGATACGACCTCACCATGGGGGAAGCTAGCAACTTGTCCTTCTGTGCGACCACGTTAGCTCGTGACTTTTTAGGTACGCCGCGCAGACTGGGACGGGTGACGGGATCGGTACCTCTTCTTCGACTTGCAGGAAACCTGCAGTGATCAGATCAAGCTCCAGTTCCCGCAGACGCTTGACAAGAAGCCAAACTTGTCGGGAGATCCGATCCTCACAGGCCATGAATGATTGCTCAGTGCCCGTCAATTCAGCACCTTGAGATTCAAATCGCTGCTGAATCAGAACATTTGCTCGGAGAGCGAAGACACTCCAAAGGTTGTCTGCAGCCAGTATGTCTCTGAAGTGATGTGGGTCGAAGTCTTCTTCTTTCCACACCGCTCGCAGCTCCCGTTCGCCGTCGTTGGTTTGCATGATGCGGAAGTCGAGGCCATCTTCTTCGTTAACACACGCCCACCACAAATAATTGCTGTCCCACTCAACATCGCCTGTCGCAGTGACATAGACACGGACGCCTGGCGCCTCCTTCGCATACCTTATCTTGGCAAGTCGCAGCGGATCATCTTCAGGTATTGAGAGGCTGAGAAACATTTCTCTGGCACTACTGGCACCCTCTTCCAGGAATCCGTACGAGAAAATCATCTCGCAAGCCCCACCTACACCGTACATTATCGTGATCTCTTCTTCGGGTGCAATTGTCTTGTCGTCGCGGACAAGTAGAAGAACATTTCCGTTTTCATCCACCTCGAAACGAGCGTTCGAGCGGTTATCCGAGGCATGATTTGCCATATCAAGCACCGGGACCATTGAGTCTCCTACACCGTGGGGCAGCTCTAGCGCTCGGGATCGATACATGGCGTCCGCTAATTTCCAGTCATCAAATGTCATCACTCCGTGTTCTGCGCTCCACCAGGCTCGTTGGCACCACGATAGTTCTGCTGTGAGCTCTCGAAGTTGCTCAAATTCTCTCTCAAGGCTTGCTAGCTTCTGCTCGAGAGCGTGTGACAGCGACGTCCCAATCAGTGAGTCGCGTTCCTCTTCCGTGTAGAAGGTAGGCAGCGGAATAGATTTCGGGAGAAACTTCACATAATCTGCTGCTGGGCTCCGCTTGGTGCCTGCAGAATCGTACGCGTCGGGACTTCCCATCGTCATCTGATAGACCAGGAAAAGAAGAATTGTAAGTCTTGGTGTCTGACAACAATTGTGTCAGTATCAGGTTTGAGCCTACCTGTGATGATCGAATATTGTCCCAAACACACCTTCGCAAAATCAGCCGTCTTCTCCATCAATTCCTTCAGCGTGGTATCGGTCTTCGAGCACAGCTCGACCTGGACGCAAGATACTACAAGCTCCGCGGGTACTTTGAGCAGTAGCTCACCAGCGACGGCACTTCGCTTTGCGATCAGCCACCTCCCTTACTATTGCCTTCATGATCAACAATGTCGGTCACGACTTTCGCTACTGGAAAGTCCGCGCCATTGAGAGAAGCCCATGAATGTAAACTATCAATTGGAAGCGATCCATATCGCATCCTGTCAGAAAGCGTGTCGGTCGAGCAGGGATTCAAAACAATGAAAACCACCCAGATCCTTTCAGATACAGGTGCCCAGGTGACTTCGATTTTGCAAGGCTGTCTTCTTGGCGCCAAAGGCCAGCCTTATTGGTCATTTAGCGACCTCGGGAATGAAAAGCGGCAGGCTCAAGACAAGCCGCGCTCTGACGCCAGCTTGCACCCCAGAGTGTGATGCACTTGACGCTCTGCCATTTTGTCCATGCCTCGTCGACAGCGATTGTTGGCCAGCATCGTCACGAAGCAAGCGGGCGGCCCCCAAAGAGAGCCAGGGTCTCACAGCGCCAAGAGACAAGCCCTGGCAGGCAGTGGGTATTTTTAGCCCCCTTCAAGCTGGTCATCCACGGTCTGCAGGCACCGTCGCATCATATTGCTGCGTGGCTGCTAGTAACCACAAAAAGTCGCGGAACGTTGTGTAATGTGAGGGCTGACCACAAGTCGTGACACAGAAAAGTCATGGCTACGTGAGATGCTGCGATGTCGCTCTCGGTTCGAAAGGGGCAAAGCCTTTGCTTTGATTGGGTGACCAATACAACCTCTAAACTGACAGCCGTCAAACTTCGAGCTTGCCGACGATCTTCTGGTGTTCGCCAGCAGCCCAAAATTATATCGCGTTCCAATGTGCTGGCTTCGAACGTGTGAGTGTGTGACCTCTTACCGCTTCGAGTCGTTGTTACGACCAGTCGAGCAGCACTAAGTCTGCGCCCTTCAGAGCTCGCCTATTCATCAACCACGATGTCTATCCGAGTACGACGAACGCCAAGCAACCAGCCCAGACGTTAATCTGTGCTAAGACTGTGGCTCGACCAGTCTTCAGCCATGCCCACAAGGCAAAGAATACCCCGGATACGAAAAAGCAAACCTTGAGATTCGGTGCTTGCCCCTGGCTAATTTCGTGCCTGCCGCAGTCCAGCCTTACTCTGCATGCGATCTGCGCGACATCGCAATTGTTATACGTCGAAACCCTGCCGCTAGTGCCTGTCGACGAAAACCAGGCCGCTGGGTGCGACGATGACTGGAGCTGGAGGTAGGTCGCACGAAGTACTTTTCATTTATAGCGCGCAGTCTCCCCTCTCCGCCACATAGATCGTTGAGATACGAGGTCAGGCGCGCTCGACGAGTGCTATTTTGTTGCTCCTGCTTTTGCCCTCACAATCGTTGCCGCACAAGGCCCAGCATGTCTATCACTATCGGCCAGGTTTCTGGTATCATTGCTGCTGCTGTCTTTGTTGTTCAGTTCATCTTTCCCAATGCGCTCGTGTTGATCATTGTCTCGATCCTCGGCAATGATCATAATGCCGTCACTTGGTCTGTGGTGTCCCGACACCTACTGTCCTCAAATTGGCCATTTCTTCTGCGATCAGATACAGCTGCAGGGGCAGGCGTCAACATTGGTGAATAAATCTCCTGGTTCAGACTGACCGATACTGACAGAACAGGCGTCCGTATACTGGGAATAATACAGCTTCTCGGTGTGATCATAATTGCCGTCGCAGCTATTGTCACGCCTCTAGGTCTCCATGAAAATATCGTGGCCACCAAATCGAATGTGCAGGTACCTTTCACAGATCTTGTCGACACCTCGCCAATGGGCGTGGGCACACCGGGCCGCAGTGCGCTTGGCTTCTCGAGATCTTGTGGGAACTTTCAGCCATTGGCATGCCCTGGGAGCAAGACACAGGTTGACCTCACATTCGACTCCGACAACTCGTCCGTCGTGATCGACTCAGAGATTATTGGGACTTACGACATGCATGTTCCAGATTCCCTGATTGATCTGTACCAGAGTGGCCTGAGCACACAACCCGAGACAGTGTCGTCGTTCTTCGATATACAGACACGCCAGTGGACCGAGGTTACAAACAGCAAGAAGCTGAACGGGGAGCCCTACGTGGTGGACTCTTTCCGTATGCTCGAAAGTGTGGTTCTCAACGATGCCATTGAGGCAAAAGAAGGACTTGTAGTCGACACCAAGGAAGGCAGAATCGCATTCCGCCATCACCGCACTCCTCAGAATGTCGGAGTTGGCGCTGAGTGGACGGAAGATCTGTTGTTCCTCCAACCGTACACCGAATGTGTGGATTTGAACCTAACGCTCGAATTCACGGTCCCTCCAGATGGACGACTCTCAGAGCCAGCCAACCTGACGCTCATCGATAATGGTGGCTTCTCAAAACTCGTCCAGGAATACCCAACAATGAACGTGACGACAAGCCAGGAAGATCCAAACCTACACTTTCGAGCATACAAAGCAGCATGGCTCACCACCGTCTACTCGATGCTGATCATGAACGTCACCCGCCCCAATCCAGACTCGTTCGCCTATCTGAACTCTGAGCCAGGCAAGCGCTTCGAATTGGCCGGAGGGCTCGGTGCTCCTGGCTCCTTGAACTCAATCAAGTCGGATCCCTACTGGAAATCTCTGGTAGATCCAGACAATCAGGCCAAGTCAAACTTCAGTTCGTTAGAACTAGATCCCTTACATTGACCCCTATACTGATGGTGTGACAAGCTTCAACATTCACAAACGAGACAACCACGACTGGCATCTACGATAATCCATTCAACATCACCGGTGCCAACTACACGGACATCAGCATTCTCTGCCAGGGCGCTGGTGGCGCCGACACAGCCAACTCAAGCAACGTATGGGTCCAGTGCGGTCTGATTTACAGCGCCGCTCGCCGCAAAGACGGCCAGGAGTCCTTGATCTTCCGCGGGGGTGATGTACGTTCATACCTCTCATGTCCACCCCAAACCTCCAAGCGCTAACATTCCCCGTCCAGGTCTACGAGCAATCAGTCTACTCCTGCGCCTCCGTAACCCGCGCCTCAATCAAAACCGTCTCCTTCCGCTTCAACACCACCACCCCCGACCTCAACCTCAAATCCCTCACAGTCACCAACATCACGGACAAAACCTACTCCGACGAAAAAGGCCCCAACCCGCCCCCCCTCTGGGGCATCGAAACCCTCAACATGTCCCTCGTCGAAGTCCAACAACTCTGGGGCCTCATCTCCGACGATAACGCAGACGCGCCAAACATGACCGCCATCCGCGCTCCCCACCTACACCTACCAGGCTTCAACTTGGCACATCCCCCGCCCCCGGCCTAGTCGGGTACGAGTACATCCCCGGCAGCACCGCCATCACAGAAGCCCTGGTCGCCATGTACGACCTCAACCCCACTCTAAGCACCGGAAACGACTACACCGGCGCAGGCAACCTGGCACTCTTCCAGAAGTGGCAGGGTCTGAGCAAGACCCCCGAGGGTGTCGCTCGGATGCTCAACATCGTCTGGACGGACGTAGCCGCGAACCTCCTTACAGGAACGCGGGGATGGGGGACGGGGAAGAATGTCACTGCACCTGCCTCGAGACTAGCCAAACGCCAATCCTCCGATGATGCCCAGCAAACAGTCCTCGTCCCCGTCCGGCTCTTCGAGCGCAGAGTGCAGTATCACTGGCCATACGCCATCCCGGCCTTCGCGGCCCTAGCGCTCTTCGCGAGCACGCTCGCGCTGAGCTGTTGTTGTGCAGTCCTCCAGCGTGGCGGGGCCAAGCGCACGAAGTACTACATGAATCACCTGTCCGCAGGACGCCTGCTCGCCGAACAGCGCTTCCCAGGTGCGGTGGACAAGCAAGTTGACAGGACAACTTGGGTGAAGATGGCAGGGAAGCGGAGTGTGGCGCTCAGGGAGGGTGGGCCGGGGCTGATGAATCCTGCTGTTGGTGGAGAGGGCATCCATGGCGCGTATAGTCCGTATATTGGTGCCGGTGGTGGCGAGGCGGGTGGGTATATGGAGAGTAAGCCGCTGGCGAGCTCGAGCGCTACAGAGCTGCATCAGTTGCACCCGGCGGGAGGTTATTCACCGAGCAACGGGCAGGGGTATGTGCGGATGCAGAACCAGTGAAAAGGAGGGCACGCTAGAATACACGGTGGAAGTGATAGCCTCTCTACGACTTGTGCGTTTGAGCTGGAAGCAAACGATGGTTTTCATGGTCTGACATCCGGCAGCGAGTGTAGTGGATCTAGCACGTGTTATGTGACTGTTGAATGAAGATTTGTAGAAGCACGGAATATGAAATTAGGTATATACCGCATCGCTACGCTGTCCAAAACAATGCAATGCATCTAGTACGCCAGGCGCACGGGTCTGCGACGAACACGCCTGTCCGCTGGGGCGAAAGAAGTCGCGTTAGTCGAGTTGCTGTTCACCGGTGTGGTGATGTTCGCCACCGGGGCAGTAACAATTGCCTTGATCGCACCCCAGACATTCTCGTTCGTCACAGCAGGCACAAGGGTCGACTTCAGATAACAGCTGCCGTGGTTCCATGCCACATCGGTGCACTGCGCATCGGACGCGCACTCTGACAGACAGCCACTGAAGTCCTGGGTGTAGAGGTTTCTGTAGTCTCCGCCCGGGTAGTCGGTGTAGCAAGCTACAGTGAAATCAGCGCCGTTGACGTTCTGCGAGGTGCCATCGGCGGCAGGGCAGGCGAGAGTGGTGACCGGGTTGACGACTGGGCTGAGGAGCTTTGCGTTCCAGACGTTGCCTGCGGGTGTCGGCGTTGTAAGGACATTCTTCAGGTAGCACGAGCCGGATACATAAGAGACGTCGACGCAAGCGCCATTGGCTGTGCAAGCGGCGATGCAGTCTTCGAAGGTGTCTGTAGTGGTGCTGGTAAGGTCGCCACCGAAGTAATCGGTACCGCATGCAATGAGGTAGCCATTGTAGGTAGCCCCATCGAATGAAGGGCAAGTCGGAGGGGTGAATGGGTTTGGTCCCGGCGGTGGAGCTGGTTCGTAGTTCTGTAGTATGGCGCCTGAGACGGCACTGTTCGGGACGGGCGTGCCAATTGTGTTGTCCTTGAGGTAGCATGCATTGCCGGAGTAGACAACAGCAACACAATCGGGGGTACCGCCGCATGTGTCGATACAGTCGCTGAGGGCGGGTTCTGAGCTTGAGCCAATGTCACCTTGTCCAGGATAATCAACGCCACATTGGACAACAAAATTGTTGTATCCCAAGCCGTTCGAGTTGGGGCAGGTGAGGTCTGTGGCGGAAATGTCGATGAAGGAAGACACGCCGTGGTCGGAATAGACTAGACTGCCACGGGAACTCTTCTGATAACAGGTGCCGGTAACCCATGAGATTGCTTTACACTGTGAATCGGACGCACAGCCCTCTATGCAGTCGTAGAAGTCGGCATTTGTGACGCGGAGGACTGGACCGGTAGTGTCAAAACCACAATTTGCGTTGAATGTTCTGGAGCCGATCCAGTAGGTGCCGTAAGCGAAAGTCCCGCTGCTTGATGCATCGCAAGTAACGTCTGAGCTTAAAGTTTGGCCCATGATGAATGAAAGTATTGCAGGTCAGTTGCTCTCTAAGGAAAGGAGTGGACGTATCGGAAGGATACAGGGCAGATCCAGCAGAGATGCACGAGGGCTTTCTCACATCTTCGAGGGGGAATTCTCAGCCATTATACTTATTCTCCCAGGGGACTAGCACATAGACGTGGAGCATAGTCTTCGATGTTGGATTGTTGATTCGGCTGACTCCGAATGATGTTCGTTATTGAGAAGCTTGCACCATTGCGGACAGCATCTTGAGCCACATGGACAGCGACAGGACAAAGCTTGCCCTGAAAAGTAGTATTGTTGATGAGCAAGGGACTATCCAGGCGTTGCTGAAAACGCCTTGAAGCTGGAAGCGCAGCCAGATTGAGGCTCTCTATTTCCACAACGAGCTGGCGTCAATCGCGCCGCAGCCATGCCAACGGCCACGCCGTATGCATAGACTCCTACACCGTTCTAGAAGAGACCTTTGCAGGACCAGAAGGGAAAGCATAGGAGAGTAGAGGCTCAAGTAGAGTTTCGATAGATCTGGGATGAAATTACCGCCTATTAGCGAAGGGACTAGCGGCCTTCTGGCGACGCCACACTTGAGACCCGGGCACTCGGTCTCCTGCAAGATCACCAAGGCATTGCCATCGTAGAAGAGCAGCTGCTGGCAGCATTGTTCCCTCAGAGCTTGAGGGCGAGCTCGACGTTCTCGAGCCTCGGAAACAACCTCGATAGCTCTCAAGGCCCACGCAGTCGACGACAAGCAGTCTGAAATCACTGCACGGGGCGTCCGGCTCGGAGGCAACGTAATTCTGGGGTCTCCAGGGCTATGTGCCATCGAATTGTGTAAATTCGCCATGACTTCAGCCTTCTCAGCCACATCGAAAAGTGCCATGCTATCGAAAGGTTGCACGAAGTCTGCAGTCTATAGCTGATGACGCTGCCGAACATCCGGGGTCCTCGCCGACTTATCACATGGGCTGTTTGCTGCAGGTACATAACTTCTCTCTATATGCAAAGTGGTAATGTTGTCAGGCACCGAAGTCTCTCGAGGCTCTCATTCCTTCGACTCATTTCAAGTACACTATCAAGCTGAAGTCATCTTCGTAAGACCCCTATATCTTCGGCAATCCAAGGCAAATCCGCATCCTGCCAATCCTTATATGTAACGAAAATATCTCAAGGACTGCTTTGCAGCCGTCATAGTATGTCCAGTCTTTCCCGGCGCCACGCTTTGTTGAATAATGTCAAGGTATCTGTCGTTTCACATCTCTGTATATGTCGTCCGAATAACGCCTTCTCTTCCCACGTCTCGCACTTGATGCCGACTCGTCCAGGTGATCCCTCAGAGAGGCCCGTTGACGTGCTCAGAATGAGATCCAGACCTCCATCTTGCCCATCTCACTCTTCTCTCTCTTGGCAAGAGCCCGGACACTCTGGATGAGCATTTCCAGATCGTCTTGGTCGCCCATGGTGATCATATCACCATCGTCAGGGTCGCGCATTCGGATCTTCAACGCGCTCTTCACAGCAAATTTCTCGCGGATCTTGCTCTCAAACTCGCCAAAATCAACGCCAAGAGGAGCGTCTGCCTGCAGCATGATATATCTCGTGTCTTCATTAGCGTGGACCTTACAGCGGATCTTGCGCATTTCGACACGCTTTGTTCGGGTCGACATCGACGGTTGCAGTCGTGACTGTGGAGGCGATCGATTGTAGACCGGCTCAAACCCTGCCATGTCATCGCCTCCAACATCTTCGTCAATGTAATCTTCCTCGTCTTCCTCGTTGATCATGTAAGGGCTGCCTCGGGCATCACGACCACCATACACTTGTCTAGATTGGGCGTACAGGCCATATACATCATCGACAGTGTCCTCGGCAGGATCTCTTTCAAATCTTGCCCTTGGTGTTGTTTCTCTGAACAGCGGTGCAGGAGCTGGCGCTCGAGTCGACATAGACCTGCTGGGAAATGGCTGACGCGATGTAGCACCACCTCTTGGCTCGGATGAACCTCTGAGCGTCCCTGTTCTGGATCTTTCCATTGGATTAGGTGGCTGATCTCCGTAGCTGCCTCTTGGTGAGTAGCTGTCCTGGCCTCTTCCATAGCTGCCATTAAGATCGACGGTCCGGGAACGGCCAAGCATGCCTGGTCGGGGTTCGCCTTGTCCTCGTGGAGGAGGTGGCTGCATGTTGCTTGGCGGATTTCGCATTGAAGCAGACCGGTATGGCAATGCTGCATTGCCAGCACCTCCGCTCCCGCGATTCCCACCTGGCTTGTCGCCCTCTGGTGGAGGCGTGGGTGGAAAGACATTCCGACCCATGACTGCTGGAGCGCTCGAGTCACGCGGCGGCGCAGCTCGGCTGGTCAGACTCCTTTGCACGAGATTTGTGGCAGCATAGCTGATGTTTTCGGCGGGTCGGTCGTCCTTGGCAGCATCTGCTCGTTGCAAGGCCTGAACTCTTTCGGCGCCTGCGAAGCCTACGCCGGTGTTCTTGCTATCAGCAGTCGCAACAAGACGAGCTTTGCCGAGGTAGTCTTTTGTCTTCAAGTTCTTAACTTTTGCCTCATTTGGCCGGTACACCACGCCCACGGGTATGCTAAATACAGTGTAGCCCTGCCAGACTAGTCAGTGGAAGCGCTGCGACGACTGGGACGGCACGTACCTCGGCCTTCTCCTTGATAGCATCCTCAATCACGTCGTGATCCGGGGTCATCTTCTCCTTCCGAGCAAAGTCGAAGTCCTGCATACCAGGTTGTTCTTGCTGGAGATAGATGTAACATAAGCCGCGGTTGAATAGAACCTCACACGAGTACAACTTGAACTTGAGACCCAACTGATCATAGTCAATATAAGTGTTGCCTCTCAGGTAGAGCAGGGTGTCGTTGAAGTTCGCCAGCGCTTCCTCGAAGTCGCCGAGAAGGAAGTTCGACACGCCTTGCTGGAAGTAGGCCACAGCAAGGTACATGTCGAGCTTGATGGCCCTTTGGTAGCATTCCACCGCTCGTTCATGTTCTCCGATTGTTGCATGGATGACGCCGCAATTAAACAGTATTCGTGAGGTATCGGCGATGTTGTCGAAGACTCGTAACGACTCCTCGTACTCGGTGTTGTCATAGTGACTGAGTGCCTGCACCCATGTCTCTATTTCCTACAACTTTGTCAGTGACGCTGTTACCGGCAACGTGGACACGATCGCATACCTGCTTAAGCGACATGCTGGCTCACGTCGCCGTGACTTCGGGAAGAAGAGGCGTAGTGGCCGCAGCAACGTGCAGCTTACTGTGCTTCTCGAAAGATGGAATGGATGAAGTCAGATCGTAGGGGCCGAGATGATCACCTGGCGCCACAGAGTGAGTGTTTCGGACTGGAAGGCCGAGCAAGGGTCGAGTATATATGAGACGGAAAGCGTTGGCGCAGGCTTGGATGGTTGGCTGATGCTGTAGTCTGACGCAGCTTCACGCTTGGAGAATTAAATTGACTAGTACTGTGGGTTTTGGCGAGGCCCGGGCCTGTAGAAGCGAGGTGTGCTCGCAGTGAACGAGGCTTGTAGCTGGGCAAAGGGATGTCCCAGAGCGTAAGCGCCTGAGGAAGTGAAGATGCGGTCTTGTTGCAGAAGCGCCGATGTGCTGTGCGGGCAGTCCGAGGCACTGATTGGTGGGTAGCGCTCGACGGGATTTATATGGCCGATCTTCCAAGAGGTTGACGGGTTCTTTTTCGAGATTGGGTGGTGATTAGATATGGCATTAATAGAATAGTACCAAGGTTGAAGAGGACCTGCCGGAGGGTAGAAGAGGTAAGGAATGTGGCAGAGATGTTCTCGCTCTCTGCGGGTGGAAAAGAAAGACTTGGTGGTGGGATTTTCCTCGAGAATGGGAAGGAAGGAGGGGTTGAAGACGGCGAGAACGAAGGCTGCAAAGCTTGCTGTATACTGGCCCGACAGGACCGACCCTTCTGTCCCTCACGTCAGGACGTATCTGGTGTCTGGTCTGCTGTTCCACCCCTACCTTGACGCATGAAGATGTGCCTGCTTTTGCTGGTAACGAAACATGCTGCAGCAGATCGTTTGAAGTGGGGCACACAGTTTCTGCTTCATAGGCGAATCCGATTGTGCTTCAGGGAGGGTTAAGGTTGCCTTTCGCAGCATGGTTCAGGGGCCGAGAATGCCACGCTGCACGTTTTAGCGGTTCTGTTCCCCAACTGGAGCAGCCACCAACGCGGCGGGCAGTCGTGGTCATGTTGTGATGAACGTGGTGATATCTCTGTGACTTCTGTACTCGAGATCACTCAACATCGATATCACACAATGGCTTCCATGTAGGATAGCTGCTTCCGATGAATGAATGGAAAACAAACATCGGCACGGACGGTTATGCCAGGTTTGTGACACCGTCAGAGAGGCGTTTCAAACCACCATCCGCGGCCCAGTCCGAGAAGCCATCCGGCGAACGGACGCCTTTGAGCAGTTCCCATCCGACACAATGTCAAGTCTTGATTACATTCACTAGGGCTGATAAGGATGTGACTCGATGTATTTTGCATCACAACGTCACTCCACGGCCTGCAGAGAGGGTTTGTACGCGACAAATCGTGCCGGCAGTTGTCATCAAGCGAATGCTTCCTGGGCGACCGTTACAGCATACCCTGGGCTTGTTGCTCTTTCCGCTCCTGCCATACCGTTTTACCTGAACACGAACAAACCACCTTATCGTTGTCCCACACGCCGGCACTCCTTGCAATGACACCGACCAATGTATCGGGATCGTTCTTCTGAAGACCAGCATGCGCACTCTTGGACACCACCATGCCTCGGCCAATCAGCTCCCAAATCGCGACTGGTCGGTCGAGAAATGTGCTCCCTCTCCCATCCTTTCCGACCGTTATCGTCCCAAACATACCACGTGCAGGCTCTTGCTCGCTCTCGAAGCCGACTGCCCTCTTGATGGCCTCCCACACCCCGCCCGTTGAGGCCGCACCTTGGGAGATATCACCAGTTTCCCGCACTGTGGCATAATACGTTCCAGACGAAACGCCCTTCAATGTCAGATCGACCAATGTCTTGTTCTCGCCCACTTGTACCATTCGCGCCAGGCCTCTTACGGGGTCTCTGATTGCTGGAGCATGCGTCTCGAGTATGCACACGCCTGCGCCATTGGATTTGCCGCTGCCTCGTAGGATGGCATCGCGGCCAGTGGACTCGATAGCAGCAACGACTGCGGAAGGAGGCGCTGTCCCTTCTACCAAGACGGTCTGATCCTTCAGTGCAGCCTCGATCTTGTGCACGCCATCCACCTCGTTCAGCACTTTGGTGACTGATTCCACGCAGCTGTCGCAATGTAATGGCACTGCGAATGTTGTCTGGCAACTTAGCTTGATGTCGTATAGTCCGCTTGACACTTACCTGAAAGGACTCCACGCCTATACTACCCATGCTTCTGTCCTCTCGACTTCACAATTGCAGAAGTAGCGATACTGACGTTCGAGGTAGAAGGTTTCTCGTCACTGGTCGTGAGCATATTAGAAATGCACTTCACCGACCGCGGCAGATCGCCGTACCTGATGCGGGGTTGCGTCATACCCAAAAGCTCGCCAAACAATTTCCTCTGTTTGCATCTTGATCACAAGTCTTCGTCTCTTTCAACACTTCCAACGCGCCTATCCCATTCCGGATTGCCTGAACTAGCAAGCCGCGCGCCACGCGATGAGCTCTCGATGGGCCAGTACGGTGGAGGACGCAGCATTGGCTGAACAGCGCAAACAAGAGAAGCTTGAGAGGAAGCGCGTCAAGGAAGAGAAAGCGCGACAGGAAGCGGAAAGAGCCGCGGAAGCTGCTGCAGCACAAGAAGCCCGCGGAGACTACGAGGAGAGCCCTCGCCCTTCGAAGCGGCGCCGAGTGTCTCCGTCACCACCGCCTGAACCGGAAGCCCATCTGCTCTCGTTGCCCTCAACGACGTTCGGCCCAGCAGCATCCGTTAATAACTACGAGATCCTCAACGCGATCGAGGAAGGATCCTATGGCAAGGTCTCACGAGCTCGGATCAAGACTTCGGGCGAGATTGTTGCTCTAAAGAAGCTCAAGATCAATCCTTCAGCAGACGAGGGCTTCCCTGTCACCGGCCTCCGGGAGATCCAGACGCTCAACGCCTGCTCGCACCTGCACATCATCGATCTGAAAGAAGTCGTGACTGGCGACACTTTGACAGAGTAAGTCCAGCTCTCGGACGACCATGTCCTGAGTTGAAGAGATCCGATACAACCTGTTCTGACCCATTTATCATCCCATAGTGTCTACCTCGTGATGCCCTTCGTCGAACACGACCTCAAAACGATTCTGTCCACCATCTCAGAGCCTTTCCTGCCATCTGAGACAAAGTTGATGCTGCAACAGCTCACCTCAGCACTGGTATATCTGCATGCCCGCCACATCCTCCATCGCGATCTGAAGACTTCTAACTTATTGTTGAACAACCGTGGCGAGCTCAAACTGGCTGATTTTGGCATGGCAAGATACACGTCTACGCCTCCACCACGACACTTGACGCAGCTTGTCGTCACGTTGTGGTATCGATCACCCGAGTTGCTTCTTGGGACAAGGACATACGACGCCGCCGTTGATGTCTGGTCGCTAGGCTGTATATTTGCCGAGTTGTTGACCAGAGAACCATTGTTCCAGGGAAAGAACGAAGTTGATCAGCTAGCCAAAATCTTCTCCCTCCTCGGCACTCCAACCAGCGGGTCGTGGCCGGGCTTCAGATCTTTACCCAACGCAAAGGCCCTCCATCCAGTCCTGTCCAAGGCGCCTGAGTTGTCGTCGCGATTGTCGGCGACAAAGTTTCCGTATCTCACGTCTGCTGGCCTCCAGCTTCTCACGGACTGCTTGTCTATGAACCCTCAAGGCCGGCCGACGGCAGAGGATGTGCTCTATCATAGGTACTTCAGCGAGGAACCACGTCCCAAGGCAAAGGAGATGTTTCCAACTTTCCCGAGCAAGGGCGGACTAGAAAGTCGACGGAAAGCAGCGTCTCCCCTAGCGCCTGCACGAGGCGAAGCACCTAACTTTGAGGCACGAGACCTTGAGAATGTGTTCTTCGATGTCCATCGATGATGGAATGTCATTCACAGGTGCCAGCAGAGTCTGCGGAGCCGGTAGGAGAAGCCACGAACATTCGACAACAAGTGGACAGCTGACATTATACTTGTCACTATTCTGCGCTAGATGCTTCTATTCAAGAACGCCGCCCGTCGGATACTTTCTCGGTACGTTGGCGGCCAATTGCGTGTGTTGGCCCTTTGTCCAACGACGTTTTGTCGCGTCCGCTTTTTCGCAGACGGCTTTCTGGGAGTTTTTTGCGCTGGGTTTGTGCCGTTGGTGTGTGTGACAAGCCATCACTTCTTGGGTGTCCTTGGCTTTTCTGAGGTGCAGATCATGCTTTGCTTGGTCTTATATACGCCTAATACCCGTACCATCCTCGGGCTTCAGGACGGATGGTGACTATATCAAGAACGTCAGACGTGAGGATGTCGGAGCATAGACGTGCAGACGTACCATTGGCCCGGGCATCCATGATGCGAAAATTCTGCCATATCGTCACCAGACCGATCAGCGTAGCTGTCAAGCCTACTCATTGCCATTGTTAGCGAAGATATACTGGAGATGAGCGGACGAGGGGCGAAGGAGAGCGAGGGAAGATTCTGTGCGGGTCAACGACAAGATGAGCTTGTCGACTGGGTTGGACGAGCCGCAAGTCGACAACCGACAATGTCAGGAATTTACGCACCGAAAATGATAGTCCAGAAGGCTTCCTCGTTCATCGCGGAGACCAAAGCTGAGGACGTTACTGCAGTCGATGATATTCTAGTCGTAGCTGTGTCTCCGGAATGGGCGAGCGTGCAGGGATTATTCTCGGAAGACCACAGTCGAAGTAAATCATGAAAGCCTCAGGTCCATGAGCGGACGCTCTGTCGACTTTATCCAACGACCCGACATCACCTACGCTGTCAAAGTGTTCCGGCACAACGCCCGCCACCTTTGCGCAGTCCTCAAGCATGCCACTGTTGAGGATCGAATTGCTACGTACCGGCACCAACAAACATAGCATACGGACAGTCTGAATGTGGAGACGTAGCAAGGGACACCAGATACCCACCACTTCAACGTTCAAGCCATGTGCCGGTACAGCACTCAAGAAGTGAGAAATGAATTGGTGCTGCAACGATTTACAGTTGCTGCTTCGCCACGGAACGGCGCTCTCGCCACTGCCGGCCAGTCTAGTACCAACCTGACCAGAGACCATAGCCAAGGGATCGTTCTTTTTCTTTTGGATCCTGGTGACCCTCATTGGCTGACAGCCTACCGCTTGAACTTGGGCAAAACGTGCAGCGTAGCTTGCCACGCCTGCACATAAAAGGATCGGATATGATATATCTCTTGCGTGTCTCTTTCCCAGACTTGGGATCCATGGGCTTCGTGCCGGAGAGTCTTCTGCCCAAGGCGAAGACTACACAAGCCTACCACAGTAATGCTGAGACTGCGTAGTATAGCGCGGAATCTCTGCAGTAGGTTGAGAGGCGGATCGTGGACATTACTCAGGTCTCTGTGCCGGAACGTGGTAGGCAAACATAATGTCTTGTACGCAGAGAATACTGGAGTTTCGATAACCACGCCCACGATCCGACATAAGTGTTGCAAGATCTGCTGCTCTTCCATGAGTCCATGACCAGTGAGAAGGGAGCAGGTGGAGTCGTGCCTCGACGCTCGGGCTTTCATGGGTCGCTCAGGGGGCTCGTGCCGGTACGAATTCCCGAGGTCGCTCAGGCCTTGCGCTTTGCGCCGGTACAAACCTTGTCAGCGCTCGCCTGGGTGCCTTGTACCGATACGATTTCTTCTCGAATTGACGTTGTGCCGGTACGGTTTTCCCTCAAGCGCTCGCTCGTGTTCCTTGTGCCGGTACTTCTCTGCCTCAAACGATCGACCATAGAGGTGCTGCCCTCTGTAGTTAATAACCGTTTGGCACCCGTGTCTAGAAAGCATGGCTCTCAACTGTCCGACTTGTGCTCAACGATCGTCCGGATACTTTTACAGTCTCACCACCATCCGCCAACAACGAAGTTACCTGTTTGTGAAGCATGCCACCAGTCCCAAAGGCTTCACCTGTGTGAGTCTCAGACCTGCGAGCCTTGGTCCACGCGCGCTCCCAACACTCTTCACAAAGGCTAGTCGGACCTTTACTGGCTTATATCTTACCTTCTCCTAATCTGCCAACGACTGTAAGCACATTGAGGAGAACGGCGAACTCGGTCCAGGTACGGCGTGTGCTACCTGCACTTGAATTGCGGCACCTCGACCTCCTGGCACAGCTGTTGGCTGCGACACCTCAAACTGGTGGCAAAACGCATTGTTCGACATAGCTGACGCCATATCATCGGCCCACAATCTGAACGACGGGAGATCGTCTGCTCACCTCAGACTGGCTACACTGAACAGCGTGTCGTCTGAAGATTGTCCAGAACTCAGTCACAGCTGAGCAGCGCCCAAGCTATGTTGATCGACGGGGAAAACTTTGCATGCGCGGCCTGCGTCAGAGGCCATCGGGTCTCTTCTTGCAACCATACTGATCGCGAGCTATCTCGTATGCGTCGTAGAGGTGGCAAGCACAAGTGTTCTTACTGTGGCGAAGCCTTCAGTAGGCCAGTCAGACTAGATGAGCATATGGACAGTCAACATCCTTCCGCTCACTTCAGATATCAAGACCGGCATGCGTGTGATCAATGCCATAGGACTTTCGTCAGGGCGCACGATCTTCAGCGGCATTTCAACAAGGTACATGGATCCAGTGATCGTGAGAAGACGGCTTGCACGTCATGCAATGCGGTCTATGCGGATAGGCGGTCCATGTTACGACATCAACGCCACGGCTGTCATACAGTGAACAGTGAAGAGAACGGCGAGCACAATTCGCAACAGCACGACGAGGAGCTAGGCCAGCGCTTGTACGAGGCCGTCGCAGCTGTGATTTCTCCGTCGTCTTCATCAGGTGGCTTTTATACCAGCTCATCGCAAGAGAGCGAGCGAGGCGACCAGGAGCCCGAGAGAGATGGTTCCTCTGCTTCAAAGAATGTTGTTGCTTGCTGGCCTTGTCGGCGTCGCAACACCACGTGCGATAGGAAGCTACCATGCCATACATGCACTACGAGGGGCCAGTCAGAGCACTGTTCGTATGAGCGAAGCACCAAGTGTATTCATTCCTGCACCCAATCATTCCTGCACCAGCCTCCCAAATACAGCCGACGGACGTAACTGATGCGAAACAACGTGTCACTGATGAAGACCATGTCGATTCGTCGAAGCCAGGCGTAGATGCTGACGAGCGGCATAGCCTCCGCCAAGCAGTGCATGGTGACCCAGGCAGTCCAAGTGACCCTTTCCTCTCAAAAGAGTCTCCTAATTATATCATGGAGCCGGCCACGCTGATTGGGCGACTCGCAGCCAAACCATTCCGATACGTCGGAGCTGCCGAATGGGATCGACTATTGGCGGTGGGCAATCAACAGCATGCGGCGAGACTGACAAGCGAGGCGTTCGATTAGCGAAGCTAACAAGCGAGCGATCGGATCTAAGGCCAGGTCTGCGGCAAAGCTAGCACCATACATGTGCTGATAGGACAAAATGAATACTTTGGCAGGTTTTTGAGTCGTGACTATTACAGGTTCTCACCACATATACCTGAGATAGTCACACATGTAGTCTGAGCAACTTCAATAAGTACATCTACTATCGCGCCTCGGTTATGCCTTGTCAGATGATTGGTATATGACATGCATTCGCGCAACCGTGCCACACGATCTTCTTGCCGCGACTATGCTGAGCATCATTCCACAAATTGACGAGCAAACGTTCAGATCGACTTTGTTATATCGCCGATACATACTTCGTGTACCTTGAATTTACCCCTCCACAGCCAACCCCTGCTTGTGATGTCACAAGCCACACAAGATGAGCCACAAACAAGTTTGCGAGGCACGATGACGAGAGAGGGCTCACGAATGGCGAAGGCGCTTAAAATACATAAGTTGACTTCATCGCGCACCGAAGTTGTTCTTCAGTACATCCATCAAAAGGAAAGCACTGAAGCAAACGAGATCAGTCACACCTCGAAGATAACGCCAAGATGCCTTCAACACGTGGTGAGCAATCCTCTTTTCTCCGAGACAGCCTTTGCAAGCCTAGCTCCGCTACAGGCTTTCTCCTTTGCAAGTCGTTCATTTGAAAAGCTACTGACAATTCTCAGCCAGCGCCAAAGCCTCCACAGAGCAAGACGACCCTCTCGAGAAGGCCGAGGCTACCAAGGAAGCCAAGTCCAAGAGCAGCGAAGCCGCCACTGACGGAATCGTTGGCGAGGATGAGCTAGACAAGGCTATTGGAGACAAGGGTCCCGACCCAGAGGTCACCAGTGCGGACGACGACCCGCTTGAGAAGGCGGAGGCTACGAAGGAGAAGAAGTGAGAGGGGAACCTGTTAATGATCAAGTGCAGAGGAAATGCGACGGGGTTGTGAACAACTGCCTGCCCGGGGAAAAGCAGTCCCTGCGATCATAGCCGCGCCTGAGGTGCTGTATATATGTGCGACACAATACCATTGTCCTCAACATCAAGTAATGTTTTACAGAAAGGTGCAGAGGCCGAAGCTGTTATGAGGCAGTGAATGCTCGAGTCAGCTTTCTGCAGCGTGAATGATCCGTGACTCGAGCTTCGACCAGATTATTTCGGAGAAAGCATCATACAACTTGGTAGACTCTGATGAACATGCTCAGTAGACCTGGAGCATGTCGAAAATGTTATAGCACTCAACACACCCTGTCGCTCCGTCCTATAGCTTCATCAATGATGAAGGCCTCCGTCAGATCTCTGCCCTCAGCAGCGCCCCGAGCCTCCCTCTTCACAGCATGGCGGCCACCTCCACAGACCCGCAGCTTCTCGAAAATCAACCCGTTCCGCCAGCAGCAATCTGCTCCGCGTCGACAACAAGCCTTCGTCAGCCCTATGCAGTCTATGCGCGCCGAAAGCAGCAAAAAGAATCAAACGACCCTCATATACGGCATTAGCGTTTGCATAGCCACCCTCGCCCTGGCCTACGGCTCTGTCCCTCTCTACAAGATGATCTGCCAGCAGACCGGCTGGTCAGGCCAGCCCGTGAAAGCACACGACTACGCTGGCGGGGACCCTGCGGCTCGTCTAAGACCTGTTGACAACCACCGAAGGTTGAAGATCACCTTCAACGGCTCTGTCTCCGACGTCCTACCCTGGAAGTTCACGCCTCAGCAAAAAGAAGTCCGTGTCCTGCCCGGCGAAACCGCTTTGGCATTCTACACGGCTACGAACAAGAGTCAGGCGGATATCATCGGTGTCGCGACATATAGTGTAACGCCGGCGCAGGTAGCGCCGTATTTCAGCAAAATCCAGTGCTTTTGCTTTGAGGAGCAGAAACTGAACGCGAATGAGACGGTGGATATGCCGGTGTTCTTCTTCATTGATCCGGAATTTGTCAAGGATCCGGCGATGAGGGGTATTGATACGATTACGCTGAGCTATACGTTCTTCAAGGCTAGGTATGATAAGAACGGGGTGTTGACTACTGTGCCGTTGGCGGCGGGGATGTAAACGCCACGATGGTCACCTGGCTGGGTTGGCCACCATTCACTGGTACAGACCGGCACCGGTTCTGGATCTTATCGTACAACTGTGACTTGATGTGGCAGGTCCGAGCCTCGAAAAGCACAAATCTCGTTTGGCCCGCCGCCGTTTACCATTACGAACTGGTTTGCGTCGACAATAGGGTGCGATCGTGGTCCAGCGTTGGCCGCTTCGATGTCGACCAATCCCTTCGATTGAGTGAGCTTTTGCATCATGCTGGGAGGAACTCCGTTGACAACGCTGCTTCAGACGGTTGGAGACAGCCGTACTGGCAACACAGCGCACACATACTTGCCCCAGGGACAGCGAAGCGGTGCTCACAGTGGTGCGACGCCCAAGATAGCGGCAACAACGACACATTACAGGCGGGCTGCGACGTGACTTTCAGCAATACTGAAGTCACGCAGGTGAAGATCGAACGGGGCGCATATTTACCGGCGCACCAACAGCACCGGCTCAGGTGCAAAAGCACATTACAGCACGACCTGATGAAGCCATCTTCACCGGCGGCAAATTCCCGGTGCTAAGTACTTCTGAAGTACGATTGGTGGCATGATGTCTGCATTTCAGATCTTATGCCAATCCCTTCTGTTGTTCTGTACACTGTGTAGCCGTGCCATCATAGAGAATCCGAGTAAGATTCATGCAAAATCACGGCCAATAGCACAAATCATCGTGAGTGGTTGGCCTTGGACTGCCCGCAGCCATAACCTCGGGACTCAGTGAGGGCACTGGCACTGGACTCAGGCTCGATAGTCACAATGCCGATGTGTAAGCCACGCTTGCCGAGAGGTCTGAGCAGAGCGACAAGGACGTCCACGATGACTTTCTAAAAGAAAAATGCGTCAAACACTTTGCGTTTTGTCGTAGAGAGTTTGTGTAGCGCCCGTTGGCTCGCCTGTGCTCAAGCCACAAGGTCCGAAGAAACCCGCTGGATTTCTCTGCTCCTATTGGCCGGTTCGTCAATAATGTTCTCCATCTTTCGAAACAGCATCGAGACGACAGTCAAGACTTTCCCCCCAGACCCTGACCCCGTGAACCACCTTCAGACACCCGGCTAGGCAGCGAAGAATACGCAGCGCCGTCCCGAGAGTCGCTCACGAGTTGCAACTCACCCACTCTCCAGTTCTGACAGGTGTGAGGAAGTACCGGAAGCTGTCGAAATTGCAAAGTAAGACGTGCCCCTATCCGATGGCGCCAGACTGCGGCGTTTCATCTCGTTCGGGCCCGTTTGACCCCATTCCGTCGCCTGATCTAGAAGTCGACGTCCAGCTTCTGTTCACCACCAGTAAACCTTGACGCTTTTAAGGTGAAAATATGGTGAGAAACGAAATGAGTCCACGTGTGTTTCTGGGGGACTACAAGGTGAGCTTGAGTTTCTATAAAAACACCCGTGTCTTGCACCGCGCAACCCGGTACTTCATTCAGTCTCACGTATACACCTTTTTCCATCTGCACATTCTTGACCGTCTCGACGACGTAAAATCACTCTTACCCAACCAAGCACACCACCTCAGTCACCACGTAAACAACTCAAAATCACCCTCCAAAAATGTACGCTCTGGCAGCAACAACCCTCCTCTTCGCGAGCGCCGTCCTCGCCGACCACACCTTCAATGTCACTGTCGGCCCCGGCCTGGTCTTCAACCCCAACAGCCTCTCTGATGTCGCAGAGGGCGACAAGGTCGCCGTCTGGTTCGGCGCTGGCCACGATATCGCTCAGTCCACCTTCGCTGAGCCTTGCCAATACATGGATGGCGGCATCTACTCGGGCCCTTCACCCAAAGATGGCGATGTCTTTACGTTCGAGGTCACCAATGCCTCAGCACCCATGTGGTTCTACTGCTCAGTTCCTGGCCATTGCCAAGCCGGTATGGCGCTAGCTATCAACCCTACGTAAGTTGTTCCCGCTATGCCTTACCATCTTGAAGTGTCATTGCTGAGACCTCCCGTTAGCACTGACCGCACAATCGAAGCCTATCAACAAGCAGCAGCGCAAGCCTCGACTACACAGCCTCAGAGCGACTCAGTCCAGGGTGGTACTATTGGCGACGGTTCAGAGGCGGCGACAGAGTCCAGCTCCCCAAGCTCAAGCGCCAGTGCATCGGCAACCTCTGCCTCTGGCAGCGCGAGCTCAAGCGCTACTGCTGGCTCGTCTGCTGGCCAGGTCCGTGTTGCGGCGGGCTTGATGGCAGGTGTTGTGGCTGCTGGCGCTGCCTTTGCGCTGTGAGCGGAAGCTCGATGTTCGTGAGCCTTGCATTGGGCGTGTCTGGTTGGTAGGATCTGTTTGCGCTAGCGGCGTCCTACTGGCAGGTGGATCAACGCAGGTTGAGGGCTGTATGTTGGCAAGAGCCAGCCCAGCTGTGTACAGGTTTGTATGTATGTTCACAGGCTTTAGACGAATGCATGTACTGCACTAGATCCCAATACCGAGAGTTCAGGATGATTCAAGGTCTAAGATTGATGCACTCGTGATCTCGACAAACGCTGTTGTCTCTCCGCCCCTGCGGCACGATGCCGTGATCTTGATTCCAACAAGGCAATACTCATGGCTCGCAATTTGGATTGATCGGGCCAAGCCATGGGTTGGCACAGAAGACCTTGGCATCTACGTAGCTTCGTGGTGCCAGCATATTTATTCTCCGTCTCCCCTTCCTAATCCTCGCATTCGACGTTACACTTGTCTATCGATATTTTATAGTCGACGCAGTTGCGTATCATGACCTTCGTTGAGGCTTTCGGGTGATGTCCAGGTACTGATGCGAGCGCGACGTCCACAATGGAGTTTTATCGCTCTGCTTCTCCTGACCAGCTGTGGTATCTACTATTTCGCCTTCAGCACGCCAAACAGAAATGATGACACGAGTAAGGCACACTCGCATGAGCTCGATGATGCAGAAGCAAAGGTTTTGTGCAAACAGCACCATCTGGCACTTGCGCCGGACCGCGCCAGACGGAAGATATACGACCTTGTGACGATCAACACGGAGTTAGATCTACTAGAGATCAGACTTCACACGTTGGCAGAACAAGTTGACTACTTCGTCCTCGCAGTATCGACGCACACTTTCACGGGCGTGCCCAAGCCTCCGACTGAGATTCGAGGAATTTTGAACCTGACGGAGTCTCCACGCTTCGCAGACTTTAGGACGAAGATTCTTTTTCACGTCTTTCGACCAGATCAGACCGGCACTACAGATCCGTGGGCTCTGGAGCGCGCTCAGAGGAATTCCCTGCTGAGCAAGCTCCTGTCGATCCCTGCAGGCTCACCAGAAAGTCCGAAAGAGAACGACATCTTGCTCGTTTCCGACATCGACGAGATCCCACGTCCCTCAGCTCTCACCCTTCTGAGGACCTGCACCTTCCCAACACCACGCATTACACTTTCCACCACCGCACACCTCTACTCCTTCAACACAATCCACTCGCTCCCACAGAAACGTCACTGGCTGCATCCACAAGCCACCATCTGGCGATCCACAGAGACGATCTGGCCTGAAGACCTACGTACTTCAGCCTCTAAACTCGAGTTCAAGTCTCGATATCGCGTGATCGGCGATGCTGGCTGGCACTGCTCGAGCTGCTTCTCTACAATTGCGGAGTTTCAGGCCAAGATCAGGGGCTTCAGCCATCAAGAGTTCAACCATCCGGTGTTCTTGGATCCGGCGCAGATTGTGAGGCGGGTGAAGAATGGGGTCGATCTGGCGGAAAGGGAGTGGGAGAAGTTTGTGAAGGTCGGTGAGACTGGACTCGCGGGTGGAAGTGGAAGTAGGGCCGATGGGATAGTGAAGATGCCTGACTATTTATGGGAGAACAAGGACAGATTCCCGTGGCTGATTGACCGGGATGCCGAGAATGCGAGGTTCCTAGATTGGGACGGACCTGGTGCAGCTAGTCTGGAGGAGTGGAATGGCGAAATGCCAGACAAGTGGCCAGACTAGGACCGCACACAAATTGGCAACCTTGGAAGATGGCTTATGGACCTAGTGAGAGCAAGACGGCATCAGGCAGGTGCGGTGACAGCGCCATTTTGGTCGATGCCATTGGTTTCTGGCTATTTTCGAATGCTCAGAGTTCTCCTCTATTGAGGTGCAGCCTCAGTCTGGTCACCCGATCTCTGAATCTGTTCCCTGCTTTTACCAGGCCTGGAATTACTGCACAATCCCCTACATCGACAACAACAACCTCACTCATAGCTTCGCCCTAGGTTGACTGCTCTTCGCAGCAAGATCCCTCAATTCCCTCCTCAAGATCTTTCCCACGGCACTCCTGGGTATCTCGTCGATATACACCACACCTCCTCTCAGCTGCTTGTACGCTGCCAACTTCTCCGCAACCAACCCCTTGATTTCCTGCTCGGAGATCTTGTTCTTATCCGCCACAACATACGCCCTGGGTACCTCTGTGCCCTCGCCCTCGACACCGATAACAGCCGCATCTTCTATCAGTGGATGCGAAAGCAACAAACCCTCGATCTCGGCTGGCGCGACTTGGATACCTTTGTACTTGATCAATTCCTTCTTGCGATCCGTCACGTACCATAGTCCGCGCTCGCCACGTTGCTGCAGGATGTCGCCTGTGCAATACCAACCATCGATGAATGCGCCTTTGGTAGCTTCTGGGTTCTTGTAGTAGCCTTTGGTCATGGTTGGCGTCTGCACTAGCAGCTCGCCTGGCTCGCCCTCGGCGACGTCGTTGCCATCATCGTCTATCAGTCGAAATATGCAGTTGGGGTGAGGGATGCCGACTGAGCCTGTAGTGTCCTCCATGCCCCTTGGTAGGGTCAAGACTGAGCCTGTTGTCTCGGACATGCCGTATGTGCCTCCCAGCTGGATGTTCGCACGCTTGCCAGCGGCGTTCTGCAAATTCGCATCGAGCGGTGCTGCGCCTCCCAGACCGCCCTCCAGACTCGCGAAATGATCGGCCACGTCGGGGCTCTTCGCTATTCGTGCCCAGATCGCGGGCACTGTGAAGAAGGCAGTGATCTTGTGCTGCTTGTTGTACTCCAGAAACTTCTTCCAGGTGTATTTCCGCATCCAGTAGCACTCCATACCTGAGTACACCGGGCCGACAAAATATCCTGCCACGCCGGCAATGTGTGCTGCAGGCAAATGTGCCAATGTTCGCTGCGGACTCGGAACCAGCTCACCCGTCAACACCCGGGGTAATGCCCACTCCCTCGCCACTTGGCTTGAAATATACACCTGGCTCACCATCATCCTATGGCTTAGCATTACCGCCTTTGGCTGGCCCGTCGTCCCGCTCGAGTACAGCAAGCTAATTATACTATCGCCCAACTCATCCGCATCTGTGATCCTCGTCCAAGTCAGCCTCTTCTTCTCCTTCTCCGCAACATCCTCATCCGCATTTGGCGCCCAAACGACCTTTCCCTCCACCGCCGTTCTTAGGCCCCACTTCCCCGGCTCGCTCTCCAACACCAACACGCGCTCCTCGATTCTGGCGTCATCCCACCCAACAATCCTCGCCGCCTCGATTCCCGTCTCCCGCAACTCCTCCGACACAATCACCACCTTCCCATCACCCTGACTTACCTGCCTCGCCAATTCCTCCGCAGTAAAGCTGTGGCTCGCGGTCGAGAATATGCCGCCGGCAGCGATGGTCCCATAGAAGGCGATCGGCAACAAGATCTGGAGGGCGGAACAAGCGACGATGACGTCCTTGTTGGGACCGGAGGCGCCGATTTGGAAGTGGTGGCGGAGGGTGTGGGCTAAGGATTCGAGTAGGGCGTGGCAGTGACGTTTGGTGAGGTAGTTGGTGGATGGGTTGGCGGCGTCTATGTGTAGTTTGCTGGTGGGGACGGAGAGGGCGTGTGGTGAGTCGAAGAGAAGTGTGAGCAGGTCGAGGTTGGGGTACTGGTAGTACCGGGGAGCGTAGTAGATCTTGGGAGCCATCGTTGCTGACGTCTGGGTGGGTGGCGGGGAGACAGTCACCAGGAGAGCAGGCGAGATCGGCGCTGGGGAATTTCGATGTCACCGGCGGGGATGGAAGCTCTCAAGTCTGTCCGTATATTCTGCTGGGTTGGTCCAGTCACTGCTTACAGTGTGGGTGAATCAGCCAAGCAAGTACTTTTGAACCCTTTACTTTTGCGGGGGTTTGCAAAGGCCCTGGGGTAACAACCGGCCAACCTCGGTTCGGGTCGTTGGGATGTCATTGGATGAGCGTGGAAGGTGTCCTCAAAGCACAGCGTGCGCTGCCTACCTGAGTACCATCTGTGGTACGATATCGTATATTTCCTGCCTCGCAGCAGCACTTCATAACTTCGTCAAATTGCTCGGGAGAGCACCTAACAATCGGAGACTGAGCGGTACGACGATGAGAAAGCACATCAGAGGGGACCGCTCAAGCGCAGGGCGTCGCGCCTGCCTGCCTAAAAAAGCAGGACTCACGGTCGAAACTCCTTTCTCTCGAATTTACGGGAATTGAAAGGACCTTTCATCATCACAGTATTGTCACTTATGGCTTTTAGTGTGAAGGTGCAGTGTAGCTGACAGCCTTTCATCGTGGTCGAGTACTGGGGGGAGTCGCGGAGATGTGTCTCCGGTGTACTTCAGGGCTTTATGGTTTGGGAAGCTCCGGTCTCATCTGAGCGGCATCGAAGGTTAATCTCTGAAGGCTAATCGATCGATCGGGTGCCGGCTGGAGTTACAGATCAGTTTTATTGCGGGATCTAGTGAGTGCTGTGCTGTAGTGTTGCCGCAACCAGGAGGAGCAGTTACCAACCTGGCCCACATACTGCGGTTCTGCTTTTCCGAATTTGAGATAGAGTCATGACGACCGCGACAGGAAGAAGGGTGTCAGAAGTCTACGAACCAGTATCAGAACACCACGCCTTCGACAAGGAATCTCCACAACTCAAATGAACTACAGTAGCGCCGATGTTGCAACGTCGGATACATGTATGCGCAAGGGTATGAATCATCAGTCAGCTGGGCGCTTCCTAGTAGGGCCGCCCAAGTCGGAAAGTCTAAGATTCCATGGAAGGCCGGATATGCAAGACAGATCTTAGGTAGGCACAGACGAACTAGCACAGATGTACCTGCAGGTGTGTACACGAGAACAAGGCACGACTTTACAGAACAGACAGCTAGGATGGAACTCAATGCTATGAAGAGATGAAACGGTGTTATGGCACGCTGAAATGGTCGACACTTTGTGATATGTAAGCGTTCTGTCTTCCTCTCCGATCTAAAGGAACTGTCATTCGCGGGTTCTGTTGTCCCGTTGATCTCCCTTTTGTGCTCCTCGACATGTTTGAGGTTTTCTGATGGTGACATGCAATATGAGAATGACGAGTAGTGATTGCTATGCTCCAATGAATGCAAATGCTTTTGACGCCTTTTCGTACACTGCCCGTTGTTTCCTCCAACACCCTGCCAGAATGTGAATTGATGCCTCGATGTATCAGGTGCTTTGCATAGAAACTCGTCGTCGTAGTATCGTTCGGTTCTTGTCAAACGCGCCCACGTACCCTCGTAGGTCATCCTGAGCCTGCGAGGTTAGATGCTGAGTAGTCGTTGGAGACTGTGGAGGCGACGACGAGAGTGAAGATGATGAAGTCGAAAGAGATGTAGATGATGACTGCCGCTGGGTCTGGGTGAAGTTGTACGCGGGCGGAAGTTTGAAGCCCGGGCCAGCCGATGCGGTTGACCGATGAGATGTACCCTGACTCGTTGCGTTACGCAAAGTCGTGGTTGACGCCGAGCCTGTGTACAACTCCAGCTCAGCCATTCTGCAGGCCTGAGAGCAAAAGGTGCCCCCATTGGTCTGTCTGTCGCAGGCGAGGCAGAAATCGCCGAAGAAATCTGTCGACATGGTAAGGATTGGTGGGTTGTGATGATGAGTTGAGAGAAGGAGTGTTGAATGGTCGGTTGTTGCTATAACGAAGCACGAGTATGTAGTGTGCTCATTGCAGGTTGAGTTGTGCTAGATGAACTCAAAGCCTGAATAGAAGTCAAAGGGATCCTTGATGTGAAATGAAGAAGACGAGTTATGCAGGAACGGGAAGAGAGGCAAAGATATCGAGAAAGGTCTTTCCGAATTGAAGAACAGCTGTTGTGAGCCTGCCATCTAGTGGGGAATAATGTCGAACATCGATGGCTAGTCGGCAACAGCCTGCTGAGCACCTTACTTATCTTGGGTTAGGCAGCCACCTTACGGTGGCAGCACGCACCTTGGCTCATGCAGAAGATGAAATGGAGGGTGACAAGGATGGTCAGCCTAGGCATGGCCGTGCAGCCGCCTCATACAAGTGGTGGTATGAGGAGAGAGCAGAAAGAGGGGACGGAAATGGAGTGATTCTCGTAAGTCTGTGGTCGCACAGCGTCAGAGCGATATCTCCAATGCAGGAACTATTGGCTCTGGCAGCGAAACTTGGGCGCATTTTTACCCCGCTCGAGTGGCAGCCCGTATCACCTTTCGATACAGTACAGGCTTGGGCCTTCCGTTAAGGTTGACTTCAGGATAAGGGCCGTCCCAGCGTCTACCGTCAGCAGCTTACGACCTCAATCTGGAGGTCGACTTCGACGCATCTGGTACTCAGTGTCCTGATCATATCCCCATCAGCTCGTAGATGTCATCAGACGGAAAAATGATTCCTCTTCGCCCCAATCAGCAGGTCATTAAGATCTGCTCTGAGCACATCATCAGATCTGCAACTGATCCGCTGTGCGATCAGCTGCTGCCAAATCGTGCACCTCCACGTTCAACCACAGACATTTTCTTGACAGTACGCGGTATTCGTTCATGCACAAGCGTCAGCATAGGCGAACTAAATTTGCGCCTGGAATGGTCCCTCAATTCGTCAGCTCCTCAAATTCGACAAGAATTGGGGTCCTGCCGCAGAGCATGCTCGTTTCATTTGCTCTCACTGGCGTGGGGTGGTCTTCAAGGTCTCGCTGCTCGTATCCAAGATATTTCAGCAGCCTTCAAACTTCGACTTTTGCTGGTTGGTGGCAACAATGGATGCCACATGGATGTACATCTGGCATTCCATTGCTGTCAAAGGTCATTCCAGGTGTTTTCACGTGTCCACATCTGCAAAGTTACGTCAAACGACGACTTTCCTGCAGCGCGAAGTGTCTGATGTTGCTCAAAGATCTTTTCGTCGAACAGGGAACTGATGTCGACATCTCAGACGAGCCATCGAGCCATCCAACCCCAGCTGTCACTCGCTTGCTGACTCTAGCGCGCTCGTTCCTTGCACAAATACCACCAAGTCGTGGAGCATTCTTCTGATAGCCATACCAAGAAGGTATTGGACCTACGGCAGCGCCCGCAGTTCGTCCGACGGGATTCTCTAGGTGCCCCCATGCTTTTGACAGCGCAATCCTCGTTGCTGAAACGCAGACGGCCTGGCCTTTCTTGTGGCTCAAACAGTCGCAGCATTCAAACAGATGACCGCGGTCAACTGCAGTCATGGAAAGGTAGACCCGATGCTAATCGCTAGATCGAAGGAGGAATGCTCTGTTGTGCCAACATCATCGCTTCATTTAGATATCCCACGTCAACGAAGCAGGCCTCGGCGCTGACACTAGTGAGCAAGCATGTTGGCCAGCAAGGCCAGCGACTTGCAAGTCCTTGAATCAGCACGCTAGTGTGCACGCCAATCATTATGCACGACTTCAGGATTGCGCGACTTGACAATTCCCCAGACTCCCCGCCACGCACAGACCATTTCTGCTGATGGTTCGGCGCTTCGATATCGCCGAACCCACCATCAAAGTCGCAATCTCCTTCGCGTACCAATAATAAGTCCTCCTACTGAATCGATAGCGGCCATGTCCACGCCGAGCCTGTCTCCGTGGCCTAGCATGAGGCGCACGAGATAAGGAGGAAAGCTAGCATGCCTTGCTTGCGCATTCGCGAGCAATGCGCAAATCCTCCGGGATGACAGTCCTTGAACACTCGACTTAGCGTCAAACAATACTCAATTCACTTGGTTGCTGTCACTAGCGAGAAGTGCATCTCAGGTCTTGCCCATAGCTGGACTTCGCCGCGGGAGTCATCACTCCTGCTACACATACCAATGTGTCCAGCTGCATCTTGACGAGATTCCGCATGACTGAAGCTCGGCTGGGACGGTCGAAAGGCATTACTCTTGCCCATTATCCCTTGAGCATAGCATCCGCAGCCTTCCCGCCAGATTCTGTCACTGAAGTCGGCCCGTCCACCATATTCGAGGGCTATCGTTTGGATCTCAACCAGCAGTTGCATGCAGAAGCCCACTGCGAACCACGCGGAACTAAAGTGCCACTGTCTGTTGCACAAACGTCGCATATCTGACAGCATCAGTTCTCGTCCAACGCAGCACAGGAAACTGCCTCGCCCTTCCTGTTGAGGTAATTTGCTGTTGCAGCAGAACGGACACTTCCCGCACACTGCACAGGGACTCGACGAGAATGATTCAGGTAGGACTGCTTGAGGTATGTCTGCACACTTCGTCTCGCGACCATACTTTCAGTGATGTAGAGCACAGCATCGCTGGCCACCAGCATGGGTCCTGTCAAGTTGGACAGCCGTTGCATGTGACCGAGACCAAATGTGGTGCACAGTCTGGTACGGCAATTGGATCGCCACGACCCGATCGTGTCGATGGTAGACGTCTGTGTGTGGCCAGTCCGCGAACCAGCATGGTGAGCAACTCTCGAGACCAATGCTGGACTTGCGAGCAAGGAACGCAAGATCTCTCATGAACTACTGTGCTGCCATTGCCTGCTTCCAATTCACACCTCCGCATACTTGGCTTGAAGTAAGAAGTTTGTCGGATCGTGTAGTCGCAAGCACGTCTCATTGACACCCCTCGGATGCTTCTATATCTCGCACCCCTCAAACACCAGCGCACAGCTCGTCGACCTTGCCTACGTGCTCCTCGAACGCCCAGGGGCCGTCAAACACCCACTCACCGCTCCCATCCTTCAACAACTTCCCTGTATGGTCAAAGTCGACGCCCTCGTCCTTCAACAAGCCCAACTTCTCGACCTGATTCACACCGCTCGGTGCATCGAACCACTCCCCCTTGAATCCACCAACATATCCCGAATGTGCTATGACACGATGGCAAGGCACTGTTGGCGCGAAAGGGTTGTTTCGAAGTGCTCCGCCCACAGCTCGTGCACTCGGTCTTGGAGCTTGTTCGGTTTTGGAGGTGGCGTAGGCTGCTGCTGCGACGGCTCGTGAGAGGACCAGGTAGCTTGTTATGCGGCCGGGTGGAATGCAGAGGAGGTGTGCATACACGAGGCGTTGATATGGCGTCAAGCGTTTGGTGGACGTTGCTGCTGAGTTTATGGATTGATCTTTGACGAAGTGTGGTGACCTTATTGCCTGTGGCGATCTGGTCTTTGCTGCCGACTTGCCGGCCTTGCGTATCGCTGTCACGGTAGAGCGCGGGTGGCGCTGAGATGATGGCGGTGCAATGATCTTGGTTGCGGCCATGACTCAAGCAATATCAAGGCTGAGTGGGCAACTCTGGCTCTCGTGAAAGACGGACAAAGATTTCTTCCTGACTACGGTGAGATGATCTTGACTGGTGCAATTGTTGGAATGACAGGGGCGTGCCGGATATATAGTAGCAAATACAACGCGTCGCAGTGAACCGAGTTGGCAGGCTTTGAAGCACAGCATTGCTGTAGAAGTGAAGCGGGAGAGTGGCTACGGCTTAGACTCGACCGCTTATTCGCCAGTTTGAACGCAACGCGACGTGAGGATCTAGATCGATCTGCCAATACGCGTCTTCACGTGACATATCATTGTACCGCCATCAGGATAATGCTGTAGCGTTGGCATCGGATATTGGCACGGAGATGTTAACCCTGATACGCCGAAGGAAGAGACCTATGATTTTCATTTGTGGCTGTAATGTCAAAGTGAATCATTTGTAGGTACCTTGGCCGAAAGGAGGGGCGGCCTCCAGGCAACCGCGCTAGGCTGTATGTCGACCAGCCAGCCTCACTGCTCCCCTTCCACATCTTGCTCGCCCCTCGGCAAATTCACGATGATAATGCGGCCTTTCCTCATGACCGGAACGCTTCTTTCCAACAACTTTTGAGGAAAGACTGCCTCCAACACCCTCTGAATATGGCAAGTCCTTCGCTGCTTGGTCTCCCACTGGAGATTCGGCAGCGTGTCTACGACTTCTATCTACCAGCCGCCTCTACAGCAATATACATCTCCCCAACCAAAGGAAGCCTGACATTGAATCTAGAGTGTGCTTCACGGTCCCGCGGTCTGGACGCTTGCTTCTGCTGCTCGGAGCCAGTCTTGCTAGCAGCTACATGCCGACAACTTCGGGGCGAAGTCCATGACTTCCTGCTTCCATATGCGGCCGTCGACATCGAAGTGTTTAATTATCAAGCGTGCATGGAAGTTAAAGTATGGCAGTACCTCTCGAAAACACATATGAAGCAGATTCGGCAACTTCATCTGAAGATCCGACGGTCTTGGGATTGTCTCTTGCCGCTGGACTCCTTAAGGCTCATCTACCCAAGCTTGAAAAGCTCATTCTGAGCGCCAGACCGCTTGCGCTAGGTCGACGTCGCGTTCCCGCTAGCTGGCGCGCTCATGCCCTGGAGGATAATGAGATGCAATTTCCGCTATTGGACCAACCGGGCAAGAGAAGCCTTGCGATGGCGCGTCAAGGGTTGGACGAGAGGACAAGTGCTCTCTTGGACTGGTGCACGGGTGTACGAAGCTACACAGCATTCTCCTTCGATTCCGACATTCGAGAATATCTGGAAACCGTAAGGGACTCCGCTCTTATGTATTTTGGGAAGCGTGTTCAACGTCACTTCTCGTTGGAAATCGTCTGTCAAATCCAGAGGGTCGCGGGTTTTTGTAGTAAGTTGGACGAAGCTGGGGCAATAAAGGCATGTCACGGTTTGGTCGATAGCAAAAGCATCAGACTGACAGCTACAGATTGCACGATATTCCGAATTGAGGTTGACACATCAGAAGCAATCGATATGGAACTACGACGACTCCAAAACGATACATACCAAGAATCTATTGCGACACATGGATTTGCATGGCTGCCGTCCTCTCGGGCTGCTGCCGCAGGTCGACGAAGTCTGGAGGTAAGCCCAGACCCTGTCAGTCAGGTCAGAAGACGTTTTAGTGACGATAAGCTCCCCTCGATCTACCAAGCTTCCTGGTGTACAAGTGAATGCGACTCAATTCTATTGACAAAATCAGGATTCTGTTGAGTCTGAGCTCATCTCCGCCAAAGACTTCTCACGATCACTGTCTCCTTCTTATGCCCCAAGCTCGACCACCTTTGACCAAAGGCGCACAAATTGTCACCCTCAACCCTCATTACGATGTCACCTTCTCGCCTCCACCAACACCGCCCTCCCCATCCACCTCCCCAGCATTAGCCCTTCCCAATCCCGCCAAGTCCACCACCTCCCCGACCCTCGGCCCGACAAACCTCCCCCTTTTTCCCCCCGGCACCCACCACAACAGCACAATAAACAGCCCTGTCCCCGCCATCACCACACTGACATAGTTCATCGTGACCTCCGTCACGGGCAAGAACACCGGAAAGCAGAACAGTACACTATATAGCGCCACCCAGGCCGTCGAAAACACATTGCAGAACATGCCGAGTCCTTTCCCCAAATCAAACTCTCGTTTCGGCAAGACTTTATCTCTGCCCCTGACCAACACGATGAACTGCGGGATCGTGTACGTGATATTCAAACTCAGGATCGCAGTCGCCACGAAGCTGTTGAATGCGGTCGTGCTGCCGATGTATATCAGCCCGTACAAAATGCAGAACACCGCTGTCAAAATTGTAGCGTTCTGCGGGACCTTCCTCGCCGGGTGCACCTTAGCGAACACGCCCGAGTAAGGCAATCCATTGTCCCTGGCAAACGCCCACAACAAGCGACTCGAGGTAAGCACCAACCCGATTGTAGCCCCGAAATAGATGAACAGGATCCAGAAGGTGAAGAACAGCGCCGCAGAGCTATTTCCCGAGAACGCCTGAACATACAGCTCCATGATCGGCAATGGTGACAAGCTGAGTGTCTCAAAATCCTGCGTGCTGAACAAGATCGCGAGCGTGAACGGGATGGTAGTCACAATTCCGACCGCGATCGTTAACCACATGGCTCTCGGCACCGCTCTCGACGGCCGCTCGACCTCCTCTGCGATGTGAGTTGCTGAGTCCGTGCAAAGAAACTGTTTCAGAGCATTTTGGTTAGCTTTGTCTCGTGGAATGATCATGCAATGGAAGGTTGCATGGGAGAGGCGGGAGTCATGTCTCGAGGGAACCTTGTGGGCGTGCTCAAGCCAATGCTCATGTCATCGCTCAGTTCCCGATACGAGATTCCTAGGGTACTCACGCCATACATGGATTGCCCGATAGCGAGAAGCATAGCGACGCCGTCGTCCCAGCCCGTGGCGTTCGACCAGGTTTTGAAGACAGTGGTGGCAGGTTGCTTTGTCGGACTAACGGCGAGAAGGACGATCGTGTTGACTAAAAAGCCCAGGAGAGAAGTCCAGAAGAAGAAGGTCTCGAGACGGGGGATCGCGCGTGGGAGGTAGACCACGATTAGCGAGCAGATGATTATGAACGCGGCTGTTTCGTGAGCAAATTGGTCAGCATGTGGTTCGGATGTGGTAAAAGAACAGACGGGTAGTCCGAAATCGCGAACGCTGTGGTCCGTTGTTCCTCGAGGCGTGGGAGTGACTTACTATAGATCAACCAAGTCTGCCACTGCGTCGGCACATACTCCGGGTTCCTCAGCGTCGCTAAGTTGATACACAGACTGGCACAGAACAAATTCGCGCTCGCCGTCGTGAACAACCACGCAAAAGCACTCAGCCAGCCCGTCACAAATGCGATCGCAGCCCGGTATTTTGGCGGGCTCACCATGAACGCGAAATGGTACTGCCCTCCGCTACTCGGGAAAGCGGACGCTAGTTCCGCCAAACCCAGCGTGATGAGCAAGCACGCGATGCATGCGATGATCGGAGCCCAAAAGATAGCTGGGCCACCGCCAGCGAAGAGCGGAGTGACGAAGGTTGCGGCATAGCCGACCCACGAGTTTGTGATGCTGAAGGCGAGGGCTAGGGTCGCGAGCGGGGAGAATTGGCGGATAAGCTCGCCGGAGTGACCTTGGGCGCGAAGTTGGATCTCGTCGGCGGAGAGGTTGGGGTCGTTCATGTTAGGGGTTGCGCTGCTCTCGTCGACACGAGCTTCCTTGGTAGGCGCCATGTTCGCTAGCCTGATCTGTAAGGTCAAGCTGCGGGAGGAACGACAGGGCAGCAGGTACGGCAGGGCAGTAGGTATGCAGGACGGGGAAAGAGTCAGAGGGAAGTCGCGAAAGCTTTAGAAGTGTGCGCGTCGTAGTCAACAGCTGGACCACCAACCTACCCTGTCCCGTCGTCCTCATCCTCGCGAACCGCGCCGGTCAACACCCTACCTGCTTATCATCAGCGCGATGGGCCCGGCGGCTGCCACGTTCTCTTGGCGAGAAGTCTGGCCCATGCTTGGCTGCTTGGCTGTGCCTGCTATCCAACAGGAGGGTGCGCTTCAAGGGGAAGGTACTGATAAAATGCTTATTTTTGTAGCTGATACCAGTCCCTCGGCGCGGTCTTCTGCGTCGCCAAGAGGTGACTAGTTGCAATTTCGGATACTGGATGCGTGGGCAGCGGGAAGAAGAAGAGATTACGCTTTAGGAAAGGACGGAAGACGACACGCGTGAGGCTCGTTCGTCCACACTTGAGATCGCAAGACACTGCGAGGGAAGTGAGACGGGTAGATATCGTGTGAACAAAACGGGCCCGGAGCCATCTGCTGATGAACTTCGTCACGTTTCTGAATGGTTATCTTCAATACCAAGACACACAAATGTGCTTGCCACATCAATGAATAGCAGAACGGCTGCCGTCGAATAGCCTGCACAGGTGAAGCATCAAGTCGGCTGTGTGCCGTCTGCACGACACACCTCCAACGAGCTCTCATCTATCTGTACCTCCTAGGTTTCCCCGCCTTACTCCAACCATTGCTCTTGCGACTCCTCGACTTGTTTGATTTCTTATTTGCAGTCCCATTTGGCAGAGCGTCATCATTCCCAACAACGACTGCGCCTCCGACAGCAAGCCCGGTCATCGTGATGTCGTCTTCGGGACCGAGTTCTTGCAATTCGTCCTCATCCATCTCGCTAAGCTCCTCGGACATCTCACGCAGTACTTGTTGGCCGGTCCATCGTTCTTCGTAGATAGTGGTGCCAAATGGGTCGAAGGCTTCCACGTACCAGGGAATACCGCCGCTAGACAGGCTTGGATGAGCGCCCTGGCCTTCAGTGCTCATGGGCGGCGTTGGCGGTTCGCCGCTGATGGACACTTCAGCGACTGGCTGAGCCACTTCGCCGTTGGTCTGGGAGATGTTAAGTCCATTGGTGGAAGCCGGTGGCGTACTGGCAGCAGGACCTGCTCCCGACTTCTTAGGACTGCCGTTGGTCTTGGGCCCGTTCAAATCTTCTGTGGACGCACCCTCCGCATCAGCGTCTGGCATTTCGACGTCCTGGAGATCAGGGGTGCTGATCCCGTTTGGTCCGTTCTCGATCGAATCGATGACGAGTGAGCCCTCCGCGGCTGTTCCACAATGGAATTACGCCGTGAAATGAGAGCCTCATCGAGCTCCTTCATCTGCTGTTCGAAGGGTCGTCCTGTCAGCTCTGACTCCTTCCTCAATGCATCTTCCAGCAAAGGCTGGCATGCTCGGAGAATGTTCCGTGCCTTGGCGCGTAGCTCTGTCTGTTCTGGAGTCGAGTCGTCAGGACGTCTGCCGCTGACTTGCTGCATGATCTCCGCGAATGTCGCAGCATTGGACTTTAGTCGGTCTGCGAATATTTGGGCAAAGGATTTCGAAAATGACGTGATGGAGGTAAATTCGCCACTTTGTATGCGAGTCTGAAGGTCCGAGAGGTCGTTCCTATAAGTGCTCTCCTTATCATGCCTATCGGGAGGATTAGTGCTGGTTACCCATATAGTGCTTAGTGACTTACTTGATTGCTTTCTGGAGGACGGTGTCAAGCAATGGCAGGATGGGAAAGTACACAATATTGACCACGTCCTTGAGTAAGCGGGCTTCTGCGATCTTCGCGTCCTCCCGTTGTTTCACGAGCTCGCACAGAGCCTTGATACGCTCAAGATCCTTCTCAAGAGTCTCGGCAAACTCGATGCGCCGGTCCAGTCGAGCACGGCCGGCTGCACCTTGAGCCTTGTAGTCCCGACGCGTGACCTCAAACGAGCTGAAGGTGTCCATTTGAAGCTGCAGTCTCTTCAGTAGTGCTGCTCCGCGGCGAGCCTCTCGCTTCAATGTCCAATACTTGCAAAGCTCCGACACATATTCTTTTTTCTTGTTGACGCTGAAGCGAACCAGAGATGCTTCGATGGAGTTGAGGATGACTTCGGGAATTACTGGGGCTCCAGAGGGCAACTTCCAAATTGTTTTCGGCTTTTGCCCTCTTTTGTTTGGAAGTGTAATTTTGAGGGGTCCTTTCTCCGTACCATGAGCAGGCCCTTCATTGATGGCCAGAGCAGAGGCTCTGCTGTCGGCCCAGACTTGACCCTTGAAATGGTTCTTGCAATAATTAACTGTTGAGTCGTAGGCTTTGTCGGTGTTGTGATCGGCCTTCCAATCATTCGGAGAGTGCTGATGACAGAATCCTCGTAAAGCGCTTTGTTCGATCAAGGTGTTCTGGCCGCCTCCAGTCTTCATGCGAAGGTATAGCCCTCCTCGACGAGCACACGTGAGATGAAAAGCACGATAACAGCGGCCGTCGCTGCACTGGATGCCAGCTCCCATGGCTTGGTTGCAGATATAGCAGAGTAGCTTCCACCTGCTTGGCGGAACCTTCTCGACATCTGTGACAGGCTCCATAAGTGACGGATTGCCAATGGTGACTTCCGGAATCCAAATGGCGCAAAAGAGATGGGCCATTTAGCGTTGTTAGTCTGCTTGAAAGCACCACCTTCGTGCGGGCAGAAGATGCAAGACGGCCTGGAGTTGCCAACGAGCTGGCATTTCCGACACAGCCATTGACCCTCCGGTATGAATGGCACCCCATAGCATTCCTGGTGCACAGCCAGATCGCAGCCATCGCAGAAAACAATCGCGTTGGCGTTCTCGGCATCACCATCGTCACAAATGACACATTTGGTATCGCCTTCTTCACCTGCGGGCTCACCATTGACGGCCGCTGCACTACTTGATCGCGGCCGCTGAGTCTGCGGGGCTTTCGGATTCGGTTTTGGTATTCGCTTCTCCAAGGCGTGCCACTCTTTCTCGATCTTTGTCATGGTCACCTCGAAGATGGCCGGCTTGATGGGTAGAGCGCCGTCGGCTACTCTGGTCTTGTTGAGCATGTCGAGCCATTTGACGTCTTGTTCATCCATATCATATTCGACTCTTCCCACGCCAGATGAGCCGATGGCGGAATTCTCGACGTTCACAAGAAGATCGGGACTCAGGTCCAGGTCCTCCTCAGCTGAACCTTCCGTCTGGCGGATCATGGCGCGATCGGGTCTCGAAAACAGTTCCGACTCTTGGTACCCAACACTCGCCATAGTTTTGTCGACATAATTAATGCCTTCTTCGTATACGCCGAATGGGTCAAGCTCACGGAACGATGGCTTGGGTAATGTCAATCGTTCTCGAGGATTCGGGCCGGGCAGAGGGACAATCTTGGGAGTTTCTGGGATGGCTAGCGCTTTCAACATTGAGTCCGTCCTCCTACCACTGGGTCTGCCACGCTTTTTCGTTGGGGTATTTCTGCCACTGGCTGTTTTCGTGAAGCCGTTGACAGCGTCTTCATCGTCAGCGGCATCGACTTTGACGGTGCCGTCGATCTCGGCGGATGGAATTATGGCGAACTCGGCGTCGAGATCGAGGTCAGCGTGGAACTCCTCCCAACCGCGCTCTTCTCGAGGTTTGTAACCGTCACCATGCGCGGTAGCCGCGGTCGCTGCGGCAGCAGCAGTACTGTACCGAGGGCGTTGTGTGTTGGCTCGATTAGCGCTTCTGGCAGAAGTGCGAGGTGTCTTCTGCGGTTGTGCTTTCTTCTCGTGCTTGGGTGGTCGACCTCGTCTAGCTCTCGGACGCCCGACGGTAGCAGGGGTCCTTGGGGTCGGTGAAGGAAGTTCACCAGCGTCGACGTCGATGTGTCTGCCGCCTCCACCTCTTCCGCCGGGTATCCATCGCGATCGAGTCGAGGTTGCAGATCGGGATGTGCGCATTCTCTTGAGGGGCGGTTCGCCGTCGAGCGGTGTTGAGGGCATGATGTCGAGGTCTGACTTCAAGGTGTAGTAGCCATTGACGGGCTGGATGGACCTTCTCGGCCTTGTGCTTGCCTGAGAGGTCCTGATGGGTGCCATTATTGCTAGAGGAAAGCGAGGACGACGCGCTTTCTTGAGTGCGGAGCCTGACAGCGACGGGAAGGCGCAGGCCGCATCGTTTCTAGTCGCACATCAGAGGACAAGACGCGATCCTGTACGATGCAGAATTTTGTCGTGTATCTGCGATCTACTCCGACACCAAATTCCTGCTCGGTCGATGGCCTTTGCGCGTTGATTGATATGTGGTGTCGTCTCAGCGCAGGGGGACCCGCCACAACCTGAGTCGACTCAAGCTTCGCTCCGCTCTCCAGTCTAGTCTATGGTGAGCTTAGTGTAGAAGCTACTCCAACCTTGCAGCGAGTCTCCAACTCAATTCATGATGCAGTCTGGGGTCCCGCGCTCCGTCTCAATCTCATCTGTGTCTGTTGAGCATCGAGACTGTCCCGTCAAAATAGTTCTGTGAGAACGAGGCCGTGTCGCAGTTGCCATATGAGTACAAACGACGAGTAAGTCACGAGCAAACAGCAACTACTCCTTCCCTAGCAATCTTGGCCCATCACATGCATTTCCAATCCTCCCGTTCTCCGCACACCCGCCACACCTCGCAACTATGGACGGGTCAACTAAGTACATACCACCACACAGCTCTCGAGGTGGCCGCCGTGGCTACGATTCCATTCGAGGCGGAGGTCAGCGCAACGTCACACCCAACAGAGACGCCAGCGCACAGCAGAATCGGAGAGGAGGCAAACTACAGACACAACCAAATGTAGCCAGAACGCCCTCGCAGCAGCAGCTGCCGCCGCAACAGTCACAGTCTCCGTCAGTCCAGCAAGCACCAACACCACCGAAGCCTGCCGAGTCACGTAGTCAGAACGGTCCTCCTACACAGCTAGTAGCGCAAGAATTGCCACCATACGACTTCAACAGAACAGAGGTGCAGAGTCTGCTAGAGCAAAGCACTGTCGACAATATTCCCACGTACAAGCCTAAGACAGGTGTAGAGTCCGCCAAGAGTGGCAATCCATGGGCAGCCAAGCGTGAGTGTCCTCATTATGGTCAGATGTCACATGCAGCATCTCTGACAGCTCAACAGCGGGCATGATGGCAAACAACAAGGACTTCTGGCTCGAACTACGCTGTCAAATCACAACTTCACAGAAACAGCAACAGCAATCCCCACAGCCCAGCGGTCCACCAGCGCGCGGCGGCTGACCCTTCCAATATGGCATCTTAATTGTTAGCGGAGGCATTAAGCGTGTCAGGCATAATTTGAGCGACAATGAACACTTTCAGCGAGCATATGGGCTTCATACATCATTGCATTTGATACCCGGCAGGTTTTGATGGGCAGAAAAGTACATACAGACCTTCTTCGTCAACACGTGTACATCCAATCAAACACAAAGACGTCCATGACCCGATTCCTATGATGATCCTGTTGCTACCAACTGACGCTCAGATGACGCTCGTCTCATTCCTGCCGCTCTACTCCACAAAACAGATCCGGATTCATGCCTACAGCACCTGTACTAGACCGAGCGTCTCACAGAGATCCGTGATGTTGCTGGTATCCTATCGTGTTGTCGTGCTGCTGCCAAGCCCACCACACTTCGTCACCGCCTGACTTTACCCTGACCACGCCCTCACTTCTCACTTACCTCCTCATGACCTTCCCTCAGGCGATTGCCTTTATCAATTAGATGTCTGAAATTTGGACCGTAACCTACCCCGAAAAGAAGGGTATGGTGCTTTAAGAACTAAATTTTCGAGAGTACTCAGTGAGGTCTCGGGGGGCTCACGCAGTAAGTCGTGAGCCCCCCAAACTTATTGCTGTTTTTGTTTTGCTAACAACGACGAGGAGTGTTTGTAGAAGCTCGTTGTTACAGATGAGCGCATGCTCTTTTCGGTGCGAGTGCTCAGTGCGTGGTTCGAATCCGATCGTCGTTTTTCGCCAAGGCTGGTTGATGGCAGCTGAAGTGAAGTCGTTAGCCAAGTGAGTGTCGTTGGCTCGTAGTGTCGTTGCGACCTGCCTAACCCGAGTTTCAGGACTGAATGAATCCTACTAATGAATATTCGGATGAACCATGCCGTTCCGATTGGCATATGCGGATGGCATCATCGTCCACCATTGTTGAAGATCCATGACCACAGTTTCACGCCTGCCTACACCTTGAGCCGTATATCCAGAATATTCCAACATCAGCCCTCACACCCACATATCCCTCCCACCAGCCCGTCTCACCCTCTCCCCCTACCCAATCGCACTAACATTTCCCCTAACATCCCCCATGCCTTCCTCCATCTCCGCCCACGTACTCTTCAACTCCCAAACCTTCACACTGACCACACTCCCCTCATTCAAAGCAGCCACACTCACCTCCACCTCGTTCATCATTCCCTCCGCAAAGAACGTCTGCGTCGCACTCCTCTCCCCACCCAAAAGAAACACCTCCCACACACTGCGATCCACCACCATCAGCAACTCCCACGCATCTTGCAAGACTAGGGCTGTGCTGACTTTGTCCGTGAAGAAGGGGTTGTCGAAGGCCGTCGTGTTGCCGCGATCCATCCAGAAAGTCGCATCGCCAGCGAAGGTCTGTCCTGAGGTCAGAGTCTCGCCTGTCGCGCTCGAGCGAATGGTGATGTTCAGACTCGCCGTATTGCTGAGCAACGTGGTGTTCAGACCCGTGATATTCGCACTAATCGCAAACGCTCCAGTCGTATTACTTGCATCTGCTGTCGCAACCAAGGTATCATTCACCAGATTCTCACTACTGCCCAACTCTCGTCCCAACACAACATCCAAATCGTATGGATAGCTCGCAAGCACGTACCCACCCCTCACACTATCCTGTACCCAATTCCTCCTCGGCAGACTCGCCGCACTCTGCCACCCCTCCGCCGGCCCCGTTGGTACATAATTCGTATACTGCCAGTTGCTCGCCCATGCCATACTCACAGCATCTTCCGTCCCAAAGTCGTCGTTGCGGTAGAAGAATTGCGTCGCGTAATTATCCTTCCCGAAATCCGCTATTCGCGCTGCGTTGTCGAGCGGCGTGAAATGCGTCCCGTTGAAGTCGCCCGCGAAGTACTGACCCACGGACCCGCCAAGGGGCGCGCCAGGGTTGATGCTAATGTATAGGAGCCAGACTGTGGATATGGTTTCGCCGGTAGAGGCGTTCTTGTAGGGCATTTGGACGAGGTTCGGGCACTCGTATTGTAGGCCTAGAAGACCGGCGTAGCTGAAGTTCGAGGCTGGCGTCCAGGTGGTCAGGTCCGGGGAGGTGAAGACGCCGATAGTGAACTCGGTCGCGTAGGCGAGCACCATCACCCAGTTGCCCGAGTCGGCGTGGTAGATGACCTTTGGATCACGGAAATTCTTGCTGTTGATGGCGATGACTGGGTTGTTGGCGTAGAGCGTCCACGTGTACCCGTCGTCGCGGGAGTACGCGATGGCTTGTTCCTGTTGCTCGGGACTGTTGGCGGTGAACATGGCGACAACGCCGTTGGTCTGGTTCGGGAAGAAGCCGGAGGTGTTGTTCACGTCGATCACGCGCTGCCTGTGAAGATGCCGGTGACGTTGTCGTATGGGTAGAGGGCGATGGGTTGGTTCGTCCAGTGATACAGGTCCGGAGAGGTAGCGTGACCCCAGTGCTGGTTGCCGGCGATTGTGTCGGTGGGGTTGTATTGGTAGTAGTAGTGCCAGATGCCGCTGGCGTCTTGAAACATGCCGTTGGGATCGTTCATGAATCCTTCCGGTGGCGAGAAGTGGACCTGTGGGCGGTAGTGGCCACTGTAGTTGCCCGCGATGGCGGCAGTGGGAACGACATCGTTGCTGCTTTGTGCATGGACAATGTGGATGTAGCAGAAGAAGATGTAGCATAGTGACAGCATTATGCCAACGAGTAATGTGCGTTTGACACGCGTGGGTCGTACATAGAATGGCCAGCTGGGTCGACGAGCATGAGGTCTGTTTGCATTTGGGGCATGCAGAGCTGTGTACTTGACCTCGCTCGCAGGGCCATTGCTTCCTAGAAACATGGGGTAAAGTCTTGACCATCAAAGTCACCTACCTGCAAAGTGAGGTCAGAAAGATGTCATGGTTGCTGGACCTGACCGGAATCTGAATGAAGAAACGCCGCTCAGTCGCCCAAAGAAACGTTCATATACGGGCAGTGACATGGAAGGACGGCCGTGGCATGAAGTGCCAGGAGCATGCTACCCGCACCAAAAGCGTGTTGGTAACTTTTGTGACCCATCCCAGAGTCGTCCTCCATCACCCACAATTGCAGAAGTGTATGGAGTCGTTGATGTGTTACTAGTAACAAGTAGTATGCAAAAAGATCAGTTCTCATCGGTCCTTTTGTGGAGTGTCGATGTGGCGTGCTGCTGGGAGGATTCCTAAGAACCCCGCCAGCGCCCCGCCCGTCCGACGCCCAAGAGCCTGAGCTTCTGATCAGGCACTGACGCTTGGTCTCTCTTTGCATGTTCGATACTATTGCTGGGGCACAAGTTCCTATACTTGTATGGCTTCCTAGACTTGCCGCGCGCAACAGAGACTCCAGTCGCATGTCGAGACTCGACTAAAGATCTCCGGGGTCCTTCTATCATCTCTAGACGGAATACGCGTGCCCGAACCAGGAGTGTATCCCCCTGCTTCGCAAGCTCGTGATGCTTCCAACAACACGGCATTCACAGTTCTGCCAGTACGGTCGAACTGGCAAGCGTAAATCCCTGTACTATGCCCTGGCATAACCGTACGGACGGCAACGGATTTTACCACTAAGTCAAAGTCCCTGTGGCACACCAAAGTTCCGCTCTTCCAGCAGTTGGCGCGGTCGATGATGACCGACTGTTACTGACCAGGCCCCGCGGACGTTGCTGCATCTCTCTTGAAATCTGCTTCCTTCTCATTTCTACTAATAGAGAAGACTGAAACCTACAGACTGTCGCAAGCAAGCGTGGCATCCTCCAAGTTGGAAGCTTACCACGGCGGCATGAGCAACCATTGATCGCTTCCGCAGGGCTTTCAATCAGGAAACGTCATTGCAGCGAAGACTACTCATGTATTGCTTGGAACCTGTCATGTCTGCGGATTATGACAGTACCTACGAGTCGCGTCCCACCCTTGATTCATCTGTCCTCAGCTCAGCAAGCAATCTACGATCAGGCATCTCTGCCAACCTCTACCAAAGCCACCCGGTTGTTGAGGATCGATGAGTGCTCCTACACGGATGGTAATCCACTTCGCCCGATCTCACTTGCGTGTTCTTTCGAGATACATGACCTTGATCTCAAGCCCGCGTATGTTGCTTTGTCGTACGTGTGGGGAGCTAGCGAAACACTCGTGACAGGTGGACTAAGCATTGATGGAGTGGCCTGGCCTGTAAGGCCGAATCTAAGCGATGCGCTGCAACACATTTGGGACGAAGTCGCTATAAGGAACGAGGATAAGAGATACCGTCACGAAGGGACTTCTAAATCTCGATCAAGAGTATGGCACCCACATTAACAGAAGCCATGTGCTGATAGTATCAGCTACTTGGCTTTGAGACAGCCGATGGTAGAAAGCAGCATCCCTTGGTCTGGATCGACTTCCTGTGCATCGCCCAAAACAATTGTGCTGAAAGAAATCATCAAGTTGCTCTAATGAAGACTGTCTATGAGCAAGCGTCGACTGTCATTGTGTGGCTAGGAGAGGGAGATCAGAGAACCGAATTGGCCATCGACTTTTTCAACTTTATTCACGGCAAGGATATATCGACAGACGCCAGGACCAAGGACCTTCTCGAAAATGAATACACAACACCCGAATCTAGAGAAGCAGTTACTGCAGCTATTGCAGATCTTTTCTGCAACGACTACTGGAGCCGGATGTGGGTTTTTCAGGAGTGGGTGCTTGCTGAACAAGCTTTGGTCTTCGTAGGACAACGCAGCTTTCTTTACGCCCGACGCGGAGAGAGTGACTTCTGGTGGCAGAGAATTCTCCGGACCTGGTCCAGGGACCGTACAGCGTATGCCAACCTCGTTGGTAACGGCTGGGACACATTCAAGGCAAGAAGCATGAAGCAAGTGTCCTCAGATGCTCCGAATTGGTTGACTTGGCTCTGTCTTCAACACTACTGGAGAGCATGCTCTGATCCACGGGATAGGATATTCGCTTCTCTTGGCTTGACCGATGGAAGTTCTACGTGGCCCAAGGTGGATTATGCACTGTCCGTGGAAGAACTCCATGCGAAAGTTGTTCTTAAGTACGCTCATGTTCTGGTCAGAGAGTCGTGGCAGGGGGATCTCGAGGATGATATTCGCAACTTTTCCGAGGCTCTGGTTGTTCCCCTCTGCGTTGATCCATATCATCCTGTTGTCCAAAAGGGCACGGCAGTTGCTGTGGACTATGCTGAAATATTGGCAGCTTTGGTATGGCAACAAACTCGTCATATATCTACTTGGCCTCTGCACAGAATATAACGAGATCACGCGAGGCCTTTCTGCATCGTCCAAGACGGGCCTCAAGTCCAGTCGTTCGACCCTGGGTCTGCATGTCGCAACCGAGCCCCAAACTGAGACAGACCGCGACATCCAAGCCCATCTGCTCTCATGCCACAGCCACGGAGAGCCGGACAAGCACCCTCAATACTCCTCCCTCCCCCAATCATCCCCATCATTGAATCCACCATCGCCCCTTCCCCTAACAGGACCCCTCATCCTTCGCTCCTTCCGTCTCCCAGGATCCATATCCTGCAGGTTCCTCTCCCTCACCTCCCTCATATAGCCTGTCTGCTGATCCCCAGGCGTGTTGGAGTCACCTCGGTCTCTGTACTGTTGTGCGTACAGTGTGCGATGGACGGCATATCCAAGCATCGTGGCCACGGCTGCGCCAAGGATGGCTAGGAGGATGACGACCTCTTTTGGTAGCGGGTCTTGCGCTACTACTGTGTTTGATGCCATGGTTTGGCGCCGACCTGCTCTTCACAATGCGGTCCGTGGTCGAGGGACCTTTGAGTAGGAGAGCCTTGAGCTGGGCTGGATCGTTTGACGAGCAATGCGACTGTTGTAGGGTTCTCGTGCCGTATACCAGAGTCACTGGCGCAAGCTTGAGCAGAAATTCGATACAGTCACGCAGTGGCGTCGAAGGTGTGGCTGTAGCGATCGGACTGCTCTCCAAAGTGCAACAATGAAAGCTTTCCGATAGCTAGCAGTGCTGTAGATGCACCTGTAGGGACAGTGTACGCTTGAGGGAGCGCAGCAATGAATGAATGAATGAATGGAAGCAGACGCGGGGACACTTCTATCGACTGTTCCTGCTACAAGGTGTGCGCAAGCAATATTCCCTCCTTTATACACATCTTGACCTAGACACGACCGTGCCTGGCAGCCTGAATTGCCGCACCCAGGACATCGGGAATATGCAACCTGACACAACAATGTGGTATGCTTCCAGTTCCCTCTGCTTGCAAGATCCACCAAGCCCTGCGCCATTGGCTGGTTCGTCTATCCTTCCTGTTAAGGCATAGTCAGAATATCGCGAATTCCACAGTTCGACAAGGGTTCGGTTGACGAAATCCGACAGTGATTGGTCCGGTCAGGGTTAATTTCCAGCGCTGAGTACCTCGTGAGGCAGGGCGGGACCTTTTTCAACGTCTGCAATGCGCAGCTTGCTCGGACCCGATGCGGCTTGAAATGTGATGGATAGTGTTGTCGTTCTTTTGGATAGTGGGTAATGACGCGATCTATTGTTAGGTGCAGCCAGGCGATAAGACTGGGCTTCGCGAACTACAATGTCCCACAGCCCCAGACCTGTTACAGTATCTCGGACACTGTCTTCATCGTTCCTGCTTGCTTGCGCCGCATCGTCACTCTTGAATCTCATTACACTGCTCTCGCAGCTCGTCAAAAAGCAAAAAGAATCACTCTCAACAGCAGCACCCAGAATCGAACTAGGGTTTCCTATCATCACAGCCGAATAACAGGATGTCTCCATTCCCGCTGCTCGACTGAAGGCGTGTTGGACCACTGACGCCATGCTGCTGAAATGTACTCCTGTAGCGAACAACGTTGATGGTGCAAAATTCTGGTATAGTAATGTAAGAACCTCTCGAAGCTGAGGTATCTGTGAGATGGCTCTCACGGCTGCCCCGTTGCAAGTCAGTCGTTGTTAGTGGGTGGTTCCGGAAAGCTTCAGCTTACACTACATGTACCTTCCATCTCGAGCATACTAGCCGATTCACGACACCAGTTCAGTACGTGGGAACAGCAGAGACAGGGCCAGAGAGCCTTCTTAAGTGTGCTTCATATGTTCAAGTTGCGATCGCTGGCAGCCTGGGTATGTATCCATCCACATATGACCTGACCGCATGGAGGAACCTCCGCAACTGATTTAAACCCCGGCCTCTGTCTCCTATCTTCTCGCATCATGACCTGTCTTCCACTCCAGGAGCATCTTAAGCCCCTATTCAGCCAGCTCTCGCGCTCCTCGTCATCCTAATCCGCTTCGTGTTTGCCAAGGGCGTTGCGGCAGCAGGAGCGACAGACTTTGCTCCTGCCTCAACCGTCTGGCTCGGTCTGGGTAGCTGCGAGGCGCCGCTTGCCTGTGCAGGCACTTGCACGGCCACGGCGACCGCCGCCGCCTTTCCATTATCTGCTATAGTGACAGCCGCCGTTGACTTTTGTTCGGAAGCCGCAGGCGCGACACCAACAGCAAGTTCGAAATTTCGCTTCGATGGCGCAGGAGTGCCGTTGAGTGAGCCTTGTGCCTGCTTGCGTTTGCGTTTGTGTGTACTTTTGCTCTTCTGTGCGCTTTCCTCATCAACGGTCTTCGTCGACTTCGATGTTGCAGTCGCCTGCGGTATGCTTGCTTGCTGCGAGGCACCCTCCACATGATCCACGCGCTCGGTGACCGACGCAAGTTTTGCCAGCTTTGCTCTCGTGCGCTTACTCGGCGAGCCAGGCGGCGATAATGCCTCGTCGTTGGCAGCCTCGCCTTCATCGCTGGTCTTTTGAGCTTCACGCGCTTCAAACACCGCCATGTAGTCTTTTGCGGTCATTTTCTTCTCCTCTTCGCCCTCGCTCTCCGTCAGAACATCGTATTCTTCACCGTCGTCATCTCGGAAGCGAGCTATTTTGGCTGCCCACGTCACATTGCATTGCTTCAATCTGCGTTTGTTGTCCTTGTGCGTAGCTTTGCGTTTGTTGTCTTTTGCCTCCTCCTCACTGTTGGGTTGCGATCCGTTGCTGCCGTCAGATTGGTTACTACCATCCTTGATCAGGCCTAGCTTGATCTGTGCCAGACGTTTGGAAACGCTGAGCGCGCCATCTTTGTTCTTTCGCGTATTATTGCGGACGAGAAGGGCCGCGTTCTGCGCCTCGGTCCTGCTTTTCGCCATCGCTACGAATTCGGTCCCGTTCAGGCGACGTAGTGAGATATTGCTTGGGAGGGTTGCAATACGTTGTGCTGGACGTGGGAGTTTCGTGAGCCTGTTGCTTCGGCGACTGGGAGACGATGGCGCTTGTTCAGACTGATCTTCTTCGATGCTCGGAACTAGTAGAGTGCTGGTCATAGTCATAGTAGCTTCGTCTGAATCCGAGTCTGATATCTCAGGAGGTTCTGGCGAGGCTGGACGCTTGGCGGTAGGAGATGTAGGGTTGTTCTGTTGGTCTTGCAGGTGTTGCTTGATGCGATCGCCTACAGGCCTGTACAAAGTGGCGGTTTGATTCTTCTCGCGGGCTTCTTTGGCGCGTTGAAGAAATTGATGGAGGTAGGCAGTGTCTTCATCCTCGTGTGTATTCGCTGAGGCAGCGTTCTGGTCTTTATCTGTGGCGATAGGTGAGGCAGATGCTTCTTTGCCGTCCGTTTGTCCTTGAGCTGGTCGTTCATTGTGTGGCAAAGCGAAGATGTTGTCGGCGAAAGTCTCGAATGATGGCAACTCTGCGCCCCCTTTGTTGGCGTAACTTTCTTCAGTGAAGAGCGCCTCTGCTGAAGGCTCGTCTTGTGAGTCAGCTACCTCAGTAGCTTCCGCAAGCTCATGTGTATGATCCTCTGAATGGACCACGGCTTCGGAAAGCGTGTTCTCGCTCTGGAAGACATCGTCTTGCTGTTGGGAAAATTCCGATGTCTGGCTGTTGTTCTGATCAGACTGTACTTCGATCGTGATCTGCTCAGGCTGTGGTCGTGCATGTATTTGTGCCTCGGTCTCCGTATGATCCTGCATCGGCTTTGTTGGTGCTTCGCCTTCCTCAGCGTACTTGGAGTCTCCTTCGGCATCTTGCTCAGCTGTTTCACCCGGAGACGGCTGTCCAGCGACCAAATCTTCACCCTCTCCGACCGGTTCTGTCGACACGTCGTTCACAGCAACCATTACCTCGTTCTCCTTACCCTCTACATCCTGTCGCAGCTTCACCCTCTTACTCGACCGCAATGCCTCCTCATCATCGTACCCTCCTCTACGCCATCGCGTGTTAGAGGCACTCACGATGTCCGATAGCGGCTGTCGCGGCCGCTTCCAGATCTTGGTATGCGCGTCGTTTCGCGGCGCGAATGGTTGTGCAGCCTGTCGCTGCCAGGCGCGTAGTTCGCGTGGAAGGTTTGTCGATGCGAAGGAGTAGCTTGGCTGGGTCGTTGGCGAGGTTGAGGATGGCGATGCCGAAGTGTTGTGCTCGAGGTGTGCTTGCTGGATTGTGATGTCTTGTGCTGGTTTTGCGATCGGATCGGAGAAGCTCGGGAGCTGATCTAATGGATGACGAGATGTAGGTGGTGAAAACAGCACACCCTCCTGTAAGGCCATATCTGTGCTATGATGATCTGCGCATCACAGACGTGTGCTGCAGCATATGGATGAGGAGCAAGATTCTGAGTTATCCATGATTACCTTGGTCGCGTGGTAGGCGCGACCTGCAGGCCTCAGGAAGGTGCATTCAATGTTTGGGATTAACTCTAATTGTACTAGCGTCTAATCTTGGCAAGTCTCTCTTGCTCTATATTCTTAGCTGGTCGTGATTGTGGCACTTCACTACCTAGCAGTTCTCATCATATGGTATATAGAGCACAAAACCTACGACTTCATACATACAGATTGTATCGATCTTCGTGCCATCGTGTACTACGAACACGTCCCACTATAGTACGGCACAGCCAAATTACCACAGCCCTGAAAATTATCCGGATAGCCAAAATCCTGACTGCTCTGGAAGAGGTTCGGCGCGTTCCCGCAAGCCCCATAGTTATAGCCAGTGCCATAGAGATTCGACTCACGCCCATAATTCGTCGGCGACTTGGGATCAATGCCCTGCGTCACGCCGTTGGGACATATAGCCGGAACGTTTCCAGTGCCTTCATAGGTTACGTTGCCGGTATAGTAAGCATAATGACATTGACCGGGTGCCCAAGGGTCGCCTTTCGACCCAAAGTCGAACTTCCACCAGACACAGTTGAACACGTTGGTGCAGGCGTCGCAGCAGTCCATCTTGCTAGACGTGGGGAAGTTTGGTGTTACCTTCCAGTTGGCGTGGCTTGCTGGTGCTGGCGCATTGACCTGGAGGGTAGGTGCACAGTATGCCGGGTAGGTTCGGACAGGTAGTGCACTCGAGTAGTCTGTGCAGGTTGCGGTCTGCAGATGGATGTTAGACAGCGGTCTTTGCCGGAGGAGAGAGAACTCACGGTCACTTGTGTGTAGTCGTTGATGGAAACGACTGTCGAAAATGCAGCTGAAGGTGAGATGCAGGAACAGGCGCTCGATATGCGGGAGGCTGGGTATGTCGTTGAAAGCCATGTGGGCAATGGGACCGCGGAGGCCGCCCGACGCCTCAGTTCCACCACTGCGGCATCATCGACCGTCGGAGACGGTGTGATCATGGGCTCTTCGACATCCCGCTTCACCTTGGCGTGCTGTGAGGGCGAGACGTAGTTGAGTGCACCACCTGGTACGGTCACGGGCGATGGAGACGCGCTGTCGTAAATGATTGTTGCCGGAGCAGGATCTGGGAGTCGCTGCAGGTTGTAAAGCTGGAGCGGATGTCGTGCTATTGCGGTGTATCCGGTGGTGAAAAGAGTACACGTATCGGGTCCACGAAAGGTCGACGTCGATGTCAGAGGCACTGAGATGTAGGCAGAGCAGAATGTACTGGCCTCAGCGCTGTGGGCAGGATTGGTGAAGGCGTTGAGCAGATTGTCCTTGTTGCAAGCAGCACGCTCCTCTAGCGCGGCTGGGAAGGCATAGGCCTGCCAGGCCCCGAGGACCAGCGAGGCGACCAAGGAGGCCTTCATTTGATATTCCGATACTCGTGCAAGGTGGTATCAGAGGTAAGGACTCCTGGATAGCCATTGCGATGTATGCCACCTATATATGTCATGCCTGTCGCAAGCGGGGTGAGATTGCGACAGACCATTCTGGCCTTGAGGCTCTTCTTCAGGCTGTGGCGCTGAAACGCGGGACAGGTTATAAAGGAGTATAGGTCTTTAGGGTTGGCAGAAGTATATTCTCAGAGCCGGAGATCGTGGACGTCCTTCTGCTTGCCCAGAAAACCTGTCGAAGCAGCCCGAGCCTTGTGCGAGATAAGCCTCTGGCGGCCCAGGCGGCCCTTCGTGCCGTACTTGAAATTGCGGGGCGCTCGAAATCCAATGTTTGCGGCCACTAGCACCCTCTTTTTGGATGGATACGAAGGGCTTCGAGCTTTAGGGGAAAGGGCGGCAATTTTGGTTCTTGTGGTGCGAATTGTGAATGCGTTGTCCGAGCCGCGCGCTCCTGTTCCTTTGCGAACGCGATCGTGAGTCTCAAGCAGCAGACGGCCCAAACGACGCATAAAGTGATGAACATGATGAACACCAGCGAAATCGCGATGATGATGGGCCACAACCACATATTGGCGGTTGGTGAAGCGGGGATTTTCATCATCATTTCAGGCGGACTCTACGAGAATGTGGTCAAGAAGGGAGTGGTGCGATGTATGGTGGCTGGATCCAACGACGGGCGTTCGTCGCTTGATTATGGGAAGTGATGGTGGACAGCAACTTTGATACTTGTAAGTATAAAGAAGACTGCGAATTTATTCGTGGGACTGCAGCGATGACACGGTGTCTTGGACAGAGAAGCCACGTGGTGTAGGAAAGTCAAAGCCATCAGCTATCGTCTACCCGAGTCTGTAACTGCGACTACACGAAGGATTAGACTGAGTTGTGTGAGAGTATGCTGCAGTAGAAATCATGTGTAAGGAGTGTTCATTATCTGGTCATGATCATGTACAGGAACGTAGCCACCGTTGTTACAAAGTCTGTCTTGCAAGACTCTTTCTGCCATCACACTCTAGTGAGCCATCGAAGCCAAGATTACGTGCCTCGTAGAGCCGAGCGATATCCCATCTCTTCATCTCCTTACTTCTCTCTGTCCTCCAAGATAGTGTAATCATTCGCATCAAATCGTGTATCAGTGGGAATGCCACGATGTGCCCACCCCACTCTAGTGAAACCCACAGCCGAAGCTGCATGCAACAGAATGTATGCCAAAATACAACGCCATGTGCTATGCAGTCGGCCAACAAATGAAGAATGTAGGAAGAAAGTGATGCACCTATTGGTGGTAGTGCATCGGTGGGTTGAAGTCAGCTGTTTCGAACTGAGGACGGTTCCAGGTGCCCGGTGGAGCGGTGTGCGGGGGAGCAGTGACAGGACTGTTGTTGGCATATTGATCGTAATCCCACGAGTTGGCAGACGCATGGATAGGTGCACTCATCGGGTCTGCACTCATCAACATTGACGCCTGAGGCATCCCAGCCATGGCGTGGTTGAATGCGAATGCCTCGTTGTTGCCATAGTTGGGGCCAGCAGTAACCATCTGGACTTGCAACTGAGGCGGGATCGGCGGCATTGGGGCGGTAGTGACAGGAGCCGACATCCGACCCGGAATCATACCAGGCGGGTATGCAGCCTGCTCATGAGCGTACTGGGCCACATAGCCTTCTGGCGGCGAGGTGGGTGATAGATCATCTCACTGATGTCCGCTCCATAGTTAGAAGGCACCGTCGCAATGGTACCGGCAGTCGAGGAATAGCTGGCCGAGTACTTGCCCATGATCTTCTTCAGGGCCTCGTCCAGTATCTTCCATGGGAAGACCTTCACATCTTTCTCGATGTTACGAGGCTTGGGGTGGGGGAAGCCCATGATGACTTTGAAGAATTCTTCGCTGTCGGCTCTGGCTTTCGACACAGTTGCGGGACGATAGCCTTCCAAATTACGGCGAATGCGGTTCTTCTCCTCAACGGTGAAGCGAACGCCGACAAGGGCTTCGAGAAGATAGATCGTGTCGACGGAGGTGACGTAGTAGTCGTTCTTCTCCTTCCACCAGATGCAGCTAATGGTGATGCTGCTGGGCGCACGGTCCTCGAGCTTGACAGGCTTGAACTCAGCAGAGATGATGTTGCCCTGCTGGCTTCGGGTGAACTCAACCAGTCGGCGACGATCGGAGAGCTCCTGCTCGGTCCAGCCCTTGGTCATCGTCTTGAGCTCACCCTTGAGCTTCAAGTTGGCCTTCATGGTGCACGCATATGGGTTGAAAGTCGAGTACGTCTGGTGGAAGTTGGCGTTGACAGGAGAGTGCTGACCAACATTCATGGTCGAAGTTCTGACCAGGCGTGGAACAGACTTGATTGGAGATGCTGAAGCTGGTCGGGGTACCGGAGGTGTCATCGGAGCTTGTGGGCTGGGCTCAGTCTTGACAGTTGCAAAGTCAGGACTCCAACCTGGAGTGTGCGGAGACGGAGCAGCCAAGGACACTTGCGAAGCGTTCGAAGTCGAGTAGTTATGGCCCATACGGGGACCAGGTAGTAGGCCATTGGGGTGGTAGGTCGAAGAGCTGACAGGCGTCGCAACATATGGTGAGAAGGGTGAATTCTGACCACTGCTGTCATAAACAGCACTGTTGTGCACTTGAAGCTGGGCGGACATTGCCCTCTTCTGAGGAGGCGCAAGGTCATAGCCAGATGATTCGATCGAAAGCTTTCGCTTCATAGATTTCGGTGTTGGAGCAGGTTGGTGGCCGTGGAAGCTGCCCTCCATGCCTGAGACAGCGGATGGGCGTCGTGTGCTGGGCATACTCGCGGGCATCTGCTTGAACTCCATATATGGATCATCGACATGATGCTGGCTCAAGTAGTGGTACTCTTGGGCTTGATCAGTGTCGTAGGTTGGGCCAATGTACAGGCTGGGGTTGTAGTGAGCCCCTTCCGGGCCCGGCACGGCTCGAGGCCCATGCATAGCCGCGTGCTGATAGTAACTCAACATGTCTCGTTGAGATGCCATCGGCTTTGCGTGGAGACCACCGTGAATTGATTCCCCAAAGAACTCACCGTCCAAGACCGTTGGTTCGTAAGAATCGTCGGCGATGAAGGGAGTGAAGAAGTCTGGGGTAGACTGGAAGGTGTCAGCCATGGCTCTATATGTAGCTAACTTCGGTGGAGAGGCATACCTGGAATTGATCAAACTGAATGGAAGCCAGCTTGACGGTTGATGGAAATTAATGGCGATAGCGCGCTCGGAAACGATGTAATAACAAAGCGAGTGACTGTTGCGAAAAGGGGACTAAGCGAGTGACAAGGCTTTTAACTCAGCCTCAAGAGGTCAAATCGAAAGATTTGGGCTTGTTGTTATTGGCAGGGGCCTTTCTGGACTGTGTAGACCGAAAGACCTGATGCCAACATATAGATCAGTCAAATGAATGACCAATCCGGTGCGGGAAGTCTGGCGATGACTTCTAGCGAGGATGGCACCTGGGTGTGTCCAGGTGATTTGAGGAGTGGTAGTGGCGAATTGAGCAGTAAAGATGCTCGAATTCGGTGGTGTGGATGTTGGTATTTGTTATTCGAGATCCCGATTGAGATGTGGTGTCGGGAAGATGAAGCAGCTGCAATTTTGCAGACAAAGAACTTCGTACAGATCACCGTCGACGAACTGATGCATTGATTAGCCAACCTCTTGGTACGATCAGATAGGCAGATTGCTGTGTACCTTTTTTAGACGAATTCGTCGGGAAGTCGGACGAACCGCCGGCGATGTAGGTATTGTTGAAACCAGCGATGAGGTCTGTAGTTCGAGATCAGTCAGTGTCTTGAGCTCACATGTATACACATGATGTCGCAGGAGTGAAGGGGCAGGCATCATCTCCGACAGATGACAATCGTTTTATCCACGCAAGGAGTATATGAGAGTGCTGCAGATATGGGCAAGATCGAGCGTCGAGTACAGCAAGAGCCGCACGGACAACGTACCTGGTAATTTTAAACCAGACTGATCTGTTCTCCTTGCAACCAAGTAGCCGGTTTAGTGGAATGGGTTGCGAATGGATCGGATAGCTGCAGGGTGGATGCTCGAGCCTCTTTTCTCGGTGGAAATGCTGAACGTTTGTCCTTTTTAGTGTCGTCAGATTCGATGCAGGGAGCAAATTCGTAATTGCTGTAGAATCGTGCTCGTCGTTATATCGTAAGAGACGGCTTGCGAGGAATGTCGGGTATGATCAAGGTTAGACTACAAAGCGATTGTCCTTTGGGCAGATTTGCAGGCGGGCGACAACGAAAGTGTTGGTGATATACGAGGTATGAGCGAGTGTACCAAGTATATTGCGACTGAAAAAGCGAATGAAGTTGAGGATTCTGGATACAGAAGCCTCTTTGAACCTGTGGTCCAAAAGCGATCGTCGGGTGCGGGAGTTGCTGGTAGGTTGGGAGAGTGGTATGGTCGTGGAAGAGGATGGAGCCGAGGAGTCGAGGGGAAACCAAGAGGCTATATTGCGCTGGGAGGAGCCAGCCAGAGGGTCAGCGGCACAGTAAGAAGCGAGCATAGCCAAAAGCCAATGAGGTGGATAGGCCATTGTGGCGATGACAGGAGAAGCATCCGGGCTCCAGCTGGCCATGACCATGGAAAAGCGGCGAAATGGAAGAGAAGACGACAAGGACAGGATTAGCTACAAGCGGAGCCCAAAGGCCTCGCATGAGTGGCCCAAGGCGACAAGACTCGTCATGCACCTCGAGTCCGGGATGCTGATTTTTTGTTTTCTCGCACCCAAATAATAATCACGAGCTGGGCTTGGTCAATTGAGCAACGATCATCTGCATGGTAAGGCCACGCAGAGGCTGATGATCCTCAATACTGAAGCAGGTACTGCACATGCTTTTGATACGGGCAGCAGCGATCCGCACCACACGGCACTTACACCTGAAGATACATATACATGATAGTACGTATAGGACTTACGAGTGCTCTTGCAAGTTGCCAACTTCTAGGCGCACTCGTGGCGCTTCGCGGGCCCCAGGCCTTAGACTTTGGTATTCGTACTCTTTTCGATGTTCACTTACGCACAACGCGTGACACCACGTGCCGACTCGAATGCCTTCGCTGATAGCTGTGAAAGCACCATCGTCTCAGCTAAGCTCCATACCGAAAAGATGGACGCGGTATGGTGTGGATAACTATTGGTGTTGGAAACTCATGGTGAAGCAAATCCATCACTGATCGGAAGCGCGGAAGAGAAAGGAAGTGTGCGAAGACGATCGATGACCATTCCTAAAAAGTCTAAGCTTCGAATGGGCACTCTTGCTGCGCCTCTCTGCTGCCCATCCTCTTGGAGAAAGGCATCAGTAAATGGACCCTTTGTCAGGTGAGCAGCAATCCAACAGTAGCATTAGCAGAGCCACCGCGATGGCGAAAAACGCTGCTAATAGCACAGACTGCTAGGTGACGCACGACGCGCGCGTTATTCGATGAGGCGGCTGAAAAAGAGCATTCATCAGATCAGACCACAGCAGTGCCAGAAAGATCGCAACTTCGATTTTTCGATTCGATCCGCTGCTCCTTCTCACACGAGGCGACTGCTGCAGGAGCCAGCAAAGTATCTTGTAAAGACGCGATTGTGGCCTCGGTGATCAATGCATCCGGGCGCTGGTGACTATGTCATTCCAACATCGCGTCGAAGATCACAGCTGACGTCGTGTCGTCTGAATGGCTTGTTATTTTTGGACGCCTCTTCCATGTCGCCCCGCAGAGCCAATGCAGACAATCGCTGGCTGAAGTGGCCACCAGGCCCTATCCAGTAACGCCTCCGTCTGAATCGACCAGGGGCACTCTTGTCAAGCCACCTTGCCGAATATCCAGCAAAACCTGGACGCAGCGCATCTACAACCACGCATTCTTCGACCCCTGAGCTGTACACATGAGATGCACTATTCATTGTCCCTGCAGAAACGATTGCTTCAGCCTTCTGTCGAATGCTCACCACGACCGGAGCTCTGGTACGGGGCCATCTCGCTCCGCCGATTTTCGGAAGGATGGCCCGGCAAATATTTCTTTCAGACCTGCAAGCGAGATGCTGTCCAACATCGTTACATACGAAACTATCCAAATACGAAGCCAATCCGTGATTGAAGTCAGGCACGCGTTCACGAGCCATTTATTAGGGACTCTGTGAGGTAAGCATTGCTGCCAACGGTCCTGGGGCTCTGCACAGCTTCCGGCTTGTTCGGTGCAGTGGATACCTGTCATCATTGTTCGGGCGTACGCCTGAATGAGGTCGAGTCCACTAAAGGACAATATGCTCTACTACATGGAGCTTTTCACGGCCATCAAGATGTCTCTACACTTCTGAAGTTCTGACATGAAACGGGCCTTGGACCTCAAAGCCGCTACGTCTGGTGTTGAGTCGAGTTTGCTCCCAAGACCGCCTAGTCCTGCAGCTGGACTGACCAGGGTGTTTCATAACGCAATAGTCATGCTGCAGCTTGTGCTTCTCGACTCATCCTCGCCACGACAACAGTAGCGGCGGCGACGATGTATAATAGCTTGGGCAGACGCCATCCGATCTCCTCCGGCGCCGCTGACCGTGACGTTCGCTAAGAATCCAATTCATTCAGCCACGGGAGCACTATTCTTTCGGGAACCTCCGCATTCTCGCAGGGCATGCGAGAGCAGTCCACCCCCTGAGGCTGTGAAGCTGACCGGGCGCCCTCATGTCCGCAAAGCTGTCGCTTCAATGTCACTTTGCAAGACACGACCGCAGCAGCCTACCGGAGGTCATCTTCCGGAGCTGTGTGCTCACACAGTGTCGAACCCATTTTCGTGCGCTCCGCGTCAATTCTCCGATCGCTTCACCGGCTCACTAGTGGAGATACACGCCGGTGCACTGCTCTTCGCCTAACATCTCTAGGCAGGACCTAATGCGCGAACACTCGATAGTCTGCCAACGCAAGGGAGCGGACACTCATGTCCTCCGGCACTGTACTGAACTAGATATCAGATGGCCATTCACTAACACCAGCCGCCTGAACTACCATAATGCGCATCAATAACACGCGAATGGTACCATTCTTGCAGGGACTTTCCGCAGTACGGGATACGAGAGCCTGACTGTCGATCGATTCAACTGCCGAACGCGTGGGCAAAATATTTCATGGGTCTGCCAATGCTTCTAGCCTCCTCCGACCTTGAATAGACCCCTTTGCCGACTCTCACACCATGCAGCGATCCTGTCTATCACGAAAGCACACTCAATGATCTGCTCGTGATCTGCGTCTTTGCGCAGGTACAGTCACTAAGTATAGACACGAATGCATCATCTGTGCAGATAGCCATTCTGCCGAAATGCTCAGGGACACGGAAATGTGTGAAAAGATCGACGGTGGCGACCTGCAGGAACACAAAGGACATGAGATCACGCCGCTGAATACACCGATGTCGCAACTGCAACTCACTCACATGACAGTAGGCTGTGCAGACCACTATCTTGTCAAGAGAGGCTCTACGATGCTATTCTTGTCAACGATAACATAGTCTGGTGCGTGCGACCCAATATGCAGGTCCTCATGCCGGCAGGTCTCCGGTGGCTTGGCAGTAAGTTTCAACGGCGAGCAGTCGGAAGTATTGCAGAGCGAAGCTTGCAGCGCCAGACATGTCTGAGATGAGTCCTCGAATGATCGAAAGCCATCTCGTTGTCGCGCGAGCGACGATTCTGAGCGCTCGAGTAAGAACACCATTGCAAGCCAGACTGGGTAATCCAATTGCAGGACTTATCGATTTCAGACCCCAAATTGACAAGGCCACGTTGACGTGCCACAGCATCAAAGCACAAACCGAGCGGCGGTGAACCGCTATCTCGACATCCACTGGACGTCAAGCTCACTGTGCCAACCAATCATCATAGTGAAACACACTGTTCTATTCTCGAAGTCGAAGCATGTTTGGAATTGTCACTCACACTGGGACATCACGATCTTGCGAACCATCCCACAGCATGACTCCTGACTTGTGCATACTCTCGCTTGCGTTTGCAAATTACAGGACGAACTTGTGCCACAAGAACTCGAACCGCTCTCCTATTCTGGACATTCATAATACTTTTTCTAATCAACCTCACGCAGACGGAAGGCCATCGTGCTGTCTCGATGACCATGAACTTTGCCTCTGGACAGGTGCGCACGACATTGACGCTCATCCTATCAATGTCATCACTCCCAGGGCCGTCGAACGGCACCACCCCTTGAGAGTGGGTGCACAGCATCCACGCGACGCTCATAAACAAAGACGATAGGTCTAAATAAGGTTCTCAAAGCTTGCACGACCAGACCGTCGGTGCTGAGTACTCACGGTCGGTTGACGCAACGACGCGTCTGTATAGCAGCGACATTGCCAGAAGGGGCTAACGGACCAGCCATTTCTGTCGAAACAAGACTCTTGCTATGCTCTGACTTTCTCTATCCACTCGAGTGCCGTTGACAGATGATTTTGAGGGGTTCCGGAGAACAGGCATGCTCGTTGGCAACAGCTGTGCATGAGCGCGTTTGATGCTTCTATCAGGACCCTCTGGCGGCTGGAGTGGTGACGATCCGCTTTCCTCACCGTCGCCGCCAACGTTTCCCAGATATTCCGTAAGGCGATAAGTGCAGTTCACATGTATCTATGTCCGCACCTCTACTCACAAGAAAAGTCCACCGCCAATTACGTTTCCCAGCGCCAATGCAATGGTAGTGTGGTGTCGGTAGCCAGGTTGGCAGAAGCTCAGATGGCAGGAAGGGGCCCACAGACAGTCCGCACACCCTCATTCATGCGGTTCAATTTGAGATGATCATCTGAACTTCAAATTCAGCAACACCATGGCTACGACGATAACAGCGCATCCGCGTCCAGTCTCTCAGCTAGCAGTCGGTCGATCGTATGCAAGTGTCGCGTCCATGATGCTAGTGCTGCCTCGCATGATACAGTCCTGATGTCGGCATCTACAAAACATGCTCTCGTCGTCCGGTCTGAGATATGATCATCTAGACATAGTCATCCGGTCTAGCTTGAGATTCTCGAGACCTCTTTCGCAGGAGCGACAGAGTGATGACATCCGCACCTGCCTCGTCAAATACTTACTGCGGCAGGAGCGGCCGCGTGATGGCGTTCGCACCTGCTCCCCTTGGATGCTGGCTGCGGCAAGAATCATTGTACGTTCGTGCCTGCCCAAGCGGATACCTACCTTTGACGGCAGGAGCGGCTAGATGACGCGATTCGCACCTGCTTCACTGTATACTTAATGCGGCAGCAGCAACTGGGCGATGGCGTCAGCACCTGCTCTCCCGCGTTACGATTCACGGCGGGGGCGACTGGATGATGGCATTCGCGCCTGCCGCAGCAAGTATCCGGAGGCACCATGCCAGGCCTAGCTGCCGTCGATCCCCATCACTGGCCGTGGAAGATATGCCAATGACTCAGGGATCGAAGGGTCCCCAAGGCGCGCGTAATGCGACAGTTGTGTCCGCGACTGTGCTTGTCAGCCAGTGTCGACCAGCACTGCTCGTCATTTGAATAAACAAGGTCCACGAATTGTGACGTCATCCGGTCTTGGTGGACTTCTGTCATCCGGCGTTGTGAAGAGACACCACATTGAACAGTCCTATTCGCGTGAGCCGGTGATGTTTACCTGCTTCTCGTCCACCGCGAGCACGTCCATGATCCCGTCAAACAAGGCATCATCGCTACGGAAATTGTGAAAGATCAGGGTCGAAGTAATGATTGAGAGATAAACGCGAAATAATCACGTGGACATATATATACACATAGATGGCTTCCTTTTGCGGTCGTTACAATAGGCACTAATGATGTCCCTTCCCTTTTTCCTGATCCAAGACGATGATAAGGGTGATAGCATGGTCATGCCTAATGCATTGGACCCCTGATTATGATCGTTAAAACCGTAACAGCGCCTTGCTTGCTTTTCCCCAATGCCCTGACTGTCGAGCATGACCGTGTGCTAGACCATGTTCCAAATGCTGCAAACAAAACATGCAAACCAAAAGAGCCTCAGTTCCGCTTGAACATAAAATATCCATACATCCCACCAACATCCTGACTCACAACCGGCACCTTTCTCATTCCCCACCACCTCGCCCCCATCTTCCAGCCCCTACTCCCATCATCAATAACCGTCCCATCGCCAGTAGCTCCTACAGCACTATTTTTTGGTACTCGAACGTACCAACCCCGCCTTCCGAGCTCTCGCACTACCCAATCAGGGTTCTTGACCTTCGCGGTACGCTTCTTGATCTCTTCGAGCACGGAGCCGCCGAGCTCGATGACTTCGAGAGGCTCAGTATGAGGACCGGACAACGTGGCCGGGCTGTACATGAGGGACATCTGGGTGACGGACTTGATGTCGGTAAGGTCGAGGTAGCGTAAGGTGGTCTGGTGGTTTGCTTCGCCGTCTGTGGTGGCGAAGATGCGGTTGATGTCGGCATCGAGGCGAGATTGGCGCTGCGTAGACCGAGCTCCTCCAGTTGAGTTGCGAGTCTGCGCAGGACTGGAATGTGGGTAGCGCTGACGCGATTTCCGCCGATGTTGAGGGAGCGGACCGTTGGGGGCAGGCAGGTAGTAGGCGGGTGACTTCCTCTTCGCTGAGGAGCCTGTGTCGTGAGGCGTCGGAGTAGACATTCAGATAAACAATGCTGTCTTTGGCTGCCGGGTGACTGGTGAGAAAGCGGACGACACCGCAACCGGTCAGGCGCGTGCAACGCTCGAGGTTGAGGTGAGTGATGCGGGCAGTCGTCGGAATGGAGTTGAGAGCTTTGTCGTTGATCAAAGTGTGCGCCACATCGAGATGAGTGAGGTTCGTCAGTTGAGGGAGGATCGCCTCAAAGACGGACTCTGGCAGTGTAGTGCACTCGTGGAGGGACAATCGCTTGAGAGAGTGACCTCTTGGACCGGCCAGAGCACTGCTAGAGAGCGTGGACGACAAGCTGGTGAAGCTTTCGGTGAACGGCTTTGACGAACATGCTGTGAAGTCGAGTGCCTGCATATGTGGCATGCGGAAGAGCTTCTCCAGAACGTTAACATCCAGCTCGTCGTCAATGTGCTCGTGGACGAGGAAGGCCTGGAGCTGTGGCAGGCGATCCAAGCATTCTCTGATGGTGGTCGGAGTCACAAATGGTGTTCTCGTGGAGGTCGATCGGGCGCGTCCGAAGCCAAGGTTGTTGTAGTGAGAAAAGTCTAGCCATTGCACAAACTCTCCCAGTGACTCATCTTCTGTCAGGCTTCGTAGGAACTTGGTGAAGCTCTTCGATTGTGGAATGCTGACGTGCCGGTACATAACGCGAAGGGCGGCCGCATGAAGGCTCCGAGACACCAGAGATAGTGAGCACAGGTCGGTGTGTGGTCTTGCGTATACGTCGGCAGTGTGGTCCACGACAGTGTGGGAGAAGATGAGATCCTGAATCTCGTTTGGGAGCATCTCGAACCGGGAAAGGTCGACCTTCCCTGACTCGACGATTGACATATCATCTTCGCTGTCTGTCAAGATGACCGCTTCTTCGTCCTCGAGCTCCAGCGGACGTACCAGAACTCGCCTCAGCTTTTCACGCCAGACATCCAGCCCAGATTCTGTGCGGTCCCGACCAAGTCCTGGTGTCACTACTGCTGGGAACCTGCCGTGTCTTTGGGCTTGCCGTCGCTTCTCGATCTCTTGTAGAATCTTCTGCAGTTTGCGGGGATTGCTTCTAGCGTACCCGTCGAGTCGGGTCTGGATGTAGTCGTCGTGGGTGGCACCTGAGTGGTGTGAACAAAGACCCTTTGTGCGGCACCATTGACTGCATGGCCACGCGATCCACTCAACCTCTTCCAGTTCCTCGGAGGAGAGGGAAGCGGCGAAGGACTGTGGTGTGTCTTGAACTAGGAGCATGTCAATAATTGGTCCCAGGCTCGTTTCTGAGTTGACCTTACCTGGGTCTTCCTTGACGCTGTTGTATGAGAACTTGCGAGTTGCCTGCGGAAGCATCTCTGGTTCTGCTATAAGGTGTCGGTACGGACGAAGCAGAGGGCTATCGTGTGGTGTTGTTGCTGCTGAATCGATGATAGCAGATTGTTCTGCTGCTATTGTTGTGTCGAAGGATGAATATCTAAAGCTAGTTCTCCGTGAGTCTGGCCCCCTTTGAGTCATGCTGAGCACGTTCATAAAGTCCATGATCGCGAATTTGGTGGCGCCTTCCCACCGCTGCACGTTGACACTGAGAATCTGGGGTAGTAAACAAATCTCAGGCTAGCAATGTCTCCGTATACCATGTGTGAAGGGGATTTACTGGTTGGGTTCGGGTCCCAAGAACAAACCTTTATAAATGAAAACCTCAAAGGGCATTGTGTATAGTCATCGCCTGCCTGTGTTGACAGGGCGAAATGCTTCCGTGACACCCTTTGACACACGAATACTGGGTTACCAAGCGTCCAGCGCGAGGCAACGTGTCGCAACGACCGGCACGGAGTGGATGGTGGACGCGACTTCCGACCGCAGTTAAGCGGAACATAGAATTTTCCATGTTGTGACTAACAACATACCTCCAAAGGCATAGAGAGGCTGGTCAGGGCGCAGAAGGCGTGTTGCAGACTCAATTATGGGGGTAATGAAAATGTTCTCGTGACATCAACCAGCTGATCTCCGCTCCAAAGTCTCAAGCCTTGGCTGCTCATGTGATCAATTTTGGTGCGATTTTTTTCCTCCGGGCGCAACAAAAGCCAATTAAAGCCGCTAAAAGTGGCAAATTCTGGGGAAGGATTTCATCATTGTTTAGGTATGCTTAGGCACCAATTTTCAGGCGGCTACCGGCTTCCATTTCCTGGGGCCTGTTCGGCCAAGCCTGTTGCGTTGTCACTTCTCCGAGGAGTCTTAGAGGTCTGGAGGTGTACTTTCATTCATAGATAGAGGTCTCGGGTCACACAATGCTTGATAGCTCCATAGCGATGCTGTATGTCCGGAAAAACTCGATATGTATCTGGGTTCTGTTGTAGGGCGGTGAACGAGAAACTCGGCGGTCTCCGACTGCTCGTGTTCGTGAACGTTTAATTAGAGCTCGCCAAGTGGCAAGCCTGAGCGGCCCGCTGTTCGTTTTCGTGTCGGGCGGAGATCTGGGGTATGCAACACCTTTACGGGGCAACAATTACTGGTCGCGTGCGGTTCATGAACACAAGTACCACCAACTTCGGAATCTCTGTTATGGGCTCGATGTAGAATCTGCTCATAGCATAGGCTGGCCAAGGACCGGGCGCTCGGTCGTGGCGGTCGAGGAAGCCTGCGTCGATTACTACAGTGATGAGACAGCAATTATATTTCTCAAGCACAGCCTCGAATTTTCGTCGCCTGACCCTGTCCTCGACCATGGTGCTATGACAGGCCATTGCTCATCCGTTCATCCATGACACTTCATTCAAGCTTCGACCCATTGTCCCAGTGCACCATCAAATCTCCGAGTTGCATATGATGCAGCACTCCCTGCCCCAGGAACCGGCGGCACTGGTGGCGCCGGAGTTGAATTCAACGGCGGTCCAAGCCTGACTTCGCTGACAGTTCTTCCGAGGGCTTCCAGATCTAAAGTTGACTCAGCGCGTGAGTGGACTCTGCCGACTCTGCTGTCATCCTCATCCTTCAAGCTCTCGCCCATCCTGACCCTTTCGCAGAGGGCCTTCAGCACACTTCCAAGCCATTCAAAGTCCCGTAGCTCCAGATAGATTTGGCCACTGACCCGCACCCAGATCTTCCCGTTGTATTCGAACAGTGTCACATATGTCCGAAACTCGTCCACCAGGATCTTCATCATCCAATCTAGGTGCTTCTTGACGTCTTCTGGCTTCACGATGACCGCGCCGCCACCTGTCGAGCTGAGCGAAGGACTTCCCATGGGACTGCCCGCTGGACTGCCTTTCGGACTCGTGCTCATCTCTGAGGACATCCAAGGCGCACTCGGTGGCGAGAGCACTCCTCCGCCCAACGAAGCCGAAGCAACATGTGAGCTTCCACCACTGTACATCTTCGCACTCGGAAACCCGTATGATGACTTCCGGCCCTGTCCATGAAGGGGACTGAGACCACCAGCGCTGCCAGCTCCACCTGGACCATGAGCTATCGAGCCGATACTGGCAGCTCCCTCAATGTGCATGGGCAAGAGCACATTGGCCATTGCACAATCTCGGAGTCCACCGGTATAGCCCCTCACCGAGTCACGTCGATCGCTGGCTTCGAAGCTTCCCATCGTCTTGAGCCCGCGGCCTTCGTCCATCTCGTCCATCACTTCTGTACCGAGCTCCATCGCTAGTAAGTCAGCTCCCCGTTGCGCCACGTGTCTGATATAGTTGTATATTCCCTCCTCACCGCCTGGACACAGATTTTGTCGGAAGTTCAGTGCAGCAGGTACGCAATAGAAGGGTGAGTTGTCTGCTGTGCCGACGAACTCGAACAGCTTGACGAAACCTGTCTTCGACGATTCCGCGAGGTCGTTGTTTTTCATCTTCTCTCCATCTGCTGGCTCGTAGCCATATGACGTGGGTAACGATGTTCTCAGTAGATGCTGATTACGCTTTGGAACATGCAGGAGTGCACAGCCACGAGGTGTGTACAGCCATTTGTGACAATTGGTAACGAAGAAATCAGCATCGAGCTGTGAGAGGTTTAGTGGAATCTGTCCGACTGCGTGCGCCCCATCGATCATACTAAGGATGCCATATTCTTTGCACATCTTAGTTAATCGTTCGAATGGAAATCGCACCCCGGGCTTGGAAACAATCGTGTCGAAGACGGCAACTCTTGGCGTATATCCATCGTACAAGATCCGCGATATGGTCTGCGAGAACGCATTGAGAATATCAGGGTGAGTACACGGTAACGTATAGGCGAAGTCTTGTCCATGTCCGACTTTGCGAAGGGTGATTTGAGGATTGGTCTCCTTGATAGATTTCAGTGTCCTGTCGATAGCGCCGTATATTGTGTCGAAATAGATGATGACGTCCTTCTGCTTGTAGACCAGATTCCGCAGCACAGTGTTAATACCAGTAGTTGCATTGGTCACGAAGACGCACTCATCCACGGGAGCGTTGACGATCTTCGCGATGCGTTCCCTTGACTTATCCAGAAGATCGATGTATTGATATCGCAAGAACTTGTCCGGAGCAGCCTCCGTCAATTTTTGGTAACCTCTCATGGCATTTCTGACTGGCAGTGGATAAGTACCAAAAGATCCTGTTCGGGCAATGTCAGATTCGTAACCGGACGAGGATCATCATTTGCGCTTGTTCTCGAGACTTACCGTGATTGAGATTAGTCCATCTGGGATCGAACAGGAACTGTGATTTCATAGCATGGCCATAGCTGTTCGGCTCCCCAAACGCCGCCATGGTGGGCACAATAGCTCGTCAATGCTTTCGAGCGCCGTTCAATTGCGTTTCGTGGGGTTCTACCATTAGTATTTGTCTCCCAGTCGGAGCCCGAAACCAGGTGCCCAGACACTACCACCGCTTTGCCACCAGAACAACTTGCGGGAATCTGTTCTACCTAGTGTTAGGCCTCAGCTCTCGCAGTATGTGGCCCCTTTGGAGTTTCTCGACGTTGATGATGCACACTGAGCATCGATATAACTTCCGGTAGTTGATGTTTGTCACAATGTTAAATTGGCACGTATCGATAAGGGGTTACTCGCTTCTGAATTTGGCTTTGGCTTCAGGTTAAATACGAATAGTGATTTCATGGGGCCGCGCTTGTCGGTTCGATCCTCGCCCATGCGCATTCGCCTTTTGATCTACATCATATCGTACAAGGGAGGCGCGATTGTCACTCACACATCAGTCCCGAAAGAACGAATCTTTCACGCAGTGCTAGTCTTGCAAACGCGCGTGACACGAGGACAGGGCGCGTCTTGTGCAACGAAGTCAGCACGCGCGATGAGCTGACTGCGACTGTTTTCATCGCACAAGTTGCGGTTGTTCATCGCTCAGCCGGGGAATCACTTCCTCGTCGCTAATGCCGGGCACGGCCAGTCGTATCAGAATGCAGCAGGATTGCCTAGCCATGAGCATCGTGTCTATTCACGACTCGCACCTCACGTCACACCGGACCGACCGGACCGTCCTCAGGTTCCTTCAAACTTTGACCTCGGCAGTTGCGGGGTGCTCAACCGAATGGGCAGACGGATATCCACGAATTATCGATGGCATCGTGCTGCTATACGATAGCCGAACAAGTGTAGCTAACGATCGTAGATATGAATCTCCGTGCGTTGCTAACATACTACCCATACGAGCGGCGCGAAACACGTATAAAATAGGTCAAGAATCAACTCTCTGGACCTCCTCAGCGAGGACCTCACCACGACGAGCCCGTCCGCATACAAGATCTCCGCTCTCTCTCTCGCACCACCAAAATGCCCAAAGCCATAACAATATCTCAAGTCGACGGCAAGCCCGGCCAAGTCTACTACCCCCTCCAGATCACCACCGTCCCCAACCAGACCCCCTCCGCAAACCAACTCCTCATCAAGATCTCCGCCGCCGCTCTCAACCACCGCGACCTCTTCATACGCCAGCATCTCTACCCAGGCCTCGGCTTCGGCATTCCCCTCCTCGCCGACGGCTGCGGCACCGTCACCTCCACCGGCTCCTCGGCCGCCGCAAAAGCATGGGCGGGCAAACGCGTCGTCGTCAACCCGGGCACCGGCTGGGACACGGACCCAGAGGGTCCCGAAGACAAGACCGGCTATAAGATCTTGGGCGGCACGAAGATGAACCCCAACGGCACACTCCAAGAATACATGCTCGTCGAAGCAAGTGAGGTCGAGGAAGCTCCCTCCCACCTCTCCGACGTCGAGAACGCAGCGATCCCGCTCACGGGCCTGACGGCGTGGCGCGCCGTGATGGTCAAGTGCGGCCCGCAGAACCTCAAGCCGGGGAAGAATATCCTGGTAACGGGTATCGGCGGCGGTGTAGCGTTGTGTGCGTTGGAGTTTGCCAGGGCAGCGGGCGCGAATGTGTTTGTGACGAGTGGGAGTCAGGAGAAGATTGACAAGGCGATTAAGCTTGGTGCGAAGGGGGGCGTGAACTACAAGGAGAAGGATTGGGATAAGAAGCTGAAGGAGTTGTTGCCCAAGGAGAACAAGAACCTCGACTGCATCGTTGACGGAGCAGGTGGTGATGTGGTGTCGAAAGGTGCGAAGTTGCTGAAGGTGAGCTATTCTCCCCTACTCTCTGAATGCGTTGTGCCAGATCATGCTAATACTCCTCCCAGAACGGCGGCATCATTTCCATTTATGGTATGACCGTCTCTCCGAAGATGGACTTCCTCATGCAAGCAGTCTTGAAGAACATCGAGGTCAAGGGCTCGACTATGGGTTCGCGGAAGGAGTTCAAGGATATGATCGACTTTGTCAAGCGGACAAGTGCAAGTGTACCAGTATCACGCGTGGTCAAGTGGGATCCCAGCGGTGATGATATCAAGGACGTGGACGGGCTGTTCGAGGATATGAAGAAGGCGAGCCAGTTTGGCAAGCTTGTCATTGAGATTACGGGGAGCAGTGGTGGGGAGAGTAAGCTGTAGGTTAGAAATTGCCATTCGCTTCGCACTCTTGGTGCGGTGATCACCATTATGAGAATCTGACGTCTTCGGAACGCCTGTTCGACAGGAGGACTGCCTACCGTATTTACAGCGGTCCGTAATGACAGTAATGTCATGCGAATGTTTCCCTCAAGGGCGGCTTCGAGCCTCCTCGGAACGATTCGCCGCATCAAGAAGCAGCAGACACTTTCTTGATATGGCAATCGGCTCGTTCGCCATCGAAGTACGTGGAGAAGAAAGAAGGAAACATGTCGAGCGTAAGTCAGACTATTATATCTTTTCAGCAGAACGAAAGACCGCCAGAAACCGAAACAACCACTTCACTGTATCGGCCAGGAGGTATTCACTTATTCCTTGCACGATTCCAATTACGGTTGACTTTGATAGCGTACTGCTCCTTCCGCACCAATCTCAGAAAGCTGCTGCTCACGCTTCCATGCCATCTAGAGACATTTGAGTTCGGGCAGCAATGGCATCTGTATTGAAGGGTTCTCAACAGACCGGATGACTACCTCTTGGGTCGTAGTTACCCTGATCTGTAACTACCTAGGTACCTCTGATTCCAGATTCGCAAGATCTCGCTCTACACTTGGCACCCTCGCTGCCGAAGCTGGCAGCAGTCGATATGGCGCACATTACTTCTACAGCAGTATACCATTTCGCTATTGTTACAGTTTCCGCCCTCCCTCTTCCCATTATCCTCTTTAGCTTGGCTCAGGTAGAACTCTCTACTGTAGCTCACTTTTGCTGATTAGCGACGATCGCACGGTCCCTGTCGTGCACGTGTGTGTCCTGTGGCTCCAAGAGTCTCTCCTTCGTCGTCTTTCATTGATGTTGACATGAGGACACGACCTCGGTGAATTCCATCTCTATGTGCTTTTGCTCTCCGATCGCTTTTCTGCTGGGTATGTTGCGTCTCCGTCTTCGATGATAATAGTAGTACTCGTATTGGCGACAAGTCGGCAGCGCTGATTATAAAGCGCGGAGGCGGCAGCCTCCCTCTTCTTTCCTAATCGTTTCTCATATCGGAGTAGCACCCCTCATCTGCTCAACGATATGCCCACTGTCTTGTCGACTATGACTTCGACTGCCCATCCTTACCAAGCCATTCTGGCTGGTAGCACTCCCGCTCCTGGCAACATTCAAATGGTCGTACCTATCGCCGTTCCTACTATCTCTACCAGCGCTTGTACTGCCATCACTTCCTTGGCGCCTGAGGCCGGTTGCGCTATAACTCCTCGGTGGCGCCGTCGTGAGCACAGAGTTGAACTGATCGCCCCTGAGTAGGGCCGATGAGCGTTCTTCTGTAGGAACCTCATCCCATGGGTTCTGCCTCGAGCTTGCCGTGCAGCTGTACGGCTGGGTATGGGTGGGACTAGACTGGCGAGAGTGTCGGCGCGCTCGTCATGATGGTCTGAGTAGCTAGACTGGGTCGCGGTGGAGCTGCGGGAGGATGTGCGTTGAGCGGGCTCAAAGGTGGCGATGAAGGGCGCTCTGCTTGTTGATGGCGCTGCTGCTGCTGCCGATTGTAGGCATAATCGGTGCTGAGACTGTGGCTGTGACTATGATTGTAGCCGTGTCCATACTCCGTCTTTGCGAAGTGAGTCTGATCTAGAGGACTGAGCGGGAAAGGGTCTTTTGGCAGCGTGTTGGCAGCCGTCGTCGTTCCTGGTGAACGGAAGTCAGTGCTTCCGAGATGCTGAAGTTTGTGGCCTGACGGCCGACGTGACGAGTCGCTAAAGCAACTGTATTCTGGTGTCGACTCCTTCCAGAGTGCCCTACAAGCTGTCCAGCTGGTGACGATGTAGATGACCATGTTCCAGAACCCTTGCAGTGGTAGCACCAGTGCACTGGAGAGGTCGAGACCATAGGGACTGACAGCCTCATTGGGTCTGACAAGCGTGTACAGGCGATTGATCGTTGAGGGTACCCAAGTGATGATCAGAGCGCACAGAAACAGACATGAGGTGTAGCAGTATTGGAGGGTGGCCCTGTTGGCGTCAACGACTCTTGGCGAGCCTTTGGTTGTGCTGGGTTGATAGCTGATCGTGGTGTTGACTCTAGTGTCGACTTGGGTGGATTGATCACTGAGCCGCTGTTCGTTGGATCCGTTACGAGTGTGCGAGGGTGAGAATGGTGCAGTGCTGCTGATACTGTTTGGCCGATAGTTCCCCGTCAGTGATCGCGACCGAGAATGCGGTACCGCGCTAGAAACATTGATTTCGTATCTTGGTCGCTCAGTGATCTTGGGTTCGTAGGTATGCTCTTGGCTTTTGCTATTTGTCCGCGTGCCCAGCGAGACGAGGGACTTTCTCCACTTGAAGACAATCATGCCTACCTTAATGTAGATGAAGATGTCGAAGAGAATGATGATCCAGACGGGACCATAGAAAGCGCCGATACGCAGCCCATTCCACTCTCGAGTAATCCAGCACCATAGCTTGACAAGGTCAGCATAAGTGGTGGCAGTGTGAGGTCAGACATACATTAGCTGACCCGTATATCTTGCCTCGCGCACGAGTGTCAATACAAAGGAAGGTCAATGCTGGTATTAATGGCAAGCCGTAGCATATTGCCAGGTACCTCCACTCAAGCTTCCTTAGCGAGATAGAGTCGTACTGTTTGAAGAATGTGAGGTACACGTTGCATGCCATGGCAAAGGTCCAGAGTGCATCGGCCGGCATGAACCTGAGAGAAAACGTGTCAGTACCATGCGAGCTGCGTCTGAATCGAGCACCTACCATTGGATGAGGAAGCCTTGGAACTGGCATAATGGGCCATCTATGCCACGTTTGATGCCCTCCCTGCTAATGAGTGTTGCGACATTTGCAAAGAGGTTGCCCCAGCTGGCATAGAATACTAGACGGTTGACGGGTTTGCGAAATCGATTGTCGTATAGGAAGGTCGTGATGATTAGTACCGCACCAAGCACCGAGAACACAGAAGAGACTCTTTCAGCTATCTCGATGCCAGTATTATGGTCGACCATGGCGGCGGGATGCTGACTGTCTAACAACAGATGTCATGCGCCATGAGAGTTGTGGGCCAGATGGATTCAAACATAACCGGCATCAAAGTTCTGGGTACTGTGAGACGCAACACGATGGGCGAACTTAGATGTAGCAATATAAGACGGTAGCTCGTCCCTCTGGGTATGCTTTGGGCATGTGGTCGTGCTCTCCCACACTGCCGGGTGAGAAGCAGCAAGGGTCAAGACACGAAACTGGGACAATCATTCTGCACCCTTGCATCTCGAGCTCTCTCGACTGTGAGAAAGCGGCATTGTAGCAAGAACATTGTGTGCCCGTGGGTACTCACATTGCATTAGTCTGGGACCGGTCCGCATTAGTGCAACGGTCGTTCAAGTTGCTCGATCTCGAAAGGTGGTGCTCAAACCTGGGGCTACACGTAAAGAGCTCGTGCTGAAGTTATTTGGCTCTAAGCGAGTCCACTCATTGAGCTGAACAACACCAACGCCACTATTTGGTAGCATGATCTAACGTTAGCGCAGCCGTCGCTCCCCTTGAGCTAGGAAAATTTCGTCTTTCGCGTGAGGTTTATCCTATGCCCAGCAGAGTAGTGATAGGAAGTCGTTTTGAACCGTGACGAAGATCATGTCAAGATTGCGTCGATCCAGCGAGTGTTTGCCCAACCCCGCGTAAGCACTATGTTCGAGTCGTTATCGAGACAATTATGAATGGAAGGCACACGAAACAAGCTATGACGTTGCGCAGATTCTGAGTACCTGTCTGAGCGCGGTTCTCAACCCGTGCGACGTGAAGACTGGCGTTTGACTTTGCGATGTCACACGATCGATAATCCTTGCCGTCGACAGGGACGTACGAATCGCAGACACTCTTCTCGAGATCCCAAAGAGGCGGAGGCGTCATGTTTAGGGTAAACCACGGCGAAGAGGGCCAAAAGATGAACGGAGAGAGTGCAAAAGCATCTCGAGGTTGGGGAAGTGGCGCGTTCGAGATGAGTGACGAACGGCAAGTTCGGGGAGGCAGGGGTCCGGCAGTGCCTAGCGCAGGAACAAGCAAATCAGAAAAGGTGGGGTTTGCAGCTGCAGTTGCTGAAATACGAGCCTTGTGCCACGGCAGTCGTTGCTTGTTCGAGGTCGTTCTCGTGATTCATCTTTCCGACATCAAACCGATTGTGTGGCTTCGCACCAGCCGCATCAGACAGGAAATGAGCGGTTCGTTCACTGGATAGAATGCGCCAAGATGGCGCGAAGTCCAGACTCTCAACAGGTCGGGGTTCAGGTCGCGCATTGGCATCATAACCAGCAGCTGCTCGAGAAGTCCGACTGAACCGAGCTCGCAGGAAAGTAGGAGTTCTTTCTACAGTATCGCTCTGCAAGCGACCATGCGCGAATGTCCGCTCTGCTATGGATGCTTCGCAGCTTTGGTTTTCTCGGCGGACCTGTTGTCGGTGGTGATGAGGAGGTGACACTGGAGCTTCTCGTCTGCGGCATTCTTCGAGTCCCTTAAGCATGATAGTCTGTAGTAAGTAGACAGCACGCTGCGGGTTGCTAAATCTTGGCCCTAATCGAGGCGAAGACAGTAGTGCTTCCACCACAGCGGCTCGCGCCACGGAGATTCCCTAAGGGGCCAGATCTTCATAGGCTGATTCGGCTATTTTGCTTCATGGTTTCAGGAACATCAATCCGGTTGCCGGGCCAGCTTGCTTGGGAAGCGCTCCTGTCAATCCATACTGTCCTTGAGCAGATCGTCCTTCGTTATTGCTTCACTATTGCTTATCATGCTCGCCTTGTCGGAGAATTGATGTCGATCTGAATAAAGCCATTTCGAGGGTGGACATCAGGAGGAGTCGATATGCATACCGTCGGAGGTAGTCGCAAGATTCGCGTCTAGGACGACATCTTGAAGTGGTCGGCCTCGGGCTCTTCTGAACGGGAAATAGCGCTTGGCCGGCTTCACTGAACGGCAGTCATCGACGGTTGAATTGCACCTGGTGCACAGTTGTTGCGGTCGTCTTTCGTTTTAGATTTCGGCACAAGTGCTCAGCTAGCTCGTCACTGATCAAAACGAATCGTGGCTTCAAATGCACGGAACCCTTCTCGAGCGATGCAACCTCGAAGTGTCAGGCAAGTCTTCGCACGTGGCTGAGTTCTAGAAGCCCTGCCAGCAGGGATGTATCAACAAGAAAGGTACGGCCCTGAGTTGCGCCATTCGCAACAAGGATGAGCAGAGTAGATTATGCTTCTACATTCAGTCGTTCAGAGTTGATAGCGTCATCGTCTCATTTCGTGATTTTCATTAACAAAGCTCAGGGCCTTGCACGTCAGCGCGATGTTCTCTCAATTCAGGTTCGAAGTCCCTTCAACGGAAACATCGATGTCGTTCTGGCATACTTTTATCCTCGAAGCCCAGGCGTGCGCGAGGTGGATCACGTGATATCACCCCGCAACTTGAAGTGAGCAATTCCTGTGCCCCGCACATGCGTTTCTGCTGCCGTTCGTGCAAGAGACCCAACCGTTCATCTTGATATCTCAACATTGGATAGTCGGGACCGTCAAGCAATCATAGTGTTGCTGCAAGTGAAATAGCCGGCCGACGTCTATGTCGATGAGGTATGGCTCAGTCAACCGAACGACCATAGAACACGCCTGCTGGCGTTCTGGCATCTGTTGGACGCACACGTGCTGCTTCTTTGGTCGAACGGCATGGTCGACGACACTTCTTGCTCGACTTCGGGCATCTCCAATCGCATCCGAGCACTGACATGCCGCTGTCCGACATCCAAATGAATGGGTCAAACAAACAGCAGCGAGCTCTCGTCAGACACTTACACCTCATACGTTATCGTAAATTCATCCCTCCCAAGACTGGTCTCCCCATAGAGTCCCGACCACCCAGAAACGCCTGAGTTCTGACGCTGTGACACCATGACCAAGAACCTCCGCTCCGCCAGCCTGCGTTGCTCTGACGGCTGGCGGAACCCGGCTGAAATGCCACCCAAAAGAAACGTCACGGACTTTTCACGTCATCTTCAAATTCATCGATGATGATAGTAACTTTTCGAGTCTTTCCCTCCACTCGTCTTACCATCTGATATTCTTGACGGCTGCTGCTTTTCTAATGTCTTTGTCGTTTTCGTCGAGGCTTGCTGCTGTGATGTCGTTGAAGTTTTTGTTTTCGATTTCGAGTTCCGGCTCCACTGTACCGCCAAACCATGTGATAGAGCGTCGTCCATCTCAGCTTGCTGTGTTGCTGTACCACAAACAAGCAATTGCAACCCTCACTGCAACAGAAGCTCGGTCCAGCTAAGGAATGAGCTGTCTTCACAATCAGAAACTTCTCTCGTCGTCACCCGAAGACAGGCGACTTCAGTGAAGAAGTCTGCCGGCCATGACGATTCCGAAGGTTTGCTTATTATTTTCGTTGGGGTATTGTTTCGGTTGAATGGTGCTTTTCCGCTGACGACTCGAAAGCGAACAAGACGACCTCTCCCTCGTAAACAGTTGTAACAGCAGACGAACCACAATTTAGCTACTCAGTCACAAATAAGCAAGATCAAACAGCAGATTTGCAAGCAAGAGGTTGTCAAGATAACCAGCTTAAGCAAAAAAGCTGAGGTAGGACCCAAGATGGATACGATAGGCAGGTACTTTACTCATGCCTTTCCCGGAGCACCGAGTATCGGCTGGGCCAGGGATCAGGCCTGAGACCCTCGGCAAACCACCGTTCGAGAAGAGAACCTTGGAACGATTAGGGATCCATTCAGTTGATGATGCTTGCGGGCGGAACTCGGTTTTCACATGCCTCGAGGAGCTCGATTCGATTTCTTTCTGCATCCTGCACGTGAAGAATTACTGGCAGTCAGGCAGCTGCAACATAGTCGACACTCCTATGAGATCGTGTGCCGTCGTCTGCTGCGAGGCTGCACGAGTTCCAGGCCAACGGATCTGCGAAGATCTGCAATGCCAATGCCCTACTTGACATAGTTGACAAGCAAAGGTAGGAATAATATCTGAAGGTACGGTGCATCTCCGCCTCTGTCTGCGTGTCGAGAAACATCTGGAGTAAGTTCTAACGAACGGGTGTAAGCACCCTTACTCTATGTTTCTCGACACGCAGACAGAGGCGGAGATGCACCGTACCTTCCCACTGATAGCTGTTGCCAGCGTAAGGCAGGCACACCGGCTGTTCGAATGAGGTGTGGAAAGGTACTACGCGCGGACTGCGGTGGTGGGAAGCAGCAGTCACCGCATGCAGGTGGCTGCTGCCATTGCGCGGTGGCCGAAAGATCCAGTCTGCTTTGCACATGCGATGGGTTGTATGTACTGCACAGACGGCTGGTCTTGACCTTTGACATGTCCTCTGTGCCAGCGGGCAGCCCGTGGTACAGATAGAGCTTTCAGCTCTTGTTCCAGCTCCATCCCGCATGGTCTACCAGATCCCCGGTAGCATGACAAAGCGCTTACGCTTGTACTTGTCGCCAAATTCTTTGCGATACCGCCTTTCCTTTTTGCTCGCCCAACTAGCCATCTGTGCACCTGAGGCAACCAGGAAGACCACTACGCTCCAATTCAAGCCGCTGATCAGCCAAACGCCTACCCACGAAAGGACCTCCGTAAAGTAGTTTGGGCATGTGACCAAGTTGAAGAGCGCTCCTTGTGGTATTCCTCGCTCATTGCCGCCCTGACTTCTCAAGTTGCGCAGCGTGAGATGTGTAGACAGGTTGCCAAGCTCGCCGAATGCGTACAGGGCAATGCCCGCAAAGAGTAGTGCCTGGTTGGGAGGGTCTTTAGCTGAGGATGACGTTGGCGAGTAGATCCAGTACGCCATGTTGACGCCACTCAGCAGCCAATAGTGTGCTGAGTTCTTGAAGATGTTGCGGATGGGCATCGTGGCTGCACTGAAGCGATGGATGAACAGCGTCTCGAATTCGCGCTTGACGAAGTGTGCTACTATTGCGACCAGAGCCGTTTTCTGCATCTGTGATTGCGCTCCGGTGCCGCCGTAGATGTGGGCTGCAAGAGCGTAGAACAGCGGGTGGATGAATATTGGGGCCAGGTACTCGATGACGAAGACGGTTCGCCAGGCGATCTGAGGGCCCAGGTCCTTCACGTAGATGGTGCTGTCATTGCGTAGGCCGGTGCTGTGGACTGTGGACGTCCCGTTGGGGATGTGAGAGCCATCGGAGCCTTTTGTGACACGCAATTGATGTACTGAGTATCGGGATTTGGTGGATAGAAGACCGTAGAGGTCTGCAGCTGTAGCATCGGCAGGCACGGACACCGCCTCTGGGAGAGACTTGATAGGCTTGCCTAGCAGTTATTAGGAGCTGATGGCTTGGGAAAGCCTCTAGATCGGAGGACGACAGGGTCATCACATACCTCGTGGGCGGATCTGGAGAGTGATGGGCTTTGACATAACGGGCTGGTTGTAGTTCTCTTCGTGCCAGCACACAAGTAGGTAAGACTACGGCAGATGAGAAGCGCTCGACCACCTGCAACGCATAAACATGTAGTGCTGACCCGCGACTACATGTAGCTAATGCTCCAGGCTCAATGGACCTCAATGGGAAGCCCGAATCAAAATCACGAGGCGTAATTTACGGCTAACGGATGTAGATTCTCCGCGCCGGTATTACCATTTTTAGTTTACGCGACCTCAGTCGACGCCTCGTCCTGAGGAACAGTATGGCACATCGAACATCGACCGCCAACAACAATTCTTGCCACCATCACACGCTTACTGGTCCTTCTGTCAGCTTCCCGGTCCCCAGTAACACCTGGACGCGATTTCGCCATCATGGGTAAGGGCGTCGGCGCATCGACGGCGATGAACCCCGTTCGACTGCAATCTGTGTCGAAGCTCAAGGTCCGTCGGCCACTCACGCAAGAGGCCAGTCCATGCATGGGCCCGATGTCCGCCATGCTTAGTGCGTTATCTATACTATGTGTGTTGAGCTAAAAGCTAACCGGTGTAGATTGCTGGGCCTCATCTGCCTCACAGACTGCCTCTGGCGCCATGCAGTGCATGCGCGCTTGAGCAAGCGCTACGCGAATGTATGGACTTCAGCAAGAAGCAGCCACCCAAGAAGAATAACATCAACTACCATCTCTCAAGGTTATATCCGAAAATCAGGGGGCCGCAGAAGAAGGATGGTGTACTGAAATGATGAGATGCTAAATGGGAATTGAAGAAGAATGCAGGCCTTTGCGAAGAAAGGATGTCAGAATCTCAATGATCTCGTGGGAACATTCATAATGCAAGTCTGCCGGACGAGCGATCTGACCCGGCTTGCAAAAACGCCGCTCCGAGCTACAGCAGTTCCCTTGCCGAAGATACACGCTACTGAGATCACACGGGACCTGGATCGATATCTCCAGCAACAACGCGGATTGCACTGCAGAGTGGTCTGTGTTTGGTGTCGCGCATAGCAAGGACGCCAGCGCGAGAAGCGCAGATTCAGTCGTATCACCCGCGTGCTTAGGCGAATGCGTCTGATACGGCAGTCTGGACGGCTTCTCACCCACGTTTCACCACACTCCGCCGAGTCGTTAGTCTCCGCTGTGTTGGGCTGGTAGATATAGCAACCTTGCGGCAGATCGGCTGTCGATGGAAAGTTGATGAGAAGATGAACGATGAGGGATACGGAGTGCCAGTGACTGAGGGTTGCTCGTCACGTGTACAGGAGAAGGCAGATATTCAGGTAGTCTGTGACAGGCCCCAGGGCGTCTATCAAGTGAGACAGATGCATCACAGGTACGCACCTCCCACTGGATAAGCAAACAAATCCCATATTTTGAAACGATTCAACATTCTTTCGCAAATCTCAGCCCTGTGTTCGACCTGTCATACATTGGCAGACTTTCCGGCTGGTCACTACTCGCGCCCAATGCAGACATGTCGTCAATCTTGCCACCCGAAGTCGTGTTGATGGTGATGCAACATCTGCACACCAGTCCAGATCCTGAAGATGCGCGCGCACTCACCAACGCATTGTGCACTTGCTCGACATGGCGAGATATTGGGATGGATGTCCTGTGGACCGACATCGTTCTCGACTCCCCAGAATCAATGCAGAGTCTTTGCGATGCTCCTGCAAGCTCCGGCCTGATCAGAACACGATCTTTGACTGTCACGTTCCCCGAGCAATGGTTCCTGTACGAAGATTTCGGGCCAGGGCGTGGGATTGTATACCATGTTTCACCCACGACGTATTGTATGGAGGCCAGCGAGGCCACACAGGGAGTACATCAAGCGTTACGGGCGCTATCTCAACGACTGCCTGCGATGAGCGGCCTCGAAACCTTCTCGTTCCGAATTCAAGCACCCATCATCACGGCTAGACGACCGAACTCGCCAATGGAATGGCCGCGAGGCTTCTTCATACCTCACGACATAGTTCATGGAGTCATACAATCACTACCACCATCAGTCCGTCATCTCGAGCTCGACACGAGAGGCGCCGACAGGATCTGCGAAGGCCGCATGGATCTGGATGTATGCGCGGCGTTGGCTGATCGCCTCCAAGGTCTCACCAGTCTTCGCCTACGAATGCAGCGCATCTGTCCTCAGCTATTCAGGCCATCGACCAGTCTGCGCTCGCTGATTATCAATACCATCGACATAGCTTGTGTCACGCTCACCTATTCATGTCAAGATGTTGTACCAGAGAAAGACCGATTCCACCCAGTTCTATACTGGAAAGACCGTCACACCAGACGCGGGCATTCAACCCGAGCTGAACTGGTGCGTGCACTGCAGTCATTCCTTCCAGACCTTCCAAATCTACAGAAGTGTCTGGTTGTTGATGCAGAGCGTTTTAGATACGGCAGGCGAAGTGTAGGAATGCTTCATGTGAGGGATTTTATCGGAAATCTTACGACCACATTTCCAATCTTTGACGTCAATGGTCCGCATGGCCCGCGAGGCTGGCAGATCCTGCGCATACCTGCTGAGCAAGGCGACAGCCACGATATTGCCGGTGGCATTGCTCGACTCGAAGACATCGCTGAAGGCCGTCAGTGGCAATCGACTATGTCCGGATTACGTCTGCCAACTTCCCTGAAGGATAGCTCCGAAGGCCGTCGTCACGCTTGGGTGCGGAATCAAGATGCGAGCTTTCCAGCCGCCAGTACCGAGATCAAGATGCTTCATGCCGACGAGGCGGTCGGGCCATTCCTGACAAAGAGAGAATTCATCGAGCTCATCAAAAATGAGTCCGTGGCAAGCGACGGGATCTGGGGCGTCGAAGTCTGGTCGCACGAAGACGAAGCAGGCCGCCTACTGGTGAATGTTCGCGTAAGCGAAGGAGTCGATGACGTCGAGCCACTGCTACGGGATGAGTACGAGGGAGATGATGAGCATGGAGACAGCGATGAAGAGGACGACGAGAGCGACGAAGAGAGCACCGAATTTTACGACACGAGCGACGGAGAGTACGACATAAGCGACGAAGAGGGCGGTGAAGAGGGCGGCGAAGAACGCGAGGAAGACAGCGATCGTGTTTCGGATTAAGTGCCCCGGTGCAGGAGTTTCAGGCTACTCAAGGGAGACTACTGCAATCGAGCAAAATACCTAGGTACTTACAGATAGCCAGATGCCAAAAAGGCCGATGTTGCCATCAACGTCTGAAACGCCGCCAGAGCAATCAGGATTGAGGTATAGATGTACGTAAGGCGACAAGCTATCTAGCACCGCGCTTTTTCACGTTTCACTGTATTCAATTTCGTACTCGGGTTCCTCCAGAGGATCGAGATGTCCACAGTACTCTTCGAATTCAGGCGGTGGTTTACAGCGCTGAATCCAAGGTTGTTCTACTTCCTCGGCAGTTCTGCCTTCATCATCAACGTAATCCCAATGCTCAATGTCAAGCCATGGCTCCTTCAGGATCTCGTCAATTGTAGCTCTGTCTCGCCGGTACCAGGTCAGCATACACAGGAGCAAGTCCTCAAAGTCTCGCGCTTCGTCCTGGTCAAGGGCGTGCGGCCAGGGGAGGGAGTCAGTGGGTCCAGAGAGGCTGTCGTCGTCGATGTTGTTGTTGCCGTCATCGCCTTTCCTGTCGCCGTCGTTGCCAGCGTCTTCGTTGCTATCATTGCGGTGAAAACTGTTGCGGCTGCTCCCGGCGTCTATGAGTGGCTCATTCTCGCCATGCGTAGCGCGTTCATGGTCACGATGGCTATTGGTGGCGCCGTCATTGTCATCTTGATCTGTTGACTTGCTCGTCTGGTCAGCCACAGAGCCATCACTTTCTGAGAGCTCAATCGAGAGATCACCATAGCGCCCTATCCTGGCGATCCGCCACCCCAAGACAACGTCCCCAACGGTGAAGTCTGGCCCAATACGCATACCGAACTGATCGGGCTCAAATTTTCTTGAAGCCCAGTATGGCTGGCGAGGTGGCAGCTTGATACAACGATTGCATCTGCAGCGAAAGGGCAGTTTCTCGAGAGCGTATATCAGACGTTTCACCAGTGCTTGTACGCAGAGCCTTTTGGCAGAATGCCGCAAGTATCTGTACAATTGCAGCATCAGACGTCGTGTCTTTCGCCACAGAAGCGGAGGGGAGGCTTTGCCGAGCCGGTTTGCTTTCGCAAGCCGTTCGTCGCTGCGCCTGATCCACGGCGCAACGTAGAAGAAATCTTGGTCGGTCCCATTGTCGAGAATCTGAATTCGACGTCCAACCAGGAAAGGGTCATCACCGGTATCGCCTAGCTGCATCCGCCACCAGTCCTCTGGCATGGGGCCAACAGCGGTGGTCACAGCAGCTCTCATCTCCCAATCGTTGAGGCCCGACTGATCTATGCCATTTCGTTGTTCGAATAGCTTTTCGCAGGAGCGCAATTCGAAAATGATAATGGCCAACGCCCATAGATCTGATACCTGTTCGGCTTTCGACCTGTACCACAGTCCCTCTGAGTCTCTGAAACGTATCATTTGGGCAGGTCCTCCACGGGGTCCGATGTTATCGTCGCCGAGAAAATAGCTGTTGCCAAAGTCTATGCACTGTATCTCCGGCAGCAACAGCCCGAGGGCTGTGTCTTTTGAGAAATCGATCGAGTCGAAAAGTATCTCAGGTGCCCACATTGCAGCTGCGCGCTCAAATCCTGGTCTGACAGTCACATATTTTCCAGATGGTCGGCCGAGATTCTCAAAAAGTTCTTCTTCGGTCCAGTGATCAAAGTTGCGAAGCTTGAGGGCAATATTACTTGAATTGACGTCGGCCCATACCAGCCCCACCTTATGGAACACGGCCATTGCTTCCGTAAGCTGACGTGCGAGCGCTCGAGCGTAGTCAGGCCTCACAGCCAGCGAGTGGCGCCTGAGAAAATCCAAGGTCGGTCCAGTAAGCCCCATGACGATGTTAAAGCGACGTGAGTTGTTGTGGTGGTGAGTGGAGTGAAAGGCTTCATACATAGGAACAAGATATCGTTCGGCGTCTTCTGGAGAAAGTGCTAGCCTCAGGCGATCGTGTCTTCGCAGTTCAGCGACGGCATTATCACCAGATCGGTCCTCTCGAAACATTTTTACCGCGACATATCGATGCTGATCAGTGTCTCTGCAGAGCCATACAGTGCACGACGAGCCCCAACCGAGCTTGTGCAATACTTTGTATTTACCGGCGAGCACAGTTCCCAGGTCCATGGCAGGCAAACCTCCGGGCTTGTAGCTTTCAAGTGGTTCATTGAAGGCGGAACCAGGCTCATACCACTGTAACGAGACATCGGCCAGTTGAGCAGGGTCATGTTCAGGAACCCCGTTGGGTTCGTTATGGATGTTCAAGCTCCTGGTTGGTGGAACTGCTGGGGGATTGTCGTGATTATCGGATGTGGTTCCCACGGGAGACTGGCCACTGGTCGAATCTTGTTGAGTCTGGCAGACCCTTGCACCCGATGACCTAGCGTCTGTACTGGCACCCTCTACTTCTTGGACTGAGATCACCGATGCGGTGAGGACAGGGTCAACTCTGTCATTGGCGCGGGCCTGCGAAGTCGTGTCGCTACGCATCTGCTCCTCCACGACATCGACGGCTGGCGTAGGTACGTTTCGCACTTCCGTTGAGGTAGGCAGAGGAACGCTGGGGTCAGGTGCTGGCGGGCCCACATTCAACGTGCCAGGATCTGGTATGGAGAGCATAGAGCTCAAGCTTGAGCTTGATCTCATGTCGTCCTTGTGTTCTTCGGGCGAGGTCTCCTTTGCGGAGCGACCATCTGAAGGTGGACCAGCGACAGCGGGAATCGCTGGGGCGGCGGGGCTCGTCGTGATGACAGATTCTCCATGGACAGAGGCTTTGTGGGAGCGTGTCCGCCTAGCGATTGGCTCATCGATGAGCAGGTCGTCATCGTGGGTTGTCACCTCTCTCTACAAGCCAGTCAGTCCCAAATTGCAAACCTGGCCCACGGCGCTTCGCTGAAGCAGCACATCTGGCTGAGGAGAGGCGTTCTTCAGCCTTACCTTTCGCTTCACCATATCTCATAGCACAATGAAAGCTGTAGCTCGGTGTGGGCTATATTTCCTCTAGAACGCCTTGTTATGGATTCCACCAGTTATCAGTGTCCGCGATACAAGTCGAATCGCAAGCCTGCTTGCGGATCGAGCTTGTATTTGTTGACCACACCATGTCGACAAGCCGGTAGACAAACACAAAGAAATGTCCATGTCCATGTTCATTGTCCGTCCAGAGACAAGCGAGTTCTATTGTTAGCTCGTTCGACTGCATCGCACCTGTGCCCATCATGCTTTCTTTGTCTACGTCGACAGAGCTCCCAGTCTCGGGATCTTGTGCACGCCCAGCAGATATGAAGCCCTCGCAATGGCGTAGAGGCTGACAGAGTATATTCATACATAGGAAGTTGCAACAAAATTGCGAACGAGAGTTGTCGGGCTGGACAGGATTGTTTCTTGAGTTAGCTGGAGCCAGCAAATCCGACATGGCAAGTGAACGTGTATTTCAAGACTTTGCCAACCCCCTAAAATTTCGACGACTTGCCAAAATGCTGCGCGTACTCTCGCCAGCGCTCGCACACGCGTGTCTCCACGCCCGCATGCTCCATTTCGATACCTGTCGTAGATCGCCACAAAATTGCCAAGATGGCGAATCCTGTGCTCAAGCCGTCACCTGTAACCGCGGACGCTCCCAAGCCAGCGGCATCCACGGTGACCAGAATCATCGACGACCGACGTGACGCTGTCCGTGCTCAGCGAATTCCATGTGATGTCGGAGAACGGGAGCCCACTAAAAGTCAGCTTGGTCACACAAGCAGTGACATTACTCAGCCTGATCCTGCTGCCACCGCAGCCACCGAGCCAGCCGAGCCCGTACTCAAGGCTGCCACTGCTACAGCTCGCAGCAACTCAGAGTTCGCCCCCTCCGAAACCGAATCAAAGACGTCGAAGCAGTCCACTTCGGTAGCACAGACACAGACGTCCACAGAGGAGCAGAACACCACAAACAAGACCTCAGCGCCGGATCCGACTTCTCCACCAACATCGAATGTCGCAGCAGCGGGAAACGTTGGCAAGCGCCTACCAAAACCGACGGTACCCCTCGCACAGACGCTTGCGGAAAAGAAAGCCCTCGAAGTCGGATATCCGCCCCCGCGCCCTGGCGGCTTTCTCTTCACCTTCGCAACCAGCCCGCCAAAAGATGACAAACACGAAGACATCATGACAATGGCTTTACACTTCATGACCAACGCTGAATACCCGTCAACCCACCTCGTGATCCGCAATGGCGCCCATCAAACTAAGCAGGACAAGCATAAGCATCTCACGTTCACAACGATGGACTTTGGCGGCAACTTCAGAACTGCTCATATGTATACCTGTGGTCGCAAGAAGCCATTCTGGAGTGACCCTAGGAAGAAGAAAGGCCATCCTAAAATCCAGAAAGAGTGGGCTTTTATGCCATACTCGCGTACGGCGCTTCCAAGCGACGCATCGTTGGAGGAGCTCAATGAAGAGTTCCGCCAGATAAGAGCCCAAGAAGCTGTCAAGTACCAGATCGCTCGCTCTGCATTGCACTCCGGCAAATCGATGCGGCGTTCATATGGCGTCACGAAACCCAAACCGAAGAGCGATCCGTTGTCGAAGATATTTCGTGGCCAGAGCGGTTGTGCTTGAGGGATTCGGAGCGAACCGAAGCGACTGTTGTCGAAATGTATGCATACCATGAACTGCTCGGCGCAACGACTAATCCTCTGTGATAGATCAACCCGTCCCGACCTGGAAATCGACACGTCGGAGAGAGTGCCATTGTTCCTTCATCCTGCGAAGACGATTCGAGCAACACCCCCTGCTAGCCGCCCAAGAACGCATATGCAGTGCTATAGTCGCCTGTGAGCATGCTCATCTGAAGAGGTCAGATTTTCGGACCCACAGAGCATGATATTGCCGGGCCCGACATTCCGTCGATCACAGCTCGAAGTGAGGCAGATATGCGAGGATCGCAAAGACGCAGGCAAAGCTGGCGCAAGCGCCAGACGACGCGCACATGCAGCACATGTCAGCGAAACACAAAGCCGAAGACAAAGCACGGAGTCCGGGCGACTAGCTCCCATACTCAGAGCCAGGAAGTGGCGGAAAGGGCTCTTTTAAAAGACAAAGCAAATGCAATAAGTAGATGAATGATTGTCTGCATGATGTTGAACACGTGTAGAGATGCTGTGTGCTCTGACTTTGACGCTATACCCTGTGAGTCCAAGTGGCAATAGATCTCGCGCTCATTGGTCATGTACTACCTGGGTCCCACAGACTTGAAGAGCTCCCACATCTGACCTGTTCCCATCTGATGACACTCACTTCCAATCGCTGCTGAAGCACACAGATATATGGGCCTAGCATGCTGTACATCCACCTCTTTGATGTATTCTGGTTGTTGCTTTAGCGCGGATCTGTTCTCTTTTCCTGGTCTCAAACTGTCCACAGCGGAAGGCACACTCCATGAAGCTGCAGTCAACCGAGCTCGGACCGCTACCCGTCGTGGTCTGCACAGATTTGGACCCATGAGTGATCGAGAACCGGCCCACGGAGCTTCGTTTGCTACACTACGGGTGATTCAGTGACGAAGTCGTGCGTGATGGACCTGAGACTATATCGCAGCCCACTAGTCAACTCATGAGCTGAAAGCCAGCTATCCGAACGGATCGCTGTTGCTTCAATGCCACCAAAGGGCCCGGTTATACCATACAAGAGCGTCTCGGAGCTTGTTGGGCCGCAGTGCCCACCAAATGAATGAGGACAGGGCGATTGTCGGGTCAAGCCCCGAGTTACGGTCTCAGCATTTATCGGCATGAATAAGCTGTTTAACATTATGCTGCATCCTGCCAACTCAGCTATTTACTTCGGAAAGGATTCATGGACCCGAATCAAGAGTCAGACATCCAATGTATGCTCTCGCCGGACCGACAGGTATCATATTTGCACGCTCTCAACTCAACGCCAGGGATATGACTTTTCAGAGTCCCTTCGTATCAGTGGCAACATGTCAACCCTCGAGATCTTTGGAAGTGAGAGTCTCATCGCGTTCGTCCACTTCCTCTAAACGAGGTCGTGTTCGCGAGTCTCTGATGTAGACGCGGAAGCCGTTCGAGACTGCGCCGTTGGCCACCAGAATAGATCGCTCTCGAGCTTGTCTCCAGGTCTTCATGCTTCAGACAGGCTGTCTGCGACAGCCGCTGCTTGCAACTATCCCAACTTCACCTCTGCTCAAGCGACCCCGACTTTCAGATCACGAAAATCAATTGCATCGTGCACTTCTTGCCGCTGGCGGAGGTATCCCTCTGCTAGTTCACCGTCCGGTGTCTCATACTCCAGGTGGTCCTCGTTCGGGAATACTCCTGTGCGGTGCACCACAAAATCGAAGTAAAGCCGCATGCCCTCCCATTTAGGTATGATGCGGGTTTGGACGACCATGCAGCGCCCTCGGGGTGTATGTTCGACGGGGAAAGTGTGCTCTCGATTGCTCACCAGCATCAGAAGCGGCGTCAGCTTGGTGATACCCGGTCTGTTCTGACTATGAGACGTTAGTATGGTGGTCAGGGGCTGCAGAGGGGATATTCACTTGATGTCGTCCATCACCAGCTTTGGTTCCTCAGTCTTGACAAACGGCATTTCGAGGTCGACGAATTCGTCTTTCCCCAGTGGGATGTCTTCCTCAGCAATTTCAATCCATCCATTGGCTACTCTGCTTGAATCGAGACGATCTCCGATATCGAAGTGCCAGGTCACGCACCCGTCAACAGACACCTGCACAGGACCCTTGTGTTTTGTGTACCGTGCTCGCTCGGTGGTCCAGACAGTTCCATACGCTGCTCTGGCAATCTCTGCGCTTCCTAGATTTCGGTCAATGGCAGTAAAAAGAGCGCCGAGGGCGGTCATGTTACTGCAGACAGATGTTAGCAATCGACGTTCGATGCACACAGCCACTCAGCTGCCACAGAAACGACTTACTCGGTGTTCGCTGTGCTCGTCTTCACTGAAGCAGATGTCACTGTCTCCTTGAGATGGTTGATCACAAATTGCGACCTACTTCCTCCGCCAACGCAGTACATCTCTACTCTCCTTCCGCGCTTTAGGAATCCTCCTCGTCGCAGTCGCTGGAGCTGGTCTGCAATGGGACCCTCCAGCCCGCGTGCGTACTCCGCTAGGATGGCCTGCATCTGTACTGGTGAAATACTCAGGTAGTTGCCACCAATCCACGGATTCCCCAGATCTGGCGGAAGGCCTCTGTCGCTGCGATCATAGTCGACAGTCACGCGATCATTGCTGTTCAATTCGAATTCTTGCTTGGCGACCTCGAATCCACGCGTGAACGGCTCAAGCAACACGCTCTTATCGGGTTGGCCGACCGAGAGCTGAGCAACCATCCTGTCAAAGTCCGGTCCAATGATTTCAGGCAGGTAGTGTTTGAACGTTTCGTTGATTTGCTGCGAACCCCAGAAAGAGCCAGTGCTTTGGACAAGGGTTTTGATCTTCAGGTGCTCGCCTTGGATCACCTCTGTCGCGGTCAAGTCTAGGGTACCGGCTCCCAAGTCGAACACGAGAAGTACCGATTCCATGGCTCTGGCGATATCCTCTGGGCCTGCGTCTGATGTCTGTAGATGCCTTGCCACAAGGACGGCAGCACACTTAGCTTCAGAGACGATGTGGACTGCAGGAAACCCTGCCTTGATCAGGTATTCGCGATATTTGTTGACCATGGGGACGGCATTGGCCCATATCTCTGGCACAGGTGCTGCCACTTCGGCTTTTTCCAAGATCTGGATAGTGGTCTCTGGCGCGCAACCGAGGCTATCATGGATTTGACACTTGGCTCGATCCCAGAACCACGCTGAAATGCCCTCGATAATGTCTGCTGCGGTGTTCAGCGTGAAGACATGAGGATCCGAATTGTGGAACAGCAGAGGTACCTCGACTCTCTGGCCTTGAAAGCGAGCAAGTGTCAGCTGAAGTCGCTGCAAGATCTCGTCGGCGTGGTCATGCGTCAATCGACTGTATTCGTCTGTGTCGTCCCTAGGACCAAGCACTTGATCTTTGTAGCCTTCCAGTAAGGCCAGCTTGGGCAGGATGAAAACGTCGCTTTCTGTAAGTTTCCCATTGCGCAGCTGACGTTCTACCTTCCTCCCAACGTACAGAATATTCTTGTCTTGTTCCTCGTCCTTGACAATGGCGGCGATCATGGGACTTTCTCTCTTCTTCTCGGCGAACTCGACGCTTTTGACATCTAACTTGTCACTAGCACGGACTGTGTTCCCACTAGCTTCTGCCCAAAGAAAAGCACCATTTCTGGTGCCGAGGTCGTAGCCACCAACGAGTCTTGATCGACCAGCCAGGAGCCGCTGTACCTGAGGGCTGTCCTGCCTAGGAAGCAGACCTCGTTGCGACACTGCAAGGGCATCCTCGGGTCTGGATATCGTAGCAGTCTGACGTGGACGTTGTCGGGGTTGACGCTGGCGAAGTTGACGGGGACCTGCGCTGTGCTGTGCTTGGTGCTGTCCGATTATGTTGACTATGTCGCAATGAATTCCTTTGTCCCGGCACTCAGAACAGCTATCGGAGCCAGTGTTTCCATCGCAGGCTCGATGACGGCGTCTACAATTGGTGCATATGATCTTCTCCTGTCGCCGTGGCATTGTGTGGATGTTTTGCAGATCCGACCTGGACGGGCGATGAGCCTACGACTTGACTGCGCGTTGACGACGGAAAGTGGTCAAACATCAAATAATTAAAAGACGAAGTTGGACTTCAATTCTGAGCCGACTTCACGTCTTCAACAAAAGTGGAGACTGCAAACAAGACACGGCTTTCTGAGACTTGCTATATCACGCTAGCGGCTCAATGTGTTTGCTTCAGGATTGGATTCACCTCACTCGTTATGAACCCTACGCAATTGGTTTGACGTTTACTTAACCTACCCGCAGTTACCCAGAATTTTCTCTACTCAACCGTCCTTGTTCTCCCTTCGTCCTACTCCACGACGAAAACATTGCTTTGAGCCGCATCGCACACCCTCTTGGCACCAGTCACCACAAAAGGCCGGAATCTATCAGACACCAGAACCTCAGCCTTCCATTCATTACTTGCGTAGTCCACAAGCCGACGACTCCGGCAGGACTCAGCGTCGCCACGAAGTTTGCACTTCTTTGACCAGGGCCGTGTTGCTGTCAGTGAGGCCTTGCCTGCTAGTACAACAATGCCCAATCAATTCGGCGGAAAGAAGTACGGGTCTTGGGAGGAGATGACAATCATTAGATCTCTTGACGAATACAGAGACCAACGTAAGAGTGCGGATACTTTAGATGTTGATGGCATCCTGAAGAAGCTCTTGAAGGTTCTCACAGACGATCGTCCAGATGGCCAAACCAAAGAATTCAGCGTTGCTAGCATCGATCGTCACGTGTACAAACTCGCAACATCTTACGGCAAGGAGCCTCATCTGCAGACCAGACTGAGCCTGTTCGCCCACGGATCAGCAAGCTTGGACTTGAACAAGTTCCCGGACGGCACCTTCACAGCAGCAGAAATTGAAGCCAACAAGGACATCGATGCATGAAATCTGGAAGCCCCCACGGAGACAGCGAGACACACTATTCTCAGCCCCGAAATGATGAGGTGTCTGATTGAGTATCTGGAAGAGGAAAAGGGCGACGATGGTCTGCTCATAACCGATCGCCATGAGGCTAATCGGCAGGCTCTTGCTAGACTTGAAGAGCAGTGGCCAATTGAAACATCGGGAAAGATAACAACGGTTCACATCGAGAGGCAATTCGAAAACATTGCGAGACGTTGGCATTACGGTCCCACCATCTCAGGCGGCATGTCGTCTCTCAGAAAGTACCTCTTCCGCCATGGCAAGTCCGCCATCGACTACCGCCTGGCCCGTGCAGGGGTGTTCTCTAGAGACGAGATTGCTTCGTGGGAAAGTGAGAAAAAAGCCGAGAGAAAGGCCGCAAGAGCGAAGAGCACCAACCCGACAAAGCGGCGGAACCTGGCCGATGAGCTGAATTGGGAGTATCCTTCTCGAAAGCATCAGCGCGCTGCCAGTATTCCAGACTCGGACTCGACCAACCAGGACGCAATAGCAAACTCTGTCGAGTCTCGAAATCTCGTAACCCCAAGTGGACACGGCAGCGGCGTGCTAGTATCTCTGCAACACTTTCTCACCAATCCTCCTAATCCAACAACGTTAAAGCCGGAGTTCATCGCTAGTGAAATGTCCTTTATCAGCCATTCTATCAACGCCACCGTGTTCAGACGCCTACAGGCAGCAGACATCAACACGAACGGTCCTGTTATACTGAGCTTTGATCAGCTAGACCACGATTTCACAAAATTGTTGGAGAAGGTCTTGGGCTTCCAACGCTCAGAATTCGACAGTGGTCGCGAGAGATTGAATGAGCTGCGGGCCGAGAAATATCTGCCCTTGGAACACTTCGTTCGGTCCTTAGTCGGCGCTGCGTTGACGACGTGGGTGTTCCGCCGTGACCCCGGGGCAGAAGAGTCGAACAAGACACTGGAGATCTATCGACAAGTCGTTGGCAAGATGGGTTAGTACCTGTTGCAATCGATTGGAGAAACCTTACTGACATGTACAGACACTAATCTTGCTATGCACGTCGACGCTATAGCTCGGGAAGTTTATCTCACCCAAGAAGTGGTCCCAACAATCAAGCAACGTGCAAAGGATTTTGCTGAACGACTCGACAATGTCGTGTTCCGTTTCATAGAGCCACCTTCGTCCGATACACGACACAGAGACGGCGAAGGGTTTGATTCTAAACATAGCATCCCAACCTATGGGGAAGACTCCGACGACTCTGAGGACGAGATCACTGTACTGGAACAGAGAGTCGCCCATGCCCCCTCTGTCTCTCCAATCACTCCACCACGCCGTAGTCGACGTTCAGAGGGTGCGCCTGGCAGAGACGACGTCCAACCACATTTCACCACCGAATGGAAAGCTTCGTTGGCAAGGATCTTCGAGAGAGCATTCAACCTTCGAATCAAGATGGAGCAGAAGGCTAGTCAAGCCACATACACCTTCGAATTTCCGTACCCAGGTCAAATCTACGACGAGAGCAATCGAGAGGGCCACATTGGAGCGATACGCAAGCAGCGTCGAGTCATGATCGGCATTCTCCCGGCCGTATACTATGTGACTAAGGATCAGGACGGTCGTGAGGTTGATAGGATTGCTTGTGCTCCGCACAAGTCCTTTGACTGCTGATGAGATCAAAACCGCAGTTACTCGAAGGCGACCGGATAGCGCTGCCGACTGGCTGAATGCCAGTCTCTGCTCTCTTCCAGACCTTCGAAGCGAGCTCGCTACCCTGGCACCTCGGTCAGCATCACATCAAAATTCGACCGCTTCTCCATTGCTCTTCGCCCTTGACGCCCCCCACGGAAGCTCAGTTGCATACTTCGCACTTTATATTGCTTCTCAATGGACAGCAATGGCGCGAAATGTTCACATGCAGTGCCTTGCCGGGTCTTGCGGAGACTCGGATCATCGACTGTTGGACTAAAACGCCTGGCATGATTAGCAATCTTTCGCAATTGCCAACTAGGAGGGCCTCATTGGCAATACCGGGCTAGCTGCAGGCAGATGGCATGCTGTCAGGGATATGTATGAGGTCAGACGACTGCTGGTGTCGCTGCGGCATTCTCGATACTGATTATCAGGCGCCTAAGCAGCTGCAAAGAGCACAGATTGAAGCTCAGGATCAGTCTTACACTAGACCTCAAAGTTGGACTCAGGATTGGACTCAAAATTGGACTCATCGCGCACCTCGTCGATGCTGTTGGAAATTCTCTATCTCGTGTCGTAGTAATACAGCCGCAGAACGAGCTCGGAATCGCAGTGTCTATTCGTTCCCACTTCCGACCCCGTCCAAGCTCTTCACCTCATTCCGCCAGATCTCCGCATATTGCCTCATCTCCTTCATACAGTCCCTGCCCTTCTCCTTACCCTCACCTGCATCGCCACCGCCTCCAGCTCCAGCCTCACAGCCTTTCAAGCTGACCACAAAGTCCCCTTGCTGCCACATGCTGTCATGATGCCTCTTCTGGCCTGGGTTCTCAGGATCCTCTTGATCGCCGTACTTGAAGTTGTAGCTGTTGAGCATGCGCTGCGGTATAAGGGCCAACTTAGCAAGAACCGTTGGGTGCCACTGTACGATGTGTTCGAGAGCGTGCTGTTCGGCTTTCTGGAAGGCGTATGTCCGGTATAGTGGGTCGAGCCAGGCATCAAGGAGGAAGAGGGGCCATGAATTTGGAGACGAGGCAGCTGCTGCCGCTGGAGACGGAGCATTGCGTAGGATGAGCGAGGAGTGTGCGAGGTTGTCCATGTCCTGGCTCAAAATGAGGTGGACATTGACAGGCTTGAGGTGTGAGAAAGTCCGGATCACGCTGTCTGGTGGAACAACGGGGACATCTCGCTGCATAAGGGTCGTGAGATTGTTGAAGATGTGATCTGAGAGGCCGAGAGCCGGGTTCGTGATCAGCGAGTACGCCGAGAGATACCAGACATATGTGGAACGCGGATACAGAGTAAGGGTATGTCTAAGAGCTGGCACCATGGACCAGGATGTTGGCGATGGGGCGATAATGGACTCGTATGTTGAAACATTCGTGAAGAAGTTGACATGACCCCATCGTCGAGCGTAGTCTTCTCGGTTCTCTTTGACAATGTCTATGAACTCCTTTGACTGTCTGCTTTCATCGAAGACCGTCACCATCACGACCGAGGGATTGGCTTCGATTTCAGTAGGCTCGGGAGCTGTGCCACCCGTGAAGAGGGCCTTGTACAGAAGGTAGAGCGTGGCCAAGACGAGGACGATTGATCCCATGCCCTGCATTTGTCGTCTGCGCTGGGCGGCATTGTGCAAGTTCGCGGCACGAGCAAAGGGCGGAGGTTGCGATGTCTTTCGTGGTGGGAGTGCGAAGTGCATATTCGCGGCCTCTGCTGGTGCTATCGCAGTATCATCGCGTATGTGAGGTGGAAAAGGCACTACAGCCTACACTGTCTACCCCAAGGCGTGAAAAGGCGCAGTGAGGCATCCGAAGGGGTGCATTGTTGAAATGAGGTTGTACGAGGGAAGTCGCTGCGCCGCCCGATCGGGACTAGCGCGACAGCGCGACAGCCTGATGTTGGTTTTGGCATTCTCATGTGTATATCTATCCTGCCGTCTTTACGCCATGACTTCACTCGGTCAGGTCGCTCATCTATCTCGTTACCATATCATGAACATATGTACTGCGTCGATCGAGATTCTGGTCAACAATACCACCAGAATAACAACTCTGCGACATTTCGTGAGGTCAATGACCCCGAGCGACGTAACCGAGCTCTATATCTTCTGCAATCTAGGTCTTCGGGCAGCATCGTCTAAGCGGCCTAAGACGTCGAGTCATGCTCGGATATCCCAGTTCGAACCTGGGTGCTGTCGTTAGGCCATCACCCTTCTGCCGTACGATGCTGGCGTTGGGTATGGCCTAAGCTTTTTGCGTTTCTGTCCTTCGACGCCTGGTCAATACAGTGTGTGACACATCATGGGACAGGACGGAAACTTCAGTCAATCTTTGCTGCGATTTACGTTGAAAGGCTCTTGAGGTAAGCCCTAAGGATCAAGGTGGACTTGGGCACTTGCGACCGCAACAAACATGATCAACTTCACACGGCTGTCACCACGAGTACCACGTGCTCTGTCATGACTGTCTGATGCAGAGACGTTTTCCGACGGACCTTTGCTCTGTCATTGTCAACGTCCTGCCCACGCGCACATCTGCGCGATGTATACAATCTCTCCTGCCCATTTGGTGATCTTCTCCACTTCCACTATCTACTGATCTGCACTCTCCGCTACGCACTTATCAGCTTGGCAACACACAAGACCGATCGGCGACCTGCCATTCATGTACCCACTGACCAGATGGATTTTGCCAAGTTCGCTTTCCAAGGCACGGAGATGGATCCCGAATTTAGTCGGCAATGGAATGCTGAACTCCGCAACACCATGTGTGGCACTCGGCACAGGCCGATCTACCAAGCGAAGTGTCAGGGCACCACACTAGTCGCTGGTCGACAAGATTCCCCAACAATCTCCACGACGGCAACCTACTTATATGCTGACCCGTGCTGTCACCTTCTCCGCGTGGCATGCCATCTCTTGACGAGGTTTCTGAACAACTGAACCACGATGGAAGTCAAGACTGTCACCAACAGCCCGATGGTGGCAGAGGCAGCCGCTCTACCAGAGAAGGTCGACGAGTCCGATGGCAGCATTCATATTGACCCAGAACTCGAGCGAAAGGTCTTGAAAAAATTTGACATGCTTGTGATGCCGCAATTCATTATCATCATCCTCCTGGCGTATCTCGACAGATCCAACATTGGTTCGTGCCCAAAAATGCGAGTAAGAGCGGCGTCCACTGACCAATCCACCAGGTAATGCACGTGTGTTTGGCTTCGAGGAAGACCTTGGCCTCGTGGGCAACCAATTCGCCAACATTTCAAGCTTCTTCTACGTCACATATGTCATCTTCGAAGTCCCGTGGGTTCTGGCTGTGAAGCACTTCGGCGCGAACTCGGTGGCAGCTATTGCTATCGTTCTCTGGTCTGCGATCACGCTTGGGACTGGCTTCGTCAAGAACTATGGACAGACCATAGCTATGCGATTGCTCCTTGGCTTTGCTGAGGCCGGAATATTCCCTGCATTGGTGTTTGTCATCAGCACGATCTATCCAAGGGAGAGCCAAGCAAAGCGAGTTGCTGTTTTGTATGGTGCATCTGCGCTCAGTGGTGCTTTTGGTGGCTTGATCGGTATGTCCTCTGGCAAGAAAGCCGCCATCACTTGTTGATCCGCTTTGGTAAGACGCAGGCTGACCACGACTTACCACAAATAGCATACGGCATACAGTTGATGGGCGACCGGCACGGTCTATCTGCCTGGCGCTGGCTTTTCATCGTCGAAGGCATCATCTCAATGGTTTTAGGTGCCGCTTGCTGGACTACCCTACCCAAGACCGCTGAGCATGCATGGTTCCTCAACGCTCAGGAAAGGCAACTTATGGAGGACAAGCGCCGAAAGGACTTCGTCTATAAAGGAGAATCCAAGCTCTCGTGGGCCGACGTGAAGCTCGCATTTGCTGATCCAATGGTCATCATGGCAGGCGTGTGCCTCTTCTGTGCCAGTATACCCCTGTTCGGATTCGGAATTTTTTTGCCGACGATTATCGCTGGACTCGGTTTCAAGAGCATTCAGGTCAATTATCTCACCATACCAGTGTATATCTTCGGTTGTTTGTACCTCGCCCTAATGACCTATTTATCCGACCGACTTCGCAAACGAGCAATCTTCATGATGAGCGCCACAAGCATAGTCGTCATTGGCTACGCGATTGTCATCGGGTCGTTCCGTAGCTGCTGGATACTTCGCCATGTTCCTTGTTGCCGGTATTTACCAATACAACTGCCTCCTCCTCACATGGGTCAGCAACAACATCACCCCAGACTCCAAGCGCAGCGCGGCCATCCCGTGGTTCACCTGCATCGGGAACATCAGCGGCGTTGCCGCTTCGCAGGTCTATCCTACATTCACTGCTCCGCGGTACATCATGGGTAATGCAATTAGTATGGCTATGGAGATCTCAGCAATTCTCGGGGCCGGTGTGATCTGGTTCATTTTGTATAGGAGGACGCAGGAGAAGGAGCGGCTGATCGCTGAGGGCGTGACGGATAATGGGAAGAAGGGAGATAAGGCACTTCACTTCAAGTACATCTACTAGCGATCAGGGATCCGAAGCCGCGGACGTGGCCCACGCTTGATCCTCAGCAACGGACGCAACGTTCTGGACAAATTGGTCAGACGCGTTCAATGAGGCATTCATGCGTGTCGACCGTGATGTCAAAGAGGCATCTTCTCCGAAGAGCTGCCTCCAGGGCCGTGATGGACCACAGAGGTCACTTACGTACCTCCGAAGAACACGGACTTTACAAGCCAAGGACGGGTAGTTCACCACACTCAGTGCTAACAGACCTGCCAATGACGACAACACAACCCACAGTCATCTATAGAGGCCATTTTAGAAGCCCTGCAGATGCTGCCAGCACCTAGGCTTGCCCAGTCGTCCTGTTCCTGAGCAAAGATCTTTTACGACATACGGTGGTACATATCGTACAACAATGGTCTGGATCCCCAATGTTTAACACTTCTTGGCACAGCCGCCCGATGTGGTATCACGATTACTAGGGTCTGGACCACATTTCTGACCACTCAAACCCAATCGTACCGTTGCCAAAAGTGCGGCTGCGAACAGAGAGTAAGTTCTGGTCTTTGTAAGAGTCCGCTGCGCTATTCCACGGTCAAGTGTGAGGCGCCTGAGGCGCTTAGTCACTGCCATTATTGAGAACCGGCCTCCTTCCGCTCCCTCCATTCGGAGACTTGGTAGGGACATGTCCGCGCCATGCTCCATGCTATGTCGATCATTTGAGTGGCTACAAAGTATAACATAGCCTTGCCGCCAATGTTCTCTGAGCTCAGGTACAACCATACCCAGAATAACATGAGCTCGATGAGTAAGACGTCGTTGTCCCTGACCTCTTCGTCGCCCACTGGTACAGCCCAGCAGCCATCCAGTGCAGCGCCAAAACGCCTGCATCTGAAAGCATGTGAGAGCTGCAGCCAAAGGAAGATTCGATGTCCTGGACCATCTGACGAGAACGACGGACCATGTGAGAAGTGTATGAGGTCAAATCGTCCGTGCCATTTCCGACAAAGAGAGAATCGGGCACGAAGGAAGCGAGTCGAAGTCCGCGTCAGAGAACTTGAGCAAAGAATTGTAGACCTGGCGGCTAAATCGAACGATCCTTCGGAGGCAAGCGAAGAGAGCATCGACACTGTCCCAGATACTGTGCTGGATGATGTTGGTCAGGTCTCGGAGGCATACTCGACCAGCGTTGAAAGCTCGCGAGACATCACAGTGTGGCTGGGCGCTACTTCGCTGGACCGACGTCTTGCCTCGTCTGCAAAGGACGAGGCACCGGAGTGCATTGGCAAAAGGACACGACTCTGGAGAAGACCTGGCGATAGATCAGCAGGTGGTTGCAAAGCATGCAAACAACGAAAGCTCAAGGTAGGTCACTCCCTGCACTCAATCAATTACAAACACTAAGTGGTATAAGTGCGACGAGGCAAAGCCTCGTTGTCAGCGATGCCTAGATACAAGCCAGGACTGTCTGTATTCCGGAGCGATATCCTCGACCAAGGACAAATCCTCGAACGACCTGAACAGAATCCAGAACCTACGCTTCGAGCAATTTAACTCAAGCATCTTGAGTATGGGCTTGGTATTGGGTCTCAACACCGCTCAGCTGGATCATCGAGTATCTCGAGTTCTTACACACTGGGACCGGCACGCAATCAGGTCTTTTGGCGCACCACACATGCAATCTGCGATGAGCGAATGGGGTTTCGACCTAGCCAGACAAGCACCTTACCTCCTACATACACTCAGTGCCTTTGCTGCCCTGCACCTACAGCATTTCAGCCATAACAAGGATCCAGAGCTCGATGACCTCTACGACCATCACTTCCACAGCGGAATAGAAATGTACAGCCAGGCGCTGTCCAGCGAAATCGAGCCGGAGAACGTAGACGCTATGTTTGCCGCGTGCATGCTATTTGCATTTCTGGCGTACACTGCGCCTTCTCGGGGCCCTCCTCGCGATACAGATGCAATAGCGCCGGCTTCTACAGACCTTGTCTGGCTCATGAGCCAGTGCGGCTTCCTGACGCTTAAGACCACCACACAATGTCACCTCTCAACCTCGATATGGCATGATCTCTTCGCCGAGTCAGATTCTCAGGGCTCTCAGCTCAAGGTGCCCATGGATCTTACATCTACACCCTCGGCATGGCTCAATCTTTGCGGTATCGATGCCACAAGCACAGACGCCAATAACCCTTACTACAGAGCCCTCCACATGCTACTGCTCATCCAGCACATCGACGCAAGCAAGCCGGCAAATTTCTCACCCTTCATATCCTTCCCCGGACGAATGCGCTCAGAGTTCATGGAGCTCGTCCAGCAGAGAGACAAGGTCGCTCTCCTCTTACTGGCTCACTGGCTAGCCAAAATGTGCGAGATGGGCCAATGGTGGTGCGATGCCAAGGTCAGGAGCGAGTGCTGGGCTATCTGTGATTACTTGGGAGATCACGCGAGCTACAAGGGCGGGTGCGAAGGCCAGCAGCTCCTCATCGAAGGACTGTTGAGGGCTCCTATGCGCGCTTGTGGCTATCCGGCGCGTCTTGTGTAAGACCCGGCTCGGGCTTGACCTGGACTTGCTATGAATAGGGTCGGCTTATGTCATTGAGAGGGCGATCATGCATGCAAGATAAACGACAGCTACTTGTTGGACGCCTCCTGTGCTAGCTGAGATCCGAACTGCCTCTCTCCACAGTTCTTCAAGTATTCTGCGGACCCTGAAGCGTTGATCGCCCGTCGAGCACGTGGGAAAGTCCGTTCTGACTTATACACTCGCCGGGCCGCCCCAGATCAGACCATAGCGAAGACCGCTCGCTCCTGCCTACCTAGGTAGCCGAGAATCATACGACGCAACGGAAGGCTCTACCACGACGAAGTGGTTGCCTTGTGGGAGGCTGCACAGCTGGCGAGACAACGCGATTGGTCAGTCGGGGTTGTTTGCCTGCTTTCTCCGGTGTTGCTCGGACCTGTTCACCTTGGGGATGAGACGTAGACAATCAAGATCTGACGGTCTAGTGTACGAGAAACGGGGAATTGTAGGTGTCTGTATCGGATTTGAAGATCAGGTAAGGCATGGCTAATTGCAGTTACGTCCTTGGCGGCCTTCCTGGCAACATCTGTGGTGGTCATGGACTTCATGCGGTTTTTGACGACATAGTCCGTGGTGGCGGCCTCCTTTATCTTGAAAATCAGGACATCGTCTTCATATGCGATACTGTGGAGGTGCTCCCAGCTCATCATTCCTGTCGAGAGCATACCACTTGTTGAAGACGTTCTCTGGATCGTACTTGGCTTTCAACTCTCGCAGTGCTTCTGTCCGAGCTGAACCAAAGACCTGTTCAACAGGCATAGTGTTGTCTGTGCGAGGACACTGTTGTCAGCAACTCCGAGGAATGGTGAATTTGTTGCATTGGGAGGGTATGACTCACTGTTATAACCAGTGTAGACTCCTAAGTCTTCTTCTCCTGAGACACCATCAAGAACCTCAAATCCGTACGCCTCAACCGCCGCCTGGCCCCATAAGTACTGCACCACATCATGCACGAACCTCGCGGCCACCACGTCCTCGCTTGGGTGAGTATGATTCGATACCACCATCACGTTTTGCGCCGTACCTCTGCGAGGGAATACTGACTCTACCTCCGGCCCCTTCCCAACCTTGTCCAGCTGATGAAACTCGAAAAGCACTTCCGCATCAATGCTCGAACCATCATCACCCCTCCGACAAGCCTCTGCATGCCGTTCAATCACCCACTTTAACGTCTCCAGTGCCAGTGGATACCGATGAATCCCACTTCCCATATGCTGCCGCTTACCCATTGCCGCTGTCCAATCAACCAGCGTAAGCGCCTTCTCGTACGGCATCATACTGGTGAACTGCATCTGCGGCCCCAGAGCGTACAGTGCTCCCAAAAAGGTCATCGCTTCGTCCTCGGTGCCGTCATACAACACGCTAACGATGAGCATAGGCGTCATAGTCGGGGGCGAGCTGGCGAGGACTAGTGTGATGCTGCCACGGCCAATCGGATCTGGTGCAATGCGGTTGATAACCTGCAGCAGCTCCTGAATTCGGGTCGTTGGAAACATGATGGCGCCAGCGAAAACCGCGTTGTTGTTGTGCAGCTGGTGTAGTCGTACGGTGAGTTGAGTCACGACGCCAAACATGGGTCCTGCGCCTCGTAGCCCCCAGAACAGGTCGGGGCATTTGGTAGGGCTGGCAGTCACGATAGTGCCGTCCGCTAGCACAACTTCGGCGCTGAGTACCTGATCAGCCATTACGCCAGATTGGCCGGTCAATGCGCCATAGCCTCCACCCAGCGAGACTCCAGCGAAGCCGGGGAGTGAAACGTTGCCGGCCACAACGGCAAGCTGGTGCTCGGCTGCGGCTCTTGCGACTGCACCCGCTGTCGTACCGCCATCAACGGTGATTTCCTTCTTCTTTGCGTCTACTCTGGCGTAGTTGAGACGGGAGAGGTTCAAGGAGATTCCGCTGTCAGTGACGCTGGCGGCGCCCGCGAAGTGGCCGCCTCCACACACTGCTAGGTCGAGTTTGTGCTCTTTTCGGAACTTCAGAACGGTTCCGACATCTTCTGCAGAGGTAGCATAGACGACTATCGGCTGAAGGTGAGGTACGGAGCATAACAGTCAGCCTACTGGGTGTCCACACGAGGGCCGAGGTGAAGATCTCATGAAGTCCGCCTGAGAGGTGTGTACTTACAGCTTTCTTCTCCATCGCAGCATTCCATCGCTTCAAGCTCTCCTCGTATCCCGGCGAGTTGGCATCGAGGACTGGCGAGCCCCTGAGCCGACTCGACAGCTGTGCGGCTAGTGTTCTGAAGGTCATATTGGTCAGTGCCACGGGATACTCGCGGAGTGATGGGTGCAGTGGTTAAACAATGGCAAAGAACGAGGGTATGGATGGATGAGGTATTGGCGCAAGAAACCAGACAGAGGCTTCTGAGCGCACCCCTTTTGTATATGCATTTGGTCGGCTCGTCCAGCAATTCTACCTGAAGTCCACCTCCTCGTAAGTGAGACGGGCAATAGTGTAGCCCGAAAGCGGCGAGCAACATCATCCGATGGCCCATGTAAGGCGCTCACAGACTATTTGAGGCAACAAGGGCTTTTGAGCCCACTTACAGAGGGGCTCTGCTGCTGACAAGCCAGCTTGACTGGCGTGATACGTTGATAGTTGAAGGGCTCGTCCTGATGCAGTGACAGTCGGCATGAAATGCTTCCGGGCGTTTGATCGTAGTAGCTGCTGGGATACTTCATGAACTGAGGATCGCATATACAGTCGAAGACTTCGGGGTTTCGTCTGTCCCGATTCCGTGGTCCTGCCAAGTGCTGGATCGTCGCTGATCCCAAGACACTGACTGGATCCAGCGGTAGGGTCAGGCGTAGACGTAAGTTTAAGTCAAGTCTCTGATGGGCACGGAGCTCATATGTGCATTTGTCGTTGCTCGTTGGCCTCAAGTCAACGTCCTTCCCTTGCACAAGGCTCGCGTTGAGAGGCAGGGATCGCTGCTCAAGTCGGATGCAGGCTCCAGCATCGACGATGATGCGCAAGATACTGCTTGACGCACACACTCAGGCACTTGCTACCGCAAGAGCGAAGAGCCCCATCTTCGTGGCTTCATCACGTGAGCAATTCTTAGAGAAAGATTTCAGCATTCACCTTGCAACGATCTTTTGCGGGGTATCGTGATGTGGAATGTCCAGGATCTCTTGATCGTGACAATCAGGACATTCACATTGTGTAAGCCATCGACAACGAGATGATGGAATGCAACGCTTTGGATGTGCTGGTTGATGAGTGGAGTGAGGCCTTTCGATGCGCTGGCGTAGGTCATCCGGTCTGACTGAAGTCCGGTCAAATTCTTTATCGATAAGATTTTCTGCGACGACTTTCTTTGCCCGCATGCAACTTTCGTATCTGAAGACCACACTCAGCATGGAGCTTAGCCGATGACACAGCTGGCGACAGTGCTCAGGGAATAATGGAGGACCAAGCAAATCGCCCGCACCGGGCGTCAAAAGAAAAGAAGGTCAAGAAGAAGGGTGAGCGCAATGCAAAGGCCTTTGCTGTTGCCAATCCTGGCCGGTTGGCCAAAACAGCGGTACGGTCTAGCGACATCCGAGAGAAACGCCTGCATGTTCCCCAGGTCGACAGACTACCAGAAGAGGCGCCCCCAATCATTGTCGCCGTGGTTGGTCCACCAGGCGTAGGCAAGACTACATTGATCAAGAGCCTCATCAAGCGGTACTCGAAGCAGACGCTTTCACACCCCACTGGTCCGTTGACTGTGGTCACGTCCAAGAGGAGGAGGTTGACGTTTCTGGAATGTCCGTCCGACTCACTGGCAGCCATGATCGATGTGGCCAAGATTGCAGACATCGTTCTCCTTATGATCGATGGCAACTACGGGTTCGAGATGGAGACCATGGAATTTCTGAACGCTCTGAGCACGTCCGGCATGCCTGGAAATGTCTTCGGCATCCTGACACATCTCGACTTGTTCAAGAAACAAAGCACATTACGCATGGCCAAGAAGAGGTTAAAACATCGATTCTGGTCCGAACTGTACCACGGTGCAAAGCTGTTCTATCTGTCTGGCGTTGTGAATGGGCGATACCCTGATCGGGAAGTTCACAACTTGTCCCGCTTTCTGTCGGTCATGAAAAACCCAAGGCCGCTCATATGGAGGAACAGCCATCCTTATTGCCTGGCTGATCGATTCCTGGATGTCACACAGCCTACAGAAATCGAGAAGAATGAGAAGTGCGATCGTCAGATAGCCCTGTATGGCTACTTGCGAGGCACAAACTTTCCTGCTACAGATGCAAGGGTACACATACCTGGTGTCGGCGACCTCACGGTACGAGAGATCGAAGCACTACCAGACCCTTGTCCCACTCCATACTTGGATCAAGCAATCGCAAAGGCTAGCGGGAAGTCTTCAAGGAGGAAGCTTGGCGAGAAGCAGAAAGTACTATTCGCTCCGATGTCTGACGTTGGTGGTGTGCTGGTTGACAAAGATGCGGTATATATTGATGTCAAATCGAACACGTTTGACCGAGATGCAGACGATTTGGAAGATCGAGGACTTGGTGAACAACTTATGGTCAGTCTACAGGGGGAACGTAAATTGCTGGGCACAGCCAATACTGGAGTTCGGCTGTTCCAGGGAGCTAGTCACATCACGGGCGACGCGGATTCTGGCCGCAAAGAGAAACGAGGCATCAGAAATCTCGACAACCAGGACGACTTCGAACAAGATGAGGACGAAGGCTTCGTTAGCGGAGATGACAGCGAAGACGAAGAGATCGCAGATGACCCAGAAGCCATGACTCAGCATCGTGGCAGACCAGGATTCGCTGCTCAGGAGGATGAAGCGGACGTCAACGGCGACGATCTGGCTTTTGCTGAGAGCGATTCCGATCTGGGCTCGTTGGAAGACGCGGAGGATAGACATGAATTGCATGACGACTCCGAATTTGACGACGACCTAGAAGAGAACGGAAGCGACGAAGAGGACGACGGAGGTCTGAGGTGGAAAGAAAACATGGAACTCAACGCCCGAAACTTACAGTCGAATCGAAGATCATACCGCGCGGCTGATCTGTCTAAGCTCATGTACAATCTCTCACTATCGCCAGCAGAAGTGGCGTCAAGGTGGAGAGGAGAGGAGCATGACACAGACAGTCAAAAGCTCGAGCAGGATGAAGAGGACGAGTTCTTCAGGAAAACCAACATCGAAGCAGAGGACGATTTCGAAGATCGCCAAACACCGAAAGTGGATCTTGGCGAACTTAGGCGCAAGTGGGAGGACGAGGACCAGATGCAATCCATCATCTTGCGCTTCACAAAGTCTGCGCCCGCCACGGGAGCTAACGCCGACGACGTTGACGATGATGAGAACGCTAGTGAAAACGACGACTATAGCGACGAGGGTGATGGCGAGTTCGAGGATCTGGAAGCCGCGGCTCCGACCGGCATGCCCTCATCTGAAGAGTTGACCCTGGAACAAGAAAGAGAAAAGAATGCGAAGAGAAAGGAGGAGCTCAAACTCAGATTCGAGGAGGAGGATCGTGAGGGGTTTGGCAAAGCCAAAGATGAGGTAAAGACCACGGAACAGGAATTCGGCGAGGACGATTGGTATGATGCCCAGAAAGCGATGTTGCAGAAGCAGATTGACATCAATCGTGCCGAGTTCGATAGTCTGGATCCGACCTCACGAGCTCGAGCAGAAGGTTTCAAGGCCGGAACATATGCACGAATTGTGCTCGACAATGTGCCTTACGAGTTTGCGAGATCTTTCAACCCACGCTACCCGGTCATCATCGGCGGTCTGGCGCCGACAGAAGATCGATTTGGATTCGTCCAGATCAGAATCAAGCGACATCGTTGGCACAAGAAGATTCTCAAAACTAACGATCCGCTCATCTTCTCCCTTGGTTGGCGACGGTTTCAAACTCTTCCCTTGTATTCGATTTCGGACTCGCGGACCAGGAACAGAATGCTGAAGTATACCCCTGAGCACATGCACTGTTTTGGCACCTTTTACGGCCCACTAGTGGCACCAAATACCGGCTTCTGTTGTGTACAGTCGTTCTCCAACTCAAACCCAGGGTTCAGAATTGCCGCGACCGGCGTGGTCATGAATGTGGACGAGAGCACTGAGATCGTCAAGAAGCTGAAGCTGACCGGACACCCCTACAAGATTTTCCGCAATACAGCCTTCATTCGCGACATGTTCAACAGCTCAATTGAGATCGCCAAGTTCGAAGGAGCAAGCATCAAGACGGTGTCCGGTATTCGAGGTCAGATCAAGCGAGCTCTGGCCAAACCTGAAGGTCACTTTCGCGCAGCTTTCGAAGACAAGATTCTGATGTCCGACATTGTCTTCCTCCGAGCATGGTACGCCGTGAAGCCTCATCGCTTCTACAACCCTGTCACAAATCTCCTGGATGCCGCACCATCCAACAGCGATGATGTGGCTAGAGATGGCATGGACGGATGGCAAGGCATGAGACTGACAGGAGCAGTGAGGGCATCATTGGGCATGTCGACACCTCGCCAGAAGGACTCCGCGTACACCAAGATCGAACGCCCAACTAGGCACTTCAACCCACTGCGGGTTCCACGAGCAATCCAGACAGATCTGCCCTACAAGTCGCAGATCACTCAACAAAAGGCTCGCAAGGCGCCTACTTACCTTCAGAAGCGAGCAGTTGTGCTTGGTGGCGAGGAGAAGAAGGCTCGTGATCTGATGCAGAAGCTAATGACATTGCGGAACGAGAAGGTCGAGAAACGGGCCAAGAAGCAAGAAGAGCGGCGGCAGGTGTATCGCAAGAAGGTAGCTGAGAATCTTGAGAAGAAGACTGAGCGTGAGAAGCGCGAAAGAGACGAGTTTTGGCAGAAGGAGGGCCAGAAGAGGCAGCGACAGGGCGATGGTAGTGGTGGCCGTCGTCCAAAGCGCGCGAAGCGGGAATAGCTCTTTCCCTGACCACTGCCTCTGTCATCTACAAATCAAATGTGTGCCTTCCCACACGCACGAGTCCAATCATGAAAACGTGTGAAATGGTGGTGACGACTCCTTCAACCTCTTGCTTACATCTCAGATTCGCAGTTCGAGAGACTGACGTTTTCAGCAGGGAGAGTGAATGATGCTGTCGCATTTTGAGTCTCGCCTACTTACGCTAAATTGAGGCTAGCAGAACGCGTGAAAACTCGGTGTCCTCCCTGAACGGCGGCGTGACCATCTGACCTTCTTTATATCCCTCAACATCGCGATCACGCAAATCATTGACAGCATCATATTGTCGCATGTTGGATTTTATTATCCCAAGCCGCCACTTCCAGCAGCAAGATTGCCAGCTACGAACGCGTCTGGATTCAAACGCGTTCGCATGAGACACGTCATCCCGAGGGCCCCCACCATTGCGTGCCGTTCCAGGTGCTCGTGCGGTGAGTTCGAGTCTTGGTCGATCCGCACACGCGACAGGTGGCATCCTTGAATTTCTGCCTGTTCGCTCGCTGGCGTTTAAAATCGGTCCAGGACTGTGCATGAGGACTAGAGCATAGCAAGCGACTGTATAAGCAGTCTTCCGCAGCTGCTATGCCGCCCTCCTTACCGGCCCAGCAGCAACTTTCTTCGGCAGCTCGATCTGCTACATTATTCGATAACAGTTCTCAGAGCTCGACGACCTCACAAATATCTCAAGCAGCCCTTCCGCCCTTCCCTGATGTCGACACTGGAGCCGATATCACGTCTACGGTAGCTCGTGACCTGACCCCGCCGTCGTCTGCTTCTTCCTCGGTCCAGGAAGATGTCATCACCGCACAAGATTCGCCTACGCCGAGAAAGAACACGGCAGGCATCAAGCCAGACTCGCCAGTCTCTGCTGGATCGGTAGAACATGGAGGTGTCTTGGGACGGGCGAGAGCGGACAGCGCCGCTGGATCTAAGAGAACCGCCAGCGGGCATATAAAGCAGCCATCTCAAACGTATCATGACTATACACCTCGCCCAGACCACAAGAACCCGAGTCATACGCGCTCTTCCAGTGCAGCGTCGGTCGGCAGCAACGGCAACGTAGCAGAGGTGAGCGATCAAGCTGGCAGCCGCCTGAACACCACTGATTTGTGCCAGATTTCGCAGCACCTTCGCACGAAATTGAAGTATGCAATGGTGAAGGTCCAGCACGGGTGGCAGACCCGGTCGTTGGAAGAGCTCGAGTCTCTAGCTTCAGCATCTCCACGCTCGACGGCATCAGCCGTGACACAGACTAATGTGAATTCAGGTTCTCCGAGAAGGCTTATACACCAGCGCCTATCTCGCAAATGGAGTGATAGCTCGAGTTCTGTGAGCAGTCAGTCTGAGCTGTACAACATGGCATCGCCACAGCTCGCTGCTGTCCCAGAGTCCGGCTCCCAGTTGCGTGGCCTGGCTCCTCCAGCAGATATCATTGCCGGACAGCGTAGGCGGCCCCCGCCAAACGAATCGACCGACATCAGTTTGTCTCAGGATCCGTCACGGACCGTTAGACCTGCTGCGAAGCAACGAACCCCCAGCCAGAATGCCGTCCTTGAGAAGGACGCGGTGGAGACGCTTCTGTTCATGGCCAGCCCTAACAACTCCAGCTACCACGTCAGCTCGCAGCCATCACAAGAATCATCACTTCGTTCGACACAGGTTCTGTCTGCGATGACCTCGCCACTGCGGACGCAGTTCAGCCAGAGCACATTATCGTCACCGAAGAAGTCGCGTTCAGCATCAGTCCACCTTGAACACTCGGACGGACCGTGCAGCGCTTATCGAGCAAATGCTGGACGACCTACCTGATGAAAGCGAGGATGACCTCGACGAGGCTCTTGTCTGGAACGATAAGCGGTCCGCCCACTTGGCGACATAGGCCACCAGTACCCCGAACTGTGTATACTTGGCGTTCCGTTCACCATATCATGCATTGTATAGGTTCGTTTTGGCATAGCTCTGGAGCCGTCAGCTGCTCAGATCCCAATGGGTTTACGACTTACGATATCGTGATTTACGGGTCCAAAGGAGTTCATCTTTCGGCGTTAGCGGGCATGCGGCTACGTGCCGCGAGTGATACTGGCACGCTTGAAGTGACTCGAGTCGTTGACTAGTGGCCCAGTCGGGGTGGTGGCCGTATGGCTCGCGGGTTCGCATCTTGGTTGCCTTTGTGGATCTTACGCCAAGATTTTTGACGATCCTCAGGAGACGAAGTATCTTACCAGACGTGCAGTGTATATATGTGAATGAACAGATCCGGCACCACGATTTCCTTCAGTGTCGAACCCTTCCGCGGATTCGTGCCTTTACTACCTTGCTTAAGGCCATCCTATCAACATGGCAGCAGTCCCATTTCCTCGCTCCAACATTGCTGACCTAACAGACAAGATAGCACTGATCACCGGAGCATCCTCAGGCATTGGACGACAAATTGCACTGGCTTACGCGGCGGCAGGAGCATACGTAGTCGTTGCCGACATCACCTCAAACCCGCCCGAAGCACCCTTACTCGAAGCAGCTTCCAAAGACCGCCAGACTGACCAGCGCACGCCAACTGTCGAGCTACTCAACACCAATTGGCCCGGAAACGATGGCAAAGACAGGTGCAAATATGTCAAATGCGACGTCACTTCACCAGACAACGTAGCAGCCGCCGTCACCTTCACCACAGAGTCATATGGACGTCTGGACATCCTCGTCAACAACGCCGGCGTCATGCTCGAGTCCTTTACGACGGTTCCGACGCTGCTGCACCAGACAGACGTGGATCTGTTCGACAAGACTATGGCTATCAACGTACGCGGCGCCTGGTTGGGGATCAAGTACGCGACTGCCCAGATGCTTGCCCAAACGCCTCACAGCTCGGGCGATAGGGGGTGGATCATCAACATGTCGTCAGTCTACGGCTTGGTGGGCGGGAAGTACACCACCTCGTACTCCGCGAGCAAAGGCGCGGTGACCAGCTTGACGAGAGCATCGGCGCTGGAGTATGCGGAGCATAAGATACATGTGAATAGTTTGCATCCGGGGTATTGCGACACGCCGCTGCTAGAGGCAGTGAGGAGGAAATATGGGGGTGAGCAGATGGAAAAGGCGTGGGCGGGGATGCATCCTTGGGGGAGGATTACATGGCCAGAGGATGTGGCGAAGATGGCGGTGGTGCTGGCGAGTGAGGTGGCGGGGTTCGTTACGGGGCAGCGTGAGTTTTGTGCGGTAATTATCATGAAGATTGAAGCTGACTTATTTCTACCAGAATTCGTTGTTGATGGAGGATTCGCAATAAAAGGCTGAAGCTACCGGGAAATGGCAGTCGATTGGCCGCTGAATCCTCCAGCACATGGAGAGAAGATTGCGCCAGTGCTGAATGTGCAGGGCCAGGAATGAACCTGTACACAGTAGACCGACGTCAGGATACAACATGGACCGGAGGATATTATATATGCACGTTCCGAATGTTGCTGTTACCTTGTCATCACGAATTCGTGCCTCGTGATGGACGCCACAAATTGATGCGCTAAACAAGCAACCCTAGGCTCAAATTTTTGGTCCTCGATTTAGAAACACTCGGTCGTGCCGTCCCTTGCAGCTTGCTGCCACGAGGGTTCCGAACGTGTTGTGGTGCGTATAGAACACATTTCTGTCGTCCTTACTGTGAGATTGTAAAGACCGTGAGTGCCATCGCCGGGTGTGCGTTCCCAGTGCTTCAGCCGAGTCGAGGGGCAGTGTGTTTTTGCAAGGGAAGCGCCAGTGGTCCGGGTGTCGCTAAAAGTTAAGCCGTGGCTGTGTTACTTGCGAGAAGAGCCTATCGCCAGGCGTCGTCTCAAGCATGAAGGGCCCACCACTCAAGTCCCCTGAGCTAATCTCAATCGCCAATAATGCGACAGTTGGGCGAATACGAGAACGTCTATAGTCGAGGCACGCCCAGAACACGTCGCTTTCTGAGCTCTATCTCGACCTCATAACATCGTAGGCAACCCCAGGAATACTCGTGAAACGCTGCGCAAGATGGACGCTGGCGAGTCGCGGAAGCTTGGCTTGACCTCGTCGGCCTCGTCCTTGACCAAGAAATCAATGACCTTTCTGAAGGACGTTACAAGCCTGGCCCAGAACACTTTCCAGACGCCGAGCAATCAACATCAGAGCAATTCGTACGGCTACGGTCAGCAACAGGGTCTGTCGCAGCACTTCAACCACACTATCAACGCGCCACCGCCTCAGCAGTATCTCTATCCACAATCGGCAGTGTCGCAGCATCCACCCCAGCAATGGCCACGCCCACCTCCATCGCCAAACAGACCTTCTCCACAACAGTCGCCCTCTCCTCAGCCCTACGCGCAAACATACCAACCTCGACCAGTCAGTCCAGGCTATATTCCAGGGCAAGGACAAGTGAGCGTAGTCCAGCAGAATCAGTATGCTCCTGCGCCGCCACCGCGACATCCTTCTGTAACTTCCGTGCACCAATACGCTGATCTGCCGCCGCCACCTCCATACCCTGGGCATCCTGTGTCGACACCATCGCCACCCATAGGACCACATGTACAACAGCAGAATCATCCCATCTCGCCGGACTTACCACCCGTCAACCAGCAGCTTCCTAATCAGGCCGGCTGGCATTCACCATCACCACAGCCGCAATACTCACAGGGACCTCCACAATCTTTCCAGCAACAGCCTTCATGGACCCCATCGCAACCATCTCCACCACCACCACAACAACAGTACCAAGCATATTCAACACCTCTATCTTCAACGCCTCATCTGCAACAGCTGCCTCCGCCGCCGCCACCTCAGAGACACCCAAGTGCGCCCAACATCCAGCACCGACCGCAACAATATCAGCCGCATCATTCGAACACCTATCCGTCGGCGTCACACCCTCCTATCCAACGACCGTCGACCTCACACAGCAGCGCTCCGTCAAATGAAGTAGCTCCACCACTTCCTCTTCGACCACAAGTCCCGCACTCCGCCACCTCGCCGTCTTCTCAGCCTACCTCAAATCCTCCGCGCCCGACCGGCTACGCTGAACTACCCTCGCCGCCAAATCAGCAGCAGCAGCCGAATCATTATTTCGCACCTCCAGCCGGAGTAGCAGAGATGTACGTGCCACCACCGCAGTGGCAGCAACCCAACACGACTGGGTACGCGGAACTGGCGGGCAATGAGCCTTCTGGCCTTCAACAAGGCCGCTTACAGCAGGGTGGACACCCTGGGGATGTCAAGCCGCCGATACATCAGCGGCACCATGGTGGTTCTGGTTTGGTCATCCCGCAGATTGCGGAGCTGCCTGGGTGAATTGAGCGGGAAGGAGGACTTTGTACTTGTAGCGACAGTTGTGAGCGTTCTGTAGAGTAATCCATGTTTTGAGTCATTGTCACTGCAGTCCGGAGCCTCAGGTATTCAACATAAGCATTCAAGGTTCCCATAGCCGCGATCGGTGATCGCGGTGATCGCGGCTGAGCGAACGCTTAGCTCTCAAGGAGTGTCTCAGATGAACTCATCGCGCGCAATCCCACCCCACAAGGCGGACTCCCAGGTGCTGTTGCCTGATTCGTGGGGGCGGGATCTTACCTGTGAGCTCTCGTGTACTATCGCATATCCTGCTTGACCTGCTTGATTCTTGGGAGCTCGGAACTACTGTGTTATGTATTCCAGCGACACTGTGTAGTTCTTGTTCCTGTTCCATCCCAATTTCTGCGAACATTCGAGAATACCCAGGTATCAAGGAGCGCCTGGTGCACGATCTCCACCTTCTTTTCACCGCAACACGTATTGGCATAATATACTCGACCACATCTCCTCTGCAATCATGGAGTCCAACATTACCAACAAGGGTGGCCCGCCTCCCACACCAGCCCAGACCTTCTACGCCAACACTACCGCCCCACGTATAAACACCGACGCCAGATCTACCAGTCTATTCAACATGCTCACCCCAACTCTCTCATAACCATAGTGCCCCAGTATTCTTGCCCACTCCGCGCCTGGGCCGCCACCAACAATACAGCTACCATCACACCGCTCGAAACCCCCGAGACCCTCTCATGGACCTTCTTCATCCCCGCCTCCCGCCGCTTAGACGGAGGCTCCGGCCAATTGGCCAGGGAAATGCTGTACGAGCGCTTCCTCCTAAGCTACCATGGCGAAGACTCCTAGTCTACTTCGTCGACGGCCGCGACGGCAGCGAGCCCTTCGGCGTCACGCGGAACCAATATATCGTCAGTGCCACCTCCAGCTCCGGCCTAGTCTCAACCCTCCTCCGCGAATGCGGCACCTGGGCCACCTCCCTACACGATGAGATCTGGGTGTTCAACCAGGGCTACTGGGACAAAGATTCCGACCTGTACGCCTCGATCATGAAAGCCAGCTGGGATAACGTCATCTTGCACCGCGAGCTGAAGGAGGATCTCGTGCAGACGATCACGCGCTTCTATGATTCGCGGGACACGTACCACCGCTTGGGCGTGCCGTGGAAACGCGGCATTATCTTCTACGGTCCCCCCGGGAACGGCAAGACAATCAGCATTAAGGCGACTATGCACACACTCTACACCCGCAAGCACGACCCCATTCCGACGCTGTACGTCAAGAGTCTGCAGAGTTTCGGCGGGCCGGAATATAGTATCAATCAAATCTTCAACAAGGCAAGGAAGGAAGCGCCGTGTTATCTCGTGTTTGAGGATTTGGATAGTATGGTTACGGACAACGTGCGGAGTTACTTTCTGAATGCTGTTGATGGATTGAGTGAGAACGAGGGGATATTAATGGTAGGCTCGACGAATCACCTTGATCGTCTCGATCCTGGCATTGCGAAGCGGCCGAGCAGATTTGATAGGAAGTACTTGTTTGATGATCCGGATGAGTCCTTGCGGGTGAGGTATGCGGAGTTTTGGAGGAGGAAGGTTTTGGAGCGTGGTAAGGAGGACAAGGAGGCAGGCATCATGAAGGAGAGTTTGGAATTCCCAGAAGTGCTGTGCAAAGAGATTGCAAAGATCACAGACGGTTTCAGCTTCGCGTATATGCAGGAGGCGTTTGTGAGTACGTTGTTGAAGATTGCGAATGATCAGGAGAAGAAGCGTGGTCTGGATAGCGGAGCAGAGAACGCAACGAGGAGGGCGATGAAGAGGATGAGCGAGCAGTGGGAGTTGCTCGATTTGAGCGACGCCGACGATGTGGACGGAACGAGGAAGGAGAAGGACGGCAATGATGATGGTGAAAGCAAAGATCTCGACAAGTACGTGCTCTGGCGCGAAATCAAGGCACAGGTCGAAATGCTGAGGAAGGAGATGTCCAAGGAACGGGACGAGTGAGAAATTCAAACCACGCATTGCGGACTCGCAGTCAACGAGAACATGCAGCCAGTCTCCATCGGACCAAGCTTGAGCATCTTCGAACGCTTCCAGTCATTGTTAGCAAAATAAAAAGCAATAATGTTGGGGGTTCACGACTTACTGCGTGAAACCCCTCGAGCGCTTACTCTCGAAAATGTTTCGTTTTTAGCCCAAATTTCAGACATCTCATATATAAAGGCAGTTGCTGGATGACAGGTGACGAGGATGTTGGTTAGAACTCAGGGCGTTGTCAGGGGGAAGTCAGGTGGCAGCGAGGTGATGGGCTTGGCAACGACGTGCTGGACAGCTAACATTTTCGCTACTCAGACTCTTGTCATTATTCCCCGCCACATCATGTACAAACAGCTGAAGTCATGGCCAGGCTGTCTTGCACCTTCCACATCCAAGGCCTTGACCTGAACCCTTCACTTTCGTTATAGACTATAGCAAGCTGTAGTCCTACCCGCAGCACGGCTGAATAGGTCAAACAACTGGTGGTCACATCCGCACTCGTATGTTCGTCATGAGCCTGACCTTAGTGCCTGGATCAGCGTAGAAGAACTTGGGGCTGGCTGGCTCATCCCATGTTCTCGTTTGGTATCGTGCGTAAGGCACATCGACTTCGGCCAGGGCCAGCTCCCACCACACTTCCGAGGCCGGAACATCATGCACCTGAGATTTGGACAAGATCAAGTCCCTGAGCATGCGTATCCCCAGGAGACCACCAGGCAGCGGTATCGCGGCAACCTCCGCCATGAAATCGTTAAGCCAGGGGATCCAGCGTGTGCGAGGGGCAATGATATCGTCCCATTCTGGCATACGGAATGGCCTCGTTGGTGAATATGCACGCTCAAGCCAGACTGAATATTCCGATATGGTTGATAGTTGATAGGTGAGTCTGTGGTTGTCAACCTCTTCTATGTTTGGTATGCCCAGTGCGGCCAAGTTCTACTGGGCTTGTCGCTGCTGAGGTATCCTCGTGCTGCCGCTGCCAGCAGCCACTGGTGCGACGAATTCGCGTGGACTCATGAAGTTGTGACTACTGAGTAGAGCTCCCTTGAGCGATCTGATTGCTGCTTTGACTTTCGCGGCTTCTGATTGGGCCTCGATCGGCTTGTGCCTGGTGCTTCCAGTGTTATCCCACGCTTGCCTCGTTGCGTTATTCGTTGTCGACCGCCAGTCGTAGCTGGTATAGAGAGGCTGTGAGTTGCTCTCGATTTTATCGATAACCTCCTGTAGCTCGCCAACAGAGTCTGAAAGGGCTGAGCTGGCGAAGGTTGATTGTGTTGATGAGAGGAGCGATGACAGGGACGAGTGTAAATTGCGGAGCTGTGTGGACTGTGTGATTGTCACGTTGCCCAGTGTGTTGTTTGTGAAGGAGACAGAACTACGGCGGGAGTTTGATGGTGGCGACGTTTGAGTAGCAATGTCTCGGTGGAAAAGCTCTGTCGGGTCTGAGTCGGATGAGGCAGCTGAGTGTGCATCGTCGTTATCGTTGATATGTTGCTTGTGGGAGAGCGGCGGAATATAAGGAACGTGTGATACGGTTGACTCCAGTTTGGTGTTGAGCTTCTCAAGTGAATCGAGAGTCGTAGACTGCAGGTGATGACGGGCGGAGGTGAGAGATTCGAGCATGGGCGCAACCAGATATTTGGACGCACCCCATGTCAGGGCGGAAATGCCGGCGAGAATGTAACCGGCATTCAGTAGACGGTCTACTGTCACCAGTGGAGGAGGCTTCTGTGGTTTCAGAAGGAACTCTGGATATGTTATTATCGGTGGCAGGTCTTGCTTCGGCGTAACACTAGCAGCAGATGATGCTGTTTCTGGAGGTGGACCAGGCGCAACAGGCGGTGGAGGTGATATCAGAGGCTTCTGAGTCGACCCTGTCGTGCTCACGGTGTTGCTGTCGAATATAGTCTTCAACCCGGATTCTGTCTGGCCATTGTCTGCTGTCTGCTGCTCAGCGTCGAGCAGCCGTTGTATATCATCCGCCTGCAACCCTTTCTTTTCCAGTAGACCTTGCTTCTGCTCGCGCGGCGCAGTCTTAATTTCATCCTCCTGCAGAAAGAGCCGAGCCTCTTCTAACGCATCGGGCTGCGGTTCCTCCGATGCATCCTTGGGATCAGGTACCGATTCAGATGCTTTGGATTGTGAGGCGATAAAGTTCTGCTGCCACGACGGGATTGCTGGCACCCTAGGACGGCCGTCGCCATCGCCTGTCATATTTGCTTCCCTCGACAAGCTGCCGATATCAATAGGTTGAACGACGTTGTATACTGTCTGCTGCGAGGGCTGGGACCAGGTGTCGCCGCAGCGCGCCTACCAGCCTCGGTTCGCGGGGCGGACTCCACAAAGGTTGGTCTAGCCAATGACTGCGAAACCCCTGCCAGGCACGTCGGCCTCAATATTTTGTGTAGAGATGCGATCCTTGGGAGATGGTAGTGATCGACGCCCGCCACGATCCACTTGTCAGCTAGAAAGCTACAACAATATCTTTATCAAACGTTTTTTCCATATATCCAACAATGCAAATGCCTCAAAGCTGGTCCTGGGCCAAAGGGGCAGCGTAGGACGAAGGAACAGGACACTCGAAGGAGCGAGGAACGGGATAGAACTTAGGAGGGCCCAAGGCTGTGGTCAGCCGAGACCAGGCCGCGACAATGGCAGACCGGAGCCGCCGCGTGCGACCTCAGGTCAGCGATGACCCCAGTGATGAATCTCAGGACTCAGCCCAAGACCACGACACCTTCAACAGCGAGGGTGAAGACGAAGAAGACTTTGATCCCCGACAAGCAGACGCTATGCGTCGTTCAGGACGACAAGAGTAAGTCGTACTCTCTCGCAATTTCTTTCGAATTGATGCCAGGCTGTCCATTGAAGTGAAGAGGAATGTGCAGCATGAGCATGGAACAGCCAAGACCTGGAACCACATTGATCTTGCTGTTGCTAGGCAATCACAAATGTGACCCAAGTTGCTCACAGTGTGCAGTCACGCACTAGCGCATTTGCTTCCAGAGGATTTGAGAGACATGGATTTTTACAGCGTCAAGATCGCAACATCCTTCGTACCTTCCGTGTTGTGACAACCTGACTATTACTGCCGTCTACTTTCTCTGCTGCAAGATGGCGTTCATTACACTCAAGTTCAGGACATCCGCAAAGAAGCATGCTTATCGAAAACTTTGTTCTAGTGCTGCATCATCGCCTGTGGTATCACCACGCTCCCGAACCCGTGCAGCGCCTCGATCAAGTGCTGCCATAACCAAATCATCCGATGATCGACGACAGAGTCTCAAGTTGACAGTGAAGGCACCTCCGAGCAAGCTCCGCGAAGTCATGCGAGCCAACGAAGTCCAGTCTTTGCACGATGTTCTCGGTGGAGGCCAAGTCATTGAGGGCCGTCGTCGTCGGGCAGCACCACCTCCTCGATCCAGCACTAGAGCTGCTGGGCGTCAAGTATACACTGAAGTCGGTGAAAGTGACATCGAAGATGAAGACGACGACGACGTTGAGAAGGATGATGACGACAACGACTTGGACGACGAGGATGAAGACGTTGAGATGGAGGACGCCCCTGTACCGCCAAAAGCCCCGAAAATTACACTGAAACCACCCGCCAAAACCTCTGGATCAGGCAATACTAAGATCATCGTGCAGCCTCCAAACGTTGGACAAGTGAAGTCGGTCGAAGACCAAGAGATGCAGGACGATCCAGGCGACGATGAAGTGGACAGTACTAGTGATCTGTCCGACGACGAGGACGGAGAAGACGAGGATGACGATGAGGAGGAAGAGGAAGAAGAGGAAGAAGACGCGGCCGGCGAGGACGTTGACGAAACCAATGTCATGGACGAGGATGCAGCTGGAGAGGCAGATGACATCGAAGTCAAGGCTGGCGGCCAAGACGAAGACGGAGAGCAGGAGGATGATGACGACTCAAGCAGTGACCAAGACTCTGAGATTCCTGGATCTGGAGCAGCAACGCCTGATCCGACCAAAATGACGAAGCGTCAGCGTCGAGCCTTTGAAGGCGAAGAGTTCATGGCGCTCGAAATGGGTCCTCAACAGCGAAAGGTAACGACAGAAATCCTCACGAAGACCACCGCTGACATACGTAGTTCTTCACGGACGAGGAGAAAGCCATGAAAAAGGACGAGCATGCTCGGAAGCGGAAAGAACTCACCAAACGCAAGGTTCAGGAGGAGAAGAATGCTGCACTCAACCGACTGGTAAGTCGAAATAGCTTACATCAGGTTCTCATTCTAACGAACCTATAGCTCAAACCTCAAGCGTCCAAGGCTCGTGGTGCTGCACCCAAACCTGAGACTCTTCTTGCTCTTGAGAAAGCTGGTGAAGGCCCCATGGAGGAGGAAGCGGTCGAAAAGCCCAATCCGCTTTATACCCGCTGGATCAGCACCAAGAACGGTGTGAGACTCGGTGTGCCGGACGAATGGCTCGGCAAACAAGCAGGGCGCATGTTCGGCCCTCCACGTGCCCCGACTAACGGCAATCTGCCTCCCAGCAATGGCGCGCTCGTGCAGGAGCTGCCAGTCGAATGAGGCTCCTCCTCGACACCTTGAAGCTGCGTAGTCGCGAGGCCGCCGCAGGACTGTACAGACTGCTATCAGACCAGGCCAATGGGGACCGTATCCGCTGCAGAGCTTCGACGCAACGCACTGGAGGTCTCCACGGCTGCTGAGCAAAGCTCGCATGTTCTTGTCCGAATTCGCTAGAACGGACTTTCAGGGGGGCTGTCCTGAGTTCACTCCCGTCTGGCTTCGCAAGCCTAACGAAGGTCGTCTCGTGCTTTGTTCAGCCATGCTTTGTTCTCGCAGGTTGAGGATCTGTAGGCGGATCGGCTGGCGTCCCTATTGTGGACGCAGGTATCTCGATCATGCCTGGGCCGAGTGCCTGCTCAGCTTGGAGCCTGAGGTCGAATCAGTGGAGTGTACCAGGATACAATGAACGCACCGACTTCTTCTGCTTGCGCTCAATATCGACTTGCTCTTGAATCGGGCCAAAGATGTAGACACCTGCGCTTGATCAGCAATGTACGTGAGGTCCACGATGAATGCCTACCGCTGACCACTCCGACGAGACCTGCAGTCAAGGCATTGGCCATCCATCTGCCAGCCATGGCTGTGCCAGGGCTACCGCGACTGAGGAGTGCTATGGGACCCTAAGAGCAACATATCTAGAACGTCATGTTAACGAGGCATGTGAACTCTAGAAATCTCGCCGCAATCCGGAGATTGTTTCTAAAGTCCGCCTTGACGCGCGACGCGACCTCAAATTCATGAGACTTGGCGTCTTAAGTGATATTCCATTCCAAGACTTGACTTCTTCGATTTTGGTACATGTATCGAGCTACCGGAGTTCCTGCTGACGTACTTCTTAAACAGCATGGATCCGTGTAACGATGACGAACTGGAGAGAAAAGGGCTATGTCCCAGACTCTGATGAGGAGGAAGATGAAAGCCAGGACCGCCACCAGGAACAGCAACCTGGCCCAACGACCACGACATTGGACACTAGTCTGAATACACAAATTGCTGGACACGATGAAAGCCCTGAGTCTTCACAAGTCGTATCATCGAGTCTGGGAAAGCCTCCAATATCGTCCTTCATCTTGGGTACCGCCCCCTCTCCGCTAAGGGCTAACTCTGCGATCAACAACTTCACGACCATTGACGGCAATGGAGAAATTGCTTCACTGGAATTACAAATCTCTCCAGCTCAGGCAGCGTCCGATGTTGCAGAGAGGCTAAGTCAAGAACTCCAGCGAGGTCTTGACGTCTGCAACAATGTCCTCAGATCATCCAGCCCGCCAAGGTCGACTGGCTCCGATAGTCCCCTCTCTTCACTGCCTTCATCGCCCTCTGGCTCAATCTCGCCAATTCCAGTCGCTCAGAGCAGATCCAGTCCACCTCACGGCATCGTTGAGCGCGTGCAGATACAAGCCGAGGAGATCACAAGTGTCACAGCACAGCCTGTTCGATCTCTGAGGCAACGAGCTCCGCTGCAGTTGCACCCTTACAGTCTCGAAGCAGCAAAGTACCAGCAGGAGTGGAAGCAACGTGGCTTGCGCCCTGTGAAAGCCCCTGCTGGACCAGATACTCAGCGGCAGCATGCAGAGAACAGTGCGACCGCTTCCCACAACGGTGACACATTTCATTCCAGCCAGGAACCGCTCGACGCGGCCAGGCGATCAGCCGACGAAGAGGACGAATCTCAAAGCCCTGGACGGGTGCGTCGTGTAATATCAAGGCGCATTCGTACAGCAGATGCGGACGAAGACGAGGCGAACTCAAATGATGAACTTCCCAACATTGAAGACATATTCGGTGACGACAGGTCTTGGATGAATGCCAGCAGGCACCAGGAGCTTCCCAAAACATTGACCAGACGATCTCCACCAGGGCTTGGGACGGTTCGCAGTAGCCCTTTGCCCAGCCGTGCTATGCCATTGCCACGCATGAATCGAGACTCCAACAGTGCTTCAGTCTTCAACCTTCCACCATCGCCTCCTCGCTCGCGAAGTGACTCTCCTGCGACCACGAAAGGTACTCAGGACCAGCCGAACATAGAGGGGCCCAGACGGCCACCAACACCTGGAAGGTCGTCCGAGACAAGACCAAGCAAACGGCCCATCATTCATGTGTCAAGCTCTTCTGAGGCGACTGACGAGGAGAATGACGATGAGCGGCCATCAAGTGAGAGCGAAGAGCCGCCAGCATTCATGCAGATAAGGCGAAGGATCAAGGGCGTTTTACCGGCTTCCTGGATCAAACTTGATGCACTCAAACAGAAGCCAGCCGCGGACCGAAGTGCTGTCGCTCGGTCGCCGGAGAAGCGCCAAAGCAAGGGCGTAGCTCGTGTCATCTCGCCTCGAGCAGGTCCTCCGACCACTTCGCTGCAACCGCGATTCGAGTACAGCTCTGAAAGCGAGTCTGGAGAAGATGCCTCGGAGGCTCAGACGCGACAGCTACAGAAGCTTTCTGATGTCCGTGCGCTTTTTGACGCGGACGACGATGTTCTGATGAATGATGTCTTGGAGGAGGATACTATTGATCGCATGGCACCGCCCGGACCGAGTAGAACAAGCACAAAGCCTCGCAAAAAGCGGCAGCAGCGCCTGGTCGATACATGGGATGCTCTGCAGACCATACCTCGTGGGTCCGGCGCCGCAACCAGCAGGACCTATCAAAGGAACTCGCGCGATGCCTGTCGCCCACAAAAGAAGAGGCAAAAGCGATCACTGCCCGTGAGATTGAGCATTCTGGATGCTCCAGACCTTCTGAAGCCCAAATCAGACCATCAGTCGCGCTTCCTGCGAATAGCAGCGCGATCAGTCTCCAAGGCTTCTATGCCAAGAAGACAGAATCCAAACACGAAGTTCTTCAAGCTTGCGACAAATGCAGACACTAGGGACGTCAACTCGGGTCTCGATGACTGGAGAGAAGGTCGTGTCATGGGAGACAGGCACCATGGTGGGGTCGACGGTGAGATTCGTCGGACGATCACGGCTGCCTCCAGCCGACAACATCAACAGCGCGGCAACAGAGCTCAACGGAGCAGCTCCGACCGGAACGCCGCAGCAGGGGCGAGGAATCAGGCTTCTGGCCGCCGACTGGACATCATGCAGTCCCTTAAAGCAAGGACTGATCTGACCTTGGCGCGAGTGCTTCAAGGACGGTCAGAGTCTGTGATATCGAATCCGCCGGAGACCCACGATGCACCTGCAGTGGCATTGCGCCAGCAAAATCTGGGGTTCGTCTCATGGCATGGCAATCGTGCTGGCGGCGGCAAGTTCTGGTCTCAAAATCCTGACTCCGGTCCAGCGCAGCTTCAGGGACCTGCAGTACATCAACGGCTCATGAGAAGAACTCCAAGTGGTGTAGCCCACGGGCATCGGCATCAAGAGCCACAGTGTCTCCCAGAAGCACCTGCACTGGCTTCGGAGGCGCCACTTACTTTGCCTTCGAGACCGAAGAAGCAGAGGAATCCTCACAGGCGCATTGCCTCCAGCCTGAGCAGCGATGAAGGCTCGATGGCTACCTCGAGGCAGGCTGAAGAGACGGAAATGCCAGCACCCAAGGACGAAGCCACTGCGCTTGGGCTCAGACTCGGTACTTGGCTGATGCGACATTCGCCTTCCATCACGAATGGTAGCAACCAAGTCCTAAATGACGGAACGCCGTCACCACCGTCAACAGAGCTCATTGACACGCTGTCAGGCATCGACATTGACGGTATCTACCACGACTCGGTAATCGAAACCATCGACCCGTGGCCAGCCATAGGCTCTGACTTCAGAGCTCTTCTCGATCAGTCACTTAACGCACCTCAGATGTCTGCTCAGACTAGTGCGGTAGGTCTCAGCACACTCCGGCTCTTCCAGTGGCTCGCGAAGAAATGTGCTTGGTCTATCCCGGATGCACTTCTCCATATGCTGTTCCGCCAGTACGGGAAGAACGAGATGCTAGAGATCTTCGTCCAGCCAAAGCTGGCAGGAGCCACACGGCGAATCACGCAAGATCGAACCACAGCTACTGACGAGGAAGGAGTGACCGACTTCGAAATCTTCCTCAATCTTGTTGCCTTAGCACTCGAGCAGAGATCGTCAGTGCTTAGCAGCACTGCTTCAAGGAGGAACAAAATACTTGGTCTTGTGTTCAGCCTCATTCCAAACAACTCTCGTGTTATGAACGAGAACGACGCAATTGAGCATGCACTTTACATGACTATGATCAACACCTATGCCCTTTACACGACACTGTACAGCAGCGCTCCTATAGACTGTCGGCCACGACTGTCTCAAGTCGAAAGTCTTATCAATTTTGCTACCAGTCATGCACAGATCCGAGATCTGGCGATTCTAGCTTGGTCAGTAATGAGCAGTACAGCTATGCGTAAAGGAGCCATAAGAGATGACCATCGAGCCCTCGCAGAACATGGCAGGGCTATGCTGTCAGCCCTCGTGGAGAAGACCACCGAGGCGATACGATCTGAGGTTTCAGCATCTGACTCAACTTTCCACCATGAGCTTGTGGTCAACAATATCAGTCCTGTCCTGATTCAAATGACAAGCATCATTAAGCAGTGGACGCTACTGGCAAGCACTTGTGCTCAGCCTGAAGACATCAGCCCGTATATAACGCCAGAGCAATTGTCAGGAGCAGTGCAAATCTTACAGCTGCTAAAGGAGTACCTTGACAAGCTGTCAGCATGCTCTTTGAGGGCGCACAAAGCCTTGTTGAGCCTCTGGCGCTCGCAGGGCATGGACTTGGCTGCATTAGAATTGCTACGGTCGGTCTATTCCCGCAAGGTGCCGCTGTTGCGAGAGCCCGCCATGAAGCTTGGTCGAGAAGTGGTGAGCGTGATGCTCCAGGCACCTGATGAGGAAGACTCGCGTTTGCAGAAGATGGTCGATATCTGGTTTTCATTTGCCAAACAAGAGACTGAGGGTGACTTCAGGAAGTGGGATCAGTACCTTGAGCCTACATCATCCTACAGCTTCCGAATGCTTGCAGACACGACTGTCAGTCAACAGTGCGCCGTGTTGTTCTTGAGCAAGGTCGTCTCGGACGCGCCTGCAATGTTCGAGCTTGATCCAGAAGCTCTTTACCATGCTTGGCTGACTGCCATACTTCAGGCAAGCGACGAGCTTCGATTTGAGCATGTACTCACCGAGCGCATGCTAATCTTTGACGTTGGTGCGCTTGCAATTGAGCCCATCAAAGAACTCATACGTGGCGAAGGATATGATGAGCAACGCCTTTCTCTGTCCGCCTTCAAGCACATCAGGACAGAACTTTTGCGGCTTGTCGTGCGAGCGATCTTCCGCCTACAATTTAGCGGGCCCGACGACAGTCAGGACTTGATCGAGGACCCTCTCAACGAGGCCAGCGGACGACGACTCTTGCAGACTATCACTGACAGCCTGAAGAAGGTCTGGATCAATCTGTCGAATCAGCAAAGGGACGAAGGATATACTGAGCTCGTGCGTACAGTCACCCAAGAGTTAGACGTCTACAAGTATCCCGGGTTGAAGATCGATCCTTGGTTCACGGATGCACCCCAATTCGCGTTTCCCATAGTCAAGGATCGCTTGCAGCATTTCTTTAGACGAGTGCCTGGCTCTGAGCCGCGCACCGTGGACGCCAGCCTGATCGCCGCATTCCGGCAAGCGAATCAAGCAGCTGCCAATACTCCCGGACAGGTTGATTGGGTCCGAACAGCAGTGGCCGCCTTGTCTTGCAACAACGTCTTTGAAGATGTCAACCAGGATGGAACTTGTACCATGGACGGCCGACTTCAGGTCGATTTCATCCGTAATGTTCTGTCAGAGTATGTTCAATCGGCCTTCTCTGGAGGACCACGGCAAGCCTTGTTGGCTGTGCCTGTCATTCAAATCTTGACGGAGGTGGTGCACGAATTGCACTTCAGACAAGATCTCGAGGAGGAAGGCATGAGAGGGGGCCTCATCTGTGTGTGTGTCGAGCTGCTCGAATCCGTTTGTCGATCACTCTGTGCTTTAGCCAACCGGAACCTACCCCATCGGGGACATATTACTATGTTCTCAAGTAAGCTGATCGAGCTCGGGACTCTCTGCATCGACCGTTTCATTCAGTTCCGACGGACAGGCCCATGCAGTGAAGATGTGGAGGATGCTCTCCGGAGTATTTCAGAAGTTTCGGAGGGCATACTTAGGTGCGCGACCGAAGCCGAGTTCGTGGTACGACCAGTTTGGATCGAAGGAAGTGATGACACAAGCACTCTCTTCACGCCCGCAACCTACCGCGACTTCTCGACGAGTGCGATCAACATGTCGGCCACGGCCGCAAGCGTACGCGAGATGACGAGAAAGGATCTGAGCAGCGCTCTGAGTAAGGTGCAGCCACCCAGAGGAATGGCCACGAAGTGGTCTACGTGGTGCGAACTCGGTTTGCCAAGTTGGCTCGGCTGGGAGGATATTTTCTTTGCAGAGGGAGAGCGGCTTGCGTTGGCGCAGGCAGTAACACACTTCTGCGCAGTGGCAGCCAAGTGTACAGGAGTCGCATTAGGTAACGAAGGGCGCATCTGGGAAGATTCAGTGTACACTCCAGCTGTTGAATCTGCGGACGCCGTGGAGGACGATGGGGCGCTGTTTGAGGATCAGTACTGGGAAGCACTGTGATGCAGATGCACAGCAGTCGCAGTAGGCCAGTAAGCACGCGTTTGGGAGGATGTAGCTACTATCCAGCCGTGAAGAGAGCGGAGGCAGTGGAAGACGACGATGAAGTGGTCGAGGACCTACTGAGGGAGCCCCTGACCTAGCAAGCTGTTCGGCTAAGACCTGAGCGTTTTGTCCTGCTCTAACGAGACGCCATAAACTCCTACAGTACCCTCCCTGGCAAGACAACTGATGATGAATCGCTCCAACGACTCAGTACTCAAGTGAGGCTCATCTCAAAGTTTGCTGGCTTGATCTGCAAGAGCATTCTCTCGTTTAGAGCCCGCCCTGACCTGAATACTAACAAGTGCTGAAAACGCTCAATTCATGCCCGAACAGCCTGCCTAGGGACTCGTTCCCCACGAGCGGCAGATTGTCACCATTGGAAGGAGCATCAGTCGGCCGCGGTATACAATTACCCTATTTGAGATACAAGAGATAGGCAAATAAGGCGATGATGTGTTCGCGATTGCCTTCTGCCTCGCTGGTGCTTGCCATAATCGTACTGATAGCGATTATCAGAGCAGGCGCGAGTGTAATACTTATCGTGTTATTCCCATTGTGGCGAAATGTTCCCTCTATCTACACTTTCACCAGTAGCGAGTCTCATCTTACACACGCTACGGAATCCAAGCCGATGGATCTATCGTTACTGAAGACGCCTTGCCGTATAATGCTGGGCCATGCGAGCATGGCTAGCCTGCGTCTTGCTGATGCAGCTGACATTGGCATTGCTCGGCCACTAATGGAACTTCTGGGAGCCGGCGAATACGTCTACGACAATCTTGAACTCATTTCGACAGCTACCCTGTACGAATGCCTCCCGGCTTACGATTTCTCAATCAAGAACGCCGATAGCTTGGTTCACGAGCGAGCGGGACTTGGTGCGCGGCTGGGTTGTCTTGCCACTATCGTGGACGAAGACCCATGCCTTGCCACGAGGTCGATGCAAGATGCAGTCTGTCGGAACAGTAATCCCACGGACTCAATTCGCAGATATGCTATCGCCAGAGGCAAAACGCCTTGCCTTTGGCCCTCTACGGGAGTTCAGGTGGCGGAACGGGTCCCGTGTCTCTTGCAGTCTGACCCATTGATCACAGACCAACGACCTGGCCCAGGTACGATCTGACACCTATCAATGGTCTGGAAAATTTACAGCCTCAAGGAATAACAAAGTAAGAAAGAGCGTCCACTATTCTCAACACCCCAGTGCTGCCCAGGCCTTGCCCCACGCGCTGGTTCAGCTGGTTGGAGCACGCCTGGAGCGCTGTGAATTTCTCTGACAGCATGTGGCGGAATTTGCACGTATCAAGCTTGGCCGAGCCATCGAAAGAGGAGCTTATGGAGCTTGTGCCGCGCTCCAAGGAAAAATCAAGCCGGTTAAGCCACCGTGGGTTTGGAGCCTTGGGGGCTTGGGTACCTGGGCAAGAGCTTAAGCAAAGACTGGAGGAACTTCAATGATGATGTTTCTGATACAGCAATTTTGAGGGGTTCAAAAGCTTCGTCTATGCGGCTCAAGGATGTGATAAGATCTGGCAGTGCACGGCCTGGATCGAGACAGCTTATTTGGAAAATTAAAGCGACCTGACTGCAGTTCCTAGATGGGCCTGGGAACGATATGCATAATGGACTCACGCGACTCACCAATCCCTAGGCCGCTATGGAGGAAGCTTCCGCTAGCGAGCTGTGTGGGATATGGGCACGCGAGATAATCCCAGCCTCATACGAGTTGGGATTAGCACCCATACAGATGACCCAGGGTTGCAGGAGCCCAGCAAGGGATCTTCAATGGAGAAGCTGTTCCATGGTCAAGCGTGTGGCCGATTGACCCGATCTGAGTCTCTTTTATGATCACGCTGTCCCACCTGGTTCATTTGCGCGGCGCATTCCACTCTTTCTCTACAGTCAAACTGCGACCTCACGTACTTTGTTTGAAAGTCGTGAGAAGAACATCAATTTTGTCGACGCCGCGGACAACGTATCCGGCACCATGTTCGGCAAAGACAAGGAAAAGTCGGGCGGCGACTCGTCGCACTCACCTGAGCCCGACAATGTCGAGGAAGGCATGCTCGCGACCAACGTCGATGACCTACAAAGACACTTGAACAATCGTCAGATTCAGTTGATTGCTATTGGAGGCTCTATCGGAACGGCCCTTTTCGTCAGTATTGGCGGCGGTCTGTACAAGGGAGGTGCTGCCAACTTGCTACTCGCATACACGATTCAGAGCTGTGTCCTGGCCCTGGTCAACAATTCGATCGCCGAGATGAGCACGGCATATCCTGTTACAGGTGGATTCATTCGTCTTGCTGGTCACTTTTGCGATGATGCGCTTGGATTCATGGTGGGATGGAACTTCTTGTACAAGCCTTGCTCTGCTGTACAGCAGCCCTCGCTGACCATCGAATAGCTTCTACGAGGCCCTTCTCATTCCCTTTGAGATTTCCGCCTTTACTCTCGTCTTGTCATTCTGGAGTGACACCATTACCGAACCTGGCCCAACTGCTGGCATCATTGTCGGTATAATCATCTGCTACGCTCTCATCAACATCCTTGCTGTCCGAGCATACGGTGAAGCAGAATTCTGGCTATCAGGAGGAAAGGTCATCCTGATCTTTTCGCTGTTTTTTTCACATTCATCACCATGGTTGGAGGTAACCCGCAGCACGATGCGTATGGCTTCAGAAACTGGAAGCGTGGAGGCGCTTTCCGAGAGTACATCACCACAGGGGACCTGGGAAAGTTCGAAGGGTTCCTTGGCGCATTGACTTCGGCCGTCTTCACTGTTGTCGGACCTGAATACATCTCCATTGTCGCGGCTGAGGCCGCCCGGCCCCGGGTGTACATCAAGGCGGCCTTCAAGATGGTGTATGTCCGTTTCGGCATCTTCTTCATTGGCGGTGCCCTGGCTGTGGGCATTGTCTGCTCCTCGCGGGATCCTGCTCTCGTCGAGATTCAGACCGAAGGCAGCAACGGCTCTGCAGGTGCCTCGCCATATGTCATTGCCATGAATAACCTTGGCGTAGATGTGTTCCCTCACATCGTCAATGCGTGAGTTTATACTTCCGCCTAACATTCCACACTCGCTGACTCCCGATAGGCTCATGTTGACCTCGATCTTCTCCGCCGGCAATACCTATACCTACGCTGCAGTTCGCACACTTTACGGCCTTGCCCTTGAAGGCAGAGCGCCGGCATTCCTGAAGAAGTGCACCAGGAACGGTGTCCCGCTATACTGCTTCTTCGTTGTCATGGTTTTCCCAGTCTTATCGTTTGTGCAGTGCGGAAAAAGCGCCTCGGTCGCTATTGGATGGTTTGCCAGTCTCGTCACTGGTGGCGGTAAGTCCTCCCAATAGCCTCAGCACCGCAACTCCCAGCTCACACATATTCTGCAGGTCTGATCAGCTACATCGTCATGTCCATCACCTACATCCAATTCCACCGTGCCTGCAAAGCACAAGGTCTGGACCGCAAGACCTTGCCCTATACCGGCTGGTTCCAGCCGTACGGCGCCTACATCGCCCTAGCCTGGATGTTCACGGTCTGCTGCATCTACGGCTACACCTCTTACCTGCCCTGGAACACGTCCAACTTCTTCTCCAACTACACCATGCAGCTCTTCATCCCGTGGCTGTTTTTGATCTGGAAGGTTGTCAAGAAGACCAAGTGGCTTTCGCCCATGGAGGTCGATCTCGTTTGGGAAAGGCCGACCATTGATGCGTATGAGGAGACGTTCACTGAGCCGCCCGTTGGGTTCTGGAGGGAGATGGGGCAATTGTTGGGGATTGGAAGGATCAAGGGTGGGAATGATCAGCGAAGGCCGAGTGTGGTGGCGCCTATGGAGGGGCTGGCGGGCCATGGTGTTGATGCGAAGCATCTGTGAGGACCGAGGTCTTCACTTGTGTCACACACGTTCGGCACTGAGATGGCGGGAGGAGATCTGGACATGGTCAGGAAGCCCTTTACCTGGCAGTCACACAATGGGTCTGAAAGTCTCTCTTGTTGCACATACCTCTCCGAAGACCTGGCTCAATTGAACTTGAAGGAGCAATATATACCCATTCGCTAAGCGACTCGAAGCTCTTTGTACATGCACTGTGCGGCTGGTTCAAAGACCCGACCCTAAGATGTGACTCACGCAGGGGAATATGCCTGAAGCAGGGCCTGACCACTCAATAGACGGTCAAATGCTCTGCAAGCCAGCCATGGGAGATCTGTGAGCAGTATGGCACCATTCGCAGGCGTACAAAACATATGTTCGATCTAGAAATAATGCGCAGTCAACCGGTCTGCTCGGAGAGCAAGGCTATATTTGCCAAAAAAGCAAGTGCGACCGTGTCGACTGCAGCGCAGGCCTTCTTTCCCACATCGCGAGGCACGAAGCTCCCTATCAGCGCAGCTGCGACCGCAAGAAATACAAAGCTGCGTGGCAGGTGCGTCGCCTAGCGGTGTGGAAGGAACCAACCCACGTCTGGTACAATTGATCAGAGTATCATGGAATGCACTTTTCGATTTCTAAACCGCATGTTGATCCAGTCTGATCAGACCCAAGCCATCCCAGTTCCACAATGCTGTTGGGAACGCTCGGCTCATGATGCCAAAGTGGCACGCATACCGACCTATATGAACAGATGCAAGTGACTGAACGCTCGAAGAACTTTTGTCCACCTCCATGCCTCTCCCACCGTCTAATGCGCATACCATACCGCGAGTCGGCGTCTTCCGCGGCTTGCACCTCGACTAGCCGCACCCTCTCTGATGGACGATCCTCACAGGAAACTATTGATCACCGTGACAGCCGTAGTATAGACCATCGCGACCACACCACACACAATAAACACAATGTCCCCAGCCTTCACCCACTTGTTCTCGGCCACACCCATATAATGCAACAGTGGTGGGTAGATATACACCAACGGCACACAAGCGAAACTGCCGATCAGGGCGACGAAGCGATCCAAATTAGCGGCGCCGCCTATGCTCACTGCTATGCACAACAGCACGAGGAATGTTCTGAAAGCATTCTTCTTCCATTTGCCCCAGGTGGAGTTCTTCCCAGAGAGATTGCCAAACAACTTGGCCTCGAGGATGCGCACGGCCGGGAAGAGCTGGACGGGGGTTCCGACGAGGACGGCCATGGCGTAGACGAATTGAACTGCGTTGACCAGCCTCGAATCCTGGGGGAAGTTGGAGATGACTTCTATCTTAGTCAAGGATCCGAATGTCATGTAGCAGAGGATGCCGACGGAGCCGAAGATGAGGGTGATGAGCGTCATGATGATGTACAGCAGGCCCTCGAATTTTTCGGGTTGGGCCATGGAATTTTGGATGGGGAGGATCAGGCCGATGCCCTCGAAGGTGAAGATCGCGGCGCCGATGGTGAGGGTGTAGTGGTTCGGGTTGAATAAGGTGACGGAGTCGGCGATGCCGTGCTGGGAGAGGAAGTGGATGTCGTAGTACCAGATGTAGACTAGTCCCAGGACGATGAAGATGTCGGCGATCATGGCGGCGGGGCCGAGTTTGGAAATATTGCGGATCAGGGCCATGGGAATCAGGATCAGGAGTTGCAGCGCGATGAGATCGCGGGTGGACAGTGGGGCGTCGTCACCAGGGCTGACGGCGTCGGCGAACGCTTTGAGATTGTCGGCGACGAATACCGTACCGGCGCAGACGAAGCCAAGCTGGGAGATGGTGATGGAGGACAGGATGACGGCGCGCATCTTGCGGCCGCCGATGGCTTCGCCTAGCTCGCCATAGCCACCGGAGTAGCGGGCTTTGCATTTCAGCAGGAGGTGGAAGGCCAAGGTGGTGATCAAGGCGACCAGGAAAAGGGTTATGCTGGAGAAGAGAATGCCGCCGTTTTGGAAGGCTTTTGGCAAGAACATTATCCCTGTGCCGATGAAGGCTTTGAGGAGCGTGAAGAAGGTGCGCGTTACGCCGGCGTCGCCGGGTCGTTGGGCGCGGCGTTTGGTGGACTTGCGGCGGCCGAGGAGCGGTCGGCGCTCACCGGAGCCATCTTGAGCGTCTTCTTCGACGTCGGTCTCGGTCTCTTCGTCTGAGTCGGACTCCTCAAGGTCCTCGCCGGCAAAGTTACCGTAGAGCTCGAGGAACTCGACAAAGTTGCGGGCCACAGGCACCCGGCGTGGATTTAGAGGATGCAGATCCCCTCTTTTCTGCTGGACATACTGCCGTCGGAACCCTTGTGGGAGAAGCTGCTCCGATATGGGCATGTCGGCGGCGCCATCGTTGCCAGTGAATTCAGGTCCAGAGAAAGTCTTGGCGCGTTGATGGTGGTTTGGTCGGTTCCGGGCATCGATTTTGTAGAGGTCACGGTGAATATCGCCGCCCTGTAGGCGAAGGGATGACTGAACGGGACCTCCATCCTCATCGACTGCGCCATCGAAGGTGTAGCCGGCTGGTAGATGGTCGTCGAGGATCTCTGCGGCTTGTGGTTGCTCGTCTTGCACGGCATTGATGGCAGGTGAGTCTGCCATTGGCCTTGGAGAAATTTCTGGGGGAGCTGGAAGCGTGGTGACTCGAGAGAGAGCTGGCCTGGGGTCCTACAATGCCGTAAATGAGTGTCTGGGTCAGCAAGTCATGAAGGACTGTAGTAGTGAGGTGCTTGATGCTATAGAAGTCATAACCTCATAATTTCGGCATGGTCATCTGATCAGTAGTGAATGACTGAGTGTGAAGGCCGAGTCGACGGAATACTGTCGGAAACGTGGTAGTATCTAGCGGCCGCCACACTCTTGCCAAGCAGGCGAAGCACCAGCCACATTTACGTCAGAGATTCAGGTTCAATCAGGTTGGCCCAGCCGCTATCAACTTGTGTCGATCTCTGTTTCGAGGTCCTCGTTCTCTACCTGTCTACCTTCAGATCAGTCGCATTCATCATACAGACCATTCTCCCTTTAATCTCTTATATCAGTCAAGATGAGCAGCTACGCCGACGTCGCGGCCAAGAACTCGGAGCAGAGCCCTGAAGAAGTGAGTCCTTTCTACCCATTTTCGCGCAATGCTCGAAGCATGTGACATCCTGCTACTACCAAGCATCATGCTAATATCGAGTCCTGTAGGCGTATGTACTTCACCGCGATACGTCCAAGGTATACTGTATGATAGCCATCGTAGCTAACCACTCCCATCCAACAGCCGCGCCCCTCCCGTCCCAGGCATGAACCACGATGAATCCACCGCCTCCTCCCTCATCGACGTCGACAGCCCCCACGTTTCCAGCGTAAAGTCCGACTTCCAATCCCAAGAGATCAAAACCGAAACCCAAGCCGACCGCATAGCGCGCGAGGCCGAAGAATCCGCCGAGCGCGCCCGCTTGAAGGCCTCCAAGGAAGCCTCCGCCGCCAAAGACAAGGCGTCCGCTGAAGCGAAGAAGGCGAAGGCGGAAGCCAAGAAGACCGGCAAGAAGTTGCAGGACAACAAGGACAACCCGGTTGTCGTGGGCAATGCCATCCTGTGGGGCGTGACGGCTGTAGCGGTTGGGTACGGCGCGTATCAGAAGCAGCAGGAGGGCAAGCTGGATTGGAAGCTGGCGGGCACAGTGGGTGCCGGACTGGCGGCGTTGGCGGCAGGCGATTATTTCGCGAGCCAGTATGTGAATCTCTGTGGGCGGAGTTGATTGATTGAAAAATTTGCTAACAACGATTTCTCTAGATGGCTGTTCGAGAACAAGTACCCTCCGAAATAGATCAGCGGAGGAGCGACACAGATTCGTGCAACAGCAGGAAACCCGAACCAATCTCAGACTCTCAACTCATATCCTGACACATTTCCCTACGGGTCACCGGGCACTGTTAGAATGGAGGAATATCGGCGCATGCAACGGGTTCAGTTCCCCAGCTTGGACTGAATGTTCTGATCTGTACTTCTTGACGCAAGAGCACAGATAGCGGCAGGAAGTGTCATTTCATCTCTACTTTTCGCAGCTTTAGATACCACTATTAGGGCGGCAAGGCGATAGGCAAATTCGAATGTATGCATTGAAAATTCAATTTCCCCGTGCCAGTGACGTTGTGGACGGTATTCTCTTTGCATCTAATCCTGGATGTCCCCGAAACTGAGCTCTCTCATCCGTGGTAATGAACTCATGTCTTGGCCTGGAAGCTGCTGGTCCAGAGCAATTCGAGCGGCTGCTAAGGCTTTTCGGCGTCGCGCAGACCGCATTGTCATGGCAGGCTTCGTCTGCCAGATGCCGCTGCCGTCAACAACGGGCGCCAGCTTCTCCAAGTCGATTGCAGCCTCGATTTGGCACATGTTTGGCTCCTCGTTCTGGTGAAGCAGGAACGACCGTTCCTTCACACAGGCGCCCTGACTCGTGGAATCTTCCCTGGGCACTCGACATGATCGTTGGCCGCTGCATGAACAAATCGCGTACTGCACCATGCCCAGGACCGATGAGCTGTCGTCTTTGTTCTCGTTCAAATCCTCCACTATTCAGTTCAGCTTATGAACCCTGTACTCCCATCTACCACCTTGGCGCTCCGCCTCGCATCGATGAATAGATCCTCGCATTCAGCCACATCATCTGCCGCAATTTCTGTCCGGCCGTTCACCTTTGACAATATGCTCGCTGGCGTCAGCAGCTGCAGCGCATATCTTAGACTGACCTTCGTGCCGTGTTCTGACACTTTCTGCAGCGCTCCGTCACTCAGCGCCAGCCCTTCGAGCTTCGCCCTCAATTTGATGATCAGACTGACCTCCTCAGCATTATACGGGTGTGTCGGCACGATGAGCAATCGATTGAGGAGATCAGCTGGGAGGCCGTGGGCGCCGACGATGTCGTCCGTGCCCCGGACAACAGTATTGCCACGATTCGAGGCGAGGATGACGATCGGACTGATGGGCTGCTCGAGAGCGCGGTTGAGGTAGGTGAAGCACTCAATGTCGAGCATGTGGACTTCGTCGATGAAGAGGACACCCGGCACGAGCTCGGCGACACCTTGGTCGATGTACCTGGACACGACCTTGTTGATTTCGTGACGGAGCTTGTCCGTGATCTCGGTCTTCTTGGGCTTCATCAGCTGGCCCATCATGGACATAACGTCCTGTCCGCCCTGTGGTCGCGCATTGGCAATGTCCAGATCGTGCAGGGTGACGTCTTGTACGACTTCCTTCTTCTTGTGCACTTCGCCCTTGGGTACAGGGACGTATTCTTCGGCTTCCAGGTCGAACTCGGTAGCGTAGGCGTCGGACCGACCAACTCTCTTGCAAGCGCCAGTATTGGCTTCGATATAGATGACATCACCTACGGTGACGCGCTCTTTAGTGATGGCTTCGTAGATGGAGGGGTCGAGGCGGAGTTTCTTGGTGCCTTTGGCGGACTTGAGGGTGAGTATTAGATGTGATATAGTGCGCCCGTAGCCTCCAAGAGGGTTTTCTGCTTCTTCGGGGACGAGCTCGGTGACTTCTCCTTCGTAGACCTCTTTCGTTTCTCGAACTCGCAAGCCTGTGATGTGTCAGTTGGGCGGGCAGTGGTAAGAATATGGCAGCATACCGATTGCTCGTCTAAAGTTCTCCATCAGTGCCTCTGTCTTCTTCACTTCGGTGCTGTAGACTTCGCTGGCGACTATTGGGCAGAATGGCACTTTGCTGCCGAGCTCTTGTGATACTGCGAGGGCGAGTGCTGTCTTGCCGGTGCCAGGTCCTCCCGCTAGAAGAATCGCCCTGCCGCTCATCTTCTTTGCTTTGATCAGATCGACCACTACGCCGCATGCCTGCCAACGTCAGTCATCGAATCGCCATTCTGTGTGTCAACACACCTCTCGAGCAGCCGTCTGCCCCACGAAACCCTGCCCCGACGTGTCCGCAGTGCCATCTTGCCGTAGTCCGAGACCTCGAATATGTGTATGCGCCGCTGTCCTGTTCTCCCGCTGTGTGTTCTTCACTTCCGAGAGAGACACCATTCTGACCGGTGTGCGCCTTCCACTACTTTCTGAGCTGTGATTCCGAGTATTTTGGGTGTGTTCAAAGGAGTGTGATTGATCTCAAGGTATGCGCGTTCTCATCCAGAGAAGTCGCGATCCCTCCGCAGAAAGCTTGGCGTCGTAACTTTTTGGGGCGACTTCGATGATCTATTCGACGCGAGCTCTACATCCCCTGGGTAAACCTCATTGACCAAACGCCTGGAGTGGACAGCGTCAGTAGCTCAGCACAGGCCGAGATGGCCACCGAAACGCTGAAGTTACGGCAAGTCATCAGGTCGCCTACCACCATTCAGTATAGGAAACATGCTCTTCGGAACAAGCCATTCTATACGCCAGCTTTCGCCTTGACGTATGTATACCTGGCACTGGGTCTCTAGTGATCGGTCCAGCCAGTTCAGCGTCTAGTCATGCCGGTCACGAGCTAACATACCACCAGAAAAGAGAAATGGCAACGCACCCTCGCCCAGCCCTGGCTCAAAGAAACCAATCCACTCATGCCTCCCTACCCTTACGGCGCCAACGAGCACTTTCCCGAAGCGAATTACGGTCTCTACGGCGGCACAACCATCAGATCAGGTAACAAGATCTCCAAAGGCCGCAACAAGGGCAAGACCAAGCGCAAATGGTTTCCCAATATTCGTCTCGCAAAGCTTGAGTCCAAAGCGCTGGAAAAGGACCTCTACATCCCCGTGCGCGCCAGAACGATGCGTACGATCAAGAAATGTGGTGGTCTGGATGAGTATCTAATGGGCCACAAGCCTGCGCGGATAAAGGAGCTGGGTCTGTTAGGCTGGAAGCTGCGGTGGTTGGTCATGAGGAGCCCAGCTATGCAAGCACAGTTCGCGAAGCAACGGACTGACTTGGGCTTGGACGTCAGAGATCCCCTATCAGAAACCTTCGAGCAGGTATGGAACGATCCAAGGAGGCGGGAGGTACTGCTAGCACAGCAAGACCGCGCGTGGGAGAAAATGAAGCTGAACATGGAGAATTGGGAAGAGCACATGAAGCGCCAGCATGAGAAGCCTAAAGATCGGCAACAGAAGGTCTTGAGCCCTGCGCTGATCAACTCGAAGCCCAGCGATTACAGGTTCCCGGAATTAGAGGAATCGGACCAAGGTGTGGGGTTGTGGGAGATCGAGAATAACAAGAGCCTCGAACGGGCGAGGGGGCTTCCTGAGCCAGAGAAACAGACGTCGGGGGAAGTGCCGGACCAGGCCAGACTTCTGACACCCACAGAGGAGGCAGTGCCTCCACAAGATACAGAGGTGGAGGAAAGTGAGCAAAGGAGCCAGGAATCGGATGAAGGTCGACTCCTGGCACCGGCGGAGGATGCATTGCCTTCACGACAACTGGAGGAGGAGCAAAACTCGTTGGCTCGAAAGGTCGACGGGCTCAAATTACAGGAGAGCGAACAACACCGGCCGAGTCGATAGCGAAGATGAGGCGGAAGAATCATACGGAGCAAGACAACTTACGGGGACTGTGGAAGTCCTCGGCCATGTTAACAATATGCGTTTCAAGCTTGACGCCTTGCATTCTGTCTCCACCGGTACGGCAAGGGCAGCGACAAGAGACAGGCCGAATCGCTTGTTCCGGACGAAGGACGGTGTCGCGTGCTCTCCCTTCCGGAGATGGGCATGTACACGTGAAATCTGATATCTAGACGGAGAGCGGACCGAATGGACAAATAGGTCTGGTGAAAGCTATGCATAAATGACGGCCATCTCGACATTCATGTCACGTCAGCATTCAGAGCAGCATAGAGCTGTACACAAAGTCGGTGCACAATTGAGGGAAGAAGCATCGTTGGTGGACGTGTGTAGGATCTACCACGCTCAGATGGCCGAGTCTTGGAATCTGAGGTTATTTATATATATTGTACACTACTACGTACCTGCCTAGTTATAGGCAAATGCGACTGAAGTGCTGTCGACTAAGCACTGTCCTTGCTCACTGCTAACCCACGAACGTAATCGACGTGGGTCCATTGCAAAGGACGGCACTTCGACTTCAAGCGCCGGCCGAATCCCGTCATCCGGTCTCGCTGCCCTCACAGGGATTAAGAACCACTATCTCCCACCCCTGCACTTCGCAGATATGACTTCCGTCTGATGCTGTTGACTCTGCTACCAACAGCGCAGTATTTGCGTCGCGCTTCCGGAATCCTCCTGGGGACACGTACCTCTCTTGCGCTCCAGGAAGTGGCATGCCATACACCGGCAAAACGCTGATTCGCATCGTTCGGAACACTACTGACTACTCCAAGCACGTCGCCCACCGTCCCGTCCCATCGCTCGGCAACACTTCCGCGGTCGACAAGCTCCTGTCCAATCCGCGATGGAGCGTCCGCAGTCTCCTCCCCATTGCCGTCGCCACGCCTAAGGGAGCCACTGACGCAACTACAACTGGACTATCAGATGCAGCTAGAGAACAGAACAATGCAGGCACCACGCCGACCACCCCACCGCAGCCGCCCACAGACAATATCATAGATCGCAAAAAGCTACACCACCTGCTCCGGCTCTGCGCCCTCCCCCTCCCCATCACCCCCGCCGCCCGAATCCCGCCTCCTCAGCGACCTTAATTCTCAGGCCCATTTCGTCAACCACCTCTCCTCCATTGACACACACAACGTCCCCCCACTCGTCGCCATCCGCGACGAAACACTCGCGCACCGCGCAGAAACCACCATCGGTCTGGCCCAAGTACAGCCGTGGCTGGATCTGGAGGACAAGGTTGGGCGGAATGGAACGGTGAGGAGGCGGAAGACGGATGTAAAGGGGGCGCTGGAGGAGATGGAGGCAAGGAAGAGGGAGGAGAGCAGGGAGGTGGATGAGGACGAGAGGATCTTCAAGTGGCCGGTGCTCAAGGCGAGTGGGCAGGAGGAAGGGAGGAGGTGGGGTGGGTATTATGTTGTGCGGCGGGGTGTCAAGAAGGAGGTGGACGGGGTTGGTGGCGGTGCTGGTAGCGCTGGTGGTGATGGCGGTTGAAAACGTATCGGCGGCAATGTACGATCATCGGGAGCTCGACTGAACGATTTCAGCATCACGCCGTGAGCGTCTGCAAGCACGCTGTGGCTGGCTCCTACGTTGATCGGTTGATCCCATCTGCACATGAACACAGACTCATCGTGGACGCAGAGTATGGAGGAACAGAAGCGCCATCGCGGCGACTCCTCAGCAGCCTCAATACGATCATACAGTGATCGCGGCCCGTTCTAAATTCCTCGCGTTACTGGACGCCTGCCCGCGGCGCGGGTGGAGAGCAGGCAAAGCAGGCAGACTACACCTCAACAGTGGTCCTACTCATTATGAGATCATTTTTTAGTCAGCGGACCGCACGTGTGGAGCTTGTCACATAGCGTCTTCAGCGCACTCGACGAGACAGCTTCTGTCACGATCACCACCGATGCTGAGACTTCGACGACCACCGTTGAGATGGTCCAAGAGGCCACGAAAATGTCAACGCCCTGGTGTTGCAGTCTGCCTTCTTAATGGCAAGCAGACGGCTACAAGATACCGCACTCCCGTTGGTAAAATGATGCCTAGCCAACGGCATATATATTGCATAGTCCCGTGTATATATACCTTCATATGCAGACGCAGTTCGCTATGCATCTAGGCTAAATCGCAATGGAGATGATAGCGGCATCACACTTACTTCCGCTGCAGGAACCACCATTACGATGGCACTTGCTGCCCTTCGTACTTGCCCTGCTTGGGTTCCTCGTCAACCGTTTTCAGACAGCTCTACTGCAGCATGCCAATCGAGATGCTCGAGCACATCCGACGCTGGAACGGGTCGAGCACATGTCGGACAGTCGTATGCACCCTCGCCGTCTTCCACATCTGGTGCATCTTCATGCAATGGTGAACCAGACCCGTTGATATCGCCTTTAGCTTCGTCCTTCGCTGTCAGGTTATCAATGGCACGGACTTTCTTTGACATGTGCTCGTTTCTCGATCCCTGCTGTGCAAAGCCCAGGTCGAAAAGTGTCCGTTTCTTCGGATTTGCTCTCGTATCTTTGACAGTTTCCACCACTTTGGTGTCCACCACTTTTGCATTTGAACTCCACCCATTGCTGTTTCGCGACGACGGCAGTGGCGATGTCTTGCCTGCTGCAGCAAACAGCGAATCAACTGCGCGGCTTCCCCTTTCAACATCCACCAAATCATTGACAGACACGGAAAGCGTGACCAGCGGCCAAGTCGCGCCTTCCTTCTCCAACGCCAAAAGTAAGTCTCGAGATAGCTTCAACAAGAGATCTGTATCCAGCTTTGCACCTAACGGGATTGGCCCCTGCTTGGAACGTGTCGGAGCACGCGGACCATTCACCTGCAAATGTACAGCCACTGTCTTTGGTCTTCGATCTCCGCCAAGGTCTTCCAAGCGACCCATGATGTCTGCCGCGAAGATGTAGAGCCACTTCTCGGCCTGTGAGATATCTTGTAGGCTGACCATGAATGTCTTTGCTGAAAGCACAGACTTCAGCTGTGTGCGGTCTGTGACCTCAGAGTACTCGATGCCGCGTATGACATTGTAAACCCAAGCGGCGGAGGAGCTACCGATCTTGGAAGCCAGAGTCGCGCGCGGGACATTCAGCAGGTCAGACACGAGTTCTGTCTCGAAGGCCTTGCTGACTTGTCGTCCTAGCTTTGCTCCAAGGCCACGAATCTTGGTGAATTTGTACTGTTGGAGGAAAGGCTCTATGCCACAGGTTCTAACGACAGTCTGACGATTCGGCTTGTTGTGACCAGCTGCAAGCTTCGCCACCACTTTATTGCGTGCTATTCCAGCCGAGCACGTGTATTGCAACTCACATTGTACGGCGGAACGAATTGATTTGACAAGCTCACAGCCAATATGTAATGCAATGTCATCCCAATCGACATGCTGTCGTGCTTCATCGCTCGTGTCCTCTTCCACAGCGGTATCGCTCCAGTCGAGGAGCGGATCGATGGGCAGTGGAAGGTGCGCATCCAGAGAAGGTGGCTCTGTGACAAACTCAGGAAATCGCTTCAGTAGTTCTTGATGGACGGGGCCTGACAGATCGACATAAGTCTCATCGATGCCAGCTTTCTCGATAAGTTGACGGTCTCCAGGCAGTGTCTGCTTCAACACAGCCATAGCCTTCTTCGACTGCAGGCGATAGTAGTCCAGCGAAGACTTGTCGATGTCCATATGCTCGAGCGCATCATCTCTGTATCGCCACGTCGTATCGCCCTCTCGCCATGTCGGCACATGTTGAAGGACAATACTCGGGCACTTCAACTTTGCTTCCTCAGCGTTGACGACTTTCTTCAAGCCGGCCGCTCGGCCAGCATAGTTCATCGCTATAACCTGGATCGTGTCAGTACTTCTGTAGCGGCTACCGATTACTGACATACATGCTTGAATTGCTGCACGCCCAGTGGCTGATCTGGCGACAGCCCCAGGCGTACACTCTCGCATTGAGCGTAGAAGCAGTCGAAATCGATCAGAGTGATCACACGAAGCGGCGAGTTGACAGAAGACTGGCCCAGTAGTCTCAGGTCACGAAAGGTGAAGCGCGATTGTGGTTGAGCATCGTGGCGACTCGAGGTGGGTGATGACATCCGGACATTGCAGTCTCACGACCAGAATCGATCACATCGACATGGGAAGCACTACATGTCATTAATGAGAAACAATGACCCAAAGTAAAACTGCAGTGGGGATGCTGAAGTTGAAAACAGTTCAGACTGAAGGTCAAAAGCCACCCGTGATGACGTATTGGGCCTAGTGTCAGGCAACGACAAGGCATCACGCATGGGGATGCGACAAATTGAGTGTCGAGGCGTTGACTGTTACACCGAGCCAGACGAGGCGAGTCATAATTGGTGCAAGTGAGGATGGAGCGACACGATGAAATATGTATATGTAACAGAGGTCCATCGCACGAGATATATATTCCAAGCGAAGGTCGTTCCTGCCTGTTTACGTGTACGTTCTGACTGGTAGCCACCGACCGAGCAACGCTCCACGACTCGAGGCAGTCGTAAGACCGAGGACTGGGCAATTCCACCTCTTCAGCTAACGAGAGCAATCTGTAAGGCGCCTTGAGCCTTCTCAAAGTGTTCTAATTTCTCCTTCGGCAGGTACCGTGGGTGCCAACTCTGCTCAATGCTTCTCATACTCGACATGGCCAACAGTGCTCTTCCTGCGTCCAGCCTCCTGCTCAAGATCGGCCAGGGTAGCGCGCCTGCCGTCACCAGCAGCAAGCTCATTGACTTCCGTGAAGTTGACCGTCGGCTGGAATCCCTTGGACTGCCACGCCTTGGGAACCTTGGCGTACAATTCGTCGACCTGCTCCAGACTAAGACCTTTTGTCTCGTAGATGCAGAAGTACACAAAGGCCATGCAGATGCAGCAGAAGCCGCCCCAGATGAAGAACACCTTGGATTGTAGGTTGGCGTTGCCGGGTCCAGCGTTCACCATGTATGGTGTGGCGTAGGCGATGGCCCAATTTAGGAGCCAGTTGGACGCTGTCGTGATTGAGAGGCCGCGGGCGCGAGCCTTGAGTGGGAAGATCTCTCCAGTAACAACCCACGCGCAGGGTCCCCAGGAGCATGCGAAGAAAAAGATGTAGATGCAGACAAAGGCGATAAGAGCCTTATTGGCCGAGGTATTGTCGGGCAGAGCAGTACCCACGGAGGCCACAATGAGCTGCGAGATGGACATGCCGACAGCACCGAACATCAATAGAGGGCGGCGACCCCACTTCTCAACAAGGTAGAGACCAGGTACCGTCGAAGAGATATTCACCACGGACGTAATGACCGAAACGATGAATGGGTTCGAGATGCCAGAATTCTGAAAGTAAGCTGTACCGTAGTAGAAGATGAAGTTGACACCAGTAAGCTGCTGAAGAGCCTGTAGAGCCATGCCCGTGAAGAGTCGCTTGCGAATCGGCTTCTTGAAGAGAGCAAAGTAGCTAGCAGTGCCGATGGACATCTCGTACTCATGATTGGCACGAACCTCAGCCAGCTCCTCAACAAGCGCCGGATGGTCAATGTCAAGTCGTCGAAGGCGAGATAGAGATTTAGCTGCACCTGCATGGTCTCCCTTTTTGATCAGGAAGCGAGGAGTTTCTGGCAAGATAGCCATTCCAACCCACAGGACAATCGCCCAAGCGAATTGGACGGCGACTGGGATTCGATAAGACCCAGTGTCGTTCCTGTCCTTGGTCGCATTGTTGACGATGGCGGCGAGAAGGAGACCGATGGTGATGGCCCACTATTGCACCTGTCAGACTGAACATGTACCGGGAATAATCAGAGCCGGGAGATTGATGTCTCCGATTCAGGTTCATCGATATACGTACCTGATAACAACCGACGATAGCACCTCGAATCCACTTCGGTGCTGTCTCTGACTGATAGAGTGGTATCGTGGCGGAGAGCAGGCCGACACCTAATCCAGCGAAAAATCGACCAGCGACGAACAGTGGGATGTGAGTGGCCGCTGTCTGCAGAATGACACCAACAGTGAAAACACAAGTATTAATGATCATCGCCAGTCGTCTTCCAAAGAAGTCCGCCACCGGTGCACTGAGTAGCGCGCCGAAGAACGTGCCAGCAGACAGGATAGACACAATCTCAGACGTCTGATTAGCATCAACATTGAGATCACCCTTATCATCGCGATAGCCAGTCGAGAAGTGGTCCTTCCAGTACCTTATACCGTTAGCAACGGTCTTGCGATATTGTGTTGGATACACTCACTTCATTGCAAGAATGCCACCAATCGTACCAGTGTCATAGCCGAAGAGCACACCACCGAAGGCGACGAAGGAGCCGATCAGGATGGCTGGCATGGCGCTGCCAGCCATATCTGCTGGCTTGTTGAGGAAAGGCATCTTGGATGTCGCGACGCCTTGTCAAGATACGAGATGCGTCGTATGATGTTGCTCACTTCTCAGGCCAAACACGAGGTGGTAGAAGATACATCGTAAGTCAGTAGGACATCATGGAACGTATATGTAGCACATGGACGTTGCCCAGCGGCGGGGTATGCATTGTTCTCCATAGTCATTCCTCTTCGTCTGATCCAGAATTTGAGTTGGCTCGTCCATCGAAATTGCAGGACAGACTTTGCCTGACCCTGGGGACGCTACTCACCAGACCCATATGTTCAGAGGCTTAAAATTGCCAGCGCAGATTCCGGTGTGACACAAGGGTGAAAAGGGCCGATGACAACAGTGCTTGAGCGGAGGCGTACAGCGCCTACTGCATACTAGTACACTGGTCGCATTCGTCTGGTTGATCGGCTCGGGTGCGTCTTCCCAATCGTAACCCGTGAGTCTGTGAGCGAGGCCATGTTGGCAGAGTGAGTCCTACACTTGGACATCTCAATTGCTGTCAATGAAAGTCATAGGACCATACATCTAGGCGTGTAGTGCAGCTTGAGGTGGACTGAACATTATGGTCGAGCACGTCGTGCTTTGTGGAGCTCAATCAAGTAGCATGGGATGTGCTACAAGTGGTGATCGAAGGTTGCGACGTGTGAGCTTCGTACAGCATGGGTGATGTGCGTCGCGTGAGATGTTGCATGCAGAAGAACCTACTTGCAATCGAAGGCGATTGGTCCTCGTCTGCCTGCGACTTGGTTCTCTACCGTTGGAAGTCGTAAAAGGGAAGCTTGAAGGAAATATGCTATGGCCACAAGCCTCCATAATACGGGCTAAGCTTCTCTTAGAAAGTCTTCGCAGTAAAGGTTTCCCCACATCGACTTCTTCCAATTGCACGTCGATCACCGACCGGGGGACCATGCAGTTCTCGAGATACAGTTCGATGCCCCTCGTTTTCGTTGATGAAGCGTGCCGTCATAATTGACATCAATGGTACAACAGAGTGCAATATAGCCGACAGGCGACGGAGAGGAGAAAGTTTTCGCCGGCCATTTCGACGAGAGCCAATGCCATGAGGTATTTGTATCGTGTAGGCAGCATCCATGTAGGTCGACAGGTGACCAAAGTACCTGCTTATCTGATGATTGTAGCAAGTTGAGAACGTCGACTGAACAGACCAGAAGCTAAGCCAGCACTGAGGGTGGAAGAGATGTGCCGCATGCTGGGATAGTTGACCTTGTCCATGGCCGACTTGGCAAGGGACATTGTCCTGTCGTGTGGTACTGGCGGTCGACAGTGAACCCCGCGATGCTGAGGCTCAAGAACCCAGTAGCCAGGGAGGAGAGACACGTCCTCGCATGTGAGACTCCGTTGTTTCCCTCAGCACACCAGCTGGCGTCCGCATCTGGTTGCGCGTCAGCTACTTCAAGGGTTCTCTGAGCCTGTGTGGTGCACGACCGAAAGCTCTCCGCCACGAGGCTTCCTTTGTACGAGTGAGTATGCAAGCAGTATCCGCTGGCACTGCTACCAACTCGATGTGCCCCAGCTGTCTTGCCGGTTCGAACTTTGCAGCTTCTCACGCCCTCGCTGTTCCCAGCCTGTCGAATCATTGGTAAAGGACCGTCCCTCAGGCTGATGCGCTGCACTATTCTGCGGTTCATTGACGTCCATCTTCCAGTCTTTCCTGATCCCGTCGAGCCAGTCGCTCACTGGTACACTCCTGCCCTTGAACCGCACTTTTGTCTTGCCACGCGCGACTGCCTCGTCCATATTGAACTCTGGCACGTGTAGGTGTTCGTGGGTTGGGCTGCAGATATTCTCGCCGATTTTGTTCTGCTTCAGGAGCTCGTGGCATGGCTCACAGAACATCACGTCGAGACAATCGGAACAGACGAAGATGTTGTCGGCGTAGGACCATCTTGTATTGCAGTAGCCATCGCAGAAGTATTCTAGATCGCCATCCAGTCCCTTCAGGCTTACATGAGTAGTGGGATCAGCACGGGACTTTGAGCTGTCAGATTGGGTACCCTCCTCGTCGCAATCGTCGTCGTCGCTGCTTTCCTGTTCAGGTTTCGCGCCCAACTGTCTGGGTAAGAGCAGCGACCATGCAGCCAAGGCGTTATCGTCTTCACCGCAATACATGAAGACAGTCCCCAGTCTGAGAAATGCTTCCCAGTCATTGTCAGGGTCCTCGTCGGACAGCAGCTCCAGACCTGTCTGTACTGCCGGTCTCGCAAGCTGACGCGCTTTCTCCGGAAGTCCATTCGTTGCATAGTAGCGACAGACGAGCAGCGTGGTGTTGAGAGTTGTTGCCCATGCATTGCCACTGTCTTTTGAGGCTAGTTGGGTCATCTTCTGTATGAGCTGTGGTACCTCTGGTGCTGACGGCTCGTACTTTCGCAGCCTTTCTGAATATACGGCTGCCAATCTACTGGCCACTTGGATGTAGACGTCCTCGTTCCCGATATCAAGCGTGTCATTCAAGAGCTCTTCGAAGGATTTGATTGCCTCTCCCTTACTCTTCTGCGATATCGATGTTCGCCAGAGTTGGTTGCTCAGGGCAAGTTTCAGGTAGGTACGATACTCGCCTTTGACCTGCGGGAATTGGCTTAGATAGTCAGGCTTCTGGACATCATGGATTGCCTCCTCCAGCAGTTGTACGTAGAAGTCGGATGTCCCAGTGGCGCGAGCGACGCCAACCAGGACTTCTTCCATGCCGCCCGACGTGTCAGACATCCAGTGGAGTAGACGACTTGACCTCTTTATAGCAAAGTACGGGTCGTGAGACTCGCGCAACTCTTTCAATGAATCAACAACCTTCTTGGGCTCTTTCTTGCGCCAGAAGATATAGAGCCGGCTCCAAACTGTGAAGGGGTCAGTACAGGACTGGAAACAGAGAAGAGCAGCCATGAAAGCGCTGATGATCGTCCCTAGGACAGACAATGGTGACATTGGGCACGAGGAGTGACACGAGCACGATGGTCGCATCTTCACCAACACATTGGATTCGCATTCCATTTGTCGTACGCTTCAGCACTCGGCGTGTATGCTACTGTCATTGTAGGACTTACCGAAGTCGTAATCCATAACTTGCTCCTCTACAAGGTGTCTGTCGTAGATCTGTAGGGCTTTGTCCCATTCTTCAAGTCGCTGGTACGAATTTGCCATGGAGTTCCGTATTCCTCGCAGATATGACTTGGGATTGTTGGCTTTCGCTGTGCCATCGAGTATGTCCCGTTCAATCAGTGAGAAGAGCTGCGCGGACTCCGAGAACTTCTCTTTGTCGAAAAGCGCATTGGCAAGTCCGTGTTTGGCGAGCCATGGATCTGTCGTCTTGCCGCAGCTGATGGCGACTTGGTACCTAGATAGCGTCAACTCTCACATGCATCGAAAGGAGATTCAGCGGGCATGTGGACTCACTGGGCGATGGCTTCATCGAGATTGTTGAACAGCCGCAGTATGCGTGCCAAACCACGATTGAACTCGTAGTCAGTCCCACTGTCCATGCCTAGGAGATCTGCCACCCATGTGAAGACTTCAACGACGACCTTGGAAGTAACTTCATAGTTCTTGAGCTCGGTAGTCGGCGGATTTGGCAGGCGCTCGGATTTCGCTTTGTACGCGAGCAGGATAGAGAAGAGCAGCTTGTAGCTCCATCCCCAGCTCGAGGATCCGAAGAGACGCTTTGACAGATGCTTTACGATATCTCCAAGCACGTTAGTAGCCGATAGGTCTCTGATCCAGCCCTTACGCTCCTCGGCAAAGCTTTTTGAAACTGCTGTGTCTCGTATGGTCGCCAGAATTAGATCAGCGTTGTCTTCCGAGAAGAACATCTGGGATACGACGTCCTTGGCCAGAGGCTCTACCCACATCTCGATGACCTTTGAGTCAGTAAGCACTGGTAGAAGTTGTCGTCCAATCTCGAATTTGATCGATGGACTTGTTAGTGCGAGATCAATCTCGTTCATATGCTTCTGGAAGAAAGTTCCTGCGTAGTCCAGCAGGCCTTTCGCTTCTTTGGCTTCGCTGGCCATCGCGGTCAGACATCCGAGTAGAAGTGTGCTGCTGGCAGAGCTTAAGTCAACGTGGACAAATGTCGCAGAGTGGCCGAGTTTGCGAGCGAAGAACTCATCGAAGCCGAATTTGGCGTAAAGGACCTCATCGCACACGGAGCTGAGAAACCTCCTGACCTATTAGAGCCGTTGTTAGTGATGTCTGGACGAGAAAGGGCCGAGAGATCATGGGTGCGGACGAAATGAGCAGCGTTGGCATAGCCGACTCGCCAGAACGACATCTTGAATATGGGAGGGCACTTGTGAACCGCAAAGACATACAATTTTCACTTCTGCCTCCTGGACCTTGTTTGTCGACAAGCTAGAGAGGTCCTCCTGCCGGGCAGCTTCCCCGAAGTATTGTCTGATTGAGTCAGAAGACAGTGATACCAGCCATCCCCGACTCGTCTCTGGTCCAGCATCAGAGGCTTTGAATACGTGAAAGAAAACCTCATATTTGTCGAGCTGATCTCGAAGTGGTCGTAGGGGTGCTTCGCCGTTCTTGAGGAACAGGACAGCCTCCAGCTCGCTTACCCGGAGGGTCCTGCGACTGCACATGATCCAGAGCAATAGAGTGTTCAAGTCGCTAATCTCACGTTCTGTCAGTGCTGTGTTGCATCGAGAGACTTCTCGACCTATTGTATCTGATCTCACGCCTCCACGCAGCTCGCTTAGAACGTGTCGCACCTCCGCTGGCCATGACTTCGAATTGATCTCCTGTAGTATCAAAGAGACATTGACGAAGTCACCGCCCATGGTCGTGAGGGCGTCGTAGATCTCTTCGCGCAAAGTCTTGAGAGAGGGAGAATCTCCTGCCAGCAACGACATGTTGTTCAAGCGCTCGGACACAAACATCTGGATGTCTTCATGGCTGTTCTCTTCCACATCAATAGTGCGATGAGCCAATTGTGCTGCTGTCAGTGACTTTCCCAACGACTCCATCACGCGTTCTCGACCGGACAAGAAGACTCGGACGTGTGAGTATTGCGCAGCGTCGTAGCGGTCTTTCGTGGATGCGAGTAGCGACACAAGTCCATTCAACTGTATCTCGCTCGAACGATCAACACCATCAAGGATGATGAAGAAGGTTGACGACGACTTGTAGCACTGATCCATCAATTTGTCGAAGAGTTCGAAAACATCGTCGGGTTCAGTCCATGTTTCGCATAGAGTGGCGAGGTGTTTTCGGTACACTGGGTCGTTGCAGAATTGCATGGCGATGGTTTTCAGGATCCTGGATACGTCAAAGATCTCCTCCGTATCATCGTGAAGGCCCGACGAATCAGAATCGTGGCCTGCTTGGACGTAGTAGTACCCGACTACATCTCGAGAGGCTGATGAGGCGATCGATGAGGCTCTCTGTGCTTCCAGTAAGGAAGAGATCACTTTTGTGCACAAGAACGTCTTTCCATGCCCTTCGTCAGCAGACAGCAAGACAGCTTCGGTGCACTGCTGAGTATTGTCCGCCCAGTCAGCGATGTCCTCAACAAGCCAGTTGCCACTGTCTTGCACTGCTTCGGAGTGAAAGTGAGAGTATGCTGCCTGCTGTCTTCCTGCAGAATTGCGAATTCCAAGGCGGGCTTTGATCATTTCCAGTGTTCGCTGGTCGGAACTTTCGGTCTCCTTCCGAGTCAAGTCTTCGGCGAGCTCTCGAACTCCGTGAAGCTCTTTTCTAGTACTGTCAAATCCTTCTTTGATGGCGCGATAGTTGAGGCTTGATAACAAGAGTGACTCTTGGTCGACCCTTTGACGCAAGAAGTCCAACTCCTTCTTGACACCCTCGTCTTCCGAGAATGCTAGCACTTTCAGATACTTAGTAAGCTTATTGCCGTTCAACACTTTCAGACTCAGGGCACAGATCTTCACCATCGATTGAAAGAATGCGTGGATAATCTTGCGCAGTGGAAGATCAAGACTGCCTCGCATGGAGTCGTAGATAGCCCATCTCTCCAGGATGTCAGCACAAACTCGGAACAGCTCTTCCATGCGCTCACTGATCATAGAATATGACGTGCCGGCAGTAATGAGCATGGCAATGGCCGCGAAAACGAGATTGCTTGGTCCGAACAGCTGCGTCTGGTCCTGGGCCGCGAACAAGGAGAAGTTCTTGACACATTGCAGAGTTCGCTCAAGCGCTTTTCTAAGACGCCGATGCTTCTTCTTCGCTTCTTCATTCTTGTCGTACGCTTTGAGCTGATCAAGGACTTCCTGAGGCGAAAGCACTCTTTTCGGCTCGAGCTTGATTCTTGCAGTCTTTTCGAAGCTTTTGAGCACATCTGACCAGGCCTCGTCCAAGTCAGGATCGTCCATGACTGGTCTTTGAGATTTTGGCTGGCGTCCAGCCGAGGAATACAATCCTCAACTCGGCCGACAAGCCCCTGGACGTCGAGCATCTTTATATGGTTCTGCTTAAAAGCCAGGTCCACGGTAGTCTATTCTAGGTAAAATTAGGGGAAGCAAATGACTGGGTGCAGGCGTCGTACCGTCGCCACAGGCCCTGTTCCGCGACCATTATGTAAGGCAAACTAGGCCTAATGGAGCGGGGCAAGCCGATAGCGCCGATACCTGGATTCAAGACCTCATTGCCCCAATTGAGGTTTCAACGACATCAATAAGACGTGTGTGCATCTACTTGCACATGTGAGACCTCGCTGCCGGCTCGAGCGCACAGATGAAGTCGAGGATGGGCTCAACACTTGCGTACATAGAGCCCTCGGGGTGCGAGCAACAAAGCATGAAGTCTGCGTCGAGCTCCCCACTTGACTTGGTAGCCAATGGCCAATTTGTTCGAGGGATGGGAACGACCTTAGTCCTCAGGTACAATGGCACCTTGTGAATCATGACCGTCTCTGGACCAGGCGCTGTCGTATCCAGATGCCAGCCAACGCGGAGTCTCTTGGAGGGGAACTGGCACCTCTCGTATTTGCATAGAATGACCAAAGCGATCAGGTCAGTGTCACATCGTAAAACATTGACAGGATCTGTTCCAGCTGCTACCGTCCCCAGATGCCGGCAAATGCAGAGCCTCTCGACAGACTGCCAGCATCTCTCGCGTTGACAGCTTTCCGTCGTGATTGCACAGCTCCGCTGGCTCTGACGCCCTCTATGATCTTGTCAAGGCTGGTCTCAACCACGACGCCGCCAACGATCATCTCGCTCAGCACAGCATGTAGTGTCTCGAAACCAAAGATCAGGTCCAGCTCACATACGTTCTCGAATAACCGATCCAGTGCCTCCACAAATACTTGGATGAAATCAATCAGCGCGAGTGGTGATTCTGTAGACGTCGAAATGAGGATGAAATACAAGGTGGCAAAGTGACGATACACAATCTGCGTGGGAACGTCGGGCGAGGCCTCGTTGCCGTTGGGAGCTAGAAGTGGTGGTAGCGGCAGAAAGTTGCAGGCAGATGCCGGTCTTGCCGCCACCAGGTCGAAGATCTGCTTGAGAAGCGTCTGCTGAGTACTTGTTTCCTACAAAATCGTTAATTGCTGCCCGTAGTTGGGGCTATATGTCAAACATTGGAAGGCTCACCAGATTTTCGTAGAACTTAGTCATCCGCGGTTGCCCATTGTTGTTGAAAACAAGCACTGCGCTGATCATCTTGCCACTTCCTCTACAGAGCGATGGTCGGTGCAGGCGTGACCTCAAGGCTTTTCATAGCCGGCAGTAGTGACGAGGAGGTGTGATGTTTGGCATCGATCGATCGGCTACGGGACCGCCTGGAAAGCATGAATTAAGCATTCGGTAGCTACCGGCTGCCGAGGCCTTAACTAAATTTATTTCTGCAGGAACGAGATGCCATCACCTTACGCTGCTCACCTGCTGTCAGCACTCGACTTCATATAAGTCCGACGTAGTATGCCTACGTCGCTATGCAATCCATGTCGCACACTGTTCCGCCGCAGGTTGCAGGTAAAGCTCAAGCACCTTGAACAGTCTCGTCATGCAACAACACGGTCAGCTGCTGTTGCACGATCAGCGCAATCACTGTCGCTGTACTGGGACACCACAGCCCCCACAGAGAGGAATCTCACTGTCGCACGATGGTTCTTCGAGAGCCACCGCGTCAGCAGGCTCTGGACTGCATCACAATGGCGGACGAACAACAACCACGATGAGCTATTGTCGGTACCAGAGGTGGTCTTCTTAGGAAGGTCTAATGTGGGCAAATCGTCTCTTCTCAACCACATACTGAACGTGCCGAACCTCAACCGCGTAGGCGATACACCTGGCAAAACGAAAGAGATGATCGCATGGGGTTTGTCGACCACGCTGCCTGGCGGCGGGGCGATGCCAGGTTGGAAGGGAATGACAGACACTCGCCTTGCTGTGCTGGATGCGCCAGGGTATGGGCATAACAGCGCAGCAGACTGGGGCAACGAGATCGTGACCTACATGAAGCGTCGACGGCAGCTGAAGCGCATCTTCCTGCTGATAGACTCATCACATGGGGCGAAAAAGCATGATATCCAGATGATGGACCTGCTCAGGGCACAAAGCATACCATTCCAATTGATCGCATGCAAGATCGACCGCCAAAAGGAAGACACTGTTGACGAGGCACTTCAACAGCTCCGACACTTCGCCCAGCCTCCAGACACGCCCGGTATGAAAGCCCTCGGCGAGCTGCTGGTATGTGGGTCCCTCGACCGGCCTGAAAGGACCATTGGCGTCAACCACATACGGTGGGCTGTTCTTCGCGCCACGGGCCTGGAAGTTTTCGCTTCCGAAAACTACAAACGCCTAGTCCAAGGAGTTCTACACGTCAAGCCCCAGAGCACGGACACGCCAGTGCCGTCACTTGAGAGAAACGCCTCCCCCTCGAAATTCAGCATGGCCGATATACTCGACATAATGGAGGGAAAGCGATCTCAGCCAAGATCTACGACCAGCACACCGTTGCAGAGGGCAATGATGTCTAACGTCCTCGATGCCATCGATGCAAGAAGTTCGAACCCCCGCCAATCCCTGCCGCCCCGCCACCAAGACAAACTGTGTTCTCTGGCCTCGCGGCGCTCGAAGAAGTAGCCGGTATCAAACCACCTCAACCACAACCAGCCCCAAAGACACGGAAACGGGGCCAGAGCACCCCACGTAGAGCCGCCAATACTGGCCTGCCGTCAGCGCGCAAAGACCACAGCGCTCCCACTCAGCCCCGCCAGGAGTATAAGCCTCCTGCTACAGCCACTACTTCAGCCATAGCCGCCACACAGATCAAGCCCAACGTCTTCTCTGGCCTCGCAGCGCTAGAAGCCGTCGCTGGGATTAACAAGCCGTCACAGGCTGGCAATGCAGGCAAAGGCCGCAAGAGGAAACGCCGTTGATGCAAGTGCCGTGCCTGCCATCCAGATTCTCCCGTGCTGTCTCTTCATCGCACGGACCTCTTCCACGAGAGGATCAGAAGGATCACTACGGACCGTATGGATCATGAATTCTTGAGTGTATACTAACAAGGGACGATTCCATAATGCATGGCGTCGCTGTACGATATGGGCACAAGATGCATAACATCACCTGTGGACGCAAAAGCATGGATTGTACACAAAATTAGAACGCAGATGTACATCAGCAAAGTGTAGAAGTAATTACACAGTGAGGATAGAAAGATAGATGGTCACGACTCTCGCGACCTGGAATGATCGCATTTCGCTGCCAGAGCTTAGACTGCCTGCTTATATGTTGTGACATGCGGCGCCAGTGTATCTCTTATTCTAGATCGTAACATTCGTAAATATCCACTACCAGAGTGATGGCCGTCCCTGACGCTCGTCTTCACTCACGGAACCACACCACAGAGAGAGGCCTCCCTCCCTCGGCTAGACCGCCTCACATAGTCAACAACGTCGCCCTCCCCTTTTCCTTCTCCTTCCCCGTAATACTCGGGCTCGCCGCCACACCAACCCCATCCCCATCCTCACTCTGCCCCAACCCACTATCTGTCCCCCCCACCCCAGCACCGCCGACCACATTGTCAATATCAATATCCCACTTCTCCTGCTCCCCAGCCATACCCTCTCCATCCAGCCCCTCGTCCCACCCCTTCTGCTCCGCCCCTCTCACGTTCCACCTCAACGCCCGCTGCACGCTCTCCACCCATTCGTTCCCACCAGCCATCACGGTCGGGAATGGGTATTGACTTGCCTCTAGCGTTACATAATCGCCCTGCTTGAGCTCGATGCGCCCCTTGCCGTCGAAGCTGGCATACGCGCTGCTGCGCGATTTCTGGGGAACTGCGATGCGCAGGCTTAGGGTGTCGGAGAGGACCATGGGCCGGAAGGAGAGGCTGTGTGGACATATAGGCGTGAGTAGGATTGCTGGGATGGAGGGATGAATCAGGCTGCCTCCCGCGGAGAGCGAGTAGGCTGTTGATCCCGTGGGCGTGGAGAAGATGCAACCGTCTGCTTGGACGATGGTCAGGAGCTCGTCGTCCCCGTAAAGCTCGAGATTGGAGACATACGCCGACGGGCCGCGATCGATGACCATCTCATTAAGCACTTCAAACTGCTCGCCTTCCTCCACGGCGCCCTTCTCGGCGCCCGGATGCGTGTCCTGTCGCCAGACGGTACAGGTGAAGCGCATGCGCAGGTTGACGCGCATGCCCTGCGTCGCCCATGATGCGGTCTAAATGCGCCTTGTACTGGTCGAAGGAGAAGTTGGTCAGGAAGCCAAGCGAGCCAAGGCTGAAGGAGAGGATTGGTGGGACGATTCGTTGGAAGAGCCAGGATGTGAACAGGACGGTTCCGTCGCCGCCTAAGGTCAGGACTAGGTCGAATTTTTCGGGTGAGGACCAGCATAGGTCCGGCGTCCAGTATTTTAGCATGTGTGCGAAGCGAGGGTCGCGGGCGAGGAGGCCGGGTGCGTCGAAGCGCTTGGATTGTCGGAGTTTGGCATCGACGTAGACGGTGACGCCAGCATCCTTGCCGTAGCGTGGCGTGCTGAGCAGCCACTCGGCAAGTTCGCGTGTGAGGTGGACTAGCGAGTTGTCTCGGGCCTTCGTCACGATCATGATAGTACGGACAGCACGTTTCAGAGGCCTCCGTTGAAGCTGCTTGGATACTTCGCGAACACCGTTGGCGGTCTGTGTCAGACGAGAGTGTGAGAATTCATCCTCGACGCTCATCTCGTCGAGGACTTTCTGGATGTCGACGATGCCATCGAAGCGCTGGTGGAAGAAGCACGGTGACTTCATCGCCGAGGTAGGTGACCAATTCGACATGTTGTTCAGGTTGAGACCTGTCGTGAATGTCGTTGGACATGGTGATGTCGACCCGTTTGAGCTCGTATCGTCTATGTTGTCCAGTGCCGTTCGGAACCCTGTCATAGACATTGCCATAGGTGCCGTAGGCGGACCTGTGGCCTTGGACACCAGGGCTTTGAGTATTGTCTGTGTTGGAATGTTCGGGACGTCTGTGGACCGCCGCCTGTGCCCGAGAAAACTCTTGGGCAACCGGAAAGCCCGTGAAGCCTTGTAGGTGGTCTGTGAAGATCTTGAGACTGCAGTGCCTGTTGGGCTCGCAAGGTCGGTGCTCGTGGGAGTCGGATCATGCGCGGTGGCCGACTCTACTTTATGGTCTAAGGGATCAAGTTGATCGGCGTACTGTCGTAGTATCGTCTCGCCAACACCTGGTGTATATGATGCGGAGCCATCTTGTGAGGCCTTGGGCATGGGGCTCGAGGGAAGTGTCGAGGTAGCAGAAAGCGATGGACCTTGTTGTTGTGCTGCGTAAGATGGAGGAATGGAGTCGGGCATTTCTAATTAACTCCGTGGAAGCATGTACCGTCGTTCCGACTCGTATGCGGCTTTGGAGTTAGTGCCGCTTCAGTGTCGGTCGAGATACCTCGGGCAAGAAATCCCAGATGACGATATGATGGCTTGATTAGGCTTTCAGGTACGAACCGTTGAACATCAAGTTCAGTAATCTGATGAGCAGACCTGCTGCGTAAGAAGGTAGTAACAGCGTTTGCTGCTGGGGATCTGTGAATCAGCCATCGTCTCGGCGTGAAGCCGATCAAGACTTCCAACGAGCTCAGACTTTATAAGAAGCTCTTTCGTCTCATCGAAGACATGTGTTGACACTGGGCTTGCACGGTATCCCAGCAAATAGATTTACCTGCAGGCGAGCGCGCCTGTGTCTCGAAGCGGTTGGGGCACGAGGGACAAGCTCCGGGTGGGCTTAGGGTTTTCTTCCATGGCCGCCTCATGTTGGTGGGGTATTTCCTGCCCTTCAAGTTCTTCTTTTCGTCTTTCACACCTGGAATAGCCGCTGGATCCACCCGTCAAACATCCCAGGAGCACTCAAAACACCTACAGATGCTCACTGTCACAATGTGGATGGAGCACTCAACGGGCACTATCCACTGCTTGAACATCGCTTCAGCATGTTCCGAAAGGTGTCAGAAGCCTTCCATGAACCCGCCGGTCCTCAATTTCCAGTCGCAGCCCCTTCCCGCCTGCCCCTCCTTAGCCTTCCGCTATCTCTTCTATCTTCCGCCGTAGCAGCGACAGCAAACCTGTATCACCAGTGTCACTTCCAAGGACCAATAGCCGAGCCCATTCCAGGCCACGGGACAAGTCTGTCATCTTGAATGCTCCCTCACTCTCGATGAGTATCACACCTCCTGTTCCATCTACCGCGAACACATGCAGACTCCGGCACGACTTTCTCTCCTGAACCCTGGGACTCACTAGGCACGTGCCGTCTCTGCCGATGCCTATCAGCACGGCTGCGGCTACCTGACGCATCTGCACCCCAGCGTTCAGACATCCTACGACTGCGGCGTTGATGGCAGAAGCAAGTACAGGAAGGTATGTTTCGTCTTGGCCGCCTTCTTTCATGCCTCCTGGTAGGGTTTCGTCAATCTCTGTGCCAGTGACTTGGAGTGTGACTTGCAACATCATTCGTGGAGCAGCCTCCAGTCGGGTGATCGTTTGCAGTGTTCGTTTCACCAGATGCTCGACATGTCGCTCCTTGACCATGGCTGTACCGTTCACGGGACGTAAGTTCACTTCGATCAGTGTTGATTCGGGTATCTCGTCCGAGCGGTATGGCACTTCAACAGGATAATTGACTCCGACAGAGACCGAGTTGAGGCCGTTCGGCGCTGTATATCTAGCAGATCCATCTGCGTTTCGTAGAACTCGCAGGTCGATGTCTGGAGGTTGTTTTGCCGCGTCCATGGTTGATGGCTACCCAGGTATTCAGAAGTCTGGCGAAGTCCAACGGAGGACGATTTGCGATACTCTTAGGCTACCTCTGGTGGACTCCTAGCAGATCTGCTCCCTCGTATCAGCTAGTGTTCTCAGTCTGCTCATCTCCATGCATTTGGATTTGGTTTTCCTGGTGTCGAAATATTTCACAAACTGTTGATCCTCAATGAAGAAGCCTCGTGGTCTTGGCAAGGCTCAATGGGGGCTCTAAGGTTGGTGACAAACCGCACCGATGAAGAGAAGCCACACACCATGTTACTTGGGGTACACCCGAAAATGTTGATCTTTCGACCGCTCGACCGGCTCTAATCGAATCGACCACTTAAGTGTGCACGTATAATTGTGAGAACTGACAAGGAAGCCACTGCTCAGGTTCGTTTCAGCTGCTTGATGGACTGCCTCTTGGATCGGATCTGCCCAAGTATGCCCTTGCCATTCTTAGAAAGAACACGGGAGATAGTAACCTTTTGCGGATAGATACTTATTGAAATACATGCCGCTGGGAGAAGAGTCATAATATCCTGTTTTACACCATCACATCAAAGACATGCCCCTGGATGTTGTAGCACCGTCCATCCACCTCATCGTTGCTTCAAACGCCAATAATGCCGTGCCATTCGCTGGAAATGCTCGCAGAAAACATGGGACGAACCCTCTATAGAATCCCCTCAAACCTCCTTGTTGGTATATTGAGCTCGCTGCTGACCGCATCGAATTGTACTTCGGCACACCGTCGCCAAGTCGTCCACCCATTGGGTCTGTCATTATCCTCGCTTTGATAGCATCAAGCGGGAAAGCCCCCAGCCAGAAAACTTGCGCTGAAAGTCCACCTGCCAGAAAATTGCCTATTGGCTCAGAGATTGTAGTGCGCTTGAATGCCTTCGAGAAGATATCGTAGCTGCCCCACCACATGAAGAAGAAACTGCGAAATGCAAGAGAGGAAGTGAAGCCGCGATATAGACCGGTCAGCCCGTGGGAACGCACGATCCTGTTTGCGCAGTCGATCGGACCACTGTAGAACCTTTGGCTCTTGTTCGCGGCGTACTGCACCTGTAGCCGGCTTTTCACCTGTTCGATAGGACAGGCTACCACTGATACAGTCCAGCCAGCGAGCATACCAGCCACGGCGTGTCCCAACGTCGGTAAACGTTCGCTTATCTGTGTTGATGAGAGCTTGCTTGACAATGTCGTCTGCTTGTAGCCATGTTCGAGTATCGCCTTTCGATAGAACGTAAGACTTCCCAACATGACAGAATCGCTGATCATCCATCCAAGCATGGGCGGTGTAACTCCCTTGTAAAGCGCATGAGGCCCTTCCCTTCGAACAGTCTTGATCAGACAGTCGATCGGACCAGTGAATTGATCTTTCCCGGATACTTGTAGTCGTATCTTGACGAGGTCGAATGGATGGCCGACCACTAGTTTCGCCGCACCCGATACCGCTCCCCCAATGAAGCCTCTGTAGTTTCTCTCATGGCTCGGAGCAGATGGCGCTTCGTCGACGGTCACTTGTGGCGGCGAGTCGCTACGATAGTTTTGACCATGCCTACATCACGATGTCAGTAAGTCTTTGATCGTGAGACTTCAATTGTGTTACCTGATGACGGAATATGGCATGTCAATCATGTATTTACCGTCGCATTTGACGAAGCCTCGGATGCGCTGTATGTGCTACCATGCTGCCATGCATCCCAGGATGAGAATGCACGCGCAGGTGTTGCAGATACTAGTATTGTCCTTCGGGGGAGATAACAGAATCGCAAAGCCGAAGACATCCTAAAGCATTAAAGTTCTTCTGATGACGGCCACCAATGACGTAGGGGATCGGTCGCTGTTAGGGCTGCCCGCGCTGGGCAAGATCTGGCCTAAGAGTGTCGTGCTTGGAGATCGCACAGGCGCAAAAAAGCTTTTAGTAAACATCTCGCCACGACTCAGCCGTTGGCAAGCTCGCAAGCCCATTGTGGTCCGGCCTAAACACCGTTGCGGGTGTGGCTGGATGGTAATGTATCAAAGGTAAAGTACTAGATTTTCCTCAACACTCCTGACTTTGCTGGATCACCTTGATTCTCTTGGGTCTCTTTACAATCCGCGAGAACTTGAGCAGCCGTCGGCTGGAGCTTCAGCAACATGGCTGGATCCAACGGTGTAAGCAACGGGACAGGCGACCAGGCATCGAAGAAAGTCTGGACGACCTTGATCACAAACACCAAGTACTTGTCGGGACTGCTCACGCTCGAGTACTCCCTCAGAAAGCAGGGAAGCAAGTACCCCTTGGTTGCTTTATATACAGATTCATTCCCGCCAGAGGGTCATGAAGCGCTGAAGCGCCGGGGAATCAAATCCAAGGAGATACCATACCTTTTGCCATCGATCCCCAAAGAGTACGCCAACGACCCACGTTTTTATGACTGCTGGAGTAAGCTGGCGCCCTATAGCTTGACCGAGTACGATCGAGTGGTACAATTGGATAGCGACATGCTCGTCCTTCGGAATATGGATGAATTGATGGAAATCGAGCTGGACCCGCCTGAGATGGGCGGTAACGGGGACAAGGTGTACGCTGCCAGCCATGCCTGTGCCTGTAATCCATTCAAGAAGCCTCATTATCCAAGCAACTGGATACCGGAGAATTGTGCTTTCACGTCGCAGCACGATACGCCCGATCTCGCACAGACACAAGGGCCTGGGCCAACAGCCGGTATAGCATGCCCTAATGGCGGACTGCAGGTCGTCAACCCGAGCAAGGGTACATACGACAAGATCGTCGAGACGCTCAAGAACGGAGACTTGACGGCCAGTTACGATTTCGCCGATCAGAGTCTGCTGGGCGAGCGATTCTACGGGAGGTGGATAGGGCTCCCATATATCTATAATGCTTTGAAGACTCTGCGAATGAAAGGAGTCCACGACGCTATTTGGCGGGATGATCAGGTCAAGAATATCCACTACATCCTAAGCCCAAAGCCTTGGGACGAGACGATGGAGTCGGTCTCGAATGAGACCCACAAGTGGTGGCTGGACGTGAACAATCAGCGCAGAGCAGAGGAGCTCAAAAGTGGTATAGACGATGGATTCTAAGCACGTCAGTGAGGCGCGGCTTGGATCTTCAGCATGGTCGTGAGTTGGTTAAGGTCTGCTTGACGAAGATATCAGTGATCAAGAACTCCAAGAGCCCTGTGCTGTAGCGATGTCCAACAACCGCTGTGGATGTCGCTATGTGGTTGTGTCGGCAGGCTGTTCAGGCATCAATTGGGCGTTTTCAGCGAGTCGGTGTACCTCAAGATTTCTGGCCAGGGCGGGCTCTGAGGGTTGGAACTGTTTTGGAAATTGAGGCAGCAAGTCTGGGAGGAGCCTCACTTGAGCTTCAAGTTGCAGAATTAATCTATCATCAATTTGCCTGCCAGGGAGGCCGCTATAAGAAATTTGGCGTGAGGTATGTTAAGGATAGAGAAAATGCTCATGTCTTGTCCGAACAGCTTGGTCGGTTGCAGCAACGTACAGCAGAGAAGTGAAGCACAAGTCGGCACCCAGGCAAAGCTGCCTCGCATGCAGTGCGGGCATGCTTGTGGCATCGCTGTTCGTCGCCATTATGGACGTTCGACTGTCGTGCTGTCACAGCCACAGCTCTGGATCGTTTGCCTGGTCGGCTCGATCCTGCCAGATGGTTTGCCTTGACGGCACAACGCCAGATTGGTAGACGGTTCTCCCGAGCATCGGGTCTCGATCACATCACTGGACACGAAGTAGTGCAGATCATTTTCATTTGTGGCCCTGCTCCCGGAGAACGCCCAACGCCCGATGAAGTCTCGGGTGGTTGTCACCAGTGAGCGGTAGACGAAGATCACACTGCGGAACAAATATTTTGTGGTGTGCAACCAATGTCGTGCAAACAGAAGCATTCGTAGCCAGTCAGAGCATTTCTCGAATCGCCGAACAGAACTTAGGCAACGTCCAGAAGCCATGGCTTGCCGTCAGAGGCGCTGCTGTCCATTGTTCACTACATGAAATCCCAGTAGTAGATGCAGTAGATTGCAGCAATGCGATGTGCTCGGATGGAGTTTGCTGCAGATTTAGGGCCCGTGCGAGCCAGTCGACCGGCCGTCATGCGCACACCAAGCCCTTTCCATCACTTCGTCTTCCACGTTCAACGCTCTCGACTCGCGTCGCTGCATTTGCTCGATTTGACAGCCCAGTAATCGCACTCCGTCAAGCTGAGGCGAGCGTAGTCAGAATCTTGGAGCCAGGAATCCGCGGCTGGCGGCTGCTTCCTCATCACGAGCAGATTTACAGGAAGTACCTCTGCCCCTGTGGCTTCACTCATGCGATATCCTTAGGCAGACTCGCCTTCACTATCGTGCCTTCCCCGCCTTTTGCCTGTCGATATCGGATTAATTGAGATATATCACATCACATTCTTCTCACACCTTCGGTTCCTGCAGCGCTTGCAAGACCTTGAAGGTGTGCTCGATTCCCGAACCCTGCAGGGTCACTTGTTTGCCACCAAACCACTTTTTCATGCAAGCAACCGAAAAGACGTGACCTACGAACAGCTGTCAACCATGACATCGCCGTCCGCACTTTAGTACTCAGGAACACAGACCTGTCGGTCTCGCTCTTGCATGTACATCGACGTCACTCTTCACCAAGGATCTCGAACGACCATTTCATGACCAGTATTTCGCATTATTTCATCTGACAAGCTCTGTACCTGAGACAGGATCTCACCTCCCCGAGCGCCCCTGCACCTGAGGGAAGTTTATTTCTCCAATCGTTTCACCGCAAGTACTTGAATTCACCGAGATATTTCTCATCTACGCTTCTCACACCGTCTTCGCTACTGCCGCTCCGAGGGTTACTCAGCATGTGCATCCGAACGAAGACATCCTACGGTTGCGGATGCACATTCAAAGATGATGAAGAATGCAACTCGTCCAGATGTCGAGGTTTGGAAAAGTACCACTACCAGCATGAAGGTGACTGCCGAAGCTGCAGAAACGGCGGGTTTGAGGTGACTCGTGGTCGTGAAGGCAAGGGCAGGTATGCCAAAGAGATCAACAGGAGGTCACCAACGGTAGACGATGTGAGCGGAGGAGCCAGTCCATGGATGCCACATACATCGAGCCGACACGAGAAAGAGTGGCACAGTCCCGTCAGACGAGAAGCCGATTCGGCATGGGAAGAAGAACACTCGACTCGAATCGACGACCTGCAGAGTCGTCTCGAGAAGTTGAGCATGCCATCTCACTCCCCACCTCGACGAGCTGCCTCCCCTGAGCCGATTGACGACCACTACTACTCTCAAGATTCTGATCCAGATCCTGTACCGCGACGACACCAGAAAGCCTCTCCAGCAGTCAGCCGTGATCGTGACGACTACAGCATAAGTACACGCAGAAGAAGGGACCAGAAGACACGCCACAACGATAGCTACGAGAGCGTCGACAGCGCTCCTTCCCGCAGCAGAAGCGGCCCGCTGAAAGCATACTCGTACAAAGACGATCCTTACGACTCCGGCTACGGCTCACACAGCTCCTTCCGGTCTCCCGTCTACACTTCTCGTCGGCCAGGGCTGACTCAGAGCCAAAGCACAGGGTTGCGTCTTGCGAACTACGGGGCAAAAACGGAGCCCAGAGATTACGCATACGCACTGCCTAGGTCTCGCACCTACGACGTACCCATGACGAGCACATATGGCAACTACTCCAGTCCCTTGGGCGCTTACGGAGTCGAGTTGTCGCCCTCTGGTCGAGCGAGAGTAGTCACTCGTCCATACTAAATTTAATGAATTCATACGATAACACGAGACAAGGCACGACATGACAGATCACATAGACGAAACCACATAACCACAGAATCAGAGTCACCAGTCACTTGAGCGGCATCACAGACGCGGCATTTGAAGCAGCATTTCGCTGGATAGCATATTAGGAGGGCGGAGGGCTAGATAAGCTGGCTCACCACGATCGTTCGACCAGCAGCCGCGATCACGGCGCACTTGCTAGAAATGCTTGCTTGCATCAGAGCAATTTTCGTTCGCTTGTAGTTGAACTAGATCTAGCGAGATAGCAGGTGAGGCTGAGACATGTAATAACAAAGGATTGAACCGAAAAAGCACCAGTACCCGCTTCAGAAGAGGTTGTCGTACTATATATGTAGGACACACGGTAAAAGAGTGCCTTTCATACTACGAAGTATGGGTAGTGCATAACCTTGCAGAGGCTTCTATGCTTCCCTTCAAGAGTCAAGATACCTCTTCATCGTACTCCAGCCGAGTCTTCCTCTGGGATGCGACTCCAGAGACTCACGACTAGAGGGCACCTCAGTCCGAGCATCCTCATCGCTTGAGCCACCCCACTCACGCTTCTCGTCAAAATTTCCATGCCTGATCGTAGCCCTGCCAAGTCTGCTCTTAGGCCGCGACAACAAAGACTTCCGACTAGAGGCTCCCTCGGTCCGCGCATCCTCATCATCCACGCTCTCACACTCGCGCTTCTCAGATGCCATGACCCGTCGCTTCGCCACTCGCCACCTCGGCTTGGATTCCCCTACTGACGCCAAAGCAATCCGCTCCATCAAACCCAGTCCGTTTTGAAAGGGGCGCCTCGGCTGTGGGGTGACCTTGGCGTCTTGTTGCTGTTGAGACCCAGGGCAGTGCTTGTAGTGCGATTTCTGTATCTTTTTCCACTCCTTCGCGCGTCCCTTGGCTACGTCGGTGCAACGCATCCAGCGGGGTGTGCCATTGCGTTTGCCGAGGACGCGGCGTTGGTCGTGCTCATCCATGAAGACCGCGTCGGCTCGGGAAACCATAGTTCTGGGTTGGCCCATCATGAGCTTGTCAGCGGCTTTCTGAAGGAGCTTGCCCACGCCGGCAATGGCATAGCCAGTGACACCAACGGTTCCGCCGAGGAGGCGGAGGGGCCATTTGAGAGCGCTCGTGGTCTTGGATTCGACTACTTCGACGGGCGCAGAAGACGAGAAGCAGACTAGATGACCTGGTTGGAGAGAGAGTCCCCAGTCCCAGGACATAGTGATGAAGGCGGGGACTTTGGGCGGGTCGGGAAGTGGGTTGGTGTTCGGAGAGTGGTCGGCGAGAAGGTCTTCTTTGTTGGTGGATGGGCGTTCAATCATGAATTTTGCCTGTTGGTGTGGAAGTGTGTTAGCATGATCTTGCGCAGAAGTGTGCCAGGAGTTCGGGCGTAACGTGGCAAGAGACTAGCAGCAAACTCACACTTCCAGTCCTGTCAGCGAGGCTGATGATCAAGTTCTTGCCATCCGGATGAGTGACGGCTTTCTCGAGAACCACTGCGTGGGTATGGACCTTTGTCGGTCTCGAGTACTGGTCGTAACGCTGAGCAATGGTTTTGATTCGGTACTCCGGACGGCCTGCGACCTTGCAGCCACATCGCTTCTGCATTTCCGCCAAGGACATCAGGAACAGCGTTTCACTTGGATGCAAGGTTCTCGCTGTGTTGACATCGGCACGTTAGCGATTGCTTCCATGCGATCGAGTCGGGGAAATCAGACATCCAAGTAGAGATAGGGCAGCAAGAGGGTGAGGCAGAGACGAGGCCGTACCAATCCATAGAAATATCTGATCAGAGACCTCCTTGGCCTCGAGGTCAGCGATGTCAATTTCCAGGTGATTCACACCCCATTTGGATTGTCTGGACCGTGGCGTTGCAGTGTCCTTGCCAACGTGCAGCTTCACCGACAGGAAATTGCGACCCTCGCGAATGCAGCGCTCTTTGACTTCGACAGCACGAACGATGGCGACATTAACATCCTAATCACGGTTGACAAGAAAGGTGACATGTTCGGCCACGATGTCATGCCTGATGTCCTCCACGAACTTATCGGCTACAATTGACGTATCACTGTCTTGATCCCATGCCTTCCATTCTCTCATGCATGGCACATATGAAGCAAGTTGAGCGATGCTGGTCTCGATGATCTTGTTTCCCGAAGTCGCGTTGAAGTAGATGCATGGAGCTCGTATCGCCGTGGGCGGAGGGCGCCCTTTGATCTCGGATCTGATTGTTCTCATTGTGTTCGACTTGATGCTTCGGTTCGATCGTTGGGTATGGTCTGAGAGGGTCACGGTATAAGTACGAGCAAATAAAAGTAGGAGCGCTCGTCTCGTAGCGACGACTAGCAGGGTTAAAACGGAGTCGTGATTCTCGGGAAGTCAGTGACGATCCCGTACGCCCTGAGAATGCCAAAAGTCAACATCGAGATGAAAATTGACATGGGCTTCAGCGAGCATATAACGACTATGCCAAGCACTGTCTTGTGGTCGCGTCTGGCGCAGCTCGTGCGTCTTCAGCTGTAAACAATGGGCCCCCCTGAAGAAACTCACAACTTTGCTTCGGTGTCTCTTTGCAGCCACTGGCACGACTCGAAGCCCACAATGGGCATCCAGAGGGTGGTCTGTATGGATCACCGAGAATACAGTGTGTATCATAAGCCTTGACCAAGGGCTGCCTCGGTCAAACGTTGAACTCGGGCGTGATTGCCCTCTCCGAGAAATTGAAATGCAGCTCGGTGCGCACTTGCCACTCAAGTCTGCTGAAGTGCTAAGTCGAGACCTTCGGAGCAATCCTTGGCTATCGTTAATCGAACGGAATAGGTCGCAGAGTCGCGCCCAAGCCCATCCGCTTCCTCATCTCTTCTCCTGCAGCAATGGTGCTGGGTACTTTGATACCACAGCAGTCACCCCAATAGTCAGGCTCGTGGCCTTGCTCCTGTACGTGCTTCATCCGACTAGCTTGAGCGATCTGTGCTTCAGGATCTAGCTTGCCCATTTCCGCAGTGGCCGGGATGAAACTTCCGAACAGAAAATGCTGCATGATTGGTAGTTTTCCCAGAACTTCTTTCACAAACATTTTGCGCATGCCGTCGTCGACTTTCGACCAGCCCTTCGACCCAGAGATATCATCTAGCATCGGGCTGTGCCATTGCAGGCCTTTTACGGTCTTCACACTGTCCACCCATCGGACTTGATTCAGGTACATGTAGTCATCTCCTTCTTCGTCTAATATGACATTGTTGTGGATCGCTTTAGGCGTGATGTAAGGATGTCCGACCAACTGACTGGCACCGAAGAGGAAAGGTAGGAAGTGGTAATCGTCCAGACCCCAAACGCCATGGCTGCCGGCTGGCTCGAGGTAGTATGTGCTCTGTATAGTCCGCATCAGTTGCAGGTAGCGAAGAAAGGTATGAAGAACAACTGCGGGAAAGTCGCCACGGTCGATCTTGCCCAAATTGTACAGGCACAGCAGCCACATTGCAAAGTTCAGCTCGTGGCCTGAGCCATAATCGAGGCGTTCTTCCGAGCCGAACGAAGCTGCGAGGTAGACCGACAGCTCTTCTCGAGCAGATTGGTCATCAATTGACAGAACCTCTTGGTGCAGTCGGTCAAGATTGCCGACGAGACCTCGGTGGAAATCACGGAAGGCTGGATTGCCAAAGCGAGAGCCGGTATCTAGCGCTGGATGCTGGTTCTGAATAGTCTGTAGACGATCCAGCGCATCATCTATGCGCCGAATGTTCTCAGACAATGAAGACGACCGAATCTCGGAAATCTTGACTCCTTTCACGCAGTCTGAAAGTGTGAAGATCCAGGCTTTGATCGATACATAAGCCGGCGAGTCGAGGAAGAGCTCGTGGTCTCTGCCCGACAGTATTCGCTTCACAGGCAACGTGTGCTTCCCATCTTTCGCGTCTGGAAAGGGCAATGAAGGTGTTGTAGGAGGGGCTTCAGTGGCGGCTGGCCTGCCCGTCGACCGCCGTCCGTTTCGAGGGATCAACTTTGGTATGGCTGCCGCGGCAGGTGCGGTGGCGTCGGTGTGGCCGACAGGCAGAGGACGCGCTGGCAGACTGTTTGTTGTTGCCATGGTCGTGTTCGTTGTCGATCATGAATGCACATCAGTTATGATGATCGCCCGCGAAACTTTTTGGGCGCTTTAGATTTTGGAGAAGCCTGGGAATTCGCCCCCGGTCCTTTTGGACAGCTAAAGCCCGGGTAACGCCTAGCCCTTTCCCCAGATGAATTGCTGAGTACGACTGCAGTTGGTCATCCTTACATGCGACGGAACACGACGACTACCTAGGTAGGTGTCGCGGCAGCACATCATCTTGCATACAATACCGCGCAGTGCCTCGATAGCTTTAACAGCTACTGAGTGTATTCGACCTGTCGCCGTAGTGCCCTTCGCACGCCTTCGTTCGTAGCGATCACGCCATCCCTAGCGACCGCATGTTTACTCCACGATCTGCAGTATTGATTTTCTAGTCCGGACCTGCTCCGCTGCATCGGGTGACGACTTGAGGTTGACATTACCAGATCGGTTCTCCCTCGGTAGAGTCAGCCACCGACGGAGCGAGCCAATGCGGGTCCAAGGCAGATATTTGATCAGCTCTGGGCTGTGATAAGAAATGGCTTCCTCGTCCCATCGTCGAGGTTCGCCTGCTGAACCACGGTCCGCCCAGGAAGCCACCGAACACGCAGAGCCAGACTTCCCACCACCACGACGGCAATCCAGCATTCGTTTCTCAGAGGACACCAAGACTGCTTCGCGGTCACCAATGTCGCGTATGGCGCGATCTTCGGTATCGGATGAAAGTACGCCTATTAGGCCCACGAGCAATGATGACAGGCGGGACTACCGGACTCAGTCACAGCATGCCGAGGACGAGCGGGCGCCAGAAGACGATAGCGTTCCATGGTACAAGAGAATAGCAGACAAGTATGGTGCGGTGGAACTGGAGAACAAGGGATCAGTCGCTCGAGATCACTTGGCGCTGGAGCGCACATTTCTGGCATGGCTGAGAACAAGTCTTGCCTTCGCTAGTATTGGTATTGCCGTTACTCAGCTATTTCGTCTTAACAGCAGCATCAAGGAGAGCAAACGTAAGGCTGCAGCAGTACCTCTGTCCCCTTTGATCGGGGGCTCGATTCCAGTGGACATGTTACCAATACTCCAGCAGCTGTCCGAGAACCTGCAGAGCAACACTCCGGCTACTCAGCAGAAGCTAGGACCCACGCTGCTGGACCAATTGCTCCTCCTGCCCGCAGTCGATGCGGCCGGCACTGCAAGGGACGACTCAATTGTGGCTACCGACGTGCCCATACATCGAATGCGGCACGTCGGGAAACCTCTGGGCGCGACATTTCTTGGTATATCTATACTCATCCTATTCATAGGCCTTCACCGATACTTCGAGTCCCAGCACTGGATCATTCGAGGCAAATTTCCGGCGTCCCGAGGCAGCATTTTCATTGTTGCCTTTCTAGCTGGAGCACTCATCGTTGCCAGTCTGGTGGTTGTTCTCGTCATCGCCCCTACAGCCGTCGAGAATTGAATCAGACATCCTCAGGTCGCGAAGACCAACCAGATATAGCAAAGCAGTGCTGGCACGTCTGCACAGAATGACCTCCATGCGTGAATGCGAAGCCATTTGCGGAGGTACTGCATAGTTTTCCCTTTTCGCTCGACGTCTTCGTCACGAAGACTGTTGATAACGGGACTGATGAATGGCGCTGCCAAGAAATGGCCCGCTGAGAAGGTCGCTCCCGCAGCATACCTACAGGCTTTTGCGTCAGTACTGTGGTCTTCAGGTCCCGGCTTTGGTCTTGCCATGGTTCATTTTTTGGGACTTGTTGGGGATGGCCACTTACAGCTTCCATTCTAACGACTCGGCTGGCGAGTGTCGAGCGCCCCAAATGCCCAGGATAACGCTAGGTGGAACGACGGAGAATATGGTGGTCAAACCCGCTGTCAGCCAGCCATTCCACCACAGTCGAGTGATTTTGCTTGCCGCCTTTGAATCGGTTTCCGCAGCCCGTAGGAAAGCATTGAATATGGTGGTTTCAACGACAGCAAAGCCGACTGTCAGTGAACTCGATACTAGTGGCAACACCGAGAAGGAAGGATGAAGCCCGATCTGAGTGGCGGCCATGGCAGAAATGGTACAAGTCTCGAACGACGAGCAGAAGAACTGCGGTTCGTTCGCAGGACGCACCAGACTTATAAGTCTATCACTAGGCTCTTGATGCTTTCGTGACAGCTCTGGATGCGATGAGAACTCGCCACCTGTGCCAGCAAATGTGCGACCATCTCCTATATGTAGTTGTTTCGCAGCGATTGCATCCTCGGATTCCATACGAAGGGTGGCCTCGTCGCACTCGCACAGCTTACCTCAACCTCACTGAATCGGGTCGACCATTGTGCCGACTCAGACAACATTACACCTTCAGACGCTGCCCTCCCGAGCCAATATGTATGCAATGACTCTGAACTCCAACCGGAACAGCGTGATTCTGGACTGAAGAGCGCTATGCAATTCTCTGTAAGGGTGAGTATATGACTAGGTATACAAATGCCATGTGGCAGCCCCCGGAATATGAATCCGTGCTTACCCCTGGTAAGGTAGAAGGTGGAGGCTTCCCTCATTCACCACAGACAACTAGTTGCCTTCCCAGTGGTATGTCGAGCCCGCGGAAAGCGCGATGTGTTGTGTAGCCTTTTGACACCTCGCACTACGCTGCAGGAACCCGCACCTGCACTTGATGCGACTGCTCAGTTACACCATCCTAGAATCAGATCTCATCGAATCGTAAATTAATTCAGGCTTGTTGCATTTCTCCGCTGTCCCAAATCAGTCTCTATGGCTCCGAATTTGAACCCCTCAACAAGCCGCTAGATCCACGGCAGAGGGGAGACTTTACGATTTTATGCAGGCTTATCATGCAAGTGTTTGAGCCGTCGGCCCTGGCACATTGTTCAATGTCCTTCATGGCACGAGAAAGTCGACTTGCATGGCTTATTGCGATAGCGATCCGCATCAATGGAAAGACGGAATTGGACGCGACTGACTTAGCTCTACACCCTCGCTGCCAGCAGCTGGAAGAATTGTTGCGCCCTCAAAGACAAATCTTTCACGTCAAAAAGGTAGATGCCTTCCCCACATCGCTTTGAAGCTGAGACTCTGGAACAGGAGTCTATCTCAATGATAGCGAACCTGGTCCACACGAACCTTGTAGCTGCCACCACGCTTGCACAGATCTAAGAAACTTCACTCCACGACTCTTATTCGTACGTCCCGACACATCGCCATTTCGAATAAGCCTCGACTGACGACGACACCATCACGAACACTCGTCGTGGGATTTTGCTGTTGTAACTTTCACAGCCCTACCATCGAGCGTTCAACCCTATCAAAACTCTTCGACATCCAGCGCATCTCAGCTCTACAAACCCCAGCACGAGGACCCCTGCCCGGAATCCGAGCTCCTAAAGACCATTCTGCCTTCTTACCGCCAAGCACAGTGCCGCGAGGCATTACATCGACCAGACTATCGGGTCGTCTAGAGTCTGTGCGCTTGATCTGGCAGATTCCGCAGAATATGGGAGAACAAAGCGATCCTCATTCTGTTTGAGCATCCTTGCATTAAGCCATGCTTCATTAAATATGAAATCACTGCAATTTTTGGACTTCTAAATAATCCATCTTTCAGCCGCTCATGGCGCCAGCAGAGAAATCGCGAGCAATCGACACCTCAAATCCGCCATTAGCTGATTATTTCTGGATTGCTGGCGTGGACAGCCAGCAACTTCTTGACGCCTATAAGCCGCACCGGTGGTCCTACGAAGGTCCCGAGGCTCTTGGCGTTGGTTCTGATCTCTCTGCCGAAGCGCCCATACAAGAAGATGTTGTTGCGGAATTGGCTGCAACATCATCGCCGCTGCAGTCTCCCCGGACTAATGGCCACGGACATAAGCGGAAAGACTCGTATCAACGATTGTCTGACTTGTCTGGAGAAGCCCGAAGTTCCATTCAGTCACTAGAGAATGGCACAACGCACAGCCGCAGCAGCAGCATGACCATAAAGGCCGCCACGACTTCGATCACCAATGGCGGCGGCAACAGCGACAAGCGGATGTCCACTGTGATCAGCGATCTGGACTTCGAAAATGCCATGCAGAAATTTACGAATGACCGAGAGTCGTTCTTCCTCGACCTGAACTTCAGCAACAACGCCACTACCAACAAGGCCAAGTCACGGGCGTCAAGGTCGAGACCACGCACGCAGAAGATAGTCTCACAGGATGTGGAACCAGTTCCAAATGGTCTGAGTCGTCATCTTGGTAGCGTGCGGAGACATTTGTCGGTGAAAGACTTGTCGAGCTCGAAACGACAGCCATCAATGGCGCATCGGATGTCAACACGAACCACCAAACGAATCAGTAGCTACAATTCTGTTGTGCCCAGCCCCGAAGCACTTCGTTCCTCGCCAGAGCAGCACCCTTTGCGCCGAAAATTCGAACCCGTGCTGCTCGACAGATACCCACGTTCAAGCATGGCTGATGAGATGTCGAAACGGGACCGGATGCCAGAGTATCTCCCTATGTTCGCGTTCCCAAATGATATAAGTATTGTTTCTTCAGATAGTCGACCGCACTCAACATGGCATGAATTCTCCATGACCGCCGGAGACAACACCAAAATTCCAGCAGTGTGTATAATCGTATACATCCCGCTCAAGCGTGAGACTGCCGACGAGCTAGAGCAACGATGCGAAGAATGGCGACGTGCAAACATGACCGAAGCCGAGCGAGAAATGGCGGCGTCGCTCGCGGAAAGACTCGCATTGGAGCGTGCGAAGCTATCACAGTTACTCGCCAGACTTCCCTCTGTCGAAGGCGACGCGAGACAAGACCTAGAGGACGAGATCGGTACCGTGGAAGAGAGAATTGCGGTCATGGCAGATATGCTGCGACCACTGCGCCATGGTGCCGCATCAAGGATCGATGGCTTGACAGACGATGATAGCACTGGACTATGGATACCTCGAGCATACGGGGTTCTTGGCAAAGATCCTTGCATGAGCTCCTTCTTGCGACAATGGCTACGTGCAGTCGCAGTGCCAATGCATGATGGATCCATTCTGAGGGTGCCCGCTTCGTCCCCTCGGATTGGCATGTGGCAGCCATTGGAGCAATATGTTCATGTGCTCTGTTCGTTGGCTGCTCGTCCTACGACGTCCAAGACTCAGCTCGATCTCAAGATAAGAGAACTACACCTCTACGCCAAGAAGGAAGCACACAACGAACTTCCTGGCGCAAGGACGACCGATCTTTGGCCTCTTTTCCGAGCGCTGACGATTCCAAACATCATCGTACTGCTAGAGTACGTGTTGTCCGAGTCGAGGATTATCCTGATTTCGTCTCACACCTCTATGCTGCAACTTGTCAGTCGTGCCATGCTAGAGTTGATCTGGCCGTTCAAGTGGGCGGGTGTCTACATTCCTGTGCTACCGAGTCGGCTAGTACAAGCGCTCGAAGCCCCGTGTCCATACATTTGTGGCATCGATCGCAGCTATGAAAAGTGGGAGCTGCCAGAAGATGACTTTGTGCTTGTCGACCTCGACAAAAACGAGCTGCAGAGCACTGCTCATCCGCCGGCACTGCCTAAACAGATACGACGGAAGCTGATGGCCCTGCTTCATCTCGCAGCGCCGCATCACCATAGTTTTGGCGTCACTCCAGGTCCCCCAGTATACGCAATTGAGACATACCCCTACAATTCCTTTGCGGCAGACCATCCGTCGGTGTTCACGGGCATTGCGCAGTCAACGAATCTCAGCAAATTGGTCAGCCTCTCTTCAACGATGTTTGGACCACAAGCGGCAGCAGACACCATAAGGCGAGCTCCTATTCTCAATGCATTCTTAGCCAACGGCCCGACGAGGGCGAAGTCCACCGAGCGGCCACGCACTGCGTCCACGGCTAGCCGCCAACCACCTTCACATCCAGATTCAACATCGCCTGTCACAAGTAATTTTCCGCCAGCACCTCTGACACCTACCTCCCGCAACGACTCAGGCTATGCACTTCAGACATCGCTCCGCGAGAAACGATCAGGCCACTTTGATTCTCACTCGAAGCGCAATCCATCCATGTCTGGGCTATCCACTCAATTTTCGTCAATGGGCATGCGCCGGAGAGGTTCGCAGCCTTTCAACGGCAGCACTGCCTCACCAACAAGCCGCCACAACGCATCACCCTCAACCACTTCGATCTCGCCAGCAGATTACTATCCTTCTCCCTACCAACAACAGATCCCGCCTACCTCGACGTACGCGCCTTCAACCTATGCTCAGTCAACTCTTGCCGCCTCCACCATCATGCCCCATCTCCACGTCCAACCTCCGCCCGTCAGCAATAGCGCCACCACGCAATGGATCGAGGGGCACATGCTGCTTCGCCGACCTGCCACTGAAGGCATGTCGACCTGTGTTCTCTGCGACGAGAGGCCGAGCCTGGCACTTTCTTTCGTTGTCAAGGCTGCGGCTTTGTTGTGCATGCTACGGCAGGATCGGGTGGCAGTGGCTTCAGCTGCGCGTCTCAGATCACCGTTCCCTGCCCTTCCGCCTTCTACCCAGATCAGGTCCGGGCTAGCTTCGTGAGGATGTTCGCTGCGCTTCTGTACACTTACAGGAAGTATCTCGTCCCGATAGCAAATGCGTCCATCAATGGCAGTGGGACTGGAAGCGCCTCTTCCAGACGCCAGGTATCACAGCAACCACCTGCCTTGAAGGGTAGCAGTAGTCTGGTTGCCAAATTTGATCTGCCCGCGTTCACACGCTCTCTCGAGCGCGACCACGGCGAATACATCACCATGCTAGGCAGTACTCAAGGTTTTATGGAGTTTGTTGGTGAGAGGGAGGTCAGCAAGGACACACTGAGCGAAGACGATCGCGTGAGGATTCAGCTCTTCGATGCTATCATCCTGGCCAAGGCGAAGCGAGGCGGCAAAGCACGATGGGGCATGTCGCGCGGCCCGAGTCTGGGTTCAGGATTGATGTCTTCCGCCAGCAGCGGTGCGAGAGGTGTGTTTGGGAGCAGAAGCGTGAGTAGCAGCGCCACGAATGGAGCTGGGTACGATAGTGGGGGTAATGGCGCGGATTTGCTCAACGACACATCCACCCATCAGTGGCGGCCGGTGGCGGCGCCGGGTTCTAGTAGTGACAAGCCTGACATCAGTCCTCAGGCGGCTAAGGGGAGGGAGTATCGACAGATCATTAGTCGTGTGCCTGCGACTTTAGAGGAGGCGCTATTCCCCGGCTCTGCTACGACGTCCTCGAGAAAGAGTGTAGGAAGCAGCAATCGAGTACCGAGCCTGCCAAAGCTGCCGGATCCGAGCAAGTGGAGCGTCAAACATGGGGAGGGAGAGCAACCAACCACGATCAACACTGTCAGAAACTCGTTCGCGTCAACCGTGGCAACCGACAGAGGACAAGCTGATCCAGATGAGCAAGTGCCGCCTGTACCTGTGGTGCCGGCAGAGAGCAGTAGTAGCGCGACCGGTACGTGGGGCAAGTCGGGTCCGCCGCGAATATCAGCATCTCCTGCAACGACAGAAGCAGTGTCGACCGCCAAAGAGAAAGACAATCACAAACGCGGCAAATCCTCCGCAACGACTGCTTCGACCAATACCACAAAAATGGCCGCGGCCGCAGCTGCTGCTGCAGCAACGTCACTGAGGTCGCCGACTTCAACCACCGCTCCGGCGGGAGAGATGAGGACGCCAAAGAAGAAGTCTTCGGGTATGCGGAAGCCGGCGCCTTTGCAACCGACGACTGGGGCAGCAGCGAAGGAGCGGGCGGTCTCTGGGTATGGGAGCAGCAATCCGCCAAGGAGTCCGGCGGCTGAGCGCGGGATGAACGGTTTGGGGATGCATAGTCCTGTTGTGGATCGATTTGAGTGAGAAGCAGGATCAGAAGATGAGGGAACAAGGGGAGTGCAAATGCAGAGCAAGAGCGAATGGTTTCCTTGCGATGTTGGCAGAGTGTGTCTTGGATTAGGAGTGTCCTAACTCGCCTTGATCGGCGCGTTGATGAGATCTGCGTTGGGATGCAGCAGATGTCAGGATACACCTGAAACTGGCGCCACTGTTTGCCACATTGGACATCTAGGGTGGGTTGAGGAGCATTTGGATGGCATAGTCGAACACCTGACGATAATGGGTTTGGTAACAGGCAGATCAACCGCAATCAGTTCTGTCAAGCTTAATTTGCATGTACAGAAAAGCGATGACGTGTATAAGACTTGCCGCATGTACAGGACTATGTCCGTAGTACCCACAGAATTTGGAAATCGCGATCTTTGGCATCCAGCAGGTCTGGGGATAGATGATAATGTGTCAACCGGCCCGTAATTGTGCCTGCCGTCAGAGACGCGAAAATATTCCTTGTCAACCGGTCTTTACTGGAATGATGCCCTTTCGTTGCGATACACTTCCGCTCTCTGAATTTCCATAATGGCTCAGCCAGACGACGAGGGCGTTGCAGTGAGCCGTGCTTCTGGAACGTGCTTCTAAAATACCCTCGCAGGCGGACTTTGTTCGCGATTTGCACTGAGACTGCTTGTTTTGACCATATGCGCAGGCCGTGGGCTCAACATATTGCATAGCTATGCACACGACATGCGTCAGATCTTGTTCCTCTCATGACTCGCCGCCCTCGCATCGAGCCATAGATTTCTTGCCGCCAGTTCACTCAGGTACTTTCCTCCGGGTGGGGAGGTACGCCTCAACTACGAAACCTCCTGTATATAAGCAGCAGGCACGCTTCCCCTGCCGCCTCCGTCCCCGACGCGCTCGACATCTGCCCACCCGTCGCCAGTTCCCATGCTGATGAGAATGAAGCGCTCGCCTTCCTCCATGTCGAATTCTAGCTCACTCTGCGCGTTGTATGCGTACATGGCCTCGACGTACTTGACCTTCTTGGCACCGCGCCTGGGCGCCACGGCGGGGCCCTTTTTCTTTTGTTGGGAGAAGGAGGCGAGGCTGGCGGTGGATTCAGAGCGTGAGGAGGCGGGGCGCGGGGAGTGGTTGTTGTTCGAGGAGATGGCGGGTGCGAGCTCTTCGAGGTAGGCGGTTGGGACGACGCCTTCGGTTCCAGACGGGCTAAGTATGCGGGTCCAGCCGCCGTCTGTGGTGGGACAAGGTGGTCAGCACTGTTTATGTATGATGTGACCGGGTAGGCCTCTGGGAAGGGAAGGAAAAAAGGACATAGACTCACCGTCACCTTCGAGGATCATCACCTCCTTGCCTTCCTCGATGCTGACTTCGCCATCGTCGCGCTTTTCATAGGCGTAGAGCATGCGGCCTCGCCTTGACCCGGTCGACGGCGCGTCGTCTGGTGGTGGCGCACTCATGTAGGCTGCTGGTGGCGGCGCGACGACTCTGTTGCGTCTTGTGCCTCCAGCTGCTGGGGCTGCTGCTGTGGCGGATAACGGTGATTGGATCTCTTGCGTGGGTGTGGTGACTGTCTGGCTCGTCGACAACGTCGAAGATCGGGGCACAGCTCCGGACACCGATCTCGTTGCGGAAGCAGCATAGCCAGAGGCGAGACTGTTCATGGTGTCCTGCCTTGTTAGGGTAGGCATGCTCCCGTTGGTCGTAGCTGGTTGTTGTGGCGCCTCGACTGCTGCGCTCGCGGCGGCCTGTCGCTCGGCTTTGAGCTTCTTACGCTCTTCTTTCGTCTGCTCTCCAGGACAGTCTGCAGGCACTTTCATCTGGCATTTGCTGTGGCAGGTGAAACCACATTCTGTGCAGATGAAGCCTTTGGCGGACAAGCCCCATATTCGATCGCCACAGAAGTCGCAATTTGTGGGGAGTTTAAACGTCTCTGACTTGAATGGGTGGCTTTTACCATACATGCTGAGATCGCTACTACTGACGTGATGGTGCTTGTTTCGACTTCGGCGGTTAGTCTTTGCCTTTCCAGGGCATGTAGCTCTTCCTGCACAGAGAACTGGGATCTCAGACAGTCCGACTCATCTCGCTTGTCTTTGCCGGCACGGATGTTCTCTCGGGCCTTCTTCACATTGTCTAGCTCCCGCTGCTTAGCGGTACAGTCGGACTTTAATGTTGAAACCAGTGGTTTTGATTTGGACAAGATATTGCGAAGAAATACCTTGGACGTGTCGTCCACTGCCATTGCATCCGAGTCGAGCCACACGGGCGAAGGTTCGAAGACAAAGTCTGGCGGATCCTGCCACTGGACGGTATTGTGATGGCAGAACATGCCAGAGTCGAGACTTGGGTCGTTTCGTGGAATCTCGTTGGCGAGGTGAGTAACATGATCTGCACTTCGCTTCATGGTCGCCATCTCTAAAGCAGCAGCGACGGACCAGATGTTGTTGAGCTTGGTCACCCTTGTTTCGTTCAAGTCCTGTAGCGAGTCCAACAGCACTGGAATATACTGGTGGTAGTAGCATTCCTTCAGCTTGTTGGTGACATTGATGCCGATCAAGTAGGTGTTCTTCACGTTGTTCATCTCCATCAATTGCTGATTGTACGCATTCTGGGCCTTGCCCTTAGACGAGTCGAAGGAAGACTCAGTCTTCTTCCTTTTGCTTTCCACTTCCTGACAAGCACTGTCGTACTTGGTCTTGTGCCTCTTCAATTCCGCATAACTCGAGTCGCGTTCTTTGATCAATTTCGTCTGATAGTCGGAGTGGCTCTTCCGTAGATCCTCCAGCCTTTGCTGCGTGTATGCTAACGGATTCGCTACCTGGCTAATCAAATCTCCTCCGAACCTTTGGTGCTCGTTCGCTCGCGCCTCAAGCGTCGACAGCTGTGTCGTCCACGTCGTCAGAGATGCGGATTCGAGAGAGCCAGGCGTCATGGCCGGGTTGTCTCCAACGGTCAAGTTGCTGGACCGCTTGTTCTTCTTGTCATAGTACTTCTTCGCCAGCGCTGTCAGCTTCGTGCTGTACTCCTTCTCGATGGCTGCTCGCTCCTCGTAGAATTCCTTAATCTCGGCAAGCCATGAAATTCCGTTGGCAACCCAGTTGTCCACCGGTTTGTAGCCATCTTTGATCGTGGCGCCGAAGCTCACTGCTGCGACCTGGGCCATTGTGGTGGAGGTGGGAGACGTGAACGGCCGGGACCATGGTGTGAGGGTGCTTATGCGCCCATATCGGGCCTCAGGAAGGCCTTCATTGGCTTACTGGTCTCTTCGATTGTCACCAACTCGTAGTAGTCAGGGACGCGCAACGTTGGAGAACTGACGAGGGCAGGACAGTCTTTGCTAAGGAATATTGGGTTGCACTGCCCATTCAGAGTCTTGGTCACCGGGAGGTCCCCCGCATTTTAGCCGCCACGGGTGTCCTTTCAGCGCCGAAGCCACTAACCCCCGAACAGTTTAGGCCGGTCGGTGCCTAGAGCCCCGCCACGGCCATTCACTGCATTGCGGGCAATTTTTTGGAGAGGACAAACAGTAAATATCCAAATAATTCCTACAGCGCCCGCCCTGGCCATTATTCGCACCTACCACCATATCCTGTTCTTCTCATTTCTTTCAATATCTCGGGAGCACTCTAGTACCGTCACTCGCTCTTGCCACGACTTTACCACCTGACTCGGAAAGTCCAGCTTCCAAAACACCTTACCCCTCGTCGGCCAACGGTGCACACCATGTCGACAGAGGACGCCCCGGGTGGCTCCCTCGCCGATCGCATCTCAAAAGCCGAGCCTTCAAGTCGCTCTTGGGCTGACGAGGTCAACTCACCACTCGATGCGCCGTCCTCAGACGTGCTTCCAGCACCCGACAGCAGAGACAAAGCCGCTGAAGACGCCCCTACCGACCAGACAGATGGCGCCAGTGCACCCTTCGGCGGGTCTGGTCTTCATGAGCCCGAATACAATGTCCAAATCAAGTTGGCCGACATGCAAGCCGACCCGAACAACCCTCTTTTCTCCGCTACCACATTCGAGCAGCTAGGATTGTAGGCAGACCACCATACTCACCCAACACCATGCTAATTACTACCTCAGGAGTCCTGAGATCCTCAAAGGAGTCGCTGCTATGAACTTCCGCAAGCCTTCAAAAGTCCAAGAGAAGACGCTGCCGCTGCTACTGCTCAATCCTGCCACGAATCTCATCGGTCAGTCGCAGTCAGGCACAGGCAAGACGGCCGCCTTCGTTCTCAACATTCTCCACCGCATCGATCTCAGCACACCCCAGCTCCAGAAGACTCCACAAGCCTTAGTACTGGCTCCAAGCAGAGAACTTGCGAGACAGATCCAGGGCGTCTTCAAACTCATGGGCACATATATCGAGGGTCTCGTCGTAGAAGCCGCCATTCCGACAGATGTCAAGGATCGCAATCGCAAGTGTGAGGCCTCGATTGTCGTAGGCACTCCGGGAACCGTTATGGACATTATCGGAAAGCGTATCATGGATGCGCGACAAATCAAGGTTCTGGTCCTCGACGAGGCCGATAATATGCTCGATCAACAAGGCTTGGGAGACCAATGCATACGTGTCAAGCGGTAAGTCTTCCCCTATGGGAGTAGAGTCACTTCTAACGAACTCTAGCTTTCTGCCCAAAGAATGCCAGATTGTCCTATTCTCTGCCACATTCCCCGACAATGTCGTTAGCTACGCCGAAAAGTTTGCTCCTGGCGCCAACCAGATGACTCTGAAGCACGAGGAGCTTACAGTGGAAGGCATCAAGCAGATCTACCTGGACTGCGACGACGAAGCCGCCAAATACGATGTACTCGTCCGCTTCTATGGCTTGCTCACCATCGGATCCTCCATCATCTTCGTCAAGACGAGAGAGAGTGCCCAACAAATTGAGCAGCGCATGACCGCAGAAGGGCACAAGGTCGTTTCGCTCACCGGTGGATACGACGGTTCTACGCGTGACGCCATCATCGATGCCTTCCGCATGGGTCAGGCCAAGGTTCTTATCACCACCAACGTCCTGGCTCGAGGCATCGACGTCCAGTCGGTATCTATGGTCATCAACTACGACGTTCCATCGCGCTTCTTGGGTAGGGGCCAATTCGAAGCCGATGCTCAGACCTACTTGCACCGTATCGGTCGGACTGGACGTTTTGGACGTGTCGGAGTGGCAGTCACTTTCATCAGCAGCAAGAAAGACTGGGAGTTGTTGATGGAGATTCAGAACTATTTCGGCGTTGAGATCGCGAAGGTGGCCACTGATGACTGGGACGAGCTGGAGGAGACCGTCGGCAAGATCATCAAGAGTTCGAGAGCCGGTCGCAACTTCACAGACGGAGCAAGATGCAGATGTGATGTGGCTCCAGCGAGCCTTCCCGCAGAGCAACAAAACAGTCAGCCAGAGCCCGCCTCAGGGTATCCCGAGTGATGTGATTTGCTATGGCCATCATGCCGAAAGAGGATCTCAGGAAAAAGATTCAGCAATCAAGGAGGGAGAAGAGCATAGCAGCGCAGCATCGGCTCATGCCCACAGCATAAGCCCAGGGCGGGCTTCGTGATCTTTGGCGAGGCTCAACAAGGACATTCGGCCATTGAAATGAGATGCTAGACGATACTGTCCAGGAGGACTCCGAAGATGCAATATGCAGAAATGATGATACCCAAATGGCTCACAACACCGAGTCCAATTTCAAACCTGCTTCACCAGTCACAACTCTTCGCAAGTAGCTCTGCCAGCCTTTCGAGACCCTCCTTGTCATCCTCATCGAAGCCGCCAACCTCTGCACAATCAATATCGATTACTGCGACTACTCGGCCGTCGACGAGAACCGGGACGACAATCTCGCTTTTGCTATCGCCATCACAGGCAATGTGACCGGGAAACTCCTCCACGTCCTTCACCAATACAGTCTTCTTGTCCTGTGCCGCTGTTCCGCAGACGCCGGTGCCGAACTTGATTGTCTGGCAGGCGACTTTGCCTTGGAACGGGCCGAGGATTAATTCCTTTGCATCTGACCCATCTGAACCAGCGCTTGTCTTGGTTGGTGGGGTCTTGTTTAGCGTGTAGAATCCAGCCCAGTTGACGGATGATGTTGGGGCCGGAAGGGAGTGATAGAGATGCCAGAGGAGAGATGCCGCGTTGGCAGTTGCAGCGACCCAGTTTCGTTGGTCTACGACGAGAGAGGCGAGGGACTCGTGGACGTGGGCGTAGGCAGCGGACTTTGTGGTGAAGGAAGTGAAGTCGGCGGCGTCTGCGTGGACCTAGGTTGGTAGAAATCTGTTGGCGCTTCGTTCTGACTGTCCATCCGGTGCTTTCCTGCCGCCATCCTGACTTGTCCTCACTTGATACCGTATGCCTGATTCACGCGTCCACTGGGTAAAACAAGAGCGCCATGACTTACCATGATGACGCCTATCTGCCTCTCCCTCTGGCGCGGCCTGACCGTCCGACACTCGAAGCCTGCTTCTATGCGCACTTCGCTTCTTCTCTCACCACTGATTGTGCCCTCGATATGATTCGCAAGGTGTGCGAATCCGTCATCAACAGCAAGACACCATGTGGGTGTCTGAAGTACTACTGACGCTGTTCCCAAGCAGGTTAGCGACCCGCGAAAATCTTCGTGTCCGGCGAATGGGAACAATTGCGCCATTCTCGGCGCCGTGGAGAGCGGAAGTCGGGCTAACCTCACTTTATGGTTCAAGCTACGAGTTATAATCTTTGTAGATGCAGGCGTGGCCGGCCGTCATAGACGATGGTGAGTGGCCTGTGAGAGGTGGTCAGCTACGTAGGTAAGACGTGACCTGTAGGATGGCGCGTTGCTATTAGAAGCACTGGAGGTGCTGTGTGACGAGAGAGGGGTCCTGGTGCTGATGCCGTGATCGTCTATATGAAGACTCTCTTCCTGCTTGAAAATGCTTGAAGATCCAGCTGCAACGCTGGTCCCCTCTCCAGTAAACGCCTGCACAAGCAGTACAGCACGAGCGGATCCCTGACCACCACCATGTCCTGCGCCGCCTGCTTCACCGGCACGCCCCAAACCGCAACGCCTCGAGGCACCTACTCCCACCTCTACGGCTGTCGCACGTACACCGCCACGCCAACCGACCCGCATCCTAGCGGTAGTGTAATCCTCTACCTGCCCGACTTCTTCTCCCACAAACTCCCCAACAACGCCCTCCTCTGCGACGCCTATGCCGGCGCTACCGGCTGCACGGTCGTCTTCCCAGACATCGTCATGTGGGGCGGCGTCGATCCGTCCTGGATGCCCTTGTTCGAGGTCTTTTATGGCACTGAGCCTGTGAGCTGGTGGTGGAAGGTTGTGTGTGCGGTGAGACTTTTGCCGATGGCGCCGCAGTTTCTGCTGGGGATGCCGGATCGCGCGTATCCAAGGGTGGTGGCGTTCGCGAGGGCACTCAGGGATGGCATGGGGGAGGAGGCGAAGTTGGGAGTCGCAGGGTTTTGTTGGGGTGGGTTTGGGGCGACGGTTTTGTGTAAAGAGAAATATTTGGGTCTGGATGGGGCGGAGAGGAGGTTGGTGGATGCGGCGTTTACGGGCCATCCGTCCAAATTGAACAGTCCGAGGGATGTGGTTGAGGCGGTGGGGAGCGGGGTGCCGTACAGTGTTGCTGTGGCGGACATTGATTTTATGTTTGATAAGAAGGTGTCGGAGGAAGCAGAGGCGGCGTTGAGGGGAAAGTATGGGAGCAGTGGGGAGGGTGGAAAGGTGTGGGAGTTGAGGGTCCATGAGGGCGCGCATCATGGCTTCTGTGTCAGGGCGAGGGAAGGAGTCAAGGCGGATGAGCAAGGGCGGGAAGCGGCGTTGCAGCAGGCGGTGGAGTGGTTCAAGAAGTATCTGCTTTGATTTCTGCGAATGGCAGTCACGAGGGCATTTTCCAAAATTAAGACATCTATATCATTTTTCGTGGCAATGTAATCGAGAGGAGCTAGTTTGTTACTTCAAGCGTTGCCAGTTGTGCCAGCCGTCTCCTTATCCCCGTGTATATCTCCCCTTCAGGTCGAGATTGGCGGTCGACCATTCAGGCCTTCTCGACGGAGTGCTGTCGTCGCCGTTCGTCAGCGTCGCCCGATGCAGTGGCTGACCGAGTTCATTCCCAAGTAAGATTCGCTATCAATGTTCCTTTGACTGCTTTGCGCTTGATGCATCAAACTGTCGTTCTGAGTCTTGGTAGAGTCCTGCCAAAGCCCAAGGTTCAGTCTATATACTGGACGTGTTTCGCGAAGTGGACACGGTTTGCGGATCGGCGGACAGCCCTTTTGTCGTCCTTAGCAGCTTGATGTAGCCAGGCTTCGACAGCCGCTTGCCGACGCTCTGCGTCCCTCGCATACTGCTCCTGTCGGTATCTTTCTTCGAGTTTCACACGCATCTGACTGCTGCGCTGACGAGCCACGCGTGCGCGGGACATCTGCAAGAACAAAGGAGCAATTGGGGCGTCAAAATTATCGGTCGAGTCATAAGAAGAGCTGTCGTCGTCGTCGTTATTATCATCGCTGCTGCTGCTGCTGCTGCCTTCATCGTCGATCACGCTTGGTGAGACTGACTTCGGGACGATGGGCGGCTTCGCCTTGGTTCTCCTTCCCCACAATTTCCTGAACCAGGAGGGCTCTCTGGTGCGGCCTGAGAAAGGCTTCGACGGCGTCGACGTTGTTGGTTGTGAGAAGGACTCAACATCCATGAGGTGCTCATTATGTTTCGTCCGAGCTGCCAAATTGCGAAGGCATTTCTGCTCGTAGCGGCTTGCTGTATCCTCCATCGTTTTCTCCATTGCGTGAACAGTGGCGCCGTATGTCAGCGAAAGAGTCAGGCCTACGACAACGCAGATCCCTGTCAGAGGTTCCGGCATGATGTTGGGATATGTGTTGAGATGTACCGTTATCGATGATCAGGAATCTTGCTATGTCAGCTTCGTTCGTGATGATGGTGAAGAGGGAAGACTCCAAGCCATGAGAGAAGAAATCTGCAAGGGCATAGGTGTTCCGCCCATGATCTAAGGTACTCGAGCTGAATCGTGGTACGCCAAGCTTCGGACCGGGAACCTACCATGCTCAGACATCTCGAAGAAATTCCGCTGGTATATCTGTCGTTCCGACCTTGGCAGGATCCATCGTGCTGAGTGTCATTTGTGCTGCTAAGTATTATATGTGCGCGCATCGTTTGTGATTCCAGCAGACTGCGACCGACCAGCCAGGCGGCACTTAGCACTGGCCCTTGAACCGCGGAAGGACTAGAGATAAGCATAGGGTTGCCCATGACTTCGCGGGGTCGCGACCTTGGTCGAGACGCAGCCGGCTCAGGAAGGCGTAGTGGGAGTCTTTCGGTGTACGGGCACGTCGTGCCTGATCCTAGATCGACATGGAGGCATATAAGGCAATGGACGCGCTACCTTACCTCAAACTGCGGTAATCAATGTGCATGTGACTTACATACCTGCTATCGCTCTGGACGATCGCTGTCTGCGTGCCACCGACCAGTACACCAGTGCCATTGATAGTCTGCGCACTCGCGTGTAGGCCTGATAAGAGCTTGAATATCACTATTGTCTTTGCCAGGGCGCGTCGGGCTGACAGTGCCACCTGTCTTTCCGCGCACTGTGCACAACTCTTTAGGTTTCGATCCAGCGCGCGCACTCACGCGTCAGGACCGAATTGTGGCCCAGAAATGCCATCTAACGCGGCACCGTAGGTGATGGAGGCTGGATACAGGCGAACGATTAACGGTCGCATGAGCAGCGCTGTTGGGTAGGGTTGCTTTTCGCACGCTTCCGAAAATGCACAGCCGGCGGCGCAGTTGCGCACCTGTTTGTGCAAATAGTTGGACATTGCTAGGAGAGTCGAGGAGCTCTTCAATGCCGTAGCAATCGAGTGCGACGGTGGAGTTTCACGCTCCGAGTCGCTAGCGCGCGGAGAATCCTTGCATTTCAGACGTCTTGGCGCTAGTATTCAACTCCCTAGAGCGCGAATCCATCCAATTCATATATTCCACCCACCCGCCATATTATCTCAACAATTCTGACATTCAAATCAACGAATGAGCAGAAGATGACGCGCCCCCATTGATGCTTAAACAACGACTTCGCGATGAACTGAGCGATCGACATACATTCAGCGAAAAGATCGCGGTCGGACCTTCCTCCGCGTGCCTTCGGACACATCTAGATCGCGGACCACCCCTCATTCCAGTAACCTCATTTCGGAAATCTTGTCAGTCAATACGATCGCAGAGCAAGCCGCGTGGGACAGGGTGGTGGGCGGACCACCATGCCGTGGCGTCCCCTGCCACTGTCGTATGCAGTGGCAGTTTACCCTTTCCAGTCGCCAGCCTCACCAATCGAGCTACCTTTGCAAATCGGCGACCAGCTCTATGTGATCGAAGAGGGCGGCATCAATGGCGAATGGTGTCGAGGGTACCTGCTTGCGCCACTCTCCTTGGTGGCTGCTCTGACAACAGAGGCTCGGTCAGCAAGCGACAGCCGGGTCTACTCTGGCATCTTTCCACGATGCTGCATCGAATTTCGCGAAACGCTCGCTGGTGTCGTCTCGCACGAGAATGGCGATGCTATCAACGGTGAAAGACCACCAGCGCCGGTTCCTATGCTGAAGATCGGCGACGAAAGCCCGACCTCTACAGCTGAGCCTCTCGTTGACGAGATATCAAGTTGTTTACGAGAATGGTGCAACCTGCACCTACCAGACTTGATATTGCAGCAGCAGTACGAACTCCTGGACGAAGTTGCTGCGATTACGGGCCGCCTTGACTATGCCCGGCGGCAGTTGCTACACGATGTTCTTACGATACAGGAGCGGAGAGCGGTGCGGGAGATGGCTGTATGGGATCTTGTGCGAGGCAACAAGATGCTGAACGGCGAGGTTATCGTGCGCGACGCAGAGCAGCAAGGACGCCTTCTGACGGCGGATGACTCTGCTATCGAACTGTCCAAATTACAGTCGGTCATGGGCGCACTGAACGATCCGCCGATCGACAAGGTCGAGGTCACAAGCCTGCATCATGCTTTGGTCGAAGCGAAGAGCATCGGCGGGACCGAGCTGGACTCGGTCATGCTCAACTTCGGCGTGTACGAGCTGACTGAGGGTGGTGCGCTACAACCTTTCTCGGAGATGTACAGCGCACCAGCATCGTCTAAGCTAAAGACTCTGTTTGCCGACTTCAATGCCCGCGATGTCGCGCAAGACGGGCGGCTTTTCTTGGTCGTGAAAGCCGTGACCCCTGAACCACCACGACAGGGGCCGAAGCAGATGATGGAGGAGACACCGACAAGAAATGGCACTCTGGTGTCGAGAAAGGACAGCATACTGAATCGGCGGCGGTCGAGCTTGATGTTTGGCTCGAAGCGAAAGCCCTCGAGTGAACGACCGCAAGTTGGGAGTGACGGGCGAATCGTGCGAGAGAAGAGCCTTAGCAATCCCGCGACGCCAGTGATACCAGAAGACAATGGCCAGCCAAGGTCTCCGAAGCCTGTCGGACCTCCTATACCACGGACAGTGGCAGTTGCCGTGACGGACATTGCGCATACTATTCGAGCTGCTGGTGCGGAGAACGAACCTTTCGATCTAAAGCTGTGGAGTCCCTCACAGAGAAGTGATGAGGATATCAGCGACTTCAACCCGCTCGTGGTCCCCTTCTTCAAAAGGAATTCCGTTGACGGCTATGCATCGTGGCAACGATTGCCGCAGCTGCAGCTGACCGTGAGACCATATACGGCGCCGGTCGCGAGAGTCTCATCACGAACAACCCCACGACTATGTTTGGGGTGTGTCAGTCGAAGAAGATTGGTTTCTCGGAGGCTCCATCGAAGACACGTTCTGACATCTACCTCACGCTATCGAGAGCCAATATTGCGCAGGGAGCACAACTGTCACACCCTGAGATCGGACCTACGCCAATAAAGCCGTCTAGCTTGCTCAACATGCAGCTCACCATGGAGGTACGGGACGTGACAGGGCGACGAGTAGAGCAATGTATACACGTCTCCTCGAACAGCGTAGGTGTCACCGCTTTCCGAACAAATGCTGCCGAGCTTGGATCCGATTGGGACCAAACGGTGTGTCTGCGAATACCAGCTGCTCGTGTGCCGGAATGCCACCTGGTACTGAGTATCGCGGACGCGCCAGAGTTTCCATTTGCGTTGGCGTGGATGCCTTTGTGGGACAAATCAGCATTTATTGCAGATGGCAAGCGATCACTGATCTTGCACGCCTATGACAAAAGCACTTCGAGCATAAACAGAGGCCGCGGCGCCTATCTCTCCCTGCCTTGGGACTACAAGAACTATGCTGCAGGGCACGATGGAGTCAGGGCCATTCTCGCGTCTCTCGAAATCAGCACGAAGCTATGCAGTACGGAGTTCTCACAAGATCGCGTGCTTGTCAGTCTTATCTCGTGGAAGCACGCCTCTTCGGTGCAGCTCATGGATCTGTTGCAGAAACTTGTATTTGTCCCAGAGATCGAGATTGTAAAGCAGCTGAACGATGTGCTCGACGCGTTGTTCGCGATTCTTGTACACAAGTCTGGAGAGTCCAAGTTCGAAGACCTGATCTTCAACGACATCGTCTTCGTCCTTGGGATTGTCCACGATCGGCGCTTTAACCTTGGTCCTTTGGTGGAGCAATATGCCGATAACCACTTCAACTCGCCATTCGCGGCATCATGTCTGATCCGGAGCTTCACAAGACTGTTGCAGAGTGTCTCAGATCCGCAGAGTGCGCGAGATATGCGAGCACTGTTCAAGGTCGGCAAGCAGTTCTTGAAGCTTCTGATGGCCTCATACCAGCAAAGAAGGAACAGCAGACACAACAACGACACAGACAAGAAGCACGCCACGTTCAAGGAAGACATGCAAGTCATCTTATTCGGTCTGCAAATGATGATGCGAAGCGAAACGCCGGCGCTTGTCGGCAGCAAGACATTGTTGACACAGAACTTCCACAGCTGGCTGCCGGAGTTGCTGAGCGCCTACAATAAAGACGAGGTCATTAAGATTGCCGTCGGACTTGTTGAAGCAGGTGACGAAGCTGAAGGCAAACTAGTCCTCTATCGTCTGTTGATGATTCTCAACTACACGAAATTGGACCAAATATGGGTCGAGCCGAGAGATAGGGCTATCCTGGTGAAGCAGTGTTTGCGATGGCTCAAGCCGCACTGGACAGTCAACGAATTGACCACAGACTGGAAAGAACAGCTTCGCCTATGCTGTTCGATTGTTGCCGAGCTGTGCAGATTTCCCAGTTCGCAGCTGTACGAGTTCTTACCATCGGTCATCTCGACGTATTGCTATGTTGCTAGCGAGCCCAGCATCCACTCCAGAACTCTTACGATGCTGTTTCCCAACACATATCCGCTACCATCACGGACGGCTGTTACAAATGAGCACTTTGACGAAGTGCTGCTCGAATTATCTGCATTGTTGGCGACCATAGGAAAGATGAAAGCGCCGTCGCTGCCTAAGTCTCTGCGAAATGGCGGCGTCGATCAGTACATCTCATCCACGCTGAGTGTTGTACGATCATTGCTGAGCAACGATGCCTTTCCAGCATCTTGGCTGAGTTTGCATGTGTACCACCACTCCGCTGCGTTGAACATACTGCGATATCTAGACGGTCTTCTGAACACACATTTCATACCGGACCCCGAACAAGCTGAGAACTTCGACATGGAACTTTGGAAGACGTATCTCGAGACTCTTCTGAGCCTCATCTCGTCACCGGCATTGACGCTTGAATCCTTTCCCGAGCAGAAGCGGCGAGCTGTATGGAAAATTGCTGGCGATCTACGACAGTCTGGAGCAGACTTGCTCCGACGCAGCTGGGAAAACCTAGGCTGGGAAGCAACAGATGACGATCTACGACGCTACAACATCCGACGACTAGGCGGCTATCAGGTGCAATACGTGCCTGGTCTCGTGGGCGCAGTGCTCGAATTATGTCTCAGCATGCACGAGGGCCTCCGACGAGTAGCAGTGGAGATGTTACAGACGATGATTGTCAGCGAGTGGGCATTGAGCGAAGACCTGGACTTAATCGAAACAGAATTCATCGGCGCTCTGAACAGCTTGGCCAAAACAAGACGCCTTGACGCATATGAAGCAATGGGCCGAAAGCTGTGGGTCACAGAGCTGCTGAATCTGTTCTCCACCATCGCGAATCAACCGGACGATGCACTGTGGACAGCGCTAGAGGAGCTGGTCTCAACTGTGGATGAGCTCATCGATCTGATAGCGGTCAACGAAGAAGACAAGCATGACAGCACAGGCGCAGCAGCTGCAGCCGGCTCTGTTACCAGTGACAATCACACAGAAGTTGGGTCGGGAGGAGCGCGCAAGAGTATGGATGGGCTGAGCAGCTCACGAGGGACTCGGGAATATGGCGTTAATGCTCTTGAGTCTTTCAAGGCACTAGCGGCGGAGTACGAAAGGACGGGAGACTACAAGAGATTGGCGAGGGTCCACCGCAGCATTGCGAGGATTCACGAGACTAGAGCGAATGGGCGTGCGCCTAGTGCGTTGGGCGTCAATGGACATCATCATCATCACCTTGAGGGTGTTGACGACGATGACGATTGAGAGATTTCCTATCGCAACATGTACGGTTTGCCAGGTGGTGGTCGTTGTCGGTTTTGCATCCGGACTAATATGATTGGTTCCGGGTTTTCTCTTTGAGGCAGGATACCCCCTTGAGTTTTGTGTACTGCGGTCAGGCAATTTCGAGCTCGGAATATGAGTTGGTCGCTTAGAGTCGAGCATGTGGTCTGATGACGAGAGTGATCGAACCTCGATTGGCAGACTTGCTCCCAGACTCGGACATGCAGAGGAGGGCTGAGTTGGCAGAAAAAGATGAAACACAGCAAATGCAAGTTAATTGGGGGCGGATTGGAGCTTCGCTTCTTTAGCTTGTAAGCAACGAATTATTTGAGAAGACCTGACTGCCGTCAAACATGTTCTTGTGCCTGGTTCCTGGTACACTCGGGTACTGCAAGTGCTGCGCGTTTCTGATATGGACCAAGATATTTAGTGGCTGATGTTAGGCAGATTTGAGAGTTTCGGAGGACTCCATTCGAACCTTCCGTGTTTCCTTCCAGAAGAACATGAAACACCCAAGGATGAGCTTGCGATTGTAGAGAACAGTGCACCGCCTCAGCCATGGCAAGAGCTGCACTGATTACGACGCGGTCTGTGAGTGCGCTTTGGTGGGCAAATGCGGAAGGGCTATCCTGGGTAGCAACGATGAGATAGTTCCTGCCCATGTAGGCACGGCCGTCCTCGCAGCGAGGACCTCAATCGCATCCTGCAAGAAAGAAGGCTACATGTACGTACATCACACATGGCATGCCTGCGCGAGAGCGATAGCAAACGCACTTAATTCCCACCTTGATCTCGTATGTCATCAGCTGTGTTGTGGTCGATGTGATCTCAGTGCCGCATATGCACTCGAGGCACTCCAGAGATTGCGCTGACGATTGCAATGACGATGACGAGCATGGAAGATTGCGAGAGGACCAGCTAATTAGCCAAGCGATGGCTTCTTTGGCTTCTGGAAGATGAGATGGTGGTGTAGTTTCTCGGCAAGCTATAGTGGGTACCTTGGTTTCCTTTCCTTCCATGACCTTTCCAGAAGGCGACCAGGGGCGGCCGTAGCGCAGCAGCACAGAGGAGTCGTTCCTGCACCCATGCCTGCAGGCGAGCAGACCTACTAGTAGTAGTACTCATCTTCATCCACCTCCGAAACCCTCATCAAGACCACACCCGCCAGCAACTCCCTTCTCACTTTTTGTTCACTTGCCTTTCGAGCAGCTACACCTGCAATTGTTACGACCACTCCCTTTGATGATTTTTGTTTGTTGTTTACGAGATACCCCCAGGCTTCCTCGCCATCGTTCTACACAGCGTTCTGCTACAACTCAGTAATTTACAGCCTAATTCGCGATACCCTCAACACGCCTATGCCAATACCATAGATCCAAATTTACGCAACGGACACCAGCCTCCCGCGCATCATTACATTCGGCGAGATCTGAACGCCTCATCGTCGACCTGATATAGACTTGAGGCATACAGTGTCTGCGCCCTCTCGAACCCAGCACTGCGAACTCCTGGTGAGCGCAGTTATACAGACCATCCACCACAACCCACCCACAAGCATCCGCTGCCTTGAGCATCACGTCTGATCGGGCTCGTTGTCCATCAGTGTCATCACCTCTTCGTCAGGCATCACATTGCGATCACAACTTTAGACGGCTATCACAAGGCAAATTCCAGCACTTCGCCTGCAAGACATCTGATATCGTCTTCCTATGCCCTATCGAATATAGCCGATATCTCTGGCGGCCCTAGAAGTCGGCTCACTTTGTCTGAAATCCACCGGTCTGCGAGCAGAGCGCGAAAGATAAAGAAATCGACGTCAGCAGACCGGAACTGGATACAAAGGGAAATAGGTGACGACCTTTGAGTACACATTCTTGCAATAATTGGTCAACGGCCGCGTTCTTTATACCGTCAGTATTCTACAAGCGAATCATCGAGAGCTGGGCCTTTCATTTGACCGATTTGGTCGGCGAGACTTGTCTCGGAAGGGCATTGATTGCACGCCAAGCACTCATACCGCACGCGTTGCCCTTGCCTTGTTGTGTTTTGCCGCATTCCTGGGCCCATGCTTCAATCCCAGCGTAGGGGCCCCTTTCTTCATCGACTCCATCAAAATCACCAGGGCACAATATCCCTCCTCAATCCGACCTCAAAGGTTAGTTCCCATCTTTTACACTTTCCATCTGGCATGAGTCCAGTGTTCCGAAGGCATGACTGCGAATAGCTGCCTCGCTCGGCCATTATCAGGTGGATATTCCCCAGACGACGGCGATATATTAGACTTCCAAACCGTCTTTTGTGTTGACGTCAATCCCAAAGTCCTTCTTTGCACTTTCCAAGCCCGCACGCACAACATGCTGACCAAAGCTGCCATGCAGGACTGCAAACAGACCGCTCCCGTTGGGACAGTCGTGCACTACTCAGTACTGATACCTGGTCGAGTACTGCATCACTTATGCCAGAATCACGCGGCATGGAGATCGGAGGCCTTCTCAACAGCCGGCATGCTACGGCTCCAGACGGCCACCTGAGACACCATTTGCATCAAACGATGCATCTGGACACATCTTCATATGCCCAGATGAACCACCATAGATCGAATCAGCTGCATGATTTTGGATCTCTGGGTCATCATTCTTTGCCGCCGCAAACATCATCACAGATATATCAAAGCAATTACGAGGCCCATGCACAGAACCACAAACAGGAGCCATTGGTCGACGATGATTACGATGTGTCCGATTCGAAGACAGAGCCAGCTGCCAAGAATTTCCCTTGCTCTCATGCCAACTGTGGCAAGAAATTCGCTCGTCGAAGCGACTTGGGCAGACATGGTTAGTATTCTGTCCCAGGATTTCAGCTCCAGCTGACCTTTCATACAGAGAAGATTCATACAAATGAGCGTCCTCATGCCTGCCAGTATCCTGGCTGCGATAAACGCTTTATTCAGAGATCGGCTCTGACCGTTCATGGAAGAACTCACACAGGCGAAAAGCCGCACGAGTGTGAAACGTGCCGCAAGGTGAGCCCCAAGACAATCAGCTTGAGATCCAACGACTGACAACCCGCACAGCCATTCAGCGATTCAAGCTCGCTCGCTCGTCATCGGAGGATACATACTGGGAAACGGCCTTACAAGTGCAAGGAACCTGCCTGCCAGAGAACTTTCACTCGCAAGACGACGATGAAGCGCCACATGGAGCAAGTCCACCCGGGGCTTGACACTGAAGTCGGTGGACAGGATCATTCCAGAATCTCGAACGACTCTGGCTCTTCTCGTGGTACCACAGTCTCGCCCGGTGAACGACCCCTGTCCGCTTCTCCCATGGAAGACCACGTTCAAATGGCCACCATGCAACGCTCTGCATCAGACCATGCATACCTACCACAGCCTTCGCTACCTCCTCACATGCGGACCGACTATCCGACTCAGTATTCGCCAAGATCAACGCCTTCGCTCAGCGGGCCTTCACTTGCTAGCCTTACCAGCAATCCTCAGAGCAAGCCATCGCCCACCTCTCATCCGAACCCGTTTGGCCCACCTCAGCCACTTGAACCGCCCGCGAATGGGATCGCTAGTGGCAGTGTTTCTCCACACATGGGTTGGGGCTCACCAAATCCTGGCAGTCCGGGTGGTCTTCACAGCTATGATTATCCCGATAGCACATTTGGAGCGCCATCACTGTTTTACCCTGGCAATGGGATTCGCCGGCCCCAGAGCACGGAGCCAGAGGATTACGGCATTCGTCCCAGAGGTTCGCATGCACACGCGCATGCTTTGGGGCATGTCCAGAATCCTGTCTCGATGCCTATGACTGCAGACTGGTCACAAATGCCCTCACTGCACGACATCAAGCAGGAGCGGTATGTGATGTAAGGCTGTCTCTGTCTGCTCTCTAGCCGACATCTGCGAAGTGGCTACATCGACTTGACTTGCTTCTTCGATCATGAAGCTCCCTGTCGACAATCTCATTTCATCTCAACAACTAGACACTTTCTAATCTCCACGAAGATCACTCGCTGGCGGAATTACTTGATCATCCATTCACCAACAACAATTTCAATTCTTCCAATTGTACGAATAGACACGAATACAAAACTTCAGCATTTAGTGTTTGGATACCGGAGGCGCGCTCGCTGGACAGAGCTGTCGTGGAGGAATGGTGCTTACAGTAGCAAGGCGTTGGCAAGGACTTGGGTACTGAGTTCGTCACTTGAGAGAGGCAGACTCGCGACAGCAATTACATAGAGCCTGAGTGCAACGCGAGCTTCTCGCTTCCCTCAACGGAGGACGGGGCACACTTAGCAAGGCCATACAAAGGCTTTAGCACACCGTCATCAACCGTTAAAGGGAGCACAACAAAGTCGCACCAGGAGAGCACATTCCATTCTCCGTCTCCGTCTCTGTCTCTTGCCCATCGTTTCTACACTGTAAGTAATGGTGATCTCTGCAAGGAAATCACCACCAATCGTTCCTGCCGTAGAAGGTGCATGGCCAAAAAGGTGCCAACTGGCGGCTCCTGCTGCAGACACAGCTTACCAAGGGCGGCCGGTGCGATCACCGTAAGTCGGTCGCTCTTGCTGCAGACAACGTCTGATAAGGCAGGTGCGACTGCTGTCAGTCGGTCGTTCCTGCTGCTGAAGAGTACGTACGTACCGAGGCAAGCGCGATTGAGGACAGTCGGTCGCTCCTGCTGAGAAACAATGTCTAGCGAGGCAGGTGCGACTGCCCTCAGGGGGTCGGTCCTGCTGCAAACAGATGGGCCTATCGAGGCAGGTGCAGTTGCTGTCCAGTCGGTTGCAACTACTGCAGAAAGTGTCTAGCAAGAAGGGTAGGTGCGGTTGTCATCAAAGAGGTCGCTCCTGGCTGCAAGAGGTGCTCCGCGCGGCAGGTGGGATTGCCCGTCACCATGGTCCCTGCTGTCGCATGTGCAAAATGGGGCAGCTGCGATCGTGTTCAGTGAGTCGCTTCCTGCTGCAGAAAGTGCTGGGGGCGGTAACTACGACTGCGGCCCATTCAGTCGCTCCGGCCCACTCAGTCGCTCCGGCCCACTCAGTCGCTCCTGCAAAGGGAACTCCGTTTGACCAGGCAGGCGCGATGAAGGTCGGTCGGTCGGTCGCTCCTGCTCGCTCTTGCTGCGCTGCGGAAGGTATCCGGTGAGGCAGGCACGAATGCAGTCACTTGGTCGCTCTTGCTGCTGGGAAGTGCCTAGCGATACCTGTGAGTGCGGTCAGCTGATTTGCCAAAGGCTGCGTTGGGCTGTTCTATGACGGTTTCTCTGCTATGGTGGGCGCCTTTCAAGCAACCACTCTTTGACCATCATCATTGTATTGTGCAGTGGCCACCTTACTGTAGAGGAGTCGGAAGCCGAACGGTTTCGCCGATTCATGAGCTGGTGCCTGGCTTGGGGTTCCGCAGGGGGTTACTTAGCTGAGGCTGGGAGCTAAGGGCTATGGCATCGGTGCGAGGGCAGACTTGCATGGCTGGCTTTCTGGCAACGTGAGATAGGGAACGATGACAGCAAGTTCGCATGGCGCAGGCGAGGTAGCAATGGGTGTGCAGGAGGATAAGACCGACAGACGAGGGTGACAGAGGTTCGCAACAGGACCGCCGGCTTTGACCAAGAGAGACCAGAGCTGTACATCATGTCGCCCAGCTCAACTGGAAGTTGTTGTTGCCAGCGGAACCGCAAGCATCAGAAAGACAAAAACGACCACGGTAAGACAACTCCGGAAGACTCGTTGAGGTAAAGTGATTTCAAGATCTCTATGATGAAATGCTCAATCCTGTTGAATCGGCTTGCTGTGCATTACCGACTGCGTCGTTCTCGTCATGACTGTCAAGGAGGCTGAGATCTGTGGCTGTCCATGTGGGATACCCTAGTGAGGTGCGGGCTTCTGTGGTAGTGATTCAGGTCATGCAGGTCTGCATGAAATAGAGTGCACTACTGCAGAGCACTCAAAGGCTCCGAGCTGTATCGCGAATGCTGTCTCGAGATTGTTGTTCGCATCGTCAACTGCGAAATCCAGCGAGATGGCGACTGATTCGAGAAAATCGTTATGACTCGGCATAGTATTGCTTCATCAACTCGTTGACGGCGTTGTAAGCAGTCTTGCATTTTGAAAGACTATCGTTGATAAGCCGCAGGCATTTGTCCTCGTCTGGCTCGTCGACTTCGCCGGTTTCGTTCTTCTTGTGGCCATAATGTTGGATCTTTTCGCACTCATCGCGGACCTTGACAAAGCCCAATGTGGCGGAGGATCCTTTGAGGAAGTGACCCAGCTTTGAGAGCTCGTCAAGGTTCTTCGCTTTTCTGTGTGGAAAACTTGTCAGATTAATGTGACAGGTCTGATAACGGTATGAACGTACATCTCTGCATCCATTTTGTCGAACGTTTGATCAGCCTGCTCCAGAAACCCAAACACTATAGACTTCGAGAAGTCCCTATCTTCTTCTTCATCCATATCGAGGATCTGTGCGAATGTGGCCTTGTCAACCTGATCGCCGAAATCGAAATCGATCTATACGGTCCTTGTCAGCCGTACTCGTTGCCAAACGACGTCACAGTTGCTTCTGGTTAACCTAGCGTGTCTCAGAGGTGGCGCTGACCATCTCAGACAAAGGTATCGATGGCGACGGGAAAGAGAACTAACCTCGTCGGCCATCTTGAAGAATCAGGTGTGGTCAACTATGTGTACGAAGGAGGATGAGATGAATTGAGGCACAACTCCCAGTGATCCTCACAGTGGGAGAAGGCGCAGGCGGGTCGCTTGTCGATCTCTTCTTGTTCAGTAGGGTACAATGCCCAATGCCCAGGCGATTTTAGTAGTAGGAATGGTTTCCTGAAGCAGAAGAGGTAAAGTTAGCCTCCTTCTCGGATATCTCAACACCTGGACAGCAACCAACTTTGGAACGACAATAAGCTTTCCACAGATCTGAGCAAGGAAATGCACATGTGTCGATTGAAGCACGGGACAAGATCAATCAGATGCAGTAGACGAGTGGATAGAAGCGTGGAATTTTGAAGGTTGTGTGTGGCGACGTAGCCTCGGGGTTTCTGATTGATGGATTATGTTGTGAGGCTGGTTGAGTCCTGCTTGCCCACGCAGCGATAAGCTCTGAATAGTAGAAGCGTGACCACTCGACGTGTCCGGTAGCGAGGCCGCAAGAGTAAAATAAATTTGACTTGAGCTTCAGGAAGTCGGTGATGACATGCAGGGTCTGGTGGGAGATTGAGGCTAAAGGTATACATGAAAGCTTGGGATATGATGCCATTGGGGAGGGACAAGGCGGGGAGTGACAGCGGACAAGGAAAGATCGTCGTTGGACGTACCCGAGAAAGGCGTTGAACGGTGGCCGAACGTGGTACTTCGGCAGGAGTGCTTGGTGTTGCCTGATTTCTGGCAGGAGCTGTAGACGGCGGAGAGATGAGTGGACGAGTCCGGTCGGAGGTGAAGTAATGTGACGGATGAGGTGAAGTGCGGACAAGCCTCGCGATCTTGAACTCTCTCACCTGATCGGCGTGTACCGGTGTATCGTAGCAGGGATCGATGGCAGAAAAGGAAGTGATCTGTTGTACTGACCGAGGATGAAGGCAACCAGGGAAATGGTTATTAGGAGTACTAGGGATGAAGTTCTTTTGCCCGGATTGATGAGGCTCTGTCGGGTCCTGCCAGAAACAACGACCGGGACAGACCTTCCACAATGGACAATCGGGAGCACTGGTTGCAGAAGGCGCGCAAGAGTAACGGAGTAAGAACCACGAGGAATTGCTTGTGGTGGTCGTTCAAATCAAAGATGACTAGCAAAGCGGGTGAAAAAAGACCCTGGCTACCAAGCAATGTTTGAATCCATCCTAGTCCCCGCCGGCTTTGTGCGATAGTGGTGCAGGGACTCTCGGCTGGTGGAATGTGCGCTCTGCGTTAGGATTCTACTTGAAGCAGCTGCAGCCTTCTCAAACCTACGAACTCCCCGGCTAGCTGGCTGACTTGTAATTTTTTGCTCTTGCGAAAACAGCACATGAACTACGAACTTTTCACACCATGTATATCTTGTTGTACATCTACACAATACAAATCGAACGTGTGTGTGGGTGTAAGATGAGCCAGCGGGGATACTCAAGCACGTTTGCGTGGGAAGGGTGTCGCGAGGTTCCAACTGCTACGTCGTCGGTCTCATGCTCACCAGTTTTGTGGTGTTAAAAAACAATAGCTCGCATGCTTGAGTGCGGCAGATCGACAAAAAACTAACGTTGACTGGGATGAGCTCGGTTCAGAGTTGCAGCGATTCTCAGAGTCTCTTGCCATTCCCTGCGAATCGGGAGACACATTGGCCATGAACGGAGCCAGCTGACTAGGTTGGTTCTGTTTCAGTACGAACAGCCGTCTCGGGAAGCTTTGTTCTTTGAACGTTCGGTGAAGAGGCAAACACCAGGTGGTTGCTGGGAGGTAAACGCACCTTTATTGGACCCTGGTGGGGAGCGGACGAAGTTATTTCTCCCTTTTGTCTTTGCCGACGTCGTTGACGCACGGTGACGTACGATGAGATCATCGGCCCCAAAGGTTTGTGAGACCTCACCTCTGCTTTCTGTAACCGCACAGAGAATTGGACCTGACTTCGAGGGTGTATATTGGTGCGTGCATGTGAGCAAAAGTAATGAATATGGAGCGGTCGTCGCCTAGAAAGCCCCGGAGAACCCGTGGCAGCCACAATGCAAGGGAAACGAAAGCTGGGACCAGGCGAGATGGTGAGCCTGCATCGCGATGGCAGCCGGCATCGTATCAATTCATGACAGATGGAGTCACTGCAGACACTAGTCCATAGGCTTCCCACCATGATGCTGACGCACTATTACACGCGACTGGAAGCATACTTCCAGACAACGTGGCAACTACAGCTCGCAAACGCGAGCCCCCACTTACCCTGCAACAACAGCTTGGGTGTTGCTTCATCGAGTTCCGGTTAGTCAGTCACAGCTGCCATCAGATGATCCGAGAGGAGATAACAGCAACGAGCTTGTTGTTCGGGTGGAGAGATTAAAGCCTTTGCCCTTAGCTCTGCTTATTGTGTTTTGAAATGTGCTTTCATTCAAGTGTTCTGTCGAACGGGACGGCAGCCCTTCGTGCCTACCCTGATAACGTACATGCTGCGATCGATCCTTCCCATCTATGTTACGCAAATGCATGGTATCCAGAATTTATTCGACTTCAGCTGGCCACGCGCAGACATCCAGTTTTGCGCTAAGTAACTTGACATTTAGGAAAATGGTTGCGGGAGGCCCCGCCCACTCGAGCGTCACCCTGCATTAACCCGTGATCTTGTAGATGGACTCAGCCAGTCGCTTGACGTTGTCTGATGTGATACCCGCGACTGAGATGCGGCCATCCTTGGTAGCGTAGACGGAGTGTTCCTTGGCCAGGGTATCCATCTGCTCCGGCTTGAGACCCGTGTACGCGAACATACCAATCTGTTGAATGAAGTTAGTGATTACTGAGCGCTCTGACAGGGTTGGGGGAGCGGCGTACCTGGTCGGTGATGTGATCCCACTTCTGCTTGCTGCCCAGCTTTTCGAGGTTCTCCTTGAGCAATGCTCGCATCTTGATAATTCGATCGGCCATGCCCTTCACCTCACCGAGCCACTGCTTGTTCAGGGCCGGGTCGTTGAGGATCTCTGAAGCAATGCGAGCGCCGTGCACAGGCGGGTTGGAGTAGAGAGGACGGACGAGGATCTTGATCTGAGAATCGATGCGCTTCTTCTCCTCGGCTGATTCACATACAACAGAGAAAGCACCGACTCGCTCACCATAGAGACCCATATTCTTGGCGAAAGATTGACAGAGGACCATCTGGTGACCTTCCTTGATGAAGAGACGGATCGGGTAGGCGTCCTTGTCGGTGTCTCCTGACGCGAAACCTTGGTAGGCCATGTCGAAGAATGGAAAGTGACCTTTCTCCTTGACCACTTCCGAGATCTGCTTCCATTGCTCCTCGGTAGGATCGATACCAGTGGGATTGTGTGCGCAAGCGTGAAGGAGGACAATGCTGTTCTCTGGCGCCGCCTTGAGATCTGCTACCATGCCATCGAAGTCGAGTCCGATGGTGTCCTTGTTGTAGTACTTGTACTGTTGAACCTTGAGCCTGAATCGCTGAAGACGGCCTTGTGGTTGGCCCAGCTGGGTGTGGGGATGTAGATGGTCTTGTTATGAGGATAGTGACGCTCGAGGAAAGCACCGCCGATTCTCAGAGCACCGGTACCCGAGATTGACTGTGTGATAGCGACGCGATCCTCCTTGATGGCCGACGAGTCGGGACCGTAGGCAAGCAGGGCAGCAGCTTTGGTAAAGGACGGGACACCGGTGATGCCTGGTCGAGCTGTTAATAATCTCCTGACGACTATGGATGGGACACATACCAGCATACTCCTTGTCGAGCGACTTTCCAACAACACGCTGTTCGGCTTCCCGGACAGATGGCAGCACGTAGGGCTTGCCTTTGTCATCACCTAGTGGTCGTTAGTCACTGAAGGGATATCGAACAAGTGCTGGAGGACTGACGGTATGCGCCTACACCAAGATTGATCTTCTCAGCGAAGCTGTCCTTCTTGAACGCCTCCGTGATACCGAGGATAGCATCGGGCGGTCCCTCCTTGACATGAGCGAAGGTGGATGCTCGAGCGACGAGGACAACAGGTCTGACTGAGCTCTGTTTCACAGCGGTCCGGCCGGCCGATCCGCGAAGTGTGGAGAGCATATTGATGCAAGAACAACACTGGAGTAGGAAGAATTAAGGTAGTGAACGTACGCGCTGTTGAAAGCAGGACAGTGATAGGGGCAATAAAATGTGACGCGCTGTGCTTCTCAAAAAAGTTATGACTTTCCTTAGAATGAATTGCAGGGTCCATTTGAAGCTCAAACTGCGCCGGCCCGGGCATAGAGCTTAGCTCCGGCTTTCACTTCTACGGAGTACTTCGTCCAAGCATCCCCAAGCTTCAATTGCATTACTGAGAAGTTGGGGTCTCCTTGGGGAATCACAACTTCCCCCAATCTCATCGAGGAAACGCATCCTGGAGTAGTGGGAGGTATTTGGTACACTAGCTACCTACGGGCGGCTCGGACATGAGCTATGCTGTCGTTATGCTCATATCGGAGGGCCTCTTCTGAGGCCTTGGCCGATGTTCGAGCGTTTATGTTTTCCGTGCTGGTACTTTCCAGCTCAAACTAATCCAAAACACCGTCGCTCAAAGTCGTCGTATTGATGACATTACTTCGTTATATTGTTTTCAAGCCTGAGCGCATTCACTTTCCTGCTGCCTTCTGCGCCGCCGCCATCTTGGCCTTCTTTTCCGCCCACTCGCGGCTTGCCAATCGACCTCTCTCTGCAGCTTCGGCACGAGCCTTGCGAGCCGCTTCTTCCTTCTGACGCTTGTCATCTTCCTGCTTCTTCAACTCCAACTTGGATCGTGCCAAGACTTCCTTGCCAGAGGCCTTCTTCTGTGCAGGTACCATTTCGGGGACCGGTGCTGGTGTGACAGGCTTGCTCGTGAGCGACGCCACTCTAGGGACGTTCGCAGCAAACTTGGGCTCTCTGGATGTTGATCGAGATGGCTTGGCGACAACGCTGGAAGCTCGCTTGACGCCTGCATTTGATGGGTTCCTAACCTTGGGCAGATCGAGACTAGAGATTCGCTTGTTGGCTGGGTCTGTCTCCTTCACTGCGGTGCCTCCTACTGCGACGCTCAGACGGGCTTGGCTAGCTTTGTTCAGTCGTGGGACTATGCTGGATCGACTGGTCGGGACCGGCTTTGCCTTGAACTTTGTCACCTCCTCGGCTGCTTCCTTCTTTGCTTCTCGTTCGGCTTTCATTTTGGCAGCATAGACGTCCCCCGGCAGGACAAATGTGGAGGTTGTAGGCGCTTTAGTGGACTTCGTGGGCACAAAACCTGGCCGACTGGTTGACAGAGTGCCACTAGTCGTCCTCTTCTTGATATTCGGCTGGGTCTTGAGAGGAGAGTTCGAGAACGACATTGAAGCTCTGCCATCAATCTGTGCGACTCTTTTGGCGACAGCAGTAGTTGGAGGCAGTGTACCCTTGGTCTTAGTAGCAGCAGCCGCCGGCAGTGTACGCTGTGCTTTGACAGCAGTGGGCCGACTTGGGGGAGGCAGAATCGTGGAAGGCTTGGTCTTGTTGACAGACATTGTACCATTGGCCCGAACAGGCGATTTGGAGGACGACTTGGAATTGCTTCTGCTTGTGCTTGCGGTAGGAGGAAGGGAGAGCTTGTTGAGAGTGGATTTCGGCTGCGCTCTGGGCGAAACAGCGGTACGCTCCTTGACAGGAGAATCGATGCGCAACGCGTCGAGACTTGGAAGTTCTTCTGAGAATTGCTCGATCGCGTCCTCGAGGGCGTCCATCGCTTCGACCGAGTCTTCGATGCGCGAGGTGCGTCGGGGTGTTCGCGAGCTGATCTTCTGCACGAACGAGTCCTCGTCCTCCTCCTTGCTGCTTACGGCAGCCCGTGCTGGAGTTCTGGTCTTGATCGATTGCACAAAAGAGTCGTCTTGGTCCTTCATTGCCACCTCAGCCGCATCGTTAGCAGTAGGATCGAACTTGGGCGTCTTCGCGACTGCGACAGAGCGATCGGCAGTGTCGGCAGCAGGCTGGAAATTTGTCTTCTTTGGCGTAGAGTTGGGGGCACTGGCACCTCGGCAAGGGAAGGTGAGACAGAAAGTGCGTCAGATTCGGCCAGGCCCTGCCCTGATTCTTCTTCCTTCTGTGCATCTTCCAGATTGGTGTCGGAGCTGCTCACGATGTCCGGGTTGACAGTAGAGTCGTTTGAGTGACATACTACGTCGGTCTGTTGGGCCGTAGCGCTGTTGATAGGTTGCTTGTGCTCGGAGGAGGGACTGACGACTGCAGACTTTGACGGCGTAGCAGGAGTCTTGATGATGCTGTTCGCATTGGTGATCTCTTTAAGCACCGGCAGATCGTCTTGCTTAGAGTCGCTCAGAGGTGCTTCGAAGCTGGAATCGCCATCTTCGTGAATCGGGACTTCGGCTGTCTGCGCTCGCAGCGCTGCACGAGTCATACGCATGGTGGCGGCAGTGGGAGCCACTGGAAAGCAGTGAGACGCTTCGTGTCGTCGTAAAATGAGTCGCTAGGTCATGCAAAAAGACAGTGGTGCAGGTGACGTTGTGAGGTTCGAGTGGTGAGCGAGAGTGACACTTTGAGGTTTATTTACATTCCGAATCGAGTTGAGCGTGATCGACGGGTGCAGTATCTCCCCTATCTCCGGTGGAAGCCCCAACGAGGACCTCTACGTAGGAATCACGATGCGAGCTCAAGCCAAACACCGTCGGGTTGAAAGGCAATCGAGATCTTCACGATCAGTCTTTCTTCCCGTGGTATCCTACAGCGGATGACCAGGATCGCAAACACTACAGGGCGCTCGGCAGCTTGATTTGATGTGCGCCTGAAACTGATGAGCCTGAGCAACGGATCTGGCAGGTCCAAATGACACTGCATCTAAGATTGAGATCATCATGGCCCGTCCACGGTCGGAGACAATCAAGGAGCCTCATCTAGTCTCACTGAAGGGTAAGCATGTCATATCTGTTCTTGGCTGTTCCGATCTACGCTGTGCCAAGACGCTCTGACCAGTCTGCAGTGTTGAGGTAGGTTCTAGAATGCTGCGGTACTGATTTACCTTAACGCGGACCAACAGGCTGTCTCACCCAAGTCTAGCTATACAAACACCATTGCCACGAGAAACGACAACCTCACTCTCAATCCCGGCGACGGCATCACTATTGCATCCCAGGGACACCACATCAGACCAACAATTCGCTCTCTCACAAAACCTCTCACTGCCGACGTCCTTCGGCTCAGCGTATGTCGGCGAGACATTCTCGTGCGGACTCTGTGCCAACAATGAAGTCACCGAATCAACATCACGGACAAAGTCCGTATCTAACATCAAGATTCTGGCTGAGATGCAAACGCCCACATCATCCGTGCCCTTGAATCTCACTACTGCTTCCGATATCTCGACTACCGAAACCGAAAGCACCTCAACGCAGTACATCATCAGCTTCGCCCTCCGTGAAGAAGGTACCCACGTCCTAGCCGTGAATGTCACTTACACCGAGACGACCTTCACACCATCTCCCACAGATCCAAACAGCAGTTCGCCAACATCCTCCCGCACGCGTTCTTTCCGCAAGCTATACCAATTCCCGTCCGTGCCTTGCCTCAGCGTACGTACCAAATCGACCGAGCTGCCACCAATCTCGATCCCAGACAAAGCCGCTGGTCCATATGGGCGGACAAACCTCCTCCGCTACACGCTCGAAGCACAACTCGAGAACGTCTCAGACAACACCATCACTCTCGAGAGTGCTGTCCTGCACGCCAAGGCTCCATTCGAATCGATCGCTCTGAACTGGGATTTCGGTCTCGTCCCGTCCACCAAGCCGACAGTCGAGCCTGCAGAACCTGACCCGACGTCTCGCTCAGAGAACGCAAAATCTTCCACTCCCTCTGACAGCAGAGGTCCAATTCTACCGCCCCGCGACATATATCAGCTCTCCTACCTCCTGACACAACACTCCGAGACAACCGACGGCCTCGAAGAGCTCCGCGCTATGCTCAAACGCGATGGCCGCGCCGTACTGGGCCAGTTGAGTATCGCTTGGCGAGGGAGCATGGGTGAGAAGGGGAGTCTTACGACCGGTGGGTTGCTTAGTCGGCGGCGGGTGGGGTGAGATTCGTGGCTGTGGCAGACTGAAAGTAGGGGGCCGTGTACATGGAGGCCCGTGAACAGCCGCATACTGAGAGAGATATTTATATACACTCGTGCATATATGGTCAAAGGTATATAGAAGGCATTGCAATGCACACTGTCCACGAAATGCTAGCCGCAATCCTGCCAATACAAATTGTTCGACTGGCCGACAACGCGAAGTTGTCTCGGTCGTCCAAAGGGACAGACCGTTTGACCGAGAATATATATCCCAGGCTACGGCAAACGAGACCGGATGACATATGTCATTCGCACGAGCGGCTTCCCATCCTATCTCGCAAAAGAAAAAGCGCAATGACAGCAGGAGCACGTAGCGACAGCTCCTTCTCTGTGTGCTTTGACGAAGTCAGGTGCGGCAAGTGACTTCCACGACTCCTTCCACGATATTCCACCTCGTCATCTCGCATGATCAGCGCTCGTCTAAGACCGGTTGACTAAATGGCGGTCCTGCTCAACCGGTCGAGCACGCGCTCGGCTCCCCACGAGGCCGGACGACAATAATCGCAGCCTCTCACTATGCCTATGTACCCACGGGTATAGCTCGAATTTGTGCATACACGCAAATCGAATCCTGCTCGCGATCGAGGAATGCAGAAAAATGGTATAATATTCACAAGATCTAGGATCCACCTACCTACATATGACAGCGCGCTAACAGCAAGCCACGCACTGCTTGCGACAAGAACTATAGCCCAGCAGCAACCATCAATCCATACCCAAGTGTGACGATGGTCAGACCAGCCAGAATGCTGCTTGGAACTCCCCTCGTCAAGAAATGCCGTACTCTGAGATATCGCACGCCTGTCTCTGGGACTTCCATCATGATCGCCGCTACGGAACAAAGTCAGCATCGGTCCAGCTCGCAAGTGGAAGAGAGAAGGAAAGGGCACTCGATGGAGAGAAAGCCAAAAGGGACAAACTCACTCATGTTCGGAAATCCGCTCGTCGGCAACCCCATCGCCGCACTACACATCAACGCCCCACCCATAACCAACAGATTCGGATGCGGCTGCTCATATTCGCCCCAACCTGCTGCACCAGCGGTAGGATAATCAGCGCCGCTACCGTGTGGCTTATGAAAGTCGCGACTACCAAGATCAACCCCGCGAATACAAGCAACACACCATATACACTGAAATCCGACACGCCTTCTGTGATCGATTTTGCAATGGTGTGCAACAGCCCAGACGAGGAGACAGCTTTGCCCAAGGACAAGCCTCCGGCGGCGAGGATGATGATCGTCCACAGGAAATTGTTGAAGTCCTCTTTCGTAAGAATCCCCGTGCCGAAGAAGAGCACTAGGGGTATAATGGCGATAACCCCCATGTCCCCAAACGTATCCTGCAATTGGTGCGAGACGCACCAGAGCACGATCGTGGCCAAGGTGACGAAGATGATGAAGTACTGCACTCCATTGAGCTTGTCCTTCATGCGGCGGATGGGCACGATGGTCGTGCCGCGGCCGGGTTTGAAGGATATGAGGAGGAGCAGCCAGATGAGGAGGATCGTGATGATGCATACTGGAAGTGCGATGAAGAACCATATTCCCCACGATGGGCCCGGATGCATGTTTTGGAGCGCGATGATGTTTTGCGGTGAGGCGATCGGTGAGGCTGCGCCGCCGATATTGGATGCTAGTGCGATTCCGAGGATGAGGGCTTTGGACATGTTGCTGTCGGCAGGGAGGTTGCGGAGGATGGGCTGAATAATGGAGAAGCATAGTACCGGGGCGGCGACATTGGAAATCCACATGGACAAGAACATCGCAACGAACATATTGGTGATTAGGACCGTGCGGGCGCGTGTGCCGGCTTTGGAGAGCACGAAGGTGGCCATCATTTTGGCGATGTGGTACTTCGACAGGGCGGCCGCGATGGTGAAGCCGCCGAGAAGGAGCATGATCACGGGCGTCCACATTGCGGCGAAGACGGCTTTCGTTGCGGCGACTGAGTCCAGGCGGGTGTGTGGCTGTGTTTCTGAGCGCATGATTCGGAGGACCACGACGAGGAATGGTACGAGCAGGGAGGTGACGAACAGAGGTATAGCTTCGGTGGCCCAGAGTAGTGAGACAAGCACAAGCATGGCCAGGCAGTTCTGCTGTTCGGGTTTCTTCATAATGGGCACCATGAGGAGGACGGCGAATGTAGTCAGGATGACGACGAGGGTGAGGAAGGTCGATGAGACCATCCAGCGTGGCAGTCGATAGCGGCCAACGGGTGTCTCAAACTCCTTGGTCTTGGATTCCTCGTGATCGCCCTGCAATCGCGCCTGGCTAGGGTCGTTGTTGTTGCCCAGCAGTGTTTGACGGAGACCGAAATTGGCGGCTTGGGCTTTGCGCTCGATGCCGATCATTTCTCGCCAGACTGTGTTGCGTTCCCACACCACATGCTCTCGCAGGTGGAGACGCAACTCGCGACGTCCGAGGGCAAGATCTCCCTTCGTGACTACATCGGCGTAGGTCTGCTCAATCTCCTTGATGTGCTCGTCCAGTGTGCCTATGGTGGACTCGCGGAATGGGTATGACGGGTTCACGACCTTATCCATGTAGTTCTTCCGGATGTCGCGGTTGCAGACCTTGTCGTACTTCTTGGTGGCTTTCTTGAAGCCGGTCTGATTAAGCTGGATAAACGACTTCAGCTCGGCCAGGTTCACATACAGACTGATGATACGCTTCTTCACGTTAATACCCGAGTCGTACAACGCGGACAGCTGGCCGGGATCGCTCTCTTCGAGCTGCATGGCCATACTGGGTCGCCTGCGAAGCATAGAAGCGCGCTGCCATCTTCTGAGAACCTCAAATCCTCCCTCGAATCAGCCATTGAGTGGTGGTCGTTCTGGGAACTGCCGTCCCAAGCACTCTTAGCTCGAGGTCTTCCCGTAGGGCGCGATTTGGTCTTCTTCAACATAGCGGCCTGATCGTCTGCGTCACTCTCGCTGTCATCATCCTCCTGTTCTTCGATGCTGGCACTCAGGTTTGACGCCCTTCTTTTCCGCCGGAATGGAATAGCAATATGCTTTGTGATCTGGTCACCTTCCGTCGGTTCTCCGAGTCGATGACTTCGTCCATATCGATCCCTGCAGTGTCCGACTTGTAGTTCTCGACATCTTTGAACAGCTGTTCGAGTTCGCCAAATATCTCGAGCTCTTTCAAGCGGTAGAATGAGCAGACCTTATCCAACTCGCCGTCTAGCATGCGCTTGAAAGTGGTGTCGGGGTCCAGCTGACCTCCCAGCAACGCCGTGTTCTCTTCATCTCCGGGCGCATCTGAGGGTTTCGAATGAATCTGCTTTTCGAGTGTGTAGATCAACTTCTTCAGGTTGCTGTAGGATATGTAGTTGTTGCTCCAGTCCGGCACAGCGTTGAATTGGATGCTGTGGGAGAACTTCATCTCTTCTCTCTCCGCTAGAGATTCGAGCTTGTCGAGCCTCTTCTGTAGTCGTTGTGCTTCTCGCGCGGATCGATTTGACGGATGTGATCTTCCCGAGGGCTCAAGATCGTCGAGCTCGAGAGCTGAGCCCACGGGCTGCTCGTCAGGGTCGTCACGGTACCGCAAGCTCGGCAAGAGTCTGCGAGGACGTGTGGCACTGCGCATTCGACATTTGTGCGTGAAGGATGTGTAGATGAGTGTATGCGGCGGACTCTAGTGGCCGCTCCTGTTGGTCAAGGCCTGGGCTGAGTGGGGAGGGCGGGACACTCTGATGACCCGGAAATATTCGCCGATGGCTGTGGGCACAGCTCGGGTTGTGCTGAGAAACAGGAGGCGTCGTCAAGCTTCAGCAGTAACAGTCTGGTGATGTTGCTTCTTACGGGTCTCAGCTCAAATGAAAGTCGAATGCAATCGACGCGTGCTCAAAGTCGCTAATTTGATTCGATACCGCTGTCTCGGAGTCCTCACCACCTCAGCGGGCCCCTTTTGCCTTGGCAGCCCGATGGATAAGACCAGAGCACATGCTGACCTGCACCTGCCCTTAATACTGCTTCCGCGTCACACGACCTATGTGCTAGGCAGGATTGATCATTCAATGTTATCTCATTCTCTAGAGTATCTATGAATGCATGCACCAGACTGTGCGCCTTGCTGCACTCCATGGATATGCAATTAGGACAAATCAAAACCGGCGCCTGCATTCGCTGCGTACAACAACTTATCCTTCATCGTCGAAAGATCTCCATAGCGTGGCAACTTGAGCAAATTGACGCAAGTCGACGTCGAAGGCAACCGCGACTGGTCGGTGCTCGAGTCTCGAATGCTGAACTTAGGGTTCAGATTGCCAAACCCCAGCAGAGGTGCACGAGGTGTACTGGTGACGAATTTCAGTACTTTGCGACGATCCCCATCGTCCATCTCTTGCATTGCCTTCCAGAACAGCTCCACAGTAGGGTGCTCAAGCCCGTCGTCGCCAATCACGTAAATCCCGCCGTACTGAGTATTGCGACGGAGATCAGCAATGTCCAATTCCGAGCTGTCGCCGCCTACAAGTTTCTGGAGTTCTTTTTGATTGAACATGGCCAACCACGTCGGAGAGATGATCTGTCCAAGCCCCCGCAGGAAAGCATTGGTGACCTTCTCGGGCTGGTCCTGAAGCCGATATTTGACGATGCGATCGATATAGAGGTGTCGCCATACGTTGTCCACTGCTTTATTTCCGCCGTCGGGGTACAGGTTAACCGTTTGAACCACGCTCGTTATTTTGCCCATCTCATCCTGCACGTTCAGCGTGTCGTTAACAGTGAAGTTCAGTCCGAAATCCGCTTCAACATTGCCTGGATAGTACTTGAGCTTGAGCAGACCTTGGTAAAGTTCTTCATCATATTCCCGTAGGTCGTTGATCGATGCTCTGTAGGCGCTTTCGTTTGTTGCAACAGTGCTGCCGCCCGTCAATGCCCACTTCAGGAGGAAGAAGCCTGCAAAGTTCACATCAATCAGGATGCCTTCGTACAAGCACTTGCCGATGACGCGACCAAGGAACTCATAGCGTCGCAGGTAGTCGCGCAGGACGGCATTCCATCCTTCGCTTCCGTCTCGAGTCCCTTCACGCCGAAGCGATTCTTGCATCTCTTGCCAAATCAATGGATTAGGATACAGGAAGTGCTCGGCATTTTCCGTGAACATGGGACTCGGGCCGCTTGGGTCCAGTGCTTCGGAAGTAACGCTCGTCAAGAATTCCTTCGTCACGCCTCCTCCGTCTATGCCGGCCTCGGGTGTCCCAAACTTGTCGATGAAGCTGATCTGAATAGGTTCTTTAAGTTTGTCGCCCAGCTGATAGTAAATGTCGTACGCGTCTTCGAAGACATGCTCTCTTCTGATCTCGGCATGTTGTCTGCTAATCACATCAAAGCCAGGGGGTCGCCCGTCAATGTCTCTACCCATAGTACTTCTGGCAACGCTCATTCGCCAGATGTCAGCATCGACGTGCCCGTTCCTCCGACGCACCTGATCGTTGTAGACAAAGTGTCGGAAGATCTGTACTCTTGACTCGAATGGAATGAAGAATGGCAGGTTGCGCAGAATCTCCAGCCGCGGAGCTAAAGATTCAATCCTACGCTTCTTCCGAGCCTGCTGTATTTGCCGTTCCGATACACTGTTCCGCAAATGGGCTTGTGAATAGTTGATACCGCCGCTGCCCGACATGACTTGCGCGAATGATGCGCGTGGAGAGTCTGCTGTTGGTACTGCGTCATCTGCCTCGTCTAGATTCATGTCTTCCTCATCATTGTCGTCAAGTTCGTGCCGCTTCTCCTCTTCAGCGACTACAGCTGAAATGAAGCCGCTCATATCTACCTGATGTGTCATGAGCCAGCCGTTGGCCGGAACGAATCTTCTGCGAGAATCTCTTTCGTGTAGCATGCGTAGCAACGCTGTGCTGAGGCCCTTGAGGTACGCATGAGACACTCCATTGCCGGCCAGTCCTAGCGATTCATGTTTCGAGGGTGTTTGATGAACACTGGTCTGTTGACTGTGGCCAAACAGGGATGACAAGTTATCGAGATCTTCAGCGTCAGTCGTGGGCACAAGCTCTGCTGCATGCCAGTAGAGACCGAAAGCTAGGTTCTTTAGAAACATAGCCAGCGTGATTGCGTCCGTCAAATTGAGACCCTTTCTGCCTGGGTAACTTGTAGTCTCGAATGATTGATGATTGTCTTGTGACGCTCCAGAGAAGAATTCGTCATCGTCTATGACTCTGAGCACGAAGGAATATAACTCCATGAAGAAGAGAACAATGCGCCACTCCGTGCGCCATAGCTCGATCTCCTCGGCACCAGTTGAAGGTCTGCCGATCTGGTGTGTCTCGGGACTGGCCTCTCGTAAGGCGGAAAGTACGTTACGGTGGTTGGAGATGATCCTCTGGAATACTCTGCTCTTCGTGATCGAACTCCACAGGTACTCCAGCGTCGATAGGTGTACGCCGTTTGTAGTGGTCAGCGAGGTCTGCCACAGCCACTGCCGAATTTTGCGAGCCTTGTCTCCACTTGATGCGAACGCTCGTAGCATGGCGACTGCATAGTCGGCTAGACGTGTTGTGGCCTCGAAGTCGGAATCTTGACTGACTGAAGCGTGCTGGGTGATGACAGCAATGGCGGAACGTACCGCCTTCTCGTCGCTGATGATATCGAGACTCTCCGCAATGAACTTCTCCAGTGGAAGAGGGCCTGATCTACCAGCACCGTTCATCGGGACATCTAGGACCCCCTGACGTTCGGCGATCTCGTTTGCACATCCGCTCAAGAGCAGAGCCACAACCTTGGTCTGGTTGTAGCTGAGATCACTGGTCAATCCGCCGGACATTCGTTGGCCGAACCAGATCAGATACGACAGTTGCCAGAGCTGCGCGTGGGTTGAGGTGCCAGATGTCGACGAAGACAGAGCCTGGAGCAATGACTGATAATCTAAAGCAGATGAGAGACGTACTAGAAGGCGAACATTATCGGAGAGTGTCTGGGTCGAGATGAGAACGAGAGCAAATGCTCGATAGGCAGGCAGCGAGGTCGTCTCTTTTGCGAGAAAAGCGGCAATGGCATCTGCGCCTGCGTCCTGGACAGCGACATCGAGCCGGCCATCGACGAGTTCTCCTAGAATCTGGATGCATGCTAGCGATGATGTCTCTAATTGCTGAAGAACCAGATGGGCAAGAAAGGCTACTAGCTGAGCCAATTGTACGATGATTTGGTTGCCGGACCCGTCGAGAGAAGCCAGTCGGATACTTCTAATATGGCGTACCGCGGTCAGGGCCAGTTTCGCAAATGCCGTACGCGTGCTCAAATGGATGTGACTAATCGCCCATTCGGAGGACTGGAGCGCTCGAGCGAAGTAGACCAGACGCAAGGTGTCGCTCTCGTCCCTCACAATGTGTTTGCGATATTCTTGGGAATTGACAAGCAGTCGCAATTGTCTCTCGAGTATCTGAACATCTTGGTAGCCAGCGGGGCGCTCTTCGTTCGCAATGAAAGCCGCAAGGTTCAGAGCATGACCACAGCGGCGTCTCTCTGTATCGTCCCATTCCTCCCTCCACTTGCTCTTTTGTACTCGTCGGACTGAGTGGCCTCGCCATGTCTTTTGCACTTTGCGTGAAGCGGTCAACTTCTCTCGTTCATGTTGTCTGCGAGCCCGGTCGGCTTGTGCATGCGCCACCGCAGAAGTAGCGACATTTGATCCAGTCCGAGGAGATGCACCAGAAGCGGCGGCCCAAGGATTCGAATTTGGCCGCCCGGAGAGGTTGACCTGCCTAGGCTTTCGTGTGGTACCAGTGAAGGTATGGTGCATGATTAGCCACCTGCAGCTGCACGGCCTCAAAGCGTACAGCAGATCAAGATATGTCTACGATGGGACCGGGAAGCTGGGTCATCATCTTTGCATGGTGTAGTCCGAGAGAATGAACGAAAATTCCAACAAAACTGCGGATCGTACCTACGCAACGTCCTACAGTGAAGTGTTAGAAAGTGGTAGAAGGCGGCGATGACAATTCACAAGCGCAGGCATGAGATTAGCGGGCATCACCCCACGCGAACAGGCACACGCCACCGGCGCGGCCCCTGCAAGGTTGCCTTGTTATTTGCCTCGCTCCAGTGTTCTTCAAGTTCTAGTACATATATTTCGAATTCATCCTCCGCTTTAGGTGTTCCAAGACATATGTCAACATGTCGTCGGACATTCTCACTCAACTACAGACATGCTACGACCAATTGCTGATCCAGTTCTTCTCTACGGTCAGCTATAATGTGCGACGACATCCACTCATCGCTCCCGCACCTGTCGCGAGTGATCCCTACACAAACCCGACAAAAGACGTCCTTATCGAGAATGGACGACATCAATATGTCAGGTATAAGCTTAACGCCGAGGATGCGGAGGGCATGGACCTACGCCCGCAGGAGCCGGAAGTCTTCGACAAGGCTCAGGAAGATCTTGCCGAGGATCTAGTCATGAAAGCACAACAAATTGAGTATCTCATCAAGCGACTACCAGGACTTGGACAGGGCGAAGAAGAACAGAACGCAGAGATCAGGCGTCTGGTCGAAGAAGTCAAGATCATGGAGAGACGGAGGAAAGAGAAGAGGAAGGAGATGCGAAAATGCCTGGAGCAGTTGGACCATGTGGTATTAGGCATGTCCAAGAGCATCGACGTGCCCGAGTCTGATGGCTCAACGGATGAATCACAAAGGAGCACTGCCCCATGAGCGACGTCCAAGGTTCTCATGCGTCCCAAGACGACCATTTCTAGTTGGGCTTGAGTGAGCCCGGTGGCCAAAGGCCCCTTGACTCTGACCGATGAGAGATTCAACTTTGCATGCCGAGTCATGCGGCGCCCGGCCATCATAATGAGCCCTCGCCCATCAGACGCTGCACTCGGGAGAGCAGGACATTACCTTGCCGGCCCAACTTCTGCTTGCCGTCCTTTCCCGGACGCTTTGCTTTGGCCATCGCCTTCCGCTCCTTGTGTCGAGCCTCTCTGGCGTTCGCCCTGGCCGCGAATTGCGCGCGTTTCTCTGCGGCAAGTTTAATATCTTGCTCGTACCGAGACTTCTTCGGTTTGCGATCTCTCCGACGATCTCGAAAGCCATTCACATCCTCGTGATCAATGGTATGGACCGAGCCGCGATTCCGTCGTCGCGCGTTGAGCTGCGGTGTGCTGGGCTGTGCTGTGTCGGGCTTGTCAAGCATGGCTTGTCGGTCGGGGTGCAAGTCCATAGTAGCGGCTATGTCAGGGACACCTTCTTCCCTTGGCGGCGTCGAGACTCCAACGTTAATCGCTGCCTCTTCTGCCTCCTCTTCTTTACGCTGTTCCTCGGCCTTCACTTTGGCATAGGCCTTCTTGACTTTGGCCTTCTGTATCAAATCGCTCTTTATCTTGTCCGTCTTGCGTTTGTAGGTTCCATCGGGTAGATTTGCAGGACCTGCGCTGAAGGATTTGCGTTTCTTCTGTGGTTGTGCATCGTGCTCTGAAGGCTCGTTCCTGCTGCGCTTGAGGCTCATCGCGACACACACGCTGCACAATTCAACAGCTCACAGGCGAGATACACGTTGTTGTGCACCCACCAGAAAGTGATGGTTGCGAAGAAGAGCCCGGAAAATTATTGGGTTTAGCACTAATTAGCGGGTCGGTTGAATGAGTCAAAGTGGGGGTGATCACAAGGATCGACCGCGGCGGATGCAGTGCCCGTATGACCTACGACATCGGGCCTGCATGGGGACCGCCGGCTGCCTCTGCAAGCTGGTTTCGACCACGAGCATGCTCTGTCACAGCACTGTGTCCAGGATCAGACTCCCACCATATTCGTCACAGTCTTTGTTAGCTGCTCGGACCAGATGTCTCACAATGCTGTGACGTCGTGACTGGCGCGGTCTCACCATGCCTAATTACACGTCCTCAATATATCGGAGCAGTGATCGTGAGAGAGAGCCCTCTCCAAGTAGACGTGACTGCTCTGGTGGGAATGCCATTCGTCGTCGATCGAGACGATTACTGGGAAAGACCATTGAAGAGACGGAAGCTCACAGACACCACAGCCATGGCTCGGACTCGTCGCGATAGTGGCTCATCACCAGACGGCGAGTTCACGCCTGCCTTCACCACTTATCGTGGACTACGCAGGCGTAGGGGCTCATCTGAGGATCCCGAGATCCGCACATCGAGCAGAGACGAACTCATACAATGCATAAAGCGAGGTCAAAGACCAACGTGGGTGCCGACACCCAACTTCGAAGCTCTTTGTGCTGAAGCGGATATCGAGGCAGAGGCTCGGCTGAGTAGCAATCTACTGCCTCACAGAAGGGGACATGGCCAGCAGTAAACGAGCTTGGAGACGGAGGAGTAACAGGCCCAGCACCAGAAACACCAACCAAGCCATTGTCAGCTCTCCATACAGGCGACTTTGGTGCATCATCTAGCACCTCGGGAAGCCTCCATGGCGTGCCAAGCGACCCTCGACGGACTACAAGCCCTCCTCAAACCCCTTTCGCCGGTTCGCCGCCCCCATGGACAGCCGTCACGCCGTTCAGTCGCTTCCAACGAACGATCTCGGACCCAGCAGGCCTCGATCGACCGACGACAGACCAACGAAATCGATCACGTGCACCGTCGATCGGAAGCAGTCTATCGTCAAGTTACATCATGCGAACGCCAACGAGTCCGCTGGTACATGCCACCAGCAATCTTAGCATTGACCTCCCAGATAGCGGCAATTCAGATCCGCCATTGCCCGCAAGCAAGCTTTATACATCCCAGGATGTAGGCCAGGGGTTCACGCCCCCAAGTATGAGAAGAGAAGCGACCGTCCCGATGCGGAGCCATCAAGCTCGGCGATCGCTGACCTCCTTCACGTATCAGCCAGCCTCAAGTGCATCAACAGTCTATCCAAGACGCCAACGTCGACTCTCACACGCACCTGAAACATCCTCATTACAGAGAAACTCTATGGTCGGTTCGTTTGAGGAGTCCATTCTTCGAGGTCGGATGTCAGCAGCACCCTCAATTCCATTGCACTTCGTAGCAAAGATCGGCGTCAGTGGCAGAGGGGATTGTCCTCCCGGGCTCAAATGTCCTTCCCAGGTGACAGTTCCGTTCACTGCGGTTTTCTACCACTATCCATCGAATGCAGGGTCAAGATCCATATCAGACGAGAGTCCTAGTCCATACGTCGGCACTATCAATTTACGCGAGCATTTGAAGACGCCAGTGCAGCCCGGCTCACGGAAGCGACGATCTCTTGCAAATGAAATGGATGCCACCACGATTCAAGATCCGTATCTGGCTGACAGCCCATCCAGTGGTAGAGCTGCGTTTCAAACGGAAAAGTCTGCCATCGGAGGCGCCTATCGTGTACCTCAACAGGGACAGCTACAGATCATCTTGAAGAACCCTGAGAATACGGCAGTCAAATTGTTCCTTGTGCCATACGATCTTGATGACATGAGTCCAGACACGAAGACTTTCGTAAGGCAGAGGAGCTTCTCAACTGGACCCGTCGTGGAGAATGTGCTCTCCGACAAACCCATACAGGATCCTCTCTCGTCAAAACATGTCTTGAGATATCTTATACATCTCAAGTTCTGTTGTATCGGTAAAGGCAAGTTCTACCTCTACGACAGCATACGAGTGGTCTTCGCAAATCGGGTTCCGGACGGCAAGGAACAGCTGAAGAACGAGATTCAGGTGCCAGAACCAAGATACTCTACGCTTCTCACCAAGTCACAACCGGGATCTGCGACGGCATCCAGGCGACATAGTACGAACGCATCCTTCTCGCCATCACCTCTGACCTTTGATTCGCCTCGAACACTAGACACGCTCGCAGCGTTGTCGCCGTCACTGGTGACTACGGATTTGGTCCAACATCGCCTGGCACAGAATCCAAGTCCAATATCGTCACGAAAGGAAAATGTCAAATTTCCGGACATGATGCAAGCCTCGGGTGGAACAAGCAGCACTTCGAGGCCAACATCACCAGAATATGGCTTCGAACGTGCGTCTGTGTCCCAACGTGGCTCCCCTGTGCCTTGGGGTACTACTATTGACCTTCAACCACGAAGCCCGTCGCCCGCCTTCAATGGAGATGGACTTCTTTCAAGAAAACTTAAAGAGCTTGGACGGCAAAATGCAAAGAATGCTGACGTGAAGAATTTGGGCCAACGACCGTGATCATGGAAGGCCGGCTGGAGTTTGGATAGTACCGTTCCTTTAGACAGCTTTAATGGACGGGAACTAAGGATGCCTCTATAGATACCCCGCTTACCTACTACTATACATGCATATCGGAATGGCGTTTTGACACGACCAGCTGACGACGCTGGTACTACTATCGAATATGCAGTGGCTCAGGTGGTGGCCATGACAGGGCTCTTGATCTAGTCTGTTGCATAATCAGTGGTCACGTTGTGTTGTGGGAAGCCTGTCACTGTCACCTGCTCAGCAGTCCGAGGGCGCAGCTACCACATGCACCAATGCGAATGCTAGGGGGCTCAGAGCTAGTGGCCTCGTCAGGCTTTGACGATCATTGGTCGGTCCCTATCAACCCCCAGACACGCTTTCCAACCTACTTGGGACTCGATCATGCCCACCATGCATATCCCTCGATCTTGGTCCTCTCGAGCTTACTGATTATCATTACTGACATCGTTCCTCATCTACATTGTGGCATCGCGTTTGATCTTCAGTCTGCATTGAGACGGACAAGCCTCTCAGCCAGCTCGTCGTTCGTTCGTTCTGGCTAGACTGTAATTCGGATCGCCTCTCCATCCCCACCACACGCATCCTTCCAACTTCATGCGTTGACAGTCCAGGTTCAGACTCTACCAGGTTACGGTCGTCGATGACTGGTAGCTATCCCCGTCAAGACGATGCAAAAGCTCAGCAACTTCACTCAGCATCGATGGGACCGAATAGCTCCCGCCTCGCTAGGCGGCGGCATGTCGAGAATGCCTCATGACATGCCCAACTCCATGAGACGAACACAACCTCCCCCAAACATCGGCCTGCAACCCAGCTCCGAGTCCTCGACCGTAAACCTGTCCTTCAATATCCCCTTCTCCTACAATCTTGCCGGACCCGACCCTGACGACATCCTCCATGCCAGCCCCGGCGCGCCGCAGAAGTGGACATTTCCTGGAGGGACGCCCGAAGGTGCCCCAATACACCAATTGCCAGTCCATGTCCAGAATCAAGAAAGGCTTCGGACAAGATGTCAATACTTGAGTGACCAGACCGGTGGCCGGGTCCACGCCACCGTTACTTCTTCGGAACCATCCGCGCAGCCGACCATGCACCGCATATCACAATCGCTGATAACGAATGTGTGCGTTTCGGGAGACGGTGACTTGGTCTTCAAGACCCGTGCTCGGATTTTGAACGAGACTCCGATCATGATGCGGTCCGCCGTCGTCGATGTCGATCCGAACCTGATCTTGGATGGCGCCGAGGCAAATATACGAGGAAGTGTTTTGAGCCACATAGATCTTTGTGCGAAATACACTGGAACAGACATCTTCTTGCTCAAGCCACGAACCTCAGATCTCGACTCTGCTGGCCTTTCGTTTGCCAATGGTGTGGACAGTGGCCTTGATCAAAGGTACCGGATTCACATCTTTGGTGACATGGAAAGCGTCGAGCACGCTAAAACGAGAGCTTTGATGATGATCGACCAGATACTTAAGCACAAGATAGACGTCATTAAACTCGAGGTGACTATGCACACGCTGGTCTCTGGTCGGACCGGCAAGAACATCAAGATGATCGAGTCCGCTACGAAGACAGCCATCTACTTCCCGCCTCCTTTCCCGGGCGCGTTTGGCTATGTTCCGCCCAATGCTACTCGTCGTGCTCCAGACGAAGTCTTCATCACCGGAGAAACGCAGGAACGCATCAACCATGCTAAGCAAAAGCTGAAAGAGTTGGTCATGGGCATCAAATTGTACTCCAAAGATGCCGTTGTCTCTGCCAGCAAACTCGACAACATCCTGCTCGATCGTCTCGACAAGGTTCGCAAGATCATGGAAACGAACGGGACATACGTGTTGTTCCCGCAGCTTGGGAGTCAACGTGGGATGGTCAGGGTCCAGGGTACTGAAGTGCTACATGTGGAACGCACCGTCAAAGAGATTATGGCTTTGGCTGGGCAGTTCTACAGTGCGTCTTGGTGGGTCATTGTGCCCGAGCCCTCCCATGGCCCTTCTATCCGCGCGCCATCGTCGGAGGAGGTCCGGGAGATGCTTGGCGACATCTGCACGAATTCGGGTGCCGACTTGAGCTTCGACAAATGGACGTTTACCATCAACGGCTCTGATGATGCCGTCAAAGCTGCCCTCTTGGTCATCTATCACATTCCCTTTGTCAAGACTTATCCGTACCAGATGCGGGTCAAGATCGAACTCGCTAATGAGCACAAAGAGTTCGTGAGCGGCAAGAAAAATGGCAAGATCAACAAGATTATGGGTCAGAGCAATGTGCAGATCATATTCGATGGTTTTAACGAGTACAACTTCTACATTGATGTCGTTGGAAGTCAATATGAGGCTACCAAGAACGGACTTGATCTTGTCGAGCAGGAAATGCCTGCCTCGATCTCCTTCCACGTGCCAGATCAGTACCACAAACGGATTATTGGTATTGGAGGTCAACATATCCAGCGCATCATGAAGAAGTACTCGGTCTTCGTCAAGTTCTCCAATGCCATGGACCGTGGCGGAGTGGGCAAGGAGGATGAGGATGTCAAAGTTGACAACGTTATCTGCCGCACTCCGGCTCGCAACGCACAGAGTCTGGACCTCGTGAAGCAAGAAATTATGGACATGGTGGAGAAGGTCGTGAGTATTGTCAGCGTTTGGTATAATTTGTGCTTACTTCTCGCAGGATGCCGAGTTCGTTTCTGAAACGGTACTGATCAACAGACTTTACCATCGTGAACTTATTACACACCTGCCCGAGATCGACGAACTTGAAAAGAAATGGAACTGCAAGATCGACTTCCCTAGCACCGAGCAAGCCAGCGACGTGGTTACAATTTCGGGACCCGAGTACCAGGTTCCTCAAGCTGTCGATGCTTTTCTCGGTATGGTCCCAGAAAGTCACGAGATCTCATTTCAGAAGGCGGATGATCTTTCCAACTTCTTTACATCGCCCGAATTCGACGAACTACGGCAAAAGCTGCAAGCCCAGTATGAAGTCGACGTTCATGCCAATCCTTTGATGAGCAGTCTGCCGAAGTCAGCCACTGCTTCGGTGGAGCGGATTGTCTCGGCGACCGAGGGTCGACTTGTCTTGACGTACACGCGTAACAACAGCGGAGGTCTTAAGGACGCGATCGATTTTCTGATCTCGCAGCTTGTGCCTCAAGGTATGGATGCGACGACCGTCAAGGGAGCTATCCCAAGACCTGTCTCTGATTCTTTCGAGGACTCGCTACCATTCTTCGAGTCCAAGATTCTCCAGAATGCTCCTTCACTTCACTCAACGGACTCACCCACGCGTTCGGCATTCGGGGACGGCGATAGTACGCCAATCTCAGAGAGGGCGTCGTTGTTTGATCGGCTGCGCAAACCTGGCAGCATCGGCTCCTTCTCTAGCTTCATGAGTCGTAAGAACCAGAACAACTCGCCCGGGACCTTCTTCAAGCACGCCTCGTCCAATGCCAGCAAAGCCTCGTTGATCTCTATGGAAAGTCGAGAGAGTGGCTACCGCAACATCTGGAATGACAGCGGCGTCAACCTCCCAGAGGAGGAGGTTGCTTTAAACTCGACGAACGGGACGTGGACTCGCATTGATCCCAAATTTCCCTTTGCGCTGCCCCGAGCGCCATCGCTGGCGACCGGACTCCGAAACATGAGCCTCGTGCCAGCTTCGACTCTGGTCGGCCACCTACTTCTCATTCTCTCACGGAGTCAAGATACCCGGGAGTCATTGGCAGCACCAATGGCCATTCCCACAGCAATTACACAAACAGCTCGTCACAAAATTTGAACTTGCCTCTTCGATGAGCGAGGCATTATAAAACGAGAACAGCACAGCATGATACCCTTTTCTGGATGCAATCAACGATCATGAACATCACCTCTTGTTGGTGAGCTGAACGATACCCAAGGCACTGACACTTAACGGAGCCAAAAAAGCAATATACCTATGATTTTTTCTACTTGGATTCTACGCTTTGATGCAAGGACTACAGCGATACCCATGAATGCCTTGTTTCGTGGAGGATGTGGCGGCTGCAATGCAATTCTGGAAGATATGACTTCGTGGACAGAGCAAGTCTTGAGTAGGAACGACCAATGAATGATACACGTCGCACTTCCTTACGCGCCTTGTTTGCAGTACCTGCACTTATGTCGATTGCTCTAGTGTCCTAGGCCGAATGCCATGCTATGCCATGCCTGATTCTTGCAAACACGATGGGTCGTGTCATTACAGCAGAGCCTCAGGCATTCTAGGTCGTGACAGTCACGTGACTCGACTCGGAGTCGACCGCTACGCGTTACTACAACGCGCAGCAGCAGACGAATGCGGCGGGTTAGATGCGTCCAATACACCCAAACAACACATCGCCAACAAACACCAGCCACGATACAGCAGACCAGTCCCTTGTCCTGTCCATATCATACCTGCTTCCTTTCCACCACCGGTCACTCCAGCGAATGTCATGCGAAGGATAGACAACCACATCGCCCATGGCGGCCGCACATCTCGATGTCAGGATCGGACAGACCGTCGAGACCAAGGACGGTAAACATGGCATTGTGCGCTACTCTGGACCTCTAGAGATCGCTCAGGGTTCGTGGCTCGGTCTTGAACTGCCAGATCAGACCGGCAAGAATGATGGTACTGTCCAGGGCACCCGCTACTTTTCCTGTCCACAAGGGTACGGCATCTTCATCAGAAAGGAGACAGTGTCGCGCATTGTCAAGCAGACGCCTTCGCCAACTCGGAGCAATGGCGTGCTCACGAACGGCAGTGCCATCAAGCCTCGACCCTCGACCTCTGGCATCACGGCGGAGGCAGCAAGGAAGCGGCAGAGCATGATGAGTACAGGTTCAGCTACGGCGGCCTCGAGGCCATCTATGCGGGTTTGCAGACAGCATCATTGAATTGTGCATGTTCGCTAATTATTATACAGTCTCCGACCAAGTCTCCTACCAAAGCTGTGTCCTCAGCTAGTTCCGCAACCTCGACACCGCGGACAGGTACTCCTGCTACCACCACGAGAACCTCCGACTCGAGCGCAAAGTCGCGGCTGAGCACGACTGGCCGCCCATCGATGGCGCCTCCTCCGGCGCCTAAGAAAGCAGTGACGAGTACAACCCGACAATCCCTGGCTGGCTCAGGTGCTCGCACGACGACGCCATCTACAACCTCCGTCAGGTCCTCTGTTACATCACGCCAATCTCTCGCAAGCACGAGGCAGTCGCTTCAGCCCAGGCCAACCAGTCTGCGTTCGCCTCCGCCTACGAGATCGCCTCCGATCGACGAGAGCTCGAGTCCGCAGTCTCCACCAAACGATGAGGACGAAGCAGATGAGGAAGCACTGCCTCCTCATAGTATTGACCATGTGTTGCAGAGTCCGCCAGCGGACGCTGTCCCAGCAGTTCAGCCCGATCCGGCGCCATCAGAAACGTCACATTCCCGAAATACGTCGATATCAACAACAAGACCCAACGTAAATGCAGAAGCAAGAGCGGCAGAGAAGAAAGAGCTGGAGCAAGTGAAAGCGAAATTGCGGACAATGGAGAAGAAGGTTGCTGATAATCGTGAGAAGTTACAAAAGTTTGACGCTCTTCAGGCCGACAAGGATCGATATGAGACCATCATTCAGACCCTACAGAAGAAGCTCAAAGCAAACCAGCAGACCTTGTCAGAGCTCCGGACGTTGAAAGAGGAAGCCGAGCGGCAAGCGCAAGCTGCACCTGCCCCGAGTGGGGAGATTGAGTCTGAACTCGAGTTGGCTAATCTGAACCACGAGATGGCGGAGGAAAAGGCTGCCCTTGCCCAGGCCGAACTTGAAGAGCTCAGGGAAAGGCACGAGGAGGCGGTGCTCGAGCTGGACATCCTCCGGCAAGAGAATCGTGAACTCGGCCTTACCATGAGCCCGGAAGAGTTGTCGAGCGCAAATTGGCCCAGAAAGAACGAGAGATCGAGAGGTTGCGAAACGCCGTCGGACTTTTACGAGACCATTCTAAGGAGACGGAAGAAGAGCTGCAATCCCAATTGAACGAACTCCGCGAAACGCTTGATGAGACGGAAAAGACTGCTTCGTTGTACGAGGAGACCGCTGCGCAACTGAAGCAGGTCCAGTCAACAAATCAGCATCTCATGGAGCAACTGGAGGATGCCGAGACAAATGATGAAGTTGTCGTGGCTCTCGAGAGTCAACGTGAGCAAAGCGCTGCTACGATCGAAGAGCTCCGACAGCAAATTCAGGCGTTCGAAGAACACATCCAGGTGACCGATGAGCTCGAAAAATTTCACGTCGAGGAGGAACGACAGCTCCACTATGATCTCGACGACGCAGAAGCCCAACTCAGCGAAAAGCAGCGTCAAGTCGGTGAGCAGGAAAAGGTTATCGAGGAACTCGAGTTCACTCTCAGCAGATTCAAGGAGGTCGTCTCCGGGTTGCAGAGTGACATCGAACAGCTTCGGCACTCTCGTGACCTCAACGAGTCTGAAGCGCATGAAATGAGCGTAAAGTCGAGAGCGATGATGGATCTCAATCTACAGCTCCAAAACAGTGCCGCGAAGACGCAGCTCAAGACTATCGACTATGAAATGCGGGACATGCAGGCGGAGCAGGCAAAGAGCCATCTGGAAGTCGTGCAATTGTTTGTGCCAGAGACATTCGACCAGGATCGCAACTCGGTCCTTGCTATGCTGGCATTCAAGCGTATGAAGTCAAAAGCCACCTTGGTGAGAACATTGCTTGCGGAACGAATGCGGGATCGACCACACCTCGCACCGGATGATCCGTACTCGATATTTGAGGTCATTGAGAAGATGGACAGAATCAGCTGCTGCTGCGATCGATTCCTGCAATTCATCGATACGTGTTCGGTAGAGCAATTTCAGCAAATGAGCGGTGCCTTGTACGAGATCGAACCTGTCGAAAGGTCCTTGAATGTATGGGTCGAGGCTCTGCGTCGCGATGAGCTTGGTGTGGAAAGCCCAGAGATCATTCAGCGCATGATTGGCATTATGCTTGACATGGCTGACAAGCTGATCGTCAACTCAAATGAAAGCAAAGCTACTGAGCTCGTCGAGCAAGCCACGATGACGGACCGTTACGTCGATGTTGTCGCTCTTGAACTAACAGCGTTGGTCAAGTTCGTCCTTCAGCGACTTGGCGAGCCCAAAGAGGACGATGAAGAGGCGATAGCTTCCACAAACGTCTCGATGGCCTGGCTACCAAATCGCGTACGATCAAGTACCTTTGCGGCAAGATCACACAAGCGCTCACTGAGCTGCGAACTACATCGATGTGTTTAGGCGAAACATCTTGGGTCTTCTTCGAGGACACCATGCAGTCAGCTGAACAATTGTCTCAGCTAGTACGCACTATCGGACGCGCAGTAATCTCTGAATTCAGCCGAGCCGACCACGACGCAGTGCCAACGTATACGAGTGTCACAAATTTGATGCTCTCGGCAGCGCAGAACGCAACCAGCGACGCGACTCATGACTCCATCTATGCCCTCCTGACCACTCAGCTCACGTCTCTCGCGGCCAAAGTTGACGATCTCTCCAACAAAACAGCCGACCTCCCCTCTGCCGTTGAGTTCGAAGCCTCCCGAACATCGCCTTGGGCGGCACGTGCGAAGCAGCTGAAGCAACAGAAGCTCGTGAGCCAGGACACTGCCGAAGAGCTCGCGCGACTCAAGCAACGCAGCGACACCCAGCTGCGCGATCTGGCCGAGAAGAACAAAGAAGCCGAAGAGCTGAGGATACGAGTCGAGCTACTTGAGTCCAGACAGCGCGAGGCCAAGGCTAAGGATGGGGAAGTCGCCACTCTCCGGTCCGAGATGGAGCGCGTGATGACGGAGAAGGCTGCCCTAGAGCAACAGGTCGATTCGACGCGCATGGAATTGCAAACCGTCAAAGACCGACAGGCGAAAGAAAGAGAAGAGCTCGAGGCGCTCAAAGCTGCGTCACTACTTGCAGAAGGGGGCAACACCGCCGCCGGTGCTGCTACGCAACTTGCGAGCATGGACATGGAAGGTGGTGGAGGTGCCTGGCGCGTCGAAGCCGATATGCTTAAGACGGAGGTGCTCAGTTTACAAGCCGCGGTGCGCTATCTCAGGGCAGAGAATCACAGTCTGAGGGTGCCAGTCAGCCAAGTCGCGCTGGCGGCAGAGAACAATGCTTGGCTGGTGGGTCATCCCCGGGATGCAATCAAGGCGACAGCCGAAAGGCAACAGAGGAAGATGCCGACACAACAAGCTAAGGCGCAGCGCGATGCGAAGCATGTGCTGGAAGGCCTGATCGATCTCTCGGGTAACATGAGGGGCGTGCGACTGAAAGTGCGGAGTCCAGATCAAGGCGATGGTAGGCGTTATGGGAGCAATCGTAATAGCTGTCAGCTACTCGTCGCTCAACAGCGGGAAGTGCTGGAGAGGTGGATGGCGGATGTGGCAGACGTGAAACACCGGGCACGGCTGGAGCTGAGCGGTGCTGCTGTACGGCTGCGAGGAATATCAAGGCGGGAAGTGAAGACTGCATATGCGCTGCCGCCGCTGCCGGAAGGAAAGTCTGGTGCTGGCGTTGGGGACGAGCCATTGGGGAAGAAGGTCAGGATCGTTGGTGTCGACGGATAAGCGTCGAAGGGCCTCCTTGAGGCGGACTGTCCTACTATCACTGCTACTGCCCTGTGAGCGTTATTGTGGCATGTTCTACGGTGGGAATGTTTGTTTGCCCGACCTGTCAACCGGTCTAGAGACTTCGTTTTGAGAACCAAATGCAGAGCAAAGTCATTGCCATGGTTGCTGTCGAACACATACATTTGCAAAACACAGTGCCACCAAAGTGCAGGTGCCAGTGGCTAATCGCTATCTCGTGATAAACTTCCTTCATGTGCTTGCTATCGTGTTGCGTCTGCTCAGCGATCCAGGTCATTGTTGACATTCTGCAGGCACACGAGAATCTTACTCTTCGGCCATGCCGTGCTCCAAAAAGGCTCTCTCGTTCTTTTCCAGATCTGTTCGGATATCCGACAGCCTAAGCCAAGGACTTGGGAGAGCTGGTCCACTTCACGAAGCACTCTGTATGGACGGCGAGCGTATCCGTGCGGCACGAACTAAGCGTGAACTATCCGGCCTACACGGCAACGTCGTGTGCTAGGCTGCCAGTCCGATCAGCTCCAGATCAGCTGCCCGGTAAGGCAGCTCGATGTCATGTCGCTCGCATACTTCTGACCACAGCAGTAGCCCTGCATGCCCTTGCACTTTGGAGCAAATCAAAACCATCGCACCTGCCTAATGTTCTCCCTCCAAGGCGATAGCGCCACCTCGAAACCCGCCCACGCTCGCTCATTAGCCACATGGCACAGAGCTAGACACTCTACTGCAGAACGCTCAGCATCAAGTGCGCGTTCGAGGCCTTGGTCTCCCAAAGCTAGGTGACCCTACCGAGGCCTACCAGCAAATACTGGCTTGCGTAGCTAGCTTTGCCCTTGATGCAAATCTGTTAGAAATGCCATTCCTTCAGCTCCAAATTTCGCAGCACCCACATATCCCAAGCGTACCTAACCTAGAAAGGCGTATAATGCGTTCATAGATTGCATTTTTTCCTCCCCGAGGATTGGTTGAAGGCCCGGATTATGGATTCAATCCTTTTGGCAAGCCCTGAAATCTGACAAGATTGAGTTCGTGGCTAGTGCAGAGATCAGGGCGGGGTCTGGTCTTAGCGTCGAAGGAGTACTGCCAATGCTGTTACCGCGGACCAGCTGGTGAATTTCTCGCAGAGGAGCTGAGGTGGGAGTCGGAGGTGATTGGAACGGGTGGCGATGGGGGGTTGTACGTGGGAAGAAAGATATGAAAGGCAGGGTCACCCAGCACGTGGTCGTGCCTTTCCCCGACCTGAAGGTACCTTATCTTGCCAGGACAACCAGACCTTATCTTGTTCTTCTGTAGCTGCCCTTTGTCGACTTTCACGAGAGCTTCAACATGGCAGACCACGACCCAACCAACACCGACAAGAAATCCGAGCCGGGTCAACATGTTCGACCCATCGGCGAGGTTCCAATCTACAATGACCTCGAACGCACCGAGTCGCCACACATTTCCGTCGGCGATATCCTGAAGGGAACTGCCATCACTCCTCTCACCACTTTCGAGAAGAAGGCTGCTCTGATCAACGCCGAGTTCGATAAGTTCGGTCTCGGAAAGTACCAGATCTGCATCTGGTTTCTTTGCGGTTTCGGCTATTTCCTGGATCTCGCATGGGCACAGGGCGTTGGCTTGATTGCGACAGCAGTCTACCAGGAGATGAACGTCCCGGATGCACGAACTGCAGACATCTGGAGTTGCGCAAATGCTGGTTTGGCTCTCGGCGCTTTCAGTTGGGGAATGTGAGTAACTCATGGCGTTTGATCACCGTCGTTGCGGATCGGTAGATCAAAATTGCTACACGTACTCTGGCATCAGCCACTTTTGGCAGGGGACAAATGCTGACCTATTCTTCAGTCTCGTCGATATCATCGGCCGACGATGGGCTTTCAACCTGACATGCTTGATCACATCGGTCTTCGGTCTGCTTTTGGTGAGCCACTGAACACTCATGAGCCGAGCAGAACTGACTTACCTCACAGGCTGCCCCGAAGAACAACTATGGCGCGATCTGCGGTATCTACCTTCTGGCCTGTATTGGCCTTGGCGGCAACATTCCCATCGATGCCACCATCGCGCTTGAGTTCCTGCCGCAGAACCGTCGCAACCTGGTCACGCTGCTGTCATTGTGGCAGCCTGTCGGCGTCGTCGTAGCCAGCGGCATCGCTTATGGTACGGCCGCCAAGTGGCGTTGCAACCCAGAGCTGCCTGCTTGCTCGGCTGTCGGCTCTGGCGAAGCTTGCTGCACAGTCTCCAGCAACATGGGTTGGCGTTACGAGGTGATCGTCCTGGGACTGATGACCTTGACGGTCTTCTTCCTGCGCTTCTTCGTCTTCCGTTTCCACGAGTCGCCGAAGTTTCTGCTCAGCAAGGGCCGCGAGGCTGAAGCCATTGAAGTTTTGCACAAGATTGCAAAGTTCAACAAGGCACCTCCTCCGACGTTGACAGTCGAGCATTTCCAGGCTATCGATGAGATGGAATCCAACGCCAGTCGCATCGACCAGCCAGCGACTGCCAAGTCAGTGGTCAAGAACTTCTTCTACAGCTTCAAGCATATGAAGCGGCTCTTTACAAACAGGTTGCAAGCGCTCATCTTCTGCCTTCTGGCGATCGCTACATGGTAAGTAGCTGAAGGCTCCTTTTACGCTGAGCCACAACTGACTCAAGAACAGGGTGATTACTGGTCCTTCAACTTGGCAGGTGCATACTTGCCGATTGTCCTCCTCCGCCACAATGTCTCGTCAGGCACTGGAACCGTTGAAGATACGTACCGACAGTACGTATACATCTACCTGCCAGGAATCATCGGCGCAGTCCTTGGCTTGTTCTCCGTCCAGCTACCACTGGTCGGTCGCAAGTGGTCGCTGGTATTCTCTGCCGCTATGCAAGGTCTGTCCATGGCGTTGTACACTCAGGTCCGGACCACGGCTGGATACGTGGGCTTGAATGCTTTGGAGTACATTATGCAGACGGTAAGCCATTCTCCGAACACCATAACACGATCAGCAGTGTTCGTGCGACAGAAGCTGACTTGCCGGCCAGTACTTCAACGCCGTCCTTTACGCATCTGCGCCAGAGCTGTTCGATACAGCATATAGAGGCAGCGCCACGGGCATGTTGTCATGCCTGGGCAGAATTGCTGGCATTGTCGCACCTTTCGCTGGTGAGTACTCAAGGACTCACGGGAGCTTGGAATGAGCATCAGCTGACAATTATATAGGTGCGGAATATCTTGGCGACAAGAGCAGCGGCATTCTTTGGCTTGCTGCAGGAGGTATCTGGGTGTCGGCGTTCATCCTGGTGTTCCTGCCCGTCGAGATGCGAAACCGCCAGATGTTCTAAGCTCGAAGCCCGATGAACTCAAGCAACCAGCAACGTCACATATAGAAAGTTGTGGTCTCACCCCAGCTTTCGAACAGATGATCAGAATTGAAAGAAACATTTTTTTGAATCGACGTTTCTAAGCAGATGACCTGGCTCACGTGCATTCGTCCTGTTCTTTCAGCCACAGTATTGACATTTCATGACAGAGCTACGTTTCGTGAGCAGCCCTTCAGCTCTATCTTGGCGATGACCTGGCAAGATGTGTCTGGCTCACGAGTAGTAGATTCCCGATCCGCTCCGCTCACGACTCCATCTCTGCCATGACAAGCCATCAACAGAACACTTCTGAGAACCAACCCAGCGCAAAGCTTGAGCACATTCCGCATTATTGAGGTGCTCAACTTTTCCTTGACATCCCCTGTTCTCATCGCTCTTGATATCACTACATCACTCATACAGGTCCAAAAATTCCTCTCAACCAGGAAGATGAAGCTCAGCGCCCTCCTCGTCGGCGCTCTGGCCCTCGCGCCTTTAGCTTGCGCCTCGCCTGTATCTACGGACGGTGGCCTCAGCAAACGCTGTGCCCCAGAAGACACAGATGGAGGCTCCCACAGCAGCCACTGTCACCACCCTACGCCCACCGTGAACGAGAAGTCCAGCACGACTGTCCACTCTCACGACCATCATCATCACCACAACAACAACACTACCACGTCAACCACTAGGTTCTGGGGAAAACCCTGGACGCCGAAATGGTCACCCGTTGACGAAACCACAACGAGCGAGGTTGATAGCACCAGTGCCACGTCGTCGACCATCAGCTACGGGAAGCTGCAGACAACATCACCGGAAGAAGAAATGCTTCCATACGAACTCACACAAATGGCGCCGAGTACGACTCCCACACCGACTACCTCTACGGCTGACACTCAGTCAATTTACCCGCGGAGGTCGGAGTCGACGTCGTTCTACGTCACACCCGGAATGGGTTGATACAGTCCGACCTGTGGCCTTGGTTATACAACGCCCTGTACGTACACTATTACCTCCGCTGGAGCCTGCGGTGCTTTCAGCCACAGGAAGTACATGTCGGTGCCCCGTGTGTGGACTTCGACCTATACTCAGCCGGATTTCACGATCTTCACTCCCTCACCGGCAGGACCTACACACTTTATAACGACTTGGGATGAACTGGGACGCCCGCTCCCCACTTGAAGGTCACACGGCCTAGGTGCACTGGAGATTGTATTGGTGAGTCGTTGATGACTTGTTGGGACGACGAGCAGAAGGTCCTGCTATTGTACCAGCTGTCAGCTGCGTGCGGGATCCAGAAACGAGATGGAATCAGGGACATCGACACATTGCTTGCTGTTCAGAATTTGTGATCTGCTTGGAAGGTCGATACCGTAGTTCAGTAGGAAGGAGTGAACAATCCTTGAGGCACCCAAAAAGCGCAACGGCTGGAGGTTATTCCGCAGCGCTGGCTGTTAGGAAGGTTTGCTCAGCCGCGGCTTCCTCAACTCGTACCTGTTCACAAGCCTTCAGCTAGGAGCGCGACGCATACTTGACAGTGTGGAACCTTGAGGGATCATCACGTGAAGGTAGATCAGCTGACAACACTTTGAAGAGTACCTCGGAATGACATGTGCTCTTCATGTGGAAAAGACCTGCTGCAACTCTTGTCTGATTGAAAGACCTCCTAAGGTTGTAAAATGATGCTTCGCTATGCTATATGCCCGCCTGAGGAATGCTGTAGATTCCTGTAGCATTCAAACCATGTCATGAAGTCGTTACAAAACACATCGCGCTCTTGACCGATCAAGAGCTGACGACCACAGTCGAGGCCGTTGCTGCCACCGGCATATCGACCGTCACAGGGGCTATGGTGAGAGGCTCGTTGTCGATAGTGATTTCGGCAGCCTTCGTCTGCGGAATGGGCCTTTTTGACGGCAGCGTTTTTTGGCCCGCCCTTTCCGCAAGCACATCGTCCATTGTCAAGTCCCACCTGCTTTGGTCGAGACCCATACTTCGCAGGTAGAACATGGTATCACGCCACTCTTTCTCGACACGATTCTCGCTCCAGCCCAACGCCTGGCTCATGCGCTGTACCACGACAGGTAGGCAGCTCACGGCTTCCTCAACATCCAGAAATGACAGCCGTGTGCGGCGTGCCAGGAAGTCTGTGGCGGTTTCGGTGTACTCATTCTCGATGGCGTAGTCGACTTCACCGTGTACGAAGGGATACTTTGGCGTGAGCTTCTCGGCAGTGTTGTATTGCGAGGCGACGATCCAAGCTCGATCACCGTAGGACCTTGCAAGATGCATTGCAGTCTCAGGAGTGAGAGTATCTGGATAGGCACGCACCAGGTCGATGTGCAGGAAAGGATGGTACCCGTGCGCGCCGATGACAGGGAGTTCATGTGTGGCGCACGTACCGTCCAAGGTCTGAGGTTTGGTGTAGCCTACGCCGGCAATCTGGGGAATCTGTGCAGGAGTGAATGCGCGTGGGTTGAGTGAGAAGGCCTCTATGGCGGCGTCTACCGCGTCCTCGCTCATCTGTCGGTATGTAGTCCACTTGCCGCCGGCGCAGGTCAGGAGGCCCGAGGGCGAGACAGTGATGAGATGGTTGCGGACGAGGGATTCGGTGTTGGTCGAGTTTGGATCGCGCATGAGAGGCCTAATGCCTGACCATGCAGCCAGGACGTCAGATCGCTGCAAGTTGATTGATGGTGAGAGATGTTTCGAGACCTCCTTGAGGATGAATGAGATGTCTGATTCCTTGGCACTTGGAGTATCTGTGACTTTGCACGCAGTGTCGGTCGTGCCTGCCACAATGTTGCCCTCCCATGGTAGCAGGAACATCACGCGTCCGTCGGATGTCGAGGCGTCCAGCAGACCGATGTTGTTCTGAGGACCGAAATGCCGAGGCAGCACGACGTGCACGCCTTCAGCTGGCGAGACTAGTTCTTTTCGCTTGGGGTCATCCATATGCTCGATTGCGTCAACGAAAGGACCAGCTGCGTTTATAACGCCTCTGGCTCGGATGGTGAAATTCGAGGAAGACGCGGCGTCCTCGCCGGCAGTATCCGACAACAGGTCTCTGACTTTGGCGCCACAGATCCTGCCCGACTTGTCCTTTTCGAGACCTGTGACTTCCATGTGGTTGACTGTTGTAGCTCCATACAATGCAGCCGTCAACGCTAAGCTGACGTTCATGCGAGCATCGTTCTGTTGTCCGTCGTAATACACCAAGCTCCCACCAGATCATCTTTGAGCATTGGAAACGTTTCCAAGGCTCGTTTCCTGCTTAGGAAGTAAGAGCTCTCTAGGCCCTGGGATCCCGCCAAAAGATCGTAGGCTTTGGTACCGGCCCAGAAGTATGGCGCCTGCCACCACTTCTGGATCGGTAGAAGTATTGGGAGACTCGACGCAAGGTGAGGTGCGTTGTTTAAGAAGGACTTTCGTTCTCTCAGGGCCTCTTTCACCAAACTGTATTGTCCATAGTCCAAGTTCCAGACTGCCTTCTCGAGGTATCTCACTCCTCCGTGGACGAGCTTGGTGGACTTAGACGACGTGCCTGAGGCGAAGTCATCCCTTTCGACCAGGGCGACTTTGAGTCCTCGAGTGGCTGCATCAAGTGCAATTCCAGTCCCAGTAGCACCGCCTCCGATGATCAGAAGATCGTAGATGGTGTCGTTCTGTGTCGACGAGGGTGACAATGACGCATCTGTGCTGGACGATCTGCGCAGATCTGCTATCTGTTGTGTTCTTGATTTGACCTTGGGAAATGTGGGTGGTATTATGTCCCCGTTGGGCTTCCTTCTCAAGGCCGTCTGTTGTAGAGAGTTTTGTTTCTGGCTGTCCGTGGTTTTGATTGACAGTAAGAAAGCTGAGCCACCTGTGGCCGTGACCAGCGAGGTCCAGCCAAGCGATTTGAGGATCACCCTACGCGACATGTTTTGAGCACTAAGCGGCCGTCTCCTTCGTGCGACGTCTGTTGTTGACCAGGTATATGTACGGCAGAGGTAGGGTGGGGGCACGCCGCGATGGTACTTCGGTTAGAGGTTGCAGTGGTGAGTATAAGCGGGTATTTGAAGACTATCGCTGTCACGAAAGAGTGCGGAGCCGCAGCAGATCTATATATCCCAAAGGCCAACGAAGAGCGTGACCGACGGCTCTGAGATATATTCGGGCGACGATGGAGACACAAGAGATGGAGACTCACCCGCAAAACGACTTACAGGTAGGAGTTCAATAAACAGTGTAGAGTTGGGTAGCGCTCAGCTTGGGAGACCGAGGAGCGAAAGCCTCCACATGCGAAGGCGATGAGATCGAGCTCATAGCTGTCTCTCCATACTTTGGTCGTCTTTGGGCCGAGCGCATGCGCATGTGATGGGAAATTGTGTGCAAATGAAACGCAGCAATCACGAAAGTGCTGATGCGATGGCATGGGATTGTGGTTCAAAACCCCGAAACTACCGACGCTGCTTCTCGGTGAACGTAGACCGATCGTCGCCGAGCAGAATCCGAGAAGTGGATATCGCCGCACCGGCCACCCCGGGGTAAAAAATCAAAATTGAGCTACATGCGAACTCTGCTGTTCCGCACTGTCCGCAGTGGGTTCACCATCTCGGTCTCGTCGGCAACGATGCCAGCATAGGGGCGCCAGCGAATGGAAGCGTAATTGATTCCTGGAGGCAATGAGGCCCCAGATTCAACTCCTCACCCCAGCAGGAAGGGCACTGGAGTCTCCTGAAACCCTACCCTAAAGGTGCAAAAGCTGACGACGGCGGAGACTCGAAGAATGCAATTTGGTCAAGATCATATCTCGGCCATCCAAGCATTTGGTGGACTGGTACAAACAGTCAACTGCACCAAAGCTGCTTCAAGCAGAGGCATTTACAGAAAATTGAGCATTGCATGGCTTGAAATGAGTGCTATGTAGCGACTACTCTGCTTTCTGATCGCGTTGATGATGAGTGCTGTGCTCTGTGGCAGAATTTTATGCCGAATCCCAAACTCCATTGCTGCTGCGTGATCGAAGCTCATTCCAATGTCCTTGTCCCAAAAAGCCTGGTTCTCATGCAAAAGCGAGTAATTGCTCCTCTTGCTCCACCACCGTAGTTGGCGTCTGTCCGACAAGACCTTGCGTCTCTGTGTTCGATGTTTCCATTTGAGTGTCCGGTCCGCTCGTTCAGACGTACAGCTCGCTAGCAGTGTTCGACCAGGTCGACCGCGTGGGCTTGATGAAACGCTTGAGTCCCATCCACGGAGTGTTGATAGGTGAGTCTCCTGTGAATAGGAAGACATCATACAACCATCCACCGAACATGCAGCCAAAGAAGGGTGCAACCATTGGAATCTGCAGCTATCATTAGTGTGGGCGCCAAAGGATCATACTCAAGACACATACCCAGAAGTAGTAGCCGCCAGCACTCCAGACCTCATGACCATATCCGATCATGTATGACACAAGACGAGGGCCAAAGTCACGGGCCAGGTTGATAGCATAGCCGGTTTCCCAACCAAACTAGAGTACATGTTAGCTTGATCCACCACTCTAGAACAGAGACTTACGCAAGCGCCAATACCAAAGATGATGAAGAACAATCCAAGGGGTGTAAGGTTTCCTGCACCGATGTTTCCGTCGTCCTTGAGTGCGTAAATGCAGAACATCAAAATAGTTGAGGCGATGAACTCGGAGAAGAACATGCCAGTTCTGGTCATAAATTCGGCTGGGTAGGTGCAGAAGATGCCGGCTGTGGAGGTCGCCCCGCCAACGGTCCTGATGTCAGGACCGCCCTCGAATTGATCAATGGCGGATTTGTAGTTGCCATACACCACCGCCGAGGCAGCCATGCTCCCAGAATCTGAGCAATCATGTAGATGGGGAATTTTCTCCATGGGAACTTTCGGAAGACACAGTTGGCGAAAGTGACTGCTGGGTTGATGTGGGCGCCGGAGATGCCAGAAGCATAGACACCTAGCATGACACCAATACTAGAGCTTGTGTCAGCGAATGCCACCAGAAGATGGAGGTTACACTTACCCCCAGCCCCACGAAATTGATTGGTAGTCACCCTTCTTGCCATCGGACAGGACAACTTGAGCAACCACACCGTCACCGAACAGGATCAGGATGAAGACACCGAAGAACTCTGAAAAGGGCTCTCGCAGCGTGCGTCTTGTCCGAGCCCACCACAAGTCCGGCCGCGAAGGCACGGCATCCTCCTGTGGTATTTTGTGGTCAATGATAGGACCGTGTTCTGCATGTGGTGGCGGTTGCACCATTGCTGGTGGAGCAGGGGTAAAATCCTTGGATGAGGAGTCAGACATCTCGCCGGCTTTCTCAGAGTGATGAGTTGAGGCGTATTGAGGTTCGATGCCCATCTTAAGTTGGAAAAATCCTTATTGGCAAACTGCTCGAAGCGTTGCCAGAGAAGGAATAATCAATAATCGTGGGGAAGTATGTCGACGCGGGGAGAGTGATGACTGGGGAACGAGATATGTTATATAGAGCTATAGACGAAGGCCTCAAAGAGGAGGCACTCCTTGTCAGCACCACCTCGGGGTTGCTCACCGAAGAACCTGTCGTGAAAGAAGACTTGTATGACTCCACACGTCAAGAACGTTTGACAGAACCAGCCAATGGAGGTTTAGGCTATGCGGCCTTTGAGGGCCTCTAATGTTCTCGGCCACTAAGACGGAAAGCATCTTAAAGGCAGATCCTTGACAATGGCGCAAGTGCCTTGCAGTCCGACCAGCCGCATCTGCTCCGAAGGAGTCTAGAGACGCACGCTATAGTCGATCTGAACACGTTAACAAGCCATGAGAGACACTTTCGGTCGACGGGGACCAGGTCGAATCACCAGGATAATTGCGAGACCGAAATCAGATTGCGGAGGTGGGCGGAAGCACATACGAATTCTGAATCACATGATTTACAACTCTTGTGTCCAAGAATCCATTCCACACAGACTGTGAATGCGCCATCAGGCCGCGTAGTGCCTTATGACCAGACGTTGGAAGTGCTGACAAGCGGAAGGTGTCTTGCAGGCTTATGGGTCAAGCTGACTGAGGGGCTTGGATTTACGCAATGGATTCCAACAGAAAGAGTTCGACGCAGCTTCCACAACTGCTAGGGCGAAGAGACAGCTTCGCAGTGCTGAATGCCAGGGCGGCGAGGGCAGGTTACATCGCATAAAATGAGCTGTGAAGATTGAGTAATCGTAGCCGTCGCGTGGCAATTCGAGGGGAAGGCACGAGGTCAGTTTGGGGCAAGACTGGGGGAGTAGCTCGGGGGCTTCTAAACACCGACATTCAGGCTTTCCAGAGCCTGGAGAATTGAATGCTGCTGAATAGAGTTCTTCAGCATGCGCTACGGCCAAGATTCTTGGTCTCACGTTCGCATGTGGCCAGATGGAGCTCCCCATGGAGGGTATCCGACCACACGGTACTTCGACCGACGACATGGCAAACTCCATACATGTTCCCCATGACCTGCAGCGTCTTCGTCGCGGTCAAACGTTCGGCGCGCCATGTGGCTGGGACCTTCGTACATGGACTACCGAGTTGCCGAACCTCGCGAACGCTCCTCGGCACCCCCCACCAACGGTGGTCCTTAGCTTCAGATTGACTCCATCTTATACAGGTCGATTTAACGAAGTAGTCACTTGTCAGTCTACACGTGGAATTTAGTGGATTGCGGTTCGGTGTTTAAAAGCTGCGGTACCGAGTATCTCTGATGATGGCTCGCACATCAACGCCGAGGTAGGTGACGCTTAGCGAGTTAGCTGGATGCACTATGAGGCCAGGCCAGGTCGAGGTCGCGTGGTCACTGGGGACTCCACGTTGCTCCAGACAATTGAGCCGGGGAACTGAGTGAACGTGTCTGAATACAAAATGGACGCGTCGCCGCTCAAGGCCGAGGAATCATACTCAAGGCTCATTGCATCTTGTAACGTTCCGTTATTCTTGACACACGTGTTTCGAGTCCAGCCATGGGATCTGTAGCAGAAAGCTTCGTCGGCAGCATAGACCAGGGCACCACGTCCTCCAGGTTTCTCATTTTTGTATGGCAGCACCACTTACCGAGTGCTTCTTTGCTGACAATGGCAGAACAAACGAGGCGATCCAGTAGCATCTCATCAGATCGAGTTCAAGCAGATATATCCGCAGCCAGGATGGCATGAACATGATCCTTTGGAGATTGTATCGTCTGTGGAACAGTGCATCGATGGCGCGGTTGCGGCCTTCGAGCAGCAGGGCCACGCAGTCAACAGCATCAGATCAGTGGGTATCACGAACCAGCGAGAGACCACTGTTGTCTGGGACAAGGTCACCGGCCAGCCACTATACAATGCCATCGTGTGGACGGATACAAGGACACAGCTCATGGTTAGGAAGCTGAAGGAGAGACTTGGAGCCGATAAGTTGCAGGACCTGTGCGGTCTACCACTGTGTAAGTCGCGTCGTGCGCAGATTTGTCTCGGATACAATACCACGTCCAGTCCTGTACTACTTTCCTCAGCAAGGCTAACAGAGTCTGCAGCAACGTACCCCTCCGTAGGAAAGCTACTGTGGTTTCTCGAGAACGTACCTGCCGCTAAAGAATCATACGAGAAGGGCAATCTCTGCTTCGGCACCATCGACACCTGGCTTGTCTATCGGCTCAACGGAGGCGCACAGAAGAACGTCTTCGTGACCGACCCTAGCAACGCGTCTCGTACGATGTTCATGAACATTCACAACCTCAAGTACGACCCGTCTTTGATCGACTTCTTCAGGCTTGACTCAACGAAGGTAAACCTTCCTGAGATTATACCTTCCTCACACAAAACCAAGTATGGCTCGTTGGCATCTACGTTACTTGCTGGCGTGCCCATAACTGGCTGCTTGGGAGATCAATCTGCTGCCCTTGTTGGACAGAAGGGATTTACACCAGGGCTTGCGAAGAGCACGTACGGCACCGGCAGTTTCCTGCTTTACAATGTCGGCGAAAAGCCCGTCATCTCGACTCATGGTCTTCTGACCACCGTCGCCTTCGACTTTGGCGATTCGAAGCCCATGTATGCACTCGAGGGGTCCATTGCAGTGGCCGGGTCGTCCGTAAAGTTCATGGTCGATAACTTCGGATTCGCTGAGTCGTCTTCTAAAATCTCTGCTCTGGCCGAGACAGTAGAGGACAACGGTGGTGTTGTGTTCGTCACAGGCTTCAGCGGCCTCTTTGCTCCATACTGGATTGACGATGCAAGAGGCACTATCTTCGGAATTACAGCCTACACCAACCGAGGTCACATTGCTCGTGCGACCCTAGAGGCGACGTGCTTCCAGACAAAGGCCATCTTGGATGCGATGGAAAAGGACAGTAAGAAGGCTCTCACAGAGCTTGCTGTGGATGGCGGCATGAGCAATTCGGATCTCACGATGCAGGCAAGTTGCGAGCCCTTTACCATGCTAAGCAATGCTAACCTGACTGCAGATCCAATCGGACCTCATCGGCATTCCCGTCAAACGTCCCGCGATGCGCGAAACCACCGCCCTAGGTGCAGCTATCGCTGCTGGCCTGGCTGTGGGCGTTTGGAAGAGCATCGATGAGCTTTCGGAAGTCAACACACACGGCAGCACACAATTTAGACCCGCCATTCCGGCAGAGACTGCGAACAAGCGGTTTGCAAGGTGGACCAAGGCTGTTGAAATGAGCAGGGGTTGGTTGGGCGATTGAACCATGTTTCCTGACTGGAGGCAAGGCCGAGCCACGATCATGCTCATCGATTGAAAGGCAGGCGTCACTGGTTCGTACTTCGAAGCGTTTTTAGGTAGTTCACAGGTTGCGCTGAGCGTTAAATTCAATGGAAAGTGCGGTCAAGCAAATCGTGCCTCCCCATACCTTCGCCGTCTGCTCGCACACCAAACAAGCTTTGAATTTTCCTATGTATCAAATGTCCCTTTCCACCCTGGCGCCCTTGGGTGTGAGGATCAAATCTGTCACCAAGTTTTGGCTGTAGATTCCTTTTGTCCTCGAGTGCCAGGGTTGGAAGCCGATCCTCATCCCCATTGTGACCATCGAAAGTATTGAGCTGTACGCAAAGTCGAATCTGCCGATGCATTGGCCAGCTCACAAAGCAATCGGGCTTTCGCATTTTCTCTTCATACTACGCATTTGCTAGCAGCAGGTGACTGTCGGTAACGGACCTAGGCAGCTTGATGTGGGATTTTGACTTTTTCCCTCGTTGGGGTTGGCTCGGTCTCTGCACCCGAGTACCCGAGGTTGCCACGCTTACTGTTCGCGAAATGGACCTCCTCTTTGCTCGCCAGACTGTCAGCATGAACCACGTACCGCAATGCAGTTACGGAGTTCGAAACCTGGGGCAACAGATCATTCCATCCCCACAGAGCTCTGATTGCGGGTTAACATTTTCTCCTTCCGGAGTACGCTGGGCCAGCTATCTGTTGCAACGTTGATATCGGCAATGGCGGAGCAAAGGCAAGATTCTACAGCCATCGCCAACATGTCGGCATCGGACAGCGAGGCTGAGAATACCGACGACTCTCAGGGCTCGCGGAATCCCAAGAAGCGCAAGAGGAACCAGAAAATCTCGTAGGTTTGCCACCACGTGCTCGCTGCAGCTAATGACCCTGCAGATGTGAATTGTGCAAGGCTCGTAAGGTACGTGCTGTCCTCTGTTACAATACCTCGTGGCCCGACTGTTGAAATCCAGTGGCTCGCCTGTTGAGCTTTCTAACTCTTCATACTTACATTTTGTAGGTAAAATGCGACAGAGCAGAGCCGTCATGTGGCTGGTGTGCCAAGAACAGTCGCGTCTGCGTCTATCAGGAGAGAAAGAAACCCGGAATGCGCATTGCGTACGTTCATGAGCTCGAAGACAAAGTCAATCGCCTCGAGGCTGTATTGCATTCGCTTGGCCGGCGAGTTGAAGACCACATCCAGGAACACGAAGTCACGGTGAAAAAGCCGCCAGCTCCTTTTTCGACCCAGACAGGCTACACGCCGCATTCAGATGTTTCCCGCGAAGCTATATCGCAATCTACGGAGAGTCCTACCGCTGATTCTTCCTGGCAGTATGTCTCTAATCAGAGGGACCAGCATCGGCATCTGCCTGAGCCGATGTCAGTACGCTCAGTAATCGCTGATGGCTCGGAGTATCGCAATGGTCCTCGTCCGCGTTCCTACACTTCGTCCTCCTTAACTGCCAACAGATCTTTCTCCGTCGGTGAACAGGAATTGCCGCCATACGATCTGGTCTACAATCTGGTCGATCTATTCTTCAAACACATCAACCCGTGGTCCCCAATCCTGGATCGTAAGACTACTTTCAACGTGCTCTTTGGAGGATCTCGTTTGACAGAAGATGACCGAGTCCTTCTGAACGCTATAGTCGCAACAACGCTCCGCTTCTCGGCCGATGCTCGACTCACAGCAACATCGCGGAAGCAATACCATGACACAGCGAAAACCAAAGTACTTTTCCACTGCCTCGAGAACCCCTGCGTTAGCAGTATGCAAGCGCTAGCCATCCTCGCCATCGACACGATTGGCACATCGTCCTCATTGCAAGGAATGAATTTGCTGGCCTTTGTTTCCCGATCGATAGTGCAGCTCGGTCTCGGCAACGAATTGACTATGTACCTGGGTCAGCCTACCTACCAGACCGTGTCAAGCCATCACCTGGCATATCCACCACAGCCATCGTCGTGGATAGAAGAGGAAGGAAGACGGCGTCTGGTATGGATGTTATACATTCTGGACCGCTACACTACGCTCTCTACATCGTCAACCTTTACATTCCCGGATAATGATCTCCATTTGCGTCTTCCCTGTACTTACGATCTATTCTCACGCAACACATCCGTTTCAACTCGGTGGCCGCGGCCTCAGCTAAACTCTTCTGCGCAATACCCCATGCCTGACTCTATGAACATATCACCCGCGAACCTCGGCTCCTTCTCCTACCACTGCGAGGTTCTGACGATTCTCTCACGCATCCACGAATTCTTGTCTCGACCCGTCCCGCTTCATTCTGGGTCAGCAATGAACAATTGGCGTGCGACTTACCAACACATGGATGGCAGCCTTACCGAATGGCTGCACTCCTTGCCTGGAGAGTATGGCAAGATTTCACAGCTCTGTCACAGCGATCCTGGAAGCAAGATCTCGAACTGGATCATGCTACACGCCGCGTTCGTGCTTGCGGTTCTTCGTCTGCATAGCGTAGCAGCATATCCCGCGTCGACCTCGATGCATTTTCAGCCTTCGTTTAACGCTATGCAGCGCTGTCTTGGTGCTGTGGAATCGCTGCGGGAGATTGCTCAGGACACGATCAACAATTCCATGCTCGACCTCCTGGGCCCGCCTTTTGCCTTCAGTCTCTGGACGAGTGCACGCTTGCTCATCGTGGACGCTGCGACTAGGGACGGTGATGTCGACCCGAAGATTCGATTCTTCATATCTACACTCGAAGCCATGGGCCAGTACTGGCAGATCGCCCTGACCTACGCCAGGACGCTAGACCGCCTGGTACGAGAAGGCAGTGATGCCATGTCCATGGGCAATAACGTCCACTCCGTGTCAACTGTGACACCCTCAACCACAATGGCCACCATGACTCCATCGCCCAGTATCTCCACAGCCGCAAGCACTGGCTATAGCTTTCCCTTGAATAGAGACCCTCCGAGCACAAATCACCATCAACATCAACACACTTCGCATCCTTCCACCACTCCTTACACGAGCTCTGGCCTACACCCAAGTAGTCAACAGCCACGCTCATTCCGCGCAATGCGCAAGCGCAGCTACGAAATAGGTCGTTCTCTACACAGTCGACGTAGCGAGACTGGTGTTGGCAGTGGCCACTGGTGGACCGAGCCCAACTCCGCAACAACCACTGGCAGCCAGGTCATCATGCCGCAAGATGGCGAGGTCGAGTATCTCGACGTGTTCACTTTCTTTGACTACCCGAAAGTCCTTCCTCCTGAAGACGGTCCGATCTCCGGTCCGACCAGTGGCGAGGGCAGTCGAGAGGGAACTCGGACGCCTGGTGCAGGAGTACTTCATGTTGGACTGGCGCCTACAGGACAAAGCATGGCACAATCGATGACTAGCAGCAGTCACAGCGGGACATTTCCATCATCAGCCATTGGTGGTGCCGGCATATCCGTCACAGCGGGATCGAGTCGCGTCCAAAGTCCAGTGTTCGCGATGCCAGTGCGCGAGAGCGACTGGCTGGGGTTTCAACCGCCTCATGAATAAGTCGACGGGCAAAAGATTCGCTACTGTCGCTATAAGGCGCGGTCTGAAAGCTACTCGTAACATGACCATTTTTTCCACCTTCGCAGTGCAACCGCCTCGCGTCGCAGTCTCGCTTCCGCTTGCAATCAATCCGATAATCCCTTCACAGCAGAGTCTCTCGGCTGACAATGGATCCGCCAATCTTTTACAGAATCCGATGAGCAAATATAGAACCATCCCGGCGATCCGCACCGTCAGTTGTCCGACACTTCGCACCACGAGGTCTTCCTCAATTCCACGCGTTATTCGCAACATCGCCAGCCACTAGCATCCCATTGCCCCTTCTGTCCATCCCTCTCCCGCCCCAATCCATCTCCATCGCGCCATAGCCCGCAAGAATTCCCCTCTGCGCCAGCCTTGATCCGTCGATACCCTCTCTACGTTGACGTGCGCTCTCTTCATTCAGACTTCTAATCAACTGCTTCTGCTTCCTCACTCTCTCCTTCCGCTCCTGTTCCCTCTTCATCAAGATCCTTTCCTGGTCCGTGACGCCTCGTCGTTGCGGCCATGCAGCACCGTTCTTCGTGACACCACGCTTCGACTTACCGCCAGCGTCATGTTGGCTCTCATCATCGTCTACATCATCATCTCCAAACCGCTCCTCACTACTGGCGCTGCCATCACCAAACGTTCCTCCTGGCCCAAATCTTGCCGCCATCTCGTCTCCGTCCGCATCCACTCCTATGTATCCCAAATCGCGAGGATCTACGCTATCATCGATACCCTGTGAGCCGTCACTGCCATTGCGAGCCATGACCATGTTCAGACCACCACGAAGATAGCCCATTGCCTCGATGGCGAACCCTGGGCATTTGCCGTTGGCATCGCAGGGGACTTCTAGTGGGCAGCAGATTCCGGCGCTATTGCAGCATTGCCGGCAACCCGCTATTGCGAACTCGTCGCATTGCGTTTCGTTGGTATGGGTGCTGTTGGATAGCGTACCGTTGGTCAGAGTACTGTTGGGGAAGAGATAGGGCGCGCTCAGCGAGGTCTTGTTGCTGCCGTGCGTGGAATTGTCGCCCACAGTGCCGTTCTGCAGATCAGCATCAATCATGTAGTTTGGTCCCGCGGATGTCGCAGGGCTCGAGAGGTTAGCGGCAAGTTGGTCCATGACGCTAGATCGCCCATCCTCTGGGCTCCCGGGCCGCAATAAGACACCACCTCAATCACTGTCACAGTGGGTTCAGCCACGGTGTAGCCATCGGTTACGGTGAATGTGCCACTCCCGATCTGTACGGTATAGACCATTAGTAAATGAGCTCATACAGCAGTTCCAGGATCGCGCGGGAAGACAACTTACCAAGGTGCCGCACCCTTTGACACTGCCTGTCCCACTAATTTCACCGTTCGTCACGAATGAGATGTCTGTCCGTAAAACGCCGTTGATCGATGGCCATACTGTTCCGGTCCCGTTGAGGGTCGCCGTGCCGTTGCCTTGCCCACCTGTTCGAAGAGTCAGCGTGCGTCCAGATGACTTTGCACTGTCTCATTGAACGCCATACTCACATCCCGTGAAAGTAGCAGTCCCGACAAAGGTCCCAGTACCGGTCATGTACCCGCAGCCGATGAGGAGGTCAGCGCTTCCTATGGCAGTAGAGCATCAGTATCTGGCTTGTTGATTTCGCACTGGAAAGAGAGCGACCTACCACTCGCGGTGCCGGAGCTGGTAAACGGAAAGGGAACCATGTGGGGATACACGGTGCCAGAGCCGACTGTGCATGATGTTAGCCTGTCCTTCCACGAAAGCCGTGCTTCATTGACCTACCGACAGTACCACTTCCGCTCGTCACTGTTCCACATCCCGTGAGTACACCTCGCGAAGTTGGAATGCCCGACGAGCTAGACGTCACACTTCCTAGTAGACTTCCGCTGCTGAGAAGCGTCGAAGATGGTGTGATCACAGTCAGCACTGAGCTGGCCGACGTAGAGAAGGAACTGGAACCGGATGCCGAGGACGAAGTCAAAGACGCAGACAATGTGATTGTTGTGCTCGAGATGACAATGATGCTGTATGTCGAGGTAGTGACCAAGGAGTTCGACGTCGAAGGGAGAGACGACCGCGTTGATGCTGACGACAAGGAGCTCCTTTGCGAGGTTGACGAGCTGGTTCCTGCTAGAGTGGCGTTACCAGCAGCAGAGGCAGATGAGGTCCGACTGAGTGACGATGTCGGAGTTAGAGTCGAGCTGGACGCGGTGAACGTCGACACAGTGAAGTTGTTCGTAAAGGTCGTAGTCGTGGCGAAGACACCAGTACTGAAGGTGGGACTGTAGGTGGTTGTTGCATTTGGAGGGCATGTGCTTACGCAGCAGGGAAGAGTGACGGGTATATCATTCGATAGAACGCCAGTGTATGTCGATGGGAGGCAGTAGATGACTGAATCTTGAGGTCCGAAGACACCCTGTAAAGCCTTGGTCACTTTCTGCGTACACGCGCGCTGGAGTCGTGCTTACCGTCGAAGTAAATGCTGTGGGACTGTTGGTGCACCTGCTCGCTGCATCGCAGTCTTTGCATGTTGGGAAGATTGGAGGGTCTTCTGCAAACACACCGCGCTTGAAGACTCCCTTTCCTATCTTGAGGCCCTTCTGCTTGTCGGTGTAGTAGATGCTATAGAAGATCTCGTGATGGCCCTCGGGTGCTTCGGTAATTGATGCAAGCGCCGTTTCCAGGGACGTTGGATTCCATGCTATGGCCTGGGTAGGTTCAAGCAGCTCGCTGAGAGGCGCGTATGAGCCAGCTCCATCGTGCAGGCCGTAGTGAGTCAGCGAGCCAGCATCATAGTATGCTTGCGACCAGGCACAGAACAGCAGCAAGAGTAGCCAGTCCATCATTGCGAGCAAGACCGCATACCCGTCGCATTCTGCTAGGAAGACCTCATCTATCGTGAAGACGAAGTCCGGTAATCTTGCTGACGCGTCTGATCTTGGGTTCGCGTACACAGAGAGAAGCACGGATCGCATAATAGTCTGAGTAGGGAGGAGCTCCCGCACGTACCAGTTCTTGGACATTCCTCTAAACAACTTGCAGAATGTCTCCACGGCGGTCTGTTGGACTACAGGAGACGCGCATCCTTCACCACTCTTACTGTTTACCAGCGATCTCCATAAGTATAGCCGCCTGGAGATATGTCCCTTTGTTGGCTTGCTGGGGCACAATTGGCGTATCGTCCCAGCTTATCATGTTCTCTCCACCCTTGGTAGCCAAACCCCACAGCCAGATATCGTTGCAATTTGTGAACTGGTTCATACTCTGCTGGCAGAGTTCTAGAGGGACCGCACTGGTGCCCAAGCAGTCAGAACTCCAGTCGTTGAAGAACATGTAGCCGCCGCTGCCGTAGTTGTAGATGTTCGATGAGTTGACGAATCGCATTCCCCACGTCCTGGCGCAGTTGTCTTGGGTACAACTGGTAAAGACTGGATCGTGATACTGAGCGTTTGTGGTATAAGGCAGTGGCGCCTTCGGATTGCCCTGGTAGTAAGCCGTCTCATGCTGATTGACGCCCATCCAAGTATTCCTGTTGTTCACAAACTGATAGCTGTACATGACCGAGTGTTCGGATGCCGTACCCCAGAGCCAATTCGGCCCATCACCCTCGATGAGGAAGCCACTGTATGTCTGTTAGTCGCGTCATTGAATAAGGTTACCTGCCTACCGTCCGTTGAAAACATATATCTGATCTCTAGGATTGTTGACGCCAGCGATCAGGTCCAACTGGTGATCGGACACCCAGCCCCACACGTTCTCCATAAAGATATTCGCTTGTGGCGTGACGTGTAGCAAGAGGAATGATCCTGCACATTTGGTATACTTCTCGTCGGTGACCGGCACGCCTGGCGTCTTGCGGCATAGCGGATTTACGATGTCCGTGCCGAGGGTACCGCCAATTCGATAGTGAGCATCCCACATGCCAGCACCACCTGGAGTCGCTTGCTTGATGTTCCATTCGACTAGTATAGCTCCTGGACACGGGCCTTGCGTTTCGAACACGATGTCAGAGATCTCGACAGATCCTATGTCTCCAGGATTGCCTAGTTCACCGATGGGATTAGCCTGGACCAAGGAATCATGATATCCAGGGAAATGACCATGAAACGAGGTTCTGGATAGATAGGGCAAAATGGGAAGACACCCTGCCCGAAAGAACAAGAGGAGATGTGTGGAGAGAGCATCACAAGTCCATCTGGCCCAGGTGTCACATCAAAGATGTTACCTTGGTCCCAATAGTTCGGGCTTGCGGGAGAGAAAAGAACGTACCTATTCTCCACATGGGCTGCGGGTTTGACTGATCTCCAAAGAATGGCCCTTGAGACATAATGATCGCCCACAGCTCGCCAACGATCTTCGTGTCCTTCGAAATCTGTATTGTCTTTCGCGCGATATATGCACCCTTGTCGAAATAGGCGATTTTGCCTTGTGCCGCAGCTTTATCGAAGAATGCTTGCATCGCATCACTATCGTCTGCAAGAGTTAGTCGTCGACGGATGTGCCTGGAATTCCTGACTGACCTGCCACACCGTCACCAACCAAACCTTCGGCTTTCGCGCTGAGAAAATCGTTCGCAGTCTTGTCTTCGTATTGTGGTCGGGGCCTTCCTACCCATCTACCAACAGAATCTGTAAGTCCGGCAGGCCTGGCGATCGGAGCGAGCAGCCTCTGTACCGTGACTTCTTCGGCGCTGCGGCGGTAGTTTGTATTGTTTTGCACAGTACACGATGTTGTATTGAAAAACGTCTGGTTCTGTGCCTGCCCCGCAATGGTCCACACGTTACCTTGCACCCACAATGGGATGTTTTGACGGCCGGGAAGAATGACATTGCCGTTGACTGTGTCGGTGCTGTCTGCCATGGCGATCGAAGAACCCGTCATATCGACACGATCGAGCGTCAGCGATCCTGCAATTGGGGGATTACTTCTACCAGCCTTGTATTTCGACAGAACTCCATACGTGGCTGAGATTGTACTGTCGACTATTAATGTGACGTGCGTGGTTCCACCGAACGAGCCTCCATTCGTGAAATCGAACCCGATCTGGACATTGGTGATGTTCATTCTTGCAAAGAGCCAGGTCCAGCCAAAGATCATCTTCACACCCGTCCAAGCGCCGTCGATACTGATATCCCGCACCGTGAATTGTTGGCTACCCAGACTCATGGCTGAGTTGCCTCCGTGAATGATAACGTTCGAGAACCAGCCTCCGGAACCATTTTCCATGTTGATACCCACTTGCGTGTTAGCGGTATTCTGAGTTCCATCGGTATTCTTTCCAGGCTTCAAGAATATTTCGATGTTCTGCATGCTGGTGGCTTGTGCTACTTGCCAATGAATCGCAACCCCGTCGTTCGGACCGTTCCTCAAATCGAACTTGAAGTTGCGGATCTGTCGATAAAAGTTGTTCTGATTGTCCCACCACGTCAATCCCGCTCCTCCAAAGCCCGGGATGTACATGTTGGCATCAAACATTGCAACCCCGAGTACCGTGTCGTTGGCGGGAGCGGAAGGAGTATTGGTAGCTCTGGCGTAGGTATATAGTCTATCCATAATGATGGTCGGAGGGTTGATAGCATCTCCTTCGATGGGTTAGCAGAAGGTAGGGCACACGTCTCTGGTACACATACCAATCATTTGTGTCATATACCACATTACAATGGGTCGATTGATCAAATAGTTCCCCGGTGGGAAGTACACAAGCGCTGGCTGAATTGTCGAGGAACTGCAGTCCTGGCCACCATTGTCTCCGGGAGGGTTTGTCCTGGCTGTGCCGCCACCGCAGCGCGTAGAGTTCCCATGGGGCTTCACGCCCACAGTTCCGGGGGCGGCGACTGCGTTGTTGATAGCAGTGGTATCATCCGTGACCCCGTCCCCTGTCAGACATTAGTTTAGACGCTGACTCGCACGGCCTGCCAGACTTGCCAACTGCGCCATAGTCTTTCACGTTTCGAAACACCGGGTAGCCGTCGTCTGGTCGAAAAGCGACTTTACCACGCCTTTGGATATCCTGCATCCAGTAGTTTTGTCCTTCGACCCTGCTGCAGCACTCGAGCACGAGAACGCACAAAACCGACAGCCACGTCGACCACTTCATCTTGACAGATCACCTTGCCAAACGAATGGATGGGTCAATCCAGAATTGTTCAACTGTTGCAGCTTGATGAAGGTCATGGAGCGCGTAGACTGGACCGCCATTTGCGGTGGTCCGAGTTGCACGGATGAGGAATGCAAATCTGCAGAGAAATGTCGCGATCATCCGTGCGTTCATACATGACCAGCCTCTTGCCTCGAGGATTGTAGAAGCTCTTGCGCAAGCACGACAAGTTGTTACAGTACCGCCGCCACCATGAGACTCGCAAACGCCGTTCTCTCGATGATACTTTGCATCACCATGACCCTGGCGCAGGAACAGAACGTTTTTGCGCAGGATCCACCAAGTCAAGATGAGCAGCCTCAACAGCACAATGATGAGTGGCCTCAAGAGCTCAGTGAGGATGTGGGCACCTCGGTAAGTCTCCATCGCAGAAGAAAACCATTAGTGTTGCGCAGAGATATGTCGCTTCGCTGCCAGAGATGACCCATCCTGTCCACTACCATCTCGTTGTTGATTGACATGTATCGTCAAGACCTGCTGACCACTGGGCGTACAGTATGTTTCACGGATTGCAACTCCTGGATGAACTTACTAACCCATCAAAGGCTCATCTGTCCGGTTGGACAGTGGTGCGCCAAAAGCAAAGCTTGCTGCCTCCTAGATTGCGTCGACGACGTCTGTCCTGAGCCTTGTCCGTACGGATATCGCGGGGTGGGGACCGGACAGTGCATCATGAAGCGCCGCATCATGGGCGGCGAGGAGGAGATCCAGGTGTAGAAGCGGCTTTTGTCGGCGCTGAGCGCAGCAGGACCTCAACACTCATGTCACCTTACGGCACATGTCATCGTCAACATGGATTGCGTCGCTGCGATGATGCAGAGTCTCGGTCCGGACATGAAGGTCCGCTCGCGGAACAACATTGAAGTCAGTGAAGGAAAGAGAGGTGGCCTTACACACGTGTGTTTTGGCTTTTCGGCGGGCGGCATTTTCTTGGCGCGTCACCTGTATCAATCATCTCATCGTATTTCGTGTTGTTACAGGCACCGCGTTTTAATATTAGGAAGTCCTATACGAGTTCGACTTTCTGCCTCCCAGGTTGAATGTTCAGTTCGCAGTGCAGCGCCTCTGCGCGACTTTTTGGTCGACGAACCTGACGTCGTTACCAAGCTCGACTGCTCCAGAAACGCTGCGGCCGTCATGTTGGCGTTGTCTGCGGCAAGTGTCTGATGCCTCTCATCTTCTTCCGTCTAGGCTGAGGACCATGTACCACTGAGCCAGAACTCAGCAGACAGCTAATGGGCACTAGTATCTACCATGATGGCAAATCTCAAACTGACTGACCCCGAACGCCGCTGATAAGGCCAACAGCTGTTGTAGTAGCTCGAAGACTGACATAGAGTTTGCGGCTGGAATGTTCATGAGACTTTAGCTGGCAACGGAGCACACCTACGCCTCGCGCTACCTGGCAACCACTACGAAATGCTACATCTGTCACAACGGCAATGCTGTACTCGTTGCTCGTATGGAAGTGCTGCGGACATGGCTGGTGTCGACTCACCATGGCTTTGGCTGAACAGCTCTGCGCCGGAGTACAAAGGCCCCGTCGCGCCTGGGGGCTAGGTCTCCCATGCTCGCAACTTGGTTTCGTCCTCATACCACGACCTGCTGTTTGTGATAGCTAGACCCTGTTGTATTTCCTTCGCCTGCTTTCACTGTTAAGAGATCGCAGGTAAATCCCCTGACAGCTCCGGGTTTCCAAAGTCCCTATAAAAACCACCACTATGTTCCAGCTCGACCTCCGGCGCGAGCACGAATTCACCTCCTACGAATGCGCCCACACCGATTGGTGCATCGAACTCCACGGCTACCTCGACTACCTGCCAGCTTGGCCGCCAATATCACCTTCCTCGCCATCTTCGGCCTCTTCTTTCTCACCCACGCCTTCCTCGGCATCCACTACCGCATCTACTCCTACATGCTTGCCGTCCTCTTCGGCGTTGCCCTCGAGTGTATCGGCTACGGTGGGCGGATCGGGATGTACTACGACGTGTTTGCGGAGAAGAACTTCGTACTGTACCTGGTTGGGCTTACCATCGGGCCAGCGTTCTTCTCAGCGGCGGTGTATCTGTGCATCGGGCGCATCATCAGGGTTTATGAGGCTAGTGAGGGTGCGTTGACGTTCTTGAAACCGAAGACGATCACGCTGGGGTTTATCTGTTGTGACATGATCAGTCTGGTCCTGCAGGCTGCTGGGGGCGGGCTCGCGAGTGCAGCGAAGACGGAGGGGGCAAGGCAGAAGGGGGTGAATGTCATGATTTCTGGACTGTCCACGCAAGTGGTGGCAACTACGGTGTTTTGCTGTGTTTGCATGCATTTGATGTGGAATGTCAAGCAGGGCCGGCCGGAGATGGTGAACAGAGAGTCGGAGGCATTCAGGAGAACGAGCCGGTTCAGGATGTTTCTGGTCGCCATCGGTGTCGCAACAATCACGATACTGATCCGGTGTATCTTCCGTGTTGCAGAGTTGAGTAAGGGCTTCAAAAGCAAGTTGGCGAATGGTAAGTTGTCGTCCTGGCGTTCACTCCGTACTGGCCACCATCACTAACGACTCCCAGACGAGACTATGTTCGAGGTTTGGGACACAACAATGATGATCATTTGCGTTGCTGCCCTTATGGCTGCCCACCCAGGTCTGACTCTGGGTCATGCCCGCTGGAAGGAAGGTGCGATGCAGCACCCCTTCTGGAGATCTCAAAGAAGTCACGAGCAGCAGGGTCGCGAAATGCCTGCTGGTTTCACAGCCGCCGAAACCGTGCCCATCGGTACTGCCATCACCACTGACTGCCCTGAGCTGGAGAAAGTGCCGACAGTGGCCGATGAGGAAGCTGCCGAGTCTGTTCGTGGAAGCGCTTCGAGCGAGAGAAGCATCATAGTGGCCGAGGGGCGGGCGGAGGAACGGGCCAAGGAACGGGTCCAGGGCTATAGGGGACTCTGGCCATAGTTGAAAATTGAGGATGCCAACTTGTCAAGCTGTTCGGACAAGAAATGAGCGTTTTTTCTCCATCCTTCCACGTTACCTCAACTCACGCTAACTTTCTCACAGCGACCTCCCTGGTAGTAAAATTGATGATGGATGGATTCTACGACTTGAGGCTCAAGTGAGGCTCCTCCCAAACTTCCTGGCTTGATCTTCGAGACAGTCCTAGCCCTCAGAGCCCGCCCTGACTCGAAAACTTGAGGTTCAACTGACCCACTGAAAACGCTCAGTTTATGCCCGAACAGCCTGCTTGTTTCTATAAGCTCTTGACACCCAAATTTTCACCAAGCGGGCTTCTTCGAAAATCAGTTCCCTCGTTCCTGCCCTGCCAGACATCCGACCATCGTACCCATCAAGCCTTGCAATCACTCCTTCTTACTCCCGCCCCATCCCTCCAAGTTCTCAACAACAGGCACGCCCCCAGGCGCCCTCACAATAACCCACACCGCCTCATCATCACCATCATTTACCTCCTGATGCTCTCTGAACGCCGGGATCAGAGCCCAGTCGCCCTTCCTCATCTCCACCCTCTCCTCCTTGCCTGTCTCTCCATTCCATACGATAGCGCCTTTGCTCCCGCTAACGCAGTAGACTACAGTATCTGAGTTCGCGACCATTGGTCAGCTTGACCCAGAAGCTTGGGCTATCACGGAGGATGGCATAGGGGGCAAAAATGACTCACCCTGCTCCCCATGATGGTGCACAGCAGAAGACGAATGCGGCTGTGCCCTCATCAGGGTGCCGCAAATCGACGGCGACAGGTTGACAATGGCACTCTGCCGGATCATGCCAGCGGTCTGGCCGGTCGTGGCTTCCGAGACAGACGAGGCTGGAGTGTGATGCACCGGACGTGGGTTGGCGCGCTCGTTGTTGGGGCCGTCGTCGGTGAGCTGGAGGGGAGCTTCGGTGTCGAGCGTCATAATGTTCTGGTGTGGGATCGTGTTGGGTAGTCCGGGAAGGGGTGTCGTGGTGAGATGTTTGGTTGCTGAGGATGTGGAACGGGCTTACGGATATGCTTGCTAGTGTTGCCTGCGACTATCAGGAGGGTGCTCAATGGCAGCTGATTCCGCAAAGGCGATAGTGAGCGAACTGGGCTGTCCGCACGGAGTCCGTCGAGTTGCGCAAAGTGATGGATAGGTCCCCTCTGCTACGAGTCGTTGCTCACCACGGTATGGTCGGCAGTCGGGCTGCCCTACAAGGCGGCACGTCATCGCTGCATATATGTGTGCGGAGTAGCAGACGAGAAAGCATAATCGAGCATCGGTGTCGAGTCGTCGTACGAGTGCAAAATTCAGCAGTTGTCTTCCAGGCTAGTGCAGCCGGCAGGTATAGCGTTGTTAGCAGGAAGCCGGTTTGTCAGTCATGCAATCCCCAGTCTGTTGTCGAATTGCAAGTAGAAGTGAGCTTGACTCAAGCCGGTTGACAAAGGAACAGACCGGATGACAAGAATCAGTCAAGACCGGCTGACAGCATGTGCCCGCGACCGTTAAGTATTGGTAGACACACTGGATTAGTTCCTCGACTGCATTGCTTTTCACTAACACATCAGAGAATCACGGATATCGTGATATCTGGTTGCTGCATCATATCTATGGAGTGACTCAATCTATCCATTCCTCAAGTTACGGAAACCCGCAGATATCTAAACGCCCTTTCGAAATGAGAATGCATGCAAACCACCCCGTGACCACGGCGGGATTTCTCAGTTGTAACGTGGAAATTCGTGACTTTTTCTCATCATGCAGTGCTCAAACCCGACGCTTACACAGCGCCGGATGCAACCATCTTCTTGCGGAGGTGGTTCTTGTACTGGCCGATTGAGCCCTCCCATCTTGTCACAGTCTTGTTTTCGCACACCATGATGTCTTTCGCGATCTTGTCCAGCAATCTGCAAGATATGTCAGTAACGTGCATGAAGCAGTGACAGAGAAATGCTTACCTGAAGTCGTGGGACACGACGACGACACCGCCCGAGAAGGCATTGATAGCATCAGCCAGACTGTCAATGGTGGGAATATCCAGACCGTTGGTAGGCTCGTCGAGCAAGAGCATGTTTGGGCCTTCAATGGCCAGTAAAGCGAAGACAACTCTGCTTCGTTGACCTTCTGAAAGTGTGCCCATCAAGGCCGTCTGAGATTCGCCGGAAAGACCATAGCGACCTAGTTGCTGGCGCCAGTACTGGTAGTCCTGGGAGACAGATGCGAACTTGTCACGACAAAAGTCGAGCGCCGACTTGGTAAGATCAAGCTGTTCTGCCGAGTGTTGCGAGTACAAGCCCATCTTCAAATGGGTATGTCGGTTGACGACGCCTGCGCCGCCAGTAGGCGAGAGCTTGCCGGTCATCAATCTGAGCAGAGTTGACTTGCCGACACCGTTGGGACCGACGAGGGCTGTCCTGCTGTCCATATCGATACCGAGATCGAGGTTCTCGTACAGGTTGTCAGCTTTGTTGCCAGAGTAGCTGAAAGTGACGTTGTCGAAGGAAAGCACGGGTGGCGGCAGCTTCTCGACCTCAGCAAAGCGGAAAGTGAACACACGGTCTTGGTGCACAGGCTGGATGAAGCCGTCCGCCTCCATCTTGTCCAAGATCTTCTGTCTCGACTTGGCCTGGCGCACCAAGTTTGCATATGTACCGGCCGAAGCAATGAACTTCTTGATATGGGCAATCTCGTCTTGTTGTTTGACGTATGCCTTTTGTTGATTCGTCTCGTTCTCACTCCTCGTCTTGATGTACGAGTCGTAGTTACCACCATAGTAGATTAGCTTCTTCTCTCGCATATCGATCATGTTTGTGCACACGCCGTTCAAGAAATCCATAGAATGCGAGACAAGGATCAACGTCTTTTCCCACTTCTTCATATATTCTTCCAGCCACACGCAAGCCTCAAGGTCCAAATGAGCCGTCGGGTCGTCCAGAAGTAACAGAGAGGGCTTGATGAACAGTGCCTTGGCCAAAGCAACACGCATTCGCCAGCCACCAGACATGTCCTTTGTCTTCTTGTGAATGGTCTTCTTGTTGAAGCCGAGACCAGTCAGAATGAGCGACGCACGAGTCTCGAATGTGCTGGGATCCATCCCCTCGAGCCGGTCGTAGACGTCAAGCAGTTCTGGGGACTCTGGGCCGTCGGTCTCGAGGATTCGTTCCGCGAGGTGATCCAGTCTCTCCACCTCTTTTTCTGCTTCTTTGACGACCCATTCCAGTGCGCCGAGATCCGAAACATCAGCACCTTCATTGAGCAAATAGATATCGACGTGGTCTGGGAAGGGGTATTCTCGCTTATCGATGGCTTTGAGCAGTGTGGACTTGCCGCAGCCGTTTTCTCCGAGAAGGCCATATCGACGGCCAGCGTTGACTTCGAGGGTACTGTCGGTGATGAGGACTTTGCCATGAAAGACCAATGACGCTGATGTGATTTTAACGTCTCGGTTCGCCTCCTGCGAGGCCAGGACACCCGTTGTGACGCGATCTGACAGACCATGCTTGTCCATCTGCTCGGTCAATTTCTTGACCTTGTCTTTATCCGCTGTTTTGGTGGCCATAACGTCCTGCTCATCTTCTGACAGCATGGGCGACTCATCATCGCCGTTCACGGAGGAGGCCTTTGAGCCGTTTGTCGATGCAGTTTTGGAACCGGCCTTGGAGGCCACGCGAGAGGCGGCTGTCTTCTTTTCACCCTTCTCGGCCTTCTTGGCCATGCGCGCCGCTTTCGACGCTGTGACAGGCATATTGGCGGATATGTGTATTGGACGAAGATGAGTTGGAGGGGCTCAAAGAAAAGTTGCGATTTTCTGGAAAAGTGGCGGCGCCTAGTTTATCGATAGGCAGACAAAGCGACGAGGAAACCCCAGAAGATATTAGAGGGGCAGGCCGCTGGATCGAATGCGGTACGAGTGTACCGTCGTTTGATGCAGTAGTGGCAGTGACAACTACCAAAATCAATCGATCAAGATTCGAGGAGGAATATATCAAGGACCAACCCCAAGAACTGGTCAGAGTCTGCGCTCAGTCACAGAATTTTATTAGGTGCCTCAACCAACGGCAGGTCCCGCCTAGAGACCCTGTCATATCGCCAAGTTCTGCGTCATTTGAACCCCGCCCAGCACCAAAATATTTCAAGAGGGACTCAGTCTTGCCCTGAGCCATCTAACGGTACTTAGGTACCGGTAGTAGGCACGTAGCGTAGCGGCCTTACTTGCTCTGCGCTCGTTCCAATTCCTGCCGAATCTCGGCCAACTCACTGTCGCTCGGCATGTTCACAATCGTCAAGTAAAGCAAGTCCTGCTGCAAAGTCTTCCTCACCACCGCAACACCCGATCCAATGATTCCCTTGCGTCGTCCACCTCTCTCGTACGGCAGTCTCTTGCCCATCTCAGCAGCCTGCAGATCTTCCTCGTTGAGCTGAATGCCACGTCTCACAGCTCGTCGCTGCGCCTTGTGACGGCGTTTGGCTCTGACCGGATCGAATTTGCCGGCCGTGAGGAGGCCAAACACGGTGCCAGAGTGGATCGGATGATTGGGGTCAGCGTACTTGGACTTGAACTGGCGCTGCGCCTCTGGTGCGGCCAACTTGGAGTCGGGGTTGTCGGTGGCGTGCATTGCCTGTGCGCGTCTGTCCAGGTAAGTGCCCATGAACTCACCGCTCGATTTGAGGAAGTTCTGCTTCTCTTGCGATGTGCTCGAAGCTGCGGCGTCGATAGCTGGGTAGATGAGCGGCGCCGCCTCAGGTAAAGCAGCCTCGCCGCTGGTTTTGCCGGATGTGAGTCGAATCTTTGCGAGGTTCTTGCGCCATTCCGGTCTGTCTTCGGATGTGTATCTAGCAAGCGCTTGATCAGTCGATGTGACATCCGTTTCGATAATCGTAGGAGCATCGGGTTTGTAGGTCATGATGAGACAGTAGAGGCCTTTGGGCTTCAGCCACTTCTCGTTGATGTCGTCCAAGAAACGGTTCCTGGTGACCCGTGAGTGGATCTCCTGAGCCGTTCTATTTGCGGTGGTAACAGCAATCGACACGGCCATTGCAATCGGGTTGGGAACCCAGCCCACCACAAAGGACGCAAGATTGATAACATCATACACTGGCGACGCTCTGCTTGCCTTGTCGAATGCCGTAAGGAATTGAAAGAACGCATCTTGGTCGATGCCGGCGCACTCCTGAAGGATCGGAGGATACGCACGTACAAAGCCACGTTGTTTGTTCTTTGGTCGACGTTGAGGCAGAATGACTGGAGCAGAAAGTGGCTTGTACTGCTGGGAAGCGACCCCGGGAACACCTTGGCTTTTCTCTTGAGTTCTCAAGAAAGACTGGACCACTGTATTGAGGTCTTCACTCGTAGCTTCATCATAGGAAGGTGGTTGAAGCTGTTCGGAAGCCTCATCGAGTTCCCAGGCGAGCTCGATCTCATCCTCACTGTCACTGGAATCGTCATCGGCCTTCTTGGAATCTCGACTTGTTGTATTGCTCAATTCTCCTGTTGAAGAAGTGCCAGATAGTGCGTTGGCTTTGCGCTCCTTGCGTTCGGCCCTCGCCTCGGCAACGGCGCCGACACCGCTGGCTATGCCCTTGGTGATGAACTTCTTGATCATTATGACCGTCGAAATCTGCTGAGCAGGGTAGTACTGGGGGCTGACTTAGTTTATGTGAACGAAAAGGCGTAGTGCTAGGAACTTGATCGTGGAGGGAGTAGTCTTTTATAGAGCAAGCCTGTTTGCATGTGCCATACCTTGGACAGTGAAAGTTCGCGAGCTGCCGTCACGAAAGGCTGCATAGCCCACTTCGCGATACTGCAGCATAGCAGCAGCATAGAGGGCACGTTGGGGACTAGCACTGGTCACGATATGCTAGGTCCAGCCCCTCGTGAAACAACACTAAACAGGCGTGGCTAAGCCTTCCAATGCGACGGCCGGTTGAGCTTGTCAGGCTTGTGAAGCTTGATTACCACTGGTTCGTCATAGTATACCGCCAAAGGCCTTTGATTTTGAATGCATCAGCTCAGGAGCATTGCATCATTCCTTGTCTGAGTACGGCAAACGGCCGCATATTGGCACCCTTGTATAGAATAGGCACGCGTTCGTACAACCTAAAGGGGTCGCTCTGGTGAGATAGCTCAATATTTTGCGCTCCCTCGCGATCTGAGTTCGAATCGAGGTTGGGCCGGTGGCTTGCTTAGATAAGTGCAAGGGTCCCATTATTACATCTCGGAAGGACCTTGTCCTGTTCAAAAGTACCTGAATGTCCAATTCATTTCTGATACTGTCACTTATGAAGATATGCTAAATATCAGGCGTAGATCACACCATGATGGCCGTGCCATAGTGCATAGCTCAAGCAAGCTACCAGCCAATGCAAATGGCGTGAAAAGCACGAAACACGTGATCGCGATGCTGCTCGAACAGTTCAACCGTACTCCGCCGCCGGGGTTGTGTTTCGCCGACTAGGTGAATAGACTGTCTTGATGCAGTGAACCAAACGATCTCGGTCCGCGCTGATGCCAAATCAAGCAGATGGCTGGCGTGATCGTAGTATAAAGGGCTTGCAAGCCTGTTGAACATCACAAAGAATGCTGAGGTCAAGGGCTGAAGTCGTGGTTTGAGTTGTACGCTCAGTAGAGTAGCTGGAGGATATCTGTCAACCATGGCGGACTTTTCGTTCCTTGAGATGGTTCGTTCGCATATCTTCGATACACTACCAGATCCCGAAAAAGACTTCACAGGCAAGACCATCATCGTGACAGGCGCAAACGCTGGGCTAGGTCTTGAAGCAGCACGCCATCTGGTTAGGTTGAATGCGGCGAAGGTCATTTTAGCAGTGAGGAACAAGGCAAAAGGGCGAGCAGCAGCAGACGACATTCACAAATCGACTGGAAAATCAAATGTTGCAGAGGTCTGGGAACTCGATCTCGCATCGTATGCCAGCGTACAGGCGTTTGCAGAGCGAGCCAACAAGAAATTGAAGCAATTGCATGTTGTTGTGGAGAACGCTGGTATATTGCAGAGGACGTTCGCGAAGGCGGAGGACAATGAGGCACATATCACGATCAATGTGATCTCAACATTAATGCTGGGCATCCTCCTGCTGCCAAAATTGCGAGAGACAGCACAGTCGACAGGCCAGAGCGCGGTTTTGACCTTCGTTGGATCCTGGATGCACAATGTCACGTCATTTCCGGAGCAGAAATCAGAGCATATATTTGATGATCTGGCACAGGAGGAGAGTGCAAGGATGGGTGACAGGTGAGCGCAGAATCCAGGTTTCGGTTCGGGCGCTGACCACATACTCCAGATACCCAGTGTCAAAGCTGATGGAGCTCTTTCTGGTTCGAGAATTGGTCGAGCAAACATCGAAATCGGGTGGATTTGGTCACGAGAAGATCGTGGTTTCGGTCGTCAACCCGGGAGGGGTGATAACCACAATTGATCGAGAGCCAAACTTGCTGTTTAGAATAGTGGGCTGGATTGCGAGGAAGACATGGTTGAGAACTGCTGAGCACGGTTCGCTGACCTTGGTGCATGCTGCGGAGGGTTCGCCAGAATCTCATGGTCAGTATCTCGACGAATGCAAAGTCGGCAGGTAAGTCAATGAGCGAAATCGGATGACATGCTGCCGCTAACGCTGGTCGGTAGTACCTCCAAGTTTGTAGTGAGCGAGGAGGGAGCGAAGGTGCAGAAGCAACTGTGGCATGAGCTTTCCGTTATCCTAGAGCGCATTCAGCCTGGTATCATGGAAATCGTTTAGCAGTAGTAGATGAGAAGGAAGGAGGAAAGCATTGGAAGGCAACCCAGCAACTTCATGGCAAGCGCGTCCGGCTCCACCTGTAGGCGAAACCCACATTTGATGATGGGATGCGTTGACGATTCTCCTTGATGACCTGTCTCGTGCTGCAGTCTTCCTTGAGCAGGATCGAATGCCCTACAGCGCTTCAAATGCAACTGAGCCCAGCGAATGAGATGCTTTGAGTGTACCAAATACGCCAACAACGAAGCGGATATCGTGTATCCTCGCTCGTGGTATCATTGCCCTGCTGGAATCAAAAGTACCTCCATCGCGCTCGCGCTCATGCCTGAGCAGCATGTCCAACATCGCAAAACGCTGTCATCCTGGTGCGCCGGCGGCAAAGACTGTACAACTTCTCTCGCCACGCCTGCTGCCAAACTCCAAAGCCCTCGATTTCTGTCCTGATCGTCGACAAGTAGAAGTCGACGCACAGCGGCATGGCTTCAACTCACTAACCCAACAATGATACGTCCTCTCGAACCCTCAACGCCGCGCAGCAGAATTAACGGACACAAACTAGCAACACTTCAGAGCCCCGGCTTCTCGGTCAAAACAGCCATATGCTTATGCCCCAGAATGCTCAATCTTTTCTTACTGAATGACGCATCCTGGTTTGCCATTCTGTGTCCAAGAGCTCGGTCCAGCTTCGCGCCCACACTGAGCGCTTTGATCTCGTTCGACTTCTTTTCACTGGGAACGAAGCGTTGCATGTCGAGTTTCTTGTTTTCTAATCGGTCAAGACCTTGGGTGAATTGCTTAATTTCAGCCATGCCGGATGCTGCTGTGACGTTGAGTGGTCGTTGATCTGAGCCAGCCTCTTGTAGGATGTCGACGGTCGCGAATGATGGCGATGCAGAGAAGGTGGAATATCTCTTCGAGGTGCGTTTCGATGTGAGCTGTTAAACGGTCAATACTGTTCGGCGGACGAGAGTTTATACAATGAACTTACACTAGGCGCCATTATCGGTCGCTCTGAGTCCAACGATCTTCGTTCCATGTCCATTAGTGCGAGTGATATAGGCAGCGATGCCTGGACGAGACGTAGGATACTTTCGTGCTACGAAATGATCTGAGTCGTAGTCCGGTCGCAGCAGAAACTTGGGTAACCCTGCAGAGACAGCTTGAAGGTGATACGGCGACAGATGGGTCCGCAGAAGTTTGGTCTCTGTGATGCCGCTGAGATGAAATGCTGTTGACTGCGATATTGTTGTTTGGCCGTGAAATGCTGCTGTGAAGAAGAGGCAAATGCCGTCAGGTAGAATCCTGGGAAGATATGCCGTTAAGACGATATCTGCTACAGGCTAGCAAGGACCCGCTCTCAAGCGGGGACCGGGATCTGCAGACAAATGATGCTGCTTTGGTCGTTAGAGGAAGCTGCTAGGAAAGATCGCCAGGCGCTTGACGTGGATGATCGACGTGAGATTGAGGCAGAAGACTCCGAGATGATAAGTGCGAAGTCTTATGACCTGGAGGTCTATGACGGGAAGAATATTTAGGGAGCACGAGGAGTGTAAAGTTTCGCTGACACGCTCTGCACGAGCTGGCCTCTGAATTACTACTGCAGCTGCGCCGGGAGCCTAAAGGCACTGCAGAATGGAGAGGAGCAAATGATGATGCAGGGAAGTTGCAATATGGAGATCTGTCTGAGAAGGTTCTCTCGAAACAAACAGCGAGGGGCCACCTTCCCGGGCTTGGAATGGCACCAGTGAAACATTCATCATCGTTGGTAGCCCGGCATTTGATGGATAGAATCATCATCACGAGATAGCCATGTGGAAGCCCCTGAGATTTGCACAAGCAATTTGCGTGTCAGCGTTCTTGATGGTTGACCAATTGACGGCTTTCGAGGATCGTCGAGATATGCCGAGCCACAATCTCGTCTTTCCTGGGCAGGCTGACAGCCTTCGAAAATTGTTCTCTGCACCTAAAACCAGCTCCGAGATACCCCTGTGTGGAGCAGGTAGAGGCACGCCGAGCACGTGGTCTCAAGCATGCTAGGTACTCTAGTCCTGCAGGAGGCGCCTTCAGCTGACGCCACGCTTCATGCATGCCGCAGGCTACATATTTCTTCCACGCAAGCCCAAGTAACAAAACTCATACGAAGAACGGTAGCAGCGCCCAATCAAGATGGTATCAGATTCTGGCCCTGTGTCGCGAGCTGATGCGACAGATACGACTTCTCCCGACGCAGATACAACGTGTATCTATCCTCGTAAGCCTCGCCATTCCACACACCGCATCCGCCATCCAGCGATGGCGTGCCTATCTGCTCAATAGCGTAGCTTGCGGCGATCGTGCCGTGGACAGCAGCGAGGATCATCTCTAACAAGCTCCGTGACTCGGAAGTGATCGATGAATTCAGACATTGTGCAGTCGCTTCGAGCCCTGGTTGAACACGTTTCGTCAATGCCATTGCCATGGCGCCAAGATAGGAGTTTCCGCCGCCGGTAGGATCTATCACACGTTCAGCGTCCTGATGGTACGCCTTGAAATGTAGAACGCGACCCCGACAATGAAGTCTGCTCCCATCAGCGCCATTGCGCACAATTACGGCTTGTTCTGGGTTTTCACCGCAGTTGGTGAGCAACGATCGTACCATGTCCTCCTCTGCGATCGATTTGTTCCCGGAAGCAAAAAAGTCGGCGAGCTCCTCTCCGTTGGGACTGATGACGTTCACGAAAGTGCTTGCTTGCTGAAGATTCTTCAACTCTGCCGGCGTGCAAAGATCGGGTATGGGTTCCCAAATGACAACAGGCGGTCTAGCGTTCGTATTGAGGGCGCTTCTTCGGGCCCGGAGAGCCTCGACTAGACTCATACATCTGCTGGGGCTGCAGACCATGTGGAAGGCGGAGGCAAGAGCCTGTCTGTCGCTCAGGGAATCGACCTCTAGCCTTCGTTTGGGCGTTAAATACCTGAAGTCTGTCACATCAACAAGTAGTTCAGTTGCACACATTTCCTCAACTCACCTCGATGCTGATCGCCGCTATAGCCATTCCAGGCTCTCGTAGTCGCCCGACTCAGGTCAGTGCGAAAGACTGTGCTTGTTTGCCATTGCTCGATAAGTGCTTGGAACTCATCTGGAAAGTCATGTCCTTTATCGACAATGCATGAAACGTAACGAGAGTAGCTTGCCCCGGCAGCAAGCCTAGCACCTAACATAGCATACTGCGGGCAGAGTCAGTGCTGATGTCGTACCTAGAAGTCCAACCGAACGGCCTGCAGGGCTCATCGATATTCATGGTGGAGGCCGAGAGCAAAAAGCTGCCAGCAAGGTTTCTTTTGCTGAGCAACGTCTACCAGCCTACCTCTTCATATTTGGATCGGGGTACTTGCAATACCGGCGCCGCCAATGACACGCGTCTTCATAGCCCGACCATCACCATAGTCAATCTCATCTGTTTGCCTGATTAATTGGGACCAATCTTCCAGGCATCCGGATGGTGCTGACCAATAATGAACATGCCAAAAGTGCACCAGTCGATGTCTGACGACATGGCGACACAGCGGCACGCGTCAGAAACGACGGAGCCTTAGGAAAGGAACAACGATCCCGTGGGTTGTTCGGTGGTCAAAAGGGAATTAGATACGAGGTGAGAAGGCAACGACGAGACCGCGGAGCTTGGCAGAGGGCATGTGGATCTCAGGCAGCATCGACCCCGGACTCCCTTTACCTTCCAGTACTTTCAATACATTGCTCTGTGCTGCGCCGGCCTGTACATTTCTTCACGCTTTTCAATTGTTTGTAGAACGTGCAGTTCCATATTTTAGCGATGGCGTCTACGGGCAATAACATGCACAACCTGACTACCCTGATCAAGAGGTGCGTAGCAAATCATTACCTGGCTGGATTCATTTCTCCAAACTGGTGTGATGAAGCTGACAACAATTCACAGACTTGAGGCTGCGACTTCGCGCTTAGAAGATATTGCCACATCTGTCGATGGCCCAGGGGCGCTCGAGAATGGAGCGCCAAATCCACAGCGCCCGGTGCTTCGACAGCGGTTGCAGCCGCCGTCCCTGAGCCTGCCGCAGCACCAACTCCACCCGCAGAGCCATTGCCCAGATCGATCGAGGAGTTCGACGAGCTGATTCAGAGTGATGTGGCAGCCTTCGTAACGGCTAGCAGCAAGATCGGAGGCTTGGTGGAAGAGCAGGTAGGAGCATGATGTCAGACCACGCGGACGAAGCTCACATCCATCAGGCAAAAGCTGTACAGTCGGCCTTTGAGGCAGAACGAACATATCTATTCGTCACGACAAAAGCAAAGCAACCGACTAATCAGCCGCCCGAACTGATGACAGAGCTACATCGGTGGACCTCAACCGTCGACGAACTTCGAGAAGCCAATCGCCCATCTCCTCTGTTCAAACATCTTTCCGCAGTTTCGGAGGGCATCGTAGCCCTCGGATGGATCGTTGAGAAGCGCCCTGCTGATTTTGTGGGCGATACCCTTGGTGGAGCCCAGTACTATGGCAATCAGGTACTGAAGGAATATAAAGAGAAGTGAGTGATTTCAAGGCATCACCTGGGCCAGCTAACAGCAAAATCAGGGACAAATCACACGTGGAGTATATCCAAGCATACTACAAGATCTTCCGGTCCCTTGTAGCTTATGTGAAGCAAAATTTCCAAACGGGGTTGTCGTGGAACCAGAAAGACGGCATTGACTGCTTAGAGGCGCTCAAGCAGGTACAATCCGGCTCAGCCACGCCCAAGGCATCGGCGGCTGGCGGGCCTCCTCCCCCGCCGCCACCTCCTCTGCCAAATTTCGACGACAACGGCATTCCTGCGCCACCTCCACCACCACCAGGGGCGCCAGCGTCCTCTGGCTCGGGTGGTGACATGGGCGCAGTATTCGACCAGATCAATAGCGGCTCGTCAGTAACCTCGAGGCTGAAGAAGGTCGACAAATCCGAGATGACACACAAAAATCCATCACTCAGAGCGACGAATGCAGTCCCAGAGCGAACATCCTCACAATCATCGTCCACATCACGCGGGAAGAGCCCGATGCCAGCCAAGAAACCTGACTCATTACGAACGAAAAGGCCTGGGAAGAAAGAGCTCGAAGGGAACAAATGGATCATCGAAAACTTCGACAACACCGGCAACGAGATGATAGAGGTCAAAGCAGAGCTCAATCACAGCATCCTTATCAGCCGGTGTACTAAGGCTGTGATCAAGGTGGACGGAAAGGCCAACGCCATCTCGATCGACAATTGCGCCAACCTGTCGATCCTCATCGATTCTCTCGTCTCCTCACTCGATGTCATAAAATCACCAAAGTTCGCGGTCCAGGTCAATGGAGTCTTGCCCACGATTCTGCTGGACCAGGTCGATGGTGCCCAGGTCTACCTCAGTCTAGACAGCTTGGCACGGAGATCTTCAGCAGCAAATGCAGCAACATCAATGTTGTCGTGCCACCAAGCGACGAAGAGGGCGGAGATGAAGGCGACAGCAAAGAGTTCGCTGTCCCCGAACAGATCCGAACAATTGTCAAGAAGGGCGGTAAGGGACTGGAAAGCGAGATCGTCGAGCACGCTGGCTAGGAGCCGCAACCAAGTCCGTTTACCCCTCGGAAGTTATCAGCCGCATTAGCTGCTTCACATCGGAAGCGACTCTCGCCGAAATGCTGCCTGCTATGACTTGGGTGCTGACAAGCCTTGGCATTTGGCGGTAGTCAGTGTAGGAATACGGAAAGTGCCTATCCACTACCAGTCAGGAAGGAGCATCGCTTACCATTCTTGTTATATGGACTCAGAAACAGCAGCTTAAGGGGCGCATTGCAGTCGAGCCAATTAGATACCATGTACTCTACCTCCCACAACATAGAGAAGCACAGAGAATGAACAACGCTGGTATGTCGTAGGCTAGCAGGTAAAGTCATGTATCGACAAAGCCGGGAGACACGCCGTCAAAGTGGCATCCTAGTCCTCCTTTGAATCACCGCCATCCTCATCACCAGCATAAGCATCCTCCTCATTTTCGTCCATATCGTTATCCTCTTCGGCAGCGTTGTCTCCACCTTCGTCGTCAAAAGCGTCGTCCGCGAGCTCAATCATTCCTTTGATGTCCCAGCGATCGCCCTTGGCGGCCTGGCTTACGTACTTGACGAATCTTAGTGTGCCCTTGTCGCGTAGCACGATGCTGAACTTGTTCCAACTTGGTACATTCGTGAAGAGGATGCTATCGGCTTCGTCATCTCCAGCCGATTTGTAGACTGCTGGGTCGACGGACTTCCGGCCAACCTGAGGTAACGGCTTGTTGGCGTTGGCTTCTCGAGCTTCAGCGGTCATCTCATCATCATCATCATCGTCATCGCCGGCCATGTAAACTTCCTCGCCACCGTACTCGGGTAGTGAAGAGGTGGAAACCTGGGCTTCAGTTGACGACGAGGTGTGGTTCCCGTTGTTCTTAGCTCCGTTTGTCGATGCAGCCAGAGGCTCCTCCGCTTCGTCGTCTCGCTCCCAGCCAGTCGATGGGGTCATGCTGATGGTGAACTCGAGCTGCGGCTGCTCACCAGTGTATGTACTGGCCAGAGCGTAGTCCTTCCCACGCCGAAAGCGGCGCGCCTGCACGTCTTGGCGGAGTAGTGCGGCCGGCTTCATGCCGATTGCGAGAGCGAGCCACTTCTTGAAGGCGTGACTGTGGATGAGATCCGTAAGGATGCGGGCCACAGGGCTGCTGTCCGAGTGAAGCATCTCGTCGGCTTGAAGATAGGCGAAGCGGTGTTTGTGAGGTGGTCGAGCGATCTTCCAGGACGAGTCTGATTGATCGGCGTTCTCGACGTATGCTTTGAGTTCGTTGGCGAAGCCCTCACAGAAGAAGCGCTCAAGCTCGAGGATGGATGTCTCGGCGAAGAATTCTGAGAACTTTTCGAGCTCACCTGGTGTCAGGAAGCTTGGTGAGAGGTATCGAAGGAGGAAAGTCAGATCTTGCTCAGTCAAGATGTCGTTATCGGTGTCAGTGTCGTCGCCTGGATCTACTTCAATTGCTGTGGCGCTGCTGTTGACCACGCTTCGAGCCTCGTCGTAGTGCTTGTAGATTATTCGCGGCTCGTCTAATTCATTTGCCGCGCTCTTTAGCTGGGTCAAGCTCGATTTCTGGGCTTGTGCTTGTTCAAGTCCTTCTTCGTAGCCTTCTTCGCCGGCTTGTGGGATGTGATACCAGCCGCTGATAGCCATGCGTATCCTGCCACCATCCTCCGCCTTAATATCCTGACCATGCGGAGGGTGATAGACTTCCTCAACGTCATGGTAGCTCTCGCCGGGCAGGACTGTGAAGAAGCTGAGCTGTCCAAAGCTGGGCGGAATGTTGAGAGTGTGTTCCGCTAAGGGCACTTTGATGTCTTCGCCGCTGTTGTTCTGCTTGACCTCAGTAGGAAACAATCTCAGACCTCCGCCCCACTCAGCACGCCATGGCTTGTCCGGATCTGTCAGATACAAGATGTAACTGACGCGGCGACTGCCGATCACATCATCGTGACACAGGAGGTAGCTGCCGGGTGTGTATACATTCACCGCCATGTCCGTTTTCTGTCCAGAGAGCAGCCCTGCTCCAGTGACATTGCTAACCCATTCTCGGAAGTCTGGACTGTAGAGGGCATCGCGGAGTCGCACAAGGCTCGGAAGATGTCTCAGTGCCTCGCTGTCTAGTCCAGACAGGTTGGCTAGATCGCCACTTTGGTGTATCCGGTATATATCCGTTTCTTTGAGTGTGAAATGGATGTGGTCGTTGATCTCAGTCCTCACATTGCGAAGTAGGGCGTCTTCGATCAGCTTAGGGACCACAGCGTGTGGATACGGCCCAGACTGGCTGTAGCTCTGGCGGTAAGAAGCAACGGTGTCATCGTCGAAGAGATCGGCTGTAAAGGCCGAATGTATGGAATTCGTCTGGTCGGTATTGCGCTTCTTCGGGGGAGGAGACGACAGCGACGGGTCCGCTTTTCGTTTCTGCGACATCCTGCCGATGGCTCGACATGCACCGACTTGTCATCAGGGCTATAGGCGGGTCAATTCGCTGCAAAGTGCTCCCATAAACAGGACCTACAAAACTCGACGTTGCGAGTCTTCGACTTTGGAAAATTAAAGTGGGCCTTTTGCGGGGGTGCCAGGGACCGATGCCCGCACATGGCGTGGCATGGCATGGCATGGGCACACGAGGCAGCCAGGCACTTGAGAAATCGTACCCAGACATGCAAACTTGGATGCGGAAAGATAGGCAGACTCATTTCCATAGAGGAACTCAGGTGATGTGCTATTTTCAGCTCTGGCTGGTGCACTCTCCTATGTACATTGGATCCCTCCTGCCACGTCGTCCCTCTTGAGAGTCAATTCCTTCCCTTCCGCCTCCAGCTTAACACCACGCTTACGCAGGCTTCGCTGTGAGCTTCGTGTGCTGCTCCATACGAAAGGCCTGTCTCTCTGAAACCTCAATGTAAATTCGTTGGGGTTCGGAAAATCGGAGTCGATGGGACCTGGGGTATCGAGTTACTATGATTAAGCGGGCGCTAAATGATGATCCAGTATCGGAATCCGCGTGGCGACCCGGTGAAAAACAGCAAGCTATCCACAAGAATGATGAAGATCCTCGCGAGATTGAAACACAAACGATCGCAATGCTCATCCAGCTTGAGCAATATCGATGATCCTGAAGATCGGGAAAAGCTCCCAGCGCCTTGCTCTTGCAATAAATGATGGTCAAACAAATTTTATCGTGAGATTCGTCCTCCTTTGCGGGCCCGCTATGCATGACAGCTGGAGCGCGGAAATACTTTCACAGCTTTGCTCATGGCTCTCGTTTCAGCAGCGACCCTAGCCGTCCAGTGACCGTAGATTTTGGCCTTAGTTGAGCATTATGAAAGTCGTTGGCGGATGCTGGGCGATCATCGTCCGTGATGCGGCGTGGTCCAATTTGAGGACGAGCAGCAGGGTTATGAGGAGATCCATGTACCTCTGAGGCATCACTCTCGCTTTCGTCATCTGGGATTTGAAATTCCTGTGCCTCACCTGCTAGAAATGCGGCATTTGGCTTCAGTGGCTGCTTTGCCTGGCTCGGACTGGGCAGCGGTAAAACGCCATGACCAGAGGACAGCAAGACGACATCCTCGTCGCTCATGATCCTCTGCACAGCCTTTGGCCTCGGTTGCTGTAGATGTTCTGCGGTCTTTGGTCTTGGAGGCACACTTGTGCCAGCTTTCTTCTCGGACGTGCGCGAGACTTGCCCTCGCGACCCCTTGCTCGAAGACTTGCGACTATGGCCTTTGATGGCCGCTTCGTCCCTGTTAGTGGCCTTTGTGCTCGTACTCTTGCTTGAGGCTGTCTGCGTAGATGGTGGATGTGAATCTGACGTCGATTGGCAATCACTCTCCTCTCGCAATTGTGCTGCTAAATCTCCAGAAGAGTTGACCGACTGAGCATAAAATCGATGTGGATTTGGATTTCGCGATGAGTCTTCACGGCGTGAGTGTCCGCGACTATCATTTGAGAGATCGCTTATGTTAGAGTGCCGACTTTCGGATGGGCGACCAAGTCCTTCAGATGAATGGGAGCGGATAGTCGATGTGGTCATAGAGGTCGTCATAGATTGGCGCTTCGCTGCCTTGGCTAGCTCTTTCTCACGCTTTTCTCGCTGCTTAATGGCGTCCGGAATTCCGTCCCATTTACTGTTGACCTTGGGTACATGCTCAGGCATTTTCTCCATCCTCACATTAGGCACTTGTCTCGCGCTGGTCGAGCCATGCTGGGCACCGAGCTGTGCTGCAAATTGGTCGAGAGCAACTTGAGTAGGTTCTCGCACCGCGAACAGTCCTCCAAAAAGCGATTTCTTCTTGACCGGTGCTTTAGAAGGCGTTCGCATGGAGTTCGGCATGAGTGACTCTGGTGGCGAAGGGTGTTTTACTTGAGGTGGACCTTGACCATTATTCATAGACATTCTGATATCGCGGATGGACAGACCCTGTGGCCTGCTGTTTTTGACTACATTTGGTGAAGATTGCAGATCGTCAGATATTGCAAGGTTAGCGATGTCGTTCGACAGGCGTTGTGAGTCCGGAGGAGCGTGTGAGCTCGAGGGTTGCCAGGTAACCTGGTGGTGTGCCGAAGACATTGTCATTTCCGGTAGCACGGCGACGCAGCGAAGGTCGAGTCAGGTTCTGGTCAACAATTCATTTCCGTGTAAGGTAGGACCAAATCAATGAATTTGATGTCGAAAGAGATCGGTCCAGCCGATTGATGGTGTGTCAATGTGGTAGAGTAATTGTAGGCCGTACGTGTGAGATGTCGGCCACGTCCGATCACAAAGGGTATGAATATCGCTAGCGACGCCTGTCACACTCTGGCTGCAGGATTGAAGTGTATGATAGATACTGGCGTTGGTGGTGTTGAAGCGAGAAAGGATGTCTAGAATGGTCCAACGAGTTACGATTTCATTCAGGCCGGGAGGTTTCAGCGGCGGTGACGAAGAGCACGTGGCAGGCGGGGCTGACGACACGAAGAAAGAAGCCGCGACTCAGGACTGGGCGACGAAGATGTAGCAAGAACAATGTTGCAGCCAGCCACCATACCTATGGATCGGCTCTTTACACGAGGTAGTCGAGTGTCAAACACGCGCTACGGTCCAGGTTCAGGCACATGACGGGTGGTCCTACAATTATCGAATCGCATGGGGGCGCCTCTAGGGCAGTATAGCCAAAGTCGAGGCCCGGGAAATTTGACCCACCAGTTGACTTCGAAATATGAGAGGTGATTCATCTTCCGGGCTTGGAGGGGGCTGAAGGCTCGCCCAATCGCGCACGGAAGTACCACCTGCGGAACAAAAGTCTAACGAATCATCCCTTCAATGGTGTCCTCCTTGCCGAACCGCGAAGAACGATCCTGGGGAGGCCAAGACTCTCGATCGACGAACCGATCTCCCCGAGATAACGAGCGACAAGTCGCTAAACGGCCGTCAGGCTACCAATCGATGAAGTCTGCTCGAGCACATCGACTTCTAGCAGCCTGACGAGCGGAGCGCTTGAAGGAAATTCCCAATTTTCCAAAACATCGGTTAACACAGAACCTTCAGCGTTCGATGGCACAACGACGGCAAGTCCGAGTTCTCGCAGCTGAGAGGTACAGTAGTGCGAGAATTTAGCAAAAAGTCAAGCACTGGAGACGATGCAAAGAATGCAATGTAGTGGTTCGGGAGCCGCAAGTCGAGAACAATAAAAATGCTAGGCGCCTCTTGCGCCAACCTGAATTCGTGCACCGCTTTGCGGGCTTGAAAAGCCGCCGACCTATATGGGAACAGCGTGCTGCAAGGCATGGAGCCTGAGCTATCTGACATCCCGCCATGATTGTGTTCACCTACCGCTGGCTTAGAGATTGCTACTTCAATCGCGTAATGAAGCCTTGAATGACCCAGCTGCAATCGTGGCAATGCTGTACACTACCTAGGTAAGCATCAAAGGCCGAGTCAAGTCTCGAGAGCCGGTACACACAGGTACCTGGATCAATAGGCAGGAGCACTACTGCATAGGCTTGAGCTCCGGGTACTCAAGTAGGTTCTGGAAGCATTTGGTGCCTGTGGCATTGGCAGCCAGTATGGGAGGCAGCCCGGCTTACCTAAGAAACTCCAGATCTTAGGCTGAAGCAAGGCACGATTTATGAGTTTTACTGCCATCAATGACGGCAAACCTTCATTGCTTTTGCAACGCCAGGATCGGTATATTCTACCCACCCACACTTCGCGTTATTGTTCCGCTAGTCATACCGAAAGAGTCCGCAGAACAACACGCAATTGCTAGCAACGGCTGGCGTCTAGCGCCATAGGGACAGATTCAGCCGCTAGTGCGTTTTGCCTTCCTACTATACACACGCAATAGCACGACATTTTACGTTCTTAGACTTAGGATCTTCTCGAACTTCGGCTGTGAATATACACTATCAGCGACCTGGACCGTGTCCACGTCAGCGCGAGGACCTGGAGTTGGATGCTACGAGCCTTGCGCGAGCAACATGAATTCGAGCGCCACCCAACAAGGATCGGCCAATCCGCCACGCCGGCTGAAGCTTGTGATGCCACAGGATCGGCCGAAGAGCGCGCAGAGTCCCAGTATCCCCGGGCAGTCAGCCCCGAAGAGGCCGGCATCTGGCAGTCCCGAACGGCATCATACTCTCCAGTCACGCCTACATCAAGCGAAGAAGCTCTACCCATTCAGGAGTCCACTGACCCGAACTCAAAGTCGACACCAGAATTCATCGACACACCGGAGGCTCCGCCTGTCAACCTCGACGAGAACACGGATGCTATAGCACTGCGAGCTGCGCTCTCGATATTGCAGCTTCAGCGACAGCAAGGCCTGAGGGACATTCGAGACCTCGAGAAGATGAAAGCAGCCGCCATCAAGGACCCTGATGGTTTCGTCGAGCACCTGAAAGCTAGCAAAAACACCACGGCTCAGCGAGACGGCGTCGAAGTAGACGTTGACGATGATGAGGACAGCGAGAATGACGACAGCGCAGAGGAAAGAAGCGAGTCCAAGTTCCCCAAGTTTCCCGCTGCTCAGAACGTGGTTAGAGCCCCTCCAATCGAATGGGCCAAGTACGGTGTAGTTGGTGAGCCCCTAGACAAAATCTATAAGGTACAGCAACAGAACCAGGTGCAGCACTTGGACAGCCACCGCAGGACCCTCACCAGATCGCCGCGCCTTACAAGCATTTCGTCGACCGCAACAACGCACCACAGAAATGAAAGTGATGTCACGCTTGCGAAGAGCTTATTGATGATATGAACCTAAGACGAATCCAATATGATGAATATTCGACGATAGATCTCGCAGCACCGCACCACCTCGCACCTCGCGACACAGACACCATATTTTGTCATGGTCATCTCACCCCGCAACACAGGCACCATATTTTGGCATGGTCATAAGACAGCTCGAAGTTCGGTTCGTTGCAAGCCCGGTTGCCGGGAATCCTCGAGTCCGAGGAGACTATCAACCTTTGATCAGCTTTCGAGTCTGTTTCGCAACCTCGCGACTTTGCTTGACGCAGATTGGACCTGGTCTGTTGTCAGCGCAGTCTCGAGATTGAATGGATCGACACACAATTGGGACCCTTGATCGCAGCTTCCCGGTTCACAGAGGCATTCTTCAAGTACTTGGTCATTCCGCCCCAACCGCTAGCCAGTGGCTTGAACTTGCGGCATTTGAAACAGAGTCTGTACTTCTGGTGTGCTGAGAAGTCCTGGAGACGTAGGAGGAAATTGATGCGCTGCTCGGGTGATGACCTGGGTTCCTTGGCAGGTCCGAGGTTCATGTAGAAGCTGGCTTGTGCTTTGCAGGTCAATGCGAGCATAGACTGATCGGCAGGGTTGGTGAGATTATCCCAGATCAATTTCTGAATCTCAGCTGGAAGCGCGAGCAAGGGAGAATATTGCGCCTTCTGATTGAGATGGCAGACCTGAGAGAGTCAGTCAATGGGTATGCTGGGAGGCACGTTGATCACACTCACTTCAGGCTGATCAGACAGCGGAGCCGAGCTGCTCGATGTCGAGGCATGTGGCTGACTGTGATATTGCGGATGCGAGAATTAGGAGACGGACGACCAGAATCGCTCATGGACAAATGTCCGGGAGGGTCATGAACTTTACTTCACTGGCTCTTGTTGGGGCTTCACTCATCAGCTAAGCTAGCACTGAGCTTAGAAGAAGCATCAAGACTAATTCAGAGTCGACTGGCGCAGCTAATACTTCAGCTGAATTCGTCCTTGACTTCGGTCTCCCATCATGACGAGCTGATAGCGTTGCGCCTCTTAGGAGTGCAAATTTCATGCCTCATTCATTGGGGAAAGATGCTCTTGCACCATCTACACATAGAGCGGTTGCAAGGCAACAGAAAAAGGCAGCCACCACGACTCGGATGATGTTCTTTGGGCGCTACTACGACTTCCAGGCGCCGGCAGTAGCCCTAATGGTGCAAGCTCTAAGCTCTAACGATGATCATGACGCACCTGCTCGGAAGCAAACCACAGTGATGTCAGCGGTCTGTGAGGCGCCGCGCCGCCGACGAGTTGATCTTCGAATGGCCCCTCCTTCACCATTATCTGTAGCCATTTACGGAATAGATGTACACAAATTTGTTGATTGAAGATCAGTAGTACATGATAAGGAAGTAAATTGTTTTCGACAGATTCATTGAGAAAGTAGCTTTCGACATTTTTTCGACCAAGTAAGCACTGGCATTTCTGAACACATACACACTCAACTTTGGGACCAACCTGCATCGTGAAGAAATTCCTGCAGAGATCAGAGCAGACTTCAACCCGACCGACAGTGCTACTTTTTGATCGCATCCTACCGCCACGGGACAACCAACAGCACCACAGGCACTATGTCTGGTCTCGACCCATCCGGCCCATCGCAGCCGACACAACAACAAGGACTCAACCAAGCTGGCAACCCTGCCGATAAGACATCCGCCGAAGGCAGGCAGCACAAACAAGCGACCAGTCTGCCAAAGTCGACTCACGCAGTAAAGGCGATGTTCCCTCCACGCACGACGGCGAAGCACGGCCGAGTGCCCTAGGCGCAGGCGATACCGGCGCTCTCAAAGAGAAAGACATCTCAAGATCAGACGCCCACCCGTACTCGAAAGACGGCAACCTCGAAGGCGAACAGATGCGAGCACCAGGTGAGGGCGACGTGGCGGAAGCAGTGAGATCTGGTGGCGGCGGTGGACACCTGGGGCAGGAAGACTTGATGTCGGACATGGATCGGAAGGCGAAAGATCACGAGCTCGAATTGAAGAAACGGGGCGAGCGTACGGGCAAAGAGATTGAGGAGGAAGAGAAAGAGGACTGGACGAACAAGCGTGCAGATGTTGGCGAAGCGCTCGCGGCTACTGGTACGCCTGTAGTGCTGGCGCCGGAGGGCGCATCATGATGAATTCCGGCATCAAGGTTTCCCAGTCTACGGAACACGTCGACACGATACTAGTCGTTTTGCATTTCATGAAACAAAGCTGCCTGCTCGCAGCACCGAAACATCGCCGAGAGCAGCTTGAAGGGATCAGTCGCCGAGCATTGTTGGAGCACATTCAGTAGTGAGACATACATTACAACAAAGGCATTTGTCAATGCGCTATTGAGAACAATGAATTCCTGATCCCCTTCTATTGCGCGTCAAACGCGCCATATCGCAACTTTGAGGCTTCTCTTGGTGACTGCAAAATGCAGCGCACCATGCCAACCTTCATCGTGAACAGGCAATTCGACTTCAGAGAGCAGCGCTCGGACTGGTCCGTGACCTGAAACAAGAGCATTCCGCTGAACTCGCTGGCCGCCAACGACATCGCACAGGCCCTCGCCTAGATTCTTCAGCTGCAACGAGGTGAAGACACTGCGACTGCAGCGGCGGCAGTAAAAAATGTGTTATTGTGCACGCTCAATCTTCCTTGGGTGTGGGCATGCCATGCAGAGCCAGCAGCCAGTTCGATGCGATGAACGCTGCCCCACGCCATCACACGGAGAAGCAGGAAGCCGAAGAGCATCAGCAACACCCAGTCTCACCGACTCGATATCCACCCGGCCAAGTTCAAGGACGACCATCGGCAGTCTCGATGACTGCAACTTACCAACAGAATCGGTGCCAGAGATGCCAGAGAGACCTCCATGCAGGATCAAAATGTCGCACCCGCTCTTCACACATCGAGTTCCAGGTCCCTGTAATACCTGCTGGGAAGAGGTACAGTATCGGCTTGCAAACTTGGAAGACTTAGCAGTAGTTGAAACACACCGGAACTTCATCACCAAGTCGAAGAAAGAGAAGGTCATCTTCGAGGGCAGGAAGCCGAGACAACTTCGACTTGTGGCTATGAGGGATGCTGAGAGGGCGGCCGAGGCCGAGGTTCAGGCTGACGCCGAAGCTGGTGAAGCAAGAGACTTACCTAACCCGCAAGGGACTCCGGGCAAGGAAAATGTGACGACAATGGAATATGTTCGTGGCCTGTGGGTCCAGTCGAAGGCGATGGCTGTTGGCATGAGAAGTCCAGACAGTCTCAGGGGGAAGGAATTCGCTGAGATGGATGCTACTGTGAAAGTCCTGCGGCTGTCAATGGACAGAGAGGACTTTGCGGCTGTGGCTCGAGAGATGGACGCAGGTTGAGCTGTTAGCCATAATTGCCGTGGAAAAGCATGCTCGCCGCAATGCACACATCTTGGGCCGGGCTCTGACAGACTTTGGCTTGGGTGAGAGTGCCATGAGAGGCAGCATCGTTTGGAAGGCGCACCAGCTCCAGTACAGAATGTTCAGACGCATACGGATCGCGTAGCTGCTCGAAACTCGGGCGCAACACATCTGGAGGACTTCATACCGCGCAGACAGAAAAGCTCACTCCGCCGTGCTCTTGGCATGCGCTCCAGAACGATCGAATGTACCTGGTTCGCAGTGCGTACTTCTTGTAGCTCAATGATATTAGATGGGGAATCTTGGCACTTATATGCTAGGAGGTCGGGCATCGTACCAAGTTGAGCAGCCCTCGCTTCTGGCATATGACAGCTAGCTACGTGTGATTCAAGGAGTAGAGAAGTTGTCGCGAGCTCTTGGTACTGAGCTACATGTGTACACGTCGTGCCCAATCAGAAAGCTCCAGTTTCAGTGGAGCTTGGCTTGCTTGCCAGTGCTCCAATTCCGCCCGCGCTTGCAGCTTCGAGTTCTAGCCGACTGACTGCCCGCCTCTAACGGTGTCAACTTTGTAGCAGCTCACAGTCGACCACAACAAATACTCTGCTCCCGAGCATATTCTCAGACGACGCCAGATATTCAACCTCGCTCGGTTTGTACGCCTGCGGCCGTCTTCGTCCTGCGCGAATCCAGTATTGCCTCGATCTCCCACTGTCCTGGCAGCCGCTGCGCTGCGACCTCCGCAACATGCCTACTCCCGAATCTGAGCTCTTCCTCAAATATAAACCGACGGTTCCTCCAACATTCAAAGATGTGGACATGAAAGATCATGACGCGGTGATCAACGCCAGAGACGCCATTATCCGGGAGCAATGGGTACAGATCATGATGAAGCGGTTAGTTGCTGAAGAGCTTGGCAAATGCTACAGAAAGGAGGGCGTCAACCATCTAGAGAAGTGTGGCAAATATAGAGGTAGGCTTCGTCGACGCGCACAACGTTTGGATGCAGACATAGCTGACCATGCGTTCAAACCAGATCGATATCTCCAGATGCTCAAGGAACGAGGAAAGTACCAAGCAACGGGTTATATCGGCAAACAGAAGTCATACGTGCCAGGTGTGGATGGTCCGGAAGCTCCTGAGGTCCCCACCAACTTCCCCACTGTGCAGGAGAGATTGGGCGCGAAGGCTCATCGAAACAGAAGGGTATCACGAGTGGTCTGGGGGGCAATACGTTGTATGACTAAAAATTTGAGAAGCCAGATGCTGGTGCGGCGACAGATTTGCGAGCGAAAGGTAGCGACTGGGAAATGATACGACTGGTCCTGTGAAGCGAAAGGCATGCTTTCAAGCGCTCGCCTCGAACTCTTATTGCTGCTTCGAACGGCACCACTGCATCAACACGACTTCGATCCCCTTACTAGTCAAGTGCATGACTGTCCGTAGGACGCATCATCCTAGTAGTCTTACTCGCCAGCACTCGTAAAGTGATCTAGTCATGGCGAATGGCATGTTGCAGTGATTTATGGACGAACTGCCTCGTCCGCCTATTGCCAAGGCATAGGCTGCCTCAATTTGCCTGATTCTAGTTGTCACGTAAACTTCATTTTCAAGGACGACACCGTCCTACACAAACCCTGGGACGCCATACATACCGGCGCTGCCGCTCCACAGCAAACAGGCCGCGCCCCAGATGATCCTGCTCGGCAAACGTGGCCGCAAGCACCGCGCTTCGGACGATGCTGCAGCAGCCGCTACCTACCGCACGGGAAAACGTGGACGGCCGCTGAAAAGGCGAGATGGTCTTTCATCCCGACCACATGAGCAGACTAGGAGTTTGATCACTGAATCTCAGCCAACTGTGGAAGACAACGTGGACTCATCGCAGGCAAGCAGCGAATCTCAGATGTCACCATTCGAGAGACTGCCGACCGAACTCATCCAAAGCATCTTTTTCCTGTCATTAGAGACGAGTCTCGCCAACACATGCCGCTCTTTCAACGGCGCGCTTTCAGACGAGTCAATCTTTCGAACGCTCATCTTGTTCGCCTACTTTCAGCCAGAAGAGGGAGATGACGATGATATTACCACTTGGGAGAGGCGAGCGGTGGAGGAAGAGCACTTCCGTCCAGCACAGTACCGACTCCTCGACTTTCGAGAACGAGCTAGACTCCAAGAGACAATACTAGGATACCGTTGGTGTACTAAGGCTCGAATAGATGCGTGCATGCCGGTTCTGTGCCGCCTCGCAATGGTGCAAGCTTGGCACAGAGAGGCCCACAGGGAAGAGATGGGAGGCGATGCGTTGTTGCTACCAGATCTGCACGATGAGTCCGCCATGAGGTCGTATTACGAGGCATACACAAATCCCGACGAGGACACCGAAGTCGATGGAGCCTTGCGACCATGGATTTATTCGACGCGATCGATGTGTGCGCGTGCCGCTGTAAAGGAGACAACAAAGTTCACATCCAATAACTCGCCGGTCCTTGCCACGCTCACAATTCCGCCAAAACTTCTGCGCGGCTCTCCTTGGACGGAACAAAAGTTTTCGTTTCTCAAGCTTCTGTTCGGAGGATTGTTAGGTGCCACGGGGACCGGGGACTTCCTCCCAGCATACACAGGTGAAGAGGGAAGGAACGAAGAGACTGCAAACGCAGCGTTTCAGGGAATGGAGTCTGCCATGCTGGAAGGTCGTCCCGATATTCTACTGTACTTGCTGGAGAGATGGGAGATAGCGTTGGAGGAGCATCCAGAGAAGCGTACGCTACCGCAGAGATTGTTTCGGGTTGCACTGGACCAGGGACACGATCGAACCGCTAATTATCTTGCTTTACTTTTCAAAGTTCAGCAGGACCTCCACGGTGCATATGAGGAAGCCTTCACAGCCTGGGCATTGCAAGCTCGGCGTCAAGGTAGCGCTCTGGGACAGTGGATTCTGGACAAGCTGGAGGCGCCGCCTGGCCAACTCATCCAGCTTCCTGAAGAGGTCGCGGTTGCGAAGTCCTAAGAAACTCAAATCCGGATGGCGGCTTCAATGCTTCGGGTAGTTTCGAGTCATGTGGACTTCGGCACAGCGTTGCAACATCAGGCAAGGTCCTCGAGTATGTCATCCTCACAGTCTTGTCGGCACAGTATTGGAACTCGATCTCGTCCGACATCATACTGAGCATGCAATCGCCCGTGCTCTATAGCTATGACCTCACCCAGGCTTTGAGATGCAGATACCGCTTCTTCGCGCCAACTGAACAGCGTCGTCCCTCTCGAGATCACTCTCGTCCATAGTAATAGTTCATGGCGCCACTAATCCAGAACGTATGGTTCCCACGGCTTCCATCCTCGACGCACACTGGATTCGCTGGTTCCGCTGGTTCCGCTTGCTCGAATCGATTCTTCCACCACGGCTCCTCTTTGCGCGCCTGCTCGGGAGGCTCCTCTTTGCACGCCTGCTTGGCTTGCTCTGATTCGATGTGTTGAAAGAGCCACGAGGCGAGCTCGTCGAGAGTGCCTTGGTCACCTTCAAGCAGCTCAGAGAGCTCAGCAGCGACCTGTGTCTGGGTCTTGCCGTTTACCAGCATCAACACAATGTACTCCGCGAGCAAAGTGTCGTCGTCTCCCGTCCATCCTTCTGACGCGATGTGATTGTGTACTGACTCAGTGAGCGCCTCGGTCGAGATGTTGACTAGGACACCGGTTGCCATGCGCGTCTGATCGGGACGCTCCTCCTTACGAGCCTGCTCAAGGGACCCCTTTTTGTGCGCCTGCTCGAGATGCTGCTGCTTGCGCGCCTGCTCGGGGTGCTCCTCGTAGTACAAATCAACCATCTTCTGCAATAGTTCCTACCACAGCAGCAAAATAGTCAGTTCACACGGATCACAATACAATCCACCGGCGTCAAGGGCTTTCAACTCACGTCATAGTCTCCCCGGGTCCTCACATTACTTGGCTCAGCTCAAATCGAACGTGTGCTCTCTCAAGCGCATAATGGAGGCCTTCCTTGGCCTTGTCGGTGAACACTGTCGAGAGTGTGTCGTCAAACGCGATGTCTTGAAGGTATTTGCAGCCTTGAACGACCGAGCTGAAGCGGGTGCTCTGCGTAATCAGCTCGAGACTGGCGGCGATGGTTACAGCGGCACGGTCATTCGCTGCCATGACTGACTGGTTGGTTGTCGGACTTGTTGGTGGTTCTGGCATCGTCAAGCCATTAATGCTGCAAAAAAGAGTCTTTGGAATGCCTTGTCGCCCGTGCCTGCGCTGTCACCGTCACCCCTGCCAACCACTTCACGACTTCAACACCTTCACTTGCCGGACGCATATCACAACACCGCCTTTGCGCCCCACCTTCAACAATATCAAGTGATGTTTCTAGGTCAACAAATCATGCGGATCCCCGCTCCTTCGCACTCTTGCAAACTCTTCTCGCTACCAAGTCCTTCCACGAACCTCTCTCAACCCAGACGTTCTGATGACCGCCTACACGCAACAGACAGTTTGAGACAGCCACATTGCGACACGCTACCTCCATCGCCTCGCTCTAAACAATCGCGCTACGTATCTCCGTACCGTCAAGTAGCAACGCAAAATTCGCTGCAAAGCAAGATCTTCACGAACAAAGACAACTCTGCCACTGAACGAGGAACGTGCTTTGAACGTGACGATCAATAACTCAGTCGACACAGTACCCCTTTCTTGTATCATCGACGCGTTGCGGCTTCGGCTCAGTCAGCTTGCTCCTTCGCTCTGCCGCCCTCGACCATAAAGTCACCTCTCTCAACCTCCCAAAATCCGGACAAGTTACACACACAATGGCTCGTTCAAACAACCATACCAAAGACACTAGAACTTTCGACGAGCGCCTTAACGGTCCGCTTGCGCCCCAAAAAGGTCATCAGCAAAATCCGAAGCGACTCAGCAGTGCGCGAAATGGTCAGACTCCACACAACATAGGCAAGGCGAAGACCCAGGTCTTAGCGGATAGTACCAATGTTACCAAACCTCAAAGTTCTCGGCGCACCGAGCCCAAAAGTGGTCTACCAACAAGTACTCCCACTGGTCCCCGCGGAATGCGCACCAACAATGATCAAGGCCGTCGCCACAACAAGCACAAGACCAACGAGCAAACGAATCAGCCTCCGGCGAGAGGCCGTCATGCCAGAGACGATGAGAGCCCGACCCATGCCTCGACCACAGGCCGTCATGCCAAGAACGATGAGAAATCGGGTCAATCGCCCATCACTGGTCGTCATGAGAAGGTCGTCAAAGAAGATCGTTCAGGTCGTGGTGGCTCTCCCAATGCACGACAGCGCCATCGTGACAAAAAGCCCGATGGTCACGCCAGCTCCAGCTCGTTCGACAGTGGCAGTGCTCCGTCGATCTCTGATACCTCCAACAGCCAGCAATCCAAGTTTCGCATATCCGGTCAGCAGCACGGCGATCGCAAGCCAGGCAAGTCGCACAATAACTCCGAAGGCAATACGACAATTACCACTCCCCAGCCCTACGCGGGTGGCCACAACATCGACGCCAGTCGCTATGCGCAATCAGCTTCAATCCCAAATGCTGGTCAACCAGTGGTCGTTCAATCTCCCTGCCTCATCACGAACGATTACTTGGCTTACCTGTTCCAAATCCATTTTCAGCATCGATATCAACATTTGATCATTGATGAGACCAAGAGGTTTACCAGCTTGGTCCTCGACATCAACGCCTTCTTCAAGCAACCGTACTACCTACCTGGAGGTTTAGGATGTGCGTTGATGTCTGGAGAGAACGAAGACAGCACGCAGAAGTCACTCGGCGAATACCTTGCAGCGTTCATGAACACGGTGGGCTTTGTCATTCTGACAGAAGGACAACGATTCGCCTGGAGAATGGCAGACGAGTTGACGCGCTACCAGTGGGCGAACGATGCAGCTCAGCGATACAGCCCACTCGTTGACGGCGTCAACGGAACTGGCAGAGAACGAGCAGTGGTGTGGAACCGACGCCAAGAACATGACCAGCAACTCGATGCGATCGCCCGAGCTAATTCGAATGGAACCTTGTGCCGATACTATGATGCCGAGGACGGATGCAAGCCACCGAAAGGGAGATCATGTGCATTCTATCATCCCGTATCATATGATAAGAGGACATACGAGGAGTATGGGGCTTCGCTGGCAGCAAAACGAGACGACGATGCCAAATGGCAGGCTCTCGGCAAGTTTGAGCAGCTCAAGCGATCGTGCCTTCGAGGCATCAAAGCCCTGATGCAGAATAACAAGCTCGATTTCCACGGCCTGTTCAGCGAGGACGGGCACACGATCTCTGATGAGAAGGAGTATGAGGAACTCATGAACGCTCTGCCCTTGGCTCCGGACGGTGAAGACAAGAAGTTTTATCAGTGTGTCATTGACTCGTGCGTACCAGAGTCGAAGATGAAGGAACGAAAGATGAAGATGGAAAAGATGAAGGAGGCCAAGTTGCAGGAGGCCAAGTTGCAGGAGGCCAAGTTGCAGGAGGCCAAGTTGCAGGAGGCAAAGATGAAGGAGCAAAAGTTGAAGGAGGAAATGATGGAGAAAAAAGCCGCGGTCCTCGCCAATCGCAAGAGAAACTGCAAGTCCGGCGATGCCAAAGTGACCAGTAAGGTCAGCCCGAAGTCCTCTCCATCTGGGGAGAAAGCCTTGGTCGAGAAGGTCTCTGATGCAACTAGCAAGAAGCGCAAGCAAGACTCCGGCGACGAATCGCCCAGCGACGAGCCTGCTGCGGAGCAACCGAGTAAGAAGCGCAAGCAAGAGGTCGGTGATGATACTATCGGCGACGAGCTGCTCGCGAAGCAATCATGACTTGATAAGCGTTCCACTGAGGCGTCACCGACCAAGATCATGACCGCAGAGTCCCTGAAACGAAAGCGCGACGACGATTCCGATGCCTCAGAGGATATCATGCCTGCTCGTAAGGTGCCGGTACTTGAGGCGGTGAAGAACAAGGTCGGCACGTCTTCGGCACTTGCTCCTGACGAGGGCGATGTCCCCTCTGCAAACTCAGATAGGCCGAAAGCTGTTGCTAGGTCCCGTCGAACGCTGGCCGAGCCAAACATGCCAGTCCCAATCAAGCTGCCAGCATCTATGGCCACTGGCGCATCTACGAAGCGAAAGCGTGACACGGATGGTGCTGACGGTCCGATCGATCCTCTTCCTACGAAGAAGCTGCGACCGTCCGCAGAATCGACGGCGTCAAGGACACCATTCGTGATTGCCAGCATCCAGCAACTGCCTCCACCATCTCCGTCCAGTGCTAGCAGCAGAACCTCGCGGTCGAGTCTTTCGCCCAGCTCTGCCACCGAACCGCCCAGTCCCGTGAGTTCGACGACATCTCTCAGCAGCGAGGTGCAACTGAGCCCGGAACCTGGACGACCTGTGTCATTCTCACCATCGACCACTGGCGGCGTTCTTGCTAAGCCCATTCCAGCGATTTCTACGCCTGCAATTACTGATAGCCCCGCTAAAGGCGCATTGCCTGTAGCTGAAGCTAGTGCTTCTGGGCAACGTGACAAGAAGGCTTTGTCAAGCACTAAGCCATTTGTTGCCAATGGGAGAGGTGTTGACTCACAGCTCAACCCGGACTCTCCTGCTCAGGCTCACTCCAGACCCCTGTCAGAGACATCAGACTTGGACTTGATTGGTGGTCCGATCGCAAACTCTTCATCTACAGCTCATCTATCGTCGGCCCAGCTAGCGGCAGATGCACTTGCCGTTATGACTACATGGTCTTCGACTGACGGGCCACGCGAGGCAAGCGATGGCAAATGCAACGGAACCAGTGCCCGTGGTGGCAAGTCCGGGAAGGTGACCACCACATCGAAATGCACGCCAGCAAAGATCACTGCGACGGCTCCGGCTCCTAGTGGCATACCAGTCTCGGGCGGCGACGACGGCTCTGATCCGCCAAAGCCTCCTCAGACGCCTAAGCGCACCACACCCGAGGACAAGGCTGACATCACTCTCGACAACGCCAAGGACTTCGACAAGAAGGGCGCGTTTGTCGTGCAATACTATGCAGATCCCATGACCTTCGAGGAGCACAATGAGTATCAGAATGCCGCAATAGAGCTGAAGAAGCGCGGCAACGTTACGCTGTATCAGAGCAACAAAGCTTGGATTCCTGGAGAGATCAGAACTCGAGGCCTTGATCCTGATATGAGCCCTAAGCGGCGCCAGCACGTCCTGAAGCTCTATCATCTGTCGGAGAGCGACCTTATGGTTCGGCCCCGAGGCGTTGTGGTCTCTTCGACGTGAGTGAGCAGCGAAATTGAGAGAAGTGGAATATGTGCCTCCAGGCGCTACCAAAAAAAAGATCGAAATCCCAAAAACTGACAAAAAAGACAAACGACATTGAGCCGATGCTCAACGAAAGCCGGCGAAGCGCCCATGGCAACGCCAGTCGGAGCGCAGCCCCGACAGAGACGCCGACCAGCGAACTGAGAATACTGCACTGAGAAAGAGACCAAAAACAATCGAAAAGCAAACCAATCGAAAAGCAATGTGCATTATTACCTCCGAAACGACAATGAATTCGCAAAGCAGCCATTGTGCCGCTGATGCAAGGCTCGCAGGACTTGCCAACTCAAGGCAGACTGAACAGCTTGCCAGATGCCCCCATGGTTGGGCTTGAGGCGAGTTTATGGAGTAACGCACTGTCTCCAGTAGACTCAGACGCATTTCCCGTCGATCCACATGCCAGCATGCCCGGTATTCCCAGCCAGAGATGCCAGTCGATCAAGAACACGCACGAGAGATAGTATGTTGAGAGGCTAAGCCTTGGAGAATTCTGCTATGCTCGAGTGCGTTGTTGATTGAGGACGATTGAGACCGAGAACTCACACTGGCAGAAGCGTGAATGGCGAGGGGTCAATGGAGTGCCAGGATCCAACTGACATGATTTATCGGCGGCAGGGAGAGTCTCGACAGAGTGACTGCCGCCTTTTCTCGTCAAGAAGGAAGGCACTACCTATGGCTCACGGTTCCCCGTTGGTCTGCCCGAATGTCGCGACTGCATGATGCAGAAGGCTACGCTTAGGGAGTTATCGTGATTCTCCTGCAATATGAGCTCGAGCCGATCTTCGGAGACGGCTGGCAATGCAGCGGCACTGTATCAACATTACGATTAGCAGCATCTAAGGTTTCAGGAGTGCGTTACATATCAGTGATGGCGTTTACGGATGGCAACAGAGCAGTACAGCACAAACCCTGGATGCTGTCACGGATGGCGCGAAGGGTCAGCACGGTTCACGAATCTTACGATGAGATACCCCAACACAGATAAACGCTGTAGCGATAGTGATTAGCGAGCAATGAATGATCGTTCCATGAAGATCTTTGGCCGTTCGCTCCTTCAGACGATGTGGCAGCGACAACCCTCGCTACTTCCGATGCATAGCTTCTACCCTCCTCCTCACCCATTCATCACATCCAATCTCCTCATACTTCCGCACCCCATCCTCACCCACACAACAATCCAACACACCACAACTCTGCTCCCGATTAAACCCAAAGAAGAACGGCATACTAATCCTCTCCTTCCCCGAGAAGTTCTGCGCGCGATGCACCGTACTAACATACCGATCATTCGTGATACGTTGCATATAATCCGCAAAGTTCACCACAAACGTGCCCTCAATCGGCGGCGCATGCAACCACTGACCTTCCCGATCCAGCATCTGCAGCCCGCCGGCATCGTCCTGCCATAGGATCGTGAAGAGCTGGAAGTCCGTGTGCGAGCCGATACTGACATCTTCCCCCTTCTCACCGTCTCCCCTCTTTGTTGCCGACTTCTCAATCGGCGGATAATAATTCAACGCCAGCGCCGCATCTGGATGTGTGAACTTCTCATCAAAGAACCCCTCCTCCAGCCCCAAACTCAACGCAAATCCCCTGACCAACACCCTCGCCAATGCCAAACACGCCCGCCAATACTCAACGATCGCGTCCTTGAACCCCGGCAGGTTCGCTGTCGCCTCCCACTGGAACTCCTCCGACCTCAAATACTTCGCAATCGCCTCTGGGATGGCATCCACATCCGCCACGTCAGGGTCATACACGGGGTCATACGTCCACGAGAACGTCTCCCGTACATCAACGCTCTCATTCGCGTTGATCTGCTGGCTGTTGGGCGCTTTGTAGCCGTTGTAGTATTTCGAGAACTTCACGCTCGCTTTCTGCTTGGTTTCCAGGGGTTGGCGGAAGAAGGTCAGTAGTTGGTCATAGGCCGCTAAGGGGATAGAGGCGGGGATATTGTGATTGCGGATGTACATGAAGCCATTTGTTGTTGCGGCGGTATGGATCTGGGCGGCGACGGACTGGCGGGCGGAGAGAGAAGGGCTGAAGAGGCCGGAAATATCGATTATGGGGATTTCCGAGGGGAGGGCGGTGCGTATGGGTGTGGTTTTGATGCGCCGGTTGACGGTACCGTTGCCGGAGGCGAGTTTAAGGGTGGTGTAGCTAGGTCATCGACGATGGTGGTCGGCGTGGTAGTGCTTGTTGTTGTTGCCATGATATATGTAAGCTAGCAGGGAAATATCCTGGGCATGGGTACCAGGACGGGACCGGGACCCAGGTCAGCCGCTGAATGTCGAGATCTGGGATTGTTTGCGATTAACTATTGTTGCGTATTTGATGGATGATATGATTGGGTGTCCGACTCTATGCCGACCTCAGTACGCGCGAGAGATGTTCTTGACGCCTGTGAGCTGGATCAGGACAATCGAAGTAGTAAAGGGACTAGACCTCGACGGGTCATGTAGCCTTATCGCGATGTGGCCCCCAGCGGAACCTTCAATACGAACTCCCCCCCACGTGGGCTATGGTAGTGAGGGCTTGGCCCGAAGGCTATACGACGGAGTATGGTTCACGAGGTAGGTCTGTTGTGGCAATTTACAGATTGCAAGATGATTCAAAGTTGAGCTTCTATGCGCCCTGGCGAAGGCAGCAGAAGACACCGCCATCGAGCTAGATAGCTGCCTTGACAAGTGCCCAAAGCCCGCCCCAGCCAGTCCCTTCCGCCATTCCGCGCAGGTAGCCAAGAGAACGACCCTGCATTAGACCTTGGTCTCAGCGTTCACGCCAATCCTCTGCACCGGCTCAGTGGAAATCTCCGACTCAGAAGTCTCTTCGGCCCGTGCGTCCTTGTTGACGGCCCGGATCTCGCAAATGCGGACGACACAGACCCACAAACACATGCCGATGATAAGTCCCAGACTGACCCGATACCCCAAGGCGAACTCTGGCGCGTCCGTGACAGGGTACGCAAACTGCTGCATGAGAGTCGCAACTGCAGCACCGAAGCTGTTCATACACGCCAGTGTGAAAGCGCGAACCTGAGCGTCCCCTGAACACAGAATGTTGGCCCATGAGTAGTAGATTGGCGACAGGGGACCATCGAGACCTGCGAACATGTACGAGACGATGTGTAAGCCTAGGGGAATGTTCCAGGCGATGAGGCAGATAGTGCCGAAGATGAGGATGGCTAGATTGAGAGCAACGGCGTTCATGCGCTTGCCTGTCGCGTCGACATAAACGTTGAAGAGCAGAATGCAGACAATATTGAAACCATTGATGGACGTTGGGATGTTGTTGACCTCATACAGCGACCACTTGTGGTTAGGGTCGTTCTTGAAGAACAGCTGTGCGACAGTGTTCGCGACCTTCCCGACAGTGGTGTTCCAGAAGCAGAAAAGTATGGTTAAGACGTAGATCTTCCAGCCTCCAAAAGCTCGCTTAAACAGTGCCCAGTTGAAGTTGCTGGTCTCCTCACGGCCGTCTTCGACCAGGCGCTCGACACACCTGGCTTTCTCATCGGCAGTTAGATAGAAGGCCTCGGTGTTGTATGGTGTATCTGCCGGTATTGGTCAGCCTGGGACAGGAATTTGAGGGATTCTCAAGTCATATACGAGGAGGAGTTGAACTCGATGTCAGGCAATCGTCAACTAGCCCCCAGAAGAACTTCAGAGATGGCCCAGAGAAATATGAAGCGCCTCGAAGAGAACTATGAAGGTCATGCGAGACAACACCAGAAACACGCATCCCTCGTGCTGAACTGAGAACAATCCCCGGGAGACTGATGACCTGGGCTCACGAAGAGCGGATAGACTTACCAGGGAAGAAAATGTAGCCGTAGATCGCGACGATAACGGTGATGATTCCATCGAAGATGAAAACCCATCGCCTGCATCTGTTAGAACCTGGCCAGGGAGGGCGCTGCTGGAAAAGACTTACCATGCTTCCAGACCGTTACGACCATCCATGTTGGCGATCATGGCGGACTGCAGGTAGCCACTGACCATTGTCCCAACGTAGGCGGCGCAAGCAAAGATGGCAGTCCTTTTGCCGATTTCTGTTCGCTTGTACCACGAACCAAGACAGTACTGGATACCAACGAAGCAAGAGCCTTCAAGTAGACCAACGAAGAAGCGGATGGGGTAGAGCTGCGACGGAGACGTGACAGCATACGTCCCAATCGTCAAAGCACCCCACAAGAATTCAAGACCTGGCAACAGCATACGCGGTCTGATGCGCGAGAGCAGCAGGTTCGCAGGGATAGGTCCCAAGATCTGACCAACTTGGAAGCAGGTGACTGCCAGGTTGAACTCGGTGCCCAACATGCTGAGGTCTTCTCTCATACCACTGCGCAAGAGGAAGGATTAGTCAGTCGTGAAATTTTCGTGGAGGCCGCCCTGCGATGCGGGTGATGAGAACTTACCTGACGTAGGCATTGGACAGATTGCTCTGATCAAGCCACTTGGTGAAGTAAGCCAGACAGCCATAGCTCAGAATGAAGAAGTCGATTTTGTGAAGCAGCTTCTTTTCGCTGCTTGATGTGCCCTTGGGATACCAGAGGAAGAACTCTGGTCGCTCTGCGCCATATGACGAGGCGAAGATATTCTTCGCATAGTAAGAGATGGACAGCGCCATGACGGGTGACTGTTGAAAGCGAAGATGAACCTCTGCGACCGTCAAAGCAGGAGGTCTTATCTCTTATGGATGTTGCAGGGTTGGCCAAGGTCGTGTGCAGCCCAACAGATACACCGTCCAGACTCTTCCGGGAGGGGTCTCGACTTTGAAGGCGAACGTCGACCAGGTACTTTATCGTGGTCTCCCCACCAGATCTGTGGGCGTATACCACATTCAGACTAAAGGGTCTGATATGCGGAAGAAGCGGGCATGCCCGCTACCACTAGCGAGTACACTAGGGATACCCTCGGGGGTAGTAGATAGCGTAAAGCCAATCAAAGCAGCGAGAAGGTCGATTTTGGAGTCTGCCACGGCGTTTGAGCGATTGCCGTCGCACACGGTTCCCACGGAATGGTCGTGGGACACAACCACGAGGGTCGGACTTGTGCTCTTGATGCCCCACGAGTTGGAGTTCGGTAATCGGAACACGTACTTCGAGATAAGTCGTCTGAGTCCAGTGATATTCAGCCGCAGAAGTAGTCGCGAAGCGCGATCTTGACCAGGCCATCACTATGACAGAAGTTCTCAGCAGCACGTCCGCTATACCGCCGTCAGGCTATGAGGTGGGCATCAGTCAAATCCGGGGTCGCGCCGACTGAGACAATGTATAGGACAGTAGCAAGTATGTCTACTTCCACTCCGGGACGGTAAGTCGTGTCTGTATACCGTAAGAAGAACAGTGTTGAGTCGTAACGTGCAGGAAGCAACATACCGCAAAGTAGCGGACAATCCTACGGGCTTCACCTCCATCCCTACCATTGACATTGCCAACATCGATGGCAACCTGGAGCAGCGTGAAGCAATTGCGAAGAAGATACACGACGCCTGTTCATCATGTGGTTTCTTCTACATCAAGAACACCGGGATTCCTGAATCAGCAATGTCGGATGTCTTTGCTTTATTGAAACGGTTCTTCGCCCTCGACCTCGAAACCAAAATGGACGCACACTCGCAGAAGAACCCGGCAATTCGCGGCTATGAGCCAATGGGCGAGACCAAGCTTGATCCACGGACCAAGGGAGGTAAGGCTTGAGGATCCAGGCACTGCTGTCGCCAGGCACTGACGGGCGATAGATGTAAAAGAGGCCTTTACGATGGGTGACTGCTTCATAGATGCTGAGCAACGCTACACCGAGAAGACAGGCAAACAGCCGCCATACGGTGTCACACAATCGCAAAACATCTGGCCGGAGAAAGCACCTTGGTGGAGAGAGGGCGTGTACCAGTATTACAATTTGGTCTTCCCATTGGCGATGAAGCTCGTCAAAATCCTGGCACTGGCATTCGACCAGGAAGAGACTGCATTCGATTCGATGTTCAGTGAGTGTAGCAGACCGAGGTGAGCTCTAAGAAGGGGTCAGCTAACGCCATGACAGAGTTCCCGATAACCGGCATGCGGCCGCTGTACTACCCACCAACTCCCGTAGATGAAGACGCCAACAGCGTCGGCTTAGGCGCACATTCAGACTTCTCCTGGCTCACGCTGGTGTTACAGGACAATGTGACAGCGCTCGAAGTGCTGAACCAAGACGGTCTGTGGGTTGATGCGCCACCGCAGCCAGGCACATTTGTATGCAACGTCGGCCAGTATTTGGAGCGGCAGAGCAATGGCATCTTCCCAGCAACAGTGCATCGAGTGCGGAATAAGACCGGCCAGGCGCGATACTCGTTGCCGTTCTTCTTGACGCCTGATCTCGACGCCACAGTCGATGTTCTGGACTGCTGTATAGGTGATGAGGGCAAGAAGTACGAGGCTGTGGATGTAGGAGACCTGTACATTCGACGAGTGCTACCCGCAAGGAAGAAGCATCCGACGGCGATCAGGTATCAGGATGTGCCGGAGAGCGAGTGGAAGTATCAGATGCTACTGTCGTAGTTATGAGAGACATTATGGAGCTTGTTGTGAAAGACAGAGTAGTGAGGCTGTTAGTGCAAGACGTTTTCGATAGAAGCTGGTTCACCACTTGGCCGCTTAAGTCGTCATCGTGGTCATCCTTTCGAGTCAGACAGTCGTTTGCTGGGTCGACCGCATAGCACGACTGTAACCATGCCCTGCTGGAAGATTGTCGAATCACGCCCTGTCGTCGAGCTTATACATAGAAACGTAGAGTACTATGTTGAGTCTCGAACGGATGGAGGTCTCTACACGCGCCAAGCAATAAATAGGTAAGCACGATCCGTTTGATCCATGCCTCGTTAAGACAGAATGCCAACACCCGCGATGCTCCACGAAACTCTGGGAGAGTGGAATGTAAGCGCAAACAGATCATTAGCACTTCACGAGCTTGGATTGGAAAGACGGAAGCTATGTGTGTCTTCAGAAGGGTTCCGGCAGCACACAGCGATGTTGGATTTCGGAAGCCACGCCAGCCAGTGGCTCCCTCTCTATATACTCCGCAAATATTTACGAGTCGTTGTCCATTAAAAGCTTGCTTCTCTTCTCAACGTGGTCTGAATCGCTGTAGTATTCAACCTTGCATGTCTGGTGTATATACAAGTCCTCAAAGCAAATTGCCGCTCGCTAGCAGAAAAGTAGTCGATCATCGCAGATCATTAGATAGCCATACCCATGCCAGCCGGCTCATCGGCCGACCCTGACCTAATCTAGACGGTCCAGAAGGGGCCATGCGGCGGTCTTGGAAGCCCATCGCACTGGCAGAGTTGCTACGGCGTCGTTGAGGCGCGCTGGGCATAGGGAGAGGTCCAGCTGCACCATACGGACCAGGGGACTGGCTTCGCTTGGGGCCTGGGCCACGCATGGGACCTGGGGAGAGAGGTCGCGGGGCTTGATTGTAAGAGCCTGCTGGGCTCATGGGACGGTCGCCTCTAGGGGGACCGCGATTTGGTCCACGCCCGCCAGCTGGTGACATGGGACGCATGGGGCCTCGACCGCCTGCTGGAGACATTGGACGACCGCCCATGCCAGGCGACATTGGGCGACCCATACCTGGCGACATCGGACGACCCATAGCGGGGCTGTTGCGACCGCGAGGATCACCTGCAGGAGACTGTGGGCGGCCACCAGCTGGGCTGTCGCGACCATTGCCACCAGGTCCGCGAGCATACTGGCCGAGATGGGATGGCTTAGGCTTGCTCGGCTTGGCAGCGAGGCATGTTCGTGGGACAACACCTTGGTGTGAGCGGTCGAGCTTGATGCAGAGGGCCTGTCTTTGTCAGCATTGGTGAAAGTATCAGGGAGGAACACGTACCCATCCGTCATCATATTCGTGAAGCAGGCGGACCAATTGACCAGACTTCAGCTCAAGTTCGTCGTCCATGGAGGGTACGAAGTCCATGAGCACGCGGTAGACATTGCCACCCTGCTGACTTGCCGCGCTGCTTGCCACACTTGGGTTCGGCGAGCCTGGAGGGCCGCTGGCAGCGGCAAATGCTGGAGATGGAGCAGGTCCTGGAGAAGGCAGCACATCCTTGGGCGCCTCACGCGGCGCTTCATTGCGTTCTGGCCTGGGCTGCTCCATGGGGCGTTGTTTTGGTGCCTCATTGGGCTCCGGGCGGTTCTGGTCAGGACGAGGTTCGCTCTTCTTGTTGGCCATGACCGCGGCTGCAGCACCTGTAGCCAGAGCAGCGCCTCCAAGGGCAGCCGCGCCGGACATGCCTGGTGAGGATGGGGCTAGGGAAGGTGTTGCTCCCATGATGGGCAAGTCAATTTCGGATCTAGCAGTCGGCAAAGGTGCTGGAATCGGTGCTGGAGTCGGCTTGGGTGGCAGAGCGAGCGGCTTCGGTTGTGGTGGCAGTTGAGGTGCAGTTGGGGCATCGTAGCCGGCAGGTGCGGTAGGCCAAGATCCTGTGAAAGCAATGCGATCTGTGTTGGGAGCTGTTGGTGGTGCAAGTGGTGCCATAGGAGGAGCCGCTTTTCTGGCAGTGCCTGCCATCGGACCACCCATAGGAGCACCCATCGGACCAGCCTTCTCGGGATCGGCGAAGGGGTTCTTTGGGTCTGCGAAAGGATTCTCGACTGGCGTTCGTGCACGGTTCTGGGGTCCTGGCGAGCCAGAGCGAGGTCCGTTTTCTGCTACTGTGTTGAGCATGTTACCAGCACTCCTCCTGTTACCACCGAAGCCAAAATCGCCAAGCAGATTGCGGGACATGGGACGAATGCTGAGACGAGGAGCCGGGCCAGCAGTGCTGATTGCTGGGCTGTTCTGCATATTGATTGCATTTCGTGTCGCGCCGAAGGTCTTCTTCTCGTCTACGTCTCGTGCTTCCTGCTCTCTTTGTTGCTTCTTCTTCTTGCCGATGCAGAACAGGGCCAAAGCAGCAATCAAGCCAATAGCAGCAATTATACCGATGGCAATCCCCGCCTTCGCACCGGTTGACATGCCGGGATCGCTTGTCGAGGAGCTAGAAGTTGACGTAGAAGAGGTGGCCGATGCTGCAGCGTTCGAAGCCCTCGAAGGGCTCGCACTGGAGCTGAGGCTCGTGCTCAGACGTTCGGTTGGGGCCGCGAGCGGAAGACTGGCAGACGAGGAGGTGGTGTCAGGACCGGCAGTAGCAGCATTCGGTATACTTGCAGGAGCTGCGATGTTGTTGCTGGCGGACGCTGTCGCGGTGTTCTGGGCTGCGGAGGCTGTGGGAGTATCCGGGTCCAACGTTGTGAAGCCGCCAATAACGCCATCAAACGTGGGAGAGGCTGTGACATATGTGACCGAGTAGACAACGCCATTGATTGTTGTCAGACCGCCCTGGCCATCATCTTGACGCCGGTGGAGATGCAGATGATTATGTCCCATCTTGACGGTGGTTTGGGGCGCGTCTGAAGGGGAGAGCGCTGCGAATTAGGCTGTGACGATGCCGGTGATCGGACGAAGATTGCAGCGAGGCAAGAGGTTGATATAAAGTGACCAGCGCGACTTCGTGATCGACACGTGCGTGACCGTGAATAGGTTCGACTTGATATTGTCGTGTTTGAATAGAAAGAGCGGCAGTGAAGACGCTGATGAACGAAGGGCAGCAGCCTGTCACAGAAATCGGTTGAAAAGAATGTAAGGTGCCGGAGGCGTTTGCGCGTGCAACAAGAGGCTCAAAGGGAGGAGCCTTCAGGCGACGACGAGGCAAAGAAGAGAAGATCGATTCAAGGAGGACAAGACAGGAGGCGTTATTCGAGTCTCTGGCGCTGCGAGATCAGGTCCAGTCGAAGACGTTAGCTTTGGACTACAACTAAGAGAAGCTAGAATTCTCAGGTAGAACGGAGACCCGGCGGGAGTCGTCAAGTACCGATTGGTGTACCTGACGGCAACGACACGCTAAAAGCAAGCCAACCGCGCTTAGGGCAGCCCACCGGAAATTGCGGACAAAGTGCATGAACATGGGGCAACCGTCACCATCGCGACATTTGACGATAAGCAAGCACACCGTTGATACGAGTCAGTCGAACATGTGCAACACTATGATGCCATGATTGTCAGGCAAGCGAAGTCGTACGATCCATTACACAGCATGGAAGCTCAACAGCACAACCAAGTCTCAGCTGGTCGACGAGCATATGCATCTCAGCAGAGTGATCTTATTGCAGTCTATGATCTTGAAGATTGCTCAGGGGTCAGCTATCTTGCAGCCGTGATGACTGGAGAGTTTCCAAGCATTGAACCCCAACATGTCAATTTACATCAAACACGCCGTCCATCGGCCAATCACTGATGCCTGTAGCCAAATCCGAGGGTGCAATACTATCAAGCAATCAACCTGGACGACTACTGCTATCATAAGCTATGAACTCTTCAATATTCGGTCACGACAACGGCCGTCGAAGTTGACACTGGTTGAGCGACCAAGCCCTTCGTGATGTCGAGGCTCGTGCCCACCTGAACCTCGTCGAAGTGGTTGTAGCAAGGCACCCTGACATATGAGCTAGACGAGATCAACCTAGTATTAACAGGTCTTCTTCAACCGTGCACGCCTACGCAACGAACCTACGAAGGCACTTCATCATGCCACAGACGCTGGCGCGCGACGTCCTTGGTGTATGTGCCGACTCAGACACGTAGATGGCATGTGCTTCAGGGTTACCCATTCGATATTGGCGGCAATCGTCACACCGCCTGAAGCTGTTGGCGCAACGGATGCTGGAGTGCGTCTTCCGCAGTCAATCTTTGTGTGATGTCGAAGCACACCGTCCTTGAGACAAAGTCGATAGTTGCAGGCGATGCTCCGGGCAGTATGCTGTCCCATGGCTTTCCATCGAAATGCTTGAATGTTACTTTGTCCCAGTCCGGGTACGTCGTAGCGGTTGGCCAGGTCTCATCTGTAGGTGTTCCCAACGTGGTGAACATGGATTTAATGAGTCCAAGCTCACTACCCAGCGGTCCTCCGTCGAAGATGGGCAAACCGTCGTTCTTGAACATTTCGCCCACGACGCAGCCAGCCGCCCACATATCGAGGGACGTGTCATAGGCTCTGTGACCGAACAGTAGCTCTGGAGGCCGATAGCATGTAGTTCCTACATCTGTGATCTTGCTATCGGCTGCCTCTGAATCAGGATCGCGAGGTGACCATGCAATCCCGAAGTCAATTAGATACATTGGGCCGTCCATGCCTTCCAGAAGGATGTTAGAAGGCTTGATGTCGCGATGAATGATGCCCAAGCTGTGAATGTGGGCCAAGGCTTCGAAGAGACCTTCAAAAACCATGCTCTTCTGTCTTTTGGTGAGACTACCGGTCCTCAGCAGATTCTCCAGGTCTTGTCTGAGGAATGGAAAGACGAGCACGAAGCGGCCGCCAGATTCGGCGAACGTCTCGAGAAGGGGAACAACTCGCTGATGATGGCATTCTGCCAGCAGTCGCGCTTCCCGCTTGACGTTGTGTGGGGGTGATAGTGTGGCTGGATGAGTGACCTTCAGTGCGACGATCGGAGAAGGTGCGATCCAGCTCTTATCTTTGGCCTTGAAGATGGTGGATGTCTGACATCCTGGTGGAAGGTGGCGAAGAGATAGTGGCCCATGGACGGACCTTCAGGGTTGAGGACCTCGTCGGGGTCTGCACTCACCGTCTCAGGGTCCGGCTCGTTGAACACCTTTGGTTCGAGATGAGCGACAAGCTTGTCGAGCATGGACTGGTACTCGTGGTTGCTGTTAGAGCTCTTGTAGATTTCGTCCTCGAAGGCACGAGCCTGCGTCCTGGCCTCGGCATCATCTTGACCAGCGTGCGCCAAAGCAGAAGTTCTGTTCCGTATGAGTCGAGATTGAGTTGCTGTCGACACTTGGCTTACAAGGCAACCACATTGCTGAGACGCTCCGCAAAACCTAGATCCATAGCCGACTGTCGTCACAAAGTACAGGCATGCTCAGGCACACATCCCAAGCGCTCGCCGTGATCTCTGACAGAAAGATCTTGCCTTAGGTGCAATCGAGCCAGGGTCGGCGAGTAGTGGTCGACACGGAGGTGGATGTAAAAGATGCCAAAGTTCAGCCGGGCGATGCTTTTTCTTTGACAGGGATGGCGAGTTGGAGAGTGATGCTGACCTCGCTTCCCCGGCTCGCCGGACGAGCAGCAGCTTCTAGAAAACATCCTTGCGATAACTCGCAATTTCAACGCTCTTCGTCGCACAGTCTGCACTTGACTCGAATCGCTGCCTCCGAATGTAGAGCAGCTACTGTCACCATTGCATTGGCTTCCGTACCGCGACTGGCAGAATGGAGGCCAGAACAGAGTATCCCGCCCTCCTGGTACGCCTACAACACTGCATATTTGGACCGTGGCTGACATGTTGCGCCAGGCGAATTTGACCCCGGACCAAGCCGTCTCTGTCTTCAACGATCGAATAGCGCTTATAAACAAAGTCAACAGCGACATTGCCGACTGGCTTCAGGTAAGCACGGCACAATGGCGCAAACGATGTCTCGAATAACACAGCTTGTAGGAAAGGCGCAAGGTGGAGGAGGCTTATGTTGTTGGCCTCAGGAAGCTTGGAAGCCGTCCGCAAGGTGATGCTGCGGCGCTTGGGTGAGCACAACATCAGCTTCATTAGGGACTCGAGACTAAGAGCAGCAAGCATCTTCCAGCTACCATGGCAGCGCATTGTTTCCGGTGTCGAGAACTCGGCCGCCTCCCACGAACGCCTCGCCCAGAAGATCGAGAATGACATAGAGAAGCCACTACGACAATTTCAGACCCGCGACAGTGAGATGAAGTCGGCTTCGAATTCGCAGCCCAATCTCGCCAACATAGCAAAGGATCTCAGCACGGCGCAAAAGAAGGCGGCAAAGGCTAAGGCTCAAGCACTGTCGTCGAAGATGCCGCTCGCCAATGGGAGTCCCAAGCGCCCTTCATCTTTGAGCAGCTGCAAGCGGTCGACGAGAGACGTGTCAACCATCTCCGCGATATTCTTACACAACTACAGACACACGAAGCCGATCAGATCGAAAGAAGCCGTGCCAGTGCTGAGTCGTGTCTGAACGCGCTGCTGAATCTGGAGACCGCGGACGAGATCAAGATCTTTACGGAAAAGGTTGGTGCGAATCGACGGAGCTCGGCGGCTACGAGCAGGCCTCCGACATCGAGTATGGTCGCCCCACCAGAGCCACCGCCGTCAAGACAGCCAAACATGATGAGGCGCATGAGTTCCACTTCAGGCCAAGGCCAGGATCAAGTCGGAGCTCTCCCAGACGCAACGCCGTCAAAGAGCAAACTAGGAGGCCTGAAACGCCTAGGCACTGTTATGGGTCGGCGGAAGAACACGATGCCTCCGCCGCCTACACCGGAAAAGAAGAAAGACCGGCGATCGATGATGCCCTTTAGAAGAGGCGACTCATCGCGAAGTTTCCAGGATCTGGAAGAGTCAGGCAGAGATCTCACTCCAGCGACCTCTCGAGAGCCACAGACCTTGACGGATAGGCAACAAAGCACAGCAGCCTCGTCACGCGACAATCTTGCGAATCAAACGATCCCTGAGTCTCCGCCACCTCAGGCCCGTGTGAATGGCACCTCGGAAACGTATGAGCCGCCACCTGGACCTCCCCCTGGACATGTAGCGACGAGCTACCTGCAGCTGCATCTCCGGTGTCCATAACGAAAACCCACCTCCGCCCTCCCCTCCACCAGCAGCAGCAGCAGTATCGCAGTTGCCCCCAGCATTGCAGCCTCAAAACACGGGAACAGAATCCGAGGACGGCAGCCGAGCGTTTGCGATTCGAGATCAGCCGATCAAAGAAGACGAAAGCGAAGCTCAAAATGCTCTGAGCAGCATGGCAAACCAGCTACGCATGCAAGGCCAAACATCTGGCATCAATCGTGTACAAGGCAGCGTTCGTGGCCGACGAGATGTTCGCAACACCATGTTTGTACCTGCGGGCGTGGACATCTTCGCCCAGAGTGGTCTTCCAGCACCACCGCAGTCACCTCCGCTGCCGACCAGCAACTCCACAACCGAGCTGGCTTCGCCAATCCAGCCACCACGACAAAAGTCAATCCTCGAAGACCATCCAATAGGCTCCGACGCCGGGTCTATTCACTCGTCACACAGCCTCGCCATGCCCGGCGCCCACCCCGAATTGCACGAACCAGGTTTGAACGTCTCCATCGTCGAGACCGTCAACTCCTGGTTCAACGAGACTGGCATCACCAAGTCCATGGTCACAGGCGAAATAGCCCTTGCCTACAACGGTACCACATCAACCAACACCGAAACCATCCGGCTCCAACACTTTGAGCTTCTCGAAAAAGTCGCCGCCAACCCGACCTTCGTCTCCTCCCTGGACAAAACCAACACAGCCTCCGCAGAAGACGCAGCAGGCACCTACACAATCGCCCTCTCCAACATCAAGAAGTCGCATCCCACCGTCGGCCTCAAATACCAACTCCACCTCGAGCCCGACAACATGGCAGCCTACTCTCCCATCCTCCTCACCCCAGCGTGGCAGTTGATCGACGGGCAAGCCTCCGTCATCTTGCTGTACAGCCTCAACCCAACCTTCGCCACAGTCGGGCCAGTAACCTTCAAGAACGTAGCAATAAGCGTCTCCCTCGACGTCTCCGGCACTGATCCGATCAAACCCACCGCCGCAATGATGCACCCCACGGCGGGCGCGAGTTTCCGACGGAAAGCAGGCACAGTCACCTGGCGGTTCAACGAGCTGAGTGTGAAGCCTGAGGGGCAAGAGCGATTGCTGGTGCGCTTCACTACGGCTAGCGGCATGCCCAAGAAGGGTGGCATCGAGCTGAAATTCGAGCTGCCTGGACGGACGGGAAGTCAGGTAGGTGTGCAAAGGAGGGCGCAGGTGCAGAAGGAGAAGGATCCGTTTGCGGATGAGGAGGTGGAGAAGGTGGATAGTCGGGAGGAGGGGGCTTGGGTGGATGTGGAGAGGAGGCGGGTGTTGGTCTCGGGACGGTATTCGGCTTCATAGGGCACAGTGAGTGCATGAGACCAGGCAGAGCCGAGGAGCGAGTATCTGACAGAATCGTGTGAGTGTAGCAGCACCTACGAGTCTTTTGTATCGGGCTGGGCGTGGAGTAGTCTGCGCGTATGAGCGAGATCGTACGTTGTCTTGTGCTGTTGTTCACCATAGCACGTCGACCCACTTTGCGTAGGGTGTATATTTTTGTATGGAAGCAGTATTAGGGACCTCATCCATAGGCCTGGCTCGCCACTCAAGTAGCGCACAGCGGTTCTTAGTAGCAGACTAGGCGAGTAGGCTCGCGCGGTCTCTACACGGCACTTCAAGGCAAGCGCGAAACACATTTATTCAAGTGGTTCAGCTTGTTGGAGCAATTGTCAGAGATTGAATTCTATCAGGTCAACTGGTCTGGGGGAAGTCTTCAATGCTGTCCGATCAATTTCGTCTTCTACTAGCAGACTTAGGAGTGCCTTTGCCGTGGGGCCCGTAAGGATCTCGTGGTGCACGAACAGTACATAGCATGAACATGAGAGGAATCCATCTTCCGAATGATTTCTGAATCTCTGAATTTCTTTTGCGCGCTATCATGTATTCGCTTATGTACAAAGACGGTTCAATGCTAGCGGTATCGAATGGCACTCCATCGGGCGATTCTCAGTTGCATCCATCGACCCGGTTGGCGCAGGTGGTGTAGAGCCACAAGACGCTGCCGAGAGGCACCTGCTCCCGTGGTGACGGCCAGAATCCGGAAGTGCTCAAATTGCGCATGGAACGATCGTTGTCTACGAACTTGCAGGCTTCTGCTGCACGATGCGCTCAACATCGGCGACAGACTGCTGGAGGATTTGCTGCAGAACCTTGGGGTTCTCGAGCTCCTTGTTGATCTTGGCGATGATTGACTCGGCGAGCTCGCGCTGTTGTCGTTGCTTAACTTGACCCTCGTATCTGACCCAGCTGTCGAGAACACTCTTGGCTTCGGCGGCTAGTGCAGTCTTCTGCTCGAGTTCGAAAGCCTGACCTTCGAGGCGGGCAGTTTCCTTCGAATTGTTAGTTTAAACTCTCGATTTGTTCTCACCGTGGGCAGGCCCAGAATAGCACATACCTTTGAGACCTCAAACAATCCCTTCGTGATGTCCACAACATTGCTCAACGGCTTCACGTCCTCAATGCGAGCTCTTACGGATTCTGCGTGGCTTTCCCTTGCCTCATCCAAGATCCCCTTGATCTTTCCTGTCGTTTGCTCCGCCCATGAGCTGTATGCCGGACCACCATACTTGAAGATTCCGTAGAAGACTGACAACAAACAGAATGCGACAACAGTCTCCTCGTTGAGCACGTAGAACTCGTTGGAGATAGCCCAGGTTGAGATGCCGGCACCAGCGGAAAGGATGGCGGTCTTAGAGACGAGTGAGTTGCCGGGCAGCGCGTCGATGATTGACTGCGCCTTCTTCTTGGGTTCTTCTGTCGGCACGGAGGACTCGTGTCGAACCGTGGTGAGCGGGAATGCGGGTAGGGAGGAGCGTGGGAGGATTGATGGGCGAAGTCTTGCGGCGCCTGTTTGTATTGTTAGCTTTCGTTGTCATGCCAGCCAATTCAAAGGACCAAGGCTTACCAGCCGCGGTCCTTGCTAACCTCGACGCCATGGTTGTGTGATGGTGTGGCTTCCAAAGGGACGGGCTCGCAGTTCAACGTCAAAAGCTCGTCGGACCTGCAGAGAGCTCTAAGCATTAATCCGGACTAGCATTCTTGGCATTCAAGGCCCTAACCCTACCGGCAGTAAGACGCTCCGTCAACCGGCTTGAGGAGGGCCCCTGACTTTTACCATTCGACGTCTCCTTCAAGTTCTCCAATTCTTCTCAAAAGTTGCGCCCCGCAAAGCAACCACACCCTGGGAACAGCGCAGGCGTCGTCTCCAGTGCACGTATCGAGTGACTAGCAAGTTCTTGCGTCCCACAGAGGATTGCGACGCCAACATGCCGAAGGCAAAGAAGACTAGTGCCGGTCCGGCCGCGGAGGGCACCACCAACATCGCCAGTTTGGTCACTAAGCCCATGAATTTACAACAGCGGAAAGCGCTTCTGCGCCGATTACAGACTCCTGCCATAATCACATCACTGCGAAGGCCAGAAATACTGATGGACTTCTTCACCGACAGCCTCAACATGGGCGACCTATCACTCTCCGTTCCAGCTCTTACAGGTCTCTACCATCTCATCGCAACGCGAAACCTCGACCACCCACAATTCTATCCAAGACTATATGCCTGTTAGACCAGAGCCTCCTACACAGCAAGTACCGATCGCGAGTGATGCGACACCTCGAGACCTTTCTTGCCCCGACGAACCACCTGCCAGCCGCTACGATAGCCAGCTTTATCAAGCGACTGTCTAGACTGTGCCTGTTCGCGCCGCCTGCTGCGATTGTGGCTGTAGTGCCGTTCATCTACAACTTGCTCAAGCAACATCCTTCAACAACATTCATGATTCACCGGAAACCCCATCCTCCATATACGAAGTCGGATGACCACCTAGGCGAAGACCCGTACGACCCAGCAGAAACTGATCCACAAGTTAGTGGTGCAATCGATAGCTCATTATGGGAGCTAGAGACGTTGCAGAGTCATTACCACCCGACCGTTGCCAGCATTTGTCGCATAATATCGGAACAATTCACGAAGCAGCAATATCAGGTGGAAGATTTTCTGGATAACTCGTACGCAACAATGATGGACTCTGAGCTGAATAAGAAGGAAGGGAAGAGGGAAAGAGAGCCGGTCGTGGAGTGGCAGATTCCAAAGAGGATCTTCGCTCGAGAACCAGGAGAAGTGGTTGAAGAGCGGGAGCGCAATCTTGTGAAAGATCTGTGGGCTTTCGACTGATCGCGGCGCTCTTTGTCGTTGTTCTTTGGCTCTAAAGCGTTCAAGCGTCATGTATCGACTTGCATCTTCGAAACACTCATATTTCTTCAGGATGTGGAAGATTCATGTGATTGAAGTGAGCGAAGTTTCGTGATACACCTTCTCTTTTAGCGCTGGGCCTGCTTGTGAAAGGACCGACCAACGATCTTTGAATCTTAAAGTGATTCTCATGGCGACCTTAGCGAAGGTGTGTCTTCAGTAAAGGACGGGAGCATCGGGCTCGATGCCGGTTCGTGCTCGTTGAGGTATTTGAGGCCGGGCTTGGCTTCCTCCGGCGCTTGAACTATTCGCCGAGGTTGCTGGACTCCAACGCCAACGATATATAGTCCTGCTGCCCTCGTTCGACTCCCTGTCCATACAGTGCATTTTTAGTAGTCCTGAAGGAATCACGCAGTATCAAAAACCGCTAATACTCCAAACCGCTACGATGGGTTCTATTGCCGCAGAGCAGCCTACTAAGATTGCTCCTCCTCCATCTAAAAGCCACTATAAAATAGCGTCAATACCAGCAGACGGCATTGGTCCAGAAGTCATCTCCGCTGGAATCTCGGTCCTCGAAACGTTAGCCGAGACGTTTAAGTCATTCTCCTTCTCTTTCAGCCACTTCGACTGGTCATCAGACACGTACTTACGCACTGGAGCATATATACCACCCGATGGACTGAAGCAGCTCAAGGCCCATGATGCCATTCTGTTCGGTGCCGTTGGTGACCTACGTGTACCGGATCATATATCACTTTGGGGCCTGCGACTTGCGATATGCCAGCCATTGCAGCAGTATGCCAATGTACGGCCCACTCGGATTCTACAAGGCGTCTCATCACCTCTTTCTGCCTGCCAGGGCTCACCAGCAGCAACGTCCAAGCTCGACTGGGTGATCATCCGAGAGAACAGTGAAGGCGAGTATGCGGGCCATGGTGGTCGGTCCCATATCGGACAGCCTTGGGAGACAGCCACGGAAGTCTCCATATTCACACGCGTGGGCGTGGAAAGAATCATGCGATTCGCATATGAAACAGCCCGCTCAAGGCCGAAGAAGCATATCACTTTCGTGACGAAATCAAATGCGCAACGAAACGGTATGGTGCTGTGGGACGAAGTCCACGACATGGTTCGAAAGGAGTACCCAGACGTTACTTCCGACAAAATGCTTGTTGATGCAATGACCTGCCGGATGACGCTACAGCCAGAGACCATTGACACTATCGTGGCTACGAATCTTCATGCAGACATTCTTTCCGATCTCGCAGCTGCTCTGGCGGGCTCGATCGGTATCGCGCCCACCAGCAATCTTGATCCAACGAGGCAAAATCCCAGCATGTTCGAACCTATCCATGGCTCAGCCTGGGATATTGCAGGTAAAGATGTGGCAAATCCTGTGGGCACATTCTGGACTTGTGCTGAGATGGTAAGGTGGCTGGGCCAAGAAGAGGCCGCGGAGCTGTTGATGGAAGCTGTCGAGAACACGATGGGCAAGGGCGTCAAGACACGGGACTTGGGCGGTTCAGTCGGGACGAAGGAGATGACTTCTGCTGTTTGCGAAGAGATCCAGCGGCTTGGTGCAGGTAATGCGGTGCCAACAAAAGCATCGTGAATTGGACCCACTGGTAACTTCTGAAGAACTTGTAGAACAATAAATGGTATGCCACTACTGTCCAATTGTCCATCGTATTGTTGACTGATATCAAACCAAGGTGAAGGCTATAAGTCTGCTCTTGCACTTGCTTCACCCTGACCGCTTGACTCCTCTCCACTGGATTGCCCCTGCCTGGAATGGCCGACTGGTGTGCGTGACTGGCAGTTGCATCTGCTGTCACCTGCTCTCGCCATAGACCTGTTCATCTGCTGAGTTTGCTTCGGTTCTCCTCGCACAGGGCAACCAGACATAATATGCCCCGCTCTATATATACGCTTGCAATATGTTCTGCAACGCACAACCTACCAAGTTGCAGCCTGAATCTCGAATTGACACAGCAACCGCTATTGCCAGACACAGCGCCTAGCCATCAAGATGGGCTTGCCAGTCGCGCGATTCTCGGACGACTCTCCTCCTTCAACTCCGGCTGGCACAGTCGAGCGTGAGTTCTCCAGCTCAATCACCTTGCTGGTGACACAACCGACTAATTTTGCCAGACTATGAACCGCTTCCGACTTCGCCGCGCCGCCTGCGCGATCCGACGTCGGACCGCATCGCTGCGATCAGAGAGCGAAACATCCAATCACACGAAGCCGACTACCGCACAGTCGCAATGGTCATCCGTGCTCGGATCAAAGGCAAGGTCCTGGAACCGAGTTCGCTGGAGATAAGTAGAAGGCGCCTCAATGCGTACATTCGACTGGGCGAAGCGAGAGTCCAAGACGCCAGCAGACCAACATTCCGCGCGAACGAGGTCGTCCTTGACTTCCACAACCTGTACCAGTCGCTCATCGCGCTCGACAGCCACCATGGCATGAATATGGACACCGACTGGAATTTGCACCGAATGGGCCATGGAAATGGAGACTCAATACTTAGCCTGTATAGCTTCACGCGACCGTTGCAGTCGATGGTATCACCAACAGGATATGTATCGTTGCAGGACATCTTCGATTGTCTGGCACCGTTGCAACTCATGTCGCGGACGGCATTCGGTTGTGCGATTTATGCTTGGGCGATCTACGCCGCAGGCCAGTTCATCGATGCTGCTGCTGTGCAGGAGGTCTTCAGGGCGAACTTGGAGGTTGCGGGAGCTGGAGCCTGGGCGGATCCTAGGCCTGATGAGTCAGGTGATTAGTCTCCGCGTCACGCATCAGAGCACATAGCAAGGAGTCATCGGCGTTACAAATACCCCAAATCGAACGAGAATAGTTTTCTTGACTTCGTCGCATCTTACATCCTGGGGACCTGTCTTCTCATACAGACGCTTGGCAGTCTTGATGTTCGTCTGAACTATTCCCGCTTTTGCATGTCGTAACGTGTGCACGCAATTGACGTCGCCTGTTGTAGATCATCGAAAGGCAACCAGGCATCCTGCGAGGAATGCCGATTGGTGCTTGGCTTCGGACGGACGCCCCGAATTGCCTTCTTTGGAATACCTACGTCGAACCACATTCTCCCTAGCCTTTGACTGGAGTAGGTGCATCGAGTGCGGTATAGGCCGGAATCAGGAGTCGCGTTGGTAGTGTCCAAACCTCAGAGAATGTTCCTCGATGACAAGTATCGAGCACGGCAGACTTAGTCGTTGGTCAGTTGCCGTGGACGTTTACTTCCGCCCTGATGCTCCTGATGACACACCTATCGCGTTTCCCAACGCTTCAAGCGAAACATGTGTGACCGACTTGACATGCTACTCGAAAAGTCGAGTAAGCCGGTTGTCGGCGAAGGTCAAAGGTGACGTGGCTTCAGACAAAGCTCACCCAGGACTCGACGCTGGCGGAAACCTGAAGTAAAGACAGTCCAGGACAATAGCCATGATAATTCAGGTCTGCTCAGTGCAAGCTGACAATCACCTCAACAGCGCTGCCAAGACAAGGCAATTGCAATGACTCTTAGCGCGTTCTGTTTGTCGCACTTTTTGAGACCATGTGACTACTGACGTGTTGAAATGCCTGTGTGTAGACTGCACCATCTTTCAGATTAGCCATCGACGGGGCAGCAGAATAGGAAGTGAGCACAGCTCGGCAGACTCTATCACCATGTCAACACCACGTGGATCACTAAGGGAGTCAAGCCGCAGTGGCAGTCAGGCTGGCAACACCAACGCCAGGACCAGCGCCGAGGATGCCGAGAACAACAGACAAATTCCACACACCGGAGAGCCTTCAGCAATCACAACCTCAACACCTCCTTCCACAGAACTGCCTGCTCTCTCAGGGCCTTCAGGCATTTCTGCACCCGCATCGAATGAGGTCGCACCCGAGCGTGAACGATCCCGTGTAGAAGAGGTATCTTCCAATTCGCAGCAGACTCTCAGCCACACAACAAGAGCAACTTCGGTGCCAGCTCAGCTGCTCAATCAATTCGATATTGTCCTTGCGCAGCAAGACATCGACACACCAGCGCGAGCAACTTCCGTGCCGGCGCAACCTATCATTCAGAAAGGATCTGAACTTGACGCCTCGTGGCTTGAAAAGCACAGTTCCTTGAAGCCGATACGAGAAGGTCTCGAACAGGGAGTCATCAACAAACCCGACATTGACGACGCGACTATGGATCTCGTTAACTGGGACATGATGGACGATGAGGAAGAGCGCAATCAGCCTGGCACCACATTAGACGAACGTCTCGCTGCTGCCGATATACCTGCCATCCCCATCAATATCCTTAGCGACGATTACCCTGCGACACAGGCTGCTGCTCGACAGAAAGCTCGTGTAGAGCTGAGACGCGCGACGCATACGCCGCCTTCTCCAACGCCAATCCGATCGATCCTCGTCTGGCTGCCGCAAACAGTACTCTGGCACCCGATGCTGCACAAGTCAGCTATGCGATGGGTGTCCGCGACAAGCTTGCTCCAAACGCCCGAGCCACGTACGAAGCCCTAGAGGATGAAGCCCGGAAATTGCCAAAGCCGCCCAAGCGATGGGATAGCACAATCAACCTACAGAACCTCGAGATCGTGGCTAGTCAAGACAAACCTTTCGTGCCAACTCCTGCCATCGAGCGCCCTCCCGGAAAGTGGTGGCCAGCGATCCCTACCGACGCAAACTTCGATCCTTTCTCTGAGCCAATTGCTGCAGGCCCCCGTGGTATCGAGCCGACCAACCTCGTCGCAGAAAGACCTACCTTGCTCAACGCCGACCCCGTCTATTCAACCAACTTTTCTCGACAAGGTGCGGCCAATCCTCGTCCCGACTGGATGATCAATCCACAAGAACGCGCAGACCTCGTCCGCGGCATCAGCAATCTCGAGCGCGAGATCGCAGCAAGACCTCCCGCAACTCAAGCCATCTTCAGCGACATCCCAGACTTCCCCGCTTCCACGCCGGGCGACGACTTCATGGGCGTCCAACGCGACCTCTTCCACGACTCCGACGAAGATGAGCTCATCGCCATGCGCGAGCGAATCAGAGCCGAAGACGCTCGCCATGGTATCGTCGCTCCTGCCCCACCCGTTGCTGCTCCGGCTCGTCCCGTCCTCCCTGCCACTGGCGCCAGACGCAAGTCCAGCCCAAGAAGAAGGCCACACCCGCCAAGAAGCAGACCAAGAAGGAGGAAGCCGCTGACGAGGCCAGTGATGACAGCTTCCCTGCTGAAGTCTTCGTTTTCGACGAAGTCAAGTACGATACAGGCTCCAAGGGGCCCTTCACGTACCTTTCTACCGTCTTCGTTCCCATTGCCAAGGGCCGCAAGCCGCAGGACATCATTGACTACTGCATGGAGCAGTTGGCCGAGAAGCAGGAGTTGATGACCGCGCCAGAGGAGCAGGAGAAGAAGGAGAAGAAGATTGTCGGCCAGATCGCGCTATGGGAGGCGTACATGAAGAACGACGACGATGTTGAGGAGGACGCTGAAGAGGCGAAGAAGGGATGGCATTCAGCTACAATCGCGGGGATGCAGGGGTATCATGAGTTGAGAAAGGAAACGGGAAAGGGACCAGGGTTTGGTAGGGTTGGGGACTATGTCGATGTGAAGGTACTGTTGTGGCGGCGTTTCCAGGCGCAGAAGGCGCGTAAGGCGCGTGCGGCTAAGGTGCCAGACAGAGGGGATGGGGAGGAGGATGTTGAGATGGGAGGCTGAGAGGAGCGGCAGTGGAAATGCAGGAAATGCAAACGCAAGACGAAAACCGGAGCGCAAGCATGCTTAAGGAGATCGAGCTGGAGCCCGCCCTGGCCGACTCATTTGTGACAGTTGGAAATCTGGGAAATCGAGCTGGAGGCCTCCTCGTAGGAGTTCTTGAACAATGATCGATATCAAAAGGACGTTGAAATACGTCAGCGCATAGAGCCCATAGCTGCAACAATGCAAGACTGACATCACTGTTTTATCGTTGGGATTGCGGGAAAGTGGACCACGAGGAGGGCTCTGATGCATGTACAGCCCAACAATGGGTTGAGTTCCGGACTAGATGGACCTCTTTCATACAGTCACTCAATCACTAGAGAGCGTTCTAACTTGTCACTGGCTCGGCGACTTCAAAGCATTCAAGATGGGTGATCAGGACAAGCGCATGAGCACTGAGCGTGGTGGGGAGTCGACACAGTGAGTGTGCCACCGAGGTCTTGAAAGTCCGGACGTATGGACTCTGACTGACCTGCTTGGCCATCAGGTATGAGTCGATCAAGACGGTGACGAAGGAGCCATCGAAGCAGAGTGGGCAGCTGGGTGGTACATGGCCCTCTCCGCGACTACGGCATTGATGCTCATGAAAATCAGGCGGATTTCAGAACACAGAAAGCGCAACATCTGCAGGCGAGAAATCGTCAAAAGTCGCAGAGAACATACGCTACGGCCAGAACATCTCCGAGTCGGGCATGGGTGGCTTCACGAACTCGACAGGACAAGCTACGCAGGAGGGCGGATACGGAGGCGCTCCGAAAGACAGTAGCCTCGAGCGGAAGACTTCAGACACGCGGGGCGCACAGGGCTATGGCTCAGGATCTGGTGTTGGCGGCTGAAGGTCTTCGTTTTGTACATGATGTCCTTTTACGCGATGGCGGTTGTCGTTGAAATGCTCGACGGATTCTCTGGCACAATCCGCGTAGAAATGACGTCCTGCTCCTGAGGATCGTCCTTTGACTCGACCGGTCTTCGCGCCTCCCTCAGCGATTGTAAGGTGACGCCGTTCTTCAGCTTCGTGATTCCGACGACAGGTGCATCACCCCGCCGCACGAACTCATATGTCCCGGGCAGTTTGTTCCCAGCAAGTCGGAACGCCTCCATGGCGACCTGCTCGTGCATATTCCCCTTGAGCTCGAAGATGATGTTGCTGACCGGTACTCTTGCCGCCCAATAGTCGAATTTGCCCTTTCCCTTACCCATGCGCACTTCATTTCCTTTCGTATAAACACCTATGTTCGCACTGACCCTAGTGTAGAGCTTGAAATGTGTTCCTCTCAGCTTCGCCCGTATTGTGTCCTCGCCCAATTTCAGTTGCTTTGCCGACACTCTCCGGTCGTGGTCTTTCATCCGCAAACCCCAGTCACCCCATACGACTGTGGTGCCTCGTACTGAGCCGCCTGTCTTCATGTGAGGTCGTCCGGTCATAGACTTCCGTTTCTCCATTTGCTTCGGTACCAGCCAGCTGCGCCGCGCAGGCGCTGTCGAGAATGTTCTTGTACATTGTCGCGATTTGGTCGGTGTGATGTGTGGTCTGCTTGAATTCGAGCTGAGTTGGAGGCGGGAGAACGTCGATGCTAAAGAGCAGCAAGGAGCTCTCGCTGCGCTTTGGACGACCATCGCTGGTTTCCAGGCAGCTTAAATGTGCTGATGTGAGCTTTTCTAATGCGATGCCTGGTGTCGTAGGCGTACGCGAATCGGTAGGATACTGCCACTTGCTAATGTACACTTGGGCAGATATCGATCTTTCATGGGCTCGACTTGAAGACCCATCTGCTGCCTAGGGTTTAGGGTTGTAGCCTAATTGCAATTTAGCCCAAAACGCGTTCCATGACGCGACTGCGGAAAGTGTGAAGCACCTCTAGGGAAACTGGCAGGCACTTCCTTGCAGCCTTTGCTGTTACGCATCTACTCATATTTTGACTGAGGGGACTGTCTTGGGATTAACAGAGATGTGTGCATAGTGGTCGGGGATCAGCACAAACAAGATGCCATCAGACATCCGCAGCTTCTTTGGTGGTGGCGGCAGTGCCCCCAAGCCGGCCGCACCCTCACAGACACCGGTATGTACCATCCACAGACTCACGACAAACACCCAGTGACTAATGGCCATCAGAAGTCAAAGCCAGCCACCAAATCTAAGTCCAAGTCACGCAAAGTCATCAGCGATGATGAAGACGAAGAGGATCTCAAGCCCGTCAAAGTCGTGACACCCAAGAAGAAGCCTGCAGCGAAGCCGAAGGCTGTAGAGGAGACGACAAGCTCGGCATACTTCGCCTCTTCCAAGTCGAAGAGCACCAGCCAATCCACACCAGCAAAGTCTTCCGCAGCAGTCTCCAATCCCACTCCCATCAAGGCTATCAACGGCGCCACCCCTTCTACTGGAAGACGTTCTGCCCGAAAGCCTGGCCGAAAGAACTACAACGAGGATGACGACGGAGATGCTGTCGTCCTCGCTGACGATGTCACCGGAAATGATGATATCTTTGCAAACGACTTCAAGAACGGCAAAGTCGATGACTACGACGAGGGCAGCTCCGAGGAAGATGTCGTTGTCAAGCCCAAGGCCAAGCGAGCCGTCAAGAAAGAAGAGACTGACGATGACGACGATCTAGAGATGGCCGAGATCAATGGCTTTGATGGTGGTCGCGATACGAAACGCAAGACTGCCAATGGTCGCAAGCGTAAGTCAGTCGAGCTTGATGAGGATGATGACGACCTCGACTCCGACGATGCACCCAAGAAGAAGTCAAAGAAGGCGACCGCCAAAGCTGCTCCGAAGAAGCCTCGAGCCAAGAAGACTCCCCCGGTCGAGGACAAGGCCGCACAGGACCTGCTGGACTCTATTCCCACAGTCAGACCACCCACCCCTCCACCTCGAGACGAAGATAGAAAATTCGATTTCCGAACTGGAGGTGGCAACTCGACTGCTCAGCCCGCAGGTGCCGGCATGAAGCAAATCCCTGAGGGCGAACCTGACTGCTTACTGGGACTTACATTCGTTTTCACGGGCGTTCTGGAAACCATCAGCCGAGAGGAAGGACAGGCTTTGGTCAAGCGTTACGGAGGCAAAGTCACAACAGGTCCTTCTAGCAAGACGAGCTTTGTCGTTCTCGGTAGTGATGCCGGACCAAAGAAGCTGGAGACTATTCACAAACTGGGGATAAAGACCATCAACGAAGATGGACTCTTCTTGCTAATCTCCAAGCGTCCCGAAGGCGGAGGCAGCTCTGCAGGCGCCGAGGCTGCCCAAAAGAAGCGCGAAGAGGAGGCCCAGAAGGTCAAGAAGCAAGCTGAAGAAGAAGAGCGGAAGGAGAAAGAGCGCCTGAAAGAGGAGGCACGAATTGCCAAGATCAAAGCTGAACGTACTGGCGCTGCTGTAAAGCCTACTGGCCCAGAAGTCGACAGCCGGCTATGGGTGGATAAGTATGCTCCAGAGATGTTGAGTCAGGTCTGTGGCAACAAGGCCACAGTCGAGAAGCTGCAAGATTGGCTTCGGCAATGGCGCCAGAATGCTCATTTCAACTTCAAGAAGGCAGGCAAGAATGGCACTGGCATATTCCGCGCTGCCATGCTTCATGGTCCGCCTGGCATAGGCAAGACTACAGCTGCTCATTTCATCGCCAAGTTGGAAGGCTACGATATCGTCGAGACCAATGCTAGCGATACGCGAAGTAAGAAGCTAATGGAGACCGCTCTCAAGGGTGTCCTGGATACCAAGTCGATCATGGGCTACTTCGCTGGAGAAGGCAAGAAAGTCGAGTCCAAGAAGCAAAATCTCGTGCTGATCATGGACGAGGTCGATGGCATGTCTGCTGGTGACCGTGGCGGCGTTGGAGCTTGGCAGCGGTCGCCAAAAAGACAAATATTCCTCTCATCATGATCTGCAACGAGCGTCGTCAGCCGAAAATGAAGCCATTTGATATGGTGACAGCAGACTTCGCATTTCGTCGACCAACAGCAGAACAGATCAAGCAGCGCATCATGACTGTCTGCTTCCGAGAGGGCATCAAGCTTGACCCGCAAGTGCTCATGGCTGTCATTGAAGGTGGCAACGCCGACATACGGCGAATCATCAATATGCTGTCAACAATCAAAATCGACGGCCATGGGAAGGACCTCTCTTTCGACCAGAGCAAAGGCATGGCAAAAGGCTGGGAGAAACATGTCATCCTCAAACCGTGGGACATCGTCTCGAAGATCATGCGTCCTCAGATGTTCTCAGGTAGTTCGAAGGCCACGCTCAACGAGAAGACTGAGCTTTACTTCAACGACCATGAGTTCAGCTACCTTATGCTACAGGAAAACTACCTCAAGTCACAGCCGTCACAGATCCAGAACGTCAACGGCGACAAACAACGCAACTTGAAGTGGCTGGAGCTTGCAGACCAAGCCGCCTCTAGCATTAGTGACGGCGACTTGGTTGATCGAATGATCCACGGCTCTCAACAACAGTGGTCGCTGATGCCTTTACATGCCATCTTCAGTTTCGTACGTCCGGCATCTCATGTTTACGGCAACTTCAACCAACAGGTAGGCTTTGCTTCCTGGCTCGGCAACAACTCCAAGCTTGGTAAGCTGTCTCGCTACGTCAAAGAGATCCAAGGCCATATGCGACTTAAGACTGCAGCAGATCGTAACGAGATTCGTCAGCAGTATATGCCATACCTTTGGAACTCTACCGTGGGGCAGCTGGCAAAGAATGGAAAGGAGGCTGTACCAGATATGATCGACTTCATGGACTCATACTATCTGACCAAAGACGATTACGATGCTATAATCGAGCTCGGAGTCGGCCCACAGGACATGGACTCAAAGAAATACACCATCGATTCCCAGACGAAATCTGCATTCACCCGCATGTACAATCAACAAAGCCACCCGATGCCATTCGTCAAGGCTAGCAATGCGTTAGGGTTGACAAAGGGTGGTGCAAGTAAGCGCGACAAGCCTGACCTCGAGGAAGCGATTGAGGATGAGGACGAAGCGGTTGAGGAAGTTGTCGAAGAGGAAGAAGATCTCGAGATTGATCTGAAGAAGGACAAGTACATTCAAGCTCCGAAGAAGAAGAAAGCTGCTGCCGGTAAAGGCAAGAAGGCGGCTGGCGGTGCGGGCACGAAGCGCAAGAAGGCGACTGCGGATGACGAAGACAGTGATGACGATGAGGACGATGAAGACGTCAAGCCGCCAGCTAAGAAGGGACGTGGTGGCGGCGCGGCAGGAAGAGGTGGCCGTGGTGGTCGAGGAAGAGGGCGCTAGGGACGTCGCTAAATCATAGATCGTGGTGGAAGGGGAAGTGATCAGCATCGCGAGGTGAGCATGCTGCCGCCACCAACGACCAGCATCCATGCTCAACTCACATCCGTACGACCAGCTGCATCTTGCTGCTCAGCATACTCCTAAGTGGTTGCTCCGCGAATCTCGGCCCCGAAAGCAACGATACGATTGAGTGCAAAAGATACAGCCGTATGGCGAAATAGAGAGCATAGCCGAAACCTATGAGCCAGCGATGCCGTAGGAGCAGTATATAGCAATCGCATTCTCACACAATCATGCTGTCTGGCTTGCAGGTTCTGCCTAGGAAGGCTTCTACACTCACGCGATTCAAAGAGCCCTGGCCGCTCATTGGCCTCTGTCAATTGCAGTCTGGTCTGGTCGTCATCGGTGGTGACAAACCCTCGTATGGTTGACTCGCGCGACTCGGCAGAGTATCTATGAGTGAGTCATGTTTCCTGCTTTGATCATGGTAACTTCACGTGTACAGACCGCAGGAGCGGACGCCTCGCACGATCGAGCCATAACTTTGCATCGGATAGGTCTACAGTATCAGCCTGAAGACCTACATTCAAGCATCATTCCAGTCCAGTGTAAAATGAATACAAAATGTGATTTGGAACAGGAGAATTCCATCGAAACAGGTCGAACGCTTGGCAAGGCTGAAAAGGCCCAGATGGCAGTTGGACCGCAGGCCGGCGCAAAACCCTTGAATATTTGCCTGCAGAAACTCCGAGCAGGAAGGCGTTGGCTGTCATCAGTGATACTGCAACCTCCCACTCCCAGTCCTTCACTTTCACAAGGATTTTGGCATCAAACATCAAACAGTCACCACAAGACATCTGCTCTTAGTTGACTAAAGGGCAAGCGGACTTCTCAAACCATCTCCACTCTCAACACTAAAGAGGCCGAATTTCTGTCTGCCACTCTATTGCCGATTTCTGGAGTAATATCTTCTACATTTGCTGTGCCTAGTGATCTAGAGGAGCGAAGTGTACAATCCTAGCAGTATTGCTGTTCACATCCTGCCAGCACCGCCAACATGGTGAAAGAGACCAAGTTCTACGAAATCTTGGGGGTACGTGCTGTTGACTGCTATCGATGGCGTCGGCGTCTTCTAATACTGTTATAGGTCACAGTGGACTGCACAGAAGCCCAGCTGAAGACAGCCTACAAGAAAGGTGCGCTCAAGCACCATCCTGGTCAGTAACAATCTTTCGTCTGCTTGAATACAGCAGTCGCTGACTCTTATCAGACAAGAATGCGCACAACCCGGAAGCAGCAGAAAAGTTCAAAGACCTCTCGAAAGCATACGAAGTCCTCTCCGACCCTCAGAAGCGTCAGCTCTACGACCAGTATGGCGAAGAAGGCTTAGAACAAGGTGGCATGGGTGGTGGCGGCATGGCTGCAGAAGATCTGTTTGCTCAGTTCTTCGGCGGCGGCGGCTTTGGTGGCGGCCTCGGCGGCATGTTCGGCGGCGGTATGCGCGAACAAGGCCCCAAGAAAGCGCGAACAATTCATCACGTCCACAAAGTCTCGCTTGAAGACATCTATAAGGGAAAGGTATCAAAGCTGGCTCTGCAGAAGTCGGTGATCTGCCAATCCTGTGATGGTCGTGGAGGGAAAGAAGGTGCTGTTCGGACGTGTCCAGGCTGTCAAGGTGCCGGCATGAAGACTATGATGCGACAAATGGGTCCGATGATCCAGCGCTTCCAGACAGTGTGTCCCGACTGCCAGGGCGAGGGCGAGACTATCCGGGACAAGGATCGCTGCAAGAAGTGCATGGGTAAGAAGACGGTGGTCGAGCGCAAAGTTCTTCACGTTCATGTCGATCGAGGCGTCAAGACGGGTCACAAGATCGATTTCCGAGGCGAGGGCGATCAAATGCCTGGCGTGCTACCCGGAGATGTGCAGTTCGAGATTGAGCAGAAGCCTCACGCACGATTTCAGCGCAAAGACGACGATCTAGTCTACAGAGCCGAGATCGACCTTCTGACGGCGTTGGCGGGAGGTACAATCTACATTGAGCACTTGGACGACCGGTGGCTCAATGTCAACATTTATCCCGGTAAGTTCCCTCCAAGGAAATCTATGCTCGAATGCAGCTAATCCGTTGTGCAGGTGAGATGATCAAACCTGGAGACCTGAAGCAAATCAAGGGTCAGGGCATGCCCTCATTCCGCCATCACGACTTCGGCAATCTATACATCCATTTCGACGTCAAATTCCCCGAGAAGACTGAGATGCAGAATCTACAACTGCTCGAACAGGTGCTCCCACCACGCACACGACAGACTCTTCCACCCACCGACAGCATGAACGATGATTATGATCTCGAAGATATCGACGCCCGCGGCCACGCTCGGGCTCAAGGTGCCGCAGGGCTTGGAGAAGAGGACGATGACGATGTACCTCCAGGAGCCGAGAGAATGCAGTGCGCGTCCCAGTAATGCCAGTGTCTTGACGAGGTAGATGCGATCATGCGACACAATCAGAACATGACTTCAATGTAATGGCCGGCGTTGGTGGATGGAGACTCGTTGCATGGCCATGGCGTTAGGGGCAATCAAGTGCGTCGAGGCATCGCATAGAGAAGACATAGATGGACACAGATCCAGTGATGTGAGACAGGACGCATGGAGCATATCGAGCATCGTATGGAAAGCCAGCCGCTGGCTGTGGCAAGGTCATCCTCCAATTGACATGGGAGACACGCTCTATCCCGTATCAACAAAGCCCGGCGTCATGAGATGAATGGGCTCCTGTTCAATGAAGAACTTCTTCTGCGGTCCGTGCCGTCGCATAACACTATGAAGTCCTGTCACAATTCGTCAACCTCCAGTACCTGGATCGCGAGTAGTGGTTCGAGGCATGGTCCGTGTGATTCACCACGTGACAAAGGGTTGCGCCGACTCCGACCTCGGGAGTCGGGCTCATCCTGAACTGCGATTATTGTGCCTGCACTCGTCTTTCTAATTCTACCCACGTCCATCTTCTCTCTCGAACAATTGCAGCAATAGTTCGTGCTACTGACCTCGCTTGCAACTATTCGAGGCAGCGCTTTGGTTTCGGCCTCGTATCGCAGCACAAGTCATTGAACGTGCGGTCAAGCTCGTCAAGCCGGCGTGGTGGCTCGGTGGAGTGCCGCTAAACTTTGGGTCCCTGTCATCAAGCCCGAGCACGCCATGCTGGACGACTGAGAAGACCTTTCAGATGGCGCCCCAGACACTTCCACTCCACCAACTTGATCATGACTTTTCTAGTCCTGTGCTTTCGTTCGCTGGAATTTCATTCGGATCGAGGAGCCTTTACCAGAAATTTCAGATCATTTGTGGTTCAACTACAGCTTTTCCGAAGAATGATGATGGTAGCCGAGGCGCGGCGCGAACGGTAGGTGTGACTCTCTAGCGAATCTGGTTCTTGGCAAGTATGGTGCAATCGCTGTCAGAAATGATGTATACCGCCAACGACTTCTTTCTGCCAGATTGTTGCTCTTTCCATCGCCGTGGGAGCTGTTAAGGCTGGTCTGGGCTCCTTGATCTTTCTTGATTGATCAAGCATCAGCGCCACTTGCTTGGACTAGACTCGGCAAGAGCATCCGTATATCGACGACAACGAACAGATTATTGCGAATCTCCTCGCTTCCTGACGTCTTTGCGTCGTGGACCTCGTGGAAGAAAGATTCGCGATCTTTTGATCGAGCTAGAACTACAATCTCGGGCAGAGCTACTATTTAGCCCCATCGGCCCCTCAGGATCCTCCCCAGTTCGAACTGTTCCCTACCCGCGACAACACGCGACAGTCGAGCCAACCATCATATAGTCTTACTTATTACCGTGCTGTGGTACTTCAGTGACGCTGTGCTACACTCCTGCAGCAGCGGCAGCTTCCACAGGGACGCTGTGGGGACTTCTCCCGCATAAGCTCCTGCACTCTCAGCCTCACCTCGATATTCCCGGCCATCAGTGGTATTCTGACGTCTTGAGTCGCTGCATTTGATCGCACAAATTCTGGGTCAAGTAACGCCATCCATACCTGTCCGATACATCACAGCGGTCAGCGACGACTGGACAACGATCATCGTACCGTCACCATGGCTCCAGGTGATCTCGGCACCGGTCCAAAGGCCACGAAGCTCGGCCACGGCTTAGCCAAAGGGCTTCGCATCCGCTTGAATGAGCGACAAGCTGAGAACGACGCTTTGACTCGCGGCGAATCAACCTTCTCGCACGGCAGTAGTGATACCTATGTTGAAGAAGAGCCCACTGCGATCGAATATCTCAAAGAGCTGGTTCCGTCCCGCCAGCAGTACTTCACATACCTCCGCAATCTGTTTCCGTTCACAAGATGGATCCTGCGATACAACCTCCAATGGCTCATCGGCGATCTTGTCGCCGGCATCACTGTGGGCTGTGTGGTTGTGCCGCAAGGTATGGCCTACGCTAAGCTTGCTGCACTTCCAGTGGAGTACGGGCTTTATTCATCATTCATGGGTGTGCTAATATACTGGTTCTTCGCTACCTCTAAGGATATTACGATCGGTCCTGTCGCAGTCATGTCGACTATTGTCGGCAACATCGTCTTGGAAGTCCAGAAGGATCATCCTGATGTCGAGGGGCATGTCGTTGCCAGTGCGCTTGCCATCATTTGCGGCTCCATCATTACGTTCATCGGACTTGCTCGAATCGGCTGGATTGTCGAGTTCATTCCTCTTGTTGCTATCTCAGCCTTCATGACTGGCTCGGCCATCAGCATCGCTGCCGGACAGGTGCCAAATCTTATGGGAATCAAAGTTGATGGCTTCAATACGCGTGGACCAACTTATCAAGTCATCATCAACACCCTCAAGTACCTGGGCCACAGCAAACTTGATGCCGCTATGGGTCTCACAGCCTTATTGATGCTGTACCTCATTCGCTGGGCTTGCGGATTCGCAGCTAAGAAGTACCCTGCGAGGGCAAAGACCTTTTTCTTCATTTCCACGCTGCGCACAGCCTTCGTCATACTACTATATACTGGTATCAGTGCTGGCGTCAACATCAACCACCGCAAGAACCCGAAGTTCCAGATTCTGAAGACTGTCCCGCGTGGTTTCAAACACGCAGCTGTGCCGACGATCAACACCGAGATCATCAGCTGGTTCGCTAGCGAGCTCCCGGCGTCGGTCATCGTCCTTTTGATTGAGCACATCGCTATCTCTAAATCGTTTGGTCGCATCAACAACTACACCATTGACCCCTCTCAGGAACTGGTCGCCATTGGTGTCACAAATCTATTGGGACCATTCCTTGGCGCATATCCTGCCACAGGTTCTTTCTCTCGGACCGCGATTAAGTCCAAGGCTGGTGTCCGTACTCCTTTCGCCGGAGTCATCACCGCCGTTGTCGTTCTGTTGGCAATCTATGCCCTCACCGCTGTCTTCTACTACATCCCTAACTCATCGCTAGCTGCGGTCATCATTCACGCCGTGGGTGATCTCATCACTCCTCCCAACACTGTCTACCAGTTCTGGCGTGTTTCTCCAATTGAGGTCATCATCTTCTTTGCTGGAGTCTTCGTTACCATCTTCTCTAGCATTGAGAACGGCATTTACACAACTGTCTCCGTCAGTGCAGCTGTACTTCTCTTCCGTGTTGTGAAAGCCAGAGGTCACATCGTGGGACGGGTCAAGGTCCACTCAGTGATTGGCGATCAGTACATGGATGACGCTCAGAAACGCGACATATTCCTTCCTCTGGACCACAACGATGGGTCTAATCCCAACGTACAGCCTGAACAGCCATATCCAGGCATTTTCATCTATCGCTTCAGCGAGGGCTTCAACTATCCCAACGCAAACCACTACACTGATTATCTGGTGGACTATATCTTCAAGCACACCCGCAGGACTAACCCTGACTCTTGGCCGCGTCCTGGTGACCGACCTTGGAACAATCCTGGACCTCGCGCGGGCAAACCTGAGCCTGATAACTCGCATCTCCCTACGCTTAAGGCCATCATTCTGGATTTCTCAGCCGTCAACAACGTGGATGTCACGTCCGTACAGAACCTGATCGACGTGCGCAACCAATTGGACCGATACGCCACTCCCAATGTCGTTCAATGGCACCTGGCCTCCATCAATAATCGTTGGACAAAGCGAGCACTTGCTGCTGGTGGCTTCGGATACCCTACTGTTCCCACAGAGGAGTATTCTCGCTGGAAGCCCATTTTCAGTTTGGCAGAGCTCGGTGGCAACACCTCTGCTGCTGCTGCGGCCGAGAAGAGGGACAACAAGCACCTACGCCGCAATTCGACTGCCGACGACATTGAGACTGGACACGGTAAAGAAAGCATCACCGTTGATGCCGCCGACAAGGATAGTTCGTCTGGTGGCTCGGACCTCAAGCAGACGCTTACTAGCAGCAAAGCGTACAAGAGGACTACGCTTGTGTACGGTTTGAACCGCCCATTGTTCCACATCGACCTCACCGCAGCGCTTCACGCCGCGATTACCAATGTTGAAGAGCAGATGGGATCTTCTTCAAGGAGTCCTGCCGACCTCAAGCGTGGAGTTGGCACAACCTCCGACTCTGAGGAGGAGCTCAAGGTGCATGGAAAAGAGACTTGAACCTGACGTTGATCAACTTGGATACCTGAGCGTTACGATCACGATCTCTTACTTGGTATATGATCTTCATTGGGGTAGTAAGTTGCAGGCAGGGTGCAGCTATAATTCACAAGCTGTTCTGTGTGACCAAAGAAGCAATGAACCGTACTTATCGAACATCGTTCGACTTGAACGCCAGCAGTTCCTATACATTCTAATGCTGTGATACGCACCGTGGAAAAGTGTACGCCAGCTACCCTTGCCATGACAAAGGCCACCTGCAGCAACTTGTTCGCCTGGCCAATGATTGCGTCACCCTATCCCTCCTTACTATGTAAGCGATCTGCGTGTTACATAAATCCACCACTGCCCAGTGAACAGACCATTTGTTTTGTCGTTGCGGGCGCCAGCATGCTCGCCACCTTCGCCGTTTTGCCATTATTGCCAGAAAGGACTTGTCAGACCATGTGGCGGGAGGTGGCTCCCCTCTGTGTCGTGTCCTAGGGCGGAGAAAGAATCCACAGCGGACAATTGCGCGTTCGCGCCGAACTGCTGGGGATGCATTTAGGTAAGTGCTTGCGATGAAATCTCGAACGATAAGCACACAGGTCTCGCTCCACGACGAACAGGTGTATGTATAGTCATTTACTTATTGTTTGCTGGCGAGGCTGTGCCTGAACTGCTGTTTTGCCCGACAAGTGTCTTGATCTGCTTGCACGAAGCGAAAGGCGGGCAGTATAAGTGTCAAGTCCACCGGCGCCATGGATGTCTACAAAGTCCCAACTTTGACGACCTTGACGCTCAGCGCTGTGGTCTTGGTTGCTATCTACAAGCTAATCCTTTACCCGTTGTTCTTACATCCCCTGAAGCACATCCCTTCAGCCCACTGGTCAATACCATTGTTTGGAGATCTTTGGATCTTGTACCAGCGATGGCAGTGCAGGAACAATGCGATAACCTATGCTGCTCACCTGAAGCACGGCGAAGTGGTCCGACTTGGCTATAATGAGCTCAGCGTCAACTGTGTCGATAACGGAATCAAGACGATATATGGACAGGGTTGGGAGAAGCATCCATGGTATCCTCAACAATTCGCCAGTTATGGTGTTTCTAGCATGTTTGTGACTCTCGGTCACGGACCTCACTCGCAGAAAAAGAGAACATTGGCCAATGTGTACTCGAAATCGTACCTGCAGTCCTCCGACCAAGTAGCTGCGAATTCGCGCGCCCTGCTTGCAGAGCGGGTGCTCCCAGCGATCCAATCATTCGCCGACGCTGGTCAAGTCATTGATGTCCATGATCTTGACAACGCAATGGCGATGGATTTCATGAGCGCCTACCAGTTTGGGATCGGCAATGGCACAAACTTTGTGCAGAACACTGCAGAGAGGAGACACATATTGCATCACTACCACGGCCGCAGACCGTATGAGTTCTATTCCTCGGAATTGCCATGGATAAAGCCGCTGTGCCGAGCTGTGGGTATACATCTCATCCCCAGACAATTCGATGCCTCGAACGACATCCTTGAGGAGTGGCTACGGAGGATGTGCAACAATGCGGACCGTACGATGAATCAGGCAGCCTTGACGCCGGGCCAGGAGCCGATCGTGTATAAGCAGTTCAAGCAAGGTCTGCATAGCATACGGAACAAGAATCCGCACGCTGGCAAGGCATACGATGAGCTTATCCTGCCGACGGTCTCGGATACCACGAATCCAACACAGCTCGAGGTTTACTCCGAAATGCTAGATCAACTCGGTGCTGGACACGAGACCAGCGCCATGGCCTTGACGTACTTGTGGTACGAAATGAGCAACAATCCGTACCTTCAGACGCTGCTCCGCAAGGAGATCCGAACTCTGTCTCCACGCATCGTCTGGCCGACCACGAACGACACTACTAATGCCTTCGACCTACCCTCGCCGAAGGATATTGATGCACTTCCGCTTCTCAATGCAGTCGTCCTCGAAGTCCTTCGCCTGCACACCCCAATCCCAGGTATCGAGCCCAGGGTCAGTCCGTTCCCAGCGCCTCCTGGCGGACACACGCTCGGCTCCTACACTGGCATACCAGGCAATGTCCGCGTCAGCTCCATGCCCTACACACTTCACCGCAACGGGGCCGTCTTCCCAGATCCAGAGACATTCAATCCACGTCGCTGGCTAGATTCTTCGCCTGAAAAGCTGAAAGAAATGCATCGTTGGTTCTGGGCGTTCGGCAGCGGTGGGCGAATGTGTATTGGCAGTCATCTGGCACTGCAAGAGATCAAGCTGATTGTCTGTACGATACTGGGCAACTGGGAGGTCAGCGTTCCAGATGGAGGGGATGCTGGAATTGAGAAGATTGATGCGTACACTGTAAGGCCGGTGAGCAATCAATTGCTGGTGGTGTTCAAGGCTGCGAAATGACGTCGTTATGTGCATATACCTCAGATCCCTAGCTATGCTCTACCAAGTGTACCTGCTCGATGAGCCGTTCTATCAGCTGGCAGTAGTTGCCTGATGGACTTCACTGGAGCATTCCACTGAGCACAGCGTGGACCTACCTGGGAATCCCATGGACGAGAACCATCGAGAGTTATGCTTACTAGATGTGCGTTTCGCAACTTCAGCATCACACATGTCACGAGTGGCTCTTTCCTTGCCTCGTGACACGCATAACTGGCAGCAACCACCAATGACGTGCTCCTTCCTCTGCGTTTGATCAGATGAACGCCCGCCGGGAAGGTGCGACTGCCAGTTGCGATGGCAAGAGCACAGTTTCGTCTAAGGCAGGCGCAACGGCGATCGGGCTTAATACGAACCGGATGACAGTATCGGGAGGCCGGACTTGCTGCAAGCCGGTTGCCAAAGATTTTGCGTCGCAATATCTCCAGCAGAAACGTCTGTGTCCTGTTCGGAGTCGGCATCAGAACATGCCGGACACAACTACCAGAGCCTGAGAAGAGTCCAGCAAAACCATCTGTTCAAACGGCAGGACCTGGCTCCCATCAAGGCATGTCGATGCTCAGGGCGCCCTCCCTTGGAGGCGGTGAAGATTGCTGTATAGTAAGGATAGCAGCGACGGTGTTCCCCAACTGCAGTCCAGTAAGACAGTCGTATGCAGTTGAGATGCTTGTAAGCCATTACTGTGCAAGTAGAAACGAAGGGGAGTGACTCGATGGTATGGACAGCAGGGGCCGGGAACTTTGGTCTGATCTCGAAATGCACCAGGACATAGAGAATTCTTGGACACGGAGTGAACGCAATTGGTTCGTTTACTGTACCTTCCATTCATTCGCCAATTGATCGTCGCAGGAACAGAGGATCGTGTTCGACGATGTTGGCATGTTCGATGGCTGAGTGATGCCAGACGTCTGCTCTGTTGACGCACGATACAGCATACTAAAACCTGGACTGGTAGCTGAGTTGACTCTGTGCCTGCTCACGCGTTCAGCAATGATCGACACAGGACTAGGTTTTTCGAGTCCGACGTGTCAATGGCCGTTTGGAGGCTCATTGATGCCAATCTCTGCTTCGATGACGCAGTGCACAGTAATCGAAAATCTGGGGTAGCCTTACAGGCAAGGCGAGTGCATGGGTTCCAACTTTATGATCCTCACAGGTCCACATATGATCCGCGCAGAGGCTCGGTGTCTTCTGGAGGACCACTAGCCTTTGCAGTGGCTAAGTGAGATGAATACCGTCTCTAGTGACGCAGACAACAGTAGAGGAAATTTTGATGAAGCTGCTCTGCGGTCCGGAAATGTCGTCGGTCCGAGCACGGGTATCCGAGGCAGATCAGTATCCGTGTCAGAGTGTTGGAATTGCAAAGATGTGCAGACGAGTATGGAGTGCAATGAATCCTCCGTCTCGAGATCCACTTGCATCCCGGGTCACGAAAGCGTCCACCTCATACGCGATAAGGCTTCGAAGCGAATGCACAGTAGCGTGGATGAGAGGTTTTCTGGAAGCCTTCTGGCGCGACGCTTGTAGTCGACAGATTGGCATCTGCGTCATAGAATCCTCTGCCCCCTGCGTGCTTGTACCGTTGAGTGGAGGCTCAAAGAAAAGTCTTCTCAACGAAGAATACCCACTGAGCCTGAAGGAGAATGGTGCTCTTGCTTGAGGTGGATAAGGCTCTGAATAGCGTTGAGCTCACTGGGGCAGCTAAGATGTTTCCTGGACATCAAAAAGTAACTGTTGACTTAGTGAGCATGCCTCTGCTGCATCAAAATAGGCTGAATCAGCCCCACGTGGTTGTTGGAGCGGACAGATCGAAGATCGTGGCCGGGCGACAGTGGACACAAAGGGTAATGGTTCCAGGCGGTAGCAGCGCAGCGTGACAGTCAACATGGAATTGTGACTTCGAGGGCTCGGAATGTGACTGCTGATTCGTTATGCTGATGGGTCCGGCAACAGTCAACTAGTGTGGCCTTGACGAGATTCGCGATTGAACGTGTCGCGCCAGGCTGCGACTAGGGACACTGCAGCTAGACGGCTGTGCCGACAGTGGATGTCGAGGTCGTCATACGCTGGCATCGCCGCTGTTGAGCATGGGAGAATGCAAGGAGTTGCAGGCTTGATGTCGGGTTGCCCTGTGAAAAGGCGACCATTGTGGGGTAGATATCTCGATTAGGCGACTGGGTCGATTAGTGTGCACACAGTAAGCAGGTCTGTGTTCCCGTCAATGCAGATTTCAGTGCGTGGTCACTGCAGAGCCGGACTCTCGCAATATCTCGGGCAGGACTCTGGCACAGTTGAGGCTCTGGTGCCGTGCACGCTATCGTCAACGATTGATGCTGCTTTAGACTGCGGTTGACTCGAGGAACTTGATCCATTACCTTCCCGTTGCCTGCTTTCGTCGACTGTAGGCTCTGGCGTCTTGAAAATTTCGCAGAGTGATTTTGATGATCCTACCTGTGCTTGGAAGATGTCATTCCATGGATGTACGGTTAAATCCACGGAGCTGCTCAAGGGCGACATCATGGGGCTGCCATGACATAGTCACGAGCACAATATTCGCCATCCATCAGTGCAAGACACCTGATCGAAGACCGCATCAAGAAAATGAGACGACAAGTGCCAACGCCGCAGAGCGTTGCGGACTGGAGCTTGAGGCTTTAATGATGTCGTTTCATTTTGCAGATCTTGTGTAGACAGGAATTTGGGGATCGGAAAACATGTCCGGGTACGCGCCTGTGTGCGCTCTCGGCGCCCGCGGCATCCATGGGTACCAGAACCTCAGGAGTCCTTGATCTGACGGCGAGTGAGGTATAGGGCATGGCGAAAGAAGCGAAAAGTACGTGCTCGATTGTCACTACGAATTGGCTGCACACGACTTAGACCTTGTGCGACCCAGAAGACTCTCATTATCATCCAGTGAAAACGAAAGTAGCGACTGGGAAGGTACCTCAGGTCTGCGGCCTGTCTGGCTTGGCTGAGCTCGTAGAATTTGGCAGGCATGGTTGAAAACAGGCAGTTGATTAATACCACGCGGTCCACGCCTTCATCATCAGCCCAGAGCCGACAATGTGGAAGTAGGAAGAAAAAGGTTTGTAATTGGTGGTTGATATGCGAAGAACAGAATTGGTAATCTCTACCGTGCATTTCGAATCAGAAAATCAGAAGGAGCATCAGCTGGGGGCCAAACACGTGCAAAGGCGTTTCAAGGAGAGAGAGCAAGTTGTGCCAATGTACGAAAAGCGAAATGAAAGATCTCGTCAGCAATCCGCTCGTACGCTTCGCGCAAATCGTCCGTTGATTCGTCCACGACATCAGAGCCAGTCCCAATGCAGTACCAGCACCAGCCATACGGCTGGCTTTTCGGGCGAAGTCAGGCCCAACGTCCGAGCGGTCAAAAGGGTTTAAGGACTCCCACACGAAATCTAGCTAAACGAGATCTTCGATGATCTACCGGCCTAAGCCATGCTAGGCATCTTTGTCGAATTCAGGGACATTAACGCTCGTACATTCAGGACAAACCGTGCGACAGCGAGCTCGTTGTGATATGCTCTGAGTTCGAGGTTCTGCATGCAAGCAAAGAAGAGCGAGAAGATTGTTTTGAGTATTCAAAGTAGTTTTTGATTATCTCGGCTCAACTCATGCAGTGCATGAGGAGCATGTTGTGTACATAGGTAGTAGTAGAGTAGCCAGATGCTCTCCAGGCTATATGACCATGCGACAGTATGCGTGATGTCGGGTTGTGTACAAGGTCCACATGCTCACGTTAAGTGACGACTTCTGTGTCCCAATGTACCAAGCAACATCCACGCATCTGAGCAGGCACAGGCTCTGAAGAGATCTTTTCCATTTCCTTCCCCTGTCCTTTCCCATTTTGTTTGTGATGATATGCCGTGATGCCATGGTATCAAATGAAGATCGCTAAAACGCTCAAGTCGCTCAGTTTCAATGCAAGAACAAACCAATCCACCGGCTAGTACGCCGCGATTAGAGTTGGTTGTTGCCTTGAAGGAAGGTAGAATCCTTCTGACTCGAATGCTTCGGAGTCGACTGGCGATAGTGAGACGTCCTTGGGGTCGTAGAATGATGTCGTGGCAATGGCTTGTCGTTGTTGTTCAGTGAGTTCGAATGTTGGCTGAGGTGGTGATGGAGGCATGCTCTCGTCCTCCGAGTCGGAGTCGGAGTCGATTGTGAGAGCCGGAGGGGAGTGTCTCGATGGTGTCCGAGTAAGAGTGAGCTCAACGTCGGTCTCGTCATCTTCCTCCATATCAGAGTCAACTTCGACGGCTGTGATCTGCGAGTCATCCTCATCCTCCTCTGCAATCGTCTCAACATGTGATTCCTCCTCCTCTTCCTCCTCCTCTCGTGGAGAAGAAACGGTCTTGTTGAACCATCTCTCTTGATCGGCCTCAGCATTTGAGAGGTCCTCCATGAGATGGTCAAGAGTATTCGCGTGCAAAACCAAGAGTCTCAGATCGTGATCACCCTTGGCTGCTTCCCGCGACAACTTCGAGCGCGCAGAGTGAGCCATGTAGTAGGTCTGGGTCAGACTTGGCTTCGATTTCTTCTGGGATCGACTGTAAATCGAATGGGCAGAAGCACCCTTAGTAGTGTTGGAGAATGTGATTGATGTAGGCATTGTGGTGGTATTGCCTTGAGTTGTGATGTTGTTGTAAGTATGGTATGCAAGTGTCCAAGTTTGCTTTGATACTTGTTTGTATACTTGAGTGTGTTGTGTGTGTAGTGAAGAATATTCAGGCTGACTGAGGGAGGGATGGACTCACTTTTGTAAAGTGTTGATGACAAGGTCGTATCTCAAAACGTTATGCATCCGCCCTCGTACTTTGACATGGGGGATTGTAAACGCCGTTCGGTGGAGTCTTCTCGGGTTCGTGTTCATCACCGAAGTTCAGGTAGGCCTACTAAGCCGACTCCACATGCCTGCGGACAGATCAGTGATCCGCCTGGGACACCCATGTCATGATGCGAAACCCAAATAATCTGACCGCCTTACGCTTACTGCGCTGAAGGTTGCTGCTTTTGCTGCCCCTGGCTCTCTGCTGTATCTCCATCTCCGGGCGCGCTCGAGCGTCTCGTCCGACTCGGCGACTTCTCACTCGGAGACTCGGACACAGTAGCACAGTCATATTGGAGGGCCCCAATACGCTCTACTGCTACTATGTTGCTGTAGCAGTCTCGCTACCCATGCCCATTTGGCGTACCTTTTTGACTGTGCGTTGATAATCATGAACAGTAGATTTTTGTTCGCTGGGTAAGCTACTACCCTTTGCAGACTCTGCATACCAAAGTCCCTGATTTGCAGCTCTCCTTCGGCGAGCCCAGTTGCTACGCAGCATGCACGTACGTTAGATGCTCGCAATTACGCGTGTTCTCGTCAAGCTGCCTATGTTGAGTTTCAGAGGTGCCTAGCCTAACGACCAGTTCTAAGCCTGCAAGAATTATGCATTTTCCAATCTTGGAGCATAAAAGGCCACAAACGGAGACAAACGACGGCTATAGTCGCAGGTGCCAGCGTTGGGCGCATGACAGTCGTAAGTGCTTGGGCGTACGAAATACTCGAATAGTGAACAAGCCACAACAGCCTGTCGTGTTTGTTTCCGAATTATGATCGGCCACGACGATCAGAAACGCTGAAGCCTGCTGTGACAGCTGTTCAGCCTGCGCAGCGCCGCTGCACTGCGTTTGGCGCCCGCTCGTAAGGACAAGCTCGGGTCCAAGCCAGAGCAAACAGTCCGAGAATTCTTCGGCCGTAGAAGGATGAGCATTTTGGAGCGCTGTAGAACGATTGGTTGCCTCAAGAAGTCCCTTGGCTGCGGAGCTTGGAAACGGACTCGGATTTGTGCTTCGCGGGCTCGGACGAACAACTGCCCAGAAGGACGGAAAGACGCTAAACCGCATCTCGTTCTCGCGTATCTCATGATTGGGAATTGGAGGGAAGCCGATCCACTCGGAACGTTATGAGCCCGGCCGTGCACGTGAGCTTGTATCTGAGATATAATCACAGACCTTCCCCATCTGAGGAGCTCGTTGCCGTTCATTTTTCGTGGTCGAGTGACTCGCTGGCTTACATCCGGAAGTCACAGCGTCGTCAGGTACATTCACGTGGCCGTTGACGGTTCCGCACGCTCGCTGTTCGCGACTTGACTGACACCGTCTGATGCCGGTTATTCCACGATAGTTCTCACAGTCACAATCAATTCCTGTGTGGCAGGGCTGATGATCCGTCGAGAGATACTTCCTGATGCGGCAGAAGGGAGTCGTCAATTGACCAGTAGCTTGAGACGCACACCGGACACTACCATGTTAGAAAAGTCGTGACTCAAATCACGAGTTGTATACCGTGCCAACAAAACGCCTTCCAAAAGAAGTCGCATATAGCGAAACTCATCCAGTGCAGGAACTTTTGCTCCCCCAGGTCTTTTGGGTGCCTGTTGTGGAGCTAGCGAATGGTATGGTCTATTGGTCGCAACTGCAGCAAGTCAAGCCCGAAGCAGAAGTCACAGGCGCAATTAATAATTTTAGCAGCAGCCGACCTTCTCCCAGGATTCCCACGTGGTTTTGCTATGCACCTCGCATTTCAAACTCGTTGCGGCATAGTTGCTGGTGTATACGAGTCTGCATTCTGGCTGTGCAACGCTGGCAAGCCACAATGTGTCCGCCCTCGCATGTCGCAACTCAAATCTTGAATTTGGTTCTATGCTGTGTTGCTTTCTCAACGGCTTCCTTGCAGCAGCGTGCCAATTCCAGCGCGTAGCCAATCCGCTGGCCATTGAATCCTTTCAAGCAGCAACGCTCGCGTTCCTCGCGGTCTCGATTGCCTAAGACCGCCTCGAGGAATGCGAGGTGCGGTTGTATGCCTCGGCAGTAAGGATCTATTCTGTAGGAAGTTTTGCATTACAAGTCAGCAATTTGGTAAGCCCGTTGAAAGTTCACCCGAGTTCCTGCGTCTCTACCATGACCCTTGACAGGCGAAATGACCCAAAAGTTCATCCACGAATCAGGTGCGATCCCAATCCTACGGACACGCACTGGAGCAGTCCAGCCCTACAACACAGGGGATGTCAGCACCTTCCTTGCCCCAGGTATCAGCATTTCCACGACACTACCCTGTGCTGACCGCCTTTAACTTACCTCGCCATTCCATTGGATTACACGGATTCCACATTGGGACGCCCAACACTGATTCCGCTGTCCTTTTGCTGTGGTGGCACACTACATTGTCATCCTTACGAACCCATTCACTCAATCACATCTCGAGTTGCAATATAACGGTGTCGAGTTGTGCTAGCACCCCTGACTACGCGCGTTAGGCTTACAAGGAGCGTGTCCGCGGCAGTTGCAAACACCCTAACGCTTCCTAGATGATTATCTCAGATCCCAGCTTCGGCCACAAATCGAGACATTGAGGTTGTGATATCGCTGAAAGCGGACTATTCAATCAGGACAGGACAGGACAGGGGACTCCTGTTGCACATGAGTGTCCACATAAGTTGAGCTTGGTATCAATTCTTATTCTGTGGGACCCCTTTTCGACCGGTATTCGTTCACACAGTCAGATCAATGCGTACAACGACTGTCCACCGTTGCACCCTTTGGTCGATCGGGATGTCCTTTTGGAGAGTAAAGCAGCAATTGACGGACTGAAAACCGCCCTTACGAGGTGCATTTCCGCATCAGAGATATAGTCGTCCAGGTTAAGGCGCGGAAGGAGGTCTCTTTAGATACCTATGGTATGTTGGGAGGCTCTGTGAGTCAGCGATTTGGCCCGTGAGTAACAGCTCAATACAGTGTATGCAGACAACGCTGCCATGAGACTGGTCAACGAGCTGCTTCTGGATGCTTCATGGTCATATACGTTGACCAAATGTTGAAGTTGCCCTTCCCATTTGCAATTGAAGCAACCTGATTGCTACCATACCGATGGAATATGGCCTCGAGAGCGGTACGCTGAATCGACCGGATAACAGCACTCACCTTGCGTTCGTGGTCTCTTCAGGTATCCACATGATAAGAGAAATGATGTTTTGGGTAAGTGATTGGAGGGCCGCTACCTGCTTCGGCGATTTCCTGATCCCTACCATTATTGTCAATACTCAGAATGGGTAAGAGGAATTGTACGAAAGCAGGCGCTCGACTAACGGGTTGTACCGATAGTTCCACTCTGGGCGAAGCGTTGTACCAACTCCACCACACGGGGGGATGCCTGGGGGCGGTAGCACACAAGATCAGCATACGGCCCCTGGCAGGCCTGACGAACGTTGGTCGTAGTACACGATGAGAGCACTGGAACACCACAAGGAGATTGCAGGTGAAGATATGTTAAAAAGTCTCCGCAAGATCGACGGTTTAATCGCAAGATGATTGCGGTACCGAATCAACCTGCCACAGGATATATCAGATTGAGTCCATTCGCGGGATTCCACGCAGTTTGATCGACAGTTCATCGTTAAGACCTCCCGATATTGCAAATGCGGTTCTAAACGACCGGAGAACAGCCGCAATCCCGGATCGACAGATTAGGTGATTTGAATCTCGGGAAGCCTGAACGCTTGGGGGCATATACCAGGCCAATGGATACATTCAGGAGATACATGCTGGGCCCTGATGGACACAATACTGTGTATGTCCTGCAATCTCTCCGCGGGTGGGTGTGTTGGTCCCAGGTAGCCCCCACTCAATCTTTGGCGGAGAAGTCGTACCTATCGCCCCTCTCGTTAATGTGCTGCAGCAAGTGATATGGAGGCCTTCCTAAGCAACGGCGACGTGTTCCGCGGACTGGACTTTGTGGTCAGCATTCACTGGGCTCTGGTCCTTCTGTGACACGAAGACGACGTCGATAATTTTCCAGATGGATCATGCTTCAGGCCATGGTCTTAAGTCCAGAGACGATTTGACCAAGGAGAACGCCTCAACTGGGCAGACAATGGTAACCATTTGGAAAACGGAGATACTCCGGATCACGATGTAGCGCAACAAGTTGACGTCAAGATGGTCCAGCTCACGGTGCCTGACACCCATCGTAACGACGCTTGAGATGTCCTTCGTTCAAGCGAGCTCGCCAGCAATGATGCATGGGCATGTGCTCGAAATCAGGTACTTACTTAGACGCATGTGCTGTATGTTTGAGCAAAAAGATCATGTGATCCAGCCCTAGCAACTCGAAGGGTTCTCGTGGCAAGCTCGGGCTTCGCGGCTTCCTACGGGTTGCCGTTCTGTGGTCGCAACAACTTGCGCTTCGCATCGGTGAGGGAAGAGACCAGTCTCTGCATACCTACCAGATGTGCTGGAGAGTGCATCAGCCTTTCTCAAGCACATATGAGAAGGCTGCAATCCTGACGAGGCTACCATTCGAGTCACCAGAGTGTCGGAACTCAAACACTATCCGTAGGTACGGTCTGCAGGACAAAGGACAAGTGCTCGCACCAATCATGAGCCGTCCTTTAAATCCGAGTCGCTGCTTAAGTCCAGCACGTCAGCGAGACCATTTAACTTCGCAGCATTTCCGCACAGCAGTACGGTGTTCGTGAGTCACCTGCTAGTAGTAGGTACTTTCTGATCGTCTTACATACCTGGAAGGTTGATTTCTAATTCCGACACCGTGGCATCGCTCGCATTCGA